GCAGAGGCGCGAAGAATCTTCAAGCGCGAAGCCGAGGCTGAGCCCGAAGCGCGCCGAATCTTCAAGCGTGAAGCTGAGGCAGAGGCGGAAGCCCGCCGCATCTTCAAGCGCGAAGCCGAGGCAGAGCCCCGACGCATCTTCTAATCTTGCAACGAGCACGCTATCCGCAAGACACACCCTCAGTATACCTAGTCGACGTTACGATGCGACGACTGCTCATGATCTTCACACTTGTACAGTCTACTTAATTGCACGTGTACTACAACATGATACATACTGCCAGTGAATGGCTCACGCGTGACTTTGAGCTTGACCAGACTCTGACCAGGCTTTCATGGCCTTGTTTGATGCTTCACCGGCTGAAAACACTGGAGAGCAAGTCAGGATGACACCAAGACTGCTACGAAGAGCGTACGCTGGCGTTCCCATTCGTCCATGCCTGCGATAAAGTCGGAGAGAGACGCGTCGGAGACTTCGTGACGAGCACTGGCGTGCTGACTCTGATCCATGACCTCGAGCAGACGGTCCCTGAACGTCTCATACAGTATCCTCCTCAGCGGATAGTCATCAATACTGCTTACGACGATGAGCACCAGCATGCCAGAGTCGGATCTGAACGCGTACGTATCATTGAGCATGACGCCAACGTCATAGAACCAACCGGCGCTGCCGCCGACAGAACGAAGATTGACGGACCGACTGGCCGCTTCCAGAGCTTGCCTGACCCTGCTCGTGTACGGTTTCGGGATCTCCAAGCTGACATATCCAAATCTGACGGGATCCGCAATCTTGAGACCTATCCAGAACGGCAGCTCGACGGTTGTGCCCTTTGCGAGCTGCAGGACTGGTTCTGTGAGCTCAGCAGAAGTGCCGATTGAGACTGGCTTGCATGAGGCTCTGAGCCGCCTTCGAGGTAGCCCGCATTGGGGACTTCGAACAGGAAAGTACATGGCAGCTTCTGCTCAGTCTCTGGTCAGATTCGATCGAGCGCTCACTGCATCGTCCTGCCTGGTTTTCTGCGAGTATGGCATCGAGGTCGTAATAGTCTCTCGGCGTGCCATCGTCGGCCATCCCCGGCGTGCGACAGCTCGTTCCAAGCTTGCCAAATCGCGTCGTTCGAAAGGCGGCAAGCTAGCCGAGGCAAAGGGGCGAGATGTTACGAGCAGGCAGTCGTACCATCGCTAGAGGAAGCAGATCGCATCAGACAGTTGCCAAGCCGTCGTGGATCCGTACACGCACGAGCACGACGAGCAGCGATCAGCCATCGAACGGTGCAGAGATCGCAGACGAATATTTGGGCGGCAAGCAAGGCATCGAGCATCGACGAAGGGTCTATGCGGACAAGTACAAGGACCTACTGAGCCGGAAAGCTCAAGAGTGAGTTTTGCAGCTCTCGGACCCGTGATCTAGGGTGATGCGCCAGCAGGCGAGGCATATCTGTGGAAGAGCTCAAGGCGAGTGCAAGAGACGAATTGGCCAAGAACAGGCGTGTGGCCGACATGATCTCTCGCCCGACACCATCAGCTACCCGTGCTAGCCCTTCTGGGAGCAAGCCCAAGCAGTTCAAAGTACCACAGGCGAAAAAGTCTGCCTCTCCCGTGCGACCGCTCTCAGACATCATCAAGCTGGACAAGGCATTCGAGGAGACGCCCAAGAAGATCTCGGACCTGTGGAATGCCTATCATATGACAAAGGGCAAGTTGTCTGCCGTCATACCGACAGAGATCTATCGTGCGATGGCAAAAGAAGCGCGACAGTACTCGAGCTTTGTCGTTCCTCTGCCTCGCGGTCCGTCTGCAGAGGCTTCGGATCGTCCGCCTGCGGCAGAGATGTTCTTCCTCGTAAATGCTACAATGCCTTTTTTGCGGGATCTCGGATGCTGACAGGCTCTTTGTAGCAATGGGCCCATTTGCCACCGCATACCGAGGCGCCAGCGGGTCAAGATGCCGTGCCAGACGTGACGACAGTGCTCTTCACGCCTCTGGCAGAATATCAGCTTCATCAGACGTACGCGCAACCCTACTTGATCTTGACCCACTACACCGATCTAGCGCACTCCCACGGCATCGTTCTCATGCGCGGCGAGATCACCCCCGACGTGGCCAACCTGACTTCTGCAGACGCACAGCTGTTGATCTGGAAACTCCAACAGTTCTACAATACTGCCAATATGAAAGCTGACAAAGGTCAGGCGGTCATCGACGAGCGACGCCAGCTGCTTCGCACTTTCCATGAGAAGCCTAGCGACTTCGATCTAGCTCGATTGATCGAATTGGCTGATCAGATCTGAGCCGAGCTCGGCTGTCGAGATGCTGGCAAGGCTCGCTGGGGCGTGCTATCAGGCGAGAGAGATGCTCAGACGGGTTCGGCCTTGCGTAACTCATCGATCTCGCCATAGAGTGTGCTGAAGACGACCGGATCAGCTATGGCAGCAGCAGCAGAGCACGCAAAGGAGACCCACGTGAAGCGCTGCTCATAGGTTCTGATGGAATCTCTGAGCTCTGCTATCCGCCTGGCATGCAGCAGATTCGCCAGTTTGGCCGACGGCAAGTCTGTTGATCCGCTGCGGCTTCAGAAAAGCGAGCCATGCTCCTATGCAGAACTCAAGCCTGCCTTTTGTCTTTGTCGTCGCATCGATGGGCTGGTCACTGCATCGCTCTTCAGCGACGTTGCATCGACCTTAAGGCTTCGCCTCACGCGTCAATGTCAAGCTCCCGCTTCAACAGAGCCCTGTAGCATTCCCAGCATGTCTGTCATGCCCATGAGCGCTGTTCATCGTAGCGAATAGTGTGAGCTACGTCTGGATTGAGACGGCTGCGATGTTGGACGGAAACGAGAGGATGGGTGACCATGCAATCGCTTATGGTCTGCCATTTGTAGCCATAGGAAGCCACGAGCTGGGCCAGCAAGCACTCTTCTCGAGCGTCTAAGCCCGGCAAGACCATCAGGGTCCGCGCTCGTCTGGCCCGCTGCCTCTCTGTCGCTCAACTCGGTCGCTGACTGGCTGGCTACTTTGGCGCGAGAAAATCGCCGCTTCGTTTCGGATTGACTCCACAGAGCGCCAGCTGCTCGACCACCGACGATAAGCTGTCTGACTGAGCGAGGCAGTGCTTGAGCCCGAGTGAAGCGAGCGAAGCTAGGATCAGGAGGGAAGGCGAGCTGACAGGGTGCACGCTGGTGTCAGGGTCACTGGGAGAGCACGTTTGTACCGACTGGAGCTTTGTCAACGTTCGCTGGACGAGTCGGACCTCTGCCGACCGGTGCATCATTGCTTCGAGAGACAGTCGTCAGCTGACCGTCAGATGTCTAGCTGGACGATCACACCCATCTCAGCTTGCAGAAGGCAGGTCTCGTAGCGTTCCGATTGCCCGAAAGGAGAGGCTGACTCAGCTCTCGATGCTCCCAGGAGAGTCGGGCAAGTGTCCACACGGCCATCATGGCACTAGACCCTGCTATGCTCGACCACGGGCACATCGATCGGACCTCAGATGTCAGCTCGCCGGACCCGACAGCTGCCAGGACAGCTACGACGACCGACATCCACGATAGCTTGGCGAGGCTGGATCTGAGCAGACAACAAGTGTCCGATGAGCCTGCGGAAGAAGGAGACGAGACTGTCCAGTCTCTCATGCCTGTCGGGAGCCTCGCTGGTGGCCGCAAGGCTAGCGTCAGTCTCCAGTTGTTCAAAGAGACTTCGCGACACCAGTCCAACAAGCTGAGCGATGTTGTCGCTGCTCTCCAAGAAGAAACCGAGTACGACCACACAGAGACGATCACGCACACGCCTGTCCGATCTGTCTCTGTCTCGGGAGACGCACAGGCTCCGGGCTCGAGCAGGCGCGATACAAGTCGGAAACCGGCGGGCATACTGTCCGGCACTCCTCAAGCAGGCGTACTCTCGCCAGCTCGTCACAAAGTGGACCTCATCTACTCTCCACACCCGTCGCTCGATCCCAAGGATTCGGCTGCATTGTCTGCTTCATTCGTCGACTTTGTCGAGGCTTCGAAATCAAGCAGGTCCGCCTTCCAAGCGAGCCCCGGACGCGACGAGACCAAATCCTCCTCTGCGGAAGAGATGCGGCCCCGGCTGACCTCGCCCAGAGCGACTCAGGCCAACACGCGCTATACGTTCTCGCCTGTACTGCATCCTGGCACGAGCACGAGCTCTGCTCTGCAGAAATCAAGACCGCCTTCGCCAGGCGCCTCACCCTCGCCTCATCTCCAATTTGCGAGGCAATCTGCGCGAGACAATCAAACGCCAGCCGAGCTCTCTCTACCGTCTGCCGCGCCGCGTCCGGTCAGACAGGCGTCTGGGTCAGATGTACCTCGGACCTCCCCCGCACTTTCGCGCCCGCCTGGTTCGATGCTGCCCGCTGCGCCCAAAGATCTCATGCAGACGGATCCCAGAGCTGCTCCGACGAGGAGGAGATCGCTCAAGGGACGACATGATCAAGAATCGCCCCCGCAGGTAACGTATCCAGATGCTTTGCTGAGAGCAGAGCGGAGGAAAAGCTCGGGCACCATTCCTTCGTTGACCTCGGCCGATCACTCGGCTGGCTCGCACACTGACACGTCGCCCGTCTATGCAGCCCAACGCAATCCGCTCGCTCGATCGGATCATTCGGCAGACGAAGGATCCGTGGAATATCTGACAGAAAGTGAAGATCTGACCGAAGAGGCTTCAGAATATGACGACGACTATGACGATGGCATCTTCTCCGAGGCAGAGCACGACCAAGACGAAGATGACGAGCATCTCGAGCAACCGCCGAGCGACTACAATCTCGCCTCGGGCTATCGCAAGGGTCGCAAACGGTTCTCACTTGCAGCACCAGAAGTCGAAGAGGATGTACCAGCCCAACGAGAGCCGTGCGTGCCCCGCTGTCCAGCCCTTCGTTTACTAAGCCGTGCTACAGTCACTCTGCAGTTGCTCTACAGCCCTTTGACAACCAAGTTGGCGGACATTCGCACATCTTTAGATTCTCTCATCGTGCGATCTGCAAGGTAAGTTCAGAGCGACTGATCTCATGTGGCGATCTGATGATATGACTCGTAGCCGCTCGTGAGCCGCGAGAACGAATTCTACGAGGCCATCGAGCGCGAGTCTCCCGATCTCCTGGCTTTCGTACCTCAATATCTGGGCGTCCTCAATGTGACCTATCGGCGAGCGCATCACGACGAAAATTCAGCCTTGCGTCCATCGAATGGCACAGCAGAGGATGAGCGGAAAGGTCGACGCATCTTCAGAGAGCGTGATTCTGGCAGCGCGGGAGACGAAGTTCCCGAAGTCGCTCTCGAACGCAATCGCCATATCTTGCCCGACAGCTCGGTTTGGGATATGATCAGTGGCTCCAGCGATACCGATCGACGCGGGCGTCATTCGCGCAGGCGATCTGCAAGCAGCTTTCCTTCGAAGCGGTCGTCCGGTGAGGAAGCAAGTCAATCGATACGCGCAAGTACGGAGCCACTCGAAGACACCTTGCTGTCTTCTCCTGATCTGGCTGCTGCAAAGGCTAGCTCTTTGCTGCCTGTGCCGAAAATGTCTGCCTTGCAAGAAACTCTTCCCGTGCCGAACTCGAGTCCGCAGACTCGCTCGCAAGTCAACCAACCAAATTCGCAAGATACCCTCGATGCGTTCTACAAGCGAGGAGGCATCCAGCGGGCCAAGTCTGCGCTCAATACCTCAGCCGACAGCTCTCGGAGTCAGAGCACTTACGGCACCGGCTCGACTCGTGTGAATCGTCGACTGTGCGAGCAGGTGCTACGTGAAGTCTTCAACAGTCCGAAGCTGCGCAATCGGGCCAGCCGGATCTGCTCGAAGAAGTGGGCAGACGAAGAACCGAAGGAGTCTATAGCCGAGCGGCAGTCTGAACCGCCATCCGGCTTCCGCAAGGTGCGCAGCGAAACTTCGGTGTCGGCCCTGGCCGATGTGCCTCCCAGCAAGAGCGCTGCGGGATCGCCTCTGGTCGATCTGGGCGTATTCGAGATGGACGAGGATGCTTCAAAGGATGCGACTCAACAGCAGAACATGCAGAAGCAGCGAACAGGCAGCGACTGGCGTCCGACAGGACGGAAAGCGCTTGTGCTAAAGCCGCCCAGCCCGACAGGCGGAAGCGCTAGAAGCTCATCGCCCGAACGACAAGAACAGTTCCTGCTCATGGAGGATCTAACGGGCCCGCTTCGGTCACCTTGTGTGCTCGATCTCAAGATGGGTACTCGGCAGTACGGTGTCGACGCTACGCCCGAGAAGAAAGTCAGCCAGACTCGAAAATGCGATAAGACGACGAGCCGATCTCTCGGCGTTCGTATATGCGGCATGCAGGTATGTCAAACGTATATCGAAAAGCACGGCCGCTGATCGATTCTGTAGGTATACAAATCTGCAGAGGGCAAATACACGTTTCAAGACAAGTATTACGGCAGAAAGATAAAGACAGCCGACTTTCCCGTCGCGCTGGCATCCTTCTTACACGATGGCGACCATCTGCTTGTGCACCATATACCTGTCATCTTGCGCAAGCTGTACCGCATGGCGAGCATCGTCCGCAAACTGACCCGATATCGCTTCTATGCGGCAAGTTTGCTCTTTATCTATGATGGCGATCAGGCAGTGCAAGAGTCGTATGCAGACAGTCTCAAGACTGAAGATTCTCCCCATCTGATTGCTCGACCTGTGCTAGGCAACGAGCCTAGCAGTATATCTATCCCTCACAGCATGACGAGCGATTCGACTAGCTTTGAGCCTCAGACGCCTGTTTCCCTCGAGACGCCAACCTCGCCGAGCCCGTTCACTCCCTCCTCGAACAAGCGCAATCCTGATGGCTCTTTCGCACAAAGAGCGATCAGAAAGCGCAGACCAGGTCATATCAATATCAAGCTCATCGATTTTGCTCATTGCACCACGGGCAACGACTTTGCGCCACTAGACGAGCCCCGTGTGCCCGGTGACACCCGCCCGCCTGCTCGTTTCCCGCCCCTGCATGCCGACGAGCCAGATACTGGCTTCTTACTCGGACTGAAGTCACTCTGTGACGCGCTCATCCGCGCTTGGAACGAGGAACGTGACAAGCGAAGATCGGACGCTGACGCCGCCCAGCTGGGCCCACTCCGGGTGAAAGGCTACTCGGTCTTTGACGAGATCTTTGACCCGCTCACGGCTAAACCTGGCGCTCGAGGAGTATTCGAGCGTGGACGTGCAGCGAGTGAAGCGGCACATGCAGAAGCGCAGACGCTCGCGCCAGCATAGACTATCATGTCTTTCTCTCTCACCTTTCATCCAGTGACGAACGCCAATAACGATGCTTTGCAGTCAGTATAATGCGATTGTGTATGTCAGTCAAGCAAGTAGCATGTAATAGAATACCCGAATTGCAGAGTTCCATTCTAGTCAGCTAGCCTAGCGCGCGCTCGCTCCTTGTGCTGTTACAGAGGCTTTGCAATCGAGCAATCATCAATCATCTCTAGTCCACTTAAAGCGAGCGACGACGGTTCGACCGAGTTCTTGCAAGGATGAAGTTGCGCCTTTCTAGAACTTGAGCAGGTGTGGCAGCTGTCCGTTGGACAAGCTGAACGTGGCGGCGAGATACTTGGACAGGTTGGCTGTCTTTGCGATCTCCTCGACGATGGCCTTGTCGAGCGTCTTCTGATCCTCTGCGAAGCTGGCAGGCAGGGTCTTCTTCTCCGAAGCGTCGCCTTCGCCCTTGAAGAACTCGCCCTCCTTGCCCTTTGTGCTCGAGGAGGACGACTTCTTGAAGAATGCGTCGCTGAACTTCTCGTCAATCTGCAGAGACAGGACTCCGATCAGTATGGTGCACGGCTGCGCGTGGTACATCGCCTCACCTTGACAGAGCTGACGTCAATCTTTGTCGAGGTTGCGATCACGTAGGCTTGGTTGACCCGTCTGATGGGCACGCCGTTGATCTTGTAAGGACCGGTAACGAGCAGGAGGCCAGACTCGAGCTGCTTGAGGAAGACGACTCGCTTGCCTCTGAATCGACCGGCGAGCAGGATGAGGATCGTGCCGGGCGTGATGGACGCTCTCAGCTTGGTCGGTCGCTGCACCTTTCGAGTCGGCTTGGGTCGCTTCACATCTTCGGCCGAGTAGAACTTGGCCGCCCTCTGTACGGGGATCACTCTCTCCTTGCCATTCTTGGCACCTCCGATGGGCACCGTCTTGGTCGTTGGCGCTGCCTTTGCTGACATGTCGTCTTATCCTTGAGCTGCCACTCGACTCCGCCGCGCACAGCGGCTGGTCAACTTTCACCGAAATTGACTTTGACGTCAATTATACACGCGATTTAAGGTTTTGCCAAAGGGCCATGCACATGCCGCGCCCTAACGTAATGACGCTGCCGTCCGCCGGGTCGCATGATGTTACTTAGACCGACGCAACGATAGCATATCCCATATGGCCACTCCCTCTTCGCAGCTTGACACCAAAGACCCTGCACTCAAGCGTGTCCTCTACTCTTCCCTTGCTGCCGGTTTGCTCTCGTCCCATCTGACCATGCAATCGAGCTGACCGAAGATGGCAGGCACAATCAGCGGCACGTTTGGCTCGGCATATGGCCTGCTCAAGGGACCTTCTGCCACAGCAGTTGGGGCACCTATGGCCATCACTACAGCGGGCTACGCCCTGGCTTTCTTCTGTTCGTCTCGAGATCGTCCATCGTCTTGCGTGCACGAGCTGACGCGTGGCTGGTCAACAGCTACGAGAGATCTCCTCTTGATGCCATTACGCTCATCCTATTCGGTTCCTACCTCCACGTCACCTCACTTTGAGGATGTCGACCTTAGCGCAGGAGCAGGCCTGCTTGCAGGCTCAGTCTTTAATGGCGTTGCTCGTCGGTCTTACATCATTAAAGTCGTTCATGAGCTGAAAGGGTCATCAGGTGGACCCAAGAGGATTGTTTCGGGTGGTCTGACGACGGGCCTGTTGTGCGGCCTAACACAAGTCATCGTCAACGAGGCCTATCTCGCTCGGCTGCGATACCTGTCAGGCAAAAACGGTGGCAACGCTATGCCTACGTCTGCCTCGATGTCACTCAGAGATCCTCCTCCAGCAAGCTCCATAAGCGCGCAGCCCAGCAAACGGTCAAAGCTGGCTTCGTTCTACCCAATTCGACGTGTCTCAGACGACGAATATGCCGACAAGCTTCGCGAGAAGCTGTCAAAGACGAACGCTCAGCTTGCGGATCTTGACAGCCAGATTGCCCAGGAGGAAGTACGACTGAGGCATCTGAGCGCGCGGCAAGCCTAACCTCTGTAAAGACAACAACATGAATTCTCCACTCTTACGCTGCGCCGTGCAAAGCGTAGATGACGTCGCGAACTGCGTAAAGCGTATCGCCTGCGGCTCCTTCGATCACAAGATGTCCTTGACGCTTGCGCACCGCCACGCGACCGCCAGAAGTGTCCATGACCGGCTCTGACAGATCAGGCGTGGGCTCGTTCTTGTTGGCCTTTGTCAGTCTCGCGAGCCTGGGATCCGTCGCGGTCATCTGTTTCGACTGTGCCTTAGCCGCTGCAGCTGCTGCCGTGTCTGCCGCACTCTGTACTGGGCCACAGACGAGCACGCCCGCCCCTGCGAAGCTAGCCTGTATCTTTGCGCTTAGCAATCGCTGTCGCAATGCAGCTAGCTTGACATCGCCAATGAACATAGATGGCTTGAGCGGCGCCAACGAGCCTTTCTTCGTCATTTCCGTGTCTGCTCCGTCAACCAACAAGTCTTCGCTGATTGCTGCTTGAGCAAGCGAGGGCTCCAGTGTGGGGATGTCTTCTCCATCGACAAAGCGCAAGATGCCGCTGATCCGCGCCATTTCATACTCTTCCACTTTGCTAAGCTTGAGACTCGACAGCAGTTCGTCGCCTAATCTGATGGCAAAGCTCTGGATCTCAATGCCCGCAATGACTCGCTCGCCGAGCGCTGGCGCTTCGATCACGGGCACAAAGTCATGGCATGCTCTGGCGATATCTTGTGCGGCCGCCGAACTACCATTGACGAGAATCTGTCATGCCACCATCAACCTTCAGCAATGAGCTGCTGAGATACCAAAGACGCTGACCAATCTTTTTGGGGCTAGGCGGGGGATGATATCTTTGAGTGCTCGTCCATCGGCACGCCCTTCGAGGTCGACGGCAAAGAGCTGGCATCGCAGCATCACTTGTCTTTCCTCGATCAAGAACTTGTGTGGCGGCTCGACCTGTGGCAATGGGTGAGTCAGCATGACTTGTGTGCTAGCTAGGAGGACCTCGACTGACTTGTTCATCTTGTTGTCGTTTGCGTTTGCCAAGCAAGGCATTGTTCATTGCATTCTCTTCTTGCTCCTCTTCGTCATTTCTGCCTCTTCTGAGCCAGCCCTGAACGTCGATGACTTCACCGTAGGCATCGACCTTGCGCCTGCGCTCCGTGAAGGGGTACATCCGTAAGCGGGACGATGTCGTGTCGGGCATGCCATTGAGAAAGGCAGCGATAGAGCGACCGCGAACGTAGACATCGAGCGTGCCGGGTGGCGCATCCTCGTCGAGGAACTCGTCCCATACGCCAGTACCGCGCATCGAACCAGGCTCTCCGTCTCTCCTCGCACCGGGCTCCGCCATGACATCGACGTTGTCGCCTTGTTGTGGCAAGATCTCTCCAGCATTGGGAGCCTCCAGCTCGTCTTCGTCGCTCGAATCTCCGTCTTCCGAATCTGAAGCGTCTGCATCTGCTTCCGCCATCCTCTGAGACCGCTCGAGCATGGCCTTTTGCTTTGCATGCCGTTCCTTTGCGGCTCGCTGATTGTCTAAGAATTCTTGCAATTCCTCTCCCTGCAATATGACCTTTGAGCGCATCGGTAGGCTGACGGCTTCATTGAGCGTGATCGTCTGTCCGATCTCGCCTGTGCCCATTCTCTGTGCCGGCGTCTGAGCCTCGTTCCATTTGTCGAACAATGATCGCGAGAGACTGCCAGCAGGACCAGGTGAAGTGAGCAAGAGCAGGTTGCCTGCTTGAGCAGCCATCTCTGTAAAGACTTTGCGGGACGATCCGTAGGACAGAGGCAGGGGGGCAGCAAGCACGACCTTGGGCACATGAGGCGGTATGACGGCGTAGAGCGAGTCGAGGGAAGGGAATATCTTGAGATTGGCTAATCGTCCGATGCCCTCCTTGCCAAGATTGCTTCCAAAGAACTCGTGGAGATTGCGCAGCGTCATCTGCAGAGGCGGGCCAGTCGGGCTGACCAGACATAGTGGGAAGTCACCCAGGTGTGAGAATGTCCAGTGCTGATCGAGCAGCACGAGGAGCTCGGCAATGCGACCGGCAGCATCGACGGGCATCAGGACTGATCGGCCAGCCTGCAGTGTGCTCGTGATTGTCTGCAGCATGGCACTGTTGCGCGCGACGGTCTTCTGACCTTTGCTTTGTGCTTTCTCGACAGAAGTGATGAGTGTGCCCAGACCTTTGGTCTCTGCTCCTCCGAGCACGATAGATGCAGCAGAGTCGAGATGCTTCTCTTTGATGTGATTGAAGACGGGTGCATACAATATCGGAGGCATTGTAGGAGACCGTACAAAGAATAGTGTCCCTCCCAGGTGAGTGCCTGACGGTTGGGCTAGCAGAGTGAGAGGCGCATTGCGACCTTCAAGATGCAGAGGCGATGACCAGCGAATCGTCCTTATGCGATCAAAGGCTTCCCTGACTTCACGCATCGAAACTTGCCAGCCTTGCCGGCGCATATGCCGCAGGTCCTCATCACCTGACTGACTGCCCGACACAGACATCGCGCTAGGCGACGTGGGTGTCGTTGCCCTCTCTACGGGAGTGACGGGAGTGGTCGACCCAGTCTCGCGAGTACGAGCGAGAAGTGATGCAGATGTCTTGCGCAAGCCTGCATCCTCCTCCTCTTGCCGTTCGCGAACCCAATGGTCGAGTGCTATCCTGCCCAAGTCCTTCGTTGGCGGAGAGGCATAGATGAGGCACGAAGGTGGCAGCCCTAGTCGACTGACGAGCAAAGGCAGTAGACCGATATGGGCAAGTGATGCCTGACTCAGTAGCACGAGTGTCAAGGACGGTGCAAGCCTGCCCGGTCGAAGGTCAGCATGCTCGCAGTGGGCTGCCTATGCGCACAGACTGACCGCTCGAGTGTCTCTATGAGGCCAGACGAGTGTTCGTCTGCTGCAGCCCCGCCTGACGTCGCAAACTCGGAATGTCGTTCCCAGCATCCACAGTCGAGCAATATTCTTGCCTGGCCGATCTCGAGGAGAAAGCAGACCGGTTCACTGCTCGAGCTCTGCGCTGGGGGGTTGGTCGTGCTGACGATGCCGCCCGCCAGAGCAGTGAGCCGAATGGTCGACATGCTTGCTCGACGGTCTAGCTGGCACGCGATTCACGATAGTATGTCGTTTCATTCGCGCGAGAAGAATTCGGTGAAATTAGCGACGCCGTAAGTCTGGGTAGGCCAGCACGCGCAAGGGCGTCGCAGTTTGTGTGCTTCAGCGAGGACAGTAGCTGCTGAGCGGTTGCGGCGAATTCGAATCATCTGCGTCTCGTGAGTGCTCGCACGCGCTTGCTCGGCAGTCAAGCGCGCAAGACTATCACGCGCAAGCTCGGAGCTGAATCCCTGCGTTTGCCTTGCCCTGTCTGTTGACCTCGCCAACCTATCAACTCGACGATCTGGCGACTTGACCCGTCAGGACAAGACTATCGCTCGACGCAGCCAATCACGCTCTCTCGTTGATCGCGAGTCATAACAACCCGCCAACATGGGTCTCTCTGTCTCGAAGCTCCGTAAGCCTGACCTGACCTGTCGCGCGTTCATGCGACTCGCTCAGGCACATCGCTGACGTTTGTCCTTGTCTCCTTTTCACTGCTTGCCTGGTGTCGCCTGCTCGCTCGATGGCCATTTTGACGCGCGACGACGACATCTTCCCACGCATGCTTCCACGACAACTCGCTGACGTGTCTCACTATCATACGATCATGCGACAGTGTCCGGCCTCTTCGGCAAGAAGGAGATGCGCATCCTCATGGTCGGCTTGGATGCTGCCGGTAAGACGACGATCCTCTATAAGCTCAAGCTAGGAGAAATCGTCACCACGATCCCGACAATTGGTCAGCAGCTCGACGGCTCGGCGCACGCTGTGCTGACTGACTGCCCGATCCACAGGCTTCAACGTCGAGACGGTTGAGTACAAGAACATTTCTTTCACCGTATGGGATGTCGGTGGTCAGGACAAAATCCGTCCTCTCTGGAGACATTGTGCGCCCGCTGGCCCTGCTAGACCCGCCAGATGCTGATCTCGAGATCATAGACTTCCAAAACACCCAAGGCATCATCTTCGTGGTCGACTCGAACGATCGCGAGCGAGTGTCAGAAGCCAGAGAAGAGCTGCAGCGCATGCTCAACGAAGATGAGCTCCGTGATGCGCTCCTGCTCGTCTTTGCAAACAAGCAAGATCTGCCCAACGCAATGAACGCTGCCGAGATCACCGACAAGCTTGGCCTGCACTCGTTGAGATCGCGAACATGGTTCATCCAGTCTACTTGCGCTGTCTCCGGTGACGGTCTCTATGAAGGCAAGCAGCTCCCTCCTGCAGGACTAGATCTCATCTGACCCTGGCATGTGCAATTGCAGGCCTCGAATGGTTGAGTACCAACCTCAAGAGACGAACCTAGACAGTCAAATGAGCTCGGGCCTGGCAACTGTGCAAGGGATACCGCCGAACGACGCCTAACGATCTATCATCAACGTAACAACACTGAAAAGAGGGACGAGCCTTGTCCTGCGTGTGAGCATAGACGCATCAAGCTCTCGAAGCCTTCTCTCTCTCTCGACAGCTTGTGCGCGCAAAAGAACCTCTCGTATACCTCGCCTCGACCCATCTTTCGTTGTATTAAGTCCGGATGCATCTCTCGCGAACATAGCATGACCCCGGGCATTTGCGACCAGCCGTAATTTTGGCTGGAAAAAACAATTGCAAGCAACACACTCAACAGGTACATGTCAGACACTCTACGCGCACAAGGGGGGTCATGGATCAGACGCGGTCGCGTTCTCTTGCGCTGCCAGATCCCGTCGTTGCCGTTCACGCATAGCAACAAAAGCGTGCCATCGTTGCATGATGTCATCGTCGAGGTAGTCCCTCACGATCCTGTTGTAGCTGCTGTCGCGATGGATGATATCGTCTGGATCGAGCATGTGTTCCTGGGGAAGGTCGCCCCCGGTCGCCCAACCTATTCTCGCTCGCAAGATATGGTGCCACATGTGGTAGGCGAATTGCTCGGTATGCTTGAAAGACCAGCCGGGTGACTCGGGCGCGCGCATGCCATGCTGCAGCTCTTCCGGATCGTTCGTTGCGTTCAGGGTGGCATTGGCCGGCGGATGAAGTGTGCCGTGAACCCATCTCAGTCCATGATCGTCCCAGAGCGGGAAGAAGAGTGCTCGGTGGTCTAGGACGGTGACCCGTGTATGCCTCGTCGTGGCATTCTTTGCGAGCTTCCATGGCAATTGCACCGAGTGGTAATTCCTGTTCGTCCATAGTTCAGATGCGGCTCTATCAGGCAAGATCGAGTGAGAACTGACCATTGATCTTTGTCAAACGTCCGGTATTCCTCATACCAATTGCGCATAAAGGGAGCCTCTGGCTTGGCCATCATGACAGCGTTGCAGAGTCCTTCGACCTCAAAGTGCGGTTGCATCGAGCCATGTGCAGCTTCGATGCCCAGCACGACGTCCTCGTCGAGCAGCTCGTCGAATGATCTGCTGGAGCAGTCAGCTACGACTCTGCCAATGCCGCGCACAAGACTCACCTTGTGACGATCACGTCGGAATCGAGATAGATGCCGCCATATTTGAGCAGCGCTTCCATGCGAATGACATCGGCCATATGTGAAGGCTTCTCAATGGGTTGACCCATGATCTGTGTCGGTCTGGTTGTCTGTACGACTTCGACGTACTGTCGCGCCTCGTCCCACCAGAAGTTGACGCCTGGCTGCGCGAGTGAATGCATCATGTGCGCCAGTATCCTCGTTGGCTCGATGTGATGTACAGCAGAGCGTATGGCGAGGTAGTGGACAAACGTGAACTTGTCACCGCCCGGCGGAACGAAATGGACAATCTTGGGGATACTGTCGACCTGGGTAGACTTGAAGCTCTGCACGATGAGAGCCGCGCGGTCTTTGCCGCTGCTGGTCGCCAATGCGTCTGCTGACTCGACGCTAGTAGGTCGCAGTAGCTTTGTATCCCTGCTGTAGTCGCCAAATCGGTTGAGCATGAACGGTACCGGCTTCAATGCGCTCCTTGCATCTCCCTGCCACCTGTACGCTTCTTCCCAGTCGTACGTTCTCACTGAGCTGCCGTTCCGCCAGAAAGCGAGTCGCCGAGTATCGATGAGGGGGACAAAGCACATGCACACAACGAGTAGCGCCGTTGCGAGTCCGAGCAAAGTCGCAATTCTGACCGGCCAGGTGTGCCTCTGCCACCGACTGACATCGAGCAGGTCTATGAAGCCTTTCTCATCCGATCGAGCCGGGTCTGAATGCCGCCTGGATGTGCCCGGTCTTGCAGTGCGAGCGGGATTTTGACGGGCAGGCAAAGGCGTATACCTCGCCGCCGAAGCATGCGAGGCAGAGTCCGACCTGCCTCGGGCTGACATACTTACTCCGCCCGAGTTTAGATGTGGCCGGCGGGCTTTGAGCTCCTGTCGGCAGTCCAGAATCGCTCGCCTTTTGGTGTCGACTCTCAGCGCCTCGGCCAACGTCGCGACAAGCCAGCTTGGAGCCCGGCCGTGATCGCATGGTCGACTATGTCCCTCGCTACCCTCAGCCAACGACACTGGCCAAGCTGAGAACACAGGATGTGGGCGTACTCTCAGATGGCAAGTCGCCTTGCAATCAGAGTAGGACCGCCCGTTGAGATTGTCCACAGAGATTGCACGGCTGCGACACTCGATTGCACACCTCGAGCGCTCTCAGATCGATCTCGAGACTCACCTGACTGAGTCCGACGAGGTGGAAGAGCAGGCGGTCTACGAGAGCGCGATCAAAGAGAACGAGACGACCATTGCTGCTCAGAACGAGAGGATCTGGATGGTCCGACTGGCTATGCAGAGCAAGCTAGGCTTCGATCCTGGCGCTAATCCTCACTACGACAGCGACATCGTACCGCCGCAGCTGCCGGGCAGTCCAATTGCATCGATGGCGGAGGCACGGATGAGCGATGCCACGTCGAGCGGCACGAACGTGTCCGTCTCCACAGCGAGCCACGATCTCACCATGCAAGAAGAAGCCAACGATACTGAAGATGGTCTCATGCTGTAGCGTCCCCAGTGGTCGGCCGCACATGCGGCATCAGACACCGCAAAGCACGCGCGAATCGGGTACATGCAAATCTCGAGCGGACAGCGGACACCAGGATGCCGACGATGACATGCTAGTGACCGCGCGATTGCACTGCGGTGCTCTCATGCGACGCCACACCGTACAACCGCTGACAGCTACCCGACAGCGCCGACTTGAGCGATTAAAGCCTAGATCTAAAATGTGAGAGAAGCAGGTAAAGCGCGCAGCTCTTCGCCGTCGCAGGACGGCTTGTTGTGCCTCTGCGGTCCATGCACAATGCGAGGGTTGTCAATTGCTTCTGGTATCATCTACAGCAACAGTCCTCACACGGCCGCAATGAATACAAAACATCGATGCATGCAGGCAGGTGGAGAGTACTCCATAGCTCCCTAATGACCGCCACGACGCTGCTCGGCAATGACGCCGGTGAGCTCATCGACCTTTCTCTTCGCTCTTCGCAGTGTGCCCAGCTTTCTCTTTGTGAGCTTACGGGCCTGCATCACATGATTAGTCAAAAGTCCGACCTGTCAAGGTAGATTGTGCCTACCTTCTTGTCCTTGGAGTTTCGGATGAGTTCCATCACACGACGCTCGTAGGGTGCGTAGCCAGCGACATCGCGGACGACTGAGCGAACGAAGATGGATCGCTTGGACGCCTTTCCCTTTCTGTTGCTAGGCTTGTCGGGCAGTGCTCGCACCGTGGTGATGTGTCCCGCATTCTTGCCAACAGGCAGGCCTGCACGCATGACAGTCAGCGCTGCTGCTCTGCGTTATGCTCTGTCTGCGCTAGCGAGGACGATGCGAGGTCACGCTAGCAGCTTGGCTTGACGCCAGCTCTCGGTTTGCAGCGCCTCGCACGATCGCCCTCCGCTAGTGCTTGACATGAGCTGGAAGGTGAATGCCTCACCTGATCGTTGTACCGCCGTCCTTGCCATTGCGAGCTGCTCACCAACTTGCTTCTTCCTGCAAATTCACCACAGCCACATTCATCTGATGGAATTCAAATATTGACTAGGCGCGTAAACTCAAACAGTTCCAGGTCAGGCCTACGCTTCGTCACTGTTATTATGTCTCTGCCCTTCATCAACCAGTAGACGAACGAGCAGACCCATCTAGCTCTTGTGACCGTCCACGATCTGTTGCAATAATCTGGCAGGCGTGTACCCCTCACGAAGACTGACTGAGCAAACTGCCAAACTGCTATGTGATGCACATAAATTCGTCAGCTTTCTCTGCGGTCCAGTCAAGTTCGGGAGAAGGACCAGAATTACATTCCAACCAGTATGACTTCGCGTGCAGAGACTTCGCGAGTACATTGACTGTGACATCGAAGACGGCTCCGACTTGCCACCCGACGCCTTCGAAGCAGCACGTATCGCCGCTGGCCTCGGCGTAAGGGTCTCTTATAAGGTCAGATTCGACGGACTTGCACCTGACATCAAGTTCATCTGGGCCGACATGGATCGTCTCTTCAAGCAACAAGCAAGACTCAAAGCTGGCCAAGCTCCAAATGAGGCAGAGAAGAGCGGCTCTGGCGACGAGACTCCGAGCTCGTCTGAAACTGAGGGCCGTCATGAACTGACTCACAAAGGTCGAAAGACTGCGGTTTGGGATACCGGACGACTCGCGCTGGCGATGCAAACGATGATCGACTTGATCAAGCTGCGCAAAGATCCTATCATACGTCAGCCTCTTCGCACACAAGCGGTAGACATACTCAGAGACAATTCCGAGTCCGAGGTCTGCCAGCTCGTGTCGGATGTACTGCGCCGAAAGTGACAGGATTGCAGGCACCTACGGCTTGCGGTACAGAGAATGCAAACTGAAGCAGGTCTGAAGCAATCCGAACGTCTCCATCGATGGCAAAGCTCTCGTCTGTGCGTAACAATACAGGCATCGATGCGGTCATACTTGCGCACTCAGTGTGCAAAACTGATGCAGCTATGTGGTTCTGTCGGAACCGTGGCTGCGAAGGCTTGAACTGTTTGTAATCCCGCTTTGACCATCTCACAGGGTGAGAATGCACCGCTGAGCGAAACTGTCGTGCACCGTACCGTCAACGATTACTCCTTGAGAATCACCATAGCGAGCACGTTTTATGAGAGACTGTGCATGTTAGCATGATCAGCGAAAAATCATTTCAGCGCGACATCTTGCGAAAAGTTTGTCGCGTCGCGATCTCTCAGACTGGCCGCTTGCGCAACGCAGCGCACTGAACCACAAGCGCTTGCCGTAACGGCAAAAAGACATGATGGACTGAGTCCATCTCTACTACGCACGTGAATCGAACACGTGGCTGGCCCATGGCAAGGGCCAAGGTTACCACTACCCCAGCGCAGTCGCTTCTGCGTTGCATTTGAATGAATACATGACTATATATACTCAAATATTGCCGGTTCCAGAAAATCGCTCGAGAATCATAGGCTGACTTTTTCAACAGCGATATCTACACCAAGCTGAGTGCCATACCGCTCTTGCAACGCTCGAAGCGCTCATCAGAGCTTCAGGCCAGAACCGACTGACGCTGGCCCTTACAGACTCTTACAAGCTGCGTATATAATCTCTGGCAAGGGTAGTTGGACATGTCAAATGTAATCCATCGCTTTGGGGTAGTGGTAACCTTGGCCCTTGCCATGGGCCAGCCACGTGTTCGATTCACGTAAACGATATGAGCATTTCTTTTTGGCTCGTCCACTCGTGAGGCTGACTCTGGTTGCCGGTCAGCATTCCAAGTTTTGGGCTGCTCGGTTGCGAGGTGCTGGGAAGACAAACTTTTGACGCGTTGGCCGGCGCTCAGTGAGTATAAGAAGGGCGCTGCCAATTTTTCTGCACTGCGCGCCGAACTTGTCAGCTTCGACTCCCGGAACAGTCAGCGACGACGACAACGACCATCGAGACGACGTCAGCACTACAGTATCATCACCAAGAAGACCAGCAGCAAGAGCGNAGAGGCAAGAGCAGAGAAAGGTATGAGCAGTAAGACATCTACCCACGGCGTGTCGGGGCGCTCATAGCCCTTATGCGGGGGTGTGAGCGCCTTGAGACCCAACGGAGTTTGCATGGCTCGGATAGTAAATTTGACTTCGACTTCCCTGGATGGTTAAGCCGTGCGACCCCACCGAATGATCCACTAGATGGGGAGAGGTATTCGCGATCTTGTCAAGATGCTTGCTCTCAGAAACTTCCTCTCAGAAACTTTCCCATCACACTGGGCAACTCTGACGGCATCGCACTGGGCAACTCTGACGGCATCGCACTGGGCAACTCTGACGATCTTTGGCAGCCCTGGCGACTCTGGCAACAGGCATACCGCTTGCCTTCAGCTGCACAAGCGCAGCCTATTGCTCCCCTTCTCTCGCCTCCCCTCCCCTCGAGCACTGCTAGTTGCTGCCTTCGTGGTAGTTTGATGCAATGCTCGCGTTTTTGCCCCCTTCTGCCTCTTGGCAGCTATGTATCGCCAATGAGGTAGCTCTTGAGATCACGAGAAGAAGCGCGGCTATCTAAACGTTTTAAACTTGTAGTATGCTACGGAACCAAGCGAGATTTCCCAACATGCCCTGTCAGATCGCGCTTGGGCGTGCAGCCCGAATGCGTTGTCTTCGGCAAGACCGACCTGCTGAGCAGGCCAGCGATAACGAGTTGCAATGCGCCCAAATCAGCCGCGGAAAAGATACATGATGTCCTTTGCGCTGAGCTTGTTGAGCTTTGACGCATCGCCTGAGCCGAGCGCAGCTTGAGCAATCTGACGCTTATCGTCTTGCAGCTTGAGGATACGATCTTCGACCGTGCCTTCGATGACGAGCTTGTACACATTGACATCTTCGATCTGACCGAATCTGTGTGCCCGGTCGATAGCTTGCTCTTCGACTGCTGGATTCCACCAGAGGTCACTCATGATGACGTTGCAGCATGCTGTCAGATTAAGGCCCAGAGCGCCACACTTGAGTGAGATGAGGATGACACTGACATCCGGATCGTTGCGAATCTTGTCAAGCGAGGCTTCGCGTTTGGTGTTGTTCATACTGCCATGGTACCTGACGTATTTGAAGCCAGCCTTCTCTATGTGCGGTCCAACAAGATCGAGAAAGGTGACGAACTGACTGAAGACGATGGTCTTGTGCTTCGGATTTCGGTCTCGAATCGTTCTCAGTATTCGGACGAGTTTGCGCATCTTTGTACTGGAACCAATATTGCCATGCTCGTCCATCTCTTGCTGACAGCTGGAGCACATCTGTCCTCTGCATGGCTCTTGACAAATTGAGCATTTGCTGCTGAGCCCGACTCCCGAGAGCAGATCGGCCAGGTCGTCCACGCTGTCATCCTTGACAGGCTCAGCAGAAGGCGCGGCCTCAAGCGAATCGTCCTCGAATGCTTTGCCCAGCAGTTTGGGATGGTTACAGGCCTGCCTCAAACGTAGCAGAAGCTGCAAGATGGCAATGTATTCGGTCTGGATGTTGCTACTGTCTTTCGCGAGCCGCTTGTACTGCTTCTGGACGCGTTCTTCGACAGCGACGTAGAAGTCGAGCTCTTGCTTGTCAGTGAATGGAGTCTGCCGTAGCTGCACGATGCGCTGCGGCAAGGTGATGATGGGCTTGCCATCGATCTGGGACGTCTTTGTCCGTCGGAGCATGACGGCAGCCAACACGACGCGGATGCGCTTGATGGCGGTCTCCATAGCTGCAGTCGACTGCTTGTTGGCTTTCATGGGCGTGACGAATTTGCTTTTGAAGTGCGCTAGATCGTCGAGTGGCTTGACGCGCAGGAACTTGAAGAGGCTGTACAAGTCTTCGATGCTGTTCTGTATCGGTGTTCCGGTCAAGCACCAGCCTGCACGTCCGTCAGACAGGTCACACATGAGATTGAGGTACTCACGGAACGAAGCAACAAGATCAAAGCAAGCCTTCGATTTCTTGGCCAGTCTATTCTTGATCGTATGCGCTTCGTCTAATATGATGCGGTGGAAGGCAGTCTCGAAGAGTGGGCCAGATCGCTTGGACTTGGTCCTGACCATCTTGACGCTGTCGTCGCTATCGCTTGCGATTGCTCTCACTTCGACATCTTCGCTGTCGGGCACATATTCGCTTAAGACGACTTCGTAGGTCGTAATGACGACATGATACTTGCCCATCTTGTGCGCGTCTCTTGTCCTGCTTGGTCCGTGATGCACGAGCACTCGCAGAGTGTCCGGCTTGATCTTTGCGCGGATCTCGCTCTCCCATTGGCGTATGAGCGCCAGTGGTGCAACGATGAGTGTTCCACGCGGCTTGACTGTTGGACGGTTGCCAACGATCAGAGCGAGAGACTGGACGGTTTTGCCTAGACCCATGTCATCGCCCAGGATACCTCCTCTGTAGAGCTTCCGATCCTCTTGCGCTCGCATCCATTGTACACCCTGGACTTGATGTGGCAGCAGTTTACAGGTCATATCCTCTGGCAGCGCTCGCGACATGTCGACATCGTTCAGGTCCGAAAGCGTCTCGACAAGCTCGCGAAGATGCTGCTCATTCTCGTCTTGTAGTCTCATGCCGTCGAGCTCGGGTATGGGATCATTCGTGAGATCTATCGTCGTCTTGGACGCTGCCTTGCGCGCTTCAGTAGATGAGGGCGGCTTCATGGAAAGAAACGCACTAGATGCGGCTGGTTGGGGCACAGAGTACGAAGCGCGAGCGAGGGTATCCTCTGGCCGTTTGATGGGAACGCCCATAGCCTTGTGAAAGCTGTGCACTTGCGCTTGCGCTCTATCGCGATACGACATCATATCCGTGCTCATTGTGCCATTAGCTGGCAGAGGTGACTTGAAAGGTCTGTTGATGAACATAGAGGAGGATGGCAGAGCCAGCCGGTTGCTGTATGGGTTTGCAGGCTCTTTCTGAGCCGCTGTGCCTGATTCATCGACTGGCTTGGTGATGATCTGCACATCAGGCGAGGCAGATCTGCAGTCGAACGCCTCTTGCGTCAGCGCACGCTTTCATGCCCATCTTCCATCTCCTTACCTGTTGCTGTGAGGATCTGCCATGTCCGCCAGTGGCACTCTTGACATCTGCCGGCCAGCCAGTTTGTTATTGACTTCGCGTAACGCGAGAATTGCCGACTTTGGCTCAGTTTCACGATCAAAGTGCAAGCTTGCGACTAGCATCATGCTCGATGCTCATCATGGTCACTGGCTACCGCTGCTCCCGCTTGACACTGTCATGCATGGACAGAGCACATGCGAGCTCTGCATGGCCGGGAAACAACAGATTACCAAGTCAGCCGACTTGCGCACCCAGCTAATTCCGCTGCCAGAGCTTTCCAGCCAGACGGCAAGACCAGCCCGTCCTGCTGCCCGAGAGCGGGGCCAATTGATGCCGCATACAGCTCGAGCGGGAGTCATGGCATTCAGCATGCGAGCTGCTCGGACGACTGATCTGCAGGCGATCATGGAGCTTCACGTCAGTCCAGGCAGGCTTCGGACTGATCCGCAGTACGCTGATGTATCTGCGGGGCAGTCGCTGTGCTTTGACAGGCCCCTGCGACAAGCGATATGTCTGGCCATGCTCTGCGACGCACGGGGCATCTGCTATATTGCCGAATCAGACTCGCTGCTCGTTGGCGTGTTGAGCGCACGCATTCTGGACGATTGCGTGTACGTCTCAGAAGTTTGCGTTGGAGCGGAACACAGGCAAAAGGGAGTAGCGACGGGCTTGCTTTCGGCTCTGGCACGCGAGTGCCCGGTGCGACAGATCAGACTGCATGTCGAGTCGAGCAACCCGTCAGCGCTCTCGCTCTACGGCGGACACGCTCTCTCTTTTACGCCTGTGAGTCTGTGCGCTGCTACCAAAGCGCCTCTGGTCAAGCATGCTCGAGGACGGACGATAGAGCTCAAGTCGGCTAGGGTATCCGCCTGAGGACCCAGTAGTCGACTTCGATGTCCTTGCTCTTTTGCTTGTGAAACTTCATCGTGGCCGGCAGGTCATAGCGCATGACAGCTGCCACTTCTGCATCGAAGCCGAGCGATTTTGCCTTTTTGGCGATAAAGTCGCGTGTACTTGTCTTGTGCAGCGTGTGTACTGCTCGTGTTGCAATCTGCATGTTTCGTTAGCGTCGAGCTGCACGATACGCGAGCAGGTGCACTTTGCAAGCAGCAGACAGAAAGACGATATCGATTCCCTTGGTTTTCGTTCCAAAAGGTGGATTGAGGATGACGGTATCGAATGCATTGGCCAGGCGAGACAAGTCGAGCGTCTTGATGTCATCCGAGTCAGACAGCCTGGCCCGCATCAAGTCTACTTGGCCTTCTAGCTCCAGCATCTCTAGATTGTCTCGAGCGACTCTGAGTGCGTCGTCGTCCACATCCAAGCCGATCACGTGAGCTGCTTCGAGGAGAGCGGCGCCTATGCCCAGAACACCGCAGCCGCAGCCAAGGTCGAGAACTGAACGGTCTTGTATGTCGTCGTGCGCTGTGTGAGCGTTGTAAAGCATTCGCGCAGCTAGATGAGCAGACGTGGGATACTGCTCCAGCATGACCTTGGGCGACTCTGCTCGAGGTAAGCTTTTGTTGACGAGTGTGGCCAGCGAGCACGTACCAAAGACCTTGAGCGGCTGCAAGGCCGACTCGAGGTCCTTCAGTCGCATTGGCCGTCAGACAGATTTCGACAGTCAGCGCGTCTTTCAAGGTGAACGAGGCCTCGCCAAGCTCCAGCTCGTTCGACGTCGCTACCTACCCCTTCATTGGTCAGCAAGCCCAGATGGACCGACAGCCGACGACGAGGGCAAGCTCGGCAGCAGTAGCGGCCGCGCAGAAGCGTACGTCTGGTGATACATATGGCCCGAGCACTCCCAAACGAGCTCGCAATGTGGCAATACATGACCAAGATGATGACGATGATGATGTTCAACTGATCCCTGGCGGCGGCAAGGGCAGTACACTGCCCGACTACCCAGCCACAGATGGGCTCGATGCAGTAGCCTCGAGCTCAAAGCAAACGGTCAAGCCAAAGAGTGGCATGCAGCCTGGCTCGACCAGTCTCAAAGAATTGCAATGCCCCGTCTGTCTGGACCCACCCTCGCCCTTTGTGACAACACGGTGTGGTCATACCTTGTGAGTTCTACTGGGGCCTATCCTCGAGCGAGCTGCTGATCGGATCTCGTCAGTTGCGGCAAATGCCTGCACGACTGTATGGCCCAACAGACCGACTTTCCCGGTCTCGACGGCCAATGTCCCGTCTGTCGGACAATGCTCAGGAACGGCTGGCAGACAGGCTACCAGCCAGTCGATCGTGATCGTGATATAGGCTCATGGGGCTCATTGCGCGGCGTCACCCTGCGCTACCGAGCCCTCGATGCCTGAGCTTCACATCTCAACATCGAATGTCACCTGTACCCCGTTGGCACTGTAGACATCCTGCTTGTTGTCAGCACTACATGCATCTGTACACGTCCTACGAGGCAGAGCTAGCTGCCGTACGAGTTCGTACACTGCTATAAGCAGCGATGACAGCATCGGTCGCGTCGCTCGATCGTCTTTGTGCATGTCAACCTGTGCGCCCCGTCAGCTGATTCTGCACCTCTGCTATGGCTCTCGACAGTCTCACTCGCTGGAACGAGCTCAGTGACACGTCCCGAGCTGATGCGAGAGTCGTCGCGCCCATTCTCGAGGCGTACATCGCCCAAGCAGCTTCGACTGGGCTGGACAACGCGCAAGATGCCGCCGTCGTCTCACTCCGCAGCAGAGCCATCACGCTTTTCCTTGCTGCTCTCGATGTTCGGAGCAATCCTTGGTGGCGAGATCAAGGCGATGCTGGTAAGCACGTGCTCAGTGTGACGATTCAGCGACGGCTTACGCGAGAGGATCAGCGTTGCGACTGCACATCTTGGCACTCAAATTGCTCTCACGCATACCGACTGGTTGTGAAGCGCTCTCACACCGGCACAGTCTCGAACTGCTTGCACTTCATTGCCACTTGTTAGGCTCGTCATCTGCCAACACGGCAAGCAAATCGCCAGAACACACGCGAATGCAAAAGTCATTCATGCCATCGACCATAGAAGCACTGCGATGCTTAGCAAACGTCCTGCTGCTCCAGCCGACCAGTCGCGACACCTTGTTGAGCATTCCGGGCATGGTACCCGCGCTGATGCGCGTCTTCCAAGTCAGTCTGTCGGCGCTCGATGGAGCAGAACGCACGGTTGATAGAGTCGCACAGGAACAAGTTGATCCTCAGATACGCTTTCCGATCACTCGCATACTCTTCCTCGTCTCGGCAGATTCGATTGACGTTGCGCGCGAGCTTGTTGACCATCTGGACTTTTGCAACGTCTTTGCAGAAGTACGTCCAAATGCGCGATATCGCGCCAGACTGATACCTGGACACAGGCCATGACGAGCAGTCTTCTGTCACCCATCGATCTTACCGAACAGCTCAAAGTCGTGTTCAATGTCACACTTTGGTATTCACGCATCGACCCCGCACAGGTACTCCCTGACGAACGATCTGTTCATTCACGCGACTCGTTCATCTCGCCAGAGATAGCGTCGCCACTCCCTTCGCCTCGGATGACAACCGAAACCGGCTCCACGGCCTCTTCGAGCGGGGAATCTGCTATGCCCAGTCAGCGCATGAGTCGCGGTAGCAGTGCTGCAAGCGTACGTGAACGCGAATGTGACAGCACGAGCACTGGTAGTCCGCGCCTGCCATCTTTTTCGCATTCGCGCAAGACCAGCACGGCTAGCCGTGTCAGTTTGCGAGCGCCTGATCCGCACGACAGCAAGGGCAAGCAAAAGGACGAAGCTGAGATCCATGTGGGGGTGCCCTCTCCACTGGCCGGCAAACGTTTCGCGAGGTCAGACAAGCGACGCGGATTTGTATATCCGAAATTGATCAGCTTGCAGACTCCTTGAATGCTTGATTTGGCTACTCCAGAATCTGTCTCACGAAGCGCCAAATGTGCTCGTAGCTCCCCTGTCCCAAGTCATCAATGCTCTGCTGAACTTTCCGCTACACGCTCACGCAACACACGCTTTCGACGATACGGGCAACGAGTCTGCTTATGCTCGTCTATTGCAGCTGCTCGATAAATTTACATACGCCTTTCTATCGGGCGATCTGGATAGTGCGACGACACGCACAAACGCGGAAAGGCGACAGATTGTAATTGACGAAGCACTGCCGCCTTTGCTCCTTCTCTTGCGAAACTTTGTAGTAGAGGACGCAGAAGGATTAGCTGCGACCGCGATCAAGGCGCGACTCTTGCCTGGCGAATCAGACCGCGCTCTGCCCTTAGAAAAGCGCACAGATGTCACCGGTCGTTTGATTCGACTCACAAACAGTGTATACTATCCCAAAAGCGCAGAGACGGCCTCGCAGTTACTCTTCTCGCTCTGCAGATCTGACCGTGCGTCAATCAGAAGAGCCTTTGCATTCCGCTGACTGGCAGGGCAGCTAATACGTATGCCAAAGAAGTAGGCTATGGCAATGCCGCAGGTTTCTTAAGCTCGATTGGCCAGCTTGTCCCGCCGCCATCGGACGTGGCGCCTGATTTCGATGTCATCACCGGCGCAAGGCGCAGCGTCGATGAGCCTGCACAGCCTGAAATGACGGAAGAGGAGAAATTGGTAGAATCTGCCAAGCTGCTCGATCTGTTCGACCGAATCGAGCAGAACGGCGTTCTCCAGGTTGCCAACCCCATGCGAGAAGCTCAGCAGGTCGGCAGATTTGAAGAGATCGGAGCAGATGAGGCACGCCTGCAACAAGCATTGCAAGAAGAAGAGGATGATAAGGATGAAAGAGAAGCTCTGAGGTCGATGAAGGAGTACAGAGCACGCAAGGCCCGATTGGCGCCGCTAGAGCAGGCTTGTTGATTTGTACACTTTTGCAAGTCCATCCAATGCTACAACACTACCGTTGCATTGCTGACTGCGTACTCTGTGTGCTGCTACAGATAGGGAATGGCGGAGAAGTCCATCTGCGTGGCCATGTCAGCGCGATGGAACCATGCTGAACGCTAGCCTTACGTCACCTGACGTGAGAAAGTCGTCCTCCTCATCTGGTCCGGCCTCGAGATCCTGCTCGGTCTCGGCTTCATCGCCAGAGTGTGCATCAGCGCTAGTATCGTCGCTCGAGACAGCGCGTCGGCCTTGCTGAGCGCGATGATAATCGAAGCCACCTTCGAGCTCCTCGAAGCTGCCGGGCATAGAGTCTGCGCGTCTGTGGTTGCGCGCAGGCGTACCGAAATGAGGTTCCATCTCCTCTGGGTCATCGTACAGAACGGGCTGCATGAGCGGACTGGACGGCCTGACGCGTTTGCCATCGCCACCTTGCGTGGGCGAACTAATGGACGACTTGCGCAAGCTGAGCGAGCCGAGACGAGCAAAGCTCAGTCGACTCGAGTCAGACCGCGCCGATAACGCCGGTGAGGGTGGGCTGAAATCAGGCAAGGCAATTTGGGCCATGGGCGGACGCCAGAAGTTGAAGTCTGTAAACTCCGGCGCGGCTTTGCGATTGATAGGAGGGAACATCTGATCTACCAGGTCGGTCATGGCGATATACCTGCAGCAGTGTTAGTCGGACATGCAGCGGGAGGACAGCAGGCGTACGATGACTTATAGCCTGCGAGGGCCAATAACTCCATCTTGACGTCGCCATTTGGATCAATAGTGAAGATGCGGGACGAGGGAACGTCGACGCTTCGATAGGACAAAGCGTCTGTGATACGATTGCCGAAACCAGCATAGAACGGTGTGCGTTCCCCAAAGAGACGCTGGATATCGCGCAAGCAAGCCATCTTAAAGACCTCGGGTTTGCGTATGATGACTTCGCGGTGCAACGATGTCATCAGACGGTCAGGACTCATGATGACAGGCCCTTCCGGCAATTGGAAGCCATTCTGCTGGATACCCTTGAGATAGTCGCGTGTCGTGTTGGCCTGACCAATTGCGCGCGAGGTCAAGTAGAGCAGCTTATAGCCATTGCGAGCAATGTCAGTGTACAGCTTTGCCACCCCAAGATGCGTCCAGTCCCGTCCGATCATGGTGAATACGTGACCCAAGGCGTCGGACCTGTAACCATGAGCTGTATCTACGATCATCTGGATACGACTCACTTTGTGATAGTGCCATCAATGTCAGATATGCAGACTTGGAAGTCGTGTTCCCAGAGGAAGATGCGCGCCGAACAAACCGCAAGCCCAGAATAAGATGATTGGACAGAGAATGATACAGTGTTGACACCCTTGCGCAATTTCAGTTGCTTGAGCTGATCAGAAGTCAACCGCAGTGTCTTGGCATAGTGTTTCTTCCGATCAAGCACAGGAACTTCTCCAGTCTTGTCAGAAGCTGTCTCGGGCAAGGAAGTCGCTTCTGTCTGGTAGCCTGGGCTTTCGCCACGGGAGGGGACAGAACCGGGCGATACAGGACGAGCAGGCGGGGAGGTAGGAGGTGATAGGGCATCATCATCTGCTCTACTGCCCTTCCACCAGCGCCGCCAAGCGCGAGGTGCTCGAGATGTGCTGTCTCTTCGTCCGTCCGTCTCTCTCGCACGGCGCTCAGCTAGCGTCGTCTTGGCATGCTCTCCGAGCGATTTACGGTAGATCGTAAGCGATGCCAGAACGGGGGACGCATCTTCCCAAGTCAAGTAGACGCCGTCATATTTGATGACGAGGGCTCGATGACTGGTTAGCTCCGGCTGCTCTAGAAATTGTTCGAAGGTGACGCGGTGCTCAGCAAATGTCCTGTCGTCAAGTGTTGCATCATTGCCGAACGTGTCACCGCCGCATAGAGCCAGCTCAAAGACGTGCACGGTCTCATCTGCTCGAAGCGCAAACTGATAGGAAGTTGGTGAATAGATTGGCGTGAGCGCATCCGTGCCGCCGTCTGGCGATGTCGCACGGGGGCTGCTCGTTCCGTCTGCAGACTCTATGGAGCGTGGCGTCGCTGGTGGTGATCTGCCCCTCTCGAGATCAAGGTTGTCACCCGGTAGAAGCGTTTCTGAGCTTTTGCCGGCCTCTTCGACTTGGGGCTTGTAATTCGCACCTCCGTCGGTCATCTTCATCATATCTGCAGAGCGCAAGAGAGATCGAGTGAAAGACATGAGATGATCTCGTGCTTCGGTCTGGAAAGCTTTCGATTCGTGGAATCCCATCTGATCGCTCAGCAGATCGTTTTCGGTCTCTCTGACCTTTTCGATATCCTTGTCGCCTACTTTGTAACCAGACATGTCGAGCATGAGACTACCAGAAGCAGCCATAGTGGGTGCTACGCCCACTTCAGGTCCCGGACCAGCTTGCATATCTGTTTCGGCTTCATGCGGGCCTGTTGAGATATGGGATCGTTCCAACTTGCTGGCAATTTCAGATTCAGAGCTTTCGACGCTCATAGATCTTTGCTGGTCATTCGGAGGCTGATGGTAATCTCTTTCGGCGGAATCAGCATTGCCTTGACGATCTGCCTGTCGGACTTGATCGCCAGAGCGATCTGCAGAAGTGGCGTTCGTATGACCGGTCAGGTCATTCTTCATTTCTTTCTCGAGTTCTGATATCCCTGGCTCCCATGACGGGTCGTCTGAGGCGAGCTTGTCGTGGCTGTCGGGCGTCGCGGTACCAGAGTTGCCACGCGAGCTAGAGGGGGCGTGCCGCAGTCTGTCCTTGACGAGAGTGTCTAGCTTCTTGGACTCGCCTGCAGTCGAGAGCATGGCTTTGCCTAACTCTGAAGCTTTGGCAGCCGTGTTGCTGAGCAGGGTAGAAGGGCCCTCTGCCAATTTGCTCAGTCGACTTTGATCATTATCAGCCTTGGGTTCATCTGCCTCTGCAGCAGCCTGTTTCTCTTCGCTGTGGAAAGGCTGATCTTCCGCGAAAGCAGTGACCTTGCGGTTGCTCTGGGATGGCTCACTGCCCAGAGCAGCAGGAGCCGGCTCGGCAAGCTCGAGAGGAGGTTCAGATTGGGCGCGCGTCCTGTCGGGCGAAGCTGACTCGTTGAGATCTAGAAAGTCGACATCACCCTCTACAGTGGTAGGTAGCGTTTGATCTGTCCTCCTGCCGGTCGTCCGAGTCGGCGTCATGCTCGTATCGAGAGGTTCGCTCGACTGCCGCATGTAACGCTCATAGTCACTCTCTGGCTCGTGTTGCTGTGCGAGGATCTGATCGTCAGTGACCGGGCCGGTCAGGGGCGAGGTTTGTAGATCTTCGGGTACGTCTGCGTCAGTCTCGAAGACGAAGAAAGCTTCGCCTTGGTCGCCGACTTTCATGAAGAAGGGCACCTCTTCGTCATTGACGATGACGCGGACCTGTCACCTTGATGGGTCAGTTCATGTCAGCTGTGACTGAGTGATGAATGACGAACCTTTCTGTCGACGGGTCTGAGCACGCTCAGCTTGCCAAATCGAACGTGAAAGGGTGAACACGCGAGCTCGTAGCCATCATCCGCTGCGTGCCGAGTGCTCGAGCTTGGTCCGGATACACTCGACGAGCCGGACGCTCCCGGCTGGAGGAGAGCAGCCTTCTCGGCTGGCCGCTGTACGACGACAATGTCGATTGCACCCGAAAGCGTTGCGGGATTGATCTCCTGCTCGTGCGTACGATCAACCCTCGGATCATGACTGAGCTGGGTGGCATATGCACCTTGTAGTACTGCGCTGCTGTACTGAAGGCCCGCCCAATGTACTGCATCTCGTCGTGTAGACCGCTCAATTGACGATTAGCGAGTCCTTGTCGACACTTCCTCGAGCGGGTCGCCTGAGCTCAGCAGCGGCCGACTGCAGACACGTCCTGTGCTCTATGCTGCCCAATCGAGACTGTGCATGGGCCGAGATGGTGAGAGGCAGCAGTCACGCACTTGGACCCGGGGCGGCGGCGGCGGCGGCGACCTGCTAACGTTAATTCGAGCGAATGACGTTGCCAGCGCGAAGCTCGTTGACTCTGCAGCAGCTCTGGTAGGCTCTTTGCGGACACTGACAGGCAGCTCCGGTCAGCAGACAGTAGCGTAGCTCCAGTTCAGTGCGCCAGTGGCAAGACAGACTTCGCCGCAGAGCGCAGACAGAGCGCTATCAGGAAGGAATCGTCTATCAGGTCCACCCTCTGCGCTCGCCTTTTGTCAGCTCTCCGACAGGTCTACCGACCGGAAAAGCCAGCGGAACCATCTCTGAGAGCTCCCACAGGCTCCGCGGACAGACTCGAGACCCGCCAGAGGAGCTCTTTTGCGGTCCACCCTGACTTGACAACGAGTCTATTCTCGCCCCACTGGTAGTCTGTCGAACCAAACGGAGCTGTACAGACCGTCCCTGCATCGTCTGAGCGAGCGAGAGCTATACGAGCAAGATGTCGACTGAGGAACCCAAGAAGTCGGACAAACCCTCGGCCAGCGCCGACAAGCCTCCTACCACCGTCTCGGGCGCTACGGGCACGCCGCGCAAGAGCATGTCGAGCGGTACGACGTACAGACGTGGCTCGACGAGTCACCGCCGTGCGAGCGGATCGGTCTCCATGGGAGAAGCCGGCAAATCTGGTACTTGGCACACTCGCACTCACGAGCATGAGGACCATCCTCAGTCAGTTCTGCACTGGGCTCACGTGTTCTCCGAGAGCTCATCAAAGCGTCTTGCAGCGCCTCCAAGAAAGACATGGCTCAACATGTCAGACGACTCGAACAGGTCTTTACCTTGACACCTCAGAGGTGCGCATCAACGAGCTGTCGCCCGAGCAGCACTCATCGCGCTACACAGGATGAGAATGATCGTGGATGCCTTCATCGATACGCTCGAGATCGGCCTGGCAGAAGCAGGCCATGCCGTGCCTATGATACCCACCTTTGTATTCGGTTTCCCCAAAGGCGACGAGAAAGGCCCTTTCCTCGCCGTCGATCTCGGTCGGTCATCGTTGCTACAGCGGACACGTCAGTGTGCTGACATGTGCTCAGGTGGCACGAATCTTCGCGTCTGTCACGTCGAGCTCGAAGGCGATGGCAAATTTGAGATCACTCAGTCCAAGTATCGGTTGACGGAAGAACAGAAGCAAGGAGAAGGACAAGAGCTCTGTAAGACCTTCCGCAAGGAACCCAAACGACATCCTGATTGCTGATGCAGTCGACTTTTGCGCGGAATGTTTGGCATCCTTCCTGCACGATCAGTACGGCGACGAGGACGGCAATCTCAATCTGGAAGACGATATTGCACTCGGCTTCACCTTCAGCTATCCTTGCATGTGGGCGCAGATCGGAGATCAGCGCTACGGAGCTAAATGCCAATTTGCCTCTGCAGACAAGAAAGAATCGATCAGGGCGTTCTGCTTCGCTGGACAAAAGGCTTCGGTGCCAAGAACGTGGAAGACCACGACGTCGTAGAGATGTTCAAGAAATCGCTCGAGAAGAACAAAGTGCCCATCAAGCTCACCGCACTCATCAATGACACCACGGGCACGCTCGTCTCTTCACACTATGTCGATCCAAAGACTCGCATCGGCGTCATCTTTGGTACAGGCTGCAATGCTGCCTACATGGAAAAAGTGGGCAATATCCCAAAGATCAAGGACTTGGGTTTGCCGGAAGATGCAGAGATGGCCATCAACTGTGAATGGGGAGCATTCGACTCGGAGAAGCACGAGCATCTCCCGAGAACAAAGTATGATATCACCATTGACGAGACGAGCAACAAGCCAGGCCAACAAGCTTTCGAGAAGATGATTGCCGGTCTCTATCTCGGCGAGATCTTCAGACTGGTCACTTGCGAACTCATCGATGATGGCGTTCTCTTCCTCGGTCAGAATACCTACAAAGTCGAGAAGCCCTATGCTTTCGATACAGCTTTCCTGTCGCTCATCGAGAGTGACACGACCGACGAGTGAGTGCGCCGCTGACGTGGCAGATCTGTGCTCACCGGTCAATCAGATTGCTTCTCGTGACCGGCCTCTTCACTCACTTCTTCCAACTAGAGTGAGTTAGATCGACATGAGAGCATGATTCTGCTGATGCTGAGACCGGTCACAGCACGACGATTCCGGAGAGGCAATTCTTCAAGAGACTAGCGCAGCTGATCGGCACACGTGCCGCTCGCCTGAGCGCATGCGGTATCGCAGCAATCTGCAGCAAGATGGGCTACGTCGATGACGGCTGTCATGTTGCCACAGATGGCAGTCTCTACAACAAGTACCCGAAGTTCCCAGAACGGATACACGAAGCTCTCGTCGATATCTTTGGCGAGAAAGGCAGAGGTATCCTAACGCACCACGCCGAAGACGGTAGTGGAGTAGGTAGTGCTATCATCGCATCGATGACCCACAAGCGAAAGCAAGAAGGCCTCTACGAGCATGTTTAGAACTTTTGTAATGCCCGAATCGAAACTGAAGCCGGCGCTGTTCCTTCATTTTGGCAGAGAGGATCGCGCTTTGCTTTCCTCGCGTCGCGCTTCCTTCACGCACAACAACCTCAGCCTCGCCTCGTCAGTGCTCCCCGATGCATGTCATGCCAGCCAGCACGCCCTCAATCATCAAGACGGTAGCTTCCGCTCCTCTTGAAGCTACCCTGGAGACGACAGCGAAAGCGCCAGCTATCACACTCAGGCGAAGTCTGGCGCGCTCTTGCAATGCTGAGCCACTGCTCATGCTACCCGCAAGCACGCTGACAAACATCAAAGAGGGCAGATCGAATGTACAGCAGCTACCCACGCCCTCGCCTTCGGTCGACTCTCTGTCGTCGTCGCTCGGCTCAGATGCAAAAGCAGGTCCAAGCAGCGAGGCCAGCGTACCCATCGCAGATCCTGGCGAGGATGGAGTTATGTCGGATCTCACAGACTTGTCGGATACGGACAACAACAGTTTTGACGAGCGCTGGAGCAAGATCAAGCGTACTCGCTCGACCAGAGCACGCGCCGAACCAGTCAAGAGAGCTCGTCGAGACGGTTCGAACGACGTCAGAGAAAGAGAGGATAGTGTCGATCCTCTGGAGACCAATGAGCTGCTCGCCAAGAAGAAGCTTCCCACGACGCAAGACCGCAAAGAGTACTGCAAAGCGGGCATCTACTCGCTCTTTTACAAACAAAGCAAAGGTCGCGCAGCAACGTCAGGCAGTAAGACCGCGAGCACGTCCATGTCGTTCCAATGGCCGCAAGCTAGATACTTTGGCAATGTGCGCTTGGAAGAGCAGCGCGACTTTCTGCTGTCCTACGACATCTTTCGTGACTATTCGCTGATCGGATTCGATTCTGATGCCGACTCGAGTTCTTCAGAAGACGAGGAGGCCCACAAGGACAAACCAAAGGTCACGCGTAACAAGATTTTTAGGCGCGCGCATGGCGGAAAGGACATGGAGCAAGGACGTCTCCGACGAGAATGGCAGTCCATCCAGGATCGCAACCGCAGACCGGAGCCTTACAAGATCATCGCCTCCAGTGAGTGTTCTGTCACTGATCCTTACTGTTCGCTAATGCAGTGACAGATGCCTATCCGGAAAGACAGAAGCAGCCCAGTGTGCTGCAGGCAATATGCTTTTGCAAACCGCCCGCTCCTGGCGAGGTAGGCTGTGGCGACAACTGCATCAACCGGTGCGTCTTATCGCGAGCTCATCCGAAGCTCTGCGCTCATTCGTTGGCATAGCGTCATGGCCTATATGTGTGACCCCAAACTTTGTCCATGCAAGGACAAGTGCACCAACGGACCGCTTCAGACGCGCAAATCGGCAGCAGGCAAAGGCGACAAGGAAGGTGTTGCTGTTTTCTACACCGGCAGTCGTGGCTTTGGGCTCAAGGCGACGCTTCCCATCAAGTCTGGCGCGTTCATCATGGAATACAAGGGAGAAGTCATCTCCATCAATGAATCGTATCGTCGCGTCAAGTTGATCTACCCTGGTCCCAACTACTACCTGCTCTCGTACGATGACGAAGAGGTTCTCGATGCTGGCCTGAAAGGCAATGCGACTCGCTTCATCAATCACTCGTGCGATCCCAATTGCGAAGTCGTCAGACTCAAGTTTGCCGATTACGACGAGTTCCAAATCGGGCTCTTTGCTCTACGCGACATCTCACCAGAGGAAGAGATAACGTGTGAGTTCTATACTGTCACAGACCGGCTCACCTGATGCCCCGAACAGACAATTATGGATGGCAGTCCTTCTCGAGCAGCTCAACGGCCCAATTGGATGAGACAAAGCAGCGTTGCTACTGCGGTGCGCGCAAGTGTAGCGGATGGCTAGGACGCAAGGAGAGCAAACAGGAAGCTATCGTACGCGCTCAGATCGAAGCAGATGCCCAGGCTGCTCGGCTTGCGACGAAGCAACAGAAGGCGGCCTTGCAGCGCGAGAAGCGGGAGGCAAAGAAGCTTGCACTCTTGCAGGGAGCACTCGTGTAGTCTGTCGCCTGATGACAGCATCTTGTTGCTTGTACTGCCTAGCCTTTCTTTCGAAAGCGCGCCTGTGAACGTGATCATTGTGCGCATTGACGCGCTGGTCTGCTCGCCGTGCACGTCAAGTCAAGCAGCAAGACCATGCCTCCCAAGAAGCGAGAATCTACAGACGGCGAGGCCTCCGCACCTTTGCGCAAATCGACACGCACGCAGGCCCCCTCGGCCGAAGCTGAGCCTGCAAAGACGTCAACGAGCAAGCAATCTGCTACAAAGCCAAAGAAAGCCAAAGATGAGGCTGACAGGCCCCCGTCTGAGTCCGTCAAGACGCTTTCGGTCGGCGAGACGATCCCGGAAGGTCTCGTACTGAAGAACGAGTCTGGCGAAGAAGTGAATCTCACGGAGCTCGTCAAGAGCACGGGCCTCATCATCTTCGTCTACCCCAAAGCCTCCACGCCCGGCTGCACAACCCAAGCTTGCGGATTCAGGGACAACTATGACGAGATCAAGCAGCATGGGTACGAAGTCTTTGGTCTCTCGATGGACTCTGCGAAATCGCAAAGTGGCTTCGTCGCCAAGCAAGCTCTGTCCTACCATCTCCTCTGTGATCCCGAGCAGAAGCTCATCAGAGTGCTGGGTGCATCGAAGACGTAAGCGATCGTTGCATTGTCTCTGCAGATAGGCTAATGTGTGCCTCATAACAGCAAGACAAGCGTGACGCGCTCGCATTTTGTCATTGGCAAGGGTGGCAAGCTCGTCGACGTCCATCTCAATGTAAAGGCCAAGGAATCGTCAGTCATTGTTTTGATCGTTGCCTGTTCATGCTGAAGACAGTGCAGGCCTAGCCTCGCTCTCAAGTACGCAGAGGCGAACTCTATCTCAGGCACAGGAGCGGCTACAAACGGCGATGCGGCTGCGGCAATCAAGCCTGCTGCTGTCGAACCTGCTGATGCCGAAGCTGCTGCTGCAGAACCTGCTGCCAACGAACCTGCTGCAGAAGCTGAAAAGGCAGACGAGATTGCCAATTGAGTCTGCGCGAGTCAGCTCCTCAGTTGACGGAGCCTTCAAAAGATCCTCAGGATCGCACGGATCGCTTGCAAACGACGAACGAAAAAAGGAGAGAGCTCAAGCGCGGCAGAAACATGGGTCTTGTGTTGTACATCAAGTACCGAGCTTGTTACCGCTTCCCCAGCTGTGGCCCCGTCGGGCTGCTGCTGCCTCCTCTGGCGCGGGTCTGCCACTGCCCCCTCGTGCAGCGAAGATGGTGCCTGCGCCTGTCGTGGTTGTGCCTGATCCATTGCCAAGCAAACGAATGAGAAAGCCGGGCGTCGGTATCAGGCGTCGATGCGGGGGCTGCCTTCTCGTTCGCTGCCATTGTTCGCAGTGATCAGCCTTCCTCAGTAGCCAGGCAGCGTATGACGTACGGGATAGTGTTCTTGCGCATACCACCAGAGATGCGCAGCGATCATGCCTGTGAAATCTGTCGGAAACGAGCCTGGGAAACCGCTCTCGAGGACGCCGAAGCCGAGCATTGCCCAGGAAAGCGCAATGGCCGGTATGGACACGATGCCGTATAGATTGACCTTTTGCGCTCTGTTGCCCAACGCCCACTGCAAGCTCTGCTCAGTCTGACGGAACAGCCAGCTACCTACGAGCTCGCGTCGCAACTGACATAGTGAATGATGCTGATGAGCATGGGATTGAAGAGGACTGCTGGACGGAAGGGTAGCGAGAGGAGCAAGATCATGCTCTGCATGGCAACCAAGCTGAACGCATAGTCTGCTGTTCGGCCTTGGAAATGCTCGGTCTCCAAGCTGTTGGACTGTTGGTAGAGCAATATCGTCGTGAAGATCAATGACAAGCCCTTGGGACCGAGGCAGAAGCAGCCTGCGAGAGCCCGCACGGTGTCAGCTCTCGACAAATTGGTGGTGCGGGTGACTCACTCGGCAGTCGCCAGATCTGTGCTCGACGTGTCACCCAGGGCCAGTAGAGAACGATGGACTGGGGTCGGACGATGGTGAGGATGCTGCCGAGTGTCACGGCGAGCATACTGCCCACCACCGTCCTGGTCACTGGCGGTATCCGTCTGAGCTCGTCCATGGTGCGCAACTGGCCGCTTGTCAATGACGAAGCCAAGTCGATCGACGCGACGGTGCCGACCATGTCGTGATCAGTTCGCTGGACTCGGAGACGGGATGGCCAAGGTCAGGCGGTCATCGAAGCTCAGCAAAGGCAAGCCCTTGCCCTGGGCGAGCAGAGTGATGGGCTCATGAGAAATTGGTGCAGCACTGGCAGGGCAGCAAGTGGCTCAGGCGCGCAGAGAGGCAGAAATTGCTCGTCGTGAGCGCGAAGAGGCTCGAGCCGAAGCTTTGAGAAGCGGCAAAAGTACTCAGAAGCTTGTTTTCGCAAAAGGCAAGGCGAAGCAGGTCTCCCAGTCTGTGCTCCCGTTCAACAAAAACGATAGCATCCTACTCGTCGGCGAGGCAAATTTCTCATTTGCGCTGTCACTTTTCGAGCATCACCTTCCTGAAAGCGCTAGGCGCCTGGTCGCCACATCTTTCGACTCACTAGAGACGGCACGCACCAAGTACGACGATCTGGACGCCAATGTAGCCAAGGCAAGCAAGATTTAAAGTGCTATCACGCGACTCCCGCTGAAGCAGCAGAGTTATAGCTCACGGAGCGAGGTATGACGGTCTTATTTGACGTAGATGCGACTCGTCTCGACAAATGCAAAGCTCTGAAGGGCAAGCGATTCGACAGGATCGTCTTCAACTTTCCGCACACCGGCTCGGGAGAGAAAGACCAGGCGCGCAATGTTCGAACCAACCAAGTCTTGCTGCTCGGCTTCTTGCGTTCTGCGGCCGATTTCCTGACCGAAGGTGATGCATCTCTCATTCTACCGAAAGATGGCAAGCCTCAAGGCAAGAAGCGAGCTCGGACAGACGATGAAGACGAGCTTGCAGAGCAAGCGTCGCTCGCAAGCCGGCAGCGACTCGCTATGGCTGACAAAGAGTTGAAGCATGCTATTGGAACACGAGAGCTTGATCAGGATGAGCTTGACGACTTGCTCGAGGCCGAACAAGATGCGCCTGAGCATGAACAGGAAGAACACAAGAAGCCAGGCACGATTCTGATCACGCTGAGGAACACGCTGCCATATACTCTGTGGGATGTGCCTATGCTCGCTCGAAGAGGTCACAAGCTAGTGCCGACTGTCATGCCCATGCCACTCAACAGGACTGCGCACCTCCAGCCAGCTTATGCGACCGTTCGCTCGTTCGCTTTCCAGCCCAGTCTCTACCCCGGCTATGCCCATCGACGAACCATAGGCTTCCAGAAGGGTATCAGTACACTCAACTCTGAAGATGTCTTCTTGCCATCGAAATATCGTAAGCAGGACGATCGAGCAGACGACGCGAGGGACAGGAGCAAGCAAAACGACGTGAGGACATGGGAGTTTGCACTTGTTGCCAGCCAACAATGACACGATCGACCTGCGATGCGATCGACGCTGGCAATGCTCAGTCTGAATCCTCGTCATCCTCTTCGCCGGCTTTGTCCTCACCCCCGCTCTCGTTGGCGTAGACAGCGAGCGCTTGGCAGATCTACCGACGTACGTCAGATCGCACCACAAGCTGCGAGCGGCGGCTTACCTTCCCGTTAAAATCAACACGGAGCGCTTCGCCCTTTGCTTTGAGCTCGGGCGTTGGCGAGCGTGCGACCAACGTCTTGGCGAGCGCCTCTTGAGCCTGCCATAGCCTCTGTCAATTTGCGGCACGGAGCGCAAGACAGGACCGCCTACCTTTCCGAGCTGCGACAAGTTCATTTTGACTAGACCGCCGACGTGCAGCTTGCCTGATAGATGGGGTTTGAGTGCAGCGATTGCATCCAAATTCTTCGCCGAAGTCGCAGTGAGAGCTTGCATGAATGCGATGAGCTTTGCGCCCTCTGCAGGCGAGATCGTCGTCTTTTCTGCAGTGACCGTTGCCTTTTTGACTTTGCCCGTCACTTTTCGCGTCATACTGCCGAGCTTGGTAGCATCGATCAGACCGATCGAAGTACCTTTGGCGATGATCTTGCCCAATTTGGCGACTTTGCTCTCTACCTTTTCGAGATCTTTCATGAGCTGGGCTGCCATCTTTGTGTGTGTGTATGCTCGAGTGATGTGAGGGTACAGTCGAAAAGCAAGCGAGGTTTATAACGAGTATCTCAAGATCAAGTGACCATTCCACGTCGGGCTGTGACTGCTGGGAAGGGTAAGGTCACATCATGCCGGAGCGTTCACGAGCTCATCAAGAAGGCGCGTGCATCCACATCGCTGCGGACGCGACAAAGGCGCCAGCGAAAGGTCCAAGCGCTGAGCGACACCGGATCTCCAAACCTGCGCCATCGCAGAGCATGCTGTGTCGCAGAGCCGTGGAAATGTATGGTCGTGCGGGTAGCTTGGAACAATGTGGTTGCCTGTAATATTGCCAACGATGCGACAATCGATCATTCGTGGCTCTGACGTTTTTGTTCTTGCGCTACAGTCGTGTACTTGGAAGCCTTGCAATCATTTTCAGAGAGCGGATCGCATGCCTGAGAGGATTCGGTGCCGAAGTATGCTTGCGTCACGAAGGTCCAAGGCGCTGGAAATCCTGAGGAGTCGATGAGTCGCGTGGTCAATCTGCATCGATGGCGTGACAACGATGATCCTTTGCAACTCGATGACGGGCGATTCGCTGCCCGTTCGACGCTTGCGACCAGCCGAACTCGTCAAGAGCTATGATCATATCGGCATCGCGGCGCCAATGGTTCGATACTCCAAGCTGCCCTTTCGGATGCTCGCTCAGGAATACGGAGCCCACATCACTCATACGCCCATGATATTGGCTCAAGAAGTTAGCCCACTCCGACTCACAAGCTTTCGTGCTGAGTCGCAACACAGTTTGGACTCTCTGCTACGGCAAGAGATAGCGATTTCACGGTACGCCCAGACGAACGAGGATTATTTCGAGCAAAGGGCAGGAGGATATCCTGTCTGTCCGAGACTGCACGCACACGGCTGGAGATGATGGGCGAGGCAGTACCAGGGGACGCAATGGTAGCCGACGCGGATCATCTGGTGCAAGGCTGCATGGTCATCCAGTTCGCCGCGAGTGAACCGGTCGCGTTGGCAGATGCTGCAGAACTTGTCGCCGGTCATGTCGATGCCATCGATATCAACTGCGGTTGTCCTCAGTCTTGGGCCTACAAGGTTCGCACTCCAGCTGCAGCTGGGAACAGAGCTTGGGGCTCACGAGGTGCACAGGAATGTATTGGCTCATACCTCTTGCGCCAGCCAGACAAAGTCAGAAATCTCATTCGAGGTGTCAAGCTCCGCCTGGGCGAAGACTTCCCTGTGCATATCAAGATTCGCATCGACACAGATCCACAGTATGTACGCTTCATCGGACGAGGCTCCAGCTGAAAGAGGCACAGATTGACAGCGCAGCTCATGACGACTGCTGTCGAAGCAGGCGCAGAGCTCATCACCGTTCACGGACGGACCCGCAATCAGCCCTCAGACTCGGTCCCTGTCAATCTGAGCGGCATCCAACATGCTGTTCAAGTTGGGAGAAAGCTCGGCGTGCCCGTCGTTGCCAATGGTGACATCTTCTGTCTTGACGACGCGCGACGAACGCTCGAGCAGACCGGCGCAGATGCTGTCATGGCTGCTCGGGGACTCATGTCCAATCCTTGTCTGTTCGCAGGCTACAAGTCTACGCCAGGGCACGGCATCAATGTGTGTAACAATGCTGACGATTTATACAAGGCTCACTCGCAACGCAGCGCTTCGTCGAGCTGGCCGTCACGACAGGCTTCAATACTGGTTTGTTCCATCGCACGGTAGCGCATATGACCGTCGATGGCCTGCCGAAGAGCGATGCACTTCGCATGAATGCCCATCCGTCGATCGCCTCGCTGATCGAGCACGTCGCCAAGCTTTATCCTGTTGCCTAGCGCCGAGATTCGACGCGCTGTCTCTTACCTCGCCTTTGGCACCGCTCCCATGGACTTCTTAGAGATCGCACCCGTAGAGACCGCCATCGACTGGCCCTTCGACGATGAGCCGCTCGAGCGTACTGCTAGCCCTTTGGCTCAGCCATTCTCTGCAAAGGCGGCTCACTTGACGACAGAGCACGACGCAAGAAACCCGCCGACGTACGGCGAGCTGCAGGCCATCGAGCCGCCAGACTCTCGCTTCCATCGATGGAGGGACTGGGTAGCCAAGCGAGCAGGCGAGAGATACATCGATCAATCTGCACCGCCTCCGAGGCGAGCTCGACCAGTGGGAGCCTCGCTGCCTTTGTCATCGACCGAGCAACTCTCTAGCATCCGAACGGCCTACGATGATCCTCCCAGGCTGTTCGTCCACCCGTCTTGCAAGACCAGACTGACCCGGCATACGGCTTTGGCAAGCATTGGCTCTCGATTCGTCTCGCTCGGCATAGAGAGCACACCGCTCTGTAGCGCTGCCCTGCCCGTCACAGTCGACGTGAGGACAGAGCAAGATGCTGTCGAGAGCCTGCCTCGCTATATCCTCATCGGCACGAACGAGGGTCTCTATGCGCTTGACTTGGCGCCCAGATTGTCACTCAACGAGCGCAGCGACCAAGTCAATCTGGAGGATGCCAACGCCGTCATGATGCAAGTGCGTCCTCTTTGCGTCAGCCTGCAAGCTGACGTTGGTCTGCTCGGTCCAGATTAGAGGATCTAGGCGTGACTCAGTTGTTCGTCTGGGAAGAGCCGGGCAGCGAGCGAGGGATCGTCCTTGGCCTCGTCGACGAGGGCCCGACTCGATCGCTGAGGATGGTACGTAGCTCTTCTGAGCCTCAAGCCTGGCTCAGTCTGCCCCCACAGTGGCCGCTCGCATCGATCCTGAACCTCGTTCGATGGCGGACCACGTCCTCTGCTTCCACTGCCGTCAAAGCACAATCGAAGCGTCTTAACCGACAGAGCATGCCAGACGGACTCACCGCTCTTCGAAAGATGTTTGCAGCCACAGCCATCAGACCAGACGCCATCGATGAGCAAGAAGGACCTTTGCTTTCAAGGCGGTCTCTCAATCTCGGCAAGCGACGATCACTCCTCATGTGTCCACCTGCTACATCGAACGACATGCCGGACGAGAAATACGAAAGAGCGCGACCGCTGCGATCAGATCAAGAATGGGCTCAAAGTTTCATCGATGTCGTCGAGCCGTCATATGGCGAGGGCAAGATACTGTTCTTTGACGTCACAACTTATCCCGGCGGGCGACTGTATCTTTCGATAGCAACGAAGTCTACGCTGGACGTTTACGAATCCATAACGCATACGGATAGATGCTTCGAGTCAATTGCCTGTCTTGCAGTACACAATACGCCGACCAGTGCCACCATCATTGAGGCACGCAATGATCTCTTCGAGCAGGGTCTTTCTGCCGATTACGCCAGTCGTACTCAACTAGCAGCTTATGTCACGCTCAAGTCTCGTTCGGTCGCAATTCGCCTGCTAGATGGCGCCGTTCGTGAGCTCACCCTAGGCTCTGGACGAGATCGTAGCTCGAGCAACGGCAGTCATGGCTCCGTCTCATCTGTCTCGAGCAGTCACTCGCCCGGCAAGCGCAAGCTGTGGTGCCCGCTGATACATATTGCCTACGGCCGCCCCAGTCTGCTCGCTTTCAGCAAAGGCAATAGGACTGTCATTGCTGCTGACCCCTTTCCATTCGACGATACCGCGTTTGCAGGCTCGATCAGGCCGCTCAAACCTGCTACCATACAAGGGCGTACTGCCCTGGATTGGGACAGCCAAGGTCTAAGTCAGGTCATTACGCTTGACGCAAACAAGGGTACTCGAGACTTGCATATCTTTGCAGCCTTTGGCGATACTTCGCTGGAGGTTCAAGAAGTCCGCCTCTCCGCCCCTCGACTTTCTCGCAATCAGAAGTCCAAGATCGAAGCAGATTCCACGATGTCGTATAACTTCTCGACAGAGATCTCGCTGCTTGGCGTGCTAGCAGATGGTATCGCGCTCCTCCGCGTGACCTCCCTGCTCGAGCACAAGCTCGTTCTGCTCATCGCGGAAGCAGCAAGCTCGTGATAGACGGAATCCATAGAGACAGCCTGATTACAAATGCAAGCGTTGCGAAATTCTCATGCCACCTGGCTTCCACCCCTTTGCGCGTCGGATGCTGCCAAGATCTCTAGGAACTTGGGCGTCCGGATGAACTTTGGCACCTGCATACAGTCTGTCAGAATCCGCGGGAATCCTTGCCTCAACGAGACGTACCTGGTCCGTTGCGAGAAGGCGGAAGATGTGGCCTTGTATCCTTTCATAGTGACGCAGAAGCGTCTGGACTTGACTTGCCCGCAATGCGACGCCTGGCAAGTCAGAAGTGGCATTGTTACCATCCGCTGTCGCATCTGTAGCGTCGCTATGACGCTTGGGTGCTCCGCTATCTTGTTGAATCTTCTGGACGAACGTGACGACGTCGCCGCGCAGATTGTGATCTATGTTCAGCTCGCTTGGCGAAGCAGGCGCGAGATAGGTGTCATAGATGTTCATTGCCGCACTAACGAGTGCTTGCTGGTGCACTTCCATCGCGGACGAAGCAGTGACATTGCTGGTGCTCTTTTCCGCCTTGACGCCTGGTCTGCCGCCGATAGCAGAAGATGTTGTGGAAAACCTTCTTCTGAAATCGGCAACGTCTAGCCAGAAGCCTAGGTTCTCCTCGCAATACGAGCTCCGTAGATAGTCCCTGAAGAGGGCTCTAAGGGCAGGTTGTTCTAATATCGCGGTTAGCCGCGCGGTGGAAGAATGCGGCTCTTTCGCCCAATTTGTCACTGGTTCAGATGCGTCGCCGCGGAAGAGGTCGATGAGGTTGCCGCTGATGAGCTGACTGTCGAGCGCTTCGGTGAGCGCGGTATTGCCATAGACTGCTTTGTCGTTGGCTTTATCAGTATTCAGCGGCAGTGCGCCTCGTAGTGGTTGCTCGGGCGCTTTCTCGTGGCTCGGGTCTCGTGGCATGGCAGGGCGAGCAGCGGCCAGAGTAGTCACACTGCCTGCAGCGACTGCTTTGCCCTCATCTGTGACTCTGTAGAAGACTTTGACGCCCCATTTGAATTGCGCTCGCTGATGGTTCGCAGTGCCAGGATTAGCAAGCACTTCGGTCAGCATGACGCGATCTGTTGATTTGGACTTATCGCTGAACAGGCTTATGTAGCCATATCGAACAAAATGAGCAAGCAGGTCCGCGGCCTCCTCTCGGCAGCACACTGTGGTAAAGTCGCCGAGCCATTCTACCGCGTCGACGGAATTGAAGACGTGCTTGACGACAACTCTATCGCCAGAGGTGAACTTCTCAGTCAAGTCTTGGAACTCCACGCCGCCCGACCGATCGAACAACTCTTGTTGCTGCTTGGTGGTCTCTGTCCAGCTTTTGGTGCTGTTCGGCGGTCTACTTGGGTCAAGCTGATCTATCATATAATTTGGATGTCGACCACCGGAGAAGCGCCTGAAGACTGCTTCCACAATCACGCGCGACACATGGATCTCGTCGTCGCTCTGGCGTCGCTCAAGGTGGAGTAGCTTCATACAGATGGGCTGACTTGTGAAGACGTGGACGAGCCCATCCGCGGATATGCCATTCTTTGTGATGAATCGCTCCAGGATGTGCAGCCCTTTCGGTGTGATCTGGTAGATGCCACGCTCCTTGAACGCGCTCAGCTCGGCATCGACGGCGTTCTGAATCAGGCGAGCGTCCATGAAATGCTGGCACATCCCTTTCGCAATCTCCCTTGACATTGTGAATGTCGTCGTGGTTGTTGTCGTCACGATTCGGGAGGCGTCATTGGGATCTGTCGTGCGATTGCTCTGCGAAAACCGCAGAGACGCAAGATTGGCGGCCGCGTCGTCTGTTGTGAACGAATTTGGATACGTCTTGAAGAAGCGAGAGTTGTTCTTGAGCTCGAGCGAGACCATCAACGTCGCGAAAAGGTCGTGCGTATCCTGCAAGCTGACCGTCAGGAGGTTTTCCATCAGAACGAACAACTGTGTGCGCACCTTGCAGAACGGATTCCCTCGCCTGCCTGTCTTTAGCATATGACTGCTCTGCATGTCCGGCTGTGTATCCGGCTGGGGTTGCTCCGGAGGCGCTTGCATGCCGGAAGAAGGGCCGCCGTTGGGCGCCAGGGGTTGTTGATTCGCTGCATGCGATGTCATGATAGCGCGGTCAAGCGGGCGCTAGCAAATTTGACCGAATCGATTTCTATTCTGTTGCTCTATAGATGCAAGATCACTCGACCTGACAGGCTACAGAGTCGCACGCGGGTCGTGTGAGAGTCGGCGAGCAGTCGAATTCGCGTGGGTGCTACGCAGATGTCGAGGCGGGGGCCTTGCCTATTGGACCCTTCGATAGGCTTGGCAAGCTTCGATGGTCAGCCTGACTGGTTCGCAAGGCTGCCCCGAGCTGCTGCTGTCTTAGCTGCTGGGAGCGTTGCCAGAACGCGAGCAGATAGACTCGCGCACAACACGCTCGAATGTCGCCGTCGGCAGGCAACAGCGCGTTTCGAGTACGTCTGTAGCGCCTTCCGGGCACGCGCAGACACTGCAGGGCCCGCAAGAGCTAGCTACGTGCCCTGATGGTATGGCTCGGGCTACCCTTTGAACACCTCACTCGAGGCAAAGCGCGCGTTTTGATTGTCGACTCTGGCTCGGCCCCCGCATAAAATCCGACCAGCTGGCGCCGCCCTGTCGCGCCGATCAGCAGCGCTGATGTAGCATCTGCTCGTTGGCTGTTCCCACGTCTCTCAGCAGCTTCGCATCCCTCGTACGGCGCCCAGGAAGTTCACATGGATCTCAACGAGCTTCGATGCAATCATCTCAAGTGCCGCAAGATCTTATCACTCGAAGGCAAGGGCGTCTCCACTAGCTGCTCTCGTACGGATCCGCCTACGTCTAGCGCATAGTCTCAGCTGAGAAGCGCACAGATGTATTCTGTGTTGCATGTGCCAACACACTCTTCACTCCGGAGCGCCTGTGTCCAGCTTGCGAGACTCACTTGCCGCACGAGTTCAGTCGCGCACGCGGCGGGTACGTCTGATCTGACAGCGACAGCAGTGACGATATGCTCTACTTTTCGCTCAATCCGTCCACCGAGTTTCGCAACACGGTCCTCGCCGGGCTGTCGCCGAGCATCATCGTCGATATTGTCTCCCGTGCTCTCAATTTCTGGCAAGTGGCGCCCAAAAGAGACAGGGCATCGTCCGATTGATGCTTCTGCAGGACGTACCAGCAAGGACAAGAGAAAATATTCCAAGAGATGCTTCTGAAGCATTCACAAGAAGTCAGGCGCCTGCACATCGCTTCGCTGAACTGACGTGCGCAGCAGCACGCAACGATCCTCGAGCAAGATAATCTTAATATCACTCAACGTGCTAATCAGGAGCTCGACCGTAAGTTCTTTCACATCGACGAATACAGCCTGATACTTGTACAGGCCTTCGCAACCGTCTCGATGGCAAGACGTCCACACGAGCCAGCGAAGGCTAATATTGACTTTGCAGATGCACAACGAGAGCTGGACATGACACGTCAGCAGCAGCGAGATCTCCAGACGACGCTTCGTGGCAGTCAACGCCAGCAGCATTCCCTCCAAGTAAGCTCGAGCCGTCTGAGCAGCTAGACACTGACCATTGACGCTAGTCCAAATATGATCGCATGCGGGCCAGTATCGGTCCTCGTGCCAATCCTGATCTGCTCGCGACCTCTTCAGGAACGAGTCCAGCGGCCGGTCATACATTCGAGCTAACTCACTCTCGTCGCTCGTCAATTGAGCACGAGCAAACTCACAGGCCCACGCCTTATCGTGTGCACGAGAAGCCCATACAAGAGACGCATATCGAGCGCATGCCACTTCAGTCACATTCGCGACTCACAAACATTGCCATGCCTGCAACCTCAAAAGCAAGCCATCGCTTCAACTGGCAAGCACCGAAACTGGCCGAAGAGCCCAAAACGAGCAAGAGATTCGCACGCCCGATGCCTACCCATTCAAATACTCGCATGCTATGACACGGCAACGTCAAAGCTATCTGCATTCGTATGTTTCTACAAGTGTCATATTCGAGTGAGGCGAAAAATCGAAGCGTCGTCATCATTTCTGCCACATCCCCTGCATCGCTTGGAAGGAGCACACGCCAGATGGCGAGCCTGGCCTGGAAGTATTGGCATTGCTCGTGAGACTGAGGCCATTGAGCCGATCGTTAAGAGCATCCGCAGGATCGGTCGGTGCAACGATGAGCTTGGCTTTGCCAGAGAGCACGCTCGCGAGTTTCTCGCCCGCTGCAGGACCCTTGAAAGCATCGCAGAAAGCCATGCCGAGTCTATTGACCAGAGCGCACTTCGCTAGACCAGCTACGCGAGCGACGTCTTGGGGATCTTCTTTGGTCGGCTTGCTGACTTCGTCTAGCAATGCTGCGCTAGAGCCAGTGAGATAAGCTGGTTTGAGACCGGCAGGCAGAGGCGATGCAAGCAAGCCTGATGCGTTATTCGAGACTTTGCCGTAGAGCTGTGAGCGATATTCCTTGAGTCTCAAAGGATCGAGATGGAGAGGATTGCCAGCCATGAAGTCTGCTCGAGTATCATATCGGCCCGCGCCGGGCAGCGAGCGCAAATGCTGCGTGAACGCAGCAAAGTCTTCGCGAGATTTGCCATTCAGCGCGGGGTTCATGTTTTCTTGCGCTGGCTTGTCAGCATATAGAGAATCGGCATCGGCAGAAGGCAGCTTGAGATTGCTGTTCCATTCTGAAAGCTTGCCAGACAGTCGCGTGCTCAGATCCAGCGTTGGCAGCATGGTACGATGAACGTTGAGATTGCTGTGGAATGGCGCAAAGCCGCCTGGACCCCATGCTGAACCTGCATGCGAGAGATCCTTTGACAGGTTTGGCTTGGCAATCCGTTGCGGCCGCCGAGCTGCTGCATTCGCGGACGTAGATGCTTGCGGTGTTTCTGGCTGAGCGTTCATTTGCGTTGAGGAGTCAATAGATTCCTCAGGGCGCGCAGAAGCCGTGAAGTTATGCTCCGCTTTGACAGAGGCGTAGTCCGAGGACGCTACTGATGACGGGCTTGTCGAAGCAGACACCGTTGCTGAAGCAGACGAGCCGGATGTGGAGGTTGCAGCTTGTGCAAAGCCGCCTTGGGCCAATCTGGTCAGGACGCTGTCCCACTTGTCCTTCAACATGCCGACTTCAGACTTGAGCTCTGTGTTGGCCAATTTGAGACCAGACATCTCTGCTTGAAGATCACTGATGATCTCGTCCCGATCGGCAATCTCTTCTTCGAGCTGAGTGATGTACTCTTTCCTGCGATGACGGAAATTACGAGCAGAGATTTTATTCCGCATCTGACGCTTCTCCCTGCAGCGAAGCAGCGTCAGCATCGCAACCATGCTTGTAGTGTGGGACTCGATGGGACGGGACGTATTCGAGATCAGACAGATGAACGTACTTTGAATTGAGCTGCTGATATTCTTCCGCTGACGGTTTGTCAACATAGTCGGGCGCAGGGATCACGATATGGGGCAGGTGACCCGTAGAGCCCGAAGTCGAAGCGGCAGTACGCTTGGCAGGTAGTACGATGGGCGGAGTAGGTTTGCTGGCAGGGATGGTGAGAGCAGCGACCGAGCCTGGCACGGGTGCGCCATTAGCACGTCTGGGTCGGCTTGATGACCTCGGTGGAGCGGGCGACTCTGATGCTTCTCTGACACTCGCAGACCGTGCATTTCGGCGCGCTGTGGTGCGCGTGCGTGCTGGCATAGCGAGTGGCTCAGTCTCCTCGGACTTGATGACAGCTGATGTGGATCCTTGCTCCATCATGTCGGGATGGATAGCGTCAGAGACGAGCGTAGGGTCGATCGTTGCGCTCGACGCAGCAGAAAGCTCAGTCATGAGACTGTCTGTCTGACTTTGGATAGCGTTGAGTGCGCCAGTGGAGAAAGGATATTCGTCCGACGAGGCATCTTCGGATGATGTGTTGCGCGAGGCTTGTTCGAGCAGGGCAAAGCGCGAGGTAGTCTCCTGAGCCAAAGCATGGATACGTTGCAGATCGGCAGGAGAGTATGCGTCGGTGTTGACGGGCACTCCCTTGCCTGTACCCTCCATGTAGTATCTGCGGGGAGTCAGTCAGCCCTGCACAGTAACAGATTGATCCAGATGTGACCCACTTGAGCAGATTAGACATCGCATTGGGCGTAGCCGATCGAGGGGGAACGAGCGAGGACGCTGACAAGGGCATCGGGCTCGTCATGGCCAGGTCAAGGTTGAGGTACTTGGCGTAGTCCTCCTCCTCATCGGCAGTGTTAGCAAGGTAGGCATTCGTCTGAGGTTTGTCGCCCTGGAGCTCGGAGGCGGCGATCGCCATCATCTCATCATCTTGCTCATCCAGCGTTGACTGATTCTGAGGTGCTACATTGGGCGAGCGAGGCCAAGATGAGTCCTCTGAGCCTTGGCGCGAGAGCGAATGAGTCAGCGAGGGCGATGAGGGTGTTGGCGAGTCATGATCCCCTATAGGATCCATGCTGGCCGTGTTGGCTTCTGTCGCACCTTATCGGATCAGGAGCGATGGAGGTGGACCAGTCCGAGTGATGATGATGATATATCTCCTCGAATCAGGCCACGTCGATCTTGCTGTGCGAAGCTGCTCGAAGGCCGAGCTCGCGCGAAGGGGCTTCGTCAGCGCGGCGCGGAGCGGGGTTAAACTCCTTTTGTCCGATCGAGTCCAGCCGATCTTCGAGGTTTCCGACATCAAGCTTTGCAGCCATGTCGTTCAGGCTTATCACATGCACATGCAGAGCAGCACTCCCGCGGACTTTGTCGACAGCAAGACCATCTCGATCGACCTTCGCAACGACGACGAGTAGATGGCAGGAGGATGACGCGGCGGCAAAGCTAGAGATACTCAAAGCGAGAGCAGCCAAAGCCAAGCGCAACGCTACCCTCATCGATCGACCTTCACCACCCAGTCTACCCGCAGCAGAGCAGCGCGAGTTTGAGGAACTGCAAAAGCAGGCCTATGCACCTTTCTCGTCTGACGCCGCCAATGCTGCCAACATCGAAAGTCAAGGCATCGTCGATGAGACTGAAGTCCATCATCCCGATCTGCGCAAGAAGCCAAAGCCACTTTTTGAGGGCGAAGTGAATCCTCAGACCGGCGAAGTGGGCGGACCCAAGAGGGAGCCTTTCCTACAGAATGCCAGAGACTGGAGCTACGGTGGACGCGTGACAGACTTGTGAGATACTCATCCGTCGCTCGTGATTAGTCTGACCAGGACACTGCCCATTCACAGCTGACCACTTGAAACGCGCGGACCCAGCGCGGTCTGGATTAGCGTTGTCGCCAAGTAGCGCTCACCCTTACAAGCCCGGCATGCTCCTATCGCTGCCGAATCATTGCAGCCTCCACCTGAGCAGCCGAGGCGGCCTGCAAAGATTGGCATCAATCTCACTGGGTAGTCGTAGGCACGCGAGACCGTATTTGTAGTGCACTGTTGTCCCCATTGCACACTCACTACGCGCTGCCTCACTCCTTGGCTGTGTGTGCCGCGGTGATCATGCGGCCTTGCCAAGATACAACAAAGGGTGCATATTTGATATCATGTCACTGCCCATGAGCATCTTCCGCGATCTTCTCCGCGCTCGTAAGGAAGATCTGGTGACGTATATCATTGCCAAGCTTCTGTCCAGCTGGAAGCCATCCTGTCCCGTTATGTCACAGGCTTGACGCCCTTCGGCGCCGGGCTTGCTGACAAACTCCGTTGACAAATCTCAACTCTGTTATCTGCGCCCGAACTTTCGGCATGGGGCCGCCGCGTTTGTCACAAAAGGGTCGCCCAGGATTCGGAGCACTGACAAACTGAGCTGGTCTTGTCAAACGTACAAGAAGGCAGGCGGCTCATCGACAGATTCGGATCGTAGCCAGTCGAGTCGGCAGCGAGCAGACGGGTAGATATCGCCGACGGTCAGTGCTCAACCCGACATCGACTCGTAACGCCAAGCAGACATTTCGTCACCTTCGCATAGCCTGCACATCGACACGAACACAATGGCTCATAGTAGCGGCTCCTCGGAGACGCGCATACAGTTGGACAATGGCCTCGATCAAGTCAGTCCCATCAACGACTCAAATAATCACAAAACTCCGGCGGCTGGCGCAGCTCGCAAAGCAGGCGAGCCGACACCGTACTTCACACCCGCTGAACGCACAAGAAGCTACTTCGATACCACCAACCCCGAGTTCAAAGAGCTTCGTCGTCAGATATCCAATGAAATCGATAGAACAACAAGCGCGATGCCCGATCCTGAGAGCGAGGATTTCGACCTGCATGAATTCCTCTCCAAGATACTGGACAAGCATGATGCCAGTGGTGTCAAGCGCCGCACAACCGGTCTTGTCTGGGCAGATCTCGTCGTTGAAGGCGTCGGTAGTGGCGCAGACTATGGCAGCAGCTTGAGCGATCTTTTCACAGGCATCACCCGAATCCCGCAAACAATCGCTAGCATCCGTCATCCACCAAAGAAGACGATTCTGCAAGGCTTCTCTGGCGATCTCCGTCCTGGTCAGATGATGCTTGTCCTCGGTAGACCAGGCTCGGGATCGTAAGCTGCCTGTTTGCGTGACACGTCGCGCGTGCTCATGACTTGCTCGCAGATCGAGCTTGCTTAAAACGCTTGCCAATTATACAGACTCGTTCACATCTGTGCAAGGTTTCCGGACATACGATGGCGTCACTCCAGAGATCATGGAAAAGCGCTTCGGTGGCGAGCTCGCCTATTTGCCCGAGGATGACATTCACTTCCCTCTGCTTACTGTCGGCGAGACTCTCGGCTTTGCTGCCCATGCAAGAGCCCCAGCTGTGCATGCTCGCTCGGAAGGCATGTCGCGCGCGGGCTACACAAAGACGACGGTCAACGTCCTGCTGACGCTCTTCGGCCTTCGTCATGTGATCAACACCAAGGTCGGCAACGATTACGTTCGTGGTGTTTCCGGCGGTGAGTCACAACGACTCCTCTGAGGCCTGAGCTGAAGCTGTGAGCAGGCGAACGCAAGAGAGTCAGCATTGCAGAAGTGGTGCGCCCGCCCGTCTGCCTGAACGATTGAAGCTTACGTATGTTATAGTTGACAACACGCGCCAAGATCTCTTGTCATGACAATTCGACTCGTGGTCTAGACTCTTCCACCTCACTCGAGTACATTCGCTCGCTGCGTGTCGCAACCGATCTGTCTCGCACGGTCACGGTTGCTTCGCTTTACCAATGCGGCGAGCAGCTCTACGACCTCTTTGACAAAGTCTGCGTCATTCATAGCGGTCGCATGATCTACTTTGGCCCGGCAACGCAAGCTTCAGCCTACTTCGAGTCGCTCGGTTATCTGCCCCATGATCGTCAGACGACTGCCGACTTCCTAGTTTCCGTCACAGATGAACGCGCTCGTCTCATCAGCAAGGACGTCCCGAATGTGCCGAAGACTGCTGATGAGCTTGCCACCGCTTTCAAACAAAGCGAGATCTACACCAGCGAACGCAAGCTCATCGAAGATGCAAAAGCTGGCTTCTCTGACGAACGCAACAATGACTTCAAGGCCAGTGCCAAGCAGGAAAAGATGAAGCACGTCCGCGGCCAATCGTCTTACAATATCTCATACAAAGCACAACTTGGTCTTGCCATTCGTCGTCGCTGGCAATTGCTCCTGGGTGACTTTGCAACAACAATGATTCAAGCTTTCGTCTTTATCTTCCAAGCTCTCATCATCGGCAGTACTTTCTATTCTATTCCTCGCACTACTCAAGGCTTCTTCTCGCGCGGCGGTGTCATCTTCTTCGCTATCCTGTTCTCATCGCTCACTTCGATGGCCGAGATTCCGTCTTGCTTCGCCCAGCGTCCCATATTGGTCAGGCAACGCCGCTACCGGATGGCAAGACCTTCAGCAGATGCTCTCGCTCAGACAATCGTCGATCTCGTGCCAAAGGCTATCATTCAAATCTGTTTCGTGGTCGTACTTTACTGGATGACCGGACTCAATCCTGGCGCTGCTCGCTTCTTCATCTTCTTCCTCTTCGTCTTCGTTACAGCCTGCATGATGGCGACCTATTTCCGCGCTCTCGCTGCTATCTGTCGCAGTCAAGCCGTCGCGACCATGCTTGGAGGTATCAGTGTTCTGCTCTTCCTCGTCACTGTGAGTGCTCCTACAGCGTCATCGAGATGTGTCAGCTGATCTGGCGCAATAGGTCGGATATGCTATCCCACGTCCCGGTATGCTGGGATGGTACCGCTGGTTCTCAGAGTCGATCAATCCGATTGCGTTCTCGTTCGAAGCGCTCTACGCCAATGAGCTGCTGGCTCAGAACGTTCCTTGCGCCCAGCTAGTGCCTTCGGGCGCAGGTTACGCTGGAATCACGCTGGCAAACCAAGTCTGTCCCACGCCGGGATACGATCGCACGACAGGTCTGGTCAATGCTGAGATATATCTGTCTACGAGCTATGGGTACTCCTATTCGCATGTCTGGCGAAACTTTGGCATCATTCTCGGCTTCTACTTCGGCTTCTTGGCCATACAGCTCATCGGTACCGAATTCCAACGCGATGAAGCTGCTGCCGCTGCTGTCGTTCTCTTCAAGCGGAGCAACGCACCAAAAGCCATCGAGGAGCAAGTCAACGCGACTGGCAAGGCCATTGATCTCGAGAAGTCGAACTCCGAAACAACAGAGGTGCCTTCCACAGCAGAAGCAGACAAGCAAGCCGATGCAGCAGCAGAAGACATTATCGCCAAGCCCACTGCCGTATTCACCTGGCGCAATCTGCACTACGATGTTGCTGTCAAAGGGGGTCAGCGTCGTCTGCTTTCAAACGTCACTGGTTATGCTAAGCCCGGCGCGCTCACCGCTCTCATGGGCGAGTCCGGTGCCGGTAAGACTACCCTGCTCAACGTACTTGCTCAGCGCGCCGGCACTGGTGTCATCAGCGGCGATATGCTCGTCAATGGTCAGCCATTGCCCAAGTCTTTCGCCAAGAATTGTGGCTACGCTCAACAGCAGGATGTCCATCTTCAGACGTCCACCGTCCGCGAAGCATTGCAATTCTCTGCTCTTCTTCGTCAGTCCGCGTCTACGCCCAAGGCAGAGAAGCTAGCCTATGTCGAGGAGGTCATCAAATTGCTCGAGATGGAGGCTTACGCAGAAGCGCTTGTCGGCGAGGTCGGCAGTGGTCTGTCCGTCGAACAACGCAAGCGTCTCACTGTCGGTGTCGAGCTTGCTGCCAAGCCGACCTTGTTGCTCTTCTTGGATGAGCCTACTTCTGGTCTCGACTCTATCTCTGCATTCAATATCGTTCAACTGCTGCGCAAGCTCGCCGATCACGGTCAAGCAATTCTGTGCACGATTCATCAGCCATCGGGCGAACTTTTGTCGCACTTCGATCGATTGCTGCTGCTCAAAAAGGGTGGTAAGACTGTTTACTTTGGCAATCTCGGCAAGGGCTCTCGCACGATGATCGACTACTTCTCTCGCCAATCTGGCGAAAAATGTCCAGAGCGCGCCAACCCTGCCGAATGGATGCTCGAACAAATTGGCGCTGGCGCGACTGCAAAGACGTCATACGATTGGGCTCAGCTCTGGAATGAATCACCCGAGGCTCAGACGGCAAAGGATGAAGTCGAGCAGCTTCATCAAGAATACACGGGTAACCACAGCGATGAAGACGACGCCGAGGCAAACAAGACTTACTCAGCTTCCTTTGCTACGCAATTGGCAGTCGTCACTCGCCGATCTTTCCAAAGCTACTGGCGCGATACTACATACATTGCCTCAAAGATTGGACTCAATGTCATTTCGTCGCTCTGGATCGGATTCACTTTCTTCAAAGCCAATGATTCAACTTCAGGTCTCCAGATTAAGCTCTTCGGCGTGCGTCCTGTTCTTTGCTGTTGACAGGCTTAGCTTACATATCCTCACAGGTATTCATGGCAATCGTTGTCAGTACAAGTTTGGCGCAGCAGCTCCAGCCTCGGTTCATCGAAGCGCGCGCGCTTTACGAAGTTCGCGAGCAACCCTCGCGAATGTACTCCTGGGTCATCTCTGCGCTGGTCCCGCTCCTCACAGAGACGCCTTTCAATCTCTTCGGCGGCGCGCTCTACTTTGCCATCTGGGCTCCTTCCGTCGCACTTTACAATGGTCGACCACGAGACGCGTTCTATGCGTTTGCGATTTACGAATTGGTCAGCGCTGCTCTGTCTGCAACCTTGACAGTCACTGACCGAGCCTTGAGCACAGTTTACCATCTACTGGAGCAGCTTTGCAATGGCAGTCGCTTCCTTCGCATCCAATGGTGAAATCGCGTCGATACTTTTCTCTACCTTGTCAGTCTCTACTCTGTCATGTTTATTGAGTCTGAGCTGACTTTGCTATACTTCCACAGGTTTTCATTCACTCTAATCTTCGTAAGCCTGCCTGTCGCACCAAAACCTTGCGCGTTAAGCTAAACATCGCGGTCTTTCGCAGTGCGGCGTCTTACAACCAACTGCACTCATGCCACACTTCTGGGCCGCATGGATGCCCAAGGTTGCTACCTTCACATATATCGTCGATTCGCTCCTGCAAGTCTTGCTGTTCCTGACGTTCTGACCGTCTACTGACTCCAGGATCTGTTGCACAGGTCTTCCGCAATCGGCAATGGTCAACGGATCGTGTGCACGGACGAGCAATTTTCTATTGTGTCGCCACCCGGCGGACAATCGTGCTCAGCATTCCTCGATCCCTTCATCGCAGCCAATACTGGCTACGTCGACAACCCGAACGATACTGCAGACTGTCGATACTGTCAATACGCATACGGCGACGAATACCTGCGCACTGTCGGATATTCGTATTCGCACAGGGCCAGAAATGTCGGCATCCTCTTTATCTACATCTTCTTCAACATCTTTGCCTTGTTCTTCCTTTACTACTTCCTGCGTGTCCGAGGCAAGGCAGCTGGCGCGGCGAAGCATGTCAAAGAAGTCCCGCACATCGAGGGTGCGGATGATAACAGCAGCAAGCAGAGCGAGAAACCGGCAGAGAAGCAGCAATAGACGCCCACGACATGCTCATACCATTGTATCCTAGATAGAGATGCATTGTAATCATTAGTACCCTTTATCCCTAACACTTAACACGTGATCAGTCCTCCAGAAACTGACGAGACGAAGCTATGCGTGCATCCGTGCCCGTACAGCACCCGCTGCGCCAAAGAGTACCAGTGCTCGCGACGCAGCGGTAATCGCGAGCTAATCATAGTCGGCCATGTGACCGACAAGCGTGCGCGTAAACTATCCCAGCTTCGATATCTCTCGGGATGCGCAGCTGCTGCCACCTCCACGGAGCTGAGCATGCGATCATGCGGTTTCCTCTACGATGATTCTCCAACACCTTGAGAGACCGAGGGGTGTGCGCTACATCACAGACTAGCAGCTAGCAGAATGTCAAGCCCTGTCAGTGATGACGCCTTTGCGGCGCCGTTTCACTTGCTGCCCAAGGCCGAGGGAGATTGGCGTAAGACCTATGAGAATCCGGCTATCGACATAAGCTTGGTCCACAACGCTTTCATTCGCTCGCTCAACACGATCGTCTATTGGTCGCGCAAGGTTGACAGCATGTCCGACAAAGACAAGCGGGACTGGTTCTGTTACGTCGAGCTCTGGGCGGAAGCACTCGAGCACCACCACAAGCTGGAAGAGTCGCTCATTTTCCCGCAACTGTGAGAGACCCTGCTGGTGCCTTCAGACTCGACTGACTGTTGACCTTTCTTTGAGCGAGGAGAAGCTGGAGAAGCCCCAGATGGCGTCAAACGTCGACGCCCACCGTCACATCTTACCAGGTATCGAAGGATTGCTATCGCTCACGAAGCAGTTGATCAATGGCGAGAAGCAATGGAACCAACGCGACTTTCTCGCACTACTCGATACTTGGCTGCCAACGCTCAACGAACACTTCAAGGAAGAGGTCGTCACCTTGAGCGCAGACAATATCCGTTCTGTGCCCGAGAGAGATGTCAAAGAGATCTTTGACAAGGTCACAAAGCATATCCAGCAGACCTACTCCTTTGACAGGGATGTGCCCTTTGTGGGCACCTGCCTCGACAGGCAAGCCGAACCAGACTTTCCGCCATGGCCGTTCTTTATCGTCTGGTGATATCAATACTGGACCGGCCCTCGCAATGCTCATCTCTGGCGGTTCGCACCGGCTACCCTGGGGAGCAAGCTTTTGCCGGCAACGAAGTCTATGTATGCCAAGCAGGCAGAGCAAGACAGGATCAAGGGGAACACTTTGGACACGACAGCGCTTGCCGCCTGCGGATTAGCTTGATGTAAATATGCAATATTTCAGATAATTCACCGCTGCTGAATGTCCCCTCGACCGTGGCATGAGCGCGAACAAAAGGATGCGCGAATGGGGCAGCTGCAATTTTGCCTTTGACTTGGCAAAAGCAAAAGCGCGTCAAAGCAGCCGAAGAGCAAACCATGAAGATGCGCACACTGACCGCCTTGCGGGCCGTACAATGTCGCACCTTTGCAACTTCTTCTCGAACGTCGACGCAGCACCTGATGAGCACGGCCGACCTGAGCGTCCCACAGATGCAGCAGCTCTTGACGAGCGCAGCAGATTACAAGAGCGCCAGAGCAAAAGCTGCTCGCTCCGTCGGGCCTCAGTCACAAGAACTTAGTCTGGCCAACAAGACGATTGCCATGCTCTTCTCCAAACGATCGACCCGTACTCGTGTCGCGTCAGAAAGCAGTATCGCTTCTTTGGGTGCGCGCCATGACGACGACATCATCGTTTGAGCTGACACATCTTGCTCTGCACAGGAGGACATCCCATGTTCTTGGGCTCGTCAGACATCCAGCTCGGCGTCAACGAAAGCTTGCTGGATTCTGCAAAGGTCATCTCGAGCATGACAGATGGCATCATTGCGCGCGTCAATGACCACTCGGAAGTCGAAGTGAGTCATAGCCTACCTTGCGCGCACGACGGCTCTGAGGATGTGTGCAGACGCTAGCAAAGTACTCGAGCGTACCCGTCATCAACGCGCTATCGCATCTCTACCATCCTACGCAGATTCTGGCCCATCTCCTAGCATTACTCGAGACATACTCGCCCAAAGACACTTCACTGAGCAAGCTCAAGGGACTCAAAGTAGCCTGGGTTGGCGATTCCAATAACATCCTGAACGATATGATTGTATCCTTCCAGCGTATCGGCATCGATCTCAATATAGCCACGCCAGAGGGATACCCGCTAGATCAATTCGTGCTCGATACTGCAACGGAAGGATTGCGGAAAGAGTCTGGCGATGGCAAATTACTCCATACGCACAGTCCCGAAGAGGCAGTGAAAGATGCAGATGTGCTCGTCACTGACACTTGGTCAGTCCCCTGTTTGATCTCGCTGTGCATGACTCACAGGCAAGCTCGGTAGGATCTCAATGGGACAAGAAGCCGAGAAAGCGAAACGATTGAAAGATTTCGCAGGCTTCCAGATTACTATGGATCTGGCCAAACGAGGCGGCGCAAAGCCAGACTGGACGTTCACTCACTGCTTACCTCGCAAGCAGGAGGAAGTCGACGACGAGGTCTTCTATTCCGATCGCTCGCTTGTCTTCCTCGAAGCGGAAAACAGAAGGCATACCATCACCGCCGTGTGCGATCAATACTTTGCGAAGGGCGGTTTCTGATAGAAACATGTACGGGATCATAGTCTAGACTGCATGGAGGGTTTACAACGACGCTTGTGCGGCGCGAGATGAACGAGATTTGAGCGCAGGCTGACCAGAGGCCGACTTGGCAGCTCGGCAATCGGTCAAAAAGTCGGTGAACATCTCGATCGTGTCTAGAGGACCGCCTGCTGATTCAGGATGGAACTGGACGCAAGCAACTCGGCCGTCCTTTGATCGCACGCCTTCCACCGAAGAATCTGCTGCGATATCAGCGGATGCCTTGTATTGGACAGTGAGCGCACCATTGGCATTGATGAACCATGGCTCCCAGCCATCTGGGAAGGGATCTACGAGCCTGAGAGCGTATTCTGATATGGCTCTCGTCAGCTTACAGTTTGAGCGGAAGCGCAAGGTACTCACGATGATTCTGAGATGTCACGTAGATGCGTCCGGCTTTGATGCTGCGATGATTGGCCAGTGCGAGCGCGGGCTGATTGTGTCCTCGATCTGTTTCGCGGTCAGTGTGATGCATAGTATAGAAAAGCCAGTAGACTGACTGCCAAATCGCATGCGGTAGGCTTCGAGACCGGCAGACAATCCAATGATCTATGGTCAAAGCAGTTAGCTATGGTCAGGCAGTAGACCAGGAGACGCACCTGGTTGCCCATGCAGATGCCAAAAATGGGCTTGTTCCAATCTTGGATCATCTTGCGGACGTGATGCACAGATTCCATGCAGTGACCGGGATCGCCCGGACCGTTGGAGAGGAAGAGACCATCGAACTGATCCTTGATGGCCCACACGTCGGTGTTCCAAGGCAAGACAGTGACTTTGGCGCCCCTCTTGACGAGCGAGCGAGCAATATTGGCCTTGGCGCCATAATCAAGCAGAGCAATATGGACGTCGCCCTCTGGATTGAGCGTGTAGGCCTCTCGAGTCGAGACCTGGGCGACCAGATTCTCCTTTGCGGGGTCCCAGAAATCCTCCGGACTAGCAGGAGGGATGTGACTGTCTGCGCCGATCGCTAGCTGACCGAGCGTGGTACCTTGATCACGTAGCAAGCAAGTGATTGCGCGAGTATCGACGCCGGTGATGCCGGGTACGCCCCAGCGAAGGCACCACTCGGACAAGCTCTCTACTGCTTGGTAGTGCGAGTACTTGAGCGCCAGATCGGCGACGATGACGCCTGCGCACTGTACGCCCGGTGCTTCGAGGAGCATGTTCGGGCCCCTATCGTGACTGGGCGCGACATTCTTGGGCACGCCATAGTTGCCGATGAGCGGCGTGGTGAAGACGAGCAGTTGAGCACGGTAGGACGGGTCCGTCATCGACTCTGTATAGGATCTGTAGCCTTCCCTGTCAGCCTGTATTGGAAATTTATGGCAAAGGCACGCATACGTGATACTTGTGCTGAAGACGGTCTCCCCAAAGGCAGACTTGGGCGCGCCAAAGGATTTGCCATGGAAGCTCTGACCTGTCTTGAGGTGCAGGCTAGCCGGCTGACCGTCTGTCGAGACGACCGTCTGATTGTTCGCTCGAGGTTGGAAAGTCAAATCGTTGGTGACGGTGGCTAAGCTACGGCGAGCGCGCCAAGAAGGAGCGGCTAGCGTCCTTCGGGTAGCACAAGAAGACGTGCGCAACAAGCTGAGCATATTGCGAGGTGTTTAGTCGGCTGACGAGTCGATAAATCAAGCGAATGAGCTCTTCCAGATGCAATCACTCAGATAATCTTGCGAGACAAAGTCGTCAAACCTGCGCAGGGGGATCAGTCACGAGCTATGCTGTTCAGTGCGGGGCATGGGGACGTACATGCGCTTGGCAGCAGTAGAACCCTGTGACTCGCTCGCTGACTGGGAGACTCGATAAAAATTTCAGCCTGCGAGTCGCGTAAAGTCACTTTGCCATCATCCCGCCCTTGGACGCCAAAAAGCTGAGCAGACCGAACACAAAGAGGCAAGCGTCCACGCAGACGACGCAGCGCATTGCTGATCTCGAGCTGTCCGATCTCCTTACAGAGTCACGCCGTACCTTTCGAGCGTGCATGTCGACAACCGTTCCCAAGCCAAGTCTCGCAGGCGCAAAAACTAAGCAGAGGTACGCTCAGCTTCATCGTCAGAACGGGAATCCCTTCTCTGATAGATGCTCGCGACGTGCAGAAAAGGAGTAGCCAAAGCACAGGCCAAGTTTGAGCCCAACGGTAAGCTTGTCACGCGTTGGAGGGCAACGCGCAAGAGGAGCTGACCAGCGGTGGCGAACCAGTCTTTCGCGATTCGCTCGTCAAGTCACTCGAAGCAGTCCCCCAGGGTGACTTTGATGGCTATGCAAAGGAGCTAGACACGCTCGGGAACACGCTCGAGTATCGCAAGTACGAGGATCAGCTCTTCCAGCTACTCTGTGTCGGCAGATTGCTCGCACCGGGTTCGTCGCTGCTCGGCCCAGCTGAGACGATGGCTCATCGGTGTGCCATATGATAGGTGGCAATTACATCCAGGATGACGCACCGCAGTGTCCCGTCTCGATCATTGGCGCGCCCACTGCCGAGCTTGCGGATATCAGAAAGGTCGTCGAGGTCTTCCACAAGCTCATCAGACGCTACAAGTACCTTCAAAAGACATTCGAGGAAACAACCTTGACCAACATTCTTCAGTTCGTTGCTCTGCTCGCTCGCTTGTGTCTCAGCTAATCTCGCGACAGATATGTGAACAAATTCGAAGATCCCAAGGCCCCTGCTGGCACGCATCCCAATCAGGATAAGATGGCCGTCGCCACTGCCTTGCTCGTCTCTGGCGGTCTGGTCGGAAGCGCCAGCGTGCTCGCATCGCTCAAGAAGGACCACGTCGTCAAAGACGGCGTCTCGCTAGCCTTTATCACGACTTACATTCGCACCTATCTCACCGCAGAAACGATCGACCATCTCGGTTCTTCTCTTCGTCGTGGTGGCGTGGCGGACCTCATCTTGTTCTTCCCGCCCAACAAGCGCACGATGGCGTTTGCTGCCGAGCACTTCAAGAAGGAGAACCTCGACAAAGTGTGGGAGTTCTACCAGAAGCAGCGTAGCGCAGGCATTCGCGAGGAGATGGCCGAACATCTTCGCACGATGGTCGCCAACGAAGAATCGCACGAGGAGGTCCGCTGAGCCAGCAGGTTCTTATGCGAGCGTTGGCTGACCCCACTGTACCTAGATCGCTACATACCTCAAAGAGCAATTCAAATCAGAAGCAGTCTCGGACGTCGATTTTCTAGCGACGATCTGGACAAACTTGCTTTCGGACGTCGATGCTGCCGCTTCAGCTCAGCAAGCTTGTGAGACAGCTCTGAAGGAGATCAAGGACATCGTGCCTTTGCTCGAGCCTTACGCCTCGTCTGCACGTGCTCAGGTCGGATTGATCAATACCATCCAGGGATGGTGCTATGAGCAGACAAAAGCCATGGCTGTCTTTCCCCGTGCGCTCAAGATGCTCTATGCTGCCGATGTGCTCTCCGACAATGCGATCCTATACTGGCATAGCAAGGGGTCCAAGCCTGCAGGCAGACAGCATTTCCTCACCGCTTCCGAGCCACTCATCAAGTTCCTGCAGGAGCAGGAGGAAAGCGAGGAGGAAGAGTGATTGAATCGCAATGCATTCGCCCACATCACATTTGCATTCTTGCCAATTTGAACTTGCCTTGCAGACTCATCTCGATTTTGCTCAAGCCAGCTCGTTCATATCCGAGTAGGCATTTTCCATCATCGGCTTAGTGCGCGATGACCTCGATCCAGTAGTGGTCCGGATCGTAAAGGAAGGCAATGTTGCGCATCTTGCCTTCGCTCGGTTTCTATCGTCATTGCGGTTCCTCAGCATTGCGGGCTGATATGAGCAGGGCACGTACCTTCTTGAACTCCACACCGAGCTTCTCGAAGCGATCGCATGCTTCCTGTAGGTTTGGCACTGTCTCGCGCCTTAGCGTCGGCATGCGTTGATGAGCTACGCGGGCGGCTCACCTGAAATGCAAATATGTCCGAACCCTTGAGGCTCATCGTTACCATTGTGGTACTTGACCTTGTCGTCGCTCTCCGAGCCATGATTGTGAGTGAGCTCGAGGATGCCCTCGCGCTGGTTACGCTTGAGACCGGCAGTCTCTGCGCTATCGAATGCCAAGAAATAGAGCGTGAACGAGTCGGCTTCGTGTGTGTCGATCAAGCTCATCCCAATCGTGTTCTGGTAAAAATCGAGCGACTTCTTGGGGTCCTGTGATACACCATGAACAGCGCTCCGGATCCAGTACTGAACGACTTGCCTTTACTCTGAGCATGGTGTGGTTCAGCTTGGTGCCTTTGGTCTCTGGAGGGGCTGCCATCTTGACGGAAGATCTGCTGAAGCCTCTATGTGAGATAGGTGAAGGGCTGATCTGACGGTTGAGGAAGCTGATCCGTTCGGCTGCTTGCGCTGTCCGACAAAGGCTCCTCAGAGAATGGGCTTGCATGTGAGGGCTTGCCACATGTCGCGAACGAAGTCGATGACGCGCATGTCGATCAATTTGGCAGCCAAGACTGCGAACGGCGCGTAAAATCCGAGATGTCGATGACAGATTGGGAGGAGATCAGACGAGAGTGGCCAGAGACTGGCGGGACCGTCTCACCTTAGACTCGCCATTCTACGCGGCTACGGCAGTCTTTGGGACGGAGGCGTCCGTTGCAGGGCTGGAAATCGCTTTTGCAAGCACATTGTCAGAGATAGGAGCTCGTCGGTTCCCTTTGACGCAGCAGAGGCACACGATTTCTTCGCAGTCGGATCATCTCCGACTTTTCCGCCTCTGCTCACTATCCCTCGATCCGAGGCGCTTCAGCGAGTGTCCGTGCGTGTCACCCTCGCTTTGACTCTTGCCCAAGTCAGCAGTCGACACAGGCCAGATAGCGCTTTCCACCGCGCTCGCTAGCCTGTCCATCGTCTGTACTGCCAAACTGAGCCATCGCTACTCAAGGACACGCATTTGAGCCTCGACAGGATGGAAAGCAGGAGACGAACGGTCACAAGGCTGCTCTGCGGCTTCTTGGCAGGATCTGCCACCGTGCCTGCAGTCAGAGCGACCTCCCAGATCTACACCTCCTCAGTGTCCTACTGTGCTGCCCCTGAGGCCATCTTTGTGGACACTTTTGGACTTCAGTATGTCGACAAGAGCTCCTTGATCTCCTTCGCCATCCGGGCCCAATCAGTACAGCAAAATTTGTACGCCACCCTCAATCTCTCGTTGCAGGCATACGACTTATCGGTGAGCCAAGACCGACCGCTCTTGCTGCCTTTAAGCTGACATCATCCGCAGGTGGTCAATCTTAACGTCGATCTATGTAGCGTGCTCGACGGCTTCCTCTGTCCGCTGCCGACATACCGCTTCGATGGCGCGACCTCCCTAGCCATCCCGAGCACTTTCACCAGCAAGATACCTGGCATTGCCTACATTGTTCCCGATCTGGAAGCGGTGGCAACCCTCAGACTTACGTCCATCGATACAGGCGCAGAGGAAGCCTGCATACAAGCAGCGCTCAGCAACGGCAAGACGACCTATCTCACTGCGGTCCAGTGGGGCGTTGCAGCCATCGCTCTCATCGCCTTTGCTTCCACCATCTTGCACACGCTCTGGCCGCAGCTCCTTTCAGAAGCCCACAAAAGGCATAGCACGCCGGAATGGAGACTGGTTCTTCTGTTGAGCTATTATCAGCACATTGCGTTCAGTGGCATGCTATCTGTCACAGCGCCCAAGGTCTTTCGATCTTACACACTCAACTATGCCTGGTCGACATTTCTGATCAGAATCGGGCCTATCACACGATCGCTCGATCGCCTAAGAGGTCGAACAGGCGGTGACACGACCGATAACAGTTCAGCGCTTGACGCGATAGCAGCTCTGACCAGGCGAAGTGCGATGCCCGCTGCGCCCGAGCAATTCGCAAACATGACAAGACAAGCGGGCCTGACGAGTAGCTCCTCACTCGTGTCATATGCCTCAAAGGTGACGAAGCCTTCCTTCGCATACACAAATTATGCAACCACCAATGTACCGGTCATCGGTGGTGTCGGATCGCCAAACATCACAATCGGCATATCCACCTATTCAGAACTGCTAGGCATTCCCTTTGGCAACGTCTTCATGACGGCTTTCATCAACGTCCTGCTGCTCCTCTGCATCATGATCGTCTTGCTTGCTCTCGTCTACGCTATCTTTGCGCTCTATTTACGCAGGCAGCTCCGACGGCAGACGCGCAATCAGCTCTGGATCGACGAGCTGAAGCGCAGGCGGCATTACTTCATGGCCACGAATTCATTCAGAATCGTGCGTGCAGTCTCGTGTTGCACTCGTCTACTGCTAACATGCTTCTTCAGTTGTTGATTGCCTATCCGCCCATTGTTACGTTCGCATTCTATGGCTACATTGTCGAGTCCACGACAGGCTGGGCTTCTGCATTGCTGGGCACCCTTAGCTGGGTCAGTATGACGTTCATCATTCTCTTGGTCAGTATCAAGCTTCTCAAGGCCGCCAAGCGACACGAAGACGGCATTGATCACCTGTACGATAGCGAAAAGTTTACCTACCGCACAAGTTCGCTCTTCACGCAATTTAAGCCAGACGCATTCTATTACTTCATCCCAATCATCCTCGTCACGTTCATAGAAGCCTGCTTCATCTCGTTTGCGCAAGGCTATCCAACTCGCCAAGTGGTCGGCCTCATTGTCGTCGAGAGCTTGCTCTTCATCGCTACAGTCTGGCACAGGCCATACGCGACCAAGGGAGCGAACGTACTCGCCGCATTCTTGCAGTTTTCCCGCGTTGTTACGTACGCACTTCAGATTGCTTTCCTCGACTCGACAAACGTCAAGGCGATTCCCAAGGTCGTCATCGGCATCGTCATCATCGTCATTCAGAGTATCTTCGTGCTCATCCTTTTCCTGTCGATCATGATAGGACTTATCGCGGCGATGTACCGAGGCATTCGGGGCAGAGGCAACTATCGCCGCAATAGCGACTTGACGGACAAGGATGCTGCTGCCACGGAGAAGGGCATCAACACTGGCGAGTCTGCCTTTGTCGCATCGAGCCTCAACTCAAGCGTCACCAACGTTGGCGCATTAGACAACCCCAAGCCTCCTTACTCTGATCGGTCTAGATTCTCGTCGCCCGCTCAGTCGCTTCCCGAGGTACCTCCAGAGAGGTCAGACACGCCCACTTCGGCAGAAGCCCTTTTCAGCCCCGACACGACTGCTCGCGCCACCCATAGCACATAGAGAGGCGCGAAGCAAACGCACTCGAAGCATGTTTGTAGCTCGACTATTGCTGCAAGTAGACTATGCCACGATTCACTGATGTACAACAACACGCAAGAATGTACCAAGGAGAGCAAGCAATCAAGTGGTCTTGGTTCTGAAGGAGACTGTGTCACCCTGCACATATTCAAGCCATCCTCTGGACGTGAGATAGTCGTTGAGCTTCTCGTCTGAGCATGTCGCCGTGACAGTTGGGTCAGCGAGGACAGAAGCCTCCAGCTCCAGTTGAAGCATTTGCGCCAGCTCTTGTTTAGTCGACAGACTTCTGTACGCTTTAGTGGTCACTTGCCAGGCCGAATCTCTCATGTGATCCAGACATGTGAAAAGGATAGCACGTTGAAGCTCGTGGAGAGACGAAGCACACAAGAGCCGCACATAGCTTGCCCAGTTGCGTTCGATGGCGATGATTCTAAATGCTCTGACTGCCAGTCTAATGTGATCATGCGTGCTGGGCACTGTACGGACGGGTACCGTTGAGGCGAGCTGGTTGCGCGCACTGCTTGTGGTTTCTGATAGACAAGCATAGAAGCCGCTGTGATGTGATCGCGAGACGGCCTGTGAGAGCAGCCAGAGCGAGGCGTACAAAGCGCGATCTTCCAATCCAGGTAGCTCCGGGGGCACCGCACCAGCAGGTAGACCTCGCGAGGTCTCCAATAGCTTGGCAAGCGCATAACGCGGGTGCAGGCTGATGACAAGATGTGGCAAGCAGCTTGCTAACTGTGACTTGTTGGCAGCAAGAATAGACAAGCGTGCTGATAGTTCATACGCTTCGACTGCGAAGCTATCGCATCTATCGCTCGCGATGATGCCTTCCCGTAGCTTCCTCAGCTCGAGCAAGATTGAATCCAAGGCCTCGCATTGAGCTTTGCCGCCTTTGAGCAGGCCTCCGTACTCGATCGGATAAATATTGCGATACGCGTCAAGCTGCGATAAGCGTCAGTCTCGGCAATACAAAGTCTTGGCAGCTTACCTTCTTCTGGACATGCTGCCGAAATTCAGCTTGGACTGCGAAGCTACGAAGGCTGATCGACTGCGCGTAAGTTCCACGCTGGATCTCAATTGCAGAGCCTGTACCTTTTGACGTCGCCGTTGAGCTCACCACGACTGGGCGAGCTCATGAGATCCATCTCTGACTTGCCGCTGCCATTGATGCCGGCCTTTCCTTTCGCTGCACCGCCTTGCCACTCGCGGAATCCTTTCGACTCCGCTGCTCCTGCAAAACGGATGCTCGAACTGGCAGGCTTGCTCGCATTGGCCAGAATACTCCGAGGGGCCGCCTCTGATGATTTTGAGCGTGAGACGAGCACGACGGGGGCTTCCCGCGATGGCTGAGGTGAGGGTGAGCGGACTTGTATAGCCGGTGGTGCCGGCTTGGGCCGATATCTCGCCTCGGCCTCTTCTCTTTGGCGTTGCTGTTCTTCTGCTCTTCGCTTCTGCTCGTCCAGGATCTGCTGTTGCCGCTGTTCTGCTCGTGAGGGAAATGCTCGTCGGTCGGGCGCAGCAGACACCCAAGGATCATGGCCGACAGCTGGCGAATGCTTGCCATTCGGTTGAGCATACTGACTTGCACTATCGTAATGCTTCACGTGACCGGACTGGGTATGTGGAGGTCGATAGCCAGCAGCTTGGGCAGCAGAGCCACTTATTTTGAGCGACTGCATGCTCGCTGCGATCGGCAGGCCGTCATCACCGCGTCGTCCGCTCCATGGCGTGACGTTATCTGGGTTTGCCCACTTGCTCGGCGGCCGGGGCGCAGCCATGACAGCGCTGATAAGGAGGTGGTCGAAACCAAACTCGCCAGGGGGACGCGTGCGCGCGAATCAGATATTATCAAATCGCACGAGACGCGAACAAGCGGCAGATTTTGGACGATCACGATGCATAGACCCACAGCAGATGACCGCACTGGATGGAAAGCGTTGAGACACGAGGATACACGAGATATGACGACAAGGGCTGAGGAGACCTTCAGACTACTATCTCCGATTTTGGAGCGCTGGCTTCCGCGTCCTTCTCGTCAGCAAGGTCGATATCATGTTGGGCTGTGGTAAGCTCTTGCTCCGAGGGCAGATTTGTGACCATCAGATAGAGTACGCTGTTCTTGATGATGCGTCCACGAAGCACACCGCCTCTGCCGCGGACACGGGCGCCGCGACGACCCATCGCTTGCGTCGCTGGTGTGCCATCAGCAGTGAATAGGTTCTGCATCCCGGCGCGTCGCTTTCCTTTGCCGATAGTGCCTGCCATGATCGCAGTCAGCTCGGATGCGAGGTCAGTACGATCGGCGGCTGACCCCCAGAGACAAGTGAGACTAGGCCTCCTTGATTAGCAGCATGCGTCGGATCGCCAAATCGGGAAGCGAAAGAGGGCCTTTGCTGAGTGAGAGATGATCCAGGATTCTGGGCAGCGTATTTTGCCTGAGCACGCTTGTCAAAGTAATTGGCGATGACTTTGGAGTTCGACAAGGCCTTCTTTGACTCGGAGCTCTTTTGATCGACCCCAGGGAAGACGAGAGGGACGGCGTAGGGTAAAGCCATCTCGCCTTCCGTTGTGCCCGCGACTGCTTTGGGCGTGGACAAGCCTGCTTGATCAGTCATCGCTGTCTGGACTATGCTCGTCGTTTCATCAAATTGTCCCAGCGAAACCGAGTGACCTGCGCCTGGCTTGAAGCACATGACGAGCGCAAACAGACCACGTGGCCTGAAGAGGTGCTTGTTCATCCCCGCCAGGAATTGCTGGCCTTGACCGCGGCCTCCCGTCACTTCCTTTGTGGCTTGAGCTGCTGAATTGGCGAGCGTGCAAGCGGCGGTGGCCAGGATGCTTGGACTGAGCCCGCCGATGACGACAGTCTCGTAGATGGGAGAAGCTTGCTGTGCGTGCTGGTACATCTTCAGAAAAGTCAGAAAGGTAGCCTCATCGATGCCTGCAGCAGCGAGATCGGGCGCGTACGCTCTGACGAAGCCTCTGTTACGCGCACCTGGGCGTCGCTGGGGCAGAATGACGGGCCCAGGCAGAGGTTGTTCATCTCCCGTGTAGGTAGGTGGTGAGAGGCCAGGCGAATTCAAGACAAGCTTGATAAGATCGGGGACAGCCGTAGGGCGTTTGCCTGCCTGAAGCTCGGCACTGGTCTGAGGCACAGCTGCGTCATCTAGCACATGATATTGTTCACGTCCGGACACATTGCGACTCGCAAAGACTCACTAGGTAGGTCTGCCTGCCCAGCTGCTTCGTCCAGAATCCATGCCTCATTGTCAGAATCGAGGTCGCTTTCCCCGTCTAGTACTTTAGCGTCGGGTGCTTCCGAACTGATGATCGATGAATCAGCTGCCGCACGACCGTCGGCCTTGCTGAGCTCCTTGCGCTCTTTCCGAGCAGCATTGAGCTCCGCTGAGAGCCCGATAAGATTTGAGACTGGGCGAAGCCATCAGCCGGGCTAGAACACATCGAGTCGCACGCACTGGCGTCCTTGATGATGCCCATGTCGACGAAGAACGGAAAGGAGCTCCATGGTACTTATGAAGGGTGACAGGCATGCCGCCTCCAAATTAGGCTGCGCGGGCATTCGGGCATGGGCAGGTCACATGGGACGGGACGAGCCAGTCTTGTGCCGAAACAGAACGCTCGTGCCTGTCTTCCCGCTCTCTCGTCGCTTCGTCTTACAACGGCGTCTACTAGTCTCCAATGTCCCCTGCATGATGTCATACAACAGTCACCGGATACACCACACTTGCATCTTGGGCGCGTTGAGCGTGTCGAGGCCACTCGCGGTCACCTCCTGTCGTCGGTCGATCATGTTGTCCCTCTCTCTTCGCTAGATGATCTCGGGAACCTCGAACAGTCCGGTAGCAGGCAGACAAGCACTTGTTCCGACTCACCCTCAATTTGATCGCGGCATTCCCTCCTAGAAGCAAAGCACGATCCCTAATATCACACTCGACTTTCAACTTTATTGCACATCTGCCTTCCGGTCATTGCGACGTAAGCTCGGCGCATTGTGTTCAAGCTAGCGTGCAAAGTCAGCGGTGACCGAGCGAGTGGCTTCTCTGCTCTCACGCAGCAGTCAGACCCCCTGGCCGAGCGACTATCGCGTCGAGCATGCAGCAATGTGAAGCTGTGCAGTCTCAGGGCGCGAAATACATTCCCTGTCGCGCGATCGCTATTGCAGACTCAGCATGGTGCACACTGCATCATCAGGAACAAGCGAAGTACTACAAGCTTTACAAGGTAGATCGAGTCTTCCGAGAGAGCCTGTCGACTGTCTCAACTGAACCGTATCACAGCACGCTTCTCATGCCTACAAGACATATGAGATCTTGCTCGGTTCATCCTGCGTCATGTCGCTACCCTGCATCGATCTCGCAATCGTCGTCGGCGGCATGTCCGATCTACAAGCCCTTCAAGACAAAGCCCACGATGTACGTCGAAAGCACACGCTTGCGTCGCAGGTCATCGCCCGGCGAGAAGATCATCACGCTCAATTCTGTCGAGGCGGCGACGCGTCGCACGTTGCTTTTCTTGATGGACTCAAAGCCGAGCGACGACATCTCACAGCCTTGCTCCACATCCTCGAGGAGCAGGCCTACTCTGTCCTCTTGACGCAGAATCAAGCAGGCTGGCTCCAACAAGCCGAAGTTGCTATTTCCTGCGAAATCCCTGAAGACGCCCCGAGCGACTCAGAAAGCGCCGACTCAGACTCGGATCATGACTCGAATTCGTCTAGGCGTTCTCACACTACTCCGCCAAGCTCACAGACCTCACTAGACGCCTTCACGAGCGATAGAGCCGCTCTGACTGTCACTCAACAGCTCGAATTGGGCCTGAGAGACCATTTTTGCTACGAAGATGTGCACCGATCGAGGAAAGCGCAGCTACAGACTATCATCCTCTTCAAGCTCGAGCACGATCAGGACTGCTCTCCTACCGTCGCTCCAGCGCGTCGGCTCGTTCTGCAGGCCATCTTTCGCAAGCTCATCGCTCGCAAGCCAACGCTGATGTTGGCAGCTCAAAGGTTCACAGAGGCCTTTCCGGAGAGCTCAGACCCGATTCGCGACTTTGTGCTCTGGGATGAGCTCGAAAACGATCAGCTCCGTGCTCTTTCGAAAGCCTTGTCGGTTGCAGGAAGCGGCGGCATTCACGCAAAGCTGCTCCGAGATGCGATCGTTGATGCATTGAGCCCATCCCGTCAGATTGCTCCACAAGATCCGGGTGAAGCCGTCTCTCTCTTGGGCGGGTTCGTCTGGCGTTACGCAAGCAAGGAGATGCTTTCCGTCGAACAAGCCAAGCATTTCTACGCATTCAATCGGTGCGAGACCTGTCTGGGCAAAGTCTGCCGCTCGCTGCTCGAAGTGACGTCGATACTCGCCTTTGCCGACGGCTTCTTTCCCCAGTGGCGGCGCACTTCGGGCATGATGGGGGAGGCACAGCTGCGCAGAGCGGGTTGGTGCCTACCATCTTACGACGAGCCCGACGAACGACCCAGTACCACTGATCGAGTCAGGCTTAGGACTGGCAAGTATGTCTACTCAGAGCGCGAGCATCGGTACGTAGATCAGCCTAGATGTAGCGTGTGCTTATATGCCGCACAGCAAATGGTTCCATGCCTTGGTCAGCGCAGATACGCCTCATGCGCTCGATATGATAGCGTCTCTCGCAAAGTCGGGAGAATTCGAGATTGTCTGTGAACATCCGTCCGTTCGCTCGATCACGCTGCCAACAGTCAATTCGCTCTGGATGACTCGCGTGCGAGCTGGTCCGTCGATGCGTCAGCGCAGCTTTGCAAAGTGGACGGTCGAAGCAAAGGTGGGCGTAAAAGGCATGATGCATACGCTCGAGGAAGCCACAACAGCGCGTTTCATGCGCAAGTTCCATGATGCTTACTCCTTGCTCGTCTTGGACAACCGCCCCGGACGATCCTACGAAGATTTTGCAAAAGCGATGGCGGAGGCGATGACACCGTGGCTACCGCCATTCTGCCTCGACATGCCGCCTTTGCACGGCTATGCAACCGACATCGCACACGCTATGTTTCGAAAGGCTGGCTAGATCAAATGCACTCGCGCCAAGTTCTACTCGGAACGCTAGCGAGCAGTGCACTGGGATGTCCGTGTGTCGCTTCTCGCGTAGCCTCCTCACTCGTCAAGCGAGGCAGACCCGCGCCTTCAACTGAGATAGCGTTCTCCGCCACCGGGTGCAACGCCAGTCGGCAGTGTCAGATCAGTCTGAGATTGGGATCTGATGGACGACTTGAGATTTGGCTGTTCAACGGGCATCTTTGTCGCGTCGTCTGCCAGTGGGTGTGCCATCGTGTCCTCAAATTGTTGCCATAATGTTGTCACGCTCTCAAACTGATTGCCGACGAGCGTGACGGCTTCGACAGAGCGATTGAGCGTGTTGAACGACGTCAACGTCCGTCCCAGGTTCTGCCATCGCACGCGTCTCAACTCGCTGTGTCCGTTTGCTCCGTTCAGGCCAGGCGTACCTCTGAGATCAGACGGATCAGGCGCTCTCGTTCGGCCTCGTATGCACCACTGCTCGACATGCTAAGATCGCACAGCCTGCTTGGACGCTCAGGCTGGACAGGGCGTCGAGGTGGGGCAATGCGGCGCGTGACCGAAGTGGGGAAGACTCGCATGGCCAAAATTTTGTCGCTGACAGTCGAGAGAGATCAGTAGTGGCAAGAGCAGTCAGATCAGCATCATCGCAATCTCAGCTCTTGATTGAGACTGACAGAGGCAGAGCAAGCTAGCGGACAGGGTGAGTGGCAAACATCGACTTGATCCTCTGGGCCGAGGACGCTGACTGGGCCTGGTGACTCGCAGCCATCGGACCAGACGAACGATAGCCAGACGCATCTTTCAATATCTAGACCGTAGAGACGCAGCAGTCGTCGATGCCCGCAAAAGTGACAGCTTTCGACCCGGACAATGACACTGCAAAGCCTCTGACCGTGCCTGAACCTGCCGCTGCCAACTCTTCGAAACCAGAAGCACACCAACCAGTCAAGGACGATGGGCAGCCAGAAGCGTTCCCTGAGAGATTAGCCGCACTCGCGGCTGCTAAAGAACGCAAGAGAGTCAAGCGTCAAGCCAAAAAACAGCGACTACGTGAGGAACGCATCGCAGCCTCATCCGAGTCTGTCCCTCACGCAAGCCCGGTGCAAGATGCGGCTGCCCCAGCAAATGCAGGCTCACGCAAATCCAAAGCTCGCAAACCTCGTCAGGCTGTCGAGATTGCCCACTCGTCGTCAGACGTCGACGATACCGATGGCGATGGCTCAGAGGTCACGAAAGTCAATTCGGCAGATCTTCCCATCGTCAATCTGAGCAAACTGGCAAGTTCGAGCTGGGCAGACGAGACTGCACTCGCTTCTGCAGACCAAGACAAAGCTCAACAGCAAAAGGCCGCTGTCCTGCCATCGACCGCCCAAGCCAAGCGTAGTGCTCGACGAGCGGGAGATGTCGCCAAGACATCTCCGCATGCTGAAGCAGCACCGCGACGACAGTTTGCCCGCGATGGCAGGCTACTCAGCGAGTCCTTACGCGCGATCGGCAATTACCGCGATGAGCACGCCACCGATGCAGGCGCCTCATCATCTGCCGCCCGGACCTCGTCACCTATCGTGCACAAGTCAATTTCCACGCCAGCGCCCGTTCCAGTGCCGGCTCCACAGACAAGAGCTGGAGTGCAATCGACTGAGTCGAGTAAGCCTGTTGCAAAGGCGCCAAAAGTCAAGCAAGTCAAAGCTCAGCCAACTAATGTGCCTGCTGTGCCTAGTCAGCTGCGTATCGTCAGATCCGCTGTGTCCGTCAGCCAGGCCGACGTTGGACCTTGGCGTCATGATAAATTTCAGGACGAGTCAACAAGCGCTACTTCGTTGAATGCGCCGCCATCGAAGCAACCAATTCGAGTATCCCTGGGTCAATCTACAGCGCGCAAGCCTTTCACGACGGTTGGACCGAGCAATGTAGCCGTCCAAAGTATGTACCCCGTCCAACACATTGAAGCTGGCTTATATTGCTTTGCAGCTTTGCCTCAATCGCGAGCAGCATCCCGCGCCTCCGTGCAGATTCAGACCGATCCAGGCCGCCATGCGGGTGACAAGAACGAGCAAGAGATGAATAGCGCGCAGGCCGTCCCTCGTGGCGATCGAGAGACTCTTGAGCTCGAGAAGCGTATAGGTCGATTGAGCACAGACGAGGGGATCTTCGATGGCCGTCGAGAGTCGTCTACATCGAGCAAGCCCTATTATTCTGGCGAGTCTCGTGCCCTGTCAACGCCCGGTGGGCTTTCGGTAGCAACTCCGGAGCTTCTGGCCTATCCAGCGCAGTACGGGCCTGCTTACTACTACCCTGACGATGGCTCGAAGCACTACATGCCGCAAGCCTTCGACATGTATGGCTACCCGATCATGCAAGGGCCTCACATGATGCAGCTCCCGAATTACTACCCTCAGCCTGACTATTCGCCCGTCAATACGCCGCCGCCACACTTTTCACCAGGTCGCTACCCGCCCTACGGAGTGGATTACCACAACGAAAGGCAAATGCAACGGATCGACAATGCAGGCGGTCTCGAGTCTCGTGGCATGCCTGGATTTGCACCGCATCAGGTAGATTCCTACCAGCCATACATGTACTATCAGCAACCGCCGACGATGTACGCCTACCCATCTCATCCTCCACTTCAGTCCAAGGATCAAGCTCAAATCTCACGACCAGAGAATCGGGCTTACTCGGACCCTGCAATCCTTAGCTACGTCAAGCCAAATGACCGCTATAAGCCTTAGATAGCGCGCGCAATGTTGCTACCCCATGTTTCTGTAAACCTCCACGACCGAATGCATGAAGCAGTTGTTCACGTGAATAGATATGCACCTGTTACTGTACAACGGACGACTCTCTTTCGTCTGCACTAGAGCTCAGAGAGTCATTGTGCTTGTCTGCACTACAGGCTGAGTTGTTCCTTGAGAGCCAGCAAGCTGTTTTCGAGCTGCTTCAACTTAACCGTCCCTTTGATGAGATATTCGTCGAATCGAGACTCGCCGAGCATGCCTGCATGAGAGGATTCGGCCTCATTCGACCCGGAGATGGCGACGATTCTGCAAGGCGCAAGGGACTCTTGTCGCTCATACGCGCGGATCTCCGCAGCAGCCTCGATGCCCGTCTTGATTGGCATATTGCTGCATTCGAAGGTCAGTCGTGTCACCGTGAGAGGAGAGCAAGAACATACACGTCAGCCCAAAAGAGATGAGGCAAAAATTGCTTGTATGCAGCCACGGCTTGTAGACCGTCTGCGACCGCAACGTAAGAGACTTTGTTGCGTTTTAACAGCGAAACGAGGATGTTGCGCGAGACTGCGTTATCCTCTGCGACCATGACACGCAGCGCGCTAGCTCGAGCGTTTTTTGCCGCCTTGTGGGGCGAGGACTGTCCGTTGCTTGAGCCTTCGCTCGGTGACGGGCGCTTGCGGGAAGCTTGACTGGCAGACTCTTCAGTCGACGGCGTCAACGGCTGTCCGGGGCTTGTTGGCAGACCGAGCGACATTGGCACGGCAATGGATCCAGTATAGACGCGCACGAGCTTTGCCGCAGAAGGGTCGGATTCCCTGGCCGAGTGTGACAATTTCTCAAATTTGACAGGTATGCGCAGCTTGACCGTTGTGCCGATTCCGAGCGTCGAAGAGACCTCGCAGGAGCCGTGGAGGCGCTGCAAGAGATTGTTGACAACGCTCATGCCTAAGCCAGATCCAGACGTGAAGGGATCTTCCTGCTTGAACGGCTCAAAGTAGGCTCTTGTGCTGACGAATTCCTGACTCATCCCCTTGCCGGTGTCTTGCACTGTCAGGTCGATCGCGCTGCTGGCAGGTGCGGCGGGCGCATGCGCTCGCAGGAGCAGCTTGATCTCACCAGTGTGAGTGAAGTTCAAAGCGTTCGAGAGCACATTGAGCACGATGCGCCTGAACGCAGTCGTGTTGAGATAGACGTGAAAGGCGCTCAAGCGAGGATCGACATCGACAGTGACATTTGGTAGCTCTCGTTCGCCCTCTGCAAGTAAATTCGAATGCTTCTTGCGATCGATCCCTTGCTGCACAATGTCAAAGAGTTCTGGCCCGAGCTCAAGTGTCTGGTAGACTTGCGTCTTATCGTGATCTGCGACTGTGCTGCGGTGCGACGAAAGCTTGCCATACTCGAGAACGTCCTCTAGCGTATCACGCAGGGTGAGACCGGCAGCTTCGACCGAGTCGAGCATCTGAAGAACTTCTTGTCGCATGTGAGACTGCATCGCTGTATCGGGGTCGAAAATTTCGCGCATGCACTCGACTTGGCAAAGTATTGAATGCAGCGGCACTCGGAATTCGTGAGAGATCTGCGACAAGAAGAAAGCCTGGCCTTGCACGGCATCTATCGCCCTGAGCCTCTCGAAATTAGCGACGCAGATTGCTCCAATGGCACGAGCAAAGCCTTCTTCTGTCTGGTCGAAAGGCCTGTCTAGCTTTGAGCGCGCTACTAATACGAGCAGATGTGGTTGCTTCCGCGAGTCAAACAGGGGCAAAGCAATGACAGCCTCTGTCACGTCGGGCACGAGCTCGAAAGCGGCAGCTGGGCTTTCGCTGCCTGCTCGGCTGAAGGCGATGTTCTGTTCGCCCATGCAGTGCTTAAATAAGACCTGGGCGACGGCGCGGCTGCCGAAATGTAGCCAGTCGTCCGGCAAGCCTATCTGAGCATGTGCCAACGTCGGGAGTGACCGGCTTCTACTTTTTGTTTGATCTGCCTTGCCCGCTTTGGGCTCGAACCAGGACAGCGTAGTCCCATCCGGCGCAGTGAGCTCGCGATACCGCTCGCGCGTGCTTGCACCAGATGGTGAGGTTGTTGTCGGGGTATTGGAACCCTCGGTAGTGGACAGAATCGGCATGTGGTGGCCTACAGAAGGCGATGAGACTGTTGCAGACGCAGGATTAGACTCTGGATGATCATGTGATAGTTCGGAGGTCGCGCGAGAAGTTCCTGATCGCGTGACGGTCGAGACGTGATATCCTCGTATGTCAACGATAGCGACGCCGTCAGCTTTCAGCAGGCGCAGCAAGTCTGTCGCCGACCGAGTCAGTATGTCAGCTTCCTCTGCCTGCTGATCTATCGCCGCGGAGGTGGCATGCTCTGCACTGTCGGGGCGTTGCAAGGATGGTGCCGATTGAGAGGCAGTCCGCGCAGGTAGATATGCTGGCGGCGGGTTGAGCAGGCCTGTGAGGCTTATCGCGCGAGCACTGTCGCGTGCCAGGCGTCCATGTTCGAGCTCAGAAGCGACAAGGTAGGCCAAATCTCGCAAGAACTCCTTGTCTTCGCTGCTCAAGTTGCGTATGACGCTGCCCTGTGTGGTGTGCTCGAGAAGGCATAAGCTGCCAACGGTTGTCAGTTCAGCATGGGCATCATCGTCGCCAGTCTTGCTGACGCGCAGTCTTATTGGCTGGCCTGCATAATGCTGCACGCTACCATCGCCTCTGACCAGTGGGTTCTTTGCAAAGCGCCAGTCCTCTGCAGAATGCACTACCACCAATTCGTCGTCATTTCGCAAGGCAGTATGCGAACAAAACATGGAATCACGCGGCCCAAAGGTACCCGCTGGAACCGGCGCGTTTGCTTCAGCCAGCACAAGTATGTCCCTTTGCGTCTGCAGCATCACCGCCTGCTCAGATATGTTAGTAGCGATAGCGTCAGCATGCTTGAGAAACTGACGACTGAATCGACATTGAAATATCGCTGGGCAATGCTGACACATCTGTCTATCGACGACCTGCGAGCCGGGTCGTCGAGATCATAGCTGCATTTTCATCAGCATACTGTATCGCTGGCCGTAGGGAGCTTAGCGCACGTCTGAATGGCGGTCATTCGCGATTGCATGTCGGAGGATCTAGGCGCAGGCAGATAGCCCTTCTGAACGTATGTCTTTAACACTCGCGCGACCTCTACTAGTCGAGGCTCGGCGTGTGTCAGATCTATAGAGGCTAACTGCTGGGCGAGTGCGAGATCTGACGCCGGCTTCTGCGGAGGCCGAGCAGGTTCGTAGTTGCCGTGGGCGTATCGCTCGACAAAGTCAAGCCATTCTGTTGGCGTGCTATCGCGTGTAGCGCCGGTCGGCCGTGTGTCGCCTCGGAGCTCTGCAGCTTGGCCTACCGCGTCTTCCATAGCGTTCGAAGCGGTCCGATCGCTGGAGCGACCAGTCAACAGATGGCTCGCTTAGCACCGGCTCGCTTGTCAGCGACCGGGCGTCCTGTACGTGGCGACAAGTCGAGACTCTTTAGCACACTTTGGCGTGCGCATGGGCAAGGATTCCAAAACTTCGATCACGGATTTTCGATCAGGGCCTGGCCACCCGCCCAACATTCGGTCCCTTGCGCCGCCGCGGCGGTCATGCCGGAGCAGCGCGTCAAGTAATATCGTGACCAGTTTGGTGACGTGTCCTGTAGCGACAGACAATGAAGCCAGGCAAGCAGAAAGGTGCGTTAGCTCTTCTTTTGCCGGCCCGGCTGATGCAGACAGATAGCATCGACGGTTCGGGTCCCGGACAGGGCGCCATCCAGCGAAGCAAACCCGTTCAGTTCGCTAATACCAGATCAGACGATCGCCGTCGTCGACAGCTTCACGCTCGAGTCTGGCGTCGTCCTTGCTGAGGTGGAAGTAGCCTACAACACCTGGGGGCAGCTCAACAAGGCTGGCGATAATGTACTGGTCATCTGTCATGCGCTTACAGGCAGCTCAGACGTGGGAGATTGGCAAGTCGTGGAACGGTGACTCGACGACCGAACTTACGTCTTTCGCGCGACAGGTGGGGACCACTCATGGGCACAGGGCTAGCTTTCGATCCCGCTCGCTATATGATCTTTTGCGCCAATGTCTTGGGCTCGCCTTATGGTTCTGCCTCGCCCGTCACATTGAATCCAGAGACAAACCAGAGATGGGGTCCCGAGTTTCCTCCTACAACGACGAGAGACGATGTTCGACTGCATCACCTCATTCTAGATCATCTGGGTGTCAAGTCTGTGGCTGCCGTCATCGGCGGGTCAATGGGCGGCATGGCCGTGCTCGAATGGCCTCTCTGCACGCCGAAGAGCTATGTACGCAATATCGTGCCGATAGCGACATCCGCTCGCCACTCGGCTTGGGGCATCTCATGGGGCGAAGCTCAGCGACAATCAATCTACTCGGATCCAAAATATGAAGATGGCTTCTACGCGATTGACCAGCCACCGATTACAGGCTTAGCGGCTGCGCGCATGGCTGCGCTGCTCACGTATCGCAGCCGAGATAGTTTTGAGAGTCGCTTCGGACGCAAACACAATCTCACGCCCCGTCGCGAGAGCTCATCAGATCTGGGTGTGCCTCGTACACCGGCAGAACGAGCGCTGGCTGCTCACAACGATGGACATAGAGGGGCAAGAATCAGAGAACGAAGTTCATCCTCAGAATCGATTACGACGCGCGAGCAACCATTGCCTGTCAGTGCGCCGGCGCCGGGTAGCCCTGGTTCCAACGGCGACGCTCCTGTAGTGTTCTCTGCGCAAGGCTATCTACGCTATCAGGGAGACAAGTTTGTGCAACGCTTTGATGCAAATTGTTACGTGCATATTACCCGAAAGATGGACATGCACGATGTGCAGCGAGACCGACCGAGCGATCCGCCGCCGCTATCGACGATTCCCCCAAAGGCACTCGTCATTGCGATTTCGTCAGACGGTCTCTTCACCCTCCGAGAGGCACAAGAGATTTCAGAGCAAATACCGGATGCACGTCTTGTCGTCGTATGTATGCTTGCTTGCCCGTTTGCGACTAGCTCACATGGACGCAGATTGACTCGCCAGAAGGACATGACGGCTTTTTGCTCGAATTCGCGCAGATCAACCATCACATCCTGCTTCATCTGACATCCCAACTGCCCGAGTTTTATGACAATACGCTACAGAGCCCAGAGCTTGTGGCAGCGCAAGGCGACGAGCGATTTGTAGCCAAAAAGAGCAGCGTGTTCGGCGAAGCAGAGGTAGATCTGACGAGCTGGTAATGCATAGACTGTGCCATCATTCTTTGATGAAGCGGAGTCGGTTGCGCCAGCCAAATCCAAGCTCGCTGTCGTCCGATACGAGTCGAAAACGCCAGGATGTCATGCGATCTGCATGCTTAGCGGAAGCCGAGCAAGCTTTCGCGCTGATTGTGTAGGTGCCAGCGAGATGACTGCCGTCCTGACCATCGGCGACTGGCGTCGTGCTGGGCTGAGCAACCGGATCTCCGGTGATGCTCACGCTCCAATCCGCGAAATGGTCCGAGATGTTCCCAGCAGGCAAGCGCGGTTCTCTGGTCCGATTTCCGCTCGGTGTCGGTGAATTTGCGGGTATTTTTGAGCTGAGGGCAGGCGCGACGACAGGTAGGTCGAGCGTGTGAGCTTGTGTGTCGAGAATCGCTAGGTCGACTCTGACGATCCCATGAGCGCCTGCACGGCCAGAGGCAGAGTGACGTACTGTTGATCTGGCGTCGAGAGCTGGGCTACACAGTTGACGGCAAGCGCGACGAGGGCACCATACGCCGAAGCTCTGCGAGACGGATCAGAGCGCGCACAATGCGCGACCAGGGGCCGCCTACGAAGTGATCTCGGGGTCGTCGAGATAGGCCGAAGGGTTGCAGAGAATGATTTGCACGAGGCCAGGAGGGACAGCGTTCGCTTTGCCAGTGTGTGCTAGCACGAGTGAGGAAAGGAAGAAGCGATAGTGCGTAGCCGTCGGGCAAAACCTGATTGTATAAGTCTTGTTGAGCTCTTGTTGAAGACACGGAGGTGACACAAAGCTGACCTGAGCTCGATACGGCGTAGCAATCTGCGCAGATGGCCCTTGCCGCCTTCCTCACTGAGCCAAGATTCGTTCTCTTTGACGAGGTTGACATGTATATCGGCGCGATCAGGAAAGACGATGAGGATTCGCGCAGGCAACTTGGCATGCTGGGTCGGATGATCATCATGATCGAGTTGCGAGTCCGGCGCACTCCATTGTTCGAGGTCATAGTGCTGCTTGAGCGAATTGAGCGCGAGATGGAAGCACATCAGAGACGTGATCGTTCCGTTGATTGCAAATACATGGCCAGGCAAAGTCTGGCGGGCCTGTGCCGGTAGCTCTGCTTGGATGTTGGTCGGGAGTAACCATGCCGGGCTGATGGGCATCAACAAGAGAGCGTCAAGCTGTTCCTGAGGCGCCAACGAGTCGCGCGAATTGTCGCGTTGCTCGTTGCGTCATAGGCTTTCATGTCAGAGCGACAGTCTCCGTGCCTCATGTCTGACTCCGAGCGGTGCATCGTCGCAGCACTAGACCCCCTCTCATCCTCGCGAACCGCTCGAACCACTCAGCAACGTCACTCCCGCTTTCGAATTCGAGGTCAAGATGAAGATGATCTCGCTCGGTGTCATGCTCGCCGCGCTGCTGTCTACCACCTATGCGAGTGCGATCGATGCGCAAGCAGGCCAGGCAATGCATTTGGCAAAGCGAGGCTTGTATGGCGGCCCCCTGATCTGCTGGATCCGCGCAACGGCAGCCGGTCAAGCTGACTCGGCCACTCAATTCGCTCTCAATTGGGACATGAAAGCAAATCAGTATCGCTCTGCATACGTGCTCGGTACAGGCGCAGGACTGGTACCTGCCGACATGGAAGCCAATGCCGGCCACACGGTTTCTGGCTTCTCGAGTGAGCTCTCAATCGCTCGCCCGTGCACATGCGCCTGACAGCTGTGCATGTGCAGTCAATGCTGGCAGCTACCTTTACATACTCTCTTTTGTATATGATCACACGGGCTTCTTCCAAGTCAGGCTCGCCTCAGGGACGATCAATGGCGTCAGGTGAGTGTCTGATCTGCGCCTCGGCTGCTCACTGACCCGGTGGCATGGAGCATCGACACTTATGGCGTCTCGTGCGGCCAGACACCCTCGTTGCTCCCTGTCGTCAAGTATGCCGGCTAGACGTGACTGTTGTCAAGGAGACACGCGACCATCGTCTCGCTTCTTTGCTGTCAAGTGGTCGCGTTGAGTGACGCACTGAAGCATCCCATGGAGGGCATACCTGCCGAGGAGCTCTCGAGCTTCTCGATGAAGCAACGTGATAAGGATCTCCTGGCAGGTGCGGCGGGAGGGATCGCACAGATTCTTGTGGGCATGCCATTCGACAATGTCAAGTCAAAGCTGCAGAGTGGAGCGAGGGAGTATGCCGGCGCACTTGACTGTGCACGAAAGACAGCAGCTGAGGAAGGCATGCTTGCGTTCTACAAGGGGACCACCATGCCCCTCGTCTTCATCGGTCTCTGCGTCTCTGTCCAGTTCGGCGTGCTCGAGGCCGTCAAACGAGCTCAACAAGCCAGCAACCTCAGACGTACGGGCACAGAAACGCTCTCGATCCCTCAACTGTGCCTGGCAGGCTCTGCTGCAGGCTTCGCCAATGCTACCATCCTAGGCCCCGTTGAGCATATCCGCATAAGACTCCAAACTCAGCCACCAGGTCCAGAAGCCTACCGCGGACCCTACGATGCTTGTCGTCGCATCTTTGCTTCCAATGGCATCACAGGCATCTACCGTGGTCAGACGATGACCTTTGCAAGAGAAGGATGGGGTCTGCTCTGCTACTTTGGCACGTACGAATCTCTCGTCGCGCGTGAATGCCGCGATCGCAATGTCACGCGCAAGGCAAGCTCATCCGTTCGATGATGACATGATGTATCTCATCACCTTTGCACGGACCGGACAGGAGATTGCTATTAGCTCATCGGCTTTGTATGGCGTCTGTGCAGGCTGGGCGCTCTGGCTGTCTGCCTACCCTCTGGACGTGATCAAGACGCGCATGCAAACCGACAACTTCGCCAAGCCACGATACAGCTCGTCTCTCGATTGCGCAAAGCAGCTCATCGCAAAAGGAGGTTGGAAAGGGTTCGCACGCGGTTTGACGCCAACGCTGATCAGAAGTCCGTTTGTGAACGCGGCAACTTTTGCCGTGCGTCTCTTCCACTTCTGTGGACGATCTTTGCTGAAGAGCATGATGACGACAGGTCTTTGAGTCGACACTCAAGTATCTCGGCTAAGCCCTGTCGATCTCTGTGACCGCCCTTTTGTGCCTGGCCTGACGATAATGTCCAATCTTGGGCGTCGACCCAGGTTAGTGGTAGCCACGCGCTCTTTTCTTCGCCGACATCTGACGCATACAAAAGCTGACGACCTTCCTTGCTCCTCTCCTCTCTGTCGTCTTCAGCTCCATCATGCAGACACCGCCGCTTTCGCTCTCACCTATGGCTGGCCAAGGTACACCGCCTCGTCTGCGTGTTGCCAGGCAGATGGCTGAGCTTTCCTACAGGCTTGCGCAGACGTAGCAGCGTTGACGCTACTCAGCTACCGATAAAGCGAGAGCAGTCGCCTTCGATACCAGATGCAAACGAAGAAACTCAGCTGGCTCTGAGTCGCTCAATGAAACGCAAGACCAGCGGATTCTCGCCTAGCCTGTCGCGAATCCCATCCCAGGCCGGCTTCGTCTCACCGGCATCACCCGCGCCTGCTTCTGCGTATTCTGCATCATCAAGCCAGAGCAATAGCGAACCGGCTTCGCCGCTCGAGCATCTGCCGATGGCGCTGACGAGCATGCTACGCGAAGCCTGTAGTGCAGTCGAGCGCATGCTTCTCTTCTTGGAAGACGCCGAGCTATAGACTTGGCCGGGCGACTTGTCTGCATCTGCGACTCAGTCGGTCGTGGCGCACTTTGTTGGTATTGCATTGCTTTAGCTCATTCGAGGAAGGACACCTTACGGAGGTGCAAGTCAGGAACAGCAGACACGCAAACGAGTGAGGTAGAAGAATGCAAATACGCACGGAGCAGGCATGAAGGAGTATGTATATGCGCTGAGGCAAGGACGTAGACTATGCAATCACTCTTGCAAGAACATCCTGTAGACTGGGTTGTCCGTCTCTTCCGCATACTTGTAACCCAGCTCGCTGAGAAAGACCTCAAAGGCTCCTGTGCGCTCAGGTGGTACTTGTATCGCCGCAAGCACTCTTGCCACATCTGTACAGGTCATTAGCTATCGCTTGTAATCTGATGCCTGACTTGCCTCCGCCCTGCCCTCGATAATGGAAAAGGGTGACATTGAAGAGACCCTGACTGATGCCTTGCAAGTACTTTCGCAACGCACCCGGTCGCTCGGGAAACTCAAACCGAAAGACGCGCTCGTTCGGTATCGATTTTCTGCCGCCGACAAGGTAGCGAGCGTGAGATTTCGCGAGCTCGTTCTCGCTCAGATCGGTCACTTTCATACCGGCAGCAACGATGCTCTGCATGATCTGTTCTAGTTCGGCCTGTCGCGCTGCCTGTGGCGAATCGACTATGCCCAAGCCCGGCACTTGTCCCGCTGCAAGATGAAATGCAAAGATGGCGTGTGCTTCTGCGGGTGAGGAGTAGCGATACGAGAACTCGGTGATGCTTCTAGGGTGGATGCAAGAGTGTAGCTTGAGAAATCTGCAAGGTACGTTCTGAGCCATAGATACAGCGTAGGGATTGACGAGGACTTACGAGCCTTCCTGCTCGGGCAAGGTGACGCAGATGAGCGCTTCTCGCTTCTCGCCCAGCTCTGCGCGCTCGGCGACGAAGCGCAACCTGTCAAAGTTCATATTGGCGCCCGAGACAATGCCAACGAAGCGTTTGTTGGACCCGACAAGTTGGTTTTGCTGGATGTACTTCTTCATGCCCGCTACGGCCAAGGCGCCCGAAGGTTCCGAAATCGCTCGCGTATCTGCACGTCCTATGGGATGAGCTAGAGCTGCGATGTCGCTGTGAGCACGTCTACCTTCGAAGATGTCCTTGATGGCTGCGCAGACTTCGTCGTTGGAGACAGACACCATCTCGTCGACAAAGTTTGAACAAACGCGAAAGGTCTCTTCGCCGACGATGCGTACTGCCGTGCCATCGGCAAAGAGGCCGACCTCCTTGAGTGAGACACGTTCGGTCCCTCTCAGACTAGCCGTGAGCGCGTTCTGATCGTAAGTCTCCACGCCAATGACCTTCACTCGCGGGGGCGCGATCTGCTTGACGTAGGCTGCTACGCCTGCCAGGAGTCCACCGCCACCCACGCAGACAAAGATGGCATCGAGCTCGTCAGGATTGGTCTGTCGTAGTATCTCTACACCGATCGTGCCTTGGCCTGCGATGACGTATGGCTCATCGTAGGGGGGTATATTGACGAGTTGGTGCGCGTGAGCTAACCGCGCGCATTCGAGCTTGGCTTCGTCAAAGTCTGTTCCGTGCAAGACGACTTTAGCGCCGTAGCGTTCGACGTTGAGCCATTTGATGGCGGGGGTATTGAGGGGCATGACGATAGTACAAGCTATACCGAGCTTGCTGCCTGCAAGAGCGACACCTTGCGCGTGATTGCCTGTCGGTGTGCGAGCCATGCATCAGTCGTTGCGCAGTCACTGTGAGACTTCCGACAGACCTGCAGAGCAAGCAATGACACCCCGCCATCGTTCGTCTTCGGTGAGAGCAGACATGAGGTTGTAAGCGCCTCTGATCTTGAAGCTAAAGACGGGTTGCAGATCTTCACGCTTCATGAGGATCTGGCAGCCCATCCTGCTGGACAGTGACACTGCCGGATTGAGTGGTGCTGCATCCCCACATCAGGATGGACATGCGGGGGCAGGGGCGGGAGTCATACTGGGCTGTACGAGCTCATAGACTCGAGACGTGAGGGCAAGTCGAACATAATCCGGTGTGCCGTCTGGGAGGATGCAGTGCTTCGGCAGTCGGGCGTACATACCCTCTGCTGGCTTGGTGACTGACGTCGACGTGCTCGCTTCTGGCTGATGGCCGTTGACGATGGCCATGCTTCGAGTCGAGGAGGGGAGCAGCGTCACTCGGCAAAAAGTTGGCGACGACTTGAAGCAACTCGACGACCTTGACGAGTCACTGGACGGCGAGGATGGCAGCGAGAGATGCCCCGGAGAGGACGATCAAGAGCGGGCTGGAGATACGCTCCTTCAAGGATGGCAACGGCAAGATGCAGGCTCGGTATGACTTCAGCAGAGCTACGCTGATGCCCTGACATGACAGCCTGCCCGTCAAGGGCGAACGCAACGTCCTCATCACTTCTGCCTTGCCCTAGTGAGCGACCCTGTCTGGCTCCTGGCACGCATAGCTGATGGTGTGGCGCAGTGTGAACAAGTATGGCCAACGCTTCGAGCATGCTCAGCAGCTTGCTCACGTCATGCCAACAGTGCACCCCACCTGGGCAACATCATCGGCTCGACCCTCTCTGCAGACGTCTATGCTCGCTACTCACGCATACGCAACCGCCCCACCCTCTACGCCTGCGGAACAGACGAGTATGGCACCACGACAGAGACCAAAGCGATGGCAGACGGCGTCACTCCTCAACAACGTCAGCCAGACTGCTCTCACTCTGAACTTCGCTGATGAACAATGTCAAGACAGTGTGTGATAGGTATCATCAGATTCACAAGACGAGCTACGAGTGGTTCCAGATCAGCTTTGACGTCTTTGGGCGGACGACGACGCCTCAGCAGACAGAGTCAGCCGACGCACTTTTAGCGGCTCGCAGGCAGCTGAGACTGCGTTGTACCACGACAGGATCTGTCAAGACGCTTTCAAGAAGCTCTACAACAATGGTCTGCTCGAGAAGCAGTCCATGCAGCAGCTTTATTGCAACACAGACAAGAGGCACGCCGCATTGCAGTCATTGGCTTTGTCCATTACAGCTGACCTGCCTGTGCAGATTCCTCGCAGATCGCTTTGTAGAGGGCACATGCCCAAAATGCGGCTACAGCGTCAGTTTATCATCCTGCACCGTATTGATCGCTCAAAATCTTGGAGGAGCAGGACGCGCGAGGCGATCAGTGCGATAGCTGTACGAACCAGCTCGACCCATTCGAGCTCATCAAGCCACGCTGTAAGCTATGCGGCAATGCGCCGGAAGAAAAGCATTCAGATCATCTCTTCATCAAGCTCGGTGAGATGCAGAAGGATCTCACTGTCTGGATAGACGAAGCGATCAAGACGGGGATATGGAGCAATAACGCGATAGCGCTCACGAAGGGTTGGTTAGACCAAGGTCTCAAACCGCGTTGCCTCACTCGCGATCTTTCTTGGGGCGTGCCCGTACCTCTGCCCGGCTGGGAAGGCAAGGTCATGTATGTCTGGGTGAGTTGGCAACTTCCCGCTCCTTATCAGCCTGACAGCAAGACAGTTTGATGCGCCATTCGGTTATCCATCGATCACTGCGACGTATACCGACGAATGGAAGCGATGGTGGCAAGACCCTGACAATGTCGAGCTGTATCAATTCATGGGCAAAGACAATGGTAGGCGAACAGCAGCTCGGATATACATCAGCTGATGCAAGAGCAGTGCCATTTCACACCATCATGTTCCCTGCTTTCCAGATTGGCTCAGGCGATAATTGGACCAAGCTGAACTCGCTCAGCACGACGGAATACCTCAACTACATGGATGTCAAGTTCTCAAAGTCTCGCGGTGTCGGCGTCTTTGGAGAGAATGCGAAAGACACGGGCGTGTCGGCATCCGTCTGGCGCTACTATCTCCTCATGAACAGACCTGAGACAAGCGATACCACCTTTACCTGGAGCGATTTTATCAATCGCAACAATGGCGAGCTTCTGGGCAACCTTGGCAACTTTGTCAATCGCGCACACAAGTTTGTCAATGCAAAGTACGACTCTGTCATCCCGGATCCGGCGTCAATCTCTTCAGACGTAGACCAACATCAAGATGCGCTCGACGAAGACCTCCAACGCGACGCAGATGCTCTGATATCTAGCTATATAGAAGATATGGAGCGGATAAAGATGCGCGCTGCACTAGACTCTATCATGCGATTGTCCAGTCGAGGCAATCTATACCTGCAGACTTCAGTTCTTGGCAACGATCTCTTCGCAAACCAACCCGCACGATGCGCTCGCGTCGTGTCCAATGCGCTCAATCTGACTTACGCACTCTCTGCAATGATAGAACCTTTCATGCCAGCCACAACAGAAGCTATTTTGACTCAGCTCAACGCGCCCGCTCGCAGTCTACCTACCTCGTTCGATCGTGGTCTCTTAGCAGGGCACAAGATCTTACCTGCTGCGCACTTGTTCAAGCCCATCGATATAAAGATGGAAGCGATATGGCGCGCACAATATGGTGGCGACTCGAGCGCTACCGTTGAAGAGACGCCCAAAGAGAGCAAGCGCGCCGCAAAGCTCAAGGCGAAAGCCAAACAGTCGGCGCAGTCCGCGAGCGAACAATCGACGCTCGTCGGTCCAAAATCGCCAGAAATTATTCGACTGGAGACCGACATCGTCGCGCAAGGAACCAAAGTGCGAGAAGCGAAAGCAGCTGCGAACAAAGATACTGCCCCAGAGCTGCAATCAAAAGTTCAAGAGGAACTCTCGCAATTGCTCAAGCTCAAGCAAGATCTTGCCGAGCTAGTCTTGCAGACTTCACAGCTCCAGGTGACCAATGCGATCGAGTAGGGAGAAGTAGACACTTTGCACGCCAGGCGCGCGCAAGTTGTACAGATATGAATTGCATGCAGTCGGAACAACACGAGGGAGTGATGACGAGAAAGTACAGAGTGTGCGTTGTTCGGTTTCAGTCTTCCTTGGAATCGCCCCAAAAATGGTCTTGGTAAGCGGTCAATTCGCGCTCGAGCTTATCCATCATGATCATACTCTGAGGCGGCGCGGAGTCTACACGAGAGGTATTACTGCTCTCGCCAGAGGACGAGCCGCTTGTGCTCGATGCCAAGCCGAGCAAAGAGTTGCGCTTGCTGCGTTCGGCCATCTCGACTTGGGCTCGTTGCAGGTAGTCTAATATCGCCTTCGCCCTCTTGCGCAGTTCGGGTAGCGTAGACCGTTTGCTCGGAAACTTGACCCGCATGGGAGGCTCCATCGCACGATCAGGTCCGGGCGCCTCTCGAGCTGCCTTTGATGTGGAAGCAATCGGTCGGGTGACGGGCACCTCGATGGGCTTTGGCGCGCTGGAAGGTAAGAGATGAGCGAGATGAGCGAGATGATCGGGCAGATGCCAGCTGAGTCTGTCTATGCCGCCATCTGCATGTGCATGATGGTCTCGCGGCCGTCTCGGCGCAGGAACGACAGTGTGAGATTCTGCTGTCTTTCTGACGGGTGACCGTGGCGCGGAAGGAGCAGGCAGGGGGCGGGACGCTGGCGGACCCGGTTTGGGCCTATAAGTATACTGATTAGGGTGTTTGGGCTTTGCGAAGACACTTTCGCCCTCTGTAACCAGTGTGAGTACCTGCAAGTCTGTCTTGCAGTATGTGTGAGCTCACCTTGATTATCGGGCGGGGCAACTGCTTTGCGCTTCTTGCCCTTGCCGGATTTGGCTGGCGGTGGGTCAGGGTAGAAAGAATCAATATCTAAGTTGTCATCTTCTGCATAGGATGGTCGTACAGCAGCAGCTTTGCGATCTGCGAGCTGACGCCGTGATGTCGTCTTTGCGGGGCTCTCGGCCTCGCCTTCTTCATTCTCTTCTTGATCTTCTTGTTCGTCTTGCTGGTCACCGTCTGGCTCCTCGTCTTCCTCGGGCACTGCTGGCTCTTCGGGCTCGAGACCTAGATCTTTGAGTGATGCAGCGGTAGCGAGGGCGAGTTGCTCTTCCTCCAGCCGGCTATTGAGCGTGCTGCGTCGCTTGGGCATCGTCGGCGTTGAATAGCTGGCCGGTACATAGGAAGCGCTCTTTTCCTTTTTAGCCGATACGGGCGACATCTTCCCGGCTAGTACAGACTTTGCACGCTCTCGGTCTTGACTCTGTGTCCTCTTGTGGTCCGATCTAGCCATACCCGACGCCGTGTCCTCTCTGACGGGAGACGCATATGATCTCGCGCGGCTTCCGCTCGTTTGAGATCTAGCTTTACCTTCGGAGGATCCCCTGCTTCTGCTTTGTGTAGGCCTGGGGTGCGGCTTTGATTCGCCCATCGGGTGCAAGTCGGGCCGACATTGCTCGCAATAGTACGTGTCGGGGCAGGAAGTCTCTGCGAAGAGGCCGACGCAGGGGCCATGTTGCCAGACTTTGCACAGCTCGCACTGGATCATCAGTCCGTCTTCCACCTCACCATCTACGCCATAGTCATGTCAGCTCGAGTCAGAGCATCATGGTGTCCGACGCACTGTTGTTGCCGCACGGACAGCGTGTGACATCCTCTGATTCTAGCTCTTCTTCGTCCTCAGAGTAGATCGATGGCGCAGAACGAGCAGGTGCCTTGGCCCTCCTTGCAGCAGCGCCGCGTGTGCTGCCGCGTCCTCTGGCATGGCCCCCTCCTCTTCCCCGTGACTTGCCGGAGCTCTTGGAGCGTGAGCTAGTGGACAGTTGAGAGGCTGATCGAGCAGCAGGTGCGGCTGTCAATGGAGCAGCACGACGAGGTCGCCGTTTGGCCAATGCCTTTGCGGGCTCTTGCTCTTTCTCTTCTTGCTGCTCATTCTCTGGCTCCTCTTCCTCTCCGATGATGGGCTTCTCATCCAGCGGACTCCTCGACACACTCTGAGCTCGAGCAGGATCGTGGGAAGTAGCCAGATCGAGCTCATCTAGCTGTTCCTGCTTGAGCTCGAGCTGTCCCTGCCCTGCCTGCTCTGGCGCTGCTGCGTCTAGCTCGATCGACGCTGGGTCAAGCTCGACAGAGGTCTGCAGGTGGTCCGGCAGAGGAGCAGGTGTGGGATCGCCCGAGGTGGACAGGTCTTCAGGTGGAGTAGCAGAGGCAGTCTGGCCAGAGCTACTCGTGCCGCCCGAAGGCCCCGCTCGCTTGCCGTTCTTGCCGAGTGGGCCGTTCGAAGCAGACGAGCTTGGCTTGCTCACTCTCCTCCTAGATGTTGCCGCTGTGCAGAGCAGACCAAAGTCAGCCCGAGCTAGTGCGTGATGGGTGACTTTTGGCTGACCCATGTTGTACGGGCTCGGGATAGCTAGTGCAGCTCGCCAGTGTACAGACTGGACTGAGTAGGCAAGCCACACAGAGGCCTAGCCTCATCTGTGTGCCTGTCTGCTCACGCCGGCTCGCTGATCGTCTGGGCTTTGGAATGGATCGCGTCAGGTACAGACAGCCCAGCCCCTCTCTACTCAGACGAGAAGCCGGCTCAGTGCATAGAGATCATATCAACGAAGAGGGTACATGACTGAGCGGCTGTCCTGACGAATAGCTAGCCTGGCCAGTCTGTTGCTGCTTCAGCGCTGCGCCAAACGACGAGCTCGGCTCGAATGACGGCCTGACGCCGGTCAACTGGCTGCCGAGCGTCGATGCTCGGAACGGGTTGAAAGTACCCGTCTGCTGCGGTACTATTCCGTTCGACTGCGCTGGGCCAGCTTGCCCGCCAGGTAGACTCTCTGCAAGCGAGGTGCCGAAGCTCGAAGTAGGCTTGAACGGCGTCACGGACGAGCCGCCATAGCCGGTGGGCTGAGCGGTGAGCAGGCTAGGCCGCTCTGCTGGCTGCTGCTGTACAGGTGCAGACAAGTTTGTAGGAGCAAAGCTGGCAGATCCATTGCTCGTCGCTTGCGGTCGGTTGAACGAAGAAGCAACATCGGCAAATAGTCCGATACCGCCCGTCTTCTGCGACTCGAGAGGCGCCGCTGCCTGGCCTGTCTTCATCGCTTCTTGCTTCGCGACAAATGCATCGAACGCGGACAGCGGTTTTGCTTCGCTTGTAGACTGATTAGGCTCCTGCTCTGTCGAAAATTTGGCCCAGGCGTCTGCAGCAATGGCATTCATCGACGGCTGGGCAGGCGCCTTGGGCTGTGGCAGTTCGGTGCCAGGTGGAGGTGCAAAGGGATTGCGAGAACCAGTAGGCTGATACTTGAGCGGCGCCTGTGTTGTGCCGTTGCTCACCGGCGCATTCGCCGGCGCAGCCGCAGGCTGAATTGGCGTATTTGTTTGAGATCGCTTGGGCGGCAAGAAAGGCACGCTGTTGGGTACGAATCCTGTCGTCTGAGGCTGGAGTGCTGACAAGTTGGGATCCTGAAGCGGCTGTTGCTGTTGCATTTGCAAAAAGGGATTATATCCAGTCGGTTGAGGCGCTATACTTTGCCTGAAAGGATTATAGCCCGTGATCTGAGGCTGCATAAACCCATTGCCCATAGGCTGCTGCATGTAACCTGTTTGTTGAGGCGCAAATGGCATCTGTTGAGGCTGCTGCCAGGGCATAGCAGTCTGCTGAGGTTGAAACGGCGCGTAGCCGGTCTGCTGGGGCTGCACGAATCCAGCCTGATTTGCCATGAAAGGATTATAGCCTGTCTGCTGAGGGTATATAGGCTGAGATGGTCCGGCGACACCACCGAAAAGCGTCTGCTGTTCAGATTCTATCGACTCGAAGAAATCGGCGATGGCTTGATTGCCAGCCGGCTTCGGCGCCGAGCTCGTCGCGGTGGGCGCAGGTGCAGCGGCAGCTTTGCTGGTCGCGGTACTTGTTGTCGCTGTCTTTGTCGATGTGGTCGTGGACATAGATCGAGCAGGCACGCCGTCTGAGACCTGTTTGCTCTGTCTATATTCTGTGCGGTTCTGTTCAAAGTTTGGATCTTCTAGGTATTCCTTCAGCGAGCCGGCGAGCGAGACCGGCGCATGTCGTAAGTTGGGGACAGATATCAGTAGGATATTGGCAAGCTTTTTGGCTACGCTGAGATAGGTCACAACTTTCTCGGTCTGGGCGCAGAAGCGGGTATAAATCTTGAGTGCCGTCTCGGCGTCAGATTTTGACATCTCAAAGTAGTGCTCTGCCCCTCATTGAGCTTCCTATGTGCTTTCACGAAGCGCGTCACTGACCTAAGACATTGATGACGCCCTCGTTGACGGCTTGGAACATGTTGAGCAGATCCTTGACGAGTAGCCTGAGCGCAGTCATCGTCACGTCGTCGCCCGTATCGTCAAGATAGAACTACGTTTCATCATGTGTAAGTGTCTATGAGTCTGGACGGGCAAGAGACGCGCCTTGCAGTCAGTCAGCGAGTCCATCACTTTCTGTAGGAGGCTGGTCTCCCTGAGCAACCCTTTGTCGACGGTGAGCGTTCTCAGTCGGTTACAGGCGCCCCGTTTCTCTGCTTTGTCCCTGATCATGTCGTACTTGAGCGCATTGTACGTTTTGAGCCTTCGCTCGAGGTATGAGGAGTAATGGGTCAAGTTCTGTGGCGAGTCGATTCCTGCCGGCGGGACTTCTTACTGAGCAGATCGATTGCGCAGGCGGAGGCAGACTGACCTCGTGTGACCTGATCCAACCCGAGAACATTATTCCTGGATAGGACGTCGAGAACAGCCGACTGATTGCCGGCAATGAGGAACGTATGGATCACTATCAGCGTCTTGAAGACAACCTGCTTTGCCGGCGTGCTCAGCTCGAGCGTGATCACTGTCTGCTCGTCCACGGACCGAGGAATTAGGATCTCGCAGCCGGACCGACAGCAGTCGGGCAATCTCCTCGAAGCCATAGGCCCCACCAGAGAAAGTGGCAGCGATGAGCGGGTCTGTGTATTTAGGTTTTGGAGGTGCATGCTTTGGCTTGGTCGCTCCTGCCGACGTCGTCTGTGAGCAACTCGCTGCGATGCGCACTGCGCCCGTGTTCACTGACCTTTGACGAGCTTGTCGTACTGGCCCGACATGACTGCAAGGGGCCCGTTGCCGTTCGTTGCTTGCCTGTCGCGTCAATGTGGTGATGTCACCGACCTGGCAAGTCTACTGAGCGGTCTATGCCTGCCCGTGGCGTCGCTATCGTGCTGCCGTTCTGCATCGGCACACCACCAGATCCTACGCCAGTGCCCGCAGTCACGTCAGGTCAAGTGCACTTTGCTCCAAACCCAAGTCAAGGCCGATCCAACGAAGCAACAATCCACTACTTGATCGTCTCCTCACGCAAGCACAAAGATCGCTATGTCTTGCCCAAAGGCGGTGTAGAGACTGCAGATCCTAGCATCGCTTCAGCAGCTCTGCGCGAGGGCTACGAAGAGGCGGGTTTGTGCGTCAGCTCCGATAGAGCGATCGTCTCTGTCGGCGAGCCCATAGACGATGCTCGCACAAAGTCAGATGGCTCGCCTAAAGCGACATACTACCCGCACATAGCCGTAGTCAGTCAGCTCGCCATGGACTGGCCAGAGCGTCATGAGCGCGAGCGCGTCTGGGTCGATCGCACGCGAGCACAGTCACTGACGAGCTGGCGAAAAGGAATGCCTGCCATATGGGACGCCTTTCCTGCCGAATCGGAGTTGCGCAGACTTGCCGCCAGCTTAGTCTGAGCCGGAGTATGTTCACAGTCAATCCTGACATCAATGAAAGATTCGCATGCTCAAAGTCTGATTCGGTCGGCTGTGGATGGGACAATGCGATCATACAGTCTGCAGCAGCACGCGATTGATTCGATAGCAGGACAGAGTGCGACGTGATCACTGTCAGAGACACTGTCAAACGCGCTTGAGACTCTGCGCGTTGAGCAAGACCGTCGTGGGACATCTCAGCCGCAAGTTAGGCGTTAAAAGGTGCATAAGTCCCAAAGCCGGTACGAGCTACGTCTGCATACGAGGCGAAGCATCATTGCTCGCTAATGGGTACTCGGTGATCTTCTCGAGGTCACTGAGAAGCGTACTTCATCTGTCTTGATGTGCTCATGATCATGTTGAGATCATCCCCGTAGATGCATCAAAGGGTGCATTCATAAGATTGCGCAGATACCGAGTGCGAGCGAAAGTGACAAGCAAGTGTGATAGCTCGTCGATGATGAGTCTGCCGATTCTGCCGCGTTGTGCGAAACGATCCGCAAGCTCGTTGCCCAGTGCGCCAAAGTGTCCGGGTATGTCGCGCAGGATGACGCGAACGTTCTGGTGCCTGGCTGGCAGTTCGATGTGAGGTGCCTGTCTCGCCTGATGCAGTGCTGCACTCGAGTCTGTGACGATGTACACCTCCTCTACGCCGTCAAGAAAGCCGTCTTGCGCCAGAACGGCGAGCGCGAGAAGATGAGCGTCGTACTCCGCCAGATTGCTGTCCATGTTCTTGCCGAGACCCAAGCTGCAGCAATACCAGCACACCTTGCCGTGCTGCTATCCGCGTCATTGGCGAAGGCGGCCGACCTCGGACTGGGTTGGCTTGAACCAGACAATCGTTGGAAGTCCGCGACATACCCCAGATTCGTCGTTGGGAGCGAGACGACGCTGTGCACGTGGCTGCTTCGACGCTTACACGCATCTGTGCTAGTCTCAATGTACTTGCTGGTACTGCATGAATACAGTATTGCACGAACACTCAGTGCACCAGATCGAGTTGTCGAGCCCAATAGAGTAGCAGTAAATCGTAGATGATCTTGATGCTGCCGCAGATGACAAAGCTGTGGTTCAGACGGCCTTGCGATGCCAGATAACCACTTAGACTGGGCCCGATGGCAGAAGCGAGCGTTTTCATAACATTGACCGTACCCATGACGCGTGTGCGAGACTCTTTAGGAATAGCGGCTGCCAAGAATGCGAGCTTGGGCGCAGCATCCATCGTGGCAAGCGTCATACGAGCGAGCAAGAGTACGATCGCTAGCTGGAGCTGCGTGGTGAAAGCGACACAGATGGTCATGAACTGCGCAGGCAAGTGCGTCCAGACCATCGTGTTGACGAGTCCGATCTTGCGACTGATAAAGCCGGCAGCGAAAGAAGAGGTGAACGCAAGAATGAAGCCAGCAGAGATGACGCTGGATATTGTCGCTAGGGGTGCATTGAAGGTCAACCGAAGCCAGTAGCTTACGAATGAGGTCGGAATCAGACTGGATGCGAAAGAATCTGCGTCGCATATCAGGCTGGAGCATACCGAGTTTTCCTACAGGCTCACCGAGCGCAAAGAGAGGTCCGATAGTCGCAATGAGACCCAAGGGTGATCTGGCTGGTACAATAGTTGCTGCTTCGACAGAGGATGCAATGTTCTCTACCGAGCTTCTCGCGCTCTCTTGCGCGATAAGTGGTGTGCGCTCGTCACTCGCTGATGGCGCGGTCGCTGGCGCTACGAGAGTATCGGCGCTGGCCTTGGTGTCCTCTAGCTCGGCTGCCACACTCATGGCAAGGGAAGCAACAATTTTGACCACTGCCAGTATGGCGCTGAACGCAAATACAGCTTGATAGGCCTTCACTAGCTGCCAATGATGATCATCAACCAGACGAGTGATCACAAAGCCGGACGTGAGACTGCCCGCAGCTGTTGCGAGCTGTCCGACTGCCTGGTACCAGGTATTGAGATAGACACGCTCGCCTGGTTTGAGGATTTGCGATAGAATGGATGTCTCGAGAGCTGCGAATGGCCCGACTTCGTTGCCGCTCACGCTGATGACGCCCAGAACAGCAGCGATCAGCAGCGGAACAAAGTCCGTTGAGAGCGCGAAGACGACGCCAGACATGCCGAATAGCAAGGAGCCTGCTGCTAATAATTTCCGTCGTCCCAGCTTGTCGGCAGTCCAGGTGACGGTCAGACTGACGAGCACATCACCGAGCAGCGTCAACGAGAGGAATTGTCCGACGAGCTTGTCTGGGAAGCCGAGCAGCCGCAGATGAAGAACCAAGATGGGTGCGATCGAGCCAAATGCGAACATGCGGACGAAGCGCGAGAATAGCAGGAGACATAGGTTTCGCTTGTCATCTGTACTGGCAAAGGCTTGAAAGCCCAATTCCTTGTAGAGAAACATCGGCATTGCGCTGGGATCGACAGACTCCCTTTGCGCGAGACCTGTGGCCTGTGGCGGTACAGCGTCGCGCGTACGTCATGCTTTACGCGTTTGGTCGCAGACAGACTGCCCGAGCCACACGCGAGCGTCAAGCTCAATTTCATTACATCCTCCATGCATCCCAGAGCGCAACGCTCTGAGCGCATAGTCTTCGTCCGCTTCCCGAGATGCAAACTGCCGAGGGGCCACGCGGCTAGATCTGCTTCGTATGCGCTCTCGGTGGCCGATCTACCGGCTCGGCGGTCTGCAAGCACTTAATTCCATTCTCTGACCATCGGGGCCCCTAACATACGGGAATCTGTGAAATCGTGGCTTCAGGAAGCCTATCTCGAGCGCGAGCAACGATCGCGCGTCGAAGGCAAGAGCTGCTCGAACGAGGACTGGCTGAAATTAGACTGCTCATGATGATCTGAGCCCCATCGTGGTCGCAGCCATCGACTCGCTCGGATTGGGTCGGACACTCAGCCTCACCGTGAGAAGCAGAGACGTTCGAATAGACATACCGCGACCATTGCGCGATTCATCATCGTCTCATCTGATCAATCGGACCCAATAGCTGCTCCCTACCAAAGATGGATGATCAGACTCGTCTCGCATCGCTCAAGCGATCTCCGAGCATGTCTGCTTTCAAGCTCACCTCTTCACTGCTCTCGCGTCGTCTTCAGGCCCGATCGGATCCGGGCACGGCGTCAGCTCAGGCTGACGGTACGCCTAGCTCTGCTGTCACATTGGCGGGGGGAGGTTCGTTGAGCAAGATCAACGACTTCATCCTCGCTTTGCCACTCAGCCTAAGCAATCGACTCAGAGCAGCCTCAGAGGACGCCAAACGTTGCTCAGACGCACTCGTTCCATCTTATGTTGTCCCGCCTGCATCGTCGAGAGCGGCACCGAAATCGGCGCAGTCGGTTACACACACGCACTACGAGTCACACCAGCCCAGCATTACATTCTCGAAAGCATACAACGATGTCTCACCGACGATTTCGCCCAAAAGAGATCATTCAACCTCCATCGTCAATTCGCTGGGCTCGCCACTAGACGGCCTCGAGGACTCACCTTGCTCAATCCTGTTTTCGCCCGAGCGCAGGTTCAAGCATGACGAAAGTCCGACAAGTACCTTTGACTCGAGCCTGAAGAAGCCTGTCAGACATGATCGCGGTATGGACATTGGCGACGCTATCGAGGCTGAGTATCCGTTTCCACGTCTCGACATGAGTGAAACAGATCCAGAGCAGCAATCACTTTGTACTGCCCTGCAGAAGAAACCAACGCTGTACATGTCCTGCCGGCTGCCCAATGCCCAAGCGACCGACGATGTAGCCACGAGTCTCACTGCACTCTGGGGTAGATCGCGGCCAGTCGTGCAGAACTCATTCGAAGCAGCTGCACAGGCCAAGTTACAGCATCAGCGCATGCAATCTGAGACAGCATGGATGCACCGACGCCAGGACAGCTCTGGTCTGCGTTCAGATTACAATGCACGCCCGCATGACATGGCCTTTCACTCGCTTCAGACCTTCCTCAACCACTCCCTCGCGGGATCAGGTGGCACACTTTCGGACACCGCTCGCGCCGCTATGCCTTGTAACCTATCACTGGCCCAAGCTACGAAGATGAACGCAACGATGGGGGGCGGAGCGATCAGCAGCTACGGTTTGCCACCGCTCGAGGACGCAGAGAGTGTATACAGCTCGCCCGACAGATCTTCACAGGGTGTCGAGCAGCACTCCAAAGGAGGCTCTATGCTCACACTTTCCGAATCGCCTTTCACGATGCATTCATTCGCCGGTCGTGGCAACATCGTTGGCGATGCCGATCAGGTTGGCCATTTCGTCGAAGCTGGCAGCTACTTTGCCACTGCCACTACTGACAAGGTCTGCGAGATGATCGATAATGTCCTCACTCTGCCTGTCATCGCCCAAGCCGAAGATTGTATCGTTCGCAAACCGCACTACCAGATTGTGGAATATGGCTCTGCAAGGACAAGGTACGAGTTCTTTATAGCTCGAATCTGGAATCTGAGCATTTTCATGATACCTGCAGCTCATGGGGTCTCGCAAGCTTTGTCGTTCAAAAGATCAACAAGGCACTCGACAAGAACGACCAGCCAAGCTACTCGGTCGTGCATGCTGACTGCTCGAGAGAGGCTCTCATAAGTACTGCTCAGCGCGTCTGCAGCGCCAATGACTCCTACCTCTCGCCTGCATGGCTCCACTCACAAGTGCCTAACCTGACAGGCCGTATCTTTCAGAGCTTCGTCACATCGGAATGGGGCACAACCGTCGTACCCGAATCTTCAGTCCACGTCGGTCTCTCGATTTTGGATCTCGAATGGAGTCATACGAATCACTACTGCTCACAGCCAGCCACTCGGGCATTCAATGAGCTCACTGGCTTCTTAGAACTGCGCGCAACCGAATTCATCAAGGACGGTATGCTTTTCGTGTGCTTTGTGCAGCGGTCCGATCTGCCTCCCGCCAGTGTAGCGCGCCCTGGGGACGTTCGACGATGCACTGAGCCACACACACACGAAGACAGCTTGATGGTGCCCTCATTGAATTCAGGCGGTCGTCGCCGTTCTGGCTCGAGCCCTCCGCCGGCGACTACCGCCGTTTGCACAGAACCACAAGTCGACATCTGGCGCGCACTGACAAGCACGCTCACACCTTGCGTACAGCGCTTGGTCAGTACTGGTCAGATCAAGCCAGACACCGCACGCAATCTCCTCGCAGTACCAATCTACCCTCGCTCGCCCCGTCAGACGATCGCAGCTCTCAAAGCTGTCTCAAATCTGTGGCAACTCGAAGCCTCTTGTCTTACTCACGAATCTCACGCTGACAGTCTCGAAGCTGTTGCAAGCGAGCCGAGTAAAAAGTATCAGACCGATTGCCTGTATCTGCTGCACCCTGCCTGTGCCGCTGTACGCTCTGGCGCACTGGACTCGAGCGTCTATGCTGAACACGCGCTGTCGTTTGTCAAACGGTACTGTCTTAGAAGTCTTGCCGTTGACGTCGTATTAATGCACGCTACAGTCTCTATGATCGGCACTTCCGTCAGACGCTCAGACGAACGGGCATGTCTCGGAACAGCGTCGAATGGACCCTTCAGCTGCTGTACGACACGCTGCGCGAGAAGATCGAAGAGGGTGGACTCGCTCGCCTGGAGCTCGAGATTGCCGTCCTGGCCCTCAGGCGCAGGTGAGTATCAGCCGGTCTGTATGTTCTGCTAGCCTTCCTTCTGTATCCGTCTGCACTCTGGAAATCGATGCGTTCGTGCATTGCCTGCGGATTTGGGAACAACAACAGTCTGCTGACGGCCGAGAGCCTTGGTATAGCGTGATCAGAAACAGAGCGAGATGAGCCAGAGCCAGAAGCGGGCGAGCAGGCTGCCTTTGAAGCCCGACAGTCTTTCGTGCTGACTAGAGCTGATCAGGCCATGCCCGAGCGTATCGTACGAGAAGTCCTTCTTGGACGAGTGGACACTGGCAGATTCAAGATCCGCGTCCGTTTTGCGGTGCTTTGAGTCGGCCATCGAATGCGCGAGCTTCCAGCCCGGTTCGCTGATGAAAGTCGGAAACAGCTTTAGCAGCGCGACCAGCTCTGTGTTCTCGTAGTAGGGCGGCAGGACAAAGGTGCGAATCAGCAGTGGCATATCCTCCTGGCGTCTTTGTTGACCATGCGGTGATGGATCAGTAAAAGGATTTGATCCGGGCGTGGTCACTGTTGGTACGCCGTCGATAGAGGCATGACTGAGCAACGCGGTCGATTGGGTCGCATTGTTCTCAGTCACAGGCACACCCGGAAAGCCATGCAAGCTTGGCGATTGCATGCGAAAGCCAATAACCTGCCATCACCTATCAGCGTGTGACCAAATCACAATCGTAAAGCACTGACCGAGACAAGCAGGCGGAGGGCGTCACGAGCAAAAGCAGCTCCGCTTGCCTCGATGAAGACAGCGTCGTCAATGTCCCACTGGAGACAGCGCTGACCATAGCTGTCTGTCGTCTGAAGTGCGAGGACAGCAAAGAGCGAGCGCAGGAACGGTTGCGGTCCGATCATGACTTTGCTCGCGTAGTCTTTGAGGAATGCAGTGAGTTCTCCTCTTCTGACTGTCTTTGCTCGGCTACTGCGCATAGCCTGGACTTCCGTTGCGCTCGTGGACTGGAAGAGCGAGGGTTGATGAAGCTCTGATGGCTTGACGGTCGTCTGACCTGACGGTTGAGCCATCGGTCGCGGCGGGAGTGCGACGGCATGTCTGACCACACTCTCGAGTTCGTAGGTCGGCAGCAGTCTGTGATACTCTCTCCGACGGTCTGCTTCCCGATCTTTGTGGAACTCTGCCCTGACTGAGGCCATCAGGCGGGTAAAGATCATGCGCTGGTGTGGCTCGGCTTGTCGGACTGCTTTGTCCATCTTCTCTCGAGCTGACTCGTTGCCATCGTAGAAGAACTGGCGGCACGACAGCTCAAAGGCTGCCAGATCCATCGTCGCTGCCGATGCTCCTGACCCGGCGTCGCTCGCGTTGGCGCTGATTGGCAAACGCGATCGATTCGCGAGAGAGAGCCAGCTCGAGCTTTGTCTGAGCTGGGGCCCGCCAAAGAGCTCTCAATCCTGCTAGTCGACCGAGCGCAGTGCTGACGAGATGTCAGCGGCACGGCCGGGAGGAGCTCCTCCGGCTGATGACTCGAACAAGATCGTGCTCGAGTACCTCTACCGACGAGGTTACTACAAAGCAGAGCAAGCATTGCGAGCGGAAGCAGCAGGAGGCCGTGCAACAGACTTGGACGAGTTTGCCAAGCGCAATGCGGAAGGAAAACGTGGTCAGGGAGTCGACGAATGGCGCAAGAACGTCAGCCCGGCCGTCTGGGAGGAAGGAGTGACCGCCCTGAGAGACTTCATCTACGGCTCGCTCGATTTTCACCGACCTGAGCTGTTACCCTTTCTGCTACCCATCTTTGTCCATGCCTACATCGACCTCGTCAGTGGAGGCCTCAGGGAAGCAGCAGACTCGCTGCTGAACAAGTGCGTCAGCTTTGCCTGCAAGGCCGACCTGGCCGCTGAGTGTTGAGCAGGTTCCTGCCAGAGTTCAGCGAGACGCATGCAGCACTCATGCGGATGCTTGCGTCGCTCAAGTCGGCTGCCAGCATCTCAGAGTCTGAAGAAGCGATGCGATGGCGGACAGATCGCTACCTCGTCACCGTCACCCAAAGAGCTTGGTCGCTGTTGCTCGGCTGGATGCAGGGCAACAGGATAAGTGCTACTGGAAGAGGCGCAGCAACAGATGGCAGTACCACAGCCGCTTCTGCTTCGTCCAGTACGAATCTGCAAGATCAAGGCAGAGATAAAGTGCTCAGCATCGTCAACGAACGCATCAAACTTCGCATTGTCCCCAACAATGCAGCCTCAAAAGCGGACCTCGCCAGCGGACTAGAGTCAGAAGTAAGGTTACAGAGTCAAAATCAGCATGATCTCAAGCTGGGCGCTGCGCCAAGCGACCCAAAGCTAGAGCGAGAAGTCAGGCGAATCGTCAAGCAGGAGGATGGCGTCACGATGGAAGGCATCACTTCTACCGCGCTCAGTGCGTCAACTTCGGCCGATAAGCCCGCTCAGACCGACGCCGATCCTCCGGTATCTGTCGTCATCAACGGCGTGGAATCGCCTGCAGCGAGTGATATGCCGCCTTACCCAGCTTCCTTCCGTCTCATCGACGTTCGCCGCGAAGTCGAAAAGGTCAGAGAAGCCCGCAAGCGGATCAAGCTCGGACCAAACGCATTCGAAACTAGCACAGTCACAAAGACAGGCTCTGCAGACCTCTCAAAACCAAGCGTCTGCCTCTTTACGCTTCACGACACGGCAGCGAGCTTGATCACCACCCAGATCTCAGAGGACTCTACACTGCTCGCCGCTGGCTTTGCGGATAGCCACATCCGTCTATGGAACCTCAAGGGACAGCCCTTGAGAAGGCAACGAGATGACTTTGATCCTGAAAAGGTGGGCGACGTAGAGAAGATTAAGCGAATGCGTGAGAAAACAGATGTGACGACTCGAAAGCTCATTGGTCATAGTGGGCCGGTCTACGCCATCTCGTTCGATCCCCTCGCCGGACCGGCCGGCCCTCCTCGATACATGCTGTCAAGCAGTCAAGACTCGACAGTGCGCATGTGGTCGCTCGACACCTATTCGTGCGTGGCAGTCTACAGAGGACATCGCGATCCGGTCTGGGATGTCGAATGGGGTCCCAAGGGCGTCTACTTTGCGAGCGCGAGCCGCGACAGGACAGCAAGACTCTGGGTTAGTGACCGCACAGCTGCAGTCCGCATGTTCGTCGGTCATCTGAGCGATGTTGATTGTGTCAAATTTCATCCCAATTCGCTATATCTGGCCACCGGATCTACCGATCGGACTTGCCGACTCTGGGATGTACAAAGAGGGAACTGTCTTCGCGTGTTCCTCGGTCACCGCGGTGCTGTCACTACCCTCGCCTTCAGTCCCGATGGTCAGCTGCTAGCGAGCGCTGCAGAAGATATGCAAATTATCCTCTGGGACATTGCTTCCGGCAAGCAGATCAAGAGCTTTTCCGGTCATGCGACGCGCATTAATTCGCTTTCCTTCAGCAATGAGTCGACGCTGCTAGTCAGTGGCGGCTCAGACTGTTCCGTCAAAATTTGGAACGTCACCGTCGGCTCGAGCGAGAACCGTGCGGAAGGCTACATGGACGGTCTCGCACTCGAGGGCGGCACGCTCAACAGTGCACTGACTCGCGCGAAAGGACCCGCTGCAGCCGTACCTGAGCAGTGAGTTCCTTCACCTCGCCACTTGAGGCGCTGATCCCTTCTTGCCAGGCCTGATCTGGTGTGCAACTTTATCACCAAGCAAACGCGAGTGCTCGACGTCCGCTTCACGCCGAGGAATCTCTGCCTCGCCACCGGCGCTGCACAAAGCTCGGAGCAGCTGTAGATACTCTAATGCATCTACCTCGCCTTACGAGCGAATAAGGTGATGCCAGGCCATACGATCTCGAACGTCTCCGGCGATGCAGGCAACAGGGTTTGGAGCTCACGAGCTACCTGATCTACGACATCGCCTCCGTGTGCCTCGTCATAGTTGTGTGCGGCAGACCATGTCCTGAGATAGCCGGTCAATTGATCGATTGTCCAGTCTAGCTTGAATGCAATGGGATGGTGAGTAGTCGGCGGAGGGGCTGCAACATCGCTCAATGTTGCAGTGATATTGCCTCGGTCGAATTTGCGTCTTTCAAAGCTGCTCTTATCCCAGCCTTGTGTACCGGGAAACGCAATTTCGTCAAGCAGATTCTCGGCAATGTCGCGGCCGGGCTGTTGCCAATGAGGCGCAAGTGTAACGTGCGAGTGCCTTCCGATGATACGACTGACTTCTGGATGCGTTGGCACTTCGCACTCGCCGTAATTGAGGTATGCCACCAGGCCACCTGGTTTGAGCACCCGCAGAAGCTCAGGCCAGACCTTTGAGTGATCAAACCAATGTGCAGCTTGACTTGCCGTCAAAAGATCTACTGAGCTATCTGCAAGACATTCGAGTCGCTCCGCTGAGCTTTGACGGTAGCTTATTCGAGGTGCTGGCGGGTCGGCTTGCATCCCTCGCGAGAGCATCTTTGCCGAGGGGTCTAAACCGTAAACATGTTCGAATGCATTAGTCGACGCTAGCTGTGCAGTGAGCTGGCCAGGACCGCAGCCAAGATCAACGGCTGTTCTGCCACTCTTGGTACTGGGTGTAAAGTGGCCATAGTCGAGGATCTGCTTTACGAGCTCCTTTGAGTATCTCCTGCCGGGTGCGCTTCAGATCATCGCGGCGGACGCGCAAGAAGCCTGGCATACGGTCTGCACGCGAGATATGCCGCCGAATCGAACGCAGCTTTAGCGAAGGAAGTCATGTTTGTGTTCGAGTCACCGTTGCAGTGGTTGATACTCAGCTTTGTTTAATTAGGCTATATATACTGTGCTAGACTGATTCCCGTATCTACTTTCATAGTACGAGAGAAGCATGGCATCCCGTCAGATCTGCCCAATTAAGCCTCGTAACGCCCAGTCAGTAATGCGGTGGGGGACCACGCGTGAATCCTGCGGTAAAGTAGATTTTTGCTCCTTCTCAGAGCTGCCCTGAAGCTATCCCTTTTGCTGCAGGTGGTTCACTGAGTTGCAGACAGCACGAATTGAACTTTTGACGCGATCCTCCAAGGACACGTCCAAAGAAATCCTCGCGGTTGCCTACGCGGCACAAACTCTCTCGCTTACTGCCCAACTCAGGGGTAGTCTGATGATGTGCGTAGAGATGCATTACAGATCGTGTCGTTCACTGGGAGCCCTCATCGGACTCGCCTTCTTCAGTCTCTTCCGGCTGAGGCTTGCTTGCTGCTTTGCTTGGGCCGATGATCTGTGTCAGTAGAGACTGTATCAGACCGGAGCGGATGCTCTTGGGCTTGACTTCGAAAAGGGCCATGAGAAGCGCAGTCGACAAGGCAAAGTAAATCGCTTCGCCGTTTGGAATTGGTTTGACTCGCCTGCGTTTGACTGCAATCTGCCACGCGGACTGGATTGACAATCGGGCAGTATAGATTGCGAGATCGGTCGCACGATTGCGTTGGAAAAGTACGAACAATCTGCGCATACGTCAGCGATTCCAAGTGAAAGATTCTATGAGACTGACCCGGCCAAAAAGCCTTGCAAATACCAACGCTCTTTTGGTAAAGTACGGGGCGATAGATACTTGCCAAAGAGATCGATTGAAGCCCAGGCAGAGCCTATCGCGCCTGACAGGAAGATGCTGCCGCCGAGCGTGGAGGTGACAAAGCTGTAGACTGCATTCTCCGGGCTGATCGCCCTGTCAGCTCGAGTCTTGCGACGGACACAGGGAGACACACTCTCGAAGGACTTTCTTGTAGCGCAAGAGCATGCCCAGACCGCTGAGGATGCTCATGAAGCGTAGGCTGGGCGGTAATTCGGCAGACATGTGAGCTGCACGCGTGTCAGCTACAGCTACACAAGAGATGCCCACTGGCAAACCTTTGAAAGTCTCCCATCCACTAGGCTCGGCAGGATGCAATATCGCACTGACCAGACGTGTATGGCCGGGGTGAGCGAGCATGTCCAGTATTGGCTTGACTGTATCGAATCGGCCATCAGCCGGTAGCATGCTCTTGCCTGCTTCCGGATGCAGCAGGGGACTATCGAAAGCGGGGTACGGTTTCTTGTCGCTGGCAATCTTGGCGATCGTGTTGACAGTCTCTCGAGGCGTTGGCCAGCTGGCAGCGGGTGGCAAAAAGGCCGGTTTGCTCGGAATGTACACCTTGCTATGACCGAGTATAAAGTCAGAGTAGGCCTTGGGGAAGCAGTCGGGATGGAAGACAAAGGCATGCAGGAGTTGGGCATTGCAGAGTGCAAAGAGGATGTGTCCACCCCATAGCAATCGTCGCTCGCGTAGAGTCGCAGGAAGCCATTCGGATTGGATCATGCCATCATAGGCAGCCTGAATCGATCTCGTCAAAGCGTAGAGTACCACCGTGATGCGCCGTTGTCCTGACGCGTCGAGCAGAATGGTTGGTCCAGCAAGGAGGCCGGCCAGCGCAGGCGGCAGATATGGCGAGGAAAGCAGTCTAAGCATACCGCGCGAATAGAGACTGCGCTTCGTCGTTCGCCTCTCTGAGTCTCGGGACACACTCGCTCCTCTCATTCGTGGATATCTTCGAGCGACGAGCTTCGGTAGCGCAACGAGCAAGTAGCGCAACGACAAGCGATAGACCGCGCTGTATGACGCGACAAAGAGCGCCAGACGCATGGCTGACGCTGGCTTGAAGGTCGGCCATCTGCGCTTCAATGCAATGGTCAGAGCATTCTCTGTCACGCTCGTAGCTGCAAAGACGAATGCGAATATGCGAAGTGTCCGCCTCGAGACAGCCGGCAATACTCGTGCAAGCGCATAGTCGTCGTCCGTCTTGAAGGGAACCTCGTCGTGCTCTGTTGGCCTGGGGTCTTGCGTCAGCGTAGAATTAAGCGGGAATTCAGACTGCGTACTCTGACGAGAGAGACTTGAGTAAGGTCGGCTGGTGGCCACGTGCAGCGATGAAGTGAGTGAGCTGCTGGGCCTCACCGGGTGTCACTGTCTGGGCCAGGCATCAGCGTAGGCTCATCAGCCGGGCGTATCAGAGCACGGACAGATATAGTCGAGTGGTTTGACCATCCCTGCAGCCAATCAGGCACAGCAGCGAGGCTGGGCGGCGACGACGACGACGACGACGCGTGAACGAGCACCGACTCGTCGGGCTTTGGCCAGGAAGTCCAGGCCGGGCGAGCAGTAGATGAGCAGGAGGGATGACATCCCTTCCATCTGCGTCACCGTCGAGAGCGCCATCGATGCGCACGGACAGCTCAGTCGAGTGAGAAAGCCAAGCGACTTGTATGCACCCGCAAGCCAATCTGAAGCACATTCGACGCCATTGAACAGCCCTACGACCCACTCGGACAGCTCGAGTCTCGTCCATCTCTACCTGAGAGAGCGGAGCACAACGCCCAATGGCGGTCGTGCGTCCCCGCTGTCCAGTCCTTCAGAGGCCGAAAATGTCAGGGCAACTTATGCCCTGCTATCGAAGACTGGCGTGCCTGGTGACGGCTTCAATCCTGGCATCGAGCTCACGAGAGAGCGGAGAGGTGTCAGCTATAATGCTCGACTGGCGAGCTCAATGCTCGACCGATCCTCGCTGCCGCAAAGTGCGCGCAGCCCATCTCCCAACTCCGGTACAGGCCAACTTCGTCAGCTCATACAGGAAGAAGGCGAGTCAGCCGCCGAGAATGGGAACGCATCCGCAGCTCCAGTGCCAAAGGATGCGGACGCGACGGGCATCGCGCCAGAGGAACTCAAGTTTCTTCAGAACGCAGATCGATTCGGTTTCTTCTCGCCCGCGTACAGTCTAGCTGCCTCACATTTGCGCGTCGCTTGCCTGCCTCCCAAACCGTTCGAAACCTTGCCGCATTCGAATGCGCTGCGTAGCAAGCTGCCTCGACGGTCTGTCAGAGCTGCCGACGGTCCTGTGCCTTCCTCACCCGTCATGTCCTCTCATGAGGATCAGCCCCCGCGCTCATCGCTGCAGGACAAAGAAGGTTTTGCCACCGTACCTCCGGCGGGTGGCTTGTCAGATCTGAACCGGTCTCAAGGCGCATCTACGCCCCGCTCGCGATTGCGTTCTGCTCCCGGCGGCATGCCCACAATCTCGAGGTCGGATTCGCAGAAGATTGCAAGTAGGGAAGCTGCTCGAGCGACGAAATGGCTGGCCATGCTCGAGCCTGCCGAAAAGGATGAGGGTGGCAATGTCATACGATGGAAGCTGAAGGCGCCATTTGCTGTCAACGGCAAAGACCATGCACGCTTTGTCAGGCGTGTGTACAAAGGCATACCGGATCGATGGCGGGCTGCTGTCTGGGGCTATCTCACCGACAGCTTCGCCGAGCGTTCGCTCGATACTGGCAGAAGACCTCGACAAGTCGAAAGCTTACCAGATCTCCAGAAGACGTTCTTTGTGAGGCTCATTGCTTTGCAGATGCCGTTAGTCTGACTTGCTCGGGCAGAATCTGATCGATGTCGAGTCTGAGCTTGATGTTCAGATAGACTTGGATGTGCCACGGACCATTTCCGGACACCTCCTCTTCCACACTCGTTATGGCAGAGGGTCCGTCGCAGCTTTTGTCAGACTATGATCTCGGCTGATCAGAGCTATCTATGACAGGCAAAGAGCGCTGTTCCACGTGCTACACTGCTTTGCATTACATCGACCAGAGACGAGCTATTGTCAAGGCATGGGGCCCATTGCGGCGACCCTCCTCTGCTACTTCGAGCCCGAAAGAGCTTTTGCAGAGCTTGTCAGGCTGCACGATTCGTACGGTCTCGACGATCTGTACTCGCCCGGATTCGTTGGCTTGTCGGAAAGCTTTTACTTGCAGGAGAAGCTTGTGAAGTTATGGATGCCAGAAGTGGCAAGGATTTGCGTAAGCCATTCATCCTTGGCTGCCCATTCGCGTCTGACGAGGCAGACAGGACGCACAAAATGTTACGCCTTCGTCGTATGCCACCAAATGGTACATCACCCTGTTTTCCAACTCGATCGCATTCAGCACGCAAGTACGCATCTGGGACGCCATGACGCTTCACGGTCTCGATGTCCTCGTGCTCTTATCAGTCGCGATCATCTGGTCCCTGCGAGGTGGGGTCTGTCTTGCTAGATAACCGGCAGGGGCTCACGGGCAGTATCACAGATCGGATCGTGCATCCCCAAGCCAATTTCGAGACCATACTCTCTGGCTTGAGCTCATTCTTCATTGTGGAAGACGAGAACGCGTTACTTAGATGGATTCGCAAGGCATTGACGCAGCCGAGATTACGACAACAACTCCACCAGTGGAGACTAGATTTCCGCAACCAGTCCCAAGACGCAGCATAGCATCAGTAGCCCTGTAGCATGTAATTTAATCCTTGGACATTGCAGCGAATGCCTGTGGCGACTTTTGTCGATCTTGTCGCGTGCTTGAGCGCTCGAGCTTGGAGCTTGGCCTGATTGTCGACTGTACAAAGATCTCTAGATCCGTCAACGATGCAAGCCGAAGAGAGGCAGCCATACTGGCAGCTGCGGCCCGGCACTGCAGCGATCAAGGAAGAATACTTGCTCGTTGACCCGTATGCGTTCAAGGCGCTCGAAAGCAAGCGAGCTAATGACGACGATGCTGCCGAGCGAAAGACTAATTATGCGACTCAGCATGCACAAACGAGCAAAGACACAAGAGCGACACCCGGTCAGAATGGAAGCCCAGCTGGTCCCTCGGTCGATGCAGTCTCTGCGCTCGAGACAGTGGCGCCGCTTGCAAGGGGTGGCTCTACAAATGATCATCCTCCTCCTCGCTTAGACGATCGAAACAACCCGCACAAGCGGCCCCGCTTGAGCAAGGCAGAGCTGAAGCGCCAACTCAAAGCAGAGCGAATCGCTCAAGGGGATACTGCAAACGTGAACCGGTCTCGTCGTTTTGCAAAGACAGGAGATGCTATCGAGCTTTGCTTCGCTGTCTCGCGAGGACACAAATGCGAGAAAGGCGACTCTTGTCGCTATTCACACGATCTGAAAGGCTATCTTGACGCAAAGGAAGCGGACCTCAGCACGCTCGACTCGTCTCATGGCCCGACAATCACATCCTGTCCGAGCTATGAAGCACTCGGCTACTGTATTGCGGGCCTGAAGTGTCGTTGGCTGAGTACGCACACAGATCAATCTGGCGACGGCGAAGGCTTCCAGGGCCTTGGATTCACGATCAAACAGGACGACGCCAAGATTCGCGCTGCGCTGTCAGAGGCTTTCCCGAACATCGACCTGCCTGACGTGATCGGGCAGAAGGAGCTAGATCTCCTGACTGCATGCAAGGGCGAGCGCAATGTTGTATCGACCGAGCTTCAGCGAGATATCAAGCAGGGGAAGATGGAGCTTCCGCAATCTGACGCCTACCTGACCAGTATCGGTGCCGAGACACAGGCCATGCGTATGGCTCCGAAGCCTCACAAGGGCAAGGGAACGCAGCAAGATTCGCCGGCGATGACACCACACTCAGAATCGGTTGTCGAGATACATCCAGATGCTGATACGCCTGACGTACCGAGCCGACCAGCAGAGAAGAAGCGTCTTGATTACCGCGATCAATTCTATCTCGCACCCCTCACGACCGTCGGAAATCTACCCTTCCGTCGATTATGCGGCACGTACGGCTCAGACATCCATTGTGGCGAAATGGGGCTAGCATATGACTACTTGACTGGGAATGCGACCGAGTGGACATTAGTCAGGCGTCATCCGTCCGAGCGCAAATTCGGCATCCAGATAGCAGGCAACAAGCCGAATGTCCTCGTATCTGCCGCAGAAGTCCTTGCAAAGACCTGTCCGTCTCTCGACTTTGTGGATGTCAATTGCGGCTGCCCGATCGACCTTGTCTTCAACCGCGGTGCCGGCTCGGCGCTGCTTGAAAAAGCGGGTCAGCTTGGCAAAAGCCTGATCGGAATGAACAGAGTACTGGGCGATATACCGGTGACGATCAAGTTGAGGACTGGCATCAAGGAGAACAACCTCGTTGCACACAAGCTCGTCAGACGAGCTCAGAACGAATGGGGCGTAGGCGCAGTGACCATTCACGGTCGAACGAGACATCAGAGGTACAGCAAGCTTGCAAATTATGACTACATCAAGCGATGCGTCGATGCGCTCCGTGAAGCCAGTCGAGATGAAGATTTGCCTGTCATCCCCATCTTGGGCAATGGCGATGTGTACGACCATCGAACGTACTATGAAAATCTCGAGCAGACGGGCGTCGACAGCATTATGGTCGCTCGAGGCGCTCTCATCAAGCCTTGGATCTTCACAGAGCTTCGAGAGCGTCGCGATTGGGACATCAGCTCTCGCGAGCGTCTCGATGGCATCCGTCAATTGACGGAATTTGGCCTAGAGCATTGGGGTCAGTCGGACTTTGCGAGCAATTCCAGTGGCTGATCAGGCGGCTTACAATGCAGGCTCGGACACACAAGGTGTCAACAAAACTCGTCGATTTGTCTGCGAGAGTCTTTCTTTCCAGTCCCGTTACATTCCTGTCGGCTTGCTGGAAGTCTTGCCGCCCAAAATGACGGATCGAGCTGTCGCCTATCGCGGACGCGACGACCTCGAGGTGAGGCTTCCGCAGGACGATCGCGACAATGCTGATAAATCTCGCAGACATTGCTTTCGAGCGACTCTGCTGCAGACTGGGTCAGAATAACAGAGATGTTCCTCGGAAAGGCTAGCGAGTCTTGGTCTTACACGCCCAAGCACAAAGCTAACGCGTACGATTCGAACGACGCGCAAGGCTGAAAGAGTGTCAAGTAGGTGCAAGTACATCAACAATGCAGACATCCTTCATAGAAACGATTTCGTTATCTGCTTTCCTCGACCACTGAGAAATAGCTTGGGGGAAGATCGACTTGAGGCGCATCCTGCGGCTTGGCTGCTGCTTTGCCGTGTATGCCAAGACTCTTTGTCTGGGTTGCGACAATGTCGACGGGTATCGTGACGAGTGCGGGCGTTCCTGGCGCCGTGGCTTGTACCATGACAACATACTGCTTCTGCGGATCAGCCGTCGTCAGCCAATGAAGATCAGACTGACGGAGACGTGTATGCTAGGTGACTGAAAGCTCGGGACTAGGTGTGCGGGTATTCTGATCGTCCCTGTAGCTTTCTTGGACCATATACCGGTTGTCTCTGGATCTGACGTGGCGAACTTTGCGCCCTTGTCTGCGCCAGAAGAGTGCAAGTTTGCATTCGCAATCAGCGTCTGTTCGCATCACATCAGCATCAGTCGCCGGGCAGATCGACGGCTTGCCTCGTGGGTATCTTGTAAGCCCTGTGCACTGACAGCCGTACGCTGGACAAGCATGACGCGTATGGCGCTGTTGGGGAAATCAGACGTCACTTCTGGATCGCTAGAGGTGATCTTGAGGTAGAACTCGATGCCGTCGGACTCTCGCGCGAACACGGATGGCTTTGGAACGAGCACGACAATTTCGAACCAGGCCTGCTTTGCCTTGAAGACGCCTTTCTTGCACGTTCTGTGAAGCGGAAGATCAGCATTAGCGCTGGCAGCTAGTCAGCTACGAATAAGACTGACAGCTTGCTCTTCCTGCCTTGCCAGCCTGGCGGATCTTCGAGCGGGCCAGGTGCTTTCTGACCGTGTGCGATGGCAAGCTCGCGTAGCGGACTGGGCGCAGGGAGGGGTTGACGACATAGATAGACAATGGGCGCAAATAGGCGCTCATTCGGCCGCAAAAGACCACGACGAGCCAGGGTGAGCTTCATGTACCACTTGACGGATGCGGCTTCCATTGATCTGCCGAGAGCGCCAGGGTCACTGGTTGCCAGTGAGAAGCTGGGTGGGAGGGCAGATCCGTCTGCCAGTCGCTCTGGCAGATCGAATTTGTAGTCGAAATTGTAGATCCCACGAGCGAGGTTCTGGCTGGGATCCGTCTGCTCGTATAGCAAGCGTGATTCTTCGTGGAAGATGAGCTCGGACAGGACAGGATGGCGCCCATTGCCTTGGATACGATAGGCAAGCGTACGGGCCACGCCCTTGACACGTAGTCTGACGGCCGAGATGGGCTCGTCTTTCTCGAGATTGACAATGACTTGACCGGCGATAGATGTCAAGAGATCCTGCACAAAGAGCGGGTACTGATTGGCAGAAGCAGACTGCACTGTCAGCTCGAGTCGTGAGGACTTGCTCGTAAAAGAGTGCTCTTTGAGATTGCTCCTACTTTGCGCATCAGTCAGATGATCTGACAGCGTTCGAGGTCCAACGCACAGGATAGCATTGCGTGTCTCTTCCGTATCAACGACTGACTGTCGAACCTTGGGCGCACGACGAGTGTACGATGGCAGCTCGTCCTCATTCACGGGATCGGCCGCTCGCGATGTCGAGGCAGACGAAGCAGCGGGCGGGGCTACGTCCCGAACAGTCGGCTCTGCGAGCTGTACCTGCCGTGAGTTGCTATCGAGGACTGTGGTCAGGCCAGATTGGATGTTGCGAGCCAGTCGATCACCGGTGTGAGTGATGCCTCTTTCGGCGTTCTGTTGTGCACTCGAACTCGAGCCGGACTGTGAGCTCGGCGAGGAGACTGCATCGACGAGTGCATTCATCGTCGAGGCAAAGGAGCCCAGCATCTCGTCTCGTCTTGACACCATCTTGGCCGCCCCTCGCTTATCGACGTGTGCGATGCAACGCGCTCGTGTCGACGTCGACCGGGCTACTCTCCGACTGGACTGGACTGGCGACTGATCGGCAGGCTCGCATGACATGGGAGGAGGATGTGGCGAGCGCATTGGGCAAGCTAGGCCTGCACGATGAAGTGCAGGTGCAATATGTCGCCGGCATACTTCAGGATGAGGCGATAGATGAGGAGGACAAACGAGATGCCATGACAGGCGTCCTCGCCGAGGTCGAAGAGGACGAAGCGACGCTCAGACCGACACTGGATCATCTCATCAGCCTGTCAGAGAGACACCTTGCTCGATCGAAGGACCTCGAAGCCATCAAACGCGAGCAAGACCTCTTGGCTGCTAGAGGTGTGTCTGTTTCGATCAGTACATCAACGGGGGCTCACGTCTGGTCATGCCGCAGAGAGGACCAAGCAAGCTACAGCTCGCGTGGTCGATGATGAACCCGCTTCCAAGCCAGCGGGCAGGGAACTGACAGAGGAGCAAAGAGCCGACCGCGCGCGTATCCTGGCAAGCTATGCGCTCATCGCAGACGATGAATCCGATCCGGAAGAGAGCGCAGCAGCAAGTGCTCCTCCCGAAGCGACTGCTGACGTCAGCACGCTCAGCAAGAAGCAGAGAAAACGCCTCAAAGACACAGAGGACGGTATCGATCTGCTCGCGAGACCCAACATGAACGTTGCCAGCGTCAGAGCAGCAGAAGAGAAGAAGCGAGCTGCTGCCAAAGATGCTGCAGTATCAAAGTCGATCAAGGACAAGGCCGATCTGCTCAAACAGCGCACGGATCAGGCCAAGCGGAAAGAGGAGGCTCAGAAAAAGGCGGCGCGTGGCGAACGTCGCGCTTGAACTCTTTCTCTTCAGCGGCACCTACGCGGGTTTGCAGGGATTGCGTGGCAGTGGTGAAAGATAGATTTTGGTCTGTCACTCGTCGCACGGCGATGTTTGTGCTCGAGCGGCCAAGCGGTTCATCCGCCTGATGGCTGGCTCCAACAAACCGCGTCATTCATGCACATAGAGGGCTTGCTGCTGTGTTGTCTGTAGGCGCTACCAGAACAATTCCCAACACAAAGTCTGTAGGCTGCTGCAGCCAGCTCGTCATGCTATCTTGCGCATGCCGCGTCGCGATCGCTATCGATTAATCAACGTCAACCACCTTGAGCTCCGCGACCTGCGAGACTTGCGCGGGCGATGGTGAACAGTCGCAGTGCGGCCGCTCAGGCCAGCGATGGGCCGCCTAAGCACATCGTCATTGTTGGCGGCGGCGTCATTGGCACGATGGTACGACCAGTGATGCACGGACAGACAAGCGTTTACAGGGTTGCAGACGAGCCACTATCTTGCAAAGGACATGAGGACGATGCCTCTGGGCAGCACAATCACCGTCGTCGAAGAATGTTCGGTTGCTGCGGGCGCCAGTGGCAAAGCGGGAGGATTCAGTGAGAACAGATGAGCATGGGAGAAGTGTCAATGTCTGACTTTGTGCACAGTCTCTGCGACGGGACATGCTGCTGCGACCTCCAAGCTCGCCGCATTGTCGTTCGAGCTGCATCACGATCTGGCTACCGAGCTGGATGGTGCTCAGAAATGGCAGTACCGTCGTCTGTCTTCAAACACGTATAGTCTCTCGACTCGCAATGTGAAGCCGCCACCAGCGAAGAAGAGCAGGGCTTTGCCCTGGATGAACGAGAGCCTCATTGTCTCCAGCAGCATTTTCGGCGATGTGTAGGCTCGCTTGCATCGACACGTACTGACCCTGACAAGATGAGCAGCACCGAGCAAGCGCAGATCATGCCAAAGATGTTCACGCAATCGGTCATGAGGAACGCAGTCGATTCTCTTGGCGTCAAGCTCGTCATCGCTACAGCCAAAGCGCTCCATCGTGATGCAATGGGACGACCGATCTCTCTCATTGTCGAGGATGCCAATTGTACAGAGACGGAGCTCAGCTGCACTGACTTGGTTCTCTGTGCTGGCCCGTGGACGAGTCGACTTGCTACAAAGCTCCTGGGAACACGGCTAGCGCGGCGCGTGGGTGTCCATGGCAGTCGAGCACATTCGATCGTCCTGCAAAGCATACAGCCCCTGACACCTCATGCCATCTTTTGCGATCTTGCCAGAAAAGATGGTCATTTCGATATCGAGATGTAAGTCCGATTCACTCCTCCTGTGCAACAGCTGATCGTCTGAGCAGATATTGTCGTCCTGATGGTACGTCCCGCGCCAGGTGCCTCGACACGGCTGATGGTCAGCAGACACGGCCTATGTCTGCGGTGATTGCCCGAGCCACATCAACGAGCTCGACCTACCAGAGACGGCAGACGATGTCGAGGTACACGAGGACGCGATCGATTTTCTCAAAGAGAATGCAGGCATCGTCTCCTCGAGCCACCTCAAGGACGCGCCTGTCGCCGTCGAGCAAGCCTGCCTTTTGCCCATATCTGACATCGGCACGCCCATCATCGGCAGACTTGACCCGGGCATCTATGTTGGGGCAGGACATACGGTCTGGGGAATGACACTTGGTCCAGCGACTGGCAAGGTCATCTCTGAGATCGTACAGGGCAAGCCGACTTCAGTACCGATCAAACATCTTGCTCCCAAGTGAGAGATCCCTTTCTTGATCAGTGTAATGCTTGTATCAGAACCACATCATGCACACGAATAATGTGAGAATGCGAGAGTCTGTGCATGCAAGCGATGGGACAATATATAGCGTATTTCATAAACGCAACTCTGGAGTGATGTAGTTTTGACAGCGAAGCCATGCTTAATAGGATCAGGCGGCTGACGCTTGGTGCGTTGCATATTGTTCGGATGTCCCAGGCAGCGCTGCTGCTGTCTTCCTCACTCACTGCGGCTGCGATCCCTGCTACCAGCGAGCCTCCGGAGCGCATCAATGCTTGTCACAACCCTTTCATTCGTTCCTCAGACCACAGCGAACTGCGTGTCAAGGCCTTGCATAGGGCCAGACTTTGCGACCTTCTGAGCCTGCATTGCTGAAGAGCTCGAGTTTTGACGCCGGATCCTGTCGGGTTTCGCAACCGAACTCTGACAAGCGCGCAGGCAGATCACTCGATCTCGGCTTTACAGCGTCTGCGATGCTCGCAAACAGCTGACAAGAGGTCACTTGTGTCTCAGAGCCAGGTGGTACCGACATACCCATCCTCTTGTGTCTGAGTATATATAACAAACTTCTTCTGACGCGCTTAGGCATAGTCGGCCTAATAGCTCAGTTGGTAGAGCACTCGCCTCCAGTTTCCAGTATATGGACGAAGCGATAGCGATAGGTCATCCGTTCAAATCGGGTTTGGGTCATTCGTTTTGTCGAATCTTTTGTCGCTCATGCTGGCGTTGAGGCCTTGCGCCAGCCTGTGCCAGCTCACTTCAATAAATCTTTAGGTTTGGACGATCCTATTTTGATGCCCGGTCACGCGACGAACGAGAGCTCTCCTCTGGCCTCGAACAGTGCCACCATCCCAAAGCCGTGTGCAATCCTCACAAGCCTTTCCCGACCTTCTTTGACACGACAAGACTCTGTCAAGATCATACAATCGCTTTACTGCATCGATCTGATGTATCGCTCCTTCGGCTCATCAAATGATAATAACACCACTTTCCGCGCGTCCAATGAGCCACGAGCCAGCAAGTCCTAGCCAGGCTCCTGTGTACAAAGCTGTCATGACAGCTCTCAAATGACTGGTGGAGCAGAACCAACTCAATTGGCGTCGAAATCAGGCTGTCAGTAGCATTACCTCATCTCCAAAAGTTGAAGGCGGGCGGCAGCGATCTGACTGATAGTAGGCAGCTACAACGATGCATCGCTCGCACTCAATGACTCGATGCGATCTCGCAGCAAATTCCGGGCCGGTAGAACAAGTCTTGCATTCAAAGATGCCATCATCGCGTTGACGAGCAGTAACGCACTGCAGTTCAAAACTGACTCCCATCCTTATGTCGTTTGCATCAGGCTGGCGAGTACGCTGTCTTTGCAAAGCCGATACGCTTCTTGTCGCCGTCGAGAATGACGGCGAAGCGCTCAAGGAAGAAGGAGCCAAACACGTTGAGGCCTGGCAGAAGCGTTTCCGCGACGTATCTGCCATGCAATCAGTCAGTTTTTCTCTCCCGCGCTCACGAGAATGACTGACGAATAGCTGTATTTGGGGTCAAGTCCGAGCTCATTGACATAACTTCCGGGCAGAAGGAGCTCGCTTCCGGGCAGTTTGAATGTGACGCCATTGACGACGAAGTCAAGGTTAGGCACGTGCGGGATCGAGCTGTTCGGGAAACCGACCACTCCATAGGTATTGTCCGTGAAGACCCCTGGGATCGTTTTGTACCATCTGTGCGCTGCCATTAGCGCAGGCTTACGTTGCAATGTGCCGACTCACTTTGTGTAGGCGGGCTTTTGAAGCAACAGCTGGGATGATCCAGTGTCGATGGCGGTGAATGATGCGACTGGATCCGACGCTTCGATTCCAACCGAAGGGATGGCTACCTTCAGAGCCCAGTACTGAATATCATCATTGCTGACATGGTTATGCCATGGCCCGAGCATGTCCTCGTAAACCACATCGGACTTGTGAAGCGCATAGTTGATCCCACCGATCTCAAGGGCACCAGCGTCTGTGCCCAACGTCCTGGACGTGTCTCTTGGTTGGAAGTACATCGAGATGATGTCGGCAGCGATCAGCTTCTTTGCGGTGAGTTGCGCCATCAAGTTGAGGTATGTGCCCGGTTTGAGGTGGGCAGTCTCTTCGAAGAATTCATCTTGAGTGGCCTGTGGACTGAGACCGATAATGCCATTGATATCGTCTGAGACCGGGCCGCCTGGTACGATCTGTCCAGCGAATTTGAAGTCGAAAGACAGACCGCTGCCTGAAAGCGTGAACTTGTCTTCGTACATGTTACCCAAGAAGCTGCAGATTATCAGCAATTCGCTATGAAAACCCTGCTGCAGCTTACACCGAAAAGTCCGCAAAGACTGTAGCGTAAGGCGTCGTCAGGTTCTTTGCATTTGGCCCCATGGCATAGTGCTGGATAAGGGTGGCCGGCGAACCAGTGTCGAGCGAGCAGTAGCCATAGTCCACGTCTCCGATTGATACGTTTGCGAAAAGGTTCGAACCACCAATGATGGGAATGGGCCATCGGTAATGCTTGTCCGACACGTGGTGATGGAGACGGCGCTTGCCGAGACTTGCGACCGCTGCATGCTCCCGTCGATAGACAGGCAACTTGATTGCGGCGCAGAATGAGAGGGCTGCAGCAACTGCGAAGATCGTAAAGCGCATGTTGAATGCCGAGGACCTTTTCTAGAAGGTCAGCTGCAAGATGGGCGATAGAAGCAACTGGCAGGGGATCGTATGAGATAAGGAAGAGGTGACTTGGCGACATTGCAGCCTGATAGTTGCGCTGTCCATCGATCAGGCGCCTCGTCGTCATCACGGCCTTACCCCTGACTGAGAACGAAATCACTGAGGAGTCAAGCATGGACAGCCTTGATCCAATCCGACGGCGGCGCAGGCTCATGTATGTCACAGCCAGCCTCTTGATCTAGTCATTGTGTTTATGGTCAATAGTGGTCAGGAGGGAGATCGCATTGGCCGAAAGACTCGAAGGTTCCATGTTACGCATGTCTTCTGGATGCACAATATTTGTGTGCTTGAGACACGAATAGTGGTTGCTGCACACAGCCACGATGAGAATTGATGGGTCGAGCACAACAACACAAGCTCGTTGATAGATTTGCAGGTTGAGAGTGACGTTGAGCTGGTATATCTGGTGACACTGGTGAAGAGGGCGCGCAAATGCTCACATGCACAGATAAGTGCACGAGCCCTCACGGCAAGTCGAAAAGTGAAAGATGTCAACTCGAGTACTAACGCGCATACGCGAGAAGAGCTGACAAAATGAGGTAGACTGAGATCAGATCAATCAGACCTGCTGCTACGATTGATACAGCCACAGATTTCAGCAGAGCTCAGAAATTTAGTGTCCTGAGTGAGGCCTAGGTAGCGAGGACTCATGAAGGAGGCCTGTCAGGAGACCATCAACATTTCGCTGCTCGCTCCTCAGCTGGTCGTCGAACGGCCATCGCGCCTTCGTTGCAGACGATGCGCACGTAAGGGTATGCATTCGGTAAATGCCGTCATGGCGGCGCATGTCCGGACGATTACAATCAAAGCTGCAATAGGATAAGAACTGCGGAGCAGACGTGACGCGCAATCAGGCTAGCGAGTACGCGGTCTTTGCAGAGCCACTGCCGATCGTTGTTTTGATGGGTCAGCTGCAAGACAAGTGATGGAAGCAACTGGCAGGAGACCATATGAGATAAGGAAGAGGTGACTTGGATACATTGCAGCATGATAGTTGCGCTGCCGACTGATGAATCGCTGAATTGCTATCGCGTACCCTATCCCGGCAGGGCACAAGAAGCCGAAGCGATACGCACAGACACTTATGTGTGTGTTTCGGAATGTTTATGTGCTGCCTCGTGGAAACCACGGCCCGGAGCTGTCATTCTGGTCGCATTGGCTATGGGACTGCGCATCGCATGGAAACAGTTACACCTGTTGAGCGGTCTGATCTCCCTGAATTGTGGGAGCTTAGAGTGCGTGGCGAGCCAGTATTGATGGATAAGGAATCAGTGCGCGAGCTTGTGTAGAGAGTCGCGGATCACGACAAAGGCAGGGATTCATTGAAGCGCGCTCAAGATCTCAAGATCTGGGAGCCTGGAGCTTCTCAAGATGCACGCAAAAATGGAACTCGGGCAAAGTTGCCAACAAGACAACAAGACAACAAGCCAACCAGACGAAAATCGCCTCAAAGCAAGGCGTGCTAGCATATGATCAGCTCGAGCTGACTATACTGAGACTCACCTGAACCTACGAGGAGGATGGGCGGCTCGCTGGCTGTCACCCGCTCAGAGCCTCCTTCTTGTGCAAGGCTTTTCTGTCGTCCAGCTTCGTCCGGGCTGTTCATACCATCTTCTGTCGCGAGCTAGCCTGCCAGCATGTAAGCCTGCGGTGGCAAATCGCGCTCCCAAGCGCGAACTGGCTCATCAGACAGTGACAGCAGACATGTGTCCCTATGACCTATGATAGGGTATTGATTTGCCGTGAAGTCGAAGCCTCGAGATGCTCACTCACGTCGCTACGATACGTCGAATTGACTTGAATGAGCTGAATCCGCTGAGTTCCATGGCTCTATGATCGGGTATTGTGTGAGGCCAAAGGTCCGCAGGCGGCAGGTACCGCGCAGGTCGCTGCAAGCTGTAAGTTGACGCGACCAACGGATTTTGCTCCTCTATCCGCCTCGCTCGCAGCCATACGAGATGGCACCTTCGACACTCACAAAGTCAATAGACCGCAAGCGCAAGCGTGATGGAGCCGAGGGAAGCGGCAACACCGAACGCAGAAGTGAGGAAGAAAATTTCAAGCAAAAGGTGTTGCTCCTGTCAAGCCGAGGAGTGAGCCATCGCATGCGCCATCTGATGGCCGATATTGGCACCCTCTTGCCCCACTCGAAGAAAGGTATGTGTAGCTGATCATTCCTGCTCGTTGGCTGACGCACAAAGGCAGACGCCAAGCTCGACAGCAAGCATCAGCTCTACATGGTCAACGAGCTCGCTGATCTGTCTTCTTGCAACAATGCGCTGTTCTTCGAAGCAAGGCGAAGGAATGATATCTACCTCTGGGCTGCCAAGACGCCCAATGGCCCGTCTATCAGATTCCATTTGCTCAACACGCATACAATGGACGAGCTCAAAATGACAGGCAATTGTCTCAAAGGCAGCAGACCGATCGTCGTCTTTGATCAGGCCTTTGACGAATCTGCACACCTTCGCATAATCAAAGAGGTGCTCATGCAGGCCGGTCTGTCCTTCATAGTCGTGACAGGAGCTCATCGTATAACAGATCTTTGCTGTACCCCGGACCGCGAGAAAAGCCAAGCCTTTCGTCGACCATATCACGAGCTTCTCGATCGCAGACGGTAAAATCTGGTTTCGCAGCTTCCAGGCCAGCTCAGTGACTCTGTCGAAGACGCGTGCTGAACGGAAGTGCAGATCATTGACTCGCCCGCGCCGAGCGTCATTGATCCGATACAAGCTGCAGAGGAAGCGACAGCTGCAGCGATAGCCGAAGGGATAAGCACAAAGTCAAGCAGAAGCAAAGCCAGTGGTGGACCGCGCATGACACTCTCAGAGATCGGGCCTCGCTTCGTTCTGGTGCCCATCAAGATATTCGAGGGTTCGTTCGGTGGAGCAACACTCTATGCAAATAAAGGTATGCCTGTCGCTTTAGCAGCGCATTCTACGCTCACGCATCTGATCAGAATTCGTGCCGCCATCGCAAGTCTACACTGCGCAGAAGAATGAGCGCGCTCTGAAGTATCAGACCAAGAAAGCAGACACGCTTCAGAACAAGGCCCGTCGAGAGGAGATCAAGGAAGAGAGTCGACGTACCGGTCGGCCAGAGCAGCTCGAGAAGCGCTCGATCTTCGCTTGAACTTATTCCAGTGTCAGTCGTGTGCCAGTTGATGTATTCTTCTCTGCATTCGCAGATTGATGCGCATGCGAGATCGGTTGATTGCAATGAATTATGCGCGTCATAGCTTGTCGTCGACTGGCGCGCGTCAGCGATTGATCTACTTTCACGCGCAATTTGGTCTTTGACAGTCAGCAAGACAGCTACGCAGGCGCTTACGTGAAGCTGAGGGCGCATCTGATCGCGACTGCGCCATAATGTCGAACGACCTTTCGAGTCGTATGTGAAGCCGCGCCTTGTCATACAAAACATTCAGGCGAATATCATGATTGACCATCTGCTGGGACGACCCTCGACGAACTGGCGCCGGACACAAGTCTTTGTCGTCATCGGCTTCTGGTCATGGTATCTGAAGACGCGAGATGGGAGGGGTCCGCCCCTGCCGCTCGTGCGCAGATTAAACGCATTGCTAGGTCAGCACGGTCTGATGCTGCTGCTGCTTACGAGCTGATACTTGAGACTCAGATCGATTCACGCCATGGCAGATCATCATCGGCATCCTCACTTTCGTCTATTCCTTCAGGCATTTCGATGACTTGCTCGGCCTGTCAGGTCAGTTCGCGCCTGTAAATGCGCCCCTTTTGCTGACACCACAGACAAAGCGCCTGAGCCACTCGCTAAGCTGGTAAGCTTGGTCTTTGCGTACCCATGATTGTGCTGACAATGTGATAGTATTCGCGCAAGGCATGCAGCCATGTCTACGTCGCAGTCCTTCACTGACTTGCAATGCAGTTCTACCGAGCAACGTGGATAGCTACCGCGTTCGATGCAGGCTTCGCAACAGCCATGACAATCAAGCCCAAGTGGTTGCGAGACTTTGCTTCCATCCTATTCAGTGGCTATTATGTCCTCTTTGCAAACGAGGCAGACGAAAAGGTTTCCTGACTCACGTACTATAGGATCATCGCTAAAACAGGACTGGCAGTTGAGAAAATACAGAGCAGTCGCAACGATAGAAATGCTCAGATGTACTTGGGAAAAGGCAAGCTTTGCTTTGACGGTCGGATCATATCTGACGCTGACGCATGGGACAGACTAGCAATCCTTACATTCGCTTCTTCACTGCCGGAGACCGGCCTCGTATCACAGTTTCTAAGCGTTTCACACTGGACCGTCCAGCAGGATCGCGCTATAAGCGTCCCATCTCAGTCTATCTCTACTACGCGCTCCCAGAAGCAGGTCTAGAGCATTGTCGAGACCTCATCCTTGACTTTCCAGGGGGTGGCTTCATCTGCATGACGCCCGAACACCACGAAGAGCGATTGCTACGGTGGGCAATCAGGACGGGCAAGCCGATCCTTGCTCTCGACTACTGCAAGGCGCCAGAATATCCTTATCCCTATGCAATCAACGAGGCGCTCGATCTGTACCGCTTGTTGCACGAGACGAAGGGCTCAGTCATTGGTTTCAAGACCAACGACATCAACATTGTGGTCACGGGCGATTCTGCGGGCGCAAATCTAGCCACCGTCATGGTCATCAAGCTACTTGAAGAAGAAAAGTCGAAGCGATTGCCCCTACCGCTCAGTCTGATCTATGCCTATCCTGCTCTCGATTTCAACTACACCTCATGGATGCCTCCAATGAATTTGAAGGCGCTGCAGCATGACCTGTCGACAGCCAATCTGTCGGGTATCCTGCATCAAAAGGTGCATCGCCCTTGTGATCGATATCCAGTTAATTTGACAGGTTTCACAGGATCATCTCAGCCATTGCAGCCCGCTGAGTGTAGTGGACGACGTACCCCGTCCACGCTCAAGATCAAAGGGTCGCAAGCGGCTCAGCTTGACACGCAGTATGACCAGACTAGGCCTCTTTTCCCCTGCCAACAAGTCAAAGGGTAGTGAGAAGGACGAGGATGCGGCATCAAATGCTGATGTTGAGCCGGAGGAAGACGAGCTGCCGCTGGAAGCGAGAGCAGAGACGGCAGAGGAGGAGACACCTCGTTCGCTCGAGCTGACCAGAAGCGACAGCAGCAGGCGCATTCTCGGCACGCGCCTAACAATGACCAGTCGGGTCGGATTTTTCAATGATCGTATAATTAGTCCAAGCATGATGCGCGCCATGGCGCTATGCTATGTCGGTCCTCAGCACTGCCCAGACATGGCAACGGACTATTATCTCTCGCCCGTCGTCATGCCGGAGCATCTGCTGGCTCGATTGCCACCCATGAAGATCTGCGTTGGCGAACGTGACCCTTTGGTGGACGATTCACTTGTTATGGCAGGACGAATCCGTGAGGCAAAGCAAGCAAGACGTTCACAAGCCCTGCTGCGCCAAAGATCCAAGCACGGCGAGTCATTGAGGATGAGCTCGCAAGCCCAAGCTTCGGATCCAATCATCGACCAGACCGAAGATGACTGGATTGAGCTCAGGTACGTTTCTCCGAGCATAGCAGGCAGCTAGCTCACACACAGTCGACAGAATAATCGAAGGCTACAGCCACGGCTTCCTACAGATGTTGCAGCTCTTGCCAGAAGTCGCAGGAACGATCGATTTCATGGCTGACTGGATCTCAGAGACATTTAAGGCAGCGCATGCTGAGCGACGTCTATCAACTGGACAGAAGCTCGCTTTCACACAATCGTCGCATACTAAGTCTGGTGCAAGCGACCCCCGTGCGAAGGGGCAATCGGGCGAGTCGGAGTCGTTCGATGATCTGCTGAGCTTCACACCTAGGCGACGCGTCTCGAACAATGTCTCCCGATCAGGAACACCAACACAGGCGCACCCGAATGACTCTTCGCCGCTGCCTAGGCGCTCGACGGGTGCACGAGCTGCTGCATCTTCATCAGACGAGACCGTCGGTCCGCACACGCCCAACGATGACGAAGATGGACAGTCTGATATCGAAGCGCATCTGTCTGTCAATAAGACGCCCAAGAATAAGGCTGCCGTTGCAAGTCAACTAATCAAATCTGCGCACGAGCGCGCATTGCGGACAATTGCTGATGACACAAATCTACAAGCATCTCAAACTTCGCTCAAAACGCTAAGCTCTACCCCGTCGCGCACCAGCAGCCCGGCGCCGCCTTTTGTAGACGCGTCGTCTTTGCTGCGCAAGAGAAGGGACGAGATCATCGAAGGCATGCAAGGAGCGCCTGCCGATTCTATCACGAGCCCTTAACGAGCCGATATGTCGTACAAAAGTTGCATCCGTGTAGATAGCACATAAGTGTGCGCTTCAAGTGCGTATATCTATGTTTGAAGCGCAGACTGGCATGACTCAGGCCGTCCGGAGCCGGTTTCAGTTGGCCGAGGAAGACACATTGCCTGTTCCCAATGCTGCCTTGGCTTCCAGGGTCTTCTGCACCCAAGCAACCATGTTGACGTCTCTCCCTTCATCTGCCAGCAGGAAGGGGTGTTGCTGCAAGCTTTCCATCAGCCAAGTCAGACAAGTGACGGTCAGACTTACGAGTAGCTCAGCATAGGTCGGCCGCCGTTGCGGAACCTTCTCAAGTGTGGCTGCGACAAAGTCGTCCGCTGCTGCGGAGTAGCCGACCGGTAGCGCAGGAGGGTCGCCGTGCACGATTGCTTGCAGCTGCGCAAAAACATTGGTGTACGTTTCCGGCGGGTATGGATAATGCCCCAGAGTGAATTCGATGATGGACAGTCCGAGGGACCAGACATCGGATGCCACCGTGTATGTTGCTACATTTCCTTGCGATTCTCCTTTGATTCGTTCAGGCTGCATCCAGAATCAGCTCTCGCACAATGGCAAGCGGACAAACATACTGCCATGTAGCTCTGACAGCCGATGTTGGTCTTTGCCAGACTTCGTTCTAATTGGCCAGAGACGCCGAAATCGCATAGCTTGACCATGCCTTGCGTGTTGACGAGCACATTGGTCGGCTTGACGTCTGATAATGATGTCAGCCCTATTATAATCCCGTCACGAGTCGCTCACCCCTATGCATCGTTTGTAGCTCGTCTTTGAGAAATCGTAATCCTTTGACCATGGACGATGTCACACGAGCGAGGACTGGTTCTGGCACATCCAATCCTCCGAGCTTGTCGAGCGATCCAGCGTCCATGTACTCCATACTGTTCGGGCATTAGCAGGCGATTTCGTAAGGTGCGCGCAGACGCACCAGTAGTAGACGCAGCTCTCGATGAAGAAGGCGCCATAGAAGTCAACAATCTCCGGTGCTGTTGCGCGATGCAGAATATCTAGCTCAGTGATGATAGCTTTCAACTTGGAGTCGTCTAGTTCAAGTCGAATCTCTTTCATTGCCATCGTGACTTTTGTTGCCTTGTGAAAGACCTTCTGAACCGTGCCGTAATTCCCTTTGCCCAGCTCCTCTTCTAATGTAAGATCCTGCATATTGATTGCAAAGGACGCGCCGGACGTGAAGTCGACACCCTTTTCGTGCAAAACAGCCTTGTTGGCAAAGTTGAGTCTGCCGGAGGGATCGACAATCTTGCTAAAGTTGCTGAACGGTGTGCCTTGTGCTGAGCTTGGCCCGTCTGGATTGAGGCGCATGCCGCTCAAGCCGCCCGGTGGAGGACCTTTCCGACGACCGCCAAGCCCGCCAACGGGTGAAGCACCTCCCGGTCGCTGACCAGGTACGGCCAATCGCGCAGTAGCGACGCTCGGCGTGCCAAAAGAGCCTTGCCGACCTGGCACAGATGGCCCAGCATTTGGACTCTCCAGTCCGCCGAGCGTCAGCCCTCCGACCGGCCGACGGCGAGCAAGTGCACCGCCAGGTGACGTGGCCGCGAGAGCATTACTCGCGCCCATGCCTGCCGTGGAACTTCGTGCGGCGCCGGCATGCGTAGCGATACTGCTTCTCGCATCTGCGATCGCAGACGAACTCGTCTGATTTAAGCGTCGCGTGCCATCCGAACCGGATGAACCATCGGCGCTCGACGTGAGCGACGAGGATGCAGATCCTGACCCTTGTGACAGATTCTGCGCACTTGAGCTGCGTTGAGCCAGCTGCCAGTGCGAGTCAGCTCAGCTTGTCGCGAGCACGTCGAAAACATACCGCTGCCATCTTGGCTTGCAACGAAGGGGGTATCCTATGCTGACCGACCATGCTAGGCGTAGCGCGGCCGACTGGAGGTCGCCCGGTCGTTGGCGTGGTTGATTGGCTCGAAGTTGGGGGAGGAGGCGCACTTCTAACTGGCGTCGAGATGAAGTCTCTTGCACGAATGGGCGAAGAGGCGGCAATAGGTGTGTTATTACTGAGTGAGCCTATCGACTTGGCCGGTGGTATACTTTGCGCTTCGGCAGCACCGTTTTGGCTTGGCTCGGAGTCGGCTGGCGTGACCGCTATAGGTGGCGTGACAGCAGTAGAGCCGGTGGGAGTCGCATCGGACGAGGACAGAGCCGATTGGCTTGACTGTTGTGTGCCTACTTGCTCGTCAAGATTGATAGGACGAGCCGGCTGTTGTGGCAGAGAGCCAATCTTGAGCCGACCAAAGTCTTTTTCCATGGCAGAATTGAGGGCAGCAATGCCAGGAGGCACGCTGGACTCATGCTCGGTCATGCTGGACAATGACCTTAGCTAGAAGGGAAGTGTTTGCGAAACGAGGTCGGTCTTGCTGAGGCCAGCGAAAGAGGTGCGTGAACGCGGCGTGATCGTCTGTGCGTGCGCGCGTGGATTATGCGCAACTGCTGATGCAGCAGATCGCAGTCGTCCGAGTCGTGACTACTGTCAGCGATAAAGCTGGACCTCGCTTGCCAAATGGCGCGGATGTGTGACACTGAGCCGGCGCAGCCTGTTGCCCATGAAGTGACTCGCCACCCTATCACTAGCTACGGATCAGTGCTGCTACCTCTGAGCCTTGAGCGGACCGTTCGAACGCTGTCAGCTTCCTCGTTCGTGTGCTGGCCTCTGTGCCTTGCTCGGCCGAATGGTGACTTTTACTGCAGGCTTGCCAATAAGGTTTTGCTGACCGCGTGTGCTCCATCGCGGTGTTGAGCTCCGGTGGTTCGATTCGACGCTGCGATCTCGCTTAGCGCTTCCATGGGTATCCAGTTTGAGCGACGGCTACCAGTAGCGCCTCGCCCATCCACCTTTGTTGATCATGTCCCCTTTGGTCGCAAGCTTACAGAAATCGCCGGCACGCTGATCATGCTCTGTCAATCGGTTTTGATCGCTCTGCCAGCCGTCCTCATTGCCGTCATGAAGCGACCGAGCCTGCTCTTGGATAGACAGCAGCGCAGGCGTATCGCTTTTGGCTCCATCTGGCGCTATTTCGGTCCCAGCATCGATGACTTATACAGGCCATACAAGACCGAATTGCTCGCCATGGCAGAAGGTGTCGTCATCGATATTGGCTCGGGCACGGGCCAGAATCTCAAGTATCTCTCGCACGACAAGATCACTCGACTAGTCCTGATCGAGTTCAACTCAACAATGTACCCTGCGCTGACAAGGAGCGCAATTGACGCTGGATTCGAAGGCAAATTTGAGATACTCGGCTTTGGCGCAGAAGACGCGCACAGGATCAAGAAGACGACAGGTCTCACGCCGGGCTCGGTGGACACTGTGATCTCCGTTCTAGCGCTGTGCGGGATACCTCAGAGTCAAGAAGTCATTGACAGTCTGTATGAATACCTCAAACCTGGCGGACAATTCTTATTTTTCGAGCATTGCGCTTCACCACACGAGCCGACGCTTTTCTGGCAGCGTCTCATCAATCCTATATGGACACTCGTCATGGACGGATGCGAGCTAGATCGGCCGACAGGAGATGTAAGCCTTCTGCGACGTCTTCGTCGCGTATGCTGAGGAAGTCGCTACAGATGATCATCAATCATGAATGGACAGAAGCACAAGTTTGGCGACTACCGATAGAGTCACGCTTCTCACTCAGTCCAAAGGAAGTCGGATTTGCGCGCAAATGAAAGGTATCAGTCGCATGGTTGTACGTACAAGTAGTGCATTCTGCAAGACACGCTGGAATCCTTGCTTCTGCTTCTCAAAGTCGACAGAGTCGTCCCCGCTGCCATCGGTAATTCATCTGAATGACAGCCCGGCTGTCATAGAGAAGCAAGACTGTACATCTGCATGGCAAGAAGTACAAGAGCAGAGAGCAAAAAGCAAAGAGCAGAGAGCAAGATCGTCGCCGGTCTAGTCGCCCAGTTCGACAGCTGCACTGACCTTTTGCTTATACAAGCTATTTAGATTGCATGCCATTGCTGGCTATGCCCGACAGGAACTTAGAGTTGCGCAACATGACGGTCATTCGCAGAGTGTCGCCAATAAGGGGACCCAAGCCAGAGCGACGAGCCTACATGCATGAACGTGACCAGCAAGTCCAGCCATCGGGTCGAGTCGTAGCGAGGTAGCATCCGCCTTGCTGACAGTCAGTTTTGATCGCTTGACGTCGCCAGACAGGTCTTCACGCCAACTTCGGCGCGCAGTGGGTGTAACAATCCCGCGGCGGCCTTTATCGAGAACTAGAGGTCAAACGCGTCAAAAGTAATCACCGGCCTGCTAGCGCAGACTCGCTGTCGAGCCAGGCTTCGCAGTGATCTTGCACCATGTCGATTGGGATGCGGCGGAACATCACGTAATCTAGACCAAGGTCAGTGCAGTGCAAGATCATTGCGAAGCCTAGCTCGACAGCAAGTCTGCGCTGCTCTTTGCTCTTGTACTCCTTGCAATGTAGATGTACAATATCTCTTCGCTTTGCTGCCTTTGTCGAACGAGCCGCGTATCGCCAGATAGGTCGGCCATCGTCGCCCTTTGCGAGACGCGTTCATCCGTACAGCTCGCTCAGGTCTGTCTGATGGCGTGCATTGCCGTACTAGACCGATCATCTCGTCCTTGCCGATGCAGGCTTGCTCACAAAGATTGAGCTCGCCACCGCGCGCGCAAGCTCAAGCTTGAGCGCTGTAGGCACGTAGCCGCCAGTGAGGATCTCATAGGCGCTCGCGCCACAAGCCTGCTACCATACTAACCGAGGGACGGAGGAGAAGAAGCTTGTAAAATCATGTGACAACAATCTCGCCCAACGCAGCTCGCCGGCCAAGCATGTACAGGTCTTCTAGGCAGGTATCTACCGCTTGAGTGAAGTCATCACTCGTCTTTGACGAAAGAGCAAAGTCGCTAGCATCTTCTGATCCGCTCTCGCTGCTACTATCGACTTCGATGTCCTCGACAGAGTCTGCAGACGGTATAAAAGGTGCATGGGCGCATAGCGCGCGCAATGCGACTGTATGATCGTGCACGGCAGATGAAAGAGACGAGTCGAATTGGTCTGCTCGTTTCTGAAGTCTGCGGAGATGAAGCCAGCTCAATGTGACGAAAGCGATATTGTCGACCGCGTTGACGGGTGAGCCGATTGACTCTATGTCGTCAGCACCCTCTGCCAGCTGTAGGAAAGCAGCGATTGAAGCTACACTTTCGCCAGTGTCGAGGCTCGCTATGAAGCTGGCAAGGTCGTCGCTCAACTGAGGCTGCTGCAGACATACCCAAACACCCTTGGTGAGCAATGCCAGATGATGCATGGCCGACCCATGCCTGGTCGATTCGGCAGCAACATCTATCCAGTCGACCAAGTCCGAACCATTATCCAGCTCAATCCGAAGTGTGTCGGCTCTGGCTACAGCAGCAAACATGTGCATCCAGGCGTCGATGAGAATTGCCTCGCATCGCAGATCGGCAAGAGCTGCAAGAGGATTGACGAGAGGATCGGAAGACGTGCGAAGCTCGTCGAGACTCGCATGTGCATCAACTAAGCTGCTTTCGAGGACCATCGACAGCCACGGCACTGGCAGTTCGACTTTTTTCAAACTCGATATGGCTTCGGTCCAGTGAGATTGCGCTTGGGCGGTCTGTAATAACGGTGACGTGAGAGCGAGCAAAGCTAGCGTGGCTTGCACGCGAGGCTCCTGCAGTTCTTCGTGATCTCGGGCACATTCTTGCCAAGCAGCACTTCGAGACGCATTGAGAAGCTGCAGATACGCCTGAAACCGCCAGACTTTGCGCTGGCCTGTGCCAGCAGACATCACTTCGATCTCCGCAAGCCGCAAAGTGGCCATGCACGCCTCTATCGCTACATGGCGAGGCGCGTTGAGGGAGTGCGTGCGCGTTATCACCCGCCAAGCTTGGCGTACGATCGACATGAGTGCACTCGGCAAGTTCTTAGGTGCGTCAGCAACAATACGTAACGCACCGACGACAGTTTTCACATCGCCCGTTCGTGCGGTGTGTAGGCGCTGCAGAGCTAGCCGGTATCTGATCGTCGAATCTGCGGACAGTCTACGCCCTAGTCGTAGCACGAGTCGAAGCGCCAGTAAAACGATAACGAGCAAGCTGACGCAAATGACACCAGAGAGAATCGCAGGCTGGGCAAGTATAGCGGACTGCAGCGGCGATAGAGTATCGTCTGTAACGGGCACAGAGCGTCGGCGCAGGCCAGACGACCAAGCGCGTTCGCTGTTCGGAGCTGCATTGGCTGTGTACGCGACATCGTAGCCGAAGCCGCCCAGGAAGGAAACGCCGCCCAAGACGGCAAACATAGCTGCTGAGCCGGGTCGCGTGGTCGGCGAGAGATCGTCAAATGTTGCTGAATCGGCGGCATGGGCATAGCCATCAGAGTAGCCACCCATGCCACTATCACGCAGGATTGACGCGTAGTCTTGTAAATCCGCTATCTCGCTAAGGTAGTCCATGGATACGGGAGCAACCATAACGTCCTCGACATTCTCGTCCATGGTCGTCGGCCTAGGCTGGGTGGCCTCAGCTTGAGGAGGCGTCACGCTAGAGCCCTTTGACTTGGGCGTAGCCTTGGCGCGCTGAGAGCGAGATAACTTCGCTTTCGACTTGCCGGCATTGGCAACCTGAGACGCAGCCGGCCGCGCTTGTTCGCGCACTGTCTTGATCTGATCATCAAAGCTAGCCAGTACATCGCCACCGCCTTCGACGCAGTCGACGACGAACTGCCGTAAAAGGAACAGCTCCTCCTCGAGCTCTTCCCTGCGTCCTTTGAGGAAGCGGATGTAGTCAATCGATTTGCTCAGCACGACTTTCTTGCCCAGCTTTGTTGCTGCCTCGACGCCATCCACGACCCCTTGTGTGACTGGTGCAGGGTGTGGCAGCATGAATTGCGAGTTCCGCTTGCCTTTCGCCTTGGTCTCTGACGATGGCTCGGCGCGAAGGTGCGCAGTCGCAGGCACGAGATCACGCAGAAGCGCGATGGATGTATTGATGCCATCACGATATCGTCGCTCAACAGCATCTGTATAGCCAAATCAGCAGGCTATACAGAAATGGCGTCAGAACTGACTGTGACCACCAAGATCCTTGTCTGCGCTATTCTCGTCGCCGCTATTGTCTTCCTCGTCACCATTCGACGAGGCTGCAAGCTTGCGCTTGCTGCCTTGCGAAGTGCTAGCTTTGAGATTTACGAGATCGAATTGACTTGGCAACGAAGCTCTCGATTGGTCATATTGGACCAGACCAGCATAACTGAGCGTCTTCAGATTGACGGCTGTGGTCTGATGCGGCCGTGAAATTGCGAGAGCGACTTTGGAGGGATCCATGGACAGCGTCGCGACTGTCTTCTGCCGCTTCGCTGCTGGCTCAGACGCAACGGGCTCGACTTCTTCCGCAGAACTCGGAGGAGAGCTGCCTTGGTGCGATGGACCGGATGACATTCCCAGACTGGAGTAGAGCAGAGACGAGTGTGATGCAGGCGGGGAAGGCGAGGACGATGAGGCACTAGCTGCAGACTGTGCCATCGAGACAGAGGCTGTGCTCGCAGGCATCAGTGGGAACGAATGCGATCCTGACGCGGTAGACATCGATGACGCCGGCGCAAAGTCGTACTGTGACAACCTGCTACTAACATCCATATGGCGCGTAGATGGAGCTGTAGCTGGAGACGCAAGCGAAGTGAATGCAGCCAGAGGGTCTAGATCGCCTTCGCTCGTATCAATGCCGAGCCTAGATGATGTTTCTTGTTGGTTAGCGGCGAACGATGCTCGCTTCACTGTCCGTGGCTGCGACAGAATGGCCACAAGATCGTCATGGTCGCCCCTGAGTGGCATCTTAGGATGCTGCGCTTCAGTTGGCACTCGGTTTGCGGCTCGTGCGACGTCCAAGTCAGGCCACTTTTTATATTGCAAATATTAACCGACGACGTGTGCAATGTACGTGTTACAAAGTGGCGCGCGTCACCGCCACGTCACCGCTGAACGTCTGCATAAGTACCTTGTTCGTTCTGACAGAGATTGTAACACTGATAGCCCATCTGTTCGAAATGTCAGATTGAACTACATTGCTTCCATGGGAGCCCACTTCTAATCTACTGCAAAGGCGCAGCTCCTTCCCCCTGACAGGTAATGTTGCGAGTGATCTCGTTGGATCTGTAATGCTAATGACTTGCTGTTGCATGTAATGCTGCAAGCACCATTAGACGAGCTCACGAGAGCTTTGAGTCTGCATACATCTGATGTAATGGCTTCCGTGAGCAGGTCGAAGCGGCCCCTGTACCAGAAGAGGTCTAGATTGCCCGGCGAGGTCAAAGCGAAGACGGTCTTTGTCGACTGCTTATGGGTGAGTGCATGTGCGATGTAATTTGGCTCAAGCACGGTGACATTGAACGTATTTCTGACTTCTTGTACGTGCACTGTAGACCACCAGTGGCGACGGTGCACAGAGAGTTCCATGGGCTCTGTCGAAGCTCGCTGAGGTACCGGCTCGGGCAGTGCTTGTATACGATCGCCCCATTTTGGCCATTCTGGTGTCAGATCGGCCGAGAAGATGGTCACGACCAAAGGCGGCTGTATAGCACGACCAGTGATTTGTGCGAGCTGGATGAGCATCCGTATCTGTCGGCGGACTTGCACTTTCGTGCCACTGATCTCGGGCATTGTAATGATCTGGGGCGGCCGGGTATAGTAGCCGTTGACGTTCTGCCAATAGCCATAGACCGCAGACAGATAGAACTTGAGCCAGGCATTGTCCGCACATGTGAGGTGCATGAGCACTGCCTCTGGAAATGGCGCAGCAGGTGCAGTGATGTGATAGGGAGAGAACCGCCGTCGATCCAGGACGTAGAAGTTGACGCCTTGCGGACTGGTGAAGCGCTCATGGTGACCGGGTACCTTGCGAGCTGCTGTCACGTTGGCAAAGGCGGAGAACCATTCCTGATCCCACGAGGCGCCGTCCTTGACCTTATCCAGGACTTCGAGCCAGAGCGCAGCAACGCGCTCATTGGCACTTTGCAGCAAAAAGCCTATGTTCAGCTGATCGCCGTTGCTGACGTCGTCTTGAATCTGGATATCGACTGAAGCGTCGTCGACCGGCAGCATGAACTCGAAGGGATCATTGCGCAGGTAGACATCCCCATCGATGAAGAGCGTTGCGTAGCCAGCAGAAGCCACTTCGTACATCACTGTGCGCATGATGAGCACGGCGCAGGGGAGCCAGCAGTATGCGTACTTCTACTCTTCTGGTAGCCAATGTCGGTATAATGCTTGCTACCCACATGATTGTCATAAAAGTACGCCATGTAGCCTTGTATACGGCACTGCTCCATGCATTGCTCGTCCAGACAGAGCACCATGAAAGGTTGCGTGCCTCTGCCCTGTCTGGGCACCGGCGTCACGACTGGATCTTTGCGTCCGTCCGATCTTGGCTTGCTGTGCGGCATGGTTCCATTGGCTAGACGCTCGAGTACGATGCGCAAGTGAGGTATAGCTTCGGTGATGTAGATACCACCTGACATCGTCACCCAGAGGGGCAGTGAAGGATCGGGCGGCCCCATCCGATCTTTGAGAAAGTCTGCTAGGCTCATCCTCGAGTTCCGGCCCCCAGCTTGTAATGTCGAAAAATCGTAGCGCTCATATCGTATGCGATGAGCTATTGGCGAGTGAAGCCAGGCGGAAGTACGACTGCCAAGTGAAGTGAAGGACGACGCAATTTCTGAGCGAGTTGCAGCAACGATGAGCACAAATATGCACAGTATCCCCAGAATTATTTGATACAGCGCTCTCGTGCTGCGCAGTCGGCTTCTAGACGTCCTCGCGGTATCCCCCAGCCCCGACAGAGTTGGCATAGACCCCATAGAGATACTAGACAGGTGGTAGCTCTGCCGGCCATTGTAAAGGTCGTTCTCCACGATCGAGCTCCGTCGTCTGAGCATATGCGCGGCTTCACTAGCCGGCTTGCTGGCTCCATCCATGCGATGATCAAAAGTTTGGCGCGCAGACCCGAAGCGATGTGATCTTGGCGAGCCGCCATTGCGCAGTTCTGGCGGCGATCCATTGGGAGTCAATGGGATACTCACGCTCGTTGTGGTAGCTACCATTGATCATGCCTCGCTCGCTTCCAGGTTTGGCATTGTCCAGATTGTGTTCAAACTCGGCAACATCCCGCCATGACGCGACGCGCTTCGAAACCACGAGCTTGCTTGGGCAGCAGTGGGACAAGATGCATTACGAGAACATGGCGGTCAACTTGTCCTGCTCTTTGAGCGTCTCCAGATCATCAGAGCCCTGCAGTATTGCTGCTGTGTCAGCATCAAGTTGTCAAGTGATATGATCACACTTGCGCCAATGTGTTTCTGTCAGCAGTATCAGCTTGTGGATCTCCTCACATGCGAATGGGACGTACCTGTCCGATCCAGATGTTGGGTACCGAGCGCTGACCGGACTTTTCGGCGAGGTAGTCCTGAGGGTGCGTCAACTCAAGCGAAAGACGAGCGGGAAGTCAACGGACTTGAATCTCGCTGCCCTTGTCGTGTTCGTCGAGCTCAATGATGTACGGCTTCTGCTCTTCTTTGACGTCGAGAGAAGACAGCGTTCCTTTTGCACGCTTGCAGAAGGGACACCAGCTCTGTAAAGCCGGGTTAGCCATCGTTTCGACCGACACTGAGCCATGCCTTGGAGAAGACAACGACGTGGTGCGAGGCAATGGCATCGTCGACGATGCTCTGGGGTGATGCCATTCTTGCGTATGTACGGATGAAGCTTCGAGGTCGCAAGACTTGTGTCCTTGATGTGATCAGGCGGAGCATAAAGTCCAATGACGCGATCTGTCGAAGTGATCTCTTGCTGACTCACTGGTCGTCTTTTGCTTGGCCACTCACTCTCACGCGGCAGGATGCATCCTTCGATTTCCAAGCTGAGAGGCGGAAGAAGAGACTGCGATCAGGCAAGGCGCTGATGCTTGTACTCGACCAAGCAATGTATATATTGCTTGCCCAGCCTGCACCCGTATCTACTTTCATAGTACGAGAGAAGCATGGCATCCCGTCAGATCTGCCCAATTAAGCCTCGTAACGCCCAGTCAGTAATGCGGTGGGGGACCACGCGTGAATCCTGCGGTAAAGTAGATTTTTGCGTATCCTTTTTGCGCCTGAAATGAGCATGCCCGCTCGAGACCTGTTTCTGCATCTTCGTGGTTTACGAGACGTCGACGAGGCTTTTCAGACGCTATTCCTTCCGGCGCGTCGTCGCTTAGTGATCTGACAGGGGCTGCAATGATTGTACATGCTTGATGCTACAGTCTTTTTCTGCGGGCAGCTGATCGTACACGTCCTGTCCTTCGTGCGTCATCGCTCGTCGGTCGGAAAGGCTTCATCGCTGGGCCGAAGCAACGGATCTTCTGCGCGTGCGGCAGCGATGAGATCATCTAGCCCTTTCGCCTTGATGCCATTCTGCGCGCGTTCATCAGCACACTAGCTGGCGAGACGTGTGCATGCCAGCCACCTGCAAACATGAACGATAATCTGTCCATAGGCTGCCACATTTGGCGTCGTACTCTGCGATCTTACTCTTTATAGCTTTCTGCCGTTCATCCTCGGTCATGCTGGACAGAGACCTGTCGCCTGCAGTAGGCTGAGTGGCTGAGGCTCTCTCCTTGCCTTTGTTCGATCCCCACAGCGAGAATGAGCTGCCGGCTGACTGTGCGGTGCCTGATGAGGGAGCCTGGGACGAGTCTGGCGTCGCGGCTTGAGATGAGCTGCCAGGCCGCAAGACGACGAGATTGAGATAGCCATCCAACCAGGTGTGGAAGCAGGCGTCATACTCTTGCTTCGCCCGGGTACATTCTGGCGCTAGAGAGTCCATGACGGGCAAGCCTGTCAGCGCTTCAGTCGATGATGCTCGCTGCCAAAATTGCGCGACTCGACTGTCATCGACCGTCGCAGTGTCAATGGCGAGAGAGCGCTCAGCAGAGCCAGTCAGGCGTCACAGGGACGACAGAGAGAGCCAAAGAGGATGGTCAGACTCTCACCGTCGCAAGTACGGGGGTGATGAGGAGAGAGGTCGGTCTGCAAAAGCCAGCAGCAGTCGACACGAACGAGATGACGACGAAGACGAGCGCCGGGCTCACAAGCGGCATCGAGAAGACGGCGCTGACAGACGGCCTCGAGACGAGTACAGCAGATCTAAGCACGACAGAGAGACATCACGCGAACGAGCAGCACGCAAGGAACAACGACGGGCTGCCAAAGAAGCAGCAAAGAGAGAAGCAGAGGAGCACCGTCTAGCTGCAGCCGAAGTCTCTGTCTACTCTGTCACGGACAACCCGTTCCATGACTCCAATCTCGATCAGGCGTTCGTCTGGGGCAAGAAGAAAGACAAGGAGCGAAAGCAAGGTCTCACCCAAGAAGATGCCGCCAAACGGGACGCACGCAGACGGCAAGAAGCCAAAGAAGAGCTCGAGAAGCTCAACCGACTGCGAGCCACGCGTGAGGAGGAGGCAGAGTTGCGCGAAGCCGAAGCGGCCCGAATGGCCAGGTTACAAGAATCCGCTCAGATGGAGGAATGGCTCAACAAAGAAGGAGAATTCCAGCTGGAGCAAGCGCGAAAGCGTGCAGAGATCAGGACAAAGGAGAATCGAGCAAAGCCGATCGACTTCCTGGCGCTCAATCTCAAATGGTCACAAGGTCGTGAGGCACGTCTGGCCAGCAGATCGAAGCAGTCGCTCTTGCTGGACGATGACGAAGAGGACGAGGGCGCCGGACTCGACATCGATCTCGAGGAACCCTACCTCATCTTTGAGAATCTGACGCTAGACGAAACCCGCGAGCTCGAGAACGATATCAAGATGTATCTCAGCCTCGAGACGACACCTTCCAACATCGATTTCTGGAAAGCTATGCTGGTCGTATGCGATGATGCTCTCGCTACACTCGAGTCTGAGCGCCAGCTCGGTCACGCACAATATCGTACGCAGCAGCATACCACCGTCAAGTCCGATATCGCAAACATGTTCCGTGACAAGACGTATCAGCAACTGGCAGTCTTGCAAGGTCAGATTGCAGACAAGCTTGGGAGTGGCGACCCTATCGATGTCGAGTACTGGGAAGGGTTATTGAAAGAGCTCGCAGTCTGGATGGCAAAGGCCAAGCTGCGCAACATGCACGAAGTCGTTCTCAAGAACCGTCTCGAGCAGCTCCGCCGTCGCCAACGCGATAGCGCTCTCAAGGCTCAAGCCGAGCTCGCCAATACCATCAAGCCTACTGCAGCTAGCAAGGTGGCGGCGGCGGCTGTCGAAAAGCAAGACGAGTACTCGCCTAGCATGGAACCACCTCTCGTCCACAGCTTGCTCGAAGCCGAGCAGAACCTCGAGCTGCTCGACCCGCGAGAAGAGATCAGAAAGCTCATCGAAGCGCGCAAGCTGGTCGTCGGTGCTCACTTTGTGCCTCGCAAGCAGCGCGTCGTCGATGATGGACCCGATCGTGATGAAGTGGCAGAGACGCTGTATAGGCAACATGCGGAATCGATGTACCAGCAAGCGGCGTCTGACGACGACATGGACGAGGAAGAAGAGCTGTTCAATATGGAAGCAGAGATAAGCAAGCATACCTATGGATGGGAAGACAAGTATCGACCACGCAAACCTCGCCATTTCAACAAGGTCATTACTGCCTTCGAATGGACCCGTTTCAACCGAGCCCATTACGAGTACGTCTCTGCCCTATTTGCTTGAAGGTGTGCATATGCTGATCTGCTGACGCAGTACGGACAACCCTCCACCCAAAGTGGTGCAAGGCTACAAATTTGCCATCTTCTATCCTGACCTGATCGATAAGACGAAGACGCCAACTTACCTTACTGTCAATGAACCAGGCAACGAGGATACTTGCATGCTTGTCTTCAAGGCAGGACCGCCGTATGAAGATCTCGGATTCCGGATAGTCAAGAAAGATTGGGAGTACTCCCATAAGCGTGGTTTCAAATCGACCTTCGATAGGGGTGTCCTGCAGCTCCAGTTCACGCTCAAGAAGACATTCTATCGCAAGTGATCGGACTATCAACGTGCACATTGTTGTCAACAACATGATTCCTGCAACACAATCACGCAAAGTCTATTTGACTAGCAGTGCAGAAACTGTAGAAGATGCCTTGCTGGGCGTACAAAGCCTGGGGAGTGCCTTGTTCGGCGATCTGGCCGGCATGTATGACGATGATGTGGTCGTAATCGATGATGGTTTGAATGCGGTGGGCGATAGCGATGACGATTTTGCCGTGCAGCTCGTCCTTTAGCGCATCGTGGATCTACGTCAGGTAATAAGCCATGGATGCGTTCGCACATCAGCCAGGATACATACTAGCTCGTCCGTGTCGTTGTCGAGGTTGCTCGTGGCCTCATCCAGAATGACAATATTGTTGCGTCGCAGCAACGCCCGAGCGATGTTGAGAAGCTGACACTTGCCTCGGCTGAGTCCCTTATCACCGCCGCCGGAAATTTCCTGGTCAAGCGCCAGCTCGCCTAAGCAGACTCTGCTTAGGATGCGGCGGCACTCGACATCGCTTGATTCTTCGAACGGATCAATGTTGTCTCGCACTGTGCCGGTGAATGCCTCTGATGCTTGGTGCACGTAGCTGATGCGCTCGCGTACTTGCCTCACATCAAGTCGACTGAGGTTGAGACCATCGACATGTATAGTCCCTTGCGCAAGCTCGATGGCGCCTACCAGTGAGAGCAGGAGTGATGATTTACCAGCTCCTGTCTCGCCTACAATTGCGACTTTCGTGCGCGGTTGTACGGTGAACGAAACGTTTTGAAGAACAGGCGTGCTTTTCCTCGAGTAGGCTAGCGAGACGTTATCGAACGCGAGCGAAGCCGATGAGGAAGGCCAGTAAGCAGGTGGCGCATGCCCGGCTGATGAGGCTTCTTGGTCAGTCTTAAGAAGCTGCTGTATCCGTTCCATCGCTGACAGATCTAACTGCAGATTGGCATAGTCCCAGACGAGCGAATGTACCGAAGAGACAAACAGTTGCGCAGATACGCTCGCAAATGCAGCAATGCCCGCACTGGCTTTGCTCAATGCTGCGATGAGGACGACTGCGAAGAATATCTGGTCGCCCAGCAAGTCGAAGCGAAACGAGAGAAATTGATTAGCTGACCAGTACAGATGATCTGCTAGCTGAAACGCATCAATCTGGGCAAGCATGTCCGACTGGAACCGTTCCCGAGAGGCTGTGCCAAAAGCGCGAATAGTGGTGACGCCTTTGAGCAGCGAGGCAAAGGAGGAGAAAAGAGGGGACAGATTCTTCATCTCCAAACGTCTAAGGTCTCGACTGGCGGAAATGTAAGGCCGGGCAAGCCAAGTGTAGATCGCCACAATGGCAGTAGCGGGAAGCAGAAACCAAGGCTGTGCTAGGATGATGACGATTAGCGAGCTTGCAAAGTTGATAAGAGTAGCCGAGTAATTGCGCAAAGAGCCATTGACGCTACCGTCCACGACGTTGACGTCTGAAGTGAAACGGTTGATGACCTGGCCTAGCGGTGTGTTGAGAAGCCAAAGCACAGGCGCGTCCGCAATCGTATCAGCCGCTTGCTGGAAGAGCGATCGAGCAGCACGATACGAGCTGACGTAACCGATGGACATCTTCAGCAGGCCCAAGATAGCAATGCTCAGCACGATGAGGCAGTATTCCCGCAGCCATTCCGTACTGTCCGTTGCTTGAGATTCTGCCCACGCCTTGAGAAACCAGGAGGAAGCTAATTCGCCGAAACGTGTTGACAGGAGCAAGATGGCCGTCAAGATCCAGACTGTCGAGCCTGCTGCGCGCAGATACACGGCATAGACATTCCATGCTACGCGGCCAGTCGCTCTGACCTCTGCGCGTATCAGCGAATGCACGGCAGCTGTAGCCAATTCGTTGTCATCCGTGGCGACCGTGCGTGCTTTCGCAATTGACGTCGTTGTCGAGTGACCAAGCGCAATCTTGCGAACGATTCCGTCGTCAGCATGCCAATGCTGACTTGCAATGGGCAAGCATATCGAAGCATGATGAGTCGTCATCACTACTGCGCGTCCATTCATCAGAGCCTCTGCAGAGCCGAGCAGGTTGATGATGCGAGCAGCCGTTGCTGGATCAACGGCTGAAATCGGATCATCAAATAGCAGAAGCTCCGCTGAGCTGTACAAAGCTCTCGACAGGCCAAGCCGAGCTTGTTGACCGCCGGAAAGAGATAGACCTTTGTCGCCGATGATCTGCTGATCATCAAGTTCGCTGAGCAAGTTACAGGCTTTCAGACGGTCCGGGAGATAAGGCTCGCCAAACAGGATGTTGCTGCGTATCGTGCCCTGCTGCAAAAATGGCTGCGCAGGCGCATACGCGACTTTGAGATCAACGCGACGTCTGAGTGAGCCTTTGACGCATTCAAGCTCGTTCAGAATCGCAAGTAAGACACTCGTCTTGCCAGAACCGTTGTTACCGGTGATCACAGTGATCGACTGAGGCTCGACGATTAAGCCCTGCATTTCCAAGCGAAATTGTCGCTCCTTAGAAACCTCGACTGCTGCAGAAGTCGCAAAGGCGAGAGTTGTGTCCGTACATACGATGAGACGATTGTCTGCTTTGTCAAGCATGGCAGGCTCAGGTCGGTCTGCTTCTGCAAAGTACGCTTCCAGTCTTCGCACTGAGATCAATGTCTGAAAGACGTTCAAGACCGCCTGCGGAAGGCGAATCAGGTGCGCCTGAGCCGTTGCGAGTAGTGACAGCGCTGGGAAGGCTACGGATACGGATAGCTTGTGGCCGTCTACCTGAGTATAGAAGTAGAAGGCAAGGACGACGATTGCAGGCGTTGTGAGGCCCCACAAAGAAGAGATCGTGGCCTCGTTAACGTTCTGCTTCAGACGCCATCTCAGCTCCTCTTCTCGTGCTGCCTGTACCTTGGCCACCCAGTGTTGCTGCCAGTTGAGCAATTTCAGCAGACGGACATTCTCGAGAAACTCGGTGACGACGCCCAACCGACGATCTTTTGCCAGTAATGACAGCCGCCGTATCTTGAGATTCTGTCGAGCCAGGCCTTGGTTGGCCAAATAGATCACGAGCAGTATCGCAAGTCCTATCAAGGCACTTCTGCCCATGAGTCTATACAGCAAAAGGATGGCCAACGTGAGCTCGAAAGGTGAAGTGACAACGCTGGAGATGTCCCAGAAAAGCTGCGCAACGCTGTAGGCATCGGCAGACATAAGGTTGACGATCCTGCCAGTATCTGACGAGCCCGAACGATCGCCATCGGGTGGAACATAGGTCGTAGCCTTGCGTGTCAGCGCCTTGGCAGATATTTTTGCAATCAAGACGCCTCTTGTTCGCTCGTAAGCGCGGCGAGAATGCCAGGAGCGCATTAGGTCGGCTTCCGCTTCCACAAAGGCAAGCGTAAGTATAAGGGCGGCGAATAAGACCGCGTTGATGCGGCCCTGCGATGAATTCTGTTGCAGCTTGTCTAAGATCTGTTGCAGAAGCACCGGTCTTGTAAGCGATAGAGCCGAAGTGATGAAGCGTAGGCTGATGTCAATCATCAGGTCTAGCGCGTTCGCGCGTGCTAAATTGGACACGAGGCCTGCGCGGTCGTGTACGCATCGGTAGATCTCGAACAAAGCGCGATGTCGCAGATATGGCGACAACGTCCATAGGTCGCTCTCTTCGAGCGTTCTTCGTCCAGCTAGCGAAATCAGAGAGCTTACGAAGCTTGCAGTGAGCCATTCGAGAAGACAGACGCGATCCTCCGGGCTACTCAGCTCGGATGTCATCTGGCAGGATTCTAAGCATTGCGCGCCATCAGCGACGAAAGCGTACCTCTCGGCCTGATGCTATCTCCTTGAGCGGCAGAGGTGCTGTGTCTACGCAAGGCATTGACAAGCAGATGCAGACGAGCGCTATCAGCAGGACCGCGTCCACACTGATGAGCGCAATTGTCCCAGCAGTCAATACGCTCGTTGTAGCGAGCGCCCGGACAGCGATCGAGGCTGGCTGGATGAGTTGTACCAGACACGAAGCGAGAAAGACATATGGGGCTGCCACGGGTGGTCTGAACAGCAAGTCTAGCTCAAGCACAGCTTGAAGTACGATGCTTGCAATCGAGAGTTGTGCGATCCGCTTCAGCCGGGCAGCAAATGTGCATGTATAAACATGTATCGCGAGTCTGGTGCCAGCCAGGGACAGAAGTGTGAGCGTTCGCCAGCGCTTGGGCCTCCGTTTTGTCGGCCTGCACGACGCATCATGCTCGGTAAGATCTTGAAGCGTGACGAAAGCTCGAGGGATCAAGTGATGAGGAAGTGAAGTGCGCTTGATCGCTGTCGCAGCGAGCAGGGCCGCATATAGCACCGTCAGGCAGTCATCAATCATGCAGCACTGGCTGGGGATCAATTGATATGCGTGTCGCCATCGGAAATGCGTCCGCTACGTGCCCCCGAAGCTCAGCGTAATTCTTTGTGACCGAAGTGGCCGAACCCCGCTTTGGCGGTCTCTTGCCGACGAATGCCAACCATCTTGTCAGCTTCGTGAAGCAGCATGGCCGATGAATATACGCACTTTATCAGCGAGCTCAGCCAATTGGGCGCTGTATCGCGGGAAGCGCTGCTAGCTGATGGTGCAAAGCTCAAAGACAAGGAAAGTTGAAGTCACTCCGCGGATTGCTGTCGACTTATACGGCTATTTGCAGGTCATCCTCATCACTGGCGGTGCATCTGGCATAGGCAAAGATTTTGGACTGGAAGCGGCACGTTTCGGGTCAGTCCATGGGGTTCGAATGTCGCAAAGATGGGCTGATGAGCATTGCAGCGCTAAGTTAGCGATATGCAATACGACGCCCAAGACAGGCACGGCAGCAGCAAAAGCGATGGAAGCAGCAGGATCGCCTAAGACGCTGTCTGTCTCGCCCATTGATGTGCAAGACTGGGATCAACAGCTCAGATTCTTCAAAGAGACTGTTGCCGCCTTTGGCAAGAGTATGCAGCCAGTCTCTCCAATGTCTGCAATCAGCTGATACACAAACAGTCGACATCGTCGTTGTCAACGCTGGCATCACAGAAGTGGGCGACTTTGGCGATTTCGCAGGGCTCTCCGCACTCGGCGACCCAAAGCCGCCCAACTTCAAGACCTTCCAGACCAACACTGTTGGCGCACTGTACACGACACGTCTCGCACTCCACTACTTGCGCGAGAATAGCGCGAAAGACAAGTCAATCGTGCTAGTCGGTTCTATGGCGTCCTTCTTTGGCATTCCCGCCGCGCCAATGTATACAACAAGCAAGCACGCTATGTTAGGCATGATGCGCAGCCTTGTCTATCAGTGCAAATCTGAGGGGATACCCCTCAATATGGTCGCTCCCTGGTTCACAGACACGAATATTATCGATATCCCAACGCGATCAGGCTTGGCGGGCCTGCCTTTGTGCGAGATGGCAGACTGCACGGCTGCAATGGTCAAGCTGGCGACTGACAAAACGATGTACGGACACTCTCTGGTCATCGACGCAAGAGGCATCTTCAATATACCCCCAGAGAGCACACTAGTCGGCAAATCGAGCTACTACTACGAGTTCAGCCGGCGCGCGGCATTCTCTATTCAGCTCACGGTACTTGCACGAGATTCGCTTCTGTTCGCCCGACATCTTGTGAAACGTACCATCGGCATATGAATGCATTGTGTCCATGCCTCAGTTTGCGACTTTGACCCATGTTGAGCGTTTCCTCGAGCGCGTCGCGTATCACTTCAACGTCTCACACGACTCGATCGAATGACAGGAGCAGCGAGCTCGCACGATGAGCGGTCTCGGTAGCGCATCCGCTCATCGAGGAGCGACTGAGACCATCCCGACAGATACCTCGGGCTCGGAGGTCTACATGGACGGCCAGACAGGCGACCCAGACGATGACCACGACGAGGAGGAGTCCTTCTTCGTCAGGGCGCTCTATGACTTTAGCGGTGCAGACACAGCTAGTCTGAGCTTCAAACGAGGCGCACTGGCACGTCTACAGCTCTTGATCTGATGCATCCACGAGCTGATCTTAAGCTTATGGGCTGAACAGATTGAAGTCCTCACGACACTCGAGTCCGGCTGGTGGGATGGCGTACTTGTCGAGCAAAGGGAGCGAGGCTGGTTCCCTTCCAACTACGTTTCCCGAGTCACAGACGAAGAAGCGCTCTGGGCGCAAGGCTTACTCGACCGAGATACTCAAGCTATGGAGAGCCTGTCCTTGGCTACCGACAGACAACAGAACGCTTCAGGCCAAGGCGTACCCTCTTCAGTCGAGAGTAGCGTCGTCGGCGACTATACGCCGGTTGGTCAGTCCATGTACACTCTGTGCAGCATCGCTTGCTTATACTCTCGGCTCGACAGATGCTCGAGATGATGCGGGTGATGACATCTTTGCAGAGCTCGCTCAAGCCGCGTTCCAGGCGCGAACAAGCTCCTCAATCGCTCGGCAGCAGCCGAGCCAGGCGAACTCTACACGCCCGGTCTCGGTCGCAACATCTGCCGGTTCGGGCAGGCACACACCCAGCAGTGCATCCGCATGGGACTATTGGGTTCCTCAAGTGACACAATCCGGTCAGGTCGTCTACTACAACACGCGTACGGGAGAGACCTCCCTCGACATGCCTGCCGGAGCGGATGAGCGCAGCGAATTTGGTGATTCGCGCAGGGGTAGCGTCGCGCCAGGCTCGATGGATACCACCCTTGTCGCCTCAACACGTCAACAGTCGATGACCTCTACCGTTGTTACGAAGGCGTCAGACACCAAGTCTCTCTCCTCTAATTCGTTTGTATCACGATATCCAGAATCAGCTCTCGCCAATACGGCTTGGGTCGCGAGAACCTTGCAAGATGGTAGTACATACTTTTACGAGAATCTACAAACAGGCGAGAAGCGCTGGACCCCGCCGAGTGCCGAAGAAGCATCTCTCTCGGTGCTCTCACCCGGCAACGCTGCAGCGGATGATGCAAAGACCTCCACTGCGCCAACTTCACGTGATACAATCACTCTTGATTCGTTCCGGCTCCCCACTAGCGTCGGCGCCCCTGCTCCTACGTTAGCCATCGATAGGTCGAGCACGCCTAGTCGACAGGCAGCGCGCTCGCAGCTCTCTCATAGACGTCTGTCTTCCGTGATCGACCTTGATACATTGTCGGCACCTCCGATGGGTAAGAACGCTGCTCGCGTAGCGATAGCTTTGCGAAAGGTGTCCCTACCTCGCCCGGTAACGATTGGGCTGCTAGAACAAGACGTAAGACGCGCAATCAGCCAGCTTGTTGACTGCGCCCATCCCAATCGATCTCGAGAGCGAGACAGAGCCAATGTAGATGCGGCCGAAACAGAGGATCGGCAGGCTCTCGCTAGCGCAATCGTTGCCGTTGTTGCTCGCGTGTCTGTCTTGCTCCATGCTGCCGGCGTTCTCGATACCGCCACTCCCTCAAATGCACTTTATGCAGGCGCACTCAACCTCGACTACGAAGCTTCGACCAATCTGATCGTAAACGAGTTGAGACCATTTGCCCGCAAGATCACCTCGACGCTGTCCAAGCTCATACTGGCTGTACGCGCGACCTGGGGACTGATGGCGAGCTCGAACCAAGAGGACGACGCATTTGTGGCTTCTTTCCAATTAGCCGAAGACGAAGAAGAATTGCAGGTACTTAGACGAACACGTAACGATGCCACACGATTGCGGCAAGAGATCGAGTCCAAGCTTCGGCTCGATGTCGTTGTTGGGACACGAGACGCCACGAGCAGCCTGGGAGCCTTCGTGGCCGAGTTCGTGAAGCTGCGCTCGGCGACAGGTTTGCAGTCTTATCGAGCTTCGCTGCCGGCTCTGAAGCTAGTGGAGCCTGTCATTTTCACTACGGCGGAGGCGTTGCTACTGCCGGGTGGAAGCATAGGCGCAAACTGGCGTGGTCACGGCTTCGCTGTCCTTCCGCTAGAATCTGCCTCTGTGCTCGCTCTCAATCCTCTTTCCACTTTGGTCACGGGCAAAGTCACAGAAGCAAAAAGCACAGTACTCAAGTGCATACTTGGTCTGAGGCAATCACTCGAAGCGCTGTCGGCAGGAACCCGTCCAATTTCAACCTCAACCAAAGGCAGACCTGCCACACCCCCCAATTCGCGCGCTCGCTCTCGCTCCAGAGCCATCACTCTTTTTCCCGCTTTGTTAGAGCAGTCGCAGGGCCTTATGCTGCTCATCTCGCGCTTTCTGTCCGCCACTGAAGAGATCGATATTGCTGCTTGCGTTGATATCGAGATTGACATTGACAACGTACCCGGCTTGCGAGAATCATTAGATGCCTCCGTCAGCGCGGGACCAAGCAAGTCGAAAGCAACTCCTGATCAGTACAAAGGTTACAATGCTTCTCTTAAAGAAGGCAAGCAGCTCTTGCTCAGCCTGCAAACTTCGAAACAGAGCATCTACGATGCAAACGCGTCGCTCCTGCTCTCGGTACAATCACTCGGCATCCGCCAAAGTCGCAATCGTAGACGGCAGATCGGGCTTGACGTCGGTGCCAATAACATCTCGCAGCCCGCAGAAACTTCGCCCCTCCAAAGCTTCACTGCACCATCTCCGGCAGTCGAAGACATGGATGCAGCCTTCTCCGCGCTCCTTGATGCTGAAGATAGCATCGAGTCTCTTTCCAGAGCGCTGTCTGCTCTGCTCAAAGTGGCCGAATTGCAGGCAACGATGCCGAGTGACTTGCGCCAAATCAATGCTGCTTACCGACGGTTGTTGGTAGATCGCGCATCTGCCCGCATGCAGCCAAAGTCTGCGAACATGGCTTTTTCGCTCTCTGCAACGCGCGAGCCGGTTCAAGACGGGCTCAGTCCCGAACAAGTCAGCGCACAAACATTCTCACACGAACCTGCAACGCCTGCACGGACTACCGACGCTGCTTCTTGGGCACCGTCTATGAGTACGAGTCTCTTGGATCTTGCCCGACATGACTGATCAGTCGCCATCTCAGATACGAAGTCTAAGCTACGCAAGATGTTCGGAGACGATGCGCCTCCACCGGAAGCGCAGAGAACGCTGGGCGTTCGGCCAACCGGACCTGCTTTCCTGCAGCCAGACTATGCACCCGGAGATCTCTCGCTCGCGTCCGATGGACAGGTCAAAGGCGGCACACTCGCGGCTCTCGTTGAGAAGCTCACCAGTCACGAAGGAGGTAAGCTTGCTCGCCGTCTGTTCAGCGAGCCGTTGCTCACAGGGCGCCAGTCGATCATCATTTCAATACGACTTTTCTGCTCACATACCGAACGTTTACTACCTCTAACGACCTATTTGACATGCTCGTACAGCGGTACATGATCGAGATGCCGGCTGGTCTGGCAGCCGAAGAAGCACACATCTGGACAGAACAGAAGCAAAAGCTCGTCAGAATTCGCGTACTCAACATACTGAAGGTCTGGATCGAGTCAAATCTTTATGACGACAACGAGAGTGCAGTCTTGGATCGAGTCAGCCGCTTTGCGACCGAAGCGGTGACAGACTCCGTGGCAGCAAAGCAGGTCATAAGAGTCGTCGAGCGCAGACTGCAAAACGGCGTACCGAGCCTCGCAGCACCCCTGACGAGCTATGGTCCACCGCCGCCGCCTATCATATCGCGAAGCATACGCAAGCTCAAGTTTCTTGATATGGATCCAACCGAGCTCGCTCGCCAACTGACGTTATACGACAGTCGGCTATTCTCTGCCATCCGTCCGCCCGAGTGTCTAGCGAAAGCATGGCCAAAGAAGGTTCAGACAGACTCGCCTAACATTCGTGCAATGATCGATCTCAGCAACGCCATCACACGCTGGGTCGGCTGTACCATACTTGAGTATCAAGATCCAAAGAAACGAGTTGGAGTCGTCAAGCATTTTGTGAACATCGCCGAGCGTTGCCGGCAGCTTCAGAACTTCTCCACTGTCATGCACATCATCGCCGGTCTCAATTCGACACCGATCTATCGGTTGAAGCGCACATGGGAGATCGTACCTCAAAAGACAGTCAACACCCTCGCAGCACTCAACGAGCTGATGAAGCCCAACAAGAACTTTGGCGATTATCGTGACGCTGTGCGAACGATTGGCCCACCCTGCGTACCTTTCTTGGGTGAGCATGAACGCGTCTTCTGGCCCACCTGATCTGAATAAGTCGCAGGCGTGTATCTCACTGATTGGACATTCATCGGCGATGGCAACCCGGATTTCCTACGAGAGAAGCCAGACCAGATCAACTTTGCAAAGCGACAAAAAGCTGGAGAGCTCATCCAGCAAGTACAGCTACACCAATCGACACCCTACAACCTACAAGAAGTGCCGTCATTCCTCAAATACCTTGAGGAGCAATTCAACCTGGCAGATCGCGATGAGCAAGAACTTTACGAGCTCAGCATGGCACTGGAGCCGCGAGAGCGCGATGACGAAAGGGTAGCAAGGATGCTCAACGAATCAGGCGAGCGCCATTCTCATGTGCTGCGTTAGTCAAGACTGACAATCTCACTTACAGGCTTCATCTGAGATGAGCGTGCAGTGCCAGTGTTGAATGCCCATTGCATGTATATGCGACGCGAGTGTCGTGACTTTGTAGTCTGCATCGATCGGGTGTTCGGGTTCAGAGAGCTATAGTCTTTTGGGCAGCTGCGCTCTGGTGTGCCAGGTCGCAGAGATGTATGACCTCGCGTGCTTCCTCAGGCTGGACGAGCAATCGCGAGGCGTCTTTGTGCTCGAGAGCATCGTGCAAGTGTCTGTAGAAATCGAGATATCGCCCTTTCTCGCTCTTGATCTTCTCATGTTGTGGCGCGGGAGGTTTGGTGATGTCGCAGGAGACGGGAATTGACCAGAGCTCGGCTGCAATATTGTCGTCCTCAATGCCGAGATCATCATCCTTCGCAGGCGTCTTGCCTGCGATGAGTTGCGCCTCTTGCGGATCGACACCGGCTTTTCGGAACTCTCCCCTGTCGCCTTTGACGATGTATCGCATGTTGGGCCCCAGAGATGTTGTAGACCCCTTCAGAACGACGGTGAGTGGCAATTCGCGTGACAAAGGCAGTCCGGCAGAAGACGAGCCTGTCGCCTTGCTGGGTCCATACTCGAGCGTCACTGTGAATGCGTCTTCGAGCTCGAGTGGGGGCAGTTGTCGTCGAGAATAAGTCTGTCCGGTGATAGAAGTGGGTTTGCCGAAGAGGTACAGCGATTGATCGATGAGGTGTGAGCCGAGGTCGTATACCTGGCCGCCACCAGGCCTGGCTTGCTCCTTCCATACCTTTTCGCTCTTCCTGAAGAGTCTGAAGCGATCAAAGTGACTTTCAAAATCGGTGACCTGTCCGAGTCTGCCCTCCCTGATGACTTTGAGCAACGTGAGGAGATCCGAATCGAGTCGCCTGTTCTGATAAACTGCAATGAGTAATCCTTTCGACTTTGCAAGCGAGATGAGCTTGTCCGCCTCGACGGCCGTAGGCGTGAGAGGCTTCTCGACGACCTGTGTACCTCGAGTTAATCAGCCACGGGAGAACGCAAGACCAGCGTAGGCGTACGATATGTTTGCCGGCGTTCAAGCATTGCTTGGCTTGCTCAAAGTGCAGCTCGTTCGGCGTGCTGATGACGACGAGATCTATCGACGCATCGGCGCAGACTTCATCGAGAGTGGCTACAGTCTTGACGCCTGGCAGACGCTGCTTGACTTCCTCTTGACTCTCCGGTCGACGCGCAAGAATGGTCGACAGCTTGAAGTGCTCCGGCAGTGAGGATAGCAAAGGAGCGTGGAAGACAAAGCAGGACATTCCTGTGCCAAGTATGGCCACGTTGTAGACCATCTTGACGGCCAAGGAGTGCTGTGACGGCGTGGGGTTGACAGCAAGGAGAAAGAGCAGTCGCGTCGTCGATCAATCAATCGATCAAGCAAGGTAACGTACGTGGAAGTGTTTGGACGAGGCTCGTTGATGGTCCATGCTAGCATCTCACTGGGCGCCGTGGCAGCACGCCGGGTGAGCAGTCATGTCGAGCCGTTTGCAGCACGCAAAGCTTTTCCCATCAGCCTCAGACAGCTCATCTTCTTCGGTCGAGATGTCAACCGCGACAAGTTGGTGACTGCCGGCAATTTCATCCGCACAGAGCTGCCTGTCAGACTGGCCCATCGTATCAAGGATCTCGAAGTGTTGCCGTATGTCGTCGGGTCGAATCCTGTCATCAAGCCCGTATTTGAACGATACGTCGACGCATTCGAACGGATTCGTACTTATCCCGTCATCAGGACATTTGAAGATAACCTGCAGTTCTGCGAGTTCATGAAAGGCTTGCTCGAGGAGCATCTCGTCATCATACCTCTCCTGGCAAGAGCACTGCAAGACTCGGCCAAGGAAACGCCTGCAAGTCAGCTCGATGCATTCATGGCCAAGATGCTACGCTCGCGAATCAGCAGGCGCATATTGACACAACAGCATATCGCGCTTTCAGAGCAGTATGCTTCCGGCTCCTTCGAAAGAGGTGCAGCATCGGACCGCTTCGTCGGCGTTGTGGACAATCGACTTTGTCCGGCCGAGGTGGCAGAAAGGTGCGCCCGCCTCGTCACGAGCGCAATGATAGACGAAGTACCCGAGCACGAGCACGCGCAATTACGCTTCGACATCGATGGCAACACCAAAGCTACCTTCTCGTACCTGCCCGAGCATCTCGAGTATATCCTCTTTGAGTTATACCGCAATAGCGCCAAAGCAACACTAGCAAGGCATGGCGACCATGCATGCGAGCATCCCATCTCGACTACCATCTGCGAAAGCGGCACTGATATGCTCATACGTGTCTCTGACCAAGGTGTCTTCCTTCTTTTCAGCCTGTCGATTCTGACTGATCCAGTTTCGCAGCTGGCGGGATCCCCCCGTTCGATCTAGATCGCCCACTGACAGGCAGCGCTCGACTGGAAGTCTTCAGCTTTGTCAATCCTCGCACCTTCTCGTCTGGCCAGTCTGAGGTCGAGCGATTGGCAGCAACAGTAGCGGAGCAACGGGCAGTCAAAGGGCAGATGGGACTGGGTCTAGGTCTCTCTCGAATGTGCGTCTTATGATTGACCCTCACGAAGCAGCACTGATTAGTATTTTTAGGTATGCTGAATTCTTCGGTGGCGATCTGGACCTGTATAGTCTACCAGAATGGGGCTCAGACGCCTTTGTGCGAATTCCACTCGTAGTGGGCAAGCAAGATCATATCTAGCTTACTTTTGCTCGACGATGACAACAACATGCGCTTAGGTGTCGATAGGCTCGACTGCATCGACGTGCGTCTCTGCGTCTGCCGCATGACCCAGCGTATCGGTGCCAGCAGCGCCGCTGGCGGTATCTGCAGAGGCGTTGCTGTCCTCAAGAATGGGCGCTGCCGCTTGCGCAGCGCGAGTCGCCTGATCTGCCTGCGTCAGTGCGCGCTGGTGATTCGAGCCAGTGTCGACCTTCATGATCTCTCGCAGAGCCATAGTCGCATAAGCTGCAGTGCCAAGATGCAAGTCGATCTGCAAGGCTCGGCGAATAGGATTCGCTTCTGGCTCTGGCATTGGCTCGCCCAGCAAAGCATCTTCGTCCGATGCCGCCAGTGGAAAATTGGGATCGCTGTAATTCAGAATTGTATGGGACACATGACCAGGCTTGTGCAGGAACTTGCGGTATGAACCACTCAGCGAATATTCTGCCTTTTCGCGAACGAGATCTGTCCATTCGAGACCATCCTCCTTGAGGATTGCTTTGGCCAGCTCTCCGAGCTCATTGGCAGGATAGACACAATTGAAGCCGACTTGAGGCAGCACGACGTCGTGGATCGAAACCGATGCGAGATCTGCTTCTCTCAAAATTTTGACGGCTGCGATGCGCGACTTTGCACGCAGCGTGCGCGTTTGCTTCGAGATGGCCTCGTCATCTTCCGGCAAGTCAGCTTCTTCGCCCTCTTGCATATCTGACAGCATGACCAGATCACCAACGACGGGTTTGTCGCAGCCATAGAGCTTGGCGCGCTCCGACGCTACCCGATTCCAGATGTACGACTGATAGGCATTGACGAACATCATACGCAGCTGCTTGGGTATCTGCACGATCAACGTCAGAGATCATCAAGGATATGCTTGGCAGGGTGACAGTACCCTTTGTAGCGCATTCTTGTGATCTTGGGGATCCTTGATCAACCCTTCGAGAATATGGCGCTCGGCCACGAGCCAGCGTGGGAAAGCAGCCAGCGCAGCTTTTGCATCGCCCGTCTCTGCATACGTCTTCCTGATCGAGCCTGCAGGTTCCTGCTCGTCGGCACGGGGGCGCATGATGAGATCGCAAGCGAGCTCATAGTCATTGTGCAAGAGTGCGAGTCCGATGGCATGGGTGGGGATCGTCGCGGTTCCGAATCTCTGAGTACCGTAGTAATTGATGAAGCCATGCCGCAAAGTAGCCATCGCCTTGTCAACAATTTCGTCAGACTCGACTTGCAGGTCTCGCAAGGTGATGAGGAAGCGATTGCCTTTAAGATCGCCCAGCTTGAGCGGTTCGTCTGCATAGCACAAGTCACCAATGCGAATTCCCTTGTCGCCGCGCGTGTGCTGCTGATCTGGTCCTCTGCGCCCGCCGCCTCGCCCACCTCTGCCTCCGCGGCCGCCTCGACCTCTGTCATTCGAGCCTTGCTCGTTGCCTCTGTTATGCATAAGATACCATATATCGTCCAGGCTCTTCTTGCTTCGTCCGCGATCGAGTGAGACTCTCTGCACGCTGACGGCACGTTTATCTTTCGTGCCTGCTGTCCCAATATCTCTACCCTGGACGTTCAGAGCTCTCGCGAGAATATTGAGAGCATCCGAATTGTCGCGATTGGTCTTTTGCAGAGTGAAGTGGATATAGGGACCGGCAGCCCTGTTGGCTTCCCTTTCTAATTGCTTCAAGGCGTCTCGCTTCAGGTCCTGCTCAGACATCTTTGACCGATCTGGGTTCTTGCTCGGTCCGCCGCCTCTCGGTCGGCTGTTATCATCTCTCCCTCGACCTTTGCTGGCCCAGGTAATGATGATCGATGTCTTTTCGTCTTCTTGCTTGTGCTCGGTAATGAGCTTGCCACCGAATACTTCGCGAATGATCTGGTGGAACGCTTTGCGATCATCTTTACTATCCATAGCTTTGACGGCCACCGAGCCGCGAGCACTCCAGCCCTCGCCGCCTTTCTGCCACAAGTCCTTGAGCGAGTCAAGCGCGTCGGGTGGCAGGACTTTCGCCAACCGTGGATCTTGCTCTGGTGGTCCCTCAAACGCTGGCTCTTGTGGCTCGGATGCACTCGCAGGTGTCTCCGACGTAGGCACGGGTGCAGACGCGGGCCGTTGTAGGACATAATCATCTGGCAAATTTGTGACGAGCCGAGCAGGCCGTCTGATATCTTTCAACCTGACGACTTGACCGTCATTGCCAATTTCCCAGACAAGAAAGTCTGTGAAGCGCTCTTTGAAGCGAGCAGTGAAGGAGGGGACGCTGTTGTCTACGTAGGCCTCAATGCCGACATCCTCTAGCGTTTGGGGCCGACCGCCGATCGTCTTTAAGCGAGAGAACATGGTCTCTCGTTTGTCTGACGTGCTCGCAGTCGGTTCAGACGTTGGGGTATCTGGTTGATGCACATTGCTGTCCACTGATGACGTATGAGCGGCTTGGAGGCCAGATATGCCCGCTTGCAGAGGGCTTTGTGCCTCTTTGCTGGCAATGTCCGTCAGATCAAGCGATCCGTCTATCTCAGGCTGATCAAGCTTGGTGCGCTTCTCGGGAAGACTTTTGTCATCGTCTGAGCCTTCTCTGGGCCTTACAGTGGCCATGAAGGGTGCAGACAGTCGTTCAAAGGAGAAGCAAAGTCAACGTGGAAACGCCCAAAAAACCGCGAAGTCAATCAACGAGGCATCAGCGCATCAGCATCCGTCAAGACCGGCCACATGTCGAAGCGGGGCAATGCAGAGCCAAGCGAGAGCGCTGCCAAGCGGGCAAGAGGGTACACTGAGCTCAGCAGCTCGTTGACAGCGGCTGACCCGAGGAGCCCTTGCAGGAACGCTCCCTCTTTCCTCCCGCCAAAGGATGATCTCAAGGGTCGAGAGAGCTTCTTGCCTCAGCCCAACAGACAGCCAAGCTCGCTACCCCCTCGTCCGAGCTCAGCATCCACCTCCGCGCCCTCCTCCTCCGGATTGGTGAGCAGCTGTGCGTTTCATCAGCTTCAAGCGCTGAACGCGCGACACCGATGCACAGACACCAGACCAGATAGCGGCCAAGCGAGCAGAAGTAGCTGCCAAGATAGCTGCTCTCCAGCGCAAGTCTGTGCCTGGCGTTCCCTCTGCCATGTCCAGTGCGGCACCATCACGCGACTCACTCACGCCTGCCCCTTCCGCCACTTCGACCGCACCAGGCCTCGATCCTGCGCTCGCAAAAAGGATAGCAGAAGCTAAGCGGAACGTGCAAGCTATGGCTGCCAAACGCAGTCTCAATCCTTATCTCGTCAGCATTCTCTCTGTCTCGAATGCCGACTTGACCTGACGCGTCGTGCAGTCACCCAAAGATCAGATCGTAGCAGATCCAAAGACTGGCCTGCATCCTCTCCTAGCAAAATCGAGCGTTACCGTTGCAGACGCAAAGCGCAATAATAAGGACAAGTACAAGCCTATGGCGCCCAAGTTCTCTACCACAAGGGTATGCCTTTCGTCTCCTTTCCATCGTCCAGTCCGCTCATGCTGGCTCAGGCAAACGCTCGCATAGCTCAGCCTGTGCGGCAACCTATCGAACGGCAACTTGAGCTCTCGAACGCGAGTGTGCCCTCTTTCGAAGAGGCCCGTAAGAATCCATACTTCGACAAACGGCTCGGTGTCGAGTCCCTCGTACCCAAAGAACGCAAAGCTCGACCGCTCAGATTCAATCCAAAGGGCAAATTTGCAGCGCTTGCGGATCAGCTCAGAGCGGAAGCCCGCATGGAGGAGCTCAAGGCTCGCATTCTCGAAAGCGCGCGCAAAGCCGGTCTGGAAGATGAGATCGAATTGACCGAAAAGCAAGCAAAGGTTCGTCGCGCGTGCTCGTATACGTATTTTGCTCAACGTTCTATCGAACAGAGGCCGCCACCGCCGGATATCGAATGGTGGGATTCTCCCTTTCTGCCGAATCAGTCTTATTCCGACCTCGACAACGGCGCGACGAGCAGAGTCCTGCAGTCGAACGAGACGCCCATCACAATCTACGTACAACATCCGATCCCGATACCGGCGCCCGCCGATCGTATCAAAGTCGACGCCCAACCGCTCAAACTCACTCAAAAGGAGATGAAGAAGATGCGAAAGCAGAGGAGGCAAGCAGATCTACAAGACCGTCGAGATCGCATCAAGCTCGGTCTCCTACCTCCCGATCCTCCCAAAGGTAAGCCCTCTGCTGTTTGCAAGATGGCATGCGCTGACGGCTCGCATGACACAGTCAAACTTGCCAACATGATGCGCGTACTGACACAGCAGGCTATATCTGATCCTACAAAGGTCGAAGCCAAAGTCAGAAGAGAAATGACAGCTCGCAAAGTGGGGCACGAGAAAGCCAATGCGGCCAGACAGTTGACAGATGATCAAAGGCGAGAGAAACTCGAAGCGCAGAAAGACAAGGATGCTTCAAAGGGTATCTCGGCCGCCGTCTATCGCATTCGCTACCTCACCAATCCTTCGCATCGGTTCAAGGTTCGAAAGAATGCCCAGCAGCTCGCCCTTACTGGTATCACACTCTACAACCCCAAATTTGCGTTTGTCTTTGTCGAAGGAGGGCAGGCTAGCATGAAGAAGTACAAGCATCTCATGCTTGACAGGATCAATTGGAAGGAAGAAGCCGAAGCCAGAGATGGCGATGAGGACGAGGAGGCAACGCCTGCTCCGTTACCTGAAGGCACCCCCGGTCCCCAAGCGAGCGAAATTCCGGAAAGCTTAGCAAACAATAGATGTGATCTCGTCTGGGAAGGCCCACAGCGTGATAGGTACTTCGTGGACTTCAAGGGCAAGGGCGCACCAAGCGATGGCCTCGCCAAGAGCACGCTTGGCACAAAGCTCGAATCACTGTGGGACATGTGCAAGCGCCTTCCTATGGACGACCAATTCTGATTGTTAACTCAAGCTGCATTACGCCAGTCTACATGTCCAGAATCAGCGCCACACAGGCGTGATGCGTTCAGCGGGCACAGTCGAATCTCTGCGAAGTAATGAGCGCGCAGTCGCCTGAGTTGAGCCACCCAAAGCCATCGAGGCACGCCTGACTTTACGTGGCGATGCGCGAGCTGCCTCCGTAGTGCCTTGGGCTCTCGACGCCGGACTATTCGGTAAGTAGCTGAATCGACGCGATGGGAGATGCTTTGGGCTGCGGATTGGCCCGGGGCCAGCGGCCATTGAACGACGAGCAGCGCGCAAAGCTGTTTCTTTGCCAGGCGTGTCAGGCGCTGCGAGTCCGACAGGTGGCATGGGCGCCAAGAGAGGCAAGACGGGCAAGGGCTGAAGAGGCGGGACAAAGTTGAAAGCGGGTACAAATACAGGCGCTGCTGCTGATTCCTCGCCTTCTGCTTCTTCTCCGAGCGAATGCAGGGTCGACGGCTTTGACAATAGGCCGAGTGGCCGACTTGCCAGACTGTCTCGTCCTCGCATGATCGGCGGCTTTGAGATGGTTGCGTTCAAGACAGTGGGGTCGACGAGGTCTTTACCTGGTGAGTATGGCGCACGCTTCGTGCCGATGTTTTGCAAGAGCTGTCCAGGTCGATTGAAGTCAAAGTCTCGCAAAGGTCCGGCTGATGGTGAAGGATCAGGATACAGTTCCGATGCTGACTTTGCCAAAAGGTTGTCGCTGCTGGAGATTTCAGACATGTTCAGAGTCGACTCGTCCGCGAATGAGCTAGACGCATCTGCAGCAGACGCTAGAACAGGCGCGGCGATTACGGCTGGCTTGTGAGGCGAAAGCGGTCTCGCTCTAGGCGGCTGAGCCGTGAGCTTGCGAGGCGAGCGACGAGGTGCAAGACTTTCTCGGCTTATGCTGGCCCTTGGCGCTGGTTTCGGCATAGTGGCAGTCGAAGGTCGGCCCGCAATCGACATGCGCTTGAGAGGAGGATTGCTACTCGCTGCAGATGCAGGTCGCTTGAGTACGTTGCTGATGGTCGCTGAAGGCGCAGGCCCAGAGCACTGTGTAAAGCCTTGCTCCGCAATACCCATGATGTGAGCCAGAGTGGGGGCGTCTGCGCCGTTGCCGAGAAGCACGCTAGTACGCATGATGGCTTGTAGCAGCTCACACTGCTGCCGCGCTGATGCTATGTGCACCTCTGCTACTGCCTGGGAGGCTGCTGACTGAAGCTCGTGATGCAAGGCTGCGTTCTTGGCTTCGAGCATTTCGAGAGCGTCTGGGTCGGTCAAACGTCTCTTGAGGCCGGTCGCGATGGCTTCATACAGCGATCTTGCCGTATCGGCGCTGTTGATGTGCAAAGCAAGCTGCCGAGCGCGATCCTGATACTGCTGCTGAAGTTCCCGGACAGGCTGAAGCTGCAACTCGACAGATGAATTACCGGAAGCTGACATGCCGTCAAGCCAGGCAATAGCGACGTTCTGCAGGATGACAAGGCGATCGATTTCTGCTTTCGCGGAGGCAGCCGTTTTGACTTTACGCGAGAGATCATCCCAACTTGATCGCATGCGAGACACTGCATCTGTGACTTCCTTCATCGCTTTTGCACGAGCTTGTTGATCGACAGCGATATGCTTTGCCGAGACTGCTTTGCCATCTGCCTTGAGCGCTGCCAGCTCTTGACGTAGCTCATAGATGACGCGGACGTATTGGCTGACATGTCTGTCGACGCTGATGACATTGCGAGATACTTTGGTCTTGATATCCTTGGCTCGATTAGCATACTGTAGCGTGTTGTAGGTTTCGTCGAAGTGGTGAGATGAAGGCGAGACGCAAACGACCATGACTGTTCGACAGTTGCCGCCGAGACTGTGCTTGAGCAAACGAGTGAGTTTGGAGTCTCGAAAGGGAACATGTGCGCGTGCACGAGGGTCACAGAGGGCGTTGATACAGCTGCCGAGCGCGAGCAGTGATCTATTGATATTTGCGCCCTCGAGCAATCTCTGTCCTTTGTTCTGTGTTACACTAGCGCGCTCGGAGCCTGCCAGATCGATGACACTCAGCGTAGCCATATTAATCTCTTCGGTCAGATCGGCTGTGCGCGGTCTCTGTCGAATGTTGACTGATAGAACGGCATGCGAGCGCGACGAGACTGCGTTGGCTTCGGTTGGCGAGACTGTGCGCATCGAATTGCCCTGATGAATCATCTCGATGACTTCCTGAGCCGAAGCGGGTACATGCTCCGAAAGGTTGGGCACCGTGATGCGATTACCCGTCTCACGCAGCATGAGCGTGGGTGAGCCGGCCGGCACAAGCAAGTCCCGTATGGCCTCGTTGTAGATCTCAAGATATGATACTGCACCGACTGGTCAGTGAGTGAAGCCAGGCGCACGGGGAAATAGACTGACCGCTCATTTCGACCGTGGTCTCGTCTTTCATTTCGGCAATGCGGTCGAACAGATCCTTCATGAGCAAGAAGACGATGCCTGGCGAGTCTGGCGTGCCTGAGATAGTGTGAGTCTTACCGCAGCCAGTCGCCTGTGAACATCATCATCATCAAACATGCCGCGGCAAAGCCAAGGGCGACTGACGCCATAAGCGAAAACGGTCGAATTGTAGCCGCTGAGCACGCCGTCGACGAGCGTTTTGGCAGAACCAGAGTAGACATCTTCTTGAGTGGCAGTCTCATCAAAGACCCGGTCGAAGCAGAACTTGAGATCCTTGGCCCGCTTGTTGCTAAGCTTGACGTAGGGGTTGGCGCTCTCTTGCGGCGGGTCGAATACCATCACTTGATCGTCCAACACTTTTACAATCCGTCTCACTGGCCCTGATGCTCTGTTACTACTCAGAGTGGAGGTCGAGGCGACCGGTGTAGCTGACAGACTGCCATCGCCCATGTATACCTGCGTCTTTGGCTCGGGTGCGAACAAGGCCGACTCTCTGGACGAGAACGGGCGCACTCGTACTGGGCTGGCATAAGCAATTGCTACTGTCTAAATCATCAGACTCACCTGCGACAATGATAGAAGCAGCGCCATCGGACGCCATACTCAGCTCTGGGCGAAATGACAATGACCCGGCGGATGTTTTCAAGTAAGCTCGGCGCGCGTCATGCATGTGTCACGTGATTACTTCTCCTTTGGCACCGAAGCAGCGCTCGGTCTTCCCGACGCCGGGCTACTCCCCCTAGTTAGAAGGGACTGGAAGAAATTGTGCAAGACCTCGTTCTGGCTCTGACCACTCTGTGGCGTCAGAGGAGACGGTATCGCGGCTGCAAGTGGTGCGGCTGCCGGGGCTTGATTCGAGGGTGACTTGGGCTATGGCACGAGACTGTCAGTCAAGTACAGTCAGGCAATGATGCTGTAAAGCTGACCTTGCTGATCGGCGAAGCTATTGCAGAGGCGGCGAGCGCCTTGTCCACGCCAGGCATATCGAGAGAGGCGGTGGACCCCGTCATGGGGCCCATCCGACCGGTCGAGGCCGTCTTGAACTGCGATTTCGCATCTGTGCTGACCTTGTCCTTCTGCAGAGCGTCATAGTGTTCTTTGAGGAATTCTTGCTCGTCTCGCACAGTCATCAAAGCTGGCTTGGGCGCCATCTGCGTGAATATGAGCCAGGATCAATCTTAGACTGCCAAGACGTACGATACGATTGGCAGACGTGTCGTGTATCAGGGTTGAATAGAGCTTGACAAGCGAAGGATCGTCGTCGGTTTGCTCGTTCAGCAGATCGTTCGACCATGCTTGGGCCATAGCAGCCACATCATAGCTATCCCGCAGTAGCTTGATCTTTCCTTCTGTATCCCAGCCAAAAGGAACAAAGACTTCTTCTCGCTCAACGACGCTCGGCTTGGCTTCAAAGGCGAAGAGTGCAGGATTGAAGAGCTGGTGATGCAGATACTGTCGTAAGCGCTCAAACGTCCTCGGTCGCGCGTTCGTCGTCGTCAACAAGGCAGCGCCATCTGCAAATTCGCTCTTCCATTCAGCATGCTTCAGCTGAACTCCGAAACTGAACGAACGGTGGAAGCAGATCGTGCGTAGGCTTTGTTGGATGAAATCGCTTTGCTCTTCATTCAGTGATTTGTCGCGTTCGAGGCGCGCAATATGGTCCGCCTGTTGTGGTATCAGCAAAGTAGCACCTTTGGACATGGCACGTACCTTTGTGCAGACAATGTAGATGGGCAGACCAAAGCTGCCCTGCAGGGCGCCTGTAGGCATGGGCAACTCGTCATGTTCTGATTTAGGCAGTCGACTTGAGCCTTCGGTGTAGCTCTTGAAGCGTGCCACCACTGCATGCTCGCCGTCATCAGTCATGTTCATCTGATCAGTCTCGCCAGACTTGCACTTCTGTTTGCCCTCGTCAACGAGTGCTGGCTCGATGCTTGCTACCGCAGCCGCGATGACACTGAACCAGCGTTGTAGTGACGATAGGAAGAGCCACGGCTTGTCCCAGGCCAAAGCAATGATGAGCGAGGTCTCGAGAAAGTTGTCATTGTTGAGCGCGACAGGCAGCAAATCGGCAAAACTTGGATCGTAAGACGCAAGCGAGTAGCATCCTAGCCTGCCAACGATCTCTGATGACATGTTCTCAGCATGGGCACGAGCTGAGCAGCGAGTCGCGGACCTTCATCCGCTAGCGCGCGTTGATTGAGCGCCGTCGAGGCTGAGGGATCCTTGATGTCTGTGTAAGCGTACGATAACCCCAGCTCTGCTCGTATGCTATCATCCGTCGCCTTTCCCTTCCCTTTGCCAAGCCCCAATGTGTCCAGAATGGTGTTCTTGCCGGTGCCCACTTGTCCTGCTCATTTGTCCAAATCGTGAGCTTGCGGCATGCCTTGTCCAATTTGGGCTGACCGCATAAGATGAGTGTGCGGTTGGGCAGAGCCCGAGAGGACGAGGCTACGGATCGCAGGATGCGAGACCAGATCTCTGGCTCGTTCGAGTCCATGACGACCTCTGATCTGGGAGGAGACGTCTCCAAGTGAGAACGCACGCGACGGAGCAGATGACGAACGACAGTCGATAGGCTAGCTCACACATACCCCTAACTCGCACTCTCACGAGACAGTATACAGTCATGTCGCTTCCAAAGACTCAGTCAGATATGCATCAGGCCATCCTGAAGCCGGAACCGGACGACGGCATGACATTGCACCGACGCTCCTTGCTTCGAGCAGCAATCCTTGTCCTCGCATAGCGCCGCGGCAGACTGACAATTGCACTCGCATGTCAACATAAAAACGATCGGATATCACCGTCTGCTTGGCTGCTCGCCTCGAGGCTCGACCTCGGAAAGGAGTGATGGGACTTTGGCTCCTAAGCGCGAGTCCGGCACGGAGTGGCTTGGCATTCGCTGTCCACCTCACGCGTCGAGGCCGCTCGTCGATACTTCGTCCAGGACTCGAGATCAGTACGGCGTCTGTTGGAAGCAATGACAGTCGGAGCGAGTCCCCGCTCTGGCGTTTCAACCCCTCGTCCCGAGTCGCTCAGTTGGCAAGCATCCCTGCGATCTCCCAGCAGTGAGCGCTTCCACCGCCCCAAACAAGCTCGAACTCGAGCTGACATCCAGCGTGGAGCACCTCGCACGAGACCGACATACATGGCAGACAGAGCGAGACAAGTCAGTGCGAGTCCGTCGAACGGTTTGGCATACAAGCCACACACCGGAAAACCCGAAAGACCGCCACGGTTCTCGCGTGCTCAGGAACGTATGTCAGACATCATACGACGGATCGAGAAGGAGTGCTTCATCGATCGGCCTGTCCCTTGCGCATCCGATTCTGATCTTGCACGACACATGTTGTCTGAGCCCGTCGTCAAGCAGGTCGGTCTGGGTGGCCTGCTTGTGGCGTGTGATCCTGCTGACTTTGTCGGTCGTCACAGACGCGCTTCGGCGATCTCGATGCATCGCACGGAGAGCGAGAGCAAGGATGTCAGAGCGTCATCGAATGGCGACACGAGTATGATCCACAAGCACCCGCCACAACGTGTCGTCACATTGTGTCGACGCTCTTTCCTGCCCATGTGCATACCCCACAGCTCAAAGCCAGGCGACCCGTTCTGCGTCACTCGCCCGATCAAGTCAGAATGCAACGCGCTTTGCCCGTCGGCTCTGATGACGACGACGATGAAGGCGATAGGAGCTGCGATGACCGTCAGGACGATGTCTTGCTGGATTCCGAAGCGGCTAGATTCTTCCAAGCGACACGCGAGCTAGCAAGAGACGTGCGACTCTTAGCAAGGCAAGACGGTCAAACATTGCGACACACCTGGGATGCGCTTGAGCTCGATTGCGTAGAGATTGTCAAAGCAGCCTACGTCGCTCAAGGAGATTGGGAGCTACCTGTCGCCCTCCTCAGGCTGCCTTGTTCCCAAGCCGAATCATCAAGTTCCAACTCATCGAATTGCACCGGCACGACGAATACGTGCACAACGAGCGTCTCCTCGCTCGAGGTCAGATCCAAGCTCCATCCTACACCTGTCAAGACGCCGAGGAGCAGCATACCGCGATACACGGGCAGTCCACCGAGCTCGTCAAGCACAAAGATGGCACCGCGAGCTCCGCGCACGCCCACTCGGATACCACGATACATCAAGCCCAGGCCCAGCAAAGTCTGATCACAGGTTCATTGCTTGCTCTGTACGGTGTGCGCATATTTGGGCTTGAGCTGGTCTTGTGGATTGCACGTCGTTGTCATCGTGACGGATGATTTTGCCACGCTTCGGCTTGACGCGCAATTTGGTTGATATTGATGAGATTGAGCGCGAGATTGCGATTGCCAATTAGCAGCGTGGTGGATCATCGGCTGGACCATGTCAACAAGCGGACCCGTTTCGAGGTGCTCCACTTTGAGCTTGTCTGGTCAAGTGGAAGCGTGTACATTGGCACCCGCTCAGATGACCTCGATCCTCTCCCTGCCAACAGAGCTGATCTTCAGAATCGTCGATAGCCTATCGGCAGTCTCCGTGAGCCGATTGTCTTCGACCTGCAAAGCCTTGCACGATATCTGTCATTCCGACGAGCTCTGGAAGGATCGTATACGAGATCTCTGGCTCCTACACGGCGCCACGACGGTATTGCCCGAGACAGACGATGAGCAAGTTGACCGGCTACCTTGGGCGGAGCAATGGAGTCGCTTTCTCGGCAGACACCGGCATTTCCTCGGCTGGTGGGCATCATCGCTGCCCTTCAGAGGCAGAGTCATACGAATGCAACTCTGTACAGAGACCGGCACGCTAGACACGCTCTACATCGCGGCCCAGCTCATCGAAGCGAGCAATGCCATACAACCTTTGGAAGACGCCAATGACGATTTTATGGCCGATGTGCTTCCTCAAGGTTTCTTGTGGGACGTTGGCTCGGCTAGCTATTCGTGCGCTTGCTTGCTTGCTCGATGATGGCGGTCATGTTGACCCATGACGATCGCGTGGGCAGATTGCCATTAGATCATCCCTCGCCAGATCGGGGCTACAGTATTGACGTCTTGGACCCTACGTTCCAACATGTGTAAGTTGGCCTCATACTTGGCTTGGTGTGACTTATGTATGACCCAGCACGTTGTTTACCATTCATCCCGAGCACGGCGTTACCCTCAACGCCAGGCCGGATCCACGCGCGAGCCAGCCGTTCATTTTTGACGCCTTGCGACCCGTCAGTCTAGAGGTAGCATACGACGTGCTAGGCGTACCTGTCAGTGCAGGCTCTACGGTGACGAGCCTTTTCACAGGCGAAAAGCAAACACCCTTTCCGACGATCTACATCGCCGAGAGTGGTATCTTACGTCCTTTCGAAGGCGATGTGAATCGCATAACGGAGGATGACATGCAAGAGCCCTACTTTGCTAGAGACTCCCGCCAGCTGCAGTGTCCTCATCTTGCCTTCACGCCGCGGTATACTAAATCCGATGAACCATCTAATCCGGCTATGCCTCTCGCTGACAACGGCGGCCCTCGCATGCTGTTCCAGACCGGTAACGTGCCGCAATGGATCGATCAGCCGCCGGAATTGCCTCAGCTCATACATATGTTCAATGGTGGCAATGGTCCCGAGGCGATCAGGATGAACATTCACCGCCGCCTCAATGCTCAAAGTCGGGGCAGATTCATGACGTCGGGTGCGCTAGCTTTTGCAGCTTTGCAGACAGTCAAGCTGACGACACACTTGCAGACGCGGAATTATTCATGCCTATCAGAGCGCCCAGTGATCCTGTCTTGACGATGCCCGGCAACGAGCTTCGTGCCATTGATCTGACCGGTCTCTGGGTTGGCACATACTCTGGTCAGTGACCTTCGCTCCTGTTGAGCCCGAGCTGACGGTCTATTCAGTTCATGGACTCGAATTTGGCTACATCAATGTAAAGGAGGTACAGTCGATCGTCCATGCCGTCGACGAAATCGATCTCGAAGAGCTACCCTTTGACGGCTCCTCGACCTCGCTGCCTTTGCACAATGTACATGACGCACCACCTCGTCTAGGCAGCGCATCCTTGCGTCCTACACGGATGCGCAGACGGCATGTGATCGAGTTCATCAAAGTCACCGGCGATCTCAATGTACCAAGAGGCGAGATCAGCTGGATTGCTTTCCTGCCCGAAGAAGACGGATCGGAGGCGCTCGTACCGCTCGAGCAAAGAACGGTGCGCGCACTCGATCGAACGCAGATGGAAACTTGGTCGCACCGACCCTTTGCCACTATCGAAGCTGCAACCGCCGCATGGTCTCACGGCACGCTCGATGCAAAGGGAAAAGTCGCATTCAGTGGATTCCTCGAGCCACGCTGGTCGGACGCACAGGCTATCATCATCTCGAGCCGAACAGAAATGGGCGTGGTCGTGGATGAGATCCGGCTGCGCTGGCTCGAGCTCGGAAAGACGAGCTCATACAAGCGTGTACGGGCCAGGATCTGAAATTCACGCTCGAATGCATATGCTATGCGTGCTACAGTGTCTATTTCACTTGATCGGATATGTGTGTTCGTGGGTCTACTTGCCGACTTCGGAGGCCAACTGCTCCAGTTCGGTGGAGCTCAGCTCGCGAATGACGCCGGGCGATGCTGTCTTGCCGGTGATGGCGCTGCCTACGATCTGAGTGATACTCGACACGCTGTTGGACGTCGATAGCCAGTAACGGATCTGTCGAGAGATTGTAGGTCAGTCTTGCGCCCGGCTCCTACGAAAGCTGTACCTACAGATGAGGGCTTGACGGAGATGATGCCGACGCGAGGATCGTCATAGCTGCCTGTGTGCTTGCCGTCACCTGCGACCTCCTGTTTAGCGACTCGATGGCATCTTGGAAAGATCTACAAACCTAGATCGCCAAACCATGCAGACGTGAGCGGGTTCCAGATCTTTTTGATGTGCTCGACATCGTCAACGAGCTTGGCTTGTCCGGCGACGGAGACCCAGCTGGTGCTGGACGGGCTGAAGTACGAAATGTTGACATCAGGGCTGTTCTGGAGCTCTTCCTCCTTATTGCTCTCTTGGTTGTAGATGAACTCAAAGACGAGGCCTTCCTGGCTGGCGGGTGCCATCGCACGTGAATGAAGGCCAACGGGACCTTTGCTCACGAGCATGGCCGTCTTGACTTCGCTGATGATCTTGAACACCTCATCTCGCTTCTGCGCCAGGGGTGCATCTGTCTCTGCCTTTTGCGTGTAGGGATCCTTAGACGGCATGTCGGCTTTTCTGATCTGTGATGCGTGGAAAGATCGGACTGGCTGTAGTGCAGCTGTCGATGTCACTGGACGAGGTGTAAGGGAGATCAGTCGGGGTGCTCTCGTGCTCTGTCTGAACAACACTGACATGCGGCTCGACCTGTTGCTTTCGATGACGACGATATTCGACCGACGATCGGCCACGTCGTCTGTCGGGTTTTGTCGTCGACACGAGGCAAAACTTCGCGTTGCCGCAGCGCCGCCACCTCCGCACTAGCAGCACATCAGTGCCATCCACTCGTCGACATGCGATACTCCGCGCTCTTCGCCGCTCTGGTAGCTGGCACTCATGCACAGACCAGTACGTGCTCGTCGACATCGGGCCAGGCGTGGAGCTGACCACCGATGTTTCAGCTTCTACTTCGGCAGCCGCAGCCGCTTCCTCAGCCGTTGCCTCACTCAGCTCGCTCGTCAGCTCTGTAGGAGGTGCGCGACAGCTGCCGCGCTGTGCTCAGCTGACACTCCGTCCGCAGGCGCTACGAACACTCAGACATCCTTGCTGCCCGTCCCGACGTACGCGTTCGCAAATAGCACCCAGTCCACCAACGCCACGCTCGCAAAGAGTCTTCCGGCCTTCACGTACAATCTCACGAGCGAGAGCGCGACACTGAGAGCGGCCATCTGCACCCAGATGATGAACGTCTGCTCCGTTTCAGGCTGCATCAACTCGAATGCCACCGTGAGCACTAACTTTTGCAATAACGTCACCATGGGCTACGACTGCGAGTGTACTAGCTCTTCCGAGAGCAGAGAGTTCATGCAAGAGTATCTCTTGCCGATCAACCTGGTCGATTGTCAGTTCCGCTCTCGCGCGTGTCTCGACGCATGCTTGAAGCCAGGCATGACGAGCTCGACAAACGATTGCCAGACAGCCTGCAACAGCATCTATGCCGACACATGTGGTACTTCGAGTCAGCAGATTCCAGAGTATCGAGTGAGCAATCCCAGCGCAACGCCGTCCTACTACCCAGACACAAGCAAGGGCGGCGTTCTGCCCACGACTTCTTCGGACAACACGAGCTCGGCGAGCAAGATAGCGGTATCGGTAACACTCAGCTTGGGCTTCCTGGCGGGTCTGTGCATTGTACTGTAATTGCACTTATTCTGCGCACCGACCCTGACCATGGCGCTATCGCTTCGCTGGCTAACGCCTACCACGCGGTACAGATCTCATTGGCTTCTCCAGCTGAATGGAGAGTAAGGCAGCATCATGATCGGCAAGACAATGATGATCGCGTTCTGTGTCGCTCTTTCGGCAGCCGAGATGGATATCGTCACGCCGGAAACGGGCGCACTCGTCTCGGCCTGCAAACCAATCGATGTCGACGTTGCCGACATCCCTACAACGGCGGACAAGATCAGTTGGCATCTCATGCGCGACGGTCAGACACAGGCATCCGGGAATGCGAGTATTACAAGTCCTGTGTAATGACTTGTGCTGACGCTGCGTAGGTTCCTCTGGCTGCTGCCTTTCAAGCAGATCTTCCCTGGCCTGCAAAGGTCGCAGAGAAGCAGCGCGCAGGAGAATGGGAGTTCGTGCTCGTAGCAGAGGGCAAGGCGCCCGCCAAGCAGTCTCACAAATTTAAAGCCGTGCCTTGCTGAGTCTTGTAAATCGTCTTCGAATGCATTGGGGTATAACCGTGGCGTGACAGTGATGTATTGATGGCAGTGAGGGTAGCTCTACAACATTGCGTGGTCGTGATCCGGAGTTCTAGCAATACGTCTGCCCATAGACGCTGCTGTGTTCTTTTTCGAGCGCCAATCGCTCACTTGCGCGCCGGATGAGATCGTCGAGCTGCTCTAGCTGATCGTCACCGATTTGATATGCCTGACAGACGCCCTCTTTTTCTGGCAGGCGTGAAAGCAATGTGCGTGCTCTGTCTATTGCTTGCATAGCTGCAGTGAGCGCAGAGCTCACAGTCTGCCTCTCCTGCGTAGGCGACGAGGCGCCAAGCTGCAAAGAGGCCATGCTCCTGGTGGCCGAGCTCGATAATGGCGTCATCCGGGCGATGGGAGATTCAGATCCGTTGACTGCCCGAGCCACAGGCGCGTATGCGGCTGCAGCACGAGTAGTATCAATGGACAGTCCGCGAGGCCCACCCGGTGCGTGCGGAGCAGCGACGACATGGCTTTGACGCACGGGTATAGTGCCCGGAAGAACGATCTGACGGCCTGCAGGGGCTTGTCTACCAAAAGAGGCATTAAGAGTCTCGTCGGACCGAATGGACTGCTGAAGGGCGCGCCGAACAGCTTCGTTGGCCTGCGTGCTCTGACTGCGCTCGAGCGAGCTCGACGACGGAGGAGAAGCCCTACTCGGCTTTCGCGCAGGCTTCTTCCTCGGCGTGATCGCCTTGGCCAGCTTGGCAGCGCTGGGCGCATAAGCGGACATGCTCGTGCTCTTGCGCATCCCGCTTGACGTAGGGGCTGACCAATTTGACAAGCTAGCCGGCGTCTGGAGACCGGATGATCGGGAGTCGGTCGAGCTAGCAGGCGTCAGCATGGGCGGCGTCAGGTCAGACAGTGAAAAGGCTGACTGTGAGCGTGACATGTGGGGCGTCGCGGTCGTGCCAGTTCTCGTGAAATCAAATTCGGGCGAGTCTGCCATAGACGACTGCTGACTGAACGCAGGCGATTGCGAAGCGCTCAGCGTTCGGTCAAGGAGACCAGAAGTAAACGAGTCGTCGGAAGATTCCTGCTTGAGGGGCGGCCGGACTTGCTGAAAGACGTAGGGAGACATGCCTTTTGACGCCGCTGCGCAAGCGCGAGACGCTTGTGCTGACATGCTGATCGCATCCGTGGTGAATGCACGGGCCGGCATCGATGGACGAGGCGCATGTTGGACCGCCTCGCGGTAAGGCGAATCGAGTTGTGGCTGGACGAGCATCTCGGTCGCGTCTGCTGGCAGCTGCTCCTGCTGTTCATGGTACAGAGCAGTATGCGAGGCATACGGATTGTAGAGCTGAGCATCGAAAGCGTGCATGCCCTCGTTCGACGCCAGACTGCCTTGCGAATGCTGGCCGTAGTCAACGTACATATCCTCGTGATAGCCGCCGCCGCCGTTCTCCTGCATCATGCGGTTGATGTCCTCTAGCATGTATGGATCTCGTAGCGCTTGAGGCACTGAATCCAGTGCGACATGAGGATGGATGCTCGCATACCCGAGATCCATACTGAGCCTTCGCAGCATAGCTTAAGCCCCGGGAGCATGTACGAGGGACTACCAGAGCTTACCTCGAATGCCGTGCACAGACGAGCTATGTTGAGTTTGGGATAGCAGTCCGGCAACAAGGAGGAAGAGATAGTGCCTTCTCACGATGGTCGGAAGAGGAGCCTCGCTCCCTCCTGCTCAGGAGGCCCGCACCGAGATTGCTTTCCGAAGGAAGAACATCCACCAATGAGAATGCAGTCGGCAATCCGTATGCTAGAATCTAAGCTCCATCGGTAGCTCAGCCCACAGACATGTGGATGCCGCCAGGGAGTCCCGTGAAGCCCAGCTACCTGCGCATGCGCCAATTTGATCAGGGTGATCGCCTGGGAGTGGAATGTATGCGCTCGCGGGCGGCGAATTCTTTCGTCAGCCGAGGCGATTATCGACAAAGTTTCGAGGGCAGTCGCCTACCCAAAGTGCTAGCGCTCGGAGCGTGGCTTTGCGGCTAGGTGTGACAGGGTATCTATGATGTCCGAAGGCTCGTCAACCCGCCAGGAAGCTGTCGTCTTGCGGTTCGCATTCTGATCGACAACGATGGTGTATATGCAGTCGCCCTGCAGCTTTGATTCAATGCTCGGCAGATTGTCCGGGTTGGGCGTGCTCGCTCCATGGTCGGTCAATGCCTTGACGTGTGCCTTGACGATTGGATTCTGCAAGAGCGCCGGGAACATCTTCAGCGACTCCGGCGGAGTAACCAAAGGCGGTGTGCCGGGCGCAGTCTGCTGTTGGATTGAATAGAGAGCTCGAAACATGTCCTGCTCCTGCCATGTCAACGCGCGAAGATCAGGATTGTCCGGCAGCACAGACCTCGTCGGTCTTGTCGTCGCCGGCGCACATCACAAATTCTGCGTCGGGATTCTGATAGCATATCCTCCTGACAATCTCGCCTTTGTGCGTGTGTGCCGGTCGGACTTCGACTATGCTACAGATCAGTTATCGAGCTTGTAGAGGGGAGGAAGGCTTGCCATTCTTCTTGCCGACGAGGACGTCGATTGGTAATTTCTCCGACATACTCTCAAGAATGCCTTGACACTCCTTGGCTGCGACTCCAGCATCAGTCAGATGGAGCTGTCGCACACGAGGCACGTACCTTGGAAAGCGCCGTAAACTGGATCTGCGTTGCGATAGTGAAAAGTCGTGCTCGATTTCTTCGTCTCCACAAATGACCCTGTCGTTCGAGCCTCGTAATCTGCGTCGCGGCATCAGCTGCAGCTCATCTGCCCACACGCAGAGACGCACATTTGAAGATTTCGACGACATCCTCTTTCCAGCTCATGTCGATCGACTCAGTGAGGTCTGTCCATGTGTCTTGACCGGGCTCGCGCAAGAAGCAGCCATGCTCGGCAGAGAAGCCAAGATCTTTGATATGACCAAGATGTTTGTCAAGAAACTCGCCGTCTCGACCAGAGATGATGTAGCACAGGTTTTTGGGGTCACTGCAAAGCTTTTCGAGTGCCTCTAGTAGTTTCTTCGAAGGGACGGCCGCGCTTGGCGTCTTGACGATTGGTGTGAGCGTACCATCATAGTCAAAGAGCAGAAGGCGTTTGCCAGCAGTCGCAAAGCCTTCTTCGAGCTTGTCGTGATCGAGCTCTGGAGTGAACTGCGTCGCCTGATCATCGTGCACACACTCAAGAAGCTTCATGATGAGCGAGCTCGACCATACAGCGGCCGTGTGAGCTTTGACGCGCTTTAGCACGACAGCATGACGGTATTCTCGTTCGTGCTGTGACATGTGTAATGCCTGATCGATTACTCTTGCGACATCGCCCAGATCCCATGGATTGATCTTGAGCGCCGTCTTCATCAGACCCGTTACGCCAGTGAACTCGGATAAGATGAGCGGGCTCTTTCGTTCGGTTTGGCAGATAGTGTATTCCATGCTGGTCGTATTCATACCATCACGAATCGAGGTGATCAAGCAGAGATCGGCGGCAGATAGCAAAGCAAAGTATTCATCGCGTTCTATCGTCTGATGATAGTGGTGAAGTGGCTGGTAGTGCAGGCTGCCATATGTCGCATTGATATGATCGACAAGTTGTGAGACCTTCTGGGCGATGAGGGGCGAGTCATTGGCGGCAGGCGACGTCACTTGAATCATGACGACTTGTCCAATCCAATCGGGGTAATCATGCAAGAATCGTTCGTACGCTCGAAGCTTTGGTATGACACCTTTGGTAGGGTCGAGCTTGTCCCGGCCAAGAATGATGCGTTTGTCTGCATAGAGCGAGCGTATGGCTTCGATCTTGGGCAGGACGCCCGGTGCCGCACGATCATGTTCGATTCGCTCTGCGTCGATGCCGATCGGACAGTAGTCGATTGCGCAGAAAGTACCATTGGTCTCGACGCCTCCTTTAGCAGCTTCGTAGCCCATGACACGGACGCATGCGCTCAAGAAATGGCGACCGTACGAGTATGTCTGGAAGCAGCATAGATTTGCGCCCAGCATGCCATCCAGGATGGCCTCGCGACGAGGCAAACAGCGAAAGAACTCGCTGGAAGGGAAAGGTGAATGGATGAAAATGCCGATGCAGATGTCGGGGAAGCGTTCTCGAAGCAGGCGAGGCAAGAGCAAGAGGTGGTAGTCGTGGATGTAGATCAAATCGCCAGGCTTGTAGACCTCGGCAATTTTATTGGCGAAAGCGACGTTGGCGGCATAGTAAGCTGACCAGGTTCTTGCTTCGTCTTCTTTCTCCGCATTGTCCGAGAGCGCGAGATAGTGAAAGATAGGCCAGAGGTAGCCTTTGCAATATCCTTCGTAGAAGTCGACGGCGACCTTGTCATCTAGCCAGACGGGCGCACACTTGACTGCCTTTTCTCGAGTATTGCCTAGCTCCTCCAGGCCTTGCTCTAACTCGCGTTTGCACTCTGGGCTGATTGTGCTCGCCTCGAGGTGCTCGCCATCTGTCGTCTTAAGGTCACCTGGCCAGGCTACAAGCGTGACATCGCGATCACTTGCGAGCGCTCGAATACCCGAATTGAGCGCGGCATGACCCCGTCTGGGTGTGAGGATCCATCGCGCAGAGCAAGCCGTCGCATCGGTCTCTGACATGACGCCCGACGAAGCCGTCTGCCATCGTTCTCTCGCTCGCGAGCCAGTCTTGGCCGGTGTCGCAGGCGGCGAGACGAAAGATGAGCTGTTCTCTGTCGTATTGGCTGTGCTCGCTCTTGGCGCGTGCAAGCCTGACACAGTGCCATTAGCAGAGGTTGAGGCGTATTCGCTCGTACTCTCGTCAAAGACTGATCCGGAAGCAGGCGACAGGGGCGTCGAAGTAGCGGGCACCGCGTTGTTGTGCATTTCATCATGTAGCATTGCTGCTGTGATGGACATGGGTCGCGTTGGGTCCGAGCGAGGGGGATTGAGGCCATCTGCATCTGTGGGACTCATGCGCATGGTACTGCCGGGTAGGGTCACGCCGCTGTGGATCTTGCTCAAACTCGGCCGTGGTGCCACGCTGGGCGAATGCAAGCTAGGTGGCGCGGTCGAGCGGTCGCCTAGATTGATGGCAAGCGCAGAAACTCGCTCGAGCAAGTGATCGGTCTCTGTTCGTGGTCGAAGCTGACAGCTGTATGGCATCGTGTGACAAGCCAGACTGTTTGCATGGCCCTGCTGTGAGCTGAGGAGCCATAAAGGGGGGCATAGACCGACATGATCCGGCCGGTGAGCTTGAGCTGATTGACTTGACCGCCCTCCTTATGTGTTGCATTGTTGCGTTCATCTTCTAATTGCTTGATGCGATCCTGTATGGCTACCAAACTCGGTCTGCTCCTCGTCAGCAACTCTTTGAGCGGCGACCACGCTGCCTACATCTCTCCTTCCTCTGTTGGCTCCCATTCATCTTCGTCTGCATCTGTCCAGATCCTGCTGAGCTCTGAGCTCGTGCTGCTCGCTGCTATGGGTCCTTGTTGCAAGATAGGCGAGGTCCGCATAGTGGGCGAGCGCATGCTCCCCTGTAGCAGCTCCCTGCCGTAGCCAAAGCGCTGACGCGCTGACGATGGGGTCGCAAATATGCGCAAATCGCAGTCAATCGCGTCACATTCGAGCTCATGCAATCAATCAATCACTCGGAGGCGCGCCCAACTTTTGCGATTCTCTCCTCCCCGCGCTTGCCCGCAAATCTGGCGAAACCGGGATGCCAGACTGTAAATGCTCCTGCGTAGTGCGGGTGCATCTCTCTACTGGGAAGTGCGGACGTCTTCGTCAGTACGTATAACTCGAAGCATTGCTCAAAGTACATTTGGCATGCATCATGTATGACTGTCACACTGGCGATTCTAATATGATAAATCGATCGTGATATTGTAAAGGTTTTCTAACGTCTGCGCACCAGTACGGAACGATCTTGAGCCATCGTTCCGCTCCTGATGTTACATCTCACGAGCGCGGTATCGGATGAAGCACAAGCTTGATGTGACACAGAAATGCATGCTACATCCCAGCTCGATGAGCAAAGCGTAAAGCGCTGGGTAGCTCGAGCGTCAACGACAGCCGCCGGATCTGACAATCATGGCGAAGAGCTCGCAAGCTCTTGCTTGAGATGTGCGATCGCTTTGGCAGGGTTGAGGCCCTTGGGACACGTCTTGGAACAGTTGAAGATGCTGCAATAGTCAGAAGATCAGCATGATCAAAGCACAAAAGGAGAGCGGCTTACGTGTGGCACCGGTAAAGCGAGAACGGATTCTGCAGTCGCTGCAGTCGCTCCGCCTTTGCCGAGTCTCGTGAGTCTGCTACCCATCGGTATGCCTGCATGAGCACGGCCGGTCCGAGGTATTCGTCCTGGTTCCACCAGTAGGACGGGCAGGCGGTGCTGCAGCAAGCGCAGAGAATACACTCGTACATGCCGTCCAGCTTCTGCCTGTCCTCGCGCGACTGCAAGTGCTCCTCTGTCACGACTAGGTTTAGCGGCAACGGGTTGTGAAGGCGAGTGGGACGTACTGCCATCGGCGGGCTCCGAGTCGGCCTTGAGGAACGGCTCGATCGACTTGTATTGCTTGTAGAACTGTGTCATGTCGGGCACGATGTCCTTGATGATGTACACTGCGCGATCGAGCATCAGTATTGATCGTCAAGCGAGATGAAGCTCCGCCACATACTGTGCGGGAGAGGGTAGATCTTGACGTCTTTGCCCTCTGCATTGATGCGCTTGAGGCAAGCGAGGGTCTGTCACTGGACGTCAGCGAGCTTCCAAAGGTCGCATGGACGATACTGACGTTGACGCCGTCGATGTTCATAGCACACGATCCGCAGATGCCCTCGCGGCAAGATCGCCTGAATGTAAGTGTCGGATCGATCTCATTCTTGATCTTGATCAAGGCGTCCAGCACCATCGGTCCGCACTGCGCTAGATCGAGCGTGTACGTTTGCAGGTAAGGCTTCTCTGCTGGCTTGTCCGGGTTCCATCGGTAGATCTGGAATTGCTTGGGCTTGCTGGGTTTCTTATTCGGCGCAGCAGCCATTGAAGATCCCTTGTCTTGAGATGCCTCACTAGCAGGGGTCGCCAGACGTGCTACCGGGCTCGTTGCGAACGTTCGCATGCCATACTATTCAAGCAGCAGTCAGCATCGGCACGAAAGCTCGCTGCGATCGGGTCGGTGCAGGAGCAAGAGCCGCGCGCTCTGACACCCTGACCACCGGCGATCTACGTACCTTGGCAATGCCATTTTGGCCCAACGGTCTTAGCATTCTGATTGTGCTCGTGCTCGCCATGACTTGATGGGCACACTGTGAGCGGCGGAGCAGTTGAACGGCACCGGCGCGCTCCAGCCAATCAATTTCTCGCATATTCGCCACATCTTTTGACGCGCAAACGATTGCGGCCGAGACCGGCCTTTATTAGCTTCTGGCTCGCGAGACAGCTTGTGCAACGAACGTGCTTGCTGCCAGCATCCTCTTATAGCTCCCTTCCTTCCCTTCCTCTCCTCCTCGCAAAATATGCTGCTGTTGAGTACTATCGCAGCGAGTGCGCTTCTGAGCGTTCAGGCTCTGCCATCGAGCTCCAAAGAGGCATGGGCGCTCGAAAGACGCCAGATGAGCGGGAACTCGACCCTCGTCTCTGACTTCAACCTCATCTCACAATACTGGGGTCAGATCTCACCCTACCGCGACTTGGCAGAGAATCACTTTGGCGTCAACAACACCGGCGTTCCGGCGGGATGCGGCCTCGTGCAAGCTCACTCGCTCCAACGTCACGGTCAAAGGTGACTCCCGAGCGTTCACGGGGTATCAGCGCTGACGAGATGGCAGATACCCGACCGGCTCGCCCTGGGATGGCATCGGTGATGCTGCTTTTGCTCAGACAGTCACGAATTACACGGCCGCAAATGGCACCAATGGCTTCAGCGGACCACTCTCTTTTCTCAACCACTACAGCTACCAGCTCGGCTCCAGCTTGCTCACCTCGCCGGGTACCACGACCGAGTTCTACAAAGGCACCCTGTTCTGGAATCGTTACGGCCGTTTGATCTATAACGCTACTGCTGGTCAGCCGCTCTACAATGCCACTTTTGCCAATGGCACGGCGAGACCTTTGCCCGTCATCGGCACGACATCTCAGTCTCGCATTCTCAACAGCGCGCTTGACTGGGCCGCAGGCTTCTTTGGCACGAACGCGACGACTAAGTACACTCTCGTCGTTCAGCCTGAAGGCGGTACTGAGACGAATCCGCTGGCGTCTTACGATGGCTGCAACAACGACAACGTGGACTCCATCGGCTACATCGGCGACTCCCAGATCTACCAGCTCATCCCGCAGTACCTCAAAGATGCCACGTCTCGTTTGCAGCCTTACAGTCCCATCCCGCTGACGACGAACGATACCTTTGCAATGCAGTCTATCGCTGCTTACGAGTATGCTGCTCTTGGTTCGAGTGACTTTGGCGGTCTGTTCACGGAAGAGGAATGGCAAGGCTTCGAGTACTGTCTCGATCAGCTCTACTACTACGACTACTCCTTTGGCAACCCCACCGGCAGAGCTCAAGGCATTGGTTACCTTTCGATGCTATACGCACGACTCAATCACACGCTCATCACTGCCTCTGATGCTGCCATGACCATCGGCGTCAACACGACTTTTACGAATTCGGAGTCTGTCTTCCCAACGAACCAGCCTATCTACTTTGATGCCAGTCACGACGATATCCTCTATTCTGTCGTCACTGCGCTCGGCATTGACTACTTTAAAGAGGATCTGCCACTTTCTTTCCCGCCCAACCCTGACCGTCATACGGTGCGTACTGTGTCTCATCGGATCAAACCATACTTATAGACAATGTGCAGATTCTGTCGCAACTGACGCCCTTTGGCACTGCACTCGTCACGGAAGTCTACACTTGCTCGTCTGCCTCGCCCGCGGAAGTGTCCTACTCCGAAACACACTATACCCGCGAGCAGAACGGGTGGACAGAGACCAATGCTACACACACTTTCGTTCGCATGCGCTGGAACAATGCTATCTTGCCTCTTGCCACCATGGACACCGGCGTCTGCTCAGATCGTTCTGATGGCTTCTGCTCGGTTAGAAAGTTCCTCTCGGCTCAAGCGAGCAATGTTGCTAAGGTGAGCCTTTGCCAAGATCGAGCAGATCAGTTGGGCTTACGGGAAAGCAGGCCAATTACAATTACACATGCTTTGCAAACTACACTTTCCCTTCGAGCAACTTTACCGGCGACGGCACGATTGGCATCTGATCTACGTCGATCGCCTACAAAAGCCAAAAGGCAGCGCTTCCTTAATCTTGTCCCCAATGCAATAGAGCTATAGATCAATCTTTTGCCAATCTACCGCAATTTGAGCGCTCGAGCGGAGAGTGGCGCAGCAAAGACGCGTGCGGAGCTTGGCGCCACGGTCGTGAGCGTTGTGAGCGGAAGCAGCGTGGCAGATGCACTGAGAACTAGGCACGATTGAGGGCAAGCAAGCGAACAAGAGAGAGAGAGAGAGAGAGCATGTCGGCAGTGTTGCAGCATGTGCTGCACCCCTTTGATCTGCCACCCGCGCTCGCCCTGCTGCCGCCGCTCTTTCGAGTGCTTGCTTGGGCTTCCGTCCTGCCCATCCTCATCCTAGCAGCCGTCGACTTGCTCGGCTACGTTGCATTCAGAATTGTCTATCAGCCTGTAGGCATGCCGAGGACGTGCGTGCTTGGCAAATTGGCACCCAATGATAAGCACTCATGCTATCGGCTTGCAGGATGTTCTACAAAGCGCCCGGCGGTCGAACAAGCAGAGGCAAAGGAGCTCAGGTGGCAGTTCCCGTTCCAGTGAGCGCAGATGCAACGGGTAGGGAGACGTCTGGCCTCAAGAAGCGACAATCCGTCAAGAAAGCTGCTCCAGTGCCGCTCATCGTTGCCTCGAGTGATTCTGACGGCAACGAGGATCCTCATGCGGCGCTGTCGACGTCTCCTACAGATGAATCCGACAGCGGACTGTCTCCCATCTCGACTGCGCCTCGTAGGGAGCGTCAGCTTTCTATGGGACCCAACAGAGCACGCGCAGGCTCGATTGGTTTCGACGGGCCAATGCTCGGATTTGATCCCCTGCGATCTCCATCACCCGAACTGAGGCAGCTGCCGGACGAAGAGGACGATAAGCAATTCCATCCGTCGTGACGCCTTGGCACGGCGAGATAAGGAATCACGACCCACGAGCATGTGCTGCCAGAGCATACACGAAAACCTCATAACCAGTTTAGAGTCGAATCTGCAAGTTTCAGTGTCATGTACGATTGGCTGTTGACATCTATCGACCCGGGCTCGATGCATACGTTTCGCTCGGCTTGCCAGGGTTTGCATTTGCGCGGTTTCACACATCTAGTTTGCTGCACGCAGGAGATGCAGCGTAAAGCGATGCTCGCCACATTCGTTGATGTCCGTGGCGTCCGACTCCCAGAACGGTTGAGCTCCGTGAGGTAGCTGGCTGAAAGGCATGGGTACAGATTTGAGCGTCTTGAGGATATTGTCCGTCTGAGCCTGGATGAGCGCTTCGAGCGATGCCTCGTCAGCAGATTCGACTGTCTTGAAGTAGACATCGAGTACATCCGTCGCAATGCAGCCTGCTGCCTTGCGCGCTTTCTGGACTCGATTGACCAGCTCGCGAGCAAGTCCAGCTTGCTCGTCTTCGGCTCTGACAAGTGTGTCCAGCAAGGCCACGGCATCAAAGTCGGTATCGCTCAGGAATTTGCCATCGCCGCCTGTCTTTGCAGCTGAGAGCTCCACATAGCGGCTTGCCTTGAGATCTTCTCGCGTGAGAGCAATGCCGGCAACCTCGATCGATCCCGTATCGACGAACTTCTTGACCTCTTGCGAAGTCACATCAGGCAAAGCCTTCTTGACTTTAGCCATATCCTTGCGCAGCTTCTTGCCCAAAGTAGCCCAATCTGCTTGCACGGACCATCGAACCCCACATTTGTCCTCGTCGGTCGTCGTTGTCAGAAAGCGCAGATTGAGTTCGCCTGTGATGAAGCCAGACAGCTCTTGTAGATCATCAAGATATTGCTGTTCTGGGTGGTACACGATGAGCTCCCGCAAGGGCGTCCGCAGGCTGACGCGACAGGTATCACGCATTCGCCTGCCGAGCTCGATGACGGCTTGCAATCGCTTGACTTTGCGCTCGATGACCGGATCAAAGTACTCTTGACGAACTGTCGGGAACGGCAGAAAGTGGACCGAGCGGATGTCTTTGCCCATACCGAGCTCGTCTGTCGAAGTCGGCAAGAATTTGCGCAGCGACTGGTAAATGTTCTCTGTAATGAAAGGTGTAAAGGCAGACATGGTCCTGGACAGTGTCAGCAGAACTTCAAACAGTGTGTTGAGAGCATCGAGAGCGTCTTCGATCGACTCCGCGCCTTTCAGTCGTGACCTATTGAATTTGATGTACCAATTGGTCATCTCGTCGACAAGATCGAGCAATCGTGGCGTGACTGTATACAAGCGATAGGCTGCCATCTCTTCCGATACAAGCTGGATGAGCGACTGACATCGAGCAAGGATCCAGCGGTCCATGATGTTGGTGATCTTGCGATGAGGCTCGTAGACAAAATCGACGGATGACTCCACTTTGAGCAGATGGGTCTGTTGCAAGAAGAATCTGAACGAGTTGAGCCATGGAAGCTGCACGCGAGTGAGGACATCCTTGACGCCCGCTTCTCTGAATCGCAAGCTCTCGCCCCGAACGACAGGCGAGTTGATGAGGAATAACCTGACAGCATCCGCCCCGTACATGTTGATGAGCAGCGTCGGATCGGGATAGTTCCGCAGCTTCTTGCTCATCTTCTTGCCATCCTCTGCCAAGACGTGGCCACAAACGATGAGGTTCTGCCACGGCGCCGTGTCAAAGAGATGCGTTGCCAGCACGAGCAAGGTATAGAACCAGCCTCTCGTCTGATCTATTGCCTCTGAGATGAACTGCGCAGGGAAACTGGCTTCGAAGCGCTCCTTGTTTTCGAAAGGGTAGTGAACCTGCGCGTACGGCATACTTCCGCTCTCGAACCAGCAGTCAAAGACTTCTTCGATACGACGCAGACGTCCCTTGCCTTGCTTTGATGGTATCGTGATGTCGTCAATTTTGTCTCGATGGATGTCTGCCAACTGTCCGCAGCCAGATAACTCGTTGAGCTCGTCGATGGAGCCTACGCAGACCATCTCCTCGAGATCATCGCTGACCCAGATAGGCAACGGTGTGCCCCAGTATCGATTGCGAGAGACGTTCCAGTCGCGTGCATTTGCAAGCCAGCTCGAGAATCGTGCATCGCCAACGGACTGCGGCACCCTTCCTCAACGCCCTTTGATCAGCTCAATGTGTGCTCATTAAACTTGGCCGACTGACCATCGCGTGGCGTTGTTGTTGGCCAGCAGCTTGTCCTTGACTGGTTCTACGCTGACGAACCAGACTGGAATTGCTTTGTAGATCAGCGGAGTCCCGGATCTGTCCGTCTTTGATCAGCTCAGAAGAACTGCACGCATGGCAGACACAGCGTACCTCCAGCAAAACGGATAAGAGTGATTGATGGAGGATTGCACGATGAGACGCCCTCGTTCTTTGAGCAATTTCATAATGGCTTTGTCTGCCGCCTGCGGCAGTCATGACAATAAGCGATATCCTCACGTATTGCCATCCATGCGCACCTTTACATGCTGACCCTTGAAATCAGGCACTTCGTCCGTAAAGAGACCGCTACCATCGACAGGACACGGCGGCATCTCGTCTTTGCTGACGATGCCCTCGCGGATGCCGATACGGTGATCCTCATCACCGAATGCAGGCGCTTGGTGGACGATGCCCGTGCCGCTCGTCGCGGTGACGTACGTATCTGCGACGACCTTGAAACCTCTATCGCGGAACTGTACGGTCGTCACAAAACTATACAGGAGAGACCAAGATGCTGACTGACCTTGTCTACAAAATAGTCGAAGATGGGCTCGTACCTCCATCCGACCATTTCGGAGCCTTTGTAGACGCCAAGCTTGGTGAATTTCGCCTTTTTGGGATCTTTGTAGAGCGTCGTCAAGAGCTGATCACATAGTACAAAGGTCTGATCTTTCTCTGTGTCGTGGATCTTGATGTACGTCAGGTCGGGGTGGACACAAAGCGCAACATTGGACGGTAATGTCCAAGGGGTGGTAGTCCAAGCGAGCAGAAGCGTCTTTGGATCATCCACGAGCGGGAACGACACCGTCACTGCGGGATCGTCGACATCGCGATAATCTGAGCCGGCCTCAAAATTGGACAGCGGGGTGGTACAGGCGGTCGAATAGGGCATGACGCGCAGACCGCGATAGACGAGCTTCTTCTCCCAGAGCTGCTTGAAGACCCACCAGACAGACTCCATGAAAGTAGGCTGAAGTGTCTTGTAGTCATTGTCAAAGTCGATCCATCTGCCCATCCGTTCGACGGTCTGCCTCCATTCTGCAGAGTAGCGCATGACGATAGCGCGACATTCTGCGTTGTATCGATCGATACCCATGGCCATCACGTCTTCTTTGCCCGTGATGCCGAGCTTCTTGTCAATCTCGTGCTCGACAGGCAAGCCATGGCAATCCCATCCAAACCGTCGTTCTACATGGAAACCGTTCGAATGCGCAAAGCGAGTGACGACGTCTTTGACGGTGCCCATGAGCAGATGGCCATAGTGTGGCAGACCGGTTGCAAACGGTGGACCGTCGTAGAAGCTGAAGTCCGGCTTGCCCTCGCTCTGCCTCAGCGACTCTGCAAACGCATCAATTTCTTGCCAGTATGCCAGCACCTTTTCCTCCTCAGCTGTCGTGTCGAGTCAGCTGCCTACTCGGCTGTTTGGCAAGACGATGCATACCCGGGAAGGAGAATTGGGCCTGCGTATCATGTTCGGGCAACGGCATCGCAACGCTGACTCGGCGGCTGCTCGAAGCACGAACGAGAGCGCAATAAAATCCAGCGCGTCAAGTCTATTTGGATCGTGCCACGCAGCATCAGCGCATCAGCGCTTCAGCTGTCAACCGCTGCTCTTGCTCTCGACACTCAGCCGGCCGCCAATGGCCCGCAGACGACCACGCGCTCGCAAGAACGCGATCGGTCGAGCAGCGTGCTCCTTCGCGGCCCTGTGCGTGCATCAACCGAGCAACGCGTCCGGCCTATGCTGAGACGAGGATCTACACAGATCTACACTCTTTGCTGCCACAAGCCAAGCCTCGCCAGTCGCTACTCCCCACGACCGGAGAGCCTACTTGCCTAGCTTTGGCATGGGGTATGGCGCCAGCACGAGCGCGAACGCGACGGAAACCTATGTTTGCAAGCCGCTCAGTGCCTGTCAGACCTGTACGCCAGACGAGCTCGTATGCCCTTGCTCGATACCACCGTTGGACACGGTGCTGATCTACGAGAGACAGCATAATGACCCTGCGTGCGCACCCTATGGCAACAAGATCAGCCTGTCCTGTTTGTACGTGCCCGCCGATGCAGACTCGACTTTAGCACGCAAGAGACGAAGGAAGCGAGATGCGCAAGGACTCGCGGATGAATCCGTAGACGGAGAAGAGACAGAGAGTGATACGAGCATAGACGGAGAGGCAGACGAAGCGAGCAAAGCGATAGAACAGGGTCTGCTCGGCCAAGTCGAGTTAGACCGACCTTGCGCTCGCGTTGTAGCCAAAGAACGCGCAGACTTTGGCGAGTTCGTTGTAAGCAAGCCGCTTACAAACAAGGCCAATCTTCTGATGTCCGAACGCGCGCGCAGCTATGCAACGTCGCGTTTGCCTTGCTAGGATTGGGCGTACTGTCGTTCAGACAGAGAAGTCTAGCGGCTCAGCAGTATCTCCGTCTGGCGGCACGCATTGGCATTCCTGTCTCTGTCTGATCGTTGTTGTCGTATGCAGTCCAGGTTCGCACAGAAGAGATGCAAGCGAGTACATGAGGAGCATAAAGTGATCTAGAAGACCAATGCGGCACCCTTTGTCTTCTTGTCACCACCGAGCTCGAAGCTGCATGACATCGTGAGCTTGTACGAACCAAAGGCGATGGAAGTGACTGACTGCTTGCAACGCTTGAGCGCCATCTGCGCCTTGTACTTGCACACGGTGCACTCTAATCTCAGCACGACTTTCTTTGTCGTCTTTGCCTCTGCGCCAGAGATACGGGAATGAGCGGCCGCGAATCTCTTGTCCGATGGAGCACGCACTCTTGTGGAAGACAGGCTTCGTTTGACCACCATATCCAGACTGCTTCCTGTCATATCGCCTCTTGCCTGCAACATCGCCCACTGTCTCAGCTCACGGTCCGTGGAGCGTGCGCATGATGCTTGCCTTGGGCGACAGTGGAGGCCTTGCCAGTCTTGTACTGGGTGACCTTGTGAGGCGTGTGCTTCTTGCACTGTTTGCCTTTGCAGTATGTCCTGCGAGTCTTGGGTACGTTGACTGAGCATTGTGATCGATAGCATGAGCAAGCGGCGTCGGTCGAGCAGAGAGCGATGAAGATGCACGATCAGCGCATGCTACCAAGCTCCTGTCGGGTGGCTTACCCATACTGACAACGATACAGAACTTGGCTCGATGGTCAGTGAGGTGGCTGCCCTACAGCAGAATATTCATCTGAAAATGTTGTCAACTGAATTTACAACGCGGCAGCCACACCAGCAAGCCCAGGGAAGTCAGCGATCAATCACCATGAGCGCAAGCGAGCCAAAGTCGTTCAAGGTATGTCAGAGCCAGTCGGCATTCGACGCTTGCTAGGGCCAACCAGAGACCGGTCGCAACCCTAGCATGCTCGTCTTGCTCGACCTGGCGCACTCTCACTGGCCGAGCGAGTGCTGACTTGCCTGTCCGTCTTTTGCACAGAGGTTCGTCGAAGTCGGACGGGTCGTCCTACTCAATGCCGGTCCGCTCGAAGGCAAGCTAGCCGTCATCGTCGAGATCATCGACCACAACCGAGTCAGCCTCTTCGTGCAAACCTCCGATCAATGAACATGGGTGCTGATGCTTGGGGAGTGAGCAGGCACTCATCGACGGACCCACAACGGGCGTAGCCCGACAAGCGTTCCCCTACAGACGCATGGTCCTCACCCCCTTTGTGCTCAACAAGCTCACCCGTGCTGCCGGTTCGCCCATCGTCAAGAAAGTCTGGGAGGCCTCCGGTGTCGATGAGAAGTGGAACCAGTCTGCCTGGGCCAAGAAACGTGCTGCCATTCAGAAGAGGCGGCAAGCGGGCGACTTTGAGCGCTTCGAGCTCATGCTCCTCCGCAAGGCGCGCTCGAGAGCCGTCGGCAAAGGCAAGCGCCACTGAGCATCACGCGGGTGCCAAGCTGAGCCTCTCATCTGATTGCAGAGATCAAGACGAAAGCATGATCTGATGTCTGTTGCCATACCGTCCGATTGTTCATGTCACAGTCTCCGAGACATTGCAATCGTGCTTCCGCTGTACTGCAATGGTTCTTACAAGAATGCTACACACAACATCTCTCATCTTTGGACTGATATCTATGACTGCAGCTTGAATGCCTCCGTGGTAGGCTGCCAGATCACCTGGATCATCTCGCCAAGTTGGTTGTGATGTCTCATCAGGAGTGAAGGAAGTGCAAAGCTAGGATCTCGGATTTGCTTGATCATCGTCAATAGGTAGGAAGACTTGTCGGTAGCTTCCAAGGGGGGTCGCACAGGATCATATAGCTCTCGATCAGGTGCCCATGTCCATTCGATCTTCTCTAGATCCGATGCCGTGAGCGGCTCCTTGTAGAGCGTGACCGAGTAGCCCAGCGTGATCATCGTTCGATTTTCGTCGAACAAGTATCGTCTGCCCCAGTTATGACCACCGAGCTGACGAGCGGTAGAGAGCATGAGGAGCACAGACTGTAGCCGATCGCGTCGGTAGTGCTCTGTATCTTGCCAAATCGAGAACCTGGCGCGCAATCTCATATATAAGCATCGAGCAAGTGAGGGATAGGAGGACATACCACGCAAGCCAGTGATGCAGCGTTGTGATCGCGAGACCAGCCTCGAAGTAACCCGTGTTATCTGGACCGAAATCCATCTGGCGCATTGTGCTCTCGACTTGCATGAACGAGGTAATGGGCTTGCCGATCATGTACTCTGCGCAAGCTGCAACGATGCCATCGCCTCCGAAGATTGTCTTTCCGCGGCTCAGGCATTCTGCGGCAATGTCAGGCTTGTTCATCGCCTCGACCATCGCCTGACTGAGCGCAATACCTGCCCCGCCATAGCCGAACACGCCCCAGCCATGCAAGGCTTCTTTCGATTCACTTAGCCCGCCCACAAAGTGCTTCTCTGCAGGGTCGTACTGGCTCAAGATACTGAGCAGGCCGGAGAAGTTGATGATGGCTGTATCGTCGTCAAGAAGGATGAACCATTTTTTGCCGTGTCCTCTAGCTCTGTCCTGCTCGTCGTTCTCCCAAGCGCGCAGGACGAGCTGGAAGAACCGCTCCTCGTATCGATCTGCAAGTTGGTCGTTGTAGACTAGATCTAGACCGATTCTACTCGCAAGTGCAAGCGTGCGATTGCCGATCACGTCCTGCTCTGAAATCTCGGCGAGCACATTTGCATGATCGCCTCTGACCTGTCGGTTTTGCCGCTTATGCGCTTCTTGGAAGGGCGACTCATCAGCTTGGGCCAGCTCCTCAAGTTCGACCCCATCGTCTTCAAAGGGCTCATCCGTCAAATCACTGTCCCATCCTTCTGATGGAACTGCTATTGGCTGCTTGAGAATCAGAATCCTTGGCGTCGGGCCTTGTGCTAATGTGCCATTCGAGGTATGATCGACAGCTGAGAGAGCTACATCTACGCTCGAAGCCGGGGGCAATGACGCTGCCCAGACATTGAGGAAAGTCTCGACTCTATGTGGCTGTGTGGCGAGGCAGAGCATGACTTCGTCTGGCTGAACAGTCGCCTTCAGGGCAGCTGCATCCGTGTCTATGCTGGGTATATAGTGCGCTTGACATGCGGCGTCATCGGCAAAGTCTACCGAAAGCGGTTTGTCAGGCTGGTCAATGAGCGAGAGGCCAGATCTATTGCGGGAGATGAAGGTACGCTCTGATGGCTCGGAAAGCAAGTCCTCGGTCGTATTGAGAGCGATGAGTACAACGGTGGGTATCCTGCCATCGCTCGATGTATGCCCTTGTGGCACATCGACCGAACTCTGACCGCGACCGCAAGCGAGATGAGTGGTGGCATGAGTCCTGCCGAGCGCTTGCTTGGCTTTGTTCGTTGCAGGTGGAGCATAGACAGACTGTATGCTCGTCTTGATCGAGTCGTGATGTGCGCCCGCAGCAAAAGCGAGCACTACGACGAAGCTCAGAACAGCGAAACCGATGAGTTTGCGGAATCGAGCTTGATGGTGTACCACCGGTGTTGCGTTAGACGATGCTGAGCTCCTGTGACTCTGGCGCAGCAAGTTGACTGCCTCATCCCGAATGGAGTCCTCTTCCTCATACGAGCTCATCGTCTTCCGTCGGCCATCCTCGCAGATCGTGTGACGAGATTCGTTCGGATCTCTGAACAGAGTATAGAGCCAGCCGCCGCGCTTATTATTGGCAATGGATCGAACAATGGGGCGAACCAGCTGATCTCCAAACTTTCTGTCTGCTCTGCGCTCGTGCGCGCGTGTTAGCGTCGGCCGAACGTGCAGGTCCACCCCCTTTCGACCTCGTGCTTCTACATCCATGTTTCCGGTCCATCTTCTCAGACACGTAACTTGAGCCAGCCAACGACAATGTGGGTTCTCGTCACCGCGCTCACACTAGGCTTGTACGTCTCAACAAGCTCGGCGTCGGTCTACCTACCCATCAGAGAGCCCGCGGTTTGCCCTATCGCTGCTAGCTGCCCGGGAGGTAATGCCGGCGTGAACACATGCTGTACCCCTCTGCGCTCCTCTGGCGGCGTGCTCGCCCTGTCTACTCAGTTCTGGTCCGCCCAAGGACCGAGCGATGCCGCAACATTGCACGGTCTCTGGCCGGATTTCTGCAACGGCAGCTACCCTCAGTACTGCGACGACGGTCGAGACGTTTCCGGTTCTGCCATCCGATCGATCTTGCAGAAGTACAATCAGGTCGCTTTGCTGGCTTTCATGGACAAGTACTGGCTCGGTGAACCGACGGCAGGTCAGAGTGCCATTTCTGCCAATGATGATTTTTATAGCCACGAGTTCGAGAAGCATGCGACGTGTACGCCATCGTTCGATCTGCAATGCTATGGCAATGCCAATAGGACGGAGACGAGCATCGTGGACTTTTTCAACACCGCGGTGGGGTACTACCAGCGCTTCCCGACTTACCACTTCCTTACGAGCAGAGGTATCAGTCCCTCCACCACGGAGAACTACACACTCGGTCAAGTACAGTCTGTCCTGAGAAGCTACACGTTTGTTTGCTCAGAGTTTATAGAGTCACCAAAGCTGACACTTGCGATAGGGGTGGCAATGCAACGCTGAACTGCGTCAACGGCGCACTGTCGGAGATCTGGTACTCGTTCTATTTCTACGGTCGCATACAAGACTATGCCTACAGAGGCGTCGACGCAACTTACGCCGGCTCGTGCCCAGCCTCATTCAAGTGGCTACCCAAAAGCGCTCTATGAATGACGTTGCGCATATTTGTACATCGACACAACACGGATGCACACTGATTATAGCTGATTGCGTTTGCTTGCTGTCCGTTGATACGGCCTGAGAACCCACTCTATATCTGCGTCCGCCTGCTCGATCGTGCCTTGCCGGATCTCATATGCTAGAGATCGCTCAACACGATGAAAAGCAGGTCTCGCAAGAGACTTACCACGCATTTCGAAACGAGGCCCCACTTCGGCTAGTTGCACCTCTTTGTGCGACGATTTGACAAAGATGTGATGTCTGAACGAGATGAAGTCGCCTTCGTTCGCAAAGGTCATTGTCCGGGTTGCGTCTGGCTTGGGCACAGGGAAGAGATGTTTGAGCACACTCTGTATGCGGTTGCCGAGCTTGGAAGAGAAATTGTCGAAAATCAGATGAGGGTATTGCTCCGAGACGGTCGAAGTGCTGAACGAGGTCGTATCGTGACGCAAGACGACATTGTGTAGAGTGAACAGCGTCGTAGGTCCATGCGGGAAGTGGGACACGATCATCGCATCTGCGTTCCCTGACGCGTGAGTTGCTGCAAGGTAGCAAAGAAGCAAGCAGACTAGCCTGGCACGCCTCGATGCTCGTGCAAGACGACGAGATCGGTGACATTGTTCGCGCGGCAGGCTTCTGCCAGCTCTCGCATGACCGCATTGCCTCTGTTGAGTCGGTGAGCATTGGGCAAGACCAATCGCATTTCCTGCCATCCACATCTGTCAGCGTGGGCGTGCCCGTCTGCAGGACAGGCCGGACCTTTGCGAACTGGGCAAGCCGACTACTAGGATCTCGGGAAGTTGTGACGACGATGTTGGGATCGTACAAGCCCGCCTGAGAGTACTCGTCATCAATGTGCGTACTGGGCTCTGTCGAGTGATGTCAGCTTGATTGCGAAGGTATGGGGCTGTCGTGCTTGCCTGCCTGACTGTTGTCATACTTGAGATCCTTCTCTAGACCTTCCTGGTCCTTGCGCAGATCTGAGGGCACAGCTTTCCCCCTGGCAAGTGCATCTTTGACTTTTTGCTTCCTCTCCCAGATCTGCCGCTCTTGCGTCTCTAGCGCTTTCTTGTACAGATACTCTCTGCGCTGGCGAGTCTGCCGCCGGATCTGTAGTGAACATACGTCAGATGTGAGCACTGTGACAGCTCTGCCACTGACCATCTCACTCCGAGCCTGTCCCTCCCAGATCGCGTCAATTTTTCGACGGCGAGACTCTCTGCTGGACGTCATCACGACCCCAGCGGTGATGCCCTCCATACGTCTCCTCTCTGCCTCATTGCTCGCGATCGCACCCTTTGTCGTCGCACCGGGAGAGCCGAGCGCGTACTACTCACTCAAATGGTCCCAGTGTGTCATGAAATGCCCAGTCTTGCCCGGCTACTCTGAACGAACTGTCTACGACGTCGTCGCACCGGGCTTCACTCAAGTCAGAGTAGAGCCCAGCCATTATCCCTCGACGGGTTGTGGGATCACTAGAGTCGGGCAGGATTGGCAAAGGTCCGACCATGTTTGGCTTATCCTTGTTGACAGTGGAGCAACGAACGAGCCGAGTACGTCAAGACGCCGACATGCTCCATCGAAGGCTCAAGCTATGGCCTGAGAGGAATCGACAAGACCTGCGAAGTTTGCTGGCCAATTGCACAGAGCTCACACGGTGGGCCGCCGGTCATACGTCAGAGCCGCCACCGCTGACAGGCTGCCCATCAGATACCTTTGTCGATGCCTGCTGCACGCGTTCTCTTTGCAGTATGGCTCTCGTTCGCCGACTGCCCGTATGCTGACGTGATCACAGTGAAGTCAATTATGGGCTTCGCGCCTAAGCAGAACCGTAAGCCGTCCTTCGTTACTTCGCTGTCAGGATGGCCTACTCGTAAGCCCGCAGGTCATTTCGACCCACCAAATGTCTTTGCACGAGTCAGGTGTATGATCGGTGCTCCGCCATGCCATCGCGTACCCGAAAGAGGTCTCGAGTCAGCACACCACCGGAGCTCTAAGTGAACGGGCTGATGGTCGACGCCTGCAGGATTCCGTGCCAATTTGTGTCACCCGAAGACAGAGAAGTCCCCTTTTGCAGCGTCAGGGACTTCTATACATGACCGAGCTCGTGTGATCGCATGCATGTCGAAATCTCGCGGGCAATGCGTTGAGATCTGCATTGCATGATTGTGACTAGCGTTCTCCCTTTGGCTCTTTCGCGCTCGCTCCCTTGCCCCATTTCCCGCTACCTTTGCCCCAATCTGCCACTCCCCAAGCATGCACAGGCGACAAGACTGGTTTCTCGAGCGCGTGCGTATCGCGCATATCCGTCAGCGTCGGATCGGGCCCATCGGACTTTCGCCGTCTGACCTGTACTGTTGGATGGTCAGGCATGCCATCTGGGAAGCGTAGCTTGATGCTATCGGGCGTGAGGTGATCTGCAGAAGCAGGCAGCTGATACTTCCCCGTGCCTACTTCGACAACGGGCCCAATCGACCCGATCGGCTCCATAGGCTTGCGTGTGGGCTTGGTCAGCAACGCGTCGACTTCTTTTTCCCAGCTGCGAGCGCTCGGCGGCATGGGTGCATGTACAGCCGATCGCAGATATTCCGGCGAGGTGAGCTCGTGGAGTCTACTGACCGCTCGCTGGAAGCTAAAGCGTTCGTCCTGACCGGTGAAGATACTCAGGTCTTGGAATGCCGGCGCAGCCGCAGAAGGATGCGGCACTTGGGGCTGACTGAATTGCAATGCTGGTCTGAGCGTCTCTGCCAGTACTTGCGCTTTGTCATAAGACCTCGTCTGCGCTGTCTGATCGTATGAGGCGACATTGGGTCGGTAGGGCGCCTCGAGATCTTGAGCGACTTCTGATATCATTTCCTGTGTTACGGAATCGAGCGTGCGCTGGGCTTCTTCTGCTTGCGTGTCGCCTTCGTAAATGCGATCAGAGGAGAAAGGGTGGTCATTACCCGAGGAAGTCAACACATCATCTAGCCCGAGCAAATCCGCCTGCCTCTTGCGCCCCTGATACTTTTGCGCATCAGGAAAGAAGAGACTGTCGATCTCCGCGGCTGCACTACAGATCAAGCGCACTTTGGTCTCGTAGAGCGAATCGAGGAGCGTGATGAATCTTCTGGCTTCATTCTTTGCTGCTACTGGGATGGTGGGCACCTCGTCGATGATAAAAGTGTGATAGCGGCTCGCAAGCGACAGATAATCGGCGGGTCCGAGAGCGCGCAGGCAAAGATCTGCCCATGTGAATCGAGCAACGCCTTCATGCGCCCAGGGAACGACGACTCGGCGACCGTAGACTTTGAAGACGTCCTCGCCGCCTCGCGATGGATCGTGCACGACTGTTCTGACGGCTGTCTCGAAATGGTCCCTCTCGGCAGGCAGATACCACGTCTTTTCCTGCCAGACACTCTCTTTGGCAGCTTCAGCATCTTCCTCTGTTCGCCTTTCTCGCCGCCAGTCTGTGGAGGATCGGAGCTCGATGACGGGACACTTGATCTGTAGTGCAGATAGGAATGCTTGTATCTGATCGCGCTGTACGCCCTGTTGGTAAAGATCTTCTGGCAGTCGATTGGATGTGCCGACGACGACGCCGCCGAGACGCCAGTAGTAGTCTATCACTCGTCGCAGTAGACCTGCGCCTGCTACATCTACCAGCTGTACTTCATCGAATGCTAAAACTGCCCATCATATCCATCAGCTCGTATTCTCCACTGCGACAGTCGACTTACTGAAACCTTCATCCCGGATGAGATCGCGGGCTATGGTGGCCAGCACGAACTCGCGCTGCAGGCGGGGATCGTTGGGATCGAGACCGCCTGCGAAGACGGATCGCCAGCCTTTGGTGATGGCGAGCGCCTTCATCTCCTCCCGTCTTGACCAAGGATAGCCTCCCTCGGCTGTTGCGGTTTCGTTCATTCGCGCTTCCTCAACATCCATCGAGAGCTGCTTCTTCTGCAGATCCTGGAACACGCGATGGTAGAGCGAGAGCAAGAAGTGGTGGTAGTGTCGTCTTATTTTATGAGGTGTAGGTAGGGAGGCGAAGAAAAGGTCCAACATCATCGATTTGCCCGTTCCTGGTGGACCGGTGAGCAGGAAGCCTTTGGGCGTCTCGTCGTCGTCCGATTCGTGCGCGTTGAAGACCTTGACGAGCGCTCTCTGCCGCTGCTTGAGACTCATGCTCTCTATCAGACGGGACTCAGTCTGGGTCTCCTCGTCGGACAAACCCCAGAATGCGCCAGATCGGTCGCTGGGTGCTTTCGAAGTCGTCGGCATAGAGTCGAGCAACATGAGCAGATGCAACGGCGGCCGATAGTCCATCAGCCGCTGCGTGACTTTCCTGATCTCGGCCAGCGCCCTGATCTGCTGCTCATCTTGCCGCAGCTTTCCTGATCGGACCATCTGCTGATAGATGACCAGAGGATCGGTCACCTGAAGCGCCGTCGAGAGCTCGCGGGCGCCTGTGAGCTTCGTGGCGCATGCTCGACGAGATAGCGCAGCGCCACAGGTGCATCTGAGCATGTTGTCGGTGAATTAGCGATAGAGCTCCGGCTGGTGACGACACGAGTGCGATCGAAGTGATCGACCGCGTTCTGCTGCGACGTCGTCGACCACCACGCACGACGGCCAGAGGGTCAACGCCAGCGAGCATGTCGGGGCAAGCAGTCACCCCCTCATCTGTGAGTGCCTACTGACAGTCATGAGAGGCTCGCAGGCGCACGCAGCAGCTCTACTTGGACCCAGACATCAGGAATTGGTCCGTCAATCGCGCACTCGACTGTTCCTATCTTATCGTCTCTTTCACAGGGTCCTGATACCCATCACGATTGTCATGCTACTCGTTGGCTTGCTGCGACATTATGTAGTCTCGCTGCTCAACTCACCGCCTAAGCCATTGCCGCTCAAAGCCTTACGCGAGCAGTTCGTCCACAGCAATACATGCGCCATGTGCTGACGCGATTGCCTCAGACGTCTGCTGACCCGGTCCAATCTGCTGAGAACGTATGCCAATCAGCTCAGTCCGGCAGCATTCCAAGCGCGCAAGGAAGCGCTGGGCCAAGCACTAGAATCGGGCGATTACCTCAAAGCGCCGCCTAATCCAGATGGTGCCTCTGCACCTCCCAACCCGCTCTCCGATCCTGCCATGATGGAAGGCATGATGGGCGGGCTGAAGAAGCAGATGGTCATGATGGTCCCACAAACGGTCATCATGGCCTGGATCAATTTCTTCTTCAATGGCTTCGTCCTCAGTAAGCCATTGTCGCGTCTCACTCTCCGCCCAACTTACTTTGCCTCAGTCCGACTGCCATTTCCACTCACTATACGCTTCAAGTCGATGCTACAACGAGGTATAGATACCCAAGACATGGACGTCACTTGGGTCTCTTCGCTTTCCTGGTACTTCCTCAATCTCTTTGGCCTTAATTCGGTCTATCAGCTCATATTGGGCGAAGAGAACGGTATCAACATCCCAGGCTTTTCGAGCTCGCGCTGACCGCTCTCGCAGCTGCGGATGGCACTCGAGACATGCAAGCGATGGGCGCAATGGGTGGAGGCATGATGGGCGGCATGCCCGGAGCGCCTGCTCAAGACTTTGTCAAGCTTTTTGCAGCAGAGCGAGAAAATTTAGATCTGGTAGACCATGTGTGGATAGGCAATGATGTCGAGCAGAGGTTGCTTGCAATGTACGGGATGCAATGATTTGACACTCTACTGCGTATAATCATCGTCTCCTTCATTCTCGCCGACCGCGTCTTCGTCGTCCGATTCAGACATTCTATCGACGATCTTGGAAAGCAGTGTCGCCTTCATACGCTTCTCAACGAGCTCCTCGTTGCCTTCGCCAGCGAGCGAGGCGGCTAGAGAGACTTTAGATGTGTCCCTGGTATCATCGCTCTTTGAGATCTCCTGGTCGAGTGCTAGCTTCGTCTGACCGAGACTGTGCATGTCTTCCTCGATGGTTTGCTTTGTGATGAAGCGATAGACAGTCACGTCCGAGGTTTGACCGATCCGGTACGCTCGATCCTCAGCCTGCTTGTCGTTGTGAGGATTGAAATCTTGGTCCCATAGTATGATCGTGTTCTGCTCTTGATCCATCAGCTCGTATTCTGCGAGGCCGCCAAAAACCTACAGCAGCGACGAGATTGAGGCCGAGACCGCCAGCACGGGTGGATAACAGGAAGACGGTAATCTCGGGATCATTAGTGAAATCATCGACCATTCCTTGCCGTTCGACGACCGACGTCTGACCGGTCAGCTTGAGATACCGCATATCCATCGTGTCCATGATCGATTCGATGATGTCCAGCACCTGCGTGAATTGCGAGAAGAGCAGGACGCGGTGGCCTTTTGCCTTGAGGCCCGGCAAGAGCTGCTGTAGCTTTTTGACCTTGCCCGCCTCCATCCATTGCGTATCGCCGAGCCGATACTTTTGCAGATGCTGCAACACCGCGATAGCATCAGCTAGCCCAATGATTTTGCACACGAGGCCTACCTTGTATGGCTCGCAGAAGCGATGCAATTCAAAGTCGGTCATGATCTCCATATCTTCGACTATGAGTGCTTCACTGCGATCGTGGAATTCGACCTCCCGTAAGCAGTCGCGAGCCATGGCGCGAATCTTCTTGTCGGTATACAGCCGGCGAAAGAGCATCGGATGATTTGCCGCTTTGCGTAGATCCATGATAATGTTCGACGACGCATCAGATGGTCCACCGATGCGTTTTGGCGTCGTCTTGACTGTCTTCTGCGTCTCGACAGGAGCAGCCGGAGCGGCGCCAGCTTGCGTGCCAAGTAGCTTTGCATCGGCTGCTCGCATGGACTTTTTAGACCGCCGCAAGGTCTCGCGATATACTTCCTTTTGCAAGGACGTCATATCGCAATATTCGACAATCTCAATCTTCTTTGGCAGATCTGTGAGAACCTGCAGCTTTTTCCGGCGCAGGACGAAGGGTGTCATGACGCGCTTGGCGGCTTCTATGCGCTTCTGAGACAATAAGCCTTGCGACAGCAAGCCTTGCTGAGCATCGGCAGGCAATTTGAAGATTGCTTTGAAGGCTTCAGATTTGTCAAGGAAGATGTCGGGCAAGATGAACGCAAGCAGTGACTGTATGACGGTAAGGCCAGCAAGCATCAGATGCATCCTGCTTACCAAGAGCTCTTGAAGATTGTTTTGCAAAGGCGTGCCGGTCAGTAAGCATCTCCAATTGACATGAATGTCCATGAGCTCTTTGTATTTCTTGCTCATGCTATTCTTGAGCTGATGCCCCTCGTCATACGTGCACGTCTCGAAGCGCATCTTCCGCAAAAATTTGCGGTCGTCCGGACCGCTAGTCGAAGTCTGATATGTCGTGATGACTACGTCGAGGTCTTTTGCCTCCCGATACTCGGCTCGTTGCACGGCGCGTTCGGCGAGTGTGCCGTAATATGTCGCGACATTTAGCTCTGGCGCAAACCTTGCAAACTCTCGAGACCAATTCTCTAGAGTCGACGAAGGCACAATGATGAGATGAGGCCCGGGCGAGCCGATGTCTTGCAGATGCGCGAGTAGCGCAATAATCTGCGCTGTCTTCCCTAAACCCATCTCATCCGCGAGAATGCAGCTTGTCTTCTTCTTGTACAGCAAATTGAGCCAATTGACGCCTAAGATCTGGTACGATTTGAGCTGTACGTCTTTGGAGAGCGATTTCGGTTGCTCGCGCATGTAGCCGTCGAAGGCCGCCTTGACATCTGCTCGGGCTGAGGCCTGGGTGCTCTGCAAGTATGCTTCCTCATTAAACGTCGTCAACTGGGTAGCACCAGAATCGGTATCGGGCGTGCTGGCGCGCGACGTGCCCGAGCTTGCAGCGACGCTTGAAAGGTATGTTTTCGGTCTGGCACTGTCTGCGCCTCTCCAGATGCGCATCGTCTTTGACACCTGGTCGCCGATCGTTTCGCATTTTTTGAATATCTTGTCTACTGCCACGTAGCTGTTGGCAAGATCGGCATAATTCTCGTAGATCTTCGTGCTGACGCCCTTCGTAGCCTTGAGCTTGGCGAGAATGTCTTGTGTGCTCTCAAAGGGCCGCAGACTGAGCAGGATCTTGAGTGCTGCAGGTTTGATAGAGATGACGTCTGCCAATAATTCGGATGGCGAGTCGTTGAAGAATTGCAGGACTTCTGCAGCGTCGACGCCCTCCTCGGAGTCCGCTCTCGCGTCCGAGTCGCCCTCCTCAAACTCATCTTCCTCGCTCTCGCTTTCTATCTGCCGCTTCACGAGCTTTCGCTTCGGCGCCGGCTGCTGAGGCGAGCTCCGTTGAGCCATCGATTGAGGCTGATGGCCATTCGAGTGCAGGTTCTGCGGAGAAGGATGTCCGTTCTGTCTCGGCCGCGCAGGCGACGGGACGGCGTGTTTTCGAACCATGGTGTTGACAGTTGGGATAGGAGGCGGCGGTCTAAAGCCAGCTATCCGGCCATCGGCGGGAGGGGAATAATATGCAGCTCCGCTACGACCGAGCGGGTTGATGTATCCGCCGGGCTGCTGATACATAGCGCTAGACATGTGCGGATGCACATGTATCGGAATCGAGGGCTGGCCGAGCTGATGCTGGGTCGCACCATATTGGCCTAGCTGAGGTGAATAGTGATACTGCGATAGTTGCGCTTGCGGGTTTTGCTGTGCATAGGGAGGCGCGTAATTGACAAGAGGCACATTGGATTGCTGCCTCATCGCCATTTGCCTCTGATGTTCCTGTTGCTGAAGCTGCTGCCTGTGCATTTGCGCCTGCTGCGGCTGCATTGAGAATTGTTGTTGATCCCGCACCGGCTGGGTGGGTGAGGAGTGTTGCCGCTGCACCGCAGAAGTATGCGCATTAGCTATCGGCTGCAAAGGTGAGCTATCGTCGTCTATTATCTTGCGGTGCGCTACTTGAGGCCGTCTGATGGGTGGATTGCTGATCGATGGCAGGCCGCTGTCCGGAGACGACGCGGCGACTGCGGGCCTGCGCATCTGATCGCCGCTTAGCAGATTCCGTTGAAGATCTGACGAGCCGACAGGCTGAGGCGAAAGATGCTTCAGTCTGCCGTTCTGAGCTGGCACTGTCGCAGTCTGCAACATCTTGTCCCTCGAGCTCGATCGTTGTAGCTTGGTCACGCGTGCTTCAGGCAGATCTTCAGAAGTCGGACTAGTCACATGCGGTGCATCTTCCGAGACTGGCAGATCGACCTCACTGGCAGATTGGCTTCTCGAGCGAGAAGGGCCGTTCGAATGCGATCTCGATCGTGATCGCGCTTGTAGATCGTCCTCGCGCATCAATCGCTTTCGTGGCGGCATCTTTGACGCTTGCTCAGTCTTATCGCTCGAGAGCTGAGGCTTTGCAAGACTGGCGTGCGAACGAAAACTATCGAATTCGTCCGTCAGTCCTGCGCCACGCTTGCTTGCATTCGTGCTCGCAACAGCGGGACGCATGCTCGTCGGCCTATGAGCCGAATATAGATGTTCTTCGCCTGGACGTATGAAGCCGCCCGATGCGCTGACGTCAGGCTGGGGAGGAGGAGCTGCAAAGAAATGTGACGCGGTCGCGTTCGCAGCCGCGACTGCACTGGGATCGAGATCTTCCGGCCTGACGGCTTTGACGGTAAGATGCCGTCGTCTGGCAGGTTGCGTGCCGTCTTGCGGGTAGTCAGCAGGTCTGCTGAATGGCTGATGAGCCTGGTATTGAGCATGAACTGGCGAAGGCGAGGCGAGTGATTGCCCGGCCAATTGGCCCGATGAGCGCTGATTGATCATAGCCGAGAGCGCTGCAAGCATGCCAGACATCAGCACCGTGCCCTTTGAACCTGTGTGGACTGCTGAAAGGCAGACGAAACTGTTGCGAAAGGCGTCGGCATCCGGGCATGACTACGCTTTACGCGTCACATGGCAGGCCGTTCGAACCCCAGCTTGGCAGCCTCTCAGATGGCAGTCATTCCTTCATAGGCGGATGGAGGCATCCTCTGACTTACCACTCGTTGGCTTCTCGCTATCTTCGCCGCGAGCCATGCTGGGCGCGCGATCGTGACGCTTTTGTGATGTACAAAGCAGAAGGTCGTCTGTAAGCTTGCCAGCAAGCAGATTGGCGTCTCTATAGATCTCTATGCGCCAGAATGGTCGCTATGAAAGCTGCCGAGAAGTGTCAGGCTCGCTGCGTCGCCAATCAAGGCGATAATCAAGAAGCAGGAACGCGCCTTGCGTACGCTGGCAGGCTGACAACACAAAGGCACTCAGGTGTGCAGCCCTCTCGCCATGTTGCGCAGCAGGCTGGCTTCACAGCGACTAGTATCACGGTCACAATGTCTCGGGGCGAGCTTGGTGCAGCAAAGTCGGCGACGAGCGAGCACGTCAGTAGCACACCCAGAGGAACACATCGAGCCCTCTTCGGGACGCAGCGAAGGTACGTCGGCACGCTATGAGCCAGTCTGGTCACGCATATCTCACGGGATCTGTACAGACTTCTCTGCGCCTATCTGGCGTTATACGGCGCTCGCTGCAGTTGGCGGATTCCTGTGGTATCACTACTCGCTACGTTTCTCCCCCGCCCTCAACGAGGACGACAGAGAACCTGGAGAGATCTATGAGGACGAGCGGAAGCCTTTCATCTCCCGCTGGCTCGCCTATCACTCGCCGGACGCTAGCCAGGACGTAAAGACGAAATCTGTAGCGCGCTTGGCTTGGATTATGAACGAATCAGATCAGCAGATCCTGCTACAATCAGCTCGTCGACCGAGGATGCGTGCTATCCGCTACCCTGCGTACGTCCAGTTCTCGCCCGTGCTGTTGCCAGAGGCTCACATGCAGGCTGCAGCGCTTTCGAACAAGCTTCGCCAAATGGACTCATCGTTGGCAATCAGGTCGACATGACGGGCATTAAATTCAGACCAGAACACGCCGTCTTTGACCAAGCAAAGCACAAGGAGGATCTCAGTGTCGACGATGAGGGCGAACAAGAGCAGGATGACGAGTAAAGCTCTGTGTACCGTGCACGATGTTGCGCAACATTGCATAACTCCTCTGTGTGCTAGCCCATGCTCCGCAGTCACATCACTGCGAGCGCCAGACCCGGCCCATCATGATGCATGCCAGCACATGACTACAATTATGCGTCAATAGATATACTCATGCTATCAATAACGATGATCAGACTTCACGCTTAAACGCGGGAAGCTTTACTTTACGCGATCGGCTGCCTCTGACGTCTGAACCAGCCAGGCGGGCTACTGCAGCGAGGTGCTCGTATCTGACGACCAGACGATCACATCTTTACACTCAGTACGACCATCAGCGAATCATAGGTCAAGATGCCGACCTCGTTTGCATCGCTCGCCTCGAGCTTCCCCACACCAAGTCCCATGCCGGATGCGGAGTCGAACGCCCAAGCCAATGAGGAAGCCTTCAGTCAATGGGAGCAGGCCGCCGGCTGGGGTCCAGACCCTACAGGAACAGTGAGTCCTTCCTCTCATGGGAGGCTTGTCCTTATGCGCGTTCTCGGCAGACTGTCGTCGCGGTAGAAGGCGGCTTCCAGACAATCCCGCTTTACCCCTCAACGACCGCTTCGACCACCTCGTCCTACGGTGCGACTTCAACAGCTGTTACATCAATGTCTGCCGATAATGCAAAGGCCGGCTTGAGCGAGGGGGCCAAGATAGGCATTGGACTCGGCGTCGGTCTTGCCGCCCTATTCTTCATTGGCGTCAGTTCCTGCTCGTCTTAGACGTGGCTGTACTGACATGTTGCTGTGCAGGCTGTGACGGGCATTATGATCTCGAGGAAGAGACAGCGTGCAAGCTTCGCACGACGTACCGAGCGACTGCAAGTGCGACAGATGCAGCAGCCCTCTTCCGGGTGAGTCTCCAACGAAGTACACGCATTTCATGCTCATTCGGCATTGGACAGCTCCGTAATTGTATGAGACCATTCTTCGACTTGATGTACAAGAGTAAGCGGATATCTACAACTGTAAAAGATTGCACGAACACACATAGGGACATGAATGTCTACTAAAGGCACATCTATTGGTTTGCTGAGGGACCGGCTTGATAATCGGGTGGATTGGACTCGAGCGGCACTACGCCGCCAAGAAAGCCTTTCGAAGCAACATCGTACGAAGGAACTTGGGAAAGCAGTTGACGCGACTCTTGCTCTTCCTCGTCAGAAGTACTGACGTAGTCTTGTAGCGCTTGGTTGACGAGCGGGAGAGCTACATGAGCGTGCACAGTCTCGGAGCGCTGAAGACCTGGCGATCTCGATCCGGGCTGATCTGGCGAGAGGCTATGCTGGGAGTGCAAATTCGAGTGCTCTCGACTCCCACTACCGCCAGTATTCGAACCAGAATGGTGCGCCGCAGGACTCGCGCCCGAAGCCGAAGGATGAGCGGATGACCCACCAGAGTGACTCCTCAAAGGATTGCGGCCATGCACGAGGTTATTGAGCGCGTCTGTAGATCGTCTTGCGACAGGCGGCACGTGCATATGCGACTGTACGGGCGAGGTGCCTGGGGTCGTCATTGGCGTCAGACCTTTGAAGGGTCGAGGGAAATGCAGTAAGCTTGAGGCAGCACTGCGCGGCACGGGCTCAGCCATTGCAACAGGCGCAAGAGTAGGCGATGTGGTCGCCGAGGCTGGCTGGCTGCCAAGTGGTGAGATATGGTGACGTCCTGTGGGGCTGGAAGGGCGACTGCTCGATCTCGAGCTGACGGATCTAGAGCCGAGCACGGGACTGGAAGGTCTAGAATTTGGACGCGAGTTCGGTCTTGAGCTGGGTCTCGAATTGGGCTGACTGACGGGTGGAGTATGAGCAGGTGTATGACTGCGGGAAGAGCTGCTAGACCGCACAGGCTGCGGTCGGCCGTCTGTCAGAGAGGAGCGCAACTCCATATCATTTGCCCAATTGACTTTACGAAAGTTGACCGCTGTCGCGTCATCGTGCGGATGTGCTACGCTCGCAGTAGGCAGCCCGCTACTCGTGCTGGCTCCCGGCAAGGGCGGCGCAGGCATTTCATTTGGGGATCTCTGCGAGCCGTGATTGGGCGTCGTCGCCCGACTGATCGGCGGACTTGTCACCGGGGTCGCAAGAGGGCTAGGAGCGGCAGAGGACCAGGCTGTGGGTATATACGCCGCGCCCTGAGGGAAGTAGGACGGCGTCTCGGCGCTAGCGATGCGATCCTGAATGTGGTTCTGATACGAAGGTAGCTGGCCTGCTTCTGTATCCGCCGATTCTGGCAGCATGGCGCCCGATGGGCCGAAAAGCAATGTGCGCGTGCCGGAAGAAGCTAGTTCTGCCTCCTGCCGCAGCGTATTCCTGCAAGGGTGTGAGCGTGCGCTCTGTATTTCTAGAGAAAAGCTTACGAGAGAATCAGAAGAGGCAGCGCAACGCGTAGCTCTGAGGTGTGGCCATCGGGATTCTTGATGTATACGCTCCATTTGATCTTGTAGGAGACATGCACAGGCCAAAGCGGACAGGACGGCGTTGCAGAGTCGGGTATCTTGATGTTGGAGATGACGTCGATGTCTTGAGACTGTTGTATGTCCTCTTCTAAACTATGGAGATCATCACTTCTGCTTCCTGCACTGCTTCTTCCGTTGCGAGAATCGCGACCGTTTGGTTGACTCGATGGACCTGCGAAACTCTGAGCTGGACTGGAGAACTGTCGACCCGGTGACGGCAAGACGGGTGACGATCTCGAACCGGACAAGGATCCAAAAGAAAGCGAGCGACGCGTTCGCGTTGGTACGGCTGTGGCCCCATAGCATTGAGCTGCGGCCATTTGAGCGAACGGCGAATGACTCGGGCCGAGCCCATTTTCGCGCGAGCCTCTTCTGCTGAGCGCACCTGAAGACCCGAGATGGAAGCCTGAGAAATCGAGTGAGCCTCGTCTTGAAGGCGTGGCCGATGCTGGACCCGATGGTGGGCCAGATCTCTGCCCACTTGGGGGGTCTTGTTGCATATAGCCGTTGAAGGTCTGGCGATACGTCGCAATGTCCTTTGAATCTGTCACTTGGTTGTTGCGCGAAAAGACGGTACTGCGTCGGGCGTCAGTTCCACAGGACGGGTACAGTGAGGGGGAGGATCTACATCGTCTGAAAGATACTCGTGACCATGGAGGTGACCTTGACGTTCTTCTGCAGGTGTGTAATCTTGATACTCACTGGGATCTCTGCACCTGCAGCATAGGCTTTGTGGGGCAGGACAAATTTGTAGTCGACCTTGCCTGGCCAGAGACTATCGACCTCGAGCGTTTGGGTGTACTCTGGCGCATCTGCCACCAATCCTCGCGAGACGGTGACGTTGCGCTTGATGGTCCAATTGGGCGTGGTGAGTCCGGGTCGAGTGACGACTGCCCTGAGCTGGTAGGATGATATCGCCTGACCTGACCATGCCCTCAGTGAGGGCGGCAAGTCTGGCGGCAGCTGGAGCGAGAATGGAAACGCATGTGAGCTGGTCGACAGTGTATGCGTATGCGAGGTAGCAGGCAACTGTTCGCCCCGCCTACTCTCAGCTGAACTCAGATCAGCTGAAGGAGCCGAGACGAACAAAGCGGCAATCGTGAAAGAAGAGCGAGTGATCTGCCGTGTTCGCTTTGCTCGTCTGCACCGAGACTCGACACCTGCTCGGCCGATCACATCAGCCTGAAGCGCTTGCTGATGAGCCAGAGTCACGAGCCTGCCGGAGAAGGTCAAGTTGATGTCCTTGATCTCATTGCGATGGCCCTGAAGGTGCATACGCACTTCGCCAGACAAGATCGCAGGCTCGGGATCATCTTGGCCCCTCGTGCGCAAGACGACCTCTGGACTGTCTAAATAGATCTCTAGCGGCGGCACCGGAGGCCCGGCTGCCATTCTATTCTGCCCTCGGCTCTACTGACCCTGCTATGACGTTATGAGGTATCGACGCAAAGACGGCCCCAACGAACGCGTCGCGAACGGACAAGCACCAGATCAGAAGCAGAGTCTCAGGATGATCGATCAGTGCCCAGCTTGTGACTGAAATGATTGCGATGTATAGTAGCAACAACAGTTTACAGAGAGAAATGATGTGCAAGTCAGGCATGCAATCAGTCCATGATGCCGCCCTCTGTGAAGTGGTCAGCTGAGTGCTCTACAGCGTCGGATGAGGATGGCTTACCGTAGCCTCCGTCATCGTCACCCCCGTCGTCATCATCCTCGCCCGTCTGGAAGTAGTTGTTATCATAGTCGTCCGGCTCTTCGAGGGCATCGGGATCCTCGTCCTCGTCTGATACCGCCTGAGGCTCTTCTGCCGCCTGTATGACAAAGCCCCCCTTTCAGCCAAGCGTCGGTAAACGCTAGATCAAGCCTCACCTCTTCTTCATCTGCACCTAATTCGTCTTCAGCTAGCGCTGCGTCGAGATCTAACTTGGCGCGCTTCTGTTGCGTCGGCACTGCATTCTCAGCAGAGATGAGCTCGGTCGAGCGGGAAAGGCTCAGATGGGAGACTGACTGCGAGCTTTTGGCTTCTTCTCGTAGAGGGCATCCCATAGCTCGGCGGGGAAGAAAGCAGGGTTGAGCATTGCCTTGGTCTCTGGGTCCGTGATGGACGGTAATGCCCTATATGTGTCCAGCGCGGCATCACCCTCTATTCCACAGAGGGTCAGCTTGGCTCGCGATCAAGAAGCACTGGTGCACTGGTACCTTTGAGGTTCGCATCAGGTCGCCTGATGTACCATCGAGACTGTTGCATAATTTCGAGTTGCTCCTCGTGAATTGCTACTAACTTTTCTTCTCGTTCAGTGGGCTCTCGCAGTTGCGGATAGTGCATGGGCTGCAAGACACATGAGCACCAAGAGTGATATGAGCCAGATCACGGACGGGATAGGCAGCGAGAGAGCTGAGCATGGGTTGCGAGGAAAAATCGATGACATCTTGATATGACTGTCCGCCCATCAATGTAGACCCCGATTGGAAAGCCGTAGCATTCCCGCGGCCTCCTCTGCCTCGGCCGCGTCCTCTGCTGCCTGCCATGCCGAAAGCTGCTCCGGTGCCGTGCCGACTTGCCGCGTCCAAAAGACTCCTCGAGCACGCGTTCACCACAACGCAAGCCATGATGTCATTCCTCTACTCTTCTCGCTTCGAGCACCATTGCACGCGCCATGAACAGCTACAATGAAGCGTTTGCGACCAGCGCAAGGCATATGACAAGTAGCGGCCAGCGCATTCAAGATACATTTTGGCTGTCGACTCGCTCGCATCAGTTCCACCCCTAGTCTGCGCGCGGGTAGACATACGCTTCCTGGCCCTCGATGTTGCCTGCTTGGGGACCGTAATGACAGCACAGATAGTTGTAGCTATCCGGACAGACTTGCTGAGCACAGCCAAGCGTCGTCGTCGCTTTCCAAACCTGCACAACCTCTGAGCCACAGCATGAATCTGACAAATAATGACTTACCATAGCGGTATAATGGTTCAGCACGCCCGGTGGAGCGCCCTCTCGTTCCCAGAGATTCATGAGAGGCAGCGTTTGAAAACCTTGACCCTAGAACGGAAACATCAGACACGCTTTGACTCGGTCAGTTGACGGCCTACCCAAGCGATGTTCTCGCCGTATTGACCTGCCTCTGCTTGTGGGGAGTGCGAGTAGCTGCAAGACGTGATCCAGGAGGCACATGCATCGGCAAGATTTTGATCCCATGTCAACGGACCTGCCTGTACATGACCATATCAGCACGCGCGCCGAATTCTATCTTTTGCGTACCTCATGCTTTGCTCGAAAATCGTTGTGCTCTTGCAAAGAGACTTGCTTGACTGTAGCCGCATCGTTGCCGCCACCAGAACCGCCGCCGCCGCCGCCGTCGCTTCCGCCGCCCGATCCACCCCTCGGACTGGCAGACAGACCATTACTGCCCATCATACTCGAGAGCGTCGGCATACCGCCCTCGCTCGAGGAACTCTGACCAGTAGGCTTCGTGTTCCCGGGCATACCCATACCTGAGCCGAACCCTGGAAACCCACTGCCGAAGTTGGGGAAACCGCTACCGAAAGTGGGCATACTGCCGCTCGGCCGGGGAAAGCTCTCCTCGATCTTGCGCCAGATCGATGAAAGCGGATTGCCGGTCTGTCCTTGGCCCGATTGCGGTAGTGAGGCCGGATTGAAGCCTTGTGCGTTGCGGGCCAGGACACGGATGAGATCTCTTGATAATGCGAACGGAAGAGCGCATGCGAGTGCGCAAAGAACTGCTCTCATCTTCGCGAAGTGTGGTAGAATCAGCCATGTCGATGTTTTTAAGGCCAAGGGCAGGAAAGGACGATGGCATGCCGACTCGGGGACGACGCCGTGGCGACGCTAGGTGGGTCATCACGACGCCTTCGCAATGCGAACGAGGCTCGCTAGGTATGTCAAACACGTGCTTGCAGATTTCTATTGTAGTACAAGGTGGTTCCTGGCAGACGAGCAAGTGCAGCTAGACCAGGTTGTCGTAAAGTGAGAGCGCGGAGACGATCGAAGGATCGTTCTTGCTGCCCTGCTTGAATTCGTCGTATGTCAACTTTTCGTCCTTGTTGACGTCCATCAGTCTGAAGATCTTGTCCACCCGCTATCGAACACACGATCAGCTGAGCCGGTTTGCAAAGACGAGCGAAACGCGCCTTTTGTGGGGTGTCCTCGTCTGCCGGTAGCTTGACCATCTGACCGGTCATCTTGTAGATGCTCGACACAATCTGTAGCATCTCGTCATAGGTGATATAGCCATCCCCGTCGATATCGTATAGCTGGAAGGCCCCTTTCAAGTCGCGCCCACATTGTTAGCCTGGCGGTGTCTCGCTGAAAGGGAATTGCGCACATTTGAGCTTGTCATCCAGATCGCCTCTGCTGGTCACGCTGAGCGCACAGATGAACTCTTGAAAGTCAATGGTGCCATTCTTATCCTGCAACAAGCCCGGTCCGATGAGATGGATATCCATCTGACAGACAGGACGCAGGCCACTTGCCTCGTCAAAGACGCTGAAGACGTATTCTGAGAACTGCGAAGGATCGCCAAAGGGGAAGAACTGCTTGTAGATCCGTCCGAACTCTGCCCTGTCGAGCTTGCCGCTGGGACAGTCACGCAGGAATCCCTTGTACCATTGCTGCAGCTCTTTCTTGTCGACTGTCCGCCCGTCAGGCCCAAGTGAGCCCGGTAGAATTCACTGAGGGAGACGTGGCGAACACTTTGTATTCCTCTGTAGCTCTTGCAGCTGCTCGTGGGACAGCTTAGACTGCGCTTTGCCCATGATTGCCTACGATGAGGCCGAGGCGAGTGTGATGTGCTTTGAATCCCGCTCAGCTGCTTCAGGTGAGCCCAACTGGGATTCGTCGAAGCACGAAGAACGGACCTCTGCCTGCTCTTTCCGCTTGTCAAGGCGGTGCACGACCTCTGGCTTTTATCTTGGCAGCAGTCCGTCGCGTCCTCGCTTGTTCTTTTGCGTGGACTGTCCATCACATTCTCTCGCGGTCTGCACAGCTTCTGAGCTCAGCGGATGAGCATCTGCCGACTCCGCTGGACCCTCACCCATCGCCTCTTCCAGCCCGCTTGCATTCTTGAACGTCACTTCCCTTTTGGCTCAGGGAGAAAATCTTCGAGCATGGCGACCGTGCTGTCTGGCGCAGCAGGTGGCTACGCTGCCTCTTCACCCCACGCAAACTGACGCAACGGATCACAGTGGCAAAGCCCTTCATCGCCGATCTCAAAGCGGCCACCGCGGGCTACGCGAGTACGGGCAAACGCGCTCCCAAGCTGATCGGCATCCTCGCCAATGGCTCTGCTCCCTCAGAGTCTTATGCTTCTTGGACGCGAAAAGCATGCGAAGACGTCGGCATCGAGTTTGAGCTCCGTCGATACGCAGAAGCTCTGCCTGGCTACGATCCTGAAGAAGACGGGCTAGGGATGTACGAAGTAGAGAGGGGTATCATAGAAGCCAACGCAGACGATACAGTGGATGGTATCATGGTCTACTATCCCTGTTTCGGTACACAGCATGATCAGTACCTTCAGCAAGTCGTCTCGCCCAGCAAAGACGTAGAGGGTCTCAATTTCTTGTTCCGCTTCAACCTGTATCACAACCAGCGCCAAGTCAACCCAAAGAGCCTGACTGCCAATCATTTTGCCAGCCTTGCTTCGACGTCTCGGATACCTTACTCTGACGGTGCGAAAAGGGAGCAACAACGAGTGAAGAGCATTTTGCCATGCACTCCCCTGGCTATCGTCAAGATCCTCGAGCATATCAAGGTCTACAGGGAGGCGCCTTTTGGCGAGCAAGCAGCAGGCAAAACGATCACAGTCATCAACAGGTACATCGTCAGCTGAGCCAGTGCTGAGGCTATGCTGATCAGACCGCAAGCGTAGAAGTGAAGTCGTCGGACGACCGTTGGCAGCTTTGCTGTCGAATGACGGCGCTCGTGTCTTCTCGGTCGACTTGGACGGCGTACAAGAGTTCAACAGGCGTCGCAAATCGAAAGATCAAGCCAATGGGACCCATCCTCATCACAACGTGACAAAATCCAAGCACACGCTCGAGGAATGTCTCGCTCTGTCCGATGTCGTCGTTTCGGGTGTACCGGGAGACAAGTACCGCGTGCCGCTCGAGCACTTACGATCAGGCGTGGTCGCCATCAACTTCTCGGATGGCAAGAACTTTGGAGACGGCGAGGGAGTCAAGCAAAGGGCCAGGTACAGTTTGGTTCTCCATCCATTTCAACACACATTCTGAACCATCGCGCGAACAGCATCTTCGTGCCCAACATCGGCAAGGCGACCATCGTGATGCTGCAGAGGAACCTGCTCAGACTGCGCTCGTACGCTGCCCTAGAATAGCTCTAGACCTTGCATGCTTCTTTGATCGAGACGCGCCCCTTTGAATTTGACTTGACCGCGCGGCCAGTGAGTGACCCAGCTGGAGAGTCCACTGGATCGCTCGCGAGATTCACCGGGCAGATACCCGCGCAAGCGTATGGCATGATCGCCGCACACTCGACTGCTGTGCGTTCGGTCAGTGTTGGAGCATCGATCGCGTTGCAGTCTCGAGCTGACCTGACAGCCGTCGAGCAGAGCAGCGACTTCTTCGGCATGACGATTGCGCACATCAGTCTATAAGACGAGTTCCAATCTGTCTCTGTCCAGTTCTGAGCCAACGCCAGTATGGCAGCGACGAATGAGCAAGCTAGCATGCCAACCAGTGCTGCCGTTAGCGAGTCCGGCAGTCCGACCAAAGAGACCTCCAAGCCGATTGTGTCCAGCTCTCCTGCGAGCTCATCTGGAGATTCCTCGCCTCATATGAGGCAGGCGTCTGTCCAAGCGCAGGCACGAAGCGGTCTCACGAACTTGAGCGGCACGTCGCCCGAGCTACGGCACACTTCAGGCACCTTTCCTGGCCCACGAAGTCTCTCGCCCGAGCTCAACAGATCCAGCAGCAATGCTAGCGGCTCGCCTGTGCCGCGTCGCGCCAGACCTGTCACTGTCAGTGGACCCATGGCAGGCCTGAATTTGTACGCGCGGGACTACGCAGGCGGATCGGAAGCTCGCAGGAGGCGGCATGCCTCACAATCCGGTCTGAGCAATGCCGCTTTCACATCGACGAGCTCAGAGGCGGATAGTTTCGAGGGACGCGACAGCGGGAGCGAGATGTCAAATGATGAGGCTATGGCATTCGAGATGGACGATACTGCCGCTGCTGCACCACAAGCTAGTCCAGAGCTTGTCCCGTCCCTCTGGACATCGTCGCAGCCTTCTTATCAAGACAGACTAGCGCCATTGCCCATCTCGTCAAGTAATGCGCCCACCAACCCCGCCATGCTGAGCGCTCACAGACTCTCAACGACGCCGCTGTTTCCTTCGCCGCTGTCCTATGCATCTCATGCAGATGATGACGATCCGCTCGAACCTCTAGATATCTCGAGTGCTTCTTCGGAAGGCGACGACGCCAGCAAGACGCCCGTTACTGATGGCTCTACTTCTACCGGCACGACGCGAGGCAACACAAACCTGACCGGCCTTGCATTAGGCACACTTGCGGTGCCTATGCCTGCTCCTCCACCTAAGCCAGCCAAGTCAAATCGTCGTCTCTCCAGCAAACGCCCGGGTCTATCGCCAAAGACGGCTTCTTCAGCTCTGCCCAGCCTTGCGGGAGTCTACCAGCCTAGTACATCGACTGACATGCGGTCATACAGCATGAGTGGCACTCTGAATCCTGAGAGTCCTGCGCGGCCGTCGCGAGGCAGGACTTCGGAGCGAGCAGAAGAGCAACGAATCTTGCAGCAAGCGCGCCAGGATTCCTCAGATCGGCAGAGCGCTGCCTCTTCCGGACCAGCGACACCGTCTAGCACGCTTCATCTGGCCAGATCGGACGGCGGTGGTGGCCAAAGCGCTACATCTGGCGGATCCATGCCAGGCTCTCCCTCCGAAGCTACTTCGCCTCATAGTTGGGGAACGCCATCCACTTCCCCTACGTCTGCTCGTTCGGGCTCACAACGCACGTCGGCGACCAGTCCAGGTACCGGCAAGCCTCATCGGACGTCAATCAGTGCAGGCACTCAGTCTGGATTGCCTATCGAGACTATCAAGATGCAACGTGTTCCGAGTGCTGTGCGTAGCGCGCAAAGTATACACGCGATCTCGCCGTCGTCGTCGATATCGCGCAAGAATTCGAACAGAGCATCCTCACCCGTCACAAGTGGGTTCCCCAGACGTAGCTCGAGCGGTTTCGATTCGTTAGATTACCCCGCCGCTCCCACTCCATCCGCGACGCGAGCCGCATCCTCAAACGACGACAGCTCGAGCGATCCTGGCATCGGTGCGATAAGCAAACACAGACTGGAGAAGAAACAGAACCTGTCGCCTGTCATGGGATCACCAGATATCAATGTGGGCGCAAATCAAAGTCATTCCGCATTCGCGCCTCTTTTTCCCTTCAGCGGGTCTCCGGCAAAGCCGATCACTGGCAGGCGCGAGCGGTCCAGATCTGTGCTTGTCAAGTCAATGTCACACACGGCCACTGAGCCTAGCCTTCTGCATCCTCACTACAATCGAAGTGTGCAGGAGGCAGCTGATGATCCTGGCATGTTAGGCTCTGCGACGGGTCAGCCTCGTATGGCGAGCGATACCTTAGACGTCCGTGGTCAGCCATCGACGCGCCGTCTGTCACATCGCCTGTCCATGACGCCAGGTGCAGCTCCTTCAACGGATGAGTACGCAAAGATCCTGTTACAGACGCGAGCCGACAAGATCAAAAAGTGGAAAGGTCGCCAGCAGACGACTCCGAATCCCGACGCTTTGCCGCTCTGGTCGCCTCCGTTAGCGGGCGACAGCTCATCGACAGCTATTCCGCAGCATTCTGCGAGCTCACAGGGCTTCGACTTTGCGTCTGCCCTATCGAAACTTGATCTGAACGAAGCGGACACCACGTCGTCGATCAGTCAGGAGCTTGAGGCGCTTGCGCAGGATCCTGGCAAAGAGATTGAATGGGTTGACTGGCTCGACGTGGGCGCCTCTCGATCTGCCAGAGTGATGCTGACATGCGCGCAGGAATATCGACTGATGAAACAGGCGAAGCTCAAAGCCGATTCGACTGACCGATCTAATCCGCAAAATCGAACAGTGCCGCAGCAACCCGAAGCGCGCATGGCGAGCGTCTCAGAAGCTGCTGCTAACCCGGAGGCCATCGTTACGCCCGCGCAGAATCACGAGACGAATCCCTTTGATTCTAGTACCGACCGGTGGTCGATGCTGACGCCAGAGATCATGCCGCGACGGCGAAGCGTAGGATCCACGCTGTCTACGCATGCGCCGGGCACGGATCAAAGCACTGTTAATTCTCCCACTCGTTCGAGCATGATGGATGCGTTCTCTCCTGGTAGCAGGCGTCGCAAGAATCTCAACCTGGGCGCGAAGATCGACGCCTGGTGGACTTCGGTCAGGAGTAGCTTCCTACAGCATTTTGATGAGCCATCGCCATCTAGTAGTCCCAACTCCCCCTTCAGTCAGCTCCGGCCGACTGAGCCGCGACTCTTTCGCTCGCAGTCAAGAATCGAGCCAAAGACAACGAGCGCTCTCATGGGACCACCACCCGTGCCTGTGCGAGCTTCGACTTCCTTAAGTCGTCCAAGGGCCGGCAAGAAGCCAAGTCTGCAATCTCTGCGCGAGCCGCCGTCTCCGCGCGAACCGATCGGCGGTGCGCTTGCGCCTGCTGCCAAGATCGCTACGCATAGACCTCAGTACCATGCAGCCAAGCCTGGTCCTTCATCATCTGCCAAACGATCTTCAGGGAGCAGCGATAACGACACGTTCAAGACGGACACGAGGCGTCGGAATCCCAATCTATCGCTTCGCCTAGAGCCTCGCTTCAAGCCTAATCCCATGTCTCAGCGAGATCTGAGCAATGCTGATGGCTCAGTACGGTCCACATCAGACTCTTCTGCTTCTGCTGGCGTCATGACGCCGTCAAGCGCATTCTTTGGGCCTCCTAGGTTGCGACCGATTGCTCGCTCTTCCGCTTGGTCAATTGAAGCCACGCCAGCGCTCACGCCGGGACGGCCGGCTGCATGGGATGTAACACCGGGCCCTGTGCCAGTAAGTGCGACCGAGACAGCCTACTCGGTCGCGGTTGCATCAACAGGCGAAAATGACCCTAAAGCTGTGGAGCCTCAGCAACAGAATCCAGCATTTTCAGTTTCGAGCATACGACAGCACATCAGACAGCGACTGGTCGGGGCAAAGGCCAATTGCGACAAGGAGTTGAAGAAGACGATTGCTGCGATTACAAGTTTCGTCGAAGAGGAGCTGGAGCGTGAGCGCGCAGAGGCAGTTTTCCAGCATCTCAATCTCGACGATGCAAGCTCAACAACAGGCGATGACGATATGGCCATCGAAGATTCGGGCTTGTCCGGCACTGAAGATGGCGACGAGATCAGATCGCGACCGACGTCGGCTATGAGCTCACGTCTTCACAGCAGAGCACCCTCGGTCAGTAAACCCACATTCAGGCCTGAATCGCAGGACTTGCTGCACAGTAATTCGGCTGGCAATACGATGCAGCGCAGGCCATCCATGGTAGGCCGCGGTCCTGCTCCGTCGAGACGAATTTCCACCGCTCGACGATACACGGGCGTTACTTCGAAGCCTATTGAGTCAGCGACGCTCGGTCGCAGTCTCTCGCAACAGAGTGGAAAGTCCGAGTCAGCGCTCAGCTCCCGTTCGACTTCTCGTTCGCACTCGCCGATGCCCGGCCAGCCACGAAGACCAACCCCTTCGCGGCAGATCTCAGCCGACAAGAAGTCTCCCTTGCTCTTGCCCCGAGATGATCATGGCGTGTCTACCTCGCCATTCATATCTACGCTACAAGACATGATCACAATTGCTACTGAGATTCTCGATACGTCCGTGATCTCGCTGGCGACAAAGTCTGGCGCATGCGCTGCCTTTATCACCCGTCTGCAAAGTCTAGGCAAGAATTGGGACGACCATCCCGAATGGCCATGCCGGCGCTCGTACATCGACTTGCTACTCAGCGTTGCTGGACTCAGCCGTGTGCTCGAATGGTGGGAAGCTGAGCGAGGGTTCTGGAACTTCAACGAGATGGACGAGGCCGAAGACGAGCCCATCATGGTGCTTGCGCGCGCCACGACTGATGAAGAGCAAGCCAATGCTCAGTTGCGCAAAGCAAAAGCGTCTCGCAGCCGCACCACCAGCACAAATTTGACGCTAGCAACAACGGACCTGCTGCCTTTGCAATCTCGCGCGCCAGAGAATTACTTCTCCGCCCCGCTCGGCGTTGATCTTGGTGCACAAGCGCCTACCGCCGGCTCACGGCCGGTCAGTCAAATTCTTTCCGATCAGCCAGCCGTACAAGACCTTCACACTGCTGTCGAAGCTGTCCGCAAGGCAACTATCCTCGTCGAGCTCAGCCTGACGGATCACGTTTTTGAGTTTCTGAGTCCTGTGTGGCGAGATGTCACTGGGCAAGTCTTCTCTTGCCATGCTCGCGGCGATAACTGACGCGTTCCGTACAGGTTGGATCCTGATGATTGTCTCGGTCATCCAATCAGCGATCTCGTCTATCCGGACGATGCCGCCGTCTTTGTTGAGGCGACAAATCGACTGATTGAAGATAATTCTCATACAGTCGAGGCGACATTCCGCTTGCATGTCAGCGCGGATGGCGACGACATCTTCGAAGCGATGGAAGGCAAGGGCATGCTCATGACTGATCCTCGCACAGGCCAGCCTTCTCATACTATGTGGGTCTTCAGGCCTGCCGCCGTCAGACAAGAATTGCGGGAGGCCGTCGATGAAGTCAACTCAGCTGCGCGCTTCGGCTTGGCTCAGCACCAAAGGACGTTCAGCGATCTCACTTCGTTCATGCCGCTCGCGTCTGCGTTGACTAGCGCGCCTCTGCTCTGTCGAATCTGCGAGCGCATGGTGCCTGCGTGGTTCTTCGAGAAGCACAACGAGACCTGCAACGAGACTCATCGACTAGAGAATGCCATCGGCAACTGCAACGACAGGCTGACGGAGCTGAAGCTGACCTTGAAAGCCCTGCGCGAAGGCTTAGGCTCGCCAGAGATGTCTGATAACGAGGGCAACGCCTACTCGGGTACGCTTTTCAAGGCTTCGCAAGGCACTTCCGCCAATTCGCAGGCTTTCGCGTCCCAACGACCTGCAGAGGCACCTGTCGTCATCACCGAGTGCTTGGCCATCCTCGAACTCGCGATCCAGATCAAGTCACCAGGCGGGTCAGAAGACTCTTTGTCGCCCACTGAGCAAGGCCAGCTCACGCCCACTTCGAGCAAGAATCTGACAAGCATTGCACACTGGGCCAAGCCAAGTATCGACAGCGATGCTGCGCTTGCTTCCATAGTCACAGATACCGACAACCTTCTCAAGGAAAAGCTGACGGCCGTCAATCGTTTGCGCAACACAATCATCTATGCCGAACGCGTGCGGATGGAATGGGATAGCCGCGCAGCTCAGATTTTGGCAGCACAACGAGGTGCATCGCTACCGAGCAGCCCGATGCGAGCAGACATCAATTTGCCTTCTTCTCCGACACGATCGGCAGCAACATCGCCCACGCGCAAACGTCCGGACGACGGTCAGCCACGGCAAAGACCACGCTCACTCATCCATTCTGCCTCGATGAATCTCAACCTGATCACTCCCGCCGTAATCGCGACGCCTCCACAATCGCCTGGACTTGCTTCACGACCGTGGGGTGAAGCACCTCGCCGAGGCTCCGGCGATTCTGGTCATAGTAGCCCTGCTCTCAATACAGTGCCAGTTTCGCCGCGCATCCCAACTTCTGTGCCCACCGGTCGATCGAAAGCATCGTCCATCAAGGACTTTGAAATCATCAAGCCGATCAGCAAAGGCGCTTTCGGGTCGGTTTATCTCGCCAAGAAGAAGACGACGGGCGATTATTATGCGATCAAAGTGCTCAAGAAATCCGACATGATCGCCAAAAATCAGGTCACGAATGTCAAAGCAGAGCGACTGATCCTCATGACGCAAGCCGATTCCGAATTCGTCGTGCGCCTGTATTACACTTTCCAGAGTCGCGACTACCTCTTCCTTGTGATGGAATATCTCAACGGCGGCGATTGTGCTGCTCTGCTTAAAGTCATGGGCTCTCTGGACGAGAATTGGACGAGAGCCTATGCAGCAGAGATCATCCTTGGCCTCGAATCGCTGCATCGCAAGGACATCGTTCACAGGTCAGCCAGCTTCTATTCTGATTCGCGACGCGACTGAAGCTTTGATGCTTGTTGACAGGGATCTCAAGCCCGACAATTTGCTCATAGATCAGCGAGGCCATCTTCGCTTCTCAGACTTTGGGTTCGTTGCGCGAGCTCTGCGAATGGGGAGTTTGCTGACGCATCGTATGGTAGTCTTTCGAAGCTGGGCGCGCTAGGACGACAGGCAAAGGCACTGGGACCTTCTCCTACGCCAATATCGCGATCTCTGTACTCGTCGCCTTTGAGCAGTCAACCTGCGACTGCAGGTCTCGATTCGATCGTCTCTACCCCAGATTCGAATCCAGTCGCCTTGCCACAAGCGGCAGGCAGCAGCAGTGGTCCCTACTTCTCTGCCAAGTCACAACGGCGGCTGAGCGATCGCGGTGTGGCACAAGCCGAGGCCGCGTCTCGGCTGTTCCAAGGCACGGGCGTTACATTTGGGCAAAGGCTGGCAGAGGCCATGTCGATGCGACCGCAGCGACCTGAGTTGGCAGCGCACAAGAACATCAGCTTTGGGAGCAGCCGATCATCTGGAACGCCGCCATGATCGATTTCCGCCTTCTCTAGCAACACAAGCCCCTCATGCATGTACTCTGTACAACCAGGAACTGTCACGACATTGTATGCTGTATTGCTACCTGTAAGGTCTCGTAGGACTGCCATCATTTTGGGGTGATGCGAATGATGGCAAAGATCATGAACCAGGCAATAGCAACCAGAGCGACTGCGGCGATGATGAAGCAAGTGGTCGTGCCACCTTTCTTCTTGTAAGCACCCAGCTTGCCGCTCTGTTGCTTCATCTTGCCGAGATTGCCTTCTAGCTTGGTCTCCGCTTCAGAGATGGCGTTCTTGTCTTTCTCGAGCACGCTGGCAAAGTTGATGGTGTTGAGCTTCAACTGCCGGGCCATCGTCGAGAGATCCTCTGTCAGGTTATCTTGAAGCTCTCTATGATGTGAGAGCAGCGTGTCGATACCGTCTGTGCTGGCAGACTCGGCGCGACCGTATTGCGACGATTTCCTGTTTCTGGCCAGCGTCGCTCTTCGAACTGCCGTCGAGCCCGCAGGACCATCTGCTTCGGGTATAGGTACAGCATCTTCTACATGTATCAGACCTTGATCTAGCGAAGCTCTGTTGGGCGTGGTGGTGTCGCCAAAGGGACTAGCCTCTTTGAGCGTCGCGCTCGGGCTGACGCTCACGGGCGGCGGTGGCAGAAGCTGGGGCATTGTCGGTTCTGCAGGTTTGAGGAAGTCCGGCCGTAGACGCTTGGCTTGGCCATACTCTGGCGGCTTGAGGTCGAGCTGGAGTTCTTTGATGCGTGATTCGATGAGAGCGAGTCGACGAGCAATGTCGCTCAGCTGAGGATCTCTCACTTCTCCTGATCGACTGCAGAGAACGATTCCAACTGTAAGCTTGACCCCTATTTATACTCACAGATAGGCGCGCTTGCCTGGAGACGAGCACTGGTCCAGCTTCTTGGGTAAGCCGCTCTTGAAGTGAGCGTGCATAGGCGACTGTCTACATCATCGTGTCACACACGAGACTGAGCATCAACAGCCCGACCACGACCGGCCAGACTGACCGATAGCTCAGACTGTGTCTTCCAGTACCGATCTGCAGCAGGCAAGTTGGAGATCTCCTTGAGGCGAGGTAGTGATCGCTTGGTCGATAAGTTGGTCGGCTCGCTTGCTGATGAAGGCACATAGCCTGCTTCTAGTCGATCCACGAGGCGAACGAGATTGATACAATCTTTTGTGAACTCGCTGCTCGATGAGGTCTGCCTCAGCCTCGATGACATGCTGGGAGCCGCCGGCTTGCTCGCTCGCAACGAGGGAGCAACATCCAACGCCAACCGCGCGCGTGACAGGTTGGGAAGGTCGACCGTCCCTGTGACACGCCTCACTCTCCCTACCGGCCTTGTGACGCCAAGACTGTCGCAGAACACGCCCGGGAACGACTCATGAAGTCAAGAAGATGGAGCGGCTCAGCAAATGGCGAGTCAGTCTGCTCACTGTCTCACGCTTATGAGCTGCCTGACGAACAGTCACACAGGATGCTGGGACAGGCATTGCGCCGTTTGTAGGAGCTCTCGCGCCCGGCAGCGATGACGCACAAGCAAGCGTGTTGCTACGTCCTCTCCTCCTCGGCTGCGCAGCCATCAAATGTGCGCTATTGCTCGGCATGCTGGTCCAATACGCGCTACTCGTCGAGTTGCCTCTGCTCGTCTTTGCCGATCTGGGAGTGTGGCAGACATGGCACACGAGAGTACGAGCACGGGATGCGCTCTTTCTGATGGGATTCCTCAGGCTCGGCTCAGAGGTGGTGAGCTTGCAAAGACGACAAGGACGGCATTGGTCGAGCAAGCGGCCTGGACCAGCCGATCTGATCGCCTACAACGCTAGCTCGCTTGTCGACTTACTCTGGCTCGCCGCTGCTTTCGCGCCCTCTTACGTCGTCCCTGTCGTCTCAACGCCCGCATCAGGCAATCAGTCAAAAGTGCTCGGCTTCCAACGCACTACCTTACTCGGCGCACTGTGGAGAACGAGCTCAGTCCCTACGAGAACACCGTCATCGCCTTTGCTTGATCTGACGTCATGTCAGACTAGCGCACGACGAGCATTGTCATTCTCGCCCGAGGCGACGACGTCGAACAATCGCTGCTTGCTACGCTTTCCCGACTTTACAGATGTGCGCGCCAAGCCCAAAACGGTCACTCATATCATCGCATTCAAGCACGATGCGCCGAGTCGATACAGCCCGACTGTCACTCTCCCCGTCAAGCTAGAAGCGTACCAAACTGTCTCGCTCGCAAAGAGCGTCTTTCAGATCTGTCTGGCTCCCCTGCCCTGGCGGCAGGTTTCCGTCCGCCGCTTGGCGTCAGACGAGTCAATTGATCTTTCGGCAGCGAGATGGGAAGAGTTAGCAGATCGGTTGAGCACGCTCGCCAAGCTCAAGCGGGTAGGTATCAGCGTCAGAGACAAGCAAGGCTTTGTAGAGTATGCATCCAAAGCCAAGCGGTGAAGCCTGCCTTTGATAAGTCAAGGCTATGTGAACAGCTTGCTCGTGCTCGTATTCGCATCCGCATTCTTTCGTAGCACTTTGGAAACGGCGAGTTCAAAGTCTTCTTGGGTGACGTGTTGACGTCTTTCTCTGAGTGCGTACATGCCTGCCCGCGTAAGATCGGTCAGCACCTGAACGAGCAGGAGACGAGGACGCTGACCTGCTTCGGTGCAGATACCGCGTACTTCGGCACCACTGCAAGCGCCCATCTTTTCCGCAAGCGCGCGCAAATTGATGCCGCGCTGCAGGGACATCTTGCGCGAGTGGATTCGAAGGATCGAAACACGAGCTTCCGGGCTGGGACTGTCGAGTCAGTGCGAGCTGGAGAATGGATGAGATCAGGCTAACCCGGGAGGTGGGAACTCGATCTTCCGATCTATACGTCCAGGGCGGAGGAGTGCAGAATCGAGGATATCGATTCGATTGGTGGCCATGATGACCTGTAGCCTTATCGTCAGCTCCGGTACAGGACGCCTGTTCGGTATCAAGAGACTCGCCTTGATGGATTTGGTCGCTTCGAAACCGTCGAGCTGGTTGAGCAATTCGAGCATCGTCCTCTGGACTTCAGAATCGCTTCCACTGCTGCCCCCTTCTCCTCGCGACGAGCCGATCGAATCGATTTCGTCCATAAAGATGATGCTGGGCGCATGCTCTCTTGCCATGACAAACAGCTCTCGAACCATCCTCGAGCCCTCGCCGATGTACTTTTGCACGAGTTCCGAGCCGGAAACGCGAATGAAGCGACAGTCGGTATGATGTGCCACTGCGCGTGCGAGCAACGTCTTGCCCGTGCCCGGCGGTCCGTAGAGTAGCACGCCCTTGGGTTGAGCAATACCGAGCGAATCGAATAGCTCGGGGTGCTAGGGTGGAACGCGATGGTCAGTGTGAGGATGAGGAGGAGCGCGCGAGGATGATGACGCGTACTTTGATGGGCAGCTCGATGACCTCCTTGACTTCTTTGATCTGCTTGTCCAGACCGCCCACCATCTCGTAGGTGCTGTCGGGCACCTTCTCGACCACTGCATCGCCCGTGAGTATGGTGATCTGACGTGGACAGAGGGGCAGACTGACTCATGAGCGCCACGAGGGGATCAGTCTTGTTAGGCAGAATCTGATGAAGCTGGTAGCTGTCGCTCCTGAGCGCCACCCTGAGGTTGGGCTTGAGTTCGTTGAGATCGATGTTGGGTGCAAAGTCGACGACTGTTCGGACTGCCCAGCTCAGATCGGCACCTACAAGGCGAGTTCTACAAGCTGGACTTGCCATATTTCCCCTCTGGCTGTACTTTGACGAGCACCTTCTTCTTTCCCATCACTTTGACGACCTCGCCGACATAGCTGCCCGGTTCCTGAAGCAGCTGGAGCTCCTCCCTGAGCAGTCTCACTCGTGCGTTGAGCGCATTCCTTTGCGCTTCCAGTCGTCTCAAGTTCTGCGCTTTCTGGTTCACCGTGAGCGAGAGTGACTCGATCTTGGCTCGGTAGTATGTCCCCAGGCTGGAATCAGATGCCTCGGGCGCAGGCGGTGCAGACAGGACCAGGCCGGGCATGCTTGCTTGCTTGCTTGCTTCCTCCTTGCGTCGTGCCACGCGTGCCAGATGACGCGCCAATCAGTGAGTGCATCAGTCGACCTGACCGAGGCCGAATGTCATCCCACTCTCGTCGCAGGACTGGCAGATGACGATGGATCGAAGGATGAGCATCGATCTCATCAGCGCACTCCAGGCCAAATCGTCAGACTACACCATCCCCGAGACCGTCAGCATCCAAATCACCTCGTTCAATGTAGCCAATGCACTCCCTCAGCCCGGCCAGCTTGATGCTCTGTTCGACAAAGCTGCGCGAGATGTAGAGCTTCACGTGCTTGGGTGCGTCCAAAGTCATAGTGACATTATCAGCTCTCATGCCGAGGCAGATTGCAAGAAATGGACACGAGCAGTGAAGCCATGTTGCGCTACACGCCGCATCGCTCGCTAGCATGGTCATCAGCCCTTCTCGCTGCGCTGAACGTCAACAATGCCACCGCCGAACAATATGAGCAGGCAAATCGGGTATCGTCATGCGCGTGCATCATCTGATGAGGCGCGTAAAGGTGTGCAGGTAGCCCAAGTACAGCTTGTCGGCCTATGGCTCGTCCTCTTTGCGAGGCCTTCCTTCGCATCTGCACTCTCCGAGATCGAGACAACCACTGTACCCACTGGCTTGCTATCTGTGGGCGGCAACAAAGGCGCGAGCGCCATCAGATTATCGTGCGCTTGCCGCTCGACTGCTCAGTCTGAACCTGACACGCCGCATAGGATCCACAAGACGCCTGTCCTCTTTGTCAACGTGCATCTGGCGGCTGTACGTAGTATCCACCTTGGTGCTCTACTCAGATCTAAAGTTGTCAAGGTAGTTTGCCGAAGCGAAAGAGCGCCGACATCAAGATACGCTCGCGATCATGCGCGCTCTGTCACAGCGGTGGCCCAGCACTCATCAGGATGCAAGTATAGACACAGTAACGACGTTTTACTTTGGCGACCTCAATTACCGCATCGACTTGCCGCGTGAAGAGATCGAGCGATTGCTCGCTGCTGGCGATAACGTACTACTTGCCGGCTTTGACCAGCTCAGCATCGAAAGACGAGCTCAGAGGACGCTAGACGGATACGAAGAAGGAGAGTTCCATCGCTTCCGACCCACTTACAAGTATGATATCGCATCGAACGACTTTGACAGTAGCCTGAAGCAAAGAGCGCCTGCTTGGACCGATCGCATCCTCTGGCAATCAGCTCGCGATGTACAACTGATCAGCTATGCCAGCCGGTCAGATGTCATCTTGAGTGATCATAAACCTGTCTTTGCACGTTTCCAGCTCTCAACCGAGCGAGAAGATCCTACGAAGAGACGAGCTACGCTGGACGCACTTCTTGTCGAGATGAACAAACTGGACAACAAGATATTGCCAGATGTGAGCATACTGCCGAGTCAGGAGGTCGAGCTTGATGTTCGCACCAAGCCAAGAATGCGAATTGCCATTCAAAATACTTCGCCCGCTCGAGCAAACGTGGCATTCAAGCCGGTAATAGAAGGCGAAACCCCTTTCCCAGACTGGCTAAAGGTGCATCCCACTAGCGCAACGCTCGAGGTGGAAGAACGAGCAGAAGTAGAGCTTGCGCTCGATGAATCGACGCTCGACTGGACAGGTCTAGATATCCAGTCAGAGGCGGTCTTGGTCTTGTCCATAGAAGGAGGAAGAGACATCTTTGTGCCTGTTGTAGCCAAACGCAGACAACGAGCATGAGAGTATGCATGTCTATACATCACTCCTTCTTGGCCGGCTTGCCCTCCCTTGCCGCCTTGATAGAGTCCATTAGCGTTGGCCTGTTCGCAAAGCAGCATTCAGCCGATGCAAGACAGCTTAGCAAAAGATCGACGAACCCAGATGTCGCTTCGTGGGCTTGTTGCCTGATGGCTTCCATATTGGACGGATGAATGAGGTTGTCTATGCCCACAAAGGCAGCGAACGCAACGACTGCTATGCCTGTGAGAAGAGTCAGCATTGGGCTCTTCCTGACAACGTCCGGCGACGACGGCACACCGAATCCAGGGAAGAGGTTCTGCGGGTGGTCTTAGCTGTCCAGCAAGCGCACGAGAGCATTCCGGGGCCTACTTTGAACATCTGCCGGTTGCTGAAGACAGGGTGAGTTCTCCATGCGTTCCTCCTGGCCCACGGATCTCTGTAGAGCGGACCATCATCGACCATTTCGCTGTCACGCCAGGCTAAGGTGCACGCGAACTTATAGCCAACCTCGCGAATAAATAGCAGATAGCCTGGCGCATCACACGGAACACGGCAAACGGACACAACCTGAGGCCTCGGGCACCATCATGCAATGACTCAATCTTGCCAGATATTGAACTCATGAGGCGCATGCTCAGCCGCAAAGGTTTGTGAGTCAGCAATGATTTGATGAGTGTAAGGCGCCGATCCATCTGGTGTGCTCATGGGTAGATCGACAGTGTACGAGTCGTTTCGAGATTGCTCGAGCGCAAGGACATTGTTCAACTCGTAGCTTGACCCTGCCGCAAAGGGCGTCCCAATGCGCAAAAAGGCAGATGCAGGTGTGGGCATTGCACGTGTGTGCTGATCTTCATAGATGGATCTGGTCTGCTGACGAGACTGCATGTTTCATCAGCTTGAGCGGCCCAAGGTATATGATGTATGGGCTATCCTACTGTGACTTGAGGCTGCTCATCGGATTGAGACAGCGAGCCAGGTCGGGCAAATGGCAATGCTTGAGGAGGTTTTGCACGCCAGAAAGCAGTCTGATCGATCTCACGAAAAAGGGGTTCATCTGCTGGCCAAGACGGAACGATGTGTGTGGTTTGAGGTCTGGACGAAGATTGGTAGTGCGAAAGAGCGTTCGCGGAGGACGCGTTTGCATCATCTTCCCATCGCTCGATTGTCTTCTCGATTGATTCATCGATCGACCACGACCTCGTTGCAGTCGCATGTGTAGATGGGCGAGAGCAGCACAAGCGAAGATTATCCCGAGGAGGCGGGCTGGACGGCGGCGATGACGTGGAAAGACGATAAGACGATGGCGGCGAGCACGAAGCATGTCCGATGGGAATGAGTTCAGAGCGAGCAGTACCTCGGATGAGCTTCAGGTCGTTCTCAACCCGCATATTGTGCGTATTCAATCGTAGAGCCTTTTGTTGAGGTCGTGGTCGTGGTCGAGATAGATAACGTCAGAAACTGTTTTAGCTGTGCTTGCGCGCGTGGCAGGACCGAGCGATTTCCAATTCGATCGTTGATGACGAGAAGGGGGGTGGCCAAGCTAGTGCCTGGCCAAATCTGTAGCGCAACAGCGGAGACCGATAGCTCACGAGAGGTCCGGAGCGTCAGGAGACGAGCATCGCCAGCTTGAACGGCACCGTCGTGCGCACTGACAGTCTATCGCCGCGAACGTGCGGAGCGGTCAGATCACTCGACTGTAAGCGAGATCAGTGACCGGCATCGTGCCTCGTTCGGCGTTAGCTTCTGTCACCGTTCACGCTATCCATCCCCTCCCGAGCCTGTCACTTCTGATTGACGCAGTGTAGCAGCCCAAGCGTGAGTGGATTCCCTGCCATCTATCCTACGCTATCTCTACCTGCCCATCTGCTCGCTCGCCTGATCTTGCTCGGCCATGACCCCTGTCGACTCGCTGAGTCATCGCTGGTCAAGCGAGCGCATGAAACAGCGCAACATCGGCTGCTGTCATGGGAGCTCCTCTCGGCAAGATGTCTCATCTCCCCGCCCGCGCGCGCGCCCTACCTCACATCTACAAGGACCAGAGCTGACCAGATCTTCCTCCTTGCTGCTCTTCTTCGCTCGACTTGACGACGTCACACATCACGCCGTTGCTCGTTCGTCCGTCGTCGACGACCGCTCGCCTGCTTTTGCCCCTCGCGGCGCACAATGGCGACGAAATTGTCTACCTTGACGGCTCATCCTCATCAACCCCGTCGTCCTTCGCCCGTTCTTGCGGTCACTCCCTCTCTGCCGTCTATACCTGGCTCGCCGCGCGAATCGATGGATATTTACGCCGAACCCGCTCTGAATGACATCGATGGCGTAGTCACCAAACCCCAACTCGACTTGAGTCTGCTCGAACCCGACAGACCTGCCACTTCACCACCAGACAGTCCTAGAACCACATCCAGTAGGCTCAAAAAGAAGCTCTTGCGGCCTCTGCATCCTCAAGCAAAGTCAGTAGATCCAGGTCACGCTACCGACGCTGCCCCATTTGATCTGAGCAAGCCGACGATAAAGATCAGCCTGGGCAGAGCGAGGACGACTTCCCTTCGCAGACGTTCCACTCAGCCTGATATCACAGCACTCGCTGCGCCCATTGCGCTCCGGCCTTGCTCGGAAACGCATCTGGTAGACGACTCGCTCACCCAAGAGCAACTCTCAATGGCAAGCAAAGCAGCGACGGGCTTTTCTGCTCCAGGAGCCGGTCATGCTGCCCAACAAGTTGCAATGAATGTACCTGGCGGACCAGAAGAATCGCTAAGGACGTTCAGGCTGTTGGAAGTCCTCAAAGATCTTGGCGAGACGCAAAAGGCATCCGACACCGCTGCTCTTCAGAACGTCCTCGCCAGCTTTCCGACCTATCGTCCCGAGGATGGCAAGACGACACCTTTGCACCTTACCGTAAGATGCGCAAAACGTCGGTTCACCTGTATCTGAGAGCCTCTTCACGAGATCTGATAGGTCTGCGCAGTGCCCGTCGTGCAGACTGTACTCGCCAAACGCGCCTCTGACCTCAATGTGAAGGATGCTTGCGGAGCCACGCCGCTACATCTCGCGGCCGGCGCAGGTCGACAGGATGTCGTCGCTGTCCTGCTTGCGCAACCTGACATAGACGATACCATCAGAGACATGACCGGCAAGACCTGTCTCGAAGTCGCCAAAGGACCAGACGAAGCGAATCTCATCCAGATGTCCCGATCCCAATTCAATGCGACTTATCTCGATCTGTTTGCGAAATATCTCGAGAATAGCTCTTCGAGCGGCCTAGCATCATCTGCCTCTTCCATACATGCTGGTCATACGGGCAACTCACACTTTCGAATGCAGAGTGCGAGCAAAGATACTGCAGAAGATCGCTCGCCTGCCCGGGAGACGTTATACGCCTTTCTAGAACGTCCTCGCGCAGCTTGCATCGATTTCAGAGCCAAGCTCGGTGGCAAGAACGGCATCACACTGCTTCATGAGGGTTCGTCCATTCCACTCTCATCCTCACTGACATCATTGACGTCGGAAGTACAGCTGCTCGTCGACGCGATCTCGAGATGCTTAGGCTGTGTCACTCACTCGGAGCAGATCTACTCGTGCGCGATGCTAAGAACAAGACACCGGCTGACAGCACCAAGGACGAAAAGATCAAGGCATGGATCAAGCAGGTCACCGCTGCCGAAGGCCGATCACTCAAGGCTGGGACGGGTGGCCTCGCCTCTGCTTCTACGGGCGGTCAGAACAGTCTCGTGGGTCAGCAAGCTCTGCCTGCAAGGAGCGACTATCTGTCCAAATGGACTAACATGGCGCGCGGCTACAAGGCACGCTGGTTTGTTCTCGACAATGGCACGCTATCCTACTATCGTCACAAGGACGATGAAGGCAAGGCTTCAAGAGGCAGCATACACATGGGTATCGCTCGCGTTGTTGGTCCTTCACCTGATGGTTTGCGATTCGAGGTCTCAAACAAAGCTGGCAAATATCCGAAATTATTCCTCAAGGCGGATCATCCTGTCCAGGCAGCTCGCTGGATTGAGGATCTGAAGCAACACGCGAGCATTGCAAGGTCATCTACCAATGGCTCTAATGGCTTCTCGGACATGTCACGCGCAGTTTCGGGCAGCAGCTCCTATCCGCCTTCGATCGCGCCTACTATCGACGAAGGTCGCAAGGGTGATGGCAGCGATGACTCGGACAATCAGCCTGCGGGCACGCAACATTACGATGCGGACGCTGGCAGTATCCTTGCGGATGACGACACCTTCAATGGCGATGGCGATGGTACCGGCTTACCGCCTCACGAGGAGAATTTCGAGTTGCTCAAGAATTCGATTACAGCGCAAGCCGAGGCGACGCAACAGATGCTCGCTGCATTGACGGTGTCGACGGACAATCGCGAAGTGCGCGACGCCCTTGTCCAGTCTGTTCGCAAGACAAACGCTATGATTGAAGAACATTTTGATCAAGTCAAGGAGCGCGAGCGTTGGCAGACCCGCCGATTCGAGCGCGAGATTGATGCGAAGAAGCTCTGGGAAGAGAATATGCGCGAAGCTGCTGCTCAGCATGCGGTGATGGAGCAAGAACTGCAGCGCGTCGCCCTCGACAACTCACGCAAGAAGAAGGTGCTCAAGTCGGTCAGGGCGAGCGTCAACACGGGCGCACTTGTCCCGACTGGCTCGCAGCAAGGGATATCCGATGACACGCCTGTAGCCTCGCCAGACAGCGGCGAAAGGCCCAATCTCAAGCCTTTGCAGCGAACGAGCCGTGCCCTCTCTGACGTCAGCGGTCGTCCCAGACGAGCTTCGATCATGCCTGTCATTCCAGCCGAAGACCTATCAAAGGCAGTCGATGAGGTTGTTTCGGACAGCGACGAAGAGGATGACGATGACGAGTTCTTTGAGGCTATCGAGGCCGGTGCCGTTCAGATCAGAGCAGATCCTATCATTACGGAGAAGAAGGAGCCTGCTTGGCCTGATCAAATGAAAGCAAAGGCCGATGAGCAGTATGGTGGATACAAGCAGCTCAGATCTGCGCTTCCCATCACGAATGACAATCGTCCGCCTGTCAGTCTATGGGCCATTCTCAAGGGAAGCATTGGTAAGGACCTGACGAAGATCTGTAAGCCCGGAGCATTCAGCCCGGTTTGCGTGTGCTGAGGCTATTGTACGCTCGCAGCATTCCCTGTCTACTTCAACGAGCCCACTTCTATGTTGCAGCGCATGGCAGAGGATATGGAGTTTGCGGAATGTCTTGACGCCGCGGCTACAGAACGCGAGTCGAGCAAACGCATTGCCTATGTTGCAGCCTTTGCGATGAGCAACTATTCCAGCACAATTGGCCGTATCGCCAAGCCTTTCAACCCTATGCTGTCAGAGACATTCGAATATGTTCGTCTCGAGCGGCACTATCGCTATATCAGCGAACAAGTTAGTCATCATCCGCCGATCAGCGCCTGCATTGCGGAATCCCCCGATTGGTCGTATTTCGGCGAGGTCGATGCAAAGTCGAAATTCCTGGGCAAGTCGTTTGAAATCCGACCGACAGGTACAGCGCACTGCACACTCAACCTTCCAAAGGCATGGGCGACGGGTCCAGATTGGCCAGCATCAGTGACTCAGCCGGACAAGGTGCACGAGCACTACAGCTGGCGCAAAGTGACGACGAGTGTGAGCAACTTCCTGATGGGCACGCCTCAGATCGATCACTTTGGCGATATGGAGATCACAAACCACCGAACGGGCGAAACCTGTGTTTTGACGTTCAAACCCCGTGGATGGCGAGGCAAAGATGCTTGCGAGCTCAAAGGCTGCGTCAAGACGGCATCAGGCGCTGTCGCATGGGAGATCGCTGGCCGCTGGAACAGTCAGCTCGTCGCTCGCAGATCTGGCGCAGGCCAAGGCGACCTGAAGCCTGATGACAGCATCGCAGGCGACAGCGACGAGTACATCCTGCTCTGGAAGAACTCGCCCAAGCCACCGAACATGCCTTTCAATCTCACACCTTATGCTATCACGCTCAACGATATCAATGACACGCTCAAGCCATGGCTACCACCCACCGATTGCAGACTTAGACCAGACCAGCATGAATTCGAGCAAGGTCGCTTCGAACGCGCCAATGATCTCAAGACCGAAATGGTAGGCATCGATCGTGCATTGGCATGCACATATGCTCATGTGAACGATTTGCAGGAGAACCTCCAACGAGAGACGAAGAAGAAGCGTGAGGCAGGGCAGCTGCCGCCACATCAGCCGCGATGGTTCAAGAGGGTACGTCGATCTCGTACGCACTTTGATGCTGCTGATTCATCGGACTGCAGACCAAGGAGCCAGACACTGGAGAGGGTTACTGGCAACCTCTCCGCGGCGCCGACGGCATGCTCGAGTACTGGCAAGAGCGTGAAAAGGTCGGCGAAGCGAGAGTCAAGGGCGGCAAGTCCGAATGGCCTGATGTCACCCATATCTTCGGTCAATACGAGATCAAATAGCGAGCCTATGCGATCCCGGCATGCCGACGGCCTATACCCTGTTGTTTTCTATTTCATCTTCTTGCCGTTCGTGGTCTCTGCCGGCAAGTCGCGACTCTGGCTGGGCTTGTCATGAAACGTTGACGACGACGCGCCTGACCGGCCTGACTGGTCCCCCGTCACCGCGCGTCACCACCTGGGGCAGGCGCTCCCATGTGATGGAAGGTGATGTGTACGTACATCGACTGGCCGAGCACATCAAGCAGTACGAAAGGAGAGCAAAGACGAGGCAGGCAAACGCACGAGCGCCGAGCCATGGCTCCACAGTCGTCAGCTACCTTACACTCGGCGCGGTCGCAGCTGCGCCGCCTGTCCGAACGAACCGCGATGATGTACCGCCATTGAAGCTTGATCCGCATCATCTCATGTACCTCCTTCTTCGACTTGACGGTTGCGACAGTCTGCCGGGCATCGAAGACCTTGATCGGCCGTGGGAAACGACGCCGAGCCGGATGCTCAACTATTATGGCACGGAAGCACAACAAAGAGCGTCGGATCAGTCGGATAAGATGTCAATGGCTTCTGGCCTGTCCTCGTATACCTTTGGAAGTTCTTGGTTCGGCAGAGATAGCGAAAAGACGGGCAAACAAGCACTCGACGCGGATCTCAAGTATCTCTATGCTGCCTGCACAGTCTTGCCGGCACTTGACATGGCGCCTTTTGGGTCTTCCCCATCACACAGAGTTATCACGTCGTTCGAAACATTGCCTGATGAACTCTGCGTGCCTCTTGGCTTGTTCAAGAACTTGCAGCGCTTGACAATACGCGACCTTGATCCACGCGCTTTTGCAGGCTGGCACAGGCTTGCCGACACACTCGTTCAGCTTAGTCTCATCAGTACCGGCCTTGAGGATATCTCGGATCTGTTTATAGGCAAGGTCTTGTCGGATCAACACTCTGCTAACGTATCAAGTCAGCGTCAGCAAGCTGTCGAGAGGGAGCGTCGTTCATCTGCGCTGCCTTCTGAGCCCACTCCATTGCTTGTACCACCAGCGAGGTTGAAGCAGACTGCTTGGTCGAGTTTGCGGTATCTGTCGCTTGCGTCGAATTATCTAACGTTCGTCCCCATGGATCTGGCGCATCTCGCTTCCATTCGCCACCTCGATCTTTCTGATAACCTTCTCGTGGCAGTACCTGATGGTATGCAGAAAGACTCTGCGGCATATCGGAAGCTGATCTTGGTGACTGCGCAGGTCTAGCCGATATGTTCTGCCTTCAGACACTCAATCTCAGTGGCAATATGATTGACTCTTTGCTCGGTATCGCTCGTATTCTTGGCAATGTGACTACAGTCAATCTAGCGAACAATCGTCTGGATTCTCTGTGTGGCCTGGAGCGGTTGCTGGCACTCGAGCGACTCGATCTGCGCTCGAATGGCATTCAAGACTCGTCAGAAGTGGGCCGACTGGCACCTCTGCCCAACCTCGTAGAGCTCTGGGTCGATAACAACCCACTAGTGCGGACAGAAGCTGATTGGCGATTGCGCTGCTTTGAGACCTTTGCGAGAGAAAGCCGGACCGGTGGCGCGCTGACACTCAAGCTCGATGGTGCCGCGCCAAGCTTTACGGACAGGCAAGCATTGCGGCAGATCCGGCCCAGTCGGCCTGGTCAGTATGCGACTTCGCCTCCACAGACTGCGAGCACGATCGATATGGCTGTCAGTCCGATGCAAGCGAACTCGCTCGGCAAGCAGAGGAGAAGGCCACCCCGCATCGTTCGACTCGAAAGTATAGGTCCGACCAGCCCGACGCGAACGGCCCCTGTCCATTCGGCTCTCGAGCCTACTGCAAAGAAAGTAGCGCCTCGCCGTGCGAACAATAAGACGGCTCGGGCTGCTGTTGCGGTCAATGAGCAACAGGGCGAAGGACCGGAAGCGCTCAGGCAGCGTATTGAGGCTCTCAAGCTCGAGTTGGGCGATCAGTGGCTCAACGTGATGGGAGATGAGGAGATGGTCCCTTCGTAGTCATCACGGGAGGAGCCATACATCAACAAGAACAGCCTTGCGAAGAGGCTTAGATTGTCGCATCTGGCGATCTGGCGATATCGCTAGCGATGAGCGAACATCAGGATACTCGGCTTGCGCAGGCTGTCCCTACTGTTCATTGACGACGTCCCACCAAGGGACCGATCCCTGAAGGTGCCGGTCACTGGAGGATGAGCAGAGGCCCATCGAACGACTTCGAAAGAGTGGGGCGCAGGGACTCCTTGCGCATCTACTGTTGCCGCATGAGTCGATCCACGAGCGAGCGATGCAGTGCTTCTCTGCGTAATAATGCATACATACTGTCATCACATGGTCATACTCCGTTGGCGCCCGTCCATGCGGTGTGCCACGCAAGAGCAATGACGACGACCAAGTTCTGTTAGCAACATCAGTCTCTGATTGAATCATAGGCAGAGCTGCGCACCACTATGCTCGACACACTGTGTGCGGTGATGAACCTGCTATTGAGCGTCTTCATCTCTTCCGATGGCTCGGGATCGGTGTAGGCCTTGCCCTCTCTCTTCTCGAGACGATGGCGCTCGAACATGATGCCGGTCACCCATGGCCCGATAGCAGCCCAATTGAGCAGAGACGGTAGCAGTACGCCTGCGCCTATCGTCCAAGCCTGGAAGGTGGGGCCTCTACTGAACGACCAGACCGAGGAGCGAATCTCTGGATGGATCTTGATGAATGTAGCGAGCGCGATCGCCGCCGCTGCAGAGGCCGATGCAAAGTAGACGGGGAACAGCTTGCTCTGTAGATTGCCAAATTGCATGCGGGGAAGAGTCTTGTAGGCGATCGGTCCATTGAAGAAAGTGTGCCACACGGTGACGCCGAAGAGATAGGAATTCGCTAGCTGATGGATGCCTGCGGCGGAGGTGAAGACGCCGAGGCTGTTGCGCAGTGAGACGCTGTCTGCTACGACGCTTTAGCCTGATCGCTTGCTGCACTCGGCAGGAGACTCACTGTATGATGACATCGTGGCAAATGCAGCGAGGACGATCGCGCGCGAACAAAGTCGATTGACATTGCGCCCTGCCCCGTTGACGACCCCTTTTGGCTTTCACGAGTCGATACAATGGCGATGAGCGGCATCAGCGCATCGATGAGACGGGCGACGACGAGCAATGCGATCGCTTCGACGTCTCAGCTACCCTGGACGGCGACTGCGAGGGCAGAGATGGTCCTTCATCATCGCTTTACGTCAGCAACAAGTCTGCCGTACCTGCGCTCGCACACAGACAGCAGCCAGGCTAGACGGACCTTCAAGGGCAAGATGAGAGCCTTGAGCATCGATCAGACAGCCTCGCTCTCTTCGATGGCCCCCTCGAATGTCGCCCCGGTGGCAGAGATCAAGCCGAGCTCAGATCCACCGAATCCGAGTCAGCCGGCCAAGCGAGAGCCAAGACAATTCAAAGCCCGCCAGGCTGCACTCACACTGGTCAGCACTGCATCCTCGGGTGTGTGTCCTGCTGTGCTGACTCGGATCGTCTGTAGACGCAGAATGCGGTGGTCAGGCTGCAGGATCTACTGTCGGATCCCTCGGCGCCCAAGTACCTGCGGATCAGCGTGAGGAACAAGGGCTGTGCAGGTATGGCATACCATCTCGAGTACGTCGACGAGGCAGGCAAGTTCGACGAGGTCGTTCAGCAAGACGGCGTCAAAGTCGTCATAGACAGCAAAGCCTTGTTCAGCATCATCGGGAGCGAGATGGATTGGGCAGAGGACAGGCTCAGCGCCAAATTCGTCTTCAACAGTGAGCGCACCATGTCTCTGACTCGCACAGAGCTGACATGTCCAACAGATCCAAACATAAAGGATTCTTGCGGATGTGGCGAAAGCTTCCTCGTCTAGGCCCCGTGCGCCCGGTTGTACAAACACAACATGATCCATTGCATCACACAACATTGAATACACATAGCTATGTACTCGCAGTCAACACAAAGTCGTCCAGCTCCTCATCTCCGTCTTCGAGCAGCGATCCATCCGTGTCTGAGCTCGCCGCTGCAGAGGACGAGCTGGCCGCGCTGGCATCGGTCCCAGTCACTAATTCGCCCTTGTTGCTATGCGAGTACCGCTTGCTATGCCGTTCGGCCTTGCGTAACCGCCTCGACTCGCGTTTCGCATCTCGTCGCGCTTTGCGTTCCTGCAGCGCCGCCTTGCGTTCGTGTAATAGCGATCGCAAGGGTGGCTTGCCCTGTCGTGCAGACAGGCCAGGATGGTCCGTCTCCACCCAGTCCTCGCGTAGATCTTCTGCAGACGCTCTCTCGGCGGACAATGTCCGATGGGGTACGCCTCGCTCCGGCGAAGCGGAACTGACAATTTCCAAGCTCGTATCGTCAGCAGTGACCGTCTCGTCGGCATGTGAGGACAGATCGGCATGAGTCGTGCTGGCAGATCTGATGGTGCCCAGCATGCTATCGTTCGAGGGGCGGACAGTCTCACTGTGCTGCAAGGGCGTCCTCGTTGGCGATTCCGACTGAGGGTGCCATGCCTCGTCTTGCACGACGCTGCCCGCGCGCGTGCGACCTTTGCTCGGTGAGACTTGTTGGGCCATCCACTCTGCCTCGACGGTTTCCCGCGGCACAGCATTAGAAGCATCATCCCAGCCTTCTGGCTCCGAAAGACTCTCGAGGCCAGAAGGGCTAGCAGACAGCTTGCCGCTGTCGTCCGTGAGCGAGCCTGCGGATGACCGCAGCCAAGCTGGCATTTGTTCGGCAATATGGAAGATGCTCTTGTGTTCGCCTGCCCGGCTCTGGAGATCGTCCCAATCTGCCTCATCACGACAGAGAAAGCCGATGAGCATACTGGGATCGAGACCCGACAAGGGCATCTTGCGCACGCGATCGCAGTGGAAGGACCCAAAGCAAGTCTCGTCATACTCGTTGGCGAACCATGCGCGCAGTCGAGTGGCGTCGTCACACTCGTCTGGAGCAGGCGGCTCGGCGCCAGGCGTAGGAGGCAGACTATCGCCGAGCGATCTTTGCCATGCATTGAGCGGCGAGTGAATGTCTAGAGGCAGCTCTGCCGCCAGAGCTGCGATATCTGGAGGCGGCTGTCGGAAGGGGATGGCAGGCTTTGTATGATGTGGATCGATATAGTAGACTGAGTTCTGCTGGACACCCACAAAGTAGTACGAGGAGCTTGGCCTGCCGCCGGAGATGCCGACCGATTGAGGGAACGATAGAGCAGCCTTGATGCTCTCGTAGTAGAGCGGATTGACTTTGTCAAGGCCTAAGCGAGCATTGATGAGGATGAGAACAGGCCTCTGCCAGCTAGTGCGAACGGACGGCGCAGGATCTTGCCGCCCTGCGGTGGCAGGCTCCGAGAAGGGTGGATTGGCTGCAGCTTGAACGTCTGAGCGATACACCGTGCCGTCAACTGATACTGCTACGCCTAAATTGGCAGGCGCAAAATTGCTGGCGAGATGTCTGCCATTGCATCAGTGATCCGTCTCTTTCAAGCTGATCCAAGTTGTGCTTACTTGATCGCGCCTGCTGCTGTGCTCGGCCCAAACCATTCACCAATCTCCTTGCCGCCTTGCTCCTTGCCAACGACAGCAAAGCGATGCACAGAGAAAGGGCACAGAGGTGAAGGATCGTCGAGAAACCATGTAAGAAGCCGAGCATACGTCTCAAAGTGCTCGAGCGATCTTGACTCTTCTGGGATATCAGGCGATTCGTCGGAAGAGGAGCATGTCCTGCGCCAATCTGAATGACAACTTGATGAGTATACGGAACGTCGACATTGACAGTTGCCTCACCTCGACCGAGATGTACAAAGGCGAGCGCATTAGCGAGCAAGCTCTGACCGGTCCTGAGCATGCAGCCCCAGCCCGCATCGGTTGACAGGCCATCGTTGGCCTGCAAGGGGCTTCTGCCGGTCAGGCTACTCAACACGGCATTGAATGCCGTTGTTGCGGGTCCGTTCGATACTGTAGTAGGTATCGGAGGAAACCCAGCTCGATAAGTGAGTTGAATACGCGATGTAAAGTCCTCATAGAACGTCGGTGGCCATCCTTGCACATTTGCCGCATGTCTTGACAAGACGGGCGAGGAGGAGCCTTGTGAGGAGCTAGCAGAATTGGACGGAAGTGACGCTTCTGAGATCCTCGGCGAGACTGATTCTTGCCGACTGTCTCGCACGCTTGATTTGGCAGCGACACTGACAGTAGAGTTGGACCTGAAAGGTAGAGCAAGCGTACTGAACGTTGGCGAAAGCAGCCCAACCTTGCCAAGCTTGGGCGAATTGCGCGGATGGTCGTCTGCAGTACCTATTGATCCAGCCTTGCTCCTTCTGGTTGTCTTCCGTCTCTCCTTACGCTTCTTGGGCAACCGCGATTCGAGTCGGGCATCGGCCGTCGCACTACCCGCATCAGTCGTAGCAGTAACGTCGGTTGCTGCACTGTCGCGCCTTTGCAGAAGTCTACTGTTCGGACTTGACTCTGCGACGAGCCGGTAGCCTTGGTGTCTGACGCCCATGAGCCAGATATCGTCTTCGCACTTGTCAATGTTTGAATCGGTATCGAGGAAATACTGCAGAGCTCGATCGAACATCCTGTCGAGCCCGCCTGCACTGGGAATGAGCTGTCTTGCCGCTGCAGGTACGCTCGACGTAGACGCCTGTAATGGCGGTGACGATATGGTTGGCACCGACGAGGAGACCATCACGGCGTCTGACGAGTCTCTTCTTCGAGCAGACGACTGACGACGCGAGAAAGGCCGCGTGTCTGCCGAAGCTCTCACTGCTGGAGCCGGAGGCGATGTATTGATGCGAGGTTCTGCTTGGCATTCTACAGGAGCGCCCTGGCTCGAGAGACTAGCGAGAGATGAAATGTTGACGGCAGATAGTGAGGGCCGGAGCATATTGAACCAGCCGCTCATGTGTTTGGATATGCCTGTACTGGTGCCATTGATTTGGGCTACTGTACGCTGGGGAGGCGAGGCGGAATGTTGCAAGGACTGGCTCAGTCGGTCGTTCGTGGCCTGGGGTATGTCCAGAGTACGCGCCGGATGGTGAGCAGCGTGACCGTTGAGAGACGGTGTAGGAGTGAGCTCATTGGACTCTGCATCTTCGCCTGGCCTGATCGCTTGATCGGGCATGAGGGTGCTGTTGCGAGTCGGTGGACTTGGCGAAAGAGAATTGACCTGTCCGCCAAAGAGCAAGCTGTTTGAGGCTTTACGCAGTAGGCGCCTTGTCATCGGGAAGCTCGAACTCGAGCTATTCGGACTGGGCGTCTCCGTTGCGGGCTGTAAGATCTCCAGCTCGGAGATGGACGAGTCCTGATTGGTTGCCTTGGCTTTCCCATGCGGTCTTGCGTCAGCCTGGTCTTCAGCAGACATGAGGCTCGATCGAGCGGCAGTATAAGTCGATGAAGAAGCAGCGGTCGACGCCGAAGCTGAGGATGATGTAGATGGCATCTTGATGAGCAAGTCAACGGAGGACTCGACGCTGCTCCCATTGCTGTTGACGCTCGTTCGGCCATCCTCATTGCTCGGCGCCGCTTTACGGGTCGGAGCCGGAGAGGATGCCGATATGGTGATGGCAGGCGAGTCTGGCGCCGACTCACTCAGCTCTGGCAAGCCGCCCTTTGAGCCGTGTGCCGGATCAGCAGGACCAAGTGACATCTCGGCCATGTTCCCGCGAGGTTTGGTCAGTGATCGTCGACGATGACGAGCTCACAAGACCAGCTCAACCTGACACGATCATCGTGAAGCCTTGCTTGCTGCCAGCTAGCCTGTCATGCACTGTCAGCTGGGCTGACTAGGACTGCGGGTGCTGTGGGGGGCACGACTGGCACGCGACTGGCCGACTACGCTCGCTCTCCAGACACGCGCCGACATTGACCATGGCGATTGAGAACGGCACGCATCACGCACACGAAGAGCGGCAGTACCTCGATCTGATCAATCGCGTCATAGCGACTGGCGAGAGCAGGGTAAGCCTGACGCACGGTTCACTGCGACGTAAGCTGACCGCGCCTTGCAGCCTGATCGTACAGGCACAGGCACGCTGTCTCTGTTCGCGCCGCCCTCTCTGCGCTTCTCGTTACGCGACGGTGTGCTTCCTCTGCTGACGACTAAACGCGTCTTCCTGCGCGGCGTCATCGAAGAGCTGCTTTGGTTTGTCAGAGGCTCCACGGATGGTCTAGTTCTCAAGGCAAAGGGCGTCGGTATCTGGGATGGGAACGGCTCTCGCGCCTATCTAGATTCAATAGGACTCACTGAGCGAAGAGAGGGCGACCTCGGGCCTGTCTATGGCTTCCAATGGCGACACTTTGGCGCGAAATACAGAGGCGTAGAGGGCGAGAATGGCGTGTCTTACGCGGGCGAGGGGATCGATCAGCTCGCAGAAGTTGTAAGAAAGATCAAGGACAGTCCTACCGATCGGAGGATAATCCTGTCTGCTTGGAATCCTGCAGATCTCAAGATAATGGCGCTGCCACCTTGTCATATGTTCTGCCAATTCTACGTGTCCAACCTTACGCCAAGGGACGGCGAGCGAAGGAGACTGAGCTGCATCATGTATCAGCGTTCTGCCGATCTCGGCTTGGGCATACCGTTCAACATCGCCTCGTATGCGCTCCTCACTTGCATGATCGCGCGTGTCACGGCCACAGAGCCCGACGAGCTCATCATGCAGCTCGGCGACGCTCACGTCTACAAAGATCATGTCGATGCGCTCAGAACACAGCTCGAGCGAGAACCACGGCCTTTTCCCAGGTTCAGCTGGCGAGATCGTACTGTCGATGCAATCGACGGCTTCGAATATGAAGACTTTGTCGTGTCCGACTACAAGCCTCATCCGAAGCTCGAGATGAAGATGTCGGTCTGAGCATGCGTGCAATGCAGTGTTGTACATGTACACATGTGCGCAACAACAGATATGCGTCTAGACTTGATCGTGCGTTGCAATCTCGGCTATCGAAGGGGGCGATGATCGCCCAGTGGTGATCATCAGACGAGCCGGTCGATTTGGCTCTTGCGGTCGTGTGGGCAGAGTCGCGAGCGTCTGCTCAGGTGTCAGCCGAATTGCAAAGGATCGGATTATAGAGTCTCACAACGATTTCCTCGGACGATCGACCTTGTAGGGGCGTGATCAGTTTTTGTGTTGTTGATGAGTTGCTCGAGCGCGACCGTCTGCTCCAACGCGAAGGTAGCGTAGGTCGCTGAGGGGGTCCCTCGCTCAGCATGGCAAAAACGTCGGTCTCCGCATCGAGAGATTCTGGCGATAGCACTGCTGCAGGAGGCGTGATCTGTGGCAGATTGATCGTCTGGCCCAGGGGACTAGGCGAGATCGGCGAGGGCAAGGGCGAATCGGAGAGCGAGCTCGGAGGCCTATATCGACTGCTAGAAGCTCTTGGCGGGTGCTCAGGACGCAAAGAGATCTCGCTGTCCAGATTGATCCGTGCGAGGGCGATGCTTTGATCTTGAGGTGACTGCGAATCGAGGGACGAGCCGATATTGCCATGCGCGCCGGTCATCTGCTTCTCGAGCCATCGCTCGCCTTCCCAGACACGTCGGAAGCGACGTCTCGAATTGAGTGTAAACAAGATCTATAGTTCAAAACGGAGCGTTAGCTAGGGACGGGCTCGAGGTTCGGGACAGCTTGCAGACAGGGCATACAGCTCTGTGACCAGTTCGAGCAAGAACCAAAAGACGTTTGATTGGGTTCTGTGGGCGGCCGGTGCGACCAAGAAGAGCAAGCACATGGTTGCGCCCACCGCGTGAGTCAGTGCGACAGTCTCCATCGTCAGTGCTGCTATTCGTCGCAGCGTCCTTCGCGTCGAAGATGATTCTGTCCTTTTCCTGAGCAGCGTGGCGACGAGTGCAATTGTGATGAAGGCATCGATGGACGCCGACAGACCGAGCCAGCTGATGCTGACAACTTGAGCAGGCAGACCAATCTTTCGGGCTCTGAACTCGGCCAGAGGTACGACGGGATCATGGGCCCAGATGGCGCAAGTGACGGCGAGCGTGATACCGACACACCAGGTAAAGGGTGCCATGATACCAAGCAAAATCGCGATCCAGCGCCGTCTTTCTGTGAGGACATAGACGCGATAGCCAAAGAAAGCGTGCGCCGTGACTGCCATTGTCGGTATCAGACCGTCCTGTACCGAGATCATGTACCACATGTAGTCGTACACTTCTGTTCGCCCGATGCCGGAAACCAAGTAGTGATACAGCGAGCTCACGCAGACCGCCATCTGTAGCGAGCTCAGGCAAAAGACCCAAGCGACAAAACAGTGATAGACAGCGCTGTCGGATTCCCTGAAGCGCGTGTAGTATCGATGCACTTGACCGATGTGCAGTCCGTAGAGCACAGCGGCGGCCATCGAGCCAAGGAGAAGCCCTGTAGGTTGCACAGGGAACGGGTTCTGCGTCTTGACTCCATCGATGGCCGGCGCGTCGAACATGGCTGTCTTTGCAGTGCTCGCCCGCTCACAGCATCTTGCGCAATCGGACGAACATCTTCCTGAGCTCCATCCTGATGCTGTCGCGAAGGCAGAGTCACTCGATCGATGGGACGCCTGCTTGCCCTGTCCGGCGCGCGACGATGCCCAATTCGATATTCAGCGCGAAACCGGCTTGAAACTCTAATGGAGACAGAGATGTGGCACCGAGCCGTAGCTGTCCCACTCGTGTTCACAGTCATCTTTCTCAACGACAACCCAGCGAACTGGCACGACCATGATCTGCTTGTCCGCAACAACACTGGCCTCATATCAAGGCACTGCGCGTCGAGCCCCTGCGCTTTCGACGACGACGACGCCCTCGGTCGCTCGCTAGCCTAGCGCGAGCTAGGTTCGTCATCCGCCTCGCTCCTTAGTCCAGCATGAGACGTACACCTAGCCTCGCCGACCTCACCCAGGCTCTGAGGCGAGTCACGAACACATCTCATCAGAACTAGTCAAAGCTGACGCGCAAGACGCAGCCTGGCAAAGCCAGACTTTCGAGCGAAAGCAGAGGCTGCTACCATGAGTCCGGTCGCGGCTAGTCGGTTGCATCTCCCACCTTCAGTACTGACTCGACAGCGCAACGGCTCGTGTAGTTCGGTCGGCTCGAGCGTCTGCGATAGCAGCAGTGATTGCTCTGTACAAGGTAAGCCTCTGCTCTCACCGGTCACTGCTAGCCAGCCGCACACGGATGCAACGCTTCAGCCTTATCAAGCCGTTCGAGCGGGCGATGAAGCGCGAGACGGCCGCATCGGACTCGGCCGTGGCGCAGACGCACCAGTGTACATCCGACCCGACGCTACAGACTCGAAATCGGACGCAGAGCTCATGCCACCTCCGCCTGTGCCGTATCCGACCGGCAGATCGCGCCCAAGCTTGGCTAGCTTTGGTCGCAGCGTGAGCATGAACGTCGCCGGTCGAGCCGATCCCGTCCAACGCAGCTCGGCAGCTACACTGCGCAATCGTACCTCGATGCCCAGTCTGCCCAAGATCACCCTGCCCAAAGGTCCACATCCGCTCGAGCATTCCTGGTCGGTCGCTCATGCAGGCGCGTATAGCCAGCTGACTGGCAAACGCACAGGACGCTCTACAGTGATTCCCCATCTGAGCGAGCAGCTGCCGGTCAGGAGCGCCGAGCGTCGGGCACGACACAAAGCTTCGAAGCCGGACTACGCAAGATTGGTACGTTCGACACGATCGAGAGTTTTGCACAGCACTTCAACTGGCTCAAACCCCCTTCGAAGCTCTCAATCGACTCGAATGTCTATCTCTTCAAGAATGACATCAAGCCCCAGTGGGAGGATGCAAGCAACAGCCAAGGCGGCAAGTTCATCATCCGTCCTGCTGGCTCGAACCTTGGCTTGCTCGATATCGTCTGGCGAGACATCGCGCTCGCATGCGTTGGCGAGATGCTCGATGGCGAGGCAAACCTCATCTGTGGCGCCATCGTGAGCTTGCGCGGCGCGCCTGCAGGCCATCGCGTTCAGGTCTGGGTGCGCGATCGTCACAAGTCGCAAGAGCTCGACACCGTCAGACACGGTATCAACGCTGCCTTGAATTGCCATCAACAGGTCGTCATTGCCTTTATGCCTCACAAGACGAGCGGTCATGCTGCACCTTCCAAACTCGACGGTAGTCCTGCTCATGCCAAGTCGAATAAGATGCGAGCGGTCTCGTCACCTACTGCCAATGGCCGCGTCGCCCTCGGGAGCCTGGCTCCTAATCGACTCCAAGAGCAAGCAGTACAACGTAGAGCAAGCAGTGATCGTACAACTCAGCACGCGCCTCGCTCGCCCAGACAGCAATCGAGCTTGCGATAAGTGTCACAACATCTACATGTAGCCACCGCGATAGCGAGGGGCAGTGTACGTCGGGGTGTTGTCCGTCGATGGTTTGTTGTTGCGATAAGGATGGAATCGTTCCTGCTGTCTCGTGTTCTCTTCGTATTGCGGCATGGGTCGAGCACGCTGAGCTGCAGGCTGGCGCGGTGCAGAGCCATGGCCATGTTCTCGCGAAGAGCCGATACGATCTGCGAGCGGTCTTAACGCGCTGGCCTCTTGTCGCACACCCTGACGAGGCGGATAATTGTTCGACCGAGTGTAGGAGGGCGGCGAACGCATTCTTGAGGGCATTCGAGCTCTATCGGGCGCTCGTGTATCACCTCCGTTTGCAGACCTTGGGCCTGAGCGGCCATCTTCTTGCATGGCATCCCGCTGACCTCGCTCGTCTGTGCGCGGGTCATCCGACCAGCGACTGTGCGTGCCCATCTTGATCTGCAGCGGCTTTCCAGTCGGCTGGTCTCTTCGAGGTGGACCTTTCACCCGACGAACCAGAGGACCGTCATCTTCCTGACCAACAGACTGTAAAGGTCTTGCTGTTCGCTGACCATTGACGAGGTGCGGCATGCGCGCAGGTCCCGGCGGTAGGGCACGTCTGCTCGTCGGCGCCTGACCAGAGGTGAAGATGGTCGTATCGCTCGAAGCGACGGGATGGCCTCTTGGTTCGGGACACTGCTCGCCGAAATGACCTCGATGTCCGCAATTGTAGCAGCACGGATTGGGTTTGGCTGCAGTGTGTCGTTCGAGCGGTAGTTCAGGGTAGACTCGCCAAATTGTTGGGCAATTGTCGGATGCATGACCTTTCTGATTGCAGCGTGGGCATCTGAGAGAAGCGACCGGCATGTTACATTTCTGATAATCCAGCTTCATGTCAGCCGTCGAACGAGCGAAGCAGGATTTGAGCTTACACCGTTCGTGTGACCTTTGTTGCCGCATCGCCAACAGACCTTGAGGAGCGGACAATCTCTGAATTCATGATCGTCCATCGCGCCACAGGTCATGCACTGCTGATGCTCGCAATCCTTGGCGATATGGCCCTGTTCACCGCATCTGCCGCACTTGACCGTATCGTTGCGCGGTCGAGCAGGTCCATCCTCGTCATCATAGTATCTCTTGACAGCTGTTGCGCGCGTGTTGTCATCATTGATGATGCCCTTCATATCGCCCTCATCGAGCGCGATCTCCTCTACCGGACCTTTTGCCTCGAGAAGAATCTCATCAGGCAGAAGATCACCAGTCTGTTCAGTCGTCTTGCTGCCCTTGACAGGCGCAGGCTCTGCATCGATTGTGAAGAGCGATGAAGCGGCTTCAGCCTCTTGCTGCGCCACGGCAGGCGTTGACGGGAGTGAGTGCTCGAAAGGCATAGGTGCTTCGCCGGTTTCTTCGACGGGTATGCCATCTAGCTCTGATAGGTCTACTTCGGAAGAAGCTTGCTGGATGTCTGTACCTGACATAAAGTTGGAGAGGAGGCCTGCAGGCAGCGTGGCCAGCCTATCTGCAGCCTGGGCAGGCATGCCAGCATCATCCTCGACAAACATCGGGTCGGGCTCAGCCTGACTGTCCTTCGGGACTGATTCGACGATGCTCTCGCCGTCAAGATCGATCACGTCACTCTTCGCCTTCTTCCCGCGCTTTCGCCTCGGAGGCCGCGCACTTTCTTCCTCTTTCGCGTCCTCTCCTTCATTCGGGCCTTGTGGTGAGCTCTCCAGCGTACTTCTGCTGGAGCCTTCTCTACTGCCCGATGCAGACGGAGTCGGGCCCTTTCCAGATGATGCCTGGCCTGCCTTTGCAGCAGCCATCTTCTGCTGGCGCTTCAATTCGCGGATGACGAGCTTATTGGATTTCCCGCCTGCCGGCAGATCTGCTTGCGCTTGCCGCTCCCTGTACATCCTGTCCCGCTTACGCCTGATCTGTTTCGCTGACATGGTGCTGACGTCGATCTCCACACCGAACTCCCTGAGGATCTCTTGATCGTACACTGGTTCTAGTCCGGTCTGCGAGGTAGACATGCGAGACACAACATGCTTCGCACGTTGCTTGGCTACCTTGGTCGCTGCACCTGGTATAGCATAGCCCGACCGTATGACCAGAGGCATCTTCACTGGCCCGCCCTTGCCGTTGTTCGTAGGCACAAGAGGCCCTGTGTAGCCAGGCGCACTGGTCTCCCTCTGCCTCTTGTTCTTCTTCTTCGGTGAAGTGGGCGTGCTCCCGGACGCGACAGATCCACTGCCTCGCGATGGGCCAGCGGCTGCACTCATCTCGACGGGTGCACGGTGCAGGCCAGTGTTGACGTTGACGATTGCCTTTGGTTTTTTCAAACGCGCGATTGGCCGCGTTCCTCGCTTCCGTCATCAGCATTGCCGGCACGAGGTCATGACGAGTCTGCTAGGCTGACATTGATCTATAAGTCATGACACGCTTGTTCGGGGTCACACGAAGGCCCGTACGAGCAGTGGTGCTCGCCTGCTGCCTGCTGTCTTGGCTGGGCAGTGGCCACGTTGACGTGTCAGCATCGTCACTGGACGGTCAGCGAGCTGGCATCGATCTCACTCTTGGCCGTCCGAGGTCACAATTCTTCGAGACAGTCCTATTCCAGTCGGGTGCATCTCAGAAAGCCTCGCCGCAGCCCGAAAATGGCAAAGCTGTCCGCGCATCGTGTACGCCAACAGGCCAAATCGAAGATGCTTGCTGCGACTTCCAATCAGTCGAGGCAACCAATGCTGCCCTCGCTCAGCGACTGGAAGCTGTCACCAAGACCGATGCAATGAAGTTCTGGAAAGTTGATCTCTACAAAGAATGTCCCTTCTGGCGGGAGGATGGCAGCTGTATGAACAGAGCTTGCGGCGTTGAGACGACAGACGAAGTGAGTCGGAACTGCCTCAGTCACAAGCTCACGGTCGGCTGACTCACTACCGCAGTCACACATACCGGAAAAGTGGAGAGCGGAACGGCTGAGCGGCATCGCATCCACGCGTGGCGGCAAAGTCCCCATCGATCTCGGACGCGGATGCGTCTATCGCGAGACAGACTTCTGCGTGCTTGATGATCCACATTCAGCCATCAACGGTACGCTGTCCGTTGCATGTCCCATACAGCAGCTTATTGCCGAGCAGAGGGATCATATGTCGACTTGAGCGCAAATCCTGAACGTTTTACCGGCTATGCCGGTCACTCTGCGAACAAAGTTTGGCGAGCAATCTATGAAGAAAACTGCTTCGGCGTACCTACCTCCTTTGTAGACCCATCCGAAGGCGTTGAGCAGGGAGGCACCGGGTTTGCCTCGCTTGGCGGACTGGGACACTCGTCTCTGACGGCTAGTCTGAACAAGGCAGCCGCGCCGGCTCAATCGCCTCTGACTAAGCCTCCAAAGTCACGTCAGACGGAGATGAGCGAGCTCTTGCGGAGCATCCAGGCGCCTCGAGACGGCGGCGATGACGAGACCTGCCTAGAAAAACGCGTGTACTATCGACTTATATCGGGGCTACACGCTTCAATCTCCATACATATCTGCGACGAGTACCTCGATCAGAAGACGGGCGAGTGGTCGCCCAATCTCGAGTGCTTCATCACTCGCATTGCCCAACATCCAGAGCGACTTCAGAACGTCTATTTCAATTACGTCCTCATGCTGCGTGCGCTCACAAAGGCGGGACATCATATCTTGGGCGCTGTAGACGATCATCAAGTACGAGAGCAGATCTCCGGCCTCATACGAGAAGCCTCAAATTGTCCGGGCACATTCGATGAGAGCAACATGTTCATCGATGCGAATGCCGCGACGCTCAAAGAGGAATTCAAGACTCATTTCCGTAACGTCTCGCGGATCATGGATTGCGTGGGCTGCGACAAGTGCAGACTCTGGGGCAAATTGCAGGTGACTGGACTGGCAACAGCACTCAAGCTGCTCTTCTCCGACGATGAGACCGGCTCATTATCTCTTGCACGATCAGAAGTCGTCGCTTTTGTCAATACGCTCAATCGCTTCTCTAGCAGTCTAGCAGCCGTCGAGCGATTCAGAGACTTGTGGGAACACCAGGAACGGTCAGCACAGCACGACAAGAAGGCGTCTTCCCCGAGCGCAAAGAGTCCTTCTGCTACTGCCAAGCGACGCAAGCGCAAGACGAGGAAGGCTACGCCGGGTGGCTCTGCTCGGAAAGCTCAAGCTTCGCAAAACGCAAACGATACGCGACAGAGGCGCGAAAGAGAAGCTAGCTTGCTGACGAGGCTTACCGAAGCCTGCAAACATTCAGCAGCTTCTTGCTTGCACTTTATCGCCAATCTGATTGCGTCCGTTACCAAGCCCGCATCATCAAAAGCAGATCTATAGCATTTGTAATACCCCAAGCACGCTCTCTCGTTGTTGTACAATGCCTTGCAAAGATGATACAACATCATGTCTAGTTCTGTCTTGGCCAAAGATCTAGCAGTCGTCCTATCGTCCACTGATGGCGCATGGGCTCGATTGCAAGCAGGGGCGGCTCATAAGCAAGCGTGGGACCACCGAACCCCTCGACGAGTTGCAACGGCCGTTGTTCACCGTCGACTCGTGGCGTAGATCTGCCTTCGAGCTCGAGATCCGACGTCCTGCTCGACATGGACTCGCGAGCTTTGCCTTTGAGCTTTTGCCTGAATTGCTTCAATATGCTCTTTGATGCCGACCTGCGAGGCGAGTAATCGCTCAAAGCTGCATCGGGCTGAGCAGAATGATCAGAGGTCATAGGCGAAGCCAGCTCGTCTCGCGTCCGCCTGTCTGACATGACTTCTAACCGAGCGAGCAAGGGCGAGCTTTGTACGCTGCTCTTGCGGCTGACTGTCGCCTCAACAGCTGCCGCTTCTCTCGTCGTGACGTGTTGCAACGCTGCTGATGCAGTCGCGGTAATAGTCACAGGCAGCTTGCTCGCACTGTTTTGCTGCTCCTGCGCAAGTTCTCGTGCGAGTGCAGCGTCCACTTCTGCCAAGGCATTGCCATCTAGGTCTGCACCGAATTCGGACCGTTCGAGGACAGGCGAAGTTTCCGAAGAGGCCAGATCGACGACGTCGGGTTGTTTCTGATTTGCGCTGCGTTTGCTGCGCTCGATGGCGTCATTGACTCGCTGGATCTGCTTGCTTGCGTCTACAGGAAGCTTGCTGGCCGATGTCGGAACTGAGACAGTGAGGATGTCATATAGTTCGTCTATCTTTTGACGTTTACTTGACGCATTGGCAGAGCTCGGTGGAGTCCTTGTGCGCTTGCTGTTAGGCGCAACCAGCAGAACGTCGTCTTCGCTCTCCGACGCCGACGATGGCAACTGAATCGGCGCACCGTCAATTCTGTCCAGACTGCTCGGTGAGAAGACGGGAGGTGTGGCTGCTGGAGCGCGTGCTTCTATGCTGATGGTCGAAAGGGGCATCTCTGGGCTTGTCTGGGGTATCGATGAGGTACTATTACTGACTTGATCGAACAGACCGAGACCACTGGGCGTGGTCTGGAGTGCCATGGAGGCTGCCGGTCTTTGCAAGTCTGACAGCTGAGTCGAAGGCGAATCGGGTGCAAAGTTGGGATGCTGCATATCGTATTCTTCACTGGACGAGTGCCGGCTTAGCGACCTTGCAATCGCTCAAGGGTCATTACTTACGCTAGCTGGCCGGTCCATTGCCTAATGCGCGGATCCGCAAGAATGTGCAAAGGCGTTCCGTACGTCCCCTCACCTCTGCCACCGAGGAACTCTGCACTATGAACTCGCAGGCTGAGCTGAGTGTTCGGTCCGGGAAACTTGTCCCATATTGGCGACCAGCGCGTCAGGCGGAAAATGCCGCCTTTGAGACTGGGCAGTGTGGCTCCGTCGCTCAATCTGACGTGACTTTAGCCTCAGACGGTCATAGCATCAGGACAGCGTACTTTTGAATCTCGCTGATGACATCTGCGTCGAATTGCGCATCGATCCAGTGGGTCTTGTCGGACAGATGCAGCAGATATTGATCATCCTTCGGTGCGATCTGTGTTGCGTGGATGAGGTTCGAGCATGCGCAGCGCCATGATGCTTGCCTGGACGAGCTGGAGAGCAACGCGGTCGCTATCTTCGCCGGCTTTCGTAAGATCGACCTTGTGCCTCTCTGCATAGCCGAGAAGCCTCAGCGAGAGACCGTCATCGGTCACGGACTGCATGTCTGCAATCTGCCCGGCCGACGACGCCGAGGCGAATTCGGTATGCCGGCGTGGCTCGGTGCGTATGGCACGCGTTGCAATGTTGCGGAGGAAATGTAAACCGTACCAGATGCCCCTGCGTCCCAGACAATGTCTTATCCCCTGCTTGAGCTCACCGACGTCGATCGGGGGCGGACTGATTGACAAAAGACGAATGACGGACAATCTCTTATGATGGCCGGAAATCCCGCGGCAAACGAGCTCAGGCGGTCAGCATCCGAGAGCGGCGATCAGGGGAGCTGGTGACGAGACGCTGATCCAGTCAGACATGTGACCCCAAGGAAAACCAATCGTCGTGCCTCAGCTGTCGAAGGAGAGCTTGATTGCATGCACGCTTTGCTCCGAACAACCGTCTCATGCACAAGGCCGAGGCAGATGGCAATGACGGCAAGCCCCAGAAGAGCCGGGCTGACTGTCAGAAGTCACATGCACTCAGTTTGGCAGACAGCGTGCGAGCGAACGAGGAGGCGAGCGTGTAACGTGAACTCAACCTAAATTTCGCAAGAGTGGATGAGCGAGCGGGCCCGTTGGGGATCGTACATCAAGCTGAACGAAGCCGTGCCTTGCTCGCACACCTACCTGCCTGAGCACGACGCTTCTTGTGCTCAAGTGCACATCATGGCTGAAGCCGCACAGCACGTGCAAGAGCCATCCCCTCATACTGAAGACACGACCATGCAGGAAGCCTCGGCGGACTGCTCTGCCGTGCAAACACTCAAGGAGACCTTCACTCGCATCGACTCGACGTACACTCGCTGCAAGACCAGCTTGAGCGTCTACCTGACCTCCGTCACCTTTGCAACCACTCAGGCCGATGCTCACGTGCACACCTCATCTGCACCTGTGGCTGATTCGGCACCTCATGCGCCACACAAGCCAGAGTGCAAGCTCATCAGGCCGACACCAGACAACGCACAGACGGCTCTCACACAGGCCGATAGAGCGCTGGCCCATCAGATTCCTTCGGCAACTCCTGTCAGTACATTCACTCACCCCAACAGATCATCGAACAAGACCCGCACCCAGCAAGAGGAGTCATCGGATCTATGGAGCAACGCACTCCAGCAAGATCTTGCTATCCTCTCGAGCGACTTGCAGGCCTTTGCCCTCGCTGCAGAGTCACTGTCGCTCTCCCTCAATCTCTGCGAGTCAAGCTGGGACCACAACGGCCTCACACACACTCAAGAGCTGCTCGAGTCCATCGGTCTCGAGCTTTGGAACCGAGCCATCTCACTCAAGAACACAAGCATCGAATCATGCGAGGTCAAGACGATCTGCGCTACCAGTGAGTTGAGCCCCACTTGATCTTGCTGGCGACTGACAAGGATACAGTCCGTCGTACTGCATTCTACTCAATACAAGCGCTCTATGCACTCCATCGCGCATCGAAACACACTTTGATCGCTAGCGCGCAAGATGTCAGCCAGGTACAGGCGGATTACGATCGTCTCGAACAGCGTCAAGTCATTCGTTTGCTCGAGACTGCGTCGCACACGGCTAGCGCACTCAAAGGTATGCCCGTCATCTGAACTGCTCACCATACTCAACATTGTGCAGCGTCGGGTCAGGCCCATGCAGCTTCGTTCTTACTTGAGCGAGCTGCGCAGGTATATGCTCCGACTTGCGTCCCTGGCCAAAGCTGATGTGCAGTGAGCAGTACTGCGAGGTCATTGAAACGCAGCATCACTGCAAAGCCGCCCATTCGACCGTCGGACTGACTATGGTGAGCGTGCTTTGCATATATACGAATGTCATCGACGCCTGACAAACTCAATGCAGACCACAGACCATGACGGGTGCCTTTCAAAAGTCAGGAACTCTTATCAAGCCGAGCATGCGCATCTCAGTGTCCGCCATTCTTCGGCCTACGAGGTCGGTCAGAGCTTAGCAGCCTAGCATTTGACTTATCACGCTGGGCCATGCAGACACAAGCCCAGACTGCAGCTTCAAAAGCCTTGCTGCTCTTTCACTGCACTCGTGCCGAATTCGCATGGGAGGCTCACAAAGTCGATCTGACCTTTCACATGCTCTGCAAGGCTGCAGCAGAGGAAATTCTCAAGCACTGCACGATGATCGAGATCGAGCGTCTCGGTCGTCTGACGCTCACTTGCGGTCTCGAGCTGCTCAAAGTAGACATGTCGCGCGAGAAGGCATTCGACTTTCTCAAGCTTGCCAACACCGTCCTTGACTGCCCTGCTGCTCACCAAGTCAACGCGCTCTCTGTGCTCAAGGTGAGCAAATTATCGCAGTGGAAGTGTAGTTAAACGATTATACTTTGCATACAGGTTACCGCAATGCGCGCTTACGCATCTTCCCTGGGTCCATCAACCTCGACCTCTGATGCACAGCGCATCGAACAGGCCGAGACGACTATCAAAACTCTCGTTCGCGATTCTCCAAACTTCGATACTTTTCGAACTTATCTGCAATGGCTCATCGTTCGTCGCGGCAAAGATGGAGATATACTGCAAGGCGCGCAACCCCTTCACTTCAAGCTGACGCGGCTTAATCCAGAGTTCGACGTGCAGTCTTTGAACAGGCTTGTCATGCTATGCCAACGACAGAGAATGCAGTAGAGCAGTCAGTAGAGCACAACTTGACCTTTCATGACTGATCCAACGGAGACACAGGCTTCTGCAAGACACACAAGGCATCATCAAGTACGTCTCGCTATCTTTGCCAGTGCTGAGCTGATCATCTGCAGCAGGCGCCCGCTGAAGTTGCAGCTTCTCGTGTGCCTACTTCGCGCTGCTGTCCAGAAGGGCGCCACGCACGCCACCGGCTCGGCACTCCTCGCTTGTCTCTTCTTCGTCAGATACAAAGACCTTGATTCCGTCCATCAGATTTTCGATGTGATCAACAGCGAATCCCGTGGCAAGCTCGAGCATGACACCGCACTGGCCTGTCAGAGCCGACTGTGGCAGCTTGGCGATAAATGCTACCACGAGGACGACATTGCCACCGCTGCTTGCTGGTACGAGAAAGCTGGCAACGATATCTTTGCCGCTTCTGGCCGTGCAAAGCAAGTCAAAAGCCTCCGCAAATCTGCCATATGTCATCTGCATCTCAGCGATCACAAGAAGGCCGAAGAACTCATGCGCGCATGTGGCGAACCAGACGAGGCTGGTCACTTCAATGCCAAGCTTCTGGCTGCCATGCTCAAGGGCAACCCGCGCGAGACATCAGAAAATCTACGTCGCATGATGGACTCGGGTGACTTTGATCAGCACAGTCTGGTCTGGATCTATCGAATGGCTTTCGACCTCGAGCAGAACAATGTCGTTGGCCAGGTTCTCAGCGCCATTGGTAAGATGTGTGCACGCTCTTTGCACGGACCAGCTGCTGCGGAGCTCTTGACGACTTTGCGACACCTGATCGATGTCACAGCAGAGCGTCTGGACTCGGTCCGTGGGCTCGATCACAATGACCTGCTCGGAAAGGCTGTAGCATTCTTTGAGGCAGGCATCAGTGTCGTTAAACAGATCGAGGGAACCGCCAAGGATATTTCAGACTGCAACAAAGAGCTCCACTGGATGCATCAGCAGGCCGCAAAGCTTTGCGAGCAGTACGCAAACGTCCTCGACAAACCCACCATGTGCCTCTTGTACGAAACCACTGCCAAACTCACCGAGCGCGTGCTCGTACATGAGACCAATGCTTCGCGCAAAAGCAAGCTCAATGAACAGCTTCTCATCTCAAAGTTCGCTCTTGCAGCTCTCAAGGTCGGCAACATTGGACCTAATGACGAGTTGCCTTTGCAAGAAGCTCAGCAGAGCGATGAGATGATTTCCACGATCACGACGCACATCGAACAGGAGCAACAGATCGAGCAATCGCCTGTCATCGAGCGCGTCTACAGTGCCCTGCAAGTACTGATCTTCAAGATCCGCGCAGCCGCAGCAGAATGGGAGCGAATGCTCGCCTGCATGAATCATTGCATGCAGCTCAAAGCAGCCTGGCAGATCACCGCCGCTATGGCAGACTTTGCCCTGCAGAAAAAGCTACTGCCCGGCGAAGTGCTCGCAAACATTATGCAGCTCACCATGCAAGCTCAAGTTTCGTCCGGACATCTTGACATTGCTGCTTTCTCACGCTGGCTTCATGCTACCGTCGCCATCTTGACCTTGGCGTGTCAGCTCGACAAATCGTACGAGTACCTTGTCCAGGCGCTCGAGGTCATGAAGCAATCCGACGAAGGCGCAATCCCTCAAGAAGAGCGCGACTGGATCATTACGACGACGTGGAACATGGGTCTCACGCTCTCACACAACAAGGAGAAGCTCGTAGAGGCAAAGAAATGGTGCGAACTTGCCCTCGCAATGGCCAAGCTCAGCAAAGACCAGACCCAGTACGAGACGGTGAGCTGGACCTCACAGAAAGCATGCTTGTACTGACTAGTAGACAGATGATGCACACCTATGAAAACGAGGTCGCGAAACGCTTCGAGACCCGCGTCTACGAAACTGTGACCACTTACACGACCGTGCGCGATGAGGTCACGGGCGAGGAGACAACGCGCGAGGAAAAGGTAACACGCGAAGTGACGAAGGAAGACAAGAGCGCTACTGGCGGCCAGAACCAGAGTGGGTACACAGTCGGCTGCGAGAGTTCACAGCAAGTGTCGCGCACGAGCTCGTATCAGGTTCAGCGCGTCGAGACCCACAGTGAAGGCCAGGTGACAGGCGAGCATATGCAAGGCGGTCAGTCAAAAGGCTGTCAGATCCAGGGCACGTACGAACAAGGCAACAAAGTCCAGAGTGGCTATGCTGTCGGCGACAGTCACATGGAGCAATCGCTTTCCACTTTGACGTTCCCAAGGTATGCGTCTGCACATCGTGTCCGGTGCGTCGCTGACGATCAAGTGCAGTCCTCGTCAGGTAACGACAAGCACTGGCCATCTCGAGGAAGTAGACGAATGCAACATGCAAGCCAGCGAGTGGTCTTCGCGCGGCGGTCACATCTCTCCGCCCTCCTCTACGACTACGGCCAGTAGCTCGCCTACGATTACGCGTATGACGACATCGGTCGTCTCGAGCATCAGTCAGCCCGAGTATGTCACGACATCTACGCGCAACCTTTGCGCTGGCGGATACAGCGGCAATCGCGCTCGAAATTACAGCGTAGACACCCAGAGCAGTCTCAGCACGACTGCTGCAGGTCTGAGCGAGGAGCGCTGGACTGTCACGCCCTTCAAGCCTCAATGAATAGGCTGGATGTAAAGAATGCAGCGTAGATGTCTGGCTAGCTTCACGAGCTCGATTTTTTTTTCGTGTCTACAATCACGTGACGCGATCTCCTGACTCGCGCCCGGCGCCCGACGAGCATCTACGTGCGCTCGTTGCCGCATTGACGACCCCCAATCAAGCTGTTGCGGTATCGTTTCGAGTCAGTCTTGGCATACAGATAGTTGAGGCTTTGAGGCCTAGGGGCTCTATCACGGCTCTCTGGCTGTCGACGTGCGACTGGCGGCCAAGTCAAAATGTACGCCGCACAGCAGCAGCAGCAGCGCAAGGCGAATGCAGCTAATCCCTACACTGCCAACCTCGTCATACCGCCCTATCAGCCTCCTCAGGGCCAGCGCACGACCACTTCGACGACGCCGACTGACTTTCTGGCTGGCAAGCGAAATGAGTACAATCTCACAACAAAGCAAGTCGACGAGATCTATGAGCCTTTAGAGATGATCGGCAAGGGCAGCTTCGGGGTCATTCGCAAAGTACGCAGGCGACGTGATGGAGCTGTGAGTGCAGGAGTCCCACATCTCCCGTGTTGGTCTCATGAGAGGCGGCATGACAGGTCTTTGTGCGCAAGGAGATCAATTACCTCAAAATGAACGAAAGAGATCTCAAGCAGCTGTCAGAAGAAGTCAACATCCTACAGAACATGGAGAGCAACTATCACATCGTGCGCTACTACGAGCGTTTCGTCGACAAAGCCGAATACGTCGTCTTTATCATCATGGAGTATTGCGCTGGCGGTGACTTATCGGCTCTCATCGGTCGCAACAGACGAGACAAGTGAGTCCCCATGGACTGTCGCGATCGTGGCATTGACAGCCTTGCAGCACACTCATACCTGAAGATCTCGTCTGGTCGTACTTGACCCAGATCGTCATCGCGCTTTCGGACTGTCACTCGGAGACCGACTCACAGAACCGCCCGAAGCAAGTCATCCTCCATCGTGATCTCAAGCCCGAGAATGGTCAGTCGTTATGAGGAGCCCGCAGCTGCCCGAGCTGATCGGCTACGCCAGTTTTCCTCGACAAGGATAACATGATCAAGCTTGGTGACTTTGGTCTGAGCAAGGCCATGGCATCTGCAGCATTCACCAACACCTACGTTGGCGTAAGTGGAACCCTGTTCATTCTGCACGCGCTCATCTTTTCACGCAGACACCGTACTACATGTCACCCGAGCTCATAAACGGTCAAGTCTACGACGCCAAATCGGACATCTGGGCTCTCGGCTGCTTGCTGTACGAAATCTGCGCTCACCAGTATGTCATTCCCTGCGTCGTAGGAACGATCCCTAACGCCATCTTTTAGCCCGCCTTTTCATCAGGCGCAGACTCAGCCGGAATTGACGAAGCTCATCCGCGAGGGCAAAATTCCTTCACTTCCGCGTGGATATTCCAGCAACCTCTCGAGCGTCATCAAGAGCATGCTACGACAGAATCCGAAGCTGCGACCGACAACGGCGCAACTCAAGACACTCGAGCAGTACAAGCGCGAGGCTCACACGCTTCAGCTCGTGCGCAGCAATGCACTCGTCAACGAAAAGCGCGAAGCAGTCGAGCGACGAGAAGCACGCGTTGCCGAACGCGAGAAAGCCCTCGAATTACGCGAGAAGCAGCTGCAAGTCGCCGAGGCAGCATTCCAGACCGATCGCGCTCGATGGGCTCAGGCTATGGGTCACGGTCTACAGCCTGCTGGCATTGTGCGCTCAGAGTCCCTGTCAGCTCTGCCTACGGACAACAGAGTGGCCTACGACGGCTCGTCGGAAGATGAGGACGATGTCGCCTACCAACGCCATCGAGCTCATCGTACCTCGGCCTATCCTGAGATGACACTCGCCTTTCAGCGCGCGGTGATCCGTACGGCCAGCTCACCACGCGCGCCCCTTGGCGAGCGGTCACCTGGGTGCGTACCTGGAGAACACGTCAGGAACAATGCTGACATGCCTTACAGCAATGCCGATCTGAGCATGATGTCGATTGATACCCCCGCAACCTACAAATTCCGTCACTACGAGCCTCAGCAACAGATGCAGACACCAGGCGGCAAAAGGATCACAACGAGCAAGTCCATGCACAACCTGCAGACGCCCCGACAGGGAGCCAACAGTCCGGTGCCGATGGACATCAGTCCTCACCTCAGCCCGAGCAAAGTCCCGGTTGCCATCTCCCGCCGCCGAAGGATCTCGACTGCTGTCGGTGCCGCCACGCCTTTGCCTCCCTCGCCGACCAAAACGCCGCCTCTTGTGCATCTCAACAGCGAGCCAGCGGGCATCACAGATGCGCATCAGCGACCTTCAGCAGCAGCAAGGACAGCAACAGCGCCACCGGAGCTGCCGCCGTCTACCTACCAGTACGGCAGCGAGCCAATCTACGACATGAAGGATCAGGAGAACTTGCCTAGTCCGTTCCTGAAGAAGAAGCGTTCTCATCAGATGATCAGTCCGGTACTCGCTCAGCTGGAGCCAGCCCAGCTCAAAGCATCTCCGGAATTGACGCATCGCTCGTCGAAGGAGATACTAGCACCTTCTGCAGAGAATGTGGACAACAACAAGGGAGCGCCTGTGATCCCTTCACGTTCGAAACGACCGACCATCGCTCGCCAGAGCCTGGCAAACCGTCTTGCTGTACACCGACTTACACAGGCGGCAGAGGCGCACACGAAGGTGTTCGGTGGCCCACAGCAGACGACGGCTTGATGGTTTGACGGGCTCTCATCTTGTCTGGTCTTGATTGATGTCCGTTACGATTTTGTTTGAGATACCCTTGAAGCACTGTATAAGCCATGCATCCACCTTAGATCAGGCTGCGTGAAAAACTGTCGGTGAAGTGCTCCAACGATCGCCGGTAGCAGGGATGAGCGATACGGGATCTGGCGCAAACGCATCGCGCGAGTTTGCGAGCCGCTGTATGACTTCTTCGGCCGAGTGTAAAGCCATCCGTGCGGCCGCCCGGCGTCGGACATTGATGTCTGCGCTAAGAAGCTCGAGAGCACTGCCGTGATTGATGATCGAGTCAGTTCCTGAGGCAATGTCTTCGTATGCAGTGAGTGATGGCAGAGGTGCAAGAGAGGCCTCGGCCAATGCTTCGCTGACTTTGCGTAACGAGCTCGAGGTCAGCTTTGCCTTCTCGGGCCGTTTATCGATGCGAACTTGTACGGGCATGGCAGACATGCTGTCGTTGGCGATGACGAGAGTGCAAGCACCGCAGCTGCCAGGCAGTTGCGACAGGTCTGTAGATTCTTCGTTCTCGCTTATGGTGGCTGTACGTGGCGCTTGCGGCGAAGGATGTGACGAAGTCAACGCAGCAGAAGAGAAGCGTTGCGTGAGACTTGGCCGTGTCTTCCTGACAGTCGAGCCAGCGCCGGTCTGTACCTGCCCATCGTACCCTACAGTCTTGGCGCCGTTCAGCGCAGGGATGTCAAATTCGAGCTTCCAACTCTGAGCATGCAATACGGTGATATCGAAACGGCCTTTGGAGAATGCGTTGCCGAAAAATCGAATGCGCGTCTCGTTGGCTGCGGTCGGTAGAGTGTCAGCTTTGTGCGTTGACAAGTAGATGAGCTCGTAACAGCCCGACGCCGGGTCAAAGCTCTCATTGAGAACCCGACAGTCGAGGTGTGGCAGTTGCGGCCGAACGAGATGAGGTGCGAAGCCGTAAGTCTGCAGATGATTGCGCAAACACGAGATCGATAGCGGCAGCGATAGCTGCAGCATGTTGTAGTAGCTCTCCGGTACTGCCCCACCAGGAGAGCTTCGACTGATGAAGGACACCCATAAGCCAGGCATAGCGGACTCTGTCTCTTCTGTGGATTGCTGGCTCACACTTCCGGGAGCCATGGGCCCAGACAAGCGATTGGGAATGTTGTAAAGCAGAGGCTGAAATATCTTCTCTTGGCTGATGACGTGACTCATCTTGCGCGTTGGCTGTGGCTGATCGGGCATTCGCTTCGAGCGAGGACTGCTTCGCTGCGGCTGAGCATTGGGCATTGCCGATAGAGTCACAGGACTTTCGTCTTGAGAGTGTGTCGATACTGTCCGATATAAGTCAGACGGCCCGCGAGTATTGGGCGGCCGTGGTGTGATCATGGACAGAGCTGGTGCTTGTGGCTCGACGGAAGTGTCGTCCAGACTGAGAGGTGTCACGCGGGGCAAATCGTCTACATATCTCAGTTTCCAGCAGTTGAGATGAATCGTCGAGCGAACGACTTCTGTAGGCTGAAGAGTGGATCAGCCAGAATTCAGCTACCACTCATGATCGAGGTGCTCACAGGTAACAGAGGATCTTCAACGGAAGTGACGCACATGTACGCCAGTTTGTCTTTGATCGCCTCATGATATCGACCAGCAATGCATGCATCCCGATCGCCAACAGGGAAGGCCGACTTTAGGCGCGCATATGACAATCTATCGCAGCTCGACAAGCGCTCTACTACGTATGCGGTCGATGAATTGAAGCGAGGATCCCATTGGGCTCGTGCGCCAAAGGACTCTATCGTCGCGCTGACATCTTCGGGCTTCCAGCGGCCTGGTATGAAACCCTCACCCCTGAAGAAAGCTGTCGTTGTTGGATCATTGTTCGGCTTTGCGACGAAAACGGGCAACGCTGGCGAAGATTGCGCAGGCCTTTCCAGTCGTGGTGAGCGTGAGTCTGAATTGGTGGGTGACAGCCAAGGAGGCCTCTGTCGCTCTGGCGAAGTGTCTATTCGCATCGGTCGACGTACAGGCGATCCCGAAGCTGAGGACGAGTATCCCTCGTCGCCTTCTAGCCGAGTGCTTGTAGCACCTGTGCGCGAACGATCCTCGCGACCCTGGCTGTAGATCCGCACGCCGTGTTGGAGACCGTGGAACGTCCATTGCTCGGGCGCAGGGGTCAAGCGCTCCAATGAGCCCGTCAGCGTCGAGCGTGTCGAACGACTGCTGTGCGACGCCTCATCATGAAGTGGGGGGAGGACAGGCACGCCCGTGAGCTGGGCAGCTACCTCATCGCTCGTAAGAGATTGGAAGAGCTCGAGGACGGTCGAGAGTGCTTGCTCGTGTCTGTGCTGACTCTCGACGGGCATCAGACAGCGAGTGATACCAGGCTCGACAGGACACGCCTTTCAGCTGAGCACTGATCGGCTGCGTGTCGGTCGAGCGCGCGAGCAGAGCACGTCACGATCGGCGAAGAGCGGGGAGGCAGTGATGCAGTGATGACGTCGACGGGCGCGAATAGCGAGGCCAGCTAGGTCCTCAGCAGGCCTGACCGGATTCAAAATCTGCCAAGCCTCTTGCCTGCGACCTAGACACGCGGACGGAGGAGCCAGGCTCGACCTCAGACCGTCACAGAAGGAGTGAGGCGACTCTTTCGGGATCTCACGCCTCGCTGACCCGGGGAGGCGCGCAGTCTTCTCGTCAGCCTATCGTTCGTTCACAAGTCCACCGCTGGCACTCTGGCTGGACTCTGTTGACTTGATAGCGCCATCCGGACATCGTACACCGTCGCTCCTTTGCATTTCACCGTGTAAGCACCCCGCCCAGCAAGCGCTGCAAACGATAGATAGCTATCTCAACCCTACGCCCACATCGGCGCAGTCATCAAATCACTCGCCCGCCTTTCGGAACGTAGACTGCTGCTAGTCACGGTGCGCTCATCGAAGCAACTTCGCACCATCTGGCCTGCGCCTTAGTTGTCGCGTGTTCAGGGCTTGTTGACTAAGCCTGGTCTGCACTTCACCGGGGACCTTGTGCTCTGACAATGCCGGTCATCGAGAACTTGAAGAACTTCATCCATCGTGATCGGGATCATCACGCCTCTCCACCTCGTTCGAACAACAACGCCAGCAGCGGCGCTCATTCAGCCTCGCCCTCCAAACGACATCACAATCAACAACCACAGCAGCCCCAAGCTCACCAAGCGCCCAACAGTGCTATGCAAGCCCAGTATGCTGCCTATGCGCCCGAGCCTCACACTCGATCGGAAGCTCGCGGTTTCGGGGCTGAAAACCCCGCGGCGGCGCCGGCACATGCCGCAGGCGGTCAAGCTGCCGGATACGGCTACGCAGGCGCGTCAGGGTCAGCACAGACTGGTACAAAGCCTTTAGGCCATTCGCCAGGCGTCGATCCTACCGCGCGCGAAAGAGCGGAACGGATAGTCATGGAGCAGAAAGCCGCCAGAGCGAAGCTGCCCTATTATGAGGGTCTACCAGCACAATTCGAGTTGATGGAGAAGATGGGAGAGTGTGTCTATCACATCTGCCCTCGGTGAAGTACTGACACTTGAAGCAGTGGCGCATTCTCAAACGTGTACAAAGCATATGATCGCGTCAACAAGCGGCAGGTAGCAATCAAATGCGTCCGCAAATACGAATTATCCAACAACCAGGTCAGTCTTACCATCTGCATCTCATCTCTTGAAATGTGCCGTCCTCGACACCCTTAAAACATTGCGGCCTGCCACCGTTCTTGCATTCTTCTGTCGAGTTATAAGCTCATGCTGACAGTGTTTTCTCCTTGCCTGTTCTCCTTTCCCTCCTTGTCCCTTTTTCGTCTGCTTGTCATCCACTCCGTCAGGACAAGCATCTCACCAAAGACCTCAAAAAGCGCCCTCGTGCCACCGAGGTCAGCTCACCTCCCCACTCTGTCTGGGCGGTCGCACTTAAGAAGCATGTTCTGACGCTTGCCTTTGTTTTTCCTCTTTCGTGCCCTCCACTTCGCACATTTCCCCTCTTTTTCGCTCTACTCGTAACAGCGCGCCAACATCCTCAAGGAAGTACAAATTATGCGAGGACTACGACACGACGGCATTGTTGAGCTCATCAGCTTTACCGAATCAAAAGAGCATTACTATCTCGTCCTCGAACTCATGTAAGCGCACCACACACATTCGATATCATATGCTGACCTAGCGTAGGCCTGGCGGAGAGCTCTTCCATCAGATTGTCAAACTCACGTACTTTTCAGAGGAACTCGCTCGACACGTCATATTGCAAGTTGCACATGCTATCCGGTATCTGCACGAAGAAAAGGGTGTCATCCATCGCGACATCAAGCCAGAGAACCTGCTATTCGACAACATCCCGATCATCCCGTCAAAACATCAGAAGGCTCGCCCGTACGACGAGGAGAAGGAAGACGAGGGCGAGTTTGTGCCAGGCATAGGCGGCGGCGGTATAGGCCGCGTCAAGATCGCCGATTTTGGTCTTTCGAAGATCGTGTGGAACGAGGAAACGATGACACCCTGCGGCACGGTCGGCTATACAGCTCCAGAGATCGTCAAGGACGAGCGGTACTCGAAATCGGTGGATATGTGGGCGCTTGGATGCGTGCTATACACTTTGTCAGTGGCTCATCTTTACCTGGGGTTGTATTTACTGATGACGTGACTCTGCCAGGCTTTGCGGATGTCAGTCAGATATGCACATGCAAGAGACCTACAGTGCTGACATCTCTTCACAGTTCCGCCGTTCTACGATGAATCAATCAACGTCCTCACAGAGAAGGTAGCGCGAGGCTACTACACATTCCTGAGCCCCTGGTGGGATGACATCTCAGCTTCTTCAAAGGACCTCATCGCGCACTTGCTGTGCGTCGATCCGGACAAGCGGTTCACCATCGACGAATTCCTGGCGCATCCCTGGTGCCACGAAAAGGCGCCTAGGCCGAATCTCAATCCGCAAGAGGTCGCAAACCTACCGCCGCCTCTGGTCAACCAAAAAGCGCAGCAGATGCCCATGGACTCGCCTCTGATGCAGGATCGACAGATGGGCGGACGCGCAATGCCCTCGCCTGGTGTCGCACAGCTCCGAGAAGCCTTTGATGTGACCTACGCCGTACATCGCATGGAGGAAGAAGGCGCACGGAGGAGGGCGTACAATGGACCTGGTGGTGCCGGCGCGCGCGGATTTCTGAATCAACTGAACGAGGAGGACGAGGACGAAGACATCGAGATCACTCGGCGAAAGTACGGCAACGAGGTCTCTGCCGCCATCCAGGAGAAGCAGGCACGACAGGCACGCGAGAGAGCGGAAGAGGAAGCCGCTATAGCCGCCGGCAGCAAGCCGCGCACCAAAGCGACAACGCAAGGCTATCAGGGCTGGGGCGGCGCTGATCGCAAACTCGCAGAGGCAACACTGTACTCTTCCGGACGAGCCGGTACGCGTGATACCGGACGCAGAAATAATTTTGATCTTACACTCAACAATGCAACCCTGCTCGGCAGAAGGAACAAGGCAGGCACTGCACCGACACCGAGCCTCGGCGGTCTACCACCGATGGCGCCAATGCGAGTTGACTAGACATGTTCGTTCATTCACCTTGATCGTTGACTGCGATTGCACGCACTCGAAATGTATAATATGTGATGCATGCCATCTCTATGACCTATGCGGCCGCTCGGAGCGTCTTGGACTGCTCAACGAAGCATCAGCCTATGGATAGAGTATGTCGGTATCGTCAAAATATGTTTCGTCATCTTGGTCTATTGCACCATCTTCGATGCTGTCAAAGTCATAAACGTCGCTGTAGTCTTCCGTGTCGTCAGTGTCGTCGTTCAGAGACCTGCGTTCTCCTAGTATCAATGCTCTGCAAGTTCTCGCATGCGCGGCCGGCAATTCTTACGCTTGCCCAAAATACGCGCAGCCTGTCCAGCGACAGGTAACTTTTGCAGCTGTCGTCTACTCTGCGAGCGACGTCTGTAATGGCGCTTTTGTATGACCGAAGATGCTGCAGCAATCTCGATGGTCTTGCAAGATCCACCGCCACCTGTGGAAGACATGAGCGTTGCTAATGACTGTTAAGTAGCTCAACATGCCACCAGCGCCTGCGAGACATGAGCTTTGTCTTATAGACAGTCAAATGAGCACACACCACCAAAGAGACCACCACCGCCTCCACCTCCACCTGAGCACTTGACAGTGAGGGCAGGAGCAGTCGTCGGCAAGGGGCTCGAAACCGGCGTTGCATCAGTCGAGCTCGACAATGTCGGTTCGGTCGCGGCCGTCTGGGTCGGATCTGGCGTGCTCCAAGGTCGTGTAGTAGTCCACGGCGCCGATGCAGGGCTTGTGAATGCAGCTGATGTTAGCGTGGTCCATGAGACCGTAGCAGCCGTATTCGATGTTTCTGACAGTGGCTGGGCTGACGAATCTGACGATCCACTGTCCCATGCATCTGAGGCCGGCGTATCCCATGCGTCGGAGACTAGCGTGGGCTCCGTGGACCATTGGTCCATAGTGGACGCAGGTCTGCCGGACCAGAGCGGATTGCTAGCAGATGTCGAGGTGACTTCAGCCTGGATGTCCGTAGAGTCGTCGGTTGATTGAGCAGGCGTCCATGGCGCGTAGAGTGTAGTCGTCGTACTGTCGTAAACGGTATGTGTCTCGCAAGGCGACTTGATCCAGGAGTTGACAGTGAGTGCTTCTTGCGTCTCCGTCTGAGTAGGCGCGATCGTAGAGCTTGGCTGTTCTTCGTCGCAATGGTGTGAGCCACCGCCTGTCAGCGCGTCAGCGAGGACCGGTGAAAAAGCATATACTCGTACCTCCGTGATAGCCCCCACCGCCGCCGTGGCGACAGTCTCGCTCGACTTGGCTCAGCGCATGACGGCGTACTCGTTTGAGCTTGCCGGGGAAAGCGAGGGGACTGGCTTGATGAAGCTGGTCCAAGAGACCATCTCTTCCGAGGAGGTCGTGGAGTGGTTGATCGGACAATGCGAGGATGGACTGAGCGAGAACAAGGGATGAGATAGCGATTGATGGGGCACTGAGGAATTTCATAGTATCTGTGGCTTCGTTGGCCTGCTGTTGCGGTGATGTCCGATGTGAGTCGAGGTAGTGCGTTTGCCGGCTTGAATGCTGAAGGAGTGTGACGATCTGCTGAGTGAAGAAGCGAGGATCAGGCGAAAGCGCTCTTGACGGCATCATGGCGGGCTACGCCAACGCGCCGAGGACGTGCAAGATCTCGTGCAATGATTACACTCATCTCCGAACGATCTGAACCCTTCGCTTGCCCTTTGAAGGTTTCGGCTCAGGCTTTGGTGGAGCCTCTATCTCGGCTTGCTCGCCTGCACCGCCCATGAGACCTGCCATACCAGGTGGCATGCCTGGTATTCCCCCGCCTGCAAGCGCTGACGCAAGCGTGCCGTGTGACAGCGCAGGTGAATGCCTCGGAAGCCGAACATCTATTGGCAAGTCTGGCCTCTTCTCGCTGACTTTGCGGACGTCTATACCGGCCCGCATGACTGCTGCTACTTTAAGCAATAAATCGTGCTCTACTTATTCGTCAGCTGTCGTGTGTCCCGGTGTAAGCTATTGACTCACTTTGCCTGATGACTGGATGTGCGAATTTGCCGTTCTCTGTGACTAAGACCTTGACGCGGCCTGGATTCTCCCATTCGCGAGGATGAAATCTGTCGGGCTGTACAGCATGTCTCGTCAGATTGGTCCATACCTGAAGCTGACAAGACTGACCTCGAGCACACATCTCAAACCGAGCTTGTGGGCTGCATTGGCGACATCCGTCGCATGAGGATACCAGACTGCCGAGTTGAGAGGCACACGTCGTTGTCCGCCCTTTCGTGGTCGCGCGGCGTCAAAGTAGATCGGATAGAGCGATGTCCACCTGTGCGTAGATGTCAGCTGGAGCTTGCCGCCAAGTATGATGACATACCGCTTATTGAGACTATCATCCTTGAGCATCTCTTTGCCTTCGAGGCCAGGGAACATCGACATCGCCTGCTGCTCTATGCTTGGCCCTTGCTTTGCAGGCACGCTTTTTCTCGCAGCAGTCTGAGACGGCGGCAAGCGAGCTCGGTCGGGCACATTGGCTTCGTAGGGCTCGGATACAAGGTCCATATCTTCGTCGTAGCTCGCTTTGGGCGGCAGTCGAGGAGCATCTGGCAAGGGAAAGTCAAAGTCGTCCACATCGTCCTGCGCGGCTCCAGGTCAGCTCGGAGACTCGGCAGATGATAGAGGGCGATGCACTGCGTCCATGATGGTCGCCTGACGTTGTGCCATGATGGATAGTCGTGGGCAAGAGATTTAGCAGCAGACCGGTCTCTGCTGAGAGCATGCAGTCTCCGCAGGTCGCCACAGTTCGATCGCGTCTTGTTGCTTTCGAGCGAGCACAAATTCGACTCGCCGCTCGAACGGACAGTCGGCTCACTGCTGCATCGTTGACGGTGAGCAGCCTGCCTTGTCATCACAGCACAGTGCGCTGACATCTGACACGCGCGCAGACGCATCTGACATCGACGCACGCTTGGGTGTCGTCTTCGTCAGGTCGTGCAATAGGCAAGCATGAAGTATACATACACTTCCGAGCACCGCAAGGCCATGGCGAGCAAGGCAGCCAAGTCTCGCATCATGAGAAAGCCTCAAGGCGTTGTCGCGCCTGCTTGCGAGCTCGAGGAGTACGAGACGAGCTCGAGTCAACAGAGGGTGACATCTGGCTCATCACGAGCTAGCTGCTCCTCGCCCAGCCATCCTACTATCGTCAGATCAGACGAGTCCCAATCGCGTTCGCACGAGTCTGTTCCTTCGACAACGCTCGTCGGGACAGCCATCGCGCCTGCACACACTGGCTCCTCTAATTCGCTGCTCGCCGCACCTCGCATGGTACGCGAGCGACAGGCGACAGAAGCGGGCTCGATCAGCTCAGTAGAAGCATCGAGTCACGTCAACATTGTCCGAGCAGACCTCAACCCTGCTCACATGCTCGCATCGCGAACGCGATCAGGCAAGGCTCGCGCACATGCTGGGTCACCTCTAGAACCCCGCGAGGCAGCAGAAAAGGCGTTCAGCTCGTCTAACTCGCCGGCTCAGAGCATTTGCACAGACGGCAAAGGCAAGAAGCGCGCACTGACTCCTCAGGAGAGCATCGAGCTGGACGCGCCAGAACGGCAGCCGCGCGAAACGTTTGCAACTCTCAATGCTCAAGTCAGCTCGCACATCGCCGCCACCGCCTCGCTTGGATCTGAGGAAGCTGTCCGCACAAGTCTACTCGCACCTGCCACGCCAGAGCGGGATCCGACAAGCACGGAGACTCCTGAGCAGTCCGTCGAGAACACGGATTTGCCGGTGACAATGTCGAATCAATTTGTGCCGGAGACGGTCGAGGAGGAATTGCAAGAACAAGTAGAGCATACTGACACGCAGGATAGCCTTGTGACGCCTTCGCCTACTCGCAAGTCGATCGATGAAGATCTTGAGCTAGCTATCATCAACTGGCCGGCCACACCGACCGAAACTGTGCCGGCAAAGTCAGAGAACCATCTGGGCAAGCGTGCAGCACAATCTCTGCCGACGATTGCAGAGCCTGCTAAGCGACCTCGTCCTCTGAGCAATGTCGAAGATCGCGCTGCGCCTGGGGCACGCTTATCAGCCAAGCGCAAAGCAAACACACAGGCTCGGCAGAAGATCACCGTGCATGTCGACCAAGACGTCGCAGTCCACAAGAGCCAGGCTCTACAAACTGCGCAAACGCTGCAAGCAGAACAAGATGACGACTGCGCCCAGCCGAAGTTATGTTTGAACACGTCACAGGAATCCAGCGCAAGCCAAACTCGCAAGGCTCTGTCCACGATCGGTACAAGCAAGTCGCCAGTCGATGGCAGCGAGAAAGCAAACACGCCCTTTGCTCATTGGCCAGGCCAGGCCGACGCTACTGCCAGTCTACCTCGTACGCCCCCACCCCAAGCGCTCAAAGTGACGCCGCAACGTCCTGCGCCAAACAGTCGCACGAACACGTCTAAACCAGGCGACAAGGCTATCCGCGATTCATTCAAGGCAGAGTCTGCCGAATGGAAGCGCAAGTATCGACGCGCCTTCAAGGGCTACGTCTTCTACTTTGAAGCCGTCGACCCAATTCAGCAGGTAGATCTCGAGGATCAGATCCTCGAGCTGGATGCTGTGCGTTTTCGACCGACTGATCCTGAGATGTGCTTACACTCCTTATAGCATCTCGATCGCTTCTTCAGCAAGAGAGTGACACATGTCGTCACCAACCGAGCGATTCCGCTTCTGCCAACATTGACAAAGACGCAGCCTTGGCGTGGCATGTCGCAAGAACCAGTGACAGCACCCAAAGCGAACCAGAAAACGGTCGGCAATTTGCGCAGTCCTCTAAAGCTCCTCAAGAAGTAAGACCTCTTGAATGCTGCCTCTGCAGTAGCTGACAACAAGACTCAGCAGCGAGACTGCGTCTTACGATAGCAGGGACGTTCTTGTCAAGGCGCAAGAATTCGGTCTGAAGATCTGGTCGCTGGAAAAACTTAGCAAGATGCTGTTCCAGCTCTCTCATACGGATTCACCGAAGAAGCGCAACACGGACGCGGCTCTGTCAAAGCAGTCTTTGCCTTCCTTGCTGCGATCCGAGGCAATCACAGGTCGCACTCGCGAGACGGCTGCAGATGCACTGCGCCCGGATTATCGCTACTTCAACCCGCGGACAGCTTTTGTGCTCATCGAAGACATGGCCGGAGAGCACAGGCCAATCGCTGTCAAGGAATATGCGACGCCTTTACCGCCCATGAGTATCTTCAGCAAGTCGAGCAAGCAGACGCCTGACTGGCCAGTGCTTTACGGTGGCGCAGAGGGTCGAGGCGCATTCACGCGCAACGATCAAGCAGCGCCTCTCATCAAGCCGAAGGCGCAGTGTGTCAAAGCGCACGTCGATGTGGCTGCTCGCGCTGTTGCAGCAGCCGGCACACAATCGATCAATCTGCGTAAGAGCGTGTCAATGACAGCGCTCAGCAAACGACATGGCAAGATGCCCCTTGGTGACATTACCAACAAATGCAACGAGCCATGCGAGAACAATGCAGTCTTTCAGCAAGCCTCGGGCAACTCTGTGTCAATCACATCGAACATCGCTTCGACTACGTCAAATGTACGCTCTGGTCCGCATCTAGCTCATGGCCAGGCGGGATACGACAAGAGCATCGCGATGCTTGACAAAAAGCAGTACGTCTCTGGAGCAAGGCAACCTCGGCTCAGTGTACCTACCGCCGAAGCATCACAGGGCGGTTTCAAGGTGCCGACGTTGCCTGCAGGACCTTCTGCCCTGCGCCGCTCGATCAGCACGGATTCCGGACTCCAGCGTCAGGCTGTGCCTATGGTGCAGCGGCAAGCTCAACCCAAGCCTGGCTACTGCGAAAACTGCAGAGCCAAGTACAGCGATTTCGACAGACATGTCGTCTGCTCGAAGCATCGCCGCTACGCGCTGAACCTTCTCAACTGGGTTGATCTCGACGTGCTCATCGCTCAGCTGAAGAGGCCTCATCATCCATCCTATCTTCACTACAAGATAGCTGACAGAATGAGGTCGTACGCCGAAGTCGCCGAACTCGACAAGCCCCAGTACTTTGAAAACAGCGAAAAGGAGCTCATCCGCGCGTTCATTGCACGCGAAGGGCGCTTCATTGTCCCAGGGTTCCGACTTCAACCACACCTCTGCATTAAGATCAACGGCATGACACCGGCTAACTACTGGAATATGGTTCGCGCACAAGGACTCTACATCTACTGGCTATATCGCCTCCGTGCGCTGCTCGATCAAGATCTCATGTCTCCTGACCGTCTCGCGATAAAGGCGATGCTTATGTCAGACATACGCAAGGTGCAGTACTGCTTTTGGATTAGCGAGCAAGATGACCCGACGCAATTCGGCGGCAAGTGGTGGGAAACGAAGCCCTGGCCCATCAACTACCAGGCGCAAGACTACAATATTGAAGTCCCTGCTGACTTTGTACGCAAGATGACGCGCTCAAGCGATGAATGGTCATACCTTTCGAGCGACGAGGATGGCGATTTCTAGCAGCACCGGCTAATTGCATTTGTATGGAAACACATTGCAATTTGCTTTGCGCATGTCAGCAGATCCTATCGTCGCTCTGCTGCGGCCGCAGCCAGCATATCGAGCGAAGAATCCTGGGCGTTGTTGTTATCTGTCAGAGGATGCATAGTATCTTTTGGCGAGCCGTAGGTATGATCGTTACGCTCGTACAAAGGCGAATCTGGCATGTTTCTGCGGTCTTCTTGCTCGTGATGGTTCTGCTGACTTGGCTGGAGTACGGCGTTGTTGCGTGAGCTTTGCCACGTCTGCTGGGGCACAGGCAAGTCTGGCGCATCAGGCTGCGTCGTACGAGCCCATGTATGGCTCGACGCGCTGTTACGATTTGGCACTTCTGATGGCATGCTCATCTGATAGCGAAGAAGGTCAGACGAGTTCGTGTGGCGGTGTCCATTGTTGACGGTCGGTGCCGGCAGATGCTGCTCCATCGATCGCTGCGTCGGCATGAGCAAATCAGGTGGTGCATAGAGAGTGGTGTCGGCTAGATGATTTGGATTGGCTGCTGTCTGGGATTCGTTGTGTGCCTCAAATGCCCTCGGATCAGCAAAACCCCGATTGATCGATGGATCGCCGAACGCTTCCAGATCTCGCCCAGCGTCATTCAGCTGGTTAGTCACGGCATCGTACTCGCTCGAACCACAGCGCTGGTAAATCTGATGAGCCCGTCTATCGGTCATCTGCGTTTGTTGAAGGTGTAGTGCAGCGAGCTCCGAATTCTGACGCGAGTGGCCGACGACGGAGCCGAACATAGCTTGATAACCAGCAGAATCGAGAATCAGGTCAGCTCTGGCCAACTGCTGTGCCTGATGTCCGCTCTGCGGTAAGTTTCAGTATTTTGTTGCAACCAGGTGTGGGCATCTCACTTGGCCAGACATCTCGGAAGGCCGACGGGCGTGACGTGGCGCGGAAGGCTCGAAGGCATGAGCTTGCGATTCGAAACCGTCAAGCGTGTTAGCAGCCTGCCCATATTGCTGCTGAGCAGACGCTTGAGCCAGCGGATGACGATGAGGACCAACAAAGGCGTGTGCATTGCCCTGTGAATGAGCCTGTGCTTGCAGTTGGGCCACCTGGGCTTGCTGAGCCTGTTGCTGATGCAACTGCTGCTCGTGAGCCAGCTGCTGCGCATACTGGTATTGGTTGTTGGCCAGCTGAACCTGAGCAGCATGGCTCTGGACTTGCGATGGCTGCATGCCCATTTGCATGCCATGTTCGCGTTCGAGCTCCTGCTGCTGTCGCAATAGCTGCTGCTGCTGTTGCAGGCCAGCTGAAGGATAGTGTCCGAGACCGAACTGCGCACGCATCATCTGCTCATGATAGCGTCGCTGCTGCTGCTCAATCTGCTGCCACTGGATGAATTGGAAGTACAGGTCGGTACCTTGAGCAGGATGAGGCACGCCCGGTGGCATCGCGTACGGATGGACATAGCCTGCTTGTTCGAAGAGTGCGACTTGCTGCCAATAAGGCGGAAAAACGGTGCCGGTCGCGGCCGATCCGCGATCGCATGTGAGACCGCGCTCATGCAAGACACCTCGCTCGTTCAAGATGCGACGCGAGACCTGAGCCTGTGCCTTGCGCTGACGCTGGACGTTTGCAGCAGCAATGTCGGCCATCGAGCGAGCTTGAGAGTGCTGTGAGATCTCGACAGAGAGATCGGGCGGGTGGAAGCACTGTTCAGGCGCATCCTTGGTTAGATAGAACTGGGCATCCTTCTTGGTGTTGGCCGCCTTTTGCGACTGCAAGTACTTTGCATTGAGCGCTTGCCTGGCATCGACCGGCAGGTGATGTTGTTCACGTGCAGATGCATGCTGATCCAGCTTTGGAACGGCGATCGACGTCTTGCTCGACGTGGCACGGCAAGGCGATGTGACGGGCGATGCTGAGCGGGTACGCGTCGATGGCTCGTCCGGCACATAGACTGAGCCGACGCTCGAAAGCTCAGACGAGGTCTCTCTGTCGCGCCTCTGCTCGAGCTTGCTCTTGGCTAGCTTGCTCCTTCGCGAGCTGAACCATCGCTTGAGCTGTGTCTTGGACAAATTGAGCTGGGCGCTGAGCTTGTCGAGGTCTTCCGGTGTGGGATGCTGCTGCTGCTCCCAAAAGGCCTCGAGCGTCGGACAACCGACTTTGGGCGTCACTCTGGTCTTGCCTGTATCGGATATTGAGCTGCGATTGCGCTTCGGCTTTGGCTTCGCCGCTTGTGGCGTCGTGTCGGGCAGATATTCGTCATGAGCAGGCGAAAGGTCTGTCAGAGGCGACTGCTCGGCTTCGTCCGGCACATCATGGGGAATGCTGATCTGCGGTAGCCCAGTGTTGTGACCGGTTTGCTTCTGATCAGGCGTCTGCTTTGGCGTCTTGGGCTTGCTGGTAAGCGGACGACGGGCAGCGGACGGTTTCTTGGCCGATTTGGACGGCGTTTGCTCGATATGGCTAGCGTCTGATGGCTTGCGCTTGCGAGACGCTTTGGGATCGATCGAGTTCTGACACGCTGCTCGCTCCGCCTTGTCATGCGCGCCACCGCTAGACTCGCCTTGAGCGCGTCCCTGTGGCTGAATGTTGGCTTTCGCGGGCGATCTGACGGCGAGGCCGGCTGGCGCAGTCAGCGGATGCACTGGATCTTCCTCCTCGACGCTGTGCTCCTCTTCTGGCTCCTCGCGCTGCTCCTCCTCCTCTTCTTCTTCTTCTTCTTCTTCATCGTCGTCTTGACTGAGTCTTTTCATCAACTCGAGACTTGCCTGAGCTGCCTTGCGACCGGGTCTGGGCGACGGAGAGGCAGCAGGAGGGTCCTCACGGGCCTCGATGAGATGCTGTCTGTGCTTCTTCTTGAAGCTTGGCAACTCGGTCGGCATCGTTGTGGGCTGTATACCGAGGTTGGCGGGTGCGTGCAATGGCCCAGAGGTCAAGAGGTCCGCGGTAGCTTGAGCGATGCTTGCGGGCAAACCGCCATAGCTCGTGTGAGACAGGTACGCATGTCCGCTGACACGATCCATGCTGGCTTAGGTGTCGCACTCGATGGTGATGTCACTGTGACGAAAATCTGCCAAAGACGCACTCTCGCTCTGCAGAGCCGCCTGCGTGCTCCATCAGGCCCGAGCGATCTCCTGCTTGTGCATTTGACTCACCCAAGCAAGATAAAGGACAGCGAAGAGGGTCGATGATGAGCTGAAGAGCAGAGTACAGACTTGTCCAGTTCAACTTGTCTTGCGATGAAGCGAGACTCGAGCTTATCGCAGAGGAGCTCTCCGCTTGGCAGCGCTTTCTCGATCGGACGACCGGCTGTGTGAAGCGGTGCGAGAGCGAGCAGACTTGAGCGTGCAAGGTCGTAAAGGAGCAATAGAGTCGATAACAGAGGCCACGCGCGGTCGCTAGGAGTACGGAGTCGCGAGCAGGGTCTTGCTTCACCTCGTTGCATAGACGGCATCGAGAGAGCCGAGGCTAACGTTCGGCGCACGGGAAGCATGACGCTTCGTCTCGATCGACGGAGGGCCCCTTCGACGCGTGCGTCTCACCCTTCGCAAGAGGGGATATGCATTGCTAAGCTGCCACTGCTCGACGAGCTTGCCTTTCGGCTGCGCGAGCCGACCGCGCCTTGGCCATCTCTGCTGCCTTGATCCCGATTGCATATCGAGGCGTCCATTCGCCTAAGCTCTTGTCCGCGTAGAAGTCCATTGGGTAAGCACTTTGGTCAGCGCTGCCCCATCGGATCGCGCGCCCAAGAGCCACGTTGGCCTCATAAGGACTGAGCAATGGCTTCGGGAATGCGTATCCCCAGTCGATCGACAGCCGGGGACAGGACGTCTGTACGAAGACATCGAGATGAGGCGCAAGCAATGATAGCTTGGCGGGTGAAAGCTCCGATAGCAAAATAGGCACGAAATGCGATGCGTCCAGGTGACGGGTGACTGACTGTGCGTCACGAACGTGCATCAGCTCTCGCTTGTCGAAAGGGTGAAAGTGGCTACCTTGAGAACCGAGAGGCTGCCTTGACGACCGAGGGTACCCAGCACGACGCCCCAGCCTGCGCCTTGACCTGGTGCAGCTGAGATCTTTTCGATGCTCTGTGCTGCTGTCTGGACTGCATCTGAACGTAGATGTGACATCTCCTCGTGATCATATTGCTCCAAAGTAAGTCGCTTCTCGTAGGGATCGTATCGGAAGGCAGGCACAGTTGGATTAGCAATCATGATTGATTCGAGATGGAAGCGTCCGTCACCAACGTATCTGTGTGCTGCTAGTTCAGCTATGCCACGCAAGGCATTCGAGACACCGACAGGATGGCATCCGTTCCGGCCGGCAGACGTGGCGCAGTGCATCCAAGCACTTCGCCTGGGCTGAGCGGCTTGACTTGGGGCACAAACAGGTGCAACTCCTCCGCTATTTGGTCGGCTGCATGCTCGTTCGTGCTGACTTCGGCTGGCGCGTCTTCAATAGCCAACCGTCTGGCGCCATCCAACGCAAGGTCCGCGAGATCGGATGGCAGACCTTGTACTGCAGCGAGAAATTGCACGGTGCCCACGACAGCCATCTTAAAGGGCTTCCTTTCTAATTGGTCTGCGCCTACCGATTCGTCTGTGATTGCCAAAGCAGGTCCTTTGCCTTTACCCGCGCTGACTTCATCACGCCTCCGCAATTCTTCCCTTGCTATCCGAGGAAAGTTCTGCCTCACGGTCTCTGCGAGGTGCAGACGGTCCACCGAGATCTCAACAAAGACATACAGCGTTCTGATCTGAGTCGTATCCACAGGTACTGCGCTCGCGCTCAGTCAGAGCAGCTAAATCAGAGTCTGCGCAGCCTACTGAGACAAGAGTGACCGTAGTGGACGAGCATGTCGCAGCCGAGCGCACGAGCTGTAAAGTCGTCAATGCAGCAGGCGCCATAAGTCACATCGCCCAGCACGATCGCTTCTGCTTCCGTGAAACGCTCGACGAGATCCACGAGTGCACAGCCCCACATCGACAGGCCTTCGGGCAGCTGAAGTGCGACCATCTTGCTGCCATACTTGCGAATCTGATCGAGCGTCTTGACTACCTCAAAATTATAGTTGCTCGGCAAAAGTGCGTCGATCGCCGATAGCAAGATAGGATCGTTCGCGAGCGTGGCATTGATTGGAGACCTTACTGCCAAGCTTACGCCTCGCGAGGTCGAAGCTTGCGGTGCTTGCATTGAGCTATTCGGTCGCATTTCTTTCGCAAGCGAATGAGAGCTACGGCTCCACGTGGCGGGGCAGCGTGACGCGGATATTAATATCACAATGTCAACGTTGGCCCAATTTCTAGGTCGACAAGATTTAGCAGCAGAGGGAGACTGCGCGAATCGGTTAAGAAGAGCTCTCTGCCCGAGCTCCGAGCGAGCAGCATGCAGCTTCGCTCTGTAGCGCTGGCGCTTGCTTCACTGTCACTTGCAAGGGCTGCGACATTCAAGAACGCTGCTAATGCGGCCGCGCTGGTAGTGCGTCACATTGCGTCCGCTCGAGGCGTCGCTGATCGCTCCAGATACAGGCACGAAGCTACAATTTCCCCGATGGCAACTATACAGTCACTGCAGTCGGTACAGGCGACCAGATTGTCTTTGCTCGAGATGGCGGCAACAACGATGTCTTTCCATCGACCGACATTCCAGGGACGTCAATCGGATTGCAAGCGAATACCAATCTGAGCAATCCCGTACAATGGACTCGAATGCAGTTTATGAACTCGAATCTTAAGTGCGGATCAGGTGCATACTCGTCTCTTGTAATCTGGCTCTTGCTAATGGCTAAGCAGCGCAATGGAACTCGACACTCGGGCTGGACATGTACTTTGTCGCCTATGGCTGTCAAGTGGGAACGCCCATGCTCGTCGGAGGACTAGAAAAGACGAAGCAGTGGTATCTGTTTGTGCCCGTCAATTCGAGCGTGCCCACCATCTATCCCTCGACAACGAGTGCCGAGACGAGCAGCCCGACAAGCAGCGCTTCGAGCAGTGTCGCCAGCAGCATGTCGAGTAGTAGCACTCCGAGCAGCAGCGCATCGAGCAGCAGCGCATCGAGCAGCAGCATGTCGAGCAGCAGCTTGAGCAGTCTGCCCGGCACCAGCACCTTGGCACCAAGCTCGTCTGGCAACGCGAAGCTGCCGGTGACGAGCTCGACGAAAGCGAGCACGAGCAGCAAAGCCAGCTCGTCGTCATCTAGCAAAGCCAGCTCCACCTCGTCCTCGATCAGCAAAACCAGCTCATCATCGCTTAGCAAGGCTAGCTCGGCTTCGAGCCCGCTTGGCTCGTCAATGACGAGCAAATCGAGCGCCGCAAGCTCAAGCACTGCCAAAGTAAGCTCGTCGACTAGCAAGGCGAGCGCCACATCCAGCAAGGCGAGCTCGACGGTCAGTCGAGCAAGTGCCTTGACGAGCAAGTCGAGCACAGCCACCAGCAAATCGAGTATAGCGATGAGTAGCGCCAGCACGAGCGTGAATGTGACGTCAAAAGCCTCGGGCGTATTCTCCAGCAACCCCACACAGCCGAGCGGCAACCCCAAGATGGCGCTGAGAGATCCCAATCCGACGCTAGACAGAATCATTGGCCGCGATTCGAGCTCGTCACAGCATGTCTTGAGCCTCGGCAAACGCGACAGTGCCCGACAGGCCTACTACATTATCGTAGTGGACCACTTGCCCGACATGGCTACAAAGGCGCTGTCGGACTGCACAGCAATCGCTGCAACGATGCAGATTTCAGTCTGTATCGTGCCGTTTGTGGAAGGCGCGTACGTTCAGCAGTGGTACATCGATCCTTTCGGCACAGTATGATTCCGCACGCCCCTTTCACGTTTTCCGTTGGTTGCATCTGTTGTACTCGTACGAGCGTCTTGCTCATGGCTCCGCCTGCATCTGCGCTGGTCTTTGCTGCTCCTGAGCGCTCTCCTCTTGTATGTCATCCTGGCGATTGACGCGCTCTGCGATGGGACTCGAGGCCCCTTCCGGCTGATTGAAATCATCCTGATGAATCACTGGGCTGCTAGAGTCGCCTGTGAATTGTCCGGCACGACCGAATGAGCGAGTCGTGGTCGGTGACAGGCCCATCGCGGAACTCGATGGTGCTCGCGAGATCTGAGCTGCGCCCGAGCCGTCCGTCTCTGCTGAAGCTGCAAGTGCATCTGCAACAGCCTGCACGTCTGACTGACGCAAGAAGATTGCAGTAGGCGGCCGTCGAATCATCTGGGAGCGAGACAGGAGAAGCGCGTCTTTCTTTCTAGCGCTGACACGCTCGCAGCTGAGCAACAAAACAGTCATGGCAGAGGTTCAGAACATACGCGAAGGCAAACGTCGCCCGCTTGCATCACTCAAGATCGTATGCGACCGAGAGCTGAGCCCGCTAGTAGCACGCTCGCCATCCATATCACTATTGACATCACCTAGGAAACGCAAACACGACAGCCCGCCTCTGTCACCATCATCGCCCAGCACACCTTCGACTAAGCGGCGTCTGCTAGATGCGTTTCGATCTATTGCACCTCTGCGGTCGCCCAGTCGGACAAAGAGCGCGAGTCCATCGCCAAGCAAGTCATTCATGTCGAGCGCGCGCGACCTGGCAAGCGCAGCTCGAAGTATGAGTCCGCCCGGCTTGCCACGTCGCGACTCGGCATCCTCGCTACTTCGTCAAGCTGGGCCGAGTGAGTCTGACCTCACAGGCTTTCGCATCAGGCTGATCAGTGAGGCAGCGTTTGAGATCTTCTCAGACTCAGCGTCGCATGCGAACCTGCCAGCCGATGTGCCGCCGTCACAACAACTAGACCCAGAGGATGATAAGGAGAACGCCAAGCCCACCTTCAGCCCACCATCGCCAACAAACTCAGCAAAAAAAGCCCGGTAGATTCAGACTTGTACAATGCAATTAATTTATTCATGTACATCGAAGTTCAAATGTTTTTGCTACAAACCACAGACAGATTGGCTTCATGCGTTTTTGGGTATCGATATGCAAATCCGAAGGCTGAATCAGATGACGCTCTTGACGTGTGCAACAATGGACGCCACGAGGTTGTTCGTCGTCTCTGCTGCCGCTGCTGCTGCCGTAGTAGTGGCTGCAGCTGCGGTCGCCGCTGCTGCCCTCGCCGTTGTGCTCGCCGTGACCGCGGCCGCAGTGAGTACATTTGGCGTCGCGATCGTGAGAAGAGCATTAGCGTTCGGGGTGGTCGTCGAAGTTGAAGAAGTCACCACAGCGGCCGAAGATGTCGTTGTGGTGGTCACAGTTGTCGTAGTGGTGGCAGTCGCGGTCTGAGTGACCGTGACAGGTTCATCAGCTGCTGCAGCGGCGGCGGCGGGAATGCCGTTGCCATCGCTGGGGCTGCCACTGCTCGAATCGCCCGAGTCGTTAGCGCCGGCGGTAGAGGTGTCGGTGCTTGAACCAGAGGAGCTCGCATCACTGCTGCCTGTGTAATGCTGATTGGTAGACTCTCCGCTCGAGGTCGCAGTGTTGCGAAGAATGCCAGAATTGTCGCCGCTCACCGGGCTCGCAGCCGGCTGGGCTGCTGAAGCGATGTCGGCAACTTGTCCGTTGGTGCTGAGTGCCCACATCTGGTACGGGTCACTCTCGTTGAGATCCTCGAGTAGAGCACCCTGGTAGACTGGCGAGCCCGGATAGACAAGGGAGATTTGTTGGCCGATGAGAGCGCGAGTGGCCATGTCAAGGATATGATCCGTCGGTACGATACTGCAGGGTGTGTCAGTCTCAGCAGCAGCTCGGATTAGTCTACTCACAAATAGGTGTCCTTGTTGGCATTAATGGTGGCATCATTGACCGGGACGAAGTACCACCACTGCTTTGCGGGTCGCAATCCGGAAGAGGTAACGCCCGTCGAGCCAACAGCTGTTGGAGTGTCAACAAATCATCTAACGCGACATACGAGCAAGACTGACCACATCCATAGAGCACGCCGGCCCAATCATAACCGTAGCCGAACCCCCACTGAGCTGATAGGCAGAAGTTGGAGTCCGTCTGTGGAGCGAGTCGCACTTCTTTGCTGTTGCTCGGATTCTGCTCCATTGAGACGTTGGCGACAGATGCGCCAGTGGAGGCAGCGACGGGATAAAAGTCCCGATGGGCGACGGTCATATATTGATGCGTGGCTACATTAGTGAGGGTATAAGTGCCAGCTGGCAAAGCCGTCGCGCGGTTCTCAAGCGACTGTGCTGCCGCCGCATTCTTAACCGTAGCCGCATGAGCAGTATTGGCAGCGAGTAGGCAGACAGCAGCTCGAAGTATGCCGGTCATCATCTTGATGAGGGTGTGATGTAAGTGGCAAACGAAATGTCGAAAATGTGTTGCACAAAGGCGAGCTTGATAGCTACCGGCAGTCTATGCAGCGCAAAGGCGTTGCTAACGGGCGAACAGTCGAAGGCAGAGGGTGTACAGCTTTCTAGCTTGCAGACAGAACGTGTAGCAAACGGACTGCGATGCTGGCTTTTTGTATGACGAGCCGCAGACGTAGCTAGCGCAGCCATTGCGACGTTTCGCTCGGTTCTTTTGCCACCACCGATCGCATTGGCATTGCCGTGCCCCAAGACTGCGGGGTTGGATTGTCAAATGTTACATTTTCTCGTGCCTGGACGGCCTTGTCTCGGAGCATTTTGACCAAAAATGGAAGGAGGTCACCAACGCGCTGAGCTTGCGCGGACACGTGCCATCTAAAACATGGGCAATCCGGCAGTCAACAATTGCATGTTAATACTGTACCCGCCGCTCGTCAGCGAACATCTTCACATACCCGTTCGGACCATACCATCAGAATGCCCGGAATTCGGTCCACGATCGACACTTTCGTGTGCGAACGGGTCGCAAAGCAGCAGCAGCAGTCGTCTGTCTGTGCTGGTTCGCAATCAGAGCCGCCAAGTGCGCTTGTGCGGCGTGCAGGGTAGCGAAGTGGACGTCGATACTCTGTAGACAATCATCGTCGACTCTCAAGATTCCTTTGAGCGTCTCTGCATGCTGCTGACACTGCATGAGTATCTCGTCGAGTTGTGCAAGCCAGTCGAGGAGCAGCGTCGCAAGCTGGGAGGGGTCGTTTTCTTTCAGTCGCTCTCTTGTATTCAAAATTTCGGTTCGCTTGCTCATCGTTCGAGCTTCCAAGTCACGAACATTCGACAGCTCCTGACCGTGGCGAGCTCGTCCGCCAATCAGCCGTGCTTTCGAGCGTGCAAGCTTGAGGCGAAAGTCACGCAGCAGCGTCTGTCTGACTGCGATCGCTTCGTCCATCAAGGTGCTGCGTGGCTGACATATCTCTGTCTCGCGACGAGGACTCAGGGGCTCGTTGGCGTCATCACGCGAGGAGTCTTGTCTCCGCTTCGATCGCTCAAGGCGAGCTCTGGGAGGTGGTATCGATAGAGCTAGTGAGGTACTGATGGATGCCGCATGATCAAGTCTCATATGCAACTCTACCGGATGTGCACGCTCAAATCAGGGACCGGGGGGATGCGAATTGAACATGATATGCATTGCAATATGACAGTACTGCGCTCGTCGGAATGTGCTGCTGTGCTCGTAGGTGACTACACAAGTCCTTCAGTGAGGCGTCAAAAGATTGCGAGCACATTCAACGTGATCGACTCACCTCAGCGGCTGCGACGTCTCGCAGCTGATCGGTACGTCTTGCAGTTCTTCGGCTTTATCGGTTCGTTCAGAAATGCACGGCGGGCATCGACAAAGGCACGATGGGTATCAGCGCAGCGCTGTTCGGAGGCTCGTACACGCTGCAGTGCGATACGCCTTTGCTCTTGTGCAGCCCGCACCTGTTCTCGAAGCAGACGTCTCCGTTGGGGATATCTCTCGAGTTCACGCCTTCTACCTTCCGACTCTCTAAGAAACTCAGCCTGCCGCTTCAACAACTTATCGGCCTGCTCGTCTCGCTGATCGATCTCGTCGATAGCATGTTGAGCTCTCGTTCTGTCTGATTCTGCGGCAGTGGGATCGTCACGAGCTGCGACTGCTGCCATGCGTTCATTGGCTCGTTCTGTGCGCTGCTGCTCGAGCGTAGCCTGTTGTGCTGCCACAGTCGCCATCTTTTGATCTATCCTGGCTATGTAGACGGCCAGTGTAGCCACATCCTCGCGGAGTGATCGCTCGAAGCACTCGCGTTCGGCGTCCATCTGTTGAGGAAGCGCCGGTCAGACGAGGTAGAGCTCAAGGCTCGTGCCCGAGAGGTAGGCAAGTGAGTAGTCGCGCTCGAGGTCGCATATAGCTCCGACTCACCTTGGAAGATAGAACGGCCGGCCTGATGCAAGAAGCTTGCTCTCGTCGGATGATGGCGATAAGTTGCGGCGAATGTGGCGATACTGCGCTACAGCGCCGTGGAGGCGAACCGCCTGGGCCAGCTCGTTCTCGCGTGACTGAACACCGATTGGCGCGAAATGGCACACGGCATCTGAACGCATGATGACCACAGTGAACCGGATGCCGGAATGCCGGCTAAAGACGGTGGAGCAAGATCTCAAAGCCGATCCATACCGGATAAGTGCCGCGCCATACGGTCGAGCGCGTCTCTGCACCTTTTAATCTTAACAATGCTCAATATGTGTTGGCCGCCCGTGACGACGGCTAGTGGCTTGCGCCAGACATTGCCCGAGTTGCCTGAATGCCGCATATATGACGGATGCGTGTGCAAATAATGGTTGACACAAGCTGCGGTTTTGGCTAATGAGGACTGACAAAGTCTGATAGGAGCGCTCAAGACGTTCATTCGTGGATTGTACAGGCAAGACTTTGGGCTGATGATCTGATAAATCGCTGCTACGCTACGTATGAGAGCAGTAGGAGAAGCGGACGAGCACGCCCCCAAGTTCGGTTCCCTTGCAGTGTCGCATCACTTGGAACACACTTCGTCTCGAGCTACGAAGGATGAGCTTCTGTGGTCACACTTCTTGCACTTTGAATTGACCATGCATTGTGCACTTTGGGAGTCTAGTGATCGCTCTTGCGCGTTGTCAACACGCACCTTAGTGACTCCTGGGCGAACGCATCTGCTTGCGTGCCCCTGAGGACTTCAGATTCTTCGAGATCGAAGAAGTGAATCTGCTGCTACTTCTGCATAGGTGTACGAGCTATGTCATCGCGTTTGAGACGAATGCAGGGTTCCGAGTATAGTGAGCGCAGCGGAAGGGTCTAGGTACAGCGACTCTTGTGTGTAACGATGGGCGTCTCTGACAGAAGCTCGTGATCGCCGCCCACGCTCTCGTTTGGCAATGACCGGACATTTCGACACGAATCGATCGGCAGGCAAAACTTCGGACCTCGGCAAAACTCTCGATGACGTAAAGTCAATTCAGTCGCGTCTGACTTGCCACCCAACTACGGATAAATTTGCGCTCGCTCTCTTGCTCGTGAACACACTCACATAGACAGACAAGCACCGTATAAACCATACGAACCACAAGTAGGCAAGGATTCCTCGATACATTGAGCGCTTACTGACGAGACAAGCATTGCACAGAACATGACTTCTTCACCAGAACAGTTCACGGCCTTTGCCGCCATGACCCTCGACAAGGGCAAGGCGCTCGAGGTCGAAAAGTGGGAGTACAAGCCCACTGCTTTCAACGATGAGATGATTGACATCAAGGTCTCTGCGTGCGGCATCTGTGGATCGTACGTCCAGTCTCGCTTGCCTCTGTGATGGGCAGCTGACGGGAATGAATCATAGATGCATCCACTCCATCAGGGGCGAATGGGGAACGCCAGAGGACATGTTCCCTTTCGTGGCCGGACATGAAGTCGTCGGCACTGTTGCCCGCGTTGGCAAGAACAGCTCGTTCAAGGTTGGCCAGCGTGTCGGACTTGGTGCCCAAGGCGGCAGCTGTGGCGAGTGCAGCCAATGCAAGGAGCACCACGAGCCATACTGTGAGAAGGGCATGATTGGCACCTACGGCGGCAAGTATGGTGACGGCGTCCAGTCACAAGGCGGCTACGGCGACTATGTTCGCGCCCATGAGCGCCTCGTCGTCGCTATTCCTGACGAGCTTTCAGACGAGGTCGCCGCACCCATGATGTGCGCTGGTGTCACTACCTACTCGCCTCTGGTTCGCTTCGGCGCAGGACCAGGCAAGAAGGTTGCTATCGCCGGCATTGGCGGTCTCGGCCATCTCGGTCTGCAATGGTCAAAGGCACTCGGTGCAGAGACTTACGCGCTCTCGCATTCGGACTCGAAGAAGAAAGATGCTGGCGAGCTCGGCATCAACGACGAGCATTTCATCGTCTACAACGACATGGAGGCGACAGCCAAGAAATGGAAGAGCACTTTCGATCTCATCGTCGTCACCTCTTTCGCTGACCACATCCCCATCAAGGAGCTCTACATGCCCTTGCTGCGCGCTGAGGGCACCGTCTGCTTCCTCGGTTTGCCCACTCAGCCTATCAAGGAGCTACCGCTCGGTCTATTCGTTCATGGCGGCAAGAGCATGGCTGGCTCTATCATTGGTTCGCCTGATGAGATCAGAGACATGCTCAAGCTGGCTGTCCAGAAGAAGGTCCGCACATGGGTCCAGACCGTGCCCATGTCAGACAGCAAGAGTGTTTCGCAAGCACTCAAGGACATGCGCGGCGGAAAGGCCCATTACCGCATTGTCTTGACCAACGAGCACTCTGCATAGACATCCCTATCTGATCAAAAGCAACGAACTCGAAATATAATAGAATGACATGCATTGTCCTTTGTTGCCTTTCATGTGCGATAGACGTGATCCTATGAGTTCCACCAGACAGCTCCGAAGCACACATAGCCAGACGCTTAGAAGTACACATAGCCAGACAAGACAAGTGCAAGAACGACAACAACAAATGCTGATGCGCATGCCCAATCTGTGATACTACAGCGAGAAGCGAAAGTCCTCCACGAGTCCGTCAATAAGCTGAGGCGTGATCTTGCGGGGCGAGAGTCGTGCGATAGGAACTGGAATTTTGCTGGCCGTCAATCGCAACGGCTTTTCAGTCGGAAAGCGTCGCGCGGTAGAAGGAATCGGGAGCGGCAGCGATGAGCGTCCCTTGGTCTTGCGTTTGCTTGTGGTAGAGGAACGACGAGGCGTGAGTAGGCTGTCGTCTGGATCAGAATCTGCGATGATATGAGCGTGAGCCAACGAGACAGCAAGAGATAATTACCTTCGGATGCCGAGCGCAAGAACGATAGGTCTGGCATGGGCTCAAATGCTGGCTCAAAGGGTGCGATGGGCTCGTCATGGAGTCCCCATAGATTTTCCAAGGCACGTTCGTAAGATATAGAGGGATAATCGATTCGCTTGGCGAGTGCCTCTAGCTCCTCTCGGTTGACTGTTATGTGGTCGGGCTCGAACAGTTCCTCTGTGACGTCAAGTCGTTATCAGCACAAATGCTATGCTGACGAAGAGCCTCTCACCTTCACAGCGACCACCAAAAGCGGGCAGCTCGACTTCGCGGTCCTCATCCGCTTCTTGGAGTAGTCGCAAGCGTGTGGCTTCTGCGGCTGCTTCTGCCTGTCTGATACGTTCTTCCTCCTTTGCGTCTTCTTGTATGCGCTCCTCCAGCAGGTCAGGGCGAACGAGCAGCGAGCGCGTACTTCTGGAGCGTCTCTTTCCAGGTGAGGGCGTCCTGAACATGCCGGGCGAGTAGAGCTCCGTTCCCAGCAGGTTGCTCGTAGGCTTTGATGCTGTTCGCTGCACCGACGGGCCAGGCAAAGGCGTCGAGGGGACGGTACGCAAGGGCGTCGAAGTGACATCGAGCGCGAAAGTTGGCTTGTTAGCCTTTGAGGCATGACCGGGTGTTTTTGTCGCGCCTGTGTTGGTGATGTCCACTAGGAGAGGCTGTCTCGGTCGCCCTGGGGTGCTCAGCGCGGCCTTGCCTGCCGGTGTGACGCCTGATCTGCCCTGTTTGAGTAGGTTTGTGCTCTTGTGTCGCGCAGTGCCTGCAGTCTCGTCAGCACGGCGCAGTCCATCCAAGCTCGTCACTGACTTGGTTCGACCCGGTTCTCATCATCAAAGATGCGAAGTCTATTAGCCATGACGGGTGCGCTTTCGGCCTTGCCCTCGTGTCATCCGTCGGTCAGAGACGCGACAAGGACCGTGAGAGATTTGGTGAGCCACTGCCAACATTTGTGAGCCTCGACGGCAGAGCAGCAAAACTTGCCAGTGCGTGACGTGGTGTCTCAGCCGATAGCGAGCTGATGCGCCTGCTCTCGCAACAGACATGGTCCGAATCTACAAGCCCGGCAAGGTTGCGGTAGTGCTGAGCGGACGACAAGCCGGCAAAAAGGTGGTCATCATCAAGCAAGCCGACGAAGGTACGAAAGATCGCCCGTACCCTCATGCTGTCGTTGCCGGTATCGAACGCTACCCGAGAAGAGTGACACGAAACATGGGCGCAAAGAAGATGCAGAGAAGGAGCAAGGTCAAGCCTTTCATCAAGGTGAGCAACTGACCCTGTCAGCTGTTAGCGACCTGGCAGCTGCTGCTTGAGCCAATTGGGCAGATCTGATGCATGCTCATGTAGGCTTTCAACTACTCCCACTTGATGCCGACCCGATATGCGCTTGAGATGGACGGCCTCAAGAACATCATCTCACAGGACACATTCAAGGAGGCGAGTCTCTCGTGTCTCTAACCTCCTGTCATCGCTCATCTCATGACCGTTCTGCAGCCAACACAACGCAAAGACGCAAAGAAGGAAGTCAAGAAGCTGTTCGAAGACCGCTACACTGCCGGCAAGAACAAGTGGTTCTTCACACCTCTCCGAGTGAGCGCATTCGCCGGCTATAAGGGAGCAGCGCTGACATTGTATTCCTGCAGTTCTGAGCGGCTTGCCGTTGTACTTGTGCTAGAGCGGGCATGAGATGCACTCTGTTCTCTCTGCGAGCGCTGAATGTAGTGTTGGCGTCATTTTCACAGCAAAGCTTGCAAAACGACATGTGTCTGAACGATGCATGTAGCAGAGGTAAAACAAGGAGCTCTATTGCTCAACGCCCGGCTCGTTCTAGCGCTGCGAGCGTCGATCTAGTGGCTTTGATCTAAGAATTGCGAGCGTAGTCTAAACATCTGCGGGCGTGAATGTGATGGGCTCTCGTCCTTCAAAGTTCTTGGCCGGAACGCCGAGTTCGAGCAGCTGGGCAAAGTACTTTGAGAAGCTAGTAAAGAATAGCCCCTCGTCGTCTGCGAAGCGCTTGGCGATCGGCTTGAATGCCTTGTCTTTTGTCAAGCTACAAATGATGTCAGCTTTGATCTCATCATAGCTGAGCAGACTTACGCCATATCGGTCGTGAGCATCATCAACGATTTGGTAGACTTGTCCTCGTACTGGATCGGACCGTCCCTGGATGGACGATATGTCAGCGGAACTTCGAGCCAGTGGAACGAAGTGCGACATACCACTTCTTGAGCTGCCATTTCTCGTTGAAAAGTAGCTTGTAGTACTCGTTGTTGAAACTCGTAGGCGAGTGTTGCCATGGTCCGGAGAAACCAGATCGGTCTGGGTGGCATCGTCCTACAGCGTGTGCGCCCGACAATGCGACCTAGCCTCATATTAGCCTCTTGTGGCGGCTCACGTAGAAGCGAGACGCACAATGCCCTCGTCATCGAAGCCCATGCGGTAGAAGATCTGCCTGAGGTGATCCTGGTCCTTGTCGCCATCGGGCAAACGCCCATCGGGTGTGCATTGCGATGCATCTGCATCGACGCGTCCCGGACGCCAAGGGATCGTCGGGCCCTGCAGTATCATGGTAAGCTCTGTCAAACGTGCAGAATGTGCTACCGCTGCACTTACGCCTAGCTGCATGACGGCAACGACGCCGGCAAGCGTCCAGAGATCCGAATAGCTCATTTCTGGGAATTTGGCGTGGATGGGTTCAAGCAGCTCTCGCGCAGCCAGGAGACCTGCATTGGCGCCATGACTGCGAATGAAGATATGCAAGGTCAGCTTCTGAGATCACGCAGACGTGCACTGAGCTGACTTTGACTCGGGAGCAAATCGCATGGTGGCGCCGTTGCTGCCGCCGTTGCCACTGTTCTTGTCATACGTGCCACTGCAGTGCCACGCCAAACGGATCTGCACACATCATCAGCCGAGCTTACTACGGGCGCGATCGAGCGGCGTACTAGGACAGGGCCATAGGAACCGTCGTCATAGTGCTCTGCTTCGAGCACATTGGCGATCTCGTTGTACACCTTCTGGTAGTCTACTACACCACCCAGCATACCTCTAGCACGAGCATGTCCGCCAGTAGCCTGTATGAAAGGCGTGACATTAGAATGTTGACGCTGATAAAGGTGCGGCGACTTGCATCATCCTCTAATTCGGCCTTTTTCGTGTCTGTCAAGCCGAAAAACCAGACAGCTGCACCGATACCAGCCAAGCCTCCGACTGCATAGATTGCGGTCTTTGAGGAGCTCGACGATGATGGTCCAGAGCCAGTTGAAGCCGATCGTCGTTGATAAGTCGGTAGAGCTCTGGCTGTCTGACGGGTCGCCAGCTGGATAATCGTACGCCTGGATGCTGCCTGTCCGATCTGTCGTAACGCAGGCGTGGCCATTCTGCTGCTCATCACGCTCGCCATCGTTGAGCGAAGGCAAATTCGAAAGTTCGCGACAACCTGATTGGCGACATAAGGGGCAGACTGGCATGCCGCGGAAGCGGGTGGCAACTCCCGCGCGGCTAAACATGTTTCACTCGAGGCTGCGCTACGGGTGGCATTCATTCGCTCTTTGACATCTTCCAGTCTGACGCTCAGAAGCGCCATAGCCGGCATCAGATGCATTAGTAGTGAACCTCCCTGATGTGACAAGCATATGCTCAGGAAACGTTTTGACTGCGCCCACTATCGTCAGCTCTCAGCGCAACGTGTCATCGTGGCGACGAGCGTACGCAAGCTCGCCTTCCACATTGCCACCGTCGGGACCGTAGTGACATGCGATGAAGGTGGTATCGCCTGGACAAGCTTTCTGCGCACACCCAAGCGTCTTTGTCGACTTCCAGACCATCTGAGTGTAGTGATTGTACGCGCCGTGCTGGGGACCTTCAGCTTCCCAGTCACGGATTAGCTCGAGGGGGGTATAGCCAGATCCCTGCCGCATCGAAGTCAATTTGAGTAGCATGCGATAGCTCCACAAAAGCATGCACCCAGACGATGTTCTCGCCGTACACGCCCGCGAGCGCGGGTGGACTGTGAACATAATTGCAGGCAGAGATCCAGTCCGCTGCCGTGCTAGCCATACGCTCATCCCAAACCAGGGGAGCAGCCTGGGCCTCAACGTGAGCTGTTGCGCCGCATCGAAGTAATACCCGGCGTACATCATGTTTGGCGCGGAAAGCATTATGTTCGTTCAGCATGAGCTCTTCGAACGAGTCTGCGCCATCCATGAGACTACGGCTTACACTACCAGTCTCGCTGTACTGACCCTCGGCCGGCTCGCACCCCTCGTCGTCGTTGTTGGCGTCACGCTTGATTAGACGAGTCATGTCGGACTGAATCGTCAAAGGAATGTAGCAAAGAACGGCGAGGATGCACAGCATCTTGCCCGTCATGGTCATCTCGGGTTTGCTTTGATGCGGAGTAGAATTGAGTCGACGATTTGGCTGGACGTTCTGCAAGCAGATGGACGCCATGGCGACATTCTGCACCAATGTGTCATCTGGCCTCAAACACTAATGCATCACTGACTTGACAACAGAGCTGCGGTCAGGTTGGCGATGCGAATATTGAGATCCGAAAAGTCGGGCGAGCTCGCGAAATGCTCGATATGATTCAGCCTGCCACGGTCTCTATAGTGATTGATCACGGGCTCCTCGAGCGTCGCTGATATGTACTGCATATGCAACGAATCCGCATGATGCACGCCAACTGACTGTACAGCCAGAGCGCGATAGATCGATTTTGGGTCTTTGTCTGGACCTGCGGACCATTGCATGGTCATCTGAACGAGCTGTTCGGACCCGATGCGTCCTGTCTTTCGCTCTGCTTCTGAGCGACCAACATTGAGTCGTGGTAGCTGTATCTCGCCAGCGTTGGGACTTTGCGCTGCCAGGATGGCAGTAGGGTCACGCTGTATGAACTCGTCCAAGTCAACAAAGACGAGCCAGTCGGCTGTATGTCGATGTCGCATCGCGCAATGCGTAAGCCAGATTGTCTGATCATAATAGATCTTGCCACTTCGCGTCACAGAGCTGTACATGGGCGCCAATCTGACAGTACATCAGCTTGTATTCACAGAGACACAGACAGAAATCAAGCACGCACATCAGAGTATCATTGGCAGTCCCGGGCACCTTATCGACAAATTTGTCGATGAAGGCGAGATCCTGAGGAGATCTAGACTGCCAGACGACGCGGTCTAGCCAGTCGTGGTGCAGACGCCATTCGAGAAGCCGCTGTAGCGCAGTGTATCCATTCCGCATACTGTCAATGGGCGGCATGCAAGCAGTCAGAGCATGATGCCGCCGCGGTATTGGCCCGAGCTCAAGATCCCCGAAGGCCATTTCTGGGCCGGTGTTGGCTATGACGCTGATTGCTAGACTATCTCTGCTCGCCGTTGCCCATCTTTCCGGTAAATCACACTCCACGAAGGCGAGAAAATTGTTGCGATGGCTATCGAGCGGTGCTTTGCTGATGACGTTCGCTGGTATACGCGCATCTAGTACGTCACAGGTGAAGACAAGCTCGCCGGCATGTCCTGATAGCGTGCCTTGCGTAGGCGGTGCCGAATGTTGAGCGGGCGTATCTTCGATAAAGACGAGCACTTGAACGAATTGCGACGCTCGAACTTCGGCCACATGTGTCAATGTGCGACTTTCGACAACTGCTCCGATCAGATAAACAGACAAATTCGACAAATGAAGCGTCTGCACAGCTAATGCGGCATCAGTCTGCCAGACGTCCGCAGACTGCTCGTAGGACTATGCTGAGCATGTCAGCACAGACCCTGTCGACGATGAAATACTTCAACCGTACCTTTGCATCTTGGACTGTCCAGAAGACACAGATGAGCAGACCGGCTGCTGACAATACGAATGCGAAAGCGAGCTCCTGATAGCATCTGCTCGGCATCGGTTGCGAATGAAGCTGCGAGATCGGGCGCAAACATGGTGCGCACGAGCCCTGCGCTTTGGCCTTTTACGCAGAACTGAGCAGCGCGCAAATGCGATCGATCGCGAACTTTGGCCCGAGACTCTGTAGTAAGTCGGTTGCTTCTGATGTGCTAGGGTGCGCCTTGCCGCCAATCGCAAAGGGACGATGAACTTTGCCACGTCCGCCGTCAAAGACAACGAGATCAGGGAGGTGATGAAGCGCTTCGGACCGCGAGAGCATGCCGGGAGGAACAGGGTCAGAGGGCATGTCCTCTTCATCGTCGCTGTCGACGTCTATGCCAGCGCTCCTAGACAAAGAGGCAGTCGCTTGGTCTTCAAAAGTCACCGCACGCGGGTCGCGGTCCAGTATTGAGCGACAGTGCGTATAGTGATACCAGTTCAAAGTGCTAGGGTCGAGCAAGCTCGAAGGCTCGTAGTCTGCTTTATAACGCATTTTTGGGCATGTATGGATGTAATAGCCCATGTAGTAGTATTGACAGTGCAACATGCCGGCTGCCCGAAGTTGCCGTACCCAGGCAATCTCCCGCAATGCTGATACCTTGCCGAGACTGAGGCCAGCAAAGTCTGGATCCCAGATAAAGTATACACTCGAGACGCTTCTTGGAAGCACATCGAGTACGGCGAGCCCGATGAGCTTTTCGTCGAGCCGATAGAGCTGGTGATATGAGCCATACTGCTGCTGAGAATGACCGCTCGCACAAGGTCTGATAGGTGTGTCACATAAGAAGCGCTTGAAACCTTGCGGTGAGCGCTCGTCATCATCGTGCACGCTGATCTGGTAGCGATTGTAGAGCTCAAACTTCTCTTCAGTGAAAGAGGCGAGCTCGGTTGTGACGGTGAACTCGTGAGCCAGGCCATCTTGACCACTTGTCTCTGCAGCATGTATCGTGTCGACGAAGTTGAAAGGGTTCACCTTTTGCTTGTCCTTGCTCATCGGCGGCTGCTTTGCGACCGGCCGGGCGGCAAAGTCACGTGGTCCGAAACCCTTGCTGCCCTCCTTGCCGCCACGCCGGACGAAGCTGTTGAATCGCTTGAGGATCTGACGCTGTGACTTTGTCGGCGTGAAGGCTCCAACGTCTAGTCTGATCACCCGGAGGCGTCAGCAATGCTTTGCGCTGACAAATTGGGCCTACCTGATGGTATATTGCAAGCAGCAAGTCCGTGCCATATCTGGCTTGTAAACGTATGACCCGCTTCGGCGCCAGCCTCTGTCGCAAAGATCCTGATACAGCCAAGGCGATAGGGTGTGTGCCCATATTCCATATGATCTGCTGCAGTTTTTGCCGTCCTCGCTGCCACAGTAGCCGCAATGAGATGAAGACTTGTAGCCGACAGGCGACAGAATGGACATGTAGACATCGCTGGCCTCTCTGTCACCCTCATAGGTCCCCACAGGGCTCATCAGTGCGAGCAGCAGCAGAGGAGAGTGACACGTGACACACGCGCAGCTTGATCATGATTTCCCGATCAGTGTGCCCCAGCCATAAACTTTTGACGCCTTTCATTTGCAAGCCTTCTCTGTCGACACGCAACGACCTGGACGAATTTGGACAATATGGCAATTTACGAGCGCCTATCTGCCCGGACAGGAACCGCGCCCATCGGAGCAGCAGAAGCTCTCGAGACGCAAGACCGGCTAGCTGTTCCTCTGGTTCTCGTACCGACACAAAGGACTCGCACGGCTGCACAAAGAGAACTCTCGAGCCCTTCAGTCGATCGGCTCCTGAGCACGACGGGATCGCGATCACTTAGCTGCATCGCGCCTTTGTACTGCTGCACACAGGGGCAGTCAGCATGGCTCGACTAGGTGCACCACCTCCTCTGTCTCGCGAGCCCTCTTCAAAGGCGGTCTCATCTCTGCCCGCCGCCCGTGAAAGTCAGCGCACGCTCGTTCCAGACGGAACAAAGTCAAGCAACCGGCCGCGCTCTCGCTCGACTTCAAAGGCAAAAGAGGCCAAGAAGCCAGCACTCGCCACAGTCGACTGGGCATTTGATCCTGCGCAGGGAAAGTGGATCGAAAAGCCTCCTGCTTTGCCGGCCAAAGATCAGCGATTGTCGACCGGATCTGCCGAGACACTATTCATACAGGCTGAACGGAAACAGGAGTCCCCTGTCTTTGTGATTCCTTCACCTAGCTCGCCAGCATTTGTACCTGCATCTGACAGACACCCGCCTGTTCAGCCCGCGTACGATCCTGATCAGCTTCCTCCTCTGCCTCTCAAGGTTGTGTCGACATCTGGCGTGCTCGAGGACGACGACGACGAGCATCTCCCGACAGAATCAGACCTGTCCGACCGCCTACCCTTCTTCTTGGCGTCTCACTCACTACGCCGCAGCTCGACAGATCAAGGCCCTCGATACTTGGCGCCAGCAATACAACTACAGCCTGCTCCTGGATATACTGCTAAGAACATCCAACGCAGCTCTTCTCACACTGGTCAATTGAGAGGCAACGGTCGCAAGATGGGCATGTCTCGTTCTGCACATCACACACCGCCGGGCTCGCCACTGCATGACAGGCTCAGCGCGCAGTCCTCACCTCTCTCGCCCAGTAGCAGCAGTCACTCACGTCTACTTACACCGCGCTCCTTTTTCTCCAAGTTCCATAAGTCGCCGAAGACGCCGCAAGGCGAAGACGGCTTTGCACCTGGCTTCATCATGCAGCAATCACTCTCTACGCGGAGCGGTCAAGATGCTAGATCCATGTCGCGGTCCACGACGGCAAACAGTATGTGGGGACAGTCCGCTGATCCAGCCGAAGAGCTCTCGCCGAGACGAGGAGATTCGAGGGACGTGTTCGGGAATGCCAGTCCGATCTTGTCCAGGTCGCAGCCTATGTCGCCGGCTCTGAGCTCGAAGTCGAAGTCCAGCGGTCACCCAGATAGTAGCGAAAGCGAGATTTGCCCGGTTTGCATCGAATCGCTCAGTCTGAAGCTCTCCACAGAACGACATCACATTACGCCTCGATGTGGTCACAGTCTACGTACGTCTTTGCTTCTCTTCGCTGAGACCTTACTGACATGACCTTCGATCAGACGAGGCATGCTTTGAGGCAGTCTATGGCGATGTGGCACATGCGAGACAGACCAATGCGTCGATCGGGCTCTGCGGCGTTTGTCGAAGAGACATGAAGCTTGGCGATGCCTCGGAAGACGTGGAAGGTATCAAAGATAGTGAGTGGCCTTCCGAGTTCCGCTTACAATGTCTGATAAGCGGCGCAGAATTTGCTGCGATTTCTGGTTTGCCAGACCAATCACCACGTGCAGATCCGACGACGTCGTTGCTGAAGAAGGCGTTGAATAGCACAGTCGATTCGTCTCGCTCGGATCTGCATAATCCCGACGACGATGATCCTGTCCCAGCCCGACACGGCCTCGGTCTCGTGACGAGTTTAACGCATCGATATGTGCCTACCTTGCAGCAGCAAGAAGGCCTATCCGTGGCCATCATCAGCCGAGCTGCAATGTCTACTTGCACGCCCAAGATTACACTCAAGCCAGAAGACAAGACGATCACAAGATCAGCCTCGACGACAGAGCGGGCGCATCTCACTTGCATGGTCACGATTGAGATGCCCACTCTCAAGGCAGTACCCGGTCTCGCTTCGCCAGAGCAATCGAACGACGCCATCCAGAATCGTCCGAGTCCGCCGTCGAGTGTGTCGGATGGCTCAGGCTGCTCCTCTTCTCAGACAGACTATGCATCCACTGCAGCATCGTCAGTACAAGCATCTCCACCTCCCCGTGCGTCAAAGATCCGCACAGAGATCTCGCCTGCGGTTCTTCAAAAAGTCGTCGCAGATCTAGTCGCACGATCGGATGATTGGAAAGGTCAGTCGCCACTCGAGCTTGGCCCTTTGCGCCTGTATGAGCCCATCGAAGTGCGCAAGGAAGGCATGGGCCGTCCATTCTTACTATATCTATTCCGGGTGCGTTCGGTTCGCTTGATGTTGACATCCACTCATCGTCCGTCTAGGACGCCCTTCTCTGTCTATCCGAAGAGTCACTACCCAGTAATGCGGCTCCTGATGCTTTACCTGCACTCAGTCTGAAAGGCCGCATCTATCTCAAGCATATTGACAACGTCACAGTGACATCAAGTAAAGCAGATGGACCCAGTCTGACGATACACATGTCAGACGAGGCGATGGATCGATTCAGGATGTCCTTCAGAGAGTCAGCGACAATGCAGCAATGGCGACAAGAGCTCGAGGACCTCGTCAGCAAGCTGAACGCTCCACCGCCACTACCAGATGCGCCCGTTCCTTCTGGTCCAATGCCCACAAGACCGACGCGGTCATCTGTACGTACTTCTGTTGCGCCGTCGCTATCCATTCCGCGTACCAGTCCTGCCCTGTCCGAGAACGCGATGTCGCCCAGACCACATCCTTTCAGTGACAAGCAGAACATTGCCGAGATGCGTCCAAACGGGCTCAATGGCAGCGCGAGCCTGCTCGATGTAGCGACGCATCAGACCTTGCTGCAGGCTGACCCGACCGAGCTGCCGCCGCTGGATCTCATGATGATCGTCTCTGTGCCAGCTCAGGGCGCCACGACGAGCCTTGCAGCCGCGACAGCAGCACTCAAGCTCAAAATCTTGCGCAATTGCTTGCGCTTTGTCGTCGATACCGCCGGTCCCAGAGCTCGTCTCAGCATCGTGACTTACACTGCAGGCGAAGGAGCGCGTGGCTGCCTGCACAAGTGTCCCTACATCGCAACCGGGACTGAGTCAGGACGGACGAAGATGCTCGATTTCATCGACAGGATAGGCAAAGAAGATCCCGAAACATCCGCGCAAGTCTATCAACGGGACGAGCATGTCAATGTCGGCGCAGCTGTCAATCTCGCCCTTGATGTGGTGATGCAGCGTCAAGTCAAGTCGCCTCATTCGGGCATCATACTCATCAACGACGGCACAGATATTGCTATCGGTCCACAGATGGACCTCGCACTAGCTCGCACTGAGGCTGCAAGGTGCGCTGCATATCTCGTGGGGAGCGATGCGGAGCTGACAATGATGTACAGTCTGCCCATACATACGCTCGGCTGGGGCAAATCGCACGAGCCTACATCGCTCTACCTTCTCTCGAATTCTACAGGAGGCAGCTATACCTTTGTGCAAGACTGGTACGGGCTTCAAGACTGTGTCGCAGGCTGCGTAGGCAGTATGCTGTCTGTCGTTGCAAGTCGGGTCCGATTACATCTGGGCGTCTCGGCTTCCGACTTTGTCATCCGCAAGGTCGCGGGAATCTCAGGCGCAATCGTCTCGGCAGACGGCAAACATGTCGATGTCGAGCTGTCAGAGCTCCGTACCGGCGAGAAGCGCGACTTGCTCGTCGAGCTCGATCTTCAGGGCGGCATCGAGGAACCCGTCGCACCTCAGCAAGGCGTGACGACTTATACGCATCTGCCGCGATCATCGAGCATGAATCATCTCAACTCGCACATCGAGCCGCTCTCAACAGGCACGAGCAGGTTTCTGATGAAGCGGGGCGGCATGACTCTGGGCGCGCTGGAAGATCTCGATGTAGGCATCATACCAAGCGGTCCTCTCAACATGCAAGTCAGTCAGGAGATTCCAGTCTTCGAAGCCAACATTACGTGGATCGCACCCGGTTCGGAACCGAGTACGGTCCATCGCTCGATACGACCCGAGCTGCTGACGATCTCTGTTGTTTCGGCACGAGCAAACACACCCTCGCCTTCGCCTGGACTAGAGACGTGTGATCCCAGCATCGTTCGGCGTCGGATGGAGCTTCTCACTGCCGATATGATGACGCGGTGTTTGCTGCTCATGGCTCGCCGGAGTACGGCACAAGCACACCGCTTGCTGGCCGAGACAAAGCGAATCATCACCACCATTCTCGCTAATCTCGCGCCGCTGACCACAAGCGGCACGACAGGAGATGCCCAGCGTAGCAGAGAGTACTACTTTACGCATGATGTCCTGCTCGCCTGTCTGGACGATATCGAATACTTGCTGAATGGTGTCCGAAGCGACAATACATTCCAGCGCGTCGAGCGCCATTATGGCACGCAAAACGCCATGATCTTGCGCGATCAACGATCCTGCTCACCCCGAAGCGCGACAGAGAGAGCATACTGGACCGCAGACTACGCTCAGTGGCTCTTGCAGCGGTCACAGAAGTTTTGTCATTCTTGGGCGTAGTGCTCCCCTTATTATTTAATTAATGCAATTCGTCGCGCGCAATAACGACTCTGCTGAATTTCGTCGCACAGCAAGGCAAACATCGGGCTGCCTTTGTCCAGCATGGATTTGCAAGGCCTCAACGACAACTTGCCGAGAGAAGACAGACGGAGAACACAGCAGCTGCAGCGTCTCAATGGAAGCTTCAAAGCCGCAGCGCAAAGTCTGACGGCTTTGTATCAACATGCCCAAGCGATACAGAAAGCTTGTCAGTCCTTGCTGTCAGACCTTCCCGCTAAGAGTGCTGACCGAGGATGGGCTGGGTTAGCGTACCAATCTGGCTACATTGCCGCCCTGTACGATGTTCAGGACCATCTCCAGCGTGGCCTTGACGTTCATGGACCGGAGACGGCGTTGGCTCGCATTATCGACTATATAGAGGTGCGTCACCATCGCCTCCCTCTCTCTCAGCACGGCTCAAGTGGTCTCATGCACAGGCACGACAAGAAGCGCTTCGTAGCGAGTCAGATGGCGATGATGCGGATGAGCCCCCTCGCTCGCCCACTGTTCGCGTTGCGCCAACGCTCTCGCTCACTCGGCCAATGGCATCACGTCCCAATATGCAGCCCCCAACAGAGACATCGGACACCATCAGAGCTCGTCGTGCGCGCACAGAAGCCGAACGAGCAGCGGCAAGACAAAACTTTGCTCAGCCCGTCGCAGATATTGCACGCTCGCCCAGTCCTGCAGCAATGCGAGCGGAGCATCATCCCGAGCCGTCTTCCTCGGCGCCTTCTTCGCCTGCCCAGCATCAGAGACGATCAATTAGACCAGCGAACGACTCTGAAGGCTACTTCAGACTGGGCGCAAGTTCCTCAACTCAACCTGGCAACGTGTCAGCGGCCGTGACTGCATCACCCCATGCTGCACCCATCCGTTCTCAGCCCAAGCGAACGATGAGAAGCGGCGCTGGTAGCAAGCCTCGCGACTCGACTGGCTCGCATGGTCTGCCAGAGGGCTCGAGTGTTCCCGAAGCTCGCAAGAGGAGATGGGCCGACCCTGCTGCTTTACCCGCGTTCATCGGTATCACCGGCGTTGAACAGCAGGGTGGCGATGTACCTGCGAGACCGATCCTCAACGCTTCTCAGACGAGCGAGAGTAGCCTCGATAGATGTGTCGAATCTAGTGCTCTGGAAGACCGACCTGCAGCTATGATCATCGATGATGAGGATCGACCGCGCAAGACTCGACGTCGTACAGATACCCCTGTGAGCAATCCGGCCAATCTCAGCACCGAGATTCTGTAGCTTGTACGACTAGGTGTGGGATTGCATTGGCTGTTACAGTGTCTATAGGATCTATCATCGTCTGTGTGTGCTAGGCGCAATACGTGTACAACATGACAAGTTGGACTGATTTAACCATATATGTGCTATGCCCATATGCCTAGGAGCGACATGGCTGCAACGCCTAGGCCAACAGTGGCGAGTGCCCTCGCGATCTTACTTGCTGGAGCTTCCTTCATCGAATCAGAGAGCAGGAAATCGTGCACGAGCAGGTTGACGACACCGGAATAGAGCAGGATGCCGGCAGAGGTACTGTCGAGCACGCCTTGGACGATACTAGCCTCTTTAGATTCTGGATCATACGATGAGGCTGCCAGTAGACCGACAGCAATGCCCAAGGGCGTAGTTGCAGCATAGCCTACAGCTGCGCAATAGGGCAAAAGTTTGTGTCGTCTCTTTATGCGCAACGAGCACAATCGGGTGCCTAGTCCTAGTCCTTCGAAAGTCTGATGAAAGATGATGACCGAGGCGAGCGGCCAAAAGTCTCTTGTGACAGCGAGCGTGAGGCCGATGAAAAACGAGTGGAGCACGACGCCCGCTTCGAGGATGAAAGCGCCGACGACATTGGCGAAATTGGTGTTATGTTCCTCTGCCGTCATGTGATCACCTTTCTGTGAGTGAGTGGACAGCAAGGACGACGTCTCGCTGGCGGGCTCGAGATCGTGCGTATTGTGCGCAATGCCACAGCCGTACTCGCAATCGTCCTCCATGTCATTGTCGCCTGGCTTGCTAGTTTTGTCGGTCGTCTGACTCCGGTTCAAGATCGCGTTGCCCAGCCTGAGACAGCTGAGCTCGGTGACGAATACGCCAAGCCTGTCAGGCAGATTCAACATCAGCGCTATATCGTTGATTCAAAGAAGCGACTGACATTGAGATCATCGAAATGAGAGCCGCGAAAGGGTAAGCGGCCCAAAAAGTGCCTTCGAGCAGGGGCGAGCTCAATTCTTCGAAAGCAGGCGCGAGCAAGTGGATGAACGCAGTGGCGATGATGACGCCGGAGGAGAAGTGCTGGACGTGGTCCATGATGGATCGTCCTCGATCTGAGTGGGACATAGTCGTCCATCGTTTGAGCACGATGGGCAGGAGGGCACCTATGCCTGACGTGATGAACAGGACGATCAGACCGGCTACTCTGCCCTGAGTAGCCGTGTGTGGCCTGTGAGGGGCCTCTGTCATCGTCATGCTCGACATCTTTCAGCGTCGTCTGGTCACCAAAAACGCGTCGCCAGGTCGGCCAGCAGTGCGTCATCAGGATCAGCAGCGTGTGACGAGTTTTGCCTTGACCGGACTGGATCAGGACAGCGAAGATGGTGCGAGTGACGCTCAAGAACTTGCAGCAAAAGACGTTCACCCTCGAACTCGAGCCGAGTCAGACGATCCTCGATCTCAAGCAGAAAATTGAGAGCGATCAAGGCCATGCCGTCGCTCTTCAGAAGATCATCTTCTCCGGCAAGGTGCTCGCAGATGACAAGACGATTGGTGATTGCAACATCAAGGAGAAGGATTTCATGGTTCTCATGGTCAACAAGGTACATTGGACTCCTCTTCATCGTGTCCACAAACCTCGTCATCCTTCTTGCCAAGCAGCGCAGCCCGTCCTCCTGTTAGTGCGAGCTATGCTCACGAGATGCTCGAACAGCCAAAAGCAAGCGCTGCGCCTGCTGTAGCGAACCTGCCAGCCGCAAGTGCGCCCGCCGCGTCAGCCAGCGCGCCAGCTCCCACCGCCACGCCCGCCACAGCGACGCCTGCATCTGCTGCCGCGCCGGAGCCAACAGCAGCAGCGAGTACAGCGTCTGCTCCTGCTACGCCTGCTGCTACTGCATCAGCAGACGCAACCACTGCAAGCGCAGAAACAGCGCCAGCCGCGTCAGACGATCCTACTGCTTTCCTTACTGGCGCAAGACTCGAGGCGTCCATCGCAGAGATGGTCAGCATGGGATTCCCCAGAGAAGACTGCCAGAGAGCTATGCGTGCGAGCTATAACAATCCTCATCGCGCCGTCGAATACCTCATGAACGTAATTCTCTCGCAGTGAGCACGCTACCACATGCTCATCTCGCGTTTCGATGGACAGGGCATTCCAGCTGAAGCGCAGACCGCACCTCCTCGCGCTGTTCCTGCTGCTACCACGGGCGCAACGCCTGCAGCAGCGACGACGACGACAGAAACGGCAGCGACACCTGCAGCTCCTGTGCCCGCGCCCACGACCGGGCAGCCAATGAATCTGTTCGATGCCGCTCGACAGGCCGCTCAGAATCCCGCACCAGCTGCTGCAACCGGTGGTGCCGCGCGGCCAGGCGCAACTGAAGCGGGACTAGATGCACTACGCCGCGAGCCCGCTTTTGAGCAATTGCGTACGCTCGTCCAGCAAAATCCGGCACTATTACAGCCCTTCTTACAACAACTCGCACAGACCAACCCACGCTTGCTCGGCATCATTCAACAGAACCAAGAAGCCTTTTTGCAGTTCCTGGGTGAAGGCGCAGAGGGAGAGGGAGACTTCGGGTTTGAGGGAGATGACGGCCAGGAGGGTATGCAGCACGTTCAAGTTAGCGCAGATGAGGCACAGGCGATCGATAGACTCTGCGAGCTCGGCTTCGATCGTCAAAACGTCATTCAGGCTTTCCTGGCCTGTGATCGCAATGAAGAGATGGCGGCAAACTTTCTCTTTGAGAATCAAGTCAGTCTCCCTCTCACTTCTGCAGAAGTATTCTGATGACAGAGCTCAGGGTGATGACTGATCACAATGACATGACTGTTCTGCGTCTGCTCAATGCATGTCGCGTACGTACAGCTGGGGCATCGTCGCAAAGTATACGCGAGGATAAGTGCACGTCTGTCAAGTCTGCATCTATTGAGGCTTATGTTCAGCTACCGTATCACTCATCTTTGGTTTGCTCAGTGGCAGGCGCGAGAGCTGCTGCAGTCGCCACACGGACAAGAACGGCATCTCTAACCTCTACAGCGCCTGGAGACCCAATACGCATCTTGAGGCATTGTTAGCGAGCCCTTGATCGATGTATACTGAAATCAGCGAGAGCTCGAGCCATCTCCAGCTGAGAGTCGATAGCATGAGCACTGCCCGGCGGCCCTTATCACTTGCAACATGACCAGTCGCACTGTCTGTTTCGCGCGCTAAGGAAATCAATCACGTGACGCGCGCGCCTTCCATCTGATAGATGTCTGCAAACTTGCACGTCCAGATCGCGATAAAAGGCGCGCCGAATCCTTCTTCCCACTCCTCGCGGCACCTGCCAGCAAATCTGGCGAAACCTCTCGGGACCAGATTGAAGGCGCTTTTGCGCGATTTAGGGGCACACCCTTCCGGGGGGGTGCCGAGTCGTTGTGGAGGTACGCGCGACTATCGACTGCTCTGGCGACGATTTCGATTCAGACGAGCTTGAATGCTAGCAAGCGCGGGTCGTGCTTGTCTCATTCACTTCTCTCGCTAGGGACACCTCCCGCCTCAGTCACCGTGTTGACTTGCTCATGAACTGATCAACAGATGCGAGTCAGTCATCTTAGCTCTTGCATTCTTATCGTCGCTTCTAGTGAGCTGGCTGTGTCGATAGATTGCGAACAGCGAGACTGCTGTGGCGCATGGCTCCCGCTCGGTAATTGCTCTCGTCTGTCGTGTGTTCGCTGACTTAAGGAAGCAAGTAGAGCGGCGCGACTGTTCAGACTGACGCGACGCACGGTCATGCTACTTGCTGAACGTAGATGCATTGCTATACGGTACGCGAAGATGGTCTCGAAGGCGTGAGGCTGTTGGCTAGATCGATGCTGGTCTGTGCTGGATGCATGTCACAGCGCATTTCTAGTGATGCACTGGACAATCGTGTTTGAAGCCGAGATGGTGACGGTCGACCGTCGTGCAGTGCGAGGAACAGAGGCAAGCCGGACAGCCTGGCGTTGCTGTTGCGCGACAGTTGAGCTTGATGCAGGGAAGAGGACCTTCCGCGGCAGCGACATGCTGACTTATCCATTCCGGTAATCTGTCGAGCTGCTCGCCGATGGGCTTATTCTCGTCGAATCGGAGAAGGATGATAGCCTGGAGGCGATAGGCGTATCCCTTGATGCCAAGTCGGGGGATTTGACCAACTTCGGCGGTGACCGTCTTCTTGTCCTCCCTGGACAGACTATAGGCCAGCGATTCCAGATCGAGAAAGGAGCGTAGATTGGCAGCTTTGCCTCTGGCCACCCAGGCGTACACGCGGTCCAAAGCGCGTGCGGTCGTGCGAGGGTAGGCGGCTTGCCATGCGGTGTACTGATGGCGACGTTCCTGAAGCACTGCAATTTGCCTGTCAGCGTCGGCCGGGCTTTATGCCTTGATGTCGAGCGCGGGCACGTACGGCGATAGTCGGTCATGATCTGATCCATGGTGATCTCGCTGGGAGCAGAGTGGAAGACAAACTTTTCGCAGAGGTTTGCAAAGTCGCAGGTGATATGTGTAGGCGCGCCAGAACCGGCATCGCCAAGGTTGGTCCAGGTGATGCCGAAGAGAGCATTGTCGAAGCGCCAGAGCATGAGCTGACGTTCCCACGCGTCTGACTGAATCTCCTCAGCCGTACAACGACGGGGCGGATCGTGCTGTGATGCGCGCCATCGCCAGTAGTCAGCGGCGTACGTACGCACGTTTCGATGGCGAGGCTGCATGACGGCCGAGGCGTGACACTCGCGACAGAAGGGCGTACGCCGACCGAGCGCTTGCGTCGAGTCCGCCAGTGCGTAATGAGGGTCGTCATCGAGCTGTCCACACTTGGCGCAGCAAAAGTGTACATTCTGAATAGCCGTCTCGCGAGCCAGTTGGCCGGCTTGGACGAGATCATCTCCGATCTCTGTCGAGGTCACTCTGCACCAGACATAGTCCTGCGACAAGACGACTTTGAGCAGTCGGCAGACTTGCTCCAACGCTACAAGACTGCCTGAGTCTACCTTGCCGGACATGATCGCGACGCGAGTGAGTATCTCGATGGGCAGGTCGAGCAAGCCGATCTCGTTTGACCCAGGCCGGCTTGTATGAGAAGACACTATCGGAGCTTGGACGCGAGTGAGTGACTGTGTCGTGCGAGAGACACGGTCGATGTGGAGATGTTCATCATCTAGGAAGCTAGCTCTGGCTACTTCTTGAGCGGCGAGCAGGTAAGGATAGTATCTGCGATGGCGGTGACCGGTCGCCAAGACATAGCGCCAGGCCATCGCACCGACTGAAGATGCACAGTGACTGATGCAGATAAGTTGCGGGTGCGCGTGATTGGGAGCCCGCCATGGCTCTTTTTGAGGATGGAGTGACTTGACGAGAAGAGCGCGACTCCATAACACTCCATGACGAGATCTCAAGATTCGCTGCGCTCAACCTCGTTTCCATGGATGACTCAATTAGCATGCTGCCTACGCTCTTCAGGATACGAACGAGCCTCTCATCGCCTCTCGCACTACCGAGTTCTGTCAGTCTGCTCAGTATGGAGCAGGCCAGACAGGCCACCATGCTAGGAAGAGAACATGCACGCACACACCGTCAGTGGGCGAGCCCACCTACTCATGGTGAACTTGCGACGATCCTCAGGATATCGTGCAGCCCTCTGTCCGGACGGAGGAACTGAAGCTCTCGAGCTGAAGGCGCTCATCACGTCTTGTCGGCCTCGACGCGTGAGCCGATGATGGGTCATAATCAGCAGTTTCAGCTCGCCCTTTCACACAACTGCTACACCCGACATCAGCACATTCTGTAAGCGTACCTCCCCGACAATGAATCCGGACAACTCGACGGATGCCCAATCACAAAGCGCGCATCGGTACGTCTTTCGCGTCTTACGCTTGGCGTATTGTCTGATGTCTGTCTTCTCGGCAGGGAGGGACTCAAGCTCTTGACCGCTCATCCTCTTTCGCCTTATCCAAGTCTCCTGTTGTCGCCTGTGTCGCCAGTCGATAGGCCCGCGTCAGCCCCGCCAAGTCGTTCAAGTGTCATGAGTGCCTATGACGACTTCGTCAAGCAGCTCGCTACCGGCGAACATCCGACTTGCTCCACACAGGAGCTGCTATCACTAGCGTACGTCTGTTTGCAGACGCATGAGCATAATGCTGACCATGCTACGCAGTCCTGTGGCGACGCAATTTCCTCTGGCTCAAAAGATCGAGCAAACAGTCCAAGCGCGCCATGCTGGCACCAAGACCAAGCTACGCTCAGCTCTTACAGGCAAAAGCGGCCAAGAGCTAGAGGAGATGATTCTCCAGGCTTACAAATGCATACTTATGCGCACATCCGGTAAGCGGCTGACATGTGCTATGCTCGCGGCTCTGACATGTCAATGACAGAGATCGAAGCGTTGGCTTCCATCGCGAATGCTTCCCTCCGCGACTTGGGCGCTCTTCGAGCACGATTGGAGGCAGCCACCCAGCTGCAACCGATAGAGAACGACCGTCCCGCTCCCGCTAATCTCGGACACGCAAGCTCATCAAGTCCCACGCACGGCATGTCGCAGGGCGCATCTGTCACGCGCATCGCGCAAAGCAAACGGCCGGCAAGCCCGGATGGCCCATACAAAGAGGCTGCTCAAACGCAGACGCGCCAGCACGCCACACAGATCGTCCGCCCTATCTCAGGCAATAGCATGCCTCCCATCTTCATCTCAAGATCTGTGACTAGGCGCAAAAGCCTCCTCCTACCCATCACGACCGGCAGCACAGGCCCCCTGACATCTCGAGCCTTGCCAGAGCTCATCTCGCCACNACTGCCGGAATACAAGCCTCCCANNCGTCACTTCAGACCGCGTCTGCTGGCGTTAGTGAGCANGGATACGCTCAATGATACCAGTNGAGGNCNTCTGACGCCCGNAGAACGCGGTCACATCACTGTTCCCNAGGGCCAAAGGGCGAAGGTTCTCCTTGACCGTCCTCACCTGCTNAGAACTTNTGGCANGGACTCGTTTCCCGCCATGCTTCAGGAACAGGACAGCNAATCCATCNNNNTNNNTNTGNNANNNNTNNCANANNNANNNNGATGGATTNGCTGTCCTGTTCCTGAAGCATGGCGGGAAACGAGTCCNTGCCANAAGTTCTNAGCAGGTGAGGACGGTCAAGGAGAACCTTCGCCCTTTGGCCCTNGGGAACAGTGATGTGACCGCGTTCTNCGGGCGTCAGANGNCCTCNACTGGTATCATTGAGCGTATCCNTGCTCACTAACGCCAGCAGACGCGGTCTGAAGTGACGNNTGGGAGGCTTGTATTCCGGCAGTNGTGGCGAGATGAGCTCTGGCAAGGCTCGAGATGTCAGGGGGCCTGTGCTGCCGGTCGTGATGGGTAGGAGGAGGCTTTTGCGCCTAGTCACAGATCTTGAGATGAAGATGGGAGGCATGCTATTGCCTGAGATAGGGCGGACGATCTGTGTGGCGTGCTGGCGCGTCTGCGTTTGAGCAGCCTCTTTGTATGGGCCATCCGGGCTTGCCGGCCGTTTGCTTTGCGCGACGCGCGTGACAGATGCGCCCTGCGACATGCCGTGCGTGGGAAACAGTGCGACTGGTCATGTTGCAAGTGATTATGGCCGCCGGGCAGTGTTCATGCTATCGACAATCAGCTGGAGATGGCTCGAGCTCTCGCTGACTTCAGTACACATCGATCAAGGGCTCGCTAACAATGCCTCAAGATGCGTATTGGGTCTCCAGGCGCTGTAGAGGTCAGATCGGCCGGCCGATGTCTGGACTGGTCGTCCCTGCATTGTGACGGTCTCTCAAAGACGGAGAACGCTCCGCTGGTGAGGGCCCTAATCGTTCGCATACAGTCGCATCTAGCTCGTTGCAGCATTCACCAAGCGTAAAACAGGTGTTTGCCGCGCGTGAATGCTCCAAGTAAATTCTCGTCATGTATCGTCTGCGACGAAGTGAAAGTATCAGCACTTCAGCAGTGAGCAGAGGCAGTCGATTACAAGGCATACCTGTTGCAATCCATAATGCTAGTTGACTTGCAAGCATCCAGACAGACATCGACAAGGTTGCTATGGCGAGACTGACAAGACTACGTTCAACGCATGACCAGACCAGAAAAGACGTTCATTGTGTCTTTGCTGATGTGTCGGAAATTGAGAATATCAAAGACTGCGATCGGATTGGCAGCGAGGACAGCCGGTGCGCTGTCTGTCGAGATTGATGCAGCCGTTCGATCTTCATCGTCTTCTCCAAAGCCTGCAGCAGCGCCGCCGCCAAACCAAGATCCGGGGCCAATTGTGGCCTCTGTAGATGTGTCGGCCTCGTTAATCAGACGCAGTATACTCATCATACGATCGCAGAGAACAGCATAAGGGTTGCGGTCGTAGCCCTCGTTATTGTAAGCGTGTAGGCGGCGCACGAGGCGTGTGACCGTTCGCACGAAGCCGACCTGAGAGTCCCGCAAGCGAACCTTAGCATCGCGCGAGGCAAAGAAGGCGACGCTGTAGATACACATGGCAACTCGCTCGATATGCGCTAGTCCGTCCTCAGTTGTCAGGACCTGGCAGTCGTCTTCAGACATTGGTATGAAGGCCGTCAGATTCTCGAAAAGCTGTAACACTTGGTTATCGCTGACGACTCGGCTTAGCTCTTCTCGGTTACGATCCAGCAATGCGAGCCTTGAGAGTGCTGTCAGGGCTGTATCGATGTAGTGGCTAATCTGGCCCGAACGAGTGGCACAGCGCGCCGCAGAATAGATAGAATCGATGTCTGAGGCTCCGAGAAGGAAGAATTGGATAAGTGCAAAGCTGTCGCGAACTGTTGTCTGGGTTTGCAGAGTCAAATCGATGCCGTCGCGTAGATTGACGAGGATGTGAAGAACATCCTTGCGGAGCTGAAGCATATCACGCATCTCGACCTCACACACGAGGTTTCTCGATGTGCTCGACATCTGACAGATTTCTACGAGTGTCGAAACAGTTTCGGGTACTTCGACCATGAAGCTAGCATTGTAGTCGATGTTTGAAAGCAAGCGCAGCAGATTGGTCAAGGAGAGGAGCAGCTCAACAGTCGCGAGTCCAGCAGTCTTGTGTTTTGTCGTATGTACAGCTGTCTTGGGCTTGAGCGTCTGAATATCTTCGCCGACGATTGCATACATATCTTTGTAAGCCGACGGCCACACTCGACGCAGCTTGGATTGCCGGCTCACTGCTGCTTTTGCCGGTAAGTCTGTGTCGCTGTCGTGAACTGATCCGAAAGCAGCCTCTTGCAGCAGGGCCAGGAGCTCTTCATAGAGCTCTTCGGCCTCGACGAGTGGCAATCTACCGACTGGATCTTTGCGCTCTGGCACCGATGGACAGTGAGCTGCAAGAAGTTGTAGCGCGTTCAAAGTGTATGAGACCTCGGACGGTATTCTAGACTGCAGCGACATCGCCATCGCAGTGATATCGACGACGCCGAGCTGATGGACGTTTGGCTCACGTTTGCTCCTAGTGATCTGCGCATGACGTTCTTCAACGAAGCCGAGATTCCAGCTAGCGACAGTGTCCGTTGGCCGAACAATGGGCCTATATTCGGTTTTCTGACGTTTTCTGGGTGGCGTGGGAGGTCGAACAGGGACTGCCGGCTGAAGCGGCGCGGGTGACTGGATCGCCTGCGACTGCGACTCAAGTTTAATGGCTTTCTGGTCCGCTAACGCCGCTACGGTAGCTGGAGGCGCGCGCTGCAAAGCCATCTGCTGCGTCGCAGCCACCCTCTGCTCCTCTGCCGCCTCGGCTGTGATGGAGGTCACTATCAGTATTCCGAAAAGGTCAAGAAGACTCGCCTTCTTTTTGCAGTCGCTTCTTCTTCTTGTACGCCGATTCCACCTTGCCATCAGCTCCGACTATTGGCTTTTGCTTTGCGGGCGGTATCTGCCTGAGTGCGTTCGCGACATGGGGCGGAAGTTGCGCTTGAGCTTGCGCAAGCTTTTGCTGCTGAGTCATGCCTTGATATTGTGATGGCATGGGCTGCGGCATATTCGGGTATGACTGTGCGCCTCCCGGATACATGACGTGACCGCTCTCTGAGCCGAGTGAAGACGCCATCGAGGCGGCACTGGGAGCACGTGCGGGCACGTCGGCAGGTGCTCGAGGACTTTGATAGACGGACGGTCCTTGCGGTCCACTGTGAGACGACATATTGGGGTTGGCAAAGCTAGCCTGCTGCGAGTTTGGCGGCATGGTCTGAGGCCGCTGCATTGACGCATTGGCTGAGACTGCCTGTCCTTGCGACACGGGACGAAGCTGTTGTTGCTGCTGCTGCTGCTGCTGCTGCTGCTGCTGCTGCTGCTGCTGCTGCTGCTGCTGCTGTTGTTGCTGCTGTTGTTGCTGTTGGTGTTGTTGTTGTTGTTGCTGAAGGGACAGGAAGCGTTGCCTGATCATGGCCTCAAATCCAGCCAGGGAGGTCTGGAAGATTCTGATGAGTGCTGCGATGCGATCCTGTGGATGTGCGTGCTCTTGTTGGTTCTCCGAGGGCAACCTCTGGAATCCGCAGTAGGTGGCGACCATGCCCCAAAGCTTGGACTGTGTCACGCTAGCACTACCGCCCAGCTTGGCAACGACCATGAAGAGGCGCTCCAGGTGTACAGGCTGGCCTTCTATGACGGGTATTTGCGAGCTGGGCGTGCCTTTCTGGTTCATGAAGTCACGGTAGGCTGGACCGAATCCGTTGGGCAACATAGCCTGCATGGCTAGCTGCGTCTGTCTCTGTTGTTGCTGCTGTTGCGTGAGGAACCCGCCACCTGGCTGTTGATTGGGCGTACGCTGAGCAAATGCAGAGGCGGGGCTAGCTTGCCTCGGCGGGGGCGAGAATTGTGCGCTGGGTCCAGCTTGTGGATGCGACTGAGCTTGCTGCTGCTGCTGTTGCTGCTGCTGCTGTTGTTGTTGGGCCATGTGCATGCGCATGATCTGATCGCTATAGGCCATCCCAGGCATTTCGCCGGTCACACTGCTCTGAGTCTGCGGCGTCATTCGCTGTGCCTGCTGCTGCTGCTGCTGCTGCTGCTGCTGCTGCTGCGCCTGTTGCTGAGCAGCTTGATAGGCCCGCTGTTGCTGCATCATTTGCCATTCTTGGCTGCTTGGCTGGGCTTGCAGAGGTGGTACGCCAGGGCGATTGAAGCTCATCGAGCTTGAAGGACGACTGCCCGAAGCGCTGCCATTGTACTCGTGCTGGCTGCCCCTACTCAGACTGCGACCGTTCTGGTCCATGCCGGGCGAGTAGCTCACAGTGAAGCACCTACTGATGCTGATGCTGATGCCGCACTCGTCGACCAGCCAACGCGCTCGCTGGGCTCACTAGGATTCACCGTCTGTACTCTTCCCTGCAAGAAGCTTAATTGCTATGCACGCCAGCCTATCCGTCGAGCTGCGTTGATCATGCGACGCTGAACCACGGATCCTCTCAGCTCATCGGCATGGCTTGCCGGCCCCTCAATATAGCGTGCGCTTGCTTGTAACAGACAACGACGGCTGGCTGATGTACCACACGCTCACAGCATGGCTTGCGACTATAGCTGGCCTAAGCTTGGCGGGGTCGAAGAGCATATCTATATGCTCTCACAGGAGCTCCTCAGAAGAGGCCACAAGGTTCGCCTGAGCCGCAACTTCAAATTCTACGGCTAAGGCGCGCGCTGTTCGATGCGTAGGTGGTCATCATCACCCACGCATATGCTAGCACAGAGCCCAACAGTTCCAGAACGGGCATACGCTACCTGCCCAACGGTCTCAAAGTGTATCACCTCCCACTGGAGCCAATACCGCCTCAATCGAACCACGCGACGTTGCCACAGATGTTTGCCAGCTTGCCGCTCGTTCGCCAAGTCCTCATACGCGAAGAGGTAGAGATCCTGCATGCCCATCAGGCAATGTCATCACAAGGTCTCGAGTCGATCTTACACGCTCGAGCGATGGGCATACGCGCCTTGTTCACCGATCACTCCTTACAAGGCTTTGGAGGCTGGGGTGAGATGTGGGGTAACAAGATGCTCAAATCTGTCCTCAGCGATGTCGAAGCTGTCATTGCCGTCAGCCACACATGGTCAGCCCCCCTCTCGTGCATGCTATAGCGTCCATGGCTGACCTTTCGAAGATTGGCAGCCGCGAAAATACGGTGCTTCGTGCTGCGCTCAACCCGGATCTCGTACATGTCATCCCCAACGCAGTCGTCGCTTCCAAATTTTCACCCGATCCATTGCGCGCAAAGCGGATGACCAAAGACACAGGTCGGTCACTCTTTTCAACGAGATCTTACACTCTTTGACGATCGAGCAGTCACTGTCGTTTGCATCAGTCGATTGGCTTATCGCAAAGGAATCGATCTGCTCATCGGAGCCGTACCTCGCATATGCGAGATCTATCCAGACGTCAAGTTCATCATAGGTCAGTCACGGATGGGACATGCGAGAGATACCCTCTTATGCTGCCACAACATGGCTACAGGTGGGGATGGGCCAAAGGTCATCGAGCTAGAGCAGATGCGCGAAAGACACCAGCAGTTACTCAGAGGACGCGTGGAACTGCTCGGACCCGTGCGTCACGAGCAAGTACGCGATGTGCTCATACGAGGCGAGATCTTCCTCAACACCTCCTTGACCGAAGCTTTCGGTATGGGCATCCTTGAAGCTGCTTGTTCGGGTCTCTACGTCGTCTCTACTCGCGTTGGAGGTATACCAGAGGTCTTGCCGGATCACCTGATCAGCTTCGCTCAACCCGATGTCGAAGATGTCGTACAAGTCATCGGCGCAGCTATTGACCATATTCGCTCGGGCCGGCATGACCCCGTCAAAGCACACGAAGCCATACGTACCAAGTACAGCTGGGCCGATGTGGCAGAGCGTACCGAACGTGTCTACGAAGCCATGCTCACCGTCGAGCTTCCACCACTCGTCGAAAGGCTCAGGCGAATTTACGGTACCGGCGTGGTTCATGGCAAGGTCATGTGTATCGTTGCACTCGTCAATTGCGTCTTCCTTGCGCTGCTAGAAGTTTTCGATCCATCTGATCGCATTGATAAGTGCCCTGCCTTCAGTCTTGCACGATACAACAAGGCAGGTCATTCCGCAATTTTCCTCCATGCAGTCCGCTCAGTGGAGCGATGCAGTTATGTCAAGAATACCTTGACGGATGATCAGAGCTTTGCACCTTGACGCAGAAGACGATTGGCTTGCTCTGGCGTCGTGATCACCTCGTTGCTCGCGAAATGCCTCGCAAGATCCTGCTTCATGATCTTGCCGTTATGATTGCGAGGCAACGCATCACAGAGCACTACGCCGGCATCAAGCTGCTTGTACCGCGCTACTCTGGTGCCAAGTGTCTGGATGACAGCCAGCGCAAGCGACCGGTGCTCCTCGATCGACACCGACTCGGCGGGTACGATGAAAGCGCGTGGGAGCTGTGTAGAGAGAGAGTCCACCCATATGCCCGCTACCGCAACTTCTGCCACGCCTTGCACGCTCATCGCTATCTCTTCGAGCTCGGTGGGCGACACCTGGAATGAGCGGACCTGTAGCGAGTGCATAAGACTAGGACTTCTGGTGCGGAATAAATTCTACCTTGATCATGTCCTTGAGTCTGGAAATGATGTAAAGATTGCCATGCTCGTCGAAGCGACCAAGATCGCCAGTGCGAAAGTAGCCATCGTGGGTGAACGGCTCGACCGTGTCCGTGCCGCGATAGCCATTCATGACGCTGAGGGATTTGACCAATATCTCGCCTTGGCCTGTCATCTCGTCGTCATCGATGATGACCTCGCAGTCCGGGACAGGCTTGCCGACGCTGCCGAGACTGGCTTCGGCTTCAGACCATCGTGAACTCACATTGCCTGCCACAGGCAAAGTTTCCGAGGATCCATAGTCGAGATCGACGATGATTCTGTACTTGTCCCACATCTTGCGAGCAAGGTGGGCCGAAAGCGGCGCGCCGCCAGAGCAGATACGCTTGGTGTAAGCAAGATCGCTCGGCTTTATCCAAGAAGAGTTTGCGAGCATGGCAACGATGACGGGCGCGACGTGTAGAGTCTTTATGCGATGCGACCTGATGACGTCAAGAAGCTGCTGAGGCGCAAAAGGTCCGGGCAGCACGAGCGTAATACCCAGGGTCAGAGCGACAAGCTCACAGCTGACCATCCCAAATGCATGCGAAAAGGGCGCTAGAGCAAGCCAAGACTGGTTTGGACTGCGAGACGCGCGCTGGCATGACGCTTTGATAGCCGCAATGATGCTCTGATGCGTATGGACGATCTGCTTTGAACGCCCACTCGTTCCGCTCGACCACAGAATGCAAGCCGGTCCATAAGCTTTGCGCGCAGGCGCTTTGTAGCCGCCTTGCGGAGGGTCGTGCAGGCTGTCCCAAGATTTCACGCCCAGCGCCGTGGGCATGCCTGCCACGTAAAGACCCTGCAGCCGAATCTGCTGACTCGGCAAGTGTTTGCGATGCTACACGAGCTTTTCCTGAGCGTCGCTACACACGTGTAAAAGCAAGCTGCTGACCTTGAAGCGCCATATGTCGACCGCATCTTGAACCAGCTGAGACTCGGTCGAAAAGATGATGGTCGGCGTACAACGATGAAGCATTTCCGCAAGCTCGAGTACTGTGCTTTGCGCAGGTGCAGCTGTAAGCGTGAAGCCAAGCGACCAGCAGGCGAGCTGTACGATGGCATACTCAGAGCTGTTTGGGCTGTGAACGAGGACAAGAATCTCTTCGCCGCGAGTAGCATCAACAGACTGAGCAAGGTTGAATGCAAACACCTGAGCGCGTCGACGCAATTCGCCTCTTGTGAGAGCCTCGCCGGAGATCGCATCCTTCATGGCCACATGCTGACTACTGACAGGCGCACTTGTGAAGGGCGAGGAAAAGATATAATCGCAGATGTTGCTCGCGCTCGGGGTGAATGCGATGCTTGAAGGCGAGTATGTAGTGATGAGGGACATAGCGCCGTGTGTCAAGCTCGCGGCGCATAGAGCAAGCCGACGAAGTAGTCGTGAAGAGGAGATCTCGGATCGCGCAGATCTAATGACAGGAAGTAGCGAGGTCCGAGCTCGACGGTCGCTGGGCTGACACGAGGGTTCCTCCCTGCTTATTCGATTCACTGTCAAAGTGGCTGACAGCAATGCGTGCGACTCGCAGGTCATGTCCTGATGCATCCAGATACACGACCGCGATTTCGCGAGGAGCTGTCTTTGATGAACTTGCGGGCCCGACGCGAGGCTTTGGCAATGACCGCTGCCGAAGTGATCGTGGGCATTTAACTAGGTGATACGTTTATAGAACATCACGTAAGCCTTCGCAGAGAGCACCTTTGAGATGTCTGTCGGGCGCACGTCCTCGTCTGAGCAGTGAAACCATCGTCTCTTCTCGCCATCAGCGCGGCAGACATGCGCAACATAATGGCCACCTCCAAGCGTGCCGATGTGCTCTATGACTGCGTAGAGCCTGTAAATCTGCTTGTCGTCGCTGACTGTCTGCTTTGGAAACATAAAGACGCTCATATCGAGATACTCGGGAAACGTGATCATGTCGTCGACCTTTTTGAGGTTCGAAAAGGCAGAGCCAAACACACTTGACTTGCCACTCTGTCTGAAGCGCTTGACGTGAAGACAGAGCACTAGCGGCAAGGTAGCGATCAAATAGCGCTTCCATGCGCGGCGAAGAACGAAACGTTCTGGACGAGGCGTTGTAAGCGCTTTCTCCGGTGCGAAGCTGATCGCTGTCGCACTCGCGAGCGCCCTCCGGTCCGAATCGGTTAAAGACGAGCTACTTGCTTTGGTGAGCATACGTGTAGGACCGAACGATGGGCTCGAGACTTCCGAGACTGGCGCCGACGCCGCATCCTCCACATCACCCTCTGCGCCGGAAACCTCGCCATCAGACAGCGAGTGCGTAGACTCATTGACAGGCGCGTACAAACCGGTGGACGCCACCGATGATCTGCGAGAATCTGACACGTTGATCATACCTGACTTCGCTTCTTGCATCCCTGGCTGCGGCGCATAGCGTTCGACAGCTTTGGGCGTTTGTGGTACACGCGTCGTCATAGCCTGGCCATGCAGATATTTCCAGCAGCGTCGGCACTGGAAGGCGTTGTCGCCTTCTAATACTTCGACGCTCGTGAACTGACGAAGAGCTTCGTACAGGCCTGTATGCATCTGCTCCTTCGCGATATGACTGAGCTTGGGACCTGGATGTATGCCTGGATTTGAAGACGAGGCTGCTCTCACTTCGGCAGGACCATTAGGCTGAGCGATTCTGAGTCCATGTAAGGGTAGTATCGCCGTCTTAGGCAGATCTCGCAGCAGTTCCTTGACGTATGCGCTCTGCTCCCGTGTTGGCCGGGGGATGGGCGCAGCCTTGCGTGATCTGTGCTTTTCATGGTGCTGATGTTCCGTGCGCGAAGGTGAGGGCTCTCGACTGGCTGAATTAGCGGACGAAGGCTTCAGCCAAGTATGTCGTTTCGAATTGAGCATAGCTGGGTCCAAGCTCTTCCGTCGACGGACGCGCGCGTCCTCGTCCGGCTGACTCAGGAGCGTGTCCTCGCCGCCCGACGCCTCGGTCTCAGAATACGTGATAGCAGGTGATTTGTCCTTCTCGCTGCCTGAATTTGCCGACCGTCCGAGCAGCTGTCTTATTCTGTCCCTCTGCTCGTACGCGCTAAGCCTGCTAATGTGATGGATTGTGGGAGTGCTCTTACCCGTCGCAAGCGAGCGTCAGCCTCTGTCTTCATAGGAACAGAGATATCGAGAAAGTCCTCGTGAATGGTAGAGGCATGTAGGCAAACTTCGCACACAATCGTGCTAGCCCATCTGCCGCAGAAAAGTCTATCTATGAAGCTGTAGTAAGGATAAGCCGAGAGTGCTTGCGGTGGGGGTAAGATAGCCGCGGTCGAGGGCGACTCGCTGTCGCTGTCGGATGAGGAAGCTTCAGAGTCTGCTTCGCTGCCACTCGCATTTGCAACGTATTCAGAAGAGATGACTGGCGGGCCAGCGTTCGCGTGCACTGTGCCACGCCTTCTGCGTGACCGCTTGAGGGCTGCAGGCGGTGGTCTCAGCTGCTTTATCAGCTGCGAGTAGCCACAAGGAATCAGTGCACGCGTGGCAAGTCATCAGGCTCGACTGACATCGGCCTCTTCCATCCTGACGGTGTCTAAGAGCACACGAAGGAGCTCATGTGCGTCTTGTTGCTCGTTGCCATCGAATTCGTCGCGCTTCTTTGCCAGCTCACGGAGTAGCCTATTAGGCGATATAGTCTTTGTCCTACTTGACGAGCTGGCGGTACTTGCTGACCAGATCTGTGTCAGTAAGTGATGCAGCGAACGTGTGAGAGGCAGGGTCTGTTGCGCCTGCGTTTCTGATTCGGCAAGGCAATACAGCGATGGCGAGTTGATAGCTCCCGGTATCCGGTCGGGCACAGTGCCTTCTGGCGTGACAGCATCGCTCGTCGCGGCCAAGTCGACAGCCTTGACGAGCGTAGTGAGCCCTTCATGACCGAGGATCTGCTCGAGCGGGTCGGTCGCGCTCAGGGACTGTATCGTGCAATTGAGAAAGCAAGAGTTGCCCAAGTTAACGAGGCCGGGCTGTCGCACGCCTGTCGCACTCGGGCTTGCAATGGCACTGGCAGAAGTGCCCGTGCCAGAGCTTCCACTTGATCCCCGTTGCTTGGGCTTATCTGCTAGCGAAGGCACTGGCAGCACCGCGGCATGTGACCGCTCAGGCGAGCCTGACTTTCTGACGGCATTGCTCGTACTACGATGCTGCGTTCCGCTCGAGCTCGAGTGGTGGGACGTAGTATGACCCGATGATCTGCTGTGCCTGCGAGGGAGATGGGAGCTGCTGCTCGGCGGAGACAGACCGGAAGTGACGTCCAAGCTGCGTCGTCTCGAGCTAGGAGAAGCGCTGGGAGGTGAGATGGGACGGGACGACAGCAGCGTCTCTGTCGTCTCGCTTGCCTTGTCTGGCGGCAGAAAGGGAGGCACCTTCCTTGTGCCCAGCACGCCCATCTTGCCAGTCACCTCAGCTGGCAGACTGGCCGCCTGGCGCGGTCGTCCTGCTAGGTCCTGCTAATTCGCGACGTCGACCATTTTTTGCCTGGTGACTCGCCAGCGTTTGACGCTTTGGGGCAGCTCATAGGCGCACCAGAGGTGAGTCCAAGCCTGCAGAAGGCTGGAACTAAAGCTTATACGAGGTTCTGGCAGCGCCATGTCAATCCTCAGCTTGGGGGCCTCCCCCTTTACGCCTGCAAAAAGATCTCAGCTCTTGACGTCTTTGCAAGCTCTGGCGCCACAGATCAAGAGCATAGATGCTGTCTATCTGCATTTAACATCTTTGCAGCCTTCGAAGAGCTTAGACGAGACGCGACGAGAGGCAGAGCTCGCTATACTGACGACTCTGCTGACGTATGGCGACGACCATACTCTCCCGGGCACCCGTCAGCGACTGCAGTCCAGTATACGGTCGTCCAACGACTCTGAGGCGAGCTCTGAGAGTATCTGTGCATTTGTGACGCCGAGGAGTGGAACTCTGTCGCCCTGGTCCAGCAAAGCGACCGATATTGCTCGAATATGCCAGCTCGAGTCCGTTGCGCGCATTGAACGCGGCCTGCTCTACCTCATTACGCTGGACGAGCATATACCTACAGAAAGCCTGCTCTATCTGATCGCGCCCAAGTTACACGACCGAATGACTCAGACATGTATGAGCAGTCTGCCCGACCTGGATAGATTATTTGCAACGAGCGCGCCCGGCCCTCTGCGTACTGTCGGCTTGATCGGACAAGAGGATCCGACAGCCAGTCTAGCACGAGCTAACGCTCGATTGGGACTTGCGCTGGCAGCAGACGAGATCAAGTACCTCGCGAAAGCCTTCACAGAGGATTTGAAGCGCGACCCGACAGATGTAGAGCTTTTCATGTTTGCGCAAGTCAACTCTGAGCACTGCCGTCACAAGATTTTCAATGCCGACTGGACAATCGATGGGGAGCAGCAAGATCTCAGCCTGTTCGCAATGATCCGCAATACCCACAAGCTTACGCCCCAGCATACCATCTCTGCCTATTCGGACAATGCTGCCGTGCTGGAGGGCTACGCTGCCCATCGTTTCTCTGCTGGCCAGAGCACTGAGAGCGGTCTACCAGCATATGCGAGCAGAGAAGAAGACTTTCCAATCCTGATCAAAGTCGAAACGCATAATCATCCCACGGCAGTCTCCCCTTATCCAGGTGCAGCAACGGGCTCAGGCGGAGAGATTCGCGACGAAGGTGCCGTAGGCCGTGGCTCGAAGCCTAAAGCAGGCCTGGCAGGCTTCACTGTTTCTAATCTGCTCATCCCTGACTTCTTGCAACCTTGGGAAAAGGACTTTGGCAAACCATCCCATATCGCGTCAGCGCTGGACATCATGATCGATGGTCCCCTCGGCTCCTGTGCATTCAACAACGAATTTGGTCGCCCCGGGCTTACGGGCTATTTCCGCACATACGCGGAAGAGATCCCAATCGAAGGCAAGGCGACGGAAGTGCGAGGCTATCACAAGCCTATCATGATCGCAGGTGGCTTGGGCAACGTTAGACCCGAATACGCCCTCAAGCAGTCCATCTCGCCGGGCGCTCATGTCATCGTGCTCGGGGGACCCGGCATGCTGATTGGTCTCGGAGGCGGCGCAGCCAGTTCGATGGCTTCAGGCTCTAGCTCAGCTGATCTGGACTTTGCATCTGTCCAGCGGGAGAATCCCGAGATGCAAAGGCGGTGTCAGCAAGTGCTCGATGCCTGCACTGCTCGCGACCGCAACCCAATACAGTCTGTGCATGACGTAGGCGCGGGCGGTCTCTCAAATGCCCTGCCCGAGCTGGTACACGATGCGAACTTAGGGGCGGTGTTCGAGCTACGCGAGGTTCTGGTCGATGACCCGGGCATGTCACCCATGGAGATCTGGTGCAACGAGTCACAAGAGCGCTACGTCCTGGCAGTAGGCCCAGACGATTTAGCCACATTCGAAAAAACTGCTCGGCGCGAGAGATGTCCATACGCGGTCGTCGGCGTAGCGACCAGCGAGCAAAAGCTTGTGGTCACTGACCGATTGCTTGGTTCGCGACCTATCGATTTGCCTATGTCCACGCTCTTTGGGAAGGCACCGAAACTCTCCCGAAAGGCACAGCGTACAAGTCCGACTCGCCATGCCTTCGACACGAGCCTGCTGCTCTATTTGCCTACTGCGACGACCTTTGAGTCAGTCCTTAGCGAAGCTATCGATCGCGTGATCCGCCTGCCCAGCGTCGGATCAAAGGCTTTCTTGATCACTATTGGCGATCGGTCCATCACTGGTCTCGTTGCGCGAGATCAAATGGTTGGACCTTGGCAAGTACCTGTAGCAGACGTTGCCGTAACTAGAACCTCGTACGGTTTCGACGTTCTCACTGGCGAAGCGATGGCAATGGGCGAGCGAACGCCACTCGCACTCTTATCCGCGAAAGCATCTGCGCGCATGGCTGTTGGCGAAGCGCTCACGAACCTTGCCGCAGCTAGCGTGACTGACCTCGCTCGGGTCAAGCTGAGCGCCAACTGGATGTGCGCGGCCTCCCACGGAGACGAAGGCGCGCTGCTATATGAAGCAGTTCAAGCGATTGGGCTCGACTTGTGCCCCTCTCTCGGACTGAGCATACCCGTCGGCAAAGACTCGATGTCGATGAAGATGTCGTGGCAAGCTGGCGAGGATACACAGTCAGTCACAGCACCCATGTCGGTCATCATCACAGCCTTTGCACCAGTCGATCAGACTGCGCGCACATGGACACCTCAGCTGAAGACAGACCTTAATGAGCCAACTGTTTTAGTGCTGGTTGATTTGGCTGCTGGCAGATTGCGCATGGGAGGTTCGGCCCTCACGCAGGTGTTCAACCAGCTCGGCGACGATGCGCCGGATGTTGAAGATGCAAAGGCCTTGAAAGGCTTCATGTCAGCCTGTCAGACTTTGCGTCATGATCAAGCGCAACCTGTGCTTGCGTATCACGATCGATCCGATGGTGGCTTGTTCGTCACGGTAGTCGAGATGGCGTTTGCAGGCAGCATTGGCATCGAGCTCATGCTCCAGTCGCTTGGTCGCTCTGACGATCCTATCGCAAGCTTATTCGCAGAAGAACTTGGCGCTGTCTTCCAAGTCCGAGCAGCGCATCTCGAATCGTTCTGCAGCGCGTTCACGTCAGCCGGCCTTAGCAGCACGGCAATTCGCGTCATTGGTCGAGTCGCGAATGAACGCTCTGATCAAATTATTTCCATCGTCAATAACGGCTCATCCGTCTGGTCGGCATCGCGAGCAGATCTTCAACGCAAATGGGCAGAGACATCTTATCGTATACAGGCTTTACGAGATAATCCAGAGACCGCTAAGCAAGAATACGACAGCTTGCTGCAAGACTCGCCAGGCTTGACTTACCAGGTGCCGTTCGAGCCAACCTTACCGATCGTCGCATCTCTGAATGACAGACCTCGCGTTGCGATACTGAGGGAGCAAGGTGTCAATGGACATCTAGAAATGGCATGGTCGTTCCATCAGGCTGGCTTCAATGCGATCGATGTCCACATGTCAGACATACTTGGCGGACGAGCGCAGCTTTCCGACTTCGTTGGTCTAGCAGCATGCGGGGGCTTCTCGTATGGCGACGTGCTCGGTGCGGGCAGTGGCTGGGCCAAGTCTATCTTGCTACATGCCAATGCCCGCCAACAGTTCTTCGAGTTCTTCAATGAGCGCTCGGACACGTTCGCTCTAGCCGTGTGCAACGGCTGTCAGCTGTTTGGAGAGCTCAAGTCGATCTTGCCTGGCGCAGAGCATTGGCCGGGTTTCAAGCCTAACACCAGCGAACGCTTTGAGGGGCGAACCTGTCTTGTAGAGATCTGCGCACCTCCTTCAAGCGGCACAGACTGCTTATTCCTGCAGGGCATGCAAGGGACCCGTATACCTGTTGCTGTCGCTCATGGCGAGGGTCGCACACACTGGGAGGATGTGGACTCAGAAGCAGCGTTCAATGCGAGTGAACTGGGCAGAGTGCGGTACATTGATCCTGCGACGAAACAGGCCACCGAACGCTATCCTCTCAATCCGAACGGCAGTGCGCAAGGCCTGACTGGCGTCACGACACCCAATGGCCGCATTCTGGCACTGATGCCTCATCCAGAGCGGGTGGTAGCGCTCGAAGCGAACTCGTGGTATCCGCCAGAGATGCTCGAGAAGTGGCAAGGCAAGGGACCCTGGTTTCGACTGTTCGAGAATGCTCGTCGATGGGTTGGCTGAGCGGACTGCTTTCAGTCGAAAGGTATGCGTTTGACTGCGCCCGACGCAAAGAGAGGCGTTCGAGCTGACACTTCCTTGGCAGCAGCGAACGCGGACGGTACAGGTATACCGCAGCATTCTTCGATGCCTTGACCGCGAACGTGGATGTGGCCGTGAGCGTCACGCGAGACGCCCTCCTCGTGGACTGTATTGCCTGCATCCGACAGAGTAGTCTGGGGAAAAGGCAACAAGGTGCCAAACATGATGTGTTGTGCGACAGGCAACTTTGCAAGCACTTCTGCCTTGAACATCTTGATCATACCAGAGTTGACTTTCTCCCATGTTTTGACCTGCAACAGGATATGAGAGCCAGTCTGACTCGTGCACGAGTACGCACTCCTGAGATGTCATCGAGCATGGGCGAATGCCACCTCAGTCCAGCCGTCTTGACACTGTTGATGAACTTGATGCAAGAAAGATAGATGTAGTCTTTGCTGTATTCATTGACGATGTCAGCCGAGTGGATCGACTTTGGCTTGATATGCTTGTGGCCTGTCCGTGACGATCAGCATGATTCTGTGTCGTTCGGCGACGACTGACCTATCAACTGAGCTGCCCCAAAGAGGAATGGCAGAGAGTGGTAATCGTCAAGTCCCCAAACGCCGTGTGAGCCTGCAATTTCACGACGTCAGACGACACGGTCTTTCAGTACCTGAGCATGCAGCTGACCGGCTGGCTCGAGCCAGTATGTACTCTGTAACGTGCGCATGATGTTCAGATATCGCCAGAAGACGCGCAGTACGAGTGCAGGGTGATCTTGCACGGTCAGCAGACCGAGTAGCTGCAACGAAAGCCTGCCGAGAGGATCAACCCAAGTACTGATTAAGTACACCTGACTCACAGGAAGCACATGAAGTTGAGCTCGTGGCCACTGCCATAGTCAATACGAGTTCGGTTGCCCCATGATTCGCTTAAATATGCAGCGAGCTCCGCCCTTGCTGTGCTATTGGCGCGCATGATGTCTGGCAACTCGAGAAGATACTTCGTAATGTTCTGTCGAGACAGTCTGCAGTCAGCTAACATGATACACGTTCAATGCCGCTCGTCGAACCTCCTGAAGAGCATCGTAAAGCTCACGGAAAGCTGGGTTCCCGAAGCGACTGCCGCCGTTTTCGGCTGCTGGGAAGCGCTCAATGGTTTGTTCGACCTTCGAGAGCAGGTCCAGCAAGCCATTGACAAGGGGAGACATATGCAGATCCGTCGCGGTGAGTGGTATGCCAACGACTGCCGCGTCGAGCGCTTCCACGAATCCAACGAGCTGCTGATGTGTCGGTGAGGCGATGAAGACTTGCAGATGAGCCATAGAGAGTACGCGCTTGGTCAATGCACGCTCCGGCTCCTCGTGAAGCCCGCTAGCCTGTATTGAGCTGTCTGACAATGACTGGGAGCCGGCTGGATGCTCGGAGCTTTCGAGAGGCAGGAGACGTCCGTCTGGTGCCATTCTGAGTGCAACAGAGCTTGCTGATGCATGATTGTCTGCGAATGGAGGCGCAGAATGCACCATCCTGCTCGTGTGAGCCAGTCACTGACACTGCCGAAGACGCAAGAACTCGCGACAAGTCGACGACGTCGACGTGTCATCGTCGTCGTCGTCGTCACCACCAACTCGATCGCTTTGCAGTCGCAGCATGCGGCCAGGCGCATGGCGTGTATGCGCTCTTTTGGCAGCATACGCAAGCTCAGCTCATGCGCAAGACGACGCTTCTCATTTCCCCGACGGAGCGACGGAATTTGCCGAGAAAATACCAAATACCGTGCAAGTCAAGCTTGACCAAGCGCTGTCGTTCAAAGCGCCCTTTGTGTCCACAGAGGGCAGAATACCCAACTATGACCTGTCTGGTCATGCTGCCAAGCTGCCCATGTCGAACGACTATGTCAGAATCGTGCCGCCCAGTCTGCTGAGCTACGGCGGCGCGTTCTCTACCAAAAAGAGTACGACAGACGAATGGATCGTCGAGATTGCCGTGAGAGTACACGGAAGCGTACCCAGCCGTCACATCGATCAGGATGGCAAGCTCATCGAAAATCCAGGCAAAGGCGGTCGAGGACTTGCCTTTTGGTACACCAAGAATAGCAATCCTACATTTGTAACGACGCCCTCTGATCCAAGGCGGCACATCACACCGCCACCTGGACCATTGCCCAGGCTACCCAATGATCCAGACGATGATCACATCTCCTTCTTTGGGAACGGGCGCCGCTTCGAAGGATTGGGTGTCGTGTTGGACACGTCACCTACCCAGCCACTGTTTCCGAGAAGCGATGCACGTACATGGACACCTGCTAAGTATCCCGATGTCGATCCCGGTCCTGAGCCCGTCGGCAAGGTTGTTGGTCTGCTCGATGATGGCTCGACAGACTGGATCCACCAGAGCTCAGGCGAGAAAGGACAGGACGGTAGCACGCTCTCGTACATCAATAATGCCTTTGGAGACTGCATGGCACCCTTTCGCAACGCTCAAGGACTCTTCTGGATCCGTGTAGCTTATTTTGACAAGAGCATACGGGTCGATCTCGATCTCAAACCTCACGAGACCTTGGCAACCGCTGATCGTCATTTTTCCCATCACTGCTTTAGCTTACCCGACATCGTTCTTCCGAAAGGCTACTATTTTGGCGTGACCGGCTTGGGCAACGGTCGAGGCGAAAGTGACTCTTTCGATCTGTATGCGATGGAAGTCTTTGGCGTCTACAGGGGCAAGGATGCCGTCAAGCAGCACGCTGTGCCGCTCGACGAAAGAGACCCTCTTGCGGGCAAAGAGAAGCTTGATGGCACGTCGAAGTTTGAGGACGATCAAGTGGGCGGAGCGCCCGTCAAGTCTGGCTCTAGCGACCTCGATCTCGCAATGGAGGTCATGGTCTCGCAGAAGCGAATGACAGAAGCCATTGACGATCTTACTCGACGAGTCGAGAGCATTAGTGGCAGTGTTTCCGCCGGCTCTTCCGGGGAACCCTCTGCTGGGTATGATCACGAACGTCTCATGAACTCTTGATGAGACTGATGAGTTCACAGGACGACTGACCTGATGCGTCGTATCGAGTCATCGCTTCATGCTTTGACGAGCAAGCATGCCGGCTCAAGCCGGACAGAGTTCGAAGTCCTCATCGAAGTTCTGGGTCAGACGGAGGGCAAGCTACAACAGATCACTCAGCGTATTTACGACTTAGACGTGCGTGCCTGTGCCACGGCAACCTACCATACTTGAACTGATTTTATTGTCAAACACAGGAGCGATTGTTCAAAACGATCTTGCCGATGCAGCACAAGTTGGAAGAAGTCGAACGACTGACACAGACTGCAGACCGTACAGCTCGACTAGCGGCTGCCCAAGCCAGGCTCAGACCTCCTCCGCAGGAGGCAAGCTCCATGGGCACTTACTTGATCATCATCGCAGCTCTGCTTCTCATCGGCCTCATTATCGCCATGATCGTATTGCGCAAAGGCGAGAGGGGCGGCCGTGGCAAGAAGATGATATAGATCAGATTGCATGCTTGCTCGATCCTTGCTGTGCATTACATTTGTATATCAAGACAACATGGGGCCTGATGAAGTCGTGAGGCCTTTGCTCGTTCCGGAGGGATATCGATGCGCGCTACCTGAGAATGTACGCGGCGCTGGTAGTTGCGAATGAGGCGGAAAGGTCCTATTGCCAAAGCTGGCGGGCGGCGAAGGCGCTTCTGCCAGTGTCAGCTTCTTTGTCATGCAATGATCGCTTTGAGTGGGCACACCTCTGACTATATTAGCGTGGCCGTTTGTAAAGCTAGCAGGCGATCGGCCTGTAGGGGGTGGTGGTGGCGCCCCTAGCGTCGAAGTCGGTCTGGCTGATCTGATAGGCGGAGCCAGGGCGGGCGGGGCCGGTACGGACGTATCAGACGAAGAACGCATTCGCACGGGCGGCGGAGGAGGCGCGGCGAGCGAGTTCCGCATGGGAGCGCTATTCCGTTCTGCCATATCGACTGAAGCTGGCGGTAAGCTAGGCGGAGCTCTTGGTGGCGGCGGCGGTGCAGCGCTCGACATTGGTCGTGCAGGCGGCGGTGGTCTTCTGCTGGGCATAGTCGGCGCTGCCACTTCTTGCGAATGGTCTTGCTCGTCAATTTCACTATACGCAGGCGCAGCCCTCTCTGGTGGAGGTGGCGGCTTGCGAGCCGACATGGACGGCGGCGGTCTGCTCGGAGGAGCAGGAACAGCGCGTGCCGGTAATGCAGGCCCATTGGATCTTGGCGGTGCAGGCGGTGGAGCTCTGGGCGCTTCAGGTGCCTGTCGTTCTGGCAATGTCGGTGCTCTCGGAGGCGGAGGAGGAGGCGCGGGTGCAGCAGCCGCTTTTGGTCTCGCTGGAGGCGGTGGTACGCCAGGCCGAGTTGTAGGCGGGGCGGGGATCTGTCTGGACGGCTGTGCGGGCGGCATCGGAACTTGACGCGCAGGCGCCTCCGGTACTTGTCGATTCGGGATTGCGGGAGCTCGCGAAGGGGGTGGAGGCGCAACTCTTGCTGGTGATGATGCTGGCGGTGCAGGCGGCGGTGGTGGCGGTCGCGAGAAAGATGAGGGCGTGGGCGTGGGCGGCGGAGGCGCAGCTGGCCTCCTAGGCACGCTCACAGACGATGAAGAAGCTGACGGCGGCGGTGGCGGTGGCGGGGGCGCAGTACTTGGCGCGCGCGGTCCTGACGGCACTCTTGGACCTGATGGCAGCGGTCTGGCCGGCGCGCTCGGCGTACTGGCGGACTCTGAAGTGCGACCTGTTCCTCCCCCACGATGAGTGTGACAGCCTTGCAACATGTATGAGGAAACTTGCCTATAGCTGTGCCTGCAGTCGTCTTCTTCAGTGTTGGCATGCCGCCGGCAAAGAGACCACCAAGCTGAGGAGCGCTTGATGGAACTGGCGGTGCTGAGCTGGCGCCTGCCGTGCCTGGTATCCTCGGTGCAGAAGCAGGCGCAGGCCGAGCGGCACTTGCGCCGACTGCTTTCGCTGCTCGTCCATAATCAGCCAGGCCTTGCACGGCAGCACAGCAGCGCGAGCTTGCCATCGATGATAGGCGCAGATCTGTCGTGCGTCTCTGCCTTCTTGAGTCGTTTGCCCGCCTGGATCTGGTCCAGGAGAGCGTTGCGAGACATCTTGGCTGCAGAAGCTGTCCTGTCGGCTCGTCGGCGACTGCCTTGCTGCGCCTGATCTGCTCCACTGCAAGACTGTCGCGACCGTGCTGAAGCGCTCAAGCTGTCAAGCGAAAGTCAGCGTGTCGAGCAGGCCACGATGTCCAAAGACGGGCTGTTGTTCGACGCCGGACAGCATGTATGTGCCTTCAGTGCCATTCGCGGTCGAAGCAAGCTGATCTGCTCCTCCTTCTCAGGCCAGCGAGGATCTCGCGTTCAAGGGTAGGTCAATGGGCGCTTGCTGCCCAGTCTCAGCTCAGCTCGACCGCAGATTTCGGCTCGAACTATCCCAGTAGCCCAGCAGGAGATGGCAGAAGTCAGCCGAACAGTCATCCCTCGCGCACCACCAAGTTCTGACATGAACAAGCGTCGCAGGTCTCCCGACAGGCAATGTCGGCTCAGGCCTGTATGATCCGGACGAGGCCATGCAACGGCAGATAGGCGGCTCAGGACTCTTCTCACTCGATTTCTACAGCAAGTACTTTGACATTGACACCATGACCGTGGGTACCGCAGGCCAAAAGACGCGACCCGCGCTCATCATCGCCGTCTGGTCGCGCAGGTCCTCGAGCGATCATGGCGGACGATGTATCCGAGAGAAGACTATGTCGATCATGTGCTCAACGGTCAGCCAGACCTCTACGGTACGCATTCGCGGCTGCGCTCGGTATCCTCATCTGACGTGGCAATACTCACTCTGGCCAGGACCATTCTGGCTGCCGACGACGCTCATCTTTGTGCTCTTCCTCTCATCTTCGCTCTCGTCATCCATCAATGCCTATCTTGCCGGCGAGGCGTATTCTTACGATTTCACGCGCTTGACCGTCGCAGTGACTATCGTGTTCGTCTGCCCTCTAGCCTGACTGCGGCCACAAGCTTGACGTTCGGCTTCCGATGGGCAGGTACATTTATGCGCTCGCGATACCAATCTTGCTCTGGGCAGTCTTCAGATACTGGGCGGGTATCACCTCGAGAGGGCCAGTCGAGATGCTCAGCCTGTACGGCTACGGCCTCGCGCCTTGGATCTTTGTAGCTGTGAGGCCAACGAGCCGGGAGCGAAAGGACGTCCTGACCGAAGTGACGCAGCTTCTATCCATTCCGCCTCTGCCAGCCGTGCGGCTGCTCTTCACGCTGATTGCCTTTGCTGTCTCTGGCGGCTTCATCTTGCGAAAGTAAGCCCACACTCCTCTCTTGCGTACGCGAGCTGACATTACGCCAGCATATACCCGGTCCTCAACTCGGCGCCCTCAAAAATGGCAAGAGGGCTCATCATTGCCGTCGTCGTCCTGCACGCGGGGCTGACGATCGCACTCTGGATTGCCTTCCTTGCAGGTGGCGGGCAGCCCGCTAAGACCATCACGCCGACGCCGGGCACGCCATCAGACACGCCTGCTGATGACGCTAGATAATGCATTGCATGCGTGTATGTGACCGCTTGGAGCTACGACATTGTGGACCACTTAGCTAGCGTGCCACAGAGCGCCTTCAAGGCTGATGCCGTGCGTGATGGGACTGTAGAGTGTGCTCGAAGAGCCTAATGCGTCCGCTGGCGGAGAGGACTGCCTGCCCCTGCCTGGTGCACTACTCAGTGGCTCGAGATGAGTCAACGGCGGCGGTTGAAAGCTGAACTGATATGCACTCAGATCCTCTACCTCCGGCTCCTGACGAGTAGGCAGGCCAGTCGGTATTTCTTTGTCGCTTGTCCTGCGAGGATTGCGCACGAGGCGATGTGCTTGTGAGGGAAGCGTGTAGAGATTGAGGGGCTCGAGCGGCCAGGGTGCGGTTGACTTCCAGAGGATTTGCGAGTCTTGCGGCTCGTCTGAATGACGTGCACGCTGGGCCTCTGTCAGTGCGAAAGGATCGATTGCAGTTGACAATCCGTCGTTCGCATCGAAATTCGTCCTCGCTCGCTTTGCCACCTTGTGCATATTTGTTTGCGACACCTCAGCCTCTTTCTCACTAAGAAAGGTCAAAATCTTTATTGCTTTACGTGCACAGCTCTGCTCGCGCATGAGATCGATTGCAAAGACTATACGAATACGCACAGATTCTTGTGCAGACATGCGAATGATTGACATCGCGTTCTTGATCTCCGCGCGATAGGTGTCTGCTTCGGGGTTGTGAGGATTTTGCAGGAGCTCAAGGAGTAAGATGATGCATGCCCCAGATGATTTGAAATGCAAGCTTCCCCAGTTCTGTCGACAGCACGCCCTTGCGTGTATGGCCAGGAAGACTCTGGCTGCTTTGATACAAAGATGTCTCGAACGAGCGTACACTGGATCGGTGAAGCCTTTTGTTAAGAAGGGCCGATGAAGTCGCATGCGCTCAGTGCAGATAGCGATGTGAGTGATGCAGACGCGCAACTCTTGCAGAGGATTCTTGGCAGCGAGGTTGAGCCGAGTTCCGTTCCAGCCATTTGCATAGTGACGCGGCATGGAGCCCTCAAGGTGCTCTATCTTCCGTTCTAGCTCCAGGACTGCCTTGTAAGTCACACCTTCCACGCCGAACGCAGTGTCGGTGATACTTTTGGACACGACAGCGGTACGGTATCTGATCAGCAAGAAGCTCATGATAGTCTCGCCCGTCGAATTGCGCACGATCCCTCGATCCGTGATCTCGTCATCATTGGCGTCCTGGGGAAACTGCGTATCGACATTGCTCAGATCGAACGTGGACCAGTTGCGACCAAGCGCAGCTGCCGCGAGGACTTCAAAGGAGAGCAGTGTCCACCAGGTCTTTCTGCGATCTTCTGCCTGCTTGAATGTGTAGCGATCGGGTTGATGTGATGGATCTCGATGAAGCCCAAGCTGAAACGCCAGCTGACCGGCCATGCCCAGTAATGCCATGCCTGACCCACAGGCTTCGGCAGGCGTCATGAAGATGTAGAACGTGTTCAGGATGACGATGGCGCGGATCGCCTCGAGGCTGGGATTGGTCAAGAACGCGCCTGCGATGAGTGCACGCATTGCAGCCTCAAGCCATTGATCGACGAGCTTCTCCTTGTCTGCTCCGAGTCCGTCCCGGATCGCTCGAGCTAGTGGCATCATGCTGACTCCCATGGCACACACGCCAAAAAAGGTAGCCATGAAGGCTAGATCGATTCTGTCGTGCTGACCCGTCACGATAGCCTGTCGCATCTCGGCCCATTGCCGATGAAAGTCCGGCAGGCATACCGCATGCTGGTACCAGTCGATGAAGCGGGTGTAGTACGAGAGAGCGGATCGCATCTGAGGCTCTGTTGGCAGCTTGTTGATCAGATCTTCAATGCGTACGTTCGTGGAGCCGAACGGGATGGCCAGCATCGCATTGGCATCAGCGGGTAAGCTCTGTGGATCGTATGAGTCAGACATCAGGCTCCTATGTTCTACGATGAGCTCACTTGGGGAGGAGGGAGATTGTTATCGCAATAACCAAAAGCTTGCGGTAGGAGCATCCTTTCTTGCGCTTCTGTGACGAGTCGACACTCCTTGAGAGCTTTGGACCGCGGTACGTCAAACTGGACGACTTGCGAGATGACCATATGACTCAGGGTCTCGCAGAGATCGTTCGCCTTGAGATCGTGCAGCTCTTTGGAAGTAGACTGTTCCTCGCGTGGCCCACGATCATTGGCCAGTGTCGAGGTACTCGAGCCAGATTGGATCGAGCTCGCGGCCCTACCAGATGACATGGACGAGCCACTCGTGTTGTTCGAGCTACCGGTGCCTATCGCATGATAGCCGGGCCGGGCTTGCTCTGGCGCGTCAGGATAGAAAGTAGGCACGGCCTCTGCCCGAGCTTGAGTGAGCCTGTCGACGATAGCTTGGAGCTGCTCGACTTTTGCTCTGAGCTCGACCGCATCGTTGATGTCTCGAGCAGTCAGGAGAGGCACGGCACCCTCCCAGACGCAGTCGGTCTTTCGGCTCGTACAGCTGCCACAAGGATATAGTCGGTCGCAGCGAAGTTTCTTGCGTCGACATTGATTACAACTAGCAGACTTGCGCTCGATGCGCTTCTTGCGCCTCGCCTGCTTGTCCGACGGTAGCTCGACATCGGCGCTTTCAGCAACCGAGGCGCCAGTCGAGGGTGTTGTCGGCTTGACAGGTTCAGGAGGCGAGAGCGAGCTTGTCACAGAGCTGCTGTAAGTGATGGCCGGTTGAGTGAGTGCGGAAGGATCTCTTGTGTCCCTCACAGTCGCCAAGCCGTCCGGACTAGCTGCTACGAGCCCTGCAGGCTTATAGTGGGGAGAGTCTGCAATGCCAGTGTCGGCTCTTTCTTCGATTGAGCGCATGGCTCTGATGCTTCGGTGCAGGTTGTTGAAGCCGCCGATTCGGTCCATGACTAGGATTGCTTCATCAACGAGACAGCAGCACAGCAGAGAAGCAGGTCTCGACTAGGTTCACCTATCATTTAGAAAAAGACTCCTCCCCTCGCGCTTCTCGAGATCGATTCCGCGTGTCGAGTCGATTGCAGATTTGCAGATCGCCGCGGCCGGGCTGGAAAATCAGTTGGCGCGCCTCTGTGCGATGGATTCAGCGCTCGTCTTGCCGAAGTCTGCGTACCTCATCTCTTGTTCTCTGACGGCGGCCGCTCTGCGTCGCTGTCCTTGCATTGAGCTCGGCATTACAACCGCAAAGCACATACCTTAACGCAGCCCTCTTCCGCCGAATGGCACGCAGCGCTCAGGATCTTAGGACCGCGCCTCTTGCGAAGCTCGCGCACAACAATGTACACTGGCCGAGTCGTTGTGGAGGTACGTGCGACTATCGCCCTTTGCTAACAAATCTGGCGAAACGCCTGATGCCTCGACATGCCAGGTCGGATGCTTTTGTGTGGTTCTGTTTGTGCACTCTTCTTCGCGGGCGAACACGTTCGCGATAGAGCTACGTGCAAGGGCTCAGACGCAAGGGTAAGAAGCGACTACGAGTCACGCTCTGCTCGCCAGATTGACAATGCATTATTGCTAATTTGACTCGTCCGCGACATAGTCTGCTTTGAGCGTCTCGAGCTGCTTGGCCACGCGCTCATACACGACAAAGACAACGCTTTGACTGGAGAATGAGGCAGATGAGCACTTTGTATCAAGTCAAGCTGGCGGAAAACTTGCCCGGGTGCGACACGAGCGACGCGAGGTGTGATGCCAGAGTAGAAGGAGCGGAAGCCCTCTTGGCGGAACATCTCTCCTGCTACTTTCGTGATGCGGCTCCACGCTGTCTCGCCTGCGAGTGCTGTTGCGCGTTGGATACGCGTTTTGATAGTGTCGATAGGTGCATTTGTAAAGGGACCTGATGTACAGATCAGCATGAATGTCCTGCGAGGACCAGAGCCGTGTGCGTACCCATAGCGCCAGAGATGAGACCGATGATGCCAGTCTGCCAGCCGGGCAGCATGCCATTGTACTCTGGCTGCAATTCGACCGCCTTGGCTTTGATCTCCGTGTATGCAGTGAAATTGGCCGCTGCATGTCCAGTGGCTGGTCAGCGTAGTCCTGAGAGGGACAGAGATGACTGACCTTGGTTCGTGGCTTGACGGAGTGCAGTGAGTGCGACACCACGATAGAGCGTCTTTGGGCCTTCTTCCTTCAATATGAGATAGAGTGCGTGTGCTGCATTTCTATACTTTGGAATGTCGAGTGGATCTGCCATACTGTGCTGTTGCGCTTGCAGTCTGATCTTGACGACTTCCATCGGACACACGACCGCGACGGCTTCGGTCGTGCCCGCTCCCAGACCAGCTGCCGTCTCTGTGTCAGGACCACAAGGTCGAGCTCTTGATGGCTCATACCCAGGAAAACGCCTTGCGGGCTTGTGTCGCCAGTCTTCTTGTCGGCGAGGAATGCTTTATATTGCTCGAATGACGCAAACCGGATGGCCATCTTTGGTACAATGCCCGAAATGACTGCGCCCAAGCCTGCGAGGTCAATGGATGAATTAGCCTAGCATCAAGCTGTCAAGCTTGTGGCATGCCTTTGTAGAGACCTAAAGGCGTCTCCTTTTTGACAATCATTGCACCTGTCGCAATGAAGCCTCGTGCCTTGACCTGCGCTTGCTTGTCAGTACCGCCGACAGGGCGACTTGATCGACAGACGCACGCCTTTGCCTCTGCTGCTTCGGCTGAGCTGCATGCGGACCTTGATGGTGTCCAGAGGATGGCAGACGCATGCTTCCGACAAGCCGGCAATTCCTCCTGCGATGAGGTGCGTTCCCAGCGGTGTCTTGCCCTTCTTCTTCGTCTCGGAGGAACCGCTGCCCTTGGGACCGCCCGTAGACGCTGTCGACATGCTGCCTGCGGCAAGGCTATGTCGCTGTACCGGCGAGTGACGTTGCGCGTGACACTCGACCGGCCTTTTCAGCTCAGGTTCGCGGGCAAGTTCGGCAACTCGTGATCGACGATCGACAGTCACGAAACGAGCCGGCGCCTTGTTCGCGAATCCAATCAGGTGCATCTATGAGTTGTTACAGGGACATACAAGACTGCTGCACAGACATCTAGTCAGAATCTGTATCGGGCTCTCGAGTCGCGCCCTCTCTACTGTTGGACAGCCAGGCGACCGTTCGCAAACGGCGACGTTCCTGCACGCAACATGAGCATATGCCAACTTGGCCATGTACCGTACGTACTTCGCGCTCCTTCTGCTGCTTTCGAGTGAGCTTCTTCTTCTTGACGACGGGCATCGGAATAGAGGCATCTGCTCCGTTCGGAGCGGCCTCATCGCCCGAGTTTGCACGAGATGGCGTAGCGCTGTTTGAAGCTGAATTGGTGGCGCTTGCGACCCTGCTCGTCACACGGCTGCTGAAGCGAGACGACCGAGGCGTGTTCTCCTTACTGTCGTCGAATGCATCGTCCACGATAGCAGCCTTGCCCTTGTGAATGAGCTTACCGCCCTCGACATTCCAGATCTCTGGACACAGGGCCCCGACGAACTCGGTGTTGTGGGAGATGCATACGAATGCGCCATCCCATTCGCGAATGGCGACAGCCAGACCACCAAGCGCATCGCGATCCAGGAAGTTCGTCGGCTCGTCCAAGATGAGCAGCTGGGGTTTGGCCCACAGGGCTGCCGCGATGACGACCTTGACCTTTTGTCCGCCAGACAAGCCCTTGAGCTCATTGTATTGCGCGATATCGCCATCCAGGCCGATGTCTTCCAGATGCTTTCGGATCGCAGGCCCGGTGAGCTCACGGGAGCCAGAGCCTTCCCGGGAGGCTTCAAAGTCGTCAAATTGCTGAACGATCTTACTGAAGCCGAGCTCAAAGAGACGCTCGCGAGGGATCCAATTGTTGAACTGAAGCGCAGTGTCAGCTCGACGACCAGTATACGAGACGGCACGCACTCTGTGGTCAAGTCCCTTCCATTTGAGCTCGTAGGTGAAAGACTTCTTGAGCTTCTGTCGGCCGATGATCATTTCCACTCTCCTCTCCTCGCCGGTAGACGCCTTGATGGGCGTCTCAAGGATCTTCTTCTCTTCGGCTGATAGCTTGCGAGATGCGGTCGCAGCGAGCTCGCGATCGTGACCATCTTGATATCTCCATCTGATATAGTCGACAGCAGTCCGGGTCAGATGCTGCTCGATGTGCGCAAAGGCATGCTGAGCGACCATGGCAATACGCAGATTGGGGTGCTTCTCGACTCTGCCAGAGTCAGGAATTGTCTCGCCCGTCAGGACCTTGATGAGCGTCGATTTGCCAGCTCCATTAGGTCCAACGACACCGACACGAGAGGACAGAGTGACTGCACACGAGGCGTTGTACAGCGATGGCTTCGGCGCTCCGGGGTAGGTGAACGTGACATCCGTCATCTTCACGATCGCTCTCGTCTTTGATCGTACACCCATGAGACCTCCAGGGGGCGGGAAGGAGAACTTGATCAGCGAGGCTGATAAAGTGTAGTAGCTCTTTGCAGCTGGATGTTGGTCGACAAACTTGGCAAGATTGCCCTTATAGTAGACCAGACGCTTCTTCTCGTAGTGAATAATATCAGTACAGATGGCATCGAGGAATCCAGAATCGTGTGAGACGACAAGCACAGTAACATGCGTGAGGGCATTGAGATAGCCTTGCAGCCATTCGATGGATGCGCGATCGAGATGGTTTGTAGGCTCGTCGAGCAGCAACACATCGGCCTGCAACACTGATCAGCTAGGAATAGATCCATTGTCTTGTGGCATTACCTCGCAAATCATGGCACGCGCAAGTGCCAGTCGCATCTTCCATCCACCCGATAAAGCTTGCACGGTCTGAGCCTGTCTGTTCTCGTCGAAACCAGTCTCGAACATGAACTTCTTGACCTTGTCGGGAGAAGCGCCAGTCGCCTTGACAAAGCGATCGTTGCACAAGAATTCGAACAAATTTGCTTCGCTCTCTTCGCCGTCGATGTCGTGCTCGACGTAGAAGGTGGAAAGCGACTCTGGCCAGTTTTCGACCTGGTGGCGGTTGATGGCTTTCAGCAAGGTCGACTTGCCGCAGCCATTCGTGCCGCAGACGCCATATCGATGACCGCGACGAAGCTTGAGGACTGTATGGTTGAGCAGAAGCAGCCCACCGTAGGCAAGCGAAAACTGAATGTTTGTCAGTAGCTCTCCATCCGCACCATCGTCGTCTTCGAGATCGGATGCGTTGCGCTTCAGGTCGATCTCGACCCATTGGCGGTTGGCTTCCTTGCAAACGCTCTGCGCCTGTGTTGAAGACATGAACCGAGCCAGATACGGAGCGACGTAGACGTCCTGCCATTGCTTGTCGTCAAAATCACGCTTCTTGACAAGTACCGAGACGGCATGCGAGACATATGAAAGGGTTGTCTGAACAAATGCGTCGGGTGCAGCGCCGGTTTGCTTTGTGAAAAGCTCGACGAGAAGGCTCACTGACGTCTTTTCGTCATCTGGGCTGGGATCGAGTGCCTCTTCCGCAGCCTCGGTCTCGACACCAGCGGAGGCAGCAAGCATACTTTGCTTGGCGTCTCTGCCAAATGCGCGGACCTCTGGGAAAGCAGCGGTCTCTGCAATCTTGCTCACTCCCGGCAGAAGATGAGGCACATGATGAGCAGCAAGCTCGAACGACCTGACGAGCTTGAACAAATTGCCAATGAGGATGACCGTCTGGCGTTGCACAGTTGCACTACGATCGTTGAGTGCACGGATTAGCAGAGGCACGAGGATTGCAAGTGTGGGCGCGTCGACATCGCGTACCCATACGTTGGCAGAGAGCTTGTTGATGCCTTCGGGTACCGTATCTGGGCGCGCCATGCAGGATACAAGGATCGGAATGAACGGAATGACGTCTGGATTGGACAGGACTGAGCAGACTTTTTCAGTCGCACGTGTGGCTGCCTGAGCAACTTCAGGCTTGGTATCTTGCAGGTGATGCGTGAGGCGTGGGATGATCGTGCCCAGTCTTTCCGATACTTGATCCTTGCAGCGCTCTACGACAAGCGCAAGGACGTCTAATGCACCAGCCTTGACGCGCCACTTGCCGTTGCTGTCTACGATGTTGAAAAGAGTGTCGATGACCTTTATGCATTGTTCAGGCGGAGGAAGAGCGACAAACGCCTTGGCTGCGCGCTCGGCAGCATCTTTGACGACTTCGCCCTTGCCGGTCTCTGCGTACATCGCGAGTATCTCGGGCAGCAAAGGTAGATAGTAGGCCTCTGCGCCAGGCTGGGTCCGCCTGAAAATCTCTTCGAAGCCGACCATAGCAGACTCGCGCTCGAAACCGCTTTTACTCTTGCTAGCTCGTAGGAGCTCGTTGAGGATGTCATGGTCCGCAAGCGAGTGCAGGCCAGTCTCCTGCACAAAATCTGCTAATTCTGCGCCAGCAGCATGGCAGCTTGCCGGATCCGGCGCAGCATACAGACGCTGCAGGATTGCTGACGGTGCAGGTAAGACAGCCATCGGCATAGCGCACTCGACCTGTCAAACGTGTGACGTCGGTTAGCCAACAAAATTTGGGATGCGCTGGGAAATTGAAAAATCTCTTCCGACAGGCGTTGCCACGTTATCACGTGTCGCCGGCATGTCGCCCAGTTGAGACAAACTGCCCATGTCGTTCGACCAGCTTGTTCTTCGCAAATACGCCGCGCTAGACTCGCCGCTCGACTCACTGCCCTTTGATGTGTATCTCACTCATACGAATGATGCGCTTGCAATATTTGACTTGTTTCCCAAGGCAAAGTATCATTTTCTCGTCTTGCCTCGACACAATGCAGCTGTATACAAGACGCGCGGCTTGATCGCAGACGATTTCCAAAGTCTGCGTACACTGTTGCGTCGAGGTGCAGAAGCCGCGCTCGTCGTGTGCAAATTGCTGCGAGACGCGAGTGAAGAAGTCATTGCAATGATACAAGACGAGATGATCAAAGCGACCGGAACAAGCTGGCCAATCTCTGCTGGCTTTCATGCGGTACCCAGCATGCATCATATCCATTTGCATGTCATCTCTACGGATCTCGTGTCCGATCGACTCAAGCATAAGAAGCATTACAACTCATTTGACCCGCGTGGCACTTTCTTTCTCTCTGTCGACAGTGTTATTGATCTGCTTAGCCGTGGTCAAGTTGACGAGGTATTGCGTCTACGACTCATCACAGACTTCCCTGACTCTGAGCAGCTCAGGAGCATGATGGACGAAGCATCGACATCGGGACCGCTCGTCAGCCTGCACACGGGCGAGACGTTCAAGAACATACCTCTGCTCAAGGCGCATCTCGAACATGTCTATGCGACTCAGCTGTCGAAGACACCCCGAGTGCAGATATAACGTGACAACAGAACAAAGGCTCCTTCATCTCATCCGTCCCAGACGGAGCGCAGCGCCAGCAGCAGATCTTGCCCAGCTGGCTTGCTTTGCCGACACGTCTTCATCCTCTGTACCCTCGTGTGTCTCGTCAAAGTAGGATGGCGGCGTGTCTGTGCCAATGGGAGCCAGAGGCGAATGCTGGAAGGCTGGGCTTGTCGCGCCGCTTTCGCCTAACGCAGAGCGAACGGCGGCATTGCTACTGAATGTGCCTGCGCTGCGAGGTACTGCGGGCAGGCTAGGCGAGGGCATCGCCAGCCTGTCGCCTGTACCCCCAGCTTCACCTGGAACGAATCGGCTGTATGAATCTGCAGAAGACGAATTCCATGTGGGTTTGGTATCTTTGCCACTGCGTCGAGCGAGTGCTCCCGGCCGACGCTGCGCCATCGCACGTGCGAGATCGTCCTCGCGACCGCCCGCGATCTGATGAGGACTCTGATAACCCGAGCGGGGCGTACCGGCGATAGAGCTCGAGTCTGATCGCGGACGACCTTCTATCATCGAAGGGAACGGTTGGGTCGCTTCTGGCGGTCTGAAACCCTCGGCGCGGGCGAACGCAACTGCGCTCTTGACACCGGCTTCCCTGCAAGCAGGCATGTCAGCACAGGTCGGCATAGTCAAAGTCGAGCTTACCAAAGAACGTGGGCCACTTCGCCGACAGCGCGATGGATATGAAGATCTCTGTCGAGCTGGACCATTGCCTCCAAACAGGACGACATAAAGAGCACAAAGCGCTGCTGGAGCATGAACCTCTGATTGAGGTAGAGTGCAAGTTGTATGATCGTTGCAAAGAAAGTCGCGATGAGATATGGCAACTGCGATCATGTAAGCACGGCTGCCTGCATCTTGTAGCGCAAATAGAGACATACGGGACTGTTCTTGATAAAGACTGCGCCAGCTACAAAGGTAGCGATGATGGCCTCTTGCCAAGTCTTCGGCATACCATCGTCAGGCAATGTCATCCAGTGAGGAAGCTTGACAGAGACGCGACGGCCGCAATGACAAGTCGTGACGATCTCTGTGCTCGTGCCAAGAGCGGGATCGCCTCTGATGACAGTCGAGCCGTTTGCGCCCGTTTGAGCGTTTGCCTGCAGATTGGCAGGACGGGCTCGACCGCCATTGAGTACAGAGGTACTGGAGATACGTCGCAGTCGCGGTCCCCACCATCCCGAAGCAGCACCTTCCTGTTGCTCGGCATATACGCGTGCAGCATCTTCATCGACGTCTTCTGCACCCACTTTATCTAGCAGCTTCATGACTTTATGTCGCAAAGCGGTCTTGCGAGCCAGCGTCAAGTCATCCTCGCCCGGTCCAGATGCGCTCAGCTTAGGCAGCGCATTGAGATAGTAGTCTAAGCCAGAGAAGTAGCAATCCACTGCAGTTGGCCGTCCAGTCTCAGCATGAACCATCAAGAAAGGGCTCGACGCTGACCTGCATAATCACTCTCTCTACCGCCTTTCTTGTCTTCTTCGAGAGCTTCAGAAGCCAGTCTGATGCTTTGCTCGAGATGCTTCTTGCTCAGCTTGCTCCTTGTCGCGCTGACAGGCACGACTTTGCCGGCCGTTTTGCCGCTGCGCGGAGACTTCATCGTTGGAGGCGGCATCTCGTCTACACCTCGCGTCGAAGTCGTCCGCTTGGGCACACGCGAGCTTGGCGAGCTCACTGCAGGTCTGACACCGGGTGTGCCTGACTTTGTCCAGCTGCTCTGAGACGTGCCGACGGTCTGACGCGACGGTACTCGTTCCGTGGAGCGATCTATGTGAAGTGCGTTTGCAGACTTGCTTCCTTGTTTAGCGTCCTGGTAGGCCTCTGTAGTATCTTCCTCTGCATCAGACGGGACAGGTGTAGTCGTTCTGGATATGCCAGCGGAAGCGGAGAGTGAATTGATGGTTGGGGCAATGACAGAATAGGCTCTGGATGAAGTGATGAAAGAGGGCACCCGTGTGACAGCGGGCAAATGAGGTGTGTTCAGCGGAGAAGTCGAATTGGAAGACGGTGCTGCGGCTGTCTCGTCAGCCTCGCCCATCTAACCGGTGTATCTCTAGATCTTGTCGCCTGAGCCGCGCACGGTCTTTTCCGTTGGTGGTGGCCTTTGACGAGCTAAGGGGCCGTGCTGGACAGTCTGTGTGTCTGACGTGAGCAGCCCACTTGGTCGGATGAGTCTGATCACAGCAGTATTGTGTGGAGACACGGCCAGGCTGCTGTCTTTCACGGCGGCGACCGAGGCGCGTCGCTTTGAGAAACAACACGTCATCGCATGGCAGGGCAGCGGCGACTTTCATGAGGTCTGTCAGCTGATGAGCGCGAGCTCCAGCGGAAGATCTCCGACCCTCAGCAAGCTCGAGTCGGCCCAGGATCTCCTCGAACGGGCACAGAAATGTGAGCAAGGCCAGAATTTAGAAAGAGCTTTTGTGCTCTATGTCGAAGCCGGTCGAGCCTTGTTGGCCTGCAGCGATCTACCGGGCGCAGACTCTACAGCCCTTCGTCAATCTGCACAACGCTGCATAGGTCGGGCGCAGAAAATCAAAGCAATTCGGCCCGAAGTGCGAGCAGAATGGTCCTCAAGGCTCCGAGAGGGTAGGTTTCGGTGATCAGACGCAGCCGCTGCAGCTTGAACATCAGCGCAGACGAGCAGGCACGGATCCTTAAAGGTTCTAGGCAATACGGCGAGCATGTCTTGCCAATTTGGTCGGACCAACGCACGAATGACGCCTTGCCGTCACCCCAACTGTCGGCCAGACATTTAGAGCGTCAGGCGACGTACAGTTCGCTCAGTCAGTTGTCACACACACACACTAAAGTGCCGCTACGCGGTTGGCATGTACAACAAGACAGCGTGACCGACTGCTCGGTCGTCGCAAGTCTGGCTTGTTGCGCAGAGTATAATTATCGCTGGCAAAAGTCGCTCTTGCAAGACCAGGTCTTCAAGCGCCCGGGTGGTCTATACGATGTACGTCTATTTCTCAATGGACTTTGGCGCTGCGTCACCATCAACGACCAAATGCCATGCTCGGGTGACGGTACTCTTCTCTGCGCACAAGCAAGTAGCGAGACCTGGCCCACCCTGATGGAGAAAGCCTATCTCTCGACTCAACCGGGAGGCTACGAATTTGCAGGCAGCAACTCAAACATCGATCTAACGGCGCTTTTGGGCTGGATCCCAGAGCGTTTCGTTCTTTCTGCTGCCGACTTTCGACCCGAGTCGACTTGGAAGCGATTACTCTCTGGCTTTGAGCGAGGAACCTGTCTCATTACAGCAGGCACAGGCAAGACTGTACCCGAGTATGACGTTCAAGTATTGACGGCTCAGCATGACTATTCTGTCTTCTCCCTCGACGACCGGGACGGCCAGAGACAAGTGACCCTTTACAATCCCTGGAGAACAACAGCAGACAGCGAGCTTGATCGATGCTTTACAATGTCGTTCGAGGACGTCTGTGCTTACTTTGACGTCATCTATGTGAACTGGCGACCAGACGAAAGCCTATATCTGAACACGGTTCATCTGACGCTCACGCCGAAAGAGCACCTCACTCGGCTTTACCTCCAGCCAGAGTCCCAGACGATGAACCCGGGTAGCATTACAGTCGTCTACCTACGTCACCGAAAGGAATCAGATCCGCCGCAGCCGCCCTTTGCAAGCGTTGGCTTGCTGAGCGAGCAGCAGGCAGTGCGTGATCTGGCAGCTCGCGAATATACAGATAGTCCTGTCCTTTGCTGTCATACACACGACAGCACCCCCGAGCCTATGCTCGTCTTGCTGTCTCATGCAGAAGTCACGACGGTGTTAACATTGACCCTCCAAGTCTACAGCGCTTTCAAGCTCAGTATCGTCGATCGACCGCCTGACAAGCCGATTACAAGTAGCGTCGACGGCGCTTGGGAAGGTCTCACTGCGGGCGGCAATCCTGAGTATCCTACATGGATGAACAATCCACAATATAGCTTGCGCATACAGGAGAAAAAGAGTTGCGACTTCTGCTTCTCCCTCAGGGCTCCTCGCGCCAATGCTGTACACATCGTACTCGCCAGACACAAAGGCGACAGAATCACAGAACTCACTCCAGACATCGTTGTGGCCGACTCTGGCGCTTACCAACACGGTATAGCGCTCTGTGAAAAGAGCGATCTGCGGCCAGGCTCCTATGCGCTCATCGTATCAACTTTCGGCCAGGGTCAAGAGGCATCGTTCGAAATTACTGTAGAAGGCACCGTCTCGTGTGAGCTCGTACCAATCCCTCGCGAAGGAGCGGGAATGTTCTCGCGTTCCTTCGTCTCGCGTTGGGCAGATCGACCGCGATATCGCCTGAAGATACTACAGCCAACGTCAGTGCTGTTACGTACGCAAGCAAACGATACAAAGTCAAGTACAGGTATCAGCATGCAGCTCATAGATCACCGGGGCTCGGAATGTGCGACCGCTCGCGCTTCGAGTGGCCCTAGCGGCGCAAGTCTCGAGAAGCAACTTCAACCGGGAGAATACACTCTTCTGCCATTGTGTCGGCGAGCAGACGGACAATTCAAGCTATACGTGTATTCGAACAAGCAGATCAATGCTGCTATGTTGTGACAACAGCTTCGTGTATCAAATGTGACTTCACTGAATGACTATGCTGCCTTTACTTTCGGCTTCTCTTTCGTATCATTTGTCTCTACGCTCGCCAAAGTGGCATCGTTCGAAAGAGTGACTTGCTGGCCATCGGCCATGCGAGCCCGGACTGCCGACTTACCGGCTGCTTTTATGAGCGCTCGTCGGGAAACGCCTCTGACGTCGACGTAGACGAGGGCTACATTCTTGGTCGCTCCGCCAAGCTGTTGGGCAGCCGCTTCTGCATCGCTGCCATACTTGTGTCCCAGCACGGCAGCGCTACTCGACGTTCCTGTCGTCAGTAAGTGTTTGCCACTTGCTTCGACGCCGTCTAGCACGGTGTTGAAGGCGACGGCAGTCTGCGAGCGTGTGAGTGGAAGAGAAGCATGATAGGCAAGAACCACATACCTTGTTGATGACACCGCGAAAGCCAGCAGGCGGCTTCCCTGTGGGATCGCTTTGGATGCCCAGCGTCTTGCCTGCCGCGCCACCAATACTTGCAGCTACTCCCGAGACGACAGAAAAAGTCTTGCCCGAAATCGTCTTTGCATGCGTTGAAGCAGTGTAGACTCGCTCGACGCCGGTCTTTGCCGTTGGATGGAAGACAAGCGGCGTCTCCGTCGCTGGACGGGATTGTACATAGTTTGCGCTTGCCGTCTGCATCTTTGTTGACAACTTCTCTGCAGCAGAGACGACGCCTCGAGAGATGTATTCGCCTGCGCCGATCAGTCGAGAGCCGGATTGGCCATAGCCAGCGGTGACTTGACTAAGTGGCGATACTGTGATCGTGCCATTTGAGCCAAAGTCGACAATAACGGGCTCTTTGGCGGTATCGTCATCATCAATGCTCAGTGCATCATCCTCGGTCATCTTTGTTGAGTCTTTGTCGAGTGTACCGACGACTTGGCCTGAGCCTTGCTCGACGAGGACGAGCTGGCCGCGATACTCGGCTGACTTATCGCTTGCATACGCACAGCGGCTGTATATGATGCTCTCAAAGAGCTCGACGTCCGCTGCCTCGACATCCTTGCCGAGCGTCAGGCGCAATGAGCCTTTTTCGCCCGAAGACCAAGCGTATGTATTGTCTGAAGTCTTGCTGATCCGTGTAGATGCTGGCAAAGCTACTTCCAGCTCGTCCACAGTCACAGCGAGCACTTCATCGTCATCGTAGGCGGGCGGTGCGGTGCTCGTGCTCGTTGAGGCTGCAGACTGCACAGCTGTGGTCGGGAGGGTCAAGATGGAGAGCTTGAGATGTCCCTGAGCGAGGACAGCATCGTCATGACGAAGCGTTGAATGCTCGGCCAGCTCGAGCAGAACAGAGCTCATCGTAGCGCTGCACCAGCTGCAATGCCAAGCCAAGGCGCGTTTTGGATCTGACATTGTACGCGTATGACATCATCATAGGCCTGGCAGCAGGCTAGCGACGGCAAATGTCTGGCAGGAAAACCTGCGAGAGTACACAGTACAGAGTGCATGCAAGTCTATCAGGACAAAGAGGGCGGTACTAGCCAGCTAGTCATCATCCTCTTCTGCAGCAGCGCCAGCTTCTGCCTCTTCGCGCTCCTCTCTGATCTCGTCAATCTCCTCATCCAGACCGATCTCGTCAAAGTCTTCATAGTCGGCTTCCTTGCGCTCGAGCAGCGGCTTGATGAGTCGCTCAAAGTACGGGTGCACTGGCTGCGGTGGATTCGCCGCGCGTACTTGACGGAAGTAGCTTGTGTAGACTGCAAGACAAAGATGAGCGCAGATTTCTCGCTGTCGAACAATTACGTACCATCCCCGTCGTAGCGCCCGAATGGACTGTTGACGATGAAGTCGCTGAAGTTGAATGCGTCGACGAGCGAGACGATTGACTTGCGGAGTTCGTTGCACAATCCGCTGATTTTGTTGGAAATGATGTCCATTTGCTCAGGCGTGTAGAACTTGTATTTGAGGAAGAAGATGCCCTGCTCTTCTGCCTGGAAAAGACCATATAACAAGGCAACTTTTTCAAGGTGCTCGACGACGCCAGACTTGGGGTCTTCTACCTTTTTGAGCTCGCGCAGAGCATCTACGAACTGACGGAAGATGTAGCCAGTGGTGTGTACTTTTGCAGCGACGAAGCGCTCCTGAGAACAGAGCTCAAAGGCGAGATCCCTGCCTTTGCCCTTCTTTGTCCAGCCTTCGTAAGCCTCTGCAGCGCGCTTCACTGTGTTTGCAGCAATGGTCGCCCAAGCCTTGTCGAGCGTATCGAGACTGACTACGTCTTTGTCAGACGGGCACTTGTCGGTGAGGACGTGCTCGAGGTTGTTGAGGTAAGCGACACCGGATGCCATCTTCTTATCGCCCTGTCGGGCCTCGATGTAGCTCGCAATGAGCGAACGACCGGCTTGCAGACTGAGAATGGTGTTATCGCCTTCCCATGTACATTGGACAGCTTGATCGGCATACATCCCCGCGAGACCATTGTAAGCAGAATAGCCATGGCCGCCGCAAGACTGTCTGCACTTGTCGATCGTCTCCAGACCGTTCCACGTGCAGAATGCCTTGAGACCGGCAGAGGTAGCATGGGTCTCCTTGAGCTTCTCGAGCACATCTTGCATGTGCGCCTCATCAGAATTAGGATCGAGCGATTCGAGCGTCTGCGTCATCTCTTCGAAGAGAGCAGTCATGCGGAGGGAAGTAAAGCCCATTGCGATCGCTTGAGCGACCAGGGGGATCAAACGGCGCTGATGAATGGGATAAGATAGCACTTGCGTCTCGAATTCAGAGTCGCCAGTCTTGAACTGACGACGGACTGCAGCATATCGTATGCCAATCGTGAGCGCCTTCTTGGACACACTCGCAGCGTCGGCGACCATGGCTGTCCGGCCTTGAAGCAGTGCACCATAGGTGAGCTGCGCAAGAGGTGGCTCTTGTACGTGGCCCTCTCGTGTGACTTGGGTGTGCTTCATGAGCATGTAAGCCCTCGGGATGCGAACGTTTGTGAACTGAATGTAACCATTGTCGATGCCATCACGGCCCATCTTCTTACCAATGTCGCCGATAAGAATACCAGGCAGCAGAGCAAATGTCTTCGGATCACGCAGCGGCACGATGAAAGTCTTTGTGCCATAGCGCTTGCCGTCGATGACCATCTGAGCAAACACGCTGGAGTGCGTTGCTGTGGAAGCTGCACCGCCGATCCACCACTTCGTAGCAGATAGGGAGGGCGTGTGAATGACCCATTCGTCTGTACGGGTGTCCAAGGTCGCTGTCGTTTCGAGGCCGGCGACGTTGGAACCATGGGCGAGCTCGGTCATGGCGAAACAGCCAATGAGGCCATTGAGACCTAGCAAGCCCTTTTCCATCCAATATGAGAACTGATTCGCTGTAGCGCCCGAGCGTATGGCACCGAGGAAGAGACCATCTGCACATCAGGAGCTCATCAGCACGCGGCCTAGCTGTGTGTTCCTCTGACGTACAATGCACGCCGAAGCGAGTCCAGAAGCCCGGATCGGCGATACCGATGAGTTCCATACGCTGAGTGAATACGTCGATGGTCTCCGTGGTGACATAGTGTACCATGTTGGCAAACTTGGCCATCGTCCGCTCTCGCAATTGATCCTTTGTGAGATCGTGAATGTCATCCAACTTGAAAGCAGGATCGCGCTCAAGTTCCTGCCGAGCTGCGGGTCAGCCTATGCCGATAGGCAAGTCCAAGCAAGGCGTACGATCATGAACTTTTCCTTGAGCTCAGTAGCCTTTTGACCGCCATGTAAGGCGTAGGTCATCCGCCTCAGATCGAATGGACAGAATTCTCGTTCCATCGCGATCGTCTCTGAGGGCGTCGGCGGTGTCTTGTTGGCAGGCGCACCCGGTCCCTTGTCCTCCATTGGCTGCTGCTTTGTAGCATTCTCGGATGAAGCCATCTTGCTGTGTCCTCCTATGCGCGTGATCTGTTCCTGCCTGTCGTCTAATGCGGGTCGCTGGTCACTTGCGCGCCGATCGAGTGAAGCAAGGGATTCTATCGATCCTCCTCCTTCAAAAGTGACCGGTTGTTGTGATGACGAGGCAACCGATGCAAGGTCAGTGCGCTTAGCCGACCGTCGGCTTTCTTTCACGCTTGAGATCGCCGCTGCCGCGCCTTCTTAATCAGCCGAGTGGCTCAGCCTTCCCGTCTGAATCCTCAATCCGTGGCCTCAACTCGACTTGCAACACAATCAGGTGCGCAGACTTTGGCGTTCATTGGTTCATAGACTTATCGTTCCAGCCTTGCCAGACCACAGACTTTACGCAAGCGAACTTTGTGCGTTCCACTCCAAGCCTAAGCAAGAGCATCAAAGCCTTTTCGGCAACACCCAGTCAGCAAGCTATAGCGGCAAGAGCAGCGTTGGCAGGACTCCATGGCAGGCATCTCAATCAACAAACCAATCAAACCTGTTAGGTGAGTCACATCAGCAAGCTTCCGGCCATCAGCATCTCTCCTCTGTGTCGTGCGAGGGAAACGTGGCGCGACTCGCTCAACACACCGATGGCACAGCCTTTGTGGTTTCCACAAGCTCGGAGCTGTATCAGCGANNCCGTCGAGGNATCGTCTGCTCACACAAGACATGTCGTCCTTGCTCGTCCGGTGCCAGCGCCCTTGCCACCACCCCTGCCTCGACGCGACGGAGAACAGAGACTGACCCTCTCGATTGTCCGACAGTATACGCCCCAGCACCGCCAGTGGATNGGTCGGTGCATCTGATGGGGCTACCTCTCTCCTTCTCGCCTGCGAAGCCGCCCCTTCGTCGTTGACCACGGCGGACGGGCTGGCCAAGTGTTTGTCCTGACATCGGCAACGGTACGTTNNACTTCCGGACANTTGCATGCACTGTCTGACCATGCCTGACGAGCAGATGAAATGCCTCCTGATCTAACGAGGTCGACTTTGGGTGATAGCAAAGTCGATCTGGGAGGTGCGGCCGCGTGGGTGAGAAACACAGACCGCCATCAAATCGATTCGACTCCTGTTCCTGCTAATGTACATTCTTCCACCTCCACCAATCCCGTTCCTGCCGCCGCCAATGCCACGCCCATCAAGATCGTCTCTTCCATCCAAGCGGATGCCTACCCGCCTTCGCCCCCTGCTTCCTACGAGGCTGAGCCCCAAGCTGTCAAGCTGTCGCACGAGTTCAACAAGCTCCCGTTCACACCGCCCTCGTCGACCGAGTCATCGTCCGACTCGGACTCTGCCAACTCGTACTTTTCGAGCTCATCTCGCTCAGTACGCCAGTCAAGCTCGCTCACCGGAGAGCCTGGCGAGGCCNATCAGCTCATCAGCAAAGTCAGACCCGACCTGCTCGCCCAATCCAGAGCACTCTTCGCTCTCCGACCCGAGTGGGAAGCTTCGCTCTATGCGCCTTCAGCAACCAGCGAGGCCGGCGAGCGCACGCTCTACTGTCGCGCTAACCGTTCGGGCCTCGTCGAATCGCGCGAGAACCTNGTCGATCTGCTCGAGCAGGCTGACGAGATCTGGAATTGCTCCGCTCTCGTCATCTGTCTCAAGAAGACCGACCNAGATCTCGAGCATGCTCTCCATTCGCTCATGTATGTCGGCGGCAGCATTCTCGCGCCACACGCCAGACAGAGCGAGGAATACATCCTCGTCGGTCTCGACTTGTAGGCTCACNAAAATANCTTTGTAAGACTTTCGTAGGCTCAATGCAAAACGCCTGGCGGCGTGTTTCTGATACAATCCGCGTTGCTTCTTCCGTTCATTCGGAGGTTTGCCCGTCACTATGGCACCAGTCGCTTCATTCTCTCCCTCACTTCTGTCTCCTCATCAGAGCAAGCAACAAGATGATCAAGACTGTGCAGCTCTGCTGTATGCTCATTCTTGGCCTCGTAGTGCTCACAAAAGCGTCGGCTTTGCCTACAACCTCGCTCGGCTCCGACATCACCAAATCAAGTCTGGTCAAACGGGGTCCGCTCGTCACCAGCCATTGCACTATCAGCTGTTCGATGCAGCAAGCTGCGCCGCTCTCAGTCGATATGACCATCAACTGGCATGGCGGTATCGGCGTGTACGATACCGCCAATGTTGACGGTCTCGGAACTGTGATAGCCAACTACAACACTCGTGATCCGCTAGTGCACTCGTCTCACTGGCTCCGTACGTCCACTTGCCATCAATACGCCTGAGGAGTGAGCTCATACGATGGCAGTCCACTCGTCAACGTACGATGTCGTTCTCGATCTGTTCTATCGTCTGTCGAATTCGCATGTCGAAGCTAGCTTTGATCTGGGCGGTACTTCGACTTCCACGGGTGGCACGCACTTGTGAGCATCCCCGTTTCCTCTCTGCGTGTGCTGATGCTTCCTGAACAGTGCGACAGCTTGCAGTCTGGCTTGCAGCAACAACAAAGATGGCAGCAACAAAGTCCCCATCGCGGTTTACGACCCAAAGACGATTTGAGCGCTTTGCTACAGATGTGCATCCTACAAGCGTCTAGTGGCTACAACATAAGCAAGTGAAAGCGTCTACTGCGTCTTGAAGATGCGTAATTCCTTTGAGTGCTTGTCTTTCCCCTTGGAAGCGCCGAGGACTTTACTCGCCACAGAGTTGGACGAGAAAGTGCTGTTGTGTGCGAGCGGTGTCCCTTTAACCCTCTGAGGCTGGTCCGGGTCCATGAGACTGCTATAACCTCTTCTGTTTGGATCTTTCTGTCGCTTTCGCAGACCTTCTCTGACTTTGTCCTCTGGTCGGACGACAATGACCGGCACGGGCGATGTCGCCACACAGTATCTGCATGCTGACCGATCAGCATAGATAGCGAGCAGGCTCATCATGGACTTGCCGCGACGAGGAACCCAAGAAAGCACTCCTCCATACGCTATCCGATCGCCCGCGTGTTCCGACGACGAGCGAATCAGGTCGATAGATCTCGAGCATTCTCTGGATTGTACTCTGCACTCTCCCGACGACGAACTCGAGGATGATCGACAGCTGACGGTCTTGGCCGTTCTTGCGCATGACGCTCTCTAGCACGGTCTGGGCTTCCCTCTTTGCTTCCTCTTGCGATTGTCGCCATGCGGCATAGGCTGACGTGCCTGGCTCGATGACCCGTAGGACGACGACCTCGTCGCCGTCATCGGTGAGAGCGTTGAGTGTCCATTCTAGTGCATGGACAGAGTACTCGTTCAAGTCGGTTGCAACTAGGAAAGTACGAGCATCTCGCCCTCGGGTGTAGCCGAGTGATTTGACCTGCAGTGTGAACGAAAAGTCGACACCTGTCCCTCCGCCCGTCGACGTCTCGTCCTCTGCATCGAACGTATCGAAACCGACTCTCCGTTCGTAGCCTTGGACTTGGGCAGGATGATGACTTGAAGGTGATAAGGTTCCGCTGGTATGCTCGCTGAGCGAATTGGCAGGCGTCTTTGTCTGCCGGGCGAGTTCGAGCAATCGGGAAGTATCCACGCTGCCATCTTGTGGTAGTGCAGCTTCGACTGGCAGATTGTACGCGGAAGATGTCGCTGGCGTGTCGGGCGTCGACAAGTTGGAATGCTTGAGAGCAGATTTGAGTGGCGGTGAGGTTGCCCTGTGTGGCTGATGTGCGCCGTGTATGATTGGCGGTGAGTTCAGACTGTTACGCCTCGATGACGATGCACTTCTCGAGCCTGCCATCTCGCTGCCAAGCCCGCCAAGATCAAAGATTCTCGGGCTCTTCTTTATCAATTCGTCGCGTTCACTTTGATATTGTCCGGTCTGGGCCCGATCAGCTTGACGAGTCGGACCATGACTGCATCGCGACAACAAGATACTGAGAGAGCTAGTACGTGTACCTCGGAGGCGCCTGACGAGCGTCCGTGTGATGTGACATATCCTCTTCCTCGTGCCTGATCGTACCTTGCGCACTGCCCGCGTAAGAAGGCGGTGGCAGAAACGCGCCATGAGCTCGATGCTGGTCATCACTCGTCACCGAGATAGGCGTTTCGGCCTCGAACTCGTCCTGGCTTGCCTCGAGTAATCCTTCGTCTCCTCTCGCTACTGGCGGTCCCTGCAGCGACAACATCGAAGGCGTATTGGCAAATGCGTACAGTCCATTCGTCTCGTTTGGACTGGTCCGTACAGTGCTCGCATCGATCAGATAGCTCGGCGAGTCGCCTTCGACAGAGGGCGGAGGCTCGTCGTCGTGTATCGTCGGCGGTGGCATCTGAGAGGACTCTGCGCCTGCAGATGCATCTTCATATCCGTCGAATTCGGCTTCATCGCCGTCTGCTGGCCAGGTCACGCCGGAGGACTCGCTATAGGTCGGGATGGCAGCCGAGATTGCATCCAGATCGGGTCGAGAATAGCCACCCATGTTGCCATCTATCAGCCTTTGCTTCTCTGTTCGTGGGGCGGGATGGAGCGGCCGGTCGGGTACGATGACGATGCGCCGCTTGCAGGACCATTCGATTCTGTCACCGTCTCTTCCGTCAAGTCCGATGAGTATGTTGACATGGAAGTCTATGTCGTGCAGGATGGTCGATTGGGTGACCGTCTCGCAGACATCTAAGGGTTGCGCCTGCAGCCAGAGCCGCAGAAAGACATCTCGATCGGAAGAGAAGCGACATGATTTGCCAGATCGAGACATGACGACCTGATGATCAGAATCCCTGACGGGTAGAATGGGAAGCTCTGGTGCCTTCGACGAGCGTGTAGGGGAAGCTCTCACTCGTACTTCTCGAACCAGTTCGGCACTGACGCTTCTGAGCTTGAGCCGCTTGTCTCTGATCAGATCGGAATCTGGCGGAGGTATGCGAGCGGTCAACTTGATAGGCTCTGAGCGTGTGAATAGGGTCCTGTTCAAGCCAAATTGGGCCACGATGGGATGCGAGAGCGCTATGCTCGCAGATGCAGCCGAACAAGTCTGACCTCGCCATTCATCGCCTGATGCGCCCGAGAAGCTCATTGTGTCTATTGATGCGGATGCAGGTCGTGTGCGTGCAAGATGAACAGGGAGCGTCTTTTGCAAGGGCGCTTCGCCTTCGAGAGATACTTCGGCTGTGAGACTGTACACGAGAGACGAATGAGCAAAGTGACAGCAGTGTGGCAGGTCGGACGTCATCGGACATTCGAACGGCAGCACGGCAGAAGGCAGACTGGGCTCCGGTCTGGCAGTAGTCGATGTTGAGGGCGCAGATCCGTCCCAGAGTATGTATCTTTGCTCACATAGCTCGATATCCTCGACGCCATCTGCTCGCTCCGTCCCGCGAAAGACGATAGCGACTCGCAAGATTCGTTTGGTCTTTGCGGCCACCCCGCTCGCCTTGATCTGTACTTCGCCTAGCAGTGACGCGGGCGTACAACCAAGCAAGCCTTTCTGGAAACCGACAGCCGAAGGAGCGGGAGCGATGTTGATGAGGACACCGGCAGTGTCGACCGTTCCTGGGGCTTCGTAGATCGCTGGCACGGAATACGAAGGCGGCTGAGCCATCATTGCTTGCATATCGTCATCATCGAGGTCTGCACCGTCTTGCCACGTCAGCGAGACTTCATGACACTTGTGAGCGTCTCTGACCTGAACAAGTATGCTATCAAGCTCTAGGCAGCCTCGGGGCACCGGCGTAAGACTGCCACTGGTGAGATAGACCGGCTGACGTGCTCGAGGAAAGATCGAAAGCGACACGACGCGGTCGCTAAAAAGTCGTCGATCATCACGGGATTGCATGCTTCTGCGGACGGCTTCCAGTCAGCGATGTAGACTGTCAATCACCCATGCTGCTGGAACTACGGCCAGACTACACCAGCGAACTCGTCCTGCGTTCCTGCGATGCTCAGAGGAGGTGCTAGACGCGGTTGAACATCGTCGACCACTCGTCGCCCTCGAGACTGCTATCCTCACCCATGGCCTGCCCTATCCGCGATCGCTACAGGTCTGCCTCCGTCTGGAACACCTCATCAGAGACCAAGGCGCGATCCCGGCTACAGTTGGCTTGATAGATGGCCAAGCCCTCGTCGGTTTATCTCAAGCTGAGCTCACTCGATTAGCCGAGCCAGCATCGTCGAAGCAAAAAGTCAGCAGAAGGGACCTTGCAGCATGCCTCGCTTCTCGTACGCTAGGCGGCACGACCGTCTCGGCGACGATGATCTTGTCACACCTTGCTGGCATCAGTGTTTTCGCGACGGGCGGGATAGGCGGCGTGCACAGGGGGGCACAGAGCAGCATGGACATCTCTGCTGATCTCATCGAGCTCGGTCGGTGTCCCGTCACAGTCGTATCGGCAGGCATCAAATCCATCCTCGACATTGGTCGCTCGCTCGAAGTACTCGAGACGCAAGGTGTCGCGGTCGCCACACTGGGCTCTTCTGCTGCCTTTCCGGCCTTCTACTCGCCCACGAGTGGCTTCAACTCGCCTCTCCGCTTCGATACTGTGCAAGACTGCGCTCGAGCAATGCAAGCTGCCAGAGCTCTCAGGTTGGAATCAGGCATGCTTCTCGCTGTGCCCATTCCTGAGCCGCATGCCAGCCGAGCGGCACCCCTTCAGGCAGCAGTAGAGCAAGCTATAGCCGAGAGCGAAGCGTCAGGAATAGCTAGCAGCGGTAAAGAAGTCACACCTTGGCTACTCGGCCGTGTGAACGAATTGACACAGGGCCGATCTGTCGAGAGTAATGTGGCTCTCATCGAGAACAATGTCACAGTAGCTGCTCAGCTCGCGAGAACCTATAGCGCTCTACTTGACCCTCCAGCACCTTCGCAGCCCCCCATCTCTGAGAGACCGAAAGAAATTTCAGACGCTAACAAAGTCAGGGGAACAATTGCAGTCATTGGCTGCATGGCTTTGGACATCACAAGCGTCATGCCAGCTTCAGCGCTCGTCAAGACGACATATGCTGGCACTGTCAAATTTTCGTTGGGAGGCGTGGCACGCAATGTCGCCGAAGCGGCCCACAAATTACTGCCAGGCGCGAATGTCGCACTCGTCGCACCGGTCAATGCGAACTTTGCCTCCCGTTATGCGATCGAAGCTATAGAGCAGCTGGGCATGCGAAGAGATGCTCTGTTGCCGTTGCAGACGAGCAGAGGCGTGGGCGTGGCGAACCTACTGCTCGACTCGCAGGGTCTTCTGCAAGCTGGCGTGGTCGATATGACCTCTGTCGAGCAAGTCACGGCTGAAGAGATCAAGAGCAAATTGAACGACGTTATCGACATGTCGAAGCGCTCGATAGCAATTTTCGATGCAAATCTGCGGCCTGAAGTCATTGCTTCCGTGCTAGCATATTGTCACGAAAGAGGCGTGGCAACGCTCTTCGAGCCTACATCGCTCGACAAAGCATCCCGGATATGTCATACCTTCCAGACGCAGCGGCAACCCAGGTTGTCGATGATGACGCCAAATGCAATCGAGTTGCGCAGAATGTACGATACCTGCAGGAAAGTGCAGCTCGACCAAGAAGACAGATGGTTTGCTTCGATCGATCTGCTGGGCATCGACTCAGACTTTCGCGCCAAATTAGACAGGCGTATGCCTCGTTGGATGCTCGATCAAGGCATACCCCAGCAGGCGATCTTTATGCTCGCTTTCGTCGATACGCTCCTCGTCAAATGCGGCTCTCAAGGATTTCTGGTCGCCCATCGACTGAACGGACCTCAAGGCGCGAAAGAGGACAAGCACAGCGTGATCAATGAGCACCTGATGATGCAATACTTCCCGGCTGTCCCTGCCGAGATAGTGAACGATACCGGCGCGGGCGATTCGATGGCGGGCGCGTGGGCTGCAGCTTATGTTCAGAATGGCTTTGCATCCGCCGACGCCGTGCGCAAAGCGGCCCTGTATGCCCAGAGGTAGGTCGTCAGAGTCTTGCTGCTACAATGCTGACGGACGCAAGCAGGGCGGCGATTGCAAGCCTGCAGAGCGAGTCAGCAGTCGGCGATCTGACGCGCGTCATGTTGTAAAACGTTGCAGCGCTCGCAAGAGTGGCAGGCCTCAGGCTCAGTCTGATGAGATTCTATGACATCGGATCCAATCTCTCCGATCCTGGTCAGCAATGACGCTCCCTCGCAGCTGCACTCGATCTGACGATGCCCAATCGCAGTCTTTCGTGGAATTGTGCGTGGCAAGCGAGCGCACCAAGATGATCTGTCGCACGTCATGTCCAGAGCGGCAGCAGCTGGTGTCCGAGGTCAGATGCTCACCGGCGACAGCTTGGAAGGGTCGAGAGAAGCGGTAGACCTGGTCAAGAAGCTCAGCAAGTCAAGTGACATGCAGCTCTCTGCTACCGTGGGCTGCCATCCCTGTCGGGCTACAGAGCCCTACAAGCATGCTAGAGGGCCTGACGGCTACTTCGACGATCTGCGAGCACTCATAGAAGCAGACATTGCCGCTCGCAAACAGGGTCAACCTAGACGAGTGGCTGCAGTGGGCGAATGTGGCTTAGACTACGATCGACTGGAGCATGCCGAGCGCGCAGCACAGCTCGACATGTTTCCGCGACACTTTGCGCTTGCACGGGAGTTCAAGCTGCCGTTGTTCCTGCACTCGCGAACGAGCGAGGCTCATGTTGATTTTGTGCGCATACTCAATCAGTCAGGCGACGCCCATCAGCTTCCTGGCGTCGTGCACTCTTTCACAGGCACGGTAGCTGAGGCCAAAGAGCTGATCGATCTGGGTCTGTACATCGGTGTCAACGGCTGCTCGCTCAAGACGGCGGAGAACCTCGAAGTGGTCAAGTCATTGCCACTCGACAAGCTGCTACTCGAGACTGACGCGCCATGGTGCTCCATCACCTCGACATCCGTTGCTACACCTCTTCTTGACGATTTTCCAGCGGGTATGGCCCCTATCTGGCGACCTTCATCCGTGAAGAAGGAGAGATGGGCAGCTGACAAGATGGTCAAAGGGCGCAACGAGCCTTGTACGATTGGCCAGGTAGCCCATGTCGTTGCCAAGCTGCACAGTGTACCACTCGACGTGCTAGCTGAGCAAGTCTGGCGCAACACTCAGGCTCTATTGCATCCGAGCGAGTCTGTTTGACACCAACCAGCTTGCCAAGTCACGTGAGCTGCTCCTTTTGTGCTTTGGCGCTTGCCCGCCTGAGATTTGTGGTCGGATGCCTGCCTCTGTCCGCCATTTAGGCATCGAGCTTGCCTTGGCAAAGCGATTTGTGCGATGCAGGGGCATCGACTGCAGTAGGTTGGGGCACAGAAAGCAAAGCAGCTCTGCCGTCAATGTTGCACAGAGAGATGGCGCAAGGACATCCTCTCACGTCGTCTTGTCGCCTTCCTTACAGGCAAAGGCCAAGCTCAGGCGGATGTCCGATACGATTGAAGCTCAAGGTCTACTCCCATGTCGTGCTGCACTTCTCCGGCGGCTACAGCAAGCTCATGATGCCATCTCTGCCAAAAGACGGCCTCAAGTCGCCATCGTCTATGCTCGCACTCAGGCAGACGAAGGCTACCGCCTTGTCTCCGACCTACTTGACAACTCCTTTGCCTCGGATCAGACGAGCAACAGGCGACTGCACGACCGGAGAGACCATCTGGCGTCGGGCTTGTTAAGGCTCAGGTCGGTCTGCCTCCCCTCTGTAGGCCGTCATAGGCTCAGCAGCATGGCCACAGCCGAGATGCATCATCTTCAGACAATGGCTCGTCCACCCTGCAGCTGCACAGGGACCAGTATAGCGCAGACTGCGATTATCTCGAATGCGTGGTTGGTACGCGCCCGATACTCGCTCTCGCTCGAGCTGACAGACCGTCTTCAGATGGTGAGCTGGCAGACAGACAGCTGGACGAGCTTCTGCTGTGCACCAACGTGCTCGTCCTAGTACAGCCAGATACTCTTCTCTCGCCCTGGAGAGACCTCATTGCCTCGCTAGGGCCTCGCAAAGGCCTCGTCTTTGCACTCGTCTCAACGCCAACCGTATCCGATGACCAGCTGTCACGAATCGAGCATGATTGGGCAGACCAATTGGACTTCCCGCCGCCGTCAGTCAGACCAGAAGTGCTCGCACTGGCGCCGGAAGTGAATGCACGATTGGTTCAGCTGCATCCACTGATCCATCCACGCAGCGATGAGGATCTGAGTGCCCTAACGAATATACAAGGCCTTGTAGCAAGCGTCAGAACACGTGTCGTCGCAGACACCGTCGACAAGGTCTCCTCGCTTGAGCTGGCAAGACGAATGCTGAGAAACCACGCCCGAGACGCCCAGCGGTATCGCAACGAAACAAATCACCGAGTAGAACTGATCAGGAAAGAAACAGAGACCTCACGCGCACTGGCGCCTTCATCGGACCTTCGCAGAGCTTTCCCCTGGACCAGACTACCTCTTGGTCTCAGCGACGATCTGCTTCCCTTTATGTCTATCGTGGCGCAAACCTGGAACAACGAAGTAGCAAAGAAGCTCGTTTTTCTAGCCGGTCGTCTGGCCGCAGACCGGGATGTTCGCTCGTCGGCCGCAATCAAGCTGGCTGCAACGGTCGACAATCTCGATCCAACCACAAGCCTTCCTGCAACCTTGCATAACCAGCTCCGCCAAGCTGAGATCAGACCCGCACTGGACATTCAATGTCTCGCAGCGCCAGTTGCACACAGACGTGCGCAATTTCTTGCTGCCGGTGGACCAGCAGAGCGACTCGTCGTGCGCGCCCAACGAGCGTCTATCGAATTCTGGGCGTTAGCCTCGAGTTCGGCCTTTTTGGGCTACTACCTCCAGCTCATCGGTGTAGCAGTGCAGAGCACAGGCATTGGCGTGGGTCTAGCTGGCCTCGCTATCGCTGCCTGGCGACTACAAGGCCGCTGGACGAAAGCCATGCTGCGTTGCGACCAAGATGCGAATCGCATCGCGAAGGGTCTGTCGTTTGATATTCAGCATGCTGCCGACGCGACTCTCGACCAATCCGTTCTGACTGTCGAATCCATACTCTGCACGACTGGCGAGAACATTCTGGCTGAGAGGCAGCGTTCGATGCAGCAGACCTGCGCAGACGTTCAACAGATCGATTAAAGATATCACAACAGGTGGTTTCTAGGTACAATGCCATTGCCCGTGTCCGAAGCGACGTAAACCCACTGCTCGTTGGCTTGTCCCTGAAGGACGATGACCTCCTCGCCTTCTGCTAGGGACAGCTCGCCAGGTACTTCTGCGTCAAATGCGCACCGCGCATGCATAACGACCGGCGGGCTGTCTTCCTCTGCGCTTGTTTGCCGGACGGCTTCGTCCGGCTCAGCTGTCATGATCGAGCTGGCACAGCTCTCATTATCCTCCTTGCCGCTTGCGATCGCCTGCGCCGCCATCGCCTTCATCGATGCTATCACCACTGGACTTTTGCTCATATCAGCGTCACGGAGAGCCTTGTGCTTTTGCGCTTGCTTGCGTTGTCTGCTCGTGATCAATGCAAGGATGCCAAGGATGAAGGACACGCCGGCCATGATGACGCCAAGGGAAATAGCGATTGAGATAGCAATAATGGCTGCATCCGACAAACGATCTGCTTGACACGTCAGTTGGGCCATGCACAATGTCCTGCCGCTCACGATGCGAAAAGAGTGAATCAAGCGGCGCTGGAAATGAGAGCGACGCTATGGCGCCAATTGTGCCATCGCTTGTGGTCGTTTGAAGATATGGGTACCACTGATCTCCATCAAAGAGGGCAGCGCTAAGATTGCCAAATGCTGAGGGAAGGTATCCTGTCACAAACAGCATTCGATCCTGCTCGAGCAGACCGTTGCTTTCGTGTAAGCTCGACATCGGCAGGACAGACATATGCTGGATGACGCCGCCATTGCTGAATGGCGTTGCGATAGACAAGAATGATTGCCCGTTGAAGAAGGACAGGTAGGGCAACGCGTCGTCGCTCGAGGCGCCTGCAATAAAGACTTTGCCGACCTGGTAGTCGTCGACCGTAACAGCTGAAGCTGGTCCGGGCAGGTCCGAAGGTGGCATATTTGCCCAATCGGCCGCCTGCGCATCCCACTGGGCGATGTTGCTTGTTGTATTCAGCGTGAAGGATCCGACAACATACGCTACGGCATCCTTGCCGCTGACCGCCCAAGCAATATCGCTCACGTAGCCCTGAAGTCCGTTGCGCATGCTGGACCACTGCTTCGCATTTTCGTCCCATGAGCAGATGCTATAGCAAGGCATTGCGCCTGCTGATTCGAAGAGACCGCCGACAAGCACAGTCGACTGATCTCGCGGATTGTATGACACGGCATTGACGATGACGTCCGAAGCATCGTACGGCTGTAAGGCTTGCGCCATTGGAGACCATTGCAGCGTATTTAGCTCGTATGCTGAGAAGCCTTGACTTCCTGTTGCGTCATTGTGAAAGTCGCCACCAACGTAAAGTAAATTCTCTGTGATGCTTAACGAGCGGACTGATCCCACAATAGCTTGCCCAAAAGAAGTACTCGCATTGGTGTGGATGTCGAACGCTAGCAGACTGACTGATCCATCTTGCGCAATAAAGTCCCCGCCCAGGATCATCGTCTCATGCGAGTGATTAGACCAGAAGACAGCTGCAGCGACTTCTGGTGCGCTGACATTCGAGAACAAACTGGCTGGAATTGGTGCACTGGGTATACTGGCACGTGCGCGCAGATTTCTGGTGTGGCCAAAGAGCTCACGCGAGAAGGCGCGCACAGAATGCTTCAAAGTCTGCGCGCGTGTGACGAGCGTCTCTAGCGCATTGACGTGACTGCTCGTAGCTGCTGACAGACCCAAAGATTCAATCGGCAGGAGCTGATTGCGCCCCTGCGATGTTTGTTCGAGAAATGCCGACTGAGATGCAGAGCTCTGCGAAGCTGCTCGGATAGAGCCGGCAAGATAAGTGGGCGATGATTTGTCAAAGGCATCAGTAGACATGCTAGACATTGCTGTGACATTGCCGAGCAGCAATGCGTGCACCGAGCTCCATGTGCCCGAAACAGGACTGAAGCTCGACAGCGCACCGGAGCTTGCGACTAGTATTGCTGCCTCGTGTCCATCGGAGCTGATGGCTAGCAGGGTAGGCGCAGTCGATGGACCGCCTGACGGCAAAGGGGCCCAGACATCAGAATCAGAAGCGTAGGCTCGTTGCGCAAGACCGTCGAGATTGCTTGGAGCGCCAGAGAAGGTTTGAGTGAATTGACCAGCGGCAAAGACTTGGCCGGCATAGGCGACGATGCTGTCGACTGAGCCTTGAAGCCCACTGTCGCTGCTACTGGGACCTGCATTCGCAGACAGTACTAAAATTGATTCGCTTGCGGCTGATGACGCGTTGGTATAGACAAAGTCTCCAGCGAGCAAGATATGCTTATTGTCATCTGCGACCACGATACTGGTGATGCTGGCCCCCGCGCTTATTGCAAGTCCGATATCATCGAATGGTGTCGATTGACTGACAGCGCCGTCCGCTGATTGAACGCCGTTGCTTGTATCATACTGGAATAGAGCCAAGCCGACAGCATTTGCTGAGCTTCCGTTAGGCGTTACTGCCATCAGGTGTAGACTGGTTGCGCTGAGAGCAGATCTCAAATCTCTTTTGACGAGCGAACCTGAATACTGTGGCCTGAGAACGACTGAGATCGGCTTTGCGTTCTCATTGGTGCGTAGAAAGCCAGAATAGACTTTCCAAAGCTTTGCTTGGGGCTGCAATAAGATGGATTGCGTCGCAAGCGTGTGGCCTGTCGCTGTGCTGATAACCGCAATTGTTACGGCTGCATGATCACAGTGGCCCAACGCAGCACAGGGAGGCGCGTTGATGGTGAGGTCATAATTGCCCGATTGAGCAACGTAGGGCGTCATGACAAGCTCAGCTGAAGGTAATGCTGCCAATTCGTCCGCTGCAATGTTCATATGGTTGCTGAGAGTCAGATCAGTGTTGAGCTGAACGTCTGAAGATGCGCGTTGAGCGCCAATACCCGTCGAGCAGGTCCAACTTTGTATGCCAGACGCGTAGACGTCGGAGCCAGTACTGAGAAGCTGCAATAGATGCAGACCTGCGCCGGGGCCTGCCCAGCCTTGCATATTGAGCTGAAAGCCAGAGATGGCTGTGCCTGGCGGAAAGAGGAAGTCTTGATAAGGTAACGACGCGTCGTGCGCTAGTGGACAAGAGGTGTTGCAGGTCTCGGTCGTCGAATTGGGGTCAGACGGTACACTGTTGTAAGTCAGCGTGAGAGTTTGACTGCTCGGTAGCGCTATGACACTGCATATCAAGCGCGAAATCAGAGCAGACGACGCGCACATATGCTGAGGCTTACGAGAATTGGGTAAGACCGCGGCCCTCCAAGAAGGTGTTGCCTAGCCTGAGTCCGCCAGCCTGGACCGTCTGGGGCAGTCTTACAGTGAGCATGCCAGGACTGCCGTCTGCAAGCAGCCATGTCGAGCCAGGACCATCGACGCCAGCAGGACAGGATATTGCGTTTGGATCCGAGAAGCCAGTCTGGCCTGTTGGGGGTCCGCCGGAGATCTCTGAGCATGCAATCGATACCGGCGCAAGAGACGAGCCCAGGGACGCGATGGGGCTCTGGGACGAGCTTGCGGGCTCAGCACCGATTGAAGATGTGCCACCTGCCGCCGGTGACGCGCTAGGCGCATTCGCTGCGCCACCGTACGTCGACGATGCTGCATTATTGCCAGCTGGTTGACTGTGCCCGGCTGGAGAACTGCTGCCAGACATACTCGGAATGGTAGCAGAGCTAGAACCCGTCCCTGAGCTTATTGTAGGCACGAGCGGAGTGCCATCCGGGCTTATTATTTTCGTGGCCGTCGAGTCTGGCCCGTAGGGCACGCTGAAATTGCCGCCTATGAGCAGTGAGGTGCCATCTATGAAGGGCGATATGCTCTTGACCTGCCCATCGAAAAGCCCTGTCGGCAAGCCTTGCAAAGCGCTCCAAGTCGAGGTGTTGAAAGTCCATGCGGCAATATTGCTACTCGCGCCAGGTGATGCAAATTGACCACCTGCATAAACTATCTGATGCTCATCATCGCAGTAAAGCGTGAGCACGCTGCCGTTCGGATCGTCAATGCCCGTCCCGAGCGCTGAGAACGCGTTTGTCGAGGGATCATACGATGCTATGCTAAGCGCTGGAACGCCTTGTATCTGCTCGAAATGACCCGCCAGAACGACGAGTCCTGAGCTCGGAAAGGTACAGATAGTGTTGATGCTGCCCTGCGCGTCCGTAGAGCCTAGTGGAGTGAGCGCTCCATCGGTCGTCCGGCTGAAGAATGTCGATGCGCCGTTCGATGCCCAACCGATAGCTTGACCTGCGGCATCAGTCTTACTTGGCGTGAACAGTTGTATGCCACTGAAATGCCCGAGTACGGCGAGCTTGCCGCCGAGCGCTTTGATATTCACTTGAGGTCCCTGAGCAGCTGAGGTATTGCTCAGGCTCGCCAGCCCTGGCGTTGTTGTATTGGCCATGGCTCCTACTGCTACAGACAGCGATGTTACTGTCACAAGCAGCGCTATAGGTAGACGATCTCGACAGAGGGCCAGGAGCATGCGCTGTGTCAGTCTTTGCTCAGCATATGCCAATGCTGCAGAGAGCGAACGGACCCTCTCGACACGAGAGGCTCACTGTGCTGGGGTGTGCGTCAAGGAAGCGCCACTGATGTGTGCTACAGGCTGCTGTGCATTCCGTGAGGGCGCCAGAGCGAAGGAATCCGTCTGAAGAGCTGTCGTCGAGAGGAAAACGACGAGTGTCGCAGCTTCCGGCGTTTCGACGACCAGAGGGGTGCACAAGTCGCCCTGGCCTACGCGACGACCAGAAGACGTGCCACTGGTGGGCTAGTAGTGCCTTGAATGCACTGATCGGTCGTATGCCACCGCCCGTATGGTGTTGTGCCGCGCCTCGACGCGCTTTGCTTTGCTTTCGAGATGTCAAAGATCAACGCCACTCGCACTTTCTCCGCATCGTCACCCCTCCAAAAGACGCTCACCGTAGGCCTCAAGATGGTAGCAGACGACACACGTATTCCGACGACGCTACAAGCGCTGACTCTCAGGGGCGTCAAGGATTTGGAACTCACATCCGACGGACTCAAGGCGGACGAGAAACTCAAGCCAGACGAGTGCGTGGGCGGACATGTCCTCCTAGCAGGCTGACGACAGAGCGCAGAGTTCTCGTTGCACCCAAGAAGACAGGAATATGCGGCAGCGTACGTTGCTCGAGTTTGACGCGCGCCACAGCGCTAAGATCGTGCGAAGGACAGGATGTACACTACTTGCTCCACGGCAAGATTGGCCACTTCATCGTCAAGAAACCCATGATCCTGGGCCATGAGAGCTCCGCCATCGTCGTCAGAGTCGGCTCTGACGTCAAGCACCTCAAGAAAGGCGATCGCGTCGCGCTCGAGCCTGGCGAGACGTGCAAGACGTGCGAGGAGTGCAGGCGTGGACGGTACGAGCTTTGCCCGAACACCATCTTCGCGGCCACACCGCCCTTTGATGGCACGCTAGCGACTTTCTACAAGCTTCCTGCTGATCTCGCCTACAAGCTGCCTGAGCATGTCTCACTAGAAGATGGTGCTCTCATCGAGCCCCTGGCGGTAGCAGTACAGAGCGCAGTCAGAGTCGGTCAAGTGACGGGTAATCAGAACGTCGTCATCTTCGGCTGTGGCCCCGTCGGTCTGCTCAGTATGGCGACTTGCAAAGCTTTCTCGGCCCGTCGCGTCATTGCTATCGACGTCCAGCAGAGCAGGCTCGACTTTGCAAAAAGCTACGCAGCGACAGACATCTATCTGCCTACCAAGCCCGGGAAAGATGAAGACCCGATCGATTACGCCCGCAGGAACGCGGAGGAAATCTCCAAACAGCTTGGAATCACCGAAGGCGGCGCAGAGGCGATTGATCTCATCCTCGACTGCACGGGCGCACCTCCCTGCATTCAGACGGCCATCTGCCTCGCAAGACAGGGTGGAACAGTCGTCCAGGTCGGTATGGGCAGCGAGAATGTCGTTCTGCCCGTCACGACGCTTCTGTGCAAAGAGCTCGTCTACAAGGGCTCCTTCCGTTACGGCCCGGGCGTGTACGATCTCGCCATCGATCTCGTATCGCAAGGCAAGATTGATCTCAAGCCTCTCGTGACACATCGCTACAAGTTCAAAGACGCAAAGAAGGCGTTTGATGCCATGATCGAAGGGAAGGGAGACGACGGCAAACCGCCGATCAAAGCCTTGATCAGTGGGCCGGAAGATGACTAACGAATGAAACCTGCTATGCAATATGCAATGTGACAACAAGATGACAAGAGCATAACATTCCATCATTGTGCACGCTGTGAGAATGCAAGTCTTATATGTGTCGTGGGCGTGGTCGTCAATCGACTATGGAACGCTAGCACCCGGTCGCGCAGCTGTGCATGTGTCTCACCCGCCTTCTTCATCTCGTCCGGCAGACTGATTTCGAACCGTCTGACCATCCATGCCAGCGCTACGATGATTTCTACCTGGGCGAACTTCATGCCCAGACAAGATCTCTGTCCGGCAGAGAAGGCGACAAAGGCATCGCGATTCCATCTGTAATCATCGGTATCTATGAATCGTTCAGGCTGGAAATTTCTCGTGCTATTGCCAAAACGTCCGCCCCAGTGCTTTGGATCGTTCAGTATTGCTACGGCGTCGATATTGATCCAGGTCCCCTTTGGCACCCTGAACGTGCGCGCTTCTCTCTCCTCTTGATGGTCGCCAGGCGTGACTTTGTACGCAGTGAGTTCGGTGTCTTGATGCGCAATCTTGGGAATGTATGCGACTGGCGGGTACATCCTCAACGTCTCGTGCATGGCAGCTTGTGTGTATGCCAACTTAGCGATGTCTGAGTATTGTGGCTCGCTGTCCAGCGTGGGCCAAATCTTCCTTGCCTCTTCAAATAGCAATTGCTGCTTATCCGGGTACAGCGCAAGAAGAGCGAAAGCAAAGCACAGGGTATGGGCAGATGTCTGCAGAACACGTTTGTTGATAAGCTTGGCTATGTCTGGCAGCGAGGAGTATCTCACCTCGTGGCCAGCAATCAAGAATACGTAGAGATTGCCGATAAGCTCTCGACGGGTGAGTTTCGGGCCTTCGTGCTCTTCGGCGGCAGATGCGACGAGCAAGCTAAGCAAGTCCTTTGACTGATTGCTGTCCTTTGTCTCCAAGAATTTGACGAGATAGTCCTCGAGCTCGGTATAGATGAGCTCAGTCTTCGCGAGCTTGCCGTGAAGCCATGGAATTGGTAGCTTGTACGCCCATTTCGGCGCGACAATCCGGGGGAGCAGGTAATCAACACTGCCCGACAGTGCGCTCCTGAAGCTGAGCTTATGGCCTGGTGCAGGCTTGAGCGCCTCCTCGTCATCCCATGGCAGATTGTAGCCAAACGCAGCAGCCGAGAAGACCATGAGAGCAATCTTTACGGTATTCTCTAGCAGATCCTTATCGAGCGCAACGCCTTGTGCATCGCTGTTCGCGACAAGCTCGTCCGACCAAGCGCGGACGATCTTGACTGCGCTTGAGAAGACGAGCTCGTTGTTGGCCTCACTGAACGCGGGCGAGGTGACCCGTCGGTGGACGCGCCATTCTGCGCCGTCTGTAGTGACGACATTGTCGCCGAGCAGCCGCAGCGAATCGTAGACCGCCGTGTGCTTGCCGAACTTTGAGCGTACAGACGAGAGGTCCTTGATGGCCGATGTATTGGCGCAATAGAGGATGCACTGTCCGAAGAGAAATCCGACGATACTGAAGCAATCCCAGCCGTACTTGACGTAGGTATTAAAGTCGTCGTGCTGCAGTGACTCGGGGTTAGGGACGGTGAGACCCTCTATGGGTGGCAGAGCATCGCCAACGACTGGAATCTGCACTCGTCATGTCAGTCTCGTCTGGCTGAACGGCAGGGGCCAGCCTACTTGGAAGAAGATGAACATGCGCACGCCGGCAAGGAAGCTGATCTCCCTCTGGTGCTTCTGGAACAGCCTGAACCGATTGAGGCCGAACCATGCCACAAAAGCCTGCTCGGGCGCTCAGTGGGCTTGGCCATGCTTCTGCAGCCTTGGACATACCACGAGCAAGACTACACCTGCGCCCATCTTGCTACTGAGCTACGCGCTAACAGCCGAGGTGGAGGATCGCCGAGCGCACAGATTCAGACGAGCGTCGGCTGCGATGGAGAGAGCGAGCCGGTGAGGCTAGGCGGCCTGAAGCTGGAGAGGATTGCTTGCCCGGATTGCCAACGCGATCGCGTCATGGTGTCATCGCAATGCGTCCGGTCTTCAAACTTCAGAGCTGCTGTCGAGGGCTCCATGCATGCTTCGATGAGCGATCAGCACCTTTCATGGTGTATGTATAAGCACAACAACAGGCGGTCTAGTGTATGAGGTCTAATGCAAGCAAGTGGTAGGATCTTGTGGACCGTGTCTGTCATAGGCAACGCAGTCCGACAGAGGGATACTACTTTTCGTAATCTGTTGTGTGATGCGATCAAAATGATGATAAGCGGTCGCGTTCTGCAGAGAATCCCTGCCGAAGCGGTGACGCAGGTCGTAGGTGCACGATGTGACAGCAGAAGGTACGGGCGACGCTCGATCCGGTCTGCAACTCCAGATGAGCTTTCTGCTGGGTCGTAAGAGCGAAGACCTACCGTGCGCTCGAGGAAGTCAAAGTCAGGTTTGCTTTACTGCGATGGGCAGCGCGTGATCAGTCTCGAGTGTCATAGGCGAGCCGCCGATGACTCACAAGTAGAGAGGTGGCTTGGCCGACAGGTACGAGACGAGCCAGCTGAATGCGAGATCGGTGCAAGAGGCATCCAGTGCCTTGTTTTGCCCAAAAGCCCTCGAGAATTCTTCGAGATATCTGACATGGGTAAAGATTGCGTTGCTCGACTGCGCGCACAAATCAGTACATGTAGCTGAGGCGCCCCAGGTCGCTGAACGACGTACGAGGTGATTCAACTGGCCGTCACTCAGCAGCCGACTTGACTCGCAACTATTTTGTTCGCAAGCGAGAACGCGAGGCTCAAATCCCAGCAACTGATCGGGGAATGCGCTCCAAGTCTGGAATGCGGCGTCGAGGTCGCTTGTGAGCACGATTGTCTCGTCGTTCAGCAAAAGAGCGGTCTTCGTGTTGATGTATGGCCATGCTTGATGCCAGCTGATCGAACCGTCTGACGTGCCTTGTATGCATTGCGTCACCGTTCCCAGCGACGCCGGGCATTCCTTGTTGGGATTGTTCCAGATGACGATGACGTCCCGCAAGAAAGTGCTGTGTCGGAGCGTTCGCAGAATTTTTAAGATCGAATCTGCCTTGCCTCGCGTTGAGATGATGGCAGTGAAGCCGCTTTGCTCCCGCGAGACCTGATGACCTTCGGTGACAACGCCGTCATCGCATGTCTTTAGGTAGCCGTCGAGCGTCTTTGGGTCGTGAGGTAGGTAGTGCTCGTAGTCTGGTAGATATTGCTGCCACAGCTCTGCCCAGTACATCTGCATGTAGCATTAGTGCCGAAACCTGTTCAAATTGGTAAGCAGACCGACCTTACACATCCACGGCTTGAAGACGCCATTCCAGTGCAGCACGACTGCGTTCTGCACGTCCTGCGCGCTACGTGTGATGGGCACTTTCCTGTCGTCCTTTAGGCCGGCGAGATCCATGAGGTTGTACGAATCATCGAGAACCTTGTAGTTCCGGTAGAATACAAGATTGAAGGGCGGCTGCGAACCTAGACTGTACAGCTTTGTGTCTGCATTGGCACTTGTCCAGCCGAAGAGCTCTTTCGCAAAGCGACCGTCTCGCCATTGCGTGAGGTCATACAGCAGCACGCCATTGTTGAGTGTGCATTCGTCGTGATCAAACCCATCGAGCACGTTCTCGCGCATGACGAACTGCTTTCTGAAGAGAGCAGCGTCGCGACATAACCTCACCCCTGCCACCGGCCGTCCTGACATGTCTTGCCGCCACAGTCTTCCGATATCCTTCAGGACGAGGGTGTCCTGATCGAGGTAGATGACGCGATCAAAGTCGGGGAACAGCTGACCAAAGATGTATCGCGCATACACGATCGGCTTGCTCAAGCTGTCGCTTCGATAGCCTGCCCAGACTTTCGTCGTCGAAGGCACCAAGTCCGGCGGAATCGTATACGTTTTTAATCGGATGCCTCTAAAGCGCGTCCGTAGCAAGCGCCGTAGCCTCTCCGAAGATTCTTGGCTCGTGGAGACGATGTGCCATTGCAATCGAGACCGCGTATCCGAAGAAGCTGTCTGGATGGTTGAGTTGATGAGAGCAAGACTTCCTATAACATAGTCTGAGTCGAGCGTGAGCGCAATATTGATGTCCGACCGAGCAGCCAAGCGCCGATATGATGCTTGCAAAGGTCGCAGACGCTGGACCACAAACACAATCAGAGATGGACGAACGGTCACGCAGCTCTGACATACCTCTGGCGCGGTGAGCTGATCAGCAAGTTGATCATGAACGGCCGGAATCTGCATAAGGGCCCAGACGGTCGCGCAGAGCGCAAAGAGAGCAAGCCGTAGCTTCGGCATCCTGCAAGCTGCCGGCACTGCGTCGCGAGCTTTTCGGATGGCCGCCGGGCTGTCTAGCATGGCCAGCAGGCCCGAGAGAACGCGACGACTCTGGCGTAAGAGCCTTGCCAGCTTGCTTTGAGCGGCTCGTATAGCGAGACCAGCTGTGAAGACGCCGCAAGGCCGTCACTGGGTATACACAAGCGCGCTGGTCGCAAACACCATCGACGTGGGCTTGATTTGCTAGGATGGCAAAGCGTCCTCGCAGATGGGAATGCGATCGAGTTCTAGCGACGTGACGCGCCGAACTTACGCGGCTGCCCTACCTCTTGGCTTCGATGATCGGTTGGCTAATTCAGACCACGGGAGCGGCGTCAAAAGAAATTCAGAACAACACCCAATACATCATCGACAACTCTATGGTTGGCGACAATCTGGGTGTCACCGAGATCAGCCCGAGAACGGGACGAAGAAGGGTCACTTACACCGCGCGCCGTCCTTGTCGGAACACCAGGAGTCGCCAGGTGGTATTTGCAATTTCAATATGCGATCTGACAAGGTAGGATGGCGCTGAAATTTGGACCGTTGCGGCCAGACGGTGCGCTTGCCGAAGATCGCGTGCAGCTGCCTGATGCAGTCATGCCGCGCGTCACGCCAGATCGCCGACTTGATACCCTGAGATAGCCCGGTGCTGCAGATCTATGTCAGAGAACGGGACGAGCGCGCTGAGCAGCGGACGCACAACATGGTCGAGGTTATTTCCGTAATGTTGGATTTCCTGCAGGCTTCCATTAGCACGCGCTTGACGACCACGCAAATAACTCTGTTACATCCATAGCGGCGGCTTGTGCGATAGACTGCCCGCAAGGAAGTTCATCGCCAGATCCTCGCAGGGCGTTTTCTTCGTGAGGTTCATCAAGACATTGCTCGAGCTGTAATCTTCCATATATCGCACATGCGTGAAAAATGCTTTGCCAATCTGACAAGCCTAGGTCAGCAGAGGTCGCTCTTTAAAGCATACAGGACGTACGACCAAGTCGAAGTGAGCTTGTCGCATCTGGAAGCGGTAGTGACACGATTCCATATCATTGGGATCCGCGCAGTCTATCACGCGAGGTTCGAAGCCAAGTAGCTGGTCTCTATGCCGCCGCCAGATCCTGAAGCCAGCTTCTAAGTCTGCCAGAGGAATAATGATGTCGTCATCATAATGTAACACTGCGTCTGTCACGACGTGTTGCCATACTTTGAACCGGTTGTGAACTAAATTCGACTCTTGCTGCACGCATATCGCTAGATGCTGTAACGAAGCTGGGCACGGATGGTCCTGGTTGTTCCAGGCGATGATGATGTCGCGGATGAGATTACTCTCTCGCAAATGATGGGCGATTCGCATGAGATTGTCTTCGCGGGCGTGAGATACAATGACGACAGTGAACTGCTCTTCGTGATGGGATAATGACTCGTCGCTAGTCCAGATGCCTTCTGTGCACACGCGGGCATATGACTCTTGCGAAGTAACATCGAGACCGACGAAGGAGGTATAGTCTGGCACAAACTGCTGCCAGAGCTCTGAATAATAAATCTGGGATGATCGTCAGCTCTCCTCGATCAATCAGCCCTTGAACTGACAGTGCACATCCATGGCTTGAAGATGCCGTTCCAATGCAGCACGACTGCATCCTCCACGTCCTGCGCGCTTCGCGTGATGGGCAGTCCCTCGTCGTCCTTTAGGCCGGCAAGATCCATAAGGTTGTACGAATCGTCGAGAACCTCGTAGTTTCGATAGAACACAGAATTGAAAGGCGCGTGCGAGCCGAGACTGTCAAGCTTAGTATTCGTCTCAGTGCTGATCCAGCCGCAGAGTTCACTTGCAAAGCGGCCATCTCGCCACTGCGTGAGGTCATACAGCAGCACCCCATCATTGAGAGTGCATCTATCACGGTGGAATCCATCGAGCAGATTCTCGCGCATGTCGGATTGCTTTCTGAACAGAGCAGCGTCGCGGCATAGCTCTGCTCCTGCCAACGGTCGGCCTGACATGTCTTGTCGCCAAAGCCGTCCGATGTCCTTCAGGACGAGGGTGTCCTGATCAAGATAGATTACGCGATCAAAGTCGGGAAACAGCTGACCGAACATGTACCGCGCATCGACGATTGGCTCGACATCGCTGTTGTTGCGATGACCCGCCTGAAGCTGCGCCGGCAAAGGCACCATGTTCGGCGAGATAGTGTACGTTTGTAACCGGATGCCATTGAAACGCGTGCGTAGCAAGCGCCGCAACGTTTCTGAAGATTCTTGACTTGTAGAGATGATATGCCATTGCAGTCGAGAACGTGTGTCCGAAGAACCTCTTTGAATAGTCGAGTTGATGAGAGCAAGACTTCCGATGACATCGTCCGAGTCAAGCGTGAGTGCGATATGGATGTCCGACCGAGCAGCTAAGCGCCGATATGACGCTTGCAAGGATTGTAGACGCTGCAAAATATGACACATCAGTGCCGAGAAGACGCTTGCCTAGCTCTGACACACTTCTGTTGTGTTGAGCTGATCACGAACGGCCGGGACCTGCCACAGAGTCCAGAGTGTCGCGCAGAGCGCAAACAGGATCAACCGTAGCCTTGGCATTCTGCAAGCTGCCAAATTTGCGTCGCGAGCCGCCCGGATGGCCGCCTTGTCCAACATGGCTAGCGGGCCACAAAAAGACGCCAAGATTGAAAGAGCCTTGCCAACTTGTATCGAGCTGCTGATGCAGCAAGACGGGCTGGCAGACTGCCGCAGGAGTCTCACTGAATATGTGCACGCGCGATGTTCGTAGACATCATGGACGGGAGCTCGGCCTCTGACGTGGGCTTGGCCGCTTGAGAGGCCAAAGAGGCATCACAAATGGGAATGCGATCGGCAAAAGACGTGACGCGCCGAATGTACGCGGCTGCTCTTCGGGCTGCAATGATCGATTGGCTAAATCCGACTCCGGGAGCAGCACGCTAGAACCTCAAAACAGCTCCTGCATGATCGACAACTCTAGATCTATGGTTGTCGACAGTCTGAGTGTCACCGAGATCAGCTCGAGGTTCCGGACACGTGACGAAGAAAGATGACTTACACCGCGCACCGTCCTTATCGGAACACCAGGAGTCGCCAGGCGGTATCGGCAATTTCAATATGCGATCTGGCAGAGTAGGATGTCGCTGGAACTTCGACCGTTGCGGCCAGACGGTACGCTTTCCGAAGATTGAGTGTAGCTGCCTGATGCAGTCGTGCCGCGCATCACGCCAGATTGTGGAGCTGATGCCCTGAGATAGTCCGGCGCTGCAGACTCATATCAGGGAACCGAATGCGCGCACTGACGAGGGGACGCACAACATGGTCGAAGTGATCTCGGTGATATTGGATTTCCTGCTCGATTCCGTTAGCACGCGTCCATCGCCAATGCAAACGTAATCCCCACATCCATAGCGGCGGCTTGTGCGACAAACTGCCCGCAAGGAAATTCATCGCCAGATCCTCGCAGGGCGTTTTGTTCGTAAAGTCCATCAGGACATTGCTCGAGCTATAATCTTCCATGTATCGCACATGCGTGAAGAAGGCTTTGCCGATCTGCCATGAACATATCAGGAGAGTCGTGTCTGTAGCATGGGGGACATACGACCAGGTCAAAGTGAGCTTGTCGCATCTGGAAGCGGTAGTGACATGTTTCCATATCATTGGGATCCGCGCAGTCTATCACGCGAGGTTCGAAGCCGAGCAGCTGGTCTCGATGCCGCCGCCAGATCCTGAAGCCAGCTTCTAGATCGGCCAGGGGAATGATGAGGTCATCGTCGTAATGCAACACCGCATCTGTCGCGACGTGTTGCCATACTCTGAATCGATTGTGAACTAAATTCGACTCTTGCTGCACACATGTCGCTAGATGCTGTAAAGAAGCTGGGCACGGATGGTCCTGGTTGTTCCAGGCGATGATGATGTCGCGGATGAGATTACTCTTTCGCAAATGATGGGCGATTCGCATGAGATTGTCTTCGCGGGCGTGAGACACAATGACGACAGTGAACTGCTCTTCGTGATGGGATAATGACTCGTCGCTAGTCCAGATGCCTTCTGTGCACACGCGGGCGTATGACTCTTGCGAAGTAACATCGAGACCGACGAAGGAGGTATAGTCTGGCACAAACTGCTGCCAGAGCTCTGAATAATACATCTGGGATGATCGTCAGCTCTGCGTGATCAATCAGTCGTGAGACTGACAGTGCACATCCATGGCTTGAAGACGCCATTCCAACTGTGCAAAGCTAAGTATGAACAGCGTACGAGGCTTGCAAGACGAACTGTAGTATATTTGCGTTTGCGACTCTAATGCTGGAGATAGTGGAAGGCGTCCGGTCGGCTTCTCTGAGTCCGGCGATATCCATGAGGTTATAAGCGCTATCGAGTATCTTGTAATTCCGATAGAACACGAGATTGAATGGCGGTTGAGAGCCGAGGCTGTATAGCTTGTTTTCTGAGTTGGCTTGGCTCCATCCGAAGAGCTCTTTGGCGAAGCCGCCATCATGCCATTGCGTCAGGTCATAGACGAGCACGCCGTTATTGAGCGAGCACTCTTGTCCGTCAAATTTGCTCAAAACTCCTTCGTCCATTGCGCTAGCTTCCGGGTGAGTTGTGGCACTCGACGAGGGAGAAGACGTACAATTGATTCTCAAAGAGTGCGCCACTGCGACAGAGGCGAGCAGCAGCGAGTGGCTTGCCCTCGAGGTCCATATCCCATAGCGAGACGATATCCTTCATGACGAGCGTATCCTGATCAAGGTAGATGATTCTGTCGAGATCTTCGAATATCTCGCCAAACATGTACCTCGCATCTGCTTGCACTTCAGCCGACAGCAGGACGCATTCTCACGCGCGTCGCGTACAAACGATCGGTTTGCTCAGGCTCTCGCTCCTGTAGCCCGCCCAGACTTTGGTCGATGGCGCCGAGATACCTTCGAGAGAGTATGGCTTTAGCCTGATGCGCGGGAACCTATTCCGCAGGAGCGTCTCTGTCTGTCTCGAGGATTCGCGATCTGTCGAGACGATATGCCATTGTATTCTGGCGCGATTGGCCAAGGAAGCCGTCGAGAGAGTGCTATTGATGAGCGCCAGAGAACCAATGACATAGCTCGAGTCTACCGTCAGAGCAATATGTATGTCGCTCTGATCTGCTTGCTCTGCTTGGATCTGCGGCTTGCGCAATGAGCGCGCAACAGGACAAAAGGACCGGATTCAACTGACACTGTCGCGAGCTCTGCCCACAGCGATTCTGACGAGAAGCAGACAAAGAGCAGAGAGGCCTATCCAGGCGCGATACTTGCGCCAAGCGGACGTTGAGCGCGTACTGAGCATAATGGGCTGTGAGGTGCCCATGCGGCCGCGTGCGCTCGGCCAATGGTTGCGCAAGCCAGGTGTCAGGCTGATGATCCAGTGAGCGCCTTCATCACCATGGCCATGCTGCTTCGTGGAAGCTTTCGACTCTGTTCCAGGCCAGAGAGCTGGGTTTTCTCCTGGTTGCTGTGATCGGAAGGAACGCGCGCGCTAATTCAGTTTCACGACAGCCGCCCACTCTCTGCTGATCAGTGTAGTGTGATCATGCGCTCAACAAAATCTTAAAAATTGGGCCAAAAGTACAGTATATGCTAATGCGACCGCCCGCCCGGAGGATCTTGAGCCCATATTGGCTTCTCTTCATTGGCAGATTGCTGCGTGCGCGCGTCCCGTGTCAGCTATGGCAGCGATGGTCATGAAGAGGCGCAAAGCGCGACGCTGCAACTCTGAGCGCTGAGCAAGCTTGCAGCGACCCGCTTGTGATGGCATGACGGAGAACACTTGACAAGAGACTCAGTGTGCGCTCACTTTGATCTTGTCGAGCGTAGACTTCCTCGCATTCTCGGCCGCCGCCAACGCGCGCTGTTCGTCGACTTTCCGCTTGAGATCGGGCGCTAGCCTCTGTGGATGGTGCAGCATGATGAGCTTTCACAGGTCCCCTCTTGGAGCTCTGCGTACATCGTAGAATTGATCCGCTGTCGGTGTGGTCACTGCGAGGATGATTGAGCGGATGAGCACTGTGCGAGCTCGAGAGACGATCGACGTACGCTTCATGACGGCATAGCCTAGTCCCATGACTGTCAGTCGCATAGCAAGTCAGCTGATGACATTCGAGAGCTGAGATCAAAGTCGGCTGACTGCCCGCGCCGAAGATCAAGAGCGTTGTGGGCGATTTGGATGCCATCGCAGACCTGGAGAGACTGTACACGTGAGAAAGAATGAGCCGACCGGTCGACTGCTTACGAGCTACACTGCCGACCTTGTCGTCCCTTGCCGTCTCGTCGCCTGACCTTGGGCGCAACGAGCAATTCGGCCGATGCCAATGACGCGCGCGCGCCGGCTGAACAGTGCACAAGATGAAGCGAGCGATAGAGACAGCCATACGACTAGATCAGCATGCAGCTCGCTCAGGCTTGCATTCGTCCAGATCTGCGTCGATTCTCGTAGCGCCGCGTCCCAGTCGACAAGACTTACACCAGCTGCATGGACACCACAGTCGGTTAAACCCCTGGGAACTCAGACGAGCGTCCTACCGGTGGCTCCGGACAACCGCCAGACTCGCACAACCCAACCAGGTCGAAGTCCTGCCCCAGGGCTCATCTGCGCACAGCCGCAATGACGAGTCGAGCACAAAGGAGAGCAATGCCGCTCAGGAGAAATCGACAAAGTTGTCAGACAGAATCAGAGTCCTCATGAGGAAATACGGCTGGGTCTCCCTAGCAGTCTACCTGGGCATCTCCGTCGTCGACTTTGGCCTCACGTTCGCGGTCGTATACGCTGTGGGTGCAGATCATGTGAGGGACGCGGAGGATTGGGTGATGCACAAGCTCGACTGGAGGAGGAAGGAGAAAGAGCGGGTAGAGACTGCTCGTCAGGCAGTCGATCTGGCTGCAGACAAGGCCAAACAGGTCGGTCACGAAGCTCAGCAAGCCGTCGTCGCCCTCAGCCATGGCGAATCCCCTAGCAGCTCTCTAGCCAAAGGATCCAGTCATACCAGTCAGATCGCCACGACCGCCGTGCTCGCCTACGCGATCCACAAGACCCTCCTCTTGCCCTTCCGAATTGGTCTCACCGCATGGATCACTCCGCCGCTCTTTAGGTGCGCTTTTCTCGCGTATGTCTGATACCAACGCTCAATTCAGGCGCAGATCACTTCGTCGTTGGGGCTGGAATATAGGACCTGCTGCTGCTTCGAGCGCCGTGGTCACAGTCAAGCCGGCACGCGAATCGTGATTGTGCGGTGATTGCATTTGATCGAGTACAACTCTCTGCTGACCGGGTCCACGCGTTGATCTGTCTGTCTAGCGGTTCTGCTCCTTTCCCATCTAAAACTTGTAGACAGCCTGTGCGAGCCATGTCATCAGTATGAGCACTGACGATCAATCGAGCACCGCGCTTACGTCTTCCTTCTTGCTGACTGTCCTTGGCTCGGGCCAACCCATGCTAGTGAGCGTCTTGGCGACGGCAGAGACCTGAGGAGGAGGCCCACAGAGGAGCATCTTGCTGGTATCAGAGTGCTTGGGAAGATGTTCCTCGATCATCTCCTTTGTGACGTAGCCTGTGCTGTACTCCCATCCATCGGGTGCCTTGTCGACGGTATAGTGCACGTGGAACTTGTCGTGCTCTTTTGCGAGCGAGTCGAGTTCGTCTCTGAGCAGGATATCCTCCGGCGTCTGGTTGGCGTAGATCAAGCTGATCTTCGTCGTATCCTTGGCGTTCTTGCAGCAAGCGCGGATGATCTGGAGCATGGGCGTAATGCCCGTACCGCCGGCGACCATGCCAATCTCGCTGCACATGTCGGGCGTATAGTGCATCGTCCCCTTCGGGCCCTTGACCTTGAGCTTGTCGCCGACCTCCATTTCACCGATGTGCTTGGAGACATTGCCTTGTGGGTACGACTTGATCATGAGCTCAAAGAAACCCTTCTCGTCGTCTGAGGATGTCGGGGTGTATGATCGCTGGATATCTTTGCCGTCGATGTGGGCCATGACCGAGAGATGCTGTCCGATGGGCAGACCAAGGATATCGTCCGGCCGATTGAGCTTGAATCGATAGCTGTCGTGTGCCGCAGCCACGTCAGTACGTATGCGACCAGGTTCATGGCCTGCGACTGACTGTCCGGTATTGGACGAGACCTTGTCGATCTTCTGTAGCGTGTATTCTTGCCATTCCTTGGGGTTCAAGACGGGCTTCCTCTCTGTGCGCAGCACGATCAGCATCGACGCCCATTCCTGGCCGTGAGGGCAGCGAAACTGGACGAACTGGGCGTCAAGAGCAAGGCGATGATGGTGCCGATGACCAATGCTGCGCGATCCTGCGTCAGTCATGCTCGATGCTGAGACAGCAGAGGAGCTGCCCACCTATGATCGAGCCGATGACATGCTCAGGATTCTGCGGAGGCCAGGTACCCATTCTTGCTCAAATCTGCAGTCTGACAGGTCAGCTTGCTCGCGGTTGCGGGATCAGCGCCGGCGCATACAAAGTGCAGCTTGATCTGCCGAGGGAGTCCTTCTTCTCCTGACCAGGGAAGTCAGTGACGTTAACGAAGAAGATCCTGGGCTGGCGAATTGATCGCGGCAATCTGGCGGGGTCGGCGAGTTGGCTGTCGATCGACAGCCGAGTTCTGAGCCAAAGCGGGAAATTCTTTGGTTGAAGTGGCCGCACGCTGTTGATGAGCGTGGGCTCGAGCGGCAAGGCATCACTGCCTTTGCGGTTCTGTCTCCCACCCAGTCGAAGTCCAAATGGCATGGCCTGCGCTTGCATCACCGTCAATGTTCGAGGGATTGACTTGTATCGCATCATCGATCCAGAATACAGAGAATCTTTCGTATCGCTCTCCAGACTGTTTGCAAGCGCCGGCCTGACCGTGCTCGACGGTCTGGCACGCTTCCGTCAAGTCAGATCGCCGGCTTATGAGGTCACGCTGAGCGGATTGGCTCCCTTTGATGACATATGGCTGCCCCTTGCCAAAGCTCGACCGATTGCGCAAGCACTGGAGCTTCAACACGCTCTGGCCGGCTTCCTCGATCCCCAGTCGGGTCGAGCCTATTCTGTCTATGATGACGAAGAGCAGGGACTTGTCCACAAGTGAGAGACCTACTTGGCTAGATTCCTAGCAATGCTGAGCACGGGATGCGACTCCTCAGTTGGATTGTCGATGCAGAGACGCTTGCGCCGGAGCAATACAGCACAGAGGCACTATTGAGGTGTGTTTATATTAAAAGAGAGCCAGCCCTCGTTGTTTACATCCTGTACCAGCGCGGCTTTTCACCGGATTGTGCTGCTGGGTGAGGCGCCGTCGATCAGGACGCAATACAAGCCCGCTCTCTTGCGTCTGCCTTCGACGAATCCAAATTTCCTCGGCAAGTGGGATCAGGCCTGGATATCGTTGACGAATTGGACACTCGCGCTCTACGAATCAAATATGGACGATCAAGCTTCGGACCGTGCGGGCGCTACTCTAGGGAAGAGCACGAAGCGTCTTGACTTCAATGGCCACGGCAAGCTTGCCAGGCCTGCCGTTGATCTAAATGCCCATCTTCAATTTTCCCTCATTGGCGCACTGCTGACCGCAAGCGATACATTTCCCGACGATCAGATCTCGCAAGACGGTCTTATCGTCCGCTTGGCTCCAGAGGATCCTGCTTTGGCGATCGACAAGTCTGAAGTTGATGGTAAACCCCAGACCTTATCGCTCGCCACACTAGGCGCGCTCGGTCATTTTGCCCTCAGGGAATGGCGAGCCTCTCTGCGGCAAACGAAGGTTCTGCCAAACATGCATCTACCTTCGGGTGCAGCGCGCGAGCCAAGCTCGCCAAAGCCTGCTTCGCCAAAGCCAAAGTCGACAAGCAGCCCTTCTGTGGTGGCACCACCCTCGCCATCTAGCAGCATTCATCTGGACGCAATTCAGATTCGCTTGCAAAGGCTCGAGAACCGTGACGAGGGTCAGCAGCTCCGGCTGGCGCGTGCTGCGGAGACAGAGACGCTCACACTTAGTCTACGCGAAGAAGTTGCTCGTCTCGAGGCCGTTGTCGCTGCCTTGCGCGATGCACAGAAGCTCATGCCGCCTTTGCCGCCTGCTCGGCCCGAGTATAGAGATGCAAGCACATCCACGGCCGTCGTCAACTCGGGCGCTGCTCTGCAGAATTTGTCTACTGACATAGCTCGGGCGTCAACTGATCAGAACGACAACTCGACGCAGATTGTGTCTCTTGCAGCCACCTCGCATCTACGTCGCTTGACCCTCAACATAGCAATCTTGTTAGTCTCTGCCGTCGCCTATAAGCTGGCAGTGAGACACGTTACGGGCTCGCTCGACGCGCAATATCAGATGATTCTGCATAACACGTTCGTAGTCATCGGCTTCTTCACTCTGTATCTACTATCACACTAGACATATTGTCGTTGCAACATCCACATGCATGCTAGATACTCATTTCCTGCCAAACTTCTTGAGCGGATCCGACTTGCCCCGGGATCCTCTGCCTCGGCTTGAGCCTCGTCCTCGACTACCCGACTTGCCTCGCTTTCCGGATTTATGGAAAGGCACAAAGGCATTAGCGCCTTCGAGCGTCTTGCCAACTTCCGTGGATGTTGGATCGGCTTGCTTGTTGTCTACAGCATTGATGCGAGGCATGAGGTAGGAGGGAACATGCTTCATGTGTGGCTGAACGCGAGCTGGGTGTAGCGGCTTGTCATGGCGCAGAAAGTCGAGATCGGCAGGATTGTCTTCAAAGTGCGCCTTGAGCTTATCGGAATTGATGACCTCCTGCTTGATCTCTCTGACTCTCGCCTCCCTGATAGAGGCTCGCGTGACGGAACGTAGACCATCCTCCATGCGATATCGAAACCCTTCGACTTGCTTCATATCGAATTTGTATTCCTTGAGGTCTGTGACCCCTCTCGCTTTTTGATCCTTCTCGATCTTTCGCCAGTGCGCTTCGTCTCTCCGTGCATTCGGAAGGCTCAGATCGCCAAAAGTCTGCTTTCCCCATAGCGCTTTTGGGACGACGAAAGACAGCGCCATGCCCGTCCGACCGGCGCGAGCCGTACGACCGACACGATGCGTGTAAGATTCGACATTGGCGGGTAGATCGAAATTGATCACGCAAGCGACGTCGACAAAGTCCACGCCGCGTGAGACACCATAATCAATTTGTGAGTTCTTTGATGCTTTTCTCTTCTTGCTCGCTGTCTCCGGCTTGTCCTCGCGCTTGCGTTTACCTGTCTCGATATTGTCTAGTTCTTCTATCGGTTCCTGTGCTGGATCCACTGCTTCTCCTGCCTGCGCGGGTATCACTGCAGGTGTGTCAGTACATTTGAGCTGACAAGAGCGTGCATGTCTCACAGTCTTCCACTTGTGGCATGGAGGCGGCAGTCGAGGGAGCTTCTGACAGTCCAGACTCGTCTGTAGCGATGAGATAGTCGAACACGCCTCGGTTGAACTCCTGAACGGCATGATAGCGCGAATTGAAGGGCAGCTCGGCATTGAGTACGCCAGACCGGAGACCGAATTTCTCGAGGAATAGCTTGACGCGGTAGCCTCGGTCGACATCGTTGACAAAGATGAGCGCTTTGCCCTTGACAAGCTTGAGCTTCAGAATGACATAGATGAACAGAAATTTGTCTTCTTCTGAGCATCTATCAATTGTCCTGATCAGCAGGATGTGTGAGGAGGAGACTCATGCTCACCTGACACAGTGTTGCGTGAGGTTGGCGAGACCGTCTTCCTGCTCGTCGAGCTTGAGGACGACAGGTCGACGCAAGACGATGCCCTTCAGCTCGTCGACTTCGTCGTTCAGGGTGGCAGACATGAGGTAGCTCTGATAGACAGCAGGCAGATTCCAGCTGCCTGACAGTAGCGCCTTGATATCGTCTGACGAGTGACCGTACGACAGGATGAGATCGGCTTCATCAATGACGAGCGATTCCAGAGCGGTCAACGCGAGCGTCTCTGAGCGTAGGTGATCAAGCGCTCTCGAAGGCGTAGCAACGACAATGTCTGGCTTCTCTGCCAGCCCCAGCCTGCCAGATTGCGTCTCAGTGAAAGCTCAAAGAGGGCGTAGAACCGACTCACTTGTGCGCCTTGTCATTCGTACGATCTGTCGCCTTGCCTTTCTTGCTACGCGAGCCAGAGCTCGAGGCGATGTTTAAAATCTTGACAGCGTCCGTCTCGCCCAAGAAAGAACAGAGCGACCTGAGGTGCTGCGTCACTTGCTCTGACAATTCTTTCGTTGGCACGAGGATGAGGGCTCGTGTCGCCGCTCTGTCCGGACTGGCAGCACTCAGAGCCGCTTTCGTTCTGAGTATGCTTTGCACGACTGGGATGCCATAGGCCAGCGTCTTGCCGGATCCTGTGCGTGCCCGAGCGAGAACATCATTGCCCGCGAGTGCGAGGGGGATAACTTTGTGCTGTACGAGTGTCGGGTGCGTGAAGCCTAGCTCTGACAGCGCACGCAGTAGCCGGGCATCTAGATGATCGGCTAGCGAGCTGAAGGGCTCCAGCTTTGACATTGCGACTGGTCAAGCGTCGGCAAATTTTGTCTTCGCGTCGACAGCCCGACGGTCGATCAATACCAAAGACGGCTTGGCTTGGCTTCATCGGCATCAGCCATGTCCCACGAAAAGGCAGTGCTCCTGCCGACCACTTCATCTGCAGCAGGCGTGACAATCAACAGAGCGTCAACGCGCGAGCTCAGAGCTCGTGCTACATCCGCCAAACGAGTCGTGCTCTCAATCTTACTCATCTGCTTCACGGGCACCTTGCTCCTCCGCGAACGACACCCTGCCTCGGCGACACATGCAGAACGCTTGCTCTCTGAGAACGTGCTCATGGATACTCACATCGATCTGCCGGTCATCTTGAGATACGCCTACAATCTCCAGCCGAGCGCGTACAACTTATCCGACACCGTCATCGGCGCCGTCGATATTCCAAGATTGAGATCAGGCAAGCTTGGCGCTTTCTTCTGGAGCGTCTTTGTACCTTGCCCCGCTGAGGACAATGCCAACTTCACGATGCCGGCCTACACCGTCAGAGATACGCTCGAGCAGATTGACATCGTCAAGCAATCCGTGGCTCAGTACTCGTCTACCTTTCGACTGGCCACGTCAGCTGCTGACATCCAACAAAGCTTCAAGAGCGGCTTCATCGCCAGCCTGATGGGCGCAGAAGGCGCTCACCAGCTCGGCAATTCGCTAGCGGTGCTCCGTCAATACTACGAAGTCGGAGTGCGATACCTCACCTTGACACATACCTGCAACAACGCCTTCGCAGATTCTGCCGGAACTCAAGAAGATCCCGCGAAACCCTTGCACCACGGTCTGAGTGCGTTCGGACGCGAGCTTGTACACGAGATGAACAGACTGGGCATGCTCGTCGATGTTTCTCATACCTCGACGGCCACGGCACATCAAGTGCTCGATCATTCGCTCGCGCCACCCATCGCATCTCACTCTGGCGCAAAGGGCGTCTGGGACGTCGTGCGTAATGTAGACGATGCCTACCTGCGACGTTTGCGAGAGGGAGATAGCAAGAGTGGCGATGGCGTCATCTCTGTCGTCTTTGCGCCCGAGTTCCTTTCAGAAGGAGAAGATAGCAAGGGAAGGCTCGGTCATCCAGCATCGGTTGCCGAGGTAGCCGATCATATCGACTACATTGCCAAGAGGGCGGGCAAGACACACGTGGGCATCGGATCAGATTTCGATGGCGCGAGAACGCCAGAAGGTCTAGAGGATGTCTCAAAGTATCCGAGCTTGATCGAGCAGCTCATCGAACGTGGCTGGTCTGATGCAGATCTCATCGGTCTCATGGGAGGTGGGCTACCGTTGATGAGCATGCCAGGGAATGCGCTTGCTGATTACGGTCGTGGTGCAGGCAATTTTTTACGAGTATTTAGACAGACGGAGCGAGTACGAGATTCGCTCAAGCACATGTTACCCATCACTACACTTTACAGCAAACGACCCGATCTGCCCTATCATTGGAATGCCACGACGCTCTGAATTGATCCGTCCAGCGGCTCCACAACACGACATGATGATTACTGTGAAGCATGATCCTTGGTCACGAGCTTGGCAGACCAGCCAGTCGCCTGCCAGTGTGCAGCACCGCTGTTGAGCATTAGCAACTTGACGTCAGCGCGGTCGACGAATGCGAATAAGGGCGAGACGTACGCAAGAGCTTCTGGGCCAGCATCGACCTGGGTCAGGAAGAGCGAGCTGGGCACATTGTGCTTTGTCACAGCCCAGCTGAAAGCGTTGTCAGTCAGCATGTTTTGAGACCAAAAAAAGCATCATGTGGAGACTGACTTGATGACCTGGGCGAGATCGCCTTGCCAGCTGTTCTTGTGGGAAAGATCTTGGCTGCTGACCAATGAGATCGTTGTCCAAGTATGCTCTGGGCCCTTGAAGACCTTCCAGTGATGGCCCATCACACTATCCTCGCCAAGATATTGACCGATCGGCTGAGCATCTGATTGACCAAGTTTGAGCGCTCAGGAGTGAGCAATGCGAAGCGAGACTTACTGCCACGCGTGGCGAGATGGACCTTGATCTGGTAGCGAGAGCTCGTTGGCGATGCTTCGTGTTTGCTGGCGGCCGTACCGAGCCAGAGATGCCAGCTGACGAAGCCGTGGGTCGTAACGGGAGCAGTCCAATGCCAGCTCCATTGGGCCGGGATGGACTGGATGTGAGACAGAGCCGGACCAGCGGTGATGTCGAGCTTCATGGACGGGTAAGCGCGAACCAAGCTCTTGTCGGGCGATTGGCTGCTCCTCACTGCATCAGCGCTCGTCGCAACGCAGGGTCAGAGGGTCATACTGACATGTTCCAATGGGCTGACCAGGTGGCGAGATTGCCATTGCAGCCGCCAAGTTGGGCAGAAACGACATCGTTTGGACCCTTATACCATTGATCGGCAGCCGGCGTGAAGACATACGGTTGGCCACAGATCGTAGGACGACCGGATGGACTACCCGAGCCACCGCTCTGATGGTGATGGCTTTGCTGTTGTTGCTGAGGTGGGCCGGGCGTTTGCGCAGTGGGAGGTGTTTTGGTTGCAGCAGGCGGCTTGGTCGTTGCTGAGGGTGGTGCGGTCGAGGGAGGATTAGTCGTGCTGGGCGCTTTGGCAGCTGGGTTCTTTGGCGATGCCTTGCAAGTTCGCTTGGTGAATCGCTTTGGGTTGTCATGAGCGAACACGGTCGTCGCGATCAACACGAGGGCGATGAGAGTACGGGAGAACATGTTGTTTGCTGCCTTTCCTTGCTCGTGATGAGTCCGGCCCAATGCTGATGAGAAGACGAGGGCGAGCGAGGGAAGGACAAAGTTGGGAGCGAGTCGTCAGGCAGACGAAACGCGATGCACAAGCTGGAACATGCACTCTCGAGACAACAGCGTGCAGGGCGATGCAAAGACTGACGTTCACGCCAGGATGTCGGCAAAGACAACCTCGCGTAGGCTGGCTTTCTCGATGCCTTGCTTGGTGAGGAGGATGTCCTTGACTTCCTCGGGTGGTTGTAAGCCGAGTGCCTCTGCGCGATCCCACCGCTCGAGGCGCGTCATGCCGATCGAAGGACCGTAGTCGAACGTCATGTCAAAGCATCGCAGTATCTGCTCGACCTTGGACTGATCCGCGCCGTGTACTGTCGGCCGATCATGAGGACATGCTTGCACGAAACAAGGCAAACTCGGACTCACTTGGCTTCTTGCCGCCTAGGAACTCATCCTTGACTACCCTGAAGTGGGCGTCATACTTGCTATCGTTGACGTTGAGCTCCGGGCCGACGGGCACAGGTCCAGAGACAGATGTGATGGTCGAGTTCTTGGATACGCTGCTCGCTGACTCTCTACCCGATTGGGACAACAGCTGTGACCGCTTCTTCGGGCTGACACCGACTGACTCTCTCGCTTCCTCGATATCTTGCGTACGTCTAGATGGGGTGAGAGGTGCCTTCTTGATCGTGCTAGCTTGCTTCGTCTGGCTCGAGATGACTTTCTTGCCGGGTGCCTTGCTGGTCGCCTTGGAAGACTTGAAGGCCGACTTGAGCGTCGTCTGACCATTCTCGGCTGACGGTGTACGCCTCAACTTTGCTTTGCCGACCATGTCGAGAAGAGCGAGCGTGGTGTAGCTGGCTCGCTGGCCGTGTGACGTCGCGCGCCAGGGCGAGCATCTACCGGTTTACCGGCCGGCCCGGCACGCCGGACCCTCTGCAGCCTCGCGCGCTCTTCGGATTCTGAATTCTGTCGCGTGTGCGCATGACGTTCACAGACCGACAACGCCTGCGATGAGCTCCCCTCGAAGCGCTTCACGAGCGATTGTCATACAACAGCAGCGACCACGCCTTTCGAAGAAGATCGCATGGTTTGCTGGCCTTGCAGGCGTGCTAGCAACTCTGGCGCAGTATGCAATCTATCTGCTCGCCTTTGATCGCTATGATCCTGCGAAAGGCTACATATCCCGCGAAGTGACTTCTGCGCGACGCGTGCTATGGGTCATTGCACATCGTAAGCCGAAAAAGCAGCAGGGCAAAAACGCGGATATTGATGCGTTGCCACAGCCGACGATGAAGCCATGTTCTTTGGTCCCTCTTTGAACGCTCTACTGCAGCCACATCGATCTGTACATCACCGCAGAGCAACAGGTCATCTGCTCTCGCTCTCTACAGGTTCGCAGTGTTCAGCTACAACGCACAATGGCATCACTGAGAGTTACACGGGACAGGCAATCATGAAGGTCTGGGGCAGCTACGCACACAAGAGCTCACAGCTTCGTGCGAGCACTTTGGCATTCAGAGGGAGAACTGTGTTGCACTCGATCACCCGTTCGTGCTCGCGCTACTGGAATCACTCCCCGGTGTTGATAGACATAGCGCAAACAGGCAGCTGCAAGACAGTCCAACAGCCGTCTGGCCCCCGGCTGTCGTCCTCGAATACGTCGAGCTATATGCCGATCGCTGGAATATCAGCCTAGTGAGCACAAGCCTTGCAGCATTCATGCGGAGCTCAGCATTGTCCAGGTCATCACTTTCGACGAGCATGGCGTATCGGGTCATGCAAATCATCGGGCGATATACGCTGCCCTCGAACGAGGGCGTGCGCACACAGGCACGAGTCTCCCGCCGATATACAAGCTCGCAACAAGCACAAAAGCGTCAAAGTACCTCTCGATTCTCAGCTTGCCCGGTGCTATCAGGCGAGGCTATACCCCGCCCTCGGAACCATACTTCACCTCTGCACTCCTCTTGTCGGATCCACGGCAGTACTGGCGCACTCGTACAGCCTTTGCACGTCATGCGAGCCAGCAAGTCTGGTTCAGGTCGCTCTACGTCGTCTTGAGTCGTTACATGTTCATCAACGAGCTTTCTCGCATTGGCGCGCTCGGCTGAGAGGCTCGCAACGCCGACGAGAAGGTAGGCCTGTCGATACAGACGCGAGACGTCACATCAAGTCTGCAAGAGCGACACAGCCATGGCGTTTGGGCATGGCTTACCCGACACTTTCGCTTTGCATCGCCCGGCGATGCCATGCACCAGGCTATGTGGATCCTGACTACCACCAAACATTCTGCTACCCAAACTTGACTTTCACGAGATCGTCACGGGCTACAGCAAGACTTGAAAGCGCAAAGAGGCAGTCGCATGAGCCAGGAACTGCTCCCTTCGCAGCGGAAGGCTGCTCAAACGTTGATCTTCTGACGGGAGCAATGCATCTCCAATCGCACACAAAGCCGATATAGTCCGAGTGTAACAGCGAAAGTGTATGCATTTGATACCCTGCGCGTGAATTGAAGCTCTTGGGAAGCACCTGCAAGTGAGACATGCTTGTTTTGCACGGCGAAGACCTGCAGGTCAGCATGTGATTGTAAGATGACCGTAAGACGACCAAGACGAGAAGACTTATAGAGACACGCGACACCAGCGACTTGTCTCTCTCGCTCTCGCGCGCATGTCTTCATCAAAACGTTGACGCGTACGAGCCTGTCGACCATGCATCATCCATGATTGACATCACAGATAGCGATGACAGCGGCACAGAGCTGCGTCCATCCGCGCCTGCACGGAACAGTAGCAAGCCAAGCCATCAGCTCTCGCGCGACTCACCTGTCAAGTCCTACCGACGCATTCCCAAAGCAAAGCCAAGGCAAAGCTCAGAAGACGACGGGGAACCGCTAAGCCCTCCAGCGTCTGCAAGCACACCCATCGCACCCACAGCACAGACCAGAGCACGCCCAAGGCCACGTCCAAGGCCTCGGTCGCCCCAGAACAAGAAGAATCCGACCCTACTCGCGCCTGTTGCGCCTGCCCTCGCCAGGCGTACCAATCACAATGAGGATGACTCGGACGCCACATCACGAACTGCATTGAGACTGAGGCTTGCTCCTCGGACCAGTCCAGGTGCGCCTGACGCCCCGACTGACTCTAATTTCTTCGTCTTGTCAGCTGGTCAGTTGCAATGCCCCAGCCTCGGCGGGCATGAATCTCAGTCAGACGAGTAAAGCAGGCGTCAAGAGGCGCAAGCCGCTCGTCAAGACATACAGCGTATCTAGCGATGGCGATAGTGGCCTGCCGCAATCGCAGAACAAGTCATCAAAAGCCACGCCGAGCAATCGAAAGCCAAGGCTCGAAAGTGATTCTTCCGATAGCCCGCCAGAGCTGCCCGTCCTGATTTTGTATGTCGCTCACTTCGTCGTTCAGGACACTTCCACTCACGGCGCGAAAGCTGACAGAACATCGTCGGACGAAAGCGACAAAGGTGAGCAAAGCAAGGACACCGCACGATCTACGCCCATTCTCCTTTCGCCCAAAGCCAAGCCGAAACGGACGATCGCAAGGCGTGAGATCACCCCGCCACCGCCCTTGCGCTCGCGAAGCATTCCGCTGGCTTACCCACAGTCAGCTTCTTGGTCATCTCCTCGTGCTCGCACTGACATACGCGCTGACACAGAGCCAAGCCGATCAGTCCCAGTGTCCCAAAGATCGACCTGCCATCGGCCAAATCACCATCCCCGACTATCGTAGATTCGGACGATCTTGAAACCGACCCAGATCTATTGCGGATAAGACAACAAGTCAGGGCGCGATTGAGAGCAAAGGGAGGTGCAAGTGATGCGAACAAAGAAGCGAGCACGGGCCACAAGATCGACATGACGATCCAGCTCATTCATGACGACAGTGCCGGTGCGGACCAAGCGGCAAGCTGGTCTCGTCGAGTTGTGCAGCAAGTCGGTCTGGTCAGTTTTGCAGCTCTCCGCGATTGCTCGAGCTGACTGTCTTGAGCTCAGCGCGAGAGCATGGAGGGTCTCTACAATATCGCTGCACTCACTGCACAGGTTCCTGCTTCCGCGGTCACGCTCGTATATGAAGGGCGACGCGTCTATCGAACCGCAACGCCTCAATCGCTACATATATACGGTGCAGCCACTCTCCGTCCGTCCGCCGCCACGGCTGACAATCCGTCGCTAATATGCTTGATTTCAGAGGCTTACCGTTCTGAGCATTTTGAGCGAACACAGTCAGACGGAGCCTTCCGTCAAGCGAGCACAAACGCTACGCCAGCTCAGACAAAACCGGAAATATCTTCGCAGTCAGACAGCCAGCAAGACGCAGACGAGGATAATCATCTGCGGCTAACCGTCAGGTCCAAAGGTGCTGAAGAAATCGGGCTTCGACTGAAGAAGACAGACACGGTGAGCGCACTCATCAGAAGCTATCTCAAGCGCACCCACCAGGATGCAAGCAAAGCCGCACAGTGCAGGCTCATATTCGATGGCGAAGCCCTTCCTGCAGCAGATGAGATAGGCAGCACAGAGGTCGAAGACGGAGAGAAGTTGGATCTTGTTATAGGATAGCGGATGTAGCGCGTGTATCAAAACTTGCATTACTAATATTCGTCCGCTTGTACAGAATCTTGTTCGCTCTCGCTCTCGCTGTCCTCAATGATGCGCTTGATCTTACGTGGCGTAGCTCTGACACTGCGCCTCGAGGGCGTCGCCGCCGGATCGGGAGCATCAAGCGACGCGGATTGAGAGACCTCATCGTCCGATGACGACGATGATGAGCCTGTCGCCACAAGCGTATGCGCTTTCGGACGGGCTTTTTTGCGCGTAGGCTCGTCAGCTTCCTGATCTTCTGCACTCGCTGTGACGCCAGCAACAAAGGTCTGCAGCTCTGTCAGTCGGACAGCATCGCCAGCCACTGCGTCTTCTCCAATGTCCTGTCGTCGCTTCGCAGCGGCAGTATGAATACGAACGAGGGAATTGCGAGAGACAGTGTCGGTCAGAGGTCTATGCTGGTCTATCGCCGTAAGCAGGAGTTGCAGCGATTGTAGCGATATAGCTGAAACTTCGGGTACGATGACAATTTTGCTGACAAGCTGGCAGAGTAGCTTTCGTCTTTCCTTCCCAGGATCTTGCAAGACTTCCTTCAGGAGCTCCAGCGCAATATCGATCTGGACTTCAGGCTCGCGAGCATTGCTGGCAGATTCGATAAGACGTTCAGGATTGGTCCACTCGAGCAAGTGCAGCCCAATCTGAAGCGGCGCGACCATATCCTCCTCTGGTCCTATCTCCTCGAAGGTTGCCGTCAGTATGTCGAGGGTAGAGACAAAGATCTATTCCACTTGATCAGCGCACAACGAGTGCAAGCAAGACTACTGCACCTCTTGCATCGCGCGCTGATTGTGCGATGAGGAATAACAGTAGACAGGGAAGAAATACGCCAAACATTGGCGCAACTCTTGATTGTCTGCAGTCTCGGGCGCAAAGTAGATCAACACGAGATCTTGCAGAACCTAGCAAGAGCCATGGCGTATATGAGCACGAGATAGCCACGAATGTCATGCGCGGACCTTCGAATCTGTGACATGGCCGGCGAGCATGAGCTTCGAGATGCCAATGGCCGCGGCCGCTTGCGTTGCAAGAGGTTGATTCAGGGCTTCGACGAGGAAGTCCACCACTTGCTCGCTCTTTTCTACCATGTCAGTACTCAAATACGGCACGCGAAAGGACATGCCTCGAAATTCGGTCGATTCTCGTCATCGCGCGATGCCATGAAGTCAAGCCCATGTAACATCAGAATGTCGAAGATGACTTGATATAATCTGACCTGAAGATCGCCTTCGCTGCGTCGAGCTTGTCCGGCAAGCGTGCCGAATGCTCGCTGTGCCATTGTCTGCAAGTATAGTAAGCACTGTCACGTGTACGCAGCGAATATCTGACCAGGTCTAGCAAGCTGCAGAGACCGAGAGTGATGAGGCCTTGTGCTCGGATAGGCGCTTGCTTTGAACGTACAGCCGGCGCAACGAGTTCTTGAGCGAGGCCCTCGAGGATGGGATTATCACGCATTGTCTGTCATCACGTCAGTCAGGATTACCGTACGTCCATGCCTGTACGTACGCCCATCACGCGCTCTAGCAACCCTCGGATGATTTCGAGACAACGAAGGATGAGTGCAGGGTTTTCGTCGAATTGACCAGTCTGTGTTGGCACAGCAGGCGCCTGCCTGCCTTTGGCCATCTTGGCGAGCTCTTCTTCTGTCAAGCTGGCCATGCTGTCGTTATCGCTTCCTGAGTCCGTCTCTTCATTCGTTTGCTCTTTGTCTGTGTCCCGCAGCTCTTGTACGATCTCGACAATGACCTGCATGAAATCGCGCTCGCTGCTGGACAGCTTCGAGAGGACGTCGAGGCAGACAGGGATCAAATCGGTCGGAAGCATGGGATGCGAGACAAGATCACCTGCTGTCGAGCATCAGCTATGCTGTATGACACCAGAAGCGCAGCGCACGCAGCAGAGTGAACATTTTGCGGCGGCCGATTTCGTCCGCGTAGTCCTCGAAGAGCGCGATTGCGAGCAGCTGAGACATGATGAACTGCGCTCGCAGTCCTCGATGAGCAAGCTTCTTCTGTTCCGCAAGTGCGTCTTCGTCAAGATTCTGCAGGTGCGCAATGAGCTCGAGCATTGCCTTGAAGAGACTGTCGATGCGGAAGGAAAGTGCGGTCGCAACTGGCAATAAGGATTCCAGCTTAGCTTCGTCCTTCTTCGAGTGACAGTGTTCCAGCGTGACACGAATCAAGAGGGCCTTCTCGGGCGTCAAAGCAGACCAATGGTCCTCTGCTATGGTTTGTCAGTGCTTCTCCAGGAACCAATGAATGAAGCGTACCGCCGAAAGTCATGCTTTCGAGAATTTCGGGATGAGCTTCAAACGCCGCTAGAAGAGCGCCCTCGCAGACTTTGGTTTCTTTTGCGACCTCGAGTCTTCCCAGCATTGCAAGGAGGCTCTCGACGGATGACCCCGCCCAATGACCAACGAGTCGTATTGCAGAACGCTTGACGGCGCCTTCGCGATCGTTGAGACCGCTCTTGAGAACTGCCGTACGCTGTGCACGCGTCATCTGATCCCACAGACCAAGACTTCGCTGTACCGCAGGAGTGGCAGGACCTGCAGCCTTGACAGGCGAAGGCGCATCTTGCTCGATCGGGCTAGTCAGCTGTGCTGAATCGAGCGGGTTTCCCGAAGCGGGTTGAGGAACGGTTGGTATCGCCAACGTTGTCTGGAAAAGAAGCCGTCTGTTGGTCGGGTCGATATCTCGCACGCGGTCAAGTATAACGGGCAGCGACCTATCATCTGGCTCTTCCATAGCCAACAAGGCCGCTCGCCTCACCTCGCTGCGCTAGATGATCAGAGCTATGTGGCGTGATCCGAAGATGGTATGCTTACGCAGAGGGGTCGAATTGCATGAGCGAAAGCAAGACTTGAGTGGGAGTGTCTGGCTGGGCAATAGACGATGCCGAACTAGAAGCTGACATTGCGGGTCTGCTCTTCGCTTTGCTTCTCTTTGCGTCATAAGCTCGCGTAGACTCGACTGGTGCTGGCTCATCGTCATCGAGCGAGCGCAATTTGCCAAGCCCGATAGCAGCTTGTGTGCGTACGTTTGCTTCCTTGTCTCGAGCACGGATCAAGAAGCTCTCACGCAGGGTCTTGAACAGATTCTCGCTAGACGTAGTAGGCATAGGTCAGCGATGCTACACTCTATTAAGAGAAAGACGTACTCTAAGTCGGGCAAGGCGCGCAAGACGAGGGCGACAATCTGTACACTGCGCCACCTGACAGTTTTATTCTTGGCCTCAAAGCCTCTCAACAGGTATTTGACGAGCCCGTTGACGAGTCTGCTTGCTGGGCCGTCCTGATCCTCGTCCTCGTCTTCCTGAGGCTTTGAATCTTGTTCGCGAAGTGTGGCAAGCGCGAGGAAGCCGGCGATGAAGCGCAGTACGCGTTCGACATGCTTCTGACCCGGGCCTACTGCTCTACCTTTGCCCACTGGCAGCAGTCGAGAGACAATGTCGCGCATTGCGACTAGGAACAAGCGCTCGCCGGTCAGATGAATCATTTCCTGCTCGTTCGGCCGCTTCGTGTGCGCATCGCTCTCGGTATAAGAAGAACATCTGAGAAAGAGGCCATGCAGCAGAATAAGATTCTTGCGGTCTGTTCGAGTGCTTGACTGTCAATGGTGTGGCATATTTGACGAACAGGCACGCACGATTGACGACAGACTGCTGTACTTGGTCAAAGATTGTCGGCAATGCGCTTAGCCCATCTGTGACTTGCGTCTGGCTGCTCAGCAGCTCAGTCTGCGCTGCTGCAGCCTTTTGTCGCCCCATGATGGGATCGTCTTGGTTTTGCGCGAGTGTACTAGGCGATTGTGTCACGTGACTAAGACGCGGTATACCTCTGCGCACACTCAGCGAATCCAAAAGGCCAAATTGGCGACAAGCTTGCGGCCTGTGCGTCTGATCGATAATCGCTGTCGTCGGTGCTGATGTTCTTTCCAGCGACATGGCCACTTCTTGCTACCCGCCCTCGCTGTCGAGCCTTGCATCTGTCTCATCGCACGCTTATTCTGACGACGCACAGTCAGTGATCCAGCTGAATTCAAAGGCAGCCTCAAGCATGGGAAGAAGGGACACAAGTATAGAGCGAGAACTGCTCGACTCTGCCTTTGACGAGCGCTTGCTGGATCTCAAGGCAAACCAATTGTCGCCCACACGCAAACTAAGGCAGGTACAGTCATTCGATGTCCTCTCGCCGGCGATACGGAGCACGCAATTTGGACAGTCTAACCGGCAGCCGACCTCAAGCACGCTAGCAAGCACCATGACTGCATCTGGCTCATTCTATACCGCTCTGCAAGGCGGTTCGTCCGCTGATGAAGCATCTTTGCCCTCGTCAATTTATGCTACGCCCGCGTCCGCCATACGACCCTCGCATCATGCTGGTCCAGATCCACGTACAGAATCACCTAGCAGGCTGCAGAGACGTTCGCTCTCTGTTGAGCTTGTCGACGCACATCACGAAATCGGCCGTTCGAGCACGCTGAAACGATGGCAGGCGCACGAAAGCCCAATCGTCACAGACGAATCCCTCAAGCATCGTCCTTCGTACGCAGAAATGATAGCAAAGCGCGAAGAGCAAGTCCGGCAACGTTATCGAGAGGCCCAAGCTGCCAAGGGTGCCGAAGAAGTTGACGATGCACCAGATCAGAGTGAAGACTCGAGTGCGGACGTCGATCTAGATTTTGACTGGGAGCGCCCTGCATGGCAAAATAGCGTGCATCGATCGAGTGGCTCAGTACGAGCAGGCGAGGTCTTTTCATCCGCTCGAACGCTCGCGCCCGGTCCACGAATGTCTAAACGCTACAGTCGATCTTCCGTCGAGCTCGGACGAATGTACAGCTCATCATCGCGCGGCACCATACGACCAAGTCCAGCACGCACCCGTACATCATCTCATGACTTTGCCGTATTGCTCGAACGTGCCCCTTCGCAATGCTCACGATGGACAGATCATTCCAGATCGAGCACAGGTTGGAGCGTCAACAGGACTGCGCCACTTTCTGATCAATGGCCAGCTCGAGATTCTGTCGACTATGTAAGCGAACATCCTCACATTGCACGAAAAGCGTCATCGACTTTCTCACTGCGCAAAGTCTTCACCGCTCGTCCTCGCGAAACCGGCAGCGGTCCAGCAACGCCCACGCTCACTTCTGGCTGGCAAGCCGATATGCACGAACATCACACGGTCCACTTTATTGAAGGCTCAGTAGCAGCCTCGACACCTACCTTGACCTTCTCAGACGACACTTTCGCCGCGCCACAACCAGCTTACGCCAAAGTACCTGCTTTCAGTCCTTTCAACAGTCCGCGTCTATCGAATGGCCCATCTCCGAGGCTGTGTCCCGAAACGCCTGCTTCCTACATTGCCGCTTCACCTCGTCTGCAAAGTGAGACCGGCAAACAATACGGTCTGGGGCTTTCTATTCCGTCCAGCTTGCAAAGTCCTAGTTTGGCCAGTCAAGCGGGACTGCTTTCACCTGTGCAAGCGCAAGTACCGAGTGCAGATCTTGCTACACCATTGCTCGCAACTCGGAATAGCTCTCAATGGACTCGTACGACTCACACTCCGCTGCGCATCGTCGAGGACACACTGCCGGCCAAGCTGCTCTTCTGGACAGGCTTCTTTCTCGGACCGTGGACCTGGGCTATCGGAGGTTGGTACTTGCGCAACGATGGCGAAATGCGCAACTGGCAGGGCGCCATCTGTCGATGTGTGGCAGACGAAGAGGCCTGTCAGCTTGATGCTCATCACGACTTGAAGCTGTTGGGCGTGCAGATGAGCGAGCATGGCTATCGCGAAGACGCCAAGCACCAGCTCTCTCATTCTGACTATGCACGATGGCTCGATGTAGGCGAGACACGCAAGCCCGGGCCCGTGTTCTGGGTTCGCGCAAATCGCGCAGCTGCTTCACTCAGCCTTCTCGCAGTGCTCGGAGTTGTAATTTACACCATCAGGCTCGCAATTGTCGGATAAATGCATCTTGTTAAGCCATGAAATTCTGCTCCCATACCCAACACCTCTCTGAAGCTGTTCGATACTATAAATTGCCAGGCAGGAAAGAAAAGAGCGAGCTTGGCTCACCTGCGCGGAATATTTTAGGCGCGGCCGTGCACCAGGGCAGAGCGTTCGCCGAGGGCAAGGGTGCGCAATCCACTCGTACGATCGGATGCGATGCCTTGTAGTCGTCTGAGCTTGCATCAGTATGGCTCGGCACACATAGAGATCATCTTACGGCGGTCGAGATGCAGCCATCTGAGCAGCTCGGTCAGCGTCTTTTGTACAAAAGCAGCCATCGACTCACACATTCCAGGTGACGAAAGCTCTACAGCAATCCCAGTCTGTCAGCACGCATCGGGTGAGTCTCAGTATTGCAGCGCAACTTGGCCTCCATATGAGCCTACCATTGCCTGGAATTTCGAGCTCGTTCGCGGGAGATGAGCTAACTGCGATTTGGAGCTGCACGCGGCTTGCATCGGCTCCGACGATGCTTGCCTTTGTATAGCGATCATTATCAGTCTATGAGACGATATCAGTGACACGTGGGCTGCGCTCGGTGATACTCTTGCCAATTCGAATGTCGGGTGGCCGCCCTCTGTTCTTGATAGCACGACGGTCAAGGCTGTGCTGCTATGATGACCCAGGTCAAGATGGCCAATACGATAGCAATAGGCGAGCAGCGCCACTAGCCAGCGATGAGCTCAATCCGTTCGCGAGCCTAACGTTGACGTACGTGAGATGTGATAAATTTGCGGACTCGAACGTAATAATCCCGGCTCGGCAGTCAATGGTACAGACACGACGAAGACGACGAACAAGAGAGCGAAGGTGACAATAGTAATCATCGTGTTCATCGTGCGGCGAGGAGAGACAGGTAGAGAGGTGTTATATATTTATTGAGCATGCTCGAACGTGGGCGCGAGTCAGGGGACGAATCTTTGGGACAGGCTGTCGTTTCCAAGCAACCAAGGCAACACAAAGAAGACATAGAACGTGGATTGGAAGAGAAGTCACGACGAGCAAACGTTGGCTGTCGGCGCATTCAACGATCCTGCCGAGCCACGTCATGATCTATTCGGCCAACTTCGGATGTCAGACACGTCAGCAGGCTCGCGATAGCCTTCTGGCGATCTGACGCCACCTTCCTAATGCGCCGGTCGGCTCGCGAACATTAGGCGCACCCTGCGCAGCCAAGTACAATGAAAAGGTCGACCGAGAGAGGCATTGCCTGTTCCGAGAGATCGGGGTGGCTAGATTGGTCTTTGTCGCTGTGCCTGATGCCTCGTCAGCAAGCAAATCCGCATCTTGGCTGGCATTGGCAGGAGACCGCAAGTATTGAGACCCTAGACGCAATTCTAGACTGTCAGCCATGCCGCTCAGCGATGAGCTGCTCGCAGATTCAGCGACAGAGACAGACTCGACTGCCGTTCTGCCGCAGCTGATAAAGCCTCGAGGCAGCAGCGTTCGCCATTCTGTCATCCATCTCTTCGAGGACAAGATGTTTCGAAGCCGTAGCTTCATGGGACACAAGCGCTCGCACAGCAACACTGAAAGGCCGCCTATGCCAGAATCAGATGGCATCGTACGCACGAGCACGATCACCGTGCAAAGCGAACACGCCAGGCCAGCGCGACCGGCGGATGTGACACACAAGGCGCCTGCCACCTCTGCGCCTGGCATGAAGACCGTCAGGTCATCAGGCGCTGTCTCAACACGGAGCACAAAGTCGAGCAATAGCGCTCGCTCGCCTTCAAGACCTCGTGCGCCCATCTCACCTCCGATGCCCGCCTACTCGACCTTTGATCGTAGTACACATGCAGCCGCTTCGCCGCCTCAGCCACCTTCAATCCGACCGTTGCAGCCTCGGTCACACTCGCAGATTTACTCAGCAGGAAGCTCGGATGTCAAAAGGCCATCAATGCCCCGGGCAGCATCGTCCTACACATCATCAGCTCGTACGAATAGTAGCGGTACCAACAGCAGCGGCACAAACAGCAGCGGCAGTCTGTCTTCGGCTACTGACTCTATGCTCCGCTCTGCCTCTTTCCGTACGAGCTCGTCAACAACGACGTTGGCATCAATGAATGACGCAGATGGATTGGCGATTGCCAGCAAATACGGATTCCGCGGCGCTGCCAGGACGCAAAGCAATGCAATCGCTCCACGTACCTTTACGCCTGCCATGAGTTCGCCTCTGAACAGCCGGCCGGTATCGCCAACGCGCCATCAGCTTGCAGATAGTAGGTCTTTCTCGTACACGTTGCTCGGCAGTCGCTCATCTTTCTTGCAGTTCCTCTTGCACCTGGCGAGGCCAGCCCTACGACACTATCGAGGCCGGTGTCAGCTGTGCGAAGCAGACCATCTTCAGGCTCACTCGTGCGTCGCAAGTCTGTCAATTCGATCGGAGCAGATAAAAGACTACATCTATTCACCAATCTCATTGCTCTTGTCAGTTCAGAGGCAATGGAATCGCTCAACATCGACGAGATTGTCGAGCTAGATGATGAGGGCAGTCAAGTCATTGATCTGAACAGCAAGCAAGTCAGCCAGGTCAGTCTGCTTCCCACCTTCTTTGCGCGTCCATCCTGACTTGAGCCGTAGTTTGACTTTGACGACGATGCGGATCGCAGCGAGGAAGAGGCAGCTCTGCCCGTTGTTGCTGGAGTGACTCTCTTTGGCAAGCTCGGCAAGAAGCTGCACACGAAGAGAAATACCGTACCATCCGGTCCCAATCAGAAGGCATTGCCATCCGCAATAAGTCTGCCGCTGCCGACGCCCCGTTCGCGAAATCTCGTGTTCGGTCGAGCTCTCAAAAACTTGCCGCCTTCTGCCTTTTGCGTCAGCGTGATTGCTGGCGAGCGTATCGAGCTGCCCGTCATTGTCTTCTCGACGATCGAAGAAACGTTCTCTCGTGGCCTGCACCTGCCAATCTTCCGCTTAGCAGGCAACGCGGCCAATATCGACCGCCTTGCCGAGACATTCAGTGAAGCCCCGAACTACGGCAGCCAACGTGACTATACTACAGAATCAGTCGTCGATTTGGTCGGCGTGCTAAAGCGATGGATGACCTCACTTTCCTCGCCTGTCTTCCATCCGCATCTGCTACCTCTGCTCATCACAGAAGTCGTACAAGGCGAGACGGACATCGAGACACGCACTGCGATCGCTCGCATCTCGATTCAACTGCTGCCACCTCGCAATTTTGGCTTGTTTGTCTATCTAATGGCGTTCCTCGCTCAAGTCGTTGTCCGAAGTGAGCAGAATCGAATGTCACCTGACGTGGTTGCGGCTAAGCTGGCAAGTGCCCTGTTCGGCACCTCCATGGATGGCGATGCCGATAGCCTCACTACTGTGCCAGCTTCTCACCTTGCCCTCATGTTCATAATGGAGCATTGGGTACGCATCAGCGAGAACATTATGACTCCGACCAAGGACGAGAAGCTGGTTCGTTCAGCATCTCAACGCGGAACGACTGCCGAATCGAAGCGCAAGTCTGCTGCAACTATCGCTAGTTCTCGCTACTCGTCTCACAGTAGTCGCGGGACAGCGTCCACTGGGGCCACTAGTATCTCTGAGCCGACAAAGCGGCGACTGGAGGCCCGCAAATCGTCAAGCGCGATAGATCCACTGATGCATGCTCGACTCCTGCAAGATGCGGGATCAAGCGATGGCTTCAGTAACGACGAAGAGCACACGCCAAAGCTCAAGAGCGGATCTTTTCGCTCTTCGCTACCCTCGCTCATCCATTCTGGGATGTCAGACTCTGCCGAAAGCAATGCATCTGGTCAATACTCGCCAAGAAGCCCCCCTGCAGATCAATCCGCTTGGCAAAGCGACAGCTATGATTCAATACTGGATCACATACATCTGTCATATCACTACGACGCTTCGGAGCAAAGCGATAGCGATGGATCGCTATTCAGTGTACGGCGTCCCCCAAAGCGAACTGCAGGCAGCACACCTTTGGCTAAGGCCGCGACGCTCAACAATCGAGAGATCTCAGCGCTGCTGAAGCGGCTTGAGATCGCGGAGCACGCAGAGGCAGAGCGGCGGGCGGAGCTCGAGCGCCTGCGTCACAGCGTCGCCCTCGCAGCCAAAGATAGAGAGATAGAGCGCCTGCGCGCAGCAGCCGCATACATTTGACCGAGCACACGTTAGCAATGCATGGCACGCTACTTGTACATAATCGATGCAGCGATGCGAGCAGAATTGGCCCTTCTGAGAGCCGTACTAAGCATTGTGTTCATGCTTCGGCGGGTGCGATACTCTTGGCAAACGCCTGTATCAGCTTTTCCTGCGCATCCTGTACGTCTTCGTCCTCTGACGCCATCTGTGCAGACAGGGCCTTGACGTCGTCTTCTGATAGTCCTGCAGCAGCAAGCAGGTTCGCCATATGTGTGGCTGCCTTGGGCGCATCGACCATGACATCCGGTAGACCTATGATGGGCCCTGCGAAAGAACGCTGCCAATCGATATTAATGTCCGCTTCCTCGGCAAGTTGCTCGACAAGCTCGCAAAGAATGTCGACATCGGACTGCTTCTTCTCGAGGCCGGCAGACAGTAGGGAAGACATAAAGATATGTCTGAAGCGCTCTTCGACGAGTTGCATACTTTGGACGCCTTCTGAGACGTCCTTGACGGTAAAGAATTCGGTAACACCGTTCTTGATGGACCGCAGCACGCTCTCGGAAGGCTCGTCGCTGACAGCTTCAGAGGCTGCCTCCGGTTCGGCGTCGACGGCAGGCGTATCCGGCACACCCTGGCTCTCATCTTCCTCAAGAGCTTTAGTCCTTGGCGCGAGAGCGAGCTTCTTGCGCTCAGGCCCAGAAGAAGTAGCTCGCGAGCCAGTGACGGGTGCTGCGGACGGCTCGCTCTGACTGAGTACCGCAAACGCATTCGCTCGCTGGTCAGGTTTATCCTCCTTGGGCGCGCCCTTAGACTTGTTTGCAAAGACGCTGGATGGCGCGCCCAGACTGCCAGTGCTTTGTCGGACTTTGCCGAAGCCATGTAAGCTGCCAGCAGGCGCTGGACGAGCAGCAGACGGCGTTTGCCAGCCTTCTTGTCCAGACGCGTCGCGACTTCTGCCGCCGCGCGAGCCGCCACGACCCAATTGGTCTTGCATCCTCGGCAATCCTTTTCCGCTAGAGCTCTGTGCAGCTCGTCTGGCCTCCTCGGCTTGTCGAGCAGCCTGTTACGGAGCGAAGATGTCAGACTCAACTATGGACTCGTTCCGATATGAGCTTACGTCCTCGTGGACTTCTGACAATGTCTTTGGACCTCCAGTGTTGTGCCTTGGCCGCCAGTTGTCCTTCTTGAGATCCAGCACATCCTGTGACAAGACAGTCAGCATGCTACAGATCTGTGTTGCAAAGCCTTACCTGCGCCATGAAGCGTATCCGAGATGATAGCTTATCGTTATCTGCGATGAGCGCGACTCGGTCCAGATACGCATTCCAGATGGAGGCCGCCTTTGCAGCATTGACGGCAATCGAGTCTGCTTCGAGCTGAGCGCCGATTGTGGTCAAAAGTCGGCAGAGAGACTCGACGTCTTCCTCTTCCGGTGTCTCAACATTTAGAAGTAGCTTGTGCAAGCATTGGTGCATGATTCTTGAGGTGAGCATCTGCAGCTTGTACAGCTCGCCGATGAAGCGAACAAGACCAAGACCTCTACGCTTCGCCTTCTGAGCCGCGTAGTATTCGTCAGAGAGCAATACGATCTCTTGATCTTCCTTGACTTTGCCTCCCGCGGCGGCCTCGGCGGCAGCTTTGTCGATAGCGGCTTGCTTTGCGCTGTCATCGCCCGCCTTTGCTTGTGCGGCCGCCGCTGCAGCATCTGCTGAAGCCCAGCCTTTTTCGTAGTCTTGTTGACACCGAGTGAGCAAATATTTGCGGAAAAGAGAACCGCCTGAGACGGGCGCTTGCCCGTCCTTCCGCTCGATGGTGAGGTCGACGACTTCGGGAGAAAGCTCGTCTTGTATCTTGCGACATAACCTCGCATACATCTCTGACCATGCGGCTTCGTCTGTTGCTTTCTCGAATATAAGAGCAATGACTTGGCGCAGGATGCGACCGTCGCTTTCGGCTGCAGATTTATTTGCCCAGGCAAGGACCTGATCGGAGATGCTGACAAACTTTTCGACTGTAAGCTTATTGAGCAGCGCCTTCACCTTTCGCTGAACGATTTCTGGTGACGTCTCGTCGGTCGAAGTGCCCGGCTTCATTCGCATCCACCTGTTCTCGGACTTTTCGAGCGGCGCGACGTTGTGTTCTGGCACGAAGGATGTCTGCGCTCTGTCGCCTGCCCTTGGCTTGCCACGTTGACTCCGTCGACCTTCGCGACCCACGTAGCCAGCAGGCATCATACCGCTCTGACTTGGCGCACGTGCCATACCGCTGCCGGAGCGAGCGCCCATACCAAACCCTTGGCCGAAGGCGCCTCCGACACCCATACCTTTGGAACCACCACTGCCAGAGAAGTTGCCCATCTGGAAACCGCCTGCATTGCGACCCATCGAGCTGTTCGCACCACCCCGTCCTGGTGGAGGACCCATTCCTTTTTTGTTGTCAAAGCCACCCGATCGTGATGGGCCGACGTCAGTCATCCCAATGGCATCAAGCTCTGGCAGGCCAGCAGGCTTCTGTGTGCATATTGCAAGGAATTGCAGAAGGTAGTCTCGATCGTAGCGGAACTTGCCAGGCTTGCTGCCTGCGTTCAATCCATCTCGAGGTGGCTTAACACCCTCGGGATAGTCAATATCCGAAAGCGACTGGATCCTAGACGCTTCTGCAATGGATTTGAGGAACGCTGCAGACTCGTCGACCTCGCCTGGCTCGAGGCCAGACGTAGCGGTGGTCTCTGGCGCATCTGTCTTGACAGAGTCGACCGATACGTCAGCGGATTTGTCTGCACTAGAATCGGTGCGCGGCGCCACGTAAGTCGTCTTAGCGGCTTCCTCGGTACTTGCTTCCTGTGCCGAGGTAGTTGTGGTGGCGGAGTCCGCGGCAGGAGGTGAAGCAGATGCAGCAGCGGCTGTCGCTGCCTCTTGCTTTGTCTTCAGATCGGCTTCAGCGGCTTCAGCGTCAGCTTTGGCCTTCGCCGCAGCAGCTTCTTCTGCCACCTTTGCCTCGTGCGCGCGCTTCTCTGCTGCTTCCTTTGCTTCGGCCTCCTCCTTGGCTTTTGCCTCGGCAGCGGCTTTTGCCTCTTCTGCCTCTTCTGCCTCCTTCAGCTCGGCCGCCTTCTTCGCCTCGACCGCCTTGAGCTCTTCGGCTTGCTTAGCCTCTTCGTCGGCTTTTGCTCTCGCTTTCGCTTCCGCTTCGGCCTGCTTTTCAGCCGCACGTGCCTTGAACTCCGCAGCGATGCGTTCCTTGTCTTCGGAAACTGGAGTTGCAGGCTTAGCAACAGGATCTGGCGAGGCGACAGCGGGCGTGGGCGATGAAACAGTCGATTGCGCTAGCTCAGAAGGAGCCCGAGCGATTGAAGCAGGCCTTTCGAGCTTGACTTCTTGCTTCGTATTGGGATTGACGATCCTGATTGCTGCACTCGGCCTCGGCTTGAATTCGGCTACGCGAGCACTCAGTGGCTGAGGCGTGCTAGGCGTCGGCGGCGCACTCGGCCTGTTCACTACCGGAGAAGGCGTGGCTGGGCTTCCTTGGCTTTGTTGCCAATTTTGAGCGCCTGGCAGAGGCGATGGTCCGGGCGTAGACGAGGGCGGCATGCTTCGCTGAAAATTAGATGGCAGCGTCTGATAAGCTGGGTTATACGGATAGTACATCTGCTGCTGATTGGGCAGATATGCTGGCATCAGCGAAGGCTCCATCGTGCCATGCTCAAGCTGGCTTACCTGCATGCCGGGATAAGGCTGACCGGGGGCGAAAGAGTATTGCTGTGAGCCCATGGGAGCATGACCTTGCCGAGGACTGGTCTGAGGATAGCGTGGAACGTTCATGGTCTGCCTGCCGCCAGGACCAGCGCTGCTCGACATGGATCGCTGCGCTAGGTGACCGGGGCCTGGCTGGGGATATCCGGAGGGAGTACCTGGCTGGAAAGGAGATCCCTTGGGCATACCAGCGCTGAAACTGGCAGAGTGAGCATGCCCTTGCATCATGCCTGGACCAGAGGGTGAGAAGACTGGTACATCAGCCGATAGCCTGGGCGCGCCAAAGGAAGATATGGAGGTATTTGACGCATGCGATATCGTGCTTTGGGGTCGCGAAGACGTCGAAGGGTCGTATGTCGAAGCAGAGCGACGTGATTCGGGCTGCGAAGGCATGGGCGGCGAAGCCACGGGCAAAATGGGTGTGCCGGGCTCGGGCTCATTCGAGCTTGAGCCTTGCTGGAAAAGCGAATCAAAGCTAAAAGCAGCTGCCGAGACGGCAGGCTTGGGCGCGGGCGCAAGAGGAGCGCCTTGACTGGAAGGCGTGGCAGAAGAAGCCAGCGAGGGCGCTCGATTGCCATTGGCTGCAGGAGCTGGCGCGATTGTGCCAAACTGCATCGCGGAGCTTGCAGGTACGGCCACAGGCTTGACAGGCGCATCTGTTTTGCCCGGATTTGCGCCTGCTGTTGGCTTTGATGCACTATCTGGCGCAGCATCGGCGGCAACAGCGTTGGCAGGAGGGATGCCATTGCGCTGGGCAGGCAGCCCACCCGGTCCGCCTAGACTTCCTCCGCGAGATATGCTGGGCGAAGGCAAAGCAGAGGCAGCCTGGCTCGTGGAGCGACTGTTGTTAGCAGATTTGGCCGCTGCGGCTGCATAATTGAAGGCGGGCTTGGGAGCGCCGTTGGGCAGTTTAGCAGCTGTAGGTCCGTTTGTGACAGCCTCATTGGCGTTGTTTGACGATGGTGCCGAGACGTTGGTGGAAGCAGAGCCTGTATCGACAGCCTTGCTCATCCTACGAGATTGAGCGATCGCTTTCTCAAGGGTGAGCTCCTTTCAACACGGTTGTCGTCTGACCCGGCTTGCTCGAGCGATCTCGGCCGAAGCTGATTGGCGTCTTTGACGGGCAAAGCAGGACCAAGAAAGCGTAGTGAGAGATGCGACGCTTTGGAGAGCGGCGCAGTGACTTAACCGAACTCCTTCACAAGCTGGGAAAGGTGCAGAATGCGATGATGGAGCCGTCAGTAGAGGCCCGGATGACTCCTTCGCCGCCGTATCCTGGGACGACGGGAGTGACAAGCAATACGCCCGTCCGACTGTACAGACAAGCAGGCGAACAAGCTCTGTGGCAGACGTATCAGTCGCTCTGCAACATTTTTGAGCCTTCTAATTATCGGCGCTTACCGGTCCTGCAAAAGCTGGTCCGACTCTCGCGCTGACTATTGGTCTTGATGGCGCAAAGGACCGGAAGTCCTTGGCCGATCGATTCTGATTGACCCTCTGAGAAGGTCACCACAAGGGAATGGTCGAGCTGTCGTCGCCGCTATCCCTCAAGATCAGCTTACGGCAGTTACTACTGAATGCATTGGCAGCCTCGCGCCCAGTGCGCTCGGGCGATTGAACTGTACTCGCATGACAGTCACAGTCTAGACAGTGGCGTGCTAGCAAGGCGCAACAGCCGAGCGAGCACGGTAGCAACAGACCTCGGGTGCTCTTGGACCATCAGATGAGCTGCGTCGTCGATTCTTGTCACCTGTACATGCTGCGGCAGCGCGGCCAGCACTTCGTGAATGCCCCGCTCCGGTACGACGCAACTCCCAGGCGCTGGCAAGACATAGTGGAAGCGTAGACTGACCGGGATGTGAGTCATTCGAGAGAAGATCTCTCGCGTGCCAATGGAAGCCGTCCCTGGCTGACAGAAGATGGCCTGTCTTGCCTCTGCATCAGATCTGCGCCAGGCGTGCAACGCGAACGCGAACGCAGCTCACAGCTTCAGACACTTTCGTGCTTGTCAGTCTTGCCCCTTGGTCGTCTTCTGTGATTCCAAATTGCATGAAGAGGTCGAAGATCTCATCGGTCCATCTGCCGAAAAATGCCTTGTTTCTGGCTAGCGATTGTGCGGCTGCCTCTCTTGACGCCCAACGGTCCTTCCGAGCAAGGGCGCGCGACACGTTCCTGTCCCAGCCCTTTCGCATCGCCGGATACGCTTCATCTGTGAAAAAGCTGCTCTTCTGCTGAGTGTTAGGCCCTAGCCAGGCGAGTGACGTTTACCTGGGAACGCCGATGACGGGATCAATCGCGACGACTGCTGAGAAGATGCAGGGTAGACCCGTTGCTGCCATGATCACACCATCGGCACCTATAGAATGTCCTAGGCCAACAATCTTGCGCCCTCTGACAAGCCCGACGGGTCGTGGAATGCTTCCGTCGAGCTTGAGCATGCTCGCATCGTCTATTGTTTGTCTTGATAAGAGTCGGATGCTGACGCCGTCGTGCATAGGTGAACGAGCCTCATCATCCTCATCAGGACTCGCAACAGGCGGCAAATAGAGCAGCAAGAAGTTGAGCAGGTCGCGACCATCGTCTGACCAAGTGTGGACCTCGCAGCTGTTCTGTGGGTTCAACAATCCGGACACGCCCTGATGGGCATGGTCAATCGACCACAACTCCTCAATCTCATCTGCCTCTGGACCGAGTGCTTCGAGCAGATGGGCAAACATTGGCTCGTATGTTTCCTTGTGAGATGCACTCGCGTGAAGGGTGACGATGGTCATCCGGGGTGCCTTTGACTGTCTCCTGGTCGGTCTGGCACGGTAGTAGCGATTGACTGCAATGAGGAGCTGCTCTGTGTCTTGCCAAAGCACTTTATTCTCGGGTGTGCAATAGACAGCGTCAGTCTGTACTTGGGTGATATCTTGCAGCGTAGGCGTCGAGGAGCGTCTGGCCAGAGCATATGGCAGCACTCTTGCACGGGGCCAGGCCGCCGGAAAGACTAAGGCTTCAGCATCCCATCGTTCGCCCAAATTCGGCAGGACATCTGTTCTGTCGAGCAGCTGAACGTGAGCAGGCAGTCTGGCAGCTCTCGGACAATCTAGCAGCGGGGTCAGTGAGCGTATGTCGGCCATCGCAAGCTTGCAGAGGGTGCCATGATGGCAAGAGAACGGGCTCAAGGAGTTCAATGTCCAACCACGTGGAATCGTTGCCTCCGCGGACGCGCAGATGACTCGACAACTCAGCCAAATTCAGGAGGCAGCATAGTCTTGCAATCGTACAGCATCGTCAAACCTAGCTCTCAAGGTCAAAGGCATCATCAAGGATCTGTCGAACGTGTCAGTCACAGCAGACGTGAATCAGTTAGACCTATGTACCTTTTTGACTTCAGCCTGATGGACCTTCTTGCTGCCCGTCGCGACCGAGCTCGTCGGTCCACGGCCGGCGTAGAGCACGCGCTTGCCCTTGTGATGCTCTGTCTGACTCAGTGCAGTGTGCAGACGGGGAGAAAGATAGCCGTAAGCGCCATTGTTGACAGGCTGTAAATCAATAGAGTATCAGTGCAGAAATCTGAGGCTGTCGCGTGCAGACGTACCTCTTCCTGAGCCCACATCAGGTCGGCATTCTTGTATTTGTCCAGGTGCGGTGTCAGTAGATCGTAGGGCACAGGCGATAGCTGCTCGACTCGGGAAATTGCGACGTTATCGATCTTACGTTCTTCTCGTGCCTGTAGGAGGGCGTAATACACCTGGCCAGAGCAGAGAATGTGCCGCTTGATCGAGTCGGGATCTGCAAGTGACTCCGGATGACTGTCGGGAATGTATCGTTGGAATTGAGTGCCCTCTGCCATGTCTTCGATGTTGGATCGCGCGAGCGGATGGCGCAGCAGCGACTTTGAGAAGAAGAGAATCAGAGGCTTTCGGAAGTCGCGGTGAATTTGTCTTCGCAAAGCGTGGAATACGTTGGCGGGCGTAGTAGGGTAGACAAGCTGCATATTGGCATCCTGGTGCTGCCGCTGGATCTTCTCTTCCGTCGGATACTTGAAGGGATGATCGTCGCACAGCTGCAAGAACCGTTCAATACGCGCAGAAGAGTGCTCGGGACCTTGGCCGTCGTAGCCATGGGGCAATGACATGACCAGCCCAGATCGCTGCAGCCATTTGCGCTCGCCGGAAGCAATGAACTGGTCGATGATGATCTGAGCACCGTTGGCAAAGTCGCCAAATTGAGCTTCCCAGACAACGAGCAGGTGAGGATCGACGAGCGAGTAGCCCAGCTCGAAACCGAGCACGCCGAATTCAGACAGCGAGGAGTTGCAGATGGTCAGCTTGTGCTGCCCTGAACCGAGATGATTGAGCGGAACGTAGAGGTCGTCGGTCTCCTGATCGTGCAAGACAGAATGGCGCTGCGAGAAGGTGCCTCGCTCGACGTCTTGCCCGCTCACACGTACATGAATCTTCTCAAGTGACATTGTGCCAAAAGCGAGTGCTTCGGCGGTGCTGTAATCGATGCCCTTGCCCTCCTCGACAGCTTTCGATCGATTCTTCAAGATACGCTGTAGGTTCTTATGGACCTGGAAATCCTTCGGCCATGACCCCAGCTGCTTGCCGACATCTTTGAGCGTGTCAATCTTGACCCCCGTCGGTCGAGCTTCCAGGTTGTTCTCTTTGAGCTCGCGCGGCGAAGGGAAGCCATCCCAAGCACTCGAGAGCCATTCCTTCGAGGACGCCACATAGTCCTTGCTGGCCTCGTAAGCCTGATCAAGCATACCCCAGACCCAATCCTTGTGCTTCTTGATCTCTTCGCCGGTAAAGGACTCTTCGTCTTGCAATACTTTGATGTATTTGTCGAGCGTGGGCTTCTGTTCACTGATGGCGCGATACATCTTTGGTTGGGTGAAACTGGGCTGATCAGTCTCGTTGTGGCCATGTCGACGGTAGCAGACGAGATCGATGACGACATCCTTTTTCCATCGCGCGCGCCAATCTGCTGCCAGCTGACAGACGAACGTGACTGCTTCTGGATCATCTCCGTTCACGTGGAAGATGGGTGCATCGATTGATTTGGCAATGTCTGACGGGTAAGGCGTCGAGCGACCTTGCCTTGGATCGGTCGTGAAGCCGATCTGGTTGTTGCATACTGCGCGAGGCGAATCTCTGAGCCCATGCATGCCTATCTAAAGAGATATCAACCTACCGATATGGATAGTGCCTCCTGTGCCGTAGTTGGGCAGATCGTGGAAGCCCATGGTTTCGTAGACGACGCCCTGACCGGCGAGGGCAGCATCACCGTGGAGGATGACACCCATGGCAGTCGACACATCCTCATTACCATCAAAGTGTTGGATTGCTTTGGTCTTGCCGAGCACGACGGGGTCTTCCGATTCGAGATGTGAAGGATTGGCGACCAGACTGAGCGAGACGCGCTTGCCCGACGGTGTGGGTCTAACATAGTTGGCACCCAGATGGTATTTGACATCGCCGGAGCCCTCTTCATTTGGATCGCCGGCACCTTTGAATTCGTTGAGGATCGCTTCAATAGGTTTTCGGATGACGTTTGCAAGCACGTTGAGTCGGCCTCGATGGGGCATGCCGATGACGACAGACTGTACACCAGCGTCGACAGATCGATCAATGAGGGCCTTCATGCCAGGGATGAGCGATTCGCCTCCCTCGAGACCGAATCGCTTTTCGTTTGGATACTTCGAGGCGATGTAACGCTCAAACGAGTCTGACCAGATCAAGCGATCAAGAATCATCCGCTTCTCGTCCACGGTATATTTCCACGGCAGGGGTAGCTCGATACGTTCTCGGATCCAATCGCATTCCTCTCGGCTCGGTAAGTGGACGTACTGTATACCCACGTGACCGCCTGCGCAGCTGTCAGCGCCTATGCAGCCAAAAGGTGAAGACGCCTACAGTAAATTCGCTTGAGTGAATCGACGATCTCGCGCAATGTCATCTTGCTGCGGCCATCGGTCTTGAAGCGTGGCATGATACCCGGTCCAATGGCGAATTCCTTGTCGAGGTCCTTGTCTGACCAGCCATAGTGCTTCAGATCGAGTTCGGGCGGTGACTTGCTATCCAGGTCAGCATCGAGGATGCCGAGCGGGTCGAGGTTGGCAATATGATGACCTCTGACTTGATAGGCGCGCACGAGGAGCTGAACCTTCATGTGATCCTCTAGCTGAGGTCCGCCCGACATGGACAGCGTAGGAGCACCATCAGCCGGCATGGAAATCAGACCGGGAGGTGGTTTGAAGGCTTCCTCAGAGTGCATGCCTTGGTCCATGCCCGAGAAGTAGACGTCCCACGATGGGTGAACAGACGAAGGATTCTCCTTCCACAGCCTGTACATCTCTTGCGTGTAGTACGGATTCGCTGCCGTGAAGGCATCGACAGGACTGGGAGGCTTCTTGATGTCTTGTGGCGCCGCTGTCGCCAAACATCTCGTGCCTGAAGGTGTTGCTCGAAAGGCGCCGGCAAGTGTGTTCCTTGGCCTGAGAGCGATTGCCGGTCTCGGCGCAGCCTTCGTACTCAATCGTGCGAGACATATCTGCCCCTGCGGCCGCACCAGCACTCGAGAAGACAGCATCTGAGTGGCTAAGCCGAAAGGTGTGGGTGATTCAAACGGGCCTCCAGTCGAATATGAAAAAGTGTGATGACGCAGCCATGCACTGCCCCTGTAATTGCAAATTGGCCTCGCCAAGCTCAAGTCTGGTCGCTTGCTCAACAGACATAGACAATCCCAAGCCATGGCGCTCCTGCCAGATCATCTACGGCCTTCACTCAGGGATAGGCGCAGACACCAGATGGATGCAGACCGGCGCAAGGTTCGTGTACAAAGCTTGCCCTTGGCACGCGACAAGCTCAGATCGTTGCTGTGCAGGCACTCATCCTCAGCTATCTACCCGATTGGCTCCTCACCATCGTCCTCTGGATCGTCTTCTATCTCATCGACAATGTGCGTCGCTCCTTCTGATTTGTACATGTCGCGTCTCATGCACAATGACAGGCGCATGGCTACTTTCGCGAATTCGATCTTACCGATGGCTCGATACAGCACACATACGCCGTGCATGAGCGTGTGCCCGTCTGGGCTCTGGCGATCATTGGCGCTATTGCGCCATTGGTCATCATGGCTGCTATCTCGCTTGGACTCATCGGCTCGTTCTGGGATTTCCATAACGCTGTCCTGGGTCTCGTGCTATCGCTTGCATTATCGACGACTGTGACCGACACCATCAAGATCACTGTCGGAAGACCGAGGCCTGATCTCATCGATCGATGTCAGCCCATGGCAGGCGCAGCCAACGCGTCTCCCTATGGTCTCGCGACATCTGCCATTTGCACACAGACCGACTTTCACACGCTTCGTGACGGGTTCAGGAGCTTCCCGTCCGGTCATTCCAGCTTCGCCTTTGCCGGACTGGGCTTCTTAGCGTTGTACTTGGGCGGCAAGCTTCACATTTCCGATCGTCAGGGCTTCACTGCCAAGACGTGGATCTGTGTCGTCCCACTTCTTGCCGCAGCCCTTGTCGCAGTCAGTCGTACGATGGACTACCGACATCACTCGACAGATGTCATTGCTGGCGCCATACTCGGCTACATCACCGCCTGGGTCTCTTACCGGCAATATTATCCGGCGATCTACTCCCAAGACTGTCACAAGCCTTACTCGCCCAGATTGCTAGAGGACATGTCGAGCCTTGTGACGGAGCCGAACGGACATGATGCCCAGTTCCACGTCTTGCCACTACACAGTACATCATCACAAGATGAGAACGCAAGTGTCCATCCTGCTCAGAAATAGCAGCACAAGCAAGCTATCTGGCTTGCTGTACATGCACCCTGCATGCCGATAATTCCAGCTGTGCCCTGTTCCGACTCTTATGCAATGCGACATGTATGCTACCAGATCGTGCATGGATTTTTGCGGACCATCGGCGAATCGGCCGGACAGTTGAATGCTTTCCTGAATTCCATCGAGTTCTGCAGCGGCCCGATAACTCGATAGTATGGCGGCGAGTGTGGATCGCTCCTGATCCTCCGCACTCTTTCTGCAGCGCGTGCATGGTTGCGCCAGGAAGCACTGTACGAGAGAAAGAAGAGCTGCTCGCGCGTGTAATTCAGGCCGGGCAGTTTGAAGTTGGCATACTTTTTGCCGTCAGGATCAGACTCGAAGCGAGACTTCCAAGCACGATAGCTCTGAGCCAGACCGCCAGAATCGGCCAGATCTTCGCCGATAGTCTGGCCAGACTTTATATGATAGGTCTTACCATCCGGTCCGATGATTGTATAGTTTGCGTACTGCTTCAGGAAGCACTTTTCGCGCTCCTTGAATGCATCGACGGTCGAATTTGACCACCAGTCGGTCAATCGGCCGTGACCATCGTATTGTCGTCCCGAGGCATCAAATGCGTGCCCTGTGCTTCACATTAGCTTGCTTAAGGATTTTGCAAGATTCGCAAACCAATTTCGTGGCCCGCGACGCTGCCGAATGCCCCAATAGCGAGGTACTGCGGAGGATCAGCAATCAGACCAGGTTCGTATCTGTAATCAAGCGCGCACCTCTGGGAAATCGACAGAGAAGAAAGGAATCTGCAGGATACCAGCTGGAAAGACGATCTCGTTTGCGCTCGGATTGAAGTACGCATTGACCAGGAAGGCGGGCTGCCCTCCGCGGTCAGCATGGATCGATTACGGCCGGAGGTGGCATACCATCTCCCATTCACCACGATTACGCTTGGTCTCTACATGAGCCCAAAAGCGCTTCGAATCTGCTACGATGGATCTGAAAGCATTGCCGAAGAAGTCTGTTGCGTTGAAGGGGCCGTTCAGGGCATAGTATCGCTCGAGCGCTTCTGGCGACTCTGTATCGGGCGAAGTAGGATAGCCGATCTTGCGCTGAATGAGAGACGCTTTCTCGACGGCGACTTTGGCGGTGTGTTTGTCGAACCATTCTACCTCACTCAAGCGCTCTTTGTAGGCCTCGATAAGAGCATCGATGATCTCTTCGGCATATTCTTTCGACCGGCCGGGGAAAGCTTCGAGGACGAAATATCGACCGGCCAAGATGCTAGCATAATTCAGGGTCGCTTTGAGGCATGTCTCCGAACGTGGGGTAGAGATGGATGCATCGACGCCCTTGAGAGCATTGTTGAGGCGCTTGAGCTCCTTGGCGATAGGCTGACTTGGGGCGATCGCACTTGCGTATCGGCTAGCAGTGTGGTAGACAAAGTAAGACTGCAGGGTGGCATCGGGGGTGTCGTCGATGAGTTTGCTCAGGTTGGCAAAGAATGTCGGCGTTTGCACAATCACTGGATCTGGGAAGAAAGGCCGAGGGAACAGGCCGCTGAAGTAGTCGCCCAGATCGATGTAGGGTAGCAGGGCAGATAGCTCGGTGCGATTGCGGGGATGGTAGGTGCCCTTTGGATCGTATAGCTCGACATTGCTCAGGCTGATCTTTGCCAGTGCGCCTTCGAATGCAACGACATGAGCTGCAGCTTTTTGAGCAGCAGCCAGGCGGCTCCCGCTCTTGCTCGGATCTAAGCAGCTCGTGCTCTTTGCCTTTATCTCGAGACCATCGTGGACATTAGCAAGGACCTTGGCAACGACGCTCTCGTAGAGCTCCAGGATGGGTTCGCCGGGAGCGTAGTATTCCTTGTCTGGCAAACCGAGACCGCCTTGACCGAGATAGAGCCGCATGGTGTCTGGATCGACAACGACATCACCGTCGACTTCAAAGTCGAACAGGCTGGTGATGTCGTGAGCGTGTAGGTAGAGCAGGGTGGAGGTAAGTCTCTTTCGTCGCGCGGCTTGATCGGCTGGCGCACTCGTCCAGACGAGCTGATCGCTCTCTGATGCCGGCTTGACGAGCGAGAAATGATCGATGACGGTCTGGACCAGTCTGAGCAGAGGCTCGGCGCCTACAGATTCCAGCTGTTCCTCGTTCAGACACGAATGATAGAGATTTTGAAGATTGACAATGTTGCGGCGATCTGCAGGGTCGAGATCTGGCTTGAGTGTCGATTCGAGTAGGCCTCTTATCACGCGATCGTTCTTCTCGGTGACCTGATTGAAGGTCCCATAGTCGCCTTTGTCCTCTGGGATGGGGTGGTCCTTGACCCATCCGCCATTGCTAAAGGCAAAGAAATCGACACAAGGGTCGACGGTGGTGTCCATCGAGGCAATGAGTGAAGCCGCAATCTGCACACATTCTGGCGTAAGACAAGTCTCATCGTTGCGATTGTCAGGCCGCTTTGTGGGTGCAGGTGAGGCAATGACCGTGCTCGTTGGCGTGACCGTTGCAGTTGCAGTCGCGAAGAGCGAAGTAGTGACCGGATGATGTACAGCCGGCGGTGGCTTGGCGACACTGCCCGCGAAGAGACCGAGAAAGACGGCGGCGAGGATGAGGAAGAAGAGGGCAATGCCGATGAGCACTTTCTCGAGCAGCGTCAGGCTCCCTTGTTTGACTCGCTCGAGCGTCGCTGACATTGGCGACGACGCCTCGCCATCGCGCTCGAGGAGAGGCGCATCTTCCTCGTCTGTCGACGGCCTGGGTGCGCTCATATCTTGGTTGGTCCACGTCACTACGTCACGCTGCTGATATATAAACGACGTCGAACGCGTCTGACGGCATTCCGGATCCGACCTTGGCCGGCGCCTGAAGCACAAGCCTTGTAGCCTATTTGATGCGCATGCGCCGGCCTAGTCATGTGGCCATCGACGAGCGACAATCCAGAGGTGATGCGCCGTGGGTCAGCCATTGTGGACTCAGCTGATGACCGACGTCATTACAGACGTTTGCGTCCTTCAAGCAGATCTACTATCGGCCAAAGGTCATGCTCCTCATTCTCACCTACCTCGCCTTCAATGCAAGCACGACAAGGCAAGCCTCCGCCCTCAGATCGACCGTGCCGGCAACCAATGGCAATGACGGGCTCGCAATGACCTCTGGCACCGTCACCGCTCCTGCGCTCTATGCAGCCCAGCAGATCGCACCGACAGCCTCACATCCTAGCGAGAAGCTACGTGCAAGCCCCAAGCAGGTCATGCCAAGGCGGCGGACGAGCGGAAGTACCATAGCCGCCGTCGATCAGCCTCGTAGCGCCTTGCCAGACATCGCAGTCAGCTTGTTCTCGGAGACTTCCCGATCTCGGACCTCGTCAGTAGCCCAACCTGAAGACACTTCAGTCTCGCTGTACGAGTCTTGGCTGGAAGTGCTCAGATCGCTACCGTGCGCTCAGCCCGTCTGGATCCTCTTTGCTGTCCTACATGCCATGTTTCTGCTCGAATGGGCCTGTCTTGAAGCCGAAGACGAGCTCATCAAGCGATCTGTCACTACCACGAGCGAGCGCGAGCATCAGAAAAGCAGACTCGCGCACCTTTCCAAGTACTGGCGCGCCAATCTCAGACCTATACTAGGCATGATCGCCGTTATCACCATTGCTGCAAGCGTCTTGGCCGAGTGTACAGCTAGCTCAGATACTGAAGTCCCATTCATGCGCTATCTGGGGCCGCCTACCGCTCGCTTGGAACACTCTGGCGACTTTGCCGCGCTTTTCCGACCGATCAGATTCGTCGTCGCGTTAGAAGCCCTGACTGCCATGTTGGCGCTCTTGCAACCGCTCAAGCACCTCTTGCCGCATTCTATCATGCCCCCGTTCGTCTCTGCATCCCTCTTCACGCCGTCCATCAGTAGGACAGACCCGCTCGTTCTGCGCGAGAGGCAACGCGGCTTCTTTGCACAACTCACGCGCAAACGCGAAATTGCACTCGACGATGTCGAAGTCGAGAGCAAGTACCTCGTAGGCCAATTCGTCGAACTCGTCACCGTCGGAACCTGCGCAGCCCAATGCACCATCATCTTCTTCGCACTTCACTACCATTCGCCCGTCTCGCTCGCGACTATTCCCGCATTCCTCTATCTCATGTCGATGCGTGGTCTTGCAGCATCAGTGGCCAACATCTTCAGATCTACTCGCAGAACAGTGCACTGTCTCCGTGTCGTCCTCGCCGCCTTCCCATTGTCCCAGGATGGCAAGCAAGAGCCGGACAAAGACTGGCTATGCTCGATCTGCTTCGAGGGCTGCGACTGGAAGCAGCGACGATGCAAATTGCATTGCTCGCATAGCTATCATGCCCAATGTCTCATACAGTGGCTCTATCGAGCTTCGACGTGCCCTGTCTGTCATCAAGCCGTCATGCCGTCGCGGCAGCAAGCATCGGAGTCATCTGCACCCGCAGTTCCTGCGGAGCGTCCGCCGCCCCTACAACCAATACAATAAGTTGTCAACAACATCTGGTCATGCATGTTGTATCTAGCAAGCAAAGGTGAATGTACTCTGTCCGATCTTTAGGCGCGCTGTCCTCGGCGCAGGCCATTCGAAAGTTGCCACTTGCCTTGCCTCGAGCTTACTTGCCGGACTGATCGGCTCTGGGATATTGAAGTCGAAGGACTTGTACGGTTCACTGATCGTGCTCGAATTTTGCCTCGAGGGCGTGCCGAAGCTGAACAGGCCCATGAGGCCGTACGCCATTTTCCACACGACTACCTTGCCTTCTAGCAGAGATGCAGATACGAGTCGATAGCCATCGGGCGAGAAGCTGCAAGCGGCCACCGCCCGACGATGATTCTCGAGTACGTGAAGGCGCGTCGCTGTCTTGAGATCGTAGACGATGACCGCACCTTCTGCAGATCCGACAGCAAGCCTCTGACCTTCGGGATAGAAATCGACGACCGCGTAGGCATCCACAATGTCGCTGAGCACAAGCGTAGCGGACTGTAGGAAATTGCCTCGCTTTGTGTTCGAGAACGGGTCGAGGCACTTGACGATGCCTTCGATCAGCCGCGGAATACTGCTCAGCAAGATCTCTGGCTCTCGTCTGACGATGAAAGCAATGAGTTGCATTGCTGCGTTCTGCGAGGTGATGTCGGAGGCCGAGCTTTTGAGATCATTCACAATTGTCGTTACGAACAGCGCCGTATTGAGCTGAGCAATACGCAGGATAGCTTGACGGGCAGCCTTCCGCATCTCGACCAATGCGGGATCCTTGCTGGCACTAGCGAGATGAACAAGAGCATGCACGATTGCTACTGCGTCAATATGAGCCTGCCAGAGCGTGAAACCTCTGATCGCCATTTCGACAGCCAAAGACTGTAGCAAAGGCGGTGTGGCATGGCGGAGCAGCATCGCGATCGCATGCGCAAGATTGCGCAGCGAGCCATTCGACACAACGCTGGCGTCGGCTACAGCCACAAGGCCGAGGACGAGGACAGAGCGAGGCAAATCAGAATGACGGACGGCCTCATCGAATTGCTCGCTGCTGATGTAGGGTATGTGCAGCGATGTCGTCAGGTCTATACGAGCAGCACGAGGAAGCGCAGCAATGTGAACATCCATCAGCAGCCGAGCAGCCTTATTGATAGCATCGTCTTGATCCAGCCAGTATTCTGCCAGGACCGAGAGAGATGGCGGCTTATAGTCTGCGCCGACAGAAGGGTGTAGCGTCATCGCGTGCTCACTGAGCACTTGCGACAACTCTGCCACATCTGCGATAGCTATCTAAGAACGGTGGACAGAGAGACCCTTGCTGAAAACTCACCAGATCGATCAATTACCAAGTAGCACAGAGTGCAAAAGCAAAGCTGAAGGTATGCGGTCATCTCGGCAGAGAGACACCAAATTCGTTTTCCTGTTCGTTCGAGCGTGCGCATTGACACAGCTCGTGTCCTGCATAAGCGTCAGGAAAGGTATCTGCTGAAAGGCTGAGGAACACATACCTGCAGCACATACTCGTGGCTGGCATTACCATACCAGGCATGAGCTTGATCAGGGCGCGTGCAACACGATCCGATACGGAGCGAAGATAAGTCTGGAGGATTTGGCGCAAGAGCCGAGTAGACCAAGCCTGAGATTGGCCTTGCTCATCCGCGAACCCGCGCAAGTTGACAGAGGCAGTGCCCAGGAAAGGATGGAGCATGAGAGCAGGGCGCTGATACGTTAGGCTACTGCTCGCGCGCCTTCTATCTCCCATCTGAAGCGAAGGCATGCCGTCCGATCCTTGCCATCTGAGATCCGATTCGACGCCATCTGCAAAACGGGCTGTGACGCCTTCGTCTGTAGCGACCAGGCCAATGCAAGGCAGGGCGCCTATGCGTTGGTCAAAGATGCATGTCGGCGGCTCGCACGTCCATGCAACGACCTGTCCAAGCATTGATCCAGCAATCACGACTTCTGATATGCCCTGTCGCTTTACGAGCAGCAACGCAGATGCGCCCGAACGGAGTGCCCTTGGAAACGTGATGCCAGCGTCTGGTCGAGCAATCGGACTGAGATGCACATCGCCATTGCTGTAGGTAGAACAAAGGCGCTCTCGTGATACGAGTACAGCATATGTGCATCTCAACCGGCGGATCTGTTGCGATGTGCGGCTCCATAGCTCTGTTTCTGAGGCAGTACTGGAGGTCCCGTCACTATTCCAGCTGACGAGGCGCAACTTCGCGCTTGCACGAGTCTTCTGCCACACCAGCAGGGCCAGGATACCGGGCATCAAGCCCTGACATACTGTTTGTGCACTGGACAGGATCGCCTCGGATGCTGGGATATAAGCATAGGTCTCGTCAGCGCGTCGTAGGAGCTTCGAGTAGCCTGCAACCTGCGCAGCTATGTTGCCGTCTTGGGAAGCGTCGAGTTGTCGTATCAGCTGGGCGCGGAAGGCACGAGCGGGTACCAGTTGACCATCATCCCAGCGACAGACCTATCGATGCGAGATTAGCTGCGGATCCGTACGTAATACAGTCCGACTCGCCTGAAACCCGTCCTTGTGAGCTATAATGAGCTCATCCTGGCTCGCCTTCAGCATAGTGATGGCAGGTACGACGCTTGCGATGGTCAAATCGACAGGAGGTGGATTCGCAAGCCTGAGTACGGAATGCTCGTCGGCATATAACCAGTACATCAACAGCTGGTGATTCTGTGTAGCACAGATGAGACGGTACGAGCCAGATACAGTCAAGATCAGTGGTGCGCAGACAAGGTCTTGCTGTATTTCCAAAGCGGTGTCAGATTTCGATGAGCGCAAATTGATCAGAGGCAGCTTTGAGCGCGATTCGGCGTGGTGAGCGACAAGCACAGGATTGCCAACAATGTTGATGATCTGGAATCCTGTCCAATGCCGACTAGGTGATTCCGCGTCTGCTGTTTCGAGCTCGAAACGGCTGATGCAGCGCCCGTCTAGCAGTGATAAGAGGTATACATCGCCCGCGCGTGTCATGCACACGATGCTTCTGTCTCGCATTGCCTCTGTCTCGTAGCCCGAAGCCGTATGACTAGCTGCGCCTTCGATGATCTCTACTTGTACAATGGCAGGTGAACGTCTCCGATCGCTCGCAAGAGAGATTTCTATGACAGGCTCGAGTGAAAGTGGCAATGGCACCTCAAAGGAAGCGATAGCATCTGACAGGATGGCTGAACGGGAAGCTGAATACCGACGGTGAGCTCCACTGGGCCTCTCGAGCAAGGTCTGCTGAGTCGCTTCGCCTTGTACGACTTCTTGAATCCATTCTTGCTCATCGTCATGTTCAGAGTGTGGAGAACAAGGCCCTTCTGGCCTCGCGCTCAGGAGACTTGCATTCGATGTTGTACGCTCGATCGCAGAAGAGTCAGTCTCCTCGCGACTACGCGTGCATGCGAGTGTAACGGGCGATACATCGCTCGAGGCAGCGATCGCAGGTAATTGGCTGGCTCGCCTCTTGTCGGCCGAGTCATGTCCATGCACCGTGCTCACTTCGTGACCTGACACTGAGACTGTGGCGCTCGCTTTGCGATTGTGACGGGCCGAGATAGGCACCTTCCTCGCATGACCAAGAGGCGGCGATTTCTTGCTCGATGGCGACGATAGATGATCCTCTTCGGCCGACTCCGCGAGCAGAGCAGACCATCCAGCACCAGACACGGGTCTCTGTCTACGTTTCTGCGAGGGCGAGGCTGTCGCGCTGCTTGTCCGGCGCGGCTGCTGTTGCTGCTGCGAGTAAGCATAACCAGCAAAGATCCAAAGCGATCCATTCTCGCAGCCTAACACGGCGCGTGTCTCGCCATAGTGAGCCTCATCACGGTCATCAGGGTTCGTTGGACTGCCTGTCGGTCGACCACTGAGGCCCATGACGCAATCCATGGACAGCACACGAGATGAGAGTTGTTCGAGCCAAGTCGGTCTATCGAGCGTTGAGCCGTCATGCTGATCGAGGAGGCCATCGAATCCAGTGAGGACTGATGGCAATGCATCTGCGAGAGGTGAATCCGGCTCGAAGGGACCGAAGCTATCGTCCTCAACGTCCTCATCCTCTGAAGTGTCCGAATTCTCGGGCTCGGTCTTGCGAGGAGCTAACGGCGGTAGTCTGGGTTGCAGCAGAGTCTGAAGAGGCAGATCGACCAGCAGAGGCTCTCGAGTGCGCAACAAGCTGGTCATAGCTCATCACGGGCTCTGTACGGCGTCGTAGGAGCTCGCCGGCAGTTGGACGTTGATCGCCTCCGCGTCAATCTCAGGCGAGTCGGCCTGCCTCTTGTCCCTCTCCTGCTGGCTCCTACCGATGCAATAATGTCGCCAGACAAGATCATAGCATGAAAGCAGGCATCCTCGTCATCGGACCTCCCGGCGCAGGCAAGACAACGTTCTGCAATGGGGCACAGCAGGCGAGTGGAGCACCAGGGTAATGTCAGCAAGGAGACTGAGGCTCTTTACAGTTCCTTGAAGGGATGCAGAGGCCAGTTTCGATCGTCAATCTCGATCCTGCAGAGATGTCGCCGTCCTACGAGCCTGCATTCTCCATCTCCGAGCTCATCACGCTCAAAGAGGTCATGGACACTTTCGGCCTTGGACCCAATGGCGGCTTGCTCTATGCCATGGAGTACCTCGAGAAGAACTTTGATTGGCTAGAAGAAAGCCTGGCCAAGCTCGGCAAGGATCCTTTCGTCGTGTTCGATCTGCCCGGTCAGGTCGAGCTCAGTACAGACCATCAATCGCTCAAGCATCTCACTTTGAAGCTTCAAAAGCTTGGCTTTCAAGTGGGTCTGTCTGCATTCTGAGCACCGGCAAAGGTTGACACACTTCACAGCTTGGCGTCGTCAGCATGGCCGACTCTTACCACATCACCGACGCCTCGAAATATGTCGCACTACTGCTGCTGTCGCTCAAGATGATGGTTCAGATGGAGCTGCCGACGATCAACGTCCTGAGCAAAATCGATCTCGTCTCAAAGTACGACAAGCTGCGTACGTCGGCTTCACTATTCGAACCTCGCAATCACGCTGACGAGCATACAGCGTTCAATCTTGAGTTTTATACCGATATGCAGGACCTATCCTTTCTAGAGACAGAGCTCAATAAGGACCCTCGAGCTGCACGCTTTGCTAAGCTCAATCATGCCGTCTGCGAGCTCATAGAGGACTACTCCTTTGCTCACACCGGCTTTGAGACCTTGTGCGTCGAGGTACCCGCCTTTCTGGATTTCGCGTGCAAGACTGATATGCTCCTCAGGACAAAGCGTCAATGGCAGCACTTTTTCAAGCGATCGATCGCGCAATAGGCTACATTCCGCCGGGCGTACATGCACACGACCGTCTAGCCGGACAGGAGCCGGAAGATCTTCGTCTGACGGTGCAGCCGGCAATTACAAGCAACGTGGGCGACGTGCAAGAGCGATACGTCGACTTTCCAGAGCTCCACAGAGCGCACGAGCTTCAAGCCTGGCAAGCCGAGGGCGACGCTGCTATCGATCGAGCCAATGAGGCAGAGCGTAGCAACAGGATCATTCGAGCCGAATGATCAGTTTGGGGGTTACCAAAGGAAAGAATATGTGATCAGCCGTTGCTCGCCTCTGCCGCCTCGAGCCACTGCAGGATTTGCTGACTGGAGCCCGCCAGCAAGGATCGCACAGTCGCCTTCAATCGCAAGTTACGATCAGCGGTGACCAGCGCGACTACGACCGGATCCGTTGGAGACGCAGATGCCAGACCGATGCCATGCTTTGACTGCCATATTGCTGCTTGCAGAATGACGTCGTCAATGCTTCGAATTTGTTCGCCTTGCGCGTCCGAGGAGAAATCGATCGCCTCCCAGCGAATATTGAGATCATTGAGATAATTGCCGCGACTCGTCTGTAGCTTGATGCAGTCGGGGTGGTCTGACAATGCGGCCCGGAGCGCGTCAAGTGCCTTGTTTGCGCTCGCGCCAGCCTCGCTTGTTTCTTTGGCTAGACCATCGAGCTCCGTAACGACCATGAGAGGAATGATGACAATCCATTTGCCACTGGGAAGCAGCCGATCGAGAAGTTGCAGATCGGTCATCAAGATGTTGGTGTCAAACACAAAGATCGTTTGATTCGCTAGGATTGCAGTGGAGCCGGCCTTGCGAGGCGCCTTGCCATTCTACGGCTGCAGTCAGTATGACCAAGGAGAGCACACGGGTACATACGGTATGTCCAGCCTGCTCGCGCTCGAGTGAAGCGCTCCTCTTGTCGTATGCAGCGCGCTGCCTGGCCTGCGCCCACGTGCTTGCTCTGTCGGCCAAAATTGTTTGAAGCGAGAACTTGTGCTGGTGATCGAGCGCTGCGTTGAAGCTGAGCCCAGGCACTGTCTTCGCCAGCCAGACTGCCATGAGAGCAATGCGCTGCCAACGACCTCGGGCGAGATCCTGGCTGTGCGTCAATTGTTCAGATTCGACTTGCCCGCTGGGCAGGATCAGCTCGCTAGTCGGTGCAAAGGGATCGCTGGCCAGATAGTCAATTTCTGACTCTGGTCCTTTCGCTTGAGCAGGATGCGACGCCTCAGCATCCTCGCCGTTCGTATGAGCAGATCTGGTGCGCCAGAAGCCGCGCGCGAATCGTTCACGACCGATCCAATCTGTGCCACGGAGACACCAGTCCTCGTCATTGGCAGTGCCGCTGATGCGATGAGGCGGATCAGCACGGACTGCGATCTGACTTGGAATCTGACAGAAGAGATTGACGAGGCTTTTCCAAGGCACGTAGCGCTCGAGTAGGCGGAGAGCCCCTGCTTTGGAGGAGATATGATGCAAGAAAGCAAGATGAATCGTGATGTAGGGACAGACAGCCGGATGACTATTGTCGGGTCGGTAGAGATGAGTAATTACATGCTCGAGTAGCTCATAAGCCAGCTGAGCCGCCAAGGTAAAGACAACGGGCGAGCTGTACTCGTCAGCAGATTGGTTGCCGACGGTACGATGCTCGACGCTGCTGTCCTCGGCAGCTTTGCTCGATTTGATCATGATGGCTGAAGGCTTGTTGTCGTTTGTGACTGCTTGCGCCTCCTTACCCATCGCTGCTTTCAAAGCGCTCTCATCTGCGCCAAATTGTAGCAGTGCGGTCACCGTAATGATGCCCATCATGCTCCATCGAGCGTCTGCCAGCGTAGCCTTCTTTCGGATGCGTTGGCCAGCTTTGATAGTAATGAATGTCACACGCAACGCCTCGCGAAAGCGAGCGAGCACGTCATCGTAGTCGTCCAGGTCCACCTTGGTGAAGAGCATGCCTTGTAGATGTACAAAGAGCTCGCCAGCCGTCGCGCCGGCTTGTGCGCGTTGCTTCTGAGCTTCGGAACTGAAGAGGGTCAGCATCGACTCGCGGGCCGGCCAGAAAGGCTCGCTAGCGGTCAAGCTGCGACAGTAGTGATACAATGCACGCATGCTGTCGTCTTTGCTGAGTAGGGCGAGATGATGGTGCAATCGACCTCGATTAGGTGTCTCGGCTACGCCACGAGCATACCAATCTCGTGCGACATCGCGCCAAGTGCCCTGCTCCTCAACTTCCCAGTCTCCCAAAGCCGCGTCGCCGATCGACGCTGCGGCAGGACTCTTATGCTCTTCCGTCGATGATTCATCTTCGGGGCTGCTTTCGCGAGCGGGTAACTCGCTCGTTGCTTCGGACGCGCCTAGACCTGCTATAGCCATGCGATAGCGAGCGAGATCGCCAAGCTGCTCGAGCCAACTGCTGCGAAAGACAGCGAGCGCTTGCTCTTCCAGAAGATTTGTATAGAAAGTATAGGCAAAGTAGATGAATTCGGTAAGATGCTCGAGCACATTGCTGTCGTCGTTCTTCGAGTGAGGCAGAGCAGATCGCATTCTTTCCAGGAGCGCGTGAAAGGCCGTTTGCCAAAGTCGGGTAGCGATATTGTACTTTTGCGGCAGACTCTGCAGGGAAGCCGGCATGCGCGGATCGAGCGCCATCTGCAGAAAATTGAGATGCGCTTCTGCGAGCCTGTTGCACGACATCAGTGATACGAAGCGATGGTCTCGGCCTCACTTACTCTCTGTGGGGCATAGTGAGGCGTATCCAATAAGCATCATCAGTCTCGACGCGCATGAGCCTCTTTTTCGGATGCCGGCCGTTCTGCTGATCTGCGTTCGGGTCAACGTTCTCCGCTTGACACTTCTTCTCGAGATCGACAACGACGCGATAAGCCTTCTTGAGCGAATCGAGCGCATTGCCGTTGCTATTGCCAGACTTGCCAGAATCGTTCGTGCGAGCGGGCAAGGGGGATCGCTCATCTAGGCGACTGACGGCGGCGAATCTCACCGGATCGTCTCGCCTGGGATCAAAGAGCGACTGTCTCTGGCTTGGATTGGTCTGACCGGGCTTGCGCTCATTGGAGCGTGCATCTTGTACTCGGCGAGGGGTATCGTGAGAGGATGTTCGTGAGGCAGAATCGTCCCGCTTGATTGCGGTCCCACGTGAGGCAGGTCGAGGAGAAGTACCTTGGCGAGATTCATGGTCTTGTGTGGATGCGCGTGCAGAGGTGCCTGCTGTCTCTGGATCGAAGAGCGTCGGCTGATCTTGCGTGACGAGGGAGCGGGAGAACTCTGGATCGATCGCTCGCGACTGGCCGCCAATGTGCAATGCGCGCAAAGGTTTGGACAGTTCTGCATCGTTTGCTCGGACGCTCTTCTGTCTGTCGCGCTTGTTGTGGCTTGTTTGCTTGGATCTGTATTGCACTGTCAGAGCTGCAGCGTTTGATGACAGATGAACCTACTTTGATTGCTTTCGTTGTGCGGCCACGACCCGGTCGGCGAAATTTGTAGTCTGTGCGGGACCAGGCTTATCTGCAGACTGACTCGTACTGGCTTTGACTTTGCGTGTGGCTGACGGAGGGCCCTGTCGCGCTTGGGCCGCGCTGGGATCGTAGTAATTGAAGTCCTTGTTGCGATCTCTGGCGTCCTCGCGTATTCGGGCTTCTTGCTCTGCATCTGCTTCCTTTGCTGCCTCGCGAGCTTTGCGTCGACTGGTCCGACTGAGCTTCGTGCCTGTGCTTGTACCACTGTTGGAGCTACCGGAGGCCGAGGGCACTAGTACAGGTGGAGCGATAGTGAAAGTTGGCTGAGGCAGCGGTACGAAAGGTGCCGAATGGACAGATAGCTTGCTCTGAGTGAGCAAGATTGCCGGCTTGGGCGGACTTGCGAGCGCACTCTGACTCGTCGCGCCTGGCAAGGCAGTCGCTGGCGCAGGCGTCCCTACTGGTAAGCTCTGAGGCGATAGGGCAGCAGGACGGGGGAGCCGGATCCGCTGAGGAGGCGAGGTAGGCGCTTTCTTGCTCAACAGAGGATCCTCGCCAAATGACCAGGAAAGCGTCGTCGCTGGCGCACGGCTAGTCTTGCTTGCCGGTGAGGGCGACAGGTCCTTTTCGTCCTGCTCGGCGAGGATGACCATGTCGATCTGCTATTGGCAGGCTGAAGCTGAAAAGCCTCAGCTATCACTTGGACATGAGGAGTCTCGTGTCTGACGAGCTTGGGCGCTCAAGTCATCTGGCGTCAGGAGTAGCTGTAGACCAGCGGTACACTGACTCTCGTGCCTTGCGTGTCCTTGACTAGCATGCTTCAGCCCAACCGAAGCAGTTCAATCTCGCTTGCAACCTTAGCGCGTTGCCTCGCCGCAGCCGGCAGCCTCACCTCGAAAAATCGGCTCCGCAGTGCGCCTTGCGGGCGATCTCTCACGTGAAAGCGCCAAATCCTGCATGTCCAGATGTACCCGGTCGTTCACTAGCGAATGTCAGTGCCCACATACAAGCACATTGACAGTTGCGCCCGGCGGGGTCTCTTGCCCTTGGCTCATTGCGGGCTATAGTCACAACATTCTTTCGGTACCTGGGCTTCGAGACTGCAACGTTGAACGGCATCCGTTCCCATCGACAGACAGAAACACTCATGACGGCGCGCGTAGTCCAACGTCCGGCACGCGCGACATGGCCGCATTCGTGTTTCCGGCGCATCGAAAGGCTGTATCCTGCTTCGAGCTAAGGAGGTAGCTTGTCGGGCCATCAAGTATCGATGGGTTTCAGCACGCCACGGTGAGAGCGCGCTCGTCGACGCACAGACGCTTCACCAGATCCGCCCGCTTTGACGCTAGCGCATTCGCTCGAGTCGAGCACGCGCATTTTGAGTAGCAATCTCGATCTTTTGCTCCAAGCTGTCCGTGTTAGACCAAATTATGACACGCCACACGCCCGCTTCTTGCCTCTGCAGGCCCTGTGGACATCATAGGCCGAGCTGCAATCTGAGCCCAGCCTGAGGAGATACATACCACTCAAGCTGCACCATGTCTACAAGCCACACATCGAGTCCGTCAAATCTCAGCAAGTGTGCCGTCTCGATGATTGACTCGGCTCAACAAGTCTAAAGGAGTCTTGCTTCTCGGAGAATGTCAGTCAGTTGATCAAGTATTGCTGACGATCTGCTCATGCGTGCATGAATACCTCACATCACATGGCAAAGATTGTATGGCTTATGACGAACTCCTGCATTGTCTTGTCATAGACATGCGGGTGATCATGAGGACGCGAGAGGCCTAGAGGGCTTGACGTGTGATGATCTCGTGATCGCGTTGATGATCATCGCGTCCAAACCTTAGCTTGAGCGCTGAACCTGGTCTGCGGCGATCGGCTGACGCTGCTCTGTCCTGGCCATGGCCTGCTGGCCGCCAGGCAAGCGCATCCTGCATCGTCTACGGCGCAGGTTGGCGGCAGGTGAAGCGACCAGCCTGCCTTCAGCTCAGACGAATGATGAGCTGCCAAATGGAGCCAACAGAGTACGGGTACTGCAGGAAGGCTTTATCAAGATCCGACTGGTCACCTGGAGTGCGTGCCCTTACCAAGGTATACACCCATCCACGCTGACAGATGTGTAGATATGCATGAATCCTTGCCGTCTGGTGATCTGACGGATCTACTCGGCGTGCCAAACTTCAACGCCGATAGTGAGTCGACTGTCCCCTCCTCCGCCAGCTCGACGATTGCACCTAGCGAGCTGCCCAAAGTGTCCCAGTCTGAGCCACCGAGCTTCTCGCTCACAGACGGTCATCCTTATCATCTCATCGTCGTCGGCGCAGAAGAATCACCGCCTGCATCACAGCGTCGACTGAACAGCGTCAGCGAGTGGCGACAGCCAAGCTGGACCCAGATACTCGTCTCTCACCTCACTCGTCACGAGAGCAGACGTATGTCGACAAATAGCGCAAGCAACAGCGTTAGACGTGACGACGATTACGTGTTGGTTCGCAAAGAGCGCTTGCTCGGAATCTATATTGCCGTCTTTGTCCTCAGAGCATACGCACATCTCGTCGAGGGGTCAGACTCCGATACGATTACGCTGGGCAAGTTTGGCGGTAGACTGCCCAATAAGGGCGCTTGCGCAGTCTCGCTCAAACTAGCGGGCATCAGACTCGTCTTTGTCAATGCTCATCTTGCCGCGCACACCGAGCACGTCAAGGAGCGTCTGCGAGATATCGCCAAGCTTCGAGCAGGCCTGAAACCTGACATGCTCCTGCCAGAAAAATCGAGCAGACCGAAAGACGTCCTTTCCTCATTTGACGTGGCTTTCTTATCGGGCGATCTCAACTTTCGTCTCGAGCTCACACGTACGCACGCCGATGGGCTCATGGCCATGCAAAGCTACGAACAGGCATTGACTTTTGATCAGCTCAACCGTGCGATGAAGCGGAGGGCAACGCCTTTGCTAGGACTGCGAGAGCATCCCATCGACTTTCCGCCGTCTTACAAATGGGACCTTCTCAAGCTCGAGCACAGTCGGGCGCGCAGAAAGGCGCACAGTCTCACAGGGGTTCAACACGAGCCAGAGCACCATGTTCAGTCTGCAGTCGACAATGTCCATCTCTCGCCGCGGGCGGCGATCCTTCGTCAGAATTCGACGCCGCCGATCATCGGTGCTCGGCCTGCATCCGCTGCTCTACCGGGTGCAACGCCGCCCGAAACACGACCGGAGCTGCCGCGCAGACCTAAATCCACAGGCGATCTCGTGACTGACAATCCTCGCCTAGCACCTGAAGTTAAACAACAGGCCTGCTTTGACTCGTCAGATAAGCAGCGTGTGCAGTCGTGGACAGATCGGATACTCTATAGATCGATGATGACACGTCAGCCTTTCTCGCCTTCCACAAAGCTGCGTTTGAGCACTTTGCTCGCTTTCAAATCAAGCACGCCTACTTTTCAAGCCGATCGCCAGCCTCGTCGAGCTCACAGTATCGATGCGCCGTCAATCGTCCCAGACCCAGAGAAGTACGAGCCCGCTGAGCCAATTGCTCGTAGCAGGGCACGAACAAATAGTTTGCCAGGAGGCTGGTGGCGAGAGATTGCACGTCACCGCGGCGGCTCTACGTCTCTGCCACCCAAGCAAGCCGCGCAGTCGTTGCGCGGCACGTTGACCTGCATAAATTACACGACCCTCAGCGACCTAATGAAGCTAGAAGCTCTGTCCGATCATCATCCGGTCATACTCTCGACAGCCTTGCATCTCTGATGCATGTACTTTCTCGCAGATAGAAATCCAGGTCATCTTGCTTGTTGTCGCATACCAAGTGCATCGTGTTACAAAGGCTAGGCAACATCGATACTGAGCGAGATGCCCATCGCAGCAAGCTCTGCACAGAGATAGCGAAATACGAAAGGCACAGCGATGAGGTCCATCTGTCCCCTGCGCTCGACTACTTTGCCTTTGCCGATCGCAGTCACGCGGTGCTGGACGAGCGGCAATTTAGGCTGCTCGTCAAGCCAAGCGTTCTTCTGCTTGATCTCTTCTGCGCGACAAACGCGGCAATATTGTCCATTCGGACCGGATTCGTGCAGGTCGCCGGACAATCCGACTTCCGTTCCGTACGATTGATCATCATACCCAAGTGAGATCAAGCTACCACACGTCCGGCAGACCCATGCAGTCGAATAGTCTGAGCAGTTCATCAGACGATCTTGAAGCAAGAATGATGTGCCATGGGCGAGTAAGGCATCGCGCTCCATCTCTCCGAATCGGATGCCACCGCCTTTCTTTCGACCTTTGACCGGCTGACGCGTGACCTTGTCAACGGGACCGGTAGTCCGCACTTGGTACTTGTCGCTGACCATGTGACGCAGGCGTTGGTAATAGACCATACCGAGGTAGATGTCCGCCTTGAACTCTTCGCCGGTGATGCCAGAATACATGGGCTCGTTGCCGTGGTAATTGTAGCCGGCTGCCTTGAGCTGCTCGCCGAAATACGCTTGAGGCGTGTCATCTTCGGAATAGCAGAACGGAGTAGCGTCCTGCGCAAAACCATGCAATGCACCGGCTTTGCCAGCAAGACTCTCAATGAGCATGCCGATAGTCATCCGACTGGGGAAAGCGTGAGGATTGATGATAACGTCTGGCTGCATTCCAGATTCGCTGAATGGCAAGTCGATCGCAGGGAAGCGCTGGGAGCAGACGCCTTTCTGGCCATGTCGAGAAGAGAACTTGTCGCCGATTTCTGGCCGACGAACGATACGAAGCATAAGATGTAGCTTGATGAGCTTGCCCTCATTCGAGGCTATATTGCCAGCGATGAGCCTGACAGTGTCAATGTAAGCTTCTTCGTCACTCTCATACTTGTCGTAGTGCGTTCGCTTTGTGGTTGTATTGTAATACGCGGCGTAGATGTCGCCCCGCCTGACAAGCATGCCGGGATGAGGTATGCCTCGACCATCGAGACGTTGTCGCGCTGTATGCGAAGCCGGCACATCCGCACCAAAGCCGAAGATCAGGTTCTGCCCTCGATTTGGCGCGCTACCCTCTGCGCCCTTGGCAGACGCAAGCTCTAGGGTGTGCGACTTGTAGACCGAGCCATGGCCAAAGCCACGCTCGTAGGCTGACTTGTTGATGATCATTGCATCTTCCATGTCGTAGCCAGTGTATGAAATGACAGCCACGACTGCATTGAAGCCGTTAGGATAGCCGTCGAAGCCGTAGGTGTCATGCAGCGCCGGCCTGACGATCGGTGTCTGGCCAGTCTGAATGCGATACAGCTTATTGTCCGTTCTGTGCGTTAAAGCGGTCGAGGGCGTGCCCATCGTCTGCTTGCCCATCTGACACTGAAATATAGGGTAGTATGAGCAATTGCGCAGCAGACTCAGCCGGCCGCCTGACCTGGTACATATTACGCGGACTCTGATTGTAGTCTGAGAAAGGCGTCAGATTCGCAAGGACAGAGAGCACATTGGTCGCAGCGAACTCGACATGGCTATGTACGCCAGCTTCTATTTCATCCGCCGTGCAGGCAATATTGAGATAGACTTGCTCAAAGGGACCGATATGCTCTTCCTGTCCGTTCGCAAGCAGTCGCACTGGTCGCATCATGCGTGCTCGGGTCGAGAAGAGAAATAGACCAGGATACTGTCCGCCGGACGAGGGAGGTACGAGGCCAACTTCGAGGTCGCGAGGCACTTTGTGTCGTCCTTCAGTCTTGAATCGGCGCAATGCGATCGCTATCCTCTCGCACGTATCTGGCGTTGCCCAACCAATGATGCGGCCGTCTAATTGGACGCACACATTGGTCTTTCCACTGATACGACGCTCGAAAGGCTGAGTCATTCCCATGCTAGACAGCAAGCCGGCCAGATGGTCTGTCTTGGCTGCAGAAGACACGAGCAGACATTTGTGAGCAAAGTGGTTGAGTAGGCCACAAGGGCTTCCATCGGGCGTATGAACAGGGCACAAGAAGCCCCAGGCTTCTGGCAAGAGCTTTCGCACGGTTGTCGTCTTTAGCTCGGCAAAGAAAGCGCCTCTGTGCACACATCTAAAGTGACTGATGAATCGTAAGAAATTGAGCTTCTCCGCGACGATGGTAAAGCCGCTCGCTTGCTGGAGATCGAGTCCCGAGCTGCTGACGAGATTGCCGGTAGCTAGGAATGTCGAGATTTTTGTACCAATGTTGGGCGAAACTTTGGCGAAGATCGACCTGACCCATTTGGTGTCCTCAAAGGTTGCGCCAACGGCTTGTCTCCGCATGTCGATGCGGAATTGGGTCGCGATCGCATCGAGGTACTCGGACAGCTTTTCTTTGATGATGGTAGCATACAAGAAGCCAGGCATCAGTATCTCTTGATGCTGGGGCGAATCTGGGTTATCTGCGCAGCAATCGCCAGCGACCAGGGCGTAAAGCTTTCTGACCATGAAAAGTAGCATCCGAAACTTGTCTGCTGGCTCGTCGAGATGAACGAGCACAATCCTTTCGAGGAGGAAACGACCAACGCGTTCATTCGACCAGTCCTCTGGACAGCCGAGTACGATTCGGAAGGACTTGCCAAGATACGCTCTGCATTGTCGTCCACTTCGTAGACCATAGTCTTTGAATGTTCGCAGCAGGAGCTCTGCTCGATCGGAGTAGTATGTATTCGCAAAGTCGTTTTGCATGATGCCAGCATAGATGTTCTTATCGGAGGCTTCATCGTCGAGGAGCGCTTTCAAGATCATCATGAGCGGAATCATGTATTCGTTCTTGCGCCAACTGAAGCGCAAGTGCAGGCAGCCGTTCTTGAGATAGTGCAGCGTAGACGTAAGACCCGATTGATCTGGTCGGACTGATCGTATCTGTACGCCATAGGCTGTGTAGAGCTTGCCTCTATTGCCAAATGAAGGTCGGTTCAGCGCAATGACGTGGTTTCGCCGAGGGACAATGAGAAACCGAATGATCTTCTCATTGCCGTTGATGATGAAATAGCCGCCGAGTTCCTCTGCTTCTTCGCGGTGCTTGACGAGCGCGGCGGGCGCCATACCCTTGAGATGGCAACGCTCCGACTGGGCTTTGTGTGAGCCATGCGCCGCCCAGGAAGCAATCTACAAACGTACTCTGACCATGATGGGCAACATGCCAAGCTTCTTCAGCTCCGAGTGCACTGGCTCGCCGTTGACAGCCCAAATCAGCTTGCAACTCATTTCGCCAGCGTAAGTCTCCATGCGCTCTCGTGCCTATACACCGGGTCAGCTCAAGACGAAAGCGATATAGTGACTGTGTACGTCTGCAGGGTAGTAGCGCGGATTGTCCTGCATGAATGAGGACTGTGGCTGCATAGGACTCGCAACGGTGAAGCCAGAGATGGACACTGTGTCGCGGTGAGCAGCACATCAGATTGTGACAGCAGATCAAGCAGCATAACGGACAGTCTAGACGATTGCCCAGCAGAGGATGGTAGCCTCTGTCGACTGCTTTGCCCTTGTCACGTCTGTCGCCATCAAAAATCGTCTTTGTTGCAACGTCTGCGACGGCCATGTCGAGCAAGCTGACGCCCCCAAGATCGGGCGAGATGAAGAGCTCGTTGAAAGATTCGATATGAGGCGCAACGAGCTTGTGAGCCTCTGGGATTGCCGACGAGGAGCCCGAGGGGTTCCTGAACGCATCCTGGATCTTTGTCGTGTTGAAGGACGTGGACGGCAGCGCTCCTTCTTGCATGAAGTCATCCTTCTCTCGCGGCTTGCGTGACGCCTTCTTGAGCGCCTTGCCTGCGTCCACCATCTTGCCGCAAAGCCCGTTCAGGCAAAATGTGAGATGTCAAAAGACGACGAACTGTCAAAAAAAGTTGATCGCGACTTGCCGACGCCAACTTGCCTGGCAGCATCGCATGCCTCTCACGGCTTTGTCTTACACTCATTGCCGCTCATCTTCTCTCGGTAACAGAATCAATGGCCAACGCGTGCCACCCGCTCGCAGTCTCGTAGATCTTCAGCAGCTGATTGATGCCGCATCTTTGTAAAGACTTAGGCACCGGCGTCAGGCCTCAGGACACGTAGATACAACGCCAGCAGCCCTTCATACAGTCGTTGCTTGATCGAGGGTGCAGGTACGCTCCCCTTGGCCAGGTCTTCGATCGCGTCGAGTCGATTGTCCGAGCCAACAGGAAATGATCGATGCTCAACACGCATAGTGTGCCCCGTGCAGCCTGCGTTGCATTCGATCAAGCTTCTGATATGCTTGTCGAAGACGGCAGCAACACCTCACGGGCACATAAGCTCGCAGTTCAGCACATGCGATCTTACATAGGCCGTGCTGCGCTGTGATGGTATTCGAGGCAATTCAAGCGAGGAAGAGAGTTGTGGGCAAAGTGGGACGCATAATTATAACGTGAAAATGCATTACAACTAGGATACAGAGGTACTCATACATACAAGTGTCGTGATCCAAGCCCAGACAAGTGATCATACAAACACAAGCTATGAAACCCTAATGCCCGAAGGCATTCTCTCGCAGAGCGTAGCGCAGCAAGCGCCATGAACAAGAACTTCAGGGGAGACATACCGAGTAAACAGTGAGCGAGGCTGTGAGAGCATGCATGCGCTGCCTTTGGGCTGAGCTTAGGCGATCTTGAAAGGTGACGATTGACAGCGTGTTGACAGGGCGCGAGTGAGGTTCAAGCCTGCCAGCCCCAGCGCAGAGAGCCACTCTGCACTGGCAGACTGGACTGACAGGCACAGTATAGTGTGCGCGGTGTGGTATACAGGACGCACCAGCGCCCTGAGGTACCGCGCACGAGTGAGGTGGGTCTGAAGGCACAGCCGACAGACCCGAATGACGAGCGCCAAGCCGGATGATGGCTCGCGCAGAGTAGCTTGGTTGCCTTGCCTGGTAGTGGGCAAGGCATAGTGGTCGACCAGATTGTGGCCGACTGCAGACCGGTGAGGCGAAGGTGCCTATCAAAGGACCCGAGCTGACATAATGTCGTCAGCTCGAGTGGGTTGGTGGCAGACTGCAGGAGCGATTGCAGCCTGCGAGTGTGCCGAATGAGGCAGACGCTGCGCCAAGTCGAGGCAACCTGGCGCTCGCGTTGGCCGTCTTGCCGTAAGGCGGCAATGACGGCCGGTGCAAGTCGCGTAATTGTGCGACGAATCAAGAGCAGAGCGTTGATGCTTGCTCGGGTGACAGCTGATGCGGCCCGCGAGAGCGAGACCGCCAGTCGAGACGGTTTGGTCCGAGGTCGCCATATGTGACGACGCGGACGAGTTCGGATTGAGCCAGCCAATGTGCTGGCTGACTAAAGATGAGGTGACGCCGAGCAGATGACGCTCTGGCGTCGTTGCCGACCTAGTGAGGTCGAGATTTCGGGAGGAATCCTGCAGGAGACGAGATCAGTAAAGGCAAAGACTGAGAGCAATGCAGCTTACCCTCCCGCAAGCTGGGAACGATTGATGTGATGGGCTCGAGTTTGCACGCTCGTGCCGCCTGTTGTTTGCGCCTGATGATGTCGATGTCGCAAAGTGTCTGGCCTGATGCTCGGAAGTGATGACGACCTTTGCTGCCCTCGCGGTACTGTGCTTGGATAGACAAGTGTCGATCTCCGTCCCATGGTTCTCCATCAGAGGATAGAGCAAGTCCTTCGAGCGAGCAGAGGCAGATCTTATAGCGGGCAAGGTTCTTACCGGGACTTATGCGATACTTCCACGAGGTATGAACGAGGCTGAGAGTAAGAAGTCGAGGAGTGTCCAAGACCCAGACCCGGCCGAAGCCGACGGGATTGACAGTATAACTGCAACGATGGAATAGTCAGCATCTTTGATATGTGTGAGAAGAGCGATTGACTTATCTAGCATAACGCGTTGAGCTGCAGTAGACTCGCGGAAGGGGGAAAGGGGAGGAGATATCTGCGCTCTCACTCTTGCAACTTGACGTCTTGGCGCGGTGTGGAAGTATCGCTGCCCGAGCCTGCTGCCTTATGATCAATGCCAATGCTGCCGTCTGAACCTGTCCAAACGCATCAGGACGGCCTGCGGGAGGGAGACCTAGCAAGCCATCGCAGCGAGCGGTGCGACTTGGCAAAGGCCGATTCGGTTAATCGAGCATGACTGAATGAGCGACACGGTTGAGCGACATCTCGAGACTGCGGAGATTGGGCGGCGGCACGAGCGAGCGGTAGTGAGCCAAAGAAATATGCCGCGAGCTAAGATCAACTGAGCAAGGCTGTCAGCTTAGCTACGCAGAGATCATCGTGTAACGTACCAAGGAGTAGCTCGTGCAAAGCTTGATGGAAGCCGTCACAATGGCAAAGTATGCGCCAGGATCTTGGGCGGGACAGATATATACTCTGATTTCGATCGACCCGCTGAAGGCTGACACGAGGCTCGTGAAGAGCAGTCGGCATTGTGTATAGCTCGGGCGCGATAGGTAACGATCTCTGCTGTGCGCTTGCTGCAATACGGATGCGGCAGGCCCGAGGGGCTATTGCAGAGTGACCAGGCTGATAGAGGTGCCATTCCTCCCTTGTGCGACAGCGCGAAGCAGTATAGTGACTAGGAGCAGGAGAGCAGTGAGGTCGCGAGACCGGCTCGAGCGACATTGTGGTGCTGCTTTTATTGACTTGAGCGTATAATGGCGGCAGGCAAGTAATGGTGCCGATGACGCAAAAGCGAAGATTGCATATGTCAGGCTGGCAGATTGTGTCGCTTTGCCGCATTGCGTGCAAGCTGACAGATTGCTGGTGGCAAGTATGTGTGCCGGAAATATGTAAGCTGAGCAAGCGAGAGTTGTATAGGCTAGCAGGCCAGGTTGGCGTGCTTTGATGTTGAACGATGCGTATGGGCAGACATCGCGCAGTTGACAAAGTGTGCGCAATTACTGACTTTGTCAGATCGGGAGATTTTTTTGCAAGATATGCGAACTTGAGGACGAAGTGGCCTCGAGTATGATGAGTTTGCTTTGGCTTGTCTGGGGTCACTTATAGGTTGTATATATGAATGATTTTTTGTGACTTTTGGTTCTTGGCTACAGACAAGATGATGATGACAAAGCTACAACCCAGACTCTCCAGGAGTACCGGGGGAACGCCCAAGATGGCTGCATAGCAGAATCAGCTTCAAGAAAAGCGGTGAGTGCGCAAGCGAACCTAGTCTCGGACGCTCAAAAGAAAAATGAAAGATTGCGAACTTCCTCGCGCCGAAGACGATCCAGCTATGTCGACAATAGCGTTGGGCATCGCCTTGCTGCCAGTCATCGCCAGACAGTCGCCAGACGCATGCTTCCCAACACATCCTGCTCCTGTTCGACCCGTTAGTCTACCCCGTCGGTCACGCACCCTGCTTAAGGCAGGATGCTCTTGCTTCTCGGCAGAACGTCGTCGTCCTCCTCCTCCTCCTGGGGATTGTCGAGATCGAATCTTCGCCAGGACTCTTCCCAGGCAAGGAGGAACAGGTCGAGCGCTTCAGACATCGAGAGTTCTCTGCCTTGGGCGCTGCGATCGTATACGACGATTTCTGCAAGGGCGAAGTCAGCAAGGGAGGGTAGATGTCCAGAGAGGCACTGACTCTTGCTTTGCTTTGCTCTGCGCTTGCGGCGAGAAGTCGCCGAGGGAATTGACATGTCTTGCAAATCCGCCCGATGTCCGTCGTCTTCGTCTTGCAGGGTCGTCAGGCTCGCCTCGTCGTTGATCTGTGCGCCATGATCGACGCGCAGACCTAAGCTGTCGTAGATACTCGATAGGATCATCGAGCGCCAATAAGGCTGGAAGGAGAGACAGCCCGCCAGGAAGGCGGCGACGAGACAGCAGAGCAAGGTCTGCAGATGCGGAGCAGAGCGTGACGACAGGCTAGCAGAAGGTGCCGGAGTAATCTCAACAGCCAGCAACTGCTTTGAAGCCACTGCGAGGCCTTGTGGCCAGATGGACGCTCTGAGAATGACCATGACATGCCAGCTGATAGTAAGGATGATGCGGCATGGCAGTCTGGCGAACTCGACTAGCGTGGTGACGAAGAGACGGATGAGCCCGCGAGCCATTTGACGAGATGCCATAGAGGGAGAGGCTTGGTCTGTCGTAGGCTTGCTGGCGCCTGTATAATGCACGGCGGTGACCTTGGGGGCAGAGGTCGGTGTAGGCAAGCTTGGCAGGTGCATGGCAGGTGCAGGTGGAGGTGAAGGGGCAACATCGATGTCGACAGAGCTGCGGTGCACAGTCCCGAGATGGCCGAATAATACGGCATCATGGAGTTGCGAGACTGGCAGGGCAGAGTGAAGATCTTGTAGGCTGTGATGATCGATGGCGGGCACGAGCGAGGCCAACGGGCGCTGTGCGAGCAGACATGAGACAAGGCATGGACGATGATAGAGCGATCAACTTACAAGTGCAAGACATGTCAGCGTGTCGAATGAAGGTGTGGTGGCGTGATCAAGAATGATCTAGCAGCAGGACACGAGTCAGCAAGGGTAAACATGGGCAGTGTAGGAAACGGTAGACTGACAGGAGCAGACGACCAGCCAGATCGTGCGGGAATGAGCCGAGCGACAATGACCGACTTGACAGACTGCGTTGCGACGAGATGAGCCTCTGAGGGTCATGGGAAGGGTAGGCTGGACTCACGATAGACTCTACCAAGCCGGATGTCGAAACGTACTCGAAGCAAGACAGCGTGCAAGAGCACGCAAGGACGAGAAGAGCGAGCAGAGCGATCATGATGACCGTCGTACTCTCTCAGAGCACGCTAAGCACACAGGTGCGACGCAGTACTCTCTCCAAATCCGACGCTTTACTCTCGAGAGCAAGCCGAACGGACCAACGAGGAAATTCGCACCACCGCGACTTTTGTAGTCGCGCCTCACGTGACTGACGGACAAGCCAGGACGAGCGAGTGATCTTGCGTTTGGGTCCGCGAGTGTTTGCAGATGCAGAGCGAGGGTGGCTGAAAGCTTTGAGCAGCAAAGTGCTGACGTAGACGACTTGAAGGTCAAACTCCTCCGACTGTGCGTAGCCTCCCGGGCAGCACCGCGATACTCGAACGCCAGGATTGTGCTGACGACGAGCAACGCAGACCCCGCTTTCCCTCTCGCAGTGCTCCTGACGGTGCTTGCTCGTATGCAACAAGGCTGAGAGCTGTAACGAACGTTACTGACAGGCTTTATGTTGGCTTCAGGAGTTTCACTAGCTCCTCCGCGAGGCTTGTCCAGCCCGCTCCGCACTACACGATCTCTGTCTGCTGATCAGATGCTTCTTGATGCTGCCGTCATCACCGATGCATCGCTTCTTGCCCGTATTTGCTTGGATCTCGGCGCGTGACAGAAGAAAGCTCATGGCCTTGCACTTTGCATGCACTCCGTGCACCTGCGATCCCGCGGACGCAAACACGCTAACGTTCCACACTGATCGAGCATGCAAGCTCAACACTCCTTGACTGCCTCCTTCCTCTGCGCATGACGCGGTTTTACCGCTGATCTGTCAATACCGCTATGACGCATGCTGTCCGCGCCGAACAATGCCTTCGATACTCGATGGACGCGCTATCGGTCATCGCTGATCGTTCTACGACTTCACGCCTGTTTCCAACCGAAAGTCCAGAAAATCGTCCATCAGGCAGTGCTAGCCGGACCGTGCGCAAACCTCAGTCAGGGCTGACTCATCAAGAACCGTTTATGGCCACAGATTGTTTTCATTCGATACGGTGACCGTAGACGAAGCATATGGAGGGATAGCTAGGGAGGGAAACGTAGATTAGAGCACCGCAAAACGGGTCACACTTCGTCGGATGAAGAAGATCGGCAACCTCTGCTTGTCGCGTCAAACGAAATGCCTCGCGTGCCCTATGCAAATGAAAATGAACAACAAGAACTGCGGCAGCTATGCACCTTGACCGGTCACTGCCCTTCGTAGCTCGAACAAGATGATGTCTGCCCAGATATAATTCGCATAGCCTCTGTAATGCATCGTGTCGGCTATATGATCCTGCGAGTGGCATGAGCATATCCAAGGGGATGTCTCTCGTCAGATTTACCTCTTGCCCGAGCAGGAGAGGACCCCAGTTGTCATCCCTCAGCCTGCCTTTGAGCACGTGTGGGATTGTGTCGTTTGTATTGAGATCGTGGACGACTTTCTTGCCAACTGCGCCAAATGCTGCGACGCGATTGGTGGGCGTGTCGTGTCGCTGCTGGACCTGATGCAAGTGCCTGAATAAGATAGGCACGCTACGGTCGGGAAAAGCTTGAGCCACTGCCAGCAAGAGACGTCTCAGGCCGCTGTCGTACCAGTCAATATAGGACAGAGGCAGGTTCTCGGCGTGTGTTCGTCGCGTGGCATCCAGAGTGTCTTCCAAACGGGACTTGTGGAGCAGATCCCAGTAGCCAGTGCTGAACTCGATCAGATCGATGGGTCTACCAATGTTGGCAAGTAGCGGCAAGAACACCTCATTCAGTTTGTCTTCTGTCACCACTGAGCAAGATCGTGAGACGACTTCCACGGCATAGCCGATCAGGCTCACTGGGCGGATAGTAATGGCGGTCACGGAAGAACGAGCCGACATCTTGATCCTTGAACTCTTGGAACGATGCTACACCGAACATGTGTAGATTGACGAGCGTGAGATTGAACGACTGCACATGACAGACATAAGGTCTGCTCGCGCTCAGATCCTCATTCTCATTCGGTGGCTCGTTGCTGGAAGTGTACGCTGGCGGCGACAGCGGATGGGACGGAACGATGAGCTCGACCTTGCCCATTCGACCAAAGAACCTGCAAAAGTCGATGAGATGAAACCGTTCGTGACTATCGCCAAAGAGCGCAACAGTACGGTCATGCAGCCACGGTAGCGTACTCCCGCTCACGCTGCTCTGACCTGTAGTGACTGCCAGATCAGATGCAGCAACTGCTTCGTCCAGCAGTCGACTGCGAGGGCAGCTAGTCTCGTTTATGGGCGCATAGTAATTCTGAGCAGGCGTGTCGGCCGAGATGTGGACGACGCCATATTCTGCATAGGGATTGCAGCTATCCGATGTCGTGTGCTGTGTCCAGAAGTGCTTGATGTTCTCGGGAGAGACCCTTTCATGGTTGGCTAGCAGCAGACTCGCTACCCCGACGAGTCCGACTAATGTCACGACTCTGGTTTTGCTAGCAAGGCTGGGAAGAGAGGCGAGCCTGAGTGGAAGGGCCGGGACAGCGCCGCTGACCGTGGTATACTGCTGCGATTCTCGACTATACATCTTCGATTGTTATCGGACGAAAGAGGCTGCCCGCGTTAATTCCCATTAATTGACACGCGGGACTGCAACGATACAACAACCAAAATAGACGATAATGCGACGGTTCAGGCTTCGTGATGGATGAGTACGGTAATCGTGGAGTTGTCCCGTGCGGTATACTCGAGTAGAGTAGAGGATGGAGCGACAATGCTCGCGAGGGACAGGTAAAAAGTTTCCTTTGTATTGTCCTCTGCTGCTTCGTCCAGACCTTCTGCAATGGCAGGTCGGGTTGGACCGACGAAGCGAACTTCATTGACGGTAGCTTCCATCGAGGCAAGATCCGTTCGGGGGATAGCGCGCGAATAGCGAGTGATCGAGTGGCCAGGCACCCAGAGCTGTCTGCCTTGGTCAAAAACATGCCGTTTGAACAAGTTCTGACCGCCGAGTCGCTGGGCAGCCAAGACGATGTTCTGCATGGCAGTCCTGCGCGAGATGAATTTCGGAAACGGCTTGATGTACGTCTTTGACAGGAAATGATGGAGCGTGAGAAAGCGTCTGCCAGACTGGAAGAAGCCATCGCCATTGCCTGTGTAGTCGCACTGATGCAAGCCGATCTGGAAGGTGAACAGGCCTGCCATATCTTCGACCTGGTGCGAACCTTTGTAGGGCTTGATGCCTTCTGCCTGGCTCGCGCAGAGCTCGAGGAACACGTCGCCTCCTCCGTATTCATCTTGCGAAAGCTTATCGAGGCAGTCGGCATGGGTTGACTGCATCGCATCCAGCATAGCTGCAGTGAGGATCATGCTCGCACCGCCGTACGCAAATGAGCCTTCTTCCTCCCTCCGCTTCTTGGTGTCAGACATGGAGCCAATGAAGTAGGGCAGCGAAGGGTCGTAATTGCTCAGCATGCGCCTATAATCTCGCATATCGACAAAGAGAGTGTCACTGCAGGACCAGTCAGCCCGAGGCTACTTCAACATCGGCAGCAACTTGCTCGTCTGCCATGATGACATAGTTTGGCGATCGGCCGGTGAGATTTCTGTGATACTCCTGTGCTACTAATGGTACCATTGCATAGTCTTTGCGCGCGTCTCGGTGCGTCGTGTAGGTTATTTTGCAGTCGACCCTGTTTTCGTTGACCTGCGTGAGGAAGTCGTCAATCTGCTCTTGAGATACGTCTGGTATGTTTGTGCCTGGCTCGCTCTTGCTGATTCCTCTGATCAGGATGGTGCAGCTTGAGCCAGGATTGGCGGCTAGCAATGTGTGCCAATTAGGCAGCCAGTCGTCTGTGCTGTCGAATCTGGCCGAAAAGGCGAAAGCAATGTCGCTCGGCGCGGGCGTGTCTGCAGGAAAGCGACGACTCGAGATCATCGGGAGCGAGTGAATGCCAGTGCTCGCGATTGTATCGTTGAGCCAGGTAACATCGCGACTGGCTGGCTCGAGGTAATCTTCGAGGTGTGCACTATAGTCTGCGTTGATCTCAACCTCGTACGACAGATCTCGCGTATAGCGAGGTGCGCGAGCTTGCGTGACGACGATGACGACGAGAGCGACAAGGCCGGCTGCCAGAACAAGCATGAACAAAGCTGCCACCGCCAGCCTTCGCTCGTATTTGCGGATCCAGTGAACAGTCTTGGGCGCCGACTCATCGTACCAGTCCTCGCTGGCTGACCTGGCCTGTAGCAGGAACTGCTTCTCCTCATCTGCCTGAATGCATATCGGACTCGGCTTTTCAGGTGACCGGATGGGCTCTTCGCTCGTCACAGACAGCAGAAGTGGCGAGTGTGGCAGCCGGACCATGTTGCCTGATTCCGAAAGAAGCTCGTCTTCGTACGTACGACAGCCCTCGAGACTGCGACGGATACTTGACCGTCGCCTCGTGTGAAGAGAGGCTGAGGAGCGCCTTGCCATGCTTGCCAGAGCCATGGGTTCCAGGCACGTCCAGCCAGTCGGTGCAAGACGAGCCGGCAGAGCAGAAACACTTCGACATAATTAAATTTGTGTGATGATGAGCCAGCCCATTGGCCTTTCTCGGCCGTGCACGCTGCCAAATTAGGTCAAAGTAACGCGTCAACTGTTTGACATGATGCAATCCACGCTTCTGCCGCGTCTGTGCGCCCATGCAGCCAATACTTGCCAAAGCACGGGCTTGGTTAGCATTAGACAGAGATGCAGCGACACGGTCAGAAGTGCAGCAGTACATCGACGGCAATGACACAAAGGCGCTCCACGCCATACTCGATCAACGTATCGCGTTTGGCACCGCAGGCTTGCGTGCGCGAATGCAAGCGGGCTTTGGACGTATGAACGATGTGACCGTCCTGCAAGCGACGCAAGGCGTTCTTGCCCATCTACTACAAGTCGTGCCTGATGTCCACACGCGCGGTGTCGTCATCGGTCATGATCATCGACATCATTCTCAGCGGTTCGCGGCACGTGCAGCGACAGTCTTCTTGCGGGCGGGCGTACCTGTCGTTCTCTTGAGAGGATTGGCGTGTACGCCGATGGTGCCCTTCGGAGTCAAGACTCTCGGCGCTGCAGCAGGCATCATGATCACCGCCAGCCATAACCCAAAAGACGACAATGGCTACAAGCTCTACTGGTCAAACGCCGTTCAGATTGTCTCGCCTGTCGACAAACGTGTTGCCGCAGCAATAGAAGAGCATCTAGACCTCGATGATGCAGCATGGGATTTGTCCGTTCTCTCACAATCGATAGATCGCACCGCAGAACTCAGACAGCAATACATAGAGCAAGTCGGTATGCTCTCGCGCTTCAGGGGCGAGAATGCACAGAGCATCCAAAAAGTAGTCTATACACCTATGCATGGTGTCGGTTTCGAATACGCCCAGGCAGCCTTTGTCGCCTTTGGATTTCCTAAAGAGAACCTCCTGTCGGTGCCAGAGCAACAGGCGCCCGATCCCGATTTTCCGACAGTTGCGTTTCCCAATCCCGAGGAACAGGGCGCATTACGACTAGCAACAGCTTTCGCAGATGCGCAAGGTGCCTCACTCGTACTCGCCAACGATCCAGATGCAGATCGATTCTGCGCCGCCGAAAAATCAGCTGGCCATTGGACGACCTTTACTGGCGATCAGATCGGGGCCATCTTCGCAATGTGGGCATTTGAGCAATACAAAGCATCCGGTCGACCCATCGAAAAGCTAGCAATGCTCGCCTCTACTGCTTCGTCAAAGCTTGTAGCAGCGATGGCCAAAGCAGAAGGCTTCTATTTTGACGAAACGCTCACCGGCTTCAAGTACCTCGGCAATCGAGCACTGGATCTCGATCAACAAGGTTACTCTTGCGAGTTTGCATACGAAGAGGCGATAGGCTACATGAACGGCTCGATCATTCGCGACAAAGATGGAATATCTGCATTGGCGATATTTGCCGAACTGTCTGCGTTTCTTTCGCGGAAGAACAGTACAGTCGCACAGTACTTGGAGCAGATCTATCAAAGGTGCGTACACGTGCCCTGGACACTGCTCAAGCTAAATCTCTTTGCCCAGGTATGGCCACTTTGTCACGAGCAACTCCTACTTTATCTGTCGCGACCCGAGCAAATTAGCAGCCATCTTCAGACGCATACGGTACAGCGAGACGGATAGCACGGAGCTCGCCTTCCCAAAAACGATCGGTGGCATTCCCATCGAGTCCATCCGAGACCTCACAGTGGGCTACGACTCCACTCGGCCGCCTGATTTTAAGCCCGTCCTGCCCGTCTCTTCGAACAGCCAGATGATCACCCTGGTCACACGGCCTGACGCGGGTGGGACTATCGGATCTGTCACGGCCACTCTGAGAGGCAGCGGGACCGAGCCAAAGGTGAGCTGAGAAGCTGCCTTTCTGCAATTGATCTAAAGCCCGTTCACAGATCAAATTCTACATCGAGGCGAGTGGCACGGAGCTCGCTGCCGTGCACGAGCGTCTCAGGATAGTCAGAGATGCTCTAGCGACAGATTGGCTGAGATGGCAGGAGAATGGTCTGGAGATGCCAGCGAGCTAGATGCAATTGCGGTTCCTTGCCATGATTATGATTGAGTTTGAGCTTTTTCGCGTCGACTCGAGGCGCAGAGAGAGAGAGAGGCCAAGCTCAAGCGCCCAAGCCAGCTTTTGTCAACGATGGTCAAAGCTTCGCAGCCCGAGCTGAAGAAGGTCAGCGAAACGGATGAAGTGCTGGCTGTGCGCTGATGCTCGGCGGTAGTACATGGACAAGCGCATCTTTGTCAACTTACAAGGCAACCGTAAAATCTCTGGCGTGCTCAGAGGCTTCGACATCTTCCTCAACCTAGTGCTAGACGAGGCAAAGGATGAGACACCGGGCAGTGCACCCCTCAGTGGCTCAAGCGATGGCGTCGTCAGTCTGTCCTGAAGAGCTCGTGGATTTATGCTGAAGAGAGACCTGCAGGTCATTCGAGGTAATTCTGTGTCGTCTATCGAGACGCTGGATAGGATAAGGTAGTGATGTCGGTCAACCAATGCAATGCAATGTACAACTCTGACAGACAGCCTCCAGCTGCGTCTAGGATGATGCGATTGCAAAGTTGAGCGTCTTGCTGGCAAAGTAGGGAATCACTCTGATCTGCCCAAGCGCTTCTGACTGTCCATCATACGAGACGGGGACTCTTCCTTGACCCGATGTGGATACGCCAGAGCTAGCGTTGACTCGCCGCAAGCGTACCGAGTGAGCAGATTGAGACGCCGGACGAGCATAGAACGATCGTCCGAATCCGCCTGCAAAGTCTGGCAAGCGCTCCAGGGGTATGCGCGGCTCGACGGTCTCGAACAGATGCGCAAGCAACGGCAGGAGGATCGGCGATGTATACACACCCGCAGCACAAGCATTCGGCGCGACCTGAGCATCTTGAGATAGTAACGGCAGCTTCGAGAGCGATGGATGAGGCGCCGAATCTGAGCCTAGGAAGAATTTGCGATTCCCTGCGGGACCATCAGCGCTATGCTGAGCAGCTCGGAGTAGACACACCGCTAGCGATGACTTCGCGCAGGGCTCTGCGATCTTCGTAGGTCTTTGCAACAGGCTTGCAAAAGTGCAAGTTGTTGCCCGCCCAGTCGTCTACGACGAGCGCGAGATGATGGGCAGTAATAGTGCAAGCTACCGTCGGACCCAGTCGGTTGACCTGGATGGGTGTCAATGAGCGGACAGCGTGAGATAGATGGCTCACGATGTCGACAGAGGCCTTTGTCGTCGCGTGCTCGAGGACGATCCTGAGGTTTGGAAAGCGAGCGTGCAGCTCCTCGAGATGTCGATGAAAAGCTGGCTCGGCATTTAATACTGTTATGCCCTGCTCCGACGGTCATGACGTGACTGTAAGTAAGTGGCAGCTCCCCTACAGAAGCTTCACTGCTCGGCACTTCGCCGTGCAGGTTGAGGACCATATCACATTCTTGCATGGCTTCAAAGACGTCATAATACTTCTCATAGCTTTCAACACCTCCCTCTGAGCCCGTCGTGACACCTCGGGGATAGCTCTTGACGCCACTGATGCCCGCTTTGTGTGCTTTTCTGATTTCGTCGGGTGTCAGAGCAGGCGCGAGGAAGAGAGTCATCATAAAGTCGATCTCGGGCGCGAGTGCCTGGAGCTCTGCTCGGTATCGTATCGCTTGTTCTGTTGTAGTGATGGGCGGACTGAGATTGGGCTGAGGAAGTGCATCAGCCGAGAGGACAGGGCTAGCAGAGGGAAAGTCAAAAGACCATGACATAGGCGAGCTGCATTCCGCCCAAACTGACGTGGGGCGTGACGAGCTTCATCATGTCTCCCTGTCTGAGATGGCAGTGGAAGTCTGCCGGCGCAGGGATGTCCACTTCATCTTGCGCCATCGCTTCACCTTCACACGTCTTGTCGCCAAATCTTGCGCGTCACGGCAACCTGACTGACTGATCGACTCACCAGCGTGACTTGCGCCGTCACGAGCCGTCAATCCAAGTCCCATCGTCGCAGGCGATCAGTACCGGCCCATCTGCCCAGACCGAGCGCAAGCTAGACGGCCAAAGATCTCAAATTGATGCCAACAACTCGTGGCGAGGCAAGCAGGAGATCCGTGGGCCTTAACGCCAAGAACGGCAACTCTGCCAGCATGACGGGCACGCTGAGTAGCACCTCGCTCCAGCAGCATGACGAACTCCTCTCCTCGGGCATCTCTGGTCCGCCTCCCTCTGCATCTGCAGGTACCGCCAAGATCTCGGCGACCCAACTCACCAACCAGATGTCTGAGCGGAGGGAAGCAAGAGCGAGATCTTCTTCTATCGTCAGCGTGAGAGAGATTGAGGATTCCTACGACGATACGGCCGATCAGGGCGCGCTCGAACAGTTCAACACCTCCTGGGTAGACGCCAAAGGTGACATTGACTCAAGACTTGAGCGCTGTCTTGCGATACTGAACAGCATGATGGGTCGAACAGGCGCATGGCTCATCCACATCATCCTCATCGCCGTCGGCAAGGTGCTCGTAGACATTGTGCCCGGTATCGCGCAAGATCTCAGCTGGACAGTCGTCTTACAGGGCTACCTCCTCGTCAGCCTGCACCGCGAAATGCAAATGGTCCTTTGCTGACAGACGAGGATTCGCAGATCACCTTTATGATGTTCCACTGGGTGACCGGCACACCCTTTGAGGCCAACAACTCTGGCGTAGCGGACGCGCTGACACTGTGGGAGCAAATTGACGACGGCGCGCAATATACGCCAGCAAAGAAGTGGCTCACTTCGTTGCCCATCATGCTGTCAGTTGGACAGCTCTATTTCGACTGCTCTGTCATAGCTGAGTAAGCGTCATCGTGACAGGTTCCTCGTCTCGACGCATTACACACGCTACGATCGCAACCCTGCCCTGTTCACGCTCAACATCGTCTCCGTCCTGTTGCTGGGCTTGGCACCGAAGCTGCCCCAGCTGCATCGACTACGATTCAAGTTCTTCGAAGGACTCAGGAGTGTACCCCAGAGCGGTATGCCCAGCGGCGTCAACACGCCAACAGAGGACGTCATGGTGCTGGGCAGCAACGGCGCTTACAGACGCGTACCTCGAGCTAAGCTTGCTTGACCCTAGACGCACGAGACTGTGACGAGTCATGACGTCCGATCTTTTACAATCCGTTGTGTATCTAGCCCCATGTATCGCGAGCGCACGCTCTTCTGTACCGCTAAAACGCAATTACACGTCTGATCATGTTGCAAACATATCGGGATCCTACAGAGTATGCGATCTAGTCGTCCTTCCAATCATCTTGGAAGTTCCCCCAATCCGAGTCATCGACTTTATTTGCCTTGGCTGCAGGCGCACGCTTGCCTCGAAGATCCGGCGTAGCTTGCTCGCTGCTCCCACTATCGCTGTACCCACGGGCCATATCCTGACCAACCACTGAATTGACAGCTTGATAGCCGTTGCGACCGGACTGTGCATAGATGTCTTTGGTCGAGTAGCCCAGCTCGCCCGCTTGACCATTAGGCGCAGTATGCTGATCGAAAAAGTCTAGACCGGCCTCCTGCTGTCCCGGCGAGGCAGCCCCACCCTGTTGTGCGTTCCGTTTCGCGAGCTTGTCGACATACGACGCTCCCTGCGTGTCGGGCTCAGACAGGTCTCGAGTAGTCAGCATAGCACCCACCAGGTCGCCAACATCAACGCCGATCTCTCGTTTTGCTATCGTAGCGCCTGCACGCATACCTCCCGCAAGCGTCTCTCCGCCCCTTCTACCCGCTTCTCCGAGCACAGTCGTCGCTTTGCTCGCATACCCGTGCAATTGCGCTTGGAACTCTGGGTCGGCCACGCGCTGCATGCCTGGTTCTATGACGGTCCTATCCACGCCATTGATCATTGAGCATGTACTGGCGTGAACAGAGACCGGACGCACTCGTTCACTGTCTTGGCGGCTTGACCGAGCGCAGAGGAGAAGAAGCCCCAGCCTCGGCTGAGCGCGGATACTGGATCTTGCGTAAAATCGTCGATACTCGGGAGCGCCTTGCTGGACGTCGCGTTGGCACCTCCTGGAGAGACGCCGCCACTGCCAAAGCCAGCATAGCGGCCGCCCTGTGAGGGGGGAAGATCTTCAGGTCGAGAAGAATTGGCTGCACCGAGTGTGGCAAAGTAGGACTCATTTTTCGCCTTTGCAGAGTAAGGGTTCGCGATTCCTCCCGCAGCTCCTGCACTGATCGATCCTGGCGTCGAGACTGCAGATTCGCTCGGTGAGACGCCAAAGCTTCGTGGACTATTGCGCCCTGACGACCCCAAGGCGCTGCTAGCGCCCAACGTTCTGCTCTTGCGCACAGCCGAGCTGGCTTGCAAGCTCGGCACGACGGCAGGCGTCATAGAGGGATCCCACTCTTTGCCATCGCATTCTGCTTGTAACTGCACCTCACCGCTAAGGACGCGCGCGACGCGATGAGGCAATCTTGCAGACTGACCTTGTCGCGATACTGCAGCGCCACGTGACTGTTGTAGAGATCGAAGATGGACATGCCAGGCTGGTACTCGGGCGAGGCTTCGAAGAATTGGCGTGCTTTCGCATTGCCGCCTATCGTCATCTTTCGTACTTGCGCCTCGCTCCACTTGTCCTGTGTGGGATTGGGTCAGCTTCCCTGTGCGCAAGCTGTGACCATGCATGCGCTTGCCATTGTAAGCGAGCGGACGAAGCTGATGTGTACGCCGAGACTGCGATGCACGCCAGAACAGTTGAGGCAGATGTATGTACCGTGGCTAGGTGTGATTGAGGATGAGCGCCGAGCATACAAGACCATGCCTTTCTCACCTGACGCTGGCCCATTGTGGCATGGGCGCTTTGCAATCGCAACAGAGCTGCAGCAAACATTCCATGAGCCTGTCAAACGCGCAATGGCCTGCCGGTGCTTGCCTTGTTGCCATCTTGCTGCACAGTAGCAGCATCACGTCAGCGGGCGCATCTTCAGCTCGAAGTAGGCTTGCCTTCATAAGATCGAGCAGCAAGCCCTTTGCATCATACTCTGCCATGATGTCGTCCGCGACAGGCGTCAGGCGCGGTGGTGGCCAGGCTCAGGCTTGGGACGCGACCTGGTCCTGGTCCTTGCTCATGAGACGCTCAAGCACTCACGTGAACAGGCGTGATTCATCAGGATCTCAAGCAGGTCCAGGATCCAGCCGTGGTGTACATCGCTGCTTCAGTGCCAAGGCATGAAGCGGCGGCATTGCTTGACGGTCAATCGAGCAAAGAACGATGTTGTACGGAGCGCAGCAGTCATCAGCATGCAGATGAGGCCACATCCTCGTCATTGAGGGACCTGATATTCCGGGCATGACAGGAAACAGTGCATCTGGTAAGTACGAGCTGATCTTCAATCGCCGGCAACGTAAGGATCTAAGACAGTCGACGGCAGAAGTGCAGCGCTGGTCCCCTCTATGCTAGTCTTTCTGCCCCTGCAGTGAACGCCTCGATATCAGTCGTGGGCTGCATGAACGCTTCCGTACTTGCCTTTGCCATCTTCACTGTGCCATAGCTGACGCCGGCAAGGCCGACGGCGAAAAGCGACATGAAAGCAGCTGCACGCAACGATCAGCGCCATATTGGCAATGCCATCGACGGGGGATTGCAGAAGCGGGGTCGACGTACTCATGTACAGCCTTGCACGAGGCAGCTTCTGATAGACCATCCTCGAGTCTGCTTGCAGCGCCCTTTGGCGCTCAACGACGCTGTTCGATCCTGCTCGCTCGGGCAAGCATCAGCGCCGACACTGGCACTGACGTATGGACAGCGACGCACGATTGACTAGACCGTCCATCTCTGATCCGGGCGAATGCTGGCCGTCCTTCTTCTGACACGGATCGGCGTGACAACACAATCAAGCTAATTCTCCCCAGCACACGGGACGGTCGCGTCGCGCTGTGGCCTCGCGTCGTCTCAGGATTGAGGGCGTTCGCCGAATTCGACAGTCTTTAGCGATTTCTCTTACGCAATAGATCGCGCTGGTCGCTGCTCAGAGAGCCTGCAGGCAGGACAAAGACAGCTGGCTGTCTCTGCATAGTATATTTGGCAGCACAACACTGTACGCTCACTTGTGCCTTTCATCGGACAAGCAACGCTTGACATCAAGCGTCTTTCTGCAGAAAGTCGCAACTTCTAGACGGCAGCACACGCTCTTTCAGCAACACACTGACACTGGACTTGTCAATCCTTGCCGGACCTTCATCGCCGTCAGGCCACGTTCGCTTCCCACCACAACACTTTCTGCCTTTCAACTCTGATGACACCGAACATGCGCGCCTATGCAGCTGGTCTGCTCTGCTTGCTCTTTTCTACTCAGCTTGTCTCTGCATTCATCCGCGAGGGCTGCTCGATCGTTGCTCGAGAGAGGGTACGCTCGTTGTGACGCTTTGAAGTCGCGCGCTCATTGTCAAGCACAGATCGATCCCATTGTCGATCCAGGCAATATAGCGTGAGCGGATGCACTCAGTGTCGGTACGCTCTTCTGATGGCCATGCAGTGGTCATGTTCATACAATCATGGGCTCGAGCGCAATTGGTCCCGACGCGACTTATGCCAGCCTGAGAGCGGGCGGCTGCTCAAGCTGTCAGGCACTCGATGACAAATCTGCCTATTGGGTTCCTACGCTCTACATGGCACTCAAGAACGGCAGCTTCATCTCTGCCCTTCCTCAAGGTGGCGTGCGAGTCTACTGGATGAAGCGTGGCATGGGCAAGGAGAAAGTACACGCTTTCCCAGAAGGCTTCCGCATGGTCGCCGGCACATCTACCCTGCGCACTTACAACGCTAGCGCACTCGAGCAGAGAGCGATACAGTGGGGCTGTGTCGGCGGCAAAAAGGATACCTTCACACCTGGCTTTCCGACGAATGCACACTGCCCACTCTCGTTGCGTCTCATGCTCAGCTTCCCATCCTGCTGGGATGGCAAGAATCTCGATTCGGCCGATCACAAGAGTCATATGGCCTATCCTGCCAATATTGGCACGGGCAAGTGCCCAGCTAGCCATCCCGTCCGTACGGCTGCCATCATGTACGAGATCAATTGGAATCAGCAAGCCTTTGAGAACTATCGCTCTCTCGCGCTCAAGCCGAGCCAACCCTGGGTACTTGCAAATGGCGATGGCACAGGCTATGGCATGCACGGAGGTTAATCGCCCTTAATCATACGCGAGCGATGCATTGCTGACGATTGCTGAAATAGATTTCCTCAATGGATGGGATGTGCCTGCTTTGCAGAAGATTATCGATGTCTGTGGCGCGAGCATCTCCAGCGGTGAGATCAGCGAGTGCAAGGTCGCCCGTCAGCAGCCTGCCGCCAATGTCTGGAACCCTGCTCATGGCTGCCACAAGACACCACTTTACAACGAAACCACATCTGGCATGCTAGCCAAACTCCCGGGCTGTAACCCGGTCACCTATGGCCCTATTTCTGCAGGAAACAAAACCTGCTCGGCGACTGTTCCAGCCACGTTCAAGACGCCCGTTGGCTACTATGGCCTCGTTCCGCCGCCAGGCAGTCCAGGTCTCACCACTAATCCTGCCATCCTCACCAACGCCTCGGGCTACAACTACGTCGGCGCATTCAGTCCTATCTGGAGCGGTCGTACCTCGATCCAGCGTGATATCACGAGCAGTATCGCAGGCGGCAGGGCCAAGATCACGACAGCGAAATGCATGTCTGCTTGCGCCAAGCTAGGGTACAAATATTGCGGCATGACCGGCAACACCTGCTGGGGCAACAAGCAGGCCTATCCGACCAGCAAGAAGATCTCTTACGACGCTTGTAGCGTTCCTTGCCTAGGTAGCGCAAGTGAGATGTGCGGCAGCGTCAAGTGCTATCAGATGTACGCGGCTACAGGCGCACTCGCTTCTACTAACACGACCTCTTCGTCTACTACTACCGCCACGCATTCCAGCAGCTCGGTTGCAGCAAGCTCGATGAAGGCATCTCAGCTCATGAAGAAGCACCTCAAGTCCCAGAGATCACGCAAGCATCGCAGAGCGACAGCATGATAACGACCTTGTTGGCATATACTATCCCATCACGACTTCCTGCACTGCGAGCTGGTCTCTGCTCGCTCGTTGTTGTAGCACGAATTACACGCTCATAACCATTATGATGTATTGGCGCCGGTGAGGTCCTTGCCTCAACAATGTCGTCCTAGGTAAATGCTCGCCGATTCTACTGACAAAGCGAGTAAACGCATTCGTTGTGGTATATTTAGCGATCAACGTGCGAGGTGTGAAGGCGACCCGATCAGAGGACACCTTTGATGACGGTGCCATGAAAGGTCAGCTTCTGCTGAGGCGACGCGCGACTTGTCCGTTGCTGCAGATTGTACCACTGATGTGCGTTGCGGGAAAAGACAGTGCGAGATGCTGAGCACCTCTGTCGTTCTGCGTGGAAGTAAGCCATGATCACACAATAGACCCCTGGCTTGCCTGCAATGCAAGTCTGGGCTTCCGCGACGCGCAGAGTCTGCGTGCAGCCAGTGCGCGTCCGAGCGCGGGGCGGGCGGGCCTAGGTCTGGCTGTCATTTGAATCGCCCGAATCACGCTGCAGGTCGTGTTCCACATAGCGTGAGCGGGCACTCAGACGTCGGTCTCGGGCAGCTCGAACGACCAGTCATCGTCTTCGTTGCGATGCCAAAGTCGCATCCATTCGAGTAAAAGTCGATAATGGTACGCGCGCTTGTCCTCTTCTCGCGCAAACGTATTGACCCATGCTTTGCCCTCGTCTGCGATCTTCTTGGCCAGGATGCTGTTCTGTCCATTGGCAGAGACGCCTTCGAAGAAGGTCATAATGTCTGGAATGTCAGAGTAGTCTGCGTGGACAGGCACGTAATGTAGCCATGGCATGATACGCTCAGACCACCATTCGTCAAAGACGGTTGACTTGAAGACGGCAGAATTGGTATTCATGGCGTCAAAGAAGAAACTAGAATAGCCGTTGCCATCAATATCGAGCAGATACTTGTATTCCAGATGCTCAGTCGGTGTCGGTTCGGGCACGAAACTGACGAGGGCTTCGAGCTCCTTGCACACCTCTGGTTGACATTGAATTGGTCGACCAGTAAGCGCAAAGTCTGTGAAATGCTTGACAACATGGTTGTAGGAAACGTCATGTCTGACTGTTGTCCCAGCCATCTTCTCTGCCCATATGCGACGCCTGACAGAAGCTGCCCTCGTCTGAAAATTACGGATGAGTCTGAAACGAGGTGAGCTCTGCCAGAGCTTCCGTGCTGTGTTGTCAAATGATGCGCCGGTGAGGGGTCCACGCCAATAGAGCTTCGCGTGTGCTTTTTGATCCCATTCTGGCTCGAATGAACCGTCGTCATACAGACCCGTAGATTTGATGGTGATGTCTCGTGACGGCATGAGAATGTCGGAACGCGTAGAAGTGTGCGCTCTGACAAACATAGGTAGAATCCGACGATGGATACCTGCACGATGCGCTTGATCGTGTCCCCAGTAGATCTCGGGAGTGTTACAAGCGTCCTTTGCCAGCTGGTGATCGTAGATGAAAGCCCTCGATTCTGGCAGGTCTGGAGATACTGTCAAGTTGTTGAACCACTGCTCGTTGAGTGCTAAAGCCAGAGCGGATCCACCGGGACATAGGTCGAGGAATGGCTGTTCGGTATGAGCTTGCACTGGCCTGAAGCCGTCCGCCTCCTCCTGAGTGATCTCTTCCCACTTGCGTGCCAGATGACGGAGATGCTCTTTGTGCTCATAGGATATGCCAGAGTAACCCGCTTCTGCTAGCCAGCAAACCATATCGAAGCCTTCAGGCAGCAGGCCTATGAGATGACGCATGTCCTCGAGCGCATCTTTGACCCGGTTCTGAGATTGCTCGTGGGCGTGGTAGTTTAGACGATCTTTGCTAGGCGCATGCGGATCGAGTGTAACGAGCATGGCGAGACTAGCATTCTCCTCGGCCAGCCGGACTGTACGTGAGCGCAGGATGGACGCCGGAATGGCGAAGTAAGGCTCGATACCGCGGAACAAGCCATCATATTCGTCCTTGAGCTGCACATTGTTTTCGACGGCATATTTCCACCATCTGTCAAAGCCTCTGGGAGGAGAGCGATCGTATCTCCTCATGTACTCTTCCACGGCCTGCGGCAAGTCCTGAGATTGCAAAACGTGCAGCTTGTCCCATCTTGCTTGTGCGGCGCTCATGAGCGCTCTGATAGGATGCACGCCCAAGTCGTGCGGTATTGCGCCGCTTCGGTCTGCCAGGATGAGCTCACCGGTGTGCGAAGAGATGCTATAGTTGTGCTGTGCCGTGCCGAGTCCAGCTTCGGCCGCCAATCTCTCTGCGCGTCCGAAGCGATCTGCTGGAAAGGCCAAGTCGGGCAAGGGCGAGCTTGGCTTCAGCTCTTGACCATCGTAGCCGACCTGTATGACCGAATGGGGAGGTATGACAGACCATGCAGGCACTCTGTTCGCTATCCACGACGGCGTGACAGAGCGGGTGATCGAGGTCTCCCAGTCGGCAAGATCGGCCGCCAAGCCGATTGCGACCAAGAACAGTATGATATAGCGTGAGAGCTTGGTGAGGCCCTTGAGTAGCGTCATGCTGCGTGCGTGCGTGCGTGCGTATTGCTTGACAGCCCAGAAGAGCCAATCTCCTCGGGGCGCCTCGGCCGATAATCGATTAATCGAAAACCTAAAAGTGGAAGGTAGGCGTAAAGTGAGAGCCAACGTCTCAGAGGCGAGAGGCCAGTCTTGCCTGCAGCCATGGTGCTGCCAGAGCCAATGTCGTCGCCACAGCTCAAGTACGAGGCCAGGTGAGCAGCGTGCCCCAATGACAACGCCCTTGGCTGATGGGGGGGTGGAAGCAGCAAGCGGTCCCGCGCTGGAAGCCAGCACTCGCCTCTGTCCTTCCTCACTCGTTCCGCGCTAGTGCCCGACCAGCCGCAATCGGCGCCTTTCATGTATGGTCGGGGCAGTACTGGCGGTCCAGCCATGTCCAGCCCTCGCGGGGTGAGCAGAAGGGCGCTCGGTCGACTCTTGCCGCTTTCAATTGCTGCGGTCGTCTTGATTGGCCTGCTCTGGCATTCGTCGAGTAGACAAGACACTGAAGCCAAGCCGACTACTTCAGCAGCATGGCAGATCGTTCTCGACCGGGAGAAAGCCGTCGCGTACCTCAAGCAATCGCTAGGGCTCAACGAGTCCTCCTCGGCGTCTGCCTTGCCGGGAGGGCCAGAGCACTACTACGATGCAGCAGGCCAGCTACGCTTCAGGCAGATCAAACCGGCCAAGCATCCCATCTCAATCTTGATTGACCGCGGGAGAAGAGACTGGGAGAACAAGCTCAACCGACAGAGCAAAACGCTCGACGAGGCAGTACGAGAGTACAAGCGTAGATATGGTCGCGCACCGCCGCGAGGGTTCGATAAGTGGTACAAATATGCGCGCGAGAAGGACCACATCCTTGTGGATGAGTATGATCACCTTTGGAACGACATCGAGCCCTTCCTCGCCCTTCGAGGGCCAACCGTCAAAGCGAGGACGGCCAAAGTCGCGACGGACCAGAATACCGTCACTGCTTCGTTTGACCCTCAAGCGCCAGCTGGCAAGGGTCTCTTCATCACGCCCAACCGAGAAACGCTGCGAGACCAAGCACCCCTTCAGCATGGTCGCGCTTATCAAGTCTTGCACCCTCTCGAAGAAATTATACCCGATCTGCCAGTCGCGTTCAATATGACCATATCCGAGCAGGATTCTGGCTTCTCCGTTTTGCCGTATGATCATGTACACCACCTGCGCAACCTCGCAAGGGGAGGCAAAAGTGCGCCGACCTCTCAACACTTTGTCGGGCTAGACTGACAGACCCGCAGAGACTGCCGTCGAAGACAAAGACGGCTGGATAGACAAGCGTCCCCGAGACGATTCCCACATTGTCCGTATGTGTCCCCCAGACTCACGCATGGCACTTCTCGACGCACCCGTACCGCCCGGCGTGGGTCAATACGACGTACCGCCCTTTCATTCGTACATCTATGATCACGCAGCAGCACAAGACACGTGTCACAATAGGGGTATCTATTGGTATCATAGCGCTGGCCGCATCACCCAGAATAGACAAGAGCTCCTTCCCATGTTCGTCTGGTCAAAGGCAAGATCTCATAACGATCTCACCATCCTCGCCGAAGATCAGTACCAGCCTCGCTATCCTGGTCGAGATCCCGAATGGGACGACAAGCCGTCTGCCAAGCTGGTCTGGCGAGGCTCTCTCACTGGATCTGCATTCGCTGTAGGCAACGAGAACAGCTACAAGGGCTCGCCAAGATTCCGGCTCAGCCATCTCGGCGAAGCACGCAGTGGCGGCAGGGAAGTCGACATCGAACTCGAATCCGGCGGGATTGACACAATCGTCGTCCCACTGCGCAACCTCACTGAGCGCTTCCTCGATCTCGCAGTCACAGGCCGGCCAATCCAATGCGACGAGTCTGTTTGCGAAGAGCTGAAAAAGCTCATCAACTTTGCTCCGAGGATGAACCACGAGGACCTCATGCAGCACAAGTATGTTCTCGATGTCGACGGAAATGGCTGGTCCGGCCGGTTCCACAAGCTCCTCAGCAGCAACAGTCTCGTCATGAAGAGCACAATGCACAAGGAATGGTGGCTCGATCGTCTCACCCCTTGGGTACACTATGTGCCTGTCAACGTTGACTACAGTGATATGTCAGTGCCTGCCTCTATCTCGGACGGGTCTAGCTGACGCTCGGACGCCAGCTACAATCTCATGGTGTACTTTGAGGGCATCGAGGGAAGCGTGCCTCATCGTGACCAGGCTCGCTCTATTGCATCAGAGGGCGCCGCTTTTGCGCGAGCGCACGTACGTCTTCTGTCAGGCTATCTAGTGTTGAGCCTGACGCATGATCGATAGTGGCGGCAGGAAGACATGGATGTGTGGATGTACCGCATGCTTCTGGAATGGTCACGGCTGTACAGCAGGTCTGACATTGATTCGTTCGACTATGTTGATTAAGTAATCTACTAGAGGCCCAATCGGGATTCTGTTGTTGTCATCTTGGGCGTGTGCATGCACTCTGTTTGAACAACACGAGGCGAGCAAGCTTGATGCAAGTCGCGCTAGAGTATGATCATGCTGCTGCTTTCTTGCGCTTGCCAATTTGGGCCTGGTAGCCCTTTCCGATCGCTGTGACAGACCGCCTGGAACCGCACCTACGCTACGTGTCAGCTCGTTCGCAGATCGTGTAAGACCAGGGGCGCACGATTGGCAAGCGACAAAGTAGAGACGATCGTGCTTCTCAAGCAATGTGTCAGGAGACTTGCATGTCTTGCACGAGACGTATTCGACTGTATTACCAAGGCATCAGCCCACAGTGGCCTTACCCTTTGCTGAGCACTGACCAATGTATCGGCGAAGGACATTCTCTATCTGCTTTTGCTGGAACCGACCCTTGATGACGAGCCGACCGCTACCATCGACAGAACCGTGTGTACCCAGTTCGGCAAAAAGGTACTGGATGACATGCTCCGGCTGTCTGTGCATCTTCTTGCAGATGTCGGCCACATTGGCAAAGATAGATCGCTTCGTGCCGTCTCTCTGGACATTGGGCGGGGCGAGCGTGTAGCGCTTCTTTCCTCCCGCGCTCGAGAGTGACGGATGAGATGCGTAGAGGTTCGTGTAGAATCTCCCGAGTAGCTCGAGATAGGTGTAGTCCCGTGTGGGATCAGAGAGCCATTCTTGCTTGTCGGCTGCTAGCTCAGCTTTGCTCTTTGCCGCTGCTGATCCGTCCAGTCCTCCTTCCTGTCCAAACGGATCTTCGCCCTCGGGTACGTCGTCATCATCTTCATCGTAATCTGCACCATCTGCCTCGTCGTCGCTGTTCTGCTTGCTAGCCGATTTCGTCGCCGTGCTTGGCTTTTGTAGCTTGGGCGCCTGACCTGACTCGGTAGCGGCGAGCTCCTTCTCGAAGGCATCCATGTCAAAGGCGTTCTTGCTCTTCTTTTTCTTCTTCTTGAGGTCCGAAAAGTCGTCGAGGTCCGTCGCTACACTGAGCGAAATGGCATTTGAGCCACTCGCACTTTCCTCGACAGTGTTACCGAGCGAGTCTCCCTTTGCAGCAGGCGCAGTCGTGCCATCCACATCGTCCAGGTCGATCGCTACAGCCTTCTTCTTCTTCTTTTTCTGCGCAGGGAGCTGTATGAGTATCGCTAGGGTTGAGCAAAGACGGTCCTGCGTACCTTGAGATCGCTGAAATCAAGGTCATCGCCATCCTTGAGAGTCAGGTCAGCATCCTTGTCAAGCGGCCTCACTGCATCCTCCTCTAGTTCTGGCTTCGCAGGCTCGACAGGCTCAACAACGGCAGGGGCAGGTTCAGGTTCAGGCGCAGGTTTGGCGACAGGCTGGGTAGGTTCATCCCCAAGGTCGAGATCGTCGGCAAGAACGACCTTCTTGGTCTTCTTGGACTTCTTCTTGAAGCCTGCAAAGTCGTCCATCCTGTCAATCTCCTTCTGTTCGGGATAGGCGGTGGGCAGACGAGTCACGCTCAAAATTGCCGCGCGTGCTTTGTCCAGCCTGCTTTGGTCTGGCCTTGTCTTGTCTCGTGCGCGCGCAGTCAAGTCCAGATCCGAGTGTCGAGGCGCAGAGGTGGACTCGCTCGACTCATTCGAGGCATCTCTGTAGATGGTGACGGCAGGCAACAAGACAGCACCCGCAGCTCAGATTGCCCAACAAACATCAGTCACACCGCCCTCCTACAGCGCACAGCCAGCTCAAGGCGAAGAGACGCTAGCACCTTTTGACCAAGCCATGTCGCAGATGACGTCTATCGTTCAGAATGTACGTCATGCTTGTCGGTGACCCAGCGATCGCGTCTCACAGTGCACACGACAGATACCACAATACCTACAGGATGTTCGGGTAGGTGCCACGCACAATCTGACCGCTTGAGCTGACTCTTACCATGCGCAAGAACTTTCAGCAAACCAGACTGTCCGCGCTCAAACCGATCAATGAGTTCTTTGACCATCAGAGACTCAGCCGGCCACGCGACCTCAACGAAGCCACAACGCGCATCTCTCATAACACCCGCTACTTCTCGGGCAACTATTCTATCGTCATCGCCGGCTTGGCCGTCTATGCCATCGTGACGAACCCGATGCTGTTGCTAGCCTTCTTCTTCCTCGTCGGCGGCTTTGCAGCAATCAATAAATTTGGTACGCCGACAGCTATCCATCGCGTCGACTGCTTATCTTTGAGCAGCACCCGAGCCTGACGAGGCCGGTCAACAAGTCGTTACCCAGAAGACTCTATATACGGGCCTGTTTGTCATTGGCATCCCGTCCGTGACCCTTGCATTTGCTTCGGTTTCGGCTGACTTCTTCTGCAGACTCTTATGGATCGCCCGACCCGTGAGCACAGTGTAGGCTTGCCAGCCGTTCTCACCTATTTGGCTGACGAAACTTTACAGATTCTGGATTGTTGGTGCATCTGCCGTCCTCATCCTCGGCCACGCCTCTGTACTCGAGCCCAGCGTAGAAAGCGAGTACAATTCGGTAGAGCAGGTGTAATAGTCGATAGAACTTTATTGCATGCCTTGTGGACACTCAGTCATACTCCGCTCAGCTGCCCGCGATCTTCCCATGACAGTGAGATGCATTACGGATCGTCACATAATCTACCAGTATCGTACGGCGAGCCCGCAAGACGAACATTTTTTTTTTCATCTGATGCGAATCTAGGCTTCGGACGCGTAGGCAGCTGCTGCCTGAGCAAAGGCGGTGTCGAGCGGCGTGACGGTGGCACCGATGACTTGGTTGACAATGCATGCTGCAAGGTTGTCGGTCGAGTTCTTGAGGTTGTTGATGTCTTGCTTGGCGAGCGAGCCGAGCTTGAAGCTGTCGAATTGCGACTTCTTGTTGATCAAAGATGTCAGGGCAGCCTTGGTGGGGGGCGTGATGTTGTTGGCAACCGTGTTGATGACGGTGACGCTGTTGGCGGGGGTGAAGCCAGTGGTGCTGTTGCACAGAGAGGTAGCGTTGTTGATCTAGCAAGCTGTCAGTCAGCGCTTCGATCGTCGGTGGGGACGAGGAAGGCTCACATCCTTGATGGTCTGGAGAGCCGCGGTGTGGATGGCGTATGCGGAGCTGTAGGTGAAGGTAGTGGCAGCCAACGAGGTGTTCAGCTTTTGTGCATCCGTCGTGACAACGTTGAGCTGGTTGATGAGCTGGGTAGGCGTCGTGGCCGAGACGGCGGCGGCGGCACCAGCAAGGAGAGCGACGGCAGTGAACTTCATCTTTGAGTGTCTGCTTGCGAGAGAATGATCAGAATGCGTCTTCATTTGCAAAGTAGCCACCAACTGACGAGTGAAGAGTCTTTGTCTTGAGCTTGGAAGTTTCGTAAAGGCGGGGTACTCGCAACAGGTCCGTGCGCTTCTTATGCAAAATGGAGATGCATTCCGGGGCAAAGATGAGACAGGACTGCTCGAGTCCGAGAAGGCCGCCCAAGCCAAGTCAAACATCGGATCAAGCCATCGAAAGCCCATAATCGGCCAGGGTCGTGCTTTGCTGCTTTCGAGGCTTTAGGGTCATGCGGATGATCTGCACCAGCTAGGTAATCGGGGTCTAGCTGAGCAGGCTGACCGGTCTTTGCAGGCTCTGACTCTCAATCTGGCCAGGCGCGACATCGGCCGCGGGTGGCGTCGGCATCTGAGGTGCAGCTGCTTCAGAAAATGAACTTTGTTTTGGCGCAAGCCGGTCATGTGCAAACGTGACTGGTGTTTGCGATCAGAAATGCGGAGTAGCTGATCTAGATGAACCCGCTTACAGAGTTCCTCGAGCTGACTGCCCGTGATGGGCGAATGGGAGAAGTAGCGAGCGGCGGCGCTCCAGAGCGGAGCCGAGTCTACGTTGCGCAAAGCTGCAATGTGCGTGCCTATGGGCAGCAGTAGCTCTCGGATCCGTGCAACTCTTGCTTCTCGATCAAAATTCGAAGCCGACCAGAGCTGCTGTAGCTGAGGTTTGATTGGCTTGAGAAGTGCCTCCTCGCCGCTCAAGACGACATCCTTGAGAAGCGCTCTCTTCTTTCTATGCGAACCTTTGGGATCTCTTTCCGGGTCCTTCGCTTTGCGCTTCTTCGTTGGCGTCTCCTTGACTTCGACAACGGGATCGCGCAGATGCTTGAGCAAAAAGTCGGCACGAAGCGAAATGGCGCTCTCGTTGGGCAGGAGGTTCTTTGCAATAGCGTTCCTCGGCTTTGGGCTAGCAGCGGGTGAGCTCTCCATCGCGACGACAGACTGGGCACGAGAGGGAGCCGAGCTAGCAATCCCTGGCGCTTGTGATAGAGCGGGACGCATTTCAAGCACAGGATCGTCAGGCGGCGGCGATAATTCGAGACGGTGGGCCAGCACTACAGTAGGAAGATAGAATCCGGGTTGGCTGACAGCATTGGCCTCGTCTATCTGACGCGCCCCCGCCTTGGCAAAGAAGAGTTTGTCCTTCAAATTGAGCTCTGGATCGTCTCGAATTGCATGCCATTCGCCAAAACCATGTCTGTTGACACCAATGAGCAATTGTCGATCGTCTTCTGGCGTCCAATCGCAGTCCCACTTGTAGGTCTGACGCACTGGCGGATCAGTGATGGTAAAGCCGGACGGACGCTCGAGCGAACGAATCCTTTGGTGAAGCCTGCCGAGATCCTCAACGCGTAGCAGACAGGCTTCAGCATTGACTTTGGTCATACCTGCAACCTGTGGGTGGACGATCTTTGCGCGAAAGACAGCAAGACCAGGCGATTTTGCTTCGAACATTGCGTCTATCTTGGCCATATGTGCCTTGACAGCCTTGCGACATTCCTCGAGGAATCCATCGATTGCGCTCGTAAGCACGATCGGATCCTGCAGCGTACAGTCTGCCTCTCGCGCGACTTTGTCGTAGCGTAATTCCAGAGGGCCCCATTTTTGAATGGCGCGAACGAGACTACGCAGTTGCTTGTCGCTGATACTATGTGGACGGACGAGAGCCTGCTTATGCTCTTCTGACAGAGGCTTCTCGCTAGCGGTTGAGCTCGGCGCGCTAAGCGCAGGACTCGTCGCTTTGTCGAACAAAGGCGTGCTTGGCGATCGAGATCTCTGTCTCAAGGCTGCCGTCCCGGAGGATGTCGACGGCTCGGCCGTCGCTGATAGTCGCTGCTGCAGCATCGAGCGTTTCGGTACTACAGCTGACTTGGCCATGATCTCATCAAGGAGATTCGTTGGCTCTGTCGCTGCAAGGTGATATGAGCTACGGCCGAAAACACGAGGTGTCCATCCACCTACATCTTTGCTTTCCTTGTGCCACTGCCGAGAGACTACTGGGCGAGCGTATCGTCCTGGAAGATGATGTGGCACTGCTCGAGGCGTTTGGCAGAGCTGAGTCGCTCCCTCGGCCAAAGATGCCATGATCAGATGGAAGCGTCAGTGCAGGGGGGTTCGTTGTAGCTGAAGCAGCTGCGGGCATCGTGCAAGCCGCAAGTGGGGCCCCCTGGCTGGACAGCAAGGTGTACCCAATGCCGGCAACATGCAAGCGAACACGTCGACACGTCGTTCAGCGCTTCAGCGACTGCCCCGGGCCTCATATCACACTGGCATCGCAGCATGACATCTCGTCAGCTTCCGCGACAAGCATCTCAGATATGACGGTAGATCCACGATGGACGCTGCCAGCGAGCACTGCCGAGGCTCTACACGCCTACGCTCAGCAATCGCTACCCAATACCGCGAGTACATCTGTCGACTTGGAAGCGATACTTGATGAGCTTCTCCCCGATGGTCCACCAGCTGCAGCTCGATCACTGAGTACCACTGATGCAATCAGACAGAGAGCGCCATCGGACAGAGTCAGGCACTGTCGCTCAAGCTGCAAGCGCGCATTCAAGCATACCGCCAAGAGATACTCGAACGCAAGGCCGCCTTGCAAGCTCAGCAGAGTCAAGGTGCAACCATAGCAGACATACAACAGCTCGTCGGGGTCCGTCTCATCCCCTGGCACGACTACGACGCGTCTGAGTCAAGCGCAGGAGCTTTTGACCGAGGTACATCATCTGCGAGCAGGCGCGACAGAATCCGAGGTCGTCGTGAGGGAGATCACGAGGGACATCAAGTCGCTCGATCTTGCAAAACGCAACGTTGTCACTACCATCAATACTGTTCAGCGCTTCCAGTCATTGAGTAGGTCGACGCATGACGCCTGTCTTGTGCTCTCGACTGAACCGCAAATCTGCAGAACAAGCCCAGCAGAAGCTCGAAGAATTGGCGCAGACGCAGAGATACAGGGAGATCTCGCAGACGCTACAGGCAAGCCCTCTGGCTGACGTGCGTTTCAGAGTCTGACTCGCGCGCAGGTCATTGCTGAATTGGCAGTGCATTTCAATGCGTACAAGGCGGTCACCATCGTGTCAGAGCTGCAACAAAACATCAGACAGCAGCAAAACATCGTTAGAGAACGTGCAGCAGCGGAACTTACGAAAGCGTATGGCAGATATCCCCATCCCTGGAGCTACGCTCAGTCGCGCACAGATTTACCCAAGAGAGCCGCACGCCCATAAGGAACAATACCATATTACCGGATGCTTGTCTGGCCACAGATGCATTGGGGCCAGACGCTCGTAAGACGCTCATCAATTGGTACTGCACTCACCAGCTCAAAGACTACCGTCGAATATTCAAGAGCAATGACGAAGCCGGTCAACTCGATAATCTCCCGAGGCGCTTTGCATGGTTCAGACGGATACTCCGGACCTATGAAGATGAGCATGCGAGCGTGTTTCCCACCAGCTGGACAGTCGGTAGATGCCTCACTGGCTGCTTTGGCGAGGTGACAAGGCAGGCTCACTTTGCTCTGAAGTGCTTCCCGCTCATTCGAACGCAGGGATGATTTGCGGCATGTCATTGAGAAGACGAATAGCGCCAAGCACCTCACAGTGACAGTACTGCTTGAGAGTCTCAATGCGACCAAAGACTTTGAGCGCGAGATGTGTCGACTCTTTTCGGTCGGACAATATAGCGAAGTTGCGTCCTCGTCCACCATGGCGCTCGGTTCCGCGCCAGAGCCCATCAGCGCGGTCTTTGTGCCGTTTCTTGATGTCTTTGTGAAAGCCCAAGATAAAACACTTGCAGAAATGTTCGGCGGCTTTCGTTCGACTTCTCGCGCCTCTTTCGGATCTGCAACACCGCACGATGCCAATGGTGATCCTGCAACCATACTGCCTTCTGCGACTGAACTTGTCTACTTTTACCGAGACACGCTCGAGCGATGCGCCAAACTCTCGAACCAAGGCCCCCTCCTCAGCCTTTGTCTGATTTATCGCAAATGGCTCAAGGTCTATGCGGATGAAATACTCGCCGGCTCCCTCTCCTCAAGACTGAGCACATCTCGAAGATCAGGCGATACGCGTACTTCTTCTTACGAGATACAGCACGCCTGTATCATACTCAACACCAGCGCGTACTGCTCAGAGACGGCATCGCAGCTTGAAGATCGTATGAAGACTTGCATCGATGCCGGGCTGAAGGAGAAAGTCACGTTTGAGGCGGAAAAGGATCTCTTCATCGGCGTCATATCTCAATCGCTCAATTACATCGTCCGAGAGCTCGATCATGCCATCGAGCCACCGCTTTCAATCATGGCCAAGGCACCTTGGTCAACCTCGGAGCTCGTCTCGTCGGAATCAGCGTATACCGGCTCGCTGAATAGGGCGATCAGCGAGACGATCGACGCCGCAAAGTCTCATATCGATAGCAAGAAGTACGTCAGAAGTCTGTGCGATCGAGCGATAGGAATCGTCTTGACCAAATTCATGCAAAACATCATCCGCTGTCGACCTATCACCCATGTCGGCGCTGAGCAGGTAAGCCAGTCTTCGATCCTGGTCCACTGCAGCCTAAGGGAGCATTGCAGCTTATGCTCGACTTGCAAAGCCTCAAGCGATGTCTGCTTCAGCTACCCCAATTGAGCGAGGAGCAACCGAATGCCTCATATGCTCGACTGGTCAACAAAGGTGTCGGCCGTATCGATATCATTCTCAAAGTCGTCATGGAGAAGGAACACCCGCCGGATGCGTTCGTTCAGAATTACCTCATTCTCATTCCCTGCATGTCCTTTTCGGACTTTCAGAAGATCCTCGACCTCAAGGTATGCAGACTATACAGAGATCTGCCTGCACACTGACTGCGCGGGCAGGGCGTGCGACGGACGGATCAGAATTCGCTCTTGGACGTGTTCCTCGCGCAGACGTCAAGCAAGACTGATCTCAGCGACTCGTCTTTCTTATCGTACGCGTGTGCATGCACGCTCGGCATACAGCACTGACAGTCATGCAGATCGCTTGATATGGATCCAGAAGCTTCGCCGGGACCCGCATCTGCGGGGATCTTTGGAGGATTGGGGATCACGACTTCCTACAGCTTGAGCAATTCGCCGCTTTTGTCGAACCCAGGCAAGTCGGTGCCTAGCACGACGGGCGGCTTACGAGCTGGTCTCGGGTTCAGTAGCCTGTTCGGATGATGTACTACATGCATGGCAACAGAAACAGTGGTCATGAATCTGGACGACAGGATCTCTTTAGCGCTCGGCATTGTTGAGTAGCCTGAGGATCGACAGGAACAGATTGAGAACGTCGAGGTAGAGACTGACGACGGCGATGATGTACTCGTCTGGGGAGAGTCTGTTCATGATCATGTGCGTGTCGTAGAGGATGTAGGCGCTCTGTCGGAAGAGGTCAGCTTGATCTCGCTACGGCAGAAGGCAGGAGGACGCACAAAGAGCAGTGTTCCCACTCCGGCAAAGACGGCATCCATGACGCGTGAGAATGGGAAGAAGACACCGACGATGCCGGTGAAGAAGAAGACGAGGAGGATGCCATAGAGGTAGGAGCCCCAGTGTGAGAAGTCGTACTTGCTCTGCATGGTGAAGAGAGTCAAGCCGACGAAGACAAAGCAGGTGATGACGAGTGCTTGAAGGACAATCTTTTGATCGAACATCGCCACTGTCGCGCCTACGCCAATACTCTCCAACAGGGTGAACGTGCTCAGTAGGATGATGTTGGCCGGTGAAGAGTGACGCTTGGCGAAGAGCACGAAGAGGTTGATGATTGCCAGGATGAGCGGCACGAAGACGATGGCGGTATGCGCTTGGGTCCATGTGGTGACGCTGGGAGTGCTCATGATGACGCCGACGAGGGTGGTACCCAAGATCTGGAGGAAGAGCATGGTGTAGACCTTGCGGATGAACGCCTGACGGATCTCAGGACTGCTGTCCGAGACGGTCGTCTCCTTCCAAGAGTCATCTTGCTGGCCTTCTAGATCGCCCGAGGCATCGTCGCCCCATGAACCGAGTCCTCGGCTGGACTGCTGGGCGAGCAAGGGTTCCTGGCTGCCGGTGGTGCCGTACTGCTTCGTCGGCTTCGATGGCTCGTCTGCATAGCTCGGTGGCGGCACGGTATAACCCCCTGACATCTTCGAGCTTGACTCTGCGGCGGCGTCGTTGACAGTGCGCGTCAGCAGATTGGCCAAGGGTGCGTCCAGTAAGTGTCGTACGAGCTTGTTGGGTCAGCACTCGCAAGTCTGGAGCGGCCGACTAGCTCACAAGACAGGTCTTTGCACAGCCAAAAGCTCACAGAGACACGACTTGGAAGCTTATGAGCGGTGGGCCAGGCAAGTTTGCGAGTGATCACCGGATCACAGCCGAGCTAACGGCTGTGGCGAGTCGCGCAGAGAATTTGAAGGCCTATGATCCTTTCGCAGACGTAGGCGACGAGGATACAGATGTTGGCATAGGTTCAGGAGTGACCAAGCAAGAGTTTGAAGGCAAGAAAGGCTCGGGCATCGTTCACGTGCGAGTGCAACAGCGAAACGGTCGAAAGACTCTGACGACCATCCAAGGTATCGACGAGAAGAAGTTCAGCCTGAAGAACATCCTCAAGCACTTCAAGAAGGAGTACTCCTGCAACGGAACGCTTATCGAAGACGACGATCTAGGTCGCGTCATTCAGCTCCAGGGCGACCACCGCGCCAAAGTCGCACCTTTCTTACTCGAGCTTGGCATCTGTGAGTTGAGCTGCAAGTGCATGCTGCTCAGATGCTCATCGTGTCCATCTGTCCCAGCCAAGGAGTCCATCAAGCTACACGGCGCCTGAGTGTGAGAGCCATCGCGGCCCTAGCATGCGACTACCCTGACGCGTCTTACGCCTTTGGTCAACCCACGCCCGCGCCCATCTCGTCTACTTTACAATTTCCAGCAACGCCAAAGCAAGAATGACATTTCATCGTTCCTTGCGTCCGGTCAAGCAGCACTTTCGCCTGTCAGTCTCGCCTGCAAGAGTCGAAGATCGATCGCCCCTGGCAAGGTTACTTTGTCCCGAAGAAGCCATGCCTGGATAGTCATTGATCATCTCTGATCTCTTTTGTGTCGCACTGTACTGCTTTTCATGACCTCTGGCCCTCCGCTCTCCTGCACCGTGCTCTCTTGCCCATAGGTTCGCTCCACTTCGCTGATATTCGGCCTCTCGGCATTCTCGGCGTTAGGCGCGTCATCGCATCGGCTCGTGCTGCTCGAGCACTGAATTAAATCCAACCTATCCTGTTCATTCTCTCATGGACGTGCATCTTGTCGTTCTCTGTCACGGTCTCTGGGGCACACCAGGTATGTTCGTCGGCGCTTGAGGTGCAGACTCCACTGAACCTCCCCGTGCAGACAATGTGATTGCTTTGGAGCACGCCATCATCGCCAAAGCAGAACAGACTGGTGCTCGTGTCGTCGTCTCTCGACCGAAAGGCAACGAAAGTACTCTCACGTATGACGGCATCGACCATTGCGCTGAGCGAGTCTGCGATGTCATCGACGCCGAAATTGCAGACATCGAGAGCAAGGGCGATCATGTTGCCAGATTCTCCATGGCAGGCAAGCACTCATTGGTCTGACATGCACGTGCGCTCATGCATCAGTGTAGGCTACTCGCTCGGTGGTCTAGTCGCTCGCTTTGCGCTCGGCATCTTGCATTCACGAACACCTTCATTCTTCAGTACGATCAAGCCAGTCAACTTTGCTCTCTTTGCGTCCCCTTCAATAGGGATACCCATCTACTCTGGGACAGTATGGCCAGTTATCTCCTCCTTCTTTGGCTCCCGGATCCTGTCACGCTCGGGCGCTCAGCTGTATGGCAAGGACCGCTTCTTCCAAGGTCGTCCATTGCTAGACGTGCTCGCTCAGCCCGGCTCATCCTTCTACGAAGCACTCAAGAGCTTCGAACGTGTCGAGGTCTATGCTAATGGCATACACGACCGCACGGTGCCCTTTCATACTGCCGCCATCTCTGAACATGACCCATTCGCTGCAGCGAGGATGAAGGCCATGCGCGCACTCAAAGCTCATGCCGTCGATCTCGAGCAAGACGAAGATCCTGATCTCGCTTACGGTGGTCTCAGGATGTGCGACGAGCCTCTTCACCGAGTACGGCGTGCGCTGACCTTGATCTTGATTCAGATCGATCGATCAAGAGTATCCGCCCATCATCAAGTCTTACGAAGCCTGCGAGCCCAAGAAGTTGCCACAAGGCGACGTGCAGCCAGCACCATCATTCGCGCGTCGATTAGGGCGGCGGTTACCGAAATGGCCAGCCATTCTCAGACCAAGCCGATATCCATTCAGGAAGCCCGTAAATTACATTGTCGTCTTCTGTTTTCCCGTTTTCGTCACACTCGCCGTCACCGTCTTTCTCACATCGAGTATCATTCAGACGTTCCGATCGCGTAGGAGGATACAAGGGTTGCGGAAAGGCGAGCTGGCCAGCAGAGAGGGCCGCATGCGACGCGTTGGCTTGCTAGAGAAGGCTGGCGATAACATCAGAACGGCCCTCTCTGACATTGTCGAGAATGCCGGCGTGCGAGACTCTGTGGGAACAAACACGCCTACAAAGGGCGAGACACAGACCAGCGGCAAGTACGCTTTACTTGATGCGCAGGCAGAATCAGCCGACGATCTCTCGGTCGACAATGTCGATGCTACCATCGATCCCACTTTTACAGATGCACAGCGTCGCATGATCAAACATCTCAATGCTATTCCTCAACTAAAAAAGCACGTTTGCTACTTCGATATGAGTTACCTCACCCGACCGCATTCGCACGGCATCATCGTCGCACGAGACGGCAAATTGAACGCAAAGGGATTACTGGTCGTGCGACACTGGGCAGAGCATTTTGTATACTAATGATACGCATAGACAAGCATGCATGGTATACAGCGAACAGCGAAGGTCGAGATCAGCAGTCTATGCCTCACTATGGCGTTTCTTCTTCTTCTTCTTTTCGCCATTGACTTCTGCCCCGACTAATTGACTTCCCCCCGTCGTCTCAGCTTCTTCTGCCTTGCGCTTCTTCGAGCTCGTGCTCGGGTCTGGAACCGCGGCGGCAGGCAGTGCGTCTGTATTGGCTGCCGCTGCCGCTGCTTTTGCAGCCTTCTTCAGTCGCTTGGCTTCCTTCCGCGCCGCCTTATCGGTTGTTTCGTCAGCAAGATCGGCAGAATGTGACGCATCGCCGTTGATGCCGTTGGTGAGGGTTGCAGTAGATGTCCCGGCCTTGGCTGCCTTTGCAGCTCGCTTTTCCTCTTTCCGCCTCTTCTTTGCTGCCTTCTCATCCTCGTCGCCCGTCATGGACACTTCTGGCGAGACTGGCTGACGTTGTGTCGGTATCAAGCTGTCGGCAGCAGAATTGTAAGTTGCGCCTGTACCTCTCATCTCGAAAGGCGCCTGGTTGCCTCGATCACTTCTGTCCGCTCGCCTGACGCTCTGGATACCCATGCCTTCTTGCAAAAATCGCAATCGAGACTCGAGTTTCGCACGCGCTGCAAGACCAATCGATGGTGCTTCCTCGCCTGATCGCGTATCTGCGTCTGCTAGTGCATCGAGTCGAATCGAAAGCGCAGCCTTAGTAGCAACCATACGGGCCATCTTGCCCTTTAGCTTTTGCGGCGCTTGACCGACCAGGCTCGCATGGAAGATGAGCCCATATTTGGGTGTGTCGTGCTTGGTCTTCATCGCCCTGAACAATGCTTTTTCTGCTCCGAGGATCTGGACAGTACTCGCCGGTTGCTTCGCAAGATTGAGCAGTGTGCCGGCGTGGGCGATCAACCTGGCGCCGACTAGCTCACCGAGCAATGCAGTCAGATTGGGCGCAATGGCGGCCATACGGTTTTGCAGGTACGAGTAAAGTTCGGCGCGATAGGTCGTGATGGAGATGACTTGATCAGTCAGCAGATGGATATGTGCAAGATCAGAATCCGAGATTTCTGTGCCCATCGAAATGACAGCAGCAGCTTTGAGGGTCTCTTCCTCCTGCTCTGGCAAGATAGTCGAAAAGTCTGTCGAGGCTGCATTGGTGCGGAGTCCCATGGCTTTGACGACTTTGGCATAGGCGAGATTGTCCGAGATGATCTTGGCCATCTCTGGGAAGTGCCATCCGTACCATTCCTGGTCACCAGCCGTCAGACACAGCGCACAGCTTGCACGGGCTAGGCTTACCTTGACGCGCATAGAGTAAATGTTGATCTCCTTATCGAGGTCGTCGAGCAGAGCGATGGCTTGCACTATCATCGTATCCACCTTGTCCGGCGAAAACTTGAGCTTGTATCTGCAGGTCTCTGTGAGCAATCGGCTTGTGACGGCGATAGCGAGACGTACCTCGACAGTGAATGCGAAAGGCCGAGCGCCATCGTGTTCAGGTCGCTCTCCTCGACCTGATACTCGCCCAGGAGTGCGGCAATCTGAGTTCGCATGCCTCGGTAAAGATCTTGCGTCTGCAGCTTCGTCGACTCAGAGATGACTTGGATCTCCAACTTTTTCGAGATTGCGCCGCCTGTCAGGATTGCAGAATATTGAGCATGAAATGCGAGTCTCAGAGTTGCGCACACCCACCTAGCTTGGGATCGCTGACGAGAAGGGTCTCTTTGGCAGTCGCAGAGCCTTTCTTGCCGACATGCTTGTCTTGTACCTCCTCTACAAGAAATTTCTTGAGTGACTTTGACAGCTTGCCGGCTGAGATGGCGGTGATGTCTTCGACGGCATCTGCAGTAGATGAAAATCGATGGATCGATTGTAGCTTCAGCCTGTCAAATTTGGGGATCCCATGAGCCTCAGCGGCAAGAGATGTGCAAGACGACAACGGACAAGTTGTTGGCTCCTTCTGGCGTTTCAAATTCCTTCCAGAGATTCTTGTCTTCGAGCTTGCCATTGTCGGCGAGCCTGAACAGACAGAAGCCGAGCGAGGTCTCGTATAGAACCAGCATACCCTACCAATTTGCAGCCTAAGAGAAGAATTCGGAGAGGCACCTCGGCACGTGAGTGTACCCATCAGATGAAAAAAATCAAATCGCGACGCGACGACACTGTTTACACGCGCGAGAGTCAAGGCCAAAGCAGTGCTCTAGGCTGAATAGACACCCGGCATCTCTTGTCCGAAGAGCATCGCATCAGAGCGGCTCGATAACGGCGTCGGCCAGCAGAGACTGCACTGGATTGCGACTCCGAACAAGGTTTGTCAGGCGTATCGACTTTCGAGATCGCATATAGTCCGTCCGACAGAGCTGATACTCGTCTTGTCCTTGCACACAGCACCCGCTCGATACCGAGTGCCTGTGTGCTTGCGTCTGCCGAGGTTCTACCCAAGTATGCAACGCCGCTCGGGTGCATGTACGACGGCAAGATGACCTTACCAGGTGTAACCTCTGAACTGCCAGATCCGATGCTCGAATCGCTCGACAGCAATCTGCCATTCGAGCAGCACGATACTCTACGAGCAGCAGCAAGCACCGCCAGGGACGGCATGTCCGGAGAACCAAAGTTCCATCTGTTCACGCCTTCAGCTTCGTCCAGACGGGATCTTGCAGTGTCGACTTCTGGCTTCCATCTACAAATCCATGGGAAACACCTCGGCGCAGACCTGTCGCCTACATCTGCAGAAGAGCAGATCTCCTCGGATGACTCGCCCAGTCGCGTCTTGAGCACTGTCAGAGGCTTTCCCGCCGCTGTCGCCTGGCCGACCGCCACGCTCACCGGTAGCGCGACTGTACCTGCTCGCCAAACTCAGCCAGGCCAGAAGAACTTTGATCTGTCTAACTGGCAGGATGATCTCGAGGCAATCAGAGGAACTTCATCCGTGCCACGTCATCTTGCCACTCTTCGTCAGTTCAGTCAGCCAGAGACAGAGATCCGGTCGGGCCGGGCGATTGGACTTCCTGAGGAGCTCGATGTTGAGATTGGAGCTTCTGGTACTTCCCCGCTCGAATGGCATCACCGGCAACAGGTTCTCACTCGTCGAGATCAGGTCATTGCTGATGCCTGCCATGCGGACCCTGCCCCACCAGAAGAGGAGGAAACTCGAGCTACTCGAAGACGCTCACTGAGCCGTACGAGCTCTCGAACAGACTATCTTCCACGTGCAGGGACGAGTCGCGCGCTTTCGGAGCTTGCAGAGTCAACCGAACCTTGCCATCGATCTCCGAGATCACTGTCCGGCGTCAAGAAGTCGAGCTCCGCGCCGGGCGTCGCGACCGTTGCGCTCACTGGTTCAGCACGATATCAGACAAGAACGCATCGCAAGCGGACCTCTTCAAGCTGCGCTTCGCTCGCTTCCTCGCTATCTTCAACCTCTTTACACAATGCGCACAACGTGCTCAGCTCGAACAGCATAGGCAGTCTACAGATGACCACACGATCTCGCTCGGGCTCTGCCTCTGCATCAGGCAAGCGACCAGCCCCACTGAACCTGCATAGCAGCTCAAGATCATCGAAATCGTTTCCCGACTTTGCCGACTTGCCTGTTGCTTCTACTTCGCAAGCTTCACTCATGCGACATCAGAATGAGAGTTCGGCGACCACCAGTCAGAGCTCTTCCATGAACTCCTTGAAACATTCCCAGTCTAGCGCGCGAATGTCGTCCTCATCTTCGACATCTGCAACAAGTGACGAGTTCCTGGGCACGCCGACTTTGTCGAACAAAGGCACAGATTGCACCGGCAGGACAAGTGACGACCTCCTTCGCGATGATGATGCCTTCTGTGGGTTCGACGAGGACCTCGAGCCAATGCCGGGCGCTCGAAGATCCAGTCAAGTGGCTTTCCAGGATGACGATGGTGATGATGAAGCTTTGCCGCGCGCAACAAAGCTAGCTACGGCTATTGGGTTCTTCAAGAATCAGCAGACGACAACCGAGAAGCATGCGCGAGTCAAGCTGCCTCGTATCGCGTCGCCTTTCGGACCCAGCAGCTGGCTCAATAATCCGAGCTTCGGTCGCTCATCATCGTACGGCCCACCACCTCCGCCAGATGAGGCAGCTGCCGCTGCGGCTTATGCAGAGCAGGAAAACGTCACGCCTAGTTCACATACGAGTAGTCAGGCGTCGATACTGACGGCAGACAGTATGACGCCTACCAAAGTATCTCCTGCTCGTGGCGACGAGATGCAAGATATTTCCTTTGGCGAATCGCAATCGAGCGACGAGTCTGTACTTGCACAGCGTAGTGCGCACGCTGACCACCAGTCTCATATCGATGCGAGCGCTGCTGCTCGAGCGTTCGAGTACTTTGACGGTGGCGCGTATGCCTCTCCTCGACAACGCACCAAGACATGGACGTCGACGATGTCAGCTCACAAGCCTGATTACAGTCTTGCTGCCCCGTCGAGTCCGATCTCGAATAAGATAGAACGCGACAGTCCCTCGCCGAGCTCAGTCTTTGCCGCGCCCCAGACTCGGCAGAAAGGCAAATCGATCTCGCACGCTAGCACCACAGCGCGACCTTGGCTTGAGCAGGCCGCACCTCCCTCTCCTGCCCCGTCGAAAAGCGTGATGCGCGCCTTGTCACCAGCTGCTCTCAATCGTGGTCCAGAAGCAGCACACGCGGCAGCAGCAAACGTGCACAAGGTCATCTCCGTCGACAATCTGGCACTCAACAACACTCATCGCTCTTCGCCTTTCTCGCGCCCCGGCACAACCACGACGCCGGGCGGCACATCACACATGGTTCATCCGAGCGTGCATCCTCTGCGCAACACGCAAAACATTGCAAGCCCAATTAATGTCCGCAAGCGCAACGCTAACGGCCATGTCGTCATGTCGTCTGGGACATCGATACTCACCCGCGGTGGTAGTCGGCTAGCGTTCCATTCGCCGATGGTGGCAGCCGAGTCCTCTCCGCTGTCGAGAAATGTCGAAGACACTGCAATGTCGGAAGGGCGCAGTCTGCAGACTCCGAGTCGTCCAGTCTCCACGCCGATGCGCAAGGCGTTGACGGCTTCGGGCTCGTCATCATCGCCAAGCAGACATGGCTCCATCAGTCCGCACGCGCCTTCACTCTCGCCATCGCAGCATGCTCAATATGATGCTGCTCTGTCAACACGCTCGAGCGCTCGACATCCAGTCATTGCGCAGCTGTCACGATCGAATGGTCCTGGTGCGTTCAGTACTCCGCCAGCATACAAGACCGTCAAACCACTTCAAGCCGCGTTTCTCTCAACAGGTCTCATATCCAAGCGCAGCCGTCCCAGAGTGGCCTCAAATGTCAGTCTTGCGCCGCCCTTCGGCCTGCTTGTCGCCGGCGCAGATGTCGCACTCAACGACGACGAGTCGTTCGAGTCAGGTGATATGTCCTATCTGGCTAGCGCGCATCCTGGCGTCCTTCAGCGCGGGCCGGTCATGCCAGACACGCCTGCTAAGAAAGTGCCATTCACTGCCGAGCCTACGGTCGAAGCTTGTCCTGCAAGTGATTGCAGCGCAAGCTCGTCTGTGCCCGAAGACCGCATGCTGCTGAGCGCCTACGAATTTCCAAATCGGCCTGGCTCGCGTCCCCATCAAACACGGGCGAGCAGTCCGCTAGGCAGCACGGCCTCGTCCGAGTCTGGCAGTAGCTTCATGAACAGCGATGCGGCATCGAAAAGTCCAAGCGTCAGGCATGCGGCACGGGCAGCACGACCACCAATGTTTCGTCGTCGCAGTTCAGGTCAAATCTCGATTGGCCCAGATGGGAGCTTCACTGGACTCGATAGAAGCGGTGGTAGCCAGCGTTCCTTGATGCATCTGCGCGACAAGGATCCAATGACGCCCACTCGCGCTCATGCGCACGCTCAAGCGAATCACTGTGAGTACTTGCGCATTCGAAGGTACCCGCGCTAATTTCAGGACCGCAGCGCTCATGGCAGAAGCAACGCGGGCTGGTCCGGTAACGCCCATGCTCTCGGAATTTCCGGCTTGGTCGCTCACGGGCAACAACGAGCCGCCAGCCCCCTCGCCAGCTCTGCATGCCAAGCCACCAGCGCCAGTGCGCAGACCGGCCTACATCACGCGACATACTAGCTCAGTGCTGATAAGTCGCCGTCAGCAAGAATTGCAATCTCCCTCTCGCTTCGAAACATGCTTTGTCATTCAGCGCTCGATCGGATGCGGCGAATTCAGCGAAGCATTCGAAGTACAGGACCGATCGACAGGTCAAGTATCTGCAGTCAAGAGGACAAAGCATGCCTTTGGTGGGCCAAAGGATCGGTGCGTGATCCTGTCAGATTGATCGCATTGTCAGCGCTGACTGACGAGTGCAGATTGCGTAGGCTGGAAGAAGTTGACATTCTGCGCCATTTGTCGAACGAGTCGGACCCTTCTCGTCACGTCATCAATCTCATCGATGCATGGGAACAGTCTGGTCATCTCTATATTCAAACCGAACTCTGTCAGTATGGCAATCTAGCCTTCTTCCTCGAAGAGTACGGCAGACTGCACGAAGTTCTCGACGAGGGCCGAGTATGGAAGATCTTGACTGAGATTGCGCAAGGTTTGGCGCAAGTAAATGCTGCCGGTGTACTTCATCTCGATCTCAAACCAGCCAATGTCTTTGTGACCGATAGCGGCACGCTCAAGATTGGCGATTTCGGGCTGGCAACACGTTGGCCTCGGACTACTCCATATTCGATCATTCGCGGCGCCGCAGTCGCCTCGCCCGGATGGGATGCGGACAGCGTATCTTTCTCTGCCGGCATCGAAGCAGACGCGATGAGGACTCGATCGCAGACGACGTCAACGACGGTGCTACAAGACTTCGAACGCGAAGGCGATCGAGAATACATCGCGCCTGAGGTCATGTCGGGCGAATATGGCTTTGCAGCGGATGTTTTTAGTCTCGGTCTCATCGTGCTAGAGGCAGCCGTCAATGTAGTCATGCCAGAAAATGGTCCAACTTGGCACAAGCTCCGCTCAGACGATCTTTCAGATGTCGACTTTAGTAAGACTAGCAGCGAGCTCTCCAGTCTGCTGCGCAGCCTCCTCGCATCGAAGCCGTGTGTTCGCATCAGTTGCGAAGCCATACTCTCGCATCCAGGGGTAGCGCGAGCAAGAGCTTATGTTGGCCCCGAAGGTCGCGCAGCTCAAGGCGCGATTTTGCCCGAAGATGAAAATTTCCTGGCAGCCATCCTAGCACGCAATCACGACAATGACGATGACATGGATCTGGATCTGTAGCACATATAATAGGCAAAGGGCTGTTGTTTCGCGGAAGTAGAGATTGCAATGAGTGATACAGGGATGCCTTTTGCGGCATATCGCAGTACCTCTCTTGATCAGAGTTTGCAGTCTCGTCTGTCTGTATCTGGGTCATGATAGACCTCCGCAGATCAGGCAAGGAGCATCTGATTCGGGCAGACTGCGACGCCAGCGGTGAAAACGCCGGTCAGGTAGAGCTTGTCCTTGTGCGCATTGGCGTTCGTGACACCTGTCAGTACCCCGCCGTCGTCTCCATAGATCTGGGAGATCTCATACTTTGCACCGTAAAAGCGACCGTCGCCGGTCGAATTACGAATGCGCCAGACCTCGACTGGCGCTTTCATGCTTAGGTCATCAATCTTGGCATATGCTGCTGACCATTTCAGAGCAATGAGGTTGGCAGTGATGATCGAGCCATCGGCCAGAACATGCAGATTGTCAATTGGTAGACCGTTGGGCGGAATCGCAATCTCATCGAGCAAGACGAGACTCTTGTCCTGCTGTATCTCGAGTACTCGTACAACGCCTTTCAATGTCGAACCAGAGTACAGAATGTTGCCCGGTCCTCGAGCGATTCCGTTGGGATAGATGAACCAGCCAGCGTCAAAGCATTGTGGCTCTATGCCCGAGGCGTCGCAGTGCACGATTGAGCTCGCCGCCGGGTCAACGAACCTAGCCAGACCGGAGGATCAGCACCATTTTAGTCCAGTGGACTGGGCGCACCATTGTGCCATGCCTCTTCGCCAGTGTGTCTTGTCAAAGTGATCGTTGGAGACATAGAATGAGCTGGGTCCGGTAGCCACGAGATTATTGGGAGTCAGAATCGTTGGATGAGCCACTGTCTTGACATGGTGGAGCTTGCCGGAGCCCAGGGTGGTTTCGAAGATCTCGACGGAGCTATCAGCGCCTACGAACGGGGCGGATGTTGCATTGAACGGTGGCCGGTGGTTATTGACAAAGACCCACATCTTGTCGCCTTTTTCGGCCACCTTGTCGTCATTCTCGAACCAGACGTCAAGCGCGTGCAGGTTCAGTCCGCGCGGTAAAGGCTTGTCCAGCGTGAGCTTAGTCACTTGCTCGGTGTTCAAGTCTAGCAGGGCAATGTAATCCTGCCCTGCTGTCTTGGCTAGCGAGAGTGCATCGAGTTTGAGGACAGCAGGAATCCAGTGCTTTCGTCTGCTGCGCGCCGAGCAAGGCAGGTATGACAGGCCGGTCTCTCGATGGATCCATTGGTCCTCGCATGCTTCCAATTCCCGGATGACACGGCAGCCTTGGTTGTTCATTTCGATGACAGAGCGTGTCAGACCAAGTCTGTCGATACGCGGCCCGAGGTATGCTGGCCATGATACGCCGATGACTGCTACCAGCCCGAAGCCGGTGACCGCAAGCGAGCCCAAGAAGCCCACCATGTTGTTAGGCTTTGATAGAGGCCCTCGCAAAGCTTACCTGTGCGCGTGCGCATGCGCAACTTTGTGCGTCATCCGCGATCATTCGAGCCGATCATCTCTATTCGACTCGTAACACGTGGCAAGTGCGGGGTATCGCTAGCTCCACGCTTTTTTCTGGACGCAGATCTATCGGAAAGATCGCCTCATTCCTCTCATCTTCAGGCACATCGACTACCCAGAAAGATCAGGCGATTCACAAGGAAAGAGTTCCTCAAATTTATCTCTCGGAAGCACGCCATTCGACGGTACAACAGCGAGAAGAGCCAGCATGACAGCGGTCGAAAAGATACAGACGCCTGACCTGGCTTACACGCCAAAAGGCGAGATCAAGGGCATTGTGGAGGGCCTCCGCGCTACATTCATGACCCATAAGACTCGCGATGTGACCTTTCGTATCGCACAATTGAAGCTACTCGGCGCAATGATCACCGGTGCGTCAATGGCTCTCTCACCGGCCGAACGGAGAGATTCTGATGCATCAGCGTAGAGCACGAGAAGGAATGGACGGAAGCAATTCACCATGATCTCGGTCGGCCTGCTTCAGAGATTTACCTGACAGAAATTATGCATGTTAAGAACGAAGTAGCAACCGCATGCAAGAACGTCAAGAAGTGGGCAAAGCCATCCTCCGTCAGCACAACGATAGGTTGGGTAGGAGTAAGGCCCAAAATTATCCACGATCCGCTCGGTGTGATCCTCTGCCTGAGTCCCTGGAACTATCCATTGACGCTCAGCATCGGGCCCATCATTGGCGCCATTGCCGCTGGCAACACCGCCGTCTTAAAGCCAAGTGAGCATGCCATGGCGACTGCTGCTCTCTTTACTCGCTTGTTCCCACAATATCTCGACCAATCGTGCTACCGCATCATCAATGGCGCCGTTGACGAAACTACGGAGCTCTTGGATCAAAAATGGGATCACATCTTCTACACAGGCTCAGGCATGGTCGGCAGAATCGTAGCTACGGCTGCTGCAAAGCACCTGACACCCTGTGTGCTTGAGCTCGGTGGCAAATCGCCGGTGTTGGTCTTCGATGATGCCAATGTCAAGGTGGCAGCCACTCGCATCATCTGGTCCAAGTTCGTAAACGCTGGTCAGACTTGCATCGCTAGCGACTATGTCCTTTGCTCAGAGGCGATGCTGCCAAAGCTCATCGAGGCCTTCCGCGCGTCACTCAAGGTCTTCACCAAAGGCCAAGATCCGCTGCTTCCCACGACGGAGTACAGCAAGATTGTCAACGAGCGTCAATTCGGCCGTTTGACCAAGATGCTCGAGCACACAAAGGGCAACATTGCCATCGGAGGCCGTTCATCTGCCGAGACACAGAAGATCGAAGTGACCGTCTTGACCGGCGTCGACGTGGCTCGGGACGAGTCGATGGCTTCCGAGATCTTTGGGCCACTGCTGCCCGTCGTAACCTTTGAAAATCCAGCTGAAGCTATCGATATTATCAACAAGGGTGATCAGCCGCTCGCAATGTATGTCTTTGGCGGCGCAGCTAATTTTGACATGGTCAAGTCAAGAACGCGTTCGGGCTCTATCGTGCACAACGACACTTTGGTCCAATTCCTGGTGCCAGGCTTGCCGTTCAATGTACGTCACCATGCAGGTGGCTGTCTGACTAAGCTCATGAAGATCATTTCCGTAGGGTGTGGGTCCCTCCGGTACTGGCGCATACCATGGCAAATTCTCCTTTGACTGCTTCTCTCATCAGCGCAGCACCTTGAGCACCCCCAACATGTTCGAGCCGATCATGGCACTTCGATATCCGCCTTATTCAGCCAAGAAGCTCAAGTGGCTCAACATCGGTCTCGGCGAGAAGCCACCATCAGCGAGTGGAGTCCGCAAGACTGGAACGAGCAGTACAGGCATCGGCTCTGTGGGACCAGCCGGTCAGATGCGCAGCAATGGCAACGGCAACGGCGCTGTCAATGGCAAGGGCTCTTCATATTGAGAAGCGCCCAGCATGTAACCAGTTCAGTTGATCAGCTTAATTTATTCTGTCCGCATTGGCACCTCGCCTCGCCTTGTTTTGTATGCACACAGTTTGCATTAAGAGACACAAGACCTGATCTGTCCGTCTCGTCAAGGCCAAGGATGCTCGGGATCGTATGCCTGGATGGGCACCGCGTACGAGCCATCAGCATTGTTGCTGCAGGACATCGAGCACGACGAAGCCCTGGCCAATGGGCATTAGCGTGATTGCGTTACAATGAGACAGCAGCACACGGGTAAGTTGTTCCGCGATAGATGTTATACGTGCTGCCGTCCAGACCGAAGTCGACCGTGACATGAGATGTACTGAGTCGATACCAGATTGAGACGATGACATTGAGATTGGGCGAGTGTACTGCCAGCCAGTCAACCCCTTCAAGTAGCCTATGAGGAGGATGAGCATACCAGCCCAGCCCGAAGTGAGCACATCGTAATCGAGCATGCGGACGGTTGCGGGACTGAATCCAATATTGTCGGTCGGGATGTTTGCACTAACGTATGCATTACCCTCCCAATTGATGTTCATGTCGACGTAGAATGTTGGACCGTTCGGGCATATACAGGAAATGTAGCAGTGGCTTGATCTGAGCGGACCCCGTTTGACCAAATCTGATTTGGTGATGTCGGAGTCGAGCGAGGCTGTAGGCAAAGCCGACGCTTTTGTGAGCACTACGAGGCCAAGAATGAGCATGCAGCAGAGCTGCACAGTCTTGATCATCTTGTTGCTTGCTCTGATGAGGAGACAGAAGTGAGGGAGAGAATGAAGCGACTGGTGCCATAGTGACGGGCAAACCTCCGAATGAACGGAAGAAGCAACGCGGATTGTATCAGAAACACGCCGCCAGGCGTTTTGCATTGAGCCTACGAAAGTCTTACAAAGNTATTTTNGTGAGCCTACAAGTCGAGACCGACGAGGATGTATTCCTCGCTCTGTCTGGCGTGTGGCGCGAGAATGCTGCCGCCGACATACATGAGCGAATGGAGAGCATGCTCGAGATCTNGGTCGGTCTTCTTGAGACAGATGACGAGAGCGGAGCAATTCCAGATCTCGTCAGCCTGCTCGAGCAGATCGACNAGGTTCTCGCGCGATTCGACGAGGCCCGAACGGTTAGCGCGACAGTAGAGCGTGCGCTCGCCGGCCTCGCTGGTTGCTGAAGGCGCATAGAGCGAAGCTTCCCACTCGGGTCGGAGAGCGAAGAGTGCTCTGGATTGGGCGAGCAGGTCGGGTCTGACTTTGCTGATGAGCTGATNGGCCTCGCCAGGCTCTCCGGTGAGCGAGCTTGACTGGCGTACTGAGCGAGATGAGCTCGAAAAGTACGAGTTGGCAGAGTCCGAGTCGGACGATGACTCGGTCGACGAGGGCGGTGTGAACGGGAGCTTGTTGAACTCGTGCGACAGCTTGACAGCTTGGGGCTCAGCCTCGTAGGAAGCAGGGGGCGAAGGCGGGTAGGCATCCGCTTGGATGGAAGAGACGATCTTGATGGGCGTGGCATTGGCGGCGGCAGGAACGGGATTGGTGGAGGTGGAAGAATGTACATTAGCAGGAACAGGAGTCGAATCGATTTGATGGCGGTCTGTGTTTCTCACCCACGCGGCCGCACCTCCCAGATCGACTTTGCTATCACCCAAAGTCGACCTCGTTAGATCAGGAGGCATTTCATCTGCTCGTCAGGCATGGTCAGACAGTGCATGCAANTGTCCGGAAGTNNAACGTACCGTTGCCGATGTCAGGACAAACACTTGGCCAGCCCGTCCGCCGTGGTCAACGACGAAGGGGCGGCTTCGCAGGCGAGAAGGAGAGAGGTAGCCCCATCAGATGCACCGACCNATCCACTGGCGGTGCTGGGGCGTATACTGTCGGACAATCGAGAGGGTCAGTCTCTGTTCTCCGTCGCGTCGAGGCAGGGGTGGTGGCAAGGGCGCTGGCACCGGACGAGCAAGGACGACATGTCTTGTGTGAGCAGACGATNCCTCGACGGNNTCGCTGATACAGCTCCGAGCTTGTGGAAACCACAAAGGCTGTGCCATCGGTGTGTTGAGCGAGTCGCGCCACGTTTCCCTCGCACGACACAGAGGAGAGATGCTGATGGCCGGAAGCTTGCTGATGTGACTCACCTAACAGGTTTGATTGGTTTGTTGATTGAGATGCCTGCCATGGAGTCCTGCCAACGCTGCTCTTGCCGCTATAGCTTGCTGACTGGGTTGTTGCCGAAAAGGCTTTGATGCTCGTGCTTAGGCTTGGAGTGGAACGCTCAAAGGTCGCTTGCGTAAAGTCGGTGGTCTGTACGGTCCACCGCGGGGTCAGCCGGCGATGGGAATGCAGTCCTCGACCGTCTGCGTACCTCTCGATGCTTTGCTTGGCTGATCTTCGGCTGGCGATGCGCCTCCCGAAAGATGAAAATCTTTGTCATATTGAGTCGGCTCTCTCGCGTCCACGCAGCGAGGCGGTTGACGTCAAGTGGACTGAGGTCAGGTCGAGCGGGAGACAGGGTCAGCAAGATGGGCGACGCACCAAGAGATATGAATGCTCTGCGCTATGAAGCGCCAAGAGACTTCTCAATCGTCAAGGTACCCATTCCAAAAGTGGGACCCAAGCAAGCGCTCGTCAAGGTCACTATATGCGGCGTCTGCGGTGCGCTATGTTGCCCATGTTTCAGAGTGTGACTGTACTGACATGCTGCTACAGGCACCGGTGAGTAGCCGACGCGAGCTTTGGCGCGACGACGCTGATCTTTGCGCTTGCCCTGTTCTCTCTCCTACCCACGCATCTACCCCACAAGATGCCCACATTCACGAAGGCGAATTCATTGCCAAGTTTCCTCTGATCAGCGGTCACGAGATCGTCGGTGTCGTCCATGAAGTCGGCTCAGAGGTCGAGCACCTCAAGGTGGGCGACCGGGTCGTTGCAGACGTCGGCGAGACTTGCGGCGACTGCTTCTACTGCGTCCGAGGCACGACCCTCTTCTGCGAGCACTTTGAAGCCCACGGTGTCACCATGGATGGCGGCTTCAGTGACTATTGCAAGCTCGAGGCTAACAAGCTCTTCCGCTTCGAGAACATGACCGACGAAGAGGCAACGCTCTGCGAACCTGCTTCTTGCGCCATCCACGGCCTCGACAAACTCCAGCCCAAGCTTGGCTGTGAAGCTCTCATCATCGGTGCCGGTCCTACTGGTCTCATGCTGGCTCAGCTCCTCCGTCAGGCCGGTGCCGCCAAAGTCGTCCTTGCCGCCAACGCAGGCATGAAGATGAAGATCGCTCGTGAAGTCAACGCTGCCGATGTCTACATCGATCTCGACCGCCAGAACGCCAAAGACCAATGGGCAGACATCAAGAAGAACAATCCTTACGGCTTCGACGTCGTCGTCGAGGCGACTGGCGTCGAATCGCTCATTCAAGACTCGATCAATTATGTTCGAAGAGGTACCTACTGCTTGACCTGCATGGGTGCTTTTGCTGACAAGTGTCCTCATGGCGACCAGGCGGTACGCTACTTGTGTATGGCGTATACAGCGACGCTGCAAGAGTGCACTGGCCGCCCAACAAGATCTTCCTCGACGAGATCCGCGTGATCGGTTCCTTCAGTCAGACGCACTGCTTCCCTCGCGCAGTAGCTTACCTCGACTCTGGTCGCGTCAAGACAAAAGGAATGGTCACTTCAGTCTTCCCTCTGGACAAGTACCAGGACGCTCTCGATCTGATGAACTCTCGTCAAGCTATGAAGATCGCTATCACGCCAGGCCTCAGCAAGTGAATCTAGGGATGTTTGAGAACGCTGGAATCCATGAATGCATCATCGAGTTTGCCGCATCTGCGTGCAGCGCCGCTCGTCCACGACGTGGCACAGGGACGCGAACAGTAATTGACGGAATGGATTGCCGTCACTTGAGAAACGCGGGGCAAGCCGACCGACTGACCGGCCGACCTTGCATCGTCAGAGAGCGCACGAAGAAGACACTTGCCCCCGAGCTTGCTTCACTACATCGGAGCCACCGTCTCACTCACGCATCCCTGTCTGCGAGCTCGACCGTCGAGAAGTGATCAGTTGCGACCGAGAAACGCCAGCTATCTACGCCTTTTGAGCATCACCAGATCGACAAGATGGGTGTAAGCATCTATCGTGAGCTTGTGATGACAGCTCTGATGCTGTGTCGAGTAGGGAACGTCAATGAACCCGTTGCCGACCGAGGGTCACATCGACTGTCTCAAACCAGAGCAGCGCAAGAAGCTCAGAGAATTCTGGGCGCAGTTCTTCGAGTTGCTCGATCAGGCACCCGAGAGAGGTTCAGTCGCCGATCCTGATGCCGAGGGAGGTGGATCAGAGATGAAGGGCAAGAAGGACGGCAAAGATGCAGGCAAGGATATCCCCAAAGACGACAAAGAGGTTCGTCCAGACTGGCTGCGCGTGTATGCGGCATCACTGATGGTACGTGAGTCCACAGAAAGAGAGAGTGCGTGCAGAGGCGGAGATGAAGAATGCCAAGGCTGCTCTTGAGAAATATGGCTCGATCCGCGTCAAATCTGCCTACTGGCGTTTCATTGCCATGGACGATCCCGATGTCATGTAAGCCTCTACACGTGAGGGGTGGTGCACACACTGACATTCCCTCCAGGATGCTTCGTTTCCTTCGCGCTCGCAAGTACGATGTGCCTGCAGGCGTCGCCATGTTGTCGGTTCCAGCGGCAGCCAGATCATGCGCACACTGACATCATAGGTCTGCAGGATGAGCACGATTCTCTGGCGCATTGAAGGAGGTCGGTGTTTTCCCTTCTTAAGGGTGTTATGCACTCATGCTAGCGAGCAGATGTCGAAAAGATCTTCTACAAGGGCGAGGAAGGCATGCAGAACGCAGAGGGCTTCCTCAAGCAGCTTGCAAGCAGCAAGACCTACACACAAGGAACCGACCGTCAAGGGCGTCCGGTTGTCTATATTCACGTCGGACTTCACAAACTCTTTGATCAGTCGGCCAAGGCGCTCGAAGACTTTGTCATCTTCCAAGTCAGTCCATCGCTGCTTTTCTTTGCTGTGCTCGCTCATTCGTAGCCATAGATGGAGAGCGTTCGCTTACTGTTCGCACCACCGGTCGACAAGGTCACCATCGTCTTTGATATGACAGGCTTCGGTCTCTCAAACATGGACTGGAAGTGTGTCCTCTTCATTGTCAAGGTGCGCGCTACACCCTTGCTCGAGCATGCAACCACGCTAAGCCAAGTCGCAGTGTCTCGAGGCATACTATCCAGAGTCGCTGAATACTATGCTCATCCACAATGCGCCTTGGGTCTTCCAAGGCATCTGGAAGATCCTGGGACCTATGCTCGATCCTGTCGTCAGACAGAAGATCCAGTTCTCGAAGAATACAGAGGAGATGACCGTCATCATCCACGAAGATCACTTGGTCAAGAAGCTCGGAGGCAAGTCTGACTGGGTCTGGCACTACGAGCCCGTCCAGGAGGGCGAGAACGCAGCGCAGCAGGACAAATCGACACAGAAGAAGCGCCAGGCCGAGCGTGATAATCTGATCGAGGAGTACGAGTCGATCTGCCGCAAGTGGGTCGAGGATGCTTCAGAAGTCAACACGAAGATTCGCGAGCTTGTCACGGCTGCATTGCGAGTACAATACTGGGCCCTCGTACGCGGATCCTCCTGTGGCTGCTCTGTGACCCGCTGAACGCGCTCGGCAGGATCCATACATCCGGGGCAGAGGCTGCTACCATCGCCACAAGAATGTCATTGGCAATGGTCGGCAATGTTTGTTTGCAGGATGCGCATGTGCTGACTTGTCGTTTCCAGGTCTGGTCATGTTCGAATACCCAGGTCTGAGTCCTGAAGGCGAATGGGACATCCGAGGTTACTCAAGCACACGCGAACATCTCATCGGCGAATGCGAGCGCATGAAGGCCGAGATCAAGGATCTGGGCGGCAAAGTCCCCAAGCTCGATATGGGCCTTGACGTATGTGCACTGCCCGATCGTTGTGTGGCACAAGCTAACTTGATTATCGCGCAGGATGACGCGGGCGGTGATAGTGGTGATGAGGCGCCGAAACGCCGCAAATCGGTCAGCAAGAAACCTTCGCGTCGCGGCTCGATGCGCGAGAGAGATTAGGCTGAAAAAAACCGGATGGTGTATTTATTGAGATTTATATACGCACATATGCAGCATTTTGTTAGTCTACGTCATTTTGTTTGAAGTATTGTCCGATGAACACAGCACGGGCCAAGGCACGCGCCAGTCCCGCAAGCACAAAGGCTCATCACTGTTCTACACACAACACCGGCGGAGTGTCAAGCGCGAGCCCTCTGCCTCTATCAGATTCGGTTTTCTCTCGGTCTTGGTAAGCACCGGACGAGTTTTGGACTAGACCGGCGCGAGATCTTGGCGGACTTTAACTTCTCTTGGACTGCGGATCCGCACATTCTCTTGCACAGCCGACAGCCGTTGTCGCCACTCATCGTCAGACAACTTCACTCATTTGACACACACCATGGCGTCCACAATGCTGCTTAACACTTTGGTGGCACTCACCGCACTCTCATCGGCCTCTGCCGCGCCAAAGCCAGTCCCAAATGCCGACGCACTCTATCCACAAGGCTACAAGCTACACACGAAGCGCGCCACCACCAAGTTCACGGACGAGAATGGACTCTTTTCGTCCGCTCTGCTACAAGAAGACATGGACAGGGTGGCCAAGAAGTACTCTCGGGCGAACGAGCGATACGTGATCAACTTGGCGAGCAGTACGCCCACTAAGCGATCTGCCGAGCCCGCGCGCGAGAGGCTGGCCAAGCGCGCCAGTTCAGCTCAGGAGCCGCTGTCGGACTACGTATCCGGCGGACTCGATACACAGTATTTTGGTACAGTAGCGATCGGCACACCAGCCCAAGACTTTCAGATCGACTTTGACAGTACGTGATCTGCCGTTTGGTCTCTGAGCATTGTCTGATGCACACATGCAGCTGGGTCTGCCGATCTATGGGTGCCATCGAGCCAGAGCGCATCATCGCACACTAAATTTGTGTCCACCGCTTCGTCCACGTACAAGAATCTCAACACGCCTTGGGAGATCCAATACGGCACTGGCGCCACTGAGGGCTTCCTTGCCACGGATGACGTCGCTGTCGCTGGCTTGACAGTCACCAACCAAGTCTGGGCACTCGCCAATACGACCGCGAGTATATTCGAAAAGACCCCAGCTGATGGCATCATGGGAATGGGTAAGCGATGCTCTCTCAATATCGGAAGCAGATGTGCTCATACGCAGTACAGGCTTCTCGACGATCGCGCAATCTGGCGCGCCTACATACTTTGAGAATCTCATGTCGCAGAATGTCGTCTCGGAACCTTACTTTGCCTTCTTCCTCGGTCGAGCCTCGGATGTCAGCTCGAGCGCCGCCACCAGGTCAGGCACAGTCAACAATGTTGGCGAGCTATGTCTCGGCTGCACGGACTCGTCACGCTACACTGGCAGCTTTACCTATGCGCCTGTACAGATCAAAGGCTATTGGGAAGTCCTTTGCGATGGCATCGCAGTAAATGGCAATCTTGTCTCAGACACACGAGCAGCGGCTGCCATTGACACCGGCACTACTATCGCCTATTTCCCCACCGAGATTGTCGATGCTGTCTTCTCGAGTTCGTCCTTGCAGGCTCAGAGCCTTGGCCAGGGTCAGTACGCTATCCCCTGCACAAGCTCAGCCACCTTTGGCATCAGCTTTGGCGGCACCGTCTTCGAGATCAACAGCGCAGATGTCAACCTCGGTATTGTCGACTCATCCGGCCAGTATTGCGCAATCGGCATCATCGGCCAAGATCAGACCGACCAGGAAGGCAACGCGCTCGCCATCGTTGGCGATCTCGTGCTGAAGAGTGTCTACACTGTTCGTGCATCGCCTGCGTCCCCGAGCAAAGCTGATTGAGGGAACAGGTCTATGACTACTCCAACGGCGGACGGGTAGGCTTTGCAAACGCGGTGTCACTTGGATCTGGAAGTACGAGCACTCGGGCAGTAGCCTCTAATCAAGCTTCGAGCGTTGTTGAGACGACGTTGCCTGGTGCTACAGGTGCCACCTCATCAAGTACGTCAATCTCTTCGCCCATCGTTCCTATCATCACTTCCTCCAGCATCATCGCAAGTCCTTCTCTGCTTAATACGTCTACTTCGTCCATCATGACAAGTACGACCTCGAGCACGAGTACCTCTACGAGCACAACGAGCACGAGCATGTTGCCTACGAGCACAAGCACAAGCACGAGCGTTCCTCCCACTTCGTCGACCGCTGCGCCCTTTGTCGTCGTGACCACTATTGTGACACCGAGCATGAGCTCATCCACACCTGCTGTGACTATAGGCTCTTCAGGATCAAGCACTGGCGCTACTGGCGCAGCTACACGCATGAGCATTTCTGCCGGTCTCATCGGCACGGCGACCCTCATCGGCGCATCAATGCTCTTTTTGGCCAATTGATCGGCCGCACAGATCACCGCACGACAGCCCAACCACAGCAAGAAGCACAGAGCTGGCTTCTGCTTATAGGGATAGCCATCGATGAACGATCCAATCACGCACTTACTCGCCCATGCGCGAACAGCAAGAACAAAAGCAGGCAGACTGCCATTGGACGTTGTTAGCACTATCCTATCGTAACATATGCATTGCACTGTATGTCGACGCAGACCCTCGCGTCTCTGCTCAATGGCTCCCCTGACGACCGTTGACGTGGCTGACTGCGCGCGCGACTTAGCCGGCCGCGAGCGACCTGAGCTAGCAACGACTCAATCCTGCTCGATGGAGGACTTTCCCAGTCTGGGCGAGACGAGCGCTCGACCGTCAAGTCTGCCCTCTTGGGGCTCCGCTTCTCGCGCTGTGCAGACAAGCCAGCTGGCAGAAGCAGAGCTGCCTGCGTTTGCCGCGCCATCGACCGTCATTACTGCTTCAGTGGCAGCCCAGACCGACGACAGCGATGCGCCGGCCTTGGAAGCTACAGATCTAGTCGAGACATCTGCCGGGTTGTCGAATGGGCAAGACGCCACGACAGATGCTACGAGCGAGGAAAGCTCAGGAGTCGTACCACCCACTCAACCTCGACTCGACACGACGGACGAAGCCGCCTTCCCGACCCTCGTAGGCTCGTCAACAGCGCAGAAGACATCCACCTGGGGTACGGCCAAGAAGTGGTCAGCTCAGCCTGCTCGAGCGACTGCTGCGCCAGTGCAAGCTCAGTGCACAAGCTCAGTCTCGCTGCCCACAAATGCCATCTCACTCGCTGGCAACGCTGCGAACAAGCAGACGATCGCACCAGGCCGACGTCAGCAGGCTCCAGCTGAGCCTGCTACGCTCGGCGCGGCCATCAAGTCCGTCATGGACATGGTCCCTGGCGTTGCCATTGAAGCAAGTACGAGTCGGACGAGTACGACGTTTCTCTTTAGGGGCAAGTCGGAAGGCAGCATCGAGAAGGCGCGCAAGCTTCTACTCTCGCGGATCAGCAGAAAGATCAGCATAAGCTTGCCAATTCCCTCTTCGACTCGCTCCGTCATCATCGGTGCCAAGGGACGTACACTGAAAGCCATCTGTGAGGAAACTGGCGCACAAATTCAAATTCCGCCCCGTGATGACGCTGCAGAGCAAAGTGTCGAGCCCGACGCGGATCCTCTGGTCGACATCACCATCAGCGGTGACGCGACTGCCGTTCAAGCCGCCAAGGCTCGAGTCGAAGCCATTGTCGGCGAACGTACATCAAAGACGACTGTCCGTCTGACAGACATCGAACCAGGCCTGATACCACTGCTCAATGGTGCACGTGGTGCCGCCATGGACGCTTTGATTCAAGTGGCGCTCGAGCCTTTGCCAGAGGTATTGCCCGATGCGGTCAATGTTCATGTGCCTTCGTTCGCGCCGCCTAGACGGGATGTAGGTGCTGCGGAGGAAGAGCCGAGCCTCAACGGACATACTAGAAAGGAGACTGCGATCGTCATTTCTGGTCTCAAGGAAGCGGTCGCTGCTGTCGAAGACGCTATCAGAAGCAAAGCGAGCGAGCTTGCGCGTACAGTCCGCTCGATGACAGTCCAATTACCGAAGCGCCAGCACCGTCTACTGATCGGCGCGAATGCCGAAGCCATTCTCGAGACTACGCGTTGCACCGTAGAGGTACCAGCCATTGAGGATCCTTCGGAGAACGTGACGGTTCGCGGTCTACAGACCGACTTTGTCAATGGTTTGAGCGCTGTCATGGAAAAGGCTAATTCGGCGCAAATCGACACGATCGATCTCGCCACTGTTCACAGACTGTCCGCTGGCCAAAGTGGCTATCCTGCCCAATTGCAGCGGTACCTCAGCCGACGATCGAAGCTGAGAGCGCTGCAGGAGGAATATGGGGCACAGATTTATCTTCCTCGTCCAGGCGACGACAAGAGCCTCGTCGAGATCGTCGGCAAGGATGCAAAGATTGTCGCTGCTGCGCGCAGCGCCGTGCTGGCGCTTCTCAAGACTTTGCCGCCGCCTGCATTTAGCGTGGCGAAGATCGATCCCCTATTGCACCGTCATCTCATCGGCAAGCAAGGCCTACGCTTGACTGCCTTTGAGCAAAAGAAAGGCGTCGAAGTACTGTTCCCTTCTGAGCGAGACGCTGGCGATCAGAGTGAAGTCCTGCTTGTGCTCAGCAATGTCAACGCAGCCAGCTCGACCACGACCCTTGAGGACGTGAAGACTGAGCTGCTCAAATTGGCCAAGGAACAAGCCGAGATAAAGACTGTTACGATCGAAATACCGGTTCAGCTGCACGGACAAGTCATCGGACCTTCCGGCACAACCCTCAATGCGGTCATTGGCGAGCAACGATTGGTCAGTATCAAGTTTGGCGGCCAGTCACCCGATCAGGTTATCCTCAGAGGCCCCTCCGACGAGGTAGCACGGGTTCAGAAAGCTCTGAGCAAGATTGCCGACGACGCTCAAGCCAATGAGATCGAAAATGCCCACACCACAGAGTTTGAAGTGGATGCAAAGCACGTCGGTCGTCTTGTCGGCAAGGGCGGTAGCAATGTGCAAGAGCTGCGAGACCAGCTCGGCGTCAAGATCGATTTCGAAGAGCAAGCACCAGCTACCGATGGCACAGCCGCCGCTCGCAAGCGCAAGGCGAAGAGCAAAGTGACCATCAAAGGTCGCGCAGAAAATGTTGCCGAAGCTCGCAAGCGCATGCTGAGCCATTCTGAGAGATTGGTCCGTATCCTTGTCTCTTGTTCGCGCTTACGCTTACAAGGGTAAGCAGGCCGATGAGACTTTCTTGGCTATGCCGCTACCGACCGGCATTGATCGCGGAAGCCTCATTGGTAAGCAAGGCGTGTATCTGCAAAGACTGGAACAGAAGTATGAAGTTCGGATCAACATTCCGAACAAGGACACTGCAAATGACGACGATGCAAGCTCTGTACGCAGCACGACCGAAGAGATCACAATCCGGGGTCCTAAGAAGGGAGCAGAGGCCGCGAAAAAAGAGGTGCGTCTCGCGATTGCCAATCGATGGAGTGCTGAGACTGCAGTAGTTGCTTGACTTGATCAGCTACGAGCGTGAGAACAGTCAAAGTGATACTGTACAGATCCATTCCGCTGCCATCCCTCGTCTGCTTGGCAAGGGAGGCTCTCAGATCAATCAGATCAAGGCAGACACACTTGCAAGCATTGACGTGCCGCGAGATGATAGAGAGGGCATTGTGAGCATCACACTTCGGGGCACAGCAGAAGCCATCGTCGCAGCTCGGCGTGCTGTACTTGCCATCACTGGCCAGGCAGCTAGCTATGCCACGCTCGAACTGGATGTTGCTCGCAAGCATCACAATTCGCTGATCGGCAAGGGTGGCCGTCGCAGTACGTCCCAAACAAGCCTACATACATACGTCTACTGACGTGATATTGCAGTCAGCGAAATCGTGTCAAGCTGTGGAGGACCTTCCGACAAGCGCAGTGTCGCGGCACTGGTCACCTTTCCGCGCGTCGATGATGACAGCAGTATTGTCAAGCTACAAGGCGACAAGACCCTTATCAGCAAGATCAGAGCAGTACTCGAGAAGGAGGCCGCAGACTTGGACAGCAGGATCATCACCGTCGTGGCGATTCCGTCGAGCAGTCACAGCAGCATTGTCGGCCGAGGCGGCTCAAATCTGTCTGCACTACAGTTGGAGCACAATGTTAGGATTATTTTGCCCGGATGGCAAGAGTATGCGGACGCGCAACCTATCAGCAATGCTACACAACTCGGTAATGCATCAAGCGAAGATCTGATCAAGGTGATCGGCACACCTGAGGCATGCGCAGCCGCGGCAGAAGCTCTCGAGGTAGGCCTGCTCACTCATAGACGTGTGTATAGTCGCTCATGCTTGCATCGTGGGAACAGTTACGATCCAAGTCAAACGGTAAGCGACAAGGACCAGCTACGAACGGAACGCATATGCCTACGAGCGCGCAAGTGATCGGATTTGTACACGTACCCGCGCATCTTCATCACCGTGTGGCAGATCAAGGTCGCTTCTTCCGAAAGCTGCCCCGTGGTGTCAAAGTCGATCATAAGGATGAGGCTGGAGATGCAATCAAGCTGCCGCCTCGCATGTCAGCAGCAGCATCGTCCTCCGAAGCTAGGATCGATGTAAACGACGACGAAAGTTTCGGTATCGCATCTTGGATCGTCACCGATCTTGGCAGTGGCGTTTCGACGATACCCTGGCGCATCATCGCCAATAGTGACCAACTAGCAGATCAGGCCAAATCCCTCATCGAAGAGGCGTCTGCCGACGCAGGCAAAACGACACATCAGGCTAGACTGGTCGTGCAGCCACAGAATCTGGTCGGCCGTCTGATTGGTAAAGGCGGGTCAGGACTGGAGGCGCTCCGCCAGCTCGGTGTCTCCGCAGAAACTGTCGGTCAAAACAGCAACGTCTTCTTGCTGACAGGAAGTCAGACCGATCTTGAGAAGGCCAGGAGCCACATTGAGCAGGTTTTTGCTTCAAGAAGATAGTCAAGATGCATCTTGGCTTCACTCGAGATATGAGCTCGGTTGAGATACTGAGCCATCGCTGAGCCAGTGACCTGCAGCAACGAGATGGCGGGCCTTGAAGACTGCCCAGTGCACAGCGGGCGAGCCTGTCCAGATTGGCAGGAGCTTGCTTGCTGCGTCGAGGCTTCGTGTCTCGCCAGCTACCAGACACGCTGGTCGGCCATCCGGCAGTCGGAACGTCGTTATGATGGCAGCTGCGTCAAAGACTTTGTCTCCAAGCGTTACAGACTCGTCATCGAATGCGAGGTCGATATTGGACAGCGAAAGGGCGTCGCGGCTTGCAGAACCCATATAGATCAGCGCAGAGCCTGCACAATGCGATATGTATGAGGCAGACGCATCGATGACTGCGGTTCTCAAGCGGTATTGTCTATTGAACATGACTGCGAGATTGCTTGCCTGCTGATGGAGCAGTGCAGGCGATATGATGCAAAGACCGCCGGGTCTATCGAGCAGATCATACAAGAAAGGCATATTCGAAGGAGGCGCCGTTTCAGTTGCCTTCCAGACATGCGAGCTCTTTTGAAAATGTGCGACTGTTGATGTAAGTGAGAAAGTACTGGCGTCAATCTTGAGCGAACACGGTCGAGATACACAGGCGAGCGATGGATCTATCGTAAAGGCGCGGAGGTTCTGAACATATGTTAAGTGCAGCACGTGAGACTCGACTTCGACTTGGAAGTGGCCAAGACGGCCCGGCGTGGTAATGAATGCACGCAAGCCAAGCCAGCCAGTCTGCTCTGAGGAGACCGTCACGAGCTGCTTGACGGCTCGCAACGGTTCATGGTTGAGCGTACGTCTGATAAAGTCTTGCGAGGATGTGCTCCTGAAGATATCGTCAAACCAATGACCCGCCCCAGGCACTTCAACCAGCTCTGCTGATGCTGCGTATTGTTTTGCGCGGTCAAAGAGGACGCGAGAGTGGTATACGGGGACATTGTCGTCGTCTTGACCGCTGACAAACATTAGCTGATGATCAGCCGCATTCGTCAGGAAGAGGTCATTATCGAAAGCAGAGAGAGATGAGCGCAGAACCCCGCGCAAAGCTGAATCAAGCGAATGAGACTCGACAGACATGATCCCTGACGATACATAGTCGTCGATCTTGACGTAGCCGGAGGCCAGAAGGCCCCCGTTGAAGCGATCAGCGTAGTGAGTCAGAAGGTACAGCGCGCCCTGCCCGCCATTACTGTGACCGATCGCGGTTGACTTTGAGAAGTCGGGCATTGCACTATCAACATCATAGCGAAAGATTGTGTCCGACAATGCATTGACTGCTGCAAAGACGTTACTTGCAGAAAGCGAATGCCAGTCATAGCCCCTTTGCTGGCCGTCAGTCACAGTCGCAAGACCGATTACGGACTGACCAACTGGTCTTGCCGGTCGGTAACACAGTCCAGGCATGCTGCTGGCGAGCCATGCCGTCCACCCAGAACTGGTCAGAGGCAACGACGCCTGCGCCATGCAGCGCAACGATTATGCGCGACTGCTTTGATGGCTCCATGGGCGGTATAGCAACTGCAAAGTCGGTGCTGCCGTCCAGGTCCCTAAAAGTGTATTTGAATGGATCGCCGTGTTGTACGTAGCCGAGAGGCATCGACTTTACGTTCACGATAACTTTAGCCGATCTGAGCGTCGCCACATGCAAGGTATACTCGAGCGAGAATGCGAGCACAAGCTCCGATGGTTCGAGCGACAGCGACTCAGTGGTCAGGTGTAGGACGATCTCACTCGTCTGATAGGGTCCGAGTGAGACGGCTTCTACGGACGGCTTCAGCTGACGACAGAGCGACGACAGGCAATGAATTTGCGTGAGATTGATCGACGCATCGTGCCAGTTGCGGACAAGGATCCTTCCTAGCGAGCTGACAAGCTTCATCGTTGTGGTCTGGAGCACAAGGCTTGGCAGACAAAGTCCGTCTGCATATAGTCTCAGATGGCCACGTCTGATCGGCGTAGCGGTCACGCAGACATTGTTTGCAGGCTGATTGCCGACTCCTGAATCTCCTCTGCTGCGTACGTCGTAGACGTGTCGGATATAAACCTGATAATCACCAGCAGACAACGTCTGTGTGAATGCATACGGATTGTGATCCTCATCGTATGGTCTGCTATAGCCATAGAGATCCGCTTGAAAGGTCTGCGATGTCCATGTCTCATTGCGAACCAAGAACTCTGCGGCGTCGAGTACATTGAGTGCAAGGGTAGCGGAGGCGCTCAGTGTCAACAGAGCACGTATCTGGGTCTGGCTTTGCAAGGCAGACCAGCCGATCGTATCGCGAAGGGGATCATACGAAGCGGCGCTGTCTGTCCATTGTACACATCCATTCGAATCCGCAGACAGCGTACGCCATCCCACAGTGCCATTCGCCACAAGCAATGATGGCTGGCGCGCATCATGCAGCGACTTTAGAGGGACAGGAAAAGGTGATACAGTCCATTCGCGAGTGCCGATAGGCAGCGGACCTATTGCTCGCCACTCGCTGAGCTGAGCACGCTGATGACCTTCAAAGGTGATCTGATCTGCCCGGATCTGTATTGAGCCGACAGCGAGGAGGAATAAGCGGAGGAGCATCGACGACTCAGGTCTCAGCGCCCAATTTGTCTGGCCGCGACAGATGCACGGGACGCGGGACGGGACGTTAGCCTGACAGCGGAGCATGCAGCGCTGAGTACCCGTGTCGGCTCTGTATGACGAGACACTCTCCACACACTCAGCCTCATGATGTCAGATATGGGTTCCCGTTTGATAATACACATGACTATTTCGCAGTGAGACGAGTATGATGCGATGAGGCTGCGAGCGAGCTCGTCTCTGCTTGTTGGTTCTTACAAAGTGGAATTGTCAACATGGTATGCGCGCTGCGGAGTTGACAAGCATTTTACTGAGCAAGGGCGTGAATGAGACATGATGTGCGAGACGAAACATGTGCGCCAGGCGTGTGCTCTGCGGCTAGAAGGCAGCGCAGAGCTGCTCTGTTGGTTGCGCCCAATCGTGCGCGTGCGCCTGGACTCTCGAACTGAGTGTATGACTGGTGGCTAGGCTGGTCTGCAGCCTGAGAAAGGCGAAAGTTGCAAGAGCAGACTGTTCCTGCAAGTCTGCTGGCATCCTCGCTGTTGGCTTTGGCTTTGGCGAGTCCATAGGAAATGATTGCCTTTGCGTAGAGACTGACGTCCGCCGTCGCGGCGACACGCTGGTCTCTGTCGATGGGAGAGGAAGTGAGTCTCGGTACTTAGGCGGCGCACCGCAAAATGGTTCGCGGCTTTGGACGTCTAGGGGTGAATCGAGCAATTCTGTACTTTGCGAGCCCGAAGAGCAACGCGACAGCTCGACATCTGTCGGCAAGTCTGGCACAACAGGTGATGGCGATGCTGGCAGGGGCGCAGAGATTTGACGGCTCATGCGTAGCGAGCTAAATCTTCGCTTGAAGACGACCATCGGGCGCGCGGTCTTCTCCACCGGAGATCTTGGGCAGTATTGCTCATTGGGCCGAAGCAGAGCAGCATCTTGGGTTCGACTGGAGCTGTACGGGAACCTCACTGCATCTTCGTGCTGCTCTTTGCTGCTTGCGATCGGCGACCAGAGCACGATCGCAGGGATTGTCAGCGTCGGCGTCTCTACTGCTTGGGCGAGCACGGTCATGGGCTCCTCGAAGCTACACTCGTCCACTGATACAATGCAATGTCAGCCAGCGTCAACGCATTGAGAAGCATACGCACAGGTAGGGATAGGCTTGTTGAGACAGTATGCGACCATCTGATTGACTGAAGCATATCGCGCCAGATAAGGCAAATCTTGAAGTGCTTTCTTTGTCCGGCAGTAGACCTGGACAAAGTGTTGCCTTCGCTTCTTACTCTCATCGTCAGTGACCGTAGCGCTTGGCAGGATGCCTTGGCTATGCGTCTTGGGCACACTGGAATCAGTCTGCAAAGTTGCATTGTCGCGCTGAAATTTGACAATGAGGACCATGATGAGCAGCGAAAAGAGTGCGATAGCGTAAGTCTGCGCAGTTGATGCCGTCGCCAGTGTCATCGCGCTCGTTGGGTATTCGAGCTGGCTGTCGAGATAGCGCATCTCGAAGGGTGATGAGGCTGGGCTGCTCGATGGGTAGTAGAACGAGTGCTCCTGGCGATGACCGCCGATACCTGGACGAGTACGCATGACTGCCTTCTCAAGAAGCGAGTCTAGCAGAGGAAAGTATTGCTCTGGTTGGATCGTCTATCGCGAGGTGAGGCCGCTGGATTGCAACTAGGCGGCTTGACGGCTGTGAGTGATCGACGAAGCCTCGACAAGTCAGGCGATCTTATGCAGTCAGATCACCGCCTGTTGAGTTTATGCAGGCGCACACAAGCAGGCGAGCAAAGCGACGATTGTTCGATGGCGTGAAAGACAGTCTGAGCTAGTCGTAGGTTTTGCGAGGCTCGCACTTTAGCACGCGCCCTCTCTGCCGATGTTCCCTTGCTTCGGAGATGGCGGCTGCGATGTCAAGCTGCAGACCTAGGAAGCGCTTATGCAGGCGTGCCCATCACTTGGGCGTATGCTGCTTGCCTAAAAGTAGTGATCCGTGCAGATGCAGGTCTGAGCCAGCCAAGCCAGCTCATCTTCGCATCGGCGTGAGCGTGCAATGTCTCTCCACCCACATCATTGGGCTTACGTCCTGTGACAGCCATCAGTGATGCAAGAGGGCGCATTTGCGCTTTGCATAAAACGCCACGGTCGCGCCGATCTCCTGGTCGAAACCTTACGAATTTAGGAGGCTGGCAATTCTCAACCGGAGATCGCCGTTTCCTAAGTCGGCGATCGGCCTGCATGCAGCGCGCCCAGCCTTGCCATACAAAACGCAGCCCCGTACGCAGCAGCGGTTCAAACAGGATGCAGCCGAAGCTCGGCCACGCTAGCGATTGCAAGCGAGATGGCCTGAAATATCTCCCAAAGAGCGCAAGTCCAGACTAATATGCAAAATTTGGCAGCGACAGATATGGCAGCACGCTAGCCCACAGGAAGGTCTCTGCAGTGCATTGAATGTTCGGACTAGCCAGATGTGTAGATGCAAACTCATAGCTTCGCATCCGTGCGTGTACCGAGCCGCTTATTCAGATCGGCTGGAACGACTAGAGCCATCTGCCTAGACACGGCGAGGATGCGTTGCCGATCTCGCCAGCCAGACTGGGCTTCGCCTTGGCCTATGCGTGCACGTGATGGTGCCGTCCAGACTTCGACATCGGCTTCGTGGGCGCCTTTGTGGACGAAGCGAGTGCCCGACCAAAGTCCGACCGAGTCTGAGCTAAATCTGTCCAAGCTAGCCGGATCGATACGTGTCATGTATTGAATCGCGATCGTCATTGTTGGAAACCAGGCAGCCTTTGGCTTGAGGTCCTCTGGCATCATCATCGGACCGTTCTCAAACATGTCGGCGAAGAAAGGAATCATGTCCGCTCGTATACCTTCGGGATTATCCTTGACTTCTAGCCAGGCTGACCAGCGCAGATAATCATGATCGCGACCCTGCCCAGCTCTCTCTTGCTCTGCGTTGATGCGAGCGTACTCGCTCTGCGCTTGTCTATCTATCGCCCAATCTATTCTATGTCGAAAGCTGAATACCTTTAGCGCTGGACTGCTTTCGTACGCGCTCGGATGATCCAAAGGTACCCGGCGCGCGCGTTGATCAGGCGGCACAAGTGTGAGGGACTGCCTGTCGATATGGGGTTCAGACGGCGGCGGGTCAAGTACGCCAAAGATGACTGTCGCGCGAATGTTGACTTTGCCTCGTTGGATGAGCTCGACGTGCAAGTCGGTGTAACCCCTGCCAGCACGAAGTACGCTGATCTGAGTCATAAATGGACCCGGTGTGCTGGCCACGGGCATCTGTGCAGATATGTGCACGATATCTGGGTGGCGAGAGTTGCTCTGGCTCTGGATACAGCTGTTGGCGAGCAGACTGATCATATAGCCACCGTGCGGCACTTGGCCAATTGTCCATTCGGCGTCTACATTGCCCTTGTAGACTCGCTTGCCCGTGTGTGTCTCGTAGGCAAAGGTAGAAGCTATCGCCTCTGCCAGTCTCATCTTGTCAGCTGCCGTATGTGAAGGGTGTGCAGCGTCGGCATTTGACTAGACGATGTCATAGCCGAACGCGAGCGCGTTAGTCAGCTCAACCACCGTCTTGCTCCACGGATTGGCAGGCAGTGGGAGCATGATGAGCACGGCTGGCGTCGAGTCAGTCGATGCGACACTCCAGCGGATCACTTCGGCCAAAGGCGTTCAGGGCGTCATCATCCTGCAAGCTACAACAGGCATCGTCATCAGGTTTGGCGGCGTCCTCTTTGAGCGCCGTCCGGCTTCGCCAGAGCCGTTGTCGGATGGCGGACCATCGACAGAGCATGAAGCAGAGCCAGAGCGTACACTGCTCGAGCGCTATGCTACGGCTGCTACTGCACTCGTCGATGCTACTCGCGAAAGCGTGCAAGACATTGAGACAGGCGTACGTCTAACTATGAGTTTAGGATCACACACCCTGATTCCAAGCTCGGCTACCAGGACGATGTCCGGTTCATGCGCATACGTACAAAACGGCACGAGCTCATGATCACGCCAGGCGCGTCAAGCCAACCCCAAGCGTCGCGCTTTGGCTCATTGGCTGTGTACAGATCCTAGCTTCGTACTCGTCGTCATCACCGACCCGACGCTGCAAGAAGCGCAGTGACGCTAGCTTCTGCCTCTTGACGACTGACGAGCACATCGCCAGGGCACGTCAGAACGCCAGCTATCGACGCGATCACTCTGCGATGAGTGACGATCATTGGAAGAGTCTAGTTGGTGCAGAGCCAAGGCTCATATCGGCACATCGATGAGCAGATCGCCATCGACGCCGTCGTCCTCGTCGTCACCCCGGTCTAAGGAATCATCGCTATCGCTGTCCTCTTGAAGCGCTGCGGTGGCCGCCAAGACTGCATCATTGGTATTGCTCGTGCTCGATGATGCTACTTGAAGCGTGCTCGTTTGCGACAGATCCGTCGCCGTCCTCTGATGGTCTACGAGCTTGCCCTTCTTTCGCTTCGGTCGTTCGGTCATCATCAGCTGCTCTGCAGAGATCAACACCGTTTGCAGTATAGCGTGCAAAGTGTGGCTTGCCTCTCTGAGCTTGGCAAGGTGGATGTGCGAGATCTCTGCGTAGTTGTCAAAGCCGAGCGTCTTCATAGCCCTGAGCAAATCCTCGGCGTTGATGCACCTCCTTTTGCTCGTCTCGACGTACTCTGCCGCTTCTGAGGCAAGGAAGGCGATGAATTCGGAGACGCATTCTTGCATGCATTGTTTCGCATCTTTGGCTACCTTGATCTCGCCCACGACGCTCTTCATCAGCGAGGAGATGCAGGCGATGGGCAGCGTGAGCTGTTCCGCCGTCGATGTAAGCCAGTCAACGTAGTGCCAAGCCTTTGTGGCAGACGTACATCAGCTGCATTGAAGTTGCTGATCTCTTCCTCTCCGAAAGCATGGCTGCCAGACGTGGAGGGGATGGGCTGAGACGGTACGACCAAGTCGTCCTCGTGCACGCTCATCCTCCTCCGACCAATCAGACTCAGGGATCGGAATCAGTCTATCTATCGCGCGACATCGCGAACAGGGAAGGCGTGCAAGAAAAGTCCTGTAGTATGCATTGACGGCCAGCCCGTATCCCTCTTCCATCCCGTTTGGTGGGTTTTCACTTCTCGCTGGCATATGCTGCTGCAGCCTGTTGCGACCCGCGAGTCAGCAATGCTCGAGACGAGCAAAAGCGCGCCTGCCTGATTGAAAGCAGTATCGAGCGGCGTGACAGTCGCATTGGTGATCTGCTTGACAATGCAAGCAGCAAGCGCACTGGTGCTATTGTGGAGCATGTTGACATCGCTCTTGGCCAGACTGCCGAGCTTGAATGAATCGAACGCGGCCTTTTTCCTGCAAAAGCAGCGCTCAATCCTTCAGACCATGAGCAGCTTTAGGGAGGCGTACTTGATGAGATTGCTCAATGCATTCAATGTAGGTGGTGCGATGGATGCGGAGACGTATTGTATAGTAGTCACGCCGTTTGCTGCGGTGAAACCCGTGACATTTTGGCAGGTGGCAGTTGCATTATTGATCTACAGCGATGGTCAGTATATGACCCAGTAGAGCATTGTATGATGCGCACATCCTTGATGGTCTGCAGAGCTGTTGTATGAATCGCGTAGGCCGAGCTGTATGTCAGATTGGCGACAGCGAGCGAGGCGTTGAGCTTTGCAGCATCTGTGCCGACAGTCTGCAAGCGTGTCTGGAAGACTGCAGGCGTGAACGTTGCAGCCGAGGCAACGGCGGCACCAGCGAGAGCAACGACGGCGGCGAACTTCATCTCGATCTAGCGGGTTGGAATGGACGAGCGATTTGAGCAAACGAGTTTCCGAGCGGCTTTATAGCTTCGAGAGCCGGCATAACTCTGCGCGAGATCCGAGAGAATTGCAAAACCGGGGTAACAGGGATCTTTGTTGAGTCAGCAGGAAGCTCTTGATGTCGCACAAGAGAGGCAAGACGCGAATTTTCTGGGGAAGTGACTTTGCCTTTTCGGGTAAGCCCCTTGTCTCGTCGCATGGGCGTCCACAGGTCAGCCAAAGGGTCAGCTGTGGGGCTACGTAGATTCAACCTTGCAAGCGATCTGTCAGCCGGCCTTGCACAATGGATTGGGCAGCACAAGGAGACTGATCGAACGCCAAGCCATCCGTCGTGCTTATGATCAGCCCACACTCGACAGTGCTCCACAGGAGCGGAATGAACGTGCCGACGATGGTCAAGCGAGCGAATGTCGGCTCCGAAGTAGCGCACACGGAGCTGAGCATTGTTGCGTACACACATGATTGGACCTGATCCTGAACGAACTCGAACGGGGGACATCGGCCTGCAATAGACATCGCTGCCCCTCAGAGCAAATCGTACACCACTGTCGTCGAAGAAGCAATCGATCATTCATCCTCGAGCTGCTCGGTCCAAGCTGCCTGCGAGCGCTGCTTCTTCTGGTTGGCCCAGTACTCTCGCTTGAGTCTCTTGCCGTGTCTGTCCTCCATTCTGTTATCTGCCAAACCGTATGAAGGACCATCGACAAGCGCTCAAGAGGAGCAGCATACCGCAAGCTTCGAGGCAAGGAAGGTTGAAGGGGCCAATCTGGCCTGGCGTGCAGGGGATGTACTCGCTGGCGATCGATTTGCCAACGTAGCAAGGCGGCTGCTGGCTGTCGTAGCTCTGCATCAGCTTCAGTTGCGAGGGCATAGACAGGCAAGCACATGACGGCAGCGAAGACTGTGCTTGCGCATACTAGCAGGACAGCGAGCAAGGTTGTCATCGTCATCGTCATCGTCAATATCGTTGCTGCTGTCTCATCTCAGCTTGTGTTTGCTGCAGTCTCTGGATATGCGCTACTGCTCACTTGCAGTAGAAGGAAGAATGGCCTTGTTCGACAGAACGAGAGTGGCTCAGGAAGGTGCAACGGGCGACAGGCAAGGAGTGCTGGCCCCTCGGGGCAAGGAGCTCCTCTTTGGCTCGCGGCAACGCTATGCATGTCCGTTGGTCAGCTTGACAGCAGGCTCTGAAGCGAGCTCGTCTTCGGGCAGCATGTCCATATCCATCTGAGCCAATAGATAGTCAAGTATAAAACTTTCCTGAACGAGTGCCTTGTTGACGCGTACGAGATGTCGCTCAGTGTAAGATATCAGTGCCGACAGGATCTCAGCAAACTGGTTGCTCTTTGCACGTGGCTTGTCATCGTCGAACTCGAGTATGGCAGCAGGACGGGTGAGTGATTGGGCGGAGTGATGCTTGAGGATCGCATACAAGATGACTTGAGCGATTTCTGATGTCCGCGCTGTCGTATTCCAATCTTTGACGTAGTCTAACAGCTTCATGACGGCTTCTCGATCAAGCGAAGCGATGACTTGATCAACGGCGCCAGATCCAGTGATTGAACCTGTCCCAACAGGACCGAGACTGCCGTCGCTGATGGCGTCAAATGACTCGCGATCGTTTGCCACAGTTGTGAAGAGGTTGTACAGCCGTCTGGGCTGATCCATCGTCAGAGCGAGCGAGATGGCATTCTTGTAGTCCTTGAAGGCAATGAAGTTCTCCAGGTCTTGATTTCTGCATCCGACGTTTAAAGCGGCCGACGGCTTGGTTGAGATGAGCAACTTACTTGAGTATCGTCTGCTCGAGCTTCTCGACCTTTTCGAGCTCAACTTGAGCAGTGATATCTTGCCAGATTGCAATGCTCGAGTCTGCCGCACCCGATGCAATCGTGCTACCGTCGCCAGAAGAAGTGAGAGCCCATATCTGACCTATGATGAGCGCATGCATGACTTGCGTCAGATCGAGAGGCTCACTTTGTCTTCGTGATGATCCAGCGTGGCAACACACTCCTCGTCGCGGACGTTCCAGACTTTGACCAGGCCGTCGGACGCGCTCGAGATGAGCTGCATGCCCCGTGTGATGAAATCGACTCGAAGGACCGAATTCGTATGGCCCTCAAATGTCTGCGCCGCACATTCAGCCTTGCCGTCGGATCATGAAGCAGTCCCATACTTTGATGCACGCAAAGTCAGATAGACTCCACAATTTGACCGTACGATCGCCCGAAGAGGTAGCGACGCAAGGATCGACAGGCGAGAAACGAACGGACCAGACGCCTCGTTTGTGGCCCTTGAAAACGGCAAGCAATTGGAAGCTAGCACTCGCGCCTGCAGAGCCCTGGGAGTACTGTACCGACCACAACTTTGCAGTCTTGTCCTGCGAGCCCGAAATGATCATCCTGTCGTTGGGCGCAACATCGAGCGCGTTGATATCTTTATCGTGGATCTTGGTAGTGATGAGCGACCGCAAAGATGGAGTGTCTGTGCCGGCTTGGGCAAGCGCACTGAGATCCCATATCTTCATTGTGCGGTCTTGACTTGCAGTACAGAGAAAGTCGCCCTTTTGGCTGAGCGCAATCGCGCCCACACTCTCGAGATGACCTTCGCATATCCCTCGACAACGGAAGCCGGTCCCGTCGTGCACCCATATTCTCGCAGTCTTGTCCTTGCTTCCACTAGCGATGAGTTGACAACCTTTTCGACTGAGACAGAGTACGACGTCTGTGTGTCCCGTAAGGAGCTTGACATCGAATCGTGCTAGATCGTACAGCCGTATAGAATCAGAATTGGTCGAAATGACGAGATGAGACGGTTGCGCATCGGTTTCGCTGTCGAGCAAGAGCGCATCGACAACTTCGTCGTTGAAGCCGACAATGTGTCGTGCCTCCTTCAACTCTGGCACGCTGAGGAAGGTCAGTACAGTGTCAACCCGTACTGTCAGTATCAGCTGCGCTTGTTCGAGGTAGCTGCGGATGACCGAGAGCTTAGCACAGCGTGAATGGGTTGGGCAATCGTTGCTCACATTGCATCTGTCAATTCGTGACCCTCGAGCCGAGTGGGCACGGCAGAAGAGGCTATCGACGAGCTCTCTGTGAGATTCCACAGCCTGGCCATGCCTTTATCGCCAGCAGTAACGAAGCCAAGTTGCTGATCGTCGCTTGCTTTCCTCTTGCCCTTGGCATGCTTTGTGGGGCTCTGTTCGAGTAAGACGAGTGATGCAGCCTCGACGGACTCAAAGACGGGGATCGTCTTGAGCAAGTTGCCTTGGTCGCTATCCCACAAGTTGACAACGCGATCCCGACCTGCGCTAAGTAGCAGAGTCTTTACTGATCTTGACGCAGTCTCGGGCGCAACGCTGCGAATGATAGCTTGCAGAGAAGGCGATTCGGCCAGACTGAGCGTGGACAGAGCTCTGACGGAGCTGACGTGACCTTGCGAGATGAAGAGACACTTTCGATCCTTGAGATCCCATGTCCTTATCTTGCCCTCGTCATCAGCGGAGATGAGCCTCGGCTTGCGCTTGTCGGAGACTTCGAAAGCGAGCGCAGAGAGAACAGAAGAGTGTCCCTTGAGTACATGCGTCGTGTGACCTTTTGAGCAATCCCATACTTTGAGTATACCGTCTGCACTGCCTGAAGCGAAAATGGATTGCGTCGGGTCGATGGCGAGTACGGAGATGGGCGCTTCGTGGGCTCGAGGGATAGTCACACCAGGCTGGAGCGTCTCCGGTTCTTCGTCGGGCGTGACAATCCAGCCTGAAAGGGAATAGATGCGGATGGTCAAGCTCCTGCTTGCAACGACGAGATAGTTCGACGAGACTGCCAGATGAGTGACCGGCGAGGGATCCTGCGCACACTCATGAGCGCCTAGTCTAGCTTGTGCATGCAAAGCCAGCTCACAGGGTGCAAGCGCTGGAGCTGTCTGCCCGTCTGCACGTCGGTAATGATGATCTCTTCATTGAGCGTCGTGAAGAGCCAATTGCCATCTGGCGTAGCCGCGACTTTGCCGCCTGTGTAGATGGGCGAGTAGCTCTTGGACAGCTTGAAAGCCGTCTTGAGCTTGGCCGGTGGATTCTGTGCCATTCGACGGTGACGCTGCTCAAAATTTTGGATCGATCACTTTTGTCGCGACAGCAGGCGACACCGGCCGGCGACAGAGCCCGATCATCGAGTGAGACATGACCTCAAGCGTGTCTTCGCTGTATAGACAGACCCTGCGAGCGTTCCGTAGATCTGTAGGCTTCATTGGGCGTGTGACAGGCCGATCAGTCTGACGTCTACTTGGGCTTGCAGAGCATTCACGCCTCGAGACAAGATCGAAGCGCCTCAGTAAGCTTGTACCTCCGGCAATGGTTCCAAGAGGCAGCGCAGAGGAACAGCGATGCAAGCACAGACGCTCCGGGTACGCTGCGGCGGCAAGTCGACAACATGACCACATTTCTCAGCAGCAATCGAAAATACAATGTACGCTGCTTTGCCTTTTCTCGGGCGACTGCTTTGCAACGCTCTCGCATGCTGATGAACAGCGCGTGGTGTAGGAGCTCGTCAAGCGATACAACTCTCAGTGGGATCTACCCGATGAGGAGCGACTGAGGCTCACTGCCAACCGCGTCGGGCTTCAGATGCCGGCTGAGGATCCCGAGAGCAGAGAACTGCCGACGGGCCAGACACAAGCAGCTGCAGCCAACCTGCCCGTCAACGATGCTGCCTCTGCTCGCTCTCGCTGATCGTGTGGACCAGCATCTTCTTGTTGTACTCATTTGGACGCATCTCTACCAGTGCAGCCGTGAGGCTCTTGCTGTGCCTTGCCGTGGCATACTCCTCGTCTGAGCAGGCAGTCATCGCGCTTGTGTCGATGCCGATTGAGAACAGTAGTGCTCGTGAATCGCAGAACAGGTCTGCATGAGGGTTACAAACATCATCACGATCGTCTGCAGCTAGCAAGTCCACCGTCGTTCAGCTGGACCACTCGAAAACCGAGTCGACAGAGCCTTGACATGCGAAAGCAGACAGGATGCTGGCATGCGAACAGATGCTCATACTGCAAGCATTGGCAAACCATGAGCCCGAGCGAGCAGTGAGCAAAAGCAGCGACAGACTGTTGAGCTTGGTGTGCCTCCAATTCCTCATCTTCATGTTGTACGAGACCTTTCCTTTGCTCTTGATCTGCGGTCCCCCATCGAGTCAGCGGGGCTCACCCGTTTGAGGCTAGAGCTTCACGCACCCGGAACCACTGAGGCACCGGCCTGTTCGTCCTCGCCGCCTTTGACAGCTTGACCTTTGTCTTGAACGTCTTGTTTGAACCCTGTCGAGTCCCTTGACGTCAGCTCTGGCTCGCTTGACATGTACTCAGCCGCACCATCTTGATGAAAGACTTGATCAAGTCAGTGCAAGCCAACGACAGTGGCAGCTTTTGATTTCTCTCACGATTTCATCGAGATGAACTCGAAGTATCTAACGCCTGCTGCGCGTTTACACTTCGATATTGCCTGCGTAGAACATCCGCTTTCATGGCAGCAGCTCCCGCAGACGCAGGGCCACAAAAGCCCAAACGCAAGGTCGATGAAGGTCCGAAGCTCGCCCGAGAAGAGACATTCGCGCTGGTCCAGTCTTGGACGCAAGAACACAAGGCAGAGATAGAGGAGCAAGGCGGATGGCAATGCGAGAAGAAGCTCATCGGCACCTTTCGCTCACTGCCCGCTACCCGATCTTCAGCTGTACCCGATGTCTCGGCCGCTATCGCACAATCTCTCGGAGAGCTCTTGGGGCCCAAACCGGCAAAAGAACCTGTTGCAAAGGTCCCGAAACCAACAGTCAGTTTACTCTCTTGCGGCTACCGAGGTAGATCGTGACGAGGTCGTGCAGGCCGATGCAAAGGGTAAAGCGACAGAGGCGCCCGTGCCCGACATGTTCAAGGAAGGCTTCCTCGCGCACTTACACAAGCCAGGCGAGAACCCTCAGATCGATCAGAGATTCAAAGAGGAGCATCTCAGAGCGACGGGCGGCAAGGTCGTCACTCGTTTCCCGCCAGAACCCAGCGGATCGCTCCATATCGGTCATTGGTCAGCTTCGATCAAGTGCTCCCTCGTACGTATCGCTGACCGAACTGTCACACGAGCAGCAAAGCCATTGCGATCAACTTTGGGTATGCTCAATATCACCGCGGGATATGCTACTTGCGCTTCGATGATACCAACCCGGCTGCGGAAGAAGGCGCACACTTTGACGCTATCCTTTCGACGATCCGTTGGCTGGGCTATGAGCCTTATCAGATCACTTACTCCTCTGACCACTTCCAGCGACTTTACGAGCTAGCTCAGCAACTCATCAAGAAGGGTAAAGCCTACACCTGTTCGTGTACACCCGAGCAGGTCAAGTTCAACAGGGGTGGAGAAGAGAGACCGACTCGTATAGCTTGCGAGCACCGCGACAAGCCGCCCCAGCTTTGCCTGGACGAATTCGAGGGGATGCGACTGGGCAAATACAAAAAGGGTGAGGTGACGCTGCGAATGAAGCAAGATCTGGAGAATCCGAACCCGCAAATGTGGGATCTCATGGCCTATCGTATCGTCGATGAGCCACATCACCGGACGGGCTCAGATTGGCGTATCTATCCCACCTATGACTTCACCCACTGTCTCTGCGATAGCTTTGAGAACATCAGGTGGGCCTACAGCGTCCTCAACGCAAGCCGTTGCTCAACGGCTGTACAGTCATTCACTGTGCACGACAGAGTTCATAGCAGCTCGAGAAAGCTACGAGTGGCTCTGCGACGAGCTGGAGATCTACAAGCCGCGCCAATCCGAATATGGCCGTCTGAGCTTGCAAGGGACGATCACAAGCAAGCGCAAGATCAACAAGCTCGTCGATCTCGGTCACGTCATGAGCTGGAGCGATCCTCGTCTCTACACCGTCGATGCACTCAGACGGCGAGGCGTACCCCCAGGTGCGATCCTCGACTTTGTCAACGAGATCGGCGTCACTTCTGCTATATCGACGATCAGCTTGGCCCGGTTTGAGCAAGCCATACGAGCCTACTTGGAAGTCAATACGCCCCGACTCATGATGGTGCTTGAGCCTGTCAGATTGACCCTCACAAATGTACCTGATGATTATGTCGTCATGTGCGAGAAGCCTCTGCATCCGAAGAATCCTGCCCTGGGCAAGAACACCGTGCCTTTTGCAAAGCACGTCTACATCGATCGCTCCGATTTCAGATCGGAAGACTCGCCAGACTACTTCCGTCTTGCGCCTGGCAAATCAGTCGGTCTGCTCAATGCGCCACATACTGTCAAGTGCACTTCGTTCAAGACAGACGCGTCCACGGGACAGGTCGTCGAGATCTTGTGCAAATTAGAGAATTCGGGACCTTTCGTCAAATCAAAAGCGTACATCCAATGGGTGGCAGACCATGAGCCGTCGGGCAGTCCGGTACGAATCAGCGAGACGCGTGTGTTCCACGCTTTGTTCAAGTCTGACAACCCGGCTGGCGCGCCGAACTTTTTGGACGAGGTCAAGCCGAACAGCCTCGAGGTCTTCCAGAGCGCGTTGATCGAGACTGGCTTCCTCGATGTGGCTCAGACGGAGCTTGCCAAAGCCAAGGCGGATGCCGAGAAGAGGACCTCAGCAGTCTCTCAAGGTCAGCATGATAGATCGAGTGCTGGCGCGCCAGAGGCAGAGGCTTCGCAGCTCTACGGCTACGAGTCCATACGCTTTCAGGGTATGCGAACGGCCTACTTTGCCGTCGATTATGACAGCGATCTCGTCCTCGATGCATCCAAGCCATCCAAGATCATCCTCAATCGTATCGTTTCGCTCAAGGCAGACAGCGGTAAAAATTCCTAGACGTTGTGATGATGATGATGAAATTTGTACGACAACAGTATTGCAACGCTTGCAGCTCTCACGAGTCCCCTCGCTCGAGATTGATGGCAGATCCGAACTTGCCGTAGAGCTGCTTCTTGAGTTCGTCCATCTTTTGCCTGCACTCGCCCGACTCGGTCTCGAGCGCGTCTATCGAACTCTGTAGCTCGCCCTGGCTCTGGGTGACTGCCTCGAGCACACGAGCGACTGAGAGGTGTAAAAAGCATGATTGCAGCTTGTATCTGTGTCTGCACATGAGTGCCGTTGTGCAAGGCAAAGGCGTTGACATACGGCACGATATCATCCTCGTCTGCCAGCTCCAATTCCATCGAGAGGTCGTCCAATGTCTCTTTCTCGGTCTGTTGCAGCCTTTCAGCACCTTCGACGAGAAGCAGGGGGCAGACTGACTGTAGCTATCTCGAGCTCCGAAGCGACCTCTTCCGCTCGTGAGTTGTGTTTCGAGAACTCGTTGATGGCGTCTTGGTCTGTTCGATTGACCTCTGCATCTTGCTCGTCTTTGTCGTTAAGCTAGCGATGAATGCGTCAGATTAGTCTGGGTCAGCACGAGGCACGCTCACCATGCGCATCTTTGCGGTTAGCTAGCGCCTAGCGCTCTGGCGTGTTGGCTATATTTTGGTTCTTACTTGATTCGATCCCGCCCTCAAACACAGATCCCTGACCCTGACAATATTCACGAGTCAATCCTATACATAGACTATCCCGTCTGTCAGTTCAATCCCTAATTGCGCTACCCAATACACTGCGTCAGTCGGGCGCGGCTCTATATAGGCTCATGCGTTCTCCCACTTCTTGGGCATTCTTCGTCGTTTGCACCAAGATCGTGCATACACATGTTTACTCGCATAATTGGTCTTACCAGGACCTTTTCAGGATCACGAGGACTCTGGAGGGGATATAGCTGATACGAGCTGTTTGTCTCCTTGTAGGACTACAAGCTCGACTCTCTCTAGCTATAACTCCAATATCCACGTAATGAATCCTGTTGGCATGGTCCTGAGGTAGACCTGCACATTGGCAGCTTTGCGAGCCATTGCGACTTTGTGAACGTGAACGTGACTGTCGGCGCCGGACACCCGACGAAGTGGTAGGAGACTCGTCTTATCATTTGCATCGAAGCTGAGTCAATGAGCGCGCGCTGATAGCTGGAATGGCGAGCGCAGGCAAGCGAAGCTGCTCTTGGGGACTTCCTGTCATGTTCACTTGCAGGATCTCCAAGTTGGGAGGCTCGGACAGTTCGAGAGCTGATCTACTGGTACCACGTCACATTGCAGACAGATCTTGCAGTCTTGCAGATTGGGCAACTTGATCTTTGGTGATTCGTCATCGATGGGGCTTATTACAAAGACCCGCACTGTCTTGAGCGTTTGTGCATGGAGTGCGAGGAGCTTTCGTAGCGACTCTAGGAACGTGACGTATTCGAAGCGCAAGAAAGTCAGTCTGGTCCGCCAAGCGGACACATCCGTCCAGCTTGCCCAACGTCGCGCAGAGGTGGAGCTGACTCATTCGGATACATGACTCGGTTGAGCTCGAGAGACGTGATTTGCCTAACGTGCCCGATGATTCTAGGCGCTCACTCTTCGTCCAGAACGGAACGAACGCTGCGTGGCACGATAAGGCATAGAGACAGTCTCGACGACCGACAAGAACAGCTCGCATCGAAGCTGTCGGATAGAGTAGTGGATCAGACTTGGCTGATTGCCGTTGTACGACGTTCGATTGGCGTCGACGACGTCCAGGCATCTGGCACTGTAGCACGCTCGGAAGAGGCTTCGAGGAGCTCGACCGAGCTCTCGTCGAGACGCGTCAATCTATATCGCGCAGGCGAAGAAGTGCCTCGAGCACCCACACCTGGCACCTCAGACTCGCCAACGTGCGCATATAGTGTCGTCGTTCCACTCGTGCCGCTGGATCGCTTGTAGCGGGCGCGAAAAGGACAGATCGCGTCACCAGCAACCTTGGACGAATGCTGCAAAATGCTGCACAGTCATTTTGCCGACATGCAGCCATCAGAGCCCAGCTCCTGAGCTACAGTAGACGATCAATTGCTCGACAACAGAGTACCGCTGCAATCGATGCGACGCAAAATGCAGCCATCAATGTCTTTGATCTGCTTGAGGCGCGCGGCATGGTCAAACAGAGCACGAGGCAAGCAGATGCACGAGTACTTCCAGCTGAGCCTGATTCGGTGAGACAGCAATGCCGGTCTCCGCACACATTTGGAAAATCCCAGAAGCGTCTACTTGGGGATTGATCCTACCGCAGAATCACTTCATGTTGGACATCTGCTCGGCCTCGTCGCGCTCGGCCACTTCCAAAGGGCTGGTCACGAGCCTATCATTCTGGTATGCCGGATCTCATCAACGCTATCAGGAATAGAGTGACAAGGAGCGCAGATTGGCGGAGGAACAGGCACCGTCGGCGACCCGACAGGACGATCGGACGAACGAATAGCCCAAACAAGCAGTACTATCGCCAACAACGCTCGTCTCATCAAAGCGCAGGTTGAGGGGATCTTCTACCATTTCACCTCTTCACTCGATCGTGACACCTTGCCCGCTCTGCGCGTCGTCAACAATCGCGATTGGCTGAAAGATGTCAGCCTCTTGGAGTTTCTTGCTGGACCAGCAAAGTACGCTCGCGTTAGTCAGATGCTTGCGAGAGACAGGTGCGCGTGAAAGCTGCACTCTGCGCATATGCTGATCTGTTGGCGCAGCGCGAAGACCCGGCTAGAATCGCAGTCTGGCATGTCCTTCACCGAGTTTACCTACCAACTGCTCCAGGCGTACGATTTCCTGCACCTCCATGCTCATCAGCGCTGCACCATCCAACTAGGCGGGTCCGATCAATGGGGCAATATACAATCCGGTATCGATCTCATCAACCGACGCTGTCGCCCAATTGGCTTCAGCCAGGATATCTCTACAAACCCTCAAGCGTTCGGGATCACCGTGCCTTTACTGCAGACCGCTGCGGGCGAAAAATTTGGCAAGTCCGCCGGCAATGCCATCTGGCTCGATCGCGATCGCACGAATGACAAGGCATTTAGCGATGTACGATTGATTTTAGGATTCAGCCAGCGCGGGCTAACGTCTGCACAGTTCTTTCGTCAGACGCGCGACACAGATGTGCGGCAGTACTTGCAGTACTTCACATTCCTGCCGTCGAGAGAGATTGACGAGATCATGCAAAAGCAAGAGACACAACCAGGCTATGCACAAGAGGTGCTCGCAGAGCATGTCACTCGCATCGCTCGGGGACAGAACGAACTCGACAAGGCCAAGGCCATTATCAACCTTATTCAGGGTGGCTCACTTGGCAAAGAACACTTCAAGACTATCCTGGACGCAATCGGTCGTACGCCAGAAGAAGCCAAGCTTACCAATGCTATCGCAAGGACGTATATAGCAGGAGATATTATCAAGAGAGTCGGCCATCACAATCTCCTGGTCATGAGCGGTATGGCAGAGACGAAGAGCCAAGCGCGCAAATTCATGGCTACTGGAAGCTATCATGTCAATGGCGACAAGCTGGAGGCTGACCCCCGAACGACGATAGCGCGGCATCTGTACGCTCAAGGTGCGATCACCGTGGCTCGTGGACGGAGATCGGCTCTGCACGTCTTTGTCGTGCACCCGCCTGCGTCGACCTAAATGAATGCAATTCAGATGTGCGCATTTTGCCTTTGGGCTTGCTTATGCAGTTGATGTTAGAAGCTTAGCGACCGTAGGTGGGATTTGCTGATGGCTTGTTGTCCATGATCTGTTGTACAATTTAGCCAAAGCGTTAAGATTCGAGCACTGTTGATATTCACCTTGTCAATCTCATCCAGTATTTCAGGCGTAAGCTTTGGCATCATGTCCAACGCTCCTAGATTCTCGACAAGTTGCTGTACCAATATTTCAGCCGGGGTTGGAGTGGCAGCCAGCTCATCATACCTCTGGCTTGGTCGCGCCGAGCAAGACTGTGCTGACATGATCTGCTTTCGCGCACCACGCGAGCGCAAGCTGCGTAGCGCTACCGCCGAGACGCTCAGCAACCTTCGCGAGCTCGGTCACCTTTGCGATCTTGGCCTTGCCCGACTCAGTTTGCAACTCTTTGATTGTGTCACTGAAGAAGTCTTTGTGGTTGTCGTATCTTGATCCTTTGGGAATCTCCTGAGCGTACTTGTTCGTGAGCAGACCGCTGCTCAGAGGTGACCAGACGGTCTGGCCATAACCATAATTCTTCGTCAGCGGAGCGTACTCTTTCTCGCAGCGATCGCGATGAAGGAGGTTGTACTGAGGCTGATCGGCGATGGGGCGATGGAGACCGAGGCGATCGGCAGATACGATCGCTTCTGTGATCTGTTGGGCGCTCCATTCGCTTGTGCCCCAATAGAAGACCTTTCCAGTGTCGATCAGGAAGGACATGGCTCTGACTATTTCTTCCATTGGCGACGTCGAATCTGGCCGATGGCACATGAGGACATCGACGTAGTTCATCTGTAGGCGATGTAACGAGTCCTAAGAGCGCAGTCAGCACGCGCGAAACATCGGACAGGCGCGGCTTACTGTGCAGCCTTCGATGATGTGCTTCCGCGAGAGACCGCGTCCATTGGGCTCCTTGCTGCCAGTGCCGAAGAACACTTTGGTGATGATGACCAACTCAGAGCGCTTGATGTTGAGCTGCTTGACCGCATTGCCGAGCTCGATCTCCGCCCGACCACCGCTGTAGACTTCTGCCGTATCGAATGTATTGATGCCGTGCTCGAAAGCCGTGCTGACAAGCTCTGTCACCTTTTCACCTGGAAGCCAGAACTGCTCAGAGGGGCATCAGTTAAACGTCGGAAGCCTACCCTGCTGTGTTCCGCCTAATGTGAGCCAGCCACCGTAAGCGAAGACAGAGACCCGTAGGCCAGATGGACCGAGTCGCTTGAAAATCATCTGATCTGATTGTCAATCTTGCATAGTCCACAAGCCGCTTGGCTCACATTTTTGGGGTCGAAGGAATGCATGTCAGCTGGATTGGCTGGCATGTTGCGCAAAGTCGATGAAACTTTGGTGAGAATGAAGTGATGCGGTGGCAAGCTCGGGTGCCTCGTGCGGGAGCATCACGGAGCAGATGCCCCATGACGGGAACACGGTCTTCGCGGCGATTCCGTCGATCGCGTCCCGGAGCGCCTGCTAATGCTACTGCTAATTTTGGCCATCAGATAAGCAGCCTTGTCGATAGTGTCAGGCCGGGCCCCCGAGAAAATTCCGAATGAGCTTGGCAGCATGTTTCGCAGGCACCTCTTAATTGCTGAACATCTGCCACCTCACGCGTACTCATCTGCGACACCCGTGAGCTCGTGCCTCACGGCCAAGCCACGAGCACAATGTCTGGCTCTGGCTCTGGCTTTGGCTCTGGCTTTGGCTCTGGATCTGGCTTTGGCTCTGGATCTGGCTTTGGCTCTGGCTCTGGCTTTGGCTCTGGCTCTGGCTTTGGTTCTGGCTCTGGCTTTGGTTCTGGTTCTGGTTCTGGCGGAGGCTCAGGCGGCAGCGCGCCCACCGATAACAATGGATCGGGTGCTGGCAGTGTCAGCTGCTATACAGCTGGTTTCACGTCTGTGCCCGGAAGCGTGTATGCCTCCACGACAGTCACTGATAGCTATGCAAGTTGCTTGCCTACTCGGCTACAGATCACGAGCTGATGCGTCCGTATTGACAGATTACAACCGAAGTAACGAGCTATCAGACCTTAGCGAGCAGTACAACCACCTCTTCGCTGTCTACGATTTACGTAACCAGCTGCTCACCTTTGCCAACATCAATCACAACTTCGACTTCGACGACCGATGCGCCAGTAGGAACGCCGACAGGCAGTGGTGGCTCTGGCTTTTCTGGCTCGGGTGGCTCTGGTGGCTCTGGTTTACTCAACTCTGGGAATGGGTGGGCCACGTCATTCGCGTCTGCGCAGTTGCTGACGCAACGCACAGCTCGGGCGGCCTGGGGAGTACGCACGCTTGCTGTCAGTCGAGCGACGATCCCGCGTACTGCAATGCCAATTACTACCAATATGGCTGTCCGCCAGCCTTCAAGAAGCGAAGCTCGATCTCGCCTAGCTGCAATGAGAAATGCTGCACAGCTAATGGCCACGCATCTGGCTGTTCCACGGATTCTACACAATGTGGCGCTTGCACATCAAGACGTGATAATGATGTTCGTGACCCCAGTAAGACTAACAAACGTGTCAAGCGAAATTATATCGATCCTGTACGCCGGCGACTCAAGTATCGCAGACAATTGTTCAACGCTGCAGAGGATGCGAGCCCCACGCCGACAGCATGCGACGCATCAAGCGAGAGTGCCATCGTCTCGAGCAGCGTCACCACAGTGTACATCACGAGCGACACCAGCACGATCTTAACAACCTCCTATGTGTCGACGAGTACTCTCGAGGTAAGCACCACCATCCTCATGTGGTCTGATATGGCGCTGAGAAAAGTTGCACCAGTCGCCTGAGACGTTGTACAGCACAGAGATGACCCTATCGCCTCTCACGCAATGTGTGACCATTCCGCCGACAACATCGAGCACATTCACTACCACGAGTAGCTCGACAACCTCTTCGTCAAGTACGTCAACATCCACCGAACCCACGTCTACCTCGAGTACTACAAGCAGCACGACATCCTCGAGCACGATTACCAGCCCAACATCAAGTACGGACATTAGCAGCTCGACTTCAACTACTGCTCCGTCAAGCCCAACTTCCAGTACAGATACGAGCAGTTCGACATCGACCACTGCTACTACCAGCGCGACATCCAGCACAGAGACAAGCAGCTCGACAACCTCGAGCAGCGGTAGTAGCAGTCTAAGCTCGACAACGATAACGACAAGCTCTGATGCAGTCGTCTCACCGTCTTCAACAATTACTAGCTCGACGCCTGCTCCCGTCATTATCGTGCAGCCTACCGGCCCGGCGAGTGCACCGCCAGTCACACTCGTCCCAAATGGACCGTCTCTCAATCCAGTGCCTACGCCCGAGCCTGATCCAGCGCCTCAACCGCAGCCAGAGCCTGACCCCGACCCAGCTCTAGCGCCTCAACCGCAGCCGCAGCCAGAGCCTGACCCCAACCTCGCGCCTGGGACCGTGCCAGCGCAAACGGACCCGAATCCTGCGCCAGATCCTAACGCAGCGCCAGTGACCGATCAGATATCACAACCAGATCCAGCACCAAACGCGGAGGCAGATCCGCCTGTTGCGCCAGAGAATGCGCCACAGCAGGTCGCGCCCGCTGATAATGTGCCCAACCAGCCTATAGCCCCGGAGACATTCTCCGCAATCCAGCCAATCCTCACCCCCGGTGTGCCCATAACGTTGACAGCCACAGCAGCCAACGGCGATGTGACCTCCTTTGTAGTGTCACTCAGTGGCGACAATACACAATATATCCCTTTTTACACGCCGAACAGTCAGCCGTCCGGTGTCAAGATCGCGCCGGCAGGGGTGAATTCGGGTATCCCGCTGACGAATGCGGCGACCCCGTCGAGCAACGATCATCTGGCGGCTAAAGTTGCCGCGCCCACCGTCATCGGCATTGCAGCAGCGACAGCTCTTGTTGGCTTCTTACTGTACAAGGGCATCATCAAGCTGCCGTTCTTCAAGTCGCTTTTCGGCGGTCAGTCGCATACTTTGCTCATGTCACAGCACGCCGGAGCACACGCGAGCAGCAACCCATTCCATGCCATGGTCGGCGGCCAAGTGACGACCCATGCGCTAGCCAAGAAGGCGCCTCACAATTATCAGAGACCGTCCATCGATTTCGACAAGGCACCCACTCAGATTTGCGCAAGCTTTTTGGCCGACTACTCGGCAGAGTATTCTGCCGAAGATTGGGACAAAGAGATGGCGAAAGCGCACACCACTGGGTAAGTGACGCGCTGCAATCACGTAGACCGCACTCATGCACAGTGCAGATTCGACGCCTTTGCCATTTGCGTCGACACGCTCGATCAGCTCGAGTCTCTTTATCTCGCTGTTGAAGCTGCAGAGCGACATGGCAAGTTTAAGTTCTACCTGTCCCTCGGTCCAGAGGTCATGAGACACCGAGAGCCAATTTTGCAGCTACTGGACAAGATGATTAGCACAGAGACAGTACTGATACACAAGTCATATCGCCATGGGGATCGTCCAATGGTCGCGACAAGGCCACCAGCGACAGAAGCTGCTAATGCTTGCAAGCTGATGGGGGAGCGCATCGAGGCACTCGACCGAAGCGCAATTGCGCGTCAGATGCAACTGCACTTTATACATCCTCATCCTTTCAATGCTCGCAAGATCGACAAGGCAGTCAGCAAGCACTACCAGCAAGCCAACGCTATCTCGAACATCATCCAAAAGGCGAACAACTTATACGGCATGTCCTCGGGCAACAATTTGACTCTGATGCTCGATCTGATCGGCAAGAGCGCTCCAGCACTTCCGGGTTCGGATGCTTTCGGACACGTGGCTTTCGCTGTTGACTTCCTTGTTGGCCTCGGCAAAGATTTCATGCTGCCCATCTCGATGATGGAGCTCTCCCACGGCGAGGATCCTGACAACAATTTGCACGGTCCAGAGACGTACCTGAAGTCCTGGGATGCCGCAAAACAACTCGGACCTTCTTTCGTCTTGCTAGACTCTTGGAACGACTACCACGCATCGAAGTACCTTGCGCCTGCGCCTGAACACATCATAGCTCGTCATCCGCATATTGGCCACCACACTGTTGACGAGAGCTTGGTCAACATGACATCTTGGTTCATCGCCAACTTCAGAGAGGAATCCGAGAAGGAGGAGAAGAAAGACAAAGCGGTATGTGCTTTTGCTTTAATCTTATCATAAGCTGATACTAGGGTCCGCAGCACGATGTCGTCGTCGTGGGCTATCGCACGCGACCGAAGGACAAGCTCGTCTCCGAGCTCAACAACAGTCAGACCAGGCATGAAGTCGAGGAAACGCCGTCAGACGCCTGGCTCGATCAAGTCTTTGTCATCTCGCGACTCGAACAGTCTGACTGCTCCCTCATGATCGAAGCCGAAGGTCAAGACGTCGTGCACCGCCCGTTGAGCGCTGCTTTCGGAAAGCAAACAATCTCAGTCTGCACGAGTAAGGCCGTATCAGTCTCGCTGGTTTCAAAGGGCGCAATGATTGCTAGCGGCGGACTCGGACCTACACTGGCTCATCACAGCGCAAGTGAGAAGTACCACTGGCAGTTTGAATGCTTCACGACTCGCCAGGATGACAGCGGTCATGACATCTTGGAGTCACATGTCATGTCCGACCCATACGAAAACGATGAGACCTCTGATCTCATCAGACTAGACGAATAGAACATTGTAGGGGTATAGGGGTACAGATAGGTTGTCGTGACATTATAGGGGTATAGGGGTATAGATAGGTTGTCTTGACCATAAATGTAGTGCATGGGCATACAAGCAGACAGATGTCACCGCTAATCAAATACAGAATGCTCGGGCTGAAGCATTGTGGCGAGCTTGCGTCTGTCGGCTTCCAGCAGAGCGCTTTGCCGGGTGGTCTTGCTTTGAATGCTCCTACGTTCACCCGACTTGAGCCAGTGTCGGGCACGAGTAACGACACCTCGCCGCGCAGTGACAGATTCATGCGGCGGCTCGAAAGTTGGCGATGCAGCGGCGGAGCGAGGAACAAAGCTAGACGCTCGACGAAAGTGCTTCGACCATGTTCTGGGCGTCAACGCCATCGCATTGCTTGAGCCTGGCCGTCGGTCTGCTTGGACAGTCATGTCGGGATCGCAAGGTGCCTCCTCGAGCGACAAAGGCCAGGCTGGCATCGTCCTGATCTGCTGTTTCGACTCGGATATCGCTGGCGAAGAGGAGTGAATCGACGTAAAGGTTGAAGATGCGGCAGACAGGCCGCGATACATCATCTGAGCGCGAGGCGAGAGGCTGGTAGTACGTGGTAGCCTGCTAATACCAGAGTCACTCGTCATAGCAGATGAAGTGCTGTCGACGGAATCGTGAGAGGTGTGTCTCGTCATATCGGCAATATCAAACGACTGTGCAGTAGCCCGGCGCAATTTGGCCAGATCGCGACAAGAAGTGTAGGTATACTGCAATTTCTGCTTGCTCTCACGCCGCTGCTGCGTCGAGGGTGCTGGCTCTTCTGGCTCGATAGGCAAAGATGGCGCAGATGGTAAGGCAGGAGGCTGAGCGGCATCGAAAGCCGAAACGATCCACGCCAGATCATGCATGAGAGGCGTCTGTAGCGTCTTCAAGTCTTCTTCGCGTGATTGGATCATACGTGTCCGTCTGCCTAGCGTTGGTGAGACAGGCGCGCTGATGGAGCTTTGCAGCGCAGGATGCCGTTCCAGATGGAATTGAGAGACTTCCGAGCCTGGTGTGTGCAGTAGCATGTCGTTCTCGCACGTGCTAGCGCCCAGCTGTGTCATCGTGCTGAGATCCAGATCCGTCGCGCGAGCAGAAGCTGACAGATTGGGCTGGCTGGCATGTCGACTGACCCCAAGACGAGCAGATGAGGGATGGAGCGCTTGCGTTACCGGCATGCGCGCGGCAGCTTGCTGACTTCGCTTAGCCTGTATGTAGCGCGCAGTACAAATATCTATGAGGCTCTCTTCTTCTTCCGATGGGTCACTGGGCGACGCTGCTCTCAATGACGCCGGGCCAGAGTTGCTTTGGACAGAAGATCGAGCAGGCGTGCTGGTACGTCTGTAGTCAAGCATCGTGCTTGCAATCGATCGCCCAAGACCCAAGCTTTTGCTGAATTCAGACTCGCTGGCCAGACTCGGCGACCAATAGCTTTGGAGACTTGTGCTTGGCTGCATGCTTATCCAGACTTCTTCTCGCCGGCTTTCCTCGTCGTGAAGACCTCGGTCATCAAGCGTAGGCGTGACAGGGAAGCTACTGGTTCGTGAGCTTTCCGTAGAGGCAGCGTTGACAGTCGAAAGGTATTCTCTGGCTTGGTCGGTCAAGAACTCCTCAAACGTCTTCCGCCTACGCTCCTTCTGCTGAGCCTCACGATCGCTGACTAGGCGAGGGATCGTCACACCGTGGGTAGGACGGCCCTCCAGCTTGCGTAGTGCGCCAGCGACGGTGTCGGATTCCACACTGCTCGTACTAGAGTTACCATAGGATTCCTTGAAAGCCAGAAAAGCCGGCGAATCGCCCATGCATGTCAGCGGCGGTAGTGTAGGGAAGTCATCGGCCTTGATGACGAGTACAGAGAGTGACTGATCCGGCGAGGCTTGCGAAACGTTTAGCTGCTTCGTGTGCTGCTCGCCAGCATCATGGCATAGTCCGAGACCGACAGCGAGACTACGAATCTGCGCGTCGCCCATATGCCGAGCCAATGGCAGCTCTCCTGCAGGCGCTGCTCAATCGTCTGTCGCGTTGACGGCTAGATTCTCATGTAGATCTTCGGACAACTTTTGGGATCTCCAGCTGCGCGCGACAGCCTGCGATCGACAATTCGACCGAGCCTTGCCCCACATCCCCACTTGTGGGCTCGTCGCGCACTGAGCGGCATCACCACCGACGCTCCCCAAGAATCTCTGCATTGTCAAGACCGGCCGACAGCAGCGTGTGATCAGTGCAAAGACACTGCCATCTGGGCTCGCGATCCGATATCTGCAAGCGATCATCGCAAGTCAGCTGCCGCATTACCGAACAATTTGCGAACAATGGACGCATTTGCCTCTAACGAGCCTATCCTGTCCTCGCAGGATAAGATCACTGTCGACTCACTGCCAGCGATCGACAGCGTGGTAAATGGTGCCGTAGCAGACGACAGCATGGTCACCAACGTGCCTTCTGGTCTGCCAAGTGAGTCGACTCCGGCCCAGACTGCAGAAAGCGTGACCGAGGCGCCGTCTGCTGCTCAGACTGCCGACTTGGCTGCTATCAACCCGTCAGAGCCAGCCCTACCCCCGCCTGGCAATGTTGAACAGGCTGCCGCCTCTAAAGATGAGCTGCAAAAGGCTATTGATGAGCAAGGCACGGGCGCTCTACCCAGTTTTGCATCAGCTCCTGCGCCTGTCGAGCCAGTCATGTCTGTAAGCACTACAGAGGAGCAGCTAGCTGCGCCCGAGACGGCTGCTTCAGGAATCGCCGGCTCAGCTGAAGGGAAGGAGACCGTTTCCGCCACAACATCAGAGCTGCTAGGCCAGATACATACCGAGCCTGTAGCCGCCGTCAATTCGATCGACGATGTTGCGCCCTCTACGTTCGCCGCAGATCTCGTCAAAAGCGAGCCGGCACGAGCTGAGCCACAAAGTACTACGAGCTCCTCACCTGTTGCTGGAGGCTCAAAGCCCAACGTTGCGACCAAGCTGACCAAAGGCAAAGCATCGGGCCCTGGAAGGAAGAAGGGTGCAGCAAAGGTCAAGGAGTTCGCCAAGCTCGACGATCTCGTAACTGTCAAAATAAAAGGCTACCCCGCCTGGCCGGGCAAGGTGAGCAATATCTAGGCCCAACATTCAGATAAGCTGAGTATAGCTGCAGGTCGTGCATCCGGACACAGCGAGCACGAGTGCACTTGCGGAGAAACCAAAAGGCGATAAGCATCTTCTCGTCAGATTTTTCCCCACAGCCGAATTTGCCTGGACGAAGCCACAAGATGCTGCTATATTGACTCTGAACGCGATCGAAAAGTACATTGAAAGAAACGCCGGCAAGAAGGGATCGCTTCTGGAAGGCTACAAGATTGCACTGGACCCCACAGAATGGGAAGAGAAGCAGGTTCAGCTTGCCGCCGCTCACCAAGCTTACCTCGACAGCTACCCACAAGCAGAGCAGTCAGATGAGGAGGAGGAAGTTGAGGTAGAGGTCGAAGTGACGGACGATGGGGAGGATGAGGATCTGATGGACGAGGATGAAGTGGAAGGCCACGAAAAGACAAAGAAGAAAAAGACCATTCTGGTCACGCAAAAGAGAAAGAGACCGGAACCGTCCGGCAACAAGATCAAGCTCTCACTTGGCAAGAAATCCGAGCCGCCTGCCAAGAAGCAGAAGTTGTCCACCTCTTCCGAGCAAAGCAAAGAGAGCAAGAAGGAGAAGCTCAGCGATCTTGCTGCCACTCCGGTATGATCGCGCTCTGTTGGATGCCGGCGCGATGCTAATGCGATACCCTAGCTCGGTGGTTCCAGCAAAAAGGGCAAATCTGCTCAGAACGGACATGCAACAAGCGCAAACGAGACGGGTCAGTTTCTTGACTGGCAACCATGGCCCTGCTGACTGCAAGGCACAGAGGACGAAGCGTCTGCGCGACAAGTCTATGGCTGGCGAGTCAAGCTTCAGCGTGGCTTCCTCGGCCAAACGCCATTGCCCGCCTCTGTTAGCTTCAAAGCCACTTTACCCGACCTTGGCTGATCGTGGCGCAGGAAACTGGCTCAATGGCCGAGCTTTACACAACTATCGAAAACTTCCAGATGCGCGCAGATTGGCTGGGCGTGAGTCCGGCGGATCAAGTAGCAATCCAGCTGACTGTCCGTTCCGCAGCCTTCGAAGCTGGTAAAAGTCCTCAAGACCATCTGCAAGCCAGACACGATCGTTACCGATGACGATAAGTATCAGTTCCGCGCCCGTTCGGCGGCCTTAGTCCAGAAGTGGACGCGAGAGCTTCAACTCTCATCAGCTCAGCCAAACTGCGCATAATCATCACAAGCGAGAAGACGCGTATGGCTATGAACAGTAGGACCGAGCTGGCTCGATGTAGCCTTTCATGCTTGTACAGCTTCGCGAATGCATTCTGCAACGCCGAGCTACGCGTGAGGCCAACAAGAAGCTGCAGCTCTCCGAGAACGACCCTCTCAAGAAGCAAATCGCTTACGGCTCGTCGAATGGCGTAGCTCGTTCAAAGCTGCTTGGTACTGCGCAGTGCAGAGCTCGTTGAGTGTTTCTGAGATCTCGGCTTCGACGTCGGTGATGCCCATTCGCTCTGCAGACAGCTCAATCGTCTTTGGCAGCAAGGTTAGTCGTTCACGCTGTTTGACGACTTCAGCCTGTTTGAGCGCAATGTCGGTACTGATGACCGATGCGTGACGTGCTGATAAGGGATCGTGTGCGCCAAAAGAAGCCAAGGTCTGCGAGTCTGAGCTATAGAACGACGACGAGACCGAGTAGCGTTGAGTCGCCATCGACTTGGGCTCGGATGTAGCTGCATGGAACAGTCTCGATAGAGGACGGGACCAGCGCGGCGCCTTCGAGACTCTTCTATCCGCGAGTCTGCCTGCGATCAAAGGTACTGTGTCTTGCGATGTTTCGTCGATGAGCGTGTCCGCTGATTCGTCGGGGACTTTCAAGAGATTGCGCCAGCTCTGCGGCGATCTTCTGGGCGGTGTCGGGAATTTGAGGGCATTCGTGCGACTGATTGAGCTTGCCAGTGATGCCTTGGCAATCGAGGTACGCAGTTCCCCAGTAGGCGCAGAGCAAGGGAGAGAGTGCGACAGGGGTGGCATTGTCTGACGGCCCTGAGCTGCCGTTGTCAGTGAAGACACTCTGTTTCGCGGCAAGAAATGACTTGTACAAGCGCGGCGCGTCGACTTGGTATCAAGAGGGCTGAGTGTCGGTTCGCATTGTGTCATCACGGGCGAGATCGGAGGACTAGAGCTTTTCCTTGTCTTGACGCGCAAGGGACGAATGATGGCCTCGCTGAATTCGCCTACGCCATGTGCTTCAAACGAGCTTGGTCCAGTACCCTCGCTTTGACAGCTCTCTGCAATCTGCGCGATTTGACATGGGGCATCGTACATCTGCGACTTGATGTTGATAGACTCCTTTGCAGCCGCGTTGACTTCGTCCAACCAAATGAGAATCCTCTTATCTGCGTTTGTGATGATCTGTCTCGTCATTGTCGGACTGAGTGCAGACACCTTGATTGGCGAGCCGATGGAGGCCTTCAGTACATCCCTGTGATCGTACTTTTCTTGCCTGATCGCGACATCGCCACGCAAGCGCAGCTTCAGCTTCTGCCAGGCGTTGCGGGGCTATGCTAGGCATCAGCTCGCTCAAGATCCCCGGCAGCAATGACGCACCTCTGTCGTCGCCATCGCTTGTCTCGGTGATGATCACTTCCCCGATGATGTGCAAATAGGTCGCTTCTTTTGAGCACGTTGGCACTTGGCTACGTGACGCTGCAGGCTACAGCACGGCGGGCCCTGTATGACACAAGACTGCGCTCGCTCGTACTGATCCTGGGTCTCGGCACTGATGTAAGGCGCGTATGTACGGGGATCGAAATATGAAGGTGGGATAATCTGTGTTGAAGGGAGTCAACGGCTTGGTATGCGCTATGCTCGATCACCTGCGAGGCAACGACTCAGTGCTTAGCGTTGTTGTAGCTGGTCGATGAGGGCTCCGTTGAGGAGATTTTGCGCAGACACATCGAGAGCGAGGCGAGCAAACCACGTCCTCGACGCGTGCAATGGTCAGATACAGCAGTCATCGCTTCTTTATACCCAATTTGACCGAGAATGTCGGCGCAAGAATTGGCGCAGGTGCTTCGTCTTGCGGCTGATCTGCTGAAATTGGCAAAGGAGCAGGCAAAGCAGGTGATACACCGTATAGCTCAGCATACTCTGCATCCGCCTCTGCGACGTCTTCGGAAACGAGGTCAACTACTTCCGGCGAGGCTTTGTCACCCACAGGGTCGCCGTCAACAGACGCCATGATAGCCCCAGATTCTAGCCTCTTGAACCCTTTGATGGGCTCAGCGGACGAATAGTCTATTTCTGCGCCATCTTCGTCATCTTGCAGCTCATCAAAGTTGTCGGCAATGCCTGCGTCGCCATTGACCAGACGGTCTCGATATTCGAGCATGACAGCAGGCGGAAAGACGATCCAAGTTTCCCAGACTTCCAGGATCGACAAGATTTGACGAAGAAAGACTTCTGCCTTCATGCGACCAGGAAACGACTGATAGATCAGATTGAGATGATCAAAGACTTGAGCCAGTCTTGTCTCGAACGCTTGCCGGTACTTCCATGCATTATGTATCGGAGCCGAGCTGTTGTGCAGGATATCAGAGACGAGATGAAGCCGAGACAGCTTTCTTGGGATGGGCGTCTCGTCAATCATGAGCGATCTGCAGATAATCTCCGCAACCTCCTCGGCCATCTCCGTATGTCGCATTGCAAAGGCCATGCAGCGAGCGATGCGTCCTCGCGTAAGTGTCAAGCTTCGCAGATTGGCGTCCAAGCGGCGTCGTGACAACTTGCCCAATTTGCTGTCGCGCTTACGAAGCTCTCGCTCCTCCTCTTCTTCGCTGTCTGTCGTGTAGACGTCTGCTGCGCCCTGTACCGTGCGTGTCAACTTGGTTCACCGGGCACGCGAGATCAGTACCTCGTCCGTGAATGGCCTTGGAGGTGGACTAGGTGGACGGTAATCGCGATCGAGCAGCATCTTGAAGAAATGGTATGCCGGGTCTTGAAAATCGCGCAAAAAGGCATAGCGAGGATTGTCTGTCTCGCGCTCACGCACAAGTCGCTCAAACTTGGTGCCACGATCTTGGATCTCGTCTGCCAGATCAACGAGAAAGTCTTCAGTGCGTCTGTCTATCTTTGGCCAAACGCGCTGCGTCTTTCGAGCTGGCGGCGAGCGAGATCGACGATAAGCCGGCGATGTCGAACGAAAGCGTCCGGATCGACTTGATTTCTCTGGCATTTGCGCAGGTACGTGGTAGTACTTTGGCCGAGATGGTAGTGGCATGGACTTGCCCCACCCGGTTCGAATCGTATAGTCATCCCACTCGTATCCTTCAAAGAACTCTTGACCTCGTTCGGCGGTCTTGCGGTCCATGAAAGCAACGAAGCCGTTGAGACCTTGTGCTCGCTTGGAGGACTGTCCGAGCATGCCACTATGGACCACGAATTCGTCGCTTCGAGGCCACATAATTTTGACGGTGCCGACTGGGCCTACCTGCTTTGCTGCGAAATGCCCGAGAACTTCTTCATTGAGATGCGGAGGCAAATTGCCGAGATGTAAATTGGTCGTCATCGGATCGGCAAACCCATCGGCACCCATGTGTGCTTCTTGCGCTGCATGCCGACGTCAGCCTCGTACGGCGCGTAAGCGCAAGGCTTACCTGCTAAAGCGCTCAAGGAAGCACCCGTGTCTGCACTACCATTGAGCGCTATCCGTCGAGATTAGAAGCCATAGCTACCATTCATTCGGCTTCTGAGACGATCCTCGCGACTCTTCTGATCTCTGCAAAGCCCTTAAGCAGATGTCTCGTGCACGAACCAAAGCTTACCGCTTGAGCTCGTCGAGGAAAGAATCCATCTGACGCTTCTTGCGTATCGCTACACTCGGTGCGATGTCCTCCTCATCGAATGCGGGTCGCTTTGTTGTCGAGGAAGACGCTGTAGGCGCGCGCACAACTTCGCGTGGTCGCTCTGACGGTGCAGCTACGAGTCTACATGAGCTCTCAGCCTGACAAACATAGCGCGAGAATTGACCTCCGGCTCTGACGAACGCGGGCGCCTGAACACGCTTCTTATCATTGCCGCCGCTGCCTTCGAAAGCCTCTACAAAGTCGAGGTAGGCACGCGCAGCCTCTTCATCTTCTTGCTTTTGCTTGAGCTCGGCAGCCTGTTTTGATTTGTCAGCTACTCCATGACTGGCTTCTGCATGCCGTCTCGCCTCTTTCTCCTTCTGCTGCTTCGACTTGACATGAATGCCAGTTGCAAAGACAGTCAATTTGCTGCGACGGTGGACTTGTGAGCGATGGATCTAGCTAGACTCGAAAGACGCTGTACTCCTTGTCGACTTTGTCAGGCTACAGTGTCATTCGAGGTGCGTGTATCGACAGTGTGAAGCAGGGGCAGAGCAAGCCAGGTCAGCATACGCCCTTGACCAAAATCTGAGCTCAGCTGATCCCATTGCCGCTTATCGCAGACGGGCCAGCTTGGGCTTCACATCGGACCTTGAGATCGATCTCCGAGTCTTCTAATGTCTTGAAGCGAGGTCTAGACATATTGTGACCTGATGGACCTCTCGCAACTCTCCACGGCTCGACAAGTCGAAGCGCCGACACGTCAATAATCGACACGTGGCCGACACCGCCGACATTTCGACACGTCACAAGCGTCAAGCGTCATGGTCTTATTGGCCACATCCCCTACTCCCCAGCCAAACAGATTCTCGCCATGGCAGCGCCGCAGCAGGCGTTTTCTGCTTTAAGCAAAATCGGTCCGCTGCCATTGCCACACTGCCACGCGATCTTGTGCTCTACATCGTCGACGAACTCGTCTTCACCGGAAAATGGGCTTATCGAGACTCTGGCACTATCCTGAGCCTCAGCAAGACCTCAAAAGCGCTTCGCAGGCTTGCTATACCGCATGCCTCAAAGGTGAACCAGCCTCACTTCGAGTCGGATTGCGTTTTTTTCCAGCATGCAAAACCTCATCATCAAGTCTCCTGACAGGCCTGTGGCTTTGCATGACAGCATCAAGGCTTCAAAGAATAGCGACCCGCCTATCGATCTACCTTCGCTGCTTTAGGTAGAAGCACGCAAGACCGACGCGACATACGAAGGAATACCGCAATCATACTTGCTGCAATCAAACTTTTGAGCAACTCACGGGACCAAAAAGCATCTGTCTCGACGATACAAGCATGCACATCGCAGACCCTTAATCAAATTTTGCGGTCCGACGATACGCGGTCTTACAGAAGTCGATCTCTAGTCGGCCTGCCGAGTCGGCGAGCGGATATTATTCATGCGCGAGCGATCAATGGGTACTACAGTCCTTGGGACAACGGCGTTGCGAACCCAGTCGGCAGCCTCGTCATGCTCTCCAAGCAAGTCATGCGACATGCTTGCGTCCTTGTGACTGACTTCCTCACTGCAGCCTGCTGTTCGCTGGCCTTTTGATCAATCGCGACAAGGTTCCGCAAGCTGTCGGTTGGCCGCAGACAATCTCATTCTTTCATGCCGCATTCGACTCGCTGCTCCTCAACGAGCTTCAATCATTGCAGCTCAAGGACCATCGAGTGAGTCCACGTGGCATCAGGACCGGACAGTATTGACGCGCCTGCCTCTGCAGTATGGTGTCGATATTGAGGTTCCGTCGGCGACAATCCTCAGTATATTTGGCTTCAGAGGTATGTCAAGCTGCACCTCTTGCGACAAGCTGATGAGAGGAACTCGCAGCGAGTCAAATTCATGCCGATGCTGGTATCTTACTCGCTTCTTCGTCGCCTTCATCGCAGCATCCCTGCTTGCGTAACAGCTGTTAGTCAAGGAGAAGCGGTGATGCACTCCCGTGTAGGCATGCATGACGACGCGTCATTCATTGGTTCATGTCTCAGTACATAGCACATTCAGCAGATTAGGTGAGGCTCATCGTCGCTTCAACGGCATCTGTTCTGTGGATATCGCTCAGCTTCGTAGCACGCATTCATGTGTTGTTGAAAAGCACGCTGGTGTCCATTACAAGACAGGGTACAAATTGACTTGTCGTCGAGATTCGCCGGGCTGATGTCGACAGGTCTAAACGAAATAGAGTTGCTAGATGGCTTGCCAGTGCCGTCAGATGCTTGACAGAGGCGGTCGATCCGTAGTCGAGGTCGGCTTTTGAGGATCGATTGTGATGCAAGAGCCCGTCCGGCGGTCGAGGAGGGGAGGCACAAGGCAAAACAGATGCAAACCTCTTTCACGTGCAGTGTTGGCCAGATACCTAGAAACCAACCGCTGCACGCAATGTCCGTGGCCTGACATCTGCAATCCAGCGCAAGTGTTCGAGGACCGATAGCGGAGGCAGACCTGGGAACTCCTCTCCTAGCGAAATCTCACCGCCAGTGCCAACCCTAAATCGGCTCATAGATTTGCTATGCAGAAGTGTATTCTAGGGGTTAGAGGTAGGGCGAGCAGGCCGCTCGAGACAGTTGCCGATGAGCCAGCACCGTAGCTGGAAGCGACAAACTCTTGTAGTCGGGCTCGAGCGAACAGCTGACGAGGCTGAGAAGGGCTGAGAGTATCGCCAGATGATTCGCCAGTGCCGTCAGCTGTTCGCCAGATAGTCGCCATAGCCTACAACGACCGTCAGTATCAAGGCGCACGAACTCAGAGACCGCAGACGAACCTCGCCAGTGGTACACTGATCGCCAGATGCTGCCAGAGTAGTGTGACAACCCCTTTCGCGCCTCTTGATGACTCCCAGCCTGGCTCTGCGCTCTGTCCCTAACTCTTGCGTGGTGAGAAATGTCGAAGAAGAGTGCAATTATATATCCGCTGCCTGAGCAGATGGCTGGCAAGGTTGCAATGTTTCTGCACTAACAGTTGACGAAAGTGGTGGCCAACGAGACGCGACTGGATACTTTGCCGCCGCAAATCTGCCGAGACGCTAATAAATCAGGGCGCGTCGCACAGACCCATCATTCTCGCGCACAGACCATGTCATTTGTCGACATGATCCTCCCTCATCTCCCATCTCCCTGCCAAGCATGCAATCAGATGTCCCGCCGCATCTGCGTGAGCTGTTTCTGGACGACAACGAGCGACCGCTATTGCCAGCGCACTTGAGCTCGACAGCAGTGTCGCCTAGCCCAAGGCCGGCCAGCTCAGGTGATCTCGTACCGGCCTACAAGATCTTTGAGTCATCTGCGCTACCACTGCTTCTGCCAGACCTGGATCAACTGATCTGCGAGCAAAGTACGCCCGAGTTCTCATCGACTCAGCCTTTGCTTGGATCGAAAGAAAAGAAGGCATGGCGCGAATGGCACAAGCGGAGCAGCAGATTGTCAATATGGCAGCGCATCGTTGCTGCCTTTGTTCGCACGCCAGTGAAGCCACAGGGCGAGGTCACGCTGTTCCCGCCTTTTCACCTGCTGCCGCCCAATGTGAGCGTCGAGCTCCTCACGCAAAATCGGCGCAAAGGGGCAGGCGTAACCGACCTCAACACGATGTTGTCCGCCGTTATTGACGGTCTCATCAGCTATGAGGCGAGTGCGACAGGACAGAAGCTGCTCCGTGTTGAGCTCCTTCGCGACACGGTACAGCTGTTAGCAGTAGTGCTTGGCTTATCTCCAACTTCAGCAGAGGCACTGATCGCAACGACATCGGTGTTCAAACAATACATTCGTAGAATCACTGCAGTCTTATCTCTCAGCTTAGCGTCAGTCTTCGGCTCTGTCTATTTGTGGTTCTCAACTTTCATATTGCTTGTGATGATGTGCCTGTACTCTTTCTGGAAGATGACTGGGCGATGGCGCGGTGCCACAACATCACTCGACACGCGACTTGACGGTGAAGGCTTCGATCTAGACGGTCATTCGACGCAGAAATTGGGGTGGTTCACGCGTTTGCGCAAGACAAAAGCTATACACATGACACTGATCTTTGTCTTGACATCTCTGGTATGCTAGCTGTTCGCCGATTGCGTATCGACCTGACAGACTGTGGCAGTATATACCTCTATCAGAGCTGACACTGGCAGCACTTGTGTGGCGAAGTGACTTCTGGGTTGTTGATGACCCTTACCTCACAACTGACAACCCGCAGCCCATCACCTTGCCAGGCCAAAAAGATGGCCTCGATTTCTGCTATACGACCACCATGACCCTTGGCGGCTTCAATGGTGCACTGCCGATCTTGCTCATCTCAGCAGTCTGCGTTCTTGTCTACTCGCTGTGGTTCCCATTGCGTCTCTGGACCGTAGTGCGCGCATCAACGCCCGAGGTAGAAAATTACAATGAGATGGGTGCACATCGAGTCAACCTCGATGAGGCCTATCAGCGTGCCAGTGGACCAACAGATTCTGGGAGACTCAACTGGCTCTATCAAGGCTATCGCAAACGATGGGCGGCCTACAAGTCGCTCGTGATGCTGTTCAAGCTTCTCGTCGTTGCCGCCTCTGTCATTATCACAAAAGACAATTGTCTGCTTCGTCATCATCCACGGGCAGCGATAGCAGCCATACAGCAAGCAACCCTTTCCGTCCTCTTTCTGGTCTGGCTAGTAGTCCAGCTGACCAGTGGATGCTATTCAAGCGTGGTGGGCAATACCGTGGAGACCTTATCGCGCGTAGGCTACTTGTTGATCGCCGTGATCACACTCTGCTCGACCTTGAACATCGCCGGAGCCGCTGCCGTTCAGCATTACGGAAACACTTTCATCAGCGTCCTGCTATACATACTTTCGCTTTACGCCATCATCGCACCATCAAATATGGTACAAGGCTATCTACAACGCTTCAACAGGCGGCTCGCATTCAGTCTTGATGTTTTCAGTCCGTACTTGCACGTCGAGGTGCATATCAAGAGACGCGTTTGGCAAGAGACATGGACGACCATCCTACTCGGCGATGAAGAATTTGCTCTCGATCCGAAGCAGCGCATTGTGTTTGTAGAGCCGGCTGGCATAGCTCCCACTTTGCTCGATTTTCGCGACACCGTTGGCGAACGTCATATAGAAAACTTACGACTTCTGACTCATTTAGGCTCGAGTGCATATGCGCAAGCCTGCGTTATGCTTCACGGCGCTCCCACCGTCGAGCTACAAGATTACATCTGCAGTCAGCTGTCAGGTCCGGATGCTTACTGGCGTCCGCTACACGCACGGGCACAAGTGACGTCCTACTTCGGTCGCTGCGTCGTTATACAATTCCCCTTCACACTTCTCTTCTATTACGATGATACCGGCATTGCTGTGAGTATCAGGACTCTTGCGGAGATTCATGCATTCGTCGCACAAAACACAAGCCACGAGTTTCGCGAAGCTCAGGATGTGCGGCGGGTTCTTCGCGCTCTGGAAGGTCAAATTGTCTATGCGCCTCATGTTGCCTATCCGCGACATCGCTGGTGGATCAGCGCGTTCCTTTCGAGCCATGCTTGCCAATACTCCTACGCAACGCTCGTTATCAAACGCAATTCAGGCTCGACGTGGTCAGGAGTCAATCACAGCTCAGGCTTCAGACTGTCGCTGGAGTACAGGCATGACTCCGGTAAACGTGCGCCGATCCGGGGTGACCTGGCTCAGCTCGGTCTGTCGCAGGACTTCAGACTTTCGCCAGCATTCACCGACTTTGTCTTGGACAATCGAGCACTGATCGACGAACACTTACCGAGGATCATGTGCGAGGTCCGTCGTCTACGGCAGCATTTCACAGACCAGATGCAAGCAAAGCGTGCTATCATGAGCTTCCAATTCCTTCCTCGAGTCTTCGAAAACATAGGCAATCTGCACGACATCAGCGCACGCCTCGAAAAGGACGAAAATTATGTGGGCTTGCGTAGCATCATGCAAGGCCGACGAGCTGCATTTGAACTCTTACAAGAGCGGCTAGATCGCCTGTCGTCGCCCCTAGCTCGCCGATGGTACATTTTCTTCGATGATCTTTATCGTCGGAACCATACGGTCGTCAGCCAGATAGGAAAGGCACCCGAGGCTTTCTCGCCGTTTCACAAGTCAAGCATCTGCTATCGACCGATGACTCGATTGCGATTGGAGAGCTTCCTGCGCTATCACGGTCTTCTGCTTAGCCGGGGTGATTTGGGGTTCTTCCACACTGGCTTCCTCAATAGACTCTACTTTTTTCTCGACGAAGTTGTACTCAGAGCAGATAAACGAATTGGGATCAATCGAGACACCGCAACGGTTCGGTTCGACGAGATCGGTGCTACAACGACGACAGCAGAGTCTGGAGCTCAGAATTTAAAGTACACCGGCGATGCGGTGCTGTATGACTCTCCCTTGATCGAAGCGCATCAAGCGTTTCTCTTCGAGACTGTCTGGGATCGACCTCGTGTTACTTGGCAAACAGGTCAGAGACAAGCATGGATGCGCCAGAGAATGATGCGATTTCGGAGCGCGATTGCTGTCAAGCTTGGCCTGATGCCTGTCCCACATGCTCGACCTGGTCTCGGCCTATATTTGCGGCTGCGTCAAACTGGTAGCGGCTGGGAGAGGCCGAGTAGCTAGATCACGGGTGCTTCAGCGAGCTATTCTATTCTGTTGCTACCCAGTCGATGCATCCTTTGTGTTTCATTGACCATTTTCGGGAGCAGAGGGCAAAAGACTCAAAATGCGCTCGTTGGAGCACTCCTATGCCATCTGTGTTGCTTAGACTTGTGGGATGTGGCGGTGCATGTGAATGCAAAGTGCATCTGCTACAGTCACGGCCTGAGAGGACCTTGCATTCGCGTATGGCTCATGAGCAGACAGCGGTCCTCAAGTGTCGGCAGGCTCGTTTGTTATAGGTCGTGAGGCGACCTTGAAGTCCCATCTTGCCTTCACGTAGCTGCTGTCAGCTCTGTGCGTCACATAGATCAACGCCTATGTTGCTTGAACAGCGGGAGCTCTTTTATAGGTATATATACTAGATATTGTGTAAGTTGGTATACCAGATCATTCTTGATAGTATAGTGGTTAGTACTTCCGCTTGTCATCTGGAGTATCAGAAGATACACCACATACGCGGGCGACTCGGGTTCGATTCCCGATCAGGAAGTTCATTTTTGCTACTTTTGTGCACAGCGTTTGTGTTCTTTGGTCTTGTAGGACCTGAAATCTTTTATCACCAAAGGATTTGAACCGCTTCGCGTGGTGTAATGCGCGTCGCGGCAAATTTCAAGCTTATTCAACCGCGAGGGCAAGCGCGGGGTTTCCGTATGTGGCGTCGTCAAATGTGAGGTTTGCGCGTACTGCAGGCATATGTGACACGTGTCTATTGCCTCGTGGGCTGTCATACTGCAAAATTCAACTAAGTAATCGTAAATCGCAAAGCGCGATTGCAAGCTATCTAACACGTACTGCGTCTCGAAGACATGGTACGCTAGGCCCTTCTGCTAAAATCCACGAGAACCTTTTGGGATGACAGAGGTCTCATGTGCAACAAAGTCCATCTGGACGGCGGTTTCGGTCAAGTGGCATACGACACGCTTGTTCGACCCATCTTTGAAGGTGGTTTTGGCCTCCACGATTGTTACGAACAGGCCCGAGCACCGTCGATACTGCTCGGTTGCCGTGTCCTTCGAGAAGGACGCACCGGACCGCATCTAGATGACCCGGAGATCGCTGTGGGATCAAGTCAGGTTATGGGCTGAACGAATGGTGGCATGGTACGCATCAATCCTGCGGCGACTTTTCTTGTCCCCCAGGTGGACAGGCCAGCGCGAAGCAATCTTGACTCTCGCTGACCTAACAACATGAAAAAGCTGCCTGCCCCGTGGAGCACTGCAATCCTTGAGGTCAAGTCGTGTGTCATATCGAAGCAGAATATGCTCGCCTCTGCGAGTATGCAGAGAGCAGGGAGCGTCAAAGTCCATATGCGAGAGCTGCACGCTGTAGACTTGGTATCTGCTTCGGTCTCATTGCTCTACTCCTACTCACGAGCTTCACTTATTCGCAAAGTTCATCAACTGGAGCGCGGCGTGACTCATCCCCGAAGATCAAAACACCACCAGGTTTGTGTTATCGGCGATGTTCTCGCCAATGCAATCATATCCTCCTCGTTAATGGCAATAGCATCCGCGGCACAAGCATGTAGTACACTGAGTTTGCTGTAACAATCGTTCCGTCCTGTATCAAGGGGAATGCGAGCTGCCTTATGACGTCGCAAGGACGAGCTTCATCTCGCGCAGCAAGGTCTTACACTCGCTCGGTGAGCCGACCGTGATGCGCACGCAGCCCTCGCAACCAGGCTCGGTACCTCTGAAGCGCACAACGACGCCCTTGTCTTCTGCCAAGGTTTTGTAGACGAGCACTGCGCGGGCATTATCTGGCTTGCGTGAGGTCGCATTAAGAATCTCGATGAGGATGAAATTTGCGTGGTTCGCTCCTCGTACTTTGCCGATGCCGTCCAATTGGATGAGCTCCGTGATGAGTTGGGATCGAGCCTTGATCAGCTGGGCAAGATTGCGCTGGGTGAGTTCGATCGCGGCGGGCTCTAGTGCTTGCAAGGCAAGCTGCGCAGTCGGCGTCGAGATGTTATAGGGCGCTTTGGTATTGAACAAGATCTGCGCAAAGTCGCGCGAGGAGATGCAGCATCCCAGTCTGGACAAAAAGTCGTCAAACTGGCTCAGCTGCTCTGGCGAGTGCTCTTACCTGATGCCGGCCAGACCGAAGCCTTTGCTGAGCGTCTGCATGACGACCAAGTTCTGGTAGCCTTCGTTCAGCCTATGTATACATGATCAGTGAGGTATCATCAGAAGAGAGCGATCGACCACGCACAGCGTGACACCGCTCGCTTCTGGTTCGGCAAAATCGATATAGGCCTCATCAAGCACGACAAGACCATGCCAAGTAGGATGATCAAGCAGCTGGCGCACAGCTTGCAGCGGTATCAAAGTACCTGTTGGATTGCCCGGCGAGGTGAGAAAGACGAGTTTGACGGCAGGTGTCAGTGCAGCGTTGATCTGGTCGCGCGTCAGCATGATGGCAAAAAGCGCACAGATCGAACAAACCTCGTCTAGTCGAGGTACGAAAGTATCATCCAGAGGGACCTTTACAAGTGCTACGTCATTGACTTTCGCGCAGACCGAATACATCCCGTAAGTCGGCGGCGTGACTGCTCTGAAGTTCAGTATCGTTATGACTCATACTGACATGACGACTGACTGAGAATGCTATCTTTGCCCGGATAGCAAGTCACTCGCATGAGCATATCAATGACTTCGTCTGATCCTACGCCTAGGAAGATGCCCGCGGCGCCAATCTCGTCTCTGAGTCCCCTGAGCTTTGCTATCCTCGCCTTGATCTCATTCTGTTGAGGATCGGGATAGCGATGCAAATTTCCCATGCCGTCGCTCGAATCGGCGTCTAGCGGTGCATAGGAGCCCGATGGACGGGGCAAGGCAGACCCTAGCGAGTTCTCATTGGCATCGAGCAGGACACCAGACGAATAATCGTCTCTGGCGCATCGATAAGGCTGCAGCTCGAGTATGTTGGGCCGTATGATGGCTCGCAGATCAAAGCCCTTTGGCTTGGCTTCGTACGGCTTCGCACGAGTCCCATTTGACGTCACCATGTCGCATGCAGGTGCAAATGACTGAAGCACACTGAAGTACGCGCTAAGCTTTATATCGATGATCATCATCGTGGCCATGGCGAAAGCCTTCCAATCTGCGATAAGCCCGGCGCAGCGATCCTCCCCTCTTCTGTGTCCCCTGCGTCGCTCGTGTAGTCTGCACATCCCAGAGCCTTAGACCTTCGCTGCGGCGACTTTTGCCCTCGCGACAGAGATGTCCTCATCAAAGACGAGCATATCGCAGATTCTACACCTGCCGCACCCAGGTAGCAAATACAAGATCACTCAGGGACGCTGAATATCCCATGTCGGAGTCCGACGTGAGTCGGTATTGAGGCAATGTAGCATCAGCAGTCTGTGCATATGTTTTCAGCGACCGCGTCGCCAAAGAGCTCTGCCTTCGTCGGCATAACATCCAGCCTGACGAGGATCAGAGCGACCGCTTTACAGCTACCCTTCGTCGCTTATAGGGATGCTCGCTTTGGGATTGGTCTCGCTGCTTGCTCTGGCTTCCGCTGTCCTCGGTGGGGGCAATCGCCAGTGCATCTTTGCGTCCAGGTACTTTGGCGGTCACGAAGCTGCCGAATTCGACTTTTTGCTCATCCAGAGTGACATACTCGCTTATGACTCGATGATGATCGATACCGACGGCTTGGGTGCAAAGGCCGCAGATCGTACAGAGTACATCATAGCCAACAACGAACGATGGGCTGCGAGCTACTACACGAGTACGTCTAGCCAGACTAACCGCAAGAGGTGGCTCATTTGGAAGCAGTCGACGACCCTGGCAACTTCCATTATCCCTTTGTATTCTATTACAGCCCATCATCTCAGACATTGCTCTATCACATCGCCGGCGCCAGTGTTGATCGCCACGGGTAAGTGAGGTCTCCCGAGCATGACACACACGGCTGACGACCGCCACAGACTCCAGAACTGGGGCCTCACGTACGCTCCAATGGCTACGCATTCTCCTCGGCTGACGCTCATACAGATGCGGCGACGCGGATGGCAACCATCAGCAAGATATCGGCCAGGCCAACCTTGGCTGAATACGTTCCCTGTACCTTCTTTACAAACATGTCATCAGGTTGGCACGTGTCCGATGACCTTTGCGACGGACGTCAAGCGGCGCTGCTATGCCAACGAAGCTCCTGAGAAGCGACAAAATAGATTTCAATCCTGCTCCTCAGAACTGCGAGAGCCATGAAGGTAGCAGTAGGCCTTACTTGGGCATCACTGGCCTCGTTTGGCATCGCTTCGCCGATCACGAACAACCATGAGTGCATCTTTGCCTTTAACATTGCCGGCGATCCTCAGCCTCACTACTTTGTCTTCAATCTGCTGCAAAATGCTAGCAGTCTTGTCTACGATGCCATTCGTATAGACGGTCTGCCCGATATCCACACGAAAGCATACCACACGGATGTCTTGTGGCAAAAGAACAAGAAGCACGACGTTAGCCGCTTCACGGGTAAGCTCTCGCCCCTTTCGACCGCGCGGAAGCAGCGACTGATCGATCAGCAGTCAACGTTGACACGTCGACGTATGCATTCACGTTCTGGTACTGCGTCGATGCGCAAGACTTGCTCTTCAGATTGGACGGAGCTAGCAATTACAAACATGCGCCGTCAGTAGGACGATAGCTCGAGCTTGCATATCGACTGATTGGCGGTACAGGATGTCGAGCTTTGGCCTCACTTGTGGCAGTGCCGGTCTATACGATCAACAGGACATTGCCCAAGCAAATTGGTGAACATGTCACTGCTGAGCCGGATCGGCTGGAAGCTTGACAACGGGGACTCGTGCGTTGAGGTTGCCCCAGCTATTGCAAGTCATACTCCACCAATTGCCGATCCTGTTGCAGGGCTGAGCAGCTACTAGACCACTGTGAAAGTCATCTTACGTCGAGCCTCTGAGCGTTGTGTGCGGATCGAGATAGACCTTGAGAACGTTATCGTATACCATGGTCATGACAAGATGCCAGTCCTCATAGTTGACTGCCCGACTCGTTCAATCGCAGGAGCACAAACAGGCGTTCGACTGACTGAGGAAGCTGGACGATTTGAGCGGCGACGCGATCGTATGGGCAAAGAAGGGTTTGTTTGCGAGGGAAGGTTGGTCCGGGACATCAAGGACGAGCGACGTGATTTGCGACAGATCGGACTTCCAGCCGAGCGCAAAGCTGAGCGATGCTGATACTTCGCCGACGGGTGTGGCGGATAGCCAGCATTGAGCTGGAAGATACTCGCCAGTTGCACGGCTGGCCAAAGCATCCTTGTTTTGAGCATAGCCTTGCGTAGCAGCATGCACGCACGCGCCGGTCATAAGACTGGCAATTGCGATCATATAGGCAAGTGAAAGCATTTCTGCTGATGCGTCGGCAGAATCGCGCAGCGCAAGTGGCAAATGCGCGTGTAGGAAGCCATGAAAGTATGCGCCTCGCTGTGATGTTTCACAAGTGCGACTGACACAGTGCGACCAGATGTCGCCGATCGTGAGCAGAGCGTCGTCTGTCCAGACCCATCTGGTGAGATATGGACAAGTTGCCCGTAGAGTTGCTGGGCGTGATTATCCTACACCTATTGGATGGCAATGCGACATTGCGACTGCAAAGCATTGCAGGGCTTGCATTGACAAGCGTACATCTGCGCGAGCTCGTATCGCATTACTTCTGGACAGTAAGCTGCTGTCCAGTCGCCTTCGAGCTGCTGATCAGTCGTCAGGATGTCACATTGGACGAAGGCATGCTGACGGGCAAGCACATGCAAACTCTACTGCGGCTCTTGCGAGCGCACGGACATCGAATCCGCACAATAAGATTGTCGGCGTGTCCGTCAAATCTGCCAGTGAACAGCTACGAAGACGGCTTCATGTTCCTGAGACGGCGCTGCTGGGCCAGTCTCGTCTGTCTCGTCTTGCTTCACTCGCCTCAGCTCCAACGCGTGTACGTGCCACAGAGCGATGTCAATGTGATTGGGCCAGTACTGACGCCCTTTGACGTACGATTCATCGTCATGCCGGGCAGCTACAAAAGGCAGAGCAGCCACGCGAACAGCCAGATCAGACGGTCATACTCGATCTGATGTCGCGCTGGAGAGCTTGTAGGAGCAGACGTCGCTCGTATTGCTTCTTCCGTCCACGTCCAAGCTGTCGTAGGCACATAGCCACTGACGGAGCTGGAAGTTGCGGCTGTGAATTCACTCGTGAAGTAAAAAGTGTGTGTAGATGTGGCGGGCGTGTCATAAGTCACCGTGGAAGGATACGGCGTAGATTCAAAGGCGAGCGAATAGTACACATCTGCCTGTCCTGGCGTGCAGCCCGAGGTGTCGTTGCTGCAGAAGCAGCGAACCGAGTAGGACAGCGCATCGCCCGTGATGGTCACCTTGGCGGTGGAGTCGCATGCCACGGTACTTGCGTTAGCCTCAGAATCGAAGACTATACAGCCTGTGCTGTTGCCGTAGGGAGAGGTGACTTCTTGTCCGTTCGAGGAGCATGGCATGGGTGCCTGACAAGAGAAACGCTCGTGCAGGTCTTGAGGACTCTGGCTGTAGGACTCCGTGTAGAGCACATGGCAAGTCTGCTGCCCATCAGTCACGGCGCACAGGCCAGCAAGCGCCAGTAGCATGACCCGGCGCATGACCCGTGTGCTCCAATGGGCAGCACTCACCTGCACAGCTGAGCAGACTCGATAGCAAACCCAGCAAACGCGAGCGCGAAGCCAAGTCCCCGAAGGATCCATCGACCTATCACCCTGCTCAGCACGCCATGGGTCTGCTCCCATCCCTCCTCGGCTACTCTCAGCTCAATCGGGGTCCGCAGTGCTCGTTCTCGTCACCGGAGACTTGCACATCCCTCACCGGCAAGCCGGTCACCGTTACTCGTGTCCTCGAGCTCACGGTCTGCTGTAGGTGTCATGACTTGCCGGCCAAGTTCAAGAAGCTGCTCGTGCCAGGCAAGATCCAGCAGATACTCCGTCAGCACATCCACTTTTCCGCCCGATGATGTGCTCAAGCGAACGAGCAGTAACGGGCAATGTGTGCGATAGAGAGACGCTAGACTACCTCAGGAGCGTAGCGCCAGACGTACGAGCCGTGCGCGGTGATTGGGACGAGGCAAGCTACTGCTCTTTTTGCCAGCAGACTCGCGCTGACAGGATGCACAGAATCCAAGTTGGCCTCAATCGCTGATTGTGCAGCATGGCAACCTTAGGCTAGGCGTCATACACGGACATCAGTGCGTACCACTAGGAGACACAGAGTCCTTGTCTGCCATTGCGCGCAAGATGGACGTCGACGTCATGATCTCTGGCGCAACTCACAGGTACGCCTCCTCGCTGTCCTTTACGAGCCTCTCGCTCAGGACCGCATGCAATGCAGGTTCGAAGCATTCGAATTCGATCATCGGTTCTTTGTCAATCCGGGCTCAGCGACGGGCGCCTTCATGCCATGTTTCGGCTCCAGTGCGAAAGCGAAACCCGCGCAAGACAAGACTGACGAGCCAGAAGCGGACTCGACAGGGAACGAACCTGCCGTCGCCCTCGACCCAACGCCATCGTTCACGCTGCTCGATATACAAGGCAACGTCGTCGTCGTGTACGTCTATCAGCTGGTGTCGGGCGAAGTCAAGGTGGAAAAGATCGAGTTCCGCGCTCACGCTCAGACTTAGCTCCCAATGTCTCAATGTATGTACCACTTCTCGCAGGCAAAAGAGATGCGGAGAACCCATATAATGATGCGGTACACGAGAAGCCAAATTACCACGACAATGAGCTACTCTGTCATGCGCGTTACAGCCGAAAGCGGACGATTTTGCGGTTCTGAGTAGTCCTTCTTGCAGGCGTTTGCTGTTTAATCCTTTCGGCTGAGATCGCCAACGGGAAGGACGAGGTAGCCTGCATCGGGGGTGAGCAGACCGGCAGCCTGTGACAGACAGGTCTGATTAGTCCATATCCATCGCAAAACAAACAAGGCTTACGCCAGTGTAGAACGCGCATGCTGCGGTGACGAGACCGAAAGCACCACCGGCAGTCGTGATAGCAGTGTGGGTGGGCAGCAGCTTGCCGACAAAGAGCAAGAGGAATGTGCTGCCCGATCGAGCATCAGTAGCTACGATAGCACGAGGAGATGCCTGACGTACAGCGTCAAGAAGAAGAATACGCTGACGAGTGCTGCGGATGAGCGGAGAGAGGCGATGAGCATGATGAAGGTCTGTCAATGGTAAACATCAGCATCGAACGCGGCGTGCAAGCGCTGGCACTGACGAAGATGAACCATGCGGCGAGGTAGAAGCCTAGCGCATAGTCGAAATCGGTCGTCACGGCGCCATCGACGGTGTAGGCAGCAACGACACCTGAGCTGGGCCACAGAGTGAGGCCGAAGGAGATCCAGAAGCCACCGTATGAGCAGAATGCGGTCGCGCCAAAGGTGTTACCGGCTGTGCTCGTCTCATCAGTCTCGGAGTGGTGCGCACGGATGGGCTAGACTGACCAGCGAATTCCCAGATACCAGCGATGAGCTGAACGAGACCACCGTAGCCGAGAGCACTGCCGATGATGATGTTAGGCGCGGCGACTGTGCATCAAAGTCCGGAGTCAGTGGCCTGATGCGTCGCAATGACACCAACACGTACCGCCCTTTGCGCCAACGTTGAGCAGTGAGAGGATGAAGGTAGTGACTGCGAAAGCCAACAGACCGAGCGGTGCCGGGTTGGCGAATCGGCGATGGTAGACTGGGAAAGCGGGCTGGGATGAATCGATGGCATGGCCACCAGGGGTGATGCCACGGTTCAGTTGACCGCCATATTGACCGCCGCTAGCGGTAGGTGCGCCGGTGGGCGAGTGATGGCCGACTGCAGCCTTGTCATCGTGATGATGGTGGTTGTGCAGGCCGTTGCCAGATTCTACGGTACCGTGTTCGACGGACATATTCAACGTAGGATCGTTCGAGAAATCTGATGAGCGACCAGTAGACATGATCAAGCGAGGTGGCACGGAAGAAAGCAGAGAGAGAGCTTGTTTGTCAGCTGACTTTCCTGTTCGCTCGAGCAGGAGACGTACCAACGAGGTGGACGTATCAAGTGCGTGCGTGTTTCGCGTAACGTCTCAGGAGATCGATAGATACTCTCGAGTGCTTCAGGTACTTTATGGAGTAGGCGAGAGGTCAAGTTCGCCAAGTCTACTTGTGAGTTGGGTCAGGCGCCGCTTTTCTTACCTAGCTGGCTTCGATTTCGGCCGGCAGCCTAGTTCATCCGCAAAGAATCGCCCTATGGATCTACACCCCGCACTCCAAAATCGGATTTTTCCGCGTGTACATTTGTCCGGGGCAAAGCCACCGATCGCGCGACTAGGTCACGAGGTTGTCCTACAAGTGGGCCTCGACTGCCGCGGGCTGATGGATCTGAGAAGCCAAAGTCAATACTCCTGGAACGAGAAGCAGTGTCAGCCCAGGGTCTCTATGCATTGTGTAAGACTCAGACTCACTTGAGCTGACTGTCGCACTGTCGCGTCGATTCTTGCCCTCTCTGTCCCCGGATTTGTGTCAGCCGCGCGCGCGGGGGTTGAACCGGAACTAACCTGCGGAAGCTTCCGAGCCTTTCCAGGAATGACCAAAGTTTACCTTCGGCGCGAATGACGCCGGCCTCGTCTCTACGGGGCGTCCATTCAGGATGCAGGGCCATCATTGCGACTGATTTGGCGTTCTTGCTCCGCCTGGCTATGATGATGCCCATCTCGTGATACCGCTGGAAAGCGTTCGACATTGTCGCCTGGTTGACAGCCTCGAGATACGACACATCGCCCTGGCGCAGCAATCAGTCAGCCAGTGTAAGAACGTCAGACGATGTACATACCTGTGCATGCAAGGTCTTGCCATAGACCTGGGCACGCTTGTGAAACTCGCGCTCGGGCAGCCAGAGAATATCGTCTTCCAAGCCGCTGCCATTCTTAAGCGGCGTGAGACCAAAGAGACTGACAGCGGCGAGCCAGTATGTCTCTATAAATGGCCAGATCAGGAAGCAGTAGAAGTCTGCAAGCTTGTGAGCTGAAGCGCAGGTGTCACAAAGGGGACTCGCCAAAGTTCTCGCGGCCTCTGGCGCGCTCTGCAGGTGAAAGGCCGATCATGTCATCCTCGACGAGAATGACCTGATCCGTCTGCAAATGCTCGATTGTGTTCTCTGCATTCTGCACCATACCTTCAGTGCCATAGACGAACTCGTTTTTGAGCGTTTGCGAGAGGAAGCCGAGCTCGGCTAAGAGGAAATTATATTCCATTCGTTGACCAGGTACGGCACCACCAGCTTTGACTTTGGTATAGAGCGTTGCAGATAGCAGCGCTTCACCCACGCATCAGCTCAGTAGCGACCATCGGTCGATCGGCTTACCTTCGGAGACAAAGATGTGGATAACTTGGTTTCGATGGAATGAGAGGTCGAAGCGCTTGAGTGGATAGACAGTGGGTTCCATGAGATCATGATAGACGCCGATAAGATCTTTCAATGCTTCTAGTGCGCGATCGACGACTTCCTCCGTCGTCATTCCGCCAAACTCTGCCACCCGTCCACCGCGAGAGATGATCTTCTCTCGCAGCGTATCGACTCGCCTGACCAGCTCGTTACGTCCCACACCACGTCCGCGTAGGGTGAGAATGACGGTCCCGACGAGTGCAGCAGGCATGATGACAGAGACTTTATTGATGTCCGACAGGACTTGGTATCCGAGCGCCTTGAGTAGCATGACTTTGTGCTCATTGTTATTCGCCGGATCGAATGCAACGCGATCCTGGCGCAGACGTTTGCGACTCACGACCTGATCTTCGATGAAGCCCTTGAGTGAGTACGGTTTCTGGAACCGCACATCGATTCTGCCCATCTTGAGCTGCAGGACACGCGTGTTGGCAATGAGACCCCAGATAGATTCCTTTTCCTTTGGATTGCCCAGGAGCTCGTTGACGTACGAGTCTGTCTCGATGACTTTATCATACTGTACACTGATCGGACAGATCATGACATCTGCTGTCCTGCCAGTCTGAACGGCCTCTAAAACATATTTGAGGATGCCGAGTTTCGGTGGCAGTAGTTTGCCCGTCCGTGAGCGTGTACCCTCGATGAAACATTCGAGATTGTGTCCTGTCGATAGTAATTGTTCGATGTATTCGCGAATGACGACAGGATAGAGTGCATCGTCACCGAAACTTCGTCTGATGTAGAATGCACCGCACTTCTGCAGCATCGGACCAACGACAGGCATGTCCAGGTTCTCGCCCGCCACAATATGCGGTATAGAGATGCCCAAGCGATAACACAAGAATGACACCTGCGCTCAAGCTCGTCAGCTCACATCACATCGGTCGTACAGACAGGACGTGCAGTCAGGTAATCGATATGCGATTTGTGGCAGGGCAGCATGAGCAGCGATATCTTCTTCTCTGCAGCTTCTTGCGCAACTTGTCGAAACACTGTGAACTCGTCCAAGCTGATGTGTATGCCCTGGTGATACATCCTGACGAGGATGTTGTTGACCGTCGCGCCAAAGAACTTGAAGAACTGAACGCTGTCCAAGCGAGCAATCATCTTGCGAGCAGTCTCGGTCGCGACGTCAAAAAGCTGCTGCTCGAGCTCATTGATCTTTTGTGCACGTTGTGTCCGGGGCAAGTCAAGCTGATCGAGCCGTTGTTGTGCGAGCTGCTTGATGCGCGACCTCACGGCTGCGCTGTTGAGCACACGTGCAGTGACATCTGCCGTGTAGCCTTCATAGAGAACTCTCGAGCCGACATAGTGCTCGTAACTTCGCCAACCCTACGCGACCTTTACTCGTCAGTCTAGCTTTGAATCCACAGCATGAGACTGACGGTGCCCTGCGCATATGCGCCTAGCTGTCGCATAAATTCATAAGGATTCTCCCTGCGTATACCGACTTAGCCAGCTGGCCAGACGGGTACTTCGAGGTCAAACGCGCCTAATGTGGGCCTGGTGGTGCTGCACAAGATTGCGGGCTTCTCGCGAAGCTTGGGCTCCGTTCGGCGTAATTGCAGGAGAAGATGTGGAGCCAGCTTGACTGATCGAGCTCGCGGCTGAGCTTGAGGATGGCGCAGAACTATATGAGCCCGCAGACTGTCTCGAGCGAGCTTTGATCATCATCGGCATCGTCCACGGTCCCGCTGTCGTGCTGATCACCGTGTCGATGCTGGTATCGGGCGGACGTGCACCCTCATCGTCTAGCAAGGCCAGGGTAGCTTCCGCTGAAGATTTGCCAGACATTGTGAGAACGGAGCCGGTGCCTAGCTTACGTCGGCGTACGACGGCGACTGTGCGGGGAGCGCGTCAACTGTAATCGGAGCATACGAGCGGCCGTGGCTGCGTCATACCGTCAGACTTTGCTAGCTTCACTTCACGCAAAATGGGTTCAAAGGGCGAGCGTCTTGCCACTGGCACTCAGGCGTATGCTAACGGCTTGTGAGGGCTGCAGGAAAATCATTCGAGAGCGAGTTGTTCGTCGCAGCAGAGCGAGCACGACTGACCGTGTCGGGTTTGCAGCTCACATGAACGATGGCGACCAGACGAATTACAGCAAAGCAGAGCTAGCTGCTCGCGAGCCAGAACGTCACGATGTTGGCAAAACGGGCTCTCACAACCCACAAGACGCCAAGGATGAGCGAAGCATCGCCAATCGACTCAGTGCGGCCAATACGCAAAACGATGACGGCGACGCTGGCCCCAAGCAACCTCCTACCAAGGCTGCCTTAGACGTGAGCATCCTCTCGCACTGCTGCGCCGGTCGCTCACAGCGTATGCAGCACGGCAACAAGCCGTCAAAGGGCGCCATCATTGATGAGCAGATCGAGGCCGAGGAGCAGGCCGAGCTCGCAAAGAAGGGTATCAAGCCATAGATGCTGCAATGAACATGACAGATACATGAATTTATTGCAATGCACGCAAGTCACAAATGATGAGCACTCCTACAAAACATATTCATCAAACTGTCATCAGGCTTCAACAATTGACGTAGCCGAGCTTGCGACGCCAGTACTTTTGATCGTGCTGGGACTCTGGCTCATGTTTGCGCTACTCTGATTGAGAGCCGCAAGCTCGATCGACGGCCGAGGACTGCAAGAGGCCGTAATAGGTTGTCTTGTTAAATATGAGATGATCCTTTCTCGTTTCTTTCTAAAGACGACCAAACGGTCCTCAAAAGCTTTAGATGCCGACTCAAGCGATAAGCCGCGCAATTCTGGCATCACTGCCCATGCGATGACAGTCGCTAGCAACGTGCAAGCGGCGAAGAACCAATAAGGTCCCGAGCGTGAAGCTGCAAGAAACTGTGGCGTGATGAGTGCCACGCCAAAATTGACGAGCTGATTGGCAGCCTGTGCCATCGAGGTGGCTGCTGCCCGTGTGCGAGCTGGCTGGATCTCGCTCGAGTAGATCTTGATGGAGACTGCCCATGTCGATGCGAATGTCGCAGTGAAGCATATGATGAGGGCGACGATAGTCCAGAGCGCCGCTTTGCTGTCCGTTCGACTGGAATAGAGAGCGCCTATGAGGGCCATCTCTAGCGTTATCAGAGATCCTCCGGCGAGAATGAGCGTCCGACGGCCAATGCGGTCCATAAACGCCTGTGCGATGATGGACATGACGAGATTGACGGCAGCAGTGGCCCCACCCGCCAGCACAGATGCAGTCGGCCCGGTGAGTCCTGCATTCCTGAAGAGCAAGGGGCTGAAGTAGAGCACAGCATCGATCTGCAGGATCGCGTGAGCCTTGCATGTACGCTTTGCCGTGGAGGAACGTACGCCTGAAAGCTGTTGCGCAGCCATGAGGCCGACCCCGAGTGCGAGTGGCCCCCGAGCGCCGGGCACAAAGAGTTCCCTGAGGCTCGCGCTACCTTTGTGACTTGCAGAGGCACTGGCGGCCATTATCTCTGCCTTTTCTGCCTCCGCTGAGGGTAGGTCATAGTGCAGCCAATCCAGTACGGCCGAAGCCTCTTCCTTGCGTCCTTTGTCGTTTAGCCAACGAGGTGAATAGGGAATAAAGGGTGAGCCTATACAGAGCGCTAGCGATAATAAAATCTGAAGCGCAAAGGGCAGCCGCCAAGAGAGCGAGGCTATCTTGCCCGTGAAGCGAATCGATCCAAAGGCTGTCAGATAGCCGACTAAGACGCCGACGACGATCTGAAGCTGGACAATAGCTGCCACTCGACCTCTGATCGAGGTCGGGCTGATTTCGAGTGCGTATACGGTCAACGAGCTCAGGAAGAGCCCTTCACCTGCGCCTGCCAGGATCCTCCCGGCGATGAAAGCGGCTAGGTTGGGTCCGGCGCATTGCATGGCATTTCCGAGTGCAAATACACCTGCACCCAAGCTGATGGTTTTCTTGCGTGAGATACGGTCAGAGATAGGTCCGGAGAGCCCGGCGAACAAGCTTGCTGGTAGGAGGATTGACGCGACGACGAAGCCTTGCAAGAACGGCGAGAGTGTCCCGAAGTGGTCGATGAAGTCCGGCATGAGCGTGATTGCACCGATACAGCCCGTATCGAGCCCAAAAGTCATGCCGCCGATAGACACAAAGGTAGCGAGCGCCCAAACTCTTTTGCCAATCATGGCGGATGAGGCGCGCGTCGTTGTAGCGTGGGCGTCGGTCTCGAATGAGCTGATCTGACTCCTGCAGCTTATACCTATCAGCAGCAGAGGTCCTGCTAGCTGGGATCGTCGCCTGTTCGCCCACCCGCTGTGGTCGTCTGTGAACGCCAAGTCAAGTTGAGTCAGCGCTCGATCAGCTCGTGTGCCCCCCTAACGACCACAGCAGCAAGACGTGGATTGCGGCTCGGTCTCTGTCACTGCAGCGATGCTTTGGCTTTGGCTGGCCTTGCTGATCTCCTCGGCAGGCTCGCCAGCCTTTGCGAAGCCCATCTCGCTTTCGTACAGCTCCTGCTTGTCAAGCTCGAGCAGTGCACCGCTTGCAAATCAGCTCGTCTTTTCTCGCATCGTCGGTCAGCTCGACTCTGGACAGACAGAAGCCGGTGTGGCCGGCAACAACGTAGGAGAATCAGTGCTCCGCTTGGTCGCATTTGGCGATGTCGAAGTACAAGGGTCAGGCTTCAGCAACTCGACCAATTATCTCGCCACCTTGCTGGTCGACTCGAGAGTACTCACCTTTACGGCTTTCCAGAATCAATCTGCGCTATGTCAATCGATACGTAATCCTACGTTTGGCGCAGGAACAGGCTCGGGATGTCCTTATGGGCCAGGCTCGATCGCCTTGGGCGTCCGAGTGCCGCTCGCACACGAATACAGCCTTACCACCGTGCAAACTCGCTTGACCGTACTCGACACTGCCACACCACCTGCTGAGCTTGCTTGTCTTGACATCTCAGCGACGCCGTACTATCCCGATACATGGGAATACGCCCTCGTGCTGTGGTTCACCGCGGGACTCGCCATCGCGTACGCTGTCTTGACATGGACAGCCCGGCTCTGGGCCAGCTGGCAGAGTACGCTGCTCGACAGAGAAGCGCTCCTCGCCACTTCGCTCTCTGCCCGTCTCAGTCCCGAAAGCTGGCGAGAACGATGGGGCCCTATTTTTTGGCGCACGGCGGCAGGCAGTGAGCTCCAAGCAAGCACTGCGCTCGTTCGCCTCGTCACGCCCTGCGCTCGCGATATCGTCTGGCTCACTCAGTGGCTCATTGCAATTGGCATGGTCGCCGTGCAATGGCCGCAGTTTGCGTATCCCATCTTTGCGAAAGCGGCCTGGTCTATGCTCGTCTTCAATACAACAATCACGCAAGGCTCAGATACTGAGGGCAAGTTCTTCGATCCTTTGTCAAGTGATTACGTAGACGCACGCCTCTTCACTTCTCAGGTCGCTGAGCCTGCTTCGCCACTCTACCTTGATACTGCTCTGCCAAACGTGCTCCTCAATCTCAACAATAGCAAGAGAGGCATCGAGAGTGTCGCTGCAAGCATTGGCGTCAGACCACAGGACATGTTCGGTTCAGTCGGTGTACTCTTCCTTGCCCTCATTGCGGCCGTGCTCCTGCTGTCCGGTCTTGGCTTGCTGTTCGATCAAGCTACATTTGATCTTTTCCTGCCCGCTCTGTCGCGGCGTCCTTTCAGGAAGACTCAAGCAAGGCAGCCGATACGTAGCGTAACAGGCGCAACCAATGCTTCCCAGTCTGTCCTGGGCGACAAAGAAGACATGCGATCGGAGACCCCCATGGCTGCTCAGCCCCTGATTGACACTGGCTATCAGAGCTCGACGCATCATCTCTCGTACGGCAGTGGACCTCATGCAGGCCCAAAGCGACCAGACACGCCCAATGGAATCGACAGCTGGTGGACTAGTCAGGATACGCGCAAGAGCAGGACTGTCGCAATCAATCGTCACTCTCGACTGGCGTTCGGGAACTGTCTGCGCATCCTGCTGCTCTTTCACTTCCCGATGACGTTGCTAGCAGTCTACCAGCTCACCCTGGCCAAGACGACTGCCTCGATCGCATCTGTCGCAATGGCTGCGCTCAGCCTTGCTTTCGTCTCGCTGGCTTGGCCGATTGCTGTCCTCGCGAGAATTCATCGCAAGCCATCCAGCAAACTTCGGGACAATATACCCACCATACTTGCTTACGGTCCTGCTTACAACGTCTTCGGCGAAGGCAGCTATAGCTTCATGTCGGTTCGCTTGATTGGGAACCTCATTCTTGGTGCTGTCATCGGAGGCGCCCAGTCATCGGGCATGGCTCAGGCGGTCGTCATATTAGTTGTCGAGATAGCAGATACACTCATCACTGTACGTATCTACTGTGTTCGGGGGACATACCGGGGCTGACCATCGCCGCAGAGCTTGTGGCTCCCATGGGGTGATGGCGCGGCGATGGGTCTTTTGTCGTTCATCTTCTCGGTAGCACGCATCATAACGGCCATCATGCTCGTCGTGCTCAGTCCTACCGTCAACGTCGGCATCGCAGCGGCAGGCTGGGTCGCCTATGCCGCGCTTGTGATCATCGCCGGGATGTTTGTGATTCTCTTTCTCATGTTCATCGTCAAGCTGGTCGAATTCGGTGTCCGCGCGACCGGGCCCGTGCCCTTTGAAGAGGCTAAACACGGTCGCGGTGCGGGTTTGCGAGGTGCTTTACAGCGATGGGAGCGCGGTGGTCGCGGTCAGACCTTGCGCAGCGATAGACGGCGTCAGCAGGTCATTGCAGCTCGCCAACATCAAAGTCGCAACTCGAGAGGCTCATCTGCTTTGCATCTCATCGCGCCACCTCGTACGGATGGACGACCGCAGTCGATGCAGACTATTTCCGACATGACCACCTACTCTGGCTTCCAAGGGGTACCGCTATCTCCGGCAAGTAATATGCGCGCGATGTCTGGTACAGACTCGTATCGGAATTCGTCTGGCTGGCCAGAATACGATCCGCGACGAAGCTATTTCATGCCTGAGCCCGAGCCACACCAGCAGGGGACTGGTTTCGCAGTCGTAAGAGGAGGAAGAGCATCCGATCAGGCACCGTACACTGTCGCAGGTGGACCGCCACCGCATTCGGCCGCATCTAGCTCAACACAACGTCCCCTGGCGAGCGATGATAGACCGATGAGCACTGCGGATTTCTACAGACGATCGGACTATTTCGGGCAAGGTCACGTCAATCCCAGCGTATCTCACCAAGGTCCAGAATCAAGTGGGTTGCATTCCAACGCTACCGTCATGGCGCCGCCACGACCGCCTAACTTCCTGTCGAATTCGTACTACGCGGCGCCGGCAGGTACCGAGCGGCTTCCCGTGCCGCAGCGCAAGAAGAAAGGCCTCTTGCAACGAATGCAGCGCAGACGGCCAGGCGAGTCTGACGAGTCGTCTGACGATGAGGACGACTCCCCTCGTTCGCGCTGGCTTACAGGACTCTTCGGCCGCAAGTCTCGCAGAGGTGTGCTTTTTGATGACGACGCAGAGATGGACGACGGTGCTTCGAGCAGCGCTAACAAGGCCTCCTTTAGCGTCGTGCGACAGCCTCGTCCAACGGCACCGCAGCGACAATCTGTCGTGCCCGAGATCGACAGCGCGCCTTCCCCTAGTGCGGAAACAGCGCCCGAAGGTGCCGAAGACCTCGAAGTGTTGCATGACTATCCTGCGCAGTTCAGACGATCCCTGCCACCTGGCGCAGCTGCTGGTCGTGCGACGCCGAGAGATGACGAATCTGAAGATTGGCATGATGCCCCAACACCATCTGTCGAATCTTTTCATGAAGCTGCCTCGACTGTAGGCCATTAGACGATATAACGAATTTGCCAATTGTTGTTTGTTTCGGGCAAGCTTGGCATTGCACCCTGTAAATACGACCAACTATCCAGATCATATTGCCGAAAACCGTCGGTGTAGCGGCACAGAGGATGCTTTGCGGTGAGACACACCTCCTGCATCCATTGTGCGAACCATCGTTGCAGGCCTCAGAGTGTCGGAGATTGATCGCGACAACGAGACGTCTTGCAGCAGCTTGCTATGTCCAAATTGTTTCTTGTCCATCATTTGACGCGTTGTGCGCTGTGGACCTTGCTGTGTTCCCTTGACGCATACGACATTGTACGTAGAGCCATTGTGTCGATCGACCTATATGAGACGTCGCAGCTGAACTTCAGTGCGGTGATGCACCGTACAATGCAAGGCTGTCTCGTCGAATTCGTTCAGCTTGCACATTGTTGCGCGGCTGATCTGTCAGAGGGTGCGGATGAGCTGACAAGCTGCTGAAGACCGATATGACGCTGGGACGCTTGAGGAGATGCACGGAGAAGCCAGAGGCAATGTGACGCCTGAAGGGAAACCTTGCAAGGCTGCAAAGTCGCGACGGAAGCGACGTCGACGAAGGCTCGAGCTTGAGAGCTCTGAGCGGCGTGCTGCTGCGATGGCCAGGCTCAGTGAAGCCTACGTCTGCTTTGCGAACCTCACAAGATCGATCGTCGAGCATGCTGTCCCGACGGAGCAAGCTGCCAGAGCAGATCCATCCACGGCAAGGCGGCACGCACGAGACGATGATCTAGCCAGCCATGCGCTCTCCACTACGTCTCTCTCGCTCCCCGGCACCCTCGGCGTCATTCTTGCCAGGGTCACAGATAGCGGACACACGCTCGAGCTCAGGTGGATCGCCGAGCTTGCCGCGAGCGGACAGGAAGAGCAGACATCCCCCATGCCAACTGTTCGACTCTTTTTCGCCGACGCTATCGTGCCTTCTGTCATCCTGACGGCGCTCGAAGGAGATGATCATACAGGACTCGAGCTCCATGTGCTATCCGAACAGGGCAGTCTCCACACGCTCACCTTCAATACGCTCGAGACGCTCTTTTTCGAGTTGCAAAGTGGAGGAGCGAGCAACAGTCAGCCTACTTGGTCACGGGAGTATCTCTCGCACTGTCTCGCTAGCGAACAGACGGGCAGGATGCCTGTGCTCTGTCATGCCGTCCAAGGATCAGATCAAATCATCGTCAGTTGCGACGACGCGACGCTTTGGCTACTTGAAAGACAAGATGACGGTACGTCCTTGCGCATCTCGTCCCTGCACTGCTGATATCTTTCGCTAGGCTGGACCGAGACGGAGCTCAAGCCAGCCTCTACAGGCTCTTCGTTCAGGATGCGGTCCCTCCTGCCTAGTCTGTCAGCGCGTTCGATTGTATCGCTCTCTCCGTCCGATATGCCTACTTTCACGCTAGCCATGACGTCTCAACGCGGCAACGGGCTCTTGGGCTCGCTCTTCACTGTCACCCGTGACAAGAAGCTCAGGATCTATTCGCTCTCGACAAACCAATGCGTCACCGTTCTTGCGCTGCCAGAATCTTCGTCAACTGCGACTACGAGCAGAGCGCTAATTCGACCGGTAGCACAATCGAGAGATAGCAAGATAGCACTCTGGCCGGCAACGACGCGAGTCCTGATCAAGTCTGCTGCTGCAAATGCGTCAGAGGGAGACTATTCGCATTATCTGGTCTGCTACATACCAGGCCCTCACAACGGCTTCTTCGTCGTCTACGGCTGCACGGTCAGAGCGCAAGATGGCGAGCTTGATACGCTCGTGCCACTCGCGTACAGAGATGCCAACATGCCCGAAGGAGCTCGCCTTGTCGATTTTCTGCCTGTGTACTCACAGCCTATCCTGGCCGGTGCTGAAGAAGAAAAGAAGTGGACGCTATGGACGCTATGGTCCGATGCCGGTATGCGCTCGTTCCGCTCTTGCTCCCTATTCGACGAGGACGAACAAGAGATGGAAGAAGTTGGCTTCACTTCACTGCGTGCCAATCGGACGACTTGGACAGACGTACTGGGCTCACATCGCTCACGACGCTCGGCGGCAACGTTTGAGTCTCTTCTGATCGATACTCCCTTATCTGTGGCAGAGCTGTTTACAGAGTATATCTTCTATCCCGGCCGATTTGCTTTATCGAGCATACACTTTGCCCTTAGCAGAATAGGGCACGAGGGTGATCGAGGGCTCTACGAATCACCGCTCGAACACGCATTAGCAGAAGTCGGCGCCAAGGTTTTCCTCGACCACGATCCGCAGACAGGCCTGCCCATGTACGAAGAATATCAGACCTTGCTCAAACGAGAATGGCTGCAATTCTATTCGCTCGTCAATCAAGCAGAAACCAGCGGCGAGACACCGCTTGCATTGCTGTACGATGAGACCACATCTACATTGGCAAGTTTGTCACGAGATGGTCTAGCTCTACCGTTCGAGACGGATGTCTTCGCACTCGCTCAGTTACCGCCAGCACAACTCGAATCGACCCAACAGATCTCGCCTGCTGCTACAAAATGCCTCGGTTCAGACGATAGGCTGCCTGAACTCCGTCAAGACATTTTGGAGATCATACAGACTCTTGGGGCAGCTCGTTCTGCTCTCTCCGGCATCGATGTCAGCGAGCTCGAACAAGACCTGGTTGCTCTAGCGAGGACACCGAGGTCTTTTAGTGTCGATCAGATCGTGTCCGACTTTTATGCCCGTCATATTCTAGATCGACCAGCAGTCGACGAGGCTTTGGCAGACTGTGCTGTCTCGGCTTTTGCGCACCACGAAGCTATCAAGCTCCTTCTCGAAGCGGCAGCCCACCTTGAGGTTGGCCTGCAATTGAGCGAGGACAGGCTACCAGGAACCCTGTTTCAGACTTGGTTCGGTGCAGCAGCGGCGCACCAGATTGTTCACGGTCGCTTTCAGTTTGTCTGCTTACTTTTCGTTTTGCTGGCCAAGTATCAGCATGCGCTCGATGTGCAAGAGGAAGATCTATCGATGGCTGAAGATGATCGACCTCAGCCGAGCGATCTGCAGCGACTTGCAAGCCTTCAGCTAAGCGCGCTTCGCAGTCTAAGATACCTCAGCCTGTTCCGCTTTCTGGCATCGCAGCCAGCTCCGCTTACGGCGATATCGTCACAAGATTCTGAAACAGATTTACAAAAGCGGATGACTCATCTGAATGTGACTTTGGCGAACCCCGACGAGGAGGGCAGCACCAGTGGATCAATGTTGCACTATCTGTTCACGCATGTGGCTCAGCTTCGCATCGAACCAGCCCTTGCGCCTGCTCGTGCGCTTTCACAAGGCGTACTCTCAAGCTTGGCATTGCTGTTTGCGCCAACGCAAGATAGCGCAACAATCAATGGCGTCTCCGTCGCACTTCTGGCTAGCTTCTTGGTCAAATGCGATTGTGCAGAGATAGCGCTGCGTCTGTTGGACGGCTTCGCAAAGGATGCCGCTATCGCATACGTGGCTGCCTCTGCAAATTTGCAGCTCGGACACGCCAAGGCAGCTCTTGACGACTTTGAGGCAGCAGCTTCAGGTATAGGTACGACACCATATGCGAGTACACTTCGTCGAGTGCTGATCCGTTCAGTTTGACAGGTCAAGATGAGGAGCTCTCTGGTGTGCTGCCGACCGATTTGCCCTTAGACCTACCGCATTACTTGCAGCACGTGATGGACGTGATGCAGCAAGCTGGTAGTACACAAGGCACCCTTTCTATCGCCTCGCGACTTGTCGAGACCCTCGAGCCTTCTGAGCCAGAACTTGTTGACACGACTTTGTCTTCAGGCGCTTGGCTCTCACTTTTCCGCAGCGCGCTTGCGCTTACCAAGTATGATCGCGCATATTCGGCTATTATGGCCATGCCTCATCGCGACCTCCAACAAGACTGTCTGCGCCTCTTCGTGACCGCAATAGTAGACGAAGGCGATGTGGATCTCTTGATAGGCTACTCGTTCGGCCAGCTTCAAGCCGCTGTCAGCGAATTTCTCGACTTTCGTGCGAGGAATTCCGACCCTCGAGGAACGCCGAATCACTATCAGGTCTTGTCAGTTTGGCATCTCGCCCGAGGCGACTACAGGAGTGCAGGACAAGTAATGTATCAGCAAGCGCGCAGGATGGCCGAATCGGCTGCGCGGTCACACGCTCATTCCTTTGCTGACGAGGCCGCTCGACAATGCGAGGCTTACCTGGCAGCCATCAATTTGCTTAGCCTCGTGCCAAAGTCGCAAGCGTGGATCAGCTTACGGGTCGAGTCTAGCGCATCCGCGGGGCTCCGCAAGCGTCGACGCATTCAGTACTTTAGTCCTTCCAGCGAATCGTCTTCGGATCTAGACGTCATCGAGCTTGGTGATATCCGCAAGGAGTATATTGTGCTCCTCGCGCGTCTTCAGCTCCATGTTGCCTACCCCGAACTTATCCATACTGGTGCGTACATCGATCGTAGGTTTGCGTTGCTGATTCATACCTGAAGCAGTCAACGTCGAGGGCTCTAGCATCGTTGCGTTGTTTTCGCAGTCTCGTCTCTTCGATCAAGCTTTGGCGCACGCAGAACAACTTGGTGTCGACATGTCGAATGTCTTCGCTCATCTAGCGCTTCAATGCGTCATGCTTTCAGAAGCAGAAACTAATCATGAGTGCGTTCTCTTGCTTTTCAAAGGTGCTTGGGCTAATCATACATCTGACAGCCCGGTCGAATCTGCCTGGGTTGATCTCGATGATGCTGCGGTTACATGGGAAGGGTCGCACGGGCTGCGTGCCTGGCGATTGCTCGAGCTGCACCTAGAAAGACATGATTCCAACGGGCGATACCGTCAGGTCGTGCTAGACAAGATACTGAGCGAAGATGCCGACGCACGCATACCCAGCTGGCTCATCGCCTACTTTGTGGTGCGTACGTCTCGCTGCGTTTAGAGCCACGCTCATTTCCCATCAGGCCCGCGACCCGGCCCATCTCATCAGAGCTTACCTTCGGCATAACGTCGTGCGAGCGCCACTGCAGCTAGCGCTGGCTCACATACGAAAGGCAAGCGGCTTTTAAATTCACTGGTCTGCGCTGACAATCCGTTGTAGATCAACGAGGACGCAGTACATCCGACCCGTCAATTCGCGAATGCGGTCATCTCGTACAATGCTGTCGAAGAGCTCCTCAGCGTCGATTCGGATGATGAAGACATCAAAACTTTGCAAGATGCATTGCGTACTGCTCTCGAACAGAGATGCCGCATGATCTTGAAGAAGGACGAAAGCATGCAGACCCAGTCAGCTCTTCTCGAGCGCGATTCAGCGCGGAGGAAGCTGTCGACTGCCTTTGCCTGACGCTGGTCCGCCTTTGCCGGACGTAGGACCGCCGTTACCAAGAGCAGCTGAATTGATCGGTCCAGCGGGACAATATTGGCTCGACGATAGCTCGCAGCCGATGGGCGAGGCTCTATTGATGATGTTGCCTCCGTCATCAACGAGGATGCCACCCGCTCCGCAAAAATCGCTGCACGTGCGTGTCAATCAATGCACAAGCATTTGCGTCTGGCTTGCCTGAACGCCACGCAGGCCTTATAACTACTGGGCGCGTTGGTCAAGCTGTAGCTGGCGTAGCAAACGCTAGCGTATTCATACGGGCTGGTACGTATCAGCATCAGATAACACGTGTTGCGATGCCGTACCAATTGCTCGTCTGAGACTCAAGGCTGCGCAAGGGTCAGCTGGAATCACAGGACCAAAGAAGAGACCCACAAGACAGGTACCTCAGCTTTGACAAGACAGGCGCTAGCGAGCAAAGCAAGCAGGAACTCTCCAAACATATTCACCCCAAGATGCACGATCTGTATCTTATCTAAATGGCGTATAGCAACGAGGCTATACACTTGTTGTCGATCGTCATGGCAAAGCCTGTGACTGTTGTCACACACTTCATTGATAGGGCAACAGATGGTATGCATGACGATTGCAACCACAACGGTGCCCTAGGAACCTCTGTGCCATAGACTCGAGCCCGGACCGCGATTTCTCAGACTGGGCATAAGTGACGACAGACTGCTCGTCGATCGTGTGCGGGTGCGTAGCAGACGATGTCTCTTGGAGCGGCCGCTCTGAGTTGTGGCTGCAGATGTAGACGAGGCCAGCGTCTCTGTGTCTCGCGTGAGTATGGACGAGTCAGAGGTTGATAGCGAAGTGGGTATGGATCGCGAGATCGTAAAGCTGGATCGCTTGATCTCATGCTGATTGTCGAATTCGGCCAAGAGGGGACGCGTCGATGTATCGCGGTAGACAGATATCGAATCTTGCGTGCCCGAGCCGAAGCTGCTCGGTGTGATGAGACTTAAGCCGTTCAGCAAACTATCGTGTAGCGAGGTTGTCGAACCGGCATAGATTGCAATGGGCATGCTGGTATCGAGACCTCTTGCTTTTGCCGCGGCGCTGACGGCGGTCGTCTTGCGTACTTGCTGCTGAACGTCGAACACATCGCGCACAGTTTCCACGAATGCAGCGTGGGTCGTAAAGGAGAAGGCATAGTCGATGGCAGCCCAGCCGAGATCATTCTTGATAGCGGTCGATGCGCCTTGCTCGATGAGACATTTGACAGCCTGCAAACGTTGTCAGCTCTCGACAGACACTATTCAGTTGACATGCAAGGACGTTGCCCCAGCCACTGGCAAGGTGAAGCGGTGTATTGCCGCTGAGATCCGGCAAATCCACTTCCGCGCCTCGTTGCACGAGAAGCTGTATACACAGTCAGCTTGGAGTGGAATGCGATGTGGGCTGCGCGCTTGTACAAGTTCGGCATTTCCAGAGTGACATGCCAAATGCAGGGGCGTGGCACCTTCAACATTGCCCCAATTAATGGCATCGGGGTATCTGGAACAGCAAAGGTCAAGGCAGTCGTAACTGCCTCTCTGAACGGCAGCATGTAGGATAGTCTCGCTCTTCTCGTCCTGGTGTGCTTGCACGCCGAGGCAGCCATGATCGAGCAGCTGCTCTAGTAGGGCGAGCTCATCCGTCGCTGCCGCTTGCAGCGCGACTGTCCATGCTGTCATCTGATCGATAGTCGCGAGCAAAGAGACGTTCCGCAGGAGGATATGCTTGATACGACTCATATTGGACCGCTGGATGGCATTGCGTAGCTTGCTCTCGTCTGTCGGTGCCATCACATTGCAGCTTGTCGTGGGGTGCTGGGCTCGTTGTTGAATCACGTTGACGGGCGACTTGCGCACAGACCGCTTGACGAGCTCGAGGTCTGAGCAAGAGGAGCGAGATTGCCGGTAAGTGCTTGCGGAGAGAGGGCTATCTGGCACGCTGTCGGCCTGCAGAGTGTTCAACGTCCTCAAGGTCTTTGACGCGACACGCTGTCGTCGTCGTTCGCCGTCGTCATCAGGCTCAGTCAGCAGTCAGGCAGCTGCATGAGCACGCTCCTCGGGCCTCGCAAGGCGTCTCGACGACCACGCTATGACGACGCACAGATTGAAGCTCAGCTCGAGTCGGCAAGCAGCACGTGTTGACTGCTAGGGATCTCGCTAATTTGGACGGATTGCAGCTCTACTTGCTCTCGGATCTCGGCCTATCACTCAAGCACGACAGCACAGAGCAGATTGCGCCTATCTTGCGGAACATACAGGCATCCGGTCAGCAGGTGCAGCGCTTTGCTAAGAGCTAGAACCGCGCTGACACGGCGCGTAGGATGCTTTCGCACGCCATCTGGACGACTTTGTGAGGTCCAAGGAGGCAGAGATAGAGTCTGTCTGCAAGGACAACTATCAGGCAAGCTCATCGTGACTGGCAAGTGAAGCTTCGCTGACGATATTGCAGGACTTTGTGTCGTCAACTGAAAAGCTCCTCAAAATCCGTCAAGGCACCGTCAACCTGAAGCACCGCATTGTCGAACTGGACGAGGACATACAGAGCAAAGGTGGCGATCTTGCTGCCAGAGTGAGTATCGTGGCAGTGTCGCACACGCCGCATGGCTAACAGCGAGGTCAGAAACGCGACTTGCTAGAATCGAGACGCGTTGGTGCCAACATCGACGAAGCGATAGAAACGCTCCAGGCGTGTCTGCGTGTCTTCGATCTCTTCAGCAAAGTCAGTGAACTCATCGCTAACAGGCGATACTTTGCTGCTCTGAGAGTCAGTCGCTCGTTCATTTCAGGGTCGCACGCTGACAGTCACTGAACTCAGGCTATCGAAGATCTGGAGAGCGTGCATCTGAAGCCACTCATGCACCTCCCATTCGCAGCGCATATGCTCTCAATCCTTCCGACAACTCGACAGGCGATCCGCGAAGCAGTCACGAAGGAGATCAAAGCATGGCTTTTCGAAGCGCGTGAGAGGAGCCAGCATGTGGGCAAACTGGCCTTTGCAGCCGTGGAGCAACGCAACAAGCGCTGGAAAGCAAAGAAGCTCAAGGAAGACACTGGCATAGCCCTCTTGCCTCTCGCAAGACTCAACGGACCTGTTGAGCTCGGCCTCAAGGAGAGGCATGATAAGGATATCCTCGAACAAGGCGATACCGAGTTTGACTTCCGGCCGCTTTATCAATCGATCCATATCTACGATACCCTCGATGCGCGCGAAGAGTTGCAATACAGCTACCAAGAGGATCGACGGGCGCAAGCCAATTTGATCCTGTCCCAGTGTAATTTCCTTACACCTTTTACCCTTGAAGGCCTCACTACCTTGCTCGAGAACATCGTCGGCTTCTTCACCATCGAACACTACGTTCTCAAGTCCACAGGCACTTTCAGGCTCGAGCAAGATGTGGACGAGCTCTGGGAAATGGTATCGCAACGCACGGTCACACTCATTACAGACGCACTCGCAAAATGCAGTCAGCCCGAAATGCACTTGGACAGCAAGCAGGTCATACTGGGCTTTGTACAATCACTTGAAGGCTACGGATACAACGTCGAGCCTCTGCTTGCGCTGCTTTCGAGCCTCTTCGACAACTATGTCACTCTGCTGACCCAGAAGCTTGGGCGCGATTTCGAGAATGTGAGCTCTTTCTATTCACTAGTGATTGCTACTGACGTCAGGATAGATGATTGCCGAGGACAATTTTCAGTCGATGGTAGTGGAGACAAGCGAGCAGCTCGACAAAGTCGCAAGCGTCTGTTGGCTGCCGCTACAAGGCGAATGGTCTGAAGCTGTCTTGCGAAGGTTCGAGCACCGTGGCAGTCAGACGGTATTGCCGTGCTAACAGGCGCATGATCGTTTCAGTCACGGCTTTCCGCTCGGGTTGCCTTTCTCGCCTACGTATCCGCTGGCATGCATCGATATACGCAATTACATCGATCAGTACTATCAATTCGTCGATGGTTTTGCGCAGCATCGCCGCGACGTGGATGATCGTCTGAGAATGGTGTGTCTTCCCATGCTGTCCATAGGCTCGACTGATATTTGTTGAAGGCATTGGACACCTTCATTCGCGATCGTCTCAATCCGACCATTGCAAAATATGCCAACCCGTCACTCAACCTGTCGCAACTTTCACAAATCGTCGTCAACCTTTGCTTCTTCCAGATAGCTTGCTCCGAGATAGAGAAATTACTCGGTTCATTGAGACTTCTCACAAAGACTGCAATCGTTCATCTGACTGCGCCAGAAGCTGTCGCAAAGACGCTCGATACGACCCGGCTCCAGACAGTACGATCTGTCACTGGCAAGCTTGACAGCTTCTTCTTGGATGCGCGCTACGACTGGACGCTCGAACAACTCACCCCTAGACTGCAAATGCGACCGAGCAATTATCTTTTGGAGCTGGTCGACTACCTGACGCTCGTTATGGACTCGATGCTGATACAGATGCCAATCGAAGTCCGCAACGACGTATACTTGGGCGTACTAGCTCACTGTGCAGACGAATTGATGGTATGTGTGCCATGCTTTTGCGCAGCCTTCGCTGAACGATCGAACAGAATTTGCTCATAGATGAAGAGCCTCGAAGGATCAGCGAGGCCGGATTTGCAACTTTTGCAAATGATATTAAGCATCTCGTGCAACACGTCAGCTCGAGCGATTGCGATGGCGCTGAGGAAGAGCTTTCCGAGCTGTCTCAAGTGAGGGCCTATCTGCAGATTCATGGACCCACGCTGAACCGCCGTCACCCAGATTGTCTCGCTCGTACAAAGCAACTCGCCGCAAGACTACCTAGACCCGGATCTGCACGAGATGGCGTTCGCCAGCATCACGCCAAGTCACCTCAACACAGTCCTTGTCAAACTATTGACACATCTCAATAGCCTTTCTGGCGCGCTCAACTCTAATCTCCCTCCTCAATTAGCAAAGCGCAAGCGTAACTACGTGCGTTGCTTGCCATATGTCCGCAACGCTTCACTTATTGATGCACGTCCGCGTAGGAAGAGCTCCTCAAAGCCTTGTCTGCATCGAAACAATAAATCGTGTAATGTTGTACAGTACATCCGTCTTCCTGTTGTTGTTGTCACATCTTATCCAGGCCAGCTTACTACATGATGGCCTTCATCTTGCCCTTTGCCGACGCGCTCTTCTTAAGACTGCCACCGCGCAGCGGAATGACAGGCGCATCCACGGACGAGCTCTTCGACACCATTGAGAGGTTCGAAGTGACCTTGCGGAGATTCGAGTGCGTTTTCAGTCCTGATGCTGGCCGGGAAGGTGATTTGCCACTGGAGCCAGACAAGGGTCTGTCATCAAGACCACTGCGCGTAGATGATGCAAGACTGTTTGGCGATCGTCGTCCACCCCAGAAGCTGAGCATGTGTGTCTTTCCCGATGTCAAGGAAGCGCGAGACTCTGGCCTGAGTGATGAGGTAGCGCCAGACGAAGTGCTCTGACGCGGTGCGAGCTCCTTCCCTTCACGCTGAAGAACGTCGAGATAATCGTCCCAGTCTTGGAATGTAGTATCCTTTGCTTTTTGTTGCTTCATTGCGCTTCCTCGCAAGCCAGCAATGGACGAAACGCGAGGCAGAACTCTAGGTGGCATGGTGGTGGTTGTCGTTGATGTCTGCTGCTGCTGATGTGTGCTCTGCCTTTTAGCAGAGTCTGATGAGCGTGATGAGGTGGCAGATGAGAGTGCGGATGAGATGGTAGACAAGGATTCTCTACGGGTCTGGTTGTTGTACTTTGCCAGTGGACTGCTGTAGTGATCGCCCGCATCGTCATGAGATGCTGTACTCGAGGGCGAGGTGTGGTTGGTAGAGAGAGAGAGATCGGACCACCTGAATGAAGACGACATGGAGGATGATAGAGCGATGCTGGATCGAGCGGATGCCAGCTGTTTGCTCGCCGAGGACGTCTGAGAATCTGTTCGGCGAAGTGGAGTACTGGGTGGCTGTTCTTCCGTCGCTTTGAGTGCAAAGACCGGCGAGGGATCAGTAGGCGACATGCTCTTGCCCAACTCGAGAGCGCGTTGCAATATATCTGATATGCTGAGCATGCTCGGTCGAGATACCTTTGCCCGTTCGTGTGCTCTCTCTTCGACATGCAGTGCATCATCCTCGTAAGCATCGAGCGGAATCGAGCCGGATACGAATGACGCGGGTTCCTCTTCGCTGACGGATGGCAAGGTCGAGAAGGAGATAAAATTGTCATCCGGTTGCCTGGTAGGGTTGACGAGAAAGCGGGTAGGTAGATGAGAGCGCGAGATGGAGCCAGAGGACCATCTGACAGATTCGGTGGGTTCTCCTTCGTCATCTTCATCCTCATCGCCAACCTCTGTGCGCCAACGGGTGATGGGTGCTTCTAGCGCGTGCCATTGGGCTTGCTGGCCTTCTTCGTCTGGATTCTGCTCTTCGTGCTCATTATCATCACCTTCGTCATCATTGACTGCTAGACCAGTTTGAGTCTCCTGGAAGTCTTCATCGTCTGTCGAACTGGAAGTGTCATCGTCTGCGTCGAAATTGATAGGCATTGGCTCGGGCGACTCTATCCGCTTTGGCGGATCGGGAAAGCTCATGGTATCGAGAGGCAAAGGCGAAGGGACGCCAGAAGATTGTCGTGTGCGAGGCGTGCGAGGCGTGCCAATAGCCAGCAAAGGCATTGCATTGTAATGTGCGAATGAAGAGGTCGAGGCTGAGCCGTCTAGTGGTCTTATGGAGGGTTCTAGCGATAGACCGGGCTGTAATGAAGTAGAGAACGGCCGTCGTCCTCGCTCTGATGTGTCGGTTGTGTTGATGGCGGCGTAAGTCGAGTAGAGCGCTTCTACATCGAGTGCGTCGAGGGGCTGCGCAGAGCTAGAAGCTTGCCGCCTGCCATGACGAGGCGAGATGGGGGATGCGCCGAGCTGTTCCTTCGTCGGACTGAGCTGGTGCTTGTAGCTCAGCACCTTTGCCTTGTTCGTGAACGTTTCCCGTCCCAATAATCTGGCGCAGACCCATGGCATCAGCTCAGATACGCCAACGGCTACGTTATCGCGCACTGTGGCACGACGGGGGACTCCATGAGCGTGCTTGACTGATGAGCCGACCTGGAAGTAGGCGTCTTGGGCGTCGTAGGTATCTCTCCGTCGTTCCAAGGCGGTAGATCGGCATAGCCAGAGGACCACTCGTGCGGTGAGAGGTAGCCGTTCTGCGCAAAAGAGCGAGTGCCCGACAGGCCGCGTTGCCTCGAAGGACTGTGTCCAAAGTCACTCCAAGCGTGTATCTCTGTCATCCTGGCCGTCTAGAGAGAGCCAACAAGGCGACGAACTGCCTCTTCCCGTGCTGGCAGGCCACGCTCGCAGGCACAAACCTTGTCTCGCCACTCGTTCCTCCGTGGCGACAGGCTCGTGCAGGCTTGACAAGTGCCGTCTCGTGCGCGTGTGTGTGTGTGGGCTGGATACGATAGGAGAGCGAGGTGATGAGCCAGGATCGCTGCTGCTCGAGTCGAATGGCTGGCAAAGGGGAGCGTGTTAGCAGCTGCTGATGTAGATCACTTGGGCTGAGCTTAGTTCAAATTCGACGCGTGTCACTCAAAAAAATCGACGCGTTTTATCGTGCTTTTGCTCAAAGACATGCGGGATGCATTCAGAGAATAAGTCCAAAGAGCAAAAAGCCTTTATTCGAGAGCGTTGGCACCCGTGACGATATCGACGAGATCTGTGAGCAAGAAGGATGAGCTCGAGACAGGCTGGAGTGGGTGCGAGAGACTGACCGTTGGTGATGACGGATTGACGCATTCTGTTGAATTGCATCTGGAGCTTGCCTATCATCTCTGTTGCGTTCTTGGAAGCATTGTCCATAGCGTTCCTTCTCGCAGTGATCTGAGAAGCTCGACCGGTGAGCTCTTGTTGACAGAACACAGACGCGGAGACGCACCTCTGCAGCGTGTCCTTCGACGAGGGCTTGGTAGACTGCGTTGGCGAGTGCAAAGGAAGCGAGATCGTTCTGCATACCCTCGTCTTCGATCTCGTAGGCTGCAAATTTGGGCGAAGCGGCGAGTGTCTCTGCGTTGTAGACCTCGATGATGTCTGATTCGTAGGCGATGGCAGACACAAACTTGTTGTAGATCAGATTGACCTGCGCGCACCGTCGACTTGTCAGCATTGCACGTCAGATGCTAAGGTGATGGAGGAGCGTACCTTTTCGTATTCGACCTTGGAGTCTTCAATGAGGGCGACGATAGAGGTGGCATCCGAGAAAGTCGGGATCGTCTTTCCGATCTGGTTGAACGTGATGACGAGGTTCTGGGGGTAAGCTCGGACGATCTGTGCCTTTGGCTTGTCTCCCAAGATGACGACGTTGGCCTCTCCCTCGCTCCCGTCGGCTTGGATCTCCTTCTTGGCTCGCTTGGAGACTGAAGAGTGGATACCTCCGCAGAGACCTCTATCGGAAGAGACGACGATCCAGAGCGTCTTGAGCTTCTTGTCCGTCTTGGCTTCCGCTTCGTCGAACAGGACGGCATTGGCCGCTCCGTAGCCTTTGGCGGTCTTCATGGCGTTGGTCGCCTTGTTCAACCTCGTCGTTGCAATCATCTTCATCGCTGTCGTTTGACAACGGCCCTAGTCAGCAGGGGCATGACGGATCCCTCGAGCGTGCCACTGACACTTTGTGATCTTTTCGATGTTGCGGACCGACTTGAGTCGTCCCTCGAGCTCACGAAGCGTAGCAGCAGGGACGGGTGTCGAGCTGAAATGACGGGCTTGTACTGCCGCATTGAGCTGCTTCAGGCCCGTTCGTGAGCTCATACGCCCACTGGCCATCGACAACGCCATCTTGCTCGTCTCTCAGACAGACTCGCACTCCACAAGGCCTGCTGGCTTGTCGAGCTTGCTGTTCGGCAGTGTTGGCTTTGAGGCGTTTACTGTTTAGGTGGCGTCGCGCGTTGGCCCAATGCACGCCGAGGCCGAACAGGCGAGTGATCACGCAAGAGGAGGATGATGATTGGGCCCGTCATGCGCAACGGTCTGGCTACGGCCTCACGTAGAGCGACAGTAGCTCCTTCTACCGTGCTCAGGAGGCAGCCACTCCTTCGCAGAGGCTACGCAGAAGCAGCAAGCGACAAGCTGAGGCTCTCGCTCGTTCTGCCTCACGAGGTCCGTCGAGGCTTCGTAGCTCATCTGCTCCTCGACTGAGACACGACTGCGTCGTCGACAGGTCATCTTTGAGAGCCAAGAGGTACTTCAGGTCAACTTGGCAGCTCAGTCGGGCGATATGGGTATCCTCGCCAATCATGTGCCTTCCATCGAATCCCTCAAGCCGGGCGTCGTCGAGGTCATCGAACAGAACGGTCAAGAAGCAAAGAAATGGTTCGGTCAGTCGCCTTTCCCCACTTCTTCGCTTCTGCCTGCCATTCTGTCCGTTGGCGCGACGTCGGACGCTTGCACTTGCGGAAACAGAGCCGGAATTTGAGGCTGATGAACTTTGTGTATTCAGTGTCGGGCGGATTTGCGAATATCCACCCCTCAAATCTATTGACGGTGAGCGAGCCTGCTCGGGTGATTTGATGCCAGACTAAAGACGACGGTCGCAATGCAGATTAACGCCGTCGAGGCATACCCTCTCGATCAATTCTCTGCAGAGGTATGCTTCTGCTTGTCACGCATGCAGAGGGTGCCCATGCTCATCTTGTTTCAACCATCCCAGGCAATCCGCTCCGGCCTCAGTGAAGCTCAAAAGGTCGCAAGCGGAAACGGATCTGCAGGTACGCTCATGTCGCATAGTCAGCTCTGACCTGCAAAACTGAACGTTCGGCGTCGTGGCAGAAGAAAAAGCAGAAGCGAATGCAGAGATCGAAGTCTTTGAAGCGCTCCAGTCTGCTCTCGGTGCACGCTAAGCTCAGCGCGAGGGTCAAGTCGTTCACTATCTTCGAGTGTATCGATGCCTTGCCGTGCGATCTCTATGCATACCTCGTGTCAGAGTAGAATATGAGATTGCATCGTCTGTGCATTCGCTTCGTTGTGCCCACTCGAAATGGCTTCATGGCGTTGTATCTATCGATAGCAATCGACCATGATGAGACGCGTCGAGCCAACTCAGCGCGACACTCAGCGAGCAGCAGCACGACTGACGGACATTGAGCTCCAGAGCGCGCTCTCTGGCGATCCATCATGGACGATGAGTGGGCGAGCAGCATTCCTGCCATACCTTCTCTCCATGGACTCGACCGAGCGATAGGTCAGCCCTGGCTTGCTTCAGCCCTTACCGCTCGAGCTCATCGTTGACATTCGATTCTCCTGCATTGATCATGGCATTCACACAGCCGTCATCCTCGTCAGGTCAGCTTGCGTGATCACACGCCAAGCGGGTAGGCTGACGCAGAGTCTGACAGCGAGATTGGCGACAAAACTTTCCTACTCGCTGCTATCCTTGCCATGCGACATCCCCGACTGACCATCTTCTCGGGCGCACTGGGTGCTCTGGCAGTCATGTCCGTTCTCTCCGCCTTGTTAGGCCACGTCCTACCCACGCTGCTCCCCAAACGCTACACGACCATTGCCGCCGCGTTACTCTTTCTCGTCTTTGGGGCTAGGATGTTACAAGAGGGCTTAGGCATGGAGGGAGGAAACGCTTCGATCGAGGAAGAGATGAGGGAGGTCCAGAAGGAGATCGAGAATGCCGAGAGAGAGGTGGCGAGCTCGAAGCGACAGCTCACTGGCTCGCGAGGAACAGGCGAGACGATAGATCTACAAGATATGGAGGAAGGTTCCTCATTGCGCGAACTAGACGAAGAAGCTCAGGCGAACGGGATACCCATCTCCTCGCCTTTGCTCAACGGACACTCGAACGGCTCGACCTCGCGCAGACCGAGTTCTCCCTCGCCACTGGGAGCGAGGCGATCGAGACAGCCTTCGGTTTCGCTCAAGGGCATCCTACCCGCTCGGTCGAGAGAGGCAGCAGGCGATACGTTCAAGGAAGGCGCGAAAAATTTGCTGTCCATCTTCTTCAGCCCAATCCTCGTCCAGAGCTTCGTCCTCACATTTCTTGCCGAATGGGGCGACCGATCTCAGATAACGACGATTGCGCTCGGTGCTGCTCATGTCAGCTTGAGAAGGCTTTCTTCAGCTGATAGAGTGCTGAGACGTCTTCTGTTGCCCGCAGAACGTTGGCATTGTGAGCTTAGGGACGATAATCGGGCATTCGATCTGTACTGCCGTCGCAGTCTTGGGCGGTCGATGGATTGCCAACCGCATCTCCGTCAAGCATGGTCAGTCGTGCTCCTGTTCCATCTTATGGTAGTACTGATACAACCCATCGCGCAGTAACACTGGGAGGAGCAGGGCTGTTCCTGATCTTTGGACTGGTCTACACGTACGAAGCAGTCTACTGGTCGCAAGAGCCAATAGCCTCGCCAGGCCTGATCAACGACATTACGCCCGCTAGTCTCGAGGCATAGCATACACTTGTACAGATAGACAAAACATTTGCACGACCCAGTACGAGTTCTCTGACGCGGTGAGGCCTCCCTTTCGGATTGCCTCGCGATTAATTTATTGGGAGAGACGCGAAGTTCGTGCCTGACGCAGGCTGACATCTGGTCTGACATCTTGTGCAGAGCGATATCGCTAGACAGTGCGAGGCAAGCGACATCGTCTTGGCACTCAGCAGAAGTACTGATGCGGTAAGCTGGCGCAGGCTGCATCGCATTCTCGAGAGCTTTCTGCGTCAAGGCCAAGCACTCGAGACACGACTTGATCGATTGATCGATCATGTCTGCCTGATTGGACTGCCTTGATCTCTCAGTCGAGTCCCGACAGGCCATCCTCATCGACAAAATACTATTACCGGCTCAGCAGTCATGTCGAACAGATCAGTGGTAGGCGCTAGCATCCTTTCAGCATGCTGCGTGTAAGCTGAAGTGGGGTGACTGCTTCAGCCACATGTCTATAGACAGACGATCGATAGCACCATCAATGCCGTCAGGGGAGACTTTGAAGAGATGGGAATAGAAGATGCCGTGCTCGAGGAATTACAAAGGGTCAATCATGTCATGCTGCAACATGAAGGTCCATGCTGAAGCAGGCCGCGTTGGCAGCTATGGGAAGTCAAACTGGCAACGTCAAGGGTAGCAGATTTTACTGCCGATGCCAGGATGGCGCCCTATGCGAGAGCTCTGCCGCCTCTCCCGCCTGCACCTGCGTATTCTCGTAGCCAGAATACCTCCATAAGCTCTGTGCGTCTTGTTCACGCTCACATAGTGTTGCGTCCTGATCGAGCAAATGCAGAGCGCACCGAGTCAAGAGCAAGCGCTGTGGAACTCTGGCTCATCTGCTTCCACTAGCGCGACTGCAAACGCCAATGCCAATGGCTATCCGTCAGATGTCAAACCCTCCATTACAGCCTCACCGAAAGATCTGACAGCAACAGATGCGAAGACCGCGTTAGGGGCGGATGAGAAGCCAGACCGAGACGAAGACGCCATCGATTCAGATCTGGACGATCCAGAAGATGATGAGGATGATGAAGAGGTAGCCGAAGAGGGTGGTGATCTCGTGATTGCGCTGTATGACAAAGTACAGAGGGTGAAGAACAAGTGGAAGATTGTGCTCAAAGATGGCATCATGTCCATCAATGGCAAAGACTACCTCTTCTCTCGATGTAACGGGTGCGTGATCCTTCTAATCATCTATCACAGACTCTGATTTGTACGCTCTTCGCGTGCAGCGAATTAGAATGGGCAAGTCTCTTGCTTCCGATCTCCAAAGACGGTGCTGATCTGCGATGCGCTCCGCAGTGAACCTTCGTCCATGTTTGTACGCATCTACCTTGCATCTCATTGTACCGCAAAACCTGCAAAAATCTCACTTCGCACTGCTCTCGTGTTGCATACAACCTTACACGATCTCTCCAAAACGAACGAGAGACCAACAGCACTACCTTGTTCGATTCTTCTCACGGCTTCTTACCCCCCAGATTGATCTTCAAGCCCGATTTGACGCCGAGCTGCCCTAATCTCGCTTTTATGCTCGGCAGCGGGCTGGACCGCTTCTTTGCACTCAGCTGACCGAGCTTGTCTTCGTTCTCCTCACTGGACCTTTGCTCTTCTTCTAGCATTTTGAGCGGCGGTGGCTCTTCATGAGGCGCATGAGCTAACGGACTCTCTAGTGATGCAGCGAGGGGCGCGCTCGTGCTCGAGTCTTGCTCCTCGTCGCTATCCTCTCCTTCATAGTCGACCAAACCTTTTGTCCGAGCGTTCTGTGCGCCCAAAGCAGACCCAAAAACGAGCGCTGGGGATTTGATGGGTGTGGACTGTTTGCTTTCTCTGCCAGGCAGCTCACCCCCGGATCGTTTGCGAGATTCGCCTTTCGTTCTCCCTTTCTCTTCGTCGTCAGATGAGCTCTCGTTGAACCAACTTTCTTCCTCTATATCGAGCGCTCTACCAGGTATCCCCTCGCCCGGCCTCTGCTTGCTTGAAGCGTCTTCTTCCTTTGTTGACGTTGCCGCAGGCGGTGGCTCATTGATCTGCTCCCATTTATTGACGAGCGCTTCGAAAGTGGGATAATCCAGAGCGAGACCGCGAATTCTTGAGCCAAATTCTTTTACGAGATGATTGATGAGAATCTTGGCGCCTGACGTACGAATCTTCTCAAAGAACTCCAAGCAAGCAGACACGACGAGATTGTCCTTCTCGCGTTCGCCCTCGATGACTGACAGAACAGGTTCGAAGATGTTTTCCTTTGTCAGGTATCGATTATAAAAGTCGTCTTGCCGCCCTATACACGCTCGGAAGTAACGCAGAGCCGCTACGGCTAGAGCGTCAGCGCTGTACGAACGGCATCGTCTTTGTGAAAGATCGCACCTAATCTGAGATGTTTCGGTTTCGAGAGCAGCAAGAAGGCGACTTTTTGCGAAACGGGAGAAGACAAGATCATGTACTTCGACCTGAAGCTGCCCGCGTTGACGAAGAAGCAAAGGTGATCGCAAAGATGAACGTAGAGCGCGATCTGCGTCTGTGATGGGTCAAAGGGTCCTTCGAGATCGAGCAACGGCTTGATGAGTGTCTGAGCACACTTATCGTAGAAGTACTGCAGAAACTTTTCCGCTTGTGGGTCTTCTACTTTCGCTCTCAGCCCGATTTGTGCGGCCTGGCTGGTCTGTCAGCGCAACGACCACGAGAGATCAGCAGCTAGCGTACCTCCTGAGCCATGTCTGGCGTCTGGATGAGCACTTTGAGTGCTTCTGCCATCTGGCCCTTGATACCCAATTCGGCTTCGACATGTAATATGTCAATGAGAGAGAACACAAGACTTCTCTTGCCCGCCTCGTGTTGGACGAGACAGTGTTCTCTGACGCTGTTTGGATCGTGTTCGAGGATCATCATGAGAACGTCGATAGTTGCCGTACGCGCTGTTGGCTGGTGTGTCCACGCTAGAGCGATCTCGACAAAAGATAGGATGCCTCGGTCCGCAAGGGAGCGGAAGAACTGGGTTCGCATTGGTTGTTGTAGGTTCTTCGCCATCTGGCAGAAAGCCTGCAAGAACGAGATGACATCGTATTGCTTTTGCCTTTGCGGCGACACAGTCTCTTCGACTTGTTCTGGCGAAGAAGGGTCAAGCTTGATGCCGAAGAGTTCTGCTAAGAAGTCATCGTCATTCTGTAGAGATTGCACGATATCGACTTGATTGAAGAAGATATGTGAATTCAGCATTGAAAAGGTTGGATCGTCTAATATTCTTGCTAGGATGACGTCCTTGAGGTATTGTAACCGATAGGTCTGGTGTATCTTTGCTTGTAGAGACGCATCTCGAAACGGCACGACCTCTCTGAAGAGGCTCGGATTGCCTAGATGTTCGCGGTAAGATGCCTTCATCGTCGGAAACTCGGGGTCATCTGTACTTGGGCATGAGCAGCTATCATGCGTTCGTCAGTGTTGCTACTCACATTCGAGCAAGCCGACTATGCCAAGAAAGATGTCCTCCTGCATGATGTATTCAAAGAGATTATTATCGTGCAGGAGTACTGGCAGTCGGTCAGCGGTAGAACAAGTTGATCAGGATACACTCACGAATATTCTGCATGAGGATGCAGCAGAGGTGCAGATCGTCTAAGCTCTCTAGATCTTCCGCTTCTTGATGCACCTGCACCAGCTTGCGCAAGAAGGCCTGCGAAGACCCCTACGAATGAGCAAACGCGCTTCTTCAAGCATGGACCAACTTGCCGTTCTTAGTATTGTATTGACGATGGCATCCCTGCCCGAGACCGGTCGCGATATCCGCCTGATGTAATTATCAATCTCGCGCAGATTGCCGAGCTTGGGTTCGGGCAGATCGACATCGGCTAGGGCTCTACTTGCAGGCGAAGCCGTCACAGACCGAGAAGGTCCGAGCTCATCTGTCCGCATCACGTCAGGATCTGATGAGCAAGACGGCTTTGCAAGGACTGGCCTGAAGAGGTCGTCGTCATTCCGTTGGCCTCAAAGTACATCCGCACTTTCTCGACGAGTTCCCAAACGTCTGCACAACCTTGCACGTTGGCAAAGCTGAGAGCCATATCGGTCCCATCTGCTTCCGTCCAAACGATCAGAGTGTCTGTCGGGCGAGCAAGTCAGTACGCAATAGCGTCCTGACGCAGAGCCCGAGCTGACCTTGCTGACGCTGATAACCGAGCTTGTGATCTTCGTTGTCGAGCGATATGAAACCGCCGCTAGCAGCCGCGAACATGACGCGTCTCATGCCCGATTTCCAGATGAGTGCGTCCTTGGGTAATCTGTCCGACGCGTCGTCGCTGCCCGGTTTGCTCTCTGAATCTTTGGTAGGCGATGAGGAATTGGCAGGCGAAGCAGCCTCTGCCTTGACGACGATCCAAGGACCATCTTCGTCTGCATGAGTCGCGCTATCGTCTAGTAATTGCACGGATCCTATCAGGCCCAAGCCCTCTGTTGGCTCGCGCACGTCGCTTTCGGTAGCGTATGCAGCAGGTAAGACAGGGTAGACGGAGCAAAAGCCGGTGCCTAGGTCGGTCCAAGATTCGCCTTGCAGCCTGTACACTTTGACGCGCCGCTGCGAGATCGAGTCTGGCGATTTATCTAACAGGTCAACAGGGGGAGACGAGCTCGACCTTCGCGTGGGGTCATTAGCATAATCTAGAGCAAGCTCGACGAGATCGTCGCCCTCGTGTGAGTTCTCCTGCACTTCTACTGCCGGTGCAAAGCGATCCGCCAAATAAGTCGACGGACTATCATCCTGGTCTAGTTTGATCCGCTTGCGAGGTGTGTCGTCGGGCGATGAAGCAGGTGTGCCGGTGTATGAAGGCAGCCTCTCCATCTCGCTGCTCTTGATGCTGGAAGAGGTGACGCCGGCGAGAGTATGCGAGGTGTCCTGTACACTGGCCGAGCTAGCAGGCGTCGCCTTTATCGCGGTCGAGGGTCGCGGCGTACGCGTATGAGGCGAAGCGGGCTTCCGTTTCCTGTTGGGCGAATCGATAGACTCTCTGGTGTCTTGTGATGGAGAAGCCGAGCCGAGAAGGGAAGAAGAGCGAGGCGGTGGCGTGAGGGGTCGGCTGTCAACGATGCCATTGCTCGCTTCGCCAGTCTCGGCTTCCTGTCCTGGCGCAGCATGCTCGTCTGATGGTTGAGTGGCCATGGCTCAGGAGACCAAGGCCGGCAGGCTCAAGCAGGTTGAGCTGCGAGATGAGACTTTGAGCAGAACAGCTGAGGACACGCTCGTGCGGGCTCTGCGGTGTCAAACTGGCGCCAGTGTCAAGAGACTCGCTTCATTGGGCACCCAAGCTCGAGTGAAAGCGTGTGCAGTGCCTGTGCAGTCGTGCTCGTCTGCCCGTGACGCTGCTGTTGGCTGCACACGAGCGCCTTATCGATCTTTGCACAGACGCTGTCGAGTCGTCTCTGTGGGCGATTGACCTGATGTCGACGTGGTCTTGTATGCCCTGTTGCCCTCCAGACGCTCGCAGGACGCTCTAGGGCGCTGCCACGGGGGCTCGGACACTCCTTACGGCCGTCGCTGCAAAGTTGATCATCGCGTTGCTCTCCTCGACTCGTCGCCAGGCTCGCAGCTGGCAGACGACGAACAACTCGGCTCACAGGATGAGCAACAAGCGCATCAAGGTATGACACACACACACTCTCTCTCAGCGCACCGCAAGACGTAGGTACTGATGCAATGACCACGTCAGGGCATCTCAATCCATCGACCAGTCATCTACGGCAACACCGCCGTCTTGCTCAAACCTGGCGAACCTGCTCCCACAGGACACACGCACCGATGGACAGTCGGCCTCAGATCCGCCGCTTCTCCCCTCCCTGCATCCACGAGCTCGTCGCGCGGTCAGGGCCCAAGCTCAGGGCAGGCGATAGGAGGTTGCGACGATCTCTCTTACTTTATCAAGAAAGTCACCTTTAAGCTCCACGACACTTATGCTAACCCGACGAGAAGTACGCTCATTCGATGGTGCGGAACTCTCTCGGGCTGATGCGACATGCAGGCATCGATAGACCGCCCTTTGAGGTCACAGAGACGGGATGGGGCCAGTTTGAGGTGCTCATCAAAGTCTACTTTGTCCCCGAATCATCAGAGAAACCTCTGTCGCTCTATCACGAGATCCGCCTCCATCCATGGACGGCAGTGCCTTCGCTCACAGCAGACGAAGCTACGCCCAACGCCTCGACCTACTGGCGTGACGGATTAGCACTCGTCAAGCTGCCGGGCGATTCAGGCAAAGAAGCCGTTCTGTCGCCTATCCATTCGTGGCAATATGACGAGATTGTCTTCCAAGATCCAACAGAAGCGCTATACAATATCATGACAGAGACCGCGCCTACGCCTCTGCCCAAGACCTCGAGATTACCTCCCAGTATGGAGCAAGGTCTACCCCTTGGCGTGGGCGGCAATATTGGCGAGCTCACTCTCGACACGGAAGCCAAGGAAGCTGCAAAGCTAGAAGAAGCCCGCAAGACCGTCTTGACCGATCTGGAAGAGCTCAGAGCGACGCTGATCGAGCAAGAGAAAGAGCTCGCCGATCTGCGCAGAGAAGTCGACGGAGCTTAGCATGCTCTTCACACGGTCATTGATTCCCAATGCGTGGCTGAGCTACGAGCCGTCCATACCGATCGTTCTCTCGACTGCTGCTCGCACAACTATGATCGCTTGCTAGCATCAGTCGCTGCCAGCTCGCCGACGCAGATCTGCCGGCCTACTCGAATCCTGCGCTTCAGCGTCGAGCTCGTCTTATGCGCATTCTGCGGGATCTGCTACTCGACCTGCGTCAGCACCGGACGACAGCCAGACGGGTGTTCGCGACGGCGTCACGTTGGCAACAAAGTCGGAGCTCTGCTCATGCCGCCAATGAGCGCACCAGAACGACAATGACAGCTAGAACAACGACAACAGTGCGCTACCAATTCTATGTTGTTCACGAGCGATGCGTGTGATGATGATGATGATGATGATGATGATGATGATGATGATGATGATGATGATGANNTGATGATGATGATGATGATGATGATGATGATGATGATGATGATGATGATGATGACGACGACGATGGGGCGAAGAGCTTTGACGAGCATTTGCTGACTCAGGTGAGGACGGAGTAGGGGCGGCTTGAGGCATCTGCGTGTTGTGATGACTGACGCAGCAAGGTCCGCTGAGTCTGAGATCAGCTCGTGAAGTCACCGAACAGTGTCGGTCACATAGCAGCGCTTTGCAGCCTGCAGTCGCCGGATGAAGTGCACACAGGATGAAGGCACTCCGGGTCTCCCTGCGAGTCTTGCATGTGCTGCGCGAGCCATCGGGGTAGCTTCCGAGCTAGCTGAGTGACAATGTGTGGCTTTGCGCTGTGATGATAGAGAAGGATGTCGCGTTAATTCCCACAAGGCTCTGACCCACTTGACGCTGTTCTGAACTGTTTGCCGATTTGATCTCGAGCTCGTACCACTCGTTACACTCTTTTCAAGGTACTTGGTGACCGAGAAAGGTAGTCTCCATCGCGTTCTGAAGTGTGGATCGACGTTGCTGAGAGACAAGGCCAGATTGAGTGGAACATGATTGATCGGATCGACCGTGCTCGATAGACGTCGACGTAGGTAGACGCGCTCGTTCTGCGCGAGTAGACCAAAGACTGACTAGAGGAGCTGGTGCCCGACGGATGGTCAGGCCTGCGCTGCAGAGGAACAGCTTACCGGAGCCACCTGATGGAGATAACGAAGGACTGAGCGAGCCAGAGGGTGCGATGGATGAGCTCGAGGCGCCCGAGCTGGCGTTGGCGTCAACGATGCCTGATCTGCCTGGACAGCCCTCACATCCACCCAAAAGCTTCGCCGAAGCTGCTGCCGAAGAGCTTGAAGATGCGGACAGCTCAGAATACCGCGGAGCAACAAGTCATCCCATGCTGCCCTCTTGGTCCTACCCTAGCAAGCCTCACGTACCGAACCCACTCGTGCCAGATGAAGAGCTCCCGAAAGTTGCCTCGCCGCTCAAGTCTGCATCAGCTCACACTGTCGACTTACCTCCGATTGATCAGCTGGACGAGTCGGATGGGCAACCCATCGCGCAACGACATGCACCAAGCTCACCAGAGATCAGAACGACCATCACACTCAATGGCAACTCGCCTTCATACCGGTCTCTGAGCAACGGCACGCTCGCCTCCGATGCAAATGACCCGTCAGGTTTCGAGGAACAAGACATCATCGCGCTCGAGGCAGATATTGAGCCGAGTATCCAGGATGAGCATGTTCAGATACTCTCGCGCGAGGATGCGCCGCGGAGGACACGCGCTCAGATTCTCACCCGCGATAGTAACACCGTCGATCCTGCCCGTCATGCGTCTGAACCTGCACGCCCCGTACTCCCCCTACAGCCGCAGATACTCAAGAGACCGCTGAAACCACCCGTCTCGTCTGTCGATGCCTCGCCTGACTCGCCGCAAGCGCAAGATAGCGACCTACCTGGCCTCAACGGCGGGCAGAATGGTGGTCTACAGCAGTCTCTGCAAACAGCCATTGCTGCACCGCCCAAGCCCAAGGCGCCAGAATCACCGGCGTATGGCTACTCCTACACCGATTCTGACCCGCTTCAGACTGAGCTCGAGGAATGGTTCTCATACGTAGAAATCCCTGGCGTCGTCAAGGACGGACGTGATAGCTGGGAGCGTGGTTGGGAGACGAGTCATTCTGACGAGCCGTGGCTCGAAGCAACGCCTGCGTTGCGCAAACGACATATCCAGGACATGCTCGAACACCTGGAACATTCAGACCCGGAAGTGCGCTTCGAAGCTGGCAGAAGACTGGCTTACATCGCCCATGGCACTCCCATCTACTCAGAATCGTCTGATCACCATCTTTTGCTCATCATCACAAACTGTAACGTACTACGCGAGGCTGGCACACTCAATGGCGTCTTTGAAGCGCTCAAAGGCACCGCAAATCGATGGCTCCTGCTGAGCACGACAAACGAACGGAATGATGCTTCGCCGCTTGCGCCCTCGATGACCAGAGTAGAGCGAGCAGAATGTCTCGAGGAGATCAACTCGGAACTGTCCATGTATCTCAGCATCCTCTACTTTATGGGCGAGATCTTCAATGGTGACCTGCAATGGGCGGAAGAGATTATGTCGGTTGAGCCCCCCTTACCTGTCTATCTTTTCACACTTGTCGCCAACCTACGCGAGAGGAATGCAAAGGGATACCCTGTCAAGAAGGTGAGCTTGACGCCTTTGACAAAATAGACTTGCTCATATCAGGTGGAAAGCTACTGCTACTACTCTGGAAGGCTCTCCTAGCGTGTATCGGCGGCTCGCAGGACATTCAGCGCGTCAAGAAGCTTGTCAGAGAAATTGAAGGCTTACACAATCCCGACATCAAGGGCACGTCTTATTTTCACTTTACCGGATTCAGACTGATGTGAGCGAGTAGCTCGGGCGCAACTAGCGACCAAAGTGGCCACAACGGATCTCGCTCATTTCGGAAACGATGTCGCGATCAAATATCCGAGCTACATACCCCCTCCGCCGCCTATGCCAATACCCGGGCTGCCGCTCGAGCGCATCAACCGAGCAGTGGCTCCTACGCCCATCCGACCCACTTTCTCATATCAGAGTGGTCCGGATCCGGCTAGCAATGCCGAAGCTGGTTCGAGCAAAGCACAACAGCCGCAACCTCCCACACCGGCGCCATCGCCTCCGCCCGCAGTCGCAAAGGGAAAGAAGCAACAATATCAGACGGACCAGTCTAAGCCATTTGTCATGCCTTTCTCGAGCGCGAACTCGCGATACAAGGGCAAAGAGCGAATGGTTCCCAGGAGCGTAGAGGAAGCGGCCGATCTGTATCTGACCAATCTTAGGATCAGCACATCGCTCTGGCAGATCTGGAAGGTCAGAGAAGAGTGTATGGCGGAAGAGACCGGTCTTTCTCGCGTGCTACCCGATGGATCGACTGCGGCTATGAATGCGCTTACTGATCAGGTGGCGACTCTGACGCTGGACGAAGTCGACTCGGACGACGAAGGCTCGCCTGCAATGGATCCAATGACGTTCTTACGACGCTTGGAGAAGGAGACTCGGCGACAGGCGACACAAGCGCCTTCGCCGATCAGCGCGAAGCTCGAGAAGAAAGCTCAAGATATCGTCAGACTACAACGGATTGAGACGCTCTACCGCTCGACCTTGCCCAGACTACAAAGTGTCGTCATCGTCTTGCTCAAGTTACTGCTCGCCACCGTCACGGCCAACAATGGGCTAGGCAACTCTGGCAATGCCGAAGACCCGCCGGCGGAGCTCACACTGGAGGATACAGACATTTTGCGCCATCGTGAGATCACGTCGAAAGCTGTCTCTGCAGTCTTGCTACTTACTTTACGCTGGTTCAAAGCTTCACACGCTCTGAAATTCGAGTACCTCGCGCAGCTGCTCGTTGACTCAAACTGCTTCTTGCTCATACTGAAAATGTTCGGCCTGCAAGAGGTTGCCCAATCTGTTGCATCCCGTAACGATGTCGAGGACTGCAAGTCAGTCATTCAGATCATGGACTCGGAACGCATGCTGATATTGCCTGTAGCTTCTTCCGCTATTGCAGCATGTACGGCAGCGCTGCCCCGCCTGTGCCTCGACCGGAAGACATATTGCTCGCTCAACCCGCCAACAAAGGCACAAGTGCAGAGGCGCAAGCTCGCGGAGAAGGCCAGATCATCACAGAGTACTCTTCACGCAATTTCTTCTCGGCCATCAATTTCGTGCATATTCTGCAGAAGCTCACAAAGCGCAAAGCGCACCGGACTGCTCTGCTCGTACAATACAAGAGTTCTGCGATACTCAAACGTATCTTGAAAGTCTCTCAGCCAGACTTGCAGCTTTACACACTCAAGGTCATTAAGAGCCAAGTGCCATATTGCGGGCGCAAGTGGCGACAGAGCAATATGAAGGTCATCACGGGCATCTACCTCCACCTGAGACCAGATCTGCGCGAGGAGTGGCTTACGACTGTCGACCTGGATGGCGATATCGAGGACTCGCTACCGCACGAGCAGGCTCTGCGCGATCTGATCAAATTCTTCAATGAGAAGCACTACAGCATTTACGCGCCGAACTTGCACCGCCGCTCGACGTCCAGCCTTGGCGCGTCGTCGAACGGTCCCAACGAATCAAACAAGCCACCTCATCCGTCACCAGGCTTCAGTCATGGCAGCATGCGACTCTCGGACCACGACAGCTTCCCACCGACACGTCCCATGTCGAGCATCAGTTTAGATGACCATGCGAGCTCATACTTGTCAGACTCGCTCGCAGATCACTACCTGGAAGATTACGAAGAGATGCTGGGCGATCTCTTCACACCCAATTATGCTGCGCCAGATGGCGACGCGAACATCTGGGCGGATACTGGCAGAATGCAATCCGAGCACGCGTGGCAGCGTTTGTCAGCTATACTTGGCGACTATGATGACATCAGCGACTCTGAGAGTATTGGTAGCGTCGACTACTTCGGTCTGACCGACATCGGTGCCGATGAGACTGCCTCGGACGAGGGTGACGAGCTGAAAGCATGGGAGCAGCTCAGGTATGCTTCGCGTCATAGTAGTCAGACAAAGCTGACTCTTACGCCCTTTTGCAGTCCCGAGACGATCTCTGCGCTCGAAGAAGAACGCGTGCACAGTCTGAGCCCAGCAGGCTCGCCTCGCTCGCCAAGGCCACGAAGGTCGAGTCAGGAGCCACGTTCGCCTGCTCTTCGGCCTGTGCTTAGCTCGCGGTATGACGACGACAAGGTCTTTGACAGCAGATCAGACGACGAGAACTTGATCGTCCCGCCTCGTTCACCTCATACTGGACCAGCAGTTGACGAGTTTGAAGTTGTCTTTGGCCAATGAATCTTTGGCTGTCAGTCAGGTGAACGGCGAACGGCGCGCGCGTGGTCCCAATCTGCCCAAGTCCTCGCCGTGTAGGCCAGGCAGGATGGCCTCGACGTCGAGTGGGACGCCAGCTGTGCGCTCTGCTGCCGGCAGCCAGGAAGGCCAGCCAAGGGCGTCTGCTTGGGGCAAGTCTCGTCCCGCGGGCGGTGCCTTGGCAGGTCCAGCAGCGCAGGCTAGCAATGTGGACTCAAAGGCCGCTGCCGCCAAGCCGAGCTCTGACGGCACAGCCACAAAGCCAGAGAGTACATCTGGTAGCACTCGCAAGCCTTCAGTGGCCGCTGTCGTTGCTTCTGGGCCGCCTACATCGATTAGCTCCGTCGTGCCACTTGAGAGCAAAGCAGTTGCTGCTGTTGCGGGCTCGTCAGTCTCACAGCAACCCGCTCAGCAGTCTGCTTGGACGAAGAAGCCTGCATCCATCACTTCTGCGCCCGCTCAGGCCAGTCGACGTCCAGCAGCCAACAGCTCGAGGCCAGTCAAAGAGCTAGGTGGAATGCTCGGTGCGACAGTCAGACTGCATCTCTCGCCCATCGCAAACTTGCCTAGCCCAGACAGAGATCTAGCAGAAGGCGTCGTATGGGGCTTCGATGCAAGCCTAGGCTTTGTCGCGCTCGAGATTGCAGTCAAAACGACGACGGCTGCCCAGACGGGGACCGCGAACGACGCAAAGCAAGCAAAGACCTACCAGCTCGTTCGACTCGATAGGATACGTTCCTACGAGCTAGTACAGCCGACACCATCCGACTTTGTACCCATGATTGTGCAGCGATTCCCGCAAAAGGTACTCGTCAATCGCGAAAAGGCAGCAGTACGCGCAGAGACCGTTGCAGCGGCTCGCGTTGGACCAAAGGGAGTCACACCTCTCGGCCAAGCCATCTACGACGCTCTCGCAAAGACGTATGCGCGCACACGGTCTGATCTGCGCCTTGCTGACATGAGCGCAGTCTGCCCGTGAGGTGGCACAAGACGAATATCATCGTCATGGACGAAATCCTGATCAGCCCGCCCTACAACCCGCCAGACTGCCGCACGAGTGCAGACGATCCAGGCGCGAACGGACGCTTGCTCAGGATTCAGAAAGTTCTCGAGGGCGAGAGGACGAAAGTACTGAGGCAACAGCCTGGCTTGAGCTCAGCGTAGCTCGCCATCCTGTCACGAGGCAATGCATTGCAGTCGTAGCCAACACTATCCAAAACGAGCGAGACGCCGTCGCCTGATCTCATCAGGGGTGGGTTGCTCTATCTCTTCTAGATCATCCTCATCCACCTCTTCTTGCTCTACTGGTGCTGCCAAATTTGGTGCTGGTGATTCAGAAGTGATCCTACCGGCGGCCATTTGGTTGCGTAGGGCAGCATCATCAGCTGCCGAATGAGGCGTCGACGTGCTCGAAGCAATGTCGGACGAAGCGGATGAAAAGGCGAGTGAAGCTTGAGTAGCCAGTCTGATCTGCTCTTCTTCGCTTTCTGCACCTGTCAGGACTGACTCGGTTTTGCTCGAGCCAGCACGCGGAATTGAGCTCTCCTCATCCGAGCTATCTACCACGATGATGCTTTCGTCTGAGCTATGCGTTTTGCGCGCGACATGCTTGGTTGTCTTTCTTCGCTGAGCAGCACGTCGATTCCATGGCTCGTCCTCATCTGTCGTGCGCGATCGAGATTTGTTGTTCGTGCTGTTCATGATAGGCGGCTGCGGCAGGGGGCGCTGAGTGGGCCGTCGCTGGGTGTCTTCTGGCGCGTGTGCAAAACCCAGCTCGGGATGCGTGAAAACATAAATGTCGGCCTGACTGGTGGGTAGCGTCGTCTGATGGGTTTCACCTTCGTCAGAAACGACGGTAAAGATCGAATAGCCCTCGTGTTGCGCTTGTTGGAGCTGCATGTCCAGGTAGAGCACACTGATGCGCTCCGGTGCTGGCAGGAAGCTATTCAGATTGTACCATATCGCACTTGCTCCTCCTTGTTCTCCTAGCTCGGATGATGGCGGCCCAAAACGTCGCATGGCGAACCAGTGCTGCTGGTAATTGAGGATGAACGCAGCCTGATCACCTGGATTGTGTTTGTACGCCTTCATCTCGTCAGACGCCCAGCGTACCAACCTGAGCCCCATCCATTTGAGCGCTTCATCGACGACGGTCACGCTGAAGAAGCCAGTGTCGTCTGCATTGTAGCCTGTCCTGCCCGTCCGCTCGCGTTGCTTCCCGCTGGCGCGACTATTCGGCATAGCTCCTGGGATATCAGGCATCATGTCATAGTCGTCATCAGCAGTCGTAAAGGGATGTCGCTCGTGTGTGCCACTGGGTCCGGCTTCTCGATTGTCTTCACGCGCAAGATCAAGCTCGAGTGCGTCCAGTCGCTGAGCGATCTGTGCGAGTTCTGAAGCGGTGAAGATGGGCTCTTGGAAGAGTGCGTTTAGCGCATGCTGAGCGCAGAGCATGCTGCCCTCTATTGTGCCTGTCAGCTCAGGCAAAGGCAAATGTCGACACTTGCTTGCCTTCTTGCTATGATTCGAATCATCACCAGGAGTGAGGGATGTTGCGGATGGTTGAACAGTGTGATGATGAGAGATTTGTGAGTGCATCATCGACAGGGTAAACGCGCGATGGTGAGAAGGAGATTGGGAGTCGAAGGTCAGCATTTGCATCGAACGAGAGATGAGTCAGACACGTCAGCATGTGCTCATAGCCTGATTTGATCGACTGACCCTCTCATGATAGATCTTCGTCAGTAGCTCGTCCATCGACTCAGTGACCAGCAGTCATGGGGTCCTCGATAGGATCAACGCGTCAGCACAAGCAGTCACAAGACAACGATGTAGCCCTGGGTCCGTTAGAGTTTATATATGTGGTTGTTCAACGCGAATGTCAAGCCTCATAGGTTTCATGGTGTAGTAGTTATCACGTTCCCTTGTACGTTAATTGCCGACTATTTTCATTCAACTCTGATCTAATCTCTCAGCACAGTACATCTGTTGCGGGAAAGGTCTTGGGAGCATAACCCAATGGAATCATTTTTGCTGCTTTGCGTCTCGCTTTTTGATGCTGCAGAGTCGCTTGTACGATGCTCCAGGCTCGATTTTTGATGCTGCAAAGGGCGTCGCATATAGCGTACGCCTTCGGTCAAAACACATTGAATTCTTTTCGCGTACAATTTGGGTTTTAGGAGCAGTGAGTCAATTTCTTGCCCGACGGTAATCAATTGTTTCCTAGCAGAGCAGTCATGCTATCGGGCAACACAGCATCCGTTGGGAGCTGAGGAGGCTACAGCTCGTGTGTAAAGTGCTGCAATTATCCTACTGGCCTCAGCAGATGCATAGATGCTACGCCTCAAAATGTACGCCAGAGACCAGAGCCTGTTTGGGTTCCTCGCAGCTGATATGATCAAAATCTTGACCGCACAAGCAAGCGATCTCTGACTTGAGGCGACCGTTCATGGCTTCACGCGCTTCATGTGCCAAGCTCACTTGCGCGCTACACGAGGACTGCAGCTTTGCGCGCTATAAGATATCCTTGAGCGATTGCTTAGCGGATCCACGCTCGAGCGGTTTTGGCTGAGTTGGCGATGGCTTCCAGCCTATACCGTAAATGACTTGCCAGGTGGCAGGGATTGTGCCATCCTCATTGCCATGCAGCTCTGTTCAGGCACAGTAAGCGATAGTGATGACGATCATAGAAAGCCCACCTTTGTAGATAGCACCTGCGGCAAGGAGCGTATCACGCTTGAGGAAGTTGCGCCGGTTGACGACCGCATTGTTCTCTCCCATGAGTTGGAGATCGTGTACGAGCTCGAATATCGAAGGATAATTGATGACAATCTCATCTACGTCAACTGCTGGCAGTGCAAAGTTGGCTCGTGATAACAGGTTCGACATTGAGCGTGAGTCTGCTCGCTCTTAGTCGGATTAAGATAGCGACTGAGTACTCACCAGTCATAGGGGAAATGTGTGGGCTCAGACCGCCTTCGCGCTCCATCTCCGCCAACTGCAGCGATGTCCTGATCTGCGTGTTAGCAGGCGTCATGTACAGCCTAGCCGGCTAACCTGAGCTCGAAGAGTGTGTCACCCCCGAGCAATGAAGCGATGAGAACACCATCCGGCCGTAATGCGCGTTGCAGCTGGAACAGAACGCCTGCTCTCCAGTACTTTAATTTCATGCTAATCGAAGCTCAACCTTTGTGGACACACCTGGCAAGTCGTTGACCCAATGCAGAGCGAGCGAGGACATGACGACATCGAGCGAGTTGGGCTCGAATGGTAACCGCTCGATATCCTCAATGAGCAACCGCTCGACGGGCAGCGCGTATTCTACCGAGCGATCACGTTCGAGAAGCGGCCGACAAGTGTCGACCATGAGGACGCTCTGAGTGATGTCTGGATCCAAGAATTTGGCCAGATGTCCTGCCCCAGAGCCAAAATCGACGACTTTCGGATATCGCCTCTTTATATCCTAGATGCAAGTCATGAGCGCGAGACGGCAGGTGAGTCATTTTCATCGTACGAGCAGACGGTCGATCATGTTCTCTGCTACTGCGTCCTTGACATAGTCTGTCTGCCGAGAGAGTACAGGATCTCGAACTGATCTGACTCTTTGGGCGTGTTTCGTCTGTCGGTCAAAGACGGCAAGCGCAGATGTGGAAGGCATGCCCGGTGCTGCGCTCGCATAGCTCCTCTGTGCATGTCGGCCGGTCTGCAGGAGCTTGTGCATCCTGTAGGACTCTGAAGATCCGATCGACTGGTGCGCGTCATCGCGAAATCACACAGTCGATCTACTCTCCTCTGCCTTATCATCGACAAGATGGCGACTTCAGACTGGGTCGTGAGCTTCTTTACTTGCGTCTCGCTATGTACTGCTGATCAGCCACGATAGATTCGCTCAGTAGCGCCGGGCGTGACCATTTTCGTGCGTTGATGCCTTTGTGCATTGGCGAAAGCTGATCTGGTCACACGACAGTCCAAGCCGTTTGCAAGAGGTGAAAGCCCCAGGCATCAGCACTTCTCTCTTGCTTAGTCAACAGGGTCAGGTGGCTTCGTGCCTATCGGAGGCAGATCGACCGCTATCAAGCTCGCTTCGGGCAATGTCTTTCTGTTCGCTTCGACGCCTTACAATGAAGAATCACGCCAGGCTATCGAAGACATGGCCACGTCCAGCGACTCGAAACAGACAGGCACCGTCAAATGGGTTCTCGCGCCCGACTCTGTGCATACCATGTTTACGAAACAATGGTAAGTCTGCTCGCAATAGCCCAGGTCAAGGGGCTCAGCATCCGCACGCGCAGGCAAGAAGCGTACCCTGATGCCAAGATCTACGGATGTGAGGATTCGGCGAAGAACAAGGAGATCAAGTGGACCAAGATCTTTACAAAGGAGAATCCCAATCCATTTGCAGAGGACGAGGAATTGAGCAAGGAGATCAAATCCGAGTATTTCTCGGGCTTCGTCAATCAGGTAGGCCTCCTTGCGGACTTCAGATTGAGCGCTGACAGTCATACAGGATATTGCTGTGCTTCATATGCCATCAAAGGTTCGCTTGAGATTGTACAAGCACAAGACGCGGCTTACATTCTGGACGGCGGACAGACCTTAGTCGTTGCAGATCTGCTCATGAATCTGCCCGGTGAGTCTACTCATTTGACCGGCGTGAGTCATGCTGACGGTGTATCAGCGACGGAGCAATACAGCAAGTCGAACAAGAGCGCATGGGGCTTCACCGGCTACATGAACCCTTTCTCTGGTCTGCACAAGACCTTTGTCTCTGGACCAGGTGCAAAAGACAAAGACAGCATGGCAGCGAGCGCCAAAGTCGTCAACGCATGGGATTTTACCCGCATCATCCCTTGTCATGGTCTGTCTGATCTGCGGCGCAAGCATATGCAGTCGCTCATCACAGTGTGACGCGCAGGAGACGTTCTGGAGGGAAATGGAAGGGCAGCTTGGAGTTCTGCCTACTCAAAGCTACTGAAACCTTGATCCGCGCACGGTACTGCAGTCTTTGTCACTTATACCACCTGCATTGCATGTGTTGTCGCCTCCCTCTATACCGAACAAGCGCTGAGTGCTGAGTCAGCACATTCGACAAAGACGCGCGCCTTTCGTTGGACCCGGTCAGCATCATGAGTGAGACGGTCAGCTTCATCAAGAAGAGCAAAGGGCGGCCGGCGGGTCTCAAGAAGACGAGCAAGTCCTACGATGAAGAAGCTAGCCAGAAGGAAGTCGTCGTCCTGCCGGGCAAACGAGCTACGCCCTCCCAATTCTCGACGGGTGGTCTCACGAAGCGAGCACGAGCGCAACAAGAAGCTCTCGACTTGGAAGAAGCAGCAGATCGAGCAGACCTGACCGGTGTTGCGTATTCATCTCATAGCCGAGTACTCGATCGACGGTCAAAGTCGCCCTCACCGTCTGCACTCGGTACGAGAGATGTCGATGGCCCCCTGCATCCTACGCTAGGCAGGGGGAAGGAGGGAGATGTACTGGAGGGAGACGAGGCGGAAAGAGCAGATGGTCTGTACAAGGGCGCTTCGGCTTACTCCAGTCAGCTACCGAAAGGCTCGGCAAAATATGGTCCCGTCAAAGGACCGGCCAATGTACGCACTATCACGCTCACAGACTACCAGCCCGATGTTTGCAAAGACTATAAAGGTACGCATCCTTTGCAGGCTTATGTGAGGCGGAGCTGATGAGGAGAGCAGAGACGGGATTCTGTGGGTTTGGCGACACTTGCAAGTTCTTACATGACCGAGGAGACTACATGCACGGCTGGCAACTCGACAACATGTTCCTCTCCTCACAGGCTCAGTATGTGCCATTCTCAATCTAGACAAGATAGGCGCTGATTTCATTGACTCGAACAGGAAGAATGCGCAACCTGTGGTAGAGGAAGCAGTAGAAGAGGAGCTGCCCTTTGCTTGTCTGATCTGCCGCAAACCCTTCACAGATCCTATTGTGACCCAGTGCGGTCACTACTTCTGCTCGGCATGCGCGATCAAGCGCTTCCTCAAAACGCCAAAATGCTATGCTTGCAACGGACCAACGGGCGGCATCTTCAATAAAGCCCACAAGATCATTGAAGTACAAAAAAAGGCGAGAGAAGCGCAAGAACAAGGCGATCAGGATGATGCCGGCCTGACTGCTCAAGGCGAAGAGACGGGCTATGAGATCGAAGGATTGGCCGAGGATGTCGATAGAGTCGTCGAGCCCAGACCTGCTCAGGTCCCTGCAGAGGAGCTCGAAGCCGAGGGAGAAGGCGAGTACAAGTACTTTGAGGAAGACTAGATGTTGCTGTCATGTTGTACACTCTCTGCATCTCGCATTGACCTATCACCCCCCTGGGCATTCGCGTGTCGCGTGGTTTCGCTGCCGTCCAGCTCATCCTCAGACTGGCCCGAACGAAGGATGAGCAGCAGACGACGATGACGGCGCCCTACTGGAGCTCTGCATCTGTGGATAGCTTCGACTCTGCAGGTGTTTGGTCGAATGTCGTCAGCAACCCTAGCTCACCCAAGCGACTTGAAGCTCCAAGCTCTCAATCGCCCACAGCTGGTCCCAGCAGATCCGCTGCGACTAGCTCCAAATGGCCGAGACAGACAGCTCCAGAAGAGCTGGAGAGTCCGCAGACAGGCTCGAGTTGGGGCTTTGGCGATATCCAGGCTGCCAAACCTGCAACGTCGGCAACGGCGACGATCACGGGTACGGCTCGAGCGTCCAACGGATTGAGATCGACTGCACATTCGCCCTTGCCGCTCAAATTGACTCAAGAGTCTCTGGACGATCATGCCACGTCAAGTAGTAGCAGCACCATCCCAGCTCATTTCGCTCATCATACCGGTCTGCTAGATCTAGGAGGCAATACGCGACCGGCTCTCATGCGCAAGACATCGGAGACTGTACGGCGGATATCGGAGAGCTCAGACGGATGGATGGGCAACGGCTCCTTCAGCGCCTCGACGAGTGATAATGGTCTCGCGCAAGGCAACAGAATCAGCGTCGAAGAGCTCAGGCGACATGGTCTCGGTAGCCTGCTACAGGACCGCAAGGGCAAATCAAGGGAGGTGCCGGATGACATGCTGCAGGGAGACACGAGAGAAGTGCTCGTACATCGCGTCAAGAAGACAGACACCTTTGCTGGCATCGCATTGCAATACGGCATTTCTGTTCGTTGCGCCGCCTGCACCTGGGCTGCTGCTGACGCGCTGGACCAGGTACAATTACTACGGCAGAGCAACAAGCTCTGGTTGAATGACCCAATATACCTGCGCAAAGAGCTCTATATACCCCTCGATGCTTGCAGCTTTTCTATAGGTGGCAAGGAAGGCATAGAGCGAGTCGAGCTCGAGCCAGATCACATCAAGATCTACGCTCGCACACGTACAAAGTCGTCAGTTACCAACCTATCCGGCCTAGGCATCGAGCGCCGTGAAGATGCCGGCCTGGGCATACTCGAAGAGCTATCTGATGTTCACTTTGAATCCGATCCAGCTATGCGGCCAACTTCACATCCGCTATCTTGGGACAGCAGTCGCTCTCCGAGCCCGCAATTGCAGAGATTGCAAGCTCTCGACGGAGCTCGGCAAGCTCAAAGCTATCTGCCAGCGACTAATCGCGATCACAACATGTCTCCCACACTGCCGTCGTTCAGCACGATGCTTGCGCCTACGCCTCTCAGACCCATCAATACGGCTCACTCGCCTACTTTCATCATCGATCGTGCTTCGCTCTCATCCGACCAAGCCAGCTCGTCAGTCTCCCGTTCGCTGTCACCCTTTGGTCCAGATCCAACACAAGCAAGGAATAGGACAGAATTAGAAGTGACAGAGATACCCATCACTCGCGTGCCTGCAGCGAGCATGTCGTACTTTCCGCCTGCAGCTACTGCAGCTTCAAACATCTCCGCTCAGAGGACGCCGACTGCTAGAGACTCTTTCGATCTGCTTAGCATTACGGAAGGCGAAATCGATGCTGGTGTCAGTGCGGCCATAGCACTTCAACGCGAGCGACTGTCGAGTGCCTCGTCTCAGAATCTGCGTAGGCGAACAGGCAGCCCGTTTATAGCGAGCACCAATCCGTCTGAGCACCTGTCACAGACGACGGACATGCTGCTTTCCGGAACGCATGACCGCTTGAATGGACATGCCATCGATACACCAGACACAAAGCCACTCGAATCAATGGGGCCGACTTCACCTCTCCTCCGGCCAACGAACAAGCCTGGCTCAGCGTCGCTCAGCAAAGCGCCAACAATGTCAAGAAAGGCATCTTTTGGCGCAGCAGCAAACGCAGTGGCCAGCTTATTTGACTCTGGCGAGTCTCCCGGCAAGCATGGCACGAAACTTCAGTCTGGCTTTCCGACAGCCAACACGCGCAAGTCGCCAGCGCTGAAAAATACCGCTATTGTGCCAACGACGGGCACGAAAGTGCGCAAAGGCTCTATGCCAATTGAGTCGGCCATCGTCCGGGCTGAGCCTACGAACAATTCTGGCTGGAAAGCGATCGATAGCGAAGAAATGGCAATGGCAGCCATCATTCTGAACAGATCTGCTGCTCGGAGCAAGACACAGGAATACGCATCAGGAAGGCCTTATCTTCGTTGATCTCGGGTTTGCGGCAGAGCGGGATGTCTCTCGCAGATTGAAATCGCGAAAATGACGAGCCAACGATTGATGCAGGCAGCGGGAAGGCGCGTTTCGCTCGGGCGGGCTATCATCACGTCTTTACATAGAAAATGCATCCTTTGCCTTGCGACTGCTTGAACCTTGTTACCTGGACGATCATCCCCATATCCTCCTGCCGCTCGCCCCGCGGTCGCCGACATTCCGGTCTTCCGGTCTGGCCTTGAACCATGCCCGCTTCTATCATCTCGTCCTGTCTGCTTGGTTTGCGCGCGTTGTCGGAGTATCATGGCCGAAGCAAACGGCGCATGACGATTCAGCATGGCCTCCGGCGGCACGCGTACAACATGCTCTGTCGCGAGCTACGTGACTTCGCTTGTGGCCACGACATCTACGAGCACTACTACCATTTATGCATGTCTTACTGAGCTTTCTCTCAGGTCTCGGGCTCACACACACAAGCAGGAAACCAGCACTAGCGTGTCCACCTCGATCTATGCGAGCACAGGCATAATTGTCGCTGGCACAGAATGGGTCGCCTACGCTGGCTGCGCCAACTTTTATTTGGCTTATCACCCAGAAGGGCCATATGCCAACGGCATGGGTACTGCACCTCCTGCAGGAGATCCGAGCTACAGTACCACAGGCAGCGATCCTGACGATGACGGCACTGCTGAAGCCGGAACGATATACGAATATCCCATATGCTCGAGTTGCTGTTTGTCCTTGTACTATAACTACGCCGAGTCTTCCTGCGCGGGACGCTACGACATCTGTGGTGCTTGTAGGTACGACGGAATCCCCGGAATCCGTAAGCGCCACCTGGCAGCCGTGCAGGGCGCCTATGAGCCAAGCAAGCCCAAGCTGCTACGACGACAGGCGGAACCGACAATCTACGCGACAACGTCAATGTACTGCGATCCCGGTTCGTCTTACGTCGTTAGCAGCACTTCTCAGAGTACAGTGTATGCAACTACAATGCTATTGACGACTTCTGTCTCGACCGCAGATTTCACAACCTCGACGATCAGCTATGCGACTGTGGCGAGCACCAGCACGAGCGTGTCGACCATCAGTTCCTGTTCCACCTCGATCGAGCCAACTCCTCCGCCCGTGACAAGCAGCAGCTCGACTACCATCACCTCGACGACGACGACAAGCACTTCCTCGAGTAGTTCGTCATCGACAATCCCGACTAGCTCCTCGACAAGCACTTCTTCATCCAGCACTACGTCTTCAGCTTCCACGAGCACGACCTCATCAGCCAGGAGCAGCAGCACGAGCACTTCAAGCACCGATGGTCCGGTCACGTCGACCACGAGCACGGTCAGCACGTCTTCGTCGCCCACGAGCCCATCAACGACTTCTATCACAAGCACAAGCAGCGCGACCTCTGCGGTACCGAGCAGTGCACCCGGCACAGCGAGCTCCGAGAGCGCCGCAGATAACACAAATGCGGTCATCGCGTCAGCGAGCACGACCACGAGCACGGCAGCTGACCCTCCTTCTGTCGTCAGCACGAGCTCAAGCGCCACACCGTTGCCCGTCATCGTCATCGTCCCCAGCGGTTCCACTGAAGAACCATTCAGTATTACGCCAGGTGCGACCCCCTCGACTGCGCCGTCTTCGAGTCAAGCAAGCCCTCTGCCGACACAAAGGACTGCAGTCTTCACCGCTCTCGAACCGACTTTGACTGCAGGACAGGCCGCAACTGTCGGCGCTACAGCTCCAAATGGTGATGTGACGTCGTTCGTCGTATCCGTCGCGCCAGATGGCATGTCTACGTATATCCCGCTCTTCACGCCTGGACCAGCAGCATCCAATGCGAAGATTGCGCCAGCTGTCGTCAACTCGGGCATTCCACTCGTCAATACTGCATCGCAGCCCGGCAACGATCACATGATTGCCAAAATAGTAGCGCCGAGCGTAATCGGCGCCGTCGCTCTCGCAGCGGTCATCGGCTTGTTAGCTTGGAAAGGCGTTTCGAAGATACCCTTCTTTAAGTCACTCTTCTCCGGGAAAGCGATCGGTCACGCTCCACCAATGTCAGCCTCATCGCCGTTCATGCATGGCATTGTCAATGCACAGGTGCAAACCCAGACTCACGAAGTTGCTAAGAAAGCCAATCATGATCATAACCGGCCCAGCTTTGAGCTTGACGGTTCGCCGACTAAGATCTGCGCGAGCTTCTTGACACAGCACAGCATCGACTATACGGCAGCTGATTGGGACGCAGAGATGGCCCGAGCACACAAGACAGGGTAAACTCTTCCAGCTTATGTGTGCTGGCAGGGCTGACATATGTGTCGCAGCTTTGACGCATTTGCGATGCATGTCGACACGCTGGATGAACTTGACTCGCTTTACCTTGCCACGGAGGCGGCAGCCAGGCATGGCCACTTCAAATTCTACTTATCGCTGGATTCTCGGGTACTGCGGCACAGAGAGGCAGTGCTCTTGCTTCTTGACAAGATGATCGACGCAGACGCAATTTTGACTCACGGTTCGTTCTTACATAGCTCGACAATGCGCGGCAACAGGCCCATCGTTGCTGCTCGACCGCCGCGTCACGAGACGCCAGCGTCTTGCAAAAAGCTTGGCGAACGTATCGCTGCACTGGAGAAAAGCGCTATAGCCCGTCAGATCGAGCTTCATTTCATACATCCTCATCCTTTCAATGCTCGTAAATTAGACAAAGCCGTGAAGCAAAGATATCAGGAAGCAAGTGCCCTCAATGATGTCTTGCAAAAGGCAAACAATCTGTACGGCTTAACTTCGGGCAATAATCTGACGATAGTGCTCGACCTTATTGGCAAGTCTGCACCTGCTCTGCCTGGCTCAGACATCTTTGGGCACGTGGCATATGCTGCCGATAAGCTGATGAGCTTCGGCAAGGACTTCATGCTGCCCATCTCGATGATGGAGCTCTCACATGGCGAGGATCTGGACAACACTCAACATGGTCCGGAAGCATACCTCAAATCTTGGGATGCAGCGAAACAGCTCGAGCCATCTTTCGTCGTGCTGGACGCATGGAATGATTACCACGCATCGAAATACCTGGCGCCTGCGCCTGCCCATGTGGTAGCTCGTCACCCAGACATCGGTGGACATGCGGTCGACGAAAGCTTGGTCAACATGACATCTTGGTTCATTGCCAATTTTAGGGAGGAATCTTCAAAGGAAGAGAAGAAGGATCGTTCTGTGAGTTATTCTATGCTTTCACTCTGATGTACATTCTCATCGAAATTCACAGCATGACGTTGTGGTCATCGGCTATCGCACTCGACCGCGAGATACTTCAGGGGAGACGACTTCGAGTCACAGCAAACGCAAAGTCAGGCAGGCCACAGCCTGGCTAGATCAAGTCTTTATCGTGTCTCGCCTCGAACAGACTGGCTTTTCTGTCATTGTCGAAATAGAAGGCGATGATATTTTGCACCGACCACTAGGCTCCGATTTCAGCAAGGAGACGATTGCAGTATGCACGAATAAGCCGATCCGCGTGGCACTTGTCCGCCAAGGAGCAGTGATCGCTCAGGGCGGTCTTGGGCCGATGCTCACGCATCACAGCAAGAGCGAGAAGTATCACTGGCGATTCGAATGCTTTACGACGCATCAAGATGAAACTGCAGCCGGCGGCGAGATGATGGATTCGCATGCCATCATTGACAACGGTAGCGATACGTCTGATCTGATCAGACTCTACTAACGAGATGTTGACGAGGGGCACATTGAGGACAACAAGCATACGTGGGTTGTACAGGGGGATTGTTGATACATGCAGATCAGGTAGACCGAGAAGGCGCTTTGAATGGCTTGACGACACTTGCGTTCCTCTGATAGCTATATAGCGAGCCTGATGGACTCTTGTGGGATGGTTGATACTGTAGCGCCCTCGCTAGGGCGCTGGTCATTGAGCTGCCAAGCTCGCCGGGTTGTGGCGTCGCGCTGCCTCTCTCGGGCAGTTTGTCATTGCTTTCCTTTAGCTTGACTATTCCGAGCGCGTTCTGTCTCGGCTTAAGCATTGGAACGCGCCTCTGCTCGTCAGGCGGGCGCGGCGAGGCATTGCTTGCTCTATCGGAGAGCTTGCGTCGCAACGCAGGCGAGCCATGGGTCGCAATCACAGAGGCGTAAGGAGATGCCACCTTCTTCTGCACTGCTGCAGGCGACGATGGGTTGGCATCGTCACAAAACCCGTCCAGGTCAGCAGCGACTTTGCGCTTACGTGCGCTGTGCGTCTCTTTGATGGCATTGAGGTCCTGCAGTCATGTCAGCAGCTCGCACGAAAAGGGAGAGACGCGTGACTGACTGTCTTGCTCTCAAGACAAAAGTCTTCCAATCGGCTCAAATGACGGCTGAATTGAATCTCTGTATCAGGTGCAAAAGTGATTGTAGGCGCAACGCAGCTGCTGGCTTGCGCCCGACCTGCCGAGGCGTAGATATAGCGCGGAACAGTCGTCTCGTCGATCACGCCGAATGCTGAATCGAGGAGAAATGCCTGTCACTCGCACTGCTCAGCGTGGCTCAGTGTGGATTGTATCAGACCACTTTGTCACCTTTGCATTGTAGTGATGCACTCTCACGTAGCCTGCTCGCAACGTCAACTCGTACATGACTATCTATCGTCATTCGACGAGCCATCGTGCCAGGTCTTGGCCTTCTTGTGCACGTCTGACGTGTATTGGGCTGCATATCGCTTGACGACCGCTGTGTCAGCGCAGTCTGAGCCTCTTGTGCTGAGCTCGCGTGCGCTGTTGCTCATCCCATATCCACTTCGCCGCCGCCGCCGTCGCGACTCGATTCGTTTCTACAAAAGTCAGGCGTGTCTGGCGAGTGCTCAGGCCACAAGGAAGATGTACAACGTCGTCCAGCGCACCAATGCCGTCTTGTTCGTCTTCACTCCCGTACGGCATCACACAGCTGACGAATGACGACTTGGCAGCGGATTGGCCACGTCGGTGCTCATGGGCCTCATGGCAGCCATTGCGTTGTCAAGCTTCATCATACCGGTCGAGATGAAGCCCGGCTCACTCAAGATCAACTCGCTCAACGTGTCAGTATAGCCGCCCACGCAACGTCTGCAGTCCGGCTGAGCTCGTCGTGCAGGGCTTTGGGTCGTACGCGTGATGGTTACGGCAGAGCGAGCACGGCCGAGTCAGAGTTTGCGTTCGCTCGCTTTGACATCCAAGCAGGTTCGTAGCCGAGTAGCACATCCGACATGGTCTGAGGCCTTTAGCAGATCTGCGGCCGCTCTTTCATTGGAATACCAAACAGCTCTTTGTCTACTTTGTGGCCGAGTACGCGACGGCAGATCATGTGCGCAGCATGATAGCTGCCGTTTGAGCAAAGCTGACAGTGGAGCAGCCGCACAACGAAGTCGTCATTTGGGATCGCATCATCAGGCGAAAACAAGATGCTCGCGTCAATATAGGCGGCGCGAAGAACAAATATCGCTTCAAGGAGATCTCTGGCAAGTTCAAGTGAGTTACCTGAATCTACAGCTGTACATCCCTCATCGCTGCGCAGCAATGCAACAGCGACGTTCTCGCTGCAGTACAATGTCATGCCTTGGGTCGGAGTACTCACCACAGGCGAAGCTGGACGAACGAGCGCAATCCAATTTCCAGCGGCTCAAGGCAGAGTAGGATACCAATGATGATGTAAAAGTGACTCATGCTTGTTGTATGCTCAACTGCAATGCTAGTGCCAATAACCTCGAGACAGTGTGCATGTTCAAATGATACTTTGTGTGCAATTCTTCGTCGCTTGAGATTCTGTGTCGATTCAATGTGGAAGCTCACGCACGCTTGCCAGCCCCGTAGGCCTTTGTAGCATAATCGCCACCTTCGCAAATCAGATCTGCTTGCGACATCAGCAACGCCAATTATCAGGAGCAGTAGACCTACTCTGAGGATCCTGCGGCTTGTGATTGAGGTAGTTCTCAAGGATGGTTTTCGTTCCGTCGGCATAGCGCTTCTGAGCATCGAGCGTCGTGCCGGAGTAGTGCGGCGTCATTGCTGAGCCGACGTTGAACTTGTCACCCTCCGAATTGGGGTGCGCCATTGTGCGCCAACTGTACTCGTGATCAGCTCGCGAAGCGATTAACATACGAAGAACCGAAACTGACGGCATATTTGCAGGTGCAGGCTGGACCGGCCAGACATCACCACCATAGCCAAGCAAGTGGCCCGAGTTGACCGCCTCAGCAATAGCGTCAGCGTCACAAATTGCACCACGGGCTGTGTTGACGATCCAGGAACCCTTCTTCATCCAGCCAATCGTCTCCTTGTTGATCATACCCTGACTCACCAGTCAGCCACTGCTTAGCAGCGTCCCAAGAGATACACACCTTGGTCTGTTCGTGCAGGGGGCAATTGATGGTCAGGATGTCTAGCTTGCCGAGGAACTCCTTGAGATCCGTGATGCGCTCGACCTTGATGTCCTTTGCGATCTCATTTGGCAGCTCTGTGTAGTCGTAGTAGTACAGCTGCTTGGGGTCGAATGGTTGCAGACGACGAAGGACGCGTTGACCGATACGGCCGGCTCCGATAGTGCCAATGACCTTGCCTTCGATATCATAAGCATCTTGCGCGACCTTGGCGACATTCCAGTCGCCTGCGCGGATCTGCTCGTGAGCGGGTACAAAGTTGCGAACGAGACAGCTGTTTGACATGTCAAGGGTGCTCGGCAGTATGTATCAGGAAACGTACAGCATGGTCATGACGACATGCTCTGCTACAGAGACGACGTTCGAGCCGCTCACTTCTGCTACGGTGATCTTGCGTTCGTTTGCGGCATTGAGATCTGCGCGAATGTCAACAGTCATACTGCCTTCCAGATAAGCGATGTACCAATGTGGTCAGAGCCGACGCCAGCAGTAATGCAGAGCTTGAGATTCTTTGCCTTGCTGATGACGTCGCGTGTGGCATCTGCTCGAACGCGTAAGCCTGCCAAATTTGAAGGCGAGTGACTACTGGTGCTTACAGCCGGGATGGAATGGCGTGGTGATCTGGGAACGCCAGTAAGCACGAGTCGGTCAGACAGCAAGCAGTACGCACGAGGATGTCAGCATCAACAATCTCTTTCTGAAAAGTCGAGTCGGCGCCTGCAGTAGCAGTGGCGGGCTTAGCCACATCCCGGGAATATACGTGGGCGGCTTGCCTTCCTTGTCGTCTGTGACCACAAGCGTGTGACCTTTAGACTTTAGATAGTCGCCCAGACCCTGCGAGGCACGTCAGCATATGCAGACAGCTGTCAAAGGGGGCGACATACGAGTGCTTGCTCAGTCGTGCCGAGCATGCGTGGCTGCAAAAGTCACCCTGAGTCTATATCTGGACATAAACAATGAGACGTACATTGCGAGCTCCATATTTGCCGCCGCTGTAAAGGACTGCGAGCACTTTCTGAGCACGAAGGGCTGTTCCGTTCATGTCGTCTGTCATGCTCGGTGGACGGTTTGCGAAGTAGAAAGACTCCGAATGACGCACTGGATGATCCCTCGGAAGTCGACGGCTGCGTCGGACTTCGCTTCTCGAGAATGCGGAGACTCATTATCGCGATATCTTAGCGCGGGCGGCCTCAGCGCGTTGGTCACGGGGCACCTTCATGTGTCACGGCCACGTGGCTGTCCACGGCACAAGGAATCGTCCGTCTGCGGAGAAGTCATGCATGCAGCTTTGCAGCTAGTCCGTGCCGGGATAATGCTTGACGACAGTGGTGCCAATCGTCAGGGAGTATCTGGTTGCTATGCTGCCAGGAATCAGACTCCATGCAAAATTTCCAAAGTCGACATAGGCAATGCTATTGCCTTTGTAGAACAGAGCGAGGTCGTAGCTGAAGCTGTGCTTCTGGTGATCCTCGCCGGTGACCTTGATCTCGTCCATGTGGTATCCGTTCAATACGTAGGTTCTAACATAAGCGAAGGTGGTCGCTGGAGTAGATGCACCGTAGAGAACAAAGGTCTGTATGCCTGTCAGTTTGGCATGCAAGTAGCGATGACACTGACCTGGCCATCGCCCTGAGGACTATATGCGGTACAGTAGTCGATGGTCAGAACGTGGGGGTGTTCATAGGCGTCAATTTTCAGTGTCGACAAGCCGGAGGTCGAGCATGCACGTTTGGCAAGATCGTTTGTCGTGGGCGACGCAAGCACGCTGCCAAGCAGCAGGAGCATAGCAGCGAGCATACCGTACATCATCATGTTGTCGAAAGAAATCGACGAAGAAAGCTGCAGAAAAGCTGCTGTACAATCTCGTTGACGTCAAACACATGCATTCGTACTTTGTTGCCATCGAGATGGAACACGGACACGGTCATATTGCAGATTGTGGGACGCTACCCCTTGCCTGGCCAGCGGGGCCGATAGTTGCCGCCAATCTTGAGCGTGTGTATCACTTTTTGTTGCTTGCCATCGAAATAATAGTAGCCAACCGTCGCATAGTGGATTGTCTGAGCCTGGTAGAACAAGACGAGTGTGTAATAGAAGTCATGATCATTTTGCGTCTTGCCGGACACGACGAAGACGTCGGAGTCGAAACCATTCACTTTTCTGTCTACGGGAAGGCCCGCAAAGGTCGTTGCCGGTGTAGAAGCATCGTAAATGTCGAAATGCTGCAAACAAGACACTTAGTCTAAAGCCTGTGTCGCCTCGCTGAGTACATACGCCCGATGCCGACGGATGCAGGGCGATGCAGAAGGTCATGCTGAATATAGGCGGTGCATCGTGATGGGCGCCGGGATACAACGTCAGCGTTGCTTGGTCCTGATAAGGGCACGCGCGTTTCGCCATTGTGGCCGAGGGAGAGGGAGCAGTACCGACTGCAGAGAGTGTGGCTAGGGCAAACGCCGCTAGATTACAGGCTCTCATGCTAGGTGACTCCCTAGCACGCGAAGTTTGGCGTGACGGAGGGTCAGAGTCTGTTCCTTGTGGCGATCCGGTGTGGCCGACCGTCTCCATGTCGACGCAGAGCCGCAAAAGCGTATTTTGTTTCCTTGATATACAGCACTATACAACGCATTGCGACAACGAGATCATGGGTTTGAGGAGCGAGCGTACGACCGCGCGAAAGGAGCAAGAACTTAAAGAAATCGTCGCGCGATATGCCCACTCCCGATCACGACGAATGCAATTGGCAAGCAAAAAAGAAAAGTCTCGTACGAGATTCGAACTGGACAGGTAGGGTTAACGATTTGTCGTGAGCATCGAAATAGCAACTTGCCTCATAACCTCCAGATTAGAAGTCTGGCGCGCTGAGCCATTGCGCCAACGAGACCGCTGAGCTAAGCGGGCCGAGTGGGCGCAGGCCCCCTAATCTTATATGATGTTCATACGCAAAGTTGCCGCTACCAGGGAATGCTGATGCTGCTAGGCCATACAATTTTATAGAGGTGGCTTTCTTGTCCTGCGCACCTCATGTGGCAGGAAGCTCTTTCCCTGTCCAAAATCGCCGAGTCTCGGCGCAAGAGCACAAACCGCCCTGCACGCTGCTCGATCTCTACTCGTTGCGAGTAGTCGGAGCGCATTGCTCTCTCTCCTCCCATCAGTTGCATTCTCAGCAAATATGTCGCAGCCCTGACAGCATCATTCCATCACTGCACACTGTGTGTAATATTTCAGTATGCAAACTAGCGCCGCGTCGAAAGCGAACGGAGCATCATGTCAGACCACGATGCACCCTATGCCTGCACACTGGAGGACAGAGCGCATTGCTCATCAATACGGCGAGGATTTTATCGTTGATCTGCCCGAGGTGGCAGCTCGCTCCAAAAGAAGCGTTGCCATCACGTGATGGCAGGGCGGTCCGCAACCGGTTCCTGCTAACTACGCGCAAGGTCCGGAGAAGATGCGACTGTCTCTTATCATCTGCGCACTCATTGGCTTCGTGGCTGCTCGTAACGTTATCATACACCCGCCCGAAAATAGTGTAGAAGCACCTCACAAGAGCGGGACTAACGAATGTCCCGCAAGAGATTGGACGACCCTAACGATCGTTGCGCCGAAAGATGACAAGGGTCTCACCTTGGAGCTTGCGTGGTGCACGACTTATAAGCCTGCGAGCTCTGGCAACGTACATCAATGCAATTCGAGTGGTGCCTTTTGATAATCGTGCCGCAGATGTGGAACAATATCCAAGCCTCAACACCCAAGACGTCAATCGAATTCGATCATTCAGAAAAGGCGGGCGGATACGAAATGAATAGCTTCACCGTGCTTGGCACGGATCATCATGGAAACCCGTTTTCATTGGTGGTCGACTATTACTTCAGAGCCAACGACATTCAATACGTCAAAGTATTTGGCTTCAGCTGGGCCACGATCAATTTCAACGATGACATTGGCTACAAGCTCGCAATTGACGGCGTGCCTCGTCCACACTACGAATGATGACGGCGTGCCTCGTATGATCTATGAATAGTAGGCAATGTGCTTGGCGATGTATCACCGTGACCACCTGGGACGCAATGCATCACCTTGGACACGATCACGTTGCATCAGTCAAATTCCTCAACACTTGCTCGACCTCAAGATGAGACTCAGCACTGCGCTTGCCGGTTTGATAGCAGCAGCAGTAGGATCTGCGCTCGCCGCACCCTCTGCTGAGCTTGCAAAGCGCGCATGTGCGCCAGCTGAAGAGACAACACTGAAGATCTTTGCATTGGAACACCGCGACGGAGCTCCTATCCTGAGCATGACATTCTGTACGACCTTCAGTCCAACTAAGAAGGGTGTGAGTGATCCGATGAAGCTGCTTGGCTCCTTCTCATTGCACAGCAGAACTTCACCCTGTCTCAAGCGAGCACGCCCTCTACCACTTTCTTCCCGCAAGGTTCTCTGCCGGTCCAAAACTCCAAATTCATCTTTGATCTGATCGTCATACATGGCGAGACCAAGCCTGGCTCGACATTTGATATCATGATTATCCTCTATTACGAAGGACCAGTCGTTCGCTATTCGTCGCTTGGATACTACTACGCCAATGGCGTCAAGCAACCATCTATTCATTCGCTGACGATTGGCGACAAGATCCGTCCTCGCTGGCCAGGCAGAGGTTAGACGGCGACTCGCTCGTGCGATGCGTATGGATGCAGTGCTCCCACGTCGTGCTACCACACCGCAATGCCAACACTTCGACGGCAGTATGTGTACATAACAAACGGGAGTGCTTTGAGGATCATGCGATGAGTAGAAGTGATTCGAGGACTATGTGGCCCAGTGCAGTGATGGCCAAAATGACACTGATGTGAGGTCTGAGTGCCACCTGTGCTCGCTTCGCGGCTGGATGGCGAAGGCGCGAAGGGGTATTTGGCCGAGTGGGGCAACTGTGGTGTGCCAGGCTGCACGCTGCTGCCAATCAAGCGACTTGCGAGATGGCAGACGTACGCTCGTATCTTACCGGTGTATGCCCACGCTGATGGATCGTACAGGCAAACGAGAACAATGCTGCTGCCGGCGGCTCAGAAGAACAAGAGCACGATCCTCATTTCGAGCCAGTGATCAAGCTCACTGATGAAGTCAAGACTTCCACTGGCGAAGAGGATGAGGACGTTCTCTTCAAGATGTTCGTCTCATCTGTTGTCGATAGAGAAGGGCTGATCGGTGGCGTAGGCGAGCTAAGCTGTTCCGATTCGACAATGGCGAATGGAAAGAACGCGGAACAGGGGACATGCGACTCTTGCGTGCGTCTCTGCTTGCCCTGACCAGCGCAAGACTGATCAGACGACATCAGAGCACAAGCAGATCAAGAAGGTGCGCGTAGTCATGAGAAGAGACAAGACCCTCAAAGTTTGCGCGAATCACTACGGTCAGTCTTTTGCCTCGCCACACTGTAGGCATCCTTACATCCAGAGAGATAGTGACATCCGACATGACCCTCACGCCGAATGTTGGATCTGATCGCAGCTGGGTCTGGACGTATGCTCCCTCCCTCTCTCGGTATCAAGCAAGCTGAGACGAGAGAGTGACAGCGCGACTGAGGCAGATGAAGAGACGGGCGAGGCCAAGCACGAATTACTGGCAGTCAGGTTCGGTACGAGCGAGAACGCAAATCTGTTCAAGACGGCCTTCCAAAAAGCGCAAAAGATCAATGCCGGTGAAGAGACGGAAGCCGCTGCCACGACAGACGATGTCGCCCGAACGGCAGAAGTACCTCAAACGGACGCTACTGCTTCTGCTATTGCGGCCGAGATCATCGATTCGAAGAAGACAGCAGAAGAGGTAGAACCTACAACGGACAAGACTGCAGATGCAACCGAGGGACAATTGGCGGAGACGCAGGAGATCAAAGATGATGCCAAAGCGGCTGGTAAATCTGATGAGGCAGTAGCAGAGGCAGTCGAAGCGGGTCATTCGTAATGCCCATAGAGATCCCGCAACCTGATGACATGCAAGCTTTTCCCTTTGCAACTCTGCTTTACAATGTAGCATCGCACTGAAAGATAAAGCCTAAATATCATCGGCCATGTTGCCACCGAGCTGAACTTTCTCGCCTGGCTCAAACGCCGGCATGCCTGTTTGATTGTCAGATCAGTGATGACGACGAGGTGAGCGAGGGAATGACGCACCCAGGTAAGGACAGCTCGCACATCTAAAGGCATCGCCAAGGTAGCAAGAACCACAGCTGCTCGTGACCGCACCAGTCGTGACTTGCTCCTGCTTCATGCCGTTGCTCGCTGCGCCATTGACGGCAGGAGCGCCGTTTGACATGGAATCAGGCAGGTCGTCCTTTTCGGCTAGCAGGATCTCTCTCAGACCACAGGAGCAATTCTTGCACGCTCTCCTTGTCTTCTTCACGTCGCAGCCCTCCTCTGGCCGTTGAGCGGCTTCTGCTCGCTTGAGATCGTCTGCAGATAGGAGGGTAGACTGATCGATCGTGGGGGTAGATGGCGCCTCGTTGATGAGGGACCATAGAGCGGCTTTCTTTTCCGCGTTGGCTCCCTTTCTCGCCCTTAGCTTCAGTGGCACTGCGCTTCCAGGCTCTTGTGTCGGCTGGGCTGACTGAGCAGATTGGGATTGGGGAGGTGAATAGTCAGAGGGAACAGTGGCGATCACTTTGTCGCCTCTCAATTCGACGTCCTTGACGGACAAAGTGTGCAGGATCTCTGTCAGTTCGGCGACATACGAAGGCGACATGCCAGAGGGTGGCTTGGACATCTCCACAAAGCCTTCTTGCACTTGAGCCGACGACGACTTACGATTGGACTGAGACTGGCTCGACTTGGAAAGCGTCAGACGCGTCGAGAGCGGTACATCTGACGGTAGCACGGTCGGCAAGATAATGCTCAGTAGCCTTGGTAAGACGTCTAAAGAGGCCGGTAAGAGGATGGAGACCTGACTGTACGTTGGCTTGTCCGGCAAGACGGAGCCTGTCCGACTTGTCAGTCCTTTGCTCACTCACGAGACTTGAAGGGAGGCTGACCGCCTTCGAGGACACGATCGAGCATTTCTGCCCGGACGGTGGGCTGCGAGTCTGATGTGACGTCGCCTGACAGGCCGCCGAGGGATTCAATGAGTGATTGGTAAGAGCCTTGAGAGGCGTGATCCATCGAAGCCAGGACGAGCACATGCTTGGGCTGCATCGGTTCGACGTGTGATGATGATGCGGAGGAGATCGAACGCTTGAGATCGCCCTGTGCCATGCTGGGATGACAGTGTTCAAAGTTCTTGCAGGCAGAACAAGATGGATGGATCATGTGATGACGTGTTCCGATCGATCGCTCCCAGCTGGATCCAGCTCCGACTCGAGATTGAGCTCGCCAGAGCACTCAGACCAGTCTTTCGAAGCGTACAGGACGAGGATGGATGGATCACGTCGTCTCGCCTAGACCGACGAGAACATCTCCCTCACGCTTGCTAGCTCGGAGCGGTTCTATCGACTCTGATTCGTCGGAGCACAACGCTCTCTTGGCATCGATCAAGATGGACACGCTCTCCCACTCCCGCTCGCCTTCGCTCGAGCAGCCATCGCCCACCAGTCCGATAGACAAGCAGACTTCTATCGACAAGCCAGACAATGACCAGCAGCAGTCCAAGACAGGAGCAGTCCAGGTGGGCACCTATGACGCAACGAGCGCGAATGGCATCCCTCTCACGACTTATGAGCGCAAGGCCCTTCTCATCAACAAGGAGCTCGACATCATCGGCATGGGACGCTATCAGTGGTGCCTCTTCTTCCTCTGCGGGATGGGCTACTTCCTCGATCTGCTCTGGGCTCAAGCATTCGGCCTGCTCGCCTCGCCTCTTTCGATCGAACTCAACGTCCAAGAGACCATTGGCAATATCTTTACCGCTTTCAGCGTCGGTCTCACCGTTGGCGCTCTCTTCTGGGGTCTGGCAGCAGATGTGCTCGGCAGGCGCCTGTGCTTCAATCTCACCTGCCTCATTGCAGGCATATTCGGTACCATCTTTGGCGCGATCAGTAATTTTGACGGCCTCCTCTTCATCACTGCCGTCATCGGGCTGGGTATAGGCGGCAACATCCCCCTCGACAGCTTGCTTGTGCTCGAGTTCATCCCCAACAACCGGAGAATACTGCTCGCTCTCTTGTCGCTCTTTCAGCCGCTGGGCGTTGTCGTTTCTTGCGCCATAGCATACGGTCTCATCCCGCCCTTCTCTTGCGATGCATCTCTGCCAGCTTGCGGACTCGGGCAAGAGCCATGCTGCACCAAGGCCTCGAATTATGGCTGGCGATATATGACATATACGCTCGGAGGGTCAGCTCTCGTGCCGATGACTTAACTCAGCGCTCATGATTGTGCAGAATCACGATCATCGTCTTCATATTGCGATTTGTGGTCTTTGATCTGCAAGAATCGCCGAAATTCCTCCTCGCGCAAGGTCGGGAGGCAGAAGCGATCGCCGTGCTCGAACATATTGCGCATTTCAACAAGCGGCCATCACCTGAGCTCACTCTCGAAGATTTCGATAGGATCACCAACGAGAGCACGGAAGCGACAGCAACAGATGAAGACTCGGGCAAATTCAGACGTCCACTCACAAAGGCGGAAGCAACTCGGAAAGTCGTACGCAATATGCTCGGCCGATTCAAGCATCTCAAGGGCATCTTTGCCAATCGATTCCTCTCGCTGACATTCGTTCTGCTCGCCATTGGCTTCATGGCCGAATTCTGGGCATTCAATATCGCCGGCGGATTCTTGCCGCTCATATTGCGTAACAAGGGTATCGCCGCAGATGTGTCGATTTATACGACATATCAGCATTACTTGATCATCTATGGGGCTGGAGGAGTACCTGGCGTACTGTTAGGCGCTTTTCTGCTTCAATTGCCTCTCATCGGGCGCAAATGGGGCATGGTCATTTCCGCCGCCCTCATGGCTGTCTCGCTGTTCCTCTTCACGGTCATCAATTCCCAAGCAGGGTCAGTTTCTTCTCAGTCTTCCCACATCGTATGCTCATCAACGCTGCAGAAATGTGGTCTTCAACTTGCTGGAGTATCTCTTCCAATCAGCGCTTAATGCGATCCTATACGCCTTTGTACCGGAGATCTTCCCCGCTCAAGTACGAGGCTCCGCTTCGGGTATGCTGTCTACGCTCGGTCGACTATCGGGCATCATCGCGCCCATTGCTGCGACCCAGACGTACAAGTCATCTACCGATGGCGTTCTCTACCTAGCCGGCGGCGGTGCGCTCGTCGCCATGGTCGCATTTGCTCTCTTGCCGTTCGAGACACGAGGCAGACAGACTTATTAGCACTCGCATAACGACCATGGATGTATGAGTCCTGTTGTCACATGTAGATACAATGAACAACAAGCATATTCACTGATAGTCCCAGCTGTCCTCTTCGCTTCGATGAAGCAATCGCGTCCATTCCAGCAAAAGACGAAGCATGTAAGCGTTTGTGTCGGCGCGTCGCCACTGGTCCTGCACGTCAGCTTCTGTGACGCATTGTTCATGTACAAACTCACATGATGCATGGCCCAGTCTCTCCCTGCCGCTGCGATCTCTGCAGCGAGATCTTCATTCTTGCTACTGCCTTTGATGCCACCCTCAAAAAAGGCCATGATATCGTAGATATCGCTGTAGTCTGGACTGACTGGAACGAAGCTGTTTGTCAAAATCAGCTGCGATGTTGCAGAAGATCCATCGAGACTCACTGAACCCATGGCTGAGACCTTTCTTGCCACCATTCTTCGTAGAAGGAGGATTTGAAGACGAGAGATTGGGAGGACATGAGCATCTTGAACCGGCCCGACCAGCCGTTGCCATCGACGTCGAGAACGTACTTGTTCTGCCAGAACTCGCTCATGGGAACATAGGGCTTCTTTCCCATCTCTTTCTGTAACCGGTCGCAAACGGATGGCTCGCACTGGATGGGTCCGCCCACGATCGACATGTTTAAAAACCGCTCGTTGAGATCTTTGCGCGCTACGATGACCTGATCGACAGAGCCGTCGCTCATCTCCCGCATGATCGATCGCTCTCCACGTTGCTTGCGGGCCATCTGATGCAGTCGGTACCGAGGCGAGAGGTACCACGAATCAGTGTTGTTCTCGAGATAGAAGGCACCGGTGGCTGCGCCTCGCCAGAAGAGTCTCGTGCCTGGCTTCTGATCGAACGGTAGATCTCCATCGAGATTGATAGGAAACTGCTCGGGCACAACAGTCAGATCGGTGCTCTCGCCGGTCGTCGACCATGAAAAGACAGGCGAGAGGTAGTCGAAGTCGTAGAACCGAGAGGGATTGACTTCGAACCAGAGAACTTCGGGGTTGTGGCAGTGATCCGAAGCTTTCTTGATATCGTAGACGAGCGAGTGAAAGGGTGGCGTGTCAAAGTGATCCTTGTCTGGCTCGAAACCCGCTTTTCCGCGCTGTCCGGCTTCGTAGATTGCCGAGCCCGGTGGACAGAGTGCTGCTTCCCTTGTGAAATTTGCAGGGCCGGCTTCGGGCGCATCGAAAGCGTCGTGTTGTGTGTAACCATCATCGCGCATGCTAGGCACATCTGCAAGCGCTTATAAGTAGACAGCCCAGGTTACAAACCGATCGACGTACATTGCCCAGTACGCGCGAGACGCAAGAGATGTTGGTGATGCCCGTATGACAAACGGCCGACGTAAGCATCATCTTCGTTCATTGGCAAGGTGATGGGCGCAGGCAGAAGCTTCAGGGCTTCTGCGCTACGATGAAGCAGGCCTTTTGCTCGGAACGCAGACTCTGGTATCTCGTCGAGCAGGATGCTATCATTGAGCCTGATTCGCTCGGGATCAATGTCGACAAGAACGGCTTGACCGGGCACGATCTCGTTGATCCTCTCCACTGCTATACGTTGCCTCGTTGCGATCTGATGAGCATCGAGCGCATAGTAGGGCTCGACATCGCGGTAGATCTTGTCAAATTCGTCGACGAGAACGACATCGTTGTCGACTGCATACTTCCACCAGATGTCGAACCCGCGAGGGGGCCGTCTCTTGTAGCGTCGAACATACTCATCAACGGCTTCCTCGAGTGTCTTGCTCTGTCTCGCAACCTTCTGGTTCCAATCTTTTCTTGCTCTGTCGATCAGCTCGCGCACTGGGTGCATGGGCAGGACGGTTGGCCGATTGAAGCGGCCAGAATTGGCGTCATAGATAAACAGTGATTGGCTTGATTCGTGGTGATCTGATAGTTTTTCGGAGCTTGCCCAATGCAGCTGATACCAGCTCGTGAACGCTTGATAGGGTGACATCGAACGAACGGCATGGTCATTCTGATAGTGATGTAGACCGAAAGTGAAGCCTGCGACGCCGAATGCGACGAGCAGGCACTTTATAGCGAGCAACAGGATCTTGCGTGATCTCTTGTTAAGCGCGGGTGTAGACCGTCGACGCGCTGCATCGTATGTGCGACCTTGTAGCAAGGCCTCCGCGGGATCACCGCGTAGACTTGGCTGCCCTCTTCCCCTCGGCGTATCTTTGTCGTCTGCATAATACTCTGCAGACGACCGTGTTGAGCTTGCGCTGGAGATTGACATCCTTGCGCCGAGCCAACTCGTCACGGACAGCTGTCTGACAGCGCTTGCGCTCTTGCGTGGCGAGCAGCTTGTGTGTTCTGATCTCGTAGGACCAAGTCGCTCGCGTGAGCTTAGCAGAGGTTGCTCAAAATTCTCTCCGGTCGATGTAGCTTCATAGCCTTCTGGCGTCAAGCCTGGTCCCCTCAATGAGCTCGTACCCGTGCTGCTGCCATAGCCAGGCGAGACGGGACTCTTCAGTGCGGTCGATTCCGAATCTCGTGGTGCTGGGCGGAGGGAGAGCTGGAGCGAGTTCCGCACCATCTCGGACAGCGTTCGCCCGCGTGCTGCCTGATCGAGTGTCTATCCGATCCACGAACAGTGTTCGGACAGCGCTCGCGGGGACTTGTTCCGCTGCACTGGTTTCAGCCTGACTCCGAGACTCAACCGCGAATGGGCAGCTCTGCCACACTCTTCTCTCGCCTATCAAGCATGAGCAGGGCAGTGAGAGGTCGGCTGGCATCGGCCGCCACGTCGTGTCTGCGGCCATGAGGATGATCCAGGGCTCGCTGCGTTTGGACTAAAAAGCTAAAACGCGCGCCATTCTGCTCGCGAGACATGTCGAGGAGTATGTCGACATGACGAGCACTGGCACGACTGCCGAGCCCAGTCTACTGTCCCGTCTCTCTCCAGTGGTGCCTGCTTCGACTGTCAATGGCGTGAACAACGAGGCAGGCGAACAGAAGGCCAATAAGCCAAAGAGTCCTCGAAACCGACAGAGACCTCCTCGCAATGCTGCCAAAACACAGCCAGACCAGAGCAACGCGCCTGACTCTTCTGCAGCTACAGTACCGGTGACCGTACGGACGCAAGATGCCGTTGCGTCTGCACCACGACTTGCTAGTGGCAGCAAATGGGCTCCATCTGCATCGACCCCAGAGCCAGTCGCAGCGCAGAAGAGCAAGACACTAGCTTCTTCCCGATGGTCGCAACCGGCTGAAGTGGCGCCTATGCCTGCACAGCCAGAGCAGCACAGTGCGCCCGTCAAGGTCAACATACGCGGTTCTGCACGCACCCATCCAGCAGAGTCTGCGCCCGCCTCTCGACATGCACACAAGCCCAATAATGCTCATGCAGGACATAGCCCAAAGAGCGAAGCGAGCACGTCCAAGCCGGCTGCGAATGGCGGCGATCAAGGCGTCAATGCGCTGCTGGCCAGTCTCAAGGGCACTCATCTCACTAGCTTGGGCGCCAGAGTAGCAGAGAGGCAGAAGCGCGAAGAGAGCGTGATCGAGCAGAAGCGGTCTGCTGAGCGGGAGAGACTGGAGCGAGAAGCAGAGCAAGTGAGATTGCACGAAGCTCAAGCTGAAGCGGCCAGAGTGCAAGCTGAACAGAGAAAGACATCCAATGCTGCGAGGAAACAAGCTGCGGCTGAACGACGAAAGGCACAGCGGGAGAAACAGCCCCGAGCTGTCGAGCCGAGCATACCACAGCCAACACAGGCGTCACAAGACATCTCGAAGATAGCGCCCCATGCCACGACAATAGTGACGACGGCGAAAGACACAGTAGGACAGACAGATTGGTCAGAGCTCAACGATGACGACGAGGGATTGCCCGAGATACCGACTTGGTAAACACTTGCACCTAATTTATTGTGTATCCGCTTCTCCACGGACAAGATTGATGTTGCAACAAAGTTGTACAAACGCTATACAAAGGTATACATCGGATCAGAACTCGTGGTGGTAATGAGCAACGCCGACGAGACCATGTTCGTCTGCGTGCTTATCTGTGTGCGGCGAGTACCATTGTTTGACGTTCCGCGTGAGATCTTTGGTGATCTGGGGCACATCGATCTGCATGAGGTCTATAATGAATTTGCCAATCTGTGCTTCCAATGAGCCAAGATCGTCTCGTGATCTGCGCAGAAACGTGCCTCTGTGTTTTCGATGTTCCCCCGTAGCTTGGTAGATTGGTAGCCATACGCGTACAGATTGACGTCCATGCCGGAATGTCCATGTGTCGCCCATCCCATCTGCGCTCGCCTCGAGACCTAATGCAAGCATCAGTGAGGGTCACCGGGAGAGTATCCGTCAAAGGCCTACCATGTCAGCGAGATGGTTGTCCATCCTGGCGACATTGCTGTATTCGTCCAGCACGGTCGACATCTCAGCTTCTGTGTAATCTGTGATATTCAAACCCTCCGCAAAGATGGTGGAAGAGACATAATCTCTCGAAGCCGGTGATTGCTTTGCCAGCTCTTGGGCAAGGTAAATGGTCGAATGGGTCGCACCGAGCAAAGCGTCCGGGTAATACGCATATTCTGGATACGCATCCGAAAGCTGCCTTGCGAGGGACAGACCGCCCGTTTCGTGATCGCTGACGCTGACCATGACAGTTGGCCAGCCTGCTTCGTTCTGCTTGTCGACATATTGCTTCACTGTACGGACTGTCTCTTGATACGCCAAGATGTCGTATACGTGCGCAATAGGATCATTGCTATGTCCGGCGTGATCTATTCGAGAACCTTCGATCATGAGGAAGTAGCCATGGGCAGATTTCCGCGCGGCGGCAGCAGAGAGCGTATCGATCGCTTTGCTCGCCATCTCGACGAGCGAGGGTTCTCTAGTACTCTCGTCGCGAGATTCCCTGTCGACTTCGTAGTCCATGTGATCGCTGTTGAATAGCCCAACGGTGTTGAGTGAGTCGGCTGTCGAGCTTTGCGCTCGCAGATCCGTGGCGTTGAAGATGAACTTGCGCGAGTTTTTGCGGCCCTTTGCAAGCATATCCTGATCATCATTCCTACATGACCCAGCTGTTGTATTCGGTAGGAAGAAACATAGACCACCGCCTAGCGCATAGTCAACTGCCCGCAGTCTGATATCAGCACTGTCACAGCGAGAATGATCAGAAGCAGACCTTGCATGCCCAGCGGGTGATCGCCAACGAGAAAGTCTGCAATGCGAGATTCTGCGTCTCTGTCTGCAACGTGCGCGTAGAAAGTCGCAGGTGTGGCGTGTGTGATCCGGCTCGTGACGACGAGGCCGGTCAGATACCCTCTATGTTTTGCGGCTTCGAGGACGGTGCCGCAGGGTAAGCGCTCGGTAGGCTCCACGCCGATTGCGCCGTTGAATGTCTTGAGGCCGCACGCGAAAGCTGTTGCGCCCGCTGCCGAGTCGGTCACGAGCGAATCGGCAGATCGCGTACGACTTGCGCCTACAAGGATCTGGTCGAGCGGCAAGATACCAAACGATCTTTGCTTGGGCGATCCGCCGAATGAGTTCAACTCGTCGACGCCCTTGAATCCCTCTGGGAAGTCCCAGCGGCCGCCTGAGACGGCAGAGGGATGCTCGATATCTTTGAGGTATTGCAAGTATTCCCGCGCAAACGTCTCGCTCGTCACGCCAAAGCCATCCGAGATCATGAGTATCACGTTGACTTTCAACGTATGTCCATAGCGAGTGAAAGTCGTGACGCCAGCAGCGATGAGGTAGCCAATCCCAAATAGGACAAGCAGGAAAGCGATAATCAGCGCTGTCCCAGGCGGCTTCCTCCTTGGCGCGTTGACAAACGTCGTAGGCAGCACATACTCGGATTTGGCTCCGTCAGCTCTCAAGCCTTTCTCGTGAAGATCGGTGCCATTGGGCTGAGCTTCTAGATCAACGCGAGATAGCAGCCGTTCACGACCGGTATCGCCTGTGAGTGGCTGTGTAGACTCGTCTAGGCTGTCGTCCGCCGCTCTCTGAAAGCTTGGCGGCTCATTCTCCTCCCAATTGGGCTCGACAGAGTCATACTTCCGCTCCATCTGCTCGCCCGAGACTACGCTGTCTCGTTCGGGCGCTGACGTTCGCGATCAGACCGTGAGAGATTGCTCGCGGCATATCGATCAGGGCGCAGATCGATTGCCGCCGGTGTTGTCAGTCCTGCCAAGGGGGCAGTCGTCGGCGCCGAATGGCTCACGTAGGCTCGCCATGGCTCCACGAAGGAGTCGAGAGCCGGCACAAGGTGTCCAGATCAGGTCCAACCTCGGGCACTTCGACTCCCACGATGGGTTACGGCAGCTTCGATCGGTCTCACGAGACCGGCACTCTGACTGCTCGCTTACAGGGCGAGCTCGTCAAGGATAGGTCACCCGCACGCTCGTCTTACGGTGCTTCTTCTGAGCCGTCCACGTCCCGACGAACGCTGGATGACTTAGACACGACGGATGAGCCTGATTCCTCAAGCGTCTCTCCGCTAGCATTTCGATCTCGCAAGTCGCCTTTTGGCTCAAACCGATCAAAGCGAAAGGATAGGCCTGCCACGAGACCGCACAGGAGCTGGTCAAGATCCACAGAGCGGCTCTTGTTTCCCTCAGCTCGCACCACACCGCGTAAAGACTTGGTGTCTCTGTTCGGACAGTCACGGCCCAATCGGACAGATGACGACGATTTGCCCGAGCATTTTGGAGACGATCCGTTCGATCCCGATACGATAGAAGAGCACGAGGCCGTCATGTCGCCCATGAATGGTCGCTTTGGGCTCCCTGCAGCGCTCGACGCCGATTATGAGCGACCCTACGGGGTGGCCAAAATGGAGCTCATAGCGAGGCGGTGGTCGAAACGAGGATTGTACAGTGTTTACGTTGGGTACGCCTTACTCAATGAGATCACAGCATGTCTGACGGATGAGGTGTACAGCATCTATCTGCTGTCTTTCGTGACAAGTCTAGAATGGAACACAACACCCACGGTCGAGCCTTACTTTCTCAGTCTGTTTCAGGCGCACTCGTACTTGTCTACAGTGTCTATAGGCACCAGTATAGCGTACGCAGTGGGAAAGCCACCTTTGGCGAAAGTGCTTGACGTCTTTGGTCGCGCCGAAGCCGTTGCACTGTCAGCGGGGCTATATGGCGCTGGCTATCTACTCACTGCCACCGCAATTAACGTCGAGATGTTCGGCTTTGGTCGTGTGCTCGCTGCGCTGGGGAGTCAAGGCTTGCAATTAGCACAGCAGATCATCATCGCAGACACTTCGACCCTGACTAACCGAGCTCTGCTCACCTCGACAATCTCCTTGCCGTGGCTCATCACCACATGGATCGGTCCCGCGCTTGGGGCAGCCTTCAAAGAGCTCGGCGTAGTCGGCTATCGACTCTGCTATGGTCTGTTCGGCATACTGCTCCCGCTGATCTGTATACCCCTCCTTTCGACTCTGTTCACGAGCTTCCGGAAGGCCAAAAAGCGAGCACAGAAGCGGTATGACCAGCATCGACCTCCGCGCTCGGGCGACGATGTCCGCTTTGTGGAAGCTACTTCGCCTACATCGCATTCGGCCGCCAGCGCTGCGTCTGTACGCACCGGCAAGGAAAGCTACATGGACACATTTGTCTTTCGAGACTGGCGCGATCTCTCACTCGAAGTCTGGCAGCAGCTGGACGTTATGGGCATCTTCCTCATCACGTTGAGCTGCACTTCTTTGCTCGTACCGCTCTCCCTAGCTGCTGCACGCAATGGTGGCTGGTTTGACATACAGTTGACAATCAGCTTGCTCGTCGGTGTCTTATCGGCCATTGGCTTGGTCTGGTACGAATCGAATCGAGCTGTCAACCCGATTTTACCCCGCCGAATACTCAGTCATCGCACGATCATGGCCGGCAGCCTGCTTGGCTTCTTCCATTTCTTCTGCCAATTCGCTTATGAGAGCTACTTTACCAGCTTCCTACAGGTCTCGCGCGGCCATTCGGCTCGGGACAGTCAGTACATTGCTCAATCGTACATGTTCTCGGCATGCGTATCTGCTCTTGTCTGCGGCTTGCTCACAAAGTGGACGAGCCGGTGGAAGATCTTTGGCGTCATTGGGATTGCTATTCATGCCGTCGGTGCTTTCATGATGTTGCGCTACCGTCGGCTAGACAATCCCACGAGCGAATTGATCATCAGCCAGATCGTTGCCGGATGCGGTGGCGGCTTCACGACCTTGGCGGCTCAGCTGGGCGTTCAGAGTGTCGTCGAACATCGCGATGTAGCCACCGCGACCGCCGTCTTTTTGACGATTACTCAGATCGGCGGGGCAGCCGGAGGAAGCCTTGCTGGTGGCGTCTGGACGACGATGCTTCCGAGTCGTCTAGCGCATTACCTGCCGCCGGATTCGGACGATCTGATCAAGCAAGTCGTCGGGTCCATCTCCGTTGCGCTTTCGTTCCCGATGGGCACACCCGAGCGAATAGCGATCAGTGATGCGTATGTTGACGTGCAAAGAGTGCTCAATACGGTAGCATTACTCTCGCTCTTGCCTTGTCTGCTGGCGGTATCGATGATGCGCGACACCCATCTGACGACGGACGATCACACCTTGCCAGAGGGCGTGGTGGTTCTCGGTAGAGCAATACCAGGTGAAGTGCTTCTCCTGTTCATCTATGCTTGGCTGACAATCGCTTTGTCAGAAGCCGACGAAGAGTCTCATAGCGAACACAGCGAGACAGATTCGCTTTTGTACGATTCGCCATCAAGACGAGACAGCATTGCCTGATGAAATCTCAGGCACGCCTGACGCATCGCACTGTAGCATAGCAAGACACGCATTGACGCAGAATACCGAAATCGATGTTTTCAAGACGCATGCATTGTTGATGGCCCCAATCGGGCAGCATCTCTCTGGGCTTTCCATGCTTCCCATCGCGCTCGCTTGACGGCTGATTGCTCACGCGCTTCACTTTCGAGTTCCTCTAGCCAGTCAGCTGGCGCTGGTTGCACCTCTAAGCTCGACTGATCTGTGTACTCCCGAAACGTTGCAGCTCGCATTGGGTCGTCCACTGAGAATGTGGACTCCGTCGCTGGCGTTCGCGGCGACAAAGTTGGCCGCCACCGCTGTAGACGAGAGGGCATCTCGTGCTTCAGCGTCAGCGCAAAAGATTCGAACTGATCAGCCCATGAATGAGCATGGCCAGGTAGCAAGAACACGCGAGCATGGCTTACACTGTCGACGTCCAGCTTCCATGACAGAAAGGCAGCAATGCCAGTCGCGCTTGCGGCGACGATGAGCGTGGCAATCCCAAATGCCTTGCTGGCATAGAGCACTGGATTGAAGTCGTCGTCGTCGTCTGATGTGTCTCGTCCTTTGCCTTTCAGGTCTACCTTTGGCGGGGGTGCAAGTGGTCGCAGCAAGGACAGATTGGATCTAAATTCGAATGGTCTGTCTGGCGCGGTGTCTAGGAGCAGAAGCTGCCTCAGACGACGCGGTCTGTTCCGAGATAGCCTTGCCAAGGGCAAAGTACTTGCGGAAGCTTCACTCGCCTGGGCGGCTCGCTTCATGAGCACCGAGCCTGTGAGACCTGTCAGGAGAAGCGCGCCGCCAAAGGATGCCAGGAGGATCAACGGTGCCCGTTCGGAGAGGAAAGTCTTCACTCTCTGAGTCTCCTGATCATGTCGTTCGCCGCTCTTTGAGGATTCTGCGGCGGTCATCGTCGGAGTGTGTCCGAGCAAGTCGTCAGAGTCGAAACAATCGTAGGCTCGCAAAATCGCGCTTGCCGTGTGCTCATCAAGTCAACCGAGAACGATGTCTAGCTCGCTCGAAGGTCGACTGGCGACCTTGTCAATCACGCCGATAGAGGACAAGACGGACGATGGCAGCGTAGTAGAGATCAAGCACTACTTCTTCAAGCCCAAACCAGCTGCTTCGTCAAATTCTGCAATAAAGCTCCTCGTCGTCTTGGCCGAAGTCTCAAAGGACATTGGCAAAGCGACTGCGCTGGCCAAACAGCTAGGCTACAAAGATCTTCGTGCGGCAGACGATGGCCAGGTCAAAGACGTCCTTGGCGTTCCCAAATCACAAGGTGATCAACGCGTTGCCGTAAACCTACACCGATGCTCATGCCGTCTATGAGCAGCTTCCTTGCTGTCCATCCAGGCGGATCACTCTCAGTTCATCCATCTCGTTGCTTCCTCAACCCTGCAGACTGCGCATTGTGTCTCCTTTCCGAACGAAAAGCACTCGACCGAGCAAGACTTGGACGAAATCACGGGCAGGTCTGATCTCCAAAAGTCAGACCAACGAGACTGACGCAATGCAGCAGGCAAGACAGTCGTGCTGAAAGGTACAGATGCCAAGCGCTTCGCCGAGAGCCGTGAATGCGCCGAGTTCAGCGAGGTTGAATTCGCCGAGCGAGGTGAACCTCAACCTGCCGCTCCCAAGGCTGCTGCTGCTCCTACTGCTGTGAAAGAACCCAAAGCGCAGCAAGGCAAAGCGAGGACAGCAGAGGAGGAAGAGATCCACGAGCTCGGTATACACGCAAAGAAACTCGAGGACTTTCCGGGCTGGTATCAGCAAGTACTCATCAAGGGTGACATGGTATGCGATCTTGAACTCGACGCTTGACCCGGACCTGATGCTGCAGATTGCTCAGATTGATTACTATAGCGTGTCTGGCTGCTATATCCTCAAGCCATGGAGCTACGGCATCTGGGAAGTCATACAGCGTAGGCCTTTCCGTCCGATGAAAGGTACTTCGACAGCTGATGGATTGAGCGCAGGATGGTTCGACGACCAGATCAAGCTGCTCGGTTGTAGCAATTGCTCATTCCCCCTCTTCGTCTCACAGCGAGTACTCGAGAAAGAAAAGGACCACATCGAAGGGTTCGCCCCCGAAGTCGCCTGGGTCACTCGGGCAGGCAGCACAGACTTGGAAGAACCCATTGCCATTCGCCCGACATCAGAAACGGTCATGTATCCGTACTACGCCAAGTGGATCCGAAGCCACCGTGATCTTCCGCTCAAGCTCAACCAGTGGAATTCTGTCGTCAGATGGGAATTCAAGACGCCGCAGCCTTTCCTACGAACGCGCGAATTCCTCTGGCAAGAGGGACACACTGCCCATTTGACCAAAAGCGAAGCAGACGAAGAAGTGACCGATATTCTAGATCTCTACAGAAGAGTGTACGAAGAGCTACTGGCCGTGCCCGTCATTCCTGGCATCAAGACCGAGAAAGAAAAGTTTGCCGGCGGACTCTACACGACCACCGTGGAAGGCTTCATTCCTGCTTCGGGCAGAGGCATCCAGGGCGGTACATCCCATTGTCTCGGTCAGAACTTCAGCAAGATGTTCAACATCGTCGTACAAGATCCGAGCGCAAAGGAAGGCCAGGAGCTTCCTCCCATTCACGTCTGGCAGAATTCTTGGGGACTCTCCACTCGTACCATCGGCGTCATGGTCATGGTGCATGGCGATGACAAGGGGCTGGTCATGCCGCCTCGAGTTGCACAGCTGCAGGTCATCGTGCTCGGCGTTGGCATTACTGTCAAGACGGATGCAGAGATGAGGCAGAAGATCAACGACAAGTGCAAAGAGGTCGTCAAGCAATTACGCGCAGCTGGCATCAAAGCACAAGTAGACGATCGAGATACGCATACGCCTGGCTTCAAGTTTGCAGATTGGGAACTCAGGGGTGTGCCGCTCCGATTGGAGATCGGACCGAAAGATCTCGCGAGCGGCTCGGCGTTCTCTGCCCGAAGAGACACGGGCGTCAAGGCTCCCATCCCCTTCGATTCGCTCGTCAAGGATGTCTCGGCGTTGCTAGATCAGATTCAGAGCGACATGTTCACGCGAGCAAAGAAGACGTTCGATGAGCGTGTCATCTTCTTGACGGAGTGGAAGGATTTTGTGCCCACGCTCAACAAGGGATGTATCTGTGCAGTGCCATGGTGCGATGTCGAAGCTTGCGAGGATGCGATCAAGAAGAAAAGTGCAGAGGAGTACGTCGTCTTTGCTCTCTGGTCTGGCATGAGTGCTGATTAGAGAGCGGACGCAGAACTGCCGAAGCTGTGGTTGACGAACGCGCGCCGTCTGCGGGAGCCAAGTCGCTCTGTATCCCCTTTGACAAGAAGCGGTTCACCGACAAGCCGGCGAGCGAGTACAAGTGCGTCAAGTGCGGTCAACAAGCAAAGCATATCACGCTCTTTGGCCGATCGTACTAGATGCATTGCACAACAGCCAATGATGAGATCATCATGATGATCGTCACTACTCAAGAGCGTGTGAGCAGCTGCTGGTGACAGGCTTAGGTAGTATCGCCTAATGAGTAATCTTCATCCATCTGCTACAGAGTATGGCTCGCTTCCTCCGTTGTACTACCGCAAGGCTCGACAGCCCGCAACAAGACAGCTCGTGACAAAGGTATGATGATGACAACACGCTGTATCATGATGATGGCCGGCTGACGGGAGCGGCGGCGACGTCGAGGACCTGCGGTAGGTAGAGCATGACCAGACTGAGCAAGCTCATCATGAGGCCGTTGATGGGCGACCCGGTACTCTGACCGAGATTGCCGAGATTATTGAGGAAGCCAGAGATGGCAGCGATGCTTCCCAGCCAAGCTGCCGATCTGTCCGGAGATCATCAGCCCGAGTCAGCAATGAGCATGGTCAAGGGGGCAAAGATGGCAGACTTGTTCTTGGTGACCATGGCCAGACCGCCGAGGAGCATACCGAAGTTGCCTTGCATGTCGAGCGGCGCTTTCTCATCTGGATCGTGCCTCGGCTTGATGACGAGGTCCGGCCGTCTCGGATCCGAGGGATCTGCAAAGGCGAGCTTCGACATGACTGCCTGCTCAGTCGACCGACCGTCTCTGAGGCCAAGTTGATTTTGACTTTGGCCAGTTTCGCGACGAGTCGAGAGGCCGAGGGAGGAAGCAGGCACAGCACAAGATGCGCATCATCGTCAAAGGTGAGCCTCGACCGCGAGCATAGGCGACAGTGAGACTCATGGACTGCTCTCAGGCGGCATATGGAAGAACACAGAGGGTGAGCTTGCTCTTGGGTGACCTCGCAAGCAAGCTGACGATGTTTCTGACAGATGAGATCCTCAAAGGTCCGCTAGCCTCACCTCGACCGCTTGCAAGGTGCTCAATGAACAGGGACGATAGCTGCTGTCTCCAAGTATGGCAAGAATGTGAGTGCTCCGATTCTGCAACTGCTCAAAAAGGGCGGCGTAGGACTGACCTGATCATCGTTGGCAGCAATGGGCTCGCATCTCGTCGCTTCTCGTGCGCAAGACGCCCAAGCAGTGCAAAGCTAGATGGTACACATCATCCTCCCTGCGTCTCACGAGCAGGCACCTGAAGCCAGTCTGACAGGTACGAATGGCTTGATCCGTCCATCAAAAAAGTCGAGTTCAGCAAGGATGAGGACGAGAAACTCCTTCACCTCGCCAAGCTCATGCCGACCCAATGGCGCACGATAGCACCCATCGTCGGTCGCACGGCCACACAGTGTCTCGAGCGATATCAGAAGTTACTGGACGATGCCGAACAGAGAGATAATGAAGAGCTTGGCCTGACGGGCGTGGGAGCAGAGGCCGGCCCTTCTGCAGATGATGTCAGGCGACTCCGACCGGGCGAAGTCGATCCTGATCCAGAGACGAGAGCTGCTCGACCTGATCCTATCGATATGGACGAGGATGGTGCGTGTTCGCTGCCTCTGTGCGCGATGCGACCATGCTGACGCGATCTGATCATGCAGAGAAAGAGATGTTGTCGGAGGCGAGAGCACGGTTGGCTAACACGCAGGGCAAGAAAGCCAAGCGGAAAGCTAGAGAGCGTCAGCTCGAAGAGGCCCGCCGCCTGGCGATGCTCCAGAAGAAGCGTGAACTCAAGGCAGCAGGCATCGGGTGGGCAGCTTTTCTAATGCTTTCATCAAGAGCTTACCTCTGCTGCGTAGGATGAGGACCAAGCATAAAGGCGGCATGGGTTCGTTCTGAAGTCAACACACAGTGCCTGCACTGCTGATGCGCGCGTGACAGACTATAATGCTGATATACCTTTCGAGAAACGACCTGCTCCGGGCTTCTACGATACAACAGATGAAGCCAACCGACCCGGCGTCGCTCCCGTTGGTAAATCGCTGCAACAGCTCGAAGGCAAACGCAAAAAGGACGATGAGGAGGAGGATCGCCGCAAGAGACAGAAGCGCGCCGCAGCTGCTGCTGCCAATCCGGATGGAGCCGCAATGGCCCATTTCGTTGCGGAGAAAGATGCTCAGATACAACGAATGAAAGAACAAGAACAGATAAGCAGGCGAAGGCGGCTCGACCTGCCGACGCCCCAAGTAGGTGAAGTCGAGATTGAGCAGATCGTCAAGCTGGGTCAGGCCGGCGAGACGGCACGGACGCTAGTCGATGATGCGAGCAATGAAGCGAGCAAGGGTCTGTTGGGCGAAGAGGCTTCGGTACTCGATTCTGTCAGGACTGCTCGAACGCCTAGGACCGCGCCACAGGGTGCGTTGTCACTTCGCAGCTTCCGTGCCAGGCTGAAACCCACATCTGACTCTAGCTGATACCGTCCTGAATGAGGCACGTAATCTGCGCAATCTCACGGCGCAGCAAACGCCTCTACTTGGCGATGAGAACACACCACTGCATGAGATCGCTGGCAGAGGATCAGGTTTCGAAGGAGCTACACCTCAGCGCCAGGTCAGCGCGACGCCCAATCCTCTCGCAACGCCTTTGCGATCTGCTCGCGGTCCCGGACCAGGCGAGACGCCCAGAGATGAGAAGCGCCGGCTCCAATCGGGTCGTGATGCGCTCAAGGCTGGCTTCATGCGCTTGCCTGCGCCCAAGAATGACTTTGAGCTCGTCGATCCTTCCGAACCGAGCGAGAGTGATTCGATTGCTACGATGCGGCCCGAAGATGCAGCGGAACGTGACGAGCGTCAGGCGGCGTACTTAGCAGAAGAGCAACGCAAGCATCTCGCGCGACGCTCACAAGCTATCAAGAAGGACTTGCCTCGACCTACTACAATGGATGCGACTGCACTGCTAGCCGGTCTCGATAAGCCCTCGAGCGACAGATCGCTCGAGCTCGAGCGACTCGTTACGCGAGAGATGGTCTTGCTTCTACACAACGACGCTCATCGGTACCCTGTGGCGGGTGGCCTTCGACCGGATGCGCCTATGCCTGTGGACGACTTGTCAGACGAAGCGCTTGCCAGTGCGAGAGCAGAAGTGCACAAGGACTTGGCCGGCGTCTTTGATCTGCCGGGAGCGACGGAGGCTCAACTCGAGCGGCTCATTGGCAGCTCTGTCGATCACGATCGCTTTCAAGCAACCTGGTCGGGCTCAAAATCAGAATTTGCATACAGCGGCGCGTCGCAAGCATACCTACCGATCTCTGATCTCTCTGAAGACGATCGCAAAGCCGGCCTGGCAGCTTTGCTCGAACAGTGTCGTGAGAAAATGACGAGCGACGCAGCACGTGCAGCAAAGACGGAGAAGAAGCTTGCAAAGACACTCGGGGGTTACCAAGCTCGCTCACGAACATTGGGCGATAAGCTGGTCAGCTCGACTGCCGAGCTCGAGACTGCGCTCGTTGATCTCGCGACATTCGAACGACTCGCGCTCAACGAAGACGGCTCGATTGCAAGACGGATCGAATCGCTTACGACTGATGTAGAGAAGCTGACCCGGATACAACAAGAAGCCCAAGTCAAGTATCGCGATCTCGAGCTCGAGCACGCGACGATACAGCAGAGGATTGCAGATGCAGAAGAAGAGCTGGCCATGCGCGAGGCAGAAGCGATCAACGAAGCTGCCATGGCGGAGCAGACTTAGTCTTGTTTCATTGCACTCTTCAAGTAGCTCAGATATTTGCACGCGACGTGAGGCTAAACGTTCCTCGAGCAGCTCAGTAGAAATTCCGCGACCATGTTGCGTAATTATGATGAAAGGCAGATACATCAGACCCATCAAGCTCGCGTAGGAGCAAAGCACTTGACCAAAGTGAAAAGAAACAACTTGCGATATAGCGAGTCGAGCAATGAGCTGTACAACAACTTGCTCTACGCTTCTGCAGGCCCTACATCTTTGCTGATTGAGAGCGACAATGGCAACAACAAAGTCTTGCATGTCTGAGCTACCTCTTGACGTTGCCGAATAGAGGCGAATCTTATCTAGCGCGCCCATTGCTGGCTCCAGAGCGCGCGGCATCAGGAGCGGAGACGGTGGGGACAATGACTTGACGACGAGCAGCGTTTCAAGTTCAGCACTTCGATCATGGCCGGCGCAGAGGCAGTCTGTGAGCTCAAGACGGAGAGTCCAGAGCATCCTGCTGAATGCATGAACAGCAAGCTACCTGAGTAAATGCATTGCAGGCGATGGCACGCCAAGCGCAACGACCAACGAGTCCGCTTCTCGCATCACTAGCTTGCTCATCGACAAACACGGCGGAGACCAAACTGACGCCTTTCGAGCAGATGCCCGTCGTCCTTCTGATCCCACTGGCCTTCGCTGATCAATATGCGATAACAGGCACGCAGTATTTCGCTAGCATTGAAGAAAGACAATGCCGAGTTGCGCGAGCAGCTCTCGAGCGGGCAAGTAGACGAAGCGACCTTAGCTGCGATGATCAATGAGGGGCCATCAGCTTTCGCTAGCAAGCTTCAGCAAGCCAAGGACGAACAGACTGAGCAGGACAATCTCGACGCGGCACTAGGTCGCGATGCGGTCGAACCGCAGCCACTACGAGAGGAGGCGGGCGAAGGCGGCCTGAAGGACGCTGCTGGACCTCGCGTTGGTCCGAACAGCGAGCAATTCGATTACCGATGACCGAAGATCGTCAGAGTGAGAACGACAATTTTCGATCCGGTTGTAACATCACCGATGGTCTGCGTTCTAGCTCGCGGAAGTAGCCAATCTCCGCCTGACCGCGAGGGTGACTGGTTGTACCGTAGCCTTGTGCAAGCTGTTCGATGACTGTCCTGATGACAGATAGGATGAAAGCCGCTGCTTGATCGCGATCGATCATTTTGGTGGATTGTGAGATGATGAGTCGCTCTACCTCGTTGCGCAAGCGCAGCAAGCTGCAAGTGTCCGTGTCAGTCTCGAAACGACCCGCTAAAGATGTCCAAGCACCTTGAGCTGGCCATTGCATCGTCCGCCGCGTCCGGGCTGCTCAGTACGATCAATTCTTGAAAAAGAGCTCCATATCGCGCTGCGACCTGTGCAGCATGCGTGAGCGCGCTGACCGACTTCACTGACAATGAAGTACAAACGATCCTGATATGATCTGCGGACGGCGCCGTGCGACTTCGCAAGGCGTTCGTCAGCGAGATGGACCCCGCTTTGTCAGACGAAAGCTGCTTCACGCTATCGATCTGTTCGCCCATTTTCTTCTGGAAAGCAGGCCACAGCGCTAATCGGATTGATTGCAAGTGTGCTTCCATGGCCGCACAGGGACACTGTCGTGATACGACCGCGCGAAGCGTGATGGCTTCGTTCAGACGGATCATGCAGAGGATCGAGCTCGGGCCTGGTTGAGACAGCTCGAGTAGAGACGATGCAAAGTTGCTAGCGTACTCCAGACACGGCTCCATCGTCTTGAGCCACATGGATTCGATGAGCGCCGACTTGGCTCGATCGCTCGATCTGTAGGAAGGCATCTTGACCTTCGAACCCGTCAAGTCTGATGTCGTCGTAACGCTGGCGGCATCATCCTCGTCAAGCGTACGATCTTCGCCGCTGAAGATGCTACTGCCGAGCACGCCATCGTCTCGACTGAGCATGTCCCACCCTGCCGAGGATGAGGTCTCTGAAGTTGACATAATTGCGCTCGTCGGATCGATTGGAGCTGGAGCGGGAGCACCAAAAAATGATGAGATGAACGCATACTCGCTTGCCACGTTATCGAACAATACGATGGCGATGGATCGGAATACTTGCTCTGGCTGAGCTTGCAAGGTGAGATCATCGGCCATGTAGGCTAGCAGGATGTGCGAATCGCCGAGCTCGGAGAGCTCTTTGAGTTTAGACGCGCGGCTAGTCACTTGTTGTAAGGTAGTACCTGGCAGCACCGGTCCGATGAGCTCACGTGCAGCACTGCTGCGAGCCTGCATGCCCATTCAGCTGAAACTATCCGAAGTAGTCGGGACATACTCGGATACGTTCCAGCGAGCGCACATAGCGCCGGAAGCCGGTCTCGTAATACCACCGTATATGGGTGAGGTAGACTTTCTGAACCTCGTGCGCTGTTTTGAGGGCGTGCCGCTGCAGAAAGGCAAACAGCTCGCGATAGCGCAGGAGAACCGAAGTCTGTAAAATCTGCAGATTGGGCGCGATAGACGTTTTGTAAGGCATCAAAGCTTCTACGAAGAAAGCTCTAATCTTCTCCGCAGCCTAAGTCGGGCGCATGAACTTCCACTATATTCTTGGAAGCAAGATGGCCGACCTTGATGCGCAGTAGCTCGGCTACATTGTCAAGCGACTGGCGCGCAGCAACGCGGGGGCCAGTCTTGATCGCCAAGAGATGAGATTCGAGTCGAGCAATCGCCTCGAGCCACGTCTCATCGATTTGAGTCTCCGTGATCTTTCGAACCAAGTCGGGTGTGATAGTAATGCTTTCTACCAGTGGACGAAGCGAGCGTTCCAATGCCTGCAATGGAGAGACGACTGTATGAGCAGCACTCACCTGGCATGCGCAGTGAAATGTACCTTGCGTGAAACGAGTCGTTGATCCAGAGTCTTGCCACGATCTTGTAAAGACGCAATCTGGCCGGATACTGCAGCAAGCTCTGTTTGAAAGGTGGCAAGGAAGGCTTTGAGACTGTCTAGAAGTGATGAGCTCGTCTGTGACCCTGTCAGACTTCAGTCATAAGCTTGGATCTCGGGGCGCGTCACTTGCGGCAATCTGGCTGTGCAAGTCGAGCAAGTCTTGCGTATGACCGAGAACTGCGCAGTCTGTAAGCTGAATAGGTATTGCACTGTACGAAGGGCATCCTCACATTGCAAATCGTCAGCAATCTCTCGTTGTTCCTGTTGCAGCGTCGCGTTGCGTAAGGCGAGCCGAATATCGCCAAGCTGAGCCGCTTCGGATGCCAGGGACATGTAGTCTGTGTAGTGATCAGCTCACCGAGCAGGCTTGTCCACCATCGCATGAGCGCTGACCCTCTGAGTCCCCGGCCTATCGAGCCTTAGCGGATCAGCTCGTAACGTTCCTATCATTCTTGCGCAGCTTACTTGAGCAGACTGCGGCACTGCTGCGCTCGCCTCGGTCAGCATCTTGTCGTCGAGACCGAGCTGTCGGAGCCATGCTGATGCAGTCGTTAGCATGCCGGCCGACCAGACCCCCAGCTCCTGCTGATCTGATAGTACGCGCTCGCGCGACTGGCCGACTTTGCCACTCAAGAGGACGGCAAAGCTAGCGTCCTGCCCATACAGGACACGGTGCCCATCTTTGCCGCTATCTCATTCTCCATCAGTCATGAAACCTCTCAGGAACGCGCGAGTACCGCTACGCGAGCAGAGCCAGGGCTTCAGATCTGTCCAGCCCAGGCTGCGAGTTGTACCTAGACTGCTCTCTAGCTCACTGACAATGGACTCCTGGGTTTCTGCCGCTCTGTACGAACACGTCACTAGTCGAGCAACACGATACAAAGACGAGGCAGGAGGTCGCGCGGAGATGACAACATGCAGGCGCTGTACCTCGGGACGTCCACATGTCACGATCGACGAGGTGTACGCGCCGAGGTGATCAGTCGCTCTCGCTCTGTCATTCTCGTGCCGCTTGCGCGCTTCTGCTTCTACTTCTCCCGAGCTCACCAGCATGACCGAGCCGATCGGTCCTAGCTATTCTTGCGCTTCACCACAGCTTCTTATGCAGCTCATGACCGTCTACATCGAATACGAGAGCGAACAAGAGATCTTCGAAAAGGCCAGCGAGGCGGTACGAGTCTCCAGCGAAAAGCTCAACGCACTCTGTCTCACCATCGCTATTCTTCATGCTGCATGTATCCTGCCCGAGGTCGCTTCACTCGAAGAGACGAGCTACGCCGAATCATCCACTCATACTGATAAAGGTGTGTGCCTGTCTTGTTGACGAGCGGGCTACCTCAAAGAGCCTCACAGGGTCAGACCACGCTATGCACACATCTCTGATCAATTCTCAGGTCTGCTCACTGGACGAAAGCGAGCTAGCGAGGACCGTTCTATCGTGTAAGCTCTGACGCGATGTGTGTGCAGTCTGTCCCCAGCACAGCCTCGGCGGGTCCAACAGAAGCTCATCAGGCTCAGTCGAGGTCAACCGATCGACTTTTGGAGAGGGTACGCTACTCGTCGATGTGCGCCTACTGCCCTGACTGTCGCGACAGGCTTCTACGACACGCTTCTACAATTCGAGGCCTCGTGCTTACAAGGCACCTTCACGCCCCTCATCGGCGCTCGAACTGTTCCATCGAGTTCGTCAAGCTGGTCTTTTCTGTCACAGTACAGCTGACGGCATGCGCAGCGATTATCGTCAGAGGTAATCGCACGCGTGCTCTGCTGCGCCAAACATTCTATGGACCTCATATCACGCCGGTCAGATTAGACGATAGCCCGCGAATCTACCGCGGGCAGCTCGACTTCTCTCTGCCACCCTCGCCGCAGCTCAGCCCCACCAAGCCAAAGCAGGACAAAGGGTGTATCGAATGCTCCTTGCGGAATAAACCCCTGGAGAGCTTGATGGTCCGCCCACTCGGGAAGAAGGGCAGATATCAGCTCATCTGCCATGGCTGCATCAAGAAGATTATCACACTGTGCTCGGGCAAAGGCGCAACGGACGGCGATACGCTGGACGAGCAACTCACTAAGGGTTGTCTCAACAAAGCAGACTCTGCGCTTCTGGACAGAGCGCTCGTGCTCCGCGGGACCGACAAGATTACTTACAATCACTTTCTCGGGCACATGCAGCCAGCAAATCAGTGCTCTACCGTCGAAATCAGAGGCTACTTGCAAGAGTATGCGCATGGAACGTTTGCACCGGATGCAGAACTCATGGCAACGTTCAATGGTTTCCTCGGCCACAACAAAGTAAAGCATGGTATGATGATCACTTCGACGAGGCGGAAGCAAAACTCATGCCCGCTGCAACAGATCAGAATGGTCCGGCAACGGCCAAATTGCTCTCCTCGCTTTTGAGAGGTGAGCGACCGTGCGCGACCATTCCGTCGGCTTATGTGATTTTTGCATACAGAGCTCAGAGAGCGACACAAAAATGAGATCAAGTCGACATCTGATCGACGGGCAGCCCAGATTGCATGGCAAGCGCGCACGATTGCAAGCATGGTCAGGACTTAAGCGGACAATCACGAATGTTATAGCAATCTCCTTTCCACGTCATATCACACATCCCATCGACACACTTCATAGCCATGCTTCGCTCAACGCGATCACGCAACACAGACCGTGTATCGCATGCAAGCGGACGAATCTTTCGGCTTTTCGCAGACAATTTTGATATGCGAGATAGTCTGAGTATGTGCCTCTCTGTGAGAATCGATCAACTTTGAAGGGCCTCGTCAGGCAGCCTATCGGTCTCGCTTCTCTTGCACTAATCATTTGGTTTGACGCGACGCGTCGCCCGCCGCTTACCTCGCCGCTTTGCGTCATGCTGCCAGATCTGTCCAAATTTGCTGCTCCAGCGAGTCGTCTGACAAGATCAACCTCTCGCCGACAGTCTGATCTCGATCAGGAGACTCCCACGACGCCCAAGCGACGCAGACAGACGAAAGCCTCTTCCGCATCACCACCCTTGACAGATGCAGCTGGCCTCGCTAGCCCGGCACAAGAAGTTGATGTCAAAGCTATCCTGAAGGCAGAAGGAGCTGACGCGCCTGCTGCGAGTCGGAAAGCCAAGCCGATCAAGCTCAAACTCGATAGACCTCACCCGGCCCCTACGCGATGGCAAGAGCAATGGCGGGTACTGACAGAGCAACGCAAGACAATCATTGCGCCCGTCGATACCATGGGCTGCGATAAAGCTGGTCGCAACCTCAAGGACATCATCACACCCAGGGATGATCGCTACCAGACTCTCATCTCCCTCATGCTGTCCTCTCAAACGAAAGATCAAGTCACAGATGAAGCAGCCAGCAATTTACGCGATCGTATACCTGGCGGCTTCAACATAGAATCTATCTTGGCTGCGAGCGACGAACAGATCTCGTCTTGTATCAACAAGGTCGGCTTTTGGCGGCGCAAGACTGACTACATCAGACGAACATCTGAGATGCTACGCGATCTTCATGACAGCGATGTGCCCAAGACGATCCAGGAGCTATGCGATCTACCCGGTGTCGGGCCAAAGATGGTGAGTAGCGACACAATCTGCCAGCTGAGTTGGGACTGACCCAGGGCGCATTTGACCAGGGATTCCTCTCTTTGCAGTCACAGGGCATCAACGGAGGTATAGGCGTCGATACGCACGTCCATCGAATCACACATCGGTTGAGATGGCATCGCAAAGAGCCAAAAGACGCCGAAGAGACACGGCTCAATCTAGAGAGCTGGCTGCCCTCAGAGCTGCACGGCGTCATCAATAAGACCCTAGTTGGGTTTGGACAGGTAGACTTTGTCCATGTGCATTCTTGCAGATACTCATGACCTACGGTGTACAGGCCGTATGTCTGCCCGTGGGACCGAGATGCGATCTTTGCGATCTGGGCAAGGCATCACTTTGCCCGTCTCGGGTCAAAGTCGACACACTCAAACGCTCGCCATCAAAATACTTGGCCAAGCAAGAGATCAAGATAGACGATGATGCGCTCCTTTTGGCAAAGGAGGAGGATATCAAGCCGACCCTTGACGATCTCAAGCCTGATACCGTCATCCTTAACGGTCACGCTTTGGCAGGCGAGGTCAAGATAGAGCCGTCAGAGGGAGCAGTGGTAGAGGAGCGGACTGTGTGAAGACCAGGTCAACAGGAAATGCATTGCAGGCACAGGCTGTGTCAGCAACATATGGCAGACAACAAAAGGCGAAGATGATACGCCGCACGTAATCACAATTGCAAGCCTACACCACAGAGGTTGAAAGCAGCGCTTTGCCGAGTCATAAAGTTAAAGTCGTCAGATGCATCGTCGTGTCGGGGTCTGGCGTGAATCACAGAGTGACCTAGACGAATGACAAGCGGACGCTCTGATTGTCGTTGACAAAGACGGCACGCTCGCGAAGTTCCTTCTCGAGACGACGACGCTGGACATCGGATCCTTCAGAGCCTGACCAGGTCGATTCGGTATCGCCGTCTCCGGGACGGGAGTTGAGCACCCTTGCGCGTTCGCAAACGAGATGAGCGTATCTCGCCGGCGAGGCAATAGAGATACTGCGCGTGCAGCGAGCGAAAGCATGAGAGAGGCCGTACGTGAACTCTTGAATCGAATTGGCATCGAAGCCGTTCTCATCAAGCAAGAGCTGGTAGTGTGTCGAGCGAGAAGTACCTTGAAGACCGGCATGAGATTGCAAGTAGAAATCTGCATCGGTTGGGTGAGTGATGGCATTGTCGACGACAGTACCGGGAGGAGCATTGCCTGAGCGATCGGCCATTCCGAGCGAGACCGGCTCAAAGCGGATGTGATGACGTTTGCTTGCGATGATGTAGGTTATCTTTGGCTGCACGGTCGGATTGACCTTGCGGCAAGCCTCTCTGATCTGACTCACTTCCTTGAGCAGAGCCATGTCATACTGCGACTCAGAGACCTGCCATCCCCAGTCAGCATAACCTCGGTCCAATGAGCACGAGAACATACGCCATCGCGGAAGACAACGAGACGGCTGGGATACTTGCCGGTCTTGGCATGGCGCTTCTGAAGAAGTTGTTCGATGAGCGATGTGAGATCCTCGAGGTATTCGACACGAGAGGGCTGGATTGCATAGGCAGAGGCGTACTGTGAATTGTCCAGACTGCCTACTGCGCCAGAAATTGATGGCTGCAGCGAGCCGGGCGGAGGATGGTAAACATCGGCACCGCACACCATGAGGCCCTCGCTGATACCCTTGATAGCAGGAGCATAGTCCGAATGAGCTCCTCCGAGCTTGGCATTGATCTGTCATTACAAGATGTATCAGCCAGATAGATGCTGACCGCATCATGTCGACCAACCTTCAAAGCGACATTGTCAAAGTATCCACGGCGATCGCTGAGAGACTTATCGGCGCGAAGACATTGTGTAGCAACAGGTTTTTGAGTGTCACCGAACACCTTGACTGCAGGATAGTGCCAAGTAATCTGACCATCAAGAATACAGATGAAGAGCTGCGGTGGCACCTTAGTGTCTTGATATAGCTCGGAGCCGAAGCGATGAAGGAACTCTGAGAGCTGCTGCTGACGAGGTGTCTGAGTGAGCAAATCCTGATCGGCGTACTTGATCTTTGGACGATCGTTCTTGATCTGAATACCGCGTTGGCTCAAGACTTGCATGAGAGCCAGCATGGCATTCTGGACTTTAGTGATCTGCGCATAGCGTTCATTGGCAAAGATGGCGACGCCCCACGAAATGAGCGGAGCGGCAGGTTTGTAAAACTGAGCATTTTGACGACCAAGGTCCCAGACACCGTCACGGATCTGAGCAGGTACTGGCTGCCCGCGCTTGTCTTTGACGGTAATTCTGGGCGCGGCCAGTACACGGCCCTGAACCTTGACAAACTCGTTGGAGATATCAATACCCCAAGGTCGGAGTCTCTCACGCATGTCAGGGAAGAGCGTAGTGATCTCCTTGACACCTCTGAAGCGTTCTTGAGGTTTCACTGCGGTCTGCTTGATCATATTGGCCGTCTGAGCAGGGTCGAGCTTGCGAGTATACTTCGTGCCAAACTCGACAGAGAGCAGCTCGAGAGGGTAGACAGCATCACGACCGACTTGGACGACAGGCCAGTGGGGGTTACGCAGCTGAGTGCCGCGCTCTTGTTTAAAATACGTGGCAACATTGTACTTCTGCTCGCGATCGTTGTCTTGGAAGGTATACTGAAGCGCAGACTGAGGCAGAACATCCCTGATCTTGAAGTAACGCTTGGTCATGCCTTGATTGAGACGCTCGACATTGGCAGAAACGCGGACTCCTCGAAGCATACGATTGAGCATGGGTAACTTGTTCGAGCGGGCGATCTGCTGAATGTCAAGGCCACTGATGTCACGCAGCTCAAGGATAGCTTTGCAAACGTCAGCGAGATTGCCTCCTGGGATCATGGGACAGAAGCTGAGATCGACGTTGAGGATCATCTTGCCCGTGGCCGGTCGAAGGGAGATGAAGTAACCTTTCCAGAGTTCGACACCTTTGCCGACCGAGCGCTGACGGCGGGCTTGTTCGACTGAGCGAGGATCGTGCTTGTCGTAACCGATAGGGTAGAAAGCCGAGCCTTTGTTGGGATGCGAAGCAAAGAGATCGGATTTGAGGGCGACATTGAGGGCCGAGATAAGCGTCTCGATACCCTTTTCACCTGCAATTGTGACAGTGGGCTGAGCAGCATTGCGACCGTCTGCAGGAGGATTGATAGCTCCGTAGAGAGCTTTAAGGTCGAGTTCGGCGACACGACGGATCTACGTGTCGCGTCATGTTCAGCGTGTGTGCCTTTGTATGTGTATGTGTAAGCGATAAAGGAAGGCTTACTTTGATTCTGTAAGCTTTCTTCTTTGCGCCGTCAGGAGGAGCCTCTGAGAAGCTTTCACCCTCGCCAAAGAGGACGTAATCGCCAATATCGGCAGCGGCAGCGTTGTCAAAGAGGGGATGGGGCGAAAAAGCCTGCTTGCGACCGTCGTAGACCACACTGGCCGGCTTGTTGTCGTCAGTCGTGCCTGTCGGAGCTTATCAGTAGGCTGTCTGTAGATCAAAAGCTTGACTGACGGAAGGGACGTTCGGGGCCTTTGACATTGGGGAATCCACGAAGATAGTTGATCATGCGACGCGCGAAATCCTTGGGGAGCTTGTCTCCTTCTGGTTCGATGTTGACCTACATCTCATGTGTCATCATATGAGACAGTTGAAGGCAGCGTGTGACGTACATCGTAGTGGAGGATGTTCAAAAAGGCGCCAGGCTTGACTTGAGCGTCCATTGCATTGACGCGGAGTTCGATCGGCTTGCCTGCACTGCGTAGGAAGGTTGGTCTCATCAGTTGCTGAGAGGCATTGGCATGACGAGTGAAGCCTCACGAGCCGCGACCGAGCTGGATCCGCTTCGTGACTCGAGGACGGACGGTAGGCTCAAGAGTCGCCATCCTGGCTGTGCTTTCTTGACACGAAAGGCTGTTCGAGTCACAAGCTCAGCGGACATCTCGAACGACCAAGGTCTATGCCGCTTACCTGCACGGGCAGCAGCACACGAGCTGCTGGTGGGTGCTTAGATGCGCTGAGCGATGAGTCGTGCGGAGGGAGCCCCAAGCAACACACCTCCCCGTAGATGGCGTATCGCGTCTCGCTCGCAGGCTGCAGCGCTTCAGAGCTTCAGAGCTTCAGCCTGCCAGCAGATCATCTTCGGCCATCCTGGGAACTTCAGCCATCTGCTCATTTACCATGGCGGCATCCAATGCAAGGCGAATCAAGCTGCAAGAGATCATCCAGGATATCTTGTATGAGCACTTTGGCTTCACTCCGTCGGCATACTATCGCACAGTCGCCCAAGCGGCCAACGCGACAATCTATCAAGCTATGGACGATCTCGAGGACCGCATCAGGTCGACTTGGGGTCCCGAAGCCGTTCGTGAGGATGTATGTCCGAATCTGCCGACGAAGACGCGTCGAGCTGACGGGCCAGTGACCCTTGTCCAGGGCTTAGAAGCACTGGAGCTGGCTTTGGAGGAGAGACTAGACTTTCGGACAGACGCCTTTGCCTCGTTCTCAGATCGCAATATCTTCACTTGCGATACAAGGCTGATCCCGTTCTTGCGTCTCGAACATCATGTCGCGCCAAGTGAGCACACTCAGTCTTTCATGATCGACGATGAGGCGACGGGCCTGAAGAAGATCAACGTGGATGCGCTTGCAACCGAGGAGCACAATCTGATCAGGGCAATCGAGATGGAGAGGGAACATCTCCATCAGGCTCAGACAACTGTCCTCAACCTCAAAATTGCCAGAAAGGCGCTCGATCACGAAGCGGATGCCTTACGCGCCCTTAAAGCAGAACTCACGGGATTAGGGCTCAAGGGCGAGCCAGCAGGTAAGTCGACTAGAGTGCATCCTCTCGAGATATGCTGACTTTGTCACTGTGCCTCAGCTCGCCTACTCGATAAAGCAAAGGCAGCTCAAAAGTCCATACCTGAGCTTCAATCGAAAGTGGCAGTGCTGCGCGAGCAAAAGCTAGAGAGGAGCCTGGACAAGAAGCCCTTCTGGCTCGAACGAGAGGACTTCGTCCAGTGGGCAGCCTCGAGGCTACTAGAGAAGCATCAGGAGAGCAAGGCAAATGCTATTGATGCGATGGACGACATACAGCGTTCGATCGAAGCGACGGGCACAGAGCGAGATGCTGCGGCTTTGCTCGGCCAATTGACCACCCATAGCGACGTTATGCAGCCATAAAAGCATTGGACTAGTATCCTTGCGCATATGTCCAGCCCGAGACGAAGGAGCTAATAGCCCAGCGAACGGTCCGCGCTCGAATCTATCGCGCATCTGGTCTCACAACCTCCAGGTAACGCATGCCACGCTTGTCTTGCACATTGTCGGACGGGCAGACTGGATCGCAAGCTCGACTCTGCACGCCACAAAGCAAGACACGCATCTAGTCCAGCGCAGAGATCACCTGGCACCTGTCTGGCAAATTCACGCCTTGCCCTCGCGTCTCGCACACACAACGCGGCCATGTCGTGTCATGCAGCGATGAGACTCATGCGATGCGATCAAGTGCACATGTTGCGACGACCAGGAGCATGTTGTATGACTTCAATGTGGTCATGAGGATTCTGCATTGTCGCGACTGACAGAGAGCCACCGAGAGCACTAAGCATGGCCAGGGCTGACAGCGCAGACCAGCCAGAGTCGTCCAGCAGGGCAAGCTCGCCTCGAGTGCCTACAAGGCTGCCGCACAGGCGACCCTCTGGCCCTAGGCCGAGAGCAGACAGCTATGCAGCTCGAGCATCGCCCCGGTCAAATGCTGTTGCCTTGGCCGAACGAGAAGAGTCACCGGTGGTCGAGCGAACTGAACAGCTGTCTCATCTTCAAATGGACTCGCCTACCGATCCTCCAAGCTCAGAAGCCATGCAAATTGACAGCATTGCGCCTCAGCCGTCGTCGTCATTCGTGCCTGCTGAGGTTGTCGAGATTGGAGATAGCACGAGCGAGGAGGAGCCGACTTCTATGCGTAGATTCCCCACAAGACAGTATGACATGCGCAACCGGTCATCCAAGCCTCAACTGATCGCACATAGTGAAGTGCCGTGCAAAGAAAACGGCTGGCCGATACTTGCCGTTCCTCCAAGAGGGAAAGCATTCAGACAGGGGAGAGGCATGCTGGTCTCACACATCCTCGGCGCTCCCTCTGCTGGCTTTCATCTCGGCATGCCTTGGCGGTGGCAAGAGGGTCACTTTACCAACTTCGATCTGAATAATGCTAGGCTAGCCGAGCATTATCAGACGAGCATGCAAATCTGCGCGACTAGCACGAGCAAAGCGAGACCGCCCACAGTAGAAGAGATGAGGCTCGCGAGACCCCATCCTCATGCTTTGTTTAATACAAAGAGGCTTGGCTGGACACTACTCACGCCTTGGCCCGCATCCAAGGAGTTCGCGCAGAACGGGACGGGGAGCATACCACCGCGACATGGCGGTTTGGGCACGCGAGAAGATTGCAAGGCTCACCACTACATCACCACGCCGTGCTCAATCGATCCGAGATATCTGCTGAGGAAGAGTCAGACTGCTCAAGCGACGCTGGGCGGTCCTAGCTTGCTACCTTGGTCACAAGCGACTCTACAAGCTCAGACGACACCGCAAGACGATTGGATCAGCCTGGTAGCATGTACATGGTCTTCACGCGGAGCAGCGCTCACGCAAGAAGCCGCCATACCTTCTATCATTGATCCCGAAGCTGCAACCGAGTTCGAGAGCCAATTTAGAAATTACCCACCGGCTGGCGAAACGGCTGCCGTCGGCGTGTGCAATTCTTGGCTAACAATCTGGAGGTGGGTCACGCCGCCCTGCCCTCTGTTATGGTCGCTGAGACAAGCAAGTCGACAGGATCTGTGACGCAGCTTTATTCCCAAACGGTAGGGATGCCTTGCCTATGGGCGGCGATACCTACAACAAGCGAATCGCACCCAGCCCTGCAAGTCAGAAGATCTTTACTGCTTGCGGCTTCGTTGCTCGCGAGAAAGACGGTCGACGCTTCCTCATTGCGCCTGACCTCGATCCGGCCACACTGGAAGGGTGCAGCAATCGAGCCACATTAGCAAGAGCCTGGCTCGAGATCGGTTTGATCTTCATGTCTCATCTCGACAACGTCAGACCGGGTACAGAAGGTCTGAAGCCACACGATCGTCTTTCTTCGCTTCTGCGCATTATCGAGCCTAATAAACTCGTTGAACACGTTCTAGGAGGCAACAATAGTATGGCGTCCTGCATTTGTTTGTTACAAAGGACTGAAGTTATGCGGATGTACAGTCGGACAAGAATGGTTTCCGAACGAATGGCTCAGTGCAGATGGTCGCGATCCTCACTATCGAGACCACCAAATTCTTGGCACAACGCCATCAGATCCCAACGATTTCATCCTCTTCGCATACGACCGCCAGGCGAAATATTGGCAGGAATGCACACACCGATGCTTTGACGCCTTGAAAAACATAGCAGGTACGCGTGGGGGTACCCTCATGGCTCAAGTCGTCTCATACGAGCTCGCCGAGCACGTCGGCGAATCACGCGTCATTCAGGCTCTGCAAACGATCGGCTGCTTGACCCTCGCAGATCCTCGTATACCCAGAAATATCGACGATCCTCCCCTTGACATCAGCGAAGATGATCTCGTCAATGCGCTCAGCAACCTCGACTATGCTGCACAGCCTGCCAACATTCAGAAGGAGCAAAGTGATGCTATTCAAATTCTCACACATTGGATGCCGAGTAGTGATACTATCAAGTCAATTTGGCTCAGTATCGCAGGTGAAGTAGCTAAGGAAGAGCCAATGACGCTCGAACGCGCATATGCAACCTTTGAGATCTCAGCAGACATGCAAGATACGGTAGATGACGATATTCTCAAGGGTGTCTATGCCGTCCGAGTGCGTTGCGTCTCACTCGTCAGTCCCATCGATCTGATCATGAACTTCGTACGTGCAGAAAGCAGATGGCGTGCTGCACTTGGATGCTGCATTGCGGTGTATCGCAGAAGCGCGACAGAGCGCGGAACTCAAACGTCTCGTCGAAGGCGACGATTCGAGCAAGTCTAAGCACGAACGAGCGCGAGCTTTCTGCTGATGCTGGCATGCAGTCGATGATCCCATTGCGGAAGCGAACATGCCAATTGGACTGCAGAAGTGAGTCGACTCGCTTATGTCAGACTACACCTGATTAAGAAAGCTTGAATCGCAGCATTGGGAACACGTGCTACCTCAATTCATTGTTGCAGTATCTCTACACGATCCGAGCGCTCAGAGAAGCAGTCCTGCGCTTCCCTACAGGCAGTGAAGATGCGAAGAAAACACCACCGGATGGACTGCGCGTCGGCGGTCGGCACGTCAGCCAGAAAGAGATTACAAGATCCCACCAATGTCAGAGATTGGCCATTGAATCTCTGCCGTTGCTGACGTGATCGACACATGACAGTCCTTGCCGAGCTACAAGTGCTCTTCAACTCGCTCGCTTCCAGTCCGGTTCGCTCTATTGCGCCAACGAAGCAGTTGGCATATCTTGCTCTGGTATCAACAAAGGACGACGACAGGATGTCCTCCAACAACGATAGTGGGTCGGAATTGACATCGTCTACCATCGATACAGACGTCACCCTTGTCGACCCACCGGTGTCCACGATCGTGCCGTTGACCCCGGCTAAGCGCAATGGCGATCATCTCGACGTGACAGAGTCTCACAATGGGTCACCTCAGAAAGCGAGTGCAGAGATCGCGGCAGAACCTCTGGTCCGGACAGACACGCTCGAGAGATTGAGCGCTGTCTCCAAAAGTATGACTGCGCAAGAAGTCGACGGCGTGACAGAGATCAAGCTGGTAGAAGATGAAAGCCAGCTGGACAGCCTGTCCTCGCCGTCTATTATTCTGCCAAAATTGCCGTCAAGGCCTGCGGAACCAGCCGCCGGCAAGACGCCAGCTAAGTCAGCTGCATCACCTCTAGGCGGCACCAATGAGATGATGTTCGGCAAGCAAAACGACGTCTCGGAGTGTCTCGACAATGTGCTATTCCAGATCGAAGTTGCGCTTAGCTCAGCGACTCACGTCGACGAGCCGATGACTGGCATAGATGCTCTCAACGTCATCCAGAGTACATTCTTTGGCAAAACACGCCAAATGCTGACTGCTGTCGATAGCAGCAAAGGCGAAATCGAGCGGCTGAAGGAGGAAACTTTTGTTGCTTTGCTGCTCAATGTGTCTGAAGAGGGTCGAGATATCTACGACGGTCTGGACGCGGTATTCGACGAATCGGAAGTCGAATCTGAAGGCGTACTCGTCACAAGATCGGTACAGCCTATCCATTTGCCGCCTGTGCTCCAGATACAGCTCCAAAGGGCTCAATTTGACAGGATGACCAAGCGTAGCTACAAATCAAACGTCTACGTCGCCTTTGAGGACACAATCTGCCTGGATCGATACTTGACACCTGCTGGCAAGGAGCATGATGTATCCGAGAAGAAAGCTGCAGCAGTCGCTGCTCGTCGCGACATGGACGCAGCGCGCCTCAAGTTGGACAAGCTGCAATCCATGGATGGCGAGAAGGTTGCAAGCTCGATGTCTGATCTCAACACATTCCTCAGCAAGCTTGGCACGGACCATGCCATCGACTCGACGGATGCACTGCCTGCGAATCTGCAGTCCGAACTCGAAGCAGAAGCCAGGCACCTTTTGGACGATAAGAAAGCGCTCGAGACAGCGATCACAGACACCAAGAAGCGCATCTCGGATATCTGGGCGGTCGGATCAGATTCTGTCATTTATGATCTGGCGTCAGTCTTCATGCATCAAGGCGTCGCCAACGCTGGTCATTACTATCTCTATTCGCGCGCGCTGCCCAAAGAGCCGGATCGCTGGATCAAGTACAACGATTCGATTGTAAGCACGATCAGCAAGGATACCATATTCGCAGACACGACTGGCTCAACGAACAACCCTTACTTTCTATGTGAGTTTCTTGGTGTCATGCCCAACAATATCTGAGACGCGGGCAGGTTACGTACGAAGAGAAGCAGACAGTCCTGTCGAGACTCCCTACCGGTTGTAGTGCACAATGTTGTTGCTATAGAATTCCAGCAGACAGACGATCGTCAAGCAGGCGGATCATGTTGCATGTCCAAAAGAGCGAAACCAAAAGACACTAGTAAGAACAGTAAAGCACATCCTCCAATGATCTCCATTATCCAGCTCAAGCGTGGAGCATTGAGCTGTCATGACGATGATAAGCGGCGATGGCTTGAGAAAGATAGCAAGGTCAGAGCAACATGAGCGTGGTATCGGGGTCGAGAATCGAGATTTGTCGGTGTGTTTACCGGACTGACAGGTCTTTGGGGGTATCGCGCACGGTCGTACAATGTCAACAGATCATCACATAGGCAACCGGAGCAGCTCTGTCGATAGTCGCAATTATTTCTTTGCCGCCTTAGGGGCAGCTTTCTTCTGCTCATCACGTGAATCAGCAAACGCCCTTCTATATCGATAGACACGCACAGCAGGCGCTTTGGCCTTTGGCGCAGCCTTCTTCGCGGGCGCCTTCTTAGCGGCAGGCTTAGCTGCAGCTTTCTTAGCTGCGGGCTTGGCGGCAGCCTTCTTAGCAGCAGGCTTAGGAGCAGTCGCCTTTTTCGCCGCTGGCTTCTTAGCAGCAGGCGCCTTCTTGGCCGCTGGCTTCTTTGCTGCTGCTGCGGTCTTAGCAGCAGGCTTCTTTGCTGCCGGCTTCTTCGCAGCAGCAGGCTTCTTAGCAGCCGGTTTGGCGGCAGCAGTCTTGGCAGCAGGCTTCTTTGCTGGCGCCTTCTTAGCCGCTACGGGTTTCTTGGTTGTAGTCGCCTTGGTCTTGCTGACAGGCTTCTTATTCTCCTTGCCGGCGGCAGAAGCGGGCTTCTTGGGAGCGTTCTTGACCTTGCCGGATGTTCCCTTGGGGAAAACAAACCGGCCTGATGATTGACCGGCTTCGAGAGCCTTCTTTGTTCGGGAAGCAACCTTGCCATCGGTGGAGCTCAACTTGTACTTATCTTGCAGATATCTGTCAGATGCAGCACATTAGCTTCTGACGGCACTGGCATTGGTGCAAGGAGTGGGTGAAGACGGTGCACGAGGGCACAGAGTAGTGACCGGGATCCAGAAGGTGCTCGCAGAACGCGCAGACAAGTGACTGTCATGCAGGTCACGTGCAGTTTGCGCTGAGCGCTGCACCGCTCACTGCAGCTCGGATGGGCGTGAAGAAGCACCAAAACGGCGGCAAGAGCTCGATGATGGTCGGCGATGAAGCAGCATGTAAGCCGAGAGGGTATGACGCGTCAATGAGGGCAGGTTTACGAGCGATAGCAGCGTGGAGAAGTCGGGAGCGATAGGAGCGCTTAGGACTCACTTTTTGATGCTCTGACGAGATGCGCCAGTTCTGTCACCGACCGTAGTGATTGCCTCCTGTAGTATGGCGTAGGATTGAGCAAGATTGGAGGATGGTCAGACGCGTGGATGACGAGATAGAGCGCTCGAGAGTTGGTGCGGGTCAGGCGATGTGAAAACAAGATCAGACGACGTTGATGAGACCGGAACGCGATGAAGGAGCGCGAGATGGATGAGTAGCATATAGCGTAGTGGAAAGAAGAGAAAAGAGGCAAGTCAGCCCATGTTCTACGCGATGGCACGCGAAAAGAGACAAAGAGATGAGGACAGAGCGAGCGTCGAATGAGCATAGCACAGAGGCTACGCGCTCTGATGCTTCGAATGAAGCTTCAACGAACTCCATAGAGAAGCGACGAGTGGAGGCAGGTGCACACACTGACCGAGATCATGGTGACATAGCTAGGCTTCTCATCTGCCGAGGAGGCGGGTTTCTTGGAAGCCGACTTTGGGGCCGACTTTGGCTTGGGGGCAGCCTTGCTTGACTTGCTTGGGGGTGCCATTGTAGATGGAGAGTGACTCTGTCTGCGGTCGTGGTCGCGTTCACTCGACTGCTTTCTCTGTGAGACGGCGGTGAAGCTGATCAAACGTCTGGCGCGCCGCGACTTCTTGTTGATCGACTTTCCTTCATTAGACACGTGTTCAACGCCAATCTGCTGCCCTCTCCACCGTGGCGGCGATCTCTCCAGCATGGCGGAGAAGCCCAGGCGGTACTCCCACCGCTACAGAGACTCCAATGGCGCCCCAGATCCTGCCAGGCTCGCTGCCGTACCTCCAGACATGCTCGACACCCTGCCGGCTCCACGCACGGAGCTGGCAGATCGCTTCCTTACAGCTAGGCGTAGTGCCGCTCCCCGACCTTCGACGACCGATGCTAGCTTCTCGCCCATCTTCGGCAAGGACCGCAGACAGCGTTCGAGTCTGCTTGCGGCCATGAGCACGTTTGGCAAACCACAGATCCGTCTGCTGGGCATTGTGGGCGTGCTCATTGTCTTGCTCTGGGCGACGTCCGGACAAGATGAGCTCTTGATCACCGGTATGCTGTCTGAAGAGGCGCGAGAAGCGAGGCGTCAGCCTAAAACGCCAAGCAAGGTCTCTCAGGCATTCGATACTTTGAGCAGCTACAACCCCCTTCGTACTGCACCCAGAGAGATTGCACGCTATGCGAGCTACGACTTTACGAGCGCCATCGCAGGCGGAAGATCGTCCGCGATCACGCTCGAGCTGTTCCTCGCAGAACGAGTCGGACCACCTATCCGAACGCGACCGATATGGCTCACGCTAGCTGACGGAGACTATCTCACTCATTCGGTGCCTCATCTGGTTGTCTACCTGAACAAGCTAGCTAGTGGAACGCTGCCCAAAGCCAAAGCACGTACGCTGGGCGAGGCAGATCCCGTCTTCACGGCTCAGCCAGAGGAAGGCAAAGGATTGCAGTTCATGCTCGTCCTATGCTTGAGCGACTTTTGCATGCAACATTCTCGCGAAAAGGGCTACATGGCTTATCGGTACGATGACACCAAGAATCAAGATGCAGCTTATCTCAAATCACTAAGTGAGCGCATGTTACAAATGTGATCGTTCCGCGCTCAAGGGAAGCATAGTTTTGCAACACTTGGCAGAAGCGGGTTACCCCGTCATCTTTCTCGATGGAGATGCTTTTGCTCGCAACGACGTCTTCCAGTACATGTATCCCCTAGACGATGATACGATCGATCTGCAGATCCAAGACGAGCATCGTATCGGCTTGACCAACATCGGCTTCTTCCAACAGGCCGGCAATGAGCGTATTGCCGAGCTGTGGCGCCAAGTCGTTCACGAGGTTGATGTCAATCATGTGAGCATTCGTAACCTTGCATCAGCATGCCTGACGATACGTTCTGCTTTCAGAAATGGGATCAAGACGCTTTCAATGTCTTGCTCAACGCATCTGCCTCACGACTCGACACGAAGGATGGCACTCGCAAGTCCCGCTTCACTTCGCCTGGTGGTGTACAAACCTATGTGCTCGACCAGAAGCGCTTTTGGGCAGGCCATTACTATCATCTACGCGGCGCACTACCGCCAGAGGCAATCCTTGTCCACATGACCTGCACAGACAATAAGTGGCTCAAGTTCATGATCCCTGCCGCACACGGCTACTGGCAAGACGCTAATCACTACTATTCTCAGCCTCCGAAAATCCTCACAACGCCCACACTGTTCGGTACCAAGCCCGTCTTGATCCAACAGTTGAGGTTACTCCTTGCTGCTGCTCAAGCGTCCGGAAGAGCTTTCGTTCCACCCGCAAGAACGATAGTGATATCCGACGAATATCCGACAGTGCCAGATCGCACTTATATCAATCCTATGGCACCCCCACGAGATAGCAAAGCTGGCAAACTCGAACACGCAATGCACATGCGGAACTTCTGGTCAGTTGTGGACATTCACAAGGTTGCCGAAGATACCAACGTCACCCTACTCGAGCCAAACTACATCATGCATGCTCTTGCGAACGTTCAGCCTGACTCGCCGCATTTCTCAGCGCTCACCCATCCTGCTGACTTCGATCTATCGTTCTCCAAGACGTACGCAGAGATGATCAAGAGGCTGTCAGAAGCAGTACGTCGCTTGCTTTCTAGCCATGCAGCAACAGCTGAGGCACGCCTGAACACAGCCGCATGTTGATGAGCCTGTGCTGAACATCATCGATAGCATGCGAGTGTCTGAGCTATGGCAGCTTCCCGCAAGCATACCGCCTCTGAAGCTCTGCGGCAAGATAGAGGCAAGGCATCGGCCCACATGTATGGTCAAGAGCTGACATCGGCAGGGCAGATCGAACCATACTGCACAACATTATGCAGACCAGCAGATAATTGATGGGGAGAAGGCATTCATAGACCAAACATAACATTGTTGCTTGTACACACATTGTACCGCACAACAACGCACTGTCTACAATGAGAGATCCTGCCTCGATGCGTCTGATGGTCCCACTGACCTCCTCAGCTGACCCGTCTCGGCTACTCTACCGTTCATTGAGCTCGATCTGCTTGCAAAGCGTGTACTGTTCGGACTGGTGGACTCGTCGTCTAGAATCGCCGACTCTCCCAACGTCCGTCGTGATGACTGCAGGTAGTTGCTCGAGACGGAAGGACTCGATAGAGGCGTATTGAGCGGTTGGGGCGGATTCGTATAAGATGTCGAGGGCGTCGTCATATTTGTGTTGTTCGAGTCTGTCGACGTGCTGCTGGCCAAGTATGACGAAGGACTTAGCGGCGTCGAGGGCGGTAGAGTAGACGACTGCATCGAGAAAGGCTGTTTGCTCTTGCTCGCCGTCATGGGTGAGAAACCGTAGGTCGTCCGAGAAGTCGGATGGAGCGCAGCAGGTGTGACGCCAGGTATGGCGATACTGCTCACTTTGGCCGCTGTGCCTTGCGTGTTGCTGTTCAATCTCCCCCGATGCCCCAAGCCCGAGAAGTTGAGGTCCTCGTAGGTTTGTTTGCGATCCGCAATGAGTTGGGCGCCAGAGGGAGCGCCCACGAGATCGCCAACATCCTTGCCTGCCCTTCTCCGCAACTCGATCAGTTCAGAGCGGTAGACATCATTGAATCGCATTGTCCTGATCAGTGCTTGTTCAGATTCTGCCAACCGATTCCTGAGCGACGTGTTCTCGTCTCGCAAGACTTCGTTCAACCGTGAGACAGAAGGATTGAGCAGGTCCTGTGGCGAGGCCATGAGGACGCTGAGATCAGGTCCGTCTTGAGCTGTTGACTGCGTTCTGCTTCTATCTTGTGACTGTGGCGAGAGAGGGAACTGACGCGGTGGGAGGGTCTCTGATTGTTCGATGACCGGCGAGACGGACGCACTTGCCGCGTCTTTGTTCGCTGCGGCAGAAGACTGCTGTTGTAGCATGAGAGCTTGCAACTGCTTCTGCAGCTTGTTGACCTGCGTGGGGGGAGGCCAGCATAAGCGCTACGATGAGCGACATTGTGAAGCGCGACGGACCAGCATCTCTCCCTCTGCTTCGAGGGTACATTCGAGCTGTGCTTTCTCTGCACGCAGCTGCAAGCTCGAGCGAGCGAGTGAGTAAGTGACTGTCTGAGGAGCATGCCGACAAGGATAGGCCGCACCTTTTCGAGTTTACGAGTGAGTGCGTTGACCATCCGCTCTTCTTCCGCTTCGAGAGCATTGATGCTGAACATTCGCGTAGCAGTCAGCTCACGATGGACGACATGAGATGGACGTACAGGTCCTCCTCGTGCTTGGCGATGTCTGAGTTGCTGTTGCTCCTCTGACTGACATAGCTGCTTCCGCGCTGGCTTGCCGACAGTCGAGGCGGATAATCAGGTGGATCATCTTGTAGCGGGCCTCTCGAGCTTCTCGACATTGCTCTGTGTGGTGAGGTCATGCCGTCGTCCAGCTAGCCGTCGTCACGCTCCGTCGCCAAATGAGCGCGTCGTCGTGTCGTCGTGCAGCGTAGCCATTTTGCCGACTCTCATCCGGCTGACATGGCAGCTCTAGGCTTCAACCAACCTCAACAAGGCTACGGAGCACCAAGCGGATCTCATCCGGCAGGAGGCGCGGCGTATGGCTATGGAGAGCCTCTCCAATTCTATTCTGGCGGTACGGGCAATGCTGCCACTCATCTCAGCGTTCACGACCCCAATCAGGCCTTTTATGCCGGCTCGAGGCCTTCTCTGGAAGGTATGATGGGCACTGGAGGGGGCGCTGCATCGATGGGCAGTGCTCCTGCTTTCGGAGGTCAAATACAAGGCGGATTTTGGGCTGCATTCGGTCCGGGTGGTTTCCCAGACGAGCCGCCGTTATTAGAAGGTCCGTCTTTGATGCTTGGGTTACCGTCACATTGACACCAATCGCCTTGACGGACAGAGCTCGGCGTCAACTTCAATCATATCAAAAGCAAGACTCTGACCGTCCTGAACCCGCTCGGCTATCCAGATCAGAATATCATGGACGACGCAGATCTGGCAGGACCGCTCATCTTCTGCTTCTGCTTTGGCATCTTCCTTTTCCTCGTATGCTCTTCCTCCTGCTCCGAAGGCGAAGCTGACAATGAGGACAGAGTGGGAAATCACAATTTGGGTACATCTACGGCGTCGCGCTCATGGGCGACCTATCAGTCTACTTTCTCCTCAACCTCATGTCCAATACGGGCATAGATGCGTATCGTGTGGCGAGCGTACTTGGCTACTGCTTGCTCCCACTCGTCATCATGACCTTGCTCAGCGTCATCTCGAACATGGAGTGCGCTCCTCCATGGACAACTCGCCAGGCCTAGCTGATCTGCTTTCGAATGAACAGTGGCATCATCGGCTACTTTCTCGCGACGCTCAGCATACTCTGGTGCTCCTATTCGGCTTCTGGCATCTTCGTCTCCGTCTTGCAAATGTCAGAACAGAGGTTACTCGTCGCCTATCCCGTCGCACTATTCTACGGCACATTCGCTCTGCTGTCAGTCTTTGATGTCACGACAGGCTCCATTGGTGTCGTAGGCAGGTGAGGTTTGTTGTACGTGCTGCAGATCATTCGCATTTCTCCCCTCGCCGCTGCTCTTCCGCAAGTGGCTACCAACGCGTCAAAATGCGACGCGTCTTGCACCGATTTCAGCCCAATCTAGCAGCGCTCGAATCCGGGCAGGATACAGAGCGCATACATCTCGTGCGGAGCACTCCCGGCAGTCGCAAATGACAGATCTGCAGAGCTCTTGGCCAAGAGATCGCCAGGGAATTTGTTCTTCTGATCCACACGGCTATACGGAGCTCGGGCAAGGCATGGAGAAAGCCAGGCACAAACAATCGGGAGTGATGACGGTTTTAGTGCGCGCACGCGGCCGTGCAGCTCTGCGGCCTCTATGCACGAGGCGCAGAAGAAGCTTCTACCTCGCATAGACACATCCGGACGGCCTTCGATAGCGCCTTCGTCCGTAGACTGTACATGGGCAACATATACCAGCACGTCTGATACAGACCTTGCTCTTCAGTGCAATACATACATATATATAGACATTGTTCGTCTTCCTTCTCCGCTCGTACTGACTGCGCTCATGAACCGACGAAAGAGTCGAGTAGCATGATGCGAGAGAGATCGCCAGCGTCGATACAGCTCGTCAAGCGCAAACCAGTCCCCGTGCTCTCTTCTGCAGGCTACAAAACGCCAGTCCTTACCACGACGAGCGCAGTCATCTCTCGACCGAGCACGCCTCGTCTCAGTCCGACCGCAACCCCCCAAAATGTGCCGAGCGTCATCGTGACATCAGGCCAAGCAATGAACGAAAAGGCAACGGATTATTTTGCTCTGTCGACGAACAGAGTGCCTACTGCCGTCGATAATGCTTCGACTGCTTTCCAGCGCGCGCTCCTTACTCAGTCAGCACCTCGCGTGCACGCTGCTCGACCATCGATCAAGAGGAGCGTGTCTGCGCCCGTCACACCTGCTGTTCAATCCCAGCAAACCTACAAGACGACATCGCCTGCAGAGTCAGTAGCGAGCAGTGTCGCTTCTCTGCCCTCTTCCGAGAGCTCGGAGCAAGAAGCCATCACCCCGCCATTGATCGCAACGCCGCCCTTGCTGACTATGCCAACGCAAGATCTTGCGGAACCCCTCATGACTGCACTGAAACTGCCTGCATTGCAACACCAGGTCCTCGCAGATCTCGACGCGACGCCAACGTCCACGAAGCCGCTCTTTGTTCGTCGTAAGCAAATACCAGATTCGCTCAGCCAGACGGCGACCTATGGCAAACGCAACTCTTCGCTCGTTGCAGCTCCCTTGCTGAAAAGCAGCAAGAGTATGCTCGATCTGGCTTCGCGTGCACTGCCAGAGATACCGCAGGAGGAGGCCCACATGAGCTTGCCGGCTTCGCCTGTCAAGTCTCGAGACGTGAGCGACGCGGTGGATTTGCTGGGCAGCTTGTCGGCGTGCAGCAGTATCGATTTTGACGACTTGCAAAAGCTGTTGCTCGAGATTTCTGCCGAGATCAATGCTTCGTCGAGCGAGCTCAGTGCTTCGACAGATCGTCTGCGAGATGATATCTTGCTGCTGGCCTAGTCGGCCTGACGCTTCACTTCATGTGTTAATTTTGTGGGCTTGTTGCAGCTTTTTGTCAGGGTAATGATCACATCTGTACTACTTCCACCACACCCACTCACTCGCTATTGCACGCCATGTCAATCAAATCGCATCTGTAGGACTGCTCGTTGCAAAGAGATGTCGACGGAGCATCTCTAGCCGTCTGAGAGCCTTGTTGCGCGTCTCGTCAGATGCATCTGAATCTTTGGCCTCGTCTAGAGTACGCTTGATCGAGTCTGGCAGACCATAGACATCGTCGGTATACGTATGCAGCGCAAGGTACTCTTGGATATCTCGCGGCGGCCTCTTGCGCGAGTCTATGGACCGATCGCCGGAGAGCAACTCGAAGAGGTACGGATTGGCATCACGTTGAAGTCTCAGCGCGTCTAGTTCATCCCGAGTGAGGTCAAGCAAAGGATCGTCTGGAACCGCTTCGTCCAGCTGTTTTCGCCAGGACTGCACATCCGCACCTCGTGGGTTATCAAGGTCGGCATTCGTGTGCTCGGCTTGAGTGTCATCGTCGAAAGTCTCTGATTCGAGTAAAGCAAGCACGGCCGCACCGTCGCCCGGTCTTATCCGCAGATCTTCCGGTCTGTAATCGCGCGAAGAGTAGTAGGCTGCAGGTTCGATCGTGCGCAGAGGCTCTGGCTGAGTGTAGTGAGGCACTGCTGGTGAGGCAAAGGCAGCATAGTCGATATCTGAGCCGGCATAATCTTGCTCGTCATTCGTATGTCTTAGCTTAGCAAAGGGTCTTGGCCCGCTTGATTGGACGTAAGAGATGCTAGAACCCAGCTGTGCATGCTCCTGTGCTCCGTGAAGCGCTTGCCGATCATTCAGAGCCGAGGGCGGAGGCTTATCACTTGACCATGCGCCATTGGTAGCGGTCGATGACGTTGTCGCTGATGAGCTAGCGGTGACATCCGAGGCCAGTGAGCGTGCTGAAGCTGCTATCCTCGAGCCCAGGCTATCGTCTACCTGAGCCCTGGCCTTGTCGGTCATGCGCTGTCAACGTTCTGTGGCAACTCGGCAAACGCGCTCCTATCGACACGACAGTCGGTCTCCACTGTCGCCCGAACCGACATGCCTTCTCGCCTGATTCTCTCTCGTGCTCTGCAAACGGATTTGTTCTGCTTCCTCATCGCCCTATCAGCCAATCCTATGATCGCCACGTCCCTACACCGAGCAGGGATCAGTAACATCAGCAACACCGCTACATCGCTACGAGGACGCGACATTGCCTTTACGCCCCAATAATGGGAGCTTGCCATGTGGTGTCACCGCAGCTGCCAGCCAAGCAGAGCGCTCAATGAATTCGAGCTCCGACAGTCCAACGCGATGCCTTTCTCTGCAAAGATCCTGCTCAGACCTCCCCTCTCGATCACCGGCGACTGGACAGCTCAAGAGCTGGGCGAGCACAACTTTCCAGGTTCGGTCACAGTGAGCGAGCAGACATCCTCAGGCGCTGTAGTGAACATCAACATCGACCTCTCCAACTTTGGCTCAACGGCCGAACGAGCGGCATGGTCAGCGTGCTGTACTGCCTTGCCCACCGCGATGATCTCTCTTAACGCGATCTCACAAGAAGCCGAATTGTTGCATGACATGACGACTCTGCAGGCTCTCTGTCAGCTGCATGTACGGGCCGGATCGAATCCTCGGTGTTGGCGGAGCGCTGCTCGGCGTATCAGTCATTACTCCACTAAATGACATGGTTAACGCCGCATCTGAGCATTCGCAATACTTCATAGCTCTGCAGGGATTCCAAATGACTTCATTTGGCAGTCAGATCATCGTCGTGTGCATGCATCGATCCGCGATCAGACATGAACTTGTCGTCAAGCCTTTGCGATCGCAATGGGACCGTCCTCGCTCAGCCCGCCTCATGATCACGCGAGAAAGCAAGAACGGATATACATTGCGTCTCGTCGAGCGAATCGATCAAGCAGAAGGAGGCGTTGGCTTCCACTCCTTGAAGTCTCTCATCCATGATCGGACGGCAGTAATAATTTGCTCGTGAGTCGTCTGCAACTCTGCAGGCTCCTCATGGTAGTCGTCAGAGTTGGATCGGTAATCCCAGCAGTGAATGCCATGAGGCATGAGAATGCTCGGGCGGAGGAGCGTGTTCGGTCTGGGCGGTGCTGTCTCGCTCTGAACGCAAAGACCGCGCCACGGATCGCGTGCTCCCGAGATAAAGGCAAGACGGTCGGCAGAAAGCTCGTAGTCGCCATACTTATTCCATCGAGAAACATCCGCCTTTTCAGGAATGCTGTTGATCTTGCCAGGCGGGAAACTTTCGGCGCAGAATTCTGCCCAGTATGCTTCGTTGATCGAGCGCGAGATCAGTGTCGGCTGACCGACAGGTGCGTTGGTTTGGAAAGCACCGAATTCTGTACACGAGACATACATGTACGCGCGCATTGTGTCCTCGCTGATCGTGATGTTCTGGTTGAATTTGCGGTCTGTATTGGCGAAGCAAGCACCGGTGTTATAGTCCTTGACATCGCAGAAGTTTGGCGCCCATGCGTTGATGAAGCGAACCCAGAGGCCGAGACCGTGCCATGTCTTGCCGGAAGTATACTTTGAGAACATTGTGTCGAGCTCGACTTCTTTTGCCGTGGGCTTGTCGGTGATGTTGCCACAGAACTCGGGAAAGGTACGACTGGAGGGGCCCTCGCTCTTGACGGACTGCCAGAAGCCGAGCGGCCATGCAATTGCACCGGTGAAGTCAGGCAGCTTCGTGATGCTCTCCATTCCGAAAAGCTTCTTGAAGGCTGGCATTTGCTCTGGTGCCTTTTCAGCAAGCTCGTCGACCAGCTCGGTAAGAGCTGCAATCTTTTGCATGCATTCTTGAGGCTCGGCATGTTTGTACAAATGCTCATACTGAGATGACAGCGTTAGCTCATGTAGCCCAAAGTGGCGAGGGTGTGACTTACATAGCCTGCATAGTAGCTCTCCGCGTGAACTACGCCAGAGCTTGCGATACCGCCATAAAAGATGTGCGGGTATGTCTTCATGATGAAGCCGGTCGTAGCGCCAGAGTACGAGCCGCCGTAGTAGATCCAAGGCGTATGAGGCGCAGGAGCGAGATGCTCCAGTCCGGGGATCTTCACATGGGCCGCAAAGTAGGCGCTGTCGGCCAGGGTCTGCTCGATGGTGTATAGTCGCAAATTGTCAGTCGACAAGTCTTTAGTGGGAAAGGTTGCACCGTAGCCCCTCATTTCCACAGCGACAATGGCAGCATTGAGTTCCTTGGCGAGCGTGAGCGAGAACTGGGTGAGGAAGTAGTATTCGCCTTGGATGACCTCTCTGGTGAGCTCAGACTCGGCGGCATCGTTGAAGATGATGAATCCTCCCGGTTTATAATGCGTCGTATCGACGATGAAGCGTTGGTCAAAGTGATGGTCTTCTTTGTAAGCGTAGGCGGGATCCTCGGGGAAATGGTTGACTTTTTGCTTGAAGGTATAGATGGGAGGCATCTGCTTCTCAGCTCGTGTGACGAGGCTGCTCTGTATCTTGGCTCGCATAGCCTTGGCGTCCTTTCGGTCGTTCTTGATCTGGTTGACACCGAGGGCATTGCTGAGCAGCGCCGAAGCGAGCAGGGCAGTGGTATAGACCAGCATATTGCTCTATGATTTGCAGCTGATCACTGCCGTACTGAGCCTTGTCGCTCCGATGAAAGGAAAAGGCGGCAAAGGGAGGCGATAAGCAACGAAACGGAGCAACTCGAATCGGTCGCCTCGTCCGAGCATCAGCTGATCTATTGACGGCATTGAAGAAGTGTTTGAGGACAACAGAGTGGACTATCGCAGATAACAGCGTCGTTAAAAGAGACAGCCGTGTCCGTGCGAAAGCGCGACAAATGCAACGAGTCTCGCGACGATGCGCAGATGACGCAATCTCCCCCCCTCATTGTCTGGTGTCGTGGCGATCAAGCAGACTACGTCCATGCCATCTCCTACGCTACCGATAAGAGCGAGCCTGCTTTGCTATATCATCACGCGCAGTAGCGTCTTGCCCATCACAAGTGAATAAGCAATGTTTTCGCTTGTTGCTCTCTCGGCACTTGCCTTTGGTGCCATCTGCGGTGCCACATACCCAGACTATCCGATCTATGCGTTCGATCAGCCGATCGATCACACAGATAGCAAGTCGCCAACGTTCAAGCAGCGTTATCATATCCTTGGCGACTACTACAAACCCAATGGCCCCGTCATCATCCTCGATGGCGCCGAGTCTGACATCACGAGGGAGACTTACGGTGGCTCGAAGATCAGCTACTACCGTACTCAGTTCTCCAAGCACCTTGCCCAAGCAACGGGTGGCCTGCTCGTCGTCTTTGAGCAACGCTGCTACGGCAAAAGCCATCCGTTCTCGAGATCGACGACCGACAACCTGCGCTACTGCTTGATCGACCAGGCCATCGCCGATGCTCCCTACTTTGCTCAACATGTCAAGATCCCCGGCTTCGAGGGTCTCAACGCCCCAAAGACTCCCTACATTCTCTACGGCGGCTCGTTGGGAGGTGCAAAGACTGCCTTTTCGATGCTCAAGTACAACGACGTCTTGTACGCGGGCATCGCCTCCAGTGCTACGGTCAAATCGGACGTAACCTACCCAAAGTGGTACACGGCTGCACAGACTTATGCTCCTCATGCCTGCGTCGCGACTATCAACAATCTTGTCGACCGCATGGACGAGCTGCACAAGCAGTCGCCTCATGCTATACCCCAACTTCAGAAGCTTTTCGGACTAGAGTCATTGACAGACTTCCGTGACTTTGCATATGCGATCGCAGAACCTATCGGAGGTCCTCTCGACTACCTCGGCAATTCCTGGCAGGAAGTCAAAGAGATCTATCTCAACCCTGCTCAGATCGGCAAGCCTAGCGACTTTGATTACTTCTGCTCCAACATTACGGCAAAAACGGTTGATGCGAGTATCGACACGGTTTTGTCAAAGTATACCCATGGCCGCACATGGCCCAAGCTATCGAATTATGCTAATTACATGAGAAAGTACTACAATGCTAACTGCAAGTCTCCCAACAAGCTCAACGATGCGGCCTGCTTCGGTACGACCAACAAGACCTTCTGGGCTGACACGACTAATGGCGACGATCGCACCTATCTCTTTACCACCTGCGTCGAGCAAGGCTCTTTCGTTGCCGCTGCACCCGCCGGCCAGCCGTCGCTCATCTCACGATCCGTCCAGGCGGCCTACACCGAGCGCAAGTGTCGATACGCATTCGCCGATGGAAAGCACTTCAAGGTGCCTAAGCTGCCAGAGGTCGAACGATGGAACAAATTTGGCGCGGCGAGTATCGCCGTCGACCGACTCGCTTTCATCAACGGCAAGCTTGATCGTATGTCTCTCACTCTCTGCATAAGCGTCGGCTTACACACGAGTAGCATGGATCTACGAGACACCCGCAGCACCCGATCTTGCACTGCGCAAAAGCACACCATTGCGTCCTTTTGTGCTCATGCAGAAAGGTCGCCATTGCGATGACTTCCGAGCCCTGCCGGACCTGCAAGATGAGCCCGAGGAGCTTCGCAAGACGCACGAGTATATCCTCGACTTTACCAATGCCTGGCTCAAGGACTTCCCAAAGTGGAAGCCGGGCAAGGCGTGAGCCGAGTAGTAGCAATGCAACCTGTTGCCAATCACGTGATCGAACGCGTCTATTAACAGCTGCGCTTGCAGTGCAACCGCTGCTCCTGGCTGAAGCAAGGAAGCGACGATCTCACCACACGCCGGCCGGCACATAGGCTCAAACAAGACAGATACAGACACAATACGCGGGGCAAGCATATGGTCAGCATCCACGCGGGCAAAGCTGATTGTTGTGCAGCTCTCTAGTTTCTACTCACACCTTTGCAAGCACACATGTACACACTGACGCTATGGCCTCTGGCATTCGCTACACTCGCACTGGCTTCCTCGTCCAACAAGCACCACAAACATGAGCACAAAAGCATTCCTCTGCAGAAGAAGACGGCTACCGGCATCAGGAATGCCAAAGGCGTTGTCCAGAAGCAAGTCATTCTCGTGCGTACTCGCCCGCTTCCTTTCCGTGTGCTTGCTGACGATTTCTCACAGTCACACCTTCAGCGACTGGACATGTTTGCTGCTCTCTCTCGTCCCGGGCGACCGCATCTGAACAGGCATGCAGGAAATATGCTGATGCCGCCATCAATTATTACGATCACACGGGCCAGGCCCTTGCAGGCTTTCCGCCGCCCGTCTGGAAGCACAACTTTACCAATTGCACCATCGAACCTGCGCCTCAGCTTAGCAGACGGATGCGAAGGAGGGCGAAGGAGCAGCTCGCCGATCAAAGCTCGGGCCTGCTGTGGACTGGCGTCGTTTCTATAGGCACACCAGCAAAGAGCTTCCTACTGGACTGTCAGTCCTCTCGCAGTATTCTGTGATAATCGCTGATCGATCGAGCAGTCGACACGGGCAGCGCGGATACTTGGGTAGCAGGCACAGGCTGCGCGACTTGCACAGATAAGAATCTCTACGATGCCAACTCTTCGACCACAGCGAAGGAATTGACCGAGACGTACGTCTGCCGCTCATCGAGTCTCCAATGCTGACACTGCGTAGCTTCTCTATCTATTACGTCGATGGCTCGAGCACAAGTGGCGACGTCTATACAGACTCAGTTTCCGTTGGCGGTCTATCTGCCAAATCGCAAACGTTGGCGTCGATCAACTACATGAGCGATGGTTTTGCGAGCGAGCCAGGTGATGGTATCCTTGGCATGGCATACCAGTCCATCTCCTCGCTCAATGCCAAGCCATTCTTCCAGAATGCAAGTCGAGCGATCTATCGCAGTCGTCAGCATGGGCTGATATTGCAATCGCAGTTGGTATCGCAGCAGACACAAATGCGCAAAGTGTTCTCGTTCTATCTGGCAGAATCGGGCTCAGAGCTATATCTCGGAGGCAGCAACCGCGCGCTCTACTCTGTGGGTCTTTACGCGTCGCTGCATGTACAATGGGTGATCCGTGCGGGAACAGGGTAATCTCGAGTATCACCCCGTTACTTCCAAGGCGTTCTTCACAATCTCTGGGCGGGGCTACATCAATGGCAAGTCTCTGAGCAAGTCGACGCGTAGCTACACCATCGATAGCGTGAGTCGGCGCATGCGAAGATTGTGCTCGACCTCATCACGTTGCACGCAGGGAACGAGCCAGATTGCGACGACGTATGCCGAAGCAAAGGCCTTCTGGTCAAAGGTGCCACACGCTTCGCCTTGGACGGCAGTCCCGGGCACATGGAAATATCCTTGCTCGCAAAAGATCAATCTGTCATTCGCATTTGGCAAGGGGAGGAAATGGGCGATACCCGATTCGCTCTTCAACCAAGGCCTCATCGCTTCGGGCAGCTCGATGTGTATGGGTGCCGTCACGGTGATCGACTCGCTCGACTCTGGCTCTTGGCTGCTGGTGAGTCGCATGACGCTTCTTGAGCGATGACATAGCTGATACATCGGACAGGGTGACACGTTTATGAATGCCGTTTATACCACCTTTGATCTCGAACAGAACAGGGTGGGATTCGCAAAGCTCAAGCATTAGCATCTGTAGACTTGCATGCACTTGTGTCATAGCTTTGCAAGGACAGAAATCTCTGAGACCGAAGGCAAGATCTCGATCATCAGATGTCCATCAGATGCATCAGACGCGTCTCTCCTTGCCGTCTTCACGCACGTCACGCCTGCCAGGATGGGCTCGCATGGGCCCACATCAGGCTAGTATAAGGTCATAGTCATGTTCGGACGCACGACACATGAACAGCCAGCGTCAAGATATCCGGATCTCAACGTCTATCCCGTGCCGCGGCATGAGCTTGGCGCAAGTGACGAAGCAAGGCAATCGCCCAGCCAAGTCCAAGAATTGACGCCCAGTCCCCAATATGGTTCTGTAGAGTCCACAGGAGAGACGCGGGCACGCTTCGGAACAGGCGAGAGCGCTGTTGATGCGAAGAAAAGGGCCGCCAAAGTCGATCAATTGCTACAACAAGTCTACTCAAAGACAGCCGCTATTCTGACTGAAGCTCGACTGACGCACGTTCAAGGAGAAGGGTCCAACTTGCAAGCGCAGGCCAAGCGGACGAACAAGTGGGCAAGTGCGCCCTTGGGGAGATGCAAATCACGCTGAGCATGACCGCGCAGTTTAACCTCGAGCTCGAGGACACCGAGATCTTCAAGGAAGAGCTGAAGCTATGGCGCTCGATCACCGCGCTACTGAGCTCCAGCTCGTCACCTCGAGCGTCTACCTCGTCCACGGCGCCTGCAGTGCCGCCCATGGTGCTTGACATCATACTCGATACTTGCGATCTCGCGCCAAATGACGTGCTTGTCTTGCGCCATGAGGACGGCAAGACGACCCGTCTGGATGATCTGCAAGGTATACTCGCTAGCCTATCTGCCTCACAAGCTGCGCAATATCAGTCCTATACGCCCTCGACGACACCTCAGCGCGTAAGGATCGTCCTCGAAAGATGGACTTTACAATTCTCCCCGCCAGCGCCGCCGATACAGCCTGAGCTGCCACATGTCTACAAGCTCTGCACGGTACTATTCAGAGCTTTGCACAGCCTCATTCGCACTTTGCCAGCATATGCTCTTCATCGCCAATTGCGCAAACGCGGCAGGCCAACGAGCTCACTCAAGATCGGCTGCCGGATGAGCATGGTCGATCCGATGGACAGTATACGACGTGCGCGCAATGGCGAAGTCGACCTAGGTCGGTGCTGCTCTTAGCTTGCCTTCACGCAAGCTGACTTGCTCGCAGACATACCGCTGGGGCCAGAGCCCAACAACGCAGCGCCAGAGACTTATACCTTTTCGCCTGTTCTCACGCCCGTAGGGTTTTTGCAGCTCTCGGGAAGGTACAGACCAGACGCAAACTTCCAAATCCAAGATCACGAGGCCTTGATCAGCTCGAGGTTCATCGACGAAGATTTCTTCAAGCCTACCGTCCTTCGACCGGGTTCATTGCCGCTGCGGCCTGGTCTTATCACAAGTGCTACGGCTCCAACGCAAGTGCAGACAGCGTATGGATCTGCGCCACTACGACAGTCGCTCGCAGTGCCAACTGCTCAGCCTGCGCCACCCGTCACGACCGCAGCCAGTCCGATGCCGTTCGTTCGTTCGGCATCTGCGAGTCAGGAAGGCGCTTTCCTACCGGCAAGCCGACCGCGATCAGGCTCGCTGCTGAGCGGCAGCCGCGAAGCTGTTCCTGCATCGCCTGACTCTCTTCGAAGGCCATCGATGAGCTCACTACAGTCTGTGCGCATCGGTAGCCCATCCAGCCTATCGCTCTTACGCCAAGGCTCATATGTCAGCTCGGCTCCACTATCGGTGATACCCCAAGACATCGCAGTGTCTGGCGCGTCGAATCATCCGATAGGAAGTCCCAGCACAGGACCGTCCTCTTCCCTGCGTTACGTCGGTCACGGCAGTGGCTCGTCGCTTTCAAACATGCAGAGGATTAGCACCTCACCTCAGCCGCTTGGCTCACTGCCCAGATATAGCAGCAGTCGGTATGGGCGAAGCTCAGGCGCTGGCAGCTCGCTTGGCAGTAGTGGCGGCGTCGCGCAAGCACCAGGTCAATGGCTAGCGGAAGCAGCCGCGCGGCGGATTGTGAGCGGTAGTGCAGGCAGTAGCACATTCGCGCCGAGCGGCAGCCCGTCTTTTGAATCGAGACGCAGCGAGTCATCTGCTGACAGCGGCCCTACAGCTGAAGCAAAGCCGCCGCAGGACTTGGAAGACTTTCTGGCATTGCTTGACTCGAAACCTCAGCTGTCTTCACCTGAAGCCAAAGTGAGCCCGGCGACGCTCAAGAGTCAAGCAGATGCACGCCTGCGCGCAATGGCCGGATCAGTCTATCGGACGCTGCCTGCAGTATCGAAAGAGGGTCTCTCGCCTACTCGTACCTCCTTCTCGCCGCTCAGTCAGCGGCCAATCTATTCCGTATCGCCTTTACGAGAGGTCAGTTTGCGCGGGCCAGCAAGCGAGGAAATCTCGCCCCAAGCTTCTGGTCCCCCTTCGCCCCGGCCATCGAACGCGCTTGAGAACCTATCAGCATCAGGCGCACAGCGATATGCGTTTCCGCGATACGTCTCGACACGCAGACGGCCGAGTGATGCGGCCCTGTCAGGTTCGGGCAACTACTTTCCTGCCGAATCATCTTCACGCGGTTCTGGTGGCTTGCGCGATTCTTGCTCGGAAATCCTGCCTCCGGTGACGCGCGACTCGGGTCTGGACGATGAAGCAGTCGGACGGCTCGATTTGAGCCAGGACGATCATGCGCCGAATGAGCAAGCTTACTATGCTGCACATCATCTACCTCTGCCGCCCAGCGGCGAGACATCTCGCGCCGAATCACCCTCTGGACCTGGAACGCGCTCTATCGAGAACAGTCTGCACCAAGCGCTCGAATCTGCTCGCGGCATGCAACTGGGTCGCGGTCGCGGTCGACCTGGCCGATTGATGCAACAACGCGATTTGCACGAGGGAAGCCGACCTACCTCTCCCGAGGCCTGGTCAGGCTGATACACAGACTCCCATCGCTCACTTCTCACTAGATAATTGACTTGTTGTGACATGATTACTCTGCATTGTACATCTCTTCGCACAGAATGGGGACGAAAAAAGTCTCGGGCTCTCTGATTAGACTCGAGATCGTAGAGCAACAGTCGATCGATAAGTCATGCCCAAAGAGCTCGCTGATCTTTGCTTTCCCACGATCGCATAGCTCCTTGCTGTAGACATCATGCAAGCGCTGGCAGCACAAGGCTGTCGCGATGGACACAAGCATGCTCAAATTTGCTGAGATGGAGGAGGTCATGGGCAAGGCTAGTGAAGACGCTCGCAGCTTTGCAGATCTCTGCAGCCTCGTGATGCGTACAAGCCGATGACGAAGCTGCAGAGACCAGCAAGCTCAAGCCGGCGAGACGAAAAGTTTCGAAGAGGTTTATAAGATGTCGCGCGTATGACGTGTCTCGATTCTTGAGGGCGGTCTCATCCTGGCAGTGTGCGGCAGGTAGCTGATCTGTGAGTCGATCACAGCAGACTGCTGTCCTAGCACTTGCTCCGGCACCCTTTAGATCCTCGCGCCTCAATCCGAACGTCCCACGAGTCAGATCACCTGGATTGTGACAGTGACGATAGAGGTGCCCCCGGTCGTTGTCAGCGCTAGGACGGCTCTGTCATCGTTCGCCAATGTCCGTCGGGCTCAAGCAGCGACGACACGATTGCTCCGTCGTGTACGAATAGACTGTCATGTCGACGCCGATGCGGATCTCCCCTCCGCTCGATATAAAGTCATCTGGGGCACTCGAGGATCAGCAGGCAAAGTCGGAGACTGCTAGCGGCACTGCTAGCTCAGCAGCGACGCCCAAGCACTCTGAGTCGACATCAGATGGTGAATCGGATGCGACGAGTGGCTCGCTCAGACAACTCAAGGTCAGAGATCTAGAACTGGATGACGATGGGGCGACTCAGACGAGCGGCTCCAAGAAGACAAAGCTCTCTTCTGGCGATGAGAGCATCAGTCCACAATCATCTGCGCCGGACGAGCTTCATAAGCAGTCTACGCTGGCGGGTATGCCCAGAAGAGCTGATCTTTGTTGCGCGACTGACTCACGCGACGCAGAGCGAGCCAATGAGGAAAGGCTCATGACCCCGCCTAGAACGCCAGAGCTGGGCAGGGGCTTTCCAGTAGAAATCTTTCGCCACATCGCAAGCCATATCGCAGTGCGGTCGACTGCAGATCTGCTCAACGCCACGCTGGTTTGCAAAGCTTGGCGACAGATCTTGTTAGATGATCCCGAGCTATGGCGACACAACTATGTATTGGATCTCACCAGCCGATCGGCTCAAGCAGCTCTGCAATGTTTCCTACCCCGCGCAAGACAAGGCTTGAGAAGTCTCACAATCTTGCTCAGCGATGCGTACTCGAATGCCGACTTTCAATTACTTCACGATCATTGGCGAATGCTCATCAGAACCTTTCTCACCATCGAGCCTGGCGATGCTCTAGAGAGGATAAAAGTCAACTGTCTCGCAGATGACAGAGACACCATTCTGGCGCTGTTTGTCGTTCTCACAAAATTAAGCTGTCAACTGCCTTCACTGCTAACCTTCTTATGCAATACTCGCATGTCTGACCGCTTTGGCATTATGAAGCGCTTTTTTACAAGCCTTCCGGTCGCTGTGTCGGTGGAGATTACGTGTCTAGTCCAGCAGGTCGAAGAACAGACACACGCTCCGCCGTTCCAATGGCTTGGTATGCCAGAGATGCCAATGCCGCTAGCGCTGCCGTTGACACGATTGTCGCTCGTTTGCGTCGATCTGACACTGCTCGATCTACCGATGCTGCCAAATCTACGTTTCCTCAGCTTGGAATGGTGTCTGGCAGATATTAGTCTTTGGCAGATCCTAGCCAATGCGCCAAACTTGGAGATTCTCGACTTATCGCAGACTGATAGCACCGAGGAAGAAGAAGAAGCGGTCTCAATACCGCTAGATGGCCAGCGGCGACACCTTTTACTTCCTCGATTGCGGCAGCTGACCGTCTACGGTCCAAGCTCGGTCCTGTTCTGGGTTCCAGAGACCGATGAGCCTCTGACGCCAGAGGTCCACATGCCTGCGCTGCTCGAATGCAAGCTAATCAAGACGCGCAATTTGAACGAAGCACCGTCTCTTTCGGCAAGCATCTTCGATATCGAAGAAGAAGCAGACTGCCTTCGAGCCCTAGCGAGTCTAGCGCCGCAGATTACGAGACTTTCGCTCGACTACTCCACGGTGGAGGACATGCCGCTATGGCAGAGTCTAGGCTGCTTCGCGAACATCACCTATCTATCACTCAAAGGAACAGAAGTGACCGATCTACTCATCATGCAACTACCGGATCTCACGCCTGGCTTGCGAGAGATTGACGTGCGTAACTGTCCAGGTGTCAATGCTGGCGCGCTTGCATCTGTCGTCGAGCGTATTAGAGAGAACAGTGACGGCGCACGACGACTGCAGAAGGCTTGGTGCGATGAGCCGGTGTCTTTTGGTGGAACAGAGATCGAAGTGGCAGAGCGATTAGCCTACCAGTGGCTCGAATTTCAGGGCGTCGTTCCCGACATGGTTCGCATGCGCTGGCATGAGAAGCCGAGACGCTACTGGAAGTCACCGGTGGGGGGGAGACCCTGGCTTGGGCCACCTGCTGTCAAAGCGCGAGCGTCTGCATCCAGGATGGACGAACGATACTATACAGGTAGCTCTAGACGGCACAGTACCGAGACAGAAGAGCCAGAGCTCTATGACGATACGGAGGACGAGGACGATCTGTCGGAAGCGGCGACAGAATGATGTCCCTCTTACGCAACCGCATTTCAGACGAAGGAATCGACATCTAGCTGGGTGGAGATGTGTTGTAACAGAAGTGTAGAGACGAGAAATAGGCACTCAGGCAATCAACAGACGATGTATTGAGCTCAAGACAGATCGAATGCCGCGCCTGACTCGACGATGCTCGTCAAGACATCCTCTTCCAGCTGGAACTTCATGACTGCTTGAACGCCGGAAATTCGCGTGCTGCGCCGTCGGCCGACGCGAGCCAGATCAGATTCTGCTTCTGCTGCAGTCTTACGTGCTTCGTCTGCCATGACCATACTTCTGATGTAGGGTATGTACAAACTTGCCACGGCTGGATGTGGCAAGAGGGGCGCGAGCGAATCCATGAACCGGTTGCTGATCGTATCCAGCACAATTGCATGCTCGGACCTGTCGTGCGCTTCAGTCTCGGTCGAGAGGAAAGCGAAGCGAAGACAAACCTTGCAGAAGCGAAGGAAGTCTCGCTGAGCTCGTTGGGTGCATCGGGTAAGAGCCAGTCTCGGATGAAATCACAATCACGTAAAGTGTCGAGGACGTCGAGCTCGATTGCGAATGAGCAGGTACCATTGGGTTTGCTCGCGATGTAGGTCATCGCAAGCTCGTCATCGATCTTTTGCTCGTCTAGCGCCTCTTGAGACTCCAACGCTCCCGTGATCATCTCCGGTGACGGCTCGCACTCTGCGTTCCAGCCCGTAATCAGCTGAATCTGGTCCGTCATGGCATTGTTGGGCCTCGACTGCAGCGCGATTTCGATCAAGTCGACCAGATCAGGCGAGGTTGACAGCAGAGGCGCAAGGCAGAGGAACTGCAAGTCCGATAGTAGTTTGCGAATATCGAATGCAGACTGTCTGTAAGCACCCGGCGGCGGTACGGCGAGAGGCAAATTGCCAGTATCACTGGGTGACAGTCTTTCTGCAAGCCGATACCGCGTCGACCGGTAAAGCGAAGACAGGTCCTCTTTTTGTATGAGCACACCATGTAGTAGAGCTGCGGTCTGCACTAGCGCTACAGTCTCTTGCAGAGGGGGTGCTTCGTAGTAGAGTATCTCCTGAATTGGTAGCAGATCCCTCGGAACGAGCGAGAGGTCATTACAAGTGACAATGATGGGGCGATGCGATATCGATGCGAGCTGGATGACGCCATCCCAGAACCCAAGATCGGATTCGAACAAGATATCGGCTTCTTCCAGCAAGATGAGAGATTGACCTGCGCGGTTGCGAATGGGAGAATTGGGTGTATCGAGCAGGATAGGCTGTCGACTGGGACTCTGAGGGGGCGTTCGCATTGCTGCTCGACGAGGGGAAGCAACATTGCGCACGAGATGATTGCGACCTATATCTCCCACGTAGCGTTCTATGTCTTTCGCGCTGCGTTTGCCGATACCGGGAAAGACTTCGAATATCTCAAACCCAAGCTCTTTTGCTACTGCATGAACGCTTGCCGTCTTGCCCGTGCCGCTCTGACCGCAGAGCACGATGAGGTTCGTGAGAGCGTCCGTCGCATCGTTTGTCTCGTCGTCTTGCTGATCTGCCGCCTCTTGGTCATCACACACGAGGAAGTCATCGAGGTCTGAATTGGTTTTTTTGATACGTTTGCTGGCTTTGTCGACTTGCCTGATCACCGTTCGCTTCTTAGTCTGTCTTATCGGCGTAGTCCGGCCATCAGTACCTGCCACTTTTTGTGTCAGCAAGTATGTAGCAAGCGAAGAACCGAGTACTGACAAGGAGCAGCTTGCATGCTACGCAAGGTGAGCTCGTTAAGCCAATCGCGCAAGTAGGCAGCGCTAGCTCGATTGGTCTCGCCGAGCATCTGTTCGGCCGTAGAAGGCGCGAAAGTCTCTGTCCAGAGTCGAGAGCTGGCTCGGCAATTGCGAATGATGCGATTCATCTCGGCCGCAGAAGACTGCGGCAGCTGCTCTGTCAACCGAGCAATGAGGGGTATCCGTCGCATGTTTTGGCTTGGAAACCAAGTCTGTACATCATCCATGCCGAGTGGAATGCTACGGCTCTTGGTAGGTTGGGTACCAGGCTGCGTATTGACGAGATGGCGCATGAGATCGCCAGTTACGCTTGCGTCTGTTGGGTCGTCTCGCCTTGGCAGAGCGTGCGATGATCTGCTTGACGCGACAGCAGGCAGATATTCGACGTGTTGCTCGTCTGCCGTCGGCCATCGGGGTGGCCAATATCTCGCATACTCTTTTGCAGCTTTGGAACTTGTCCTCGCTGTGGGCAATTCGAGGTCAATTGGGGCAGCTTCGCTCGTAGGCGTCACAGCTACAGAAGGTCTTGACTTGAGAGCAAAAAAAGGATGCGGGGGCTTGTCGGGCTGTTCAATCGCTCTTCTTGTCGTTGCGACGCGTCGACTCGATTGACCGGGCGGCGAGCTAGTCAACTCAATCGCAGGCGCCAAGCTATCTAACTCCTCGCCATCACTAGCTGAAGTACTGCTCTCAGGTGGCGCTCTTCCTTTGCCCTTGCGAGAGCTCTTTGCAGGTTCCAATGCTTTCGGGGCCGCCAAAGCGAGTGTACGGCCATTGCCAACCTCAAGCGTGGCATTTCGACCGTTGGTAGCTTTCTTCGATTTGCGCGTAGCTTTTGCAGCCTTGGTGGTGATGTCTTGGGTCTGCACATGAGCCGGCGGAGCTTGAGATGCGAGCGCTTGAGCTGCTGCTTTGCGCTCGCTGGCGGACTGGAAGATGGAATAGACAGTCTTGCTAGACTGAAGATCTTGTGTCATCGCACATCTGTCGCAGCCCGATCAGCGCATGCTCGCCTCACAAGCCGTCAGCCAAGTCGTTGCCATCCTCTTGCCCACTCGTCCTCGCCGCCGCCGCGCGCGTTCCTCTTCTTCTTTCTCGCGACACCCGGCGCCGGCGACCTCTTGACAGACCAAGCCGAGCCATGCAAGGCTCAAGCAGCGCTGCGTTCTATGCAGATGCAGCACTACAAGCCAAGCCAGAGATCGAAAATCTCCGTCATGGCTTGGCAGACTTCAAAGCACCACCACTGCGAATCACACGAGTCGGCCAACTTGATGCCGAGTTGCTAGACAGGGAGCTCGAGTCTATCCTCAGAGAGCCCGTCTCTCGCGCTCTACAGAATCTCAGGGTGCGCTAATTCTGATCAGCTTCATCGGTGGTGCAGCTGAGCAAGAGCGACGACAGGGAAGCGGCAGATCATCTTTAGAGCCTGAACTCAAGGCGCTCTTGCAATTCTTCATATTGCGGCTGTCCATCTACGAGTCAGGCGCATCCTACGGAGCCACACTCCAGAATCTCAAGTATCGCAACGAATGGCTGCACGGAGGCAATTGTCAGTCACTTTGCGCTGTTAGCCTCTGACGCGGGCTGACTTGCTGGGTCGTCGTCGCAGTGGAATCCTCGCCCGCTCGACAGCCCCTCACGAAGCTTCAACTGCACGCCTACACTGCACTCAACGTCTTGCCTACGTATGCACACGCAAAAGCCCGCGACTTTATGCTCTCAAAAGGCTGGGGAGATTATCCCACACCTCGATCCTACACAAGCTTACTCTTTCATCCCTTTGATGCCCCTGCGTCTTCCTCGGCGGTATCGCGACGGGAAAGACGGGACAAGCGAAAGCGAGAATGGAAGAGAGCCGTTTGGAAGGCTCTCAATCTAGCAGAGCGAACTTGGGCAGTCCTCAAGCTGGCCAACTTTCTCGTCTTTCTCTATGACGGCAGGTCAGTCACCTCCTTGCATCAGTGACGCGCGGATGCATTGTTGAATTTGTCTGGCAGGTATCGAACTCTGATCGATAGGATATTGGGCATGAGGTTGACCTATGCCCACCGAGCAGTCACGCGCAACGTCAGCTTTGAGTTTCTCAATAGACAACTCGTCTGGGAGGCCTTTACAGAGTTCTTGCTCTTCCTCATGCCACTCATCAACTTTCGCAAGCTTCGACAGAGGCTCAACAGATGGGCTACCACCTCTCGTCCTATCGAGATCTTACTGGCTGCCTTGCCTGCACCTGTACGACGAACGCTCAATCTTCCCGATCCACGTCATTCTACTAGCTCACGCAAAGGGAAAGACAAGGAGGAGACAAGAGGCCCACTCGATTTCCTACCTGATCATATTTGTCCAATCTGTTACACCAATTCAATCGCACCTCCAACCGTTGTACCCGATGGCGGGGTCATCTCGAGCGACCCTGCAGACCCGGGCGCTTCCACCTCTGCTCTTGCCACGCTCGAATCACATAGCCAGATCAATCACCATGGCGATCAGGACAACGGCGTCAAGATTCCGTATCAAGTCGATTGCTGCCAGGGACTCTACTGCTATTTCTGTATTGTCAACAAGCTCGTACAGTGGGAAGAAGACAACAGCGATACGCAAGAGTATTGGCCTTGTTTGCGCTGCGGCAAGGGTGTCAAGAGTGTGATCAGACAAGTACCGGTTGTCGAAGAATCGCCGACTGTCGAGCCAGAAGAGGACAGCGAAGACGAGCGAGGGGGAACAGACGACGAGCAAGATCAGTCTGCATTGGTTGACTTGCCCGCAGCAGAGGAAAAGTGGGACGAATGAAATGCTTGTTCTTTCCAATGCAGACCATGTACAACACGACAGCAGCCGCAGCAGCAGCAGCACAAGCATCAGAAGCGCACTGCTGCTGATTTCTCTACCATCTCGATTGGCACCTTGTGACCCACGAGATCTCTAATGTTGCTGATGCCATACTTGATCATCGTTGGCCGTTCTAGAGAGAGTCCCCATCCGAGTGCACGAACGTCTTTGGGCAAACCCATCGGTTCGAGCATTTCCGGTCTGAACATCCCGCTATTGCCAATCTCTACCCATTTGCCTAAGCCTGCATGATAAGAGAAGATCTCCAGAGAGGGCTGTCACATCGTGTCATTCTGCTCAGCTGCGAGTTGCGAGCAAAGATGTAGGATGCTGACCTCTGTGTAAGGATTGAAAGCAGGCTTGAAGCGCAAGTTTTTGACGCCCATCTTTGCAAAGAAGACGTCCATGAAGCCTGTCGAAGTCCCGACACTACTAAGCTCGAGTAGGAATTTGAAGTATGTCAGAACCGACCGATCAGATCGCCAAGCGTGAGATTGTAATCTGCCACAACGCCTTCGACCTGGTGGAACTCGGCCAGATGAGTTGCATCTACCGCTTCGTTTCGGAAAACACGATCGATACTGAAGAGTTTTGTGGGCTTGAAACCTCCTGGCTGGTTGGCGAGCTTGTAGAGCATGTTGGCCGATATGGCAGTCGTGTGAGTACGCAAGACGAGTCGTTCGGTATCGGATTGCTTCCAGGGAGATCGATAACCTATCGAACCGTATCCGCCCGACTCGTGTACTTTTCTCACTTTGGCTAGGTAGTCCTCTGGAAAATCGTCTGTCGAAGCGGGGTCTGCTCTTTGGCCGAGTGCGTCAGCTTGTGTGAGGGTGAGGGCTCAGGCAACGAGCCTTTGACGTAAAAAGTGTCTTGTAGCTCTCGAGCCGGATGTTGCTGAGGTACAAAGAGAGCATCGAAATTCCAAAAGCAAGACTCCACAAACTGGTTCGTCGGCATCTCGCTGAACCTACGTTATCGCCTGGGAGGTCAGCAGCGTAAGGCTGATCTCCGAGACTGCACGTGCCCCATCTCGAAGAAGATGTTCCTGAATTCCTCTCGTACTTTGAGTAACGGGTGGAGTGCTCCTGCTGCGGGTGGCATGCCTTCCGCATCGAAATTGAATGGCTTGAATTCCGCCGTTTTCCACGCTCCGCTGTTCCACAAGACAGTGGTATCAGCGACAGACGATAGGCTGACAGCTGAGTTTGTCGAACCTTTGCAGCATCTCTGCCGTGAGATCCGTTTCCAATTTCGCAATCTTTGTGGAGAATTTGGGCCCTTTGCTGACACTCTGATACGCGGTCCGTCTGCGCGAGAGAGTTTGACATGGGTCTGGATCGCAAGATGGGAGCAGACGCACTTTATTGCTGTGAGCTTTCGTTTGCGATACTCGGACGCGACGGTGCTCGGTAGTGGTTGCCCGTTCTTGAGCGCCTGCAGGTCTGATCTGACTTGATCCGGCACGTCCGAGAGCTGCGGATCAGGACTGGCTGTTCAGACTGTACGAGGCAGACTGAAGAAGAGCGACGCACTGCTTGAGCGAACCCGTCGCCATCTTTCTTGATCCACTTTTTCTTGAATGCGTTCAATTGACCCACTTTGGCAGTATCTGGCCCTAGCGTACTCTGTGAAAGCCATAGACTTCAGCCAGAAGCCGTTTGTGCTAAGCGTCGTCGGCCAACCTGAAGCTGCTTGGCGGTCTGTGGGCCAGTAGCGAGTACTTGCCATAACCGCCATTCGGGCGATCCCTTCTCTGTTACTTCTTCACCCTCTGCACTGAGCACTGCTTCTTCTTGTGCATGACTCTCCATGAGCACCATCTGCGCTTTCCGACAGGTTGAGCCAAGCCTTAGAGGGCAGGTAGTGAAGGAAACGAGCCTGCTTGTCGACGAGTGAAGTGAGCGCTGCTCTGACGGCTGCTGCGTCCAGACCCAGCGTTCGAGTGTCTGGTATGCTCGCATTCTGGTCGAGGAAGTCCAAGATTGTCTGAGCCACTTGGGAGGTCATACTGGCTGACGCTGCGGGCTCGTGGCTCAGTTCAGTCAAGTAAGTCAACAGGCTCGACGCTCAGCGGCAATGCCCCCAGCGTATAACCGGTCCTATAAGATCCGCGTCCGTCGGAGCTTGTAGCCGAGCAGCAGTCTAGCCATCCAGCATGTCCGCCGTCGAGCACCCAGAGAAGGCTAGCAAGCTCAATTTGGTCGACCAGTTCGAAGTGAGTTCCCTCGAGCTAAGTCTCAGCCGAACGGAGCTGACCCCACACTTTTTAGTTCTATGGTACGTCGATGACCCTCGAACAGTCATAGGTTTGCTCACTATCAGCACGGAATAGGTCAATACCACACCAATAGAGTATGCTCGGCCCGAAGATGACCCTGCTGCGAAGGCTGAGGCTATAAAAACAGGTCAATGTGGCAATCCACATCATCTGCGTCCCCCTCATCTTCTGGACCACCCTCATCCTCTCCCAATCATGGTCACCCACACTGGCTTCCTTCTCTCTCGAGATCCGTAGCTTCAGACAACAAGTGGACGTGACCATCCCGCTCCTCATTGCGACGAGTTACGCATCCTATTTCGTTCTGCTCGACTGGTTCGCCGGTGTACGATCTCGATCCAGACTCATCACGCGTCCTGCTGAGTCGTGGTCGTGCGATCGTGCAGGCTTTGTATGCTCCTGTTCTGCTGGCTATGGGCGTATCGAGCAAGGTCATCTACGATACCGTCAGTCGCGCCGCCTCTCTTCCATGCGCGCTGGCTCATAGAGGCCATACAGGTCGATGATCCGCTCAAGAAAGCCGGTATCGTCTTTGTGGGCTCATGGATCGCACAATTCGTCGGTACGAAGCAAGCGAGATACACGAGCTTGAATGCTCATCCGGCGATACTGTCTATGGCAGGGCATGGCAAGTTCGAAGGAAGAGCGCCCGCTCTCTTTGATAGCCTGTTCCAGTGTATGTCTTTCCTTGCTCCTCACGCACTCGGCTGACGATCGTTCGCAGCACTCGTTCTGGCTGTGTGAGTCGATGGCACCTCAGTCTACACTTGATCTGAGTCTGAGCAGGTTCTTTGTCTTTATGGAAGTCCTCTTCGCACTCGGCTATCGTCGCGAACTCCACAAAACACTCAAAAACGTAAGTTCATTCTCTCCATGCGCATGGGCAAGACGACTGAATGCAATGGGATCCTTTGCAGAGAATTGGCAAGGCCGTCACGGCTTACAGACGGGATGCCAAAGCCAAGGGCAAAGGCGATCCAAAGTCTGTCAAGCAGCAACCGCTTTTCCGAGCTTAACGAACGCGTCACCGGGAATTGTATGCCTCCTGAAGCCATTGCATCGAAGTCTGTGTCTGATCGATCGAGTGACTAAGAATCTGGTTCTCCAACTTCGTCAATCTCCCTCTCGTCTGCTTCTGGCCTTTCGTTGTCGATCAGCGCTTCCTCATCCTCTTCTCCTTCGCTCATCGTAGCATCAATATTTGCAACCTGACCGGTGGTGATGACCGTTTCGTCGCGTCCCGTCGCGGCATGATGGGCAATATTGAGCAGAGCCGCCTCTGATTGCGTCGGCGCTTCTTGCGTCAGAATAGGCTCCGAGGATAGATTGGCGCCGATGAGTTCGAGGATTTCCGTCATCTGATCTTCCGACAGTCTATCCGCCAAATCTTCAATGCACTGTCAACCCTCCATCGCGTCAACTTGATCGGCGCCTGGAGGCCAATGTGTGCACGCAGACGCACGACTGATAAACCGGCGGGAGAACGAGGACAGGTATTGAGGAGCGAGAGCTTCTCTCTGCGCGAGAGCAACGGTCTGTCTCTCCCCTCGTAGGTCATAACGTTCAATGACGACACGATCCTCTTGACCCCCTCTTCGTCCATTCTCGAGCAATCTGACACAGCTGTATTGAGCAAGTATGCCATGATCTGTCGACGCACATGCTGTCACTCGTGCCCAGCCTCGAGGAGAGGGAGACAGAGAGCGACGTACTTGGTACTGAATGTTCTTTGCATTGCTGCTCACAATCTGGCCTACCGTCTCGGGTGTCGCGAGGGAGAGCGCATCGATCTGGGCTCGCTGGGCGTCTTTCTCTCTCTTGAGCTGATGGAGGACCTCATAGTCGCTGAGAAGCCCATAGATTGGCTCGAGCACTGACATGCATGCGCCTGCCAACTGTCAAACAGACGCGTCAAAGCGAGTCAAGCAGTCCTTTGAGAGAGCGGTGGTGATGCAAGATGGCACAACATCAACTGTGGAGTGACGGACAGGATAGAGGAATAGAGATTGCAGGCTGGTCCATACAAGCTCACAAGGCTCCCATCCTCAATGCAGCCCAGACAGACAAGTTGAGCCAACTCATCCACGCTCCTCCTCGCTCTTGCTCACCGATGGGTTGACCCTACTCAGAGCGACGGCCGAACTCGACTTTCCCTTGCCAGAGATCTGCTTCGGCAACAACTCGCTCACGCTCCGACACAAAGCATCACGATCGAGCTACGTGTTCGATACAATGAGCGCTTTACACGCTGTCGATCCGACGGGCGAACATCCCACCGGCGGCTTGCTGGGTGTCAAAGTTGCTCACGCGAATGAATGGCAATCTACTCGAGATCCTGTCCTGTCCGGCTGGGGAACGACACAAGAAGCGCAGACATTGAAGATTGCCAAGAAATTCGATTGGTCTTACACGACTGCTTACCCCGGTCATTCGCCCGATGATTCGCTCAGCTGGCAAGTGAGAAAGGACCACAACGGTATACCGATGGAAAGGCTGGCCTCCCAGACAGAGCCGATACTCTTCTTTGAAGAAGTGTGTCTGTTCGAGGACGAACTACATGACTGTGGCACTTCGCGTCTCGACGTACGCATCGTACGTGAACACGCTCGACCAGCACTTTCTACTGAGCCTAGTGTCCGTCGTACAGAGGGTCATGCCATTTGGTTTTTTTGTTCTGTCGAGGTTCTTTCTACGGATCGATCGTGTCCTCTTTCGTATATTCGACACACGTCTCTTTCACGATTTCGCCACAAACGAGATCATACGAGAGACCAGAGGACGACAAGCAGCCTACGATACCGTCTTGGCACAAGCAAAAGCCGAACGGAAGGACGATCTGAGTGCTTTGAACGACCCGGTATGGGTGGCCCATACGCTCGGTTTGCTCGACCGGATACCCTCGTCAACATCGACGAGTGCTGTAAGCAGCACAGCTTCCTATTTGGCGCAGAACACTCGTCAAGCAAGTACAGTCGTACCCGGCGTCTGCCTGCCGAATCGGACACCGCAAATTGTAGCCCATCGCAAGAATCAGCCGAGCGAGTCGATCAAGCTGCCGACCTGGAACGGCGACGTCACGCAACTAGAGATAGCTCAGATGAGCTAAGAGATGCAGAGAGGACAAGCGTAACGACGTTGCAATTTGTTTTTATGTCGAATTACAAAAGGGACTAGCGCCAACTTGTACCTCTGTCGATTGATTGTAGCCTCTCTTTTTTTCTGGTTTCCCCTCTTTCTCAAAGAACTGTGGACTCATCGTTCCCACCATTCGTGAAGAAGTGTCTCTTTGTATGTACTTTGTGACGAAAAAGAAGAAAACAGCCTGGCAGAAGAAGGGTTGCATCTCGTCTCTCTCATGCGGCGTTGAGCGTCAGAGTGCAGGGCGGGTAGTCAGAGTTTATTGACCATCAGAGGGCAAAGGCTGGTTCGTCAGTCTATCTTTGTCGAGGATTTTGCGTAAGTAGGGGGCGTTTGCGTAAGTTGGGGGCATTTGTACAGGTAAGGGCGAGCAGCGAGAACGTTTGTATGTCGAGACAAGGTAATGCAGAGGCTTGGATTTTGCAGGTGATGAATGGGTTGCTGCTATGGACACATGACAAGTAACATCTTTCTCTTTCGCTCTCTCTCTCGAGCCCAGGGGATATCATGCTTTTAAAGCATTTCTCTCATCTTGCCTTTCGGACCGAGCAATCATGCGCCGGTCCGATCAGAAGCGAGAGTTGGATTGCGAAAAGGGCGAAAAGGTACCGGACTCGAAAGCTTGGTAGCCCGCCCCTCGTCTTTCTTCGTTTGTCATAGGCGGAGGCGACAGAGCAGAGCCGACCGAACCACCATCGTGTGGACTGGGCCCGCGCACTGTCAGGTCGCGCACGCAGGTCAGCTATGTCAGCTTGCTCTTAGAGCGACCTACGGAAGAGGGGATTCTTAGAGAACGAAACGCGAATGCCAGATCGCACGAGTCCTCCGAGCGTGTTGCCGTTCATCTCATTCATGGCGCGAGTAGCGGCATCGGTCGATTCGAACTCGACGAAGCACATTGGGCCATTGGATTTTTGACGGAAACAGAGTCGTCTGAAGCCTTGCAAGCGCTGAAAATGAAGTCGGAGTGTTTCTTCGAGCTGACGAATCGAAGAAGCCGACGCAGCAAGCTGTATTTCTGCATCAGCACCGTTTTGAACAGCTTGTCATCAGGACTTACCGAAGGTAGGCCACCAAGATAGAGCGTATTGCAAGGCGGATTGACAGACTCGGAACGCTGCGTTCCAGCGGGAGGGCTGAACGTACGCGAAGAATTGCTCGAGCGCGATGCGGCCTCATACTGTTCTGCTGCCTTGTCATTGATGCTCGCTTGTGCGAGTTCGTGCTGAATGGCTTCGAGAGCAGAGGGACCGTAGTGCTGCGAGAGACGCTCCAGTGCAGCCGAGTGGTTACGCTGACCACCCATGGATTGAGTGAGACCGGATGAAAGGTACTCTGAAGGTGGAGACATGGCACGCTGCTGCATCTGCGCCATAAAGTCCGACTGACTTCTGAAGACCTGAGGGCGTTCTTGGAAGGTATCGTGAGATTCTTGGGGCGGGGAAGCCCATGCAGAGCTAGCGAGCGAGTTGTTGCGTGCAGCTTTGAGTGCGGCAGTGGCTTGCAATGCGCGCAAAGCTTCTTGTTCGCGCTCTCGGAGGCTGGCAAGTGCAGCACTTTGAGCATTCTTGGCAGGATCGAAGCTAGGACTGCCACCGAGAGTTGCAAGATTGGGCGTCGAGATGATACCTTCTGCGCGTGCAGCATTGCGTGCGAGATTGAGCAAAGGCGCGATCGATGCGTTGCCGGCAGCATTGCCGACATTGGTCGTGGCACTACCGAGGGGTGCATCGTTGCTCAAGCCACGTTTGGTGTGCAGGTTCTTCTTGGCCATCTCTGCCTTGAGCACATTGCCACGCTCGGCGTCGACTTTGCGACCAGTCAAGATGTTGCGAGCGTCAATCGCTTCCGTACGTGTCTTGAACTTTGCAAAGCCGATGATCTGTCTGCGCGAGGCCATCGATGCCGACTGTGGATTGCTCTGCTGAGATTGCTGCTGTTGCATAAAGTGATTGAGCGTAGACTCGATCGAGTTTGTGCCAAATGCATCGTCATAAGCATTCAGGCCAAAGTTTGTCTCTACGCCTTGCGAGCTTGACGATCCGGGCGGGACCTTGAGCGTGGCGGCTTCGAAGCCAGGACAGAAGATGAACATGTTCTGGAACTCGCGCTCTTGCATATCGTCCGGAAAGCCGACGACAAAGATCGTGCTCACTTCCTCCTGACCATTTCCAGGTATGCCAAGCGAGCTGAGACCGCCTGAAAGGCTTGTGTTGGCGAGCAAGGGCGCCTGACCAGCATTGAGGGCCTGCTGAGCTTGCATGAAGTCTGCCAAGGCGCTCGCATTGGCGAGTCCGTTGCCCGTAGTGCCATATGACCCCGTGTTGCCCAGCTGAGGCGAGGTGAGCTGATTGAGTGCAGCAAGCGACGCAAATTCGGCGTTCATGGGCATGCCCGACGGCGTCTTGCTCTGTGGAGGCTGCGCAAATGCAGCAGCGTTCTGCTGAGCTTGCTGGACTGCTCTGAGCTGGTCGACCATGAGCTGACGCGACCCGGCCTGAGCTTGAGCTTGAGCAAGTGACGTGCGCTCGAGTGGCGTGCGCTGGAGACCCAAGCCTTGGGGGAAGAGAGCAGTCTCTCGCAAATGAGTGGGCGAGTACTTTGACGATCTGCTGCCGTTGGTGGCTGTGTCGGCATCGTCCCCAAAAGGTGTCGGCCATCGAGGTTCCGAATCGCGAAACGGTGACGGGCTGACGCTGTTGGACGAGGCAGCAGAAGATGAGGGCTGCTGACGATCACCAATGATGCCACCTGTGTTGGCAGAAGAAAATTGTTGAGCGTGATTTGCACTGCCGCTGCCGTTGCTGCTGCTGTTGTTTCCCGTGGTCGAAGTCATGCCGGCCAAACTGCTCGAGCTAGAACCAGAGGGGCTAAAAGGCTCAACGTGAGGACTGAGCGGACTCGCAAGACCAGCGACGGTCGAGTTGAACTGGTCTTCACGTCTTGCGGCAGCCTTGGCAGAAGCGGTCGAGGAGGCGGACTCTGAGTGGTGATGCAGCGACAAGGGCTGCTGCTGTTGCTGCTGTTGGGCACGGGTACCGTTGGTGGTCATGGAAGCAAGTGACTGGCCTACAGACGGCTGCTGGGCGCCAAACGAGGCCGAGAGGGACGAGCTAGACGTGACAGAGGGCGTGGTGAGATTGGTGGAACCTCTGCTGTGGACTGAGGACTGGTTTGACCAAGTCCGGTGCAAGAGGGGCGGACTAGCAAAACTCTGAGCGGCTCTCTGAAGATCAGTCTGCTGCTGTAGATCCTGACGAGACGTGTCTGCTCGACTGGTCGCCAATGGCTGAGCCGACTGAGTCTGTTGCTGTTGTTGCGCAAATTCGTAGAGCGATGCTCGGTCGTAGCTCGCCAGCGTGTGAGGAGAGGACATCCAATTCGCCTGGTGATGGTAGGGTGGCTGAAGCGAAACGGGCGACAGGCTGCCGACGGACGAGACCTCTGACGATGACGGTATCGATGGCGACAGGAGCGTGTCGACGCGTAAGAGGTGCTCGTGACGATCAAACCTGTCACGGACCGGACTCTGAAAGATGGTCTCGCTCGGTCCTGTGCTACTGCGCCGTGGGTCGTCATTGCTTTGGTAGTATCGAGACTGTTCACCCGCTGTTGGCGTCGCCGTCGGCGTCAGAGAGTCATGGTGGACAAGTGCTGCCCTTCCCGGTGTCTGACTACCCCCTTGATGGCCGGCTAGCGTGGCGGTCGAGCTTGAGGATGACATGCTGGCAGATGACGATGCCAAACTGACGGATGACGAGTCCCTCTTTCGGGTCCGCTCTCGGGCCTGTCTGTCCATCGTTGCTGGCGGAGACGGTTGGGAGAACCAGTCTGCGGTGACGGTGGTCATCACTGGCGGGTGTGTAGTGGAGTTTGCGATAGCTTCGTCGGCGATTTCATTCCTTGATGACCGGCGGCAAGACTGTCGTCCGATACACATCAGCCAGCGGCCATGGATCAGCAGAACAGCGAGCGCACCTCTCATGCAGTGATCGAGCTCGAATATGTGTGCGACAGGAGATATGGATGTACGTCTTCGGCTCGGGGTTCACTCGCTCGGAGGACGTATTCGTCGAGAACTGTCCCATTCCCGCGTCAGGCTCGGATATGTTCCATGCGGCCAAAGGGAACCCACAGATGAGGGCAATGCTATGTAATGTGAGTGTGTTACGTGTCGTATGTGGGTGTTGATGGTATGAGATGTTGCTCAGACGTGCTCGACTCTTCAGAGGAAAAAGAGCTTTCGCAAGTGCATACAGCCTGGCCGCGTGTTCGGGAAGATGCCCGCGCTGCTGGCTGACGTGCGGCTGGCCCCGTAGGGAAATGTGGTCTGCTAGGCTGACGAGCCAGTACGTACGACTGGAGCAGTCTGACAGAGACGTGCGGAGTAATGCAAAGGGGACTGCTCGTCTATCTGCGCAACATCTAGTGGAGTGATCCTTCCAGGAACAATGGGCACTCTTGCGCTGCTCAGACGGTGGCGTTTCATAGGCCCGCACTTCCTGCGCCCAAATTCGAGCTCAACGGCTGATTCGACTCATTCCATCGAGAATGACCGGCTTTCACTGAGCTCGAATGCTCGATTGAATGCAGCTTTCTCCTACCTTTATCGTGATTCAATTGAGCGACTTGGAGACGATCCCGCATCGTCCACGCGTCCGGCCGATCGACTCAACATGGCTGTTCATTGAACTCCGACGATCCAAGCCTAGACCTGCAGGCAAAAGCCAATCCTTCCACAGCTCCAGTCGATGACAGCAATCTCTAGCGCAGCGCAAGGGGGTACCAATGGCGCGCACCGACCGTATGGATACGATCTCGAACTCATGCTCATGGGCACGGGTACCTCGTCTGCCTTGCCCGCGATCAGCTGTCTGACCGATCCTGATGGCAACGGCTGCGAATGCTGCCTCAGTACGCTCAAGCCAGAGGGCAAGAAGAATGTCCGACGCAACACAGGCGCAGTCGTGCGCTTGCGAGCACGCGATGCGCACCCACCCGAGCGGCAAGTCTGACTTCAGCTGAGCAGCTTGACGCGAGCTCATCGAGCAAGGCAGAACGATTCTGATCGATTGCGGCAAGACGTTCATGCAGTCTGCTCTCGAGCTCTTTCCCGCCAAAGGCCTCCGCAAGATCGACGCGCTCATCTTGACCCATCCTCACGCAGACGCGATAAACGGTCTAGACGATTTGAGAGGATGGACCCTGGGCGGAGTGATACAGTCGACGATGGATGTCTACTGCTCTGCCATGACATACGGCGAAGTCAAACGCACGTATCCCTACCTCGTCTCGATAGAGCATGCTACAGGCGGTGGTGATGTTCCTGCACTGAACTGGCACGTCATCGACACCGACAGACCTTTCGACGTGTTCGGCTGCACTGTCACACCCTTGCCTGTACACCACGGCTCGTACTTCCACAGAGACGAGCCTTACATCTGCTTGGGCTTCCTCTTTGATCGAGCAATCGCCTATCTGTCAGATGTCAATTTCATACCAGAAGAGACCTGGCAGCTCATCCGAGGATCGAAAGAGAGTAGCATACCGATCTGCATCGTAGACTGTCTTCGCATCGTACCGCATACTTCACACTTTGGTCTGCCGCAAGCAGTGGCGACTGCACGCCGAATGGGCGCTCAGAGGACGTACCTCTTTGGTTTCGGTGAGTCTTGGACGCACCTATGATTCACGGCTGGGGCTAACGCTGGAATAGCACACCGCATCACCCACGATGCATGGGTCTACGCAACGAGTGCACTGGGAAAAGGCAGACATGCCCATGATGCACCCGAGCCGCTCAGTAAGAATGGCAAAAGACAAAAGACCAAGGGTCTCGTCCGAGCGCCCGAAGTAGGCAATGTACAAGCGCAGTGGGAGTCTTTCACAGAGCATGCCTTGGAGGAACTAGAAGAATGGGAGGGCGGACCGCGCGAGCCAATCTGGGTCAGACCTGCTTTTGACGGCTTGCGGGTATGGGTAGACGAGCATGGCGAGGCGCGAGATGATGGCTACTAGACGACACAGCAATAGATTGTGTGATTGTACGACAACATGCACTGCAGATTTAGACCGCCTTTTTGCTGACTAACACTAGATCTAGAACGGGGTCCCTCTTTCGCTGTCCGAACCACCCGGCGTGACAGACCGAAAGAGCGGAAATGCATTCGAAGGCGGTGCGGGCGTGCCTGAGATCGACCGCGAGCGATCGAAAGCAGACAGGGATCTCGAACGAGCGAGATCAGGCTCTTCGGTCAGTTGCCGATCCTCCGTCTTGACCGGTTTCTCGGGAGCAATGTAGCCGTTTGTAGGCTGGACGATGACGACGAGCGTCTTGTGAAAGATGGAAAAGCCAGTGTAGCTCACACTGAGCTTGGGTTTCGAATCCGGCTTCTCGTCGTCGGCTTCGATGGGCACATCTCGGACTGCATCCATCGCTGCAGCCTCGTCATCTTCTGGTTTGATGTCAGGGCCATCGACCATGTCAGACTGCGCGTGCATGTCTGACTGGCGTCGCATTGGCGGAGGTGGCATCTCTTGGCTCGGCAAAAGCGCAGGAGCGGGGGGTGGTGAGTCAAAGATCAGTTGCTTGTCCTTGAGCAAGACCGCGTGCTTCTGAGGGGTCTGTCTGTGATGTCCCCGTAAGTGCTTAGACCTGAAGGTACAGTGATCCGCAAGTGCGCCCACCTGAAGTAGTAGAGCATCGTGTAGGGTATCGCTTCGTGCGTATCTGATTTGCGTACATCTGCATGCGCCGTCAGACGAGCTCTCCTCGGTTCGAGATGGCAGAGCCTTACTGCCGTGATAGATATCAAAGTGTTTTCCTTTCGTCTTCCCTTGAGCCTTGTCCTGATCGAGCTTGATCTGGATCCTATCTTTGAGATTGAAGAGGACTCTGGACAGGATCTCGTCGGACATCCATTCGAGGTGTCGATAGTCGATCAAGAGTGTCATGGGGAGGACAGCATTGATCGAGATGCGCAAGTAGAGCGCATTCCTTGTCTTGTACCGCATGACAGTCCTTGTCCCACACTCGCACGTGAGCCAGTGCTGCAGAGAGGCGACGCGTTGTCTATCTATGCAGATTGTTCCGATGGCCAAAGTGGCTCTTTCTGCTTGCCTCGAACAAGCGAACTCCGCACAACCTGGACGGTGTTAGATATGGTCTGCTGCCAGGACGACGCTGTGAGTGGGCCGTATCGCTTGCAAGAAGCTCAAGACGACTCAGTTCGACACCAGGACCCGCAGTGACAGCGCTTGTCTTGCTAGCACGCACAAGACTGCATCGAACGCATGCAAAGATCTCTACATGCGGTCAAGCTATCTGTGACGGAGAAAGGACCATCGAGCGGAGCTGCAATGGCTACTTTTACCCGGCCAGTGACGATCGACGCGGAGCATTCGATCTGAACGTCACAGGCTACGATCTGCCTTCTTCGTAAAAGCAGCGGCACTCCCACCGCTGCGTTACACCCTCCACCCGGTTTCCACTGAGCAGGGCTGATCGCTCGAGTGGGCAAAAACGCGACGTGTCACTCTCGCTGGCGATTCCCACGGGCGGACTGCCTAGGCCAAAGAGACAGATCGACGTAAGAAATTCAACGGCGCGCCAGTTGACGCCGTCAATGGATCTCGGATCATGAGAGGTGCGGTATTTGGACGGACAATGAGAGATCCTGTCAACTATCAGGCTACTTCCCGACTTGTCCGCTCGGCGATTCGCGCGGACGAGCAGGCACTATAGCCGCAGATGCCACCTGGTGACCAATGCGCTCAGCAGGATTTCGACCCTTTGTGCGACTCTGTCCCGGCATGTCGAACCTCGCATGCAAGTTCCGTAGTGGCTCACAAAACTCGCCTTGCCTCCTGTGACTGACCGTGTGGGTATCGGCACCAGGATCGGACGCGTCGACGATGGAGAAGATGTTTGTCGGATTGCGAAGTCGGTGGGTGATGACGCTTGTCACTGTCGGAAAGGCACCTATGAACGCTTTGGAACCTTCGCATTCGGACAGTGTCCAGACAATGGGCGTCGTAGCACCGTAAGCATCTGTGTCGGCGCATACCGTCCAGGCAGGTGACGGATCGTCCACATATGTCGATGGCAGAAGAAGCTCCTCATTCTGCTCGGCAAGGCTCATGGGCGTAATCCCGAGGGCTTTCCTAGGATCTGACAGGTCTGCAGGCGCCTCTTGAGAACAGTCGTATCTTCTTCTTGATGGTGTCATTGAAGAGTCTACAACATCGGCATGGTCCTAGCGGCGGACTCAGGAAGTGAGTATCGATGGGTAGGGTTGGTCGCATCATCGACTCGACCCGTGTCAGACAGGCTCATATCGTGCTTTCGCCTGCATGACTTGGGACATGCACGCGATTGACTGCCCTCGCTTGACGAAGGAGGTGGTGTCACGAAGATTTGGGGACAGAGAGGCAAGTTCTTGGAACTGTTCTTGTCAAAGCTGTGAATAAGCGCATGGCTGCCTCTCAACTCGTGCGCCATCCCGTCAGATTTGATCGATTTCGCGAGTATTTCCGCTTGGCTGCGCCCGAGTCGCGTACTTTGATATTTGGCAGATCGTCCCGCCCGGAACACGGCAACGACAGCAGCAGTGTCATGTTGGCACCATTTCCAATGCAACCATTCTCTTGCTTGGCGCTCACCAGCGATTCACGTCAAGCATGCAGGTCGAGAAGGATGAGATCGAGCAGGAAACCCTGCTGCCGGTCCGACACTGGCCTAAAGAGCGCAGGAGGACATTGATCTGGACATACGTGCTCGCGTGTTCGACTGGTACCCTACTCGTGGCCGTCACCACCTTGTTGCTTCACTTGCAAGACATCAGGAGGAGTCAATCAGGCCGACCTCGATCTTGCGATGATCCCTACGTGCGACCGGGCTACATCTGGCGCGGACGAGGTGGACCAAACGATGTTCGCTGGATACCCTATTCGAACGATACCATCGCTGCAGACCATTCTAACCTGACTGCTACAAGATACACATTGCCTCCTGATGACGATGCAACGTTTGCCAAAGCGAGCGCGATGTCGCCGCCGCGATACTCGCTCGACCTGAATTCTTCCGATCGAGCTCAATCTCTCAGCTGGGCATCAGGACGACATATCGCCTTTGTTGGCGATTCGCATGATCGGATGGCCATCAGACACTTTTGCACGATCGGCGGCTCAACGTCACAATGTACGCATTACCACGTCGCGTGCACCTGTCGGATACCCGAGCTCGATCTGACTCTCTCACTCTGGTTCAACGTCGGCATGTACGATGACGACTTTGCGTATCCACCCGAAGCAGAAAAGGATCCCGCTGTCGGTCCTCCACGATGGGAAGACCGATTCAGGACCCTCTTTGAACCCATGCTCCTCGAGACCGGCCCGCCAGATCTCATCATGTTCAACAGCGAGGCATGGGACGCAGATATCTATGCAGAAGCAAGGGGAAAAGCGATCGGAGCGCCAGAGCTCGCAACGAGCGCGCGACCCTTGCTCTGGCAAGAACTGGCTTGGCATCGATCGCGCGTGAGACAAGTCATCAACGAGCTCCGCCACCGGTTTGCTGGTGTGCCGTCAGTGATCAATCTTTGGCTGCAATGTCGGATTCTGATCAGCTCTGCGCAGGATCATGTATCGCGTCGATCACTATCACGCAGACCAGGATAACGGCAAGAACCTGCACGTCTACCAAGTCAATCAATCGATGCGTTCACTCATGCTGCAAATGGGCATCCCTATCTTCGAATGGGGGGCGCTCATCACTGGCGAATTCCAAGAACCGATGACAGATCTGGCATGTCTGCTCATGATCCAGCAGAATCATCTCGCTTACACGTGTCTCTGCAGGGCCATCATTACAACCTTGCAAAGGTGTCTTATCTGTTTGCGGATATGCTGCTCTTTTACCTGCGACGCGCGACGAACAACACGACCTGGACAGAGTGTATCGGGCAACGCGACCAGCTCACCTAGCCCTCACGATTCCGCAGATTACGGTTCGGTTCGGTCGGCTCAGCATCAGCTCCCTCTGAGCATGCTCGCGAGCCGACGACGAGGCTCAATGCATACAGACTCGCCGCTATCGCTCTGACCCTGATCCGAATGACGCGTTCGGACCGGTGCAAGCCACGAGGCAAATCTGGGGCAAGCTCAGTATAGCGCATGCATCGACTGCACGCGTCAAACGCGTCTTCGCTCCACTCTCACTGCGCCACGAGGCCAAGGAAGCATGCCAAGCACGGCCTTTGCCGCTTTTCATCATCGTGATGAGCGGCACGTTGTGGAGTTGCACAGCGATCTCTGGGCAGACTGCGCGAATTTGCAAGATGATCTGCGATCCCTCATGCTTTTGGGTACCTTCAGGCACGATGCTGTAGACTTTTGCCATGATTCGGGATGGCGCCAAACTCGTGGCACATTTGCTTTTTAGCGCTGAATTCTCTGGAGACGGGTAGCGATCGTTGAAGGGAGGCGCGTCTTCCAAGTGAAAGTGCTTCGTCATTTCAACGCCAATAAAAGCTCGGCACAGTCATCGATGAGCTCACCTCCTGGACGCGCACTCAACGCCTGAGCAGTTCTGTACCTGGACGCAATTCAGGTCTGAGTGCTCACTCCCAATCGACGCACAGCTAGGGTCAACCTGCAACTCTCTCCCGTGATTGAGTGCCTGGCAAGTCAAACGACCCAAAGCGTCGGTATCGGGTCTTGTGCTCGACTGACTTGGCATTTCAAACTCACTCAGAGCCAAGATCTGGCGAGCATAAGGAGCATCTGCACCGACGCAACAATATCGACGATCTGCACGCCCATCGACTCGGCTGAGCGCTGATCCTCGAAGCACGCCAGCACAACGGAAGCATCCCTTCAGCGGCGGCCGAAAGCAACGCGTCGGACGGCGATGAACCGAAGCGGGTTGCAATGCTCAGCCATATCCGACAGCGAACTGCCGAGAGAGCATATAACCCACTCTCGGAAATCTTCTCTCCCAGGTGAGCGCACACCTTTCGACCGAGAGCGCGCGAGAGCCATGTCGATTTGGTCGAGGAGGCAGACCATGCTGACGCTGCCTTGTCACTTGTGTCCTCTACCAGATCACATACGCGATTCGGACAACGATTCGTTTGATGAAGCGCACGAAGCCGATACCCCGCCGGCCTCGCCTTACGAGCACCTCAGGTCACCCTCGGCCAAATCACCCAAACGTTCTTTCGCTTCGCCGCTCAAGCTAGACTTTTCGACCCTGCCGCAGTTCAGGCTGGACAAGGCCGCGCTTTCGAGCGGTCCCATGACGGATGCGCAGCAGGCCCTAGAGTAAGCTGCGCGCTATTTACGCGTGCCCGGGCACAGGCTGATTGTGGTGTTCTCGGGTAGGATGCGATCGCCATGCAGCCCTTCAGCATTGCCGCCCTGCGCCCAGCCGGACACGGGATCTTTCTCGCCGTATCCTTCACCTCGACATCTGCGACGGCCGGAGATGCGCAGTCGATGGTCATCCGAATCATACTCGCTGACGCCTACATCTGCTTCTGCCCTGCCTATCACGCCGAGCGCGTTCGACTGGTCTACGCTGTCGATGCCTGCAGTGCACACACGCACGCAGTCTGCCGGTCTGGGACTTCTCACCCCTCCGCCCGACGAGGAGAGCTGCGAGCACGGATCACAAGCAGACTGGCAAATGGCTCAAGATAGCTCGGACGAAGATCTCATGGCGTGCCACGAGAGCGAGACTGAGGAAGATCCATGTGACAGCATTCCAGCCTTCGCTCATGGCAACACTGCTCGCCGTACTCGACCAAGCCACTTTCGTGAGTTCACTATCGGCCGACAACGCACGAGCGCGATGGCAGTCGATTCGCCCGGCTTGAGTCCCGTTCCGCCACAGATCGTGCCCAGGCCGACGAGATATGCCTCTTCGCCCTTGGCACGAATGGACGATTCTGCACCTGCTCGTATCGCACAAGACTTGGCAGACATGAGCGTAGACGATCGTCGCAACAAAGTCAATCCTTATTTCCTCTGACGAACCTCACATATAGACACGCTCGGCCTGATGCGCCCATATAAATACACAGATACTGACGACTGTAACAATTGATCAACAACGCCTGGTGCGAAGCGATCGTACGCATGGAATGCAGAAGCACGACGAATGTACAGCTCGCGCGAACTTGTAGAGATGCGTAACGCGCTCGAGCATCACTGTGGTTGTAGTGTGCTATCATTTCAATTACTTCACTCGCTCGCTCGCTCGTTGCCTCGCTAGCTGCAGAAGCGAAGAACAGAAGATGCATGCCTCACTCTACATGATGGCAAAGTTAAGCACGAGCTGCTGCAGCGCCTGCGACGGCGATCTGTAATCCACCCGCTTCATGAGCACATGACAGTGTCATACACGCGAGCTGGCTAACCTGTGTCTGAGCAGTGATCTTCTTGCCATCCTTGTTGAAGCGGATGCGAGGGGGAGGCGCACGGATGCGTCGTCCTCCTACACTTCGTACTCTGACGACCTGTCACCGCAGCATTCGTCTGAGCGCTTGGTCGGCCTCAAAGAAGCTCAAAACTGACATGAGCGTGGATGGCGCAAGAGACGCAGTAGAGCAGCTTGATGTATAGCTTCGGTAGTGTGTACTCTTGGTAGACGCTTGCCTCGCTGATATCTCGAATGGCAGCCGATTCTGTCCGGGAGGATGGCAGGCGTGAGCACCGAGACGGACTCACGAGTCTCACTGTGACGGACCAACGATGTTGCGAACAGTGAATCGCTTGATTGCCTTGTCCTTGGGCACACAGCGAGAGCAGTTTGAGCATCTCACAAAGTTTGTGTGTCCGCGTCCCTTCTTGTTGCGACCGCCCGAGCGTCTCTTCTTAGTCTGTACGGCGCCGTGTCAGCATGCTACGCAGTCCGCCTAGCAGGCAGCGACGTACCATCTTTGTCGATGTCAAAGCCTTGGTGTGCCGACGAGCCTCGAGGCTGATTTTCACCGAGTTTGTCTTGACGCGCTCGAGTTGATGACGTGACCTCATCAGCATCGATCAACAATTGACCGGCGCCGCTGCTTGGCCCGCCAACAATGGGGCTCGCAGTCCTCGACGCAGTGCCCTTCAATGCCGAACCGAGCTCGTTGCCAGATCTCACAGCACACTATCTCACGCCCAAGTCACTTGTACCTTGATCTCTCCGTCTGCATCTGTCCAGCTCAGGCTGACCACTCGCTCAGGTCTTCCAACGCAATCACGGTCCGTTTGTCCTTCTAGACGAGAGCCAGTCTATCCCCGTCACGATTGAATCCCACATTTCTAAACGTATATCGCCAAGATCACTGTTATTGTCCGAGCTCAGGCAGAGAGAGCAAGTCAGCTCGACTGTCACGCTGCAATGTGCTGGCAACAGACGGAAGGAGATGTCGACTCAGAAGCACGAGACCGAAGGGCTGCAGTGGGGTTCGGGAACGATTGCCAACTGTCTATGGACCGGACCCCTCCTCGCGCCGATTTTGCAAGAGATGGGCATCTCGCTCGATCAGACAGTCGACGCAGAGGAACGGCAAAGGTGGGAGAACGCGCATGTTGAGTTTGTGAGCGATCAGGTCTGCCAAGAGGACGAGCGGTTCGCTTCGTCAATACCTCTGAGCGAGATCCTCAGCGGCGCTTGCCCCGTCATGCTCGCCCTCAAGATGAACAGTGATGACCTGCCGCTCGAGCATGGAGGTCCTCTGAGGATCATTGCACCCGGCTTGATAGGTGCTCGAAGCGTCAAATGGCTCTGCCGGATCCACATCAGATCAAAAGAATCGCAGAATTTCTACATGCAGTACGACTACAAGAAGCTACCGCCTTGCGCAGATGCAGACACGAAGACAGACTGGATGGAGAAGACGCCTGCACTTGCTCATTTCAGTCTGCACAGCGTTATCACTCAGCCTGAGCCGGGCTCGGGGGTCAAGAGCACAGTCAAAGTGCAGGGATATGCTACGAGTGGGACGGGCAAGCGCATTGCGTCTGTTCAGATCGCGATTGTAACGCAAGAGGAGGGGGCTAGTGAGGATGCTATCAAGGACGATGCGGAGAAGTCAGATGATTGGCAAGAAGCGACGCTCGTTCAAGATGCCGGCTCGGACTCGCAGCAATGGGGCTGGTGTCTCTTTTCTCTGGACGTCAACCTCGAAGCCCACAAAGCGCAAAGCAAGATCGCCCTCATTTCACGTGCAAGTACGTCATCCCTCGCTATAGAGAGTCTACAAGACTGATGGATTGGGCAGCACTCGTTGATGGCACGAGACAAGTCAAAAAGGCCGAGTGGAATCTGCGCGGGCTGGAGCATTGCGACTGGTCAGTGGTCCGGAGCATCAGCATTGTATGATTGTGCAGTAGATGCGTAAATCCCAGTGTCGTTGTACTACCCGGCCTGTTGCATTCTTCGGCCGGGAACGAGCGGGAGGCGGAATGTTGGGCGTTCGCAAATGAGCTCGTCGCGTGGCCAAGAAAACGGCAGAAGGGGCAGGAGGACGAATTGATTGACCCTCCCGCGAGGCTTGCGAGGCGTACAGGCTTGAGGGGGCACGTTGGGGGCAGTCATGCAGCTTCCGCCAGACAGCTCATCTGCCTCTCGGCGCGTGAGCATCAACGGCAACAGCAGCAGCAGCAACACCTCTACCAAGACCACAGCCGGGCCTCCTCTGTTTGCTCCTCCACTGGATTCCTTAGATGGCCATCACGAGTCAGGTCCTAGCTCGACACACAGCTACATTGGCTATACGCCCCAGCAGAGGCACAGAACAAGCTCGAGCGCTTCGTCTAATTACTCGAGGAATAGCTTCACCACCCATTCACCTGCTCCACTCGTCCACCTGTCTCCTCAGAACGACAGAACGACATCCGAGAGCCATTGGCATTCTTCAGCGGAGACCTACGCTTCTAGATCTCTACACGAACCGCTCGCCGTTCTCACACCTGCACGCTCTCGCTCAGACTCTCTCCAGAGATCTCGACAACCAGAGGCAAGTCGAGCACACGGCTGTCTCGTCTTGCGGCTTGCTGACATGAGGGCACGCGCACGCAGGCAGAGATGATAGATCCACGAAGGATGAGGACGCCTGCGAGTAGCTTGCCGCGCGGCCAGACGACGCCAGGTAACGACCAAACGACGACGTCTCCCATCGTCGACCCTGGCTATTTCAACGGCATCTCGCCTCTCGTCTTTCCAACCTCATCGTCAGAACATACCCGAGCACACTCTGACGCAAGCTCAATCTATTCCTCGCACAACATCTCACAACCGACTTCACCCTCGCTCAGGAATCCTCCCGGTCATCGACCGACCATGCCCAGAAGAGTATCTTCCATGGACGGTAGTAGATTCGTGAGGACTCTTTCGGTCGATATGAGCCCAACGACATCACGTGCGAGGAGGATAGCCGCCAAGTCGACGCCAGATTCGCCTGCTGATGAGTATCCTTCGAGGTTACTACCGGGAGATTCGCCTATCATTGTACCCAGTCGGAAATCGAGTATAGCGGGCATCGATTCGCCCATGCAAGAGCTAGCAAGTCTGGCGCCCTCACGGGGATCCTCGCTGTTCCCACCCCAAGTAGACGAGACGATCGAAGAGGGTCCGCCTAGGCTACCCGCCAATTCATCACCCCTCGATTTTGCCGAGCTCTACAGTACCCTGCCCTCGCCTGTAGATGACCACTTTGCAGAGAGCAAGGTAGTTCAGCCGGAAGTACGACATCTTCCTGGCGAATTTGACACAGAATCGACGAGGAGCAATGCTCTGGATGAGTTGAATGCGGCTATTGGCGATGCGCTCCAGAGTATGAACGATATAGACGATATCCCGCTCAAGGACACGTCTGAGCACGATAGCGGATCTGCCTATAGCCATTCTCCCGTCAAGTCTACTGTGACGGCAGTACAGCCGGGCGTGCAGCAGACGATCGGAGAAGAGGCTGCACTTCGACAGAGGGATGTACCGAGTAGACAGATCTCGCCCACGACTTCCGCCGTTCCGATCAGCAGGGAGTTGTCATCCCAAGGCGGTCCCGTCGCTATTGCTATCGATCCGAACGAACAGATCAGATGGCATACCCCGCTCGAGAGCGTCAATAACACCGCAGACTACTTCCCGAATCGTGTGGTACCGAGAAGGCACATGCCTTTCACTTCGGCAATGTCATATGCGGAAGTCTCCAGACTTCGCACTGCGGGCGAGAGAGCCAAGGCATACTCTGCCAAACTCAACGAGCTCCTCGGGCAGGATCGTGGATTCTCTCTCTGGTTGGATATTGCCAGTCAGAACGTAGGCAAGTTTGCGTCGCTTGACACTGCCAAATCGCAGGCTGACGGCTCGATAGGACTCGTGACTGCGCAAAGAACGGAAGGAAGAGGATCCTTCTCGTCGATACATCAGCCCGTATCGCCCACTGACACGATCAGAAGAGGAGGTTCGCAAGCTTCACTCGACATCAACCCACGGCAGCTCAATCCGCGTTCTGACCTCGCACGACGGGATATGACCAACTTCAGACAATCTTCCATACTCTCTGCGCATCGACTCTCACAGACGAACCTGTTGGGCAACCCGAGCGTACTCAACCAGGTCAATAAGCTCACTAAGCCTCGATTCGGTATGGGCCGACGGACGAGCAAGAGATCGCCTTCGGGCAAGACGGCCAGCTTGCCCATCTCGCATAGCTACTCTGGCGATCGAAATCTAGCTGGTCTGATCAGCAATCCTAGGCCGATTGTCGAGCCAAACGAGACGGGTTCTCCGGCTGGTCTGGGGCTGCGCCCAATCCAATCGCGACAATCTGACGAATCGAGCTATCACGCTAAGCTGGACAGGATGTCAGATATCCTCCCGGCTGCCAACCGAGCCACCCTGTCAGAATACCTCATTCGAAGCGATGGGAACGATCTGGACGCCATTGGGAGTTATTTGGCAGATGATAGACAGGGACGCGTGTCTATCTCCTAGCAGCTGCAGCTGTGCAAGTAGATACAAAGGTGTAGATGCATTGTAAGGGTTGTAGTGTCCTGCATGCATGTGTGGTGCATGCGTCTGACTCTGGTTCAGAAACCAATCGTCGTCTCTGCCAAATAGTCGTTTGCCTTTTGCAATACGTTCTTGTCCTTGTTGCCCTGTCCGGCAATCCTCCCCATCAACATTGACTATGTTGTCACGAAAGGCAACTGACCGCATCTGCACGCTTCTTGAACTCTTCGTCGTCTTCTTCTTGACGATCTCGCGCAGACTCGGGGTCGCCCGTGTTGTCGACTATCTTCTGCCCCTTGTCATGCTCTGCCGCTTCGCTCTGTCGCTCCAAGATCAGCTGACTTGATTGACATGCATTTGTGAGCTCACACTTGGCGCGATTGCCGCTGATCGATCCTCTTGAGCCGACATGTTTGCGACGACGACGAAAGAGCGAATGACCTCATCGCGTCGAGTCGCGACTGCTCGCCTTCACCGACGATGTTGCTGAGGTTGTCCTTGATTGTCATAGGGGCACAGGTGAGCTTGTAGCATATGTAAAAGTGTGAAGCTCATCACTCGGTCAGGTCGTGCTCGCGCAGAAGCAAGTGAGGTTGTTCGAGCGCTTCTCAGGCGGCGAGCGATGGCATCCGCGAGGAACAGCGTCGCTAGGCCCGACTGTCGAGCTTGAGAGCTCATCTCGCCCGCTCTGGGATAGATCAGTAGACGGCACAGGCTACTATCAGCTGGGCTACTCGCTCGACGCAGCTGCAAAGGCGCCAGACTCATTTATAAGCACGCCTCTGGTGGGTGAGCGCGCATCAGCTCTGAATCAGGAGCTGAACATGCACGATACTCGTTTCTCAGTGTCGATTTGCAGGCTTGGCGGTACAGGAAAGCATCGTCTTGCATACCTTGGCAGACGGCGCGACGGTTGCCGGACTGGCGCACACCACGTCCGCGCCGCCAAATGCATGTGACTTGCCCAGTAGTAGCATCTCAATGCCCTCGACGAGGATATCATCGCGCCCACCGGCGATCATTCCCGATATTGTGCTACACGAACCCAAAGCAGAAGTAGAGTTCGACGAGAGCGGTCAGGAGAAAGTACCGCCCAAACCACAAACGTTCTTGCAAAAGTACTGGTGGTACATCATTCCTCTACTGCTTCTGCTCGTCATGTCCGGTCCGCAAGAAGAGCCAAAGGCAGGCGCAGCTGCTGCAGGCGCGAGACCCGCAGCGCGTACGTAATGCATGCACAGATAGCGTCCTTGCTGCAAACAATGCTTGCGCAGTGCTTAGCTGTGAGGGCATAACTTTCTTCGGATATTGCCTCAGGCATTACGCAAGCAAGCGCAGAATGGCGGGCACAGTGATGTCCTGTCTGATGTGTGGAGTGGCAAGGCGCTCCGCTTTCCTCGCCAACAGACTAGCTCGAGCTCCAAGCAATTTCGCCCGAGGCCTCGCAGAGCTGAACAGCATGAGACTCGGTGATCCTCAGTTGCGTGACCGGGGGTGTGCGATCGGCCGTACCGGATTGCCAGATTACATCGCTGTGGACATTAAGAATGACGAGATTACCGTCTTCTTGCAGCTCGGCCGTACATCTCTCGGCTTTCAAATCATCTTCTATGATCTCGTTATCGCTCTGCCAGCGGACCGGAGCTGTAGCAGCTCTTGCTGATTTCTTTGTGAGATCGAGAACGCGCAATTCGAGTCTGCCTCGCCATAGACCGAATGCGATCATGTGGCTCTTGTCAAGATAGGCTGACATGGGTAGGCGGGACTCGATTACGAAGGGGCCGGGAAAGACGGGTGATGCGGCAAAGAGAATGTTTTTGAGATCAAGTTGCGTGACTGACAGATAAGGCTCTGTACCGGACAGAACGGCCATCAGGTCTGGATCCCACTCCAGGCGCGTTCGCTTCGGGTGGCGAAACATATCTGGATCCCATATGATGGCTGCATCGTTGGCATGTTTTATCATCAGTTGTCGCTCGAGCGTGAGCGCGTAGAACCGCATGCGGATCTCACGGTCAGGTACGGCGCCCGGCCAGTGCAAGTCGGGATCTGCAGAATCGGAGCCATCATTTTCTTCTTCTTTCACCTTTCCCTCTTCTTCTTCTTCTTCGTTCTTTGCCTTTTCCTCTTCTTCTTCTTCTTCTGCTTTTATCTTTCCGTTGTCTTCTTCTTCTTCGTCTTCATCGATATAGTCATAGTAATAGTCGTCCTTTTTGCTCCACTGAGCTGGCGGGAGATCTTCTCTTGCCCAAGTCCATACTTCGACAGCATTTTTCTCGATTTTCAGTCGCTCGTCCGTTAGCGAGAATTTGACATCGCCCATGATAGTCTGACTGACGCTGTTAAAACGAGGCGCAGGTGCACTGAAGAGGATTATGATCTCCGGAGTGAAGCTCAATGGGAGCGGTTGGATGTCATAGATTTCATCTGGCTGGGGCCAGCCGGACTCTAAGCCGTAATACCGTATGAAAGCTTCAGATTCGCAGACAGGATCGCCCTCTCCATCATAATAATGATCCTTGTCCTCAATAGGACGTATAAGAGACCACGGATGGGTCAGATTGGCACTGGGTGACCTGCCCGCCCATTGCCCTTGGAAACAGGTGCCGGTGATTTGCGTACGTTCCCCCAGGTGGCCAGTCGCCACGCCATAGCCAATCTTTCCGGGACCGACCGAACTGCCAAGGGGTGAGCGCGTCATGCTTCAAGTGGTGCTGAACGCACTTGTTGGTAAAGCTGACGCCAACGAGGTGCCCGGTTCCTTCGTCGTCGTGATCTTTGTCAGGATCGCTTTTGGCAGCCTCCTTGCGATAATCAGGTGTCGGCATACCGATCATGTATGCCGCACTGACGTAGCCTTTTTCGCCTGCAGTGACGTCGTTGTCGACGATCGTCAGACCGGTGCAATCATTGGCACGCCCTTCGACATTCTGGATTTTCATTCCAAAAGCGATTCGTCCCGTCTCTGCTTCGATGACGTTGTGGAAGATGGAAGTGAAACGAGTGAGGCGGATGTCGATGCCCCCCAGGGCGGCGTCAGTGATAGTCAGATCGCGAATGCTCATGCCAGTGCAACTGTCGAGCTGCAAGCCATAGGACGGCCGGTCGATCTTGCACTTGACTGTGCAATCCTTGATGCGAGCATCGATGACCTCATCGCAATCAATCGCTCTCCAGGCCGGATTGACAAAGTCGCAGTCGTTCAGGTCGAATCCTTGTACTTTGCACAGTCGAAGCAGACTCCCGTACGTCGCTCCTCCGTCACTAGCATCCTCAAAGACGAGGTGAGACAGTTTGACAGAGAAGACGCAGTAGGTCGAGAAAGCTCGGCCGTTCTTGCCGACTGTCTTGAGATGCGCTCGCGGCTCTCCCCCCCGCGTGCTCAACGTGAAGTCGTCTCTGTACGAACGAATGGGCGTCGCCAAACTGTATACCCTGCCCGGATCGAGGAGTAAGGTCACGTCATCTCCCTCGCCACTACTGCGCCCGAATGCTGCTATCATGGCATTGATCTCAATAGCGTCGTCTACTATTTCTATCGCGCTGTCTGCACGTGCTTTCCCGTTCGTGGCGGTCTGTGCACTCTGTCGAGGCTTGTTCGACGGCCTCTGTGGTGATGTTGGCTTGCCATCCGACGAAGCCTGGCGAGTGCGCTTGACCATGCCGTCTTGAGATGATTGTCGGCGCGCTGGCTCTGTACGTACTGTACGCGTCCTTCGGCGTGTCAAATGTAATCGGTCGGTGCATCGCGTCATCGACTTGTCGAGCTGACTTGACCGAAGCACACGACCCATACTATCATCAGACCATGGCGAAAGGTGCGTATTCCGTAGCGGATCATGGCCGGATACATGCCTATATCTTCGACGCACGACGTCCGCGCGGCATTCATGCAGCAGCGATGCCCAAAGCATGAACATCTCATCCACGCGACCTCGGCATCAACCTCAGTAGCCCTTGGCCGAGCGTATCTTCTACGATGCTTATCTATGAGAGGAGAGCAGGCACGAACAAGGTCGTCTATAAGCCGGACTCGCAGTCGTGAGATTCTTGCGACAGGCTTGTGCGCTGAACTCATGCTACTTCGTCATGCAGGACAGATGAGTTCATGGTCATCATTGAAGATGCAGCTGCCCTGAAGAAGTACGCGCTACTTGCCAAGCCCGTCTGTCAGGATACTTATTCGTCCTACTCTTGGCTGTCAGATGGAAAGCTGGCGAGACGTCAGTCGAATGCAATGTCGAAACCGCATGCAGAGAGCTAACTGAGGACGGGCAGATCTATCCCATTGACAGAGATCGTGGACAGTAGGTCGCGCATGATCACATAGCCAGGCGCTGATTGCGATCCTTTGCCGGCTCTCAGGCTTTGACGTCTTGCATTCTGGTCAAGGCAGTCAAGGTATCCTCGGAAGACCTTCCAACCAAGAGCTGGACAGCGTCTTCGGCACTCACAATCAAGATGAGGTCGTCGAGATGATACTGAAGAAAGGCGCTCTGCAAGGCGGGGACGCGCCGGAGAAAACGGCATCGAAGAATGACTCACAGTACGTATACTGCCACTGGTGATCAGCTTGTACAGAACTGATCAACAAGCTGTGCAGAGGCGGAGGATTCTCGGTCTCAAAAGGCTCTCACAGCGGTAGTGGCCACGGCGGTCGATGAGCGTACCCTCCTCTCGCACGATCAGATCCACTGTATCAAGCTAGCAGTCCCTCCGGCGATCTGCCTTGATAGCTAGCACGCACACATGAATGCAATACAGCTGACATAGTGGGCGTCATTGCGTCTATGGCCTGAATCTCTGAAGAGCCTGGCGCGCATTCGAACGCGTCGCTTTTGTGCGAGCGCGACTTGGACTGTATCGTCGATCAGCGAGCTACAAGCGACGAGCTTCCGAGCTGCCCTTGTCTGGCTCGTAGACGTAGCCACAGGCTCTGGAGTTGTCTGGATCACGAGGAAGCCTTCGGACGTCGAGACGAGACAAAGGCAAAAGTTTCAAAGCCTTGCAAACTCGGGTTTGTCAGACCTTGGCGTGCCAGACTCGAGTGAGTCTCGCCGTGGGCTCCAGGGTCGCTAAGCCCCTCCATCGGCGTCGCATCGGCTGGCAAAGACGAGGGAAGGCTACCTCAAGAGCTGGACTGCCTTTGTAGCGCCGAACGATTGCTTGCCAACGCAACCTCATCAGGTTTGGACAAAGAGCTAGACGGGCATTGCGGAGGTCTGACTGTAGCGGCTCGGATTCCAAGGCAGCACAGAGCCTGCTCACTGCCAAGCCTACGCCGTGCGACCGACTTACAAGCAGGTCAATCTAGCCAAATCCATCAAGGTCTGCATGGATCGGACGACGACACGACGCCCGACTTGAGCAATGCTGACAATGGCCAGCCGAGGAGAGTACTATCAAGATCCTTCCTCGTCGACCTCGCGTCAACGAGAGGAGGATTACTACTCCTCAGCCCACGCGACGACGGATCAGTACACTCGCTCAGGTCAATCGTCTGGCTATCCGCCCGGCGCAGGTCCATCCTCGAGCCAAAGCTCGCCGAGGGACTACAGGGGTACAGCATCAGCAGGGGCAAGTCATGGCAGTCAAGCAGGCGCGCATTACTCGACCCAATCTCAACGTAACTCTGCCTATCCTTCCCATTTTGCTTCGAGTACAAACGGACCGCGGTACGCCAGCATGGGGCCGAGATCGCTGCCCGCACTCTCATCGCCTTATCAGAATGGCATGGGCGAATTTGCGAGAGATTCCGTCCTTGACGCGTACTCTCATCACCCACGAGATCAGTACGATGACGGCGCGAGAGATAGCTACGCAGCCGGACCGTCAGACTTACCCTCGCCTCCGCCGCCGCCCAAAGACTATAGCAAGGACATGACGCCAAGCCCGTCGTCGCACAAGTCGATCAGCACCAATCCGCTCATCGATCTCATCGACACCGAAAAGGCTTACGTCGACGATCTAGCCGTCGTCATCAAGGTGACTCTTTCCGCCTCTATATTTTACTTGGCTGATAATGGTACTGTAGCGCGTTGCGTCAGCTTGGTCCAGGTCGAACTTCCCGCCGCCAGCGCTTGACATGGTTTTCCGTGCAATAGAATCTATCTACCGGATCAACAAGACCTTCCTCGCCCGTCTGAGGGACATTGGGCCCAATCCACAGACTGCTAAAGCACTTGGCGATCTTCTCATGCGATGGGTACGTAGCTACATGCTCTGGCTTTCCGCTGACAACTGATCGCGCATTCAGATTGAGGATCTCAACAAGCCGTACACGAATTATACCCTGGCCTACCGGTCTTCATTCGACGATTACGAGCCCGTTCAGTCTAATCCGCAGCTTCACGTCATCCTGGCAGCGGTCAGCTTCCCTGCGTCGTTCCCATACACGCCCTCGCCCACATCGGACAGCGGACGAGAACCAGCGACGACGCTCGATCTCTTGTTCAGCTTACCCTTGCATCGATTGCGATACTATAAGCTCCTCTATGCTCGCTTGCTCAGAAGCACCACAGAGGGCCGGAACGATCACCGTTTGTTGCTCGGCGCGAACCAGCGTCTAGATTCCCTCATCGAGGCGGCTGAGAGAAATTTCCGCAACCGTGCAGGCGAGCGAGGTTTGCTGCCATCGCAGACGGCGCCCGACGCGCTGTCGACTTCTCGCAGATCACCTTCCGCTGATCTGCCAATGCTACCACCGCCTGTACCGTCTCGCGACCGCGAGCAACACGGCGGCCGCCAGCCCTCCTTCGATCACGGCAGAAGGGAATTGCCACCCATCACACGCGCCGACGGCTCGATGCCAGACTTCCAGAGACTTCAGTTCGAAGACAACAATGCACATGAAGACGACGAGGATCTGCCGACTCCTACATCCCCAAACCCACCGCAGTCATTCATCAGGCGGCCCTCGGACAGTCGACAGCGGCAACACGGTCGCGAGCAATCGCTCTCGCCAGTGCCACCCCTACCCTCTACGCCATCTTCGGGCAAAGATTCGGCAGAGTCCTTCTCTGGCCAAGGCTCGGCAGATTTGCACAATTCGCAGTCAACTTCGAGTAGCATGACCACCATGAGTTCAAATGGTCCCAGTCTGCGCAAGCTAGCAAGCGCCAATTCGCAGTCGCAAAGTCTCACTAGCTCTGCCCTTATCACAACGACCGACATTGAGCAGATTCTAGACACGTCTGGCACACTGGATATCTTTTCGATGACGCCGAAGGTAAGCTTTTGTGCCAGACAGATGCTTTGCTTGCTATTGACGCGAGCACCGCAGAGATGCAAATTGCACTTCAATCCAGCCGGGGCTCCCATGCGAAGATCGGTTCGCAAGACAGGCAATGTCTACCTTTCTTTCAGACCCAGCTGCGACCCGTCTCATGCCGAATTTGCGGTCCCAAATGCGCATCTCATCTTGCTGACGGACTTGTTACTCATGTGCGAGCACAAGCCTGGCTGCCATGAACCGACGGGTCGGCTGGAGGACCTAGCGCTGCTATTCCCACCTCTTTCGGTGCGACATCTGCAAGCTAGTCCTGTCGAAGCACCAGGCATGGCTATCTTCAGCCTCACATTGCTCGATCGGGAGACGCTCTACATGACTGTACCGGAAGATCCGCACCGCATGCAGCGCGATCACTGGTTACACGAGCTTCGCAACTCGGTACCCGCTCCGTCTGGCCCGATGCCGCTGGCCAACGCTTCCTCTGAATCTTCCCTCAGCTCCCGCGGCTCGGCAGCTCGCGAGTATTCGCAAGACTACCAGTCTCGCGTACAAGGTCCCGCCCATCGATCGTCCGCGCCTAGCGCTTCCCATCGCGCTCTGCCGCCGCTCGAAGATCCCCATCAGTCTCAGGGTGCACCACTCGCTTGGAACGGGCGGGATGAGCGTGATACGATCCGAAGACCTGCTCGCTCACCCGCAAAGACTGATTCAGGCAATATGCTGAGATCATCAACCGCCTCGAGTCCGGCTGCTTCCGGGGTCGTTCGACCACCGCGCAAGACAAGCATGTACGGGGCCGGCTCCTTCGAGAACAGATCTGGACAGAGCTCGCCGGCAAAGTCGTACAGCGATCAAGGAAGACCTGGTCAGCGCAGTCCGGTCGACATCTCTCGTCCTGGAAGTGCATCACAACAAGGCCGCAGTCCCTCGCCCGCACAGTCCTACCAACACAAGGCGCAGCATCTCAGACCCGGCAATCACGGCAGTCTTTCATCGGAGGACTCAGAGAGGCTCAGCGATTCAGCATGGTCTCACCGCTCGCCGATTCAAGCAAGACGACCTTCGGGTGGCAGCCAGCAGCAGCAGAGGATGCTCAAAAAGTCTACTTCTGCATATTCCCTGGCGTCCAATCACTCGAACGGGCAGAGAACGCAGCAAGCGAGTCCTATGGGGCGAGCGCCATCAATCTCTCGCAGAACAGATCCCGGTGCCTCTGCAGCCGCCCTCCTGCATGCACCCGGATCCGGAGAGCACCATCTTCTTCGCTCTCGATCTGCTGAGCAGATGCGCGATCGCTCCGGCGAGAAGCAATACAAGCCGCCTTCTCTCATCATGGACTTGAGCGGTCCTAGAACAGGACCACGCTCACCTGCACGCGATGAGCTGGCTGGCTTCCCTGGAGGCACGCGCAATCCATCTCTACCTTCGAGAGCGAGTCGCAAAGGCGGGCGCGATCTAGACGATGACTACGATAGCCCTCCTGGCAGTCCCAATGAAGCAACAGGCGCAGTAACGTCCTCGGTCGTGGCAGAGATGCGATGCAAAGTCTTCCTCAAGCAGAATCACTCTCAATGGAAGTCTCTTGGCGCATCGAAACTGAAGCTGTATCAGCAGATGCCGACGAACGTCAAGCAGCTCGTGGTCGAGTCCGACAAGGCAGTCCTCATCTCTACGCTCGTGCTCACCGACGGCGTTGAGCGTGTCGGCAAGACGGGCGTAGCCATCGAGATCAGCGACAAGGGGGCTAGGACAGGCATCGTTTACATGCTCCAGGTACGCTCAGATGCTCGCTTTTCTGGCTTGACTGATGCGTCGTGGACAGTGCAAAAGCGAAGTCTCTGCTACGGGACTGTTCAATCAGCTGCTGATGGGCTCAGACCGTATGCCGGGTCGATAGAGAGCTCAAAGAATCGCAATGAGCAGTGTTTCATGCCGCATTTGTAAAGTCGAACGCAAGATGCATAATGTTGGGACATCATACTCGGCTGACTTTTGACGGTGAAGCATCCCGCACTGGCAACAGAGCTGCGCCTTCTTCGGCCTCGTTGAGGGATTGCACGGTGGTCGTTCGAGAGCGTGCTGAGCGTACAGTTGACGCCGCACTTGTGCTGCGAGAGTGTTGCTTCTTTGTATGCCCCTTGACGGCCAATGCGCGAACGCCAAAATAGATCGCTGTACCGAGCACGAGTACTGCGATGACAAGCGCAGCGGATCGTCTGGGGCCGTAGTAGCGCTCTCTGTCCTTGACGAGTCCAGTGGCATTGTCCAACTCGTCCCCGAATCCAAAGCCTTTGTCATCTTGCTTCGTGGGCTCTGACCAGCTGGTCCCATTTGGACGAGTGAGACCAAGCTTGCGAGCAGTTTGATTGCCCACTGAGCTCGCGTGATGCGTAGCTGTAAAGCCTGCTGCGGCTAGGAGTGAGATGTTGAGAAAGCGCTGGAGCATGTCATTGATAGCCATCGGACGCTCGCGAGCTGCCATGTGTGACGCGTTCGAGATGAGTGCAAACGTGAGATGGTCTCTCTCCGTCCACCGGCCAACGTAGGTGTCGTTAACGTACCAATCGCTTGCATTCTGTCCAGCAAAGCCGCGAGCTCCCTGATATGTCAGATTGCCGATCGTCCGTTCTAGGCCTAGCGCGCCACACATAAAGTCATTCTCGCCCGCGTAAAGCAACAGTGCGACGTCATCTAGCAACTCCGGCAGAAGCTCGACAGAGGGACTCGAGCTGGGCGCCCAGAACTGGTCGGTGACAGTATCGTTGCATTGTGTCCAAGGTAGACTCTTGGAGGATGCATGGAGCCGCGAGATGACATTACTGGACTGTAAGTAAGGCGTGAGCCAGGCCACTTCGGGCGGATAGTCTGCGCCGCATTGTTGCCATTCTAATGTATTGTACACATTGACGCAAAGCCTCTGGCCGTCGACGGTCTTTGTCGCTGCTGACAAGATTGCATTGAGCGCATCCTCGCACTCTTGAATAACGATGACGCCCTTGGCAATCTGATCTGGATCGTCCGAGTAGAGCAGGTTGCGACATCGTTGCATTGCGCTGCTCGCCTTGTCTCTGGCTTTTCTGTTCTGCATCAAGTTGGCTGCAACAGCTTGATCCCAGTAGGCTTCATATTGTACACGAGGATCGAGCCATCCGTTGCCGATGATCATGCCTCGAAGCGGCGCCGTTATGAGGGTCGAGCGCTTGATAGCTCTGGCGAAATGGGGTATGTAGACGCCTGCGAATGACTCGCCGGCGAGGTACAAGTCGACTTGAGCAAGTTCGGGAAAGACGACATAGAACTCAACCAGGAAGTCGACAATTCTGTTGGCTGCAGCCGTGAGCTCCGTCGCTGGCTCGCCGGCGTTGATGTAGGAAAAGCCCGTGCCTGCCGGCTGATCTACGAACAGGACAGTCGCGTACTCCGACGCAGACGATGGTGAAGCTACGAGAGTGTTATTGCTCGCTATCCGCACAGGTCCGATCTCCATAAGCGCTCCATCCATGCTCGAGCAGCCTGGGCCGCCTTGAAACCAGACTATCAAGCGTTGCTGAGCTGGAGGATGGGCTGCCTTTGCGAGCAAGAAGAACAGCTTGGCATCGGTCGTGAGATCACTGGATGGGTATGCATTCAGATGGCCGGCGTACAGTCGCAAGTCGAGATCTGCAGGCTGACCGGGCAATCTCGGTAACCAGAAATCTGCCGAGCTTGGTCTACTTGTTTGCCCTGCTCTTTCTTGCAAGGCTGCCTGTCCGGGTACATAGTGAAGTGATGATCGTGCTCGCACCGCCTCTTTGATGAGCGCCGTCAGCGAAGTCATCTGCCATGCACGTGATGCTAGAGCGCTATCACTGACGTTGCTGTTCGACAATCAACGCGACGGTCGACGATGTCGACGATATGCGTGTGTCAGCGACGTCAGCGTGTCAACAATATAACACGATCAGGTCATCTCGACCATACAAATGCTGCTCATCCGATGCGCCTCCAGGATCAGTACTGGAGCAGCCCTTGGTCACAACTTGAACATTGCATATCGCTCTGTCATACATCTGGCGCGACCAGCGCTGCCTCCTGAGCACAAAGCATTCTCCTACCTGCGAAGTCAGCGACCGTGATGGATTGGGCCGGTTTGTGAACTCACTATGGCTTGCTCAAGCGATGACGCAGAAGACGACGGAGCCGCCAGGCGGGATCTGACTCGTGCTCGCCTCTTTGCTGATTGTGCCTGCATGTCGTGTAAGCCTCAGACACAGCTCAGCCTGTTCAAGCGACTTACAGAAGACGACTGAGCCGCCTGGCGGGATGACTTGCTGCTCAGCAGAGGAGCTCACTCGAAGTTGTGCGGGTGCCATTGCTAAGTATTGAGCTGGTATTGCTAGTGAGAGCTGAGGTGATTGCTATGAGAGACTTGTGGAGGTGTTGATGGTATTCGAACGAGCCGTCCGGCTTATATACGCCTAGTCCGCAGTTAGGCATTGTCGACCGTATGAGTGCGACCGCGAATGGGTGACAATGAGAGCTTTGCTGATTGCAATGGCCGTGAGAGCAAGCATTGCGAGACAACCATTGTCTATTGTGCGGGCCATTGTTGACCATTGTCGAGCATGACACAACCGAGCGTCATGAGCATATACTATTGAGAATCCGGCGCAATCGCTAAGCGAACAATGGTTGACATTCCGAACTTGGCCAGACCGAGCGTGCGTCGGTGTGCGATTGAAAAAAGAGCATATTCGAACAAAGGCACATTTGAGGTCATTCGAGCAGGACACAGTGAGGCTGGTCCGCGCAGGCATGTCGTTGTTGGGCAGTACGGGCAACGTCAACGAATGAAAGAGCCGACAACGCCAAGCCGAAGGATGTGTAGGATTGAACGGCAAGCTCAAGGCGGAAAAAAGTCGCGCTCATGTTCGGAACGAAAGGCACAAAGATTTCCCTTTTTAGCACTTGCATGAACGTAAGTACAGATGAGGCTATCGATCGAGAGCATCGATAGCATCTCGGCAGGCTCTTGCAGAGGTTGAGCGCAAGAGTGTGTCAAGCGCTCGAGCACGCGACTGAGGACGGTATCCGATCGGCCGAAGCCGACAAGAGCGTCGCGACTCGCGAGTGAGCACATCTGTGATCTGACGGCGCAGAGTACATAGGTGGTGACGCCCTAATGTCAGCCGCGTCCGTCCGGAAGCGGCATACACCAATTTAGCCATGACCGGCAGAAGCGCCGATCCGATGGCAGCGTTAGATGCCTTGTCAATGGCATCCCACGCGCGCATCCCCTTCTTGGGGATGACTCACTTCTCCTTGGAGTGAAATTTGTCTCTCCGCTGCGTTGCGGGTATTGTCGCCTTGAGGGCGCACAGGTCGATATGCGATCGACAGATTAGCTCGATGGCCCATTTGGCTCATCGGCTCGATTGGCTCAAAGGCCGCGCATCCCCTTCCTGGGGATGACTCACTCCTTCTTGGAATGAGATTTGTATCTCCGCTGCGTTGCGGGTACTGTCGCCTTGATAGGCGTACAGGTCGATATGCGATCGACAGATTAGCTCGATGGCCCATATGGCTCATCGGCTCGATTGGCTCAAAGGCCGCGCATCCCCTTCCTGGGGATGACTCGCTCCTCCTTGGAATGAGATTTGCATCTCCGCTGCGTTGCGGGTATTGTCGCCTCGATAGGCGCACAGGTCGATATGCGATCGACAGATTAGCTCGATGGCCCGCTTGGCTCATCGGCTCGATTGGCTCAGAGGCCACGATTGGCTCTACATTGACAGAGCAATTGTCATCTGACCATGACAGGAAACATTGCCTAGAAGCAGGCAGTGATAATCATCTACGAAGGTGAGATGAAGGAACAAGTCTGCACGCGGTAGCAATTGCAGTCAGCGATCCGGCCGTTGTAATTTGGCTTCGCAGCCACAGGCGGTAGGCGATTAAGCCACGGGGTTCGGCCGTGAGGCCAGGCAGGCGGTGAGAGCATGCCCTTGTCGGGTTTTTGACCGATCTTTTGCAGTCACATCTTGAGGAGTGACCGGTTCGCCGAGCCATTGTGCGCTGCGGCGAATGGATACATCTCGACACAGGGTGCGATTGGTGCTACTTTACAGTCGCCAGTGCCCAAGACGTCCTATCCATGCGTCTGCGCTGGCATGACACAGACAAGACGGTCGCGACTGAGCGAGGTCTCTCAGTCTTGACTGTATGAGTAGCTAGGAGAGTGTTGACAGTGTGCTGCTGCTCTCCTGAGCGGGACCTTGATCGCATCATCGAGAGTCGCGACTGTGCTGAGTGGTAGTCAGCTACAGTCCCATGTGTGAAGCCATAGACTGACCTCTCTCGAGGGTACGATCAGCACGTAGGCGGTGGGGACGCCCGGGACTGCTGAGAGAAAAAAGTTTGTACACGGCAGGATGGTCAAGCAGGTCTGCGTCGTCATTCGCTCTGATCGGTATGCTCTTCGACGACAGGCACGTTTGCGTTCGTTCGCTTGCTCTGCTCGGTATGCTCTTCGATTTCAGGCACGTCAGCCTGTCTCTTGCCATCATCGCGTTTTGCCGCTCTTTGTCATCCCTTCAGTCTGTGTGCAGTCTCGTTTGGAGGTGTGGCCGTAGCACCTCTTGTCAACACTCTGCATTGGCACCAATGAAGGCCCTTTGCTCGAGTTCTGCGTCCCAAAGAGCCAAGTCGTCTTGGCCGTCATTTTATGATCCCGAATTATTTCGAATAGCAAGATTCGTCTGATCGAACACGTGGCTCTCACGATCTGCTGCACGACGGTTGGCGCTACTGGTTCGAGACGCTGCTCAAGTGCAGCCTGCGCTCAGCACATGCTGCGCACGAGCGCTGTCATGCACAGGAGCTCAACCGCCGGCAATTGGGTCGACTTGGTTGCCAGCAGAGTCCGAAAGCGACTGATACCCTTTGTCCTCCTCGCTGCACTCCTCTTGCTCGTCCTGTGGAGCTACAGCGATACCCGAGTCCAGCTAGCGGCACAAGCTCAAAAGCAGCGCTTCTTGGGTAGCCTCGGTCATCACCCGTCCGACAAAAAGTTCGGCGAGCAACAAGATGACTTGGGCTCTGATGAGCTGTTATCAGATCAAAGTGACGCCGAGCCTGCTCTTCATCGTCAATTGAATGACGAGCTCCTCAACGAGGCACAGGCAAAACGGCCAATATCACCTGCCAAGCCGCCTGTAGCTCCTGCTATCGACGAAAGCAAGCATACCGAGCCAGAATCAACGAGCAAGTCACTCGACGATATCAAGCCAGACGATGAAGCGCGAGAATTTGCATCTCACTTCTTCCCTCCGCCTCCACTGAGCGCAGGTCGAGAGTCCGAGTGGAAGGAGAAGCGAAGACGAGACTTGGCCATTGCCTACCATTGCGTCATCAACGCCGACCAGTGTCCTGCCCACGCCAAAAAGGTCGTCCTTTGTGGGGCAGGACGCTTCCGATGGGCACTCGATGGCACATTTGAGCGCCCTTCTGCTTTCGCAAACGGCGAGGCTATTTTGGCAAAGTCGTTCATGTACGCGATGGATCAGGGAGGCTACCCGTTCATCTATCTGGACGAAGGCGAGATGGGCAAGATCGATGAGATTGTGCAAAAGATCTCTACGCTATACAAGATCCTAGGCGAACATGTCAGAGCGGTCATCTTCGATTACACTGGCGAACGGGAATGCATGCTGAAAAACGCGCGCTGCTTACTGTCTGATACGAACGAGGACGGGATACCCAAATGGAAGATGTTCGCATGGGACGCAATGGGATCGATCTTGCCCGATTACGAGACCGTCTCTCGATGGAAGTGGCATCTCACAGGTAGGCACAAAGTGCTCCCGCCAATAATCTGCTGACTTTTCTCACAGGCATCCCCGTTGCCGAAGCTACATGGCTGGGCATTACGCTGTCCAAGGACTGCAGCATGTTCCCTTACGTACCTTTTGCGGATCGGTCGCACAAGGCATACGTGCTTGGCAAAGAGCGTCGCTACTTTCTCGAATCCAAGTGCTCCTGGCAGCCAGAGGACTTCAAAACGGTCGTCGATGCTACCGGCCTCAAGCTCGTCGCAGGCGTCAAAGAGGCAAAGGAAGGCGAAGAGCCATTGCCAGACTCGATCGAGAATCTCGGCCCTGCTACTCGTGCAGGGTTCATCGAAGCTCTTGGTACCGCAAAGGTCGTCATTGGTGTCGGCGGACCTACAGAATCACCGTCACCGCTCGAAGCTATCTGCATGGTGTATTGCATCGTGCTGTCATGTGACGCAGCTGATCTCGTTTGGTCAGGGCACACCGTTTATCAATCCTGGTCTACCTGTCAATGGCGGCCATGGAACCGAATGGGATGGCGATTTCGTTCACTGGAAAGCACAGGCGAGTCTATTGCATGTACCGGATGACAACAACAGCTGACTCGCGTGAGGAACAGCACAAGTTCCTGCTGCACTATGGTCCGCCTTATGTCTACAATGTCCTCGCGAAGAAGGGCACGGCGCTACTCGAAGCAGTACAATCAGCATTGGCCAATCCTATGACGGAGCCCTATCTCCCGCCAGAACTGTCGGACGAGCAATACCTTGGCCGAGTCGACGCATTGCTGAACGACGACTGGCAAGCCTTGTACGAATCAAAGATTGCCGGTGGCGAATTCTTTGAACCATAGCAAATTTCATTTTAGCACGAGGACGCATAATCATAGAGCAAGCACATACACATGTCAAGAACAGTAATTCGAATTTGTTGTGGGTGGGGCCGTGCAAGCATAACGATCATATGTCGCCAGTAATCGCAGCTCGTCGTGGTGAAGTCGTGACTAGTGAAGCAGAACGCAAGCTGACATGCTCCAGCGCGCTCGTTAGCGGGCCGACCGAGCTCGCTACTTCGAACCCTAGCTTTCTGAATACGCTGAGCACATTTGTCTTGTTGACCGGCTTGGCAACAACGGCACTGAAGATGGTCCCTTCTTCAGACAACGGGTCGCCTTCTGGCATGTCGCTATAGCTCGTCACAGCGACAATGGGCGTATCCTGATTGGGGTTACGTGTGGATTTGATCATCTTAGCAGCTGCCTCTCCATCGACTATCTGCTCTTTCAGCTATTCAAGTTTGCCCATGATGGCATACAGACGTACGTATGGGCATCATCATATCAAGAAAGATGATATCAAATGTCACTTCACCCATCGAGCATCGGATCGCTTCTTCGCCATTGTGCACGACGACACAGCGGCAGCCTAAGCGCGTCAGGAGCGTTTCCAATATCTTGCTCGAGATTGGGTTATCTTCCGCTATCAGACAATCGACAGTGCGCTCAGCTTTGGGATCAACTGGAGAGCCGTCTCGATCGCTGCCGTCGGGAGGTGCAACGAGCATATCCGCCTGCTGCCCTTGACCCGAGAAGGTTCGCGGCATGCTCCATTCGCCCAACGAGGCGACCCTTCTCTCGCCTTCGCTGATAGAATTGGCGCGCAATCTGGTAGGCATTGAGCTTCGTCGAGAGTGCTCATTATGCTCGTGATCTTGCGTGAAGCGGTCTTTGAATCGATCAGCTGCACTAGGAAGCTCTGAAGGTCGTCTGGTATGACTTGCACGATAAGGAGAGGAGGGTAGCGGAAGCACGCCACGAGATGGAGTTGACATCGGCGAGGAAGTCGATGCACTGGGTGAGGGCAGCTTGCCACTGCCTGAACCCGAACGTGACTTGTTACCGTGAGATCCTCCCGAAGCATGTCGCTGTGAGCCCAAGGAGTCTGATAGACCTGTGTTTGGCCCGGTAGAGAATTGATCCGATCGCATTCGTTTGATGACGTCGTCGTTCTTTTGCTTCAGGACATCCAGATTTTTGAAATTGAAGGCGCCGAACTCGTCTTGTACAGGCAAGGGTACGGTCTCCGATCGCTCTCTTCTTGGTGAAGAGCGAGCAGAAGCCTCTGCTGACGATGGCGCTTGCGGCGCAGTAGGTTCTATAGCGCTTGCTGTTGCCGTCGGCAGTGCTGGTGCAGAAGTCACGACAGCAGCGAGATTCGTTGTTGTGATCGAAGACAATAGCTGCGGATATCTCGGCGCAGGTATCTCCTCCAACAAGGGCGGTATGGCAGTCTGATCAGGATCCTCATCGCTGAAAATCTCTTGCGTAGCTCCCCTCGCGTCGAAATAATCCGTGTTCTCGGGATCCTCGCTTGTCGGCACAAAGAAGGCATCGCTGTTCATGAGATTCTCAAAGTCGATAGCCTGCATGAAGGGATGATCTTTGACTTCTTGCGCGCCTTTCGCGCCTAGCCGCCGTTCAGGATCCGTGCAGAGCAGTCTGTTGATAAAGTCGCGCGCTTCGGCCGATATCTCTACTTCGTTCTCGTGCCAGTCTATGCGACGAGATAAGATGTTGTCGAATACTTTCTCGGCTGTTGAATCGTGGAAGGGCGGTACGCCGTAGAGAAACTCGTACGTGACTACGCCTAGGGCCCACTGTGTAGCATCTACATCAGCGCTGCCACGCTCTTCCGCTCCTCTCAGCTCACCCAGTCGGCCATCTCGTCCATGCGCAAGCCAAGCACGACCTCTGGCGCGAGATAGTCTGGCGTGCCTGCGAATCGCTTGCTCGTCGAGCTCAATTGCTGGCTGATCTGGCTCGCCGCCATCATGCGTTCGTCTCTACTGCTACTTAACTATGACATGAGCATAATCAATTTGTTGTGCCTGCGCTTGCTGTTGATGACTTCGAGTGGGATGCAGGTCGCCGAGTGACGGTCGCGGCGCGTCGCTTTCGTCTTTCTCTCCGTCGATGAGCGACCTCGAATCCGCGCAGCGTGCGTCAGTGACGACCTTGCGCAAGCTGCTCAGACTCTTCCTCAGCAACGACGACAATGGCTTGTCGATTGGGCTGCATTCGCCCTCCACCCTAATACGGCCGCAACGCGATAATGTTATCAGCCTCTTTGAGCGGAATATGCGGAATATGTGCGCCATGACATCATGATCATTTGCGCAAGGGCTTAATCAGAGTCGCAGGTATGAATCCACTGGAGGATATGATGCTCAAGCGAAGAGAGAAGAGCTATTCAACGCAGCATCGCGCTTTCTTGTCGTGCCGCCACTTGAGCCGAATCAAGAGCTGCAAGGCTATGTCATGTTCCGCTTCGATACCGAAGAATCACTGCGCGCATCGAGAGTATACTCGGTCGTGTATTGGTAAGCTCGCACGTAACGCTCACTGGAAGTGTTGACGAGCTGCAGTTATGAGCTTCAAGTCGCCGTAAGACGACAAGGCATTGGACAGCGCCTCATGGCATTGCTTGAGCAATATGCGAAGCACTACAGACTGCAAAAGGTCATGTTGACTGTGTTCAAGATCAACGTGGACGCTCTTGCTTTCTATCGCAGTCTGGGGTATGATCTCTCGCGCGCCAAAGCTACTGAAGCTGACTGCCTCGAAAAGATATCAAGAGGACGAGATCTGTCCACGACACGAGAACTATCTCATCCTCAGCAAGCGCATGCAATCGACATGAAGCATGCAACGGACAACAAGGGTCAACAAAGAGCCTGCAATAGAGCTAGAAATGCTCTTTGTGCAGCGTAAAGCGGACCGACTTGCCTGACGCCTTTCTGGTCTCGCTCTGCAGCACTTTCGCCATGCCTGACGAGCCGCAAAAGAAAACGCCCACACGGGTCAAAAGGGAGACTTCTGCGCCCGGCAAATACTGGCCAGATCTGACAGATCTTCGCAAGTTCTCAAAGATCTGTCCGAATGCTGGTCGACCAAAGTATGTCCGACTGCGTAACTTTGTCAAAGCATCGAATTCCTGACCAGCTCTGCTCATATTGTCAGGGCGTTATTATATGAGCCAGTGATGGGCGCACGTATTTATGACAACGTTCCATAGATCTTCAGTAGGCAAGCGGCCAGTCATGTAGATAGATATACGAAGAAAGTCGATCGATTCGTCCTCGATCGTACTGAGGAGTGCTTGGAACCACTCGAAGCTTTCCGCCTCGCGACAGAGCCAGATGAACTCGACTCGACGCAAATGTTTGAGTGTGCCTCGTTTTCGCTGGTTCGAGATATCCTTGAGCACAGAAGCAAAAGGTGTCACGCCGATGCCTGCACCGACCAGTACGGCCACTTCGTACTTGAATACATCCTCTGCTGGAGCGCCATAGGCTCCATCGACTTTCAGATAAGGCATGACGAAGCCGTGTGGCATCGTAACCGGCTCGAAAACGCTAGGTCTGGCTGCTAGCTTCTTCTCGGTTTTGCTCGTTGCAATGGCTGTGCAACCGAGCCGCGTACCCACCGCTTGCGTCCAATCGCCAACTTGTCGCACGTGAACAGAGATGAAAGGATCATCGGGTGCGCTACTGATTGTGAATGGATGCCATTGGAGGCGGGAGACTACAGCATGATCAGTCTTGCTCGTACGAGTAGGCGAGGAGCCTGCCTTCGGGGATGCAGAGAAAGCACCATTGGCCAGCGCGATAGCTCATTGACGATTTCTTGAACCTGATTTCCATCGTGCCGGAAGGATGCATGAGCACTCCAACGATGCGTGTTCGTCGTCTTGAGCGAATCTGCGCATTCGTTAGATCGCGCTCGCGCTGGCACGATAGCTCTATCCATACCTCTCGCCAGACCCTCTCGCAAAAGTAGAGGATGCCTCCAATGATGGTCACTCGCCAAGAGTTGTAGCCGAGACACTGCACAGGCTCGCCGGGCAGTGAACCTCGAACGAAACATCCCGTTGCGTGTGTGTAAAGACCAAGCTATTTCATTTGTGAGCACATGCTCTTACCCTAATCGAGCCGGACCTGCCATGAAGAAGAACGCGAGATGATGCGTGTACCAAAAGGCTTCGAAGCACTGCTTTCGCATGCTATGATGGGCAGTCTGTCGTGCTGATCAGTCAGGCTTCATGCAGAGCAAGCCTGCGCACTGTGTACATAAGCAGCATCTATCCGCGCGTCCTTAGCAATATCTTCAATCGCAAGGAACTGATGCGTACAAGGAGCAGCATGACATGTCCAGTAATGCCAGCCGGCGAGTCATAGTGAATTTGCCAAGCCGCCTGAGGTCGGACTTGGGTGATCTCTACGCCATAGAAATTGATATAATGCGCCGTAACATGGACGATAGTAAAGAAGAGCAGCGAGTAGGCAGTCTGACGATGAAACCAGGTGCCCTCATCGAGCGGCATGAGCCAAGCCAATCGAGGTCGCAAGTAACGAATCGCATTTCGCAGTAGAGGCAGCAGAAGCAGAGCACCATCGGCAGCAAGACATAGTCCTGCACCGCGTGAGAACCAGACGGAAGCTTTGAGACCGTTCAGTGCAGCAAGGCGGGGGTTGTTCTTCTGTTCGACCCAGCCGACGGCGAATAGCGCTGCGTGGCCTCCGTACCATAGGATATTGAAGGCGATCCGACGCGGATTGGCTACTTCTTTGCGAGCCTGACGAATGAGACAATCCATCGCTTGCGTCACTAGCAGTCATCGCATGAATGAGTAACGCATCGCGAGAAGCTGTGAGCGCTTTGACCGCGTTCCATCGCTGAAAGTCACTTTGTAGCGCAGGCTTCGATCCAGATATACGCCTGAACATTTTGCGGATGTCCGCGGTGGGCGAGAGAAGATGCGCATCAGACGGGTAGCTGAGCATTCCTGGCCAGAGCGTTCATGAAACGAGCTTGAGCTCGAGAGAACAGGACATGGCATTGACAATGATTGATGTACTGCTGAGACTAGATTTGAGGTATTCGCGGCAGCCAGATGTGAGCAAGATGTCGTTTGGAGAGGGTCTCGTAGCTCTGCGGATGCGCTTCATCGATGTCGGCGCGAGACTGTGCGCAAGTTGGCTGGCAAGGACTGAAGTACAAGATGTGTCCACTCACGACACGGAGATGAATCTGCTACGTCAAGACTTGCACACTGCAGTCACACATATACGTCAATGATCGGTCCACTTATGATGCATGACTCGCTAAGCAGCAAGCCTCAAGAACAGGCCAGACTTCTTTGACAATGTCGTTGCCATAGTAAGCTTGCTATCAAAGATGACTATGCAGTGAGTTCCAAAGCGAGATGATGAGAATGGTCGCATTTGTGCAAGTCTCTGTCGGGGCCAGAGGGGTAAGTCGGTACCATGGTACCAGCTTCGGAGACATGGCGCTTTGAAGACAAGGACAGCTTCAAGCCTGTCGTAGGACCTTGTCCCTGTCACTGAAGGGGTGACAAGGTCCACTGACGTCTTTCCCAAGCTAATGTCGAGCTGACGGTGGTCGAAGGAGGATGATAGGCTTTCCCATTTATTCGAATAATCAACGCGCAGAAATTCTTACGCTCACACACGACTTCGCGTGTATCGTTGCCCGGCGCGTAACGCTCGATCATGCATTGGACTTTGCGAATGACTCATACGCGTCTGCCGCCGCTTTCAGCCCTTCGTCCAGCTTCGCAACATCCGGCGCAACGCTTGTCGTCGATTCGTCTCTGCCTCCGCCCTGCCAAAGCCGTCAGTCATCGGATTGCTCTCAAATTTCAAGATGCTCACCTTGCCACCGATCACTTGACACACTTTGGCCGACCAAGTCTTTGCCGTGAAGCCTGCCTTGATATCGTGCAGCGGAACGTGATTGGTCAAAGTCACCTTGCCCTCGCTCACGCTGAAGCCATAAACAGCTTTCTCTCGCGTCCTGGCTTCGAGCATCGCGCCCGTCATCGCTTTGCTGCCACTTGGTACGTCGTGTCGCAGTATGAAGTAGCGAGCGTTTGGATTCGCATCAAAGTAGTCAGCGATCTTAGCAGTGATCTACGACCCAAAAGAGTAAGCACTGATCAACAAAGCAAGCAAAGGCCGCACAGCTTTCATGAGGCTCTTCTCTGCAGCACGCGAGTCGTCGCTTATCTTCTTGCTGATAGCAGCCAGGCGATCTTTGAGTGTCGCTTTGCGTAGAGCTGATATGTCAGCGCGATCGAGCTCGACTTGTAGCGTCTTGATGCTTGCAAGCTGCTCTTTGCCCGTGAGCTTCTCGAGGGAATCGAGTTGCATGCTGTACGAGTTGGCTTGGCGATGACATTCGCTTGCTTCGTCTCCTGTGACCGCCGTGATCCGTCGGATGCCCTTTGCGGTGCCAAACTCTTCGACGATGACCAGACTTTGTATATCACCAGTTCTGTTGACATGCGTGCCTCCACAGAACTCAACGCTCGTCGATCGCCATTTTGGATTCTTGAGATCTTTCGCCATCTCCTCCACGCTGAACTCCAACGCTACCACACGGACCGGATCTGGGTATGCCTCGCCAAAGACAGCACGCAGACCCGGTATAGCCTTTGCATCGTCGAGCTTGACTTCTTTGCTATAGACAGGCACATTCTTCTTGATCCAAGCGTTACAGATCTCCTCGATCTTTTGCAGCTCTTGCAAAGGAATGCCGCCTTTGTTCGAGAAATCGAATCTGAGCTTTGCAGGCGCAACGAGCGAGCCTTTCTGCTCAACGTGATCGCCTAGAACTTCCCGGAGCGCAAAGTTGAGTATGTGAGTTCCGGTATGATTGTTCTTGATCGGCCATCGACGTAGCTCGTCGAGAGAAATGACGACAGCGTCGCCAACAGACAGGCTTCCTTCTGTCAGAGTACCGACATGCAAGACGTAGCCTTTGTAAGCCTGGACATCCTGCACTAAGAATTCTGCTTTGCCGGCAATGACAATCGTGCCGGTGTCATTCTCCTGGCCACCAGATTCTGCATAGAGGCAAGTCCTGTCGAGCAAGATGCCAAAAGGTTTACCTTGCTCAATGCTAGACGTGTTGTCGACAAAGCTGCGATCATGATATATCGCCTTGATAGTCGCATCCAGCTGGGTCTCGCTATACTTGGCATCGTCATCAGTCTTCTTGACAGAGTCGGTGCTGTCTAATTTGCCTAGATCGTGTACATCGAGCTTGATGGCGTTTGCTCCTTCTTTCTTGATGCCAGCCTTGCTGACCTCGATCGAGTGCGCCTGCGCCGCGTCGAACTCTTTCTGGTTGTAGCTCAAGCCTTGCTCTTCTGCCATGAGCAAAGTGAGATCGACAGGAAAGCCATAGGTCTCGTATAGTCGCCAGACATCCTTGCCGCTGAGCTCCGTCTTGCCCTTTGCTCGTGTCTGATCGGCATACAGCTCAAACATCTTTTCGCCTCGATCGAGCGTCCGCGCAAATGCAACCTCTTCTTCGTCCAAGATTTCCTTGATATCTGTAGCGCTCTTTGTGATCTCTGGGAAGAATCCGCCCATTTGATCGACGACAGTGGGCATCAAGGTCGAGAAGAAGGAGCCGATAGGGACGTCGAACTTCTTGCGAATATATCGACATCCTCGACGTAAGATGCGACGTAGCACATAGCCACGACCGACATTGCTGGGGACGCCGCCATCCGCAAGCGCAAAAGTGAGTGTCCGAACATGGTCTGCTACGACTCGGTAGGCGGTGTCGATCTCGCCTTGATCTTCTTTACCCAGCTTGCCACCGTACGGTCGCGCGCCCGTCATCTCCTGGATCTTGGCGAACAGTGGCGCAAAGACATCGGTGTCGTAGTTCGAAGGCTTGTCTTGCAGTACTGATACTAATCGCTCGAATCCCATGCCGGTGTCGACATGCTTTGCAGGCAGATTCCTCAAAGAATTATCCTCTTCGCGGTTGTACTGGATAAAGACCAGGTTCCACACTTCCAGTACGAGTGGATCATCCATGTTGACGAGATGGGCTGCGTTGCGACCGCCTACTCGATCATAGTGAATTTCTGTGCAAGGTCCGCAAGGACCAGTTGCGCCCATCTCTGCACGCTCTCCTCCGCTCAGCATTTGCCAAGAGGTTAGCTGAGCGACGTCCACGCACCCCAAAAGTTGTCCTTTGCATTGCCTTTGATGAGATGATCCTCTGCGACGCCGAGGTCCAGCCAGAGCTGACGAGTCTCTTCGTCGGGTACGAGACCCTGACTTTGATCTCCCTCAAAGTAGGTCACGTAGAGTCGGTCTGCCGGTAAGCCATACACTTTCGTCAATAGCGTCCAGCCTAAACTCAGCGCATCCTGCTTGAAGTAATCGCCAAAGGACCAGTTGCCCAGCATCTCAAAGTATGTGTGATGATATGTCTGGGTCCCCAAGTCACTCCAGGGCCGCTAGTGACGAACGAGCAGGCTTACGTCTTTGCCCACGTCGTCGATATCGTTGTGCTTACCACCTATACGTCGAGTGAGCTTACGTCGAGTATCCAAGCAAGCGACGTGCCTGCTCTTATACATTTTTGCGAGTTTGCAGCGCGCTTGAGAGCGCCGAGAGGGCCTTCGGCCGTTCCTAGGAAGCAAGCCTTGTACTGGTTCATCCCGGCATTGGCGAACATGAGCGTGGGGTCATTGTAAGGTATCGTAGACGATGACGGTACGAATGTGTGCGGCAGATCTTTGTGATGCTCAAAGTAGTCAATGAACGTCGCTCGTACTTTGCTAGCGGGCCAGTCGCCGAATTGCGAGCTTGTACTTGCCATCCTTGCGAGCGAGGCGAGACTACTATGAGTCCACTTGAGCGATCCTACCGTCGTTATCGCGCTCCGACGACAAATTTGACGTAACAGGCGCTGAGTGACACGATGACGGTTCTGAGCTTGCCAGGCTCGTAAGAGCATGCACTAGCTGTCTGTCAAGTCGTCTGCTCCCGGTCAGCGGTGATGGGAAGCTGCCACTCGAGCAATCTGCAGACTGACTCGATCACGCGAAAGCAGCAGGAACCACTTCGAAAGCGCGACGACGACCGAGCCTTGTCGACCTTGCCGCGCAAGACGTGGCAGCGATGGCAGCTCGAGCAGCGTGCTTAGCGCTGGCAATAGGCGTGCTACCTGTGCACTCGTTCTATCTGCCAGGTTCTGCACCTGCGCAGTACAAGGATGGCGACAGGATACCTGTCCTCGTCAACGCGCTGACACCTCAGATTGCGCCTCATGCCCAGCTCAAGAGCGTCATCTCATACAATTACTATGAGCCTGCGTTTGGGTTCTGCCAGCCGCCGGATGGGCCGAAGCAGCAGAGTGAAGCGCTCGGTTCCATCCTGTTTGGCGACCGAATCTACTCTGCGCCTTTCGAGATTGACATGATGCGCAACACGTCATGCCGAGTGCTCTGTGCTGCCAACATATCCTCGACGAACGCGCAATTTGTGAACCAACGGATACGGGAAGACTACACGCTCAATGTTCTCATAGATGGATTGCCCGCGGCGGAAATGAAAAAGGATGATCGCACGAACGAGATCTTCTACTCGTCCGGCTTCGAGCTAGGCGATGACTCTTCACTTGTCACGGGATCTACTTCAGGCACGGATGATCATTCGACGCCTACGCTGCATACGCACTACAACTTCTATCTCGAGTATCATGATAGAAGTGACGGCACGCGTCGCGTCGTGGGCGCAGTCGTCTGGCCGAGGAGTATCGACAGCGGTCGACCTTCGTCGTCAAACGGCGAAGCCGATTGCTATGCAGAGCGATCCTATAGACTCTCGGAAACGGCGGACAACGAATTCTTCTGGACGTATTCAGTCTACTGGACACCCTCTGCTACGCCCTGGGCGACGCGTTGGGATCATTACCTGCACATATTCGACCCGAGGATCCATTGGTTCTCACTGATCAACAGTATCGTCATCGCCGTCTTCCTCTGCATCATGGTCGGCACTATACTTGCTCGAGCAGTCCAGAAAGATCTAAGCAGATACAACGCCATCGACCTCGAGGTATGCGTTTCTCAAGCTCTCCTGCTGCAGACCTGATCATCGACGAGCAGGAGGATGTGACAGACGACATGGGCTGGAAGCTACTACATGCGGATGTATTCAGACCGCCCCAAAAGGCCAGCGCGCTGTCGGTGACGATCGGCTCGGGATCCCAGCTAGCGGCAATGACGGGCGTGACGCTCATCTTTGCCTTGCTCGGCTTCCTTTCGCCATCCAACAGAGGCCTTCTACCCACTGTGATGATCGTCTGCTGGACGTTCTTCGGCTCGATATCAGGCTATGTCTCTGCAAGGCTGTACGCTACCTTCAACGGACAAAACTGGAAGACCAACTTGGGCGCTACTGCCTTGACTTTCCCCACGTGCGTGATGCACGAAGGCGTCACGTGAAAGCTGACATGTCCTCCAGCATCCTGTTTGGCGCGCTGAACCTGCTCAACTTCTTCCTCTTGACCTCGGGCTCATCTGGCGCAGTGCCCTTCGGTTCGTCGTCAGTAAGCACTCGTGCTTTAAAGCTCATTTCTCTGGCGCGCAGGCACGATGGTCGCAATCGTACTGCTCTGGTTCTGCATCTCGATTCCACTCGTCATCGTCGGCGGCGTCTTCGGCGTCAGGCAAGGTCCCATCTCAATGCCAGTACGGACCAATGCGATCCCGCGACAGATACCGCCAACAATCTGGTACCTTCGCGCGTGGCCCAGTGCGATCCTAGCCGGCGTGCTGCCTTTCAGTGCAGTCTTCATCGAGCTCTTCTTCGTCATGTCGAGTCTCTTTGGCAATAAGGTCTACTATGCCTTTGGCTTCATGACGCTCTGCATGTCTGTCGTCGTACTGACAACCGCAACTGTCACCGTACTCATGACATGCAAGTCTCATTGTCATGCGCCAGAACAGCGCTGATGGGAAGTTTGTGCAGACTTTGCGCTCTGCGCAGAAGATTACAGGTGGCAGTGGCGAGCGTTTCTGTGCGGAGGTGGCAGCGCGTTCTGGGTCTTCATCTGTACGTCCCCTACACTTCCTCTTTTGTCTGTGCTCATATGCCGGTATAGACGGCTTGTCTTACTGGGCCTCGCGGCTTTCGCTCAATGGCCTTTCGCTCAAAGTGCTCTATCTGGGATACTTGTCGCTCGTCACGCTCGTAACGTTCTTGATCGGCGGAAGCATAGGCTTCATTGCCTCTTTCGTCTTCATGAGAAAGATCTACTCGCACTTGCGTGTCGACTGACGAATGCATTTCACGAGATGTATACCACCCGAGGCACATCGAAGATACTCTTACGTTGCACTTGAAGCTTGTGCTCTCGTTCAATCAACTGACAGAGGGCATCTTGCTGGTCATGTCCATGCTCGAACACGAGTCTAGGCAAGGGGCCCGCTGTTTTTTGGATCAGGAGCTGCGCGTGCAGCGAGAGGATGCGCTTGTAGAATCGCAGGCCATCGTCTGATTGTCGATCAAATTTGTGCTCCCTTGCATTCGCATCTAGCGCCAGCCGATCCTCCCAGTTCAGTACTGACGCGTCCAGTGCAGCCCATTCGCTGGTCCGAATGTATGGCGGGTTCGAAACGACGAGATCAAAAGGCTGTCCGCAGTTCGTTGCCAAAGCCAAGCCTACAAAGCTTTCGTCGAACAGATCCGCCTTGACGAGCTTGACGTTACCGCCGTGTGCTATGCAATTCTCTCGGGCCAAGGCTAGCGCAGCGTCACTCGTGTCGACTGCTGTGATGCTGACATCGTCTGGGTCGAGCGAGTGAGCGATCAAGATCGATATGCAGCCTGAACCCGTCCCTATCTCGAGAATACGCAAAGGAGCGGGCGCTTTCGCCTGCGACTTAGCAAGCGCAACATACTGTTTTAGCGCGTCAACCAAGTCGATGGTCCATTGCTCGGTCTCCGGTCTGGGTATGAGTATGGGCGGACGTATGCGTAGCTCGAGCGAGCCAAAGGGCTGGGTGCCTATGAGTCTTTATTGAGTCATCGCAGCGAAAAAGACATGACCCATGGCGAACCGATGATATAAGCGAGCGGCTTGCGATCGTGCACATGTTGATGAGTCCATCGTCGCAGCTGCCGAAGCTTTCGTCGGGTCAGACCAGCCGAGATGTCGCTTGTTTGCAGAGCTTGTAGCAACCAACGCAGGGCCGGGTGATAGGCTCTTGCTCTTCGTCGGCCTGACAGATCTTGCGTTCTATCTCTAGCAGAGAGGCGACGCGATAGAACCTGCAAGACACGAAGAGGCTGCCAGATCACTCGTGCCCGGCCACCGGCCATGCAGCGGGATCGCGCAACCTGATGTCAACCTCGACGAAACGCGTTCCTGTTGAAACATTGACAGGTTGAATTGTCGCAGTTCTCTTGCCCAAAGCAAAGCGTCATGTCTTTGCAGACGCCGTGATGCTATCAGATTTCCCCTCCGTCCTCGATAAAGTTTGATTCGATGGCGCCCTTCCTAGCTTGCCGACTTCAGCTTCCCATGAACATCATTCACTTCCACGAAGCTCATCAGTCCTTCCCCAAAGTAAACAGCTGACAAGTGGACACGCTATACTTGCTGCTATATGATTGCAAAATTTCTGTACTTGACTCCTTCAGACAATCTCGCGTAACTGGAACATGGATCTCGGCACGGCGATGTCGACCTGATCGTGCAATCTTCCAGCTCATGACGCTTACGCTTTGCGTCTGCTGACTGACCACGCGCCGCGTCGACTGTCACGGCACTCACCCGCTCACTTAGTCTCTGTGGATGATCATGTAAAGATTGCATTCGCGAGACTCTTTGATCGGATCACTACTGCGCTCGGCCCGAGCCGCACACCTAGCCGCGAATGGCAGACTCAGCAAGCTGATCGACCATCCTGCTGTCCGTTGCCACCTCTCGATACTTGGCGCCGCAGATGAAGTGAGCAGCCAGCGAGGGGCCTTGATCAGAATGCTCGAGCTCTTTGAAGATGTTATGAAGAGCAGTCAGAACGGCGCGGGACTCGCTGAAAAGCGTCCACGACACCGTGGGTGCTTTCAATTCACCATCGAGAACGATCGTGAGCGTTTTGAGTACAGCTTTGAGCTCGGCGACATCGATATTGGTTTCTTTGGGTTCGGATAGACTGCCTCCGTGGTACGTTTCCTTGCCCGCATCGTCGATGTAGTTGATAGCGATGCCACTACCGACGAAAGGTCCGCCGCCTCTTGCGCTCGTCGAGACGATGTGCATGCCAGGTCCGAGACTGTTGAGGATCTGCTCTTGAACCTCGTTGACGAGCCAGGCATGCTGCCGAGTGATCTTGGCCAACGGTTCCTGTGGCCACGAGATCGATTGCATCACAGGCAGCTGAGTGCCTCTGGGCATCCCTTCGGCCTTGGCAATCGCTGTACGCAAGCTTGCTCTATCAATCACCGCAGATCGGGTCAGCACGCTATCGTGAGGCAGCTGGGTGGACTGACGCAAAGGCAGAGATAACATTGAGAGCTTCGGCTTGACCCATGTTGTACTTCGTGACTTGCGTGAGGGTTGGATGACGATGAAAGAATGGACGATCCACGCTGCTTGAATTTGATTTCTGGTGGTGACTGGTGTATAAGTCCGGCGAGGAGCTGAGGTAGAACGGTTCGAACGAGACCGCGTCCGCTGAGCGAGCACGCGTCGGAGGCGCACTCGAAGCCGTCTTTGTCGATGCGAGAGCGCCTACTCGATCGCACACGGGCTGGTTTCCGGCATGTGCGAATCGCAGTGAGCTTGACATGGTATGTGTTGATACCTACGCCTGCCAAGTGAATTTTTAAAGAGTGTAGACTCGTGAAGGCAGTGCATACTGTGTTTCTATGCTGCTGGACCTCTCACACTGCCAGAGCGAATCGCATGCTGACCCAGGTGACTCACATCGCGTCCGAATACGTCTGAGCTGACCGAGACCAGACAACGATGACTGACCGAGTTTGCTAGACTTGTCATGACAGCTTCGATGGGCTTATGCTGACGCCAGAGAGAGATTGATGGAATGCACCATCGTCGTGCTTCTGATGGCAACAGCTTGCAAGCGGTGACATATCGACGTGACAGTATGCTGAAGCAGTCAATGACTAGACTAGCGTCGGTAGTCTTTGCGATAAGGCGAACCAGGAGATGCGGCAGCCGAGCGGCACATGACGGCTTGCGAGCTGCACACTTCGATGAAGTACTGTAGCATAGAGCACGAATCCCGATGACACCAGCACGAAGCCTTGCCTATTTGCAAACGAGTGGGATGCAAACGTTGGCTTTTGGTTTGACAAGGCTGCGATGGCCGACTTGTTTGCGCCTATCGCCGTATACGCACAGGGCAACTTTGCTTTCCAGAGAGATCATACTGTCTGACTGCATAGTATGTGCTACTTTCGAGTGCACTGACTAGGTCGCTCCTGACAGTCGTGAGATCGATACGTCGGAGACTGCTAGACATCATAGACAAAGAGAGCTTGAGGACTCAGATCTTAAACTTGAGCCTCAGACAATCGTGTTGTGTGGACAATGCGATCAAGTGTATCATCGGATCCAAGCCAGGCAAGTAGAGGATGGGGCGACGCGCATCGCGGCACGGACAGGGTTGCGAGTGAGGCCTCGAGCGTCGGTTCGCCGTCGACACGTGTTTGCCATCAATGCTGTCCCTACACGCGTCACATGATATCCGAATTTGGCAGATGCATGTGCTTCCTGCCCCGGCCGGACTTGAAGCTCGGTGCCACTTTGCTCAGTGTAGCTCCATCCCATTCGACGTACGGTCTTCCAGGCAGATGATCGACCAACCGAAGATGATCACGCCACTCGGCATAGTGCTCGCGCTGATATCCTCAATGGCAGGCTTTCGTGCGGACTTTACTTGCGCTCGATAGTCTGTGCTAATGTTTGCAGCCCTTCAGTATTCGGGTATGACACAGGCCAGATCTCGGACATCGTCAGTGCCTCCTTGCGATCATCTATGGACATCTTTAAAATTATGCACGCAGCTCGTGATGCGAGATTTCCTAGAGCGCTTTGGGGAAACCAACACGTCGGGCGGTGTTCAGTTCTCGAACGTCCGGGAAGGCCTGATCGTCGGCATGCTATCGATTGGTTCAGGACTAGGCGCGCTATCACAAGCGCCGTTCTCCGACCGACTGGGCCGTCGGAAGGCCATGATGATCTTTTTATCGGTCTTCATGGTTGGAGTACTCATACAAGTACTCAGCTATAGCAGCTGGGTCCAGCTCATGATTGGGCGCTTCATTGCTGGCATGTAGGTGTTCTCAAGCATACACAGCGACGAAGGCCTGAAGTCCGGGACATGCGTGCAGTGGCGTCGGCGGCATGAGTGCTATAGCACCTCTTTACGTAGCCGAGACCGCGCACAAGCAGCTTCGTGGCACGCTCGTGGCAATGTTCCAGCTTTTCGTCACACTGGGTATCTTGATCGCCTACTGCATCTGCATAGGGACTCGCGACATAGCCGGCGCAGGATCATGGCGAACACGTCAGTACCAAGCAAGCCGAATGCAGACGTGCTGACACATCCATGCAGCTATCGCAATCGGCTTTCTTCCGCCCATCGTGATGATGGCAGGAGTTATCTTCATCCTCCCAGAATCTCCGCGTTGGCTTATGGCCCACGATCGTTCTCAAGAAGCTGCTCAAGCAGTCGCAAGAATTGCAGTCATGCCTGCAGACTCTCCGTATGTTCTAAGAGAGGTCGAAAGCATCGCAAGCGCAGCACGTGCAGAAAAGATGCGCAGCAAAGCGACATGGTCTGATGCATTTCGACCGGCCGGCAAAACTCGCTACCGCACATTATTGTTGATATTTTTGCAAGTAGCACAGCAGGCAACCGGCGCCAATTATTTGTGCGCTTCCTCGTTGCTCTGAGACTGGCGGCTCATTGATTATGTAGCTTCTACTATGGTGCTACGGTACTTCAGAGCGTCGGAATCTCAGATTCCTTCGTCACGCAGCTGATACTTGGCGGCATCAATTTCGTTTGCACCCTCTTCGTTGGCCTGGTTGTGGTCAGAATCCTCAATCGTCGCACGGTCTTGATAGTCGGCGCGCTATGGCAGAGCGGGTGGCTTTTCATCTTTTCGGCAGTTGGTACTGCCAAGGACCCAACCACGAACAAGGCGGCCGGCAATGTGATGGTGGTGGCGAGCGCGTTGTTCATCTTGGGCTTCGCATCTACGTGGGGTGTGTCCATCTGGGTAGCGGTCGCCGAAACACCGTCGACTCGCTTCAGAGCAAAGAGTGGCGCGCTGGCTACAGGATCGAACTGGATCAGCAATTTTGTTCTTGCTGTCAGTGCTCATTGATACTTTTTGCTCGTGCTGACTGCCGTAATCAGTTTGCGACGCCTTTTGCCAACGAGGCGATATCCTTTTCCTATGGCTTTGTCTTTGCAGGCAAGCGCTTGCCAGGAACCTTGTGTGCTATGCTGAAAGGCATGCTTGATTTCAGGGTGCAATCTGTTCGCAGCAATCGTCGTCTATTTCACTTTGTATGAATCAAAAGATCTGACAGGTCAGTTCGGGGGCTTTTCAGTGGTCGCTGTGCTGATAGCCTCCTCTCGCTGCGCAGTCGAGGCCATCGACATGATGTATAATGATCCCGCAGTCAAGCCATGGACTAGCTCAAAATGGGTCCCACCTGGTTATGAATCTCGTCTCGACATAAAGCAACAAGCGGAAGCTGCCGAGCTCGGCAAGCCTACTGCAACTGAACATCAAATCGAGAAAAGCTCTCTGGAAGATTCGAACACAAATTCTGATGGCCAGATTCGTAGCAAAAATGCGTAGCGACACGGACGCACGATTGATCACGCTCGATATGCTGTGCTCATACCGCAACAAGGATACGTCACTAATCAACATGTCGAGCATACCGATTTTCTGTGTCAAAATGTTGTCAATTTACTTCCCATTGACTATGTTGTCTGAGCCGTGCTGCATTTGCGCCAGTTGCAGCAGAGCACTCACCAGCGCCACTGTTGCGCCTCTCTGGTGGCCGCTACGCCACTTCCACTCGTGCAGCGACATGCATACGCCACTTCAAAATGCTCTTCGGCTACTTTTGTATGATGCGGATGCCGCGATCTGATGTCTATGTGAATGAGGCTGACTTGACAGAGCAGCTGATACAATATGGGATGGTAAGATAGATTTCAAAGGTCTTGGTGCGGTCAGCACAGTCTTGCAATGCATCGTGATCTGCGCTCACGCTGCGACGCGCCGGAGGCCTTGCAACATTTGACGGTCCTTGATGAAGGGAGGCTCGATCGCGCCTCCTAATTTGGCCAAGTCAAGCGGCGGAGAGGGCCGCTCCGCCGCCTTTCCGCACTGCTGGTTCAGCGAGCTGAGCCGAAGAGATACAGGCGCTGCGCTGATCGAAGTCGGCATTTGTGAAACCGATCCAGACGAGCGGTATATGTGACATTTCGGTGGAAAAGCTAACGCTCTTCAACCGCAACGCCTTGCCATTAAGACGGTAGCATAGACTGGCTCTGTTCAATTGAAGAGCGCGGAAGCGACGGGACCGAAGATCCAACAAAGGGCAGCCATCATGGAGCGCAAGAAGTCAGACGACGATGCGTCTCAGCATACGAGACTCAAATCTCACGATAGCGGCCCTTTGTCGCCCAGACGGAACGCCGGCTTCCTCAACGCTTTGCTAGCGAGACCTTCCTACGACTCGCGCATACCTTTGCTGGCTGTCACCACGGAGCCAGAGGCGGCTATCGACTCGCAGAGCTCATTGACGACGGCCGTTGACAGACGCGAATCAAGACCATCAAGCGACGGATCAGTTGGCAAGCGTGCATCTTTCGGTAGCGCGAGCACACCACCTCGTGCGAGGTTGGAGCTCGACAGAGACGCAGACTCGCTGGCATCAAAGCCAATACGATATGATACGTACCAGCGATCCTCGGTGACCGGTCTGCCCTACTCGCCAACCGCACGCCTCTTTGGCAGTGTGGCCAGCAGCACTGCTTCTCAGAGCTGGCTATCACGAAAGATGAGACGACGTCAATTCGCCCTCTCTGCAGCCATTATCACTCTAGCTGCACTCATATATCTCTCTATAGCCCACAATGGCGACCACGCTACTTTCAATCGTTCCATGCGAGCTAGCGACAATTCTACAGGCTGGTCAGACAGCGACTCTATCTGGGACCGATTGAGGAATCCGACAGATCTGCTGAAATCGCTGCCGCATCCTTGGGCTGACACACAAGAGACCGATCCGTCCAAGAGCTGGTCCATCGATTCTATGCTCGGCAAGGTCAACGATCTGCACTTGCCGAGCCTGTCAGAATGGTCAGGCCAGCGTACAAGCACGCCTGTAGAGCAAGTCGAGCCGCAAGAAGTGCAAGTCGGACAGAAAGAAGCACAAGTCGAGCTACAGCCAGATCAACCTGCATGGGATTACGCAGAAGAAATATTTGCTCCACCAAAGCTTCTCAATGCGACTAGTGGAGAACGAGCGAGTGAGCCAGAATGGCACACACGAAGGAGGAGAACGCTAGCCATGGCCGCCTATTGTCGGCGGAATCCCCAAGCAAAGTGTCCAGAGAGGATGAGTCAGGTCGTTCTGATAGGCGTCGGACGATTCAAATGGGCGCTCGACGGCACCTTCGATAAGCCGTCGCCCTTTGCCAACGGCGAAGCAATTTTGGCAATGTCATTCCTGTATGGCCTCGATAAGAGAGAATATCCCTACATCTATGTCGAAGACAATTACCCGAGGACAGAGCGCGATGTCGTCTTGCTCATCTCAAGGTATGTTGCTTTCGGCTCTGCAATAGCATGCACTGACGGTGCGGACCAGACTGTATGCTGAGCTGCAAGAAAGCGTCAAGATGGTCATATTAGACTATATCACCGAGCCAATGTGCCTCGACGATTCGACTTGCATCCGATCAGACGTCTTTCCTACTGGCATGCCCCGATGGAAGATCTTTGTCTGGTAGGCACACAAGCTAGCTGCTCAGCGCACAAGTGCTCACGCGGTGACAGGGATGCAATGGCAAATATTATGAACTATGAAGACAGGTCTCGCGCAGATTGGCACATCACAGCGGTACCGTCTTCAAAGACTGTCATTGGGACTTTCCTCGGTATCACGATTTCTACCGAATGCTCAAAGTTTCAAATCGTGCCTTCAGACCAACGCAACCATTCAGCCTATGTCCTGGGCAAACAACGAGACTTCTTTGCAAAATCGTCTCTAGCATGGACAGCGGAAGACCTTGCCGAGCTCAAGAATGCAACCGGACTGGATCTGATAGCGGGAGTGAAACAGCCGAAAGATGAGAATGACTACGTCTTGCCGGATGCGATCCGGAACATAGGTGCTGCTTCTCGAGACGACTTTATCACTCGAATTGGATCTGCCAAAGTCATGCTTGGTGTCGGGCTACCCACAGATAGTCCATCGCCTTTCGAAGCGCTCTGCATGGGCACGCCGGTGGTCTTTCCGGTGCGAAAGATCAACGGATGGCAGGGCGACGAATGGGATGGCGATCTCACCCATTTCAACCCGCAATCGAAGCTCCTGGCTGATAGTGTAGCGGGAGAACCTCACGTCTATCATGTCGTCAGAGGAGATCGAGCAGGATTGATCAAGGCGGTCCAGAAAGCAATCAGTACGCCCATCGATCCCTACTTGGCGCCAGTCCTCTCAGACGAAAAATACCTCGAGCGGTTCGACGGCTTCATGTCGAAAGACTGGTATCAAGCTCATCTAGACATTCAAGAATTTTCTGTTGAGACTCAGTAATACACTCTGTCATCATGTTGTAATCCCAGCACAATGCATGCGAGCACCGGCAGCTGGCAGGAGGAGGAGCAAGCTCGCGCCAGTCGCGTCACGCTTGTTCGTCTTTTGTACGCCGTCGATGACAGTGACCAAGCGGAAGCATGCTTCTCGCACGAATGAGGAGCAGCCGAAAGGTGTGCTCGATAGCTACCTGCAGCAACTTCAGGCTAACGCTGGCGTGCAGTTGCCGACTCTGGCATCCAGTACACCTGCGATGCCTGTTCTGCCGATATATCCCACACTGTCCGCATACGATGTGCTCACATGCAGCCTGCACCTCCATTGAGCGGCGGGTCATCACCTGGCAAGTCGACAAAGGCGAAAGGAAAGGACAAGCAAGAGAACCTGGTGCCGACTTGTGAAGACTTTGATCTGTGTGGGAGTTGTTTCTGCTCAGGCGCAGAAGTAGCCAGGCACAAGCGATGGCACGACTATCGCATCGTCGTCAGTCGGCATACAAGCTTGATGGACACGGCTGGCTGATCAGGGATGAACAGGAACAACATGCCACACCCATCTTTGTCGAGGATTGGGGAGCAGACGAAGAGCTACTCCTCATTGACGCTGCTCAGACCTACGGCATCGGCAACTGGTCATCCATTGCAGATCACATCGGCTCTTACAGAACAGTATCAGAAGTCAGACAACACTATTTGGACACTTATATTAATTCACCCAAGTATCCACTTCCCGTCGTCTCTAGCGGTCTCAAAGCTTGGCAAGCCCGTATCAAAGCGAGCACGAATGCGGAAGACTCGTTCCAGTCGAGAAAAAGGAGGAGGTTGGAAGAAGCGCAGAAGAGGGGACCCGAGCCGCCAATGCCCAAACCACTTGCCAGTGGACCGAGCTGCCATGAAGTAGGCGGCTTCATGCCAGGGCGTCTTGAATTCGAACAGTCGGTCGTCACTCTGCGGTGGTATGCTCGCATGCTGACGCAGTCGCGCATCTTACAGTGAATGGGAGAACGATGCAGAGACGCTAATCAAAGATATGGAATTCGGTCTCGTCATGAAATATGGAGGCGATTCTCAGCCGACCCGTCTGCCGAACGACCCCGACCCTGCCGAAGAGCCAGAAGTACAAGCAGAAGCGGAGCAGAAAGAGAAAGATCGCAAGGAACAGCAAAAAGCGAGACCTCAAGCTGTCAAGTCTTCCCGCACGGCCGTCAATGGCGTGGCGACAAAATCGGTACCGGAATCAGCCGAGAACGAGGCCAGCCAGCCTGCTGAAGCCGATACGAGTCTGAAAGAAGAAGACAAGACGGAGGATGAGCCGCTGAGGATGGAGGACGACGATGACCTGGAGCTCAAGCTGGCTATCTTAGACATGTACAACGAGCGCTACGACAGGCGACTTGACCTCAAAAGCTTCGTGCTCGATCGAAATCTGATAGACTACAGGAAAATCACTGCATGGGAGAAGAAGAAGACGAAAGAAGAGAGAGATATGATCAATCGCGTCAAAGTCTTTGCTCGTGTCTCTACGCCCGAAGATCACCAAGCTTTCCTCGAAGGCTTGCTCTGTGCGTCCCGACTGCCTCTAACGACCTCTTGACTGACCGATAGGGATCAGACGAGTCCGCGCTGCTGAAGAGGATAGCAGAGCTGCAGGAGTATCGAAGATCGGGTATCGTCACCTTTGCAGAAGCCGAAAGATTCGACAAGGATAAGGCTGCTCGCGTGCGTCATCTGTGCCCAGCTTGCTTATGGAAGCTGAGTGTGCAAGACGTTACAGATATCAGCAAGCAAGACGCCGATACAGTACCGTGATGCTGCCCTCATGCTCGATCGCGCCGCCGCTCGCCAGAAGCCTCACGCGAGGCAGAACGGCTTCACAGATGGCAAGGAAGGCACTGCTCGTCGTACGACAGGTTCCATCACTTTGGCCAATTCTACTTCGCTTCAGCTTCTGTCCGCCGAGGAACAACAATTCTGCGCCTCGCTCAGGATCCTGCCTCGACCTTTCCTCCTCGTCAAGCAAGCACTCGCGCAAGCGTGGATAAGCCGAGGTGGCAAGCTCTCGTTGGGCGAAGCACAGGCTCTCCTGCCGAGGATTGGGCTGGATAAGCTTGAGAGGATCTGGCAGTACGTCCTGACGCCAGCTCAAAGCTCGACAGTCACGACAGAGAGAGTCGATGCTGTCGTGGCAGAAGACGAGAAGCCTAGCTTGAATGATGTTGTCAAGACTGAGCCTAGCTAGCGATGTATTCTCGATGCCACCATCCTGTTTGCCACGCGTCACTCGCCTGCTCAGTTTGTGGCGCGCGTCGGTGAAGCAACGCCTGGCAACGACTTCAAGTCGATCGCTAGCAACAGGCTTGGGCTCAGCAGTCAAGAGACTCAGCCCATCATGAGCTGTTTGTTTCGTCCTCACCAGCTCCGTCGCACAAGCTGAAAGCAGTCCGGACGAGCAGTCCGGCTCCTGCACCTCGTCAGGCCGTTCATGTCGGTCCTGCCAGAAATATCATCACCCGATAGAGCGAGTCTTCATTTAGCACCTCACTCCACTTCATGCGCTCATGAGAGCCGCTCGCAGAAAGTACCGTTCAATCAGAAAGTAGGCTGGACGGCAATCACTCTCTTGATCTTTCTGGTTTGCAGCCAAATACCTCTGTAGGCTGCTCGTGCTTCTTAGCTGGTCAAGACAAGCTTGATGCGTCTCGTGCTGCAGCTATGGTATCGTCTCGTCAGACTCGTCAGGTCTGCGATGTCCCACTGTCGTCTGAGAGGTCGAGCTCATGGCGTCGCTATGACACGACAGATCCTCTCTTCTGGATGCGACAGATCCTTGCATCCAACAGAGGAACTCTCATGGAACTCGGTATCTCGCCCATCGTCACATCGTCGGTCTCTCCCAGTAGCAGACCGTGGGCGCGCGCTGAGGCTTTGCGTATACCGGCAGGGGAATGATCATGCAATTGCTCGCGGGTGCTAACCTCATCGAGGTCGACTTCTCCCTCAAAGAAGATCGTGCTCTCTTTGGCGGTGCTCAGAAATGTCAGTATCACGGACTATCAGGCTGGCCCAACATTGACGCGATGGAACGCGCGCACAGTGTTCGCTTTGCTGATCTCGTTCGGGCAAGCTATGGTCTACGTCTTGACGGGCTTGTACGGACAGCCGTCCGATCTCGGAGCGGGTGTCTGTCTCCTGCTCATCGTCCAACTCGTCGTCGCCGGTCTCATCGTCATCCTGCTCGACGAGCTGCTCCAGAAAGGCTACGGATTAGGCTCGGGCATCTCGCTCTTCATCGCGACCAACATCTGCGAAAGCATCGTCTGGAAAGCTTTCTCGCCTACTACTGTCAACACCGGCAGGGGACCCGAGTTTGAGGGCGCAATGATTGCTCTCTTCCATTTGCTGTTCACTTGGAACGACAAGACTCGTGCACTCAAAGAGGCCTTCTACCGTGACAGACTGCCTAACGTCATGAACATACTCGCAACCATCGTCGTTTTCGCTGCGGTCATCTACCTCCAAGGATTCAGGATCGAGATTCCCGTCAAATCGCAGAGATTCAGAGGTCAGAGGGGTACTTATCCCGTCAAGCTGTTCTACACGAGCAACATGCCCATCATGCTCGAATCGGCTCTCACGAGCAACGTCTTCATCGTGTCTCAGATGCTCTTCAATCGCTTCCCCACCAATCTGCTCGTTCGACTTCTCGGCGTCTGGGAGGTGAGCTCTGCAGGCTTACAATTCGGCATATGCTGACTGCTCGAGTGACTGTCAGCCTCTCGAAGACTCTTCGCAGCTATCGGCCGTGTCGGGTATCGCCTACTATATGTCGTCGCCTCACAACATCAAGGCAGCCCTTATCGATCCTATCCATACGGTCATCTACATCGCTTTCATGCTCACCGCTTGCGCACTCTTCTCAAAGACCTGGATAGAAGTTTCCGGTTCAGGTCCGAGAGACGTCGCTCGTCAGCTCAAGGATCAACAGATGGTCATGGCCGGTCACAGAGAAGGCAGCATGTACAAGGAGCTCAAGAGGGTCATCCCGACTGCGGCTGCTTTCGGTGGTGCAACAATTGGCGCTCTTTCGGTTGCGGCGGATATGATGGGTGCACTCGGATCGGGCACAGGTATTTTGCTTGCCGTAACGAGCATCTACAGCTACTACGAGATCGCTGTGAAGGAAGGTTCGGGAGCAGAGATGGCAGGGCTCGGCGAACTCATGTGATGCTACTCCAATGCAAACAATCAAAATGCATGGACGCTGCGTCGAGTACTAGCATGGTGCGACAAGTGAGTTGCGGGGAAAACTGTAGCCTGCTTGCTTCCATGTCGCTGCAGGTTCCATCAGCAACTGTGTCACAAGCAGACGAACGGCAGACAGACTAAGATTTGCGTTTGTGTAAGCGTTGAGATGCGACTGGATATAATGCGCTGTTGGATGGTCGTCTGGACTGCAGCCAATCTTCTCTTGGCCTGCCGGAGCGTATACACGGACATAATCAACAAGTAGGACTGCAGGAAACTCGAGAGCAGCGGTGTTAACATATTGGAAAGTCTCCGACATGCCGAGATTGATGACGATGGACATGGGTTCTTCTGATATGACACGCTGGGAGATATTCACGATCGGGCTAGGACCAATCGCACTTGAAGTGACTTGCCAAGTCGGAGTGCCGTCGGCCACCCAAGTGATGCTGCCTTGTGAACCAGGTGTATATTCGAAAGCAAACGTGCCGAACGCTTGACCGCTGTATGTATTCTGGTCGATTTCCGAGATTGCACTGATCGATTCTTGGTAGACTCCGCCATGGTAGGAGTTCACAACGGTAGCAGAGGCGTTCATGACTCGTACGCCTTCTGAGCTCCAATCATTGTTCGGATCAAAGGGAGCAATCTGCGCAGATTGGGATATTGAACCATACGATCTTCCTTCGCGAGTTGTTGTGAGTGCTTCGAGGACATCAATCTCGGGTGCGCCTCTTCCCTGACCGACATTGGGATGATCTTCTCCCGGGCATGTGCAAGCGGACAATCGCTGGCCTGGCAGGGAAGAGACTGAAGATCCGCCCGCTCCTGTCAAAGCGCCTGCAGGCCCACTGCCGTCAGGCAAAGTCTGATTAGGCAGCGTGCCAACATCGCAAGCGTTGTACGTGCTTCGCCGCAACCTTAGCACATCTACGATTGCTGACAGCTGCAACTCACTATGGCCACACGCCTGAGGGTACGGTCAGCTTTGCGGCAAGCATAATATGCACAGCGCACCGTCTGTTGTCGCGCCATATCCTGGCCGACCCAGCTGGCCCATCGTCCACACCCCCGGCCATAATCCAGAAACCTGTGGCTGCCCGGGCAGCGAGACCGACACCTCTACAAATTCACGCCGCTCTTCAGTATCTCTGAGCAAGGAAAAGAATGACGACACACCGATGTAGCCGCCTGTGAAGCAAAACTTGTTCCATGATTGCAGCATACCAGATCGATACTCCAACCCACCAGCGGGCGTGCGAGTCATTGTAATCCTGAGGTGACCATCTTTGGTTGTGACTGCGTCTGGATCGTAACGCTCCATGTCGCCTGTTGCGTGGTAGTAGAGCTCCACTGCTTCCCAGAAGGGATCATCGCCCGGCCAGAATGTTCGCCCATCCGTGTTAAACTCGTCACTGAAAATGAGATTGTAGGGACGACCATCGTAGCCAATACGATGCTGAGCAGTCTTTGGTGTATCCCGATCGATCAAATGATGTGAATATGGCAAAGACGGTACTGCAGCGCCCATACTCAGCTGCTATCAAGATCTAGCGCGCAGAGATTAGCCTGCCTTGGCCTGAAGCATTGACATTGCCGAGATTGAAGCCATAGGTAGGCGAGCCAGTACGCGTAAAGCCATCATATAGAGGATAGCCCAAAAACGTGAACAGCAAGCCAAGCAGCATGAGAATCAAAGCAGCAGCATTGGCATAGCCTCGCAGAGACCAGAGACGCGCAAGATTGTAGCGGTTGAGCGAGAAGAGACTGCTGCGCGACTTATCTGGCTCGAGTATTGCGTCGCGCTTGAGTTCTTCAAATCGGTGTACGAGCGATGGCGAACTGTCTTCTCGCGCGATTGGACTATCGATCGTGACGGTCATGCTCATATCTACTGCTGTCTCGGTTACTCGATGTGTCTCCGGCGCAAGAGATGAGAAGCGGCCATACGGACCTGTGAGTATGCATCAGCATGGTCTTGTGTTCAGCTATAACGAATCACCGACCATAGTCAGCCCCGAGCAAGCCTTTGACGACGCTCTGAGTGATGCTATAGCGCGAATGGGAACTCGAGCGCAAGTCTTGCTCTCCTATCGTCTGCAATGGCTCGCGCTGAGTATGACTGACGGAAGAGTAGCTGGCTCTCTGGGCAATTGGAGCTCTCCCGACGTGTAAGACTGGAAAATGATGATTCCTGATAGACGATCGGTTGATAGCTTCGAGTGTGATCTCGTCTCCATCGATGATCGGCGCGAGCAATATGACATCCTCCTCGCTCATTTGCTGCACATTTTGCATGCTGGGCTGGCTGGGACAGCGCAGAGAAACATCTTGCACCGATCAAGGCGTGCACAGACCGTCCGCAAGAGCTCGTCGAGCACGCACCGCCGGTCAGTCAATCTTATCAGACAAGAAAGATGGTATCCTAAATGACATGACATGGCGTTGGGTTTGACACGGATCATGATATAGCGCGTATCAATTACTGATCGGCGCCGCTTACTTTGACGTCGCCCTTGCGTGATCAGCGTTTGTAATCACGCGCTTGCGCGCGTTCCTAGATCTTGACTGGTCTCGTAGAGCTTGCACAAGGTGTCGTCTTGTCCTAGCAGAGAGAGCCTCCTCGGCATCGGACGACAAGGAAGACGCGTGACTGCCCATACACTCTGGACATACACAGATGTATCGCTTCTAGGCTGCTCACGCAACAATGCATTATCTATTTGCCACCTTTATTCCGTGGACGGCTCGCCTGGTGTCAGCTCAAAGTCTCCTCTACAGCTTACAAAGGCTGCAATGCATCAGTGAGCAACGACCTGTAAAAGTCGCAATGGCGTACGCTTGAACATGTCAATAGCCTTGACAGGGCATCCAGGTCTTTCCCAATAACACCACATTTCCAATTCGCCATGTTCGATGGTCACATGCCCCTTCGGCCTTGGATTAGCCTTGATGACAATCATAGCTGGATACGCACTGAAAGGGCCACAATGGTGGCAGTAATGTCGAGCGTAGCGTCGCAACTGCAGATCGTACAAATTGTCAGAGCATATGCAGCCACATCGAACGAAGTGCACGAACCAGCCCACTAGAGAGAGATGCTCAGACTGCAGCGCGATGGACAAAGGTACCTCTCTGATGCGAATAGTTGCGCTAGTGGATGTGGCTTCGGTCTGCCTTCCGTCTGGCTTCAAAGAGGGCGGATAAGACTGCGAGCCTGATTAAGTCTTAGCTCATCTCGAGGACTTCTACTGACGACGTCAATTTCCCAAGGGTATGACTTGTCGTCGGACCCTTCCATGCCGAAAGCGAGATACAAAGGAGACTGATCGATTCCGGTAGCAATGACATGAGCAGGCGGGATAGTTGCACTTTTGCTGATCGGACACAGAGCCTGTGTAAAGAGTTGAGAAACGACTCTCGCCATAGCGCGCGACCGACATTGACGGAGACTGCAGGATCGTTCAAGCTAGTGCTGTGAAAGGGCCAATAGACTTACGCTTGTATGACCAGTCCTTGACATCATGATCGGCTGGCATAGTGTAGCCGATATGTGGCTTCAATTGGCACGACGTTTCAGCTGATCAAACAAACGTCTGAGTGCGATTCATCGAAGCGCACAAAGACTATCACTGACGCTCGGGATTTCCGACTCCGGCAAGTCTACACGCAGGGTTGTGACCTGCCAGTTTATGAGGCTGACAAAACATCTTGAGCGAGCTCGTCAAATTCTCGACTTCTTCGTGCATGGCGTTGATGTAGATGTCCATTGTGAAGATAGTCCGGCAGCAACGAGACCATGCAAGTAGCTCAGGCGAGCTATCAAATCCGCCAAGCTCCACCGTCGCCCGGACGAGTGCACCCGAAGTCGATTGTTCGACGATCTCGATCGTTTCAGTGACTTGCTCATCGTCTTTCAGAACGCGACGATAACTCGGTTGGCCGGTCTCAAGCTCGAATATATATGGATTGGCAGAAGATCTCGAGAATTGCAAAGGCGGTAGTCGAGCGCTCGGCTGGCATTCGCTTGTGAACCATATGCCGATAGTGTACCGCTGGCTGTTCTTCAAAGGATCAAGACGAACGAGTTGCGCACGCTCGCTACGGCCCGCGTGTGCTAGTAGACTGCTGATGAGGAGGTACAGAGAGATGTTGCTGATGAGCATGGTAAGATCACGTCGCAATCCGGGCATCTTGCCACGCGCAAATGTCGCGATGTCTTCGCGCTGTCGTCAACAGGAAATGATCCCTTTCTCCGTCTCTTGGCTCCTGTCAGACTCCTTTTCCTGCGTTCGTAGCACTCGGGCCTACTCCAATGCGCATCTGTGTCATCATTCCATGGGTGCTCGCGGCTTATGCCAATGCCTTGCTCGTGCCAGGTACTGGCGATCTGCCTCGGCTACGACTCATCAGGCGCGATGTTACGTCCGGCGTGCAGACCTATCAGATCGGCATATGGCTCGATGCGATATGCAGACCAAGTGAATCTCGGGACCCTTTCAGGCTGTCGAGATCATCAGCAAACCCGTTCAAGTTTACGATGTTGGTAACCAAGAACGCTCGGAATCTGTGGTCTGCACGGGAACTTGGCGTGCACGACTTTGATGGTTCAGTCACCATCGATGAAGGCACAAATAGCGGCGTGGTATTGTCAGTTGGTATACTATTCAAGCAGCACGACGCCGTTCCTGCGCTCGCCAGTCTATTCAAATGCTGCACCGGCGTCCTGACGATGAAAATGTATATCAATGCCATCTCATCAGAAGTCGAGGATCTTAACGAAAGCAGGTTCACTATCTATTGCCAGCCCCACTTCCGCGCCGGTCGCAACCCGCTTTGTAGTCTTGCTGCCGTAGGTAATCCAGAAAGTGAGCCCTATGCCACGATATGCATTTGCCAGGCGCGCTAACGATGCCCGCCGGCAGCGATGACTGAATGCAAGACTCGAGCCAGTCATGATTTTGTCTTGCCAGGTGAAGAAGAAGAAAGAGTTTGGTCATTCAATCGTGAGCTCGCACGTCAGAAATCTGCTTTGCCTTGTTTGCTGACATGAAAGCAGTATCTGTCGCCGTAAGCTCGTGCCACACCAGCTCTCAACCCGCGTGTGATGTGTGTACTTGTACAGAGCCTCTGTACTGCCAGTCTAGATCCATCGCTTCCACCAATCGCAGTCAAAGCAGTCAGTACAGGCAGTCCGCCCGTTCGTCTCGATTTCGATATTGCCGCCGGCGGCGAAAACGAGCCATGGAAGATCAAGCTCGTGTGCTGCGTTAGCATGTCTATTCGCACTGGCTGACAAGATTTTAGCTGCGACCCCCATCCACCGATATTTATGCCGTGTAACAGAGTGCAGATAGCAACAGCGCCACTATTCGCCTGAATGGCATACCTCTCGTTCTTTCTCCACCTCCGTCATCCAGATTCATGCTCTGGACTGCGTGATGGCCAACCGACTCTGTATTAGTAGGGAGCTTGCACTGATTCTCGATGCAGCTGTTAAGCCACGCTCGATGTCAGACTGAAACTTGCTGCAATTTCTGTCAGCAGAAGTCAAGGCGCAAAGACAGTACTGAGGAGCGCTATAGGGCCACGTGACGGTCGAGGCGAAAGCTGTTCAGATGACATGCGAATCGTCGCTGCCGAACTGTCCTGCTAGCGCTATTTCTGAGCTCCGAATGAAGCGTACGTTCCTCAGGGATGATGTGTGTGCTTGCTTACTCTTGCTCCCAGCACATACCTTGTGCGAGAGTGACGTTCAACTTGTATCCGAAGACGCGGCTAGTGCGACAAGCTGATGCATGCAGCTTGTTTCAGCACACGCTGTAGCTTCGAAGCCTGCAAAGCGTAGCTCTATCTAGCTAGTACTGAGTGCCTCCTCTATCTGCTTCAAAGCAATGTAATCCGTCCTGCAGCGTGTTTGCTCTGCGAGATTGAATGTGTAAACTGGCGCCACGACAGAATGCAAGCGGTATGTCGGGATTACCTCGGAATGCGGATCTTTCTGCCGGATGACAATATTCTGCGGCGCCGCCGTACTTGCTCGGCCAGCAGTATATCTTGATCTCGTTGGATGTGACCGTCACATGACCCTGCGTTACGAATCAGATAGCTATCTTTGGCTTTGCTATACCTACCGAAACTGCGAGCACGAACAACTTTATACTGACTGTAACCTTGCAACTGGCATCAGCAGGTCAGCAAATGCTGCGATGACAGCAACACAAAGCTCGCCATCGTGCCCATCGATCGATATCCTCTTGATAAGGCTTGAAAAAGAGGAATCTGCCAAAGAGCTGCGCCGATGGACCTTCACGAGTCGAGCCCGTCTGGAGGAGCGTCGTAACGAGACCCTCTGGGCTCTCGGTCTGTTCAAGGTAGTTCAAGACCTGACTGGGAACTCGATCTGAAAGAACGAGACTCACCATTTCGATGGACCAAGTGTCCTTGCCGTAGTGTTCCGTGGGTCTTACGTGGACACCAAACTGTATGGGTATATTGTCGCTTCCATCGATCGGGCTAGGTCTTTGCGATTCGACCTCAATAGGCACAGCTGACCCTTTGCGTGCGGCGCATGAAGCCTGCTCGCTCTGAGCTCGAATGGACTGTCTTCAGTGTGTAATAGACTGACAGTCACATCCACTGCGGTGGTATCGTCAGCAGGCAGGTTCGAAGGATGCCGAAGAGATCGACTACCTTGATAAAGCCAGTATCTCGAAGCGTCATGGCCTGCGGGCATCGTATAGCCGAATTGAGGTAGCAGATCACAGCTAGTGACGTCTTTCGGGTACCGAAGTGCCGCGAGGTCACAGTTTGCCACCTGAACTTTTGCCTTGGGATCGGGCAGACAGTACACCTCAAGAGAGCTGTCGAGGAGCTCTACCTCTTCGTGAATGGCATTGATGTACAGCTTCAGCTGCAGAGCAGCCGAGCAACAGCTGAACCATCGCGTGAGCTGCGCGGTGCTGTAATCTCTGAGCTCGACTCTGATGACGATGACCACGCCGCTGGTCGAGCGCTCCACGACCTTCCACGTGCCCAGGAACTCATGGGGAACAAGTTCCTCTGCATTCCAGTCTTGTTGGCCTCGGTTGCGAAACACAACCAATTTGCTGATATAAGGATTAGCGGGTGACCTTTGCAGTTTGAACGGCAGTATGGTGCTCGGTCGGCACGTCGCATCGTACCAGACTCCGATTGTATAGCGCTGACGATCGAAAAATGGAACAGGGCCAGGTGCGCCTACCAGGCTTTTCTCCGAATTGATCAGAGATGTCGCTTGTCGTGTAGTATGCTGGCGCTGAGCGGGCAATGAGCTGCTGTGGACCAGAGAAGAGCAAAGAATGGAATAGATCAAGCGTGCGGAGCGCATCTGCGGAGGTCCGTCACGCTAGCGACGAGCTCGAGCAACCGATTCGACGCGTTCTGCTGGCGTGTGGCTCGAGGCTCCCTTCACGGCTCTTGCCACGGTCACAACAGGCCTGTCTGAGGTCTTCACACAAGCACGTCAGCTTCTCTAGATCCGAGCTGTCCGAGCTCTGGCTGCGATACCAAGGCGCAAACGTGCTCTGCTCCATCTCTGCACTTGTTCCGCAACGTCGTTTTGCAGTCATCCGCTTGTCCAGAAGCGCAATCTGACTTTGCGCTATGCGATAGATGTACGGTTCGAAGGCACATGCAAGCCAAGTTCAAATCTCGATGCGCTCCATCTTTCGCGCATCCGAGCCAATACATTCGAGATCAGGGTACTGCTCAGCCAGACAGATCAAACAGTATGGTGTGCATTTCCAGGAGAAGAGCCGGAGCGGCTGGTCCGGTCCCTCAAGACTCGCGAGTCTACAGCGAGCGGTGCAGTGGCAGGAACGCTCATAGAGGTTTGCTAGCTGGTAACAGATGCCAGCGAGCGCATATATCCGATGCTGCACGGCATCTCTGCACCTCTCGATCTACATGAATACCATCTCACAAGAGCGAAGAGCTCAGAAGGAGTCTCACGATGTATTGCTTGCCTGACGAAATGGCTCGTCTTGGCCCATCTTGTGATCTATCGATACTGGGCGACCCGCAAGGTACATGCTGCTTGAAGCAAGCTACGGTGTTGGAGTTGAGACACGCACACAGCTGTCACCGGGCGTAACAGTCGTTCACAGCTCGGCTATGTACAGTCCAGAGCCGATCGTGACTCACTGGAAGGATGCAGTGATCATCATGCAAATGCAAGCCACATCGGCCAGCGCAACGATCAAGATCAGCAAGTTGCCGCTCGTGCTGCCTGAGGACCAGGACGATTGGGAGAAAGGGAATGCTTGCTGCCGTGTTTCACTCGATGTTGAGATCGGCATCCTCGCACTCGCAGTGATCTGGCGCTAGTCTATTGAGAGCTGATCTAAAGAGGATTACAGGGTCATGCAAAGATACCGCGGACAGAAGTGAGGATGTACTGGTTAAGCTTCACTTGCCCGACGAGCGCGATCAGCACGAAAGTGATTACGGAATGCATGCCACGTCGACATACTTTTTTTCAAGTGTGTTCGAGAAGATTTGCTGACTGATCGTTCCTGTAACGACATTTTGCCTGTGACCTTACGCCTGTGAGATGAGCTACCACAATTCGCGAGGGCACTATGGCGGTGGCGGTGGAGGAGCGTCACACCTGGCGGCCATCTACGGCTCGGAACAAGACAAAGTGAACTGCTCGTTCTATCTCAAGATTGGAGCTTGTCGACACGGCGACCGCTGTTCTCGCAAGCACATCAAGCCCCACTTCTCGCAGACCATCGTCATCCAGAACATGTACCAGAACCCCAATCACGGAATGGATGCGGGGGCAAAGTCTGTCGATCAGCTTCAAGACGAATTCGACCAATTCTTTGAGGACGTCTACTGCGAGCTCGTCAAGTTTGGCCACTTGCTCGAGATGCACGTCTGTGACAACGTAAGCAATCTCGTCGATCATCACCGGTCGCGAGCTGAACGCTGGAACCGAGACAGGTGGGAGATCACCTGATTGGCAATGTGTACGCTCGATACGATTTTGAAGACGAAGCGCAGACGGCAATAGACACACTCAATACCCGCTGGTTCGCAGGCCGACCCCTCTTTGCAGAACTATCACCGGTCACCGACTTCAGAGAAGCGACCTGCAGACAAAACGATCTCGGTAATTGCGACAGAGGCGGTTTCTGCAATTTCCACCACCTGCGCAAACCGAGAGCGGCACTCGTGAAGGAGTTGGACGCCCAGCAACGAGTAGAGAGGCGAGTGAACCCTTCGCAGCGAGATATCGAGCGAGCGGAGGAGATGAAGATGTTTGCTACTCAGACGGGGACAGTGCCCAGTGCACCCAAGGCAGCTACCAATGGCGGCGACTATGACAGACGACGATCGGATTACAAGCGAGAAGCTTCGCCCGAACGGAGACATCGTGTATACTGATCCAACAACTGTTGCATCCCAATCCTTGCGTGGATTGACAGCCTCATGCATTTTATATGAACGAAAGAATGAATTTAGTTCGTCATCTCGGGCCTACAAGGCAGCGAGGACTGCCTTGGCGGTCGTCTTCTCCACGTTGGGAGCCTCGTCCTCGACAAAGACCTTTTCGATGGTGTCGTCGTTGGTGAGGAGGACGTAGCGCTTTGCACGCTCGCCGCCGAGCAGACCTGTGGCATCAAAGGTCAACCCGAGCGTGCGGGAGAATGCGCCGGTGTCGTCGGCGAGGAAGTTGAGCTTGTCAGCTCTGTTCGCTCCTGCCTTTAGCTTAGCGTCTTGTGCGAGAGAGCATGGGACGCACCCGAGCTTCTCCTTCCATGCGTTGGAAGCAAAGACGTCATTGATGGGCACGACATAGACACCCTTGATGCCCTGCACGTGCAGATCAGTCTCGCGCTCGGAGTAGGAGGGGGCAAGACGACCTTTTGGGTGATCTCAGAGTAAGCATCACTGAACTGGGGCACCATGTTCGAGCAGGGAGGCGTGAATGCGCCTGGAACGCCGAGGATGAGGTTGCGACCCTTGAGGCTGGCCAGCGAGAGCGTGTCATCCGGAGAGGTCTGCTTGAGCTGGATGTCCGGCAGCTTGGTGCCTACACCGGCTGGGTGGACTGCGCCGAGGGCTGCAGACTTGATCGTTGCTGGGATCGTGCTTGCCATCTTTGCTGACTGCTCGTTCGATAGGCTTCAAGTGAGGTCGGACAAGGGCGTCGACTGCCCTTGCCACACGCAACGGGTGTGCCCCGCTTCCACGTTTGCGTAAGTTCACGCCTGGCGCTGAGTCAAGCCGCGGCTTTCCCCGACTGGCGACGACGACGACGACGACGACGACGATGACGAGCCTGGGCGATGAGGCCTACACGCTCCTCAACGATCTCGTCAGCAGCTATGACAACTTGCCCTCTGAGATTGGCCATCTCATGGCGGAGATACGCGCAAAGTCAGATGACTACTCGGGTGGGTCAGCCTGGCGCAGCAGCCGTCCATCGAGGCTGATCCAGCTGGCTTTCAATCACAGCTTGTTCTATGAAGGCAAGACAGAGAGATGCAGCGATACAGAAATGGCACAAGCTGCACGGATTATCGATCGAGAACCCCAAGGAGGTTCTCCTGATCGAAAAGATCAACAAGAACTTGGGCGAGTGTCGTGTCATGGCAGATGACAAGATCAAACTGGCCGAGCGCGCGCTCCGTCTCGTAGGTCCACTCGCCACTCTGATCTGGCTGCGAGACTGACGATGATGAGCCAGGTTGACCGACATTTGGCCAAGATGAACGGCGAGATGACGCGACTGGCAGCCCAGAACCCTGCGCTACTCGCCCAGCCCAACCTGTACGGTGCAGCGGGTCTCTCGGCCGGACTACAGCCTGTCTTCTCGGGCGTGGAAGATATGCTCGCCAATGATGAGATGGGTTCCGTTCGATCTCACAAACGAAAGCACCATCACGCCAACGGCACCATCACCGTTCCCACCGTGCCTTCCATCGCCATGCCCAACTACAACAAGGACAAAGCTCGGTCACGTCTCTCACAGTCTTACGTCTCCCAGGGAGGGAACAACAAACGGGTGAAGTACAGGGAAGACGAATCGGCCCTGACGTCTGATGATCTGCTCGTGGACGATGTGGAAGAAGGAGGTGATGCGGGAGAGGATACGACGGAGTACTGTTTCTGCCATCGCACCAGTTTCGGCGATATGGTCGCTTGTGATAACGACGATTGCGAGTACGAATGGTTCCACTGGAGCTGTGTCGGCCTCAAGCAAGCTCCCGATCCGAGCAAGAAGTGGTACTGCCCTGCCTGTCGATCAGGTGGCGACCAGGCCTCTCGAGATCGGCGAGCTCAGAAAGCAAGGCAACGCTACTAGTCGCTCGCAGGCCTTGCTTCAGTCTTGGCTATCGATGTCTCTCATGTTCCAGTGGCGGATGTCCCAGCGGAGAGAGTGACAGCACCTACGCATGAGCTGCTGAAGAAGCTGTCACTATAGCGCAAGTCTCGTCACTTTCGAGCCTGTCGATGTCGATGGCTCTGCTCATCGCATGAGCAGAGGGCCACAGAGCTTGACGCGCCTGTCTCCGCACAGATTGTGCATGAGCATATGCTCAGACTGTGCACGAGTCTTTGTCATTTTCAATGCATATCGACTCTGAGACCTGCCTATCTCTTGGAGCGCGTTGATCAAGTAAGTTGAGCTCCCGGCGCGTCTCTGATTAATTTTGTCAGCGTTGCGCACGAAGCGTGGGTGAAGTTCGAGCGGGCAAGAGTCAAAGTGGCGGCTCACGTCGAGTCGACACACTATGACACACTGGCAGTGACACGGCAAGCTAGCCAAGCAGAGATCAGAAGCGCCTACTTGCGGCTCATACTGCAGCATCATCCTGACAAACTCGACCCGGACCGTCTTGACGACAACGACAAGAGCCGAGCAATTGTACAAGCTTTTGCTGTGCTGGGCAAGAGCGACAGTCGAGCTCAGTATGACAGAGAGTTGAGCATTGCTCAGAGCAAGATCAAAGGTCCGTTACTGCTCTCTGATGCGGTCAACATCTGACAGTGAACCTCAACAGGCAAGCAAAGCGCAAGAGCTGCAACGATCGATCTGGAAGAGATGGCCGAGCTCGAGATGGCGCGAGACGGCATGGAGGGGTACAGCTTTCCTTGTCGATGTGGTTCAGCTTTTGTCCTTTCGTCCCATCAGCTCACGGAAGCCATCACACGGTCGAGCGAGGGTACGGCCGCGAAGCACACCCTTGCTGTGCCTTGCCAAGGCTGTAGCCTTGTGATCGATGTCGAGTACTACGACGATGCCTTTGCCTGAACACGCGATCGGCTCTGTTGTCAGACCATCTCGTCTTTGCTAGAACACGAGATAGCTACATACCTGCAGCAGTACTCACCCGAGAGAGAACATATCAGCTAGTCTGTCGACCGAGACGGACACCTTTGTGATGGCCAGAACGCTTCGAGACAGCGCAAGTCTCGGGCAGCTCAACCGCTGCTCAGCGTGAGAACCTCTGCACGTCAGGCTCGCGTTCGGTTCTGAGGCGACGCTCGTCCGCCGGGGGACCGTTCTCCAAGGTACCCGCTCGCGATCTCTCGCAGAGTGACTCATTGCGTTCCGAGCACTAGCTCTGGCGCACTACATGCTAGCCACACGAGGCTGCAATGACTTGCGTACGGTGGATTTCGCTCGAATGTCGTAGAATGCAATGACGCAGCACTTGAAGATGACGAGGCTTCAGTCGCGTGGCATTGCCGCCTTTGAAGAAGAACGCGCCGCCGCGACTTTTGGGGTGCCCGAAGTTCCGCGACCGGGAGAGGAGCTCAGGACGAGGAGAGCTTGCAGCAGAGAGCATTGTACATTGGCCCCCCCCCTTCGAGCTCTTGTACATATCATATCGGACAGCACTGACGTTTTGGCACTGCAAGAGATCAAGCAACGCATATCATATAAGCACGACTGCGCTCAGCTCGACTTTCAGCTACCCTGCTCGGCTGGCCATCCTGCTCACGACCACGACATGATCTTGCATACCCATCGTGCAGACTGACTGCTTCATCTGGCACGCAGACGGACACATTCCCGCAAGACCGGGCGCACTGGCCTCCCGCACCCCGCCGAGCTCAGCAGGCCAGCAGCACTTGACCCAAGATGTCAGCGACGACCTTGTCGGCTCCCCACCCTGATCACTACAACCGGCACAGCATAGCAAGCGAAGGAAATCCATCGCTGGCGAGAGATTCGATGGCCGAACACGACTTTCCACCTGATGATCACTTGGCCATCAGGTCAGAAGCCAGAGCAGATAGTCGTAGTCCGTCCGTCTACTCGTCTACGTCGGACGCATCTTCCTATTCAGTGCACGAACTGGCACCTGTTCAGGTCATCTCACGCACACCGGCAAGGCGCATGTCCACGAAAGCCTCATTCACGCGATACGACGCTACTGCTGCTTATCGACTCTCTGACGGATCAGAATCGATCGGCTCGCCTGGCTTGAAACACAAGACGAGCTGGTCCAACTCCATCCTGAGTGATGACTCTGTCGAGGCAAGTCAGGACGAAGAGGAGGATTCGAATGGTGCCCAAGTCGTCGCGAGCGCAAAGAGAGTCACGCTGCCCGAAAGGGGTACAACGATGAGCAGGAGGATATCGCTCTTGCCTGGTCTGGGAGCCATTGCCGCTTCGGCAGACAGCCCTGTCCTGTCCAATGATTCACGAGATAGTCCAAAGGCAGCAAGGGTTGTTCCCACCATCAACGAGCCTTTCTCGCCGCCTCTATCGGATGCCTCGTTCTCTTTCGACGCGTACGATCACGCAGACGAATCTACCCTGTCGCAATCGGACAGAGACGCCTTCAGCTTTTCGGATATGCCGACACAGCAACTGCTGCCATCCCTACCTATCGATACGCGTCCTAAAGCGGTGCCTCAACCGGAGGAGGACGAAGACTCGCTGAGCGAGTTGGCAGGGAGCAAGAAAACAAAGGCCACCAAGAACGCATGGAGGAGAAGCGGTGCTGTCTTCAACACAGACGACGCTCAACTCAAGCAGCTAAGCGATATCCCTTCGCGCACATTTATCAGAAGTGCGTTCCCCCTACTCTTCTGCGAGAGCCGGTACTGATCAGTAGAGTGCAGCTCACTCACGATCGGGATCAGCAGCATCGAGCAAGTCCTCTGTCAAAGACTCGTCATCCCCTTCTGCTTCACCTCTCGCTGCAGCAGTAGGCCAGTTCAACAAGATCACTGCACCTTTACGTATCAAATCAAGAGACACATCATCACACAGTCTATCATCATTACCGCGCTCGGGCTCCTCTTCCTCCCTCCTGTCCAATAAGTTCGATCTGCTAGATAAGAAGAAAGTCAGAACGGCCTCACCTGGCAAAATCGCTTTGCTTGGAAGCGATTCTGATACTCAGCCTGAGCCAGACAGATCGAGCACGCTCGACGTGAGACCGCCGACGCTCTCGCTCGATTTTGAAGGCTCTTCGCCTTTGTTCGATCTGGACTTTTCGAAGAATTTCCTCATCGATGCTCCCTCAGAGCCTACCGCGAGCCCTACCGAGCTTGCACGAGAAGTAGATCCAGTCACCACAGCAGCATCAGTAGCGCCAACTGTTCAGCCAGAGACCACTCGAGCACGCCGTTCGAGCTCACTTGCACCCTCGATCACATCCAGTCAGCTTCCTTTGCAGAGGTCGAGCTCATTCGCTAGCATACGCAAACCTGTCACGATCATCCCGGTAGCAGAAAAGACACCGGAAGAAGACGAAGCTGATGATGCTCTGCACATTGCTTTTCCAATGTCAAACGAGATCAAGTCCTCGCCTTTGCCTCCTTTGCCGAACGAGACCTATCTTAACAGAGCAACGGACAATATGCAAGACAAGCTGAGAGCGACGCCTTCTTGCGTCAACGGTCGCGACGCGATCGCTGCGCCGCCTGTCGTGCTACCACTGGGCACTTCTCTGCGCTCGACGCTGCAGCCTGTTCCGCTTGGCAAGCAGAGCCGGAGACGGTCTCTTCTGCAACTCGGCAGGAAGCTCACATCCGAGAAAAAGCCCGCTCCTGTCGATCCGCCACCCGCACCTCCCGTGGCGTCTTTGCGCAAACGTCGAGGCTCGCTCGATATGCTTCGTTCGGCTATCGGTCTCAGCGAAGCTGCAGAAGCTCGCAATGCCGACACTTCGTCGCGACCTCCGTCACGAGCGGCAACGATCAATACCGACACGCTCGACGCGCGGCAAGCCAGTCCAGACAGCGAGCATTCGCCAGTCGACGATAGTCTGATCAAACCGGCCGCTCATCGCAAGTCGTCTCTGCCCGGTCGCGTCGGTATGAACAAAGGCACCAATTACGCCTTTCCCGAACACAGACGGACGCCCTCGAGCGTGACTTCCCACGAGAGTGCGAGCAGTAGCGCTACGTCTCGTGCAGGTACGCTGCCCAGACGAGATCAATCGACGCCGTCGCCCACAGCGCGCAAGCGCGGACCTGATTCTGGCTTCGGATCAGACTCGTCGCTCTCGGCTGCTTGGATTGCTCTCGAAGACTCGCTGAGCACCTTCGTCAATGGTCTACGCACTAATAAAGCCGATCGTAGCGAGGCCATCATACGTGGCCTATTGCCCTTCTTGGCAGCTCACGAAAGCGACAATACGACTTCAGACGTTCTGAATGCAAGTCTAGCACGCAGACAGCGGGACATACTCCATGCTTGGGTGCTCCATATGCTGCAAGATCTACGGATTGGTCCTGCCAATCGTGGCGCATGTCTAGAAGGCATCGCGAAAGTCATGGAGAGTCCTTTCTTCTCCTACTTTGCGCTGTTGGACGATCTAGCCGGTCAACGTCGATATGCTTCGGTGCTTGTCTCGCTGCTCGATTTTGCTGTCGAAAAGCTCAACGAAAAGGCTGTCTACGCCAACACGCTAGCTTTCGCTGGAAGGCTGCTGGCAGTCGCATACTTCAGGCTAGAGGACGTGGGACTCAAGCTGATGCGATTGCTACCGCCTCTAAAGCCTAAACACTACGATCGCATCGTCGCAGAGTGCCTCGTCTCGCCCGTACACGGCGAGAAAGCTTCGATCATCTACCCACCGCATCTCGATGCGTTGATTTACAAGGATGCGCGGTCAACAGCTGCGATCATCACGCCAATGCGCGCAGTCGAAGAAGACGAAGACTGTCTAGCTCAGAATGTGTCTTGCAAAGTCGAGATGACGGGCAATTGGTACGCAAAGCACAAAAGCCCTGCAAAGGTACTGACATGTCCAGCAGGCTCATTCGCTGGACAGCGTCGGACTCTGATCTACCTTTTGCTTTCTATCGAGCATACTATCGCCAGCTCGCAAGTTATATCGCTGCAAGCCCCGCAAGCTCGTCGCATGTCTCCTTGCGCGATCTGCTGCGTGCGCCGGGCTTTGTTTCCGTGACGGCTTCAGTGCTCGAGAAGCTCGACGCGCTTGTACATCGCAACATGCGTTCCGTGACCACCCTCAGCCCGTCGGGCACTGATTTCAGCATGAGTGACCATGCACAGCTGGCAATGGGCGCAAAGCCAAAGGTGCTCGATATGGCTCATCGTCGCATCGCTACCAGTCTGCTCGAGATTGTCAGCCAAATCTTGCCCACAGATGACATCGAGCAGGAGCCAAGGTATCCCTTTGCGGACCTTTTGAGCGTCTGGATGCGTGCACTGACCAAGCGGACGAGTCTCTACGATGTCAGAGGGGGCTTCCTGCTGCTTGATCTTGTCGAGACATTGCTCCACGCGATATGCACCCCCACATCGCAGCAAGGTGGTCTCGAAGATCAAGTCAGCGTTCGACAGCAACGTCAGGCCGGCTTGCGTTCGTTCGATACTACCTTTGTGCTTTCCTTTGTTCGCACAATTCTGCTCAAGGCGGACAACACTGTGTGCTTGATGCGTACCATCGCCTTCCTATATTCCTCATTTGACATGTAGGCGTCTCTGCTGATTCGCATCGGACATTCTGATGCTCGCACACAGACTGACCACTCGGCCGCAAGATCGCGATATGCTCTGCGAGACCGTCTTGCTCGACGAAGACATTTTCGAGAGGCTCTTCCTGCATTGGAATATGAGCGTTCGTGGGGTTAGCTAATACTGTTCAATGAGCCTATGACTGGCTGATAGCTGTCTGACCCGCAGTATTTTATGCGCTTGCTTGTCTGGCGTTTGAGCGGCATCGGGACGAGTGTCCAGGACAACCCAGATAGCGCGTCGAGCGAGCGGACACTCGCACTTTTGCGCGTTTTCAGCTTACGGCTGGAAAGCATACGGCGCAGACACGACGAAATCGATCCACTAGACAAATATGACGATGACGACTACTTCAGACCGAAGCGCTCTACGATCTGCTCGACTCAAGGGGTTTCTGAGCAGCCATGGACGGTGGACGAGATTGCCGGCGATGCCGACATGGAATTGACGTATCGATCTGACGATGCGTCGGACGGCGACAGCTTCAGAGCGCGCGGTGCTAGCCGAGAGCTCAAAGACGTTCCTGGCGTATCCCGCGTTGTGGGATGGCTCAAGGGTAATCTACGCAAACGATCTACATCTCGCACGCGACCTGGTACGCCCGTAGGCTCTCTCGAGCCATTCAATCTGCACATCATCGAATCTTCGCCAACCTCGTCGTATGATATCATCGAGCCTCAGAGAGATTTTGCTCAGTCTGAAGACGGCACAGCAAGCGTTGATCAATATCCTTCGGAAGCAGATGTGTCTGCTTTCGACGATGCAATGACGAGTCAAACCTCCGTGTCAGCCTCTGGCAGTCCGCCCGTTACGCCGAAGCCTAGGCGCGAAGCCCTGCGAAGAAGTGGCAGCGGCAACTTCTTCCGATTCGAATTCGAGAACGAGACGCCGGTATCGGATGCGTTCGATGCCGGGAAGCTTTCGCCTGCTGCAAAGGGCGTAGCTATCGCGCCCCGCCAGTCCAGCATCGGATTGCCTACGACGCCTTCGCCCAAAGATCGTCGTCTGTCTCGCGTTGTGGTATCGCACCGAGCGTCGCGTCGCTTTTCCAAACGAGCGTCAATATTGCCTTCGCCTGCCGTTGCGATCTTTACAAAGCACGGCTCGCTCGTACCTACGATTCCGGACGACTACACTGGAGGCTACGATAAACGGCTGCACCAGTATGCCATCCGAGCTTTGCGTGATTACGAAGATGCTCTCGTACGTTCACATCGTCCCCAAAGTGCTAGTACTGATCGCAGATGCGCGCAGATCGAAAATGAGACCTGGCAGATCAGGCCAGAAGAGGAGGACATGATGGAAGACACGACACCCCGGCTAGGCGTTGCATGGCCTCAGATCTTCACAGACTGAAGCCATTATTCGTACCGATCAGTGATGTATAGCAAGCACAGGCACGTTGTATGTACAATAGCACGCGTACTCACGAGTGCTGCTCCTCTGAGGACATCACGGTATGGCGATATACCATGCAGCGAAAACGAGTGTGCGCGGCTAGACGACACTGTAGGAAAGAGGTGCATTGATTGCTCGAGCCGTAAGATGCATGTGCATGTCCTGTCTAGGTCTGCCCTCTCTCGTCGTTCGATGTTGGGGAAGAACTTGCTGCTGTGGCAGTCCCGACTCGCAGCGCTCGCCTCAAACTTGGCTCGCTTGATCGATACTCCATCCCACCAGCGGGCGTACGAACCATTCTAATCTTAAGCTGATCGTCCTGTGTTGTGACTGCGTCTGGATCGTATCGCTCAATGTCGCCTGTTGCGTGGTGTTTGAGCTCCGCTGCTGCCCAGGAGGGCTTGGTCGAACGCCCCGCGGGTCGGTCAATCTCATCAGACGAGGGAGTTGATGGTCTATGTTCTGACTGATATGGTATGGCACCGACTCTGACATGGCTATGCGATGATGTTACAACGACGACAAATGACACTGATGATGATACTAAGCGAATGCTGCCCAAGCGCTCGTCTCTGCGAGCTTGTGATACTCGAGCAAACGACAGTCTGTTGCTGTCTCGGCCGTGTCCTCTTGGGCCGGCGAGGGTAGGGCAAGTCTGAACCATCGACCGGCATGAGTGATGACAATGAGCTCCGGCGAGTTCGATTGGGCTTGCGGCCAGATACAGTGGCTGACTTCGTCTTCGAGCGAAAGTCTGGCCAGCTTGGCTTCTATTCTTGCTTCTTTCTTCCTCGCTGCAGATTCTGCTGCGATCAAAGCGGCCTCTTGCTTGACAGGATCAGTAGACGCGCTCCGGAGTGCAGAGGGCGTCTTCGGTAGCTTTGGCAGCTTACGAGAGGGCGGCGGCGCATCGACGGGAAGACGGTACTGGCAAGACGACCAGGCCGAAGAAAAGTAGCGAGGTAGGTACGGTCTGAACATATCTAGCTTCGCTTGCTGGTCTGTTTCTACTGCTCTCGACTTTCCTTTGACATCGCCAATGTGCCATATATGTATCGTACCCTTGTCGCTACTCAGAGCAAGCAGACTAGCATCGGGATTGAAGCGCATGCTGAAAATGGTGGCCACATCTGTTCCGCGACGGAGTTCGTGCAGCGCTCGAGCAGTTGCTACGTCCCATATTCTGACAAGTGTGCCTTTACTCGATGCAGTGGCTAGTCGTGCTCCATCTGATGAGCATACGAGACAGGCGAGATGAGTTCGATGCGCTACAATGATCGAAATGGAGGGGTAGGGCGGTCCGAGTGTGGAGTCGTAGCCTGGCGGAGGAGCTTGCAATGCTCGCTTGCTATCGAGTGCAGGTAGATTGACAATGTTGACATGCCCAGGCTGTCGACCGGGGAATGCGAGCAATGTGGCGCCTTCACCAGAGGCCAATGCCGCCAGACCTGCAGTATCAAAACCATCAATTTCGTCTGCTTGGCACCCAGCTGAACTCACCTTGTGGATTGTCAATGGTGGGGTAGACGCCCTCCCTCCAGACGTCGATTGTCTTGCCGCTGATGACGTTGAAGGCGAAGAGGATGACTCGTCGTCTGAGCACGACAACGAAGCGGTCTCTCCTCACTTGGACTGCTCTGACCGTTTCTGAGAATTCAAAGGCAAGGATAGGGCGAGCTTGATTATCGTCGTAGATGATGACCTTGTTGGGCGAGTACAGCGGACTGGGCGGTCCACCGACGAGCCAGATCAAGTTGGTTCGGTGTAATGGCACGACCAGCTTGAGCGAGCCTTGGGGGAAATCTGTCATATTGCCCCTCTTTGAGGCATGCCACGCTTGAGCAGGGGATCATCCTGACCTCTGCGGGAGATGAGCTGAAGAGGTGAAGTCTGCCAGACTGACCAGCCTGATAGCTCGGCAGTCGTGAACAAGCTGCCATCCTGATTGACTGATACCTGGACGATATTGGACCGCACGGGTGCATGCAGCTGATGCGGTGGCAGCTGCATCTCTGCTTTCACATAGCCCTCTCCGTCCGCAGATCCGAGCAGTCGAACATCGACTCGGCCGACGAGTGCCTATCGATTATCTCACGCGACTTGGCCCTCATCATCACCTGACAGACCTGACTGGGCACATACAAACATGAATGGAATGCGACAACGGACTGACAAAGTGACGATCACGACCACGGTGGAGCTTCTGCCTGACTATTCCTCTGCCTCTGCTTCAGCTCCCTCTCGCTCACAGGCGGCGGGGGCGGGGGCATGGCTTGCTGCTGGTAGGGCACATTGCCAGAGTAAGAGAGTGAAGCGCGATGGCCAGACTGCGCATTGAGAGGAATAAAGCTCGTCATGCCCTCACCGGGATTGAAGCCTGAATCGTATCCTCCGCCTTGGTTGGCAAACGCTTCGTACCTGTTCGCCGAGCCTGTGGAAGCATGGTAGACCATGGGAGGAGCAGCAATCGCGCCGGAAGCTCTTTGCTGCTGGGCCTGTGCCTGTGCTTGTAAAGCACGCTGCTGATCGACCATGACCGAGAACGGCTGGCTCGCTTGGGCATTCATGTAATTGGCTCGATCGACAGAACTGGGTATCCTGTAGCTGGGCAAGCCCCATGCCATCTCTGCCTGTTCGGTGAGGTGGTCGATACCGGGGTGATGCCGATTCAGAGACGCTCGTCTGCCCAATTGACCCGCAGCCACATTTCTCCTTTCCCAAGCCTCTTGCTGATCGTCTCGATTCAAGACAGGCGTAACAGAGTGTCCTGCGAATCCACCCATGCCAAGACCGAGCTTCTGGATCTGCGGCGGAACCGCATCTGTGATCGTCAGAGCTCTGCCTCTGGCAGGGTAGTGATGTACCGGCGGTGGATTGACAGGCACGTTCATGTCTGCCTGCTGTGGTCTCATCGAGTAATCGCCAAAAGGTCGACTGGCGGCCTGTAGACCCTGCGTATCCTCCGCAACAGAATACGGGTTCATGGAGATCTGCGATTGCCGCTTGGCTTTCGCTTCTGAAGCAGCTGTGTACGCTTGCTGTTGTGCCAGGTGTTTGCCATAAGCAGCAGCATCGACATAAGCCATCGTATCTGGTTTCCTCGGCCCAGGCGGGAGCCCGCCATAAGGACGATCGATCTCGGTCGGCAAGGGCATTGTAGCAGATGGAGCAGACTGCGGCACGGCAGAAGTCCGCCGGGAGGGTGTCTTGAGCGACATGGGCGGCACAAAGGGTTCGGTGAGCGGTTCGCCCTTGACAAAGGGATGCAGCTTGGCTTGCTGCGGTGACCACCTTTCTATGGGATTCATATTGAGCAATCCTTGCACGAAGTCGATAAACGATATGCGATTGTTCATCTCTGCGCTCGCGCTTGTCAGTCAGCCTAACCGATGAGAGGATGAAGAGGCCACACCTCTATCGATATCAGATTGTTTCGCGTTCTTTCGCGTCATGGGATAGGTCTTGATGATATCAGGCAATTTGGTCGCCTGAAAGTACTTCTTCGAAGGCTGTTCTTGCGTGTTATGTTCCTTTGAATATTGCTCGAGCGATTTGAGTCGATAAGCTTTGTTGCCATACGGATCATAAGACAGATCGAAAAAATTGGCAGACTGTTTGCCCACGTCGAGCATGTGGTTCGGCGGCAGACCGAGCATCTCGACGATACGAGTCACTTGGTTGTACTCTGATGTGCCTGGGAAGAGAGGCAGGCCGAGGAAGAGCTCGACACAGATACAGCCGAGCGACCACATATCGATAGGAGAGGAGTACGGCAAGCCGAGAAGCACTTCCGGACTCCGGTAGAACCTAGACTGGATGTAGGTATAGACCGTTTGCCTTTCGTGGCACGCCGATCCAAAGTCGATGACTTTGATCTGTGGCGATTGGAGCCTGCCCATGCTATGTTAGCGCAGTCCAAATGACAAAAGGAAGAGAAGACTTGCGTCTCGAGAAGAATATTTTCTGGCTTGAGATCGCAATGAATAAGTCTTGCTTCATTGAGCACGGTGAGTGCGTCGAGAAGCTGCGAAGTGAAGACCCTGACGAGAGAAGTCGAGAGGCCTCGGAAGTTGTTCTGCTTGATGAGCTCGTACAAGTTGGAAGAGAGCAGTTCAAAGACAAGACAGAGATGTCTTGCGTGAATGAATGTATCCTTCAACCGCAGAATGTGGTGCCGATCTTGCGGATCCCATGCGTTGTTCAGCTGTGCCTTTTGCATGAGTATTTACTCTTCGGATATGCGAGAGACTGACCATTTCGAGGATGGTGACTTCCATCATGGACTGATTGAAGTAGGCTGGCTTGTTCTTGACGACTTTGACAGCCACGATCTCATGCGTTTTCATGTTCTGGCACTTGACGACTTGTCCGAACGTGCCTTGACCGAGTACATCTAATATGAGATACCTGGTGTCTGCATGAGCACGAGTAACAGAGGTAGACCGAAGGAGACACACTTGTTGCCTTCATCTGTCCCCAGCCAATCGTTGACATAGAGAATATAGTCAGAATCCTCATTGTCGTGACCGTCATTTCCGCAAGGCTTGCTGGGCTTGGTGAGGACTCGTCTGGGGTTGTACGAGAGCTCATATCGAAAGGCAGGATTGACAAGATGATACGTCTGAGCGAGCTGTTGCGTCAACGCTTTGAGAGGCGAAACGACTCCACCCTGTGGGTCTGCTCTCCTCCCACTGGGCACAGATTCCAGAACGGGCCTCAAGTCAGATAGCGATCGTATCCTCCTGAACGTCTGCTCGGGCGCGTCAACGGCCATTTCTTCTTCTGACTCGTGTCGACCCGTGGCAGGTCGAGACCGCGAGGGATTGCTATAAGATCTATAGGGATCATAGGGCTGCTGTGGCTCTGGCATGGGCGAGGTATGACCCCTCGAAAGCGGCGGTGGCCGATCTGCGTGCTGTCGCTCTTGCAGATTGGCGTGAGCATTGGTGGGAGAGACGGATTCTGGAGTGACAGAGTGATTGGCACTCCTGTATGCACCTTGATCGGGAGCTAGAGATCTGGGCGATGCCTGGGCAGGATCGTAGTACGGCGCCTGAGGAGCGTATTGGTGTTCCTGACTAGCAGCATAAGGATCGAACGGTCTCGCGCTCGCATCGCTCGTCGCCGAATTGCTATAGACCGCAGCACTCTCATACGTTGGTCCGGTGTATCTTTGCCTCGGCGGCGGCGGTTGTGAGTACTCCGTGGGCGAATAGGACATCCCACGCAGTCGCCGTTCCCTCAGAGCATTGTGCGGCTGGGCATACTGCAGGGGAGGAGGATGAGGATCCAATCCTATACCTTCCTCTGCTCTCCCGTAGGCTCCTTGACCTTGTTGGGAGTAGCCAGAGCGACCGGTAGCAAAGTTGACAGCTCCAAAGATAGACGAGCGCGCCGACTGAGGTTGCTGCTGTGGGTAGCCGTACATGGCAGACTGGGTGGCAGAGTGCTGACGATCTCGCGAAGAGGTATACATGGGGATCTGATCCGACATTGGAATGGTCCGTCGTCGGTCTATAGCATCCTCTCCTGCGTTCTACTCGATCACGCTCGTCGTCAGACTATCGTCCGCGCAATTTCCGGCCTCTCACTCGGTCTTGGTGCGCGATGACAGCTCACGAGACCTATTTGAGCTCTTCTATCGAGTCGGCAGAGAGATTGAGCCGACAGGAAGCAGCGAAGGAGACGAACGAGGGCGATAGAGACGAGCTAGTCTCACTTTGCCTGTTCGGTCACTTTGGGCTCGCCGGGGATGATCTCAAGCTGGTCAGTGGCGGATGAGACCTACTTCTAGACAGTGACGCTCTATCTGAGCTTGTGCGCCGACTGCAGAGAGCTGTAAAGGCCGTCGCAGCGTCACGACTTTTGCCAGCTGGTAGCGAGCCAGTCGACGCGGTCTGCACTACCCGAGTGGGGTCATTGACGCGTTAGCCTGGCCTCGTTGGCGTCCTCGTCGTCAGAGTCTCAGTCCGGCTGCAATGGCTCTGTCAAGCGATCCGCCGGACGAGAAGCCTTCCATATCCTCACAGACCGCAGCACCTTCGGCGAAGAAGCTCGGCAAGCAGGCTGTCGCGAGTACCTCAGCCAGCGCGGCGAATAAGCGTAAAGTCGAGTCTGAGCCGGCTCAAGCTCGCAAGAAGTCCACACTGTCCTCTGTCACCGGTCCCACTGCTAGCCCGAGCATAGCAAAGAAGCCAATGGCGAAGAAAGTGAAGAGTCAGCACGCACATCTCAGCCGACCTGAAGCATCAACATCGGCCAGTCGCGGCAGTACGCCCATAGGACCCACGAGTGGCCCTACGGGTACAGATGTAGTCCTCTCATCCAAGATGTACGACAAGCTGTTCGGCGCCAAACTCGACGAGCCGAAGCCCGTCAGGCGATCAGACCCAAGTACGGCGACACCCGCCAGGCGATCTGACTCGAGCAGGGTGTCTACTCCCATCGCTTCGACTGGTACTGCAACAACGACGACGACAAGCAAGTCTGTAGATCCTCTGGCCAGGATCAAGATCAGTAAGAAAGAGGGCGGTTCGAGCACGCCCAAGGAGAAAGTCTTGACATCGGCCGAGCGATTCAGTCAGCTGCGCCCTACTCCCGTCCCGAGGGAAAAGGTCCAGATCTGGCCGAGCAAGGAACAGTGGGAGAGAGGAAAGTATGATAAGAAGGTGAGGACTCAGATGCTGCTCAGTAACGGGAGGACGAAGAAGTACAAGCTCGTTGCGAGAAAGGCGAGCGCGAGACCGACTGTCAGATCGAGCCAGCTCAGGGGCAGACTCATGTCGGCAACCAAACCAGACGAAGTCGTTCCGATGATGCCAGAGGTTCGCAATCCCAACGAGCTCTTTCCTCTCGTGCGTCAATCGCTCTTTAGCCCAGTGAAAGCTAAACGTACGCTTTGACGGCACAGGAGTCATTCGATATTACCCGCGTCATGGGTCAGCAAGATGTACGTCATCCTCCACCATACGTCCAAAGGGGATACGTATACTGATGATGCGTACAGTCTCTTCGAGCGCCTATCCAGACACTACTCTGGCGCAATGATCCCGACGCCTTGCTCAAGCATATTGCGCAACGCAAGCTACTGAAAGCACAGTACGACGCCATCGCGCCTCGCAGCAAAGCGCCTCCCACTCCTGCTTCATCCTCGGGCGGCAAAACCCCTCACGACCCCCGTCCGATCGACCCGTCTTTGCCCTCCTACGGAGCAGTTCGTGCTCAATCCCAAAATAGAGAATTGACTTTGGATGGCTTTGGCTCGATCAACAAGCAACATGCTGGCAAGGGGATCCACATCAAGTTGATGCACCCTTTTGTTCCGTTTGCCTCTTGGACGGAGATACGGAATGCCCAGACGACAGGAGGGAAATCAGATCTGTTCACACCTCTGTCGATGAGCTTGCCCACCCCGCTCAATCAGACGCACGGCAGGACGCCGTACATGTCGGGCATCAAGGAGGAGCCTCACTAGCATCATGACTCGGTCTGTTGTTGTTCATTCGTTCGTCCGTGTGTCGTCATTGATTGATCTGCGCTTCAATGAAAGTCGCGTTCGTCTCGTCACGCGAATGTCAAAGCCAAAGCTGCTCAGGCTGCGGCTGGCTCGGCCACCGCCGAGGACGATAGCCTACGATGTTCCCTTCAAGATCAGTCTGACTCTCACAAATGATCTGGGCGATCTCAAGCCAGTCCCCCATGACCAGAAAGGTGCTCATCCTGGCTCTTGAAGTCTTGCATGCTCAGCCTCTTGCTCAGTTGTCTTGACGCTTCTGGACGCTCAAAGTTCCCATAGTGCTTCGTATGCCACCTTGGCATCACCGGCTGGCCTTGCATCAGACTCCAAAGGACTGGTAGTGACGCTCAGGGCGAATGCTGGCTCTTTCCACTCTTTCGACTTGTTCATCACTCGCATAGGCCGAAACATCCCTTCCAATGGTCTGGTCAGACTGGATGTACGAGCTCTAGTAGAGGAGGCCCCGAAGAGAGTATGTAGCGAGGAGACAGAAAGGTTGCTCGCTTTCACTGGACATTCTGCGGGCGATCTCCTGGCTCAGGATGAAGGAGAGGCAGTCTGGCTGGGCGACACTACCGGCTCAGTAAGTCTGAGCAAATCTGCAAAGTCCCACTCGCCAGAGAAAGGTCAGCATCAGCTGTATCGACAAGTGTTTCGCTCATTCGGCAACGGCAGTCCAAGAGTGTTTCAAAGACTTTTATCCGGCTCAGCTGACGCAGCTACGGTCCCAGAAGATTGCACAAGAGCCGCTGAGAATTATCGAATTGCCTGCTCAGACGCTCGGCGCGCACGTATGGAATGCTTCCATCATTCTATCAGCATATCTTCTCACTTCGACATCTTGGCATCCCTCTGGCTCGGGCTGCATCGTCGAGCTGGGCGCGGGATGCGGGCTTGTTGGCTTATGTGCACATCGAGCACTGACGCCCAAACCAAGCAGAGTCCATCTGACCGATTTGCCTGCTGTTCTGTCTGACGCTACTGCGCCCAATGTCGACCTTTACCTTTCAAAGGATAAAAAGGCGTCCATCGAGGCGTCCGAGCTACAGTGGGGCATAGAGACCACGCGAGCATGGACACAGAGGAACCTGGTTCATGGGTCAAATGTGTCTCTGCTAGCTGCCGATGTGCTCTACAACACCAGTTCTTACGAAGCTTTTATCGACACGATCTCGGTCTTCTTCGGTACTTGCAAGTCTTGTAGCCTCATTCTCGCATTTCGAGAAAGAGCGAGTACCGACAAAAGTTTCTTTGATCTCTGCGCTGCGCAAGCCATCGAGAGTCAACAATTGCACGGACCTATGACCAGCTGGGGCCCCATACAACTCTACAAGCTTTCGCCGCAAAACCGCAATAAGCCATGATGAACGCCACGAGTGACGCGCACAGACTCTTTCTCCCGTCGACCTGCCCTCAGAACTATCTTCGACAAGAGGCAGTAGCGTGTGCCATGCTGCTCTCATTCCCACCCACTGTCGCAGGCCGGTCTGCTTGGATATCAGATCCGGAAGGTGAACGGCTCTTGGTAAGCAAAAGTGATGAATCGACAGACGCCTCTACGCAAGGTCTCCATCTTCATCTCGCTCCTGGCGAGCGTTTTGTTTGGCCTCACTCTCCTCCGGCCGTCGGTATCCGATCATGGCACATTTATCAAAGCGAGATCGATCCTCACCGTGGAGGACATGCAGCCGATCATGAACAGAATGAACGATGGATCGCATCTGAAGAAGCGAGCGTTCGATCTGACCGGGTTTGCAGCCTCGGCTGCTCCCGTTGCTTGTCGATTGGTCACGGGCGGTGCTGGTCAACTGCTCAGTCCTCAGACTCTCAAGGCTGCCATGATGGGTCGTGCCATCAAAGACCCTGCTCAATCTCGTGCCATCTCTAGTGTGTCCTTCCCTTGTATGCGCCAGATTTGGGGTACTAACCCATCAAGAGCGTTCAGGTATGGAATCTGGTATGGCAGATCTTTTCAGCGATCATGCTGCTCAAGTAGGCAAAGATGATGCTCTAGCCGGTGGTCAGTGCCCAAACTGCATGATCCCTGTTTCCAGAGCTTATGCGCAGGGCAGGCTTGTTCCTGGCTATGTCCCGCGTCATGCGTGGAGCTGATGCTCCAGCTGCAACCGGTGCGCCCGCTACAGCCGATGCGCCTGCTGGCAAACCTGCTACGACACCCAATGCTACTAAGCCTGCAGCAGCGGAAGCGCCGAAGAAAGGGTTCTTCGGATTCGGCAAGCCTAAGCTCAGAAAGCGTCAGCAGCCTGCAGCGGGCACAAGCGTCTCTATCAAGCTCAATATGGATATGGCCATAGCAGCCGGGATGGCCGTACGTCGCCCCATCATCGTAAGTGTAGAATGCTCAACTGGATAGCATGACAGGGTGCACAAGCGGGATGTGCAGTGGAAGGACTGGGCGTGGACAGCTCGATGGCGAAACAGAACGAGTATGCTGGCAATTTCTTGAGAACGGCTATCAATTTTGCTGGCTTGCCGACGCTTGCCAATCCTCGACCTGTCAAACGAAGCCAGATTCCCCTCGAGCGTCGCAATGACTCGACGCCGCTCTATTCCGTCAGATGGGGTCTGGCAGGCGCTTGCGTTCATGCTGCCGATCAGAACCCGTTCTGCTCTACAAAGGACAACGAGGCCAAAGTATTTGATCTTGAGCAACTCCCTCGTCCGGCAGCTCTACATGGCTTCGTCATCCTCGCCCTGCTTGCCAATGTCGTCATCCTACTCCAAGCACCTCAATGTCATCGAGCTCAGACATTCGCAAGTGCAATGCCGTTCATCACAATGGCACTTGCAATCATAGCTTTCGTTGTCGATCTCTCGCTCTTTGTAGGATCGGATGCACTAGCAGCAGCTTCGAGTCTACGCTACGAACTCCAGTTCTCCTCTGCCTTTTGGCTCACTGCTCTTGCTACTCTGTCGCTCGTCGTCGAGAGGCTCGCCTTCACGCTGGTAGCCCATCAGGCGATCGCTCTGGAGGACGACAACCCGGTTTACGCTGTCGTCGTGCAAGAGGACAGCGAAAAGAGGCCTTGCGCGCGAAGGAACGGTGCAGATCTGTCGCGTGTCTGACCTTTCTGCTTGCGATTGATGTTGTGTAGTTGCAGAGACTCGTATCCACGAGCGTTTGCCTCTTCAAGCTTGCTCGCAATGCGATCTCATTTGCGCAACTCGTGCTCAGCCAGCAGCTGTTCTTCCAGCTCAGCCAAGCACCAGGTGTGCTCAAGTAAGGCAGGCTGACCATGTTGGGTATACCCGACTTGATAGGAAAGACGCGGTGACAAGAGGGACACGTCATCTCGCCATCGATCACGTGTAGCTCCAGCAGAACGTGGTGGAGCTTCTTGAGCACTTCTTCCTCATCTTCGCTCGATGTGGCCTTCTCCGTCTGCATGGCATCTTCCGTTGAGGCTGTAGTGTGCGATAAGGTGAAGCTCGCGGGTGGCTGTTCCGGCAGGCTCGCGTCTCCCAACTGCAACGAGAAGCAAGCAGGTAAGAACGTCGAGCTCTGTCCAAGAGTGCCCTACTTGCCTGGCGAGATGCTCGGAGGAGTGCAGGCCACTCTAGCTTGGGCAGAAAGCCACGCAGGAAGTCGGGATTGAAGTCGACTGGGCGGTCCTCAACTGTCGTGCAGTTCTGCAGATCGAGGGGAAAGTTCGTCGGAGCTGAGCATAGCTTTGCATGGCATGAAAGCAAGTTGTGCGTTATGAGCCTCATCCTGTTTGAGCGATGTCTCCCGCTAACTTCGTCACCGTCGTCGTCGTCGTCGTCTGACTTGAACTTTTTCGCGACGAGAACAATTTGAAGAGCGACGAACGAACGACCTCCATCGATCCTCTGCGAGACGAATGGCGACTTCATCCGCCTACTTCCTGGCCGGCTACAATGTCGCAGCTCAGCCTGTGTCAGCCAAGTCAAAAGGAAAGCAAAAGGCGAGTCAGCCCGTGCCTTTATCGTTTTGCAAAGTGCAAGGCAGAAAACGTCAACTGGCCTGCGCCGTAGCGTCTAGCGGTGTCCACATCACAGATCTTGAGGATCAGACATCGCTCAGTTCGACGACGAGTACTGCCGGGAGCGTGTATACTTCGAATATTCAGGCTCTGTCGCTCGAGGGCGAACAGCGACGACGGAGGATCTTTGTAGGATGTAGATCAGCAGTAGGGCCGAGCTTGGCTTGCTATGAAGAGCAAGAGAGCACGGATGGATCTACTGTCGATCAGACCACCGCTCACCATCTCGGGGTGAGCACGTCTTGCACAGCTAAAGGCGCAGTGCTGAGGTACATCCTGTGGTTGCAGGTCTCGAGCGAGATACAGAGCCTCTGCTGGTACAGCCTACCCGAGCAGCAAGACCCACTGTTGATAGTCACGACTGCCGATGATCTCATCATGCTGCTCTCGCCTGCTGCAGATCTCAAGGAGCAGACTGTCGAAGAACTCGCGCTAGCATCCATCAGCGCTACGGACAGCCCAGTCAAAGCAGAGTCAAGCAGGCTGTTTGTGTATGACGCCATCATTCATCAGATTGCTCTGTATCGATCAGAGAGAGACTTACACGCTCGTATGCGCTCCTTCGATGTCACTACCAGTGCAGAGACCTACCACATGCAGCTAAGCAAAACGATCAATATCACCGACCAGGCGCTCATAGATGTCATCGTCACTCCTGATCGCACGATCGTCGCTCTCTGCTCTAACGGGTCACTACAGCTGTACTCTCTCGCGAATGACGGCTCACCAAGTCGCACTGTGCGACTCGCAGAGTCTCTCAGCTTTGCCTCTGCAGCACCCACCTCGCTACAGGTCTACGGACCTTCTTCGATACTCGTAGCAGCTCAAACGTCTGTGAGCGACTCAGACAGAGCGCAAGCTGTTTTCCTGGTACTCGATCTGCGCCATGATGCAGTATTAGAAGCGTACACCCATCCGCTGCCTTCCTCGTCTCACTCAGACGATCAAAGCACACCAGAAGCAGTAACAGTACATACTGCTCTTCTATCGGATGCGACGCTCGTCTTTGCTTTCACCAAGCAAAGCAGTGTAGCTCAGAGAGTAGCAATCCTGGCTCAGCCCTTCCATATGGCCAGAACTCCTCTGCTTGCCGATCTCGTGGGCAAACAGACGTTATCGAGACAATGGCTACACCAATCTCACACGAGATCAAAGGACGTTCAGCCTCTGCTGCATCCCAACACGAGCGAACACAAACGCGCTTACTTGCAAGCGTGCTACGACAGCCGACAAGCTTTCGTCGCGTCAGTCGACGAGCTCTTCGTTCAATCGCCTTCACAAGTCTATTCAGACTTTCTCGAGCTATTTGAGGCTTGGGTCAGAGGAGAACAAGAGCGCATCGAGCAGTACAGGCGGGAGCACCCTGCAAGTAAGAAGGCTGCAAAGATGGCAGTAGCTATTCCTCTGGCTTTCGTTCGGCGTATCACAAGCCAGCTCTTTGCCAGTCTCGCCAACAACATACCTGCGCCCGTTGAGACCTTTTGCACCTTTCTGCTCAAGCACAAAGCGCTCACAAATGATACGGCGCCCGAAGGCTTGCTACAGCTTTTCGTCTCTTGTCGCGCATGGGTAAGCTCCTCGCAGTTCTACAGTATCACAGCTGACACGATGCGCAGTCTCTTGCTCAATTCGCCTTGAAGCAGTTGCCCGATCTCTCAGAGAGCGGAGTCATTGCCTGTCTCGCGCAAGTCGCTGCCGCTTCGAGCTCGGCAGCTGTACAGGAAGACAAGCCGGCGCTAGCAGCTTTTCTGCGCACGACGATCTCGCTCAAGCTCACTTCGGGCTTGCTCCGTCCGGCCATCAAAGCGGCCTTCACATCAGACACCATCTTGCCTGTGCTGGCTTGCTTGCAACAATGGCTAGTTGCTCCCGAGCCCTTCTTCACGGACAAGAAGCGTGACACGCGACTGCAGAACGTGAGTCTTTACCCGACCTTGCTGCGTGATAACGGACTGATTGCTGGTGTGTAGACAATTGCGTTCACGCAGGATGTGCTTGATGCGCTCTTTGTGCCTATGCTACAGAACCAGCAAGCTCATGTGGCGCTCCGAGCTCTGTCGGACTGTATAGAGGATCAGCTCGTGCTTTCCTCCGAACTCAAGATACTCCGAGCGCCCCTCGAAGTCTTCATCCGAACAGAAGCTCTGAACAAGCGCGAGGCCGAGCTAGCACGAAATGCAAAGAAGTCGCCTTCAGATCAAGTGGCGCTGCGATCGCGCAACCAGCTCGAGCAGCTCGAACGGGCGCGTCACCAGCACGAGCTACAGACGAAGCAGTACACTCTCGAGGAATTCGAAATGTGATTACATGCAAATGTCACAACAAACAACGTTTTCCTTACATGTCTATATGAGGTTCGATACTGAGATCGACGTCAGTCATGCTCGGTCGGTCGTCTGACCAGAGCCGAGCATATTCGAGCGCCAATCTGAACTGATAACTTTCTGCATCTTGCCAGCGGAGGTGTCGTCTTTCCCACTTTTGGCCGGCAAGAGCGATCTGCCTGGCGAGCTCGTCGTGTGATCCCCGTCCTTCTGGCGTGCCACGAAAGAAGGCGAGGATGTCCCACAGATCCGTGTAATCGATCTGGGCTGGTATGTAATGGAGCCAAGCTGTGTCTCATGTCAGCAAGGTTGGGCAGTGTGGTGAGAGTACTTACGAATGCAAGAGACTGAGAAGAATTCGGGATAGATGGTCGCTTTGATGACTGCAGCTGGCGAGCGCATAAGCTTGCCGAACCTTCCACTCCACGTATTGCCATCGACATCAATCACATCTGCATTACGTGTCAGCTTGTGACGAATTTTGATTGAAGGAGAAGCGCACATTTGTAGTTCTCAGCGTCCTTGTCTGTCATGCGCGATTTGTAGCCACCGTAGACTTTGTCCATCTCTGCGCGAGTAACATCGTCTTTGACTTGCACAGGCGGTCCGATCATGCCAACATCGAAGAAAGCGGGATTGATTGCCTTGTTGGCCAGCGTGACGTTGGCGAGCAAGTCGTCTTCGTCCGCTATCATGAGCGTACGATTGCCTTCTAGGTTATTCGCCTGTATATGCAGACGCGAGCGTTGTGTGTTGATCCAAGGCACATCTTGATCCCATGTTGTCCCGCTCGTCTGACCTCTGAACAGAAGCCGCTCGTCTGTCCTGTTCTCCCAGGCCAATTCGGGCTCATCTTTGAGTTTTGCAAGGAAAACGGCGTGAATGTCTGCGACAGTCGGCCAGTCAGCTACGCCTTGGAAACCCATGATGTATAGACTGACCCCCAAAATGGCTGTTGACTCCGCCAGTAAGTAAAGGCACGATCTGGTTTGGAATGGCGGGGTAAACCCAAGCCGTACCACCGTGGTAGTGACGCGCGTCGGGGTTGTTGCAGGTGTCCATGGTGCGATGCCAAGAATCGATGAGCGTGCCAGATGCGCCGTCTGGCATAGGCAGGTGCTCCAGTCCGGTGTTGTTGCGTGAACCGCGACCCCACTGAAAGCCAGGGCGAGCGGCAGTCGTATTGGGCGGACATGTCTGAGCAAACCCGTACTGCGGATGTCTCATCTTGGGCGCAATAGCGGCCAGGCCCTCGCCGGCATCATCGTCGTACAGTCCTGCAGTGATGTGTTTTTCGAGTCGCGCTCGTTCTTCCCATGGGATGTTGATTAGCGGGTGATCGTCCCAGTTGTACCAAAGCGTCATATCCGGCAGATAGCGAGCGAATCTCGACATCATCAAGACGACATTGTCCGCTCGCTCTTTATGCGCATACGAAGGCGCACTGACTTCTCCGTTTCTGACCTCAACTGGCCAGGCCGCCCGATGGAGACTCGGCACAGCTGCCGCGCGCCGGCGAAACGATTCTGGACTAAAAGCGCGAAAGATCTTCAGATCCTCATCGATCATGTCGTACTCGTCGATGAGAGCGACGTTGTTCTCCCTGGCAAACGCATACCAGAGATCGAATCCCCGGGGAGGCTCAATCTGGTATCGCCTTTTATATTCCGCCACAGCGTGTGCAAAGGTAGTACTTTGGCGAGCAATCAGATGGTCGTATCGCCTCTGTGCACGTCGCATGAGAGCCGGTATCGGATGAGGCTCCCCTGGAACGAGTAAGATCCGACCATCTTTGCGTGGGCTGTAGGCAGCCGCGCCAGTCTCATCGCTGTCGTACAGCTCGAATGTTGGCTCGATGGGCTCGTCTGTCAGCTTTGACCACTGTTCATCAATCCACTGCATTTGTGCAGTCGGCCGCATCACGACCAGCACAGTGCCGCAGCAGCATAGCGTGACGACGGCGAACAGCCCCGCGAGGCGCTTGCTTGACTTTGCGCGCTTCTTGCGAGAGGTTCGCGAATTGTTACGGACGATGAGATGGTCGTCCGAGATGGTCGACTTGCCCAGAAGCATCTCAGAGCTTGCGAGATTCACGTCAGAGGAGAAGCCGCGACGGTGCTGAACGGGTGAGTTGAGCGTGAGCTCCCGACTGGCGCTTGACTTGTGCATCTTCCGCTCTGGCTCTGACCGCTCTTGGGTGGAGCTGATCAATCGCGCAAGTTGTCGTGGCAGCAGCAAAGGCTGACGAGCAAAGTGACCGACGATCTGTAAGGCCGAAGGCGGCTGCGTGGCAGGTGCAGCAAAGGCTCTGAATTCAGAGACGCTCTTGAGTGGTGACGACGAGTGAGGCTGATGCTTGCCGAAGCTAGCATAGGTTCTCAGTACCGGGCTCTGACTCGTCGTCATGATCTCGAGTGCGTAGACTGAGGCACATCCGCTCCTGCCTGACAGGCCTCTCTCGGCTTAGCGAGGCTCTTCATTAGCGAGGCTGTAGAAAATGGCTGAAGCGCGAAATCAATTGACGCACTCGACTCCATCGCGCCATCGCGATAGATCGCCCAAAGCGAGCGCCGGTTTTGGCTACGCGGACCAACAGCTCGGTGAAAAGATGGCCAGTGCTCGGTCACGGAAAGCTGAAGAACGGGCCAGACCTCTGACTACTGAACAAGGTTCCAAAGACGGTTGTTCGTCATTTCGTGGACCAGCGGAATCGCGGAGCGAGATGAAAGAACGATCATTGGAATAAGCAAGCAGGCCGGCAGCAGCGGTGCACAGGCAGAGGCTGATTAGAACAGGCACGGTCTCGACTGTTTTAATTACCAAGTCGGCAATGATCTTGAGAATCGAAGATCTTGTTGCGCTGGTCGAGATTCAGCTGAGCAGCGCCTTATGACGACTTCAGCAGTTGCATAGTCGATCTGCTCATTCCGGGCGTTTTGAGGTGCGAAAAATCAGCAGCTACAAAGAGACCGAGCGTCTCCTTGGTCTCACGTTGAGTATATTCATGCCTGTCGAAGCGGTCACCCCAGGCAGTCTACGGTCAGCGGAGTCAGTGGCATCGACCAGCCTACCGCCATCGTCTACCTGTCCGGTCTCGCGGACACTGTCGAGTCTGAAGAAGCCATCATCACCACGGGCGATGGTCAGCTCTCCGCTGGCCATGTCGACAGATGATATCTCGTCCTTGCCTGCGCGTAGACCTTGCAGCAACAGGCGGGCTAGTTTTGCATCTACGCTCTCGTCTGGCGCGCGTACTCCATCCGGCTCTGCCTCGCCCAAAAAAGTATGGTCGCTCTCATCCTCAAGCTGGCCAGACTGACATGAATGAGCAGGCTGTACACTTCCCGAAGCTATTCTCTTTGAGAGGCACGCAGATACAGTACTACTTTATCAATTCACCACCAGCGCCATCCTCGCCCTCAGCGAGCAATGCCACACAATCTCGACTTGCTCAGAGGCGATCATCCGTACCCGTCGTATCAAGTAGTCGGCCAACACGATCAGTACTCAAGAAGCCGTCGTGGGAGCCAATGCCAGAGGAATCTGTTTCGGCCGATGTCACGCGACAACATCTTCAGGCCGAAGGTCACATGGCGCCCAGGCCACAATGGCTTGCCTATCAGATCGCGCAAGAATTACACACATCCCTCATCGATCGAGAGCGATCCAAGCAAACCAGACCAAACTCGATAGATTCTTATTTTGCCATTGGAGGCTCGGGCGCGCGACCGCCCATGTCACCCGCCGGCCCACCCGTATCTTCTCCAGGCGGAACGATGCTCCAAGCTGCCCTAGTCAGATCTGTCGGTCCTCGCGAGGAAGACGAGGAAGAAGAGGAAGGGCAAGATTCGAACTTGCAGAAGCCAGTGCCCAAGCTCGCGCTCAAATTAAATTCGTCCAGCTTGGCGTCTCGCCGAGCTGCGAGAGGGCCGGACGAGCTGCGGACTCTCGTCTCGGGGCTCGCGGCCTTCAGCTGGACAGAGCCGCAAGGCGACGCGGTCAAGTCAGACGACATGGATTCGCCAACCGTGGGCGCATCCCCTCCGCCAAAGGCGACACCGCCCTTCTCCGACGGATCGACATCTTCCGAAGAGGACAACTCTGACTATGCCGAATCCCTCACAGATATCGACGAGGATCCATTTGGCAAATACCTCATGAACGCGAGCGATGACGAAGTGACCATAAGTACAAATTCTCGCTTATCTCTTCCGACCACAAAACCTGTAGACGGCAAGGACAGCGTGGACTGGGCACGCTGGAGCCTGGCACAGCCAGATGTCATGATCATTGATAGTTGAGGTTGGGTTGTATCATCCGTCTTTGCAGAAATGGGACATGTTCGAATACAAGCGAGCAACAACATGTTTGAGCAAAGCAATAGCATCAAGAGCACAGAATGTCCATGCGTTTGTTCAATAGGCGTCTCCGTTTTGAGAACTCATCTCCTGCGCACAAGTAGCTCCAGCTTCACTTTTGTCTGACTCGCAAACAGATCAGCTTGAGTTGCGCGAGCAAGTGGAGAGAGCACGAACGATGGCGTTGCAAGGCGTCTTGACGTTTGAATTTGCGACCGCATACGCAGGGATACTTTTCGATAGGAGCGTGCAATCCAGCGTGCCGTTTGAGATCGTGTGCGCGCGCAAAGCTGCTCATCCATTAGCTCGTTCTTGCATCGTCGAAAAGAGCTTAGCCTACCTCTTGCCACACTCTGGATAGTCACACTCAAAAGGTCGAGCACCGAGGTGAGAGTTGAGATGTCCCGCAAGATTATAACGACGTGTAAAGGTCTGACCACAGAACTCGCACTCGAATTTGGCCTGAGTACCTGGCTTCCTTCTTGCTTCTGCAGCTGCACGAGTGGCTTCCGTCGTTTGCGATTCCCAATGGAGCGGTTGAGCGCCCGCTGCGCTAGACTGATTCGATCCCGTCCTTCTATGCACTTGACGTGAGGGTCCCGATTCGTAATACGATCCATCGTCGTGGCTGCTGATAGCAGAAGACGAGCTTGACAGGACGCTATTAGATCTCGAGATTGATCCAGGAAAGGGCGATAGAGCGGGTACGTTGATCGTGTTGGGCGGTACAAGAAGCCCATATCGAGCCATGAGCTCGCTCGAGTCTGCAACTTGATATTGCGGGTGAGCCATCGGGCCTGGCCAGGCTGAGCCAGGTTGCGGTATCCCGGCAGTATATGGCATCTGAGGCTGGACATGGCTTGGCCAATACATGCCAGTGGTGTCGCTCAGACTAGCGCGATGTCGGTTGAGCGCATTACTGCTATGAGCTCTCCTGAGCGAATAATCAGCAGCTAAGTTGTCCGCTGTCAGATGATAGGGCGATGGTGAGGGTAGAGAAGGAATGGCAGGCGTAGTCGGAAAAGGCGAAGCACGTTCTCTCACATGGCTTCCTCTTCGTCTCGTTTTGTGAGGTCCAGCAGCGCTAGAGCGTGTTCTCATATCTTCATCGCCAGAAACGTCGCCTTGAGAGTAGGCGCTGAAGGCGTCATCGCTTTCGGACATAATCTCATCGTCTATTGCTTGCTCTTGCCACGGCGCAGGTTGCAGTCGATCTAATTGGCGAGGGTCGATAGCGTTCGACCTTGGGAAAACGGCATCCATCGGATGAAACGTAGCAGTGGGCGATATTGGGCCAACATCAGACTTTGAGCGCTGTCTTATCGGGTTACGACCCGACAAAAACGACTGTTGCGCAGCTGGAGCATGGGATTGAGGTTGAGCTTGAAGGAGATTTTGCAACTGCTGCCTTTCTTGATCTTGCTGCTGTTGAACAAGCGACCAGAAGAGTGATTCCTTCTCGCTCGTCGACCTCTGTTGGCCAGATTTGGCAGGCATGTAGTGTCTCGGTAGAGCTGTGGGCGGCACGGCGGTGTTGGGAGTCGCACCATGGAAGGAGATATTAGGCACTTCGGCCGGCGCATGTGCAGCAATAGAATCCGCCGCTCCTCCTGTGAAGTCAGGAATCGACAGCTTGGCAAGAGGTGGCGAGATGATACGTCCGTTGGGACTATAGCTATTCGCGTTCGTCCTCGAAACGGCGGCGGCCGAAGGATTATCCCTTGCTTGGGAGTCGTCTACTGCCAGTGAAGGCGGCGAAGACGTGAGTCTTTGATGCGAATCACTGCTGCTTCTCGATGCCAGCGAGTCTAGCCAAGCACGGTCGTCAGGCGATAGATTTCGCGGGGGCTCTTTGGCAGAAGGCGAGAAAGTAAAGTCTTCTATCGGCTTCAGGGTATCGCCTCTACCGGGTTGATAGAGCGGAAAACGATAGTCCTTGTTGTCCTGCTTTGAGGCAGCTCCTTGATGTAGCGTAGAGGACGGTAGAGCGCTGGGCGACTCTGTCCTGACGCTATCGATGAATTGACCTGCAGAATGACTGGGCGACTTTGCTTTTGCTTCTGCTCATGTTTCATGAGCAAGATCTTACTTGGACAACCAGATGTTATACCTAAGCTAAGGTTTTTGAGCTGCATTTGAGAGAGAAAGACGTCGCCTTGCGCATGGCCTTGCTGCTGGTGCTGAGTGAATGCGTCATGCGAGGGCACATGCGAGCTCGCGTCGTTGTATTCAGCGTGTGTAAAGTTGGCAGAAGGCTCAAAGTCTTCGTACTCGGAGGGAGGGCCACCCTCGCTTGAAGCGTAATCCCAAGTATTATGTTCTTCAGGCACGAGCAGATCGTGTCGGTACTCCTGCTGAGCCGACTGAGAGTGGCCCAACTCGGGCAGCGGCATCGGGGTAGGCAACATGGCACTGTTGAGCATACTGACCGGAGAATCGTAGTAACCCTCTTTGGCGGGTGTCGTATCGAGAGTGAGGGCCGTGTTGAGCTGATGGTGCCCACCATTGAGCATCTGTCCGTCGAGACTCATTGCAGATGATCCCGATCCCGCTCGAGAAGCGCCTTGACCGAACGCGAAGCCGTCTTCCGATTTTAGTCTCATCGGCATCGAGCGCAGGCCCGAGTGTTCGTGATAGCCTGCGCCTGTCGAGGGAGGCGTACCGTGAGAAAGTGAAGACGCGCTTCGTTGTGGGCCGAGCATGGCTTGCATGTACGCTTCCAGTGCTTCTCTAGGCACGGCAGGCGAAGGCTCAGGATCTCTGCCTGGCGCCCGATTTGCTTCTCGTCCTGCAGTTTCCATTTGGGGCACCAAGAATAGCTCAAGCTGTGGCTCGGCAGCAGTGTCTGTCGGCAAGCCTGATGCGTTTCGAAGTCAGAGGAAGGCTGAGATGAGTCGAAAGGCCAGCTCAAGTCAGCTGGCTCGAAGATGAGGGCATCGAGTAGCTGGTCTCGTCCAATTGACTTGATCGCGCGCTCTCCCCGCAGCCTCGTGGTCGCCTGTGCAAGCTTTGCTCCTCTGACGTCCTGTGAGATATGACGCGCAGGAAGGACAGTGCCAGTCCTCCGCAGTAGACTGAGACCAAGAGCTGGCTTTACCTGTTCGGCACTTGAGTGACCGCAAGGTGCGAGCAGTAAGTGTCGTAAGAAGTCGAACACGTCGCGCTTCAAAGTCGACGACGACTTGTCGACGGCTCGCCCGAGCTGATGACGTTTGTTTTGCCCGGCGAGACTGCCCCACGACCGTCAGATGCCATATCGATCGTCAAGCTAGGCCCAGGCTTGGGTCATCTTGGTCCGCTACACGGCAACAAGTCGAATAAAGACGACAATGCTTCCACTGTCACCGTCATCAAGTCTGGCTTGCTGGGCCAAGAAACGCTCTCTACGAACAGGCAGACCGAGTCTGCAGAGCTCACACAGTCCCTCTGGATCGATTCGGCCGGAAAACGCGTCCGTCGTCGTAGCTCATTAGCTGAATTCGCTGATGGGCGCATGGTCGTTTGACTAGTACAATCCCTCCCCGTCAGAGTCCGTCATCGGCTTTGTGACGTACAGAGGCGCAGAGGGCTACAGAGTCGATATCGGTGCTTCTCAGCCTGCCAACCTAGACGCACTCGCTTTTCAGGGTGCCACCAAACGTTCAAAACCGCAGCTCAACGTAAGCTCTCCTCATTTTTCACCTCGTTTCCGCAGTCTCACGCTCTTATCTCCGCGCTCTCGTCTAGTTGGGAGCAGCAGTGTATGCTCGTGTGAGCTTAGCATATGCTTTTGTCGAACCGGAGATCGAGTGCTATGATCCCACCACGCAAAAGTCAGCTGGCTTTGGCGAGTTGGAGGGCGGCATGATCTTACGCGACGTGCCTCTACGCAAATGCCGAGAGTGCGTGCCGGTGCTTCGATCGGTCGAGGGATCACTGACGTTTCTGGGCAAGCGCAGATTGCTTGCTGACAAAGATGCAGCGCTCAGTGAGCTAGGCAAGAAGATGCCGTTTGAGCTCGCCATCGGCGTCAACGGACGTATCTGGCTCAAAGGCGCCGACACAGCCTCGACGCTTGAGCTATACCAGACGCTTGCTAACATGTGCTCAGTGTGATCGTGATCGCTCGCTGCATGCCACGAGCATGAATTATCAGCCAAGTAGCAGGAAACCGTCCAAGCGCGGCGATGCTTGCTTTCGAGCGGCTCTATTTTGCGCCCATCAGAGGGGACATCATCTCTAGAGCGCGTGGTCAGACGCCAAACGCGGCATCGCGCACGAATGGTTGAGCTGGATCTAGCCCAGAGCGATCGAGCAGCCATTTGACATATGTTCAATGCAATTCGCATGTGTGGCTCTCTTGGCTTTGTTCTATCTCGGTCTCTATCTAGACGAGTCCATTGGCTTCGAGCAGCAGAACGATCTGGTGCACAATCTCCGAAGCGGTCTGTTTCGACATATCGACGACCAGATCTGGCTTTTCCGGATCCTCATATACGTCGTCTGTCGTCTCATCAGATTGGGCTCAGGCCGGTCAGAGCAAGAGACTGACCGACGCCTGTGAAGCCCTTGATTTCACCATTGCGTGCACGCTTGTATGTCCCCCTTCTGTCTGTCTTCTCGCAGTAGGCCAGAGGCGTAGCAACGTGAACGAGGAAGAATGTGCCACCGCCTGCACCACCATTGGTCAAGACGTGTTCCTTTGCGGCTTTGCGCGAGGCTTCGAATGGCGCGATAGGTGCAGCGATAACGGCAGCGCCAGCTCTTGACAGCTCAGCACTGTCGCGACACACCGGCTTCGTAAGCGTGCGACATGGTCTGGGCAGCAAGAGGAACTGACGCTACAAAGGCGATACGCTGGATGTTCTTATGACGGTCTTCGTGAGTGAAGCCGAGCTCTGACGACAGCTCCGATCGGACAGTCTCGCCGAGGAGCAAAGAGACGCTTCGACCGGCTTGCTGATTGAGCGAAACTTGTAATGCACGCGCGATGGTATCTTTGCCGGAATTATACAAGCCCGTGAGGAAGACTGTACATGCTCTCAGTCAGTTACGCGGGCGAGCGCAAATGGCAGAAGACACACTCGTGAAGCCTTGCTTGTTGCGAGGCGGGTATGATTCTCTGAGCACTTTGACGACGGCATCGTAGGAAAACCAATCGGGGATGGGCTTCCTTGCTATTTCAGCCTTTCCCTACAGCGGTAGCACAGCGCGAGACTCACAGCACCGGTCTTGAGCCTTCGACGGAGCTCGGTACCGCTGATGTCGAGCGTCTGGGTACCCTTTGGCACTTCGTCAATGGGTTGGTACTCGTCTGATCCGGGCAGATAGGTCATCATCTGGAAGGGCACCATCTCGATATCCAGCTCTTTCGAGTACTTTGTGACGAGCTCTTGCGCATCATAGGGTCCGTAAAAGTCGACGCCTTTGGATGACTTGCCCGGTCCAGCGCTGTGTCACCTGATCAGGATCGCTCCAGCAAGCAAGATGACGACGAACTGATCACGACCGACGATGAAGAGCGAGCAGCCAAAGTTCTTGCGAATGATAGCATGCCAGATAGCTTCACGAGGTCCTCCCATGCGCATGGCGAGCGGCAAGAGCGCCAGGGCGGCCATACCGTTGGGATAAGTCTTGATGATGGCTTCGTAAACGCGCACGCGAGTGAAAGCGTCGACATCGCCGGGCTTGGTCAGGCCGACAACGGGATGAATGAGCAAGTTAGCCTGGTTCTGACGCGCTGCTCGGACAGTGAGCTCTCTGTGGGCTCGGTGCATGGGATTCCGGGTCTGGAAAGCAACGACACGTCGCCAAGCCAGCTTGACAAAGTGTGCGCGAAGCTCAGCAGGTGTATCTGTGAAGCGGTTGTGTGTATCAGCTGTGGAATCGCTGATGATGCATGCCGCTCACATCTGAGGGCTACATAGTCGTAGTGTACGGGCGCAGCGATGGCTTCGACGGAACCGCCGACATAGTAGTCTTTTGCTGTTGCGTGCAGGTACTTGACAGCAGGATGAGCGAGATCGTCTGCGCCAAAGACTTTGACAGCCTCGTTAGACTTGTCAGGCTTGTAGACGTCCGTCACTGAGCTAGCGGTCAGCCGACGCGGTCCAGGGTGCCAAGACTTTCTGACCTGTGAGTATAGCGAGCGCTTGCTCGTCGCGAAAGTCCCGCAGCGTGATGCGAGCTCCCGCTCTGAGTCCGAGCGACCTGATTTGGGACTCGTCGACGTCCAAGGTGATTGGCATTGTCCAAAGAGTGCCATCAGCAAGTCGCAGATTCTCGACGACGCTGTCATCTCCTGTTGATCCCATGCACGCGCCATTGCCGCAATGCAAGCTCACCTCGTGTAATCAGCTTCGTTCATGAAGCCTTCGAGCGGTGAGAAACCGCCAGACATGAGGAGCTCGAGGTCGCATAGCTGTCGCTCTGCCAGGGAAATGTCGGGCAGTCCGTGCGATTCTTCGAGGAGAGCAGCTTTCTTGCTTGCATCACGGACGATGAGGTCTTTGAGCACTCCTCCGTGCGGTGCGTTCACCATGTTAGCAACCTCCCGAGTCGTGCACAGTCCGCCTGACGCCGAAAAACTTTGCTGTGGAGGCGCGCGCGATGGCGACATGCCCCCCAAGCCAAGCCAAGCCGGCTGATCCCCTCGTCGGTGCAGTCTATGCAGCAAGCCAAGGCGCTCATCGCGAGCCAGAAGTACTCTGAAGCAATAGCACTGCTCGATGTCGCGCTCAGCAAGTCGCCTGACCTGCGATTGCTCGACTTGCGTGCAATAGCAAAGGACGCGAGTGATCAATGGCGAACCGCTCTTACCGATGCCCAGCAGATGGTCAGACTTGCGCCTGACAAGCCAATGGTGCGCATACCATACTTGAGCGTGGTCGGGCCTCACATTTCGAGCAGGGCTACTATCGCGCCGCAAAGATCCTCGCGAAAAGAGGCAAGTACGATAAAGCGCGCGCATTCATGCAAGAGGCCATCATCCGCAGCACTCCCACTGCCCAGACTGTCTTGCAGAATGAGCTCGCGCAGATTGTGCCGTCACAACTGGCTAGCAATCTCTTCGACAGTCTGCCTGTCGAGGTGATCGCACTCATCTTCAAGTACAACATCGCGTCGGCATCCGGCGTGGCAAATCAAAATCTCCAACTCTCGAGACTGCAGCGTGTCTGCAGACGTTTCCACGATATCATCGAGTATGACGCTACATTCTGGCAGCGCTTCGAGGTCGTGAGCAGCCATCGTCGCAACCTGCAGAAGATGAAACGCTGGCAAGACAGACTCGGCAAATCTCATCTAACCGACCTTGTTGCGAGTATAGACTCTTTCGAGAGCTATGAGAAATTTGCCCTCTCGAAAGGCATGAGTCTTTCGGCCTTTGCAGGTCACGCTCTCACATCGCTAAGCTGTAAAGACATCACGGAAGATGTCAATGCTCTCATTCACAACGTTGCAAGCAACCTAGTCCACGTCTCTCTGGGCATATCACGTTGCGGCGTTCCGCTCGAGGTTCTGCTGCAGTTTTTCCCTCGTTCTCGTACCATCAGACTGGGCCCTAGGGGCGCAAGCTGGCAAGATTTTGATATCGGGCCGTATGAGGTCCTACACCCTTACGATAAGAACCGGGCACATCCTATCGAAGAGATTACCATGCTGGAGTGCACAATCAGTTCCGAGGCCGGTAAACTCGTCCGCGGCCATCCCGTCCGACGCGACTGGTACAGCAATGTCAGAAGTCTACTTCTCCAAGACTGCTGCCCTGGAATCGATCAACCCTTTGCCTCCTGGTTCGAACCAAATACTTCGTCAGAGCGCAAATACGACCTACCTCGTCTGCAATATCTCGTCATCTCTGACAAGCGCAGGATCGCCGATGGCCCCCTTCTCTCCCTCGCGCACTGCCAGAGCTTGCAAAAGGCAACTATTGTCAATTACGGCATAGCCAGCCTGCCGAGCTCTCTGCAAGCCCTAAAGTATTCTTTTCAGGCTGGTCAGGCTGCGCCGAGTCTCGTCGAGACGCTGTCGAGCTGCCAGGAGCTGCGACATCTCACCGTAGACGGACACGGATTGGAGGGTCACGCCCTCTCTGCGCTTCTGCGGCACAGGCCGCTAGATCTCAGATCGATCAACGTCGGCCCCAGATCATGTTTGAGCAACCTCGATGTCGAAGCCCTCTTGTGCTGTAACAACCTTCAGGCCCTAGAATTACGAGGTCTCGCCGACATCACCGGCGGTCCTCTCGTGAGGCTCGTCAATGCATTGCGCAACCCAGAGACTGGCAAAGCTGCCATCAACCTATCGGTTGACGATTGCCCCAACATCGCTGTTGATGCACTGGACTGGCTGCGCGCAAATATCGATGGCAAATTCAGCGCAAAGATGACTCAAGTCTCTCGCAGTCGATGATACCACGCGCAAGACGAATCACGACTAAGCATACTCTGATCATGTAATCTGTGGCAGTAACGGCAACGATGCATTCCCGCGCGAGCCCGCTGTCGGTAAGACTTTCGCCGGTGCTAGGCAAGCGGGCCATGATCTTGCTTGAGCTTTAGATCGTCGACGAGTAGGCTACACCTGGCGATCAGCGCATGGCAGATCACGCACGAATCACATACTTGGACTGCACCAATTTCACCAATTCCTGTGCGCACTGCTCAGTCGACTAGAGCGAGCGACTTACATCGTCCATGTCGTGCACATTGGCCGACTTCAACCACCAGCTCGAAAAGGTGACCGACCAGCGCTTGAAGCGGAAGCAAATCACAACGTTATCTTGGGGGTTCAAGATCTCATACTGTCCACCACCAGTGACTACTGAAGCACATTAGCTTTGCGACGTGTACAAGTTGCGCGTTGCTCGCTTGTGTAGCAATGCTCGAGCAGATCGCCATTGGTTTTTGATTCGTTCGAAGATTCCCACTTTGCTCTGATGCCTTGCATTGGCTTGTAGATACTCATACCCTGCAACTACGTACAGTCACGCGGATGCGGTTCAAGAGGCATGGCTTACGTTAGTCTGATGGTCAACATGAGCTTGGAATCTAGCAATGTAAGCGATCGAATTCTGGTCAAAAGCTGCGCCTGGAGCCGGGCTTGCAACAAAGTAGATGTTGAGATCTGGTCCGTATCGAGGGCCCACCGCACGGCGTTCGACGCCGTTGCCGCCTGCTAGAAGGTCTAGTTTGTTTCTGTCTGACGCATAGCTCGGCAAGGCGGCTACAGTAGCGCACCAGACACTGAGCAACGCGGACACAACGGCGCTTCTCATACTCGTAGCTCGTGAAGAGAGGAGGAATTGAGCTGGCTTGCTTGCGACAACAAGGAGACAAGAAATTGATGTTAGGTTGCATCGCGATAGCGCACTTGCCGCTCGCGGTAAAGCCAAATTACCAGATCATCGCGTGATGGTGCTTGTTACAAAGTATGCGAAGACGAAGTGCAAAGCCCGGCGGCGTGCGATCGTGTAAGTAGCGAGAGCGATCACTGAGATCTCATTCGGTGTTTTGTCTGGTGCCCGGTTCAGGGAGCGCAGAGGCTAGGCAATCGAAGACTCCGCTTGCATGTTTGCATTGTCGCGGCGCAGCAAACATTCGCACGATCGTTGATCAAACTAGCGGGGCATAGTCTTGCTTGAGTTTAACCTCGTCAACATAGAGACTGGACCCAGCAATCAGTTGTGCAGCAGATCAAGCACGGAGCACTCACTCGGACTCGACGAACTCCACGAGAATCTGCTAAGGGCGCTGAGACGTGTAGATGCAGCACACGACGAATGACTCACGTCGTTCTTGTCGTGTACATTGGTCGATTTGAGCCACCAACTAGAGAACACGACGGACCAGCGCCTGAAGCGGAAGCAGATTACGACGTTGTCTTCGGGATTAGGGCTTTGGGTCTGTCCTCCTCCAGCGACTGGTCATTCCATCAGCAATTTGTCCTGCAGGTGCGAAGCGCTTGCCTGTGTAGCAATGCTCAAGCAGATCACCGTCTGATTTGGCGACGTTTGATGATTCCCACTTTGCCGTGACGCCTTCGACGGGATAGAAGATGTCCATGGCCTGCATAAGCCAATGATTTTGTGTCTACCAGTCGTTCAGTACTGGCCCACATTATTGCGATGATTGATATGCGCTTCAAATCTGGCAGCGTAGATCTGCGAACTCGGGTCGAACTGTTTGTCTGTCACCCTGCTTGCAACAAAGAACACTCTGAGATCTGGTCCGAAAACAGGTCCGACAGCATGATTCGTGGGAACAAGGCTGGGAGCTTGGAGACCATCATTGGGTGTGTTCTGCTCGGTGGTGGGCAAAGCAGAGCCAGCGGCGCACACTGCGAGACCGACGAGCACAACGGCAGCTCTCATTCTCGTAGCTGGTCAACAAACAAGAGCTGAGCTCGTTGACTTGCATTGCAAAGAGGAGATGAGACAATAGTCGTCAAGTCGTAACGCGAGGGGGGCTTCTGCTGTTAGAGCGGGCACGCAGTGCATTGCTTTCATGTTGCTTCGACGAAGTATATAAGCATCTATCAGTCTGAAGACTGCACGACATGCAGGGTAGGGAGATCGGGACACAGCTGGACAACGACGTGCGCTACACTCTGAAAATCAACCGCGATGGATATCGATAAATGCAGAAGTCACTGATGCATCTATACTCGCAGCATGTCACACAGCTTGAAACTAGCCTCATGTCTAGACTAGGGGTCCCAGGTCCTGCTGGAGCTTCTGGCCATTGACGAAGAGCCTATGTCGAAAAATCAGCGCAGTCAGGGCCGCAGGAGACGAGAAAACCGACGCAGAATTGACGGGAACTTCCGGATCCTGCATATGTCCGCAGGTCAGACTGTTGATCATTGAGTCCGCATGACTCACAAGATCGTTATCGAGGATGTTGGTCGACTTGAGCCACCAGCTCGAGAAGTTGACCGACCAGCGCTTGAAGCGGAAACAGAGCACGACAGTGTCTTTTGGGTTGTGAGGGCGGAATTCTGCGCCTCCAGAGACTGCAGCATTGACATCAGCACTGGTGTTCCACGATCGAGAGAGTAGAATGCTTGCTCGTGTAGCAATGTTCGAGATGATCACCGTTAGACTTTGCTTGACCCGACGATTCCCATGTGGCTCGGATGTAAGGGCCGGGCTGGAAGATGTCCATAGCCTGTCCAAGACTTTCAGCAAGGATGCCAATGGTGACAAGTCGACCTACATTGTTGTGATGGTTGATATGGGCACGGAATTGAGCGTTGTAAGCCTGAGTATTAGGATCGTACAGTTTCTCGGCTGAGACGCTCGCAACAAAGACGATATCGAAGTCTGGGCCGTACAGAGGTCCTACAGCACGGCGATCGAGACCTTCATCGGCGGCTTGGTTACCGACCTGGCTGGGCAAGGCGAACGCAGTAGCGCACAGAACCGAAACGATAGAGAGGACTGCTGTGTTCTTCATCTTGCAAGCTTAGTAGCTCACCCAAATCGCTGGACGTTCTGTCGTTGCGAGCGTCCGATCGTATTTTCCTGGCTGAGAGCGTCTGTGAGACGATCACCGCCAAGCGATGATCCCTTTGACGACGGTCGCGCATTCTGGTTGCTCGTGCCGCGATTGCGACAGAGACACTGAGCGTTATCCACGACAGGTATCATAGCGAAGCGATTTACAAGCGGGGTTGCGAGCAAAGAGGATGCGTCAGATCCGTTGTAAAACAGTGTGCTGTGAACGATCGTTGCGAAGTTGATCGATAAGCGATAGTGCCGACGACGAATGGCGCGCGACCTTGTCTGCAGCGCATTATCAGCTCATCATTGCCATTCGAGATGCATCTGACGTTAGTGACCAGCAGGCTTGGCAGCTTTGTACGCTACATGAGACGATTTTGCCGACTGAATTGCCCGTTCTATCCTTCTGTGATTTGGCTTATATCGCCAACGACAGATGTGCCGTGACCAGCCGGGCTTCTGCTGTCATAGCGAGCACGCAGTGCATTGCGTTGATGTTGCGCGAAGAAATTAAGCATCTGTCAGAGTAAAGACTGCACGACATGCAGATGCGCAGTCACGGCGAGAAAGGAGATTGAGACATGGCTGGACAACGTCATGTGCTACACCATCGAATTAGCTCGCGAACTCGCGATAGATATCGATGGATTGCGGTGAACGCAAAAGTCACTGATGCTTGAAAGCCGATCAAAGCTGCGCGAGATCCGTGCCGAGTTTGGATGATATAGCATGTCGGCTTGCGTAGCACCTGACCCTGATTACTGACTGATCAGTGCGACATCTCCGTCATCAACGCACAGTAGTCCAGACTTCGTTCGGAAAGCGCAGCTGAGGGACATCTGATCGCGATAAGGTGGCAACAATCACAGGTTGCATGGACATTCTCGGCCCGTGCCGCAGACGATCGCGGCAATATGACTAGGCAAGAGGTCCGAAATCTTGCTTGAGCTTGTCGCCATTCATGGTAAGCCTGCGAGGAGCAGTTAGCAGAGCTAGATCATGGATGCGGTGCACCCACTGGGACTGCTCAATCGTGACGCTGAACTGTAATTATACCAATCTTCAGCGGTGAGCAAAGAGCGTGCGGCGCAGGACCTACGCCATCAGAGTCGTGCACGTTGGTCGACTTGAGAAACCAGCTTGAGAACTGAACCGACCAGCGCCGGAAGCGGAAGCAGATGACGACGCTGTCGCCAGGATTAAGGGGCTGATACTCTCCACCTCCGGTGACTGGCTAGCTCATTAAGCACTATGGTTGCATGCAAAGGGGCAAAGCGTCGCTTACTTGTATAGCAATTTTCGATCACTTTGCCGTCCTTTGAAGCGTTTGAGGACTCCCATTTGGCGGTAATGCCAAGCATCGGATGGAAGATGGTCATACTCTGCAAGTGCTTGTGCTCAACTATGTGAATGATCGCTAGAAACCACTAGCTCACGTTGTCATGATGGTTGATATTTGCATGAAAGTAAGCAATGTAAGGCTCGGACTCCACGTCGATGGGTGTGCCTTTCTTTGTGCTCGAGATGAAGTACATGGCAAGATCCGGTCCCCAGGTAGGTCCCGTAGCGCGAGCATCGAGGGCGCTGCCGGTGGCACGGTCACCAACGCTACGCTTGTCCTGGACGCTGCTCGGCAGGGCAGAGACTGTAGCACACAGGGCTGCGACGATCGAGACAATGGCGGAGGCCTTCATCTTGCTAGCTTGAAAAGACCGACTTGCAAAGCTCAAGGAGCAAGTGAGCGGCTTTGATACTCTGTTGTGGCAGGCAAAGATGAAACAGGGCGATAGTGAGCATGTTACCCGGCGCGGGGTTTACCGGAACTCTGCTGTCTTGACGACTGATGACAGATGCAAGGCCGAATGGAGTGTAGTATCGGCCACCGAATGCGAGGATGACACATCAGTTATTCTTGCCATCGCTTATGCAGCCACATAGCAAAGCAGCAGCAAGACCGTTCGCTATAGTCCGCGAGCATTTAACATCTGCAATGCTCTTGATCTTGCATACGACGAGCTTCTTGTAGTTGCGGATGCAAAACGTTGCGAATGACCTCTGATCTACGAGCCAGGGCGTGGAACAATGGGAGAGGCACCACGCCGGGGGTTCCGTCTGCTCTTGATCAGAGATATTGAGGTCTATGATGCTATATGGAATATAATGTCATCCGAGAGGGTTCAATGCAGACTCGAAGGCCCCGCGATGGCCTGGGCACAGACTTGGCAAGGGAACGAGGCTGAGGCCACCTCAGGGAGGACGTCATAGACCATTCATCGTGCGCGCGAACGACGATCATGTCTATAAGAGGAAACCCGAGGAAACCAGTGCGCGGTCGTCCTACCTCATCCTACCCGTCATCATCATGGGCGGCGGACGACTGGCCCAGGCGCAGCCACGGTCTCAAAGCAGCTCAAGTGCAAGCACAACATGTTCGCTATCGAGCACTTCGACGGCCAACATGGCGACACGAGAACAGCTGAACGACATGCTACGCTACATCAAGATGAAGTGGACTGTCCTCACTCGTTCACCCTCGGATATCCTCGCTATCGTCGAAGATCCCAAATGGCCACTCAGGAGCGATAAGGACAAGTGGCCGCTGTATGTCGCGCCTACAGAGGATGCGGCCAAAGTCAAGCTCATCATCGACACGCTCAATTTACCCGCCGATCGTGCAAAGGTCGAAGTGATACAGCTCAGAGAACTCAGTGTTGATGCTGTGAACGGTCATCATGGTGCTCTGTGGTTGCCGTACCCGTATCCTGTACCGGGCGGCAGATTTGCCGAGCTGTATGCCTGGGACGGATCTCTGGCGACATTTGGCATCCAAGCGGACGGTCTCACCCATCTGGCGCAGTCGACGCTAGACGCCTACACCTACAGCATCGATCACTACGGATTTATATTGAATGGCAACAGGCAGGTGCAGGCTGTCTGTACGAGGCATTGTCACTCATCCCCCAAGCTTGGCATGCAGGACTTATTACTTGTCACGCTCGCAACTACCTTTCTACACAACCATGGTCGTCCGTGATCAGCGCTTCCATCAAGACCAAGCTTGGCTTGCGCACGCCTACGCAGCAGCCAAGACCTACTACGCATATTGGACACAAGGTCCCCATTTCGTCCGGTCGACGGGCTTGTCGCGCTTCTTCGATCTCGGACGTCCGGGTTCTGCGCCGCCCGAGGTTGACTCGCACGAAAAGGATTCAGACGGAAAGACAGCTCACGACCGCGTCAAAGCCTACTATCGAGCGCATTGGAGAGAAGGCATACCCGACTACGATATTCTGAAACGATACGATCCGGAGACCGATCAGTTGACTGCAGAGTACTTTGACAATGATCGAGCGATGCGCGAATCGGGCTTCGACACGTCTCGCCGCTTCGGCATGTTTGGTGCAAAAGTACTCGACATCAATCCCGTCTGCCTCAATTCCTTACTTTACGCGATGGAAACCGAGCTGGCCATGATCGCAAAGAAGCTCAATCGAGTTGCCGAGGCGAAGAGATGGACCGGAGCAGCAGAAGAGAGGAAAGCGCTAGTGAACAAGTATATGTGGAACGAGCGGGATGGACTCTTTTACGACTACGATCACGTGCGCGAGGCTCAAACAGATTACTGCTTCGGTACGACGTTCTTGCCTCTTCACGTTGGCCTGGCTAGCGCAGAGCAAGCCGCAAAAGTACGCAGGAACGCTCTGCGACGGCTCGAAGTCGCAGGCGGATTGATGACTTCGGATCGGTACACAAGGGTACAGTGGGATGCGCCGTACGCATGGGAGCCGCTGCAATACTTTGCTGTGAGCGGACTGGATAGGTATGGATTCAAAGAAGACGCCAAGCGGATAGCAGCCAACAACACTTCGATGATGCTCAAGATCTTCCTCAAGACTGGCGAGATCTGGGAAAAGTACAACGCTGTCGAACGTAATGAAGAGGTTCACCTCGATTTCGGTATGCTTTTCAGCTCAGTCGCTTGGCCGAGCTGACATTGGAGCAGGATATTCGAGCAACGAGCCTGGCTTTGCGTTCAGCAATGCTTTTGCAACCATCTTTGCGCGCTATGTCGGCCTTGACGATGCCAGTCTGTTGCACCTCGATGGCATCCCGGTACCAGCGCATGTATAGCCACCGAACACAGACTTGTATGCATGTCCATTACGCATTGACACTCACTCGGCAGCGAGCGGCTTGCGAGCAACAACGAGCATCATCGGCGTGAAGATCTTGAGTTGGCCAGCTTCGGAAAGCGACCAGGCTGCCACTGTGAGCGATTTGACGCAAGCGCGCGTGCCTTTGGGCGCAAGTCTGAGCAACTCGAGCAGACCGACAAAGAGACAGCTGAGCCACATGGCGACACTGCTCGTGCGAATGACGGTAAAGATGTCCATGAAGCTTTGCACTTGTCTGATATCGCCCGAGAGCGGGTAGTACCAGGGCTGCGCTGGCATGAGCGCTTGTTCATCTTGAACATCTGGAGGCACACCTTGCCCATCTCACGTTCGGCGAGGTCTTCCTCAAAGACAATCTCCATGCCGGTCCCTTTGATTGCAGCCTTACAGTCGGCAATCGTGCGAAGCTATAACCTCCGAGCTTCAGCTTGTCGAAAGCTGGAGTAACGCCAGTCAGACCTGAGGTATGCCATCGCCAAATTCGATCTGACGTGCGAGCTCTACGTGCTTGGCATCGGCAGGGTCATATCGATCGGTCATGCACCATTCGTATACGCCAAATGTACCGCCTGGCTTGAGGACGCGCATGATTTGGGTGTAGCACGCGAGCCAGTCGGGTGCATGGACGGTTGCTTCGACGACGAAGACGTGATCGAATGAGTTCTCTCCGAATGTATCGACGAGCGACATAAAGTCGGCATGGACGAACTGTAGCTGCTTAGACAGACCTTTTTCTGCGGCGTACCTGTTGGCCTTTGCAACTTGATACTTGCAGATCGTCACGCCTGCGTGACAACGCAGACATGGGCATAGATCGCTCAAGTCATAGCTGCCTCACCTGTAACGTGTGCACCGGTAAAGCGAGCGATCTCGGTGGCTGGCCCGCCAACACCGCATCCGGCCTGCAAGACGATCAGCTGAGGATCGAGCGACAGATCCGAGATCGCACATCCAGCACTCTCGATCCTGGCGTGATGCCAATGCGGAGAGCGAGATAGTGTTGATGACGTGCAATGGCTTGACCGAATGGCTCGCCCCGGTAGAAAGTGCAAAAGTGAAAACTTTGGCCCCAGCCTTGTTCGAAGATGTCCGTCACGCCATCATAGTAGCTCGCAACGACGTTCTTGTATTCTTTGATCCGCTTTGATTCTTGTTCGATTGTCCCTTGACCGAGTTGGTCGACTTTTCCATTGGCAAAGTAGTCGCAATAATTTTGCATGCCATCCTCCGAGCGCAACTCCTTGCGACGCTGCACGAGCTGATTGCCATTGACGGCGGGCGCTTGCACCATGCTCGCTGCTCTTGCTGCGAGGTGAGGAAAAGATGCTTGCCGATACAAGGATGGAAAGTGGTACGATCTTTCGCGAGATAGGAGTGCTGCGACGAAACTCAAGTGGCATGACGACGGAATGACGCAAAAGGTTGCATTGAACAGGTTGTCACTCCGGTTTGCGGGCAATGATCATCTGCATGGGCGTAAAGATGCCGAGCTTGCCGCCTTCTCCGAGGGAAGCGGCTGCTACACTGAGTGATTCGACACAGTCGCGCGTGCCTTTTGGCGCAAGTCTGAAGAATTCGAGCCAGCCGACGAAGATACAGGTGAGCCACATGGCGAGTGTAGTCGTGCGAATGACGGTGAAGATGTCGGCGAATGTTTGAGCTTGACGTATGTCACCCGTGAGAGGGTAGTACCAGGGCTGCTCGAACGTAAAGTCAGCGATGTACGCATGTGATCAGAATCGCTTGCCTTGCCACAGTCACGCTCGGCGAGGTCTTCCTCGTAGAGGATTTCTAGACCAGCAGCCAGCACAGCTTCCTTGCATTGGTCTGCTGTACGCATCTGTTTCAACGAAGCTCATGATCAGCGCCAGCGCTGATCAGTAATGGTCGCACTGAACCTGAGGCAGACCGTCTCCAAATTCGATCTGACGAGCGATCTCGACGTGCTTAGGGTTACTCGGATCGTAGCGATGCGTCATGACCCATTCGTACATGCCAAAGACGCCGCCAGGTTTGAGCACCCGCATGATTTGAGAGTAGCAGCCCTTTGCGTCTGGCGCATGGACCGTCGCTTCGCAAGCAAAGACATAGTCAAAGGTGTTCTCTCCGAACGTGTCGACAAGCGACATGAAGTCGCCTTGAACGAACTTGAGCTGATGTGAGAGGCCTTTCTCGGCAGCGTATCGATTGGCCTTTTTGACTTGATGCGCATTGATCGTGACGCCTGCTTTCCTCTCAGCATGCGATACTACGAGTACTCGGATATAGCCTACCTGTAACGTGAGCATCTGTAAAGCGAGCAATTTCTGTCGCAGGTCCGCCGACACCACAGCCCGCCTGCTTAGACATTCGAGCCCGGTTCACATTGATGACGTGAGAGTAATGACTGACATCGAGGACTTTTGAGCCAGGTGTGATGCCGATGCGGAGAGCGAGGTAGTGTTCGTAGCGGGCGATGGCTTGTCTGACGTTGGCAATTAGCGCCGCTCAATGTGCTCGAGCAGGTCAGCTTACTTGAAAGGCTCGCCTTTGTAGAACGTGCAGAAGTGCCAGCATTGTCCCCAGCCATTTTCGAAGCTGTCTCGACCAGGTCAGATAGAGACAAGGGCTGACAGGGAGGGGACGTGCACATCCGTCACACCTACGAAGCAGCATCAGCGTGGGCTCATACCAGATCGAGCAGCAGCAAACCATCGTAGTATCCAGAGACGAGGCTCTGATAGTCCTTCAGTCTTGCTTTCTCTTCTTCCGCAGTGCCCTGGCCGAGCTTATCGACGTTGCCCTGGGCAAAGTAGCCCGTGTAAGCTTTCATGCCCTCGGTAGATCGTGGATCTTTGCGCTTGATGAGCGTCGAGTCACCGTTGACCATCTTTGTGTTGACCATCTTGCCGTACAAATCTTCGAGGTGGAGGATCAGGTTTGAGCGAACGAAGGGGACGTTGCGATCAAGAAATACTCGAACGATGAAGGTACGAGCGCAGATGGCGTTGCCGCTCGGGCCCATGTGAGATCGGTGTCACAGAAGCTCGAAGGGCTGAGCCTCTGTGATCGATACGATGGACGCCAGAGATGAAACGAGCTGTAAGAAAGCCGCTGGTGTTTTAGGAAAGCCGGCTCCATGGCGTCGGCCGACCTTGTGGCACAAAGGCGACAAAGGCGATCAAGAAGGACAGCGCAGACTGAAGCCAAGCGGAGTCTGAAGAGTATTAATGGCAGGATCTGAGAGTGTGGACGGGAAGTCTGGAACGATCAAAGACTGCGAAAGTCGGTGGAAGCACAGGCCGGCCAAACTACGGACAGTAAAGGCCACAAGTGACTTATAAATGAGGAAGCGTCGAACGAAGCTCGTCGCGGCAGACAACATGAGCTCACGGCCGCAGCGTACAGCAGCGCAGACGGGCAGTCCGTCTGGCAACCGCATCTCCATCACGCTAGGTAAGCGAGCGCGTAAGCTCAGCAGTGAAGAGCCAGAACAACCGCCAGCGCAAGACTCTCAAGATGAAGACTATACCGAATCAGGTTCGCCTGTCTCGTCTCAGCTCGCCTTTGAGCTTAGCCGTAGAATTGGATGGACAGATTTTGGCACGCCTGAGAGAGGGACTGCCAGGCCAAAGCGAGCTAGGACCAGCTCGTTCAGAGACGACTCACCTTCTGTTCGCTCGACGCCTCGACGCGCTGCTCGCAAAAAGGCGCCTGTAGACACAGCAGGCACGGACGATGACGATGAGGATGAGCCGATAGATGATGAGGAAGGGGAAGACGCCGTCGAAGTGACAGAGTCAGGCGCAACGACGCCTGCAATTTCCATCTCCCAACATCGCAGTCACAAGAAAAGCGCCCGGAATCCCTCTGGCTTGCGGCGACAGTCTTCCACGCCAGCCTTGGCTACACCTTCTGGAGACGACGGACCTCTGGATGAAGAGTCTGATCTTGAAGACGACCTGCGTGGAGAAGGAAAGATAGACAGGAACGGCGTTCTGCAAGACGGCCGTGTCTTTCGTATATCCACCTTTGAGCTCCCAACGCGTGCGAACAAGAAGAAAGTCTGGGTGCTCAGTATTGACGCGGCAAAGATGCAAGGATACCGTGACTCGGTGTACTTCTATAAACACAATCCGAGGATCACCAAGACATCTGCGACTCAGCAGGAGAAAGATCTGCTCGCGCGACTCGATCGCATTCATGCCAATCTACGGCATCGTCAGGTGAATATCTTGCCTGCTCGTACGCTCTTCAAGGCGTTCGGTGCGACGACTATACAAAGTGAGCATCTTTCACGAGAAGTGACGATTGATGCCAAGACAGACGTGCAGATGGCAAATGGATCGTTGACGATTACTATGAAGACGCTTCCATAGCGGCAGGCAAGACACCCGGCGAGCGAGCCGTCAACGAAGCAGAAGACGAAGTCGAGAACTCTCTTCTAGCGCCTGCCATGACGCTCCAACCACTCTCACGTGACGAGCGAGAGGACTCGGTCATGACCGATCCTAGCAGTCGACTCCATTCCCGTCTGACAGGCAGCAGACTGGTCAAGTCTCTTGCCTCGGTCTCATACAGCGCCAGAGGCACTTTTGCACCTTATCAGGCTGGCTCTGTGCAATTCGGTGGATCAGGACAAGATCCTTATACGCTCGTCTACAATGCCACGAATCGAAAGACCAAGCTAGCTGCCCAGTTGACCGAAGAAAATTGGATGCACCAGTATGCTCTAGCTATACGAGGCAAGAACAGCGCTCTGCTTCATTTCAGGCGGGACAATGTCGAGCCTGCAAGTCTGGGCCGACCGCAAAAGCTTCGTACTGCTACCGAGTTGACGCCCATAACCAAAGTGGAAGCTGTCAAGGAAGGCTGGAACATGCCTGTCAACCCAGAACACGAGCCGCCTGAAGCGCCTCTGGATGCTGACGATCAAGATGACGACGGGCCCAAGCCGTTGGGTATCTACGAGCCCCACACGAATGTTTACCATGTTCCCAAACTCACCCAATCAGCTCAAGCTACCTTGGAGCAACTCGACCGGTTGCCCCATATCGATTCTGTACGGAAGATGGATTTCGACGGATTCCCTTCCGACTGGGTCCAGAAACAAGATCGTACTGCGATAGAGTACCGTATTCGCCGAGCCGGCAGACGATGGGGTTTCGCTTCCATCTCTACAGAGATGGCTGACCCTGTCTATGAATTGGGTGAACCTTTGCCGCCTCTGCCGACTCAGCTCTGGGATTTCGATGTCAAGAATGTGGCGGCGCAGTACCTGGCGAGCGCGAAGGGGGATCTGTAGCTACACTGTACGCAATGCAGATTTCATCGGCCAACGACGCGTCAGTTTTGCTCGTCTGGCCATCGCTTATCTGGTCGGAGATGCTTACGACAAGGATCATCATTGCGTCCTGCACCATCGCTTGCACAACTGTCATGTGTCTTGGCATTGAAAAGGTAAGCCCAATGGTTTGTACGAGTGCTCGAGCTCGAATCGGTTTGGCAGCCTCTTGTCGGCGCGGGTATCGGCTGCAGTGCTTACGAGACATACTGGTCGTGCTACGAAGAGGTCAGCATACCTTCTTTCGCAATTCGGCTGAACTTGACCACGATGTTGCATGCAAGGGATGTCACTGGTCTGGCTCAAGCTGCAGCTAGCGCACGCTCACTTAGTCGGCCTTTCTGGCACACATCGACAACATCAATGCAAATGGTGCTTGCATATGGCTCATGTCAGCATTGCCGCGATCGGCTTTCAGTAGACACTCTCAACCTCAGTTGCTTATCGCCGCGTCGGCCTCAGAGTCTGATACTGCTGAGCCCATATCTCCGAACGTCTCAGCCCTCAAAGTGCCCTACCTGAGACGTCATGTCCTGCGGCGCAGCGTGCGAGCATGTCCGCTTATCAGCGCTTGAAATTTTCCTCTCGGCTTCGTTGTGCTCTTGCCAAGCTTGTCAAGCGATCTATCCGGCAGACAGTCTATTTGCTCGTCTCAGCAGTCTTCTCTTGTGCAGCGAGCGTTACATCAGCATGCGTACAGTGTCGATCCTGTTCATTATTCTTGCGAGCTCCCTCAGCAAAGCTGTGCCAACATCGATCTCTCCACACTTGACAGAGCGGGCGCCGGCCCTTCTGCTTCCGTACGGATGGTACTACCTCAACCTCAAGCTCCTCGATGCTAGTGTCAGTACCTTCAAATAGACCACAGTAGACTCGCTCAGATCTGTTCTGTAGTGTCCTGATCCAGTACGCTCGATTCGCCGGCATGTATCTCGATGTTGACGAAAGGACAGACTGGAAACAAAGAGGTAGAGTTTGCGATGCAGTGGACACTCGATGCTGGCTTTGGCACGGACCACGAACTCATCATAGTTCGTCTTTGCCAACGAGCAAGAAGACCGAGCTGAAGGTGCTGCAGCAAACAAACCAACAGTTAGGTCTAGAAGATGGCACGTCTGTCTCAGCACGGCTCTTCATCGTCGCTCAGCAGCTCGAGCAGAGACTTGGCCAACGGTAATTGAGCCCGCAACCGGTCTGCCCTTTGCACTCATGCGCGTCCGCCGTGCCAAACGAGCTCGCGTGTTCAAGAACTCAAGAGCTCCGTTCTATCGTTGCTGTCGCTTTACCTGGATCCAAGTCAGCATTCCTGGCTTCTAGGCTGTGTAATGCTGACGACATCATCAGGACATCTTCTTGTGGGAAACAATTGATCTTCACGTGCTCGGCGACACAAAAGTTTTGTGAGTGGTTCGCGATGTCGCTATAGCTGCTGCTCAAGTTGCTGCTGCATGGTCAGGATGACTTGCACAGACGACGACGTGCCGGATGATTGCAAGCAGATCTTCGATCGTGAGCCTGGACACAACTTTACATGATCAATTGCTGATGTTCTCAAATGTAGCTGATCCTTTTGATTGCAAGGGCAGACCTCACATTGCAAAGGTGGAGCACATCATTTGAGAGTCGAATGCATGTCGGCTTTGGTGATCACAAGCTGTTACACGCTGCGGAGACCAATCTCACGCGCCCTCCCGTCTTACAAACGACTCCTCATCGCGATAAGCCTTACCATCGCTGTCGTCGCTCTCTCGCAAGCTTTCCCGAAGACAGACAAACAATCACGTCTCGCCTCTGTCTTCGAAAATACTTCAACGCAAAACAAGCATACGAACGAGCATGCTCGCCTTACTCTATGTGCTCGTGCCAATCTCTTTAATCGAAATCAATGCCATACCAACGCAAGATCCAAACATGTATCATCAGGCACTGGCTCTTCCCCTGCAGTTTCCTTATGGCTGGTATGCTATCGATGTACAGCTTATCGATGCCAAAGTATGTCATCCCCCTGCGCGCTGCCGGCTCGCTGACATCGAACGGCAGTGCAAAGTACCGGTGCGCACTCCTGAGCAAGCCTCGTTAACGGCGAGCTTATGATCAGTAAAGGGAGGAGAACGCGATGTGACCACGATCTTACAGTGGACTGTCGACGCCGGGTTCAATAGAAAGAATGAGCTCACTGTCGTGAGTCGTTCTCATTCTCCGCTGATCCAACATGGCCCGTACTAAGACGAAGCAGCAATATCAAGAACAGCCCGGGCTAATCTATGGCAAGCTATCCAGCTTCTCGGGCTAGCGCAAGACTGAAAGCTCAGCAGAGGCTTGGCCGACCACCAACGAACCGATGACGGGCCAACCTTATGCGCTCTTGCGCGTCACCAGAGCAAGACGTCTCCGCATGACCAAACCTTCCAGAGATCCAGTACTTCGTTGCTGCCGGGTCACATGGATCCAAGTTGGTATCACCCTCACAGGTCAACATCGCGCGCTCACAGCAAGAACAGGACGTCTTCTTGTGGCAAATGCAGGTCGCATCGGTCAAAGGCGACGCCTCGGTCTTGTTGGTGCCCACATGACGTCAAGTCCAGCTGTCGGCTGACCGCACCACTACTTCAGTATGACGTGCGCCGATGATGACGTCCCGGACGAATGCCAGACTCTCTTCCCGCGTGAGACCCAGAGCACTGTGCTCTCTGCCTCTTAGAGCTAATGCACGGCACTACAGGCGAGCCGGTGACATGCGAGGGCACGGCAGAGGCCAAATCAGAACATGTGATCTAGCTTTGGTTGGCTCGATGCATCTTCGCTGCGACGAAACACTGAGGCTGCTTATCGTGTCTCGCTCAGCCGTCACAGATAGGTCAGGCCTCGCTTCTCGATTTTCTCTGCAACCCTTTGAAGATAAGATGGTGGTCAAGCTCTGGACATTCGCTGGTCTCTTTGCTCTCTGCTCGCTCTCCACCGTCGCCGGCAAGATGGAGGTAAGCCACAGATGCACGTCTTCAGGGATTGGCTGACTTGATCTGCGCGCAGTCGGTCAAGCGCACCAATTGTGTCAACCTGAACATGGCTCACTGTCACGAACATGTACTGCGCATCGTTGCTCATGCAGCGCATGCTGACATGACAGCGCAGATGATGTGCAAGATCGATAGCGGCGTGTGTGTGCCCAAATACGGCGGCACGGCCTGAGAGTTCATCCTGCGCAGCTAGCTGTGGCAATGTACCGCGATCATGCTTGCAATCGCTTGAATGCCATGGCTATTTCTGCTTGCTGTCCGATTTCTTTGAGTCATCTAAGTGAGCGATAGGGGACGCGCTTGGAATGCTGAGACGATGTCGAGAAGCTGATGAGGCTTGTATGAGATAAGATGGCAGTGTAGCCAGACAAGAAGGCGATGAAGGTCAGCATAGCATGTATGTGACCTCGCTTCATCTATAAATTGCACATCTCTTCAGATTCTTGTAGCCATCCGCCACATAAGCCAGCAGCAATAGAGCAAGATGTTCACCAAGTCGACTGTACTCGCTCTTCTCGGTCTTGTCTCTGTCTCTCTGGCTGTTGCCATTGCCGTAAGTCTGCCAACTCTTAGCTGCCAATATATACTCACGCTTTCGACCAAATAGCAGGAGGATGGTCCGTCGTTCGATGAGGGCTCATCTTGCGGCTATACGGATCGAATGCCTTGCGCTATGAATGCAAGTGGCCCCCTTCTTGCGATGTCTTCCGCACTCACGTGAATTGGACACAGGGCTGTAGCTGGGATGGTGAACAGTGCGGTCCAGCTATGGATGTGAACCTGCCCGCCTACTCTGGTCTGATCGGTGGCATTGCTCGCAAGTGACGTGTCTGTTGGGACGATAGCTCGACAGTGTTCCGTCCTTGGTTGCGAGCGGAGCCATCGTGACATACAGACTTCCGCTACATACGCAAAGACGGAGTCATACTCGAGACTGAATCTAACCATATCTTCCGGTGAAAAGCACCTATCTTGGTGGTTCACCGCTGAGTCGTGAGCGGGACATATTGAAAAAGGCACACGGCATGCTCGTCAAGCTGAGCGCTGTTGCTCTGCTTTCGCGTGTGATGAGGTGCGGAGCTCGAACCAGCACGCGCGGCGCGGCGTTGGCGCGTTGACGAAGGGAGTGCTGTATCTGATGACCTTGTTTGTTGATCCGTAATCGCTGATATATTAGCTGCAGCGCGCCGGTCTTAATCCTGTCCACCCTACTGACGGTCCTTCTTGCAGTGATCAGAGTCCTGACGCATGCAACGACGTTGTGCGTCGAGTGTGGCCGGTTGCATGTGAAAATGCCAATGCTAAGTCTAAGATAGCTGGGCTGCGAGTGCAGCGGCGTGAGTTGTGCCGTAGCTTAAGGAGGCGCGGAGGAGAGCGATGGTGCAGTTGGCGTGATTGCATGTCTAGTGCAGAGATCTTTCCGTGGACCAGGTCGACCCGGAAGCCGAACGCGAGATCGCGAGATCGTGCTGAAGCTTCGATCAGGCAGTCTCACTCACCGCGATATGGGTTGTGACTGTGATTGTGCGAGATGATGATCGAGGTGAATGACATGAGTCGTGCTCACTGGAAAATCGCGCGCAATCGGAATGTGTACATTCGACCGCGACAGGTCTACCGCGTCGGCACCTTGCACTTTGCGATGCATTCGAGTACTCGATGCTTATACGCGACGGATGGATACGCCGTCAAGCGAGAGATCGCTGCAGAGGTTGATCAGTTTGTGCGTAGAAAACATTGTCGGATGCACCAACACGTGATCAAAGGCTTTGCCGTTGTAGCCACCCGAGATGACTGAGTAGGTCTGCAGGGAGCCGTCGCCGAGGTAGTGCAGAGCGATGGTGACTCCGTACAGTCTGCCATTCTCGACTTTGAGCTGACGTGAGTATATCGACGATGCGTTTGGTGGGGAGGACTTACAAGTCCATGTGCTCTGGCCCGGACTCGAGGTTCCATAGCGAGCCACACCGCCATGATCAGGCAGGAAGTAGTTTAGTTTGTGGTAGCTCTTCTCGCTGTCCTGCTGTGTCAACCAGAGAGTGGCAGCAAATACGATCGGAGCTTACACTGGGTCGTAGGCAAGGCTGAAATAGATCGTATACACGGCATTACCGGGACTCGAGAAGGTCAGAGCCCAGTCTGCCTCGTAACGAGCGACGAGGTGACTGTCAGCATCGCGTTTCTCGAGAGTGTTTGGTGATGCAGCTTCGGATACAGGCGATGCCGTGATGAGCGTGGCGATGAAGCCGAGAGCAGAGACGAGCTGAGCAAATCGCATGATAATGCTTTCTTTCCCGCAAGTTGATCGCTGAAGGAGGTGGAAAGGATAGATGGGGTGGGGCAGCACAGCACATCGCATCAGGAGTCTCCGAGCTTCGTACACCGCGTCACATCGCACTGATCGACTTCCACAGCTGTGCTCTGCATGAGGATGCATTCGATGATCCTGCCATCAGAGCTTGGAAATTACTACGCCGTCGATCGTTAGATCGCTGTGTGGGCAGCATCAGTGGTAGTGTGATCGCAAGCCATGCGGGACTCAACGTGTGGTTGAAATCTTCGCCATTAAAGCCGCCCGAGATGACTGAATATTTGACCACCGTACCGTCATCTTGCGCGTAGCGTACAACGAGTGTGATTGCGTAGATGTTGCCCCGCTCGACTGTTGCCACTTGTCAGCGTTGCCAACGATGTAGAACAGAGGTGACTTACAGGTCCACGTGCTCTCTGGCGTCTGCTGGTTGAAGCCAGATCCTCTGTAGTGAGCTGCACCGCCATGGCTGGGCAGGAAGTAGTTGAGTTTGTTGTACGACTTTGTGCTGTTCTGGACCTCAGCGACTTACCCATGCGCAACAAGGGAGGGGTGCCTACGCGGGGTCCCAAGCAAGACTGAAGTAGAGAGTCCATGCATCGTTGCCCGGGCTTGAGAAAGTCAGAGCCCAGTCGTGCTCAGCAGGCAAACTGGGGTGGGTCGTCAAGCCCCGTTCGATTGCTGTTGATGCTGTAGGAACGGCTGTGTCACGAGTCGCAAGGATGGGCGAACCCCCGACAAGGCTAGCGGCGAGACCGACAGCTGAGATGATGTTTGCGAAAAGCATGCTGATATCTGAAGCGTCCGCTCAGTCGTCCGCTTGAAGAAACCCCAAAGGCAGTGCTTGACGATGATGGGTGGGTAGCCGCTGCAAGGAATCCATGACAACAAAAGTCTCCGGTCACTTGACGGAATAGGTCACCTGATTGCCGACGGCGAATACATTGATGGGATGCAAGGCAAATACGTGGGGATGGAGATCGCGCGGATGTTTGGAGTACGCAACGCTGCTGTATACGCGACGATCGCTGCGAGAATCGCGTAATGCGGGCCCCCAGTCGATGTTCAGCGACTTTTCGACCCTTATATATATCGGGGGACGTGCAAGGATCATCAACGTTGACTCATGTTGGTCGCGTCAGAATCGTGCAGCAACTACGCGGCTCCTCGGAGGCGATGTTGTTAACTCGGCGATGCAATGCAGGTATGGCCAAGCAAGCTATCGCATGAGGAGAGCGCCTTAGCAGTTCTCGGGATCGACACACGCGCAGCAGTTGAGCTTGCGGTCGTTAAGGCCTGATCGATATCTTCAGCTTCATCAGCAGCGCCCTCGAGCAGACTTACAAACGTTGTTGGGCGTGTCGCAGCCGTGGTGACCACACTGCCAAGTCATACCAGCTCCGCAGCTATCTTGATCCCTGCTGTTTGCGTAAGTCGCTAGCAACCAAGCAGAGGTTACGAATCACTTGACGGCAGCTACAAGAGCGACGAATCCCACAAGAGCAATGATCTTGAGCATTGAGAACATGTCGACTAGCAATATACTTGTTAGTAGATTGAGATTGTCTTTTTGCAGTGTGGAAGCAGATCTTGGTCGGTTGGTCGAGTTAGCGATGGCAGCGCACGTTCATGACCACGTTGCGACATGCCGTCGCTAAGCCGCCTGTCAGGCTCCAGATTCGTTGCAATACGGAGAATCTCCAAGCGTCACCGAACACCGTAAGACAACGTGAGCTGGCTGGATGCAGGGTCCTACAACGCTGTCGGCAACCGTGTCTGCAATGGAGGTGCTTGATTCATTCGCGGGCGATGAGTTGTACATCGCACTGGCGAGGCAAAAGTTCTACTTCGCATTCGAGCGGTGCTACAGAAGCGTGAGCGCTGCCTACATGAGGATGGAGGTACTGGCTCACTCGGCGTGCGAGGGAAAAGAGGTGCGTCGACGTCGCTATCGCTCTGACAGATGACATTGAAGTACTTTCGCTCAACATGTGGATCATCTGAAATATACATCAAGCTAGCGGGTAAAATGATTTGCAGCACTGACGGCGCCCCGAGAGGTAGGATAGGCGCAGATCGAGGCAATAGTGCATTGAGCAGTATCGATCGAGTGGCTTGACTGCAGCCTGCTTGAGGCACTGCACATAGGAGGGGAGGGATGTTGCACACCTCCTGTCTGGATGATGGGCCAGCAGACAGCCGCTAGGTAGTCGTACATGTCCGTCGAGATGACCGATCTCGCTCGGCAAGTCGGTCGGCGTCGGATCCGCGTGAGCACTTTCTATTCGCGCAGACATCAGCCCGAGCTGTCAAGGACGGGAAGTTCTGACGGACGATCGCGCATTGATGCGTTTTGAGTTTGCTAGGATCGAGCACAAGCTGGGCTTCAGTCATATCTCGTAAACCGCGAACGTTGTATGCCGCTAATTTGTTAGGCAGTGTGCAAACGGCGGAGCAAGGAGACCACAGGAATGTGAATGTACGAGCGTTTACACTGTAAGCGAGGCTGGCGAGGCAGAGCGAGAGAAGAAGATGGATCATCGCATGGATCAAGAGTGTTTCTGCGCCTCGTGGCGTGTCTGCATTTCTACATCGCGAAGTGCTCTCGCGTCAGATCTCGCGGTCTGTCTCGCTCGCGGCCCACTTGTAATCCCTTGCCATGTTTTTCAGCGGTGGCAGCGCTTTCTGATGATGATCATACTTCATCTATATTGCTTGCTCTGCGCGGTCTCAGCAACGTTGGCTGCTTTCCCGTATGGCTGGTACTACCTCACCGTCGAGCTCAAAGCCAAGGCTTGTCATGCACATTCTCACCCCGCACGATCCTGACCACGCGCAGCACCAGCAGTGTTTCGTCGAGGTTCTCATCTTCGCAGACTGCCTTGCCGTCATGATTGACGATTCAGTAGATCCTCGATCGCGATGTCGCCTATACGAGCAGCTGGACGATCGAAGCCGGCTTCAACGAAGCTGAAGATGTGCAAATCGTACGTTGAATGACTCTGACCTACTTCTGAACTGATTGTGGGGCGTGGCCAGAGTTGGACTAATCGAGGTCCTCCGCTCGAAGTGAGTACGCGCCTGTTGATGCTTAGCTAGCCGGTGCGACCAGCTAACCCTCGAGCAGTCTCGTTTCCGACGGTGGTAGATGAGGATACAGGACTTAAAATGGCTATGCTGCAGCTTCGCAAGATCAGTCTACCCCGTCGACAATACGGTTCGCTCTTTTGGCTGATCGCAATGATGGGATCTCATCGTCTCAGCAGGTCAATGGAATCTCTTCTACGAGTGTTGCCACTTTGTCTGGATTCAAGTGACTGCAGGAGTAGGAGACGTCATGACTGGTCTGACGAGAGCATCGCAGGATTGGTTTCTCTTCATGGAGGCTGCCAAGACATCAGAGGGAAATACCGTGGTCGAGTCAGTCATCCTGCCTCAATGCGGTCTTCGCTCACGAGCCACTCAGATTGGTATGCACCGGCGAGGAGAAGCCAGCATATTGCGCGGCGCATTTCGATCGTAAGCTTCTGGTTCGGATGGGGGAGGGCAGCAGACACTCATTTTACTGCAGCCATACCAATGCAATGCCCCGATCCGGACGTAAGACCCTGCGGATCAGATGAGATACCACTCTCGAGAGCTGATGGCTGTGCAGACGAGGGTCGTGAATTCTCAGCATGTCTGGTAAATGCATGGCAGACATTCGTCTGCGCGCCCGTAAGCCCGCCCGGGTAAATGCGTACAATCGCAATGACTTTGTTATCGATGCCTCCTCGAAGCTTCGATACATAGCCTTGCGGACTCGCGCAACGTCAGGGGCCGATTGAGCACGCGCCGGATAAGCGACACGTGACAAGGTCGACGATGGAGCCAAGAATGCATTGCAAGATCCATGTCGCCATGCGTTCGTCGCTCCATACTCCTAGTTACCACTTCTTGTCACCCTTTCTGAAGGTGCAGCAGTTGCCACGTAGTCTCTACACCCCTCTCAGGAACATCCAAGGTCGCTCCTTATACCCTGAACACTGATTCAAGGCGATTGAGAGATGTTTTCGAGAGCGCTGCCCACGATACTCGC